AGTTTATCTAATCCTATTATAGTTGGAAAACTAATTATAAAGTCTATTATAATTTTGCTCTAAGGATATTAGAGAATCGGAAGTAATTTAAAATTACTATAAATTAAATATCTTTAGGGTTTATTAGTCTAGTATATATAATATATATAGTAGTACTCCTTAATATCTCAAGTTATTCAAAGCTAGTAGTACTTCCTTTAAAGGAGTTTAAATATCTTTATAGTTCTAAAGTAACCTACTAACAGATCGTTATAATACTGCTATAGAAGCTCTTACTTTACTATTAGTTCCTTAGGAATAAAAAGTCTACCCTAGTAAAGGAGCTCTTTAGTAGAGGCTCTAGCCTAACCTATCTGGTCGGAAACCTCTTATCGTTTATTTATAAGATGACTCTGGATTTTCTATATAACTGAATCTAAGTTTTAAAGGGTTTTAATTACTTCTTTAAGGGGTTGTAAGGGATTAGGGGTATAGATTCCTTTAAGTTTTACCTTATCTTCGGTAGATATTTATAATATCGTTAGAGATAGTAAGCTATATTTAATAAGCTCTTAATCTTCTAGATCTTTTAAAACTATTAGGATTATTTCTACTATAGCTATCCTCTAAATAGTATTTAAATTAGTAGTATCCTACTACTAAATCTAATTTACTATTTTAAACTTATTTTAAATAGTAGATAATTAAACTATCTTTCTATTAGATATTTTATCTTTATAGTTAGGTCTTTTTAACAGTCTATTAGTAGAGTTTTACTTCCTAGCTTAATATTTAATAATAAAGTTAAATCCTATTAAATATATATATTACCGGGTTTATCTACTATTAAGGTAATATTATTTTATAAATCTTTAAAGGTTATTATAGTCTGAAAAGACTATAATTTTATAGTAACTCCCTTCTAAATAGTATTACTAATATTTAAAAGCTTTAACAATTACTATTATCTTATAGTTAGGGATATTATAGTTCTTAGTTAGCCTAGAAAACTTAGTAGATTAGAATATAATAGGGTATTTTCGGTAGTTATCTCCTTTTTATAAGAGGACTACTCCTATTATAAAATCTAATATATCGGTTTTGATAATAATAGGTTTCTTAGGATCGAAATATTATAAAAGGGGTATATACTGGAAGACGCTCTTAAGTTAGTAGAAAGCTGCTCTCGTTTCGTTATCGAACTAAAGATCTCTAAATTTCTTTCTGTTCTCTATTCCTTTTATTAAGCTCGTTAAAGGAAGTATAATCTCTAAATAATTGCGAACGAACTTACGATAAAAATTATAAAATCCTAAAAATATTTAAACGTTTTAAAATATTTAAGGTTTAGACTACTCTTAAATAGTATAAATCTGTTCTAGATCTATAATAATTCTATAAGTATTTACAATATATTTTAAAAACTCTATTTAGTCTTTATGGAAGGAATATTTGCTAGGTTTATAGTAAAGTTATACCTACTTTAAGTGAGTAAATACCTAGCGAATATATCCTATATACTTTTCTTATATTTTTAAGAAAATTAGAATATTATTAAGATAAATAATATAAAACTTATCTAACAATCCTTTTAAAGTTTAGTAAATATAGCTCTAAAAAGTAGCTAGAGTATTAGTTAACCTAAAAGGTATAACTAGATATTTAAATAATCTATAATAAGTATAGAAAGCTATCTTCTATTTATCTCCTTTTTAGATCCGAATCTAGTAGTAGATATCTTTAATATTTAACTTTATAAAAAACTTAGCCTCTAAAACTCTATCTAGAATTTCTAAAATTAGGGATAAAGGGTAACAGTTCTTTATTATAATCTTATTAAATCCCCGGTAATCTATATATAAATATAAACTTCTATCCTTCTTAAAGATGAAGAGAACCGGGCTAGCTACTTAACTTTTAGAGGGTCTTATCCTTCCTTTTACTAGGTTTTCCTTTAAATACTTATATAAAATCAATAACTAATAACGAGATAAAGGATAAATAGAACTAATAAAAGGTACTATTCCCGGTTATAAATTAATCTTATAATTAGTAGGTTTTAATAAAGGTAGAATGTTTAAGTTAGAAATATCTATTATATCTTTAAACTCTAATAATTTAGTAGAGATCTCTTCCACTTTTTACTATAGTTTCTCTTCTTCTTTATTAGGGAAAAGGGATATTAGTATATCTAGGTAAATTAATACTATAAAAATATATACTTCTTTTTTATAATACTTTAAAAGATTTTTAAAGTTAGTTAACTTAACTATATTAATCTCTTAAATAAACTACTAACTTCATATCTAAGGAAATAAAAGAATCTCTAACTAATTAAATATAGGTATCTTTAAAATTACTAGCGAATCTTCCTTAATAATGTTCTATTAAACTATAGTATAGTTTATTAATACTTTTCAAGTTTAACTATAATAATTAGTAAGAGATAATAGTACTTAGTAAATATTAAAGATCTTTATAAAGTAAGAATCTATAAAATAAACTTAAAGTAACTCTCTTCTAATCTAATATAGTTTATATCTTCTAATAAAGTAAATATCTATAATATTAAGTTCAGTATATATATCTAAATTAATAAGAAAAGAAGTATTAATATAGGTATATAAAACTTTAAAAGTATAAAGTTACTATTAGGTTTAGTTCTCTAAGAGAGGAGTCTCTATAATATTAGAGTCTACTATAGGTTTCTGCTATTTCTCTAGTAACTAGTATAGGAGCTACGGTATCCTTGTTGTTGGTACCCTCTGGTTTAGTTTAGGGACTTCCCCTTTTATAGGTAAGTATTTGCTAAATGTTTGTTACTATTATAAATATAATATTTTAGGATACTTCCTATCTTAAATTTAGTAGAATTGGTAGTATTCTAATACCAATTACTATCTAACTTAGATATAGCGTTATAATATAATATATCGTTATAGGAATTGGAATATCCTTATCCTTATAATAAAAAGTAATATCTTTAAATATTATATCGAGATCGAGAACATAGCGAAAAGATAGTATAAGAGGAGTAACCTACTAGTATTTGGGTTAAATAAAACGTTTACTAAACTTAAGTAGCTAATCGAACTATCTCTTTATAGGTTTTAGGTTAATAAGAGATATATCTATTAATATATTATATAATTAGGGTTGAAAGCTTTATATAAAATAATAGAATATAGCTTTTATTATCTTATAAAGGAAAGTAGTCCTCTAAGAACTCTAGATAATAATAGAAGTCTATAGGTAACTAGTTTTCTTATTATTATATATTATTAAGTTGTTTTATAATAGTAGAAGTCTAATTAGCCTAATCCTATATATAAGTTTAGATCTAGATCTCAAAGAGATTCTATATTATTTTAGTAGTATATCGCTTCTTAGGTAAAAGGTTCCTATAATAGCTATACTAGCGGTTCTAAGGTTATTTATCTATTTAATCGAATATAAAGAGGATCTAATTAGACTTAATAGTAAATTGTTAGAGGTTTCCAGTAAATATTTATTATAAATCTTAAAACTATTCTTTTTACCAATAATATATTATAGATTCGGTAAAATATATAAGGTTCTTTACCTTAATAATATATCTATAATTATAAGAATTAGATAAAGAATTAGAGTTTTATCTTTATTTTATTAGTTATTTATTTAGAGATAATCTAAGTTATTCTTATAGCTCCTTTTCTTAAATTTAGAATTATTATAATCGCTCTAAAGCTTAGATTCGTTACTAAGCTTATTCTAGAAGCGATCCTATCTATAGTAGAGAAAGAGGTTATTAATTAGAGGAAGTTTAAAAAGATATATTTAAATAGCTTTTCAACTATAATTAAAGTTTAAAGAGTAATCTTCTTAATAACCCTTCGTTACTACTTCAGCTAAGAATCGGTAGTATCTTATCCAATAGAAATAGAAGGATCAGAACTTATTAGGGGTCTCTAACTAAAGAACTAAAAACTAAACTCTTTGGAGAATTACTGAAGAAGATGCTAATATAGATACGGGCTACGGAACTAAGGCGATTCACAGGCGAACAAAGATTCAATTCCTAGCTAAACACTCTTGATCAGACCTAAGGTTAGGTCTGGGGAGCAACTGGAACTGATCCTTGGGGAGCTTCCCCAGGATCGGGCTCGGCCATGCTTAAAAGGCTCCTTGCTGAGCCTCATAATATCATCATCCATTCTGGGGCTCTGAGGCCCTGTTCTGTAACACTAGTATAGGTATAAACATTATATAAATATTGTCTATAAAGGTATAGCTTATAAGATCTTCTAAATTTAGAGTCTTATAGGGAAAACCGGTTTACTTCTATATTGCTTATATATAGCTTGTACTTAACTACTCAGTACTGAGGCCGATAGTCTTCGGGCAGAACTAAGGAAACTAGAGCTATTACGAGGAGGAAGGATAAGAAGGAAGGAAAGGAAGGGGGTTTTAGAGGAGGGTAGGGTTTAGTTTAGCCTTAACTTAACCGTTTATTTAAATACTGCTTCTACTGTACCTGTGTGTGCCCTCTTTACTCTGAACTATCCTCTGCTGCCCCTTTAGCTCTGATATTGCTGCTAGAGGGGGGAGGGGGGCTTTAGCCTCAGTATCTTGCTCTATTACCTCTCTAGCCTCTGCCCTTTGTACCGGTATAAAGGACTGGGGTCTCTTGTCCTTGAAGTAACTTTCTAGCTTAGTTATAGGTTGAACTCTCAATAATTAGAAGTGCTAAATTTAAGAAAGTAGCTTACAAAGTCTAAAGCTCTATTATTAGAACTGTTATCTTATTTTTTATATCCTTTCTTAAATTAACTATATTATAATATGCCTCTTTACTACCCGTTTGTATGTGAGTTGATATTGTTATAATTCGTATATCGTCAGAACCTTGGAGATTCTTGCCGCCGCCCCCCCCTCCTATGCCAAGAGCGGTGTCGAATGTTACCCCCACCCCCACCGCATGCCAAGACGGCCAATGCGTTTGCCACAGACCCTGCATTGGAGGCTCTGTAGCCGCGCCTTCAGCCATTGCAAGCTTTGAGCGTGCTCACCACCACCCGCGTTTCACCACCTCTGACAATGCCAGACAAAACGCTCAAGGTTGTCACCTATGCTGCCGGTGCGTCTTTAGCAGCAATCACCCTCATTTATGTTTTCGCGCCGACGTACTTCCTCGATAGCGACGCTTCGACCTCTGGCGGCGCCACACTCTCGACGCGAAAGAAGGGCGTTGTGGGCTTGTCGAACCCTGCCAACGACTGTTTTATCAACTCCGTACTTCAGGCACTCGCGGGGCTTGGCGACCTTCGGCTGTATCTAATACGGGAGATACATCGTCGCAGCCTCGATGACGAATCCGTATACGCCCAGCTTGTCCAAGCCGACATTTTGGCCCAGGTCGAGGACGACAACAACCTACCTCGCTTCGGCAAGGACATACCGAATTGGAAACTGGAGGGCTTGCAGAGGGGTAGCGTCACCAAGGGCCTGAAGGAGATTTTGGACGCACTAAACGAACGGCCAATCCACAAAAAAACCATATCCGCCGCGCGCTTCGTGAAGGCACTAGAGGAGGCTTTCCGGCAGCGCATTAGCCGGCAGCAGCAAGATGCCCAGGAGTTCTTGCAGGTAGTTGCCGAGAGACTCTGCGACGAATACCATGCGGGACGTAGGGCGCGGTGGCTTGCCCGGCGCACGGCGGCCCCGGATGGCCAGCCGTCCCTAGAAAAAGGTGCCGCTACCGGTGCTCTCGATACAGAAATGCTCCGGTTACTTGGCACGAGCCAGGGAGGCTTGCAGACCCTCGGCCCGTCAGCTGAGGCGGCAAGGGTCGAGTTGGAACCTCACGACAGCAGAGAGAAAGGCATGGACGGCGAAGATGAAGAAGGGTTTCCGCTGGAGGGCAGGTTCGAGTCACAAATCGAGTGCCTTACGTGCCGGTTTAAACCACGGCCCACGACCTCCACCTTTTGCACCCTGACCCTCAACGTGCCCCAAGTTTCATCGACGACATTGGGCGCGTGTTTTGACGACATGTTCAAGACGGAATACATCGATGACTTTAAGTGTGAGAAATGCCGCCTCTTGCACGCGCAGTCCGTCTTCGAGTCGGAGGCGCAGCGGTCTACATCCGAGGCAGCGCGGGCGAAAGCCCAGGCAGCGGTGGAAAAGCTGAGGCTCGCCATTGAAGTAGATCCGGAGAAACCACCAGAGGATGTTCAGCTCCCCGATTTGCGATATGCTCCCAAACGCAGAATCGCACGTCACATCCGCCTGACCGACTTCCCCAAGGTCCTAGCCATCCATTTGTCAAGGTCCATCTTCGACGCCAGCTACTCATCACAAAAAAACTCGGCCAAGGTCGCATTCCCGGAACAGTTGCCGTTGGGTGGTTTGCTCCAGCAACGGAAATACAAGCTACTTGGCGTCGTGACGCACAAAGGAAGCCATCACAGCGGGCACTACGAGTCCTTCCGGCGCCAGAATATGTACCCGCCCTTTTCCAACCCGAGCACGTTCCAGGCGTCAGAAGCGTACAGCAGGAGGCCCAGTCCAGCGCCGACGCCCCGAATCGAAGCGGATGACCATTCTTCGGGGGTACCTACCGTTCCAGCTTCAGCACAAGAGCCCTCGACCAACGGAATCAGCACTGATCTATCCCCTCCTCCTGACCCATCCGCGACCGCGACCACTGCGGGGAGCTCCTCCGGTTCTTTACGTAACGACTCGGGCAGCAAAGAAACGCCCACTGATACGCAAAATCACGCAGCATCAGCGCGCCGCCGTGCGCTAGCTGAGAAATCCAAACTACGAAAGCAGCAGACTCGTTGGTGGCGGATTAGTGACGAAAAGATCAAAGAAGCCAGTACCCGTGACGTGTTGGGCATGCAACGCGAGGTGTACTTGCTGTTTTATGAGATTGAACGACAGTCTCTGTAGGGGTATACCGGATTTAGATTATGCACAGCTACGCATGTAGACGATTGATAGAGGTATCCTCCTAGCCAGATACACATACAATAGGCATAGAGTAATATGGCCACGGCATTGGCAAACGCGATGCTCGCCAAACCATATTTCGTGGCTGGGGAGGCGTTCGGTCTTTTCTCTACGGCGAACGGGAAGGACTTTTTGCACGGCGCTATGGCCAAAGAGGCATCTGTCATTGACCCAGTGAGTGACTGTGGAAAACGTAGTATAACAATGGCGTGTGCATGTGGGTATGTATACCGGGGCAGAAAGGAACGCTTCGTAAATTCAGAAGCGTAGGCGGAAACATGTGGCTAGCCATCAAATCGTAGCACAACTGCGATGACCGGTGTGTTCAATGTTTGTTCGTCCCACAAACTACTAAGGAGCACTCGTGGCCACAGTGCATGCGTATCATTGTCCCAGCAGCTCCTTCGCCATCTTTCCAGCTTCCTCCTCACTCAGTGAGGGTTCTTTGTGCGCCACTTCAGACTTCGCAGCGTCAAACCGCCAAAGGCCGCCAGTCTTGTCTGCATCGCCGTTCTCGGGCAGGCCCACGGCCGAACCCAAGCCCGTCAGGACTGAATCAGCACGATCCTCAAGCGCAGAGAAATAGCGGCGTTGCCAAGTTTGCCCGTCGGCCTTCTCCTTAGCGCGCATTTCGCGTTGCGCATTCTCGATTTTGCCCTTCTCGAGACTGACAGTGTCAAGGTCACCTTTGGAAATTCCAGCTGCCACCTTGGACCAGGCCCGCCTCGATTCCAGCGGATGTTGCTTCTCCAAAGGAGCAATAATGAGCTCGCTAAGCGGAGATGGATCCCAGTTCCCGATGAGGTTATCTTTGCTGTTGTGCTTCGCAGGGCCGGAATGGATCTCGAAGGACTTTGTCCACTGCCCGGAGACGTTGAAGACGACATCCTTCTCATTCCCAGTTGTATACAGATTGGCAGTGAACGAGTTCTTCTTGCCGGACAGCCAGCCCTTTCCGCTATAGTCGATCTTTGCAGTGAAGCCGGTAGATGAAGTGATATATGAGCTACCATCCAACTCCACGAAGGGCGAGCCAAAGATAAGACCCTCAATGTGAAGAGACGGTAGGGTGATCAAGAACGTGTCCGGTTCCGCCGAGGACGGTACAGGGACAGTGAGCACGGCATGGCCGATCTGTTTGACGTTGATCGTTTTGGAGAATGATGCCTTCTGAGCGTTGTAGCCCTCTAGTCGGACGCCGCTGGGGAGGTTGGTGATGTTGTACGCAGTTGCCGGCGGATGATGGCTGTCGTGTGGAAAAGCGATCGAGTTAGTAGAGCTACCAAACGCCGCCAACGGCAGCGATGCACTCACCTGACCTGCTCACTGATCAACTCGGTGGTCCCAGCGTTGTCCTCCCACTTCCCTAAAAACAGCTCGCCCAAAAAGGGGTTGAGCGGCTTCTTTTCGTTGCCATATTGCTCGCTTCGACTAGCGTATTGCTGCTTTAAAGTGGTCAAAAACCACTTGAGTACCAAGAGCGCTCGCTTCGCGGCGTCCGGTTCCTGCGCGGGCGCGGCGAAGACGGAAGGGTGCTCGCACCAGTACGAGCTGAATTCAGTCAAGCTGGTGGACGAAAGGATGAAGGGCGGTGCGGTAAGACTTGAAAGATCGCCGTTGAAGGACGCAATCGACTAAACCGACACCTTCCGTCAGCAAATGTGAAACGCAACCAGTCACGCCGGGCTGGAGCGTAACGCCGGGGGAGCCGACAGCTTTTCAGCCCGGATGGAGAACTATTGGAAGTTTCAAACCTTGAGAAAAGCGCCCCAGCTGGCTCCGACACCGCCGGCCTGCGTTGGTGTTGCGGACTCCATATGGGCAGCGCGCAAGTCGGTTTTTGGGGGGGTTTACTCGAACCACCCGCGAGATGGGATTCCAAGAAAGTATAAATCAAGCGGGCGACGATCGTAAAGAGTTGTGCAAGACGACGCCTCAATCAACACAGGGCGAAAAGGAAAACAAGAAGAGCCTAGGTGATATTGAAACCAGGATTGGAATTTGGAGGCAAGGGTGCAAGTGGGATGTGTGGGGTGAACAAGCACGTTGGCGGGTTTGGGCTGGCATGAAACCTAGCGCAACCTCCCAAGAATCGAGAGCACCCAAGTTCCGCCAAGACCCACTCGGGCAGGAACCAGGTCGCAGCTGGCGGGGGGTCCCGAATACTTGGCGGGCGGTCCACGGCCAAACTTCGGGGAAACTTGGCGGGGGTTCCAGTTCTTTCGACCCCCCGCGAGGGCGGCTTAATTACCACTATAGATTACGATTTTTTATTACAAGTATTTAGTTGTAAATATCTACGCATATGCTCAACATATGCGGATTATAGTAACTATCGTTATTTAAGTTAAGGTTAGTTTTAAGGGGAGCTTTAGAGTTAGAATAGGATTAGAGTTAAGAATAGTATTTAAATTAGAACTTTCAAATATATTATTACAGCATATACCCAGCATATGCTAGGTATATGCTAATATTAACTTTAGTATCTAAATTATATATATATTATTTTAATATATATTTAGTATATATTAATTTTAACTCTATTATTTAAATTACCTTTAAGCAATATAGTATATAATAGTTTTTAAGATATTTAATTTCTTTTCTTTCCTATATGCTCAGCATATGCTATTATATTTCACTCAATTACCTGTAAGTAAAATTGTCAATGCACTTAGCAACTTCTTGGGGGGTCGAAAAAACTGGAACCCCCACCAAGTTTCCCCGAAGTTTGGCCGTGGACCGCCCGCCAAGTATTCAGGACCCCCCGCCATGTGTATACTCGGCAGGAACAACATCCTGGCAGAACGGTCGCTGCACGCCGACCGCACGCCTACTTGGTCTAGGTAGGTGCAAATGACAACCAACCGTGCATTTGGATCATGGACCACACAAATCCATGCGTTTATAAACCAGAATATCATTGCATTGCATTGCAATCTTGATCGCGCAGTGTACGGAGAATTCAAATCAGTCAGGCTGGAGGAGCCTGTGTCGGCTTACCCTGGACCTCGGCCGCCCACCACTCGGGAAAATCGACCACCTTCTTGCCGCGCCGCGCTGCCTCAGCGCAGAACACCATAGCATGGCTACGAATAACCTCTTCCACAGTGCATCCGACGATTTCTCTCTGTGCCCTGTCAGTATGCCAGCCATGATTCTTAACCTTGTCAACAGCCAGCACAAATCGGCGGGTAAGACCAATATCCCCTCCGCCATGGCCATGACCCTCGGCTTTCGGACGATGGACGGTTGTCCGGCCGGTGCGGAAATCTTCGATGGTGATGGTGGTCGAGTCGGCAAAGATCTCGCCATCAACGCCGTACAGGTGTGTATACCGGTCGCAGATCTTTTTGGTGTGGGCAACCATGTGGAAAACTGCAGTCTTCGCTTTGCGGCCGCCCATCTCAGCGTTCCCAGGCAACGGGTCATCATCCCAGTTGAGTGTGACTACTTGCTCGTCGCACACGTCATTGTCGCTTTCATATACACATCTTCCGAACCAGTTGCGCCGAGCGATCTCTGGCTGGGGGGTTCTCGCATCGTAGTCCTTAGCCAGCTCGGTGAGCATAGCATCTTTGGCCTCCACGCTGCTCCCATAGGACTCGATGTCGGGGAGCACTATGCTTACTGGCCACCTCTTGTTGCCCGTCTCGACGCCCGCCAGTTCTGGGCCGACGTATATGTGTTTTGCCGAATACTTGCAGGTACTCTCGGCGGGACACGAGAGGCAGTTGGTGGCTGTGCCCGCCTCTACTGGCTTCCGACCTCGTCTAAAGTACTGCAGCGACCCGGTACTAGAGACGGTGGTTGGCAGATGGGGCGGAGGGCAATCCTGGGCCGAACAGTCTGCGGGCGAGCACAGTAGCCAGAGCAGCACATCTATGTCGTGGCAGCTCTTAGTGAGGAGACTCGGGGCTGAGGTGCTCTCGCGGCGCCTGGCAAAGTCATCAGCGAAACTCGGGCAAAGCACGGGTTCGAGACTCGAGATATTTTTCCCCGCTGGGGCCGCGATCCAACCGCCACACGGCCATGAGTGTGAGGTTGGTGCACGGGGTTGGGAGCTTTCCACATCATGCCACGTACCAGTTCCCACGGACGTAACTGTGGGCAAAATGCCACCACCCAACAGGTTCTGTATGCACGACAGACAAGATATCGCCGATAACACGGTCCCGTATTACCAGCTTGCGAAGCAGCATGTTGTGCGGGCTGTATCGCAGAACATGTCCGATGGAAAATACGGCCTGTTGCCCCCCGGATACCTTGTTAGATTCCAGCGCCGTGTACATCTCGACGCAATCATGGAGAGTGGTTGCCAGCGGCTTCTCGCACATGATGTGCAGTCCTCCGAGGCTTGCCAATGCGACAACCACTTCGCGGTGCATCTCATCCAATACGCAAACGAAGACAGCGTCGACGCCGAGAGGAACATCCACCACGCCACTCCCGGCCCGGGCCCGGCGTTGTCTCTCGTAGACAATAAAGTCACGCCAGTCGGAAAAGGCGGCACCTTCAGGCGGCGGGGCCTTTGCGCCCCATATCATAGTCTTACCAAAGTGATTCCTCTTGTAATCATCTGGCTCAGCAACAGCGACGACCACACCATTAGTTGCTGATGTCACGGCGCTGGCGTAAGCCCTACCCCGTGAGCCCGCACCGATTATTAAAATGCGCGGTGGGCTCGGGGGAGTAGGTTGTATGTGCTCCTTAGCGTCCGACATTTTGTATAGGTGCCCCGGGGGCGGGCAAGGACGGTTGCGGGATAACTAGGCAGGTAGAGAGAGGGAGCAGGTGAGCAAGGCGGTGTTGCTATACTGGAAGAGGGGTTGGTGTTGATGGGGGCCTCGGGGCGTTTCGATCGAGCCCCTCCAACTCGGAGTGCTCGCCGTGTTGCGATTGGATGCTCACCTAAACTGTCGGTGTGCCTACCCAGTGAGCTTGAAGGTGAATGTCAGCCTGGCTCCCACACGCACATGGACCATTTACACAGTAACCAGCGTCACGGTGTGGGTCATGTTCTCATACGGTGCATATCATGGAGACTCCACCATGCCCCTCGGGCGACGACGGGCCTTAGAGGCACGAGCCATGGTTTGAGGAAGCAGTCAACAGCGACGCAATTCATGTTCACCTCCACTGCCGTAATGTCCGTCAACCATGCCCCCTCGACCACACGCTTGGTTCAGCCAGATGACCCGCTAGTCTGGATTGACTGTGAGGTGCGTTTCTGCCCCTTTCGTTCCAGTTTTAAGTAGCAAGTCTAAATTGTCGCTCTAGATGACCGGTCTTGACCCGGAAAATGATGCGATCATTGAGATATACTGCATCGTCACCAATGGCCAACTGGAGCTACTCGACGAGTCTGGGTGGGGCACGGTCGTGCACCAGACAAGTGAGAGGATGGGCAGAATGGACGAGTGGTGCACCCGTGTCCGTATGTCACGTCCCGTACTACTGTTTTTATCTAGACTTCGGCACCTCTTCTCATTTGCCCCGCTGTCCTTTCGTCGTTGGTTGTGGGAAGAAGTGGCCAGGTAACGCCTGCTAATAAGGGTATGACAGATGGTGAGAGTGGCCTCACTGCGGCCGTCGTTAAGTCAACCGTAACGCCTCAACAGGCAGCCGATGGTCTCTTGGCCTACATACAAGAGTATATTCCCGAGAGAAGTATAGCACTTCTCGCGGGGAACAGCGTGCATGCCGACCAGGCGTTTCTTAGAAAAAGCCCGTACAATAAGATACTCGACCACTTGCACTATCGTATCCTGGATGTCAGCAGCATCAAGGAGGCCGCACGGAGATGGTGGTAAGTGGACTTCCTGTTTTCTTCACCCGCAATGCCCGCCAATTCCGAGTCTGTGGATGCGGGAACTAGACGGAGGTTTCCTCCCATTTCTGGACGCTGGTCACTGACTGCTGCGCTCGAATACCGTAGCCCGCAGACTGCCTCGGCGGTGCCCCGCAAAAAGGGGTTACATAAGGCGAAGGACGACATACTCGAGAGCATCAAAGAGGCCAAGTATTATAGGTCGGCCATTTTCAAACCTGCTGAGTCTTGAGCTGAACCCTGCTCCCTATGTCGGCTGTTGGGAATATCATGGATTTTACGGAGTAAGCTTGGCCCAACCTCGCCGCCCTTACCAGGCCAGCTCCCGCAGTTCGACAATACACCCACTACGTCTTCACATCCGGCTCGTCCCGACCGATGAACTCCTTGAACTTTAGGAGCTCCGTCGCCATATTGATCTCGGGCCTCAGGAAGTCCTGTGCATCCATGCCATACGTGGCTGGGTCGCTGCTGTGTTGTTCAATGTACAGGCGAATCGTGGCGCCCGATGAGCCGGTCCCGGAGAGTCGAACGACAATCCGGCTACCGGATGAGAAGCAGGCGTACAGGCCCTGGTTTGCCGATACCGAGCCATCCAGGTCGGTGTAAGAGAAGTTGCCGGCCCCGGTCACAGTGCGGTCTAGGAAGAAGGGTGGACATGTCAGCCAAAGGTCGACATGGAACCATGCAGACCGGCGTGGGTGATTTTCACGTACCTCCCACTTTGCTGCCGATGAAGTTAGAGTCGGCCACTAGGTCCTTTAGAACACCGACCACCCTGTTGGCGCCATCCGCATCGACGTCTTCATAGTCATAGCGGGTGAAGAAGGTACGACCATACTCGGTCCAGAAATCCTTCTGGATTTGCTTGATACTCGGCGCAACACCAGGGTTCGCCACGCCAAGACCTGCGATGACGTTAAGCCAGGCCACAATTGCCCAGAGGCCGTCTTTCTCCCGGATGTGGTTACTTCCGGTCCCGAACGACTCCTCGCCGCAGATAGACAGCTTGTCGGCATCGAACAGGGCACAAAAGAACTTCCACCCCGTGGGCACCTCGTAACAGTCCAGGCCCTGCTTCTTCGCCACCAGATCAACGGCCCCGGACGTGGGCATGCTGCGAGCCAACCCGTAGACCCCATTCTTCTTGAAATACGGAATCAGCTTGGCATGGTGAGCAATGATGGCCAGGCTGTCACCGGGGGACACGAAGGCACCAGCACCGTAAATCATGTTCCGATCGCCGTCTCCATCCGAGGCGGCGCCGAAGGGGATCTGTTTCTTCTCAACAACCTCGACGAGCTCGTGCGCATAAGTCAGGTTGGGGTCCGGGTGGCCGCCGTTGAAGTCGGGCGACGGCTCGCAGTTCTGGGTGGACTCAGGGCCGAGACCAAGCTCCTTCTCGAAGATCGCTTTGCCATATGGCCCGGTGACACCCGACATGCCGTCAAAAAGAACCTTGAAGTCGCTATGCGTTGCGAAGAACTTCTTGATCAGGTCAAAGTCGAAGATATCCCTGAGCATCTCCATGTAGTCGGCCGTGCTATCCACCACCTCGACCTCGAGGTTCCCGTACGTCTTGGTGCCCAGTGTGGATATGTCAACGTCGGAGATGCTGGCGATCTTGTACGACCCCAGTGTCTTGGAAGTCTCGAAGATCTTGTTCGTCACCGATTCGGGCGCGGGGCCACCGTGCGCGAGGTTGTACTTGATGCCGAAGTCGTTCTGGGGCCCTGCACCTGCGGGTTAGGTACTGTGCACCAGTTATGACGAGCGGGTCACTTACCGCCGGGGTTGTGGCTGGCAGTCAGGAGGATGCCACCGGTGGCCTTGCGCTTGCGGATGAGGTGGCTGGCAGCTGGCGTCGACAAGATGCCATCCTGACCGATCAGAACTTTCTTGACGCCATATGCCGCACTCATCTTGGCGATCAGCTGGATCACCTCGGGGTTCCAGAATCGCCCATCGCCGCCAATTACGAGAAAGGCATCTTCGAAAAGCTGGTGAGTTTCTGGTTACCACGGCTGGTGATGGACCTCACCTTCAGCGCCCTCGGGAATGGACAGTAGGATGCTTGCGACAAAGGACTCGCTGTAGTTCGGCTTCTGGAATACCGTGACCTTCTTGCGCAGGCCGGAGCTGTGGGGGGACCGGGCGTATTAGCATCATTGCGGCATCTCGCAAACGTACCCGGAGGAAAGCTTCAGCGGGTTGTGCGGGGGTGGGGTTGTCGGTGACGTACGTCCCAGGTTTCTGGTCAGTGAAGGGTGTGAAATCAACAGTCTTTACGTCCATGTTGTACTGGTATAGTGGTTGGAATTGAAGCTGCTTGCCGTTTACCAGTGTCAAAAGGTGATTAGCGGTGGGAGCAGTTGGGGACAGGAGGTCGAGACGATGGTTATTTTCGGTGGGGGGGTTGAGCAGCTTAAAACCTCCCGGGTTAGGCACCTTACCTGCAACGAGTATACCTAGGCACCTAAGGTGCCTCATGGAGTACCTGAGGTATACATACTATGTGACTGGAACCCCTCAGCTAGCCCCACTGCCGCTCCATTCTTCGACAACAAACTGCCAGGTGGCGTGGTTTGCGGCACCGTTGTTTCCTCGATGATGGGGGGATGCCCGAGGCCTAGATTTTCATTGGCAGATGCGGATCCATTACTTGACGCAAGTAGCTTGTGGTGCCGCTTCCCACACCTTCCAACACCTAGGGCGCCAGGCAATCCTTCTCCTTCCCGTCACCCTCCCTTCTTGGGCCGTTTCTGCTTGGGCGTTTTTTGACGACGGAGAGTGTCCCGATATGCTCAATTATCGCGGGTTGTGAGCGGCCTAGGCCATTTTCGCCGAGAGGTCGTCATGAAATAGGGTTCAGTTTACGTGGCAACACAAAACAGATAGATGGGAAAGGTAGGGTGCTGGTATGTTTCGATAAGCGAGGGAGAACGAAAGTGAGTCGTGACGTCATCTTTCAAGCTTTAACGAGGTGGTTTAGATTACCTCTGGGTTATGCATATACGTGACACGCACAGTATTCCTTGAGAGTAAACAGCGAGCTGACCTTTGTTTACAATCTATGGCACTTCAGTAGACAACTCATTACAGCTCATAATTGAGGCTCGGTGATGAAAATGGGGCGGGCCAGCGAGTGTTCGCCAGAGACTACTTTTCGGAGAGCTCCTCTGGCGCCGATATTGACGGTGTATACTTCTCGGGCATGGTATGAGCTGCCGCAGGGCCGGGAGGGAAGGGAGGGAGGGGGAGTGTGTCTACGCCGAAGGTTCGGCGACGGGTTCATTCTCAGACGTTTCTGAAACGGCGGGCCTGACCGAGAAAAGCTCCTTGAATCGTTTTGCCGCTACGCCCGGTGGGAGTCAGTACCATCAACGGCAGCTACGGGCCGGCTCGAAGGGGGGGTTGCTAGACGCTCCATGCTGGGACGGGCGGTTTGGCACTACATACCTTCTTCTCGATCAAAATGTATCTCGAATGCCCCAGACTTGTTTTGGCGCATATGCTCCTGCCGATATGTATTGCAAAACACGTAAAGCTGGATGTCTTTGAGCCAGATTCTGTGCCGAGAGCGGCGGCTGAGCCATGTTGGGGATCGGGACTGGTGCGTGACTGGTGAACATGCCATGGTTAGCACTTGGGATTAGATGCTGTATATGACCGCCTGGCCAGTACAGCAAGGGATGACCGAGAATAATTCACCGAATGCGGTCCACACAGGGCACTGCCTGAGCTCGCCTTCCCAGACTGCGGCGTGCAGTCGCAAACCCCGGGATTGCATGTCTTCGTAAACAATCAATGAGTGTTTGAAGCCGTCGTCGATGATTTGGCTAGCCATATTCGCCGTTAGGTCCCCGCAAGCTTGTGCCATAGAGTAAAAGGGGCATACGCTTGGAATAGCCGCTTCTCTCGGCGCAGCTGGAACTCATTTGGGTGGATTTGAACGGTCAATAGGTTGCGAGCCTTGAGGGCGACAAAGGCACAGTAGAACAGTATCATCTCTGGGCCCGATTAGCAAGCAGTATGGGCTAGTATCGCGTGCCTCGGGTCTCAGCTACTCACCTTCCCACGTCAGGAAATGCAGTGCCACCCAGAGTTTGCTGCATTGCTCCGATCGGCTCCACCTCTTCAGCTGTAATGCACTCCCTTCGCGCTCGATGCAGAGCTCATGGGCACCAAACATGGAGTACCACGGAGTGTTGTCCTGCACGGTCCTCATCAGAAAGTATGGGCATTGGTCAACGGAGCTCAAGAAGACGACGATGGATATCGTGTCATTGTCGAAAGGCCTGTTGTATAAAACTGTCAGATACTGCGACGCGTCCGGCATAGGCTGGGCATGTAGTCGGACAAGCGGGTGTCCTGCTGAGATGGGAATTGTGGTGTGCGTTTTGGTATTTTCAAGAGGACTTACCGCCTGAACAGAACCGTTGAGTCTTGCGGTATGGTTAGGTGGCCCAATGGATAAAATGGGCCGTAAGATTTACACCTGGCGGAAGGTCAGCGAGATCCATTGGCAAGGATATGGAGTCGAGTTTGAACCGGTAATACTGACGGTCTTAGGTGTTTCAATGCCGTCCGCGATGGGAGGGGGAGAGAAAAGATCTGTTCCGCCCAATGTGAATGCTGCCCCGGGGTTAGAAAACGCGGGTGTGGAATGCGGCACCGGGAAGGACGAACGCGGTCTTGTGTAACTGCCACGGGCACAAGGTTCTGGCGGACAAGAGTGCCTGTCTGTGGTGTGGGTGGAGCTGTGAGGTCTAAGTCAATGGATATACTCTTCGATATAACGACGAGCTACAGCACGCACCTATTCCCCTTTGCTCGCGTAGTGTGATAATCCGTGTGCGGAGCGTCTCAAGCGTATTGAGGTCAAAGCTCGGAGACCTTGTCTTTGGTTAGGCAAAGGACGCAAACTCCGCATGGCTCGAGGGGTGTGGGCTGGCGGAATACCTAACAAGCAGCTGCTTTAGCAGCGACAGAAAGTGATTGTAGAGAACAAAGCGTTGTGGCAACGGGAGGCCCGCCGCTTCCTCTGTCATTTTGTTGTACATCTTGCGCCATCTTATCTCCCTGGACAGAGTTTTATCCTCGTAGTGGGCTATGATGTCCTTCAGAGTTCGGGATATGCAAGGCAATATAACGTTCAGGTAGTTGGTCATGAAAGGAACCCGCGTGATGTGCATCTGGGAGCGATCGGCAATATCGCGGAGGAGTCTGCTGGAGCCCCGGATTTCCTCGGCCAGGGCTATGAGATGGCTGTGAAATGATTCCGAGAGTGCTGCTCGCAGCTGATCAAGACCCCGAGCGGCAACCTCAGCCTGGTCCGCCTCGCGGCAGCAACCCAAGAGGAGGTGTGTTTCGACGGGAACATTGGCCAGGCCCGGCTGCTCCATTTTCGCGCCTCTCCGTGGGAAGGCGTTAACGGTCAACTGCCGTGGTGTCGTGTGTCTGAAAGCCCAGGATGACGAGTCTTATCGATCGCGACGACGCATTGCCAAACCATGTTCTGCCGTGCGGCCGGCGTTGCTGCAAGTGCTGGTTTTTGGGCGGTCGGTTCGTGGATGAGTGGTGTTGGGATTTTATATCTCAGTAGGTTCTGTTTTTCGGTGCATAATGAACATGTCTACTCGGTAAATGGGCCACTGTAGAGGGTATAGAAGATCTAGAAGACCAAGGAAGAGACGCAGCTTCGTCGGTCTTCGTGGGAGATGAGAGGGGAAGGGAAGACGGTGGAAGGAAGCCGGACGGCGATTCCACCGTCGCCGCAGTCCCCGCTTGAGCGCCGGGAACGAGACACCAGAGGCCCACTTCCTGCGATGCGGCAGCCACCTGAACGACGGCGTCAAAATCGAGACGACGGGTTCGAGATAACGGTGCTTGGCCGTCCGTCACAGTGCGTGAGGCTAAGGGTTGGGCATCTCGGCATTGCGAGCGGCCTGTTACGGACTTCGGGGACAACACACCCTTGTGATGAGTTGCGTCGCACCTTGTAGCCGACGGAACGGAGTCTGCGAATCAGCGCGGACACGAGAATCACTGTCATGCCCAACGTCGAATCGAAGATGCAGCGACGCAGCGGCCATGCGTGGCGGCTGGGGAGTCAGAGTCTGCCACGAAGCCGGCCCAATTGTATTTCCTGCAGAGCGCGCCAAAAGTTGCGCATGCGGACCGTGTTGCACCTGGCTTCGGGAATGCCTCTTCTAGGGTGACGGAGCCAATCGATTTGGTGGGGTGCATGGGCCCCCGCGGTTTGAGAGCGAAGTCGTTCGTTGCGCCATGTGTCGCTGTCGCCACTCATGTCGTTTTTGGGACCGTTTCTGACCATGTCGTCGGCGGTATGGAGAAGAACTGGAGGGAAAACGGACGGCCGAGCGTCCAAGACGGGCTCGTTTCTGTGAGAGCACTGTTGCTACCCTCGTCCTAAGATGTGCATGGGTTTAAGTCTGAGCCAACTTTGGGGGGAGTTGATGGCCAAGGCGGGTGAGGCAAGTTGCCAGGTAACCACCAACACTGGTTTCCTTGCCCAAGGGGGAATGGGGAGATGTGAAGCGAGGATTTGTTATCTCGCCTGAACCATCGCGTATGGAACCGCACTGACGACCACATGGCCAGATGTGGGAAGAGACTGCTAATTCGCAGCCAACTTGTTGCCAGACTGCATGAGGCAAAGGCAGAGGGGCGCAAATGAGGCCCCAGGAGAGTCACATGGCCCCGGGTGTACCTGGAAGTGTGAAAGGTCTTTGTTATACATGTCGTCGGGCCCAGTGCTGCACCCTTGTCTGGAATGGATCGATTTCACCCACCCCTAAGGAATCCTGCCTTCCAGTTTCCATAGTTCATAACTACCCTTCTCGCAAACCATGCCAGAAGAAAAAAAAGAGAAGCACTGAAAGCCCATTGCCGTGCCCCAAGCAACACCGCCCATCCCAAAAAATACAAGAAAGAAAGGCCTTGTGCGGATGGGGCTGACCTGCTTGATTGAATATCGTCTAATCAAGACTGGCTACCCCCAGCGCAACAGTCGGCGAGAAGAAAGGGCGATCAGGAGGAATCCTCCTCTTCGGCGTCGGCCTGAGCTTGCTTTTCAAACAATGAGACGGCTAGCACTCAAAAGTTGGGGAGAAATCGGACACTTACTTGGTACGCCTGCTTCTCATCCTCGTACCGCTTCTTATCAGCGGCGGCCTTGGCCTCATAGGGGGCGCGCTGCTTGTCGCTCAGGGCCTTCCACCGCTCACCGAGAATCTTGCCGACCTGGCCGAATGAGACGCCGGGATTCTCCTCGCGCACATTGTCGCGCTGTTCGTTGGCGAAGAACATGTACGCAGAGAGGCCCCTCTTGGGTGCGTTGGGGTCTACGGTGACCAGTTAGCTCTTGATGATCCGAGTAATCTGAGTTGGGCCAAGACCACTTACCCTTCTTGCCGCGCTGCTTCCTCTCACCCTTGCCCCTGGTGCCCTTAGCTGCCTTAGGCATAGTGACCGATTGGGAGACTAAAACAATTAGTGAACAGCCATTGTAGAACGATGTGCAGATGATCGATGCGTAGCGAGGAAACGTGGGCAGTGCAGCGGCAACGCGATTCCGTACCGCCCTATCCCGTACAGCTCGGGGAATCGGGGGAGGGGCAGCCGGTTCGGCGCGCAACGCGTCCGGGCTTGTTTGCGCGGCGCGACTTGATTGGCGCTACCGGACCAAACCGTGTCGGATTGGCGACGGGGAGGTGATAATGCATTGCAAAACTCAAAATCGGCCTCAAGGCAAATTAAATACGTACTCTGGAGAAGATCGGGCGGGAAAAAGAGGATGCGAGTCTTGGTTCTGTTGAGCCTTGCGTTTGTGGTTAGCAAACGCGGTGTTAATTGTTTTGATTGCGAGATGCGCGGGTTTGCTGGCGTTGCTGAGTATAGCGGATGATGCGCTTGCAGACACGGGAGGGCAGTTTTGGGTGGAGGAAGCAGAGGCAAGGGCATGGGCGCTGTGTGCGCGGCGATGACAGCAACCTGGGAAGAGCTTGGATTGCAGGGCGACGGGGGAAAATGCACCCAATGGAAAAGCGCGACGCCAATGAGGAGCTGGGGAAGTACTTGGAGGCAGGGCGAGATTTGCGGAGAGGGGAGGTACTCACTGAGTTGGGTATGTGGAGGTCAACTGAGGCGTTGTGTGCTGTGGGAGTTTGTATGGGAGAAGAGGAGGGAGATTTTGAGAGGGGAGGGGGGAAGCCGTTGCTCCTATTTTACTATGGGCGGCTGATTGAGTGAGGGAAGCGGGGGACCCTCCTTCCTGCCATAACAAAAAGGGCTGCAGCACGGGCTGATTTTTTGGCCCGATTTTGGGGGAGGGGCGAGGCACCCCTTCATCTCTCATTGCCCGGTCCTGGGCTTCAGCGCGTCCACAACGCCAGAGCACAGACCAACGATAGGTACCGGATACATCAATCCCTGGACAGTCGGACTGTGCGTCACTGTACCTTGTACCTGGCAAAATGCCAAAAGCCAGCGCCCGCCTGCATCGTTTAAAACAGACAGGACTTTTGGTTCTTTCTCACGTCGCCTGGAGCTGCAAGGCTCAAACATAGTTCAACCCCCCCAATTGGGATCCTTTATGAGACGGCGCAGAATGTTGTGGGCGCCTCGAAAAGGGAGGAGGCGTTGCTTGTCAAACTCTGTTGTGTCGCTTGCTCTTTTCGTTCTCACCAACCGAGCAGACAAGGTACGATCGTGGTGCTGGCCATCCTAAACCGTTATCCGTTCGAAACCGAAGCCGAGTCAGTCCCGCCGTATTCTGGGCCAAACATTCAGTTCTTGGTCCCTCCCTGACTAATTTGATGCCGGGGATGTTGAAGAGACTGCGGACATGCTGTGAGAGGAAAGCAGGGGCATACCGAGTTCGGCTCAACCCTGGAGCTGCCAATAGAGTGCTTCGCGAGGGCTGGAGGTCGAGATTGAAGGTTTGGTCGAATTGGTCATGTCTTCCGCTGATTGGAATGGCCCATTAGGTCTCATGATACTTCGAGGGCTGGCGAACGGAGCTGGCAAAGATGGAGTCTGTCTACCTGGTACGGGCAAAGGGCACCAAAATATGTTGCCCGCCAAGTACCGCATACAAACCACCAGTCTGGGCACGTACCTCCGTGCCTCCCTCCCTTCTCCGGGATGGTTGGTCAATCACACCGTATCTTTCTGCGCACAAAATGGCACACTCGAAGCGCGGAACCCGCTCGCTCCCCTATCTTTCCCCTTGGAGTTTGCCGGTTCCCTACATTTCCCACATCAGCCAGCAGCCGAGACCAAGGACTCGTTTGGCTGCTCCACACCTTCTGCATTGCGATCCGCCCTTCGCCTTGTGTCTCGCGACTTTCATTTCCCCTCCCTAACAAAGCCGTCGCGGTCGTGTCCTTGTATTCTGTAACCTGTACAGATTACATCTCCTCCTTCCTGACCTCCTTTCAATTACAAGACGTCATGAAGAGGTCAGTTTGCGGAGAATCCAGCCCAGGTAGCATGCATCTGGATTGGTCTGCGCACCCGCTTCCTTGCCCAGTTCGTTTCCCGTGATCGGCACAAGCTGTTCAGTCATGCCAGTGTCCAAATGCAAAGCTGGAAGCTTTCCAGACTCATTTGCAACTTTCCTCAGATGTATTGACAGTCTAAGGATTTTGTCTGCTTACTGACTTTTAGACACGAGTGAGGCATTGTGTTAATCCGGTGGATCGAGCACCAGGTCTCTTAAGCGCTCGTCTCGAACCCAGTCGATGCCGCTTCCGGCGACAATGGCGCTTGCTGCCCCCTTCATTACCCTCCATCTGCGACGGCTTGAATCCACCTTGTTTTCTAAGATACTTATGCCGCCCTTGAACTGCCCGCTCTTGACACTCTCCGGGTTTTGGCCATGAGTTCTCTCAGCGAGTTGCAGAGCTTCTGTGGCAAGCTCCGTGTTTCGCTGAGTAGCATGAAGACTCTCGATTTCAAGGTCCGCCAGGCTGCCGCGCGCTGCCTCAAAATCTGCGCATGCTGCCGCTGTTTTGACCGCGCTTACATCTCGTCGCTGTATCGTTGGCAACAGGTCCCTTTGAAACCGAACCGTCAGTACACCCTAGACTTTAGACCACTGATTTGAAGGAGTATGCCAGTTGTACCCTTCAACAACCGAAGCTTGGGTCGCTTGGTGGGCGGCGTTTAAAGTCGGCTGGACTGCTGCCACGCTTTCTACAGCACTGTTGCGCAACGCGAGGGTTGCCTTTGCCTCTAATAATCGTGTTTGTTTACCTGCCCAGTCGTGCCCAGAAACTTGTGGGCTCCTGTCTTCTAGAAAGAATTGTCAGCATGAAAGGCTTCCTTGCTCTGATCACATGCCTCTCGCACCGGGGGATCTAACCTGATGCGTGGTGGCCTTGCTGTGATCGCAGAAGAGCAAGTTCGAGTTGAAGCTGTTGTAGCTGGTCATACAGGGCTAAAACACCGGCCTCGGCTTCTGAGACGACGAGAGGCGGTTCAGGTATGGCTTGTGAGGCCATGTCACCGGCGGTAGGAGCAATCTGGAGCTCCGTTGGCGACAGCTTGCTTATTCTACCCAGCAGAGCCGAATGAACCTCCCGCGCGGCCAGGGACTCGACGGGACTTGGGAATGGCCCGGGCTTCAGAGTGGAGAAAACGGGACCCGAAAGAATGACACAGTGTTTAGTACTGTGGTGGCAACCGACTTGGTCCTCTTGTGGAGAGAAGCAATGTCAAAAGTTTAAGAATGGGAATTACAAGTCGTTGGCGGCTAGTTTGTTTGTAACTATTGTGGTATATGTGAGCGAATGTAGACGAGCAACATGAGCGATGCATCCGCGCGACCCAAACCCCTTACACTGAAGGGAAAGGTCTTGAGTGATGGACACTCGGCGGCGTGCGCACTGTCCGAATAACAGCCGGGTCATCTCATGCGCCAGAGCGCCCGTGACTGGAGCTTGAACCACCTTCAACAGTACCAGGCAACAAAATAACAAGACAGCTTCGTTTGCGGCTGGCTCGCCCTGTGCGCCGACCAAAGCCGTCTCTTTAAATGTGGGAATACCCCTTTCAAATTCCAAACGGTTTTACTACAGAGTCTATTGGGGACCGTTTTAGGTGGCCAACACTGAGGGGTCCACGGGCCAACCACTTCACGTCAACTAAAACGTAGACATAGCAAGACCCCATCGACCGCCTCTTCATTCTTAGCTCAGGCTTCGACTTGGCTGCTTCCAGCTCGATTTCGCCCGCCGAATACCGCCCTCTTTCGGAAGGCATGCTTTGGCATGGCAACACAGGTGTTGGTTGCCCATACGGGTCAGCGCCTGCAAATAGACACTTCACAACTTTCGTCGTGCGTGCTCCTGCAAACACCACTCCTCCAACTCGGTGACGCTGTGTGGATTAACCATTTCTAGACTCGATGATTTCAAGACTCTGGCGGCACGGAAAAGCTCGATACCGACCCAGTGTCTTATTATCCTAACCCCGCAAGGGAAGCCGCTCAAATCACAAGCATTACAGACCGAGGTTGGTGGTCCATGGTGTATGGCTTGGTACGGTGTAGAGGTCGGGATCTGACAACAAGCGGCAGAAGGAAATATGCATCTACGACAGTCGGCTAGCACAGGCACTCTCGTCCGGGGACCCCTCGTCCGACCCTAAACACGATCTTCCAGTTCCAGAGCGATACACCGCCGAGAGCCCACCGAATTCGATCGAAGAAAGCGAGTCCGTACACTCATGGCAGGAGTTATTCAAGGCCCGCGGGGCTTGGGCGCTCAGGGTGGTCGAGGACTGCCGAAAGATGGCCACGGCAACAGAAGAACGGTATCGCGAGATGGACGCTATGATGTGTTGTCTCGATGCCGCCGTTCAGAACCTCGAGTCCTCTATCAAGGGGCACGAGGCTAAATATGCAGAACTTCAGAAATGGTTCCCGGAAACGCAGGCTGATTATGGTGCCCTGGCCGCGGGCTGGGAGCAGTACCTGTCGCTGGCAAGGAGCATTCCGGTCTCCGCCGCCATGGTCCGGTTCATGACTGGTCGCGACGTCGGCGACGCGAAGGGACGAGTGCAGCGCAAGGTAACCCTTGAGGATCTGGTGGACCTGGAGGTGGCGCGAAAGGCAGGCCGTCTCGCCCCTGGGTCGCTCCGCAAGTTCAACAGCCGAGTCTCCGACCTCGAAAAGGCTGCCACCCGCTTGTTCCAGGGCGCCCAGGACCTTTTTCGCGAGTACGAGGGAACATATGGACGATCTGTGGTGTCTCACACCGGCGAATCGCAGCAGCTCATTCACGACATAGAAGCCCTAGCCAAGAAGATTTGCACCGACTACGAGACAACACTCAGTTATGCCGACCCTACTCGAGATGCCGCCGTGCAGGCTTCCAAAATCGCCTCGAACCACACGCAGCGCCTATTGCCAAGCGTGAGCCAGCGGGCCGTGGAAATGAATGACATGCTTCGCTCCGCGACGCAAGCAAGAAACTCTCTGGCCACAGAGTCGCTCGACTTCATGCGTGGTATCACCAATATCACGGCGTTGAGCCAGAGTGTCAAGTCGCAATTCAGCGCCGTGAATCAGGAGGAGGAATTTGCTACTTTCGACTACCTACGACTGATCCAACAGGTTCCGTACATGTACGCTTCTTTCGTCACCGAGGCTATCAAGCGTCGTGAATGGTTCGACAAGATGAAGCAGGACTCGTCTACACTCGCGAATGAGATGGCCTTGTTTCAGGAGGAAGAAGCGAAGCGACGGCGGCGATGGTACAAAACGATGGGCAACGCATACGGCCCAGAACCGCTCCGCTCCGACAGCAGCGTTCCCGGTCTTGAAGTAAATCTCCTTGGGGAAGAGGAACGGTGGCCGGTTATGACGTGGAAGGACCTGGAAGAGTTTCAAGTGCTTTTGCAAACCAAGCAGGCCGATACTGGGATCATTGACGACGTTGGTAAAATGATTTTAGAAAAGGGCAACCCAACGCGGCAGCAGTCTAAGCGGATGAAGGCGTTCAAAAACGGTAGCGTTCACGAGGCCGCCCTGGGACGCAGTGGTTTACTGATTCGGGGCGACGACGACCTCCTACGATCTCTACAAGACGACAAGTCCAAGCTCGAGAGCAAGCTGAAGACAGCCGAGAGCCGTGTGAGGAGGCTCGAGGATTTGCTCCATCGGCAGACTCAAGCATCCCGGCCCAGCTTGGGTAATATCTTTCAAATGCCTAGTCAACAGTTTTCCGACCGGGTTGACTCGAGCATCTCAATCAAGTCCCCGCAGGTCTTGGATGGCCGGAGGGCATCTATGGAAGGGACCGACGTCCTCACGCAACGTGTTCAGCAACTAGAAACCGAGCTGCGCGCCGAGAAGGAGCGGTCTGCGGCTCTTGAGAAGGATCTTGGCGGGCAAGCCACGCTGTACACTGACGTTCAAGGCCAGGTGGATGAGGCGAACTCCACAAAAAAGGACCTACTCGAGAACTTGGAGGCTCTGAAGCGGGAATTCATGGAAGAACGGAAATCACTCGAGGATGAGATCAAACGCTTGCAGGCACGGTTGGAGGACACTGAGGATGAGATGGAGAACTTCGGGGAGTCTAGGGAGAACGAGAAGGCGTCCTACGATGAAAGGATCCAGGCCCTCAAGCTTGAAGTTGAGCGGCTGACCAAGGAGAAACGCGACGAGGCGCTCAAGTCAGAAGGCAAAATCACCTTTTTGCGCGAGGAAACACGCCTACAGCGTGAGACGATAGAAACGCAGGAGCAAAAGATTCAGGTCGCACAGCATGAATCCAACAACTCTCGCAAGAAGCTCGAGGAGCTCAACGAGGCGAGTGACGTGCAGGTTAAGGCACTACGTGAGCTCTGGGATCAGATATCGTCTGGCGAACCCGTCCCCGGCGACCTCTCCGATCTCGTTGACGGCATCTCGATAAAAGCCAGCGATGCCGTGGCGAAGGTGCGAAGCCTAGACAGCGACATCTCTCTGCTCCAGTCAGAGCTGGACTCCGCGCAAACTGCCATCGAATCAGCGAGAGCAGAGAAGGCGGCTCTGGCGGAACGTGTATTGGGCGAGGAGACATTATCAAATCGCCTCCGCGAGGCTCTGGCTGAAGAAAAGGCCAGAGTTCTGGCGCTGGAGGGTGAGTTAGTCGACGGCCGCGAGCAGCTCCGCCAACTGCGTACCGAGATCGCCGATGGGGAGACCGGTTCTGAATCCCTGCGGAAGCGTCTGGAAGAAGAAGAGAAGAAGATCACTTTCTTCACAGAAGAGCTCGCTTCCCGCCAGTCACAGATGGAAAACCTAGAAGAAGAGGTCCGGCATCAGAAGGACAAGCTGCAGCGGTCGCAGGTCAAACTGTCAGGCCTGACAGCTTTGTTCGAGACTCGATCGGAACACGCAAAGGATCTCACACAGCGTCTATACTCTCAAAATGAGCGCCTCGTCCACTTACTCGAGCGGCTCGGGTTTTCGGCGAGTCGTCAGGACGGAACCATGGTGATACAGAAGATACCTCGTTCCGAGCGGTCTTCTCAAAACGCCAATGATTCGGACCCAAGCTCATCACTCCGTCGGTCGGGTACTCTCGGTAGCCGCGCCGCCGTTGTCAGCAGTGTAGACCTCGACCTTCTTAACTGGGTGAACTGCTCGGACAAGGAGGCCGAGTTAGAGAAGTACGATGCTTACATCTCATCGTTGGGATCGTTCGACACGGATGCCTTTAGCGAAGCCGTGTATCGGCGCGTTCGGGATGTTGAGCACATGGCCCGTAAGCTGCAGCGCGACGCACGGGCATATCGCGACAAGGCCCGGACATTGCAAAAGGAGGCGCACGAGAAGATCGCGTTTAAGCACTTCAAAGAGGGGGACCTTGCCCTCTTCCTTCCGACAAGAAACCAGACGACCGGGGCTTGGGCGGCATTCAACGTTGGGTTTCCACACTACTTCCTGCGAGAGCAAGAGGCACATCGGCTCGGCAACCGGGAGTGGCTCCTAGCTCGGATCTCGCGGGTTCAGGATCGGGTCGTGGACCTCTCAAAGTCGCTCCAGAATACCCCGGGATCGGCTAAGAAAGGGGGTGGTGCCGAATCCGAATCGCCCTACGACGATGAGAACGACAATCCTTTCGATTTGTCTGACGGCCTCCGCTGGTACCTGCTCGACGCTGCCGAGGACAAGCCCGGGGCACCATCGACCCCAGGACTCGCAAAGAGCACGGTCGCGGCCAATAATGTTGAAGCGATGGCCGATAGACACACGCATGGGCGAGCAGGACCGAAGGGAGGAGGAACGGGGGGTCGTGGTAGCGCCGTATTGGGTATTGAAGGAGTGAGCAAGACGCTATCCAAAAGCCTTGAGAGCCGCCGGTCCAGCACGGGCTCTAAGAAAGCGCTCCCATTTGCAATGGGAGTTTCGAGAGGCCGGGATAGCGCTGCCGCTAGTGAAACCAACTCGTTGCGTGCGGCGCGTGCCGAGACACCCGTGCCGACGAGCCCAACGCTGCAGCATGGTGCAGCCTCCGACGGTGCGCATCATGATTCACCACAGGCATCCACGCACCCTGCCGAGACAACGCGAGTGACGGGGGGCGGCGGAATGCCGACGGATGTCGAGCCAAGGCAGCAGCCGCCAAAGCTGCATCCAGAGGTTCGCAGCGATATGGATTCTTTAATGGGACCCTGACCAGTTCATAAACTTTCAGCTGCTGACGAAAGCTGTTGGCAGTCCCGCTCACCTGCCCTGCGGCGCGAGCAAAGCGCTACTACATCCTTGAACCCAACGAAGAGGAGCGTAATTTGGGATTCACTCTGGAGCCTTGATGTTAACTATGGCGTTGGACGCCAGGAGCCTTGAATCCCTGGCCTTGCGGGACAGGTTGGCAATTAAGAGCGGCTATGTGAAGCGGCTCGAGTTCGCCGCATGTTCTGCGAGTGGGGCTACTTAAGGGAAGACCAAGAAGAGACGGGAATTAGGCAGTGGCCAGACCGATGGCATCGCAGCAAATGATTTTGTGTGTACAGTTAATAAATACATGTAACCCTGCCATCGGTCAGATTTGCCAGGTTGTGCAGGTGGGCCGTGACCGTATCTCGACTTGGAGGACCAGGAGTTGCTCTGCTCACAGAGCAGGCTGTGCTTCGCCCTCGCCCGCAGCTTCGGCTAGAGGGAGGATCTCGACAACCTTACGCACGGGCTCTAACCCGGTACCGCCGACTGAGATTTCGATCTCCCAACGGCCCAATGCCTTGATTCTATCCGTCTCCTCAGCCAAGCCCTGGAAGCGGATATTTTCCGGCCCTAGAACCACATGGCTGCCCTCAGCATCATTTAATAGCAGGCCCTTGATGTGGCCCACAATATCAGTGGCTGACACCGAGCCGTAGATAGCCAGCGGGGTGTTGTCACGATCCTGCGCAGTGTTTGCATTTGCGGTAGCGACGAGAGGAGAGATGGACTGGGTAGGGGGCGGAGGGGGCGGTGCCGGGATCGGTTTGCGGTGGAAGACGAGAGCGTCTGGGATCAGGGTGGTCAGGAGAGTGTGAGCTTTTTCAGGCTATTTTTATTGTCTCATTAGCATCGCCAAACAAATATAGAGAACGAGGAGCGGGGCGGGGCGGTTGGGGACACATACAGAGGTGATAACCACAGTCGGCTTGGGCGACTCAAGCTCTGGGGCATCCTCGACGTCGTCGGCAGCCGCCATAGTGCCGAACGTAGTATCACGATCGCCAATGTCATCGCGCGTCAGGCCAAGCTCGCGAAAGCGTGACGCAGTCATGTACTCGGCTTTCATGGCCGGGAACCACTCGTTGCGCATGCGTCCTCGCTCGATGCGGAACACCGAGTCTAGAGTGTTGTCAGGTCCAGTCGCCTCACGATAGACAGGAACGAAATGGAAGCAAATAGGGCTTACCTCGACGCCCGAACTTGGGAATATCCTCGAGCAAGCGGACGACAACGCCCTGATCTTTTGGTCGGAGCCTGTTGGACTTTGCTCGGACCTGCACTAACGAGACGGCACTGGCACCGCCATTGCTGTTGCTGAATGGCTGTACCAGCCTCCTCAGGCACCCCAAACATGTAGGTGACCTGTTCACCAAGGGCGCTGCCATCGTCGTTAGGTTCCGGGTCGGGAAGGGTCGGGAGACACGCGGAGGAGGGTTGAGCTCTTGACAACCATGTTCCCAAGATAAATTTCCCAGCGGTACCTGCAGTTCAGCGGATAATCTTCGGGGCAGTGGGGCACCTTGTTGCACGCAGCTTGGCGGATTTGGAGCGCCAAGCCGATTGCCCAATTCCCTTGCCAACCTCAAGCCGAAAGCTCCTCCAGCTTCAAACGAAGGTGGATAGGTAGGTAGCTATTGAACATCTTGCATTATTGCGTTCTGCGTCCCGAGTGTTGACTGGGCATTAGAAAATCTGTTGACCTTGCCCCAGACGGTCAAGCCAGCCTTGGAGGTCCGTCGCCAGGGCTTCAACGATTGTTGTCTCGACAATCCCTTCTTGCCATCCAACCACGATGCTAATCTCACCTCCTGCTACGCCAGCAACACTGATGTTAATAGCAGTGCCGGCAACTGTGGCGCCTTGAGACATAAGGGACCGCTGTATCCTCCAGCATGCATCCGCTTCTTCCTTCCCCGGCTCGTCCGTAGGCATCACCCCGATATTGGACACCTCCCATGTCTCTCCGCGTGGCTTTCCTACTTTGGAAAGCCAGTAATCATTCCAATTGGACACCCAGCCAAGCATACTCATGATATCATCCCTTGGCACATTGTCTAGGTGCTGCTTCATGCTACGTCGCAGGGCCGCCGCTACTCCCCATATTTCTTCCGCTGACCCCTCCCGCAGCGTTGTGATGGTGGATTCATCAAAGACGTGATTTTGGGCGGTAACGAAAACGCCAAACAAATTTCGGCCCGACTGCGGCTGTGAGCTGTTGGCGATGGATGACCGCAGGTCGATAGGAGTCGAACTCCGGAACGCCACGGCCTGCTCTGCGGGAACGAGTCGAGAGAGGGCGGTCAAAACCAGGGCGTGGATCAATGGCGTAAGTGTGGTTTGGTTCGCCCTGCAAGCAGCGAGAATATGCGGCACGGCGACTGGAGGGGCTCTGACGAGCCGTAGCCTTGTTTGACATGGCTCCCGAGTGATGACCTTCCCGGTCCACGGCACTGCTGGCTGATGCCATTGGAGCGAGGCAGGCCCGAGCTCACGCCACAAAGTACGAACCAGGAATCCCCAGGATTTGCTGAATTCAACAAGCTCTTCCTGGGGAGGGTCACGTTTCCCAGTGCCGCCGCTTGTCACGTTCAAGGTGCGCCCGCAAAGCTGCGTTGGTCGGCCCGAGGATCGGTTGAGTTCGTTGAGGAGCGCTGCATGAAATAGCGCAGTGCTACGCCCGTCGGCAATCGCATGGTGGACCGCAAACACCGCATCGAATACCACCAAATTATCCTCGGGTTTAGTGTTCCAGGAAAGGACAGTTAGCTTCCACGGCGGTCGATGTTCTACGTCAGGCCAGCGTCGATCGTGGAGGTCTTCGAGGATACCAAGCAGGATGGAGTCGCGGGCGGCGGGGTCCGTGTTCGCCTTGTCTATGAACTCAAGATGGTCTTCGACATTGATGGACGCTTGCTGGATGAACTGCGGTTTGGGGGTTTCCTCGCCAACGATACCAAGAGTGAGGGACGGAAGACTGAGAATCACGTTGGCAACAGCAGTCTCCAACACGTCCACTAGGCTTCGACCTCGCGGCCCAGCCAATGGCGCCGTATATTGGCAGGTGTTTGCCACGCATCTGTAGAAACCCAGCGCGTGCCTTGACGATGAGTATATCTCGCTGGTTCTAACATTAGCGACGCAATTGGGTTGGGATGGACTGGGGATGGCCAATCCCGGAATACTCGGGTTGGGAAATACAAACATACCACGGCCCAAGAGGGCGAACCGATTCGCCCAAGGTGCTCATTGTGAAAAGGTAGGGCGGCAGCCACCCTGCATACTCTGGACAGTGACAAAATACCTTCACAATACGTTGGTTGATTCAATGTTGGCTGCAGCAGCATGTGAGAACCTCGAGCTCGCCAGGTTCGGACCCTCTTCGACAAGGGTCGTTCTCGGCAAGCGATACAACGCTAGCCCCTGTCGTCCACCGCCTTGTCCGACATCGCTGCCCAGGACGGGGCCCTGTCGGTAGCCTCTCAATATCAATGACCCCATGGTCGAGATACAGCCTCAGTTTTCTTTTCTCTTTGGAACAAGCAAAGAGCAGCTGTTAAGTAGTAAGAAGTAACCTCGTATGTAAGGTGGTAACCCGGAAAATCTCGAATTGCGCCTGGAGAGGGGGCCGACAGGAAGGTCGGCAGGTCGGCAGGTCGGGTACCTTTGGGGGCAGGGAGGTCGAAAGTGGGCTGCCACGACTCTTGAATGTTGATTGGCGGTATCAGCGAGGGTGAGGTGGGGCGCCAGCCCTGCGCTTCGGGCCCCGATCAGCCAAGTCATCAATTCCAGTTGGCGGCTGCGTTGGACAGCACCCGACGGCGCATGCCTCTGATTTTGAGGCGGCTGGGGACTCAGCGGTGCACTTCGCACCATGAACCGCGGGGTGTATTTTTCTCGCCCGACCTCGATTTTCCCTCACACCCTGCGACTCATGTCAACTTGTTTACCATGAGAGCGCATTGGTCTACCTCTGTAGCTCCCGCGACCATTTAGCGCGACAACCTTCCAGCGCAGCGCGTCCGGCCCTGACTATCCCACTCGGCCGCTCGGACGGTTCCCTTCAACGCGAGGGCAATAGAAACACCAAGATGGAGCCCAACGGAACTAGCAAAGTCGGGCGGAACCTCGATATTCTAGCTGCGCAGCCAAATACCCGCTTCACGTCACCGCTCGTTATTAACAGCCCGGCCCGGCGAAGAAGCCTGTTCTCGCGACCAAAATCCAAAGAGGACGCTGCTCGCCCGACCAGCTCAGGCTCGGTTTCTGACGCCAACGCTGCGTCCCCGAACAACACGAAAATCCCGCGCCCCGCCCAGCAGCGACCGATCACGCTTTCAGATGCCTACCGAATGGCCGAGGAAGAGGAGGCCGCTCAAGGATCACCCAGCCCAGCACCACGGCTGTGGCGATCTCGGCGCGAATCTACCGGCAAGAAACTTACGAAGCCGAGAACTCCCAACAAGCTGGGCATGCCTTCACGCGGAGGGTCGAATGCGAAGCCTCCAGGAACCATTCTTGACGGTGGTTACAGCGAGCGCCCCAGTTCATCACAACAAAGCGACCTTTCGGACAGCACCTTTGACGAAAAGCTGCGCCAGTATGCCCAAAATCAGACTAGTCCGGAGGGACCTAGCCGTCGAAGCAGCGGTTTGTTTTCTGGATCCAGGCTCGGGACTAAGATTGTCGAGACTGGAAGGGAATTACTAGTCCGCAAATCCAGTCGGAGTAGCATGGATGGTTTCTCCTCGCCGCGGGCTACCAAGGCGACGACAAATAGTCCATCGCTCCTACGACGGCTATCTGGGATCAGACGGGAGCCGAACGACACTTATTCGGCTCCCGAACCGGCCGATTGGGTCCACCTCGCCGAACATCCTGACGACGAGCCTCTGCAACCAAGCACGACCCCCCCGGGGAGACCTTCTATCGCCCCTCCGGACTCGCATACTCCCAACAGAAGCTTTGCTTGGCAGGCCGACGCCGATTTCACAGCCGGTGATTTACAAGTGTCCAACAGCCCACCCGTGGCGATTAAGCGCAGTAACACCAAAATTGATGAAATACGCGCCCTGGAAGCTAAGCTCAACGGACCCTTCCCTGGAGATTCCGACCAACAACCAGAAAGTGCCCTAGCTGGGGACGTACGCGGCCCCGAAACTCGGACCGTTCCGAACTTACCCAACGAACATCGCGCGCCAGATCAGGATGTCGGTGGCACAGGAGAAGAAGAAGCGGAGCTCGAGATTGAGGATAGAGTACCGCGTCACCGGTCTGTTAGCCGAGCGAGCATGAGATTGGACGAGCTTAGATCGCGTGAGATTGAGAGCCTATCTAGGAGGGCGCTCGCCACGGCTAGGCTCGATGAGTTTCGTGAGAGAAACATTGCGACATCACGTTCACCGTCCCCAGACATCGCACGGAAGTCCAGCAGAGAACCGATACGAGCCTTCTCTCCGCTGCGAGATAGATTGCGGAGACAAGAGAATGAACCACCGGCTGCTACAGCAGAAGCTGAAAAGGATCGAACTGACCAGAGCAGCCTCGGCCCGGCTCCTCCCCCGCCCCACCATCTCCCGATCACGCAAGCCAGTACTGAGAGTAAGGAGGCGGACGAAGGCCAGGAGTCCCTACACAGCGGCGTACAGCCGAAAAACGAGCCGAGCGGTGTCACAGACCGGTTGGTAACCGCCGGCGGCAGCAACCCAGCGTCGGAAACGCACGTGGTTGCAAAAGACCAACCCGCCGCACCTCGCGGCCAGGGGTTGCTAGCAGAACGTATGAGACGGAGAAGGTCTATTGGCGGCGCTAAGAGCGATGCCAGGCCAACTGTTGGGTTCACGGGCCTCTCAAACAATTCATCGGCTGAGTCAAGGGGGGCCAAGCGGACAAGCTTTGTTCACTCGGATTCTGACCCCACAGAGCGTATTGAGGGGGAAATGAAGCTTTTCGCAGCCCAGGAGAACCAGTCAGAAAAGGGCTCTTTGCGAGCCCCGTCCCCGGAGGCTGAGGAGGAGGTACCCGATGAGACGCCGAAACCCATCAAGGTCGACCCTCTCACGCAGCCCACTCCCAGGGTGGTGGGAGCGTTTGTCGATACGCCAGCAACGATTAAGGTGGAAAAGTCCGAGATCCCTGCCATGGCCCCTGTTGCTGAGAATGAGGAGATCGAATCACAAGAGGACGGCCTAAGATGTCCGACTAACGGCAGTAGCGGTGCCGAGAGCAGCGAGGACCCCGGGCCCTCCTTTACGCAAGGCGGCAGAGGCAATATTGCGGCGCGCCAACAAAAGCGTGCGCAGTCATCAAAAGGAGACAGAGCGTCCGGGCGATCATCCTCAGTCTCTTCGCGACGCCGTACTAGGTCATTATCCCGGAGCCGCATGCCGCTGGCAAACTCGGCGAAGCCGCCCACCGTCAGAGACGATCTATTGGAAATCCAGCGAGCCAACCAGATGGACGATTCGACCCTTGACGATCTTGCCGATTTGCTCAACCAGCAGGACTACGCCGACCCTGTCCTCCCAGATGCTCGCTGGATCAATACAGAGGCTAGCAACAGCAACAAGCTTGGCGGGCGGAAGGAACTTGAAGCGTACGACCGAATGAGCCGCTCACTCGAGACCGGGCTCCTCGGCATTCAAATCGCAAAGCAGGGAATCGAGCGTCTCGAGGACAAAGTCGCCCAGGCAGATCTCAATAACCATTTGCAACACACATCTCACGGCCAACATGCTAAAGGGAAATCGCCGACGGATACAACGGCGACGTACGTCGCTCTTCCGCTGCCTCGTCTCTGGCACCGGCGCCCCAAATTCCGGTTCACACTCCTCGGTCTCAGTCTGTTCTTGCTTTCTCTTTGGTACATCGCGGAATCATGGATGTGCTTCCGGTACTGCAAGCCGGAGTACTGCTATCCTGGCGCGCCGTGCGACTGGTCCTCGGACGACCCGGTCTGGGGCTACGCAATTCCGGTGAAGCTGGATCAGTGGATGGCTGGTGGACAGGGCAGACTTCTCACGCGCCATCTCGGACTCGAGGCGGCTGACTGGTTGGCCGACCTACGGGACGCCGCTACCGGGGCAGACATCGCCGCAGTCGATACATCTCGCTATAACTGGGAACAGAAGCGACGACATAGGAGGCGGTTGGCTAGAAAGGGGCTCGGCAAGCCCTTTGTTGAACATCCCGAAGATAAGGTTGTCTTCAGCGGATGGAAATCTGTCAGGGAGGCCAATGCTAGGGTTCAGTCGGCACACGAAATGGGATATGTGGTGGGTGAAGACGAGAGCATCAACGGTGATCAAAGGACTTAGCGCTGCAAGCGGTCATGTCAGTGCTGACGTACATGCTACTCCGATCAGGACTTCTTTGCTTCGGGGCGAAGTCAAAGAGCATCATGGATGGAGTTTAACTTGGTATACCTAGGCCACGAGGGACAGGGCGTTCTTGGTTGGAGTCGTTGTATCCCATATCCATCGGGAAATGGCCTGTGTTGTTTGTGTCCAGCATGATGACTTCGTGTTTGTGCTGGTAGGGATAGTTGGGGAAGAAGTTGGTTGTGATATCAAGATACCATTCATAGCTGAAGTGTGTGCTTTTCTTTTCTTCCCGGCCCAAGTTTGGGTGGCTGCTTTGTGCTCTAGTTCTGTAACAGGTCACCATCGACACATTTCACATACACAGCCATGTGGCCTAGCGTTGAGCTCGAGGAATATTGTATCGTCCCCAAATCCATTTTCTATCACTCTAGCCTGTCCATTCCATTTCCAACTTTACTACTAGATGCTTTCAACTGCATCGATTCTCGCGCCCGCTGCTGTTGTCTCGCCCACCCAGCCTTGCCCACCTGTTCCAGATTATCTCGGACGAACTGGCGAACAAGCGCAGCGTCGCAGAGACCATCTGCGTCTCGTAAACCAGAAGAATCAAATCCGAACGAAATATCGCTTTCCAGGATGATCTTTTTTAAGGCGCCGACCACACACGCTCGTCGTTGCGGGTCCATGGTGCTCGGGACCAACTCTTTGATCAAGGACTTCACCTGCTCGCCATTCCTCTTTAGCCGCCACTCGCTCAGCCGCCGCGTGTATTCCGCCTTGACGAGGAAGCGGTCGAAAGCTTGTTCTCGAACCAGCGCCCGCATCTCTTCGATGGACGTGCCGGGGCCTGTCCGAATGAATTTGCCTTCAGCGCGGAGTGCGGGTATGAACTCGTTTATCCAGCGCCGATAAACCGGGCGGCCCTTCATCCTCCGCCGGTCGTTGGACTTGAGCTTTTTTCGACCCGCCTCTCCGCCGACCACACCGACCTCGTCTGCATCGCCTTCTGCATCACCGTCCGACGTGTCTCGGACGTAGAAAAGCCGGCAGGTCATGGTGTAGTCGAAAAGAGCATCTACCGAAGGGAACGGCTCGTCCCAAAATCCCTCGACTCTCATTCCGAGAAAGTGCAGAATCTCGACAGGATCTTTGGTGAGGCACACCCTTGCATGTTTGCGATCAAACTTCTCGATCTCGGGAATCCGGAGCCACAGGGCTTCCTCGTCGACTGTGAGTCCAAAGGGCCTGATGGTGCTCCCAAGGAGGTTCCAGATATCCCCATGGGCATGCTTGTAGAGGATCTACGAGTGTGTGAGTGGTTATCACCGATTCCAAATGTGCCCCCCCAAACACAGCATTTCTTACCCAGTAGAGCTCATCAACGCTCCGGCAGATGCGGATATCGACTTGGATGTATTTGGGCTTCGACTCCTCCTGGGTGGCGGCAACCTCTCCGGTGCCGGGTGCTTCCTCGGGAGCTATGGCGTGTTCGTTCACCCCTGAAGGCCATGGGATCGCCAAATTCGCCGAGGTCCCAGCCGGTTGAACGATGGCATACCGCGCACGGAGTTCGCGTTCGACATCCTTCATCAGGTCTTTTGGTTCCCTTAGAACCGAGTCGGCGGGGGTCTGGGGGAAAGCGAGACGTTTGTCGAGCGCGACCAGGATGTCGACATCCCCGTAGTCCTTCTTTTCCGGCCCTTCGATTGGTGTCGCCACACAGATGAAGAGCTTCCGCAGCGCAGCATTGCATTCGGAGACGGCGCGTTGATAGACCGCTAGAGGCATCCGGGGGGTGTAAGGCGGGTCCGGAAACGAAGAAAACGCAGAACCACCCATGATGATATGTGTACGAAACGGAGTCGTAACTAAAGATGGCGGGCCAAGACGAGGCAAGAAGGGGAAATTTTGAAAGAAATAGCTGAGTAGATTCAGACGAATATGGAGAAATTCTTTTTCTAAGCTTGAGCTGCGAGGTTGTGAGGCTGTGTGGTTGGCCTCATGGCCTTGCACGATTTAGATGAAGCGAGTGCAGGTCGTTTACCCCTACCAGCTCGCAGAAACTCGCAAGCAGCGAGGGGAATGGGCGAGATAAATATGTTCATGGTGTGATGTTTGGGTAACGAGATGGACAGTCACCCTTGTGACTTTTTGACCCTCTTTCTCGCCATGACTCCCCAAACACGACGGGTGGGATTTGGATAACCAAGGTACCGACAACCCTTTCCCGCCAAATCCCAAAAGGATGATGTTTGGTTTGGAGCGTTTGCCTGGCACCCTGGCTCGGGCTGCGGCAGCTCCCCATGATACGCCAACCTTGATTGGTCCGTGCAATAATTAAAATGGGCCCGCTTGTTCACTGAGAGAGCAACCTTTGCGGTGGGCCTCTTCTTCTCCCCCCACCAGACGCCTCAGCTGCCTACAATCACGGTGACTATTTGACTTTAAACCGGCATCACGCAGCTCAACGATCGTGGTAATTTGTCAAACATGGAGAACGGAGCAGCTACCCAGGGAGAGGGCAAGGATCCCTCAGGCTTTCTGAGCGAGATCATCGGAAACCCGGTGACGGTCAAGCTTAATTCAGGCGTGGTCTACAAGGGTGAGTGCTCACCCCTCCGTCCTCCCTCATGGCCCACGATGCGAAGGATGAGTATTGACTAACTCGCCGATTCTATATGACTCAGGCGAGCTTCAGTCAGTGGATGGATACATGAACATTGCTTTGGAAAAGACAGAAGAGTATGTGAACGGTGCAAAGCGGCGGAGTTATGGTGACGCATTCGTCAGAGGAAACAACGGTCAGTGGCTATCCTTGTACCATACACCCATCCTACGGCCCCCTGACTGCTACATATAGTCATGTACATTTCTGCCGATTGAACGAGACCTCGTTTGTCTTGGAACAAGCTCCAACGGCGGTTCCAGCGAGGCCGGCGACACGGCACTTGGCGGATGCCGATGAATCGGATTCCGGGAGTGCCATCGGTCACGTAGGTACGAACCCCCCAGTCATGGAACCGTACCTTTCTGGCAGTGTCCCAGGTCCGTGAAAGGTGAAAGGGCCAGGGGCAACCCCCGAACTCCAAAATGGCTTGGGCCGAAGCAGTCTCGAGTGTGGAATGGACACTTTTCACAGTCACGTTCTGAATGATAATGGTGCCAACATTTCGAGTATTGCTTTCATATTTCCATTAAGCTAGCTAGCGAGGGGGGAGTTCACATTCCTAGTACAAGGAAGCCTTCACTAAAAGACAAAAAGACGCCATCCTATAACAACCTCGAGTTCCAAGTAGTATGCTCCTCCACAACACCGACAATGCTAAAAGCAGACAAAACAGCATGCTAAGGGAGCGAAAAACCCAGTGCCTAAAAACACAATGCCCAACAACCCAATGCCCGACGCCGCCCAGATGCCGCCGAGCAGGGGTCGGGGTCGTTAAGGAAACGAATGTGAGACGAGCATTTAGTTGATAGTAACGCGGCGCGCCTCGTGCTTCTTCGCCTTGGGCACGACGACGCTCAGAACACCGTTGTTCAGGCTAGCCGAGACGGCATCCTGGTCGATGCGGCTGGGGAAGCTGAAGGTGCGGGCGAACTCGCCGACGGAACGCTCCTGCAGCCAGAACTTGTCCGAGGCCGCCTTGGGCTTTTCGTGACGGGTCACCTCCTCGACGCCGCTGCCGGAATCCTGGGCCGGAGCGGCGGCGCTCTCTTCGCCCTTCTCGGAGATGACGCCGGCGTGCTGCTTGCCGCCCTCGACGAGGCCCGCCGGAGGCGTGCCGGCCGTGAAGGCCCGCTCGGTGAAGCCGCGGACCACCAGGGTCTGGGGGTCGGTGAACTCGATATTGACCTTGTCACGCTCGATTCCGGGGAGCTCGCCGTGCAGCTCGAAAGCGTTGTCTGTCTCGCACACGTCGAACTTGGGTTGGAAGGTGTGCTGGCGTCCCCGGTGTCGAGAGCGCCCGTCGTTGTTGCCCTGGGCCTCCCGACTGTAGTTGTCAAACTCGTCTAGGAGGCGGAATAGGGGCGTGAAGCTCGGGTCCGGGCCGTAGAGTCCACGAGTGAAGAAGGACATGTTAACGGTTGTGGTTTGATCTTGATGAGTAAGGGTTGATTGCTTTGCTGAGATATCGACAAGATTGGTTTGGCTTGCAGTGAAAACGGTGATGTTGTTGAGTGTGTTGAGAGATGGGGGGGATAGATGAGGGCAGGAAGCCCAGCAGTGCTATATACACATAGCGGCGCCTCAACAGCACATTCTACCATCTTCCTGAACCACCGTCGCGATCGGCGATTAGAAGTGTGAGTTTAGCTATTTGGAAGATGCTGGAAACTTTCGCATCTGACGGATGTGGCAACGGCTTCCACGAAGGACGGTTGCGAATTAGAAGATGAAATCATCATCGTATTAGAGGGTGGCGACGTACTCCCTTGCTCTAGAAAGTGCGGTTGAGAGCTGGGGATTGCTGTTACGATCATCCACGCTCGAGTTGCTTCTAGAATGTACGGATCGGCAACGTAAAGTGGGGCTGCTGGAAACCTTCGAGGGACGTCCATCGACCGACTCGGGCCTTGAACCTTTCGGCCAATTTAGCATTCGTGAATTACTTGTCGCGAGGTCACCTCACTGGCAAGCACAGCATGATGAAGTGATGTAGACATCACTCTACACGGTGGTAGTATGCGCACTAGCTCACAGTTTTAGCTTCTAACTACGGTACCTCAATTCCGCATGAACAGATCATCGCATCGGGGGGTATCCAACTGTGACGGGAACCTGCATCCGAAACCCCCCCGGAACCACAGGAGGGAGGATGCCCGGCGCAGGGCCTTGTGCCCGATAAAACTTCCCAATCAACGTCCTCGCAACCGTCGGCTCGATTTCCGTGCCGTCCCTTGCGATCTTAACCTCTCGGTTTGAGTTGAACGAGTTCCGAAGCCCCCTCGTGTGAAAGAACGGGAGACGAGTTGTCGATAGCCATTCGAGCCGGAACGGCTTGCCCCAGGCTTTGGGCTCCGACATGTTGCTGTCCTGCCCACTCTGGACACTACCCGTGTCCCCGCCGGCCGAGCCGCAGGAACCTTCCTCGTCCTGCCCACCGTCAGACGCCGTTTTGTCATCCCAGCTCGCCTCCCAGAATATCGTGCCGCGCGCTGAGTCGTCGATGATGCGGCCCTTGGGCGCGAATTCTGTGGGCTCCGTCGGGATGGCTTTGGGGAGATCGACTTCGTTTGCTGGCTGTGCGCTCGGCGCAAATTCGATTGCGGCGGCCGGGTCTTCGTTGATGGCCGACGCCATCCGTGCATAGCCAAAGTACTCGCCAGACTTGTTCGCCGAGAATACTAGATAGACGTTGTCCGAGGTCTGTTCGCGAAGGATGAGTGTCAGCCGAGCTCATCATCTCTTGCTGGCCTCGTGCGGCCGAAATGCACTGTGTTCCTTCCCTACCTTGTATGCCGCGTTCAACGCCTCCTCATTGTGCGATTGCGTGGCCCAGATATTTGTCCGGACACTCAACTCAAGATCCTCGACGGTAAGGCTTTTGAGGACAAAGAAGCGATCCTTTTGACGGGGCCTGCCATTCATAGGAGAAATCACTGCTTGAGATTCCGGGGCTGCTGTAGCCACCACCTCTGGGGTGATGCCTTCCTCTTTGCTCTCGCCGCCGTCGTTTTCGGTTGGACTCGCTTCTTGGATGGCCCCTACCTGCGACGTCGATGCCGCGGGTCCCGTCGGGGCGGTAGCGCCTGCTGGGCCTTCCACGGTGCTTTTTCTCAGCCTACTTACTAGGCGGACAGTCATGAACTTGGAGTCGTGCAGTTTCTGCTGCGCTGCTGAGCAGGCTTGCTCGTTTTTAAAGTTGGCAAACGCACAGTTGCTCTTGGAGATCAAGAACAGAGACTCCAGCCCCTCCGTTTCCTTGCACACATGGTGCACGAGGCTCATCAGATCTGTTTGTGGTGGTAGATTGCCGACCCAGATGGCATGGCCTTGAAGTGAGATATATCAGCCCTAATTGCTCGTCTGTCCGGCTAACATGGAGTTGACTTACCGCTTTGCCGCGGCTTTCTCGGCGGTCCCCTAACAATACTCTGGCGGTCACCAGTAACACCTGCAACAAAGTAACGAGAAGGGTTCGTCAATTTGATGGCCCTCTAAAACATTGGAGTGTTGAAGCTTACCATTGCTTTGCGGGCTGGGCGGCGCCGCGCTCGCCTCCTGACCGCCGTGTTGCGGTTGTCGGGTTCTAGGTTCCTGGTGCTGAGGTACGGTTGGTAACCTGTACTGCCCGAGCCCAAGTTGCCCCTGTACATGGGGCGCCTGGCCAGGGAATGCCCCTCCGGGGGAGTAATAGAAGTGTGCCGGAGCGTGAGGCATCTGGTTCAGGACGATGGGGTTTGAGTAGTACCCTAAGTCAGGTCTCGGGGGCATGGTGGCCTGTGACGGACCGGGCATTGCGGGATGGTAATACTGCGCCATATTGGGGTGCTGTGGAGCGTAGTACTGCTGCGCATGCATAGCACCCATCGCGCCGGGTGGTCCATACTGAGCAGGAGTCGGAGCGGTGGTATACCTAGGGGGGCCGTGGTAGGATTGTGCTCGGTAGTAGTCGTGAGGCAACGTCGCTGCCAGCGCGCCCATATCGAAGGGCGCCGCCCTCTGTTGATGTGGCATGTTGGGCGGCGTAAAGGAATGCGGCGGCGCTGCGGAAGAGCGTGGATGTTCTGCCGTGGGGTGCCTTAGCATTGACCCAGACTCCGGCGCCGCGACGGCGATGTGTTTCTGTCCGGAGAACTCGGCTGGGGCACCAGGTTGGCTTGCCTCGTCTCCCATAGGGGCTAGTGACGGCGAACCTAAAGGAATACGGGCTCCCCACGCTACCTTGAGCGAGTCCCTCTCCACGTTCTTTGTGACAGGGGGTTGAGGATGCTGGGGTATGGGACAGAATGCTAAACTCTAATGGATCCAGTTCTGGGTGAGCCTGTCTCGCCGTGCGTGCTGTACCCGTGGCCAACGCCCCGCTCAATGATGTAGCGGTAAAGGGGGCCTTGTAACTATGCGAAACTGAACAACCTTTTTCCCGGCTGAGCTTGAGCCGTTCGCCCCAGGGAGACTGATAAGGTCAGATTGAGACACGATATGCGCGTAACAAAAGCGGCCTTCTGAGATAGGACGGGGCAAGCTGAAGAGAACGGACTGGGGGAGGAAACGGACCAAGGCACGACCTCGCGAGCCACACGGCAACCCTTTCGCCACAACTTGGCCGGGGCAAGCTGTATGTAGAATAGTCGGGCGGTTGGAAGAGTGGGGAGAGTAAGGATGTGTTGTGAGTGGCGTAAAGCACGACGGAAAAAACCTGTCGTGTCGTGCTTGTCTTGTGCGTCGGGTCTCTCACCGGGTGATTTCCTGTCAACGTGGAAGTGTAGATGGGCGTCCGAGGCTGTTCGGGGCAAAAAGAAAGTCTGGTAATATCACAGATCAGCATCTCGTGCGTGGGTGGCCAACTCCTGCAAGGTGTGATATAACCCTGTACCTCTTCGAAGCGGATGAGGCGGCGGGTCGGATACTTTCAACACCGGCCAGTTAGCGGAGAGACCCTGCGAGTCTAGAACCGGGTGGGACGAACAGGTCCGATCCGGGGTCACGGCGCATAGTCTTCAACACTCCGCCGTGACAAGGCAGGGTTGGTTGGACGGACCGCTATTAGGTACTACTAGACAGAAATGAATAGGAACGGAGGTCCCCTTTCCCTTGGCAGGAAGAGTAGAATAGATGAATCCAACGTCGGAAAGGGAAGACTGGCGACCAAAGGATTCCCCTCCTAGGACAACTAACAAGAGACTGTTGAGACTGTGTTTGAAAGGGTGGGGCCAGAGGGTAGAGGATTCGAGTGACAAGGCAAAGGCAGTGCTAGGCTTTAACGTCGATCCGGGACGACAAGGTGATGCCGTGTTGTGCTTCTGTTCCTCCGCTTTGGATGGCCGAGTCTAGGCGGTCGAGAATGGGATGGTGGGAGGCGGCGAAGTTACGCAGTCGGGAGCTGGAACAGGCAAAAGATGGACGCTTGCCGCTCGTTTTGCCACCGCACCATAACAGATAAAATACATCCTCGTGGTATTTCACGGGGGGTTCCAAGGTGGTCAGGTCCCGGGGGCAAATTTTTCTACCTCCTCAGCTCCTGCAACTTCGGTGCCCCTTCCTTGTGCGGGTATTCGCTAAAAGTAGTATGACCTCTGCCATGTAGTTGGCGCATGCGCATATGGGTTCATGTGAGAAGGGAGTTACCAGGCGCCGAGAAAGAGTCCAAGACGACAGACATTGCGGATACCTGGGCCTGGGCCTACACAGTAGGTCAATAAAGCTATCCGAGGGCGTTTCATCTCAATCTCGGTGGCGCATTTTCTGTTTCTGCAGTCAAGAAGGGAGTCGGCACGTGGACGCGCTTGACGATGACGGCGCATGGGTGGCGATTTGGTGGTCCTTCTTTTTTTTTTTCTTCCTTTTTTTTTTGAACTATTAGCGGCCCCCGAGCGGCCCCGGCACCTGTTACGGGTTTGGGTCGCCAGAAAGCAGGCGACGGATGCCATGATGAAACAGTTCGTCAGTTTGCAAGTATTCTTGCTCCGTCAGAGTGCAACTTCCCGGCTGCCAGGTTCGAAGCAAGAGGCCGATTTGGCAGAAGTGGGTCCCTGTTGGAGCTTTGCCAGCTTTCGTTACGTCATAGGGAACACCAACCAGCAGCACAAGGGAGCTGAGGAGCTTGTCTCCTTGTATTCTCCCGCTACCATGTTGAGTATACTGAGGCATGAGTGGGCACGTCATGTAGGTACATGGTACACTGCTGGCCCGGAGTCGTTCCTGCAGCAGAGGACTCGAGTTCCTTAAATATGGCCATGGCCACGCCCAGGTAGTTTTCGCCCGGGTTGGATTTTGCGTGAATGAAGGTGAATGACGGCTAGCTGAATAGACTGTTTGAGTTTAACACGGTGCATGTAAATTAAAACACCTAAGTGCACGCAGCTGAGTGTTCTGGTGTTGGTTGGTGCTTCGCTTGTATATGCATGTCGAAACTGCAGTTTGGTACGTTTGGGTATGGTGGAATGACCTCAAATACGTCGGAGAACGAGAACTTGATCACCAGATTTGCCAGCAGCCCATCGCCAATAACTGGTACCGGCACCTATAATTGTTTCCGTGTAGGCAAAGGAGCCCTGCTGTGCAATGCTATGTACATAGCCAACCGGGCCCAGTCGCCCACCGCTTAATCCTTCTTGAGCGGTAGCAAGATCTCCTCGATCCCGTCCTGCGTGATGATCATCATCTGCAAACCGTCACCGACCTCAATGTGCCGCTCGACCGCTCCGTCAAACGCATCCTTGACCAAGACCTCGACCTCATCGCGCGCCAAGGGCCGGCGCTCGCGTTCTTGCAGAGCATGGCCCTCGCCACTGTTGGGAATGTACTGATTCTTGAAGTTGACCTGGTTGTCCAAGAACGGCATGATCAAACTGGCAGCCGCGCCGCCAGCCCGGCACTGCTCCCGCTCGTAGCTGCCGACAGGGTCGTACGAATACACGGCGCCCTGGCCCTCCTCATCTAGTCCGCCCAAAATAGCGTGTGCGTAGTAAGGGAAGAAGCGCTTCTGGTACAGGATGGTCGACAGCCGCTGTGCACACGCCTTGACACTCATCGGTTTTCCGTGGCGATAGCGGTACATCTTGCAGATGGTGTCGAGCCGTTCCTTGAGCGCCTCCCCGTCGGCCGCAAACCCCACTACCGAGAGGACGATGGTCGCATCTTTCTGGTCCGCAGTTGTGCCGCCGATCTTGAACAGCTTCGGGTGGTGTCGCGAGTTGATGCTGTAGCCCGAAGTCAGACGGGTGTCGCCGGCCAAGATGGCGAATTTGGCGCCAGCGATTGCGAGGGTCGAGCCGCCGTTGTCGGTATAGCTAGCTCGAGCGTTAGCGAGCTTGCAGCAACAAGAGATACAAACGGTTGTGGATATAAACCGGAGCAAGGGAAACCATACGGGTCAAAGCGGTGTTCCCGAGCGCCCTCTGGCGCGTTAACTCTGGGTGCATCGTTGATGGAGTAGTTGGGCCCGTTCATGAGCGGGTTCTGGCTGAACATGGCGGCCATGGTGTTTCAGCGTCGGGCTCTAGCGATTAATCCTCGAGCTGGAAGCGTGGGGAATCCTTGATTATGATTCTCGGAAGGTAGACTGACGTCCTGATCACCTCTCTGCTAGGAACCTGGAAGGTAACTCGAAGGTCGCTGGGGATTGTTGGCGAAGCTCAAACGGCGGGGGACGCTGGAGGTCGCGCGCGTCAGCCCTGCAGCCTGAAGAGCTGAGGCTGCCAATCGGTAGCCCAGCAGCGCCCCCGCTCAGCTCGCGGCGGATGACTCAGCAGGGTGCTCGCTGGGCACCTGGCACCTGGGCTCATTAAGGTAGTGGGGTCGAATAATTTAAGTCCATGGCTATCAGGGTGTCTCATCCCTATCCCTCCTTCCTCCGTCCCAGTCTCTGTGCCGCGCGGTCGCGTTGTGATCGATCCAACATCGTCAACTGTTGGGAATTCCCCAAAAGACGACGTCGGCCTCGGTAACTCCCAGGGGAGGCTTTTGGACAATATTCTGCAGACCTGTTTTCTTTAAGCAGGGATTGATTGGTTCCGCCATCCCTCCCGCCTCACCGACGACGACGAGGACGACGACGACATGGCCCGTGATCTCCGGCGCCAGGCCCTCCAGCGGCTTGCTGGGCTGGCAGCGGCGAGCTCAGACACTTCCTTTGACAAGTCCGATCTCGACAGGCTGTGCAGGGCTACTCCTACCCGCCATGGCGCGGTGCCATCCCTCAACGGTCACCATGCATCGGCCCCCCGACCAGAAGTTGGCCGTGTTCCCATGGTAGCCGATCCCCCATTAATAGTGCGGCTGTTGTACTAGGTCTACAAGTTGGCTAACTACTTCCTTTTCTCTGTAGACCATCCGCGAGTACGAAATTCTACTGGCTCTCTGCAAGACGGCGCCCTCCCTCCAGACGCCCCAGAGCGCCCAGAAGCTATCCCGTCACCTCGTGCCGTACCTTATGGATTCCCATGTCCAGGCATTTGCCCCGTCGCCATTTTTCCGTAGGATCGAGCCATCGCCAACCGAGTCTTTGAGCTTTCATGTTACTGCCGCACTCCTTTCTTTAGGAGCACACCATCCCGATGTGCGGCAGAGCATATCTGACAGTCTTTCCGCCTTCATCAATGCTTGTGCTCACGCTTCTGAGACCGTTTCCCGCGCCGCCGCCGACGATGATGATCCAGGGGCTGTGGAGGACGCCACTCGGACCGCTACCATTGCAATTGCTCTCCTAGGATTCCTAGATGCGGCGTGTGCCCAGGCGGACTTCTGGAAATCCGGGGGCCGTCTTGGTTTGGTGACGCGCGTGCGCGACCTCCTTTCTCAGCCTTTCCTCGTTGCTGTAGAGGCGGCCTTCTCCACCATCCGGAATGCGCATCCCCACGATCGTCATATCAAAGAGTGGAAAAGATGGACGCGGCATTACGACGACATTGACCGCCCCCTGGGGGCCACGCTTCTGCGGCGCAGTTTCATGAGATTGCTTGTGGCTGCCACATCGCTTTTGGTCGCGGAAGAAGACGCGCTCCGGGAGTCTCACGTTCTTGACGTTATCATGGCTGGCAATGGCCTCCGGCGGCCGCTGACTGCCCGTAGCGCTGAAGCGGATTTCCGCTCCGTCGAACTGTATGCCACAGTCGCTATCGACCAGATGAACTACCTGGAATCAAGTGCCGACTTTGACAGCCTGTCTCCAGCCAAGCAGAGGCTTGCCTCGTCCGTCAAGGCCTGCGCCCTGATCAGCTATCTTAATGCGTGCACCCTGAATGATGATGCCGCCGACGGCGAAATTCTCATGTCCTGGCTCGAGGACGCCCTGGGCGATGTCGCGGGCATGGCCGACGACGAACTTGCCGCTGTAGTCCTCAAGTCCATGGCGTTGCTATGCAGGGTATCGCCGTCATACGCCATCAACGTCAGCCGACTCCTTCCCCGCTTCATAGTTCAAAGCGGTGCCAAGAGCCAGCTGGTCGCCGTCGCGTCGAAATCCCTCGCCTTCGTACTGCAGAAACTCTCCAAGGATGCTGTCATCACCACTCTGTACACCCTCGGCAATGTCTTGGGTCCTGGGAGCGACCGGCCCGTCACCAACGGGGCTGGCGAAGGCGGCGGCCAGGGCCCCTCACATGTATATGGATCCAGACACTCGACAGGCAGTTCCATCTCGCTGCAGATCTCGGGCGAAGAAGAATCACCGATTGTCCAGGGGAATGTTGTGCAAGCCATCTGCGAGATCGCGGGTGCCTCGAAGGACGAAAAGATCACGGGTCTTGCCCAGTCGATGCTCGCGCAGAAGATTGTTAAGCTCAGTAGCCCACCTGATGCCCGTATCATCACTGGCGCCGCTACCTTGGCCCTCAGTGGCGGCCAGTCCGAGTTTCGCTACCTCCTCAAGCGGTATGCTGCCGTCGCACATGACGCTGTGGTAGAAAACAAAGATGGGATTTTGCAGGGCGTAAGTTTGCTCATATAGAGACCTTGTTCTAACACCACCAACAGGGGTTGTGCTAACTGTCGCCTAGATTCTGAAGGCTCGAACCCATATTTCGGCCAACATCCGGCGAGATTCGCCCTTGTTCAATATCTACTTGGAAGATTTACTCGACGGCATCATCTCCCAAGGCGACGTCCATGCCACCCAAAACCATCACACCAGAGAATCGGATGTGGAACTCGCCGCCCGTGAAATCGCCCAACTGCTCCCGCCTCTTGCCATTTTCATGTCTGCGCACCCACAGGCTTTCGACGAGTCCTCTGACGATGATACGCGCTCCATGCTTCGCGATGCGTGGTTCAACATCGTCGTCCACGGCTTCACTCCGTCTACTGATCGCGGGAAGCAAAATCTCAAGCACCTCCGGATCATGGCCATCCACTCCCCGCCTCTGGTCTCTGAGAATCGCGGTGAGCAAGATGAGAGCGACATTGATTTGAACCCCATCCTCCGCCGGGGTGAGAGCTCTGAGCGGGAGTCGCTACAGAAGAAGCTTCTTGCGGAGCTGGTCCCTGCGCGAAGCAGCGAAATCAAGGGGCTGAGTTACCGCAAAACAATCTTTCTCCAGGCGGCTTGCCTCGTCGAGAGCTTGCGGGCGGACGCCGGCGACTGCACCAAGGCCCTGTCGTATTTCCTGGAGCCCAGCATGCGGCGGGGCGAGCCGAGCCGCACCATGGACGCTATCATGTACGCTGTCATGGACAGGTACCTATACAAGACGGTCAATGCCGCAAACCCAACCTTCTCCGCCCAGTATGCAGCGGCGCAACTGGCGAAAATATTTTGCAGCTGTTGCCATCGGATAGAGCGAGTGCAGCAGGCGGCATTCGGCTGCGCGGATCGTTTAGTCGAGTCTATTCCGTCGGCGCTCTGCCAACCGTCATCCCTCTTCACGCTCCTTGAGCTTCTCTCGTTGATGTGGTCCAGCTGTCTTGAAGCGGAGACGGATCGGTACGAGCCGAGGACCACGTTCAGGTCCTCCAGGGGGGACGTAGTTGTCGAACTCTCAGATGACTACCAGTTCAGGCAGCTCACCCTTGCGAGCCTACACAGAAAGGCAAAAGCCTGGCTGGCGAGGGCGATCAACATCGCCCCTGCAGACGTCAAAGGCTTATTGCAGACTTACTTGTCTGAATTTGACGAGGAGAGCGGCTATGGTCACATGTCCCTCGGCAGATCATTTGCAGTCGAGATCGGTTCGACGATCCCATCAACCGACCAGAGGCTGTCATCTCTTGACATGCTCGGGGACTGCCCCATAAACACGGCTTCTGACTTCATGGCCCAGTACACGACGCGGCAGGAATATCGGTACTCGGAGGCCTTGCCCGACCAGAGTCGAGAATGGTCCAGCTTCATGCGCGTTGGCCACCGAGCATCGTTCCTCACGTCGCCGGATAACGAGAGTGCCGACGCCATTACAGCCCTCGCTCACATTGAAAAGCGTATCCTTGGCCGCAAGGCCGCTTCTCACACAGATGTGAGAGATATCCTCCGCCGTGCCGCCGCGCTCTTATGCCGAAGCGAGAAAGACGAGTGCTCCATCATCCATTACCTTGTCAGTATACCGTTTGCCGCGTTTACGAAGCAATCGATCAAGCTCGGCATCTCCCTCTGGCTCGGGGTCATGAATGAGAATCCCAGAATGGAACCCCGCCTCCTAGCCGAGATTGTACATCGGTGGGAGTCCAGCGTACAGAAACGGCAAGGGCTTTTCAGTCCCTCCATTACGAACCCTGACCCATTCTTCCTCAGGCAAGAGTTTGCTCCTAGCGACAATGCGGCTCTTGCGAGGCGCAAGCAGCTCGTCCACAACTTGCTGGCCCCCCACTCTCGTCTCCTGCAATTCTTGAGCAGCCACTACAATGCTACCCGTTTGGGAAGCCCCGATACGCAGCATCTCTTTCTCCGCCTCCTCGACATGACGCTGGAGGCGATCAAAAACTCGACGCCCCATCCGATGGCTAGAGAAATCCGATTCCAAGTGATACTCTTCGGCCTCAAGGTGCTCAACACCAGCACGACCATGGGCACCGTTGCGCAGTACCGCTTGAAGGACCAGTTACTGTCTGCGGGCCTTGGCTGGTTTGATGCTTCGCCGCGCTGGTCTTTCGGGAGCAATATTCTTCAACTCCGGACTGAGATTCGCTTAATCGAGGATGTCATGGCGGCTCTAGGCGAGACGGTCGGTATTGGTGCCGAACCGGCGGGCCTAGTCAAATCGCTTGCCCCGAAGGAAAAATTGCTTGTCTTACTTCTGGAGAGCGAACACTCGAGACTGTACGTTTGGGTCCGTCCGGTCGACGCGTTAAGACCCCAATCGACATTTCACCATGGAGGAAAAGAGAGCCAGCTCGAGGTAAGTAGAGCTCCATGCTGTGAAACCCTGTTTAGGTATGCCGGCCTGCTCACGTTCGGATATTCTAGGCCGCAATCCAACCTCTAGTCCGGACTGCCTGGACAGAGAGCCCATCCCTAGCCGTCCACTTGGCCAGCAGATTTCCGTACCCCCTAGTCCAGAGGGAGGTTCGTTGGCTACTGTTGAACTTCCCAACCAAGGCTGCCAAAGAACCGGAGTCGATACCCATTCTGATCGACGGTGCCTTGCCCGATGATGTCAGCTTCCAGCTGAAGGTAGGACAACCAAACCGCTGCACTCGCTCTGGGATTTTGTGCTGTTCTTTCGCTAACAGCGGCTTTAGTATCTGCTATTTTGGGCCCCAGTCAACCCAATCACGGCCGTGACTCTCTTCCTGCCGGCTTACCGAAACCATCCGTATTTGATTCAGTACGCTATGAGGGCGTTGGAAAGCCACTCAGTCGACGTGACGTTCTTTTATGTCCCGCAGATTGTCCAGACACTTCGATACGACGCCTTGGGTTATGTAGAGCGCTACATTCTGGAGACTGCACAGTTTTCACAACTCTTCGCACACCAGATCATCTGGAACATGAAGGCAAACGCCTACAAGGATGATGATTCGCAGATTGTAAGCGTCTTCTTCAAAGCATGTCGGCCACCGTATGGTACTAACCTTGGTTATTAGCCCGACGCCATCAAACCAACTCTCGACAAGGTTATGGGCCACATGGTCGAGAGTTTCTCCGACGTCGACCGGGATTTCTACGAACGCGAATTTGCCTTCTTTGACGAAGTTACGAACATCTCGGGGAAACTCAAACCGTTGATCAAGCGCTCAAAGCCCGAGAAGAAGCAAAAGATCGAGGAAGAGCTTCGAAAAATCAAGGTCGAGGTTGGAGTGTATCTACCCAGCAACCCAGACGGCGTCGTCATTGGCATCGATCGGAAGTCAGGTAAACCGCTGCAGAGCCATGCCAAGGCTCCCTACATGGCGACGTTCCGCATCAAGAAAAACAAGGGCGGGGATGAAGAGGTCGAGGAGATGCTCGAGGAAGATACCAAAGACGCGGATAAGACCGGCGGTCAGGAGAACACGATCGAGGTATGGCAGTCGGCTATCTTCAAGGTGGGCGACGATTGCCGCCAGGACGTTCTGGCTCTGCAGATGATTGCTGCGTTCCGCGGGATATTCCACAGCGTCGGTCTCGACGTTTTCGTGTTCCCCTATCGTGTTACCGCCACCGCCCCCGGCTGCGGTGTCATTGACGTCCTCCCGAATTCCATTTCCCGAGATATGCTCGGCCGCGAAGCCGTGAACGGGCTCTACGATTACTTCGTTTCCAAGTACGGCAACGAAGATTCACTCCGATTCCAGCAGGCACGAAACAACTTCGTCAAGAGCATGGCTGCGTATTCCGTCATCTCCTTCCTCCTCCAGTTCAAAGATCGGCACAACGGCAACATCATGATCGACGACGCCGGGCACATCCTGCACATTGATTTTGGCTTCTGCTTCGATATCGCCCCTGGCGGTATCAAGTTTGAGCGGGCGCCTTTCAAGCTGACCTCGGAGATGGTCGCAGTGATGGGCGGCAGCGCCGAGCACCAGTCTTTCAAGTGGTTCGAGGAGCTTTGCGTCAAGGCGTTTCTGGCGTCGCGCCAGTACACCGAGAAGCTCTCGCAGATCGTGCTGCTTATGATGGACAGCGGGCTGCCTTGCTTCAAGCCGGAGAGTGTGATGCACTTCAAGCAGCGTTTTGTGCTGGAGAAGAGCGAGCGCGAGGCCGCCGAGTTCATGAAAGGGCTCATCAAACGAAGCTATGGCAGCTATTCGACTGGCATTTATGACCAATTCCAGCTCCTAACAAACGGAATTCCGTACTAGTGTGGTCTGATGGTCGAGGAGCTGCTGGCGACGCAGCGTACAATAGGTTGGATGTGAGAAAATATTTTCATACATATAGATGCGATAGAGCTCGTTAATAATTGTCATTTTCCCGTTCCCTGAGCCGAGCAGTTCGTGACACCAAGGCGATCCCCCCTCAAAATTGGCGGTTCTTTTATATCGAATGTCCGAAAGCCGGCCTGGGCCCAGCAGCGACATCGTCAACCAAAAAAAGAAGTGACCGGCTTCTAGGCGCCACGGACTGTGGAGTGAATCGAAGGCATGTCTCGAACACCGAAATTCCCTTCTCCCATCACCTTTTGTTCGACTTGGCCCTCTTCCGGGCTCAACCTCACTAACCGTCGTCGCCGTGATGTGCGAACCAAGCTAGTATCCAATAGCCCTATCCAAGACCAGGCGAGCGAGGCAATCAATGATGTACCACTATGCTCTGAAATTGGTTTATGCCTCTACGGGCCCGCGTTCCTTCCCACCGAGCGCGGGCTAGTCCCGATCATGATTGACTCGAGACCGGCCGTTGTGGTCCGTAGGAATCGGAGACTTTAACCGGTCTGCTGTTCCATGTGAGTTGGCAGATTATAGGTGGCATAGTCGACGTGCACAAAGGCTCTATCGACGATGGGGACCGACTCGAGGACATATTGTAGGCTCTCGCTATCGCGCTTCGTGTTAGCTCTCTAGGAATTCGCGGAGCAAAACCGCGTACGGCTAGAGTTTGAACGGGGCTCACCTCAAGTCGTGACTGTCCTTGAGCGGGGGTACTGGCGTCTAGAACGATGTCGACTTCTACGTTGAGCTTGTCACCCGCGTGGTATGCTTGTAGGCCCTGGATTTGTTTGATGGTTTTCGCAAACCGCATGGTTAAGTAGAGGACTATGAATGGTTAAACGAGGACTGAGAAGGCAATGCGGCCAAGGGTGAGGGGATCCGGTGGGCGGACTCACGGATGTTCCTTTGGTCAGCCGTGGCCGAGAAGCCAGACAAATGCCTGATGTGCTCGAACGAAGTTTGGGACCAGTTGAAGATGACAACAAGGGAGAGTACTAGGCCGCCGAGGGCGTCGAGCCACCATACCCTGGCATAGAAACCGACTGTGTGTGTGTCTCTGCGTTAGTAATCCGGCACGATATTGGTTGGGAGGCGGGGGACATACTTATAGGGAAAGCTATGGAGCCTGCGTTGAAGATAACATCTAAACAATAGCTGTGTTAGAACCGCATGGGGTCACGAGAAATACAGCTCGGCCGGCGCCGTTGTACACGTACCGGTACTTGCATCCGCGGCCCTGTGTCCGTATTAATAACCAAGCTCTAATTGCCGTAGAAAGCTGTTGGCAGAAGGGGACATAAGGTGAACTCACAGTGCTTGAACGCTCGAATTGTTGACCATGCGGCACCATAGCCAGCACAAGCCCTTGATAACAATGGTTCCGAACATGATAGAGATAGCTGGAATGCCACTACGAAGTCCTGTTAGCATACGGCGGGAGGCGAGGTAGCACGACGGGTAAAGCAAAAAAAAAAAGAAAAGGAGGGGAGGGGGGTTGTTTCAACGCACAGTTCGATGATGTCCCGGTCGGGCGAGGCAAGGCGCGCAATAGCCTCGAGGGCGACCTGGACGAAGGAAGTAATCATGATGACAGAGAAGACGAGCACACCCAACGGCTCAAGTCTCCGCCTGCCGACGGGGGTACCGGTATTGGTCTTGCTTGCGGATCAGCCAGGTGGTGACCCAGACGATGACTGTGGAGAGGAAGTCCAGCATGGCGTCAACCAAGCTGGCCAGCACCGAGACGGACGGGACCGACATAACAACGGCAAACTTGCCAGCCAGCAAGATAAGGTTGGCGGCGAAATTAACGTAGATGGCAAGGGTGACAATGGGCGCGTCGCTGTCGACTACGTCGTCTTCGAGCCAGGGGATCTCGGGTTTTGAACGACCGGCCTCGGGGTCCTCGTCACCGTCGTCAACAGCGCTACCGTAGGAGCCACCGTCAGGGGCAGAAAACAGAGGGGTGGTCTCTGTGGGGCAATAGATAGCCTTGGGCGTCCGCAGGACCTTGCGGGCGGGTTCTCCGAAGGGGGCCGATGGTGTCTCCATGATGGTGGCCGGGATCTCGACGCCGCGGAAGGCAGACGCCGGCATATTGTTGTACTCATTGAGCAGGTCGTGCGGGAGGGAAGAGTCCAACAGCCGGTCGATATATAGGTACTGCTGGACTAGGTAGTTGACGCGTTCGTGGTACTTGCGGCTATGTTGGGGGAGACGAGAGAGGTCAGCATGCATGGGGAAGCAGCGGGACGGCGAAAGGGATCACGAACACGTTCTTAGGCATGGCGTCCAGCTCCGCTTCAGTTTTCCAATAGCGCTCCCAGCAGTAGCGGGGATTACTGCTGCCGATGAGGCGCATGCTCCGGATGTTGGCACTGTTGAGGATGGCACTCAAGCGTCGCTCATCGCGACGCGAGAGCTCGTCCTCTGAGGCATCGCCGCCGAGACCCTCCTCCTCTTCGCGCCCACGTTGTCTGATCAGAGACGCCAACGCACCGTGACCTATGGGCGCGAGAGGTGGTTCATCCTGGAGTAGGAGAAGCGCGCCCCGGTGACGCGGAGCGCGCGGGGTGGTTGGAGAACTCATGTTGTTTGTTGCTGTGCCGTGCCCCGTCGCCTATCGGATCTGCGTTGAAGGCTGCCGCGCTACGGTGTCGGGGAATTCTACGGCTTGACGGCTGAGACTCGACAATTGGTATCGGAGCGCTGGTGGTTAAGACGTATGTACACACAATGTTGCACGTGCTCTACAATAAGGACGTCTTTAAGGGTCTCTTGTTAAAGTTGACGCCCTCAGGCCAGCCTCGGGTGAAATTCACGACGACAGGCCATTGGCTTTCCCCGAGTCAGGGAGGCAGGGAGTCCGGGAGCCGTGATGCGACTCGGCCCTGGCCCGTTTCCTTGCCTTCTTAACCCGAGACGAGACGAGGGGAGGCGAGAGCAAGGATGGCGGACCGGTGCTCGAGCCGTGCAGCGCAACGCAGCGCAGCATCGGCAATTGTTCCAGATGCCGGGCCCCGGCAGTGTTCCCGCTTTGGTTGCCCCTCCCCGCCACCCGCAAACACTCTGACCGGCCCCTTGACCCCCTCCTTGGTGTTTCGAAACAGCCAGCATTGAAACGGCACCGCCAGCTCCTTTCTTCTCGAATCGACCCCACGTGCCCACTTTTTCCCATCTCCAAGTAGCAGAGGAGCTCCTTGCGCCTTGCTCCTGGCACGGTCAATCAATCAATTAAACGGTGGATGGCACAGGGCTCGAGGAGGGGGAAGTTGACAGGCTACCATGGAAGTATGGAGTTACAGGTTCGCAGGATCTCTCTTGTGCGTGCCGTGCCGCGCCGCTGCCTCCCAAACCGCATCGCCGCTGTGCCTGCCGGGAGAGTTGTGGATTGATGTCATGCAGGATAGAGCGGGAACTGAAATGCAATTCAACACTGGCAACGCAATTGGCAACCAAACTGATGGGGAATGCCAGCGCTGGCGGGCGGTCCGAGCGGGCATGGACACGGGCACTGACGGGCAATTGACCCCACTCGGGCTTTCTTCGCCGGCCCCTTTTGGGCGGCAAGTTGCCGATGGTGAGGAATGCAATCCAAAGTACAGAATACATATTAGCCATCGACCTTCGCGGGAGTACGAAGTAACTCTGGAACTCTTGTTTCGGCCTCGGTTGCCGGGCAAGCCAGGTTGATGAGTTGCCTCCAACCATACGAACTGAGGCCCTGTCGATTTCTCAGAGACCCTGACGAGCGTAGCTGTTTCCGACATTCATTCCAGGTTGTCCCTGATGCGCGCGCATACGGGAGGGATGATATCAAGGCAGCGCCAATGCCGACTTGGCAGCAGCAAGCGCAGCGAAGCTTTCCCTGAGCGTCAGTTCGTCTTGGCCGGGCTGGCCGCCCAATGAGACTCCGCTTTTCAAGCTCATGGCACACGGGTTCCACCCGCAAAACAGCGATCTGTGCCTCTTGGGGGCGCCTGCCGGGTGTGTGTGAGAGTTGGATCCAACCACTCAACTCGTCAGGCACAGCTGTCCATCCTCGCCATCCCGCCGTCTCGCAATCGAGGCGGTGTTCCGGGCAATGCATGCTGTCTTGTGTGCTGTTTGAGCATCAAGCACGTCCAGACGCTCAACCCAGCAGCAGGTCTCGCAATTCTTAAAATGGGCTGGTGCGTGGAATCCGCCCCACATGTTGCCCAGGAAAGAGACTCGCTCCGAGGGGATACGAGGGAGGCAGATGAACAACAGATGAAGTCTTCCGACTGGACTGTGTCCTCTCCTGCCTTCGTTGCCGTGTCTGAAACATCTTTCCTTGTAACTAACTACATAGTAGTGGAAGATGCCATCGGACTTGGCTTTGTCCGAGCATCCGCCGAATCGGCACGGCTGAGGAATCGATAAAAACGGCCCATTGGGCTTCCTTGGGCTTTCTTCTTGGTTGAAGCTGACGGGCCCCTCTCCCGCCAGCAACCCCTGGCATGTTGACCCCCTTTTTTGCCGTCATCCGTAACCAACGGCCACATCCACAACCCCCACCAGATCGTTTTGCACCCTTGAAGCTCCCAGTTTGTTTTGACCTGGCTCCAGCAGGCGGGCATTTACCGACTGTGTAGCGTACATACGTACATATTGTGTGTAGACCTACCAGGTCTGCATTGTGCGTATGTACCACAGCGATAGACTTCGCGAACCTCGTCCAATCCACGTTATCATTTCGGTGGTGCTACATCCGCGCCGGACACTGATTTCGCAGCTCTTGGCTGGCCAAAAAAACAAACTCATGTCTCGCTGGTGGAAATACCGGTAACTACATAAACTGAAAGGGTTTGTTTTGTGTTTGCTCTCATGCCCCAGCACGCCTCTTTGGCTCTTCTGCGAAGCTGGGGTTTTCCGTGTGAAAACAACGTTGTGAAGCAAGAGCGAAGAACGGCCTGCGGCAAAGCAAGGCATCATCACCGCATGAGAACTCGAACGCCGCTAACTAACAAGCGGACGGGAACGGAGGCCGTTTTGAAGATGGGTGATGATCAACGAACCTGGATCTCCGATCTGGGCCCCACACCTCCTTCGTACACAGTCCTTTTAGCGTTCCTGGCTGAGCCAATCTTCAGTTGTCAGCTTTTGAGTGGGAGTTGGTCGCACATCGATCAATGCGCCGTTTCCAGTTTGGGAGGATTGGTTCTCACTCAATGGAGCCTGGGAGGCGGTTCAGCTAGCTTCGTTTCCCTTTCTTATTTTTTTTTATTCCCTTGCGCTTTTCCTCTCTCTCGTTAAAGGTGAGTCAGCACCTTGCTGGATTCTCATGCCAGGGGTGCTCTGGACCGTATGCACAAATCCAGATCCCGCGAGCCCAGACTGCCCGGCGAATGCACAGTACCAATAGGGACTTATCCTGACCTGCAGCAAAAGCACCAAGTCCGGACGCGTCCATCAGCGGGGAACGGGCGATCCTTGGCGATCCAGCGCGTTGCCCAGCCCGCGCTGGACCAACCCCCCTGGCTGCACCGAGGTCATCCGAAGGAACCATTTCACATTTCCGGGTCGCCGTCTTTTCGTTCATGTGGAGGCCCCGCAGTCCGGCGGCCATCAACACAGACAAGACGGCACATTCCTCTACAGGCATTCGTGTCTCGTTGCGGTAGGTAGGTGGCGTGCCGAGTCTCGCTCCTTTAGGTATCGTGGCTTTTTGCTGTGCCCGTTCTGTGCTGCTCGGGCAGCCGCCAAAGGCAGTGAGTCGACAGGGGGACGGAAGCCCGAACAGGCAGGGGAGCCCGCCAACAAGAGAGCCCGTTCTTCTCGCCAATGGCCCCGTCTCCTCGCCGGTAGCGCCTTTCTCGCTCCCCACTCCCCGTCTCAATAGTGCCAGTGCGACTCTGAGCCAAGGAAATAAAAATAATTCCTGACCAACCGACTCCTTCTTCCCTCCTGACCCCGAGAGATCGTGTTCGCCCTCGTCGCCGCCTTGTTCCTCCCCATTGCCATCGTCTCCGCCTTTCTTCTCCAGACATCGCGGCTTTGTGTCGCCTCAGCCGTTTGCCTGTCTCTACAAACCGGTTCCGCTTTCCTCGGGACCTCGTCTCTTCGTCGCACTGGGCCTGTCCCTCCGTCCAACCCGTCGCACCTTAATACACGACCGCTGCGTTCGGCGATTTCCCACAGCGCCGGATCACTCTCAGAGCGTGGTTTCGCTGTTATTGTGTGCATCGTTACCTCGACCTTTTTTGACCTCGAAACGACCGCAGCGAGCCTCTCTACAGACGCACGCCGACCTAACTTCTGGCTTCGGCCTTGACTCAGTCCAGCCCCCGGCCTCGGTTTAACTTCATCGGCTCCTTGACTCGTGAGTACCAAGCCACATCTCGCACTGGCAGCGAACCTACCGGACTTTGCGCAAGCCGGTCGGCCATCTTCCGCGTAACCCCCGGAATCTTTTTCTGTTGTGTTTCCTTGCGCAATTCTATTTCTTGAGCCGGGCCAACATGGTTGCGGAATGTTGATCTATCGTCTCATCTCGTCCCGGGGCAGGCCTACCCCCACTTCCTGTCTCCAGACCCTACCGTCATCCGATTACATGCGTGGCAGCGCAGCTAACCAAGTTTTCGCATATACAGTAGGCAGATTGCCACTTTGGATTGGGAACTCGACAACAGCCCTTCACGGCCTGACCCTTGAACCGTCTCTAGATCTGTCCCGCCTTGCGACAGGAAGAAAATCAAAACAACCAGTTGCTCCGCCCTTACGAAAACCATCCGTTTGGCAAGTTACATCGATTCTTCCAGGAGTAGCCTGGCCAACCAGCGGTCTACATGCCTAGGTTTTCGGTTGCGTTCGGCAGGCGGAGGTCGACCGCCGACAATCTAGAAAATGCCGCGGTAACAGGTCCGTCTTTCCGCGTTCTAGAGCGCACCGACGTGGTTGGAGCCAAGCCTTTCGACGGCGGCGTGAAACTTACGACGACGACCCATGCACTGCACAAGCCGACCAGGTCCGATGTGACTGTCGATGACAATATATTCGCCGACCTCAAGCCAAACCGGTAGGTGCTGGGCCTACTCTTGGGCGTGGCCATTTGGGATATTCTTTGACTGATGATTATCGCGCAGCGGGAGCGGCTCCTCGAACACGACCAATACGAATTTGACGGATAATTCGTCGGGTCATAGTAATGCCTCGACCACCCCCTCAACCGCCGACACTGGGGGCTCCGATGAATGGCGCGGCGCGCAGAGGAAGCTGCCAAATGACATTCCAGTGCCTCCAATTCCAAGACCCTCCTCCGGGTTCCTAAAGGCTGCCGGGCGTACGTTTTCTTTTGGTGGGCAAAAAAAGCACATGCCCCCGCCGCCCACGATAGAGGAGTCGCCGCCACCGAGCCCTATTGCCACGGGGATGAGAACACCTGCGAATGGACGGGCAAGAGCGCCCACTGCCTCGACCTCCACCACAGTGACACCTCCTAAGGTTGACGGTGACTTTGATTTGGACCTGGGCGGGGATTTTAGCAGGATGTTACTAGGGAATGACAAGCGAGCCAGTGTCGCCACCGTAAGAAACGACCAGTACTCGGGACAGATGCCCGCTCCTCGATCCCTCACAGCGGCCCGACCGATTCAACCGACGCCGATTCAGATCGACAACACGACCAAAGTCGATCCTCCCGCCCACTCTTGGAGCAGCCAGCATTCCGACGACCAGCTGATTGCCCCGTCTAGCCCTTCTCAATCACCCCCCGCCAAGAATGGCGCCCCGCCTCCGGTCCCGCGCCATACGTCGCCGGTTTTCGAACGACAAAGGCCCGGGACTTCACCAGAAGTAGGGCCAAGGCGGCCCATGCTTGCGACCCAGAGACGCAGCTCGGAGGACGATGGCGAGGACGAAGAAGCCAAGCTCTTGAAAGATTCGCTGTCCACCGTGTCCATGTTCATGACCCGTCCAGGCAACTCGACCTCTCCGTCGGTTACTGGATACCGCAGGGAGGAACACAACCTGGAAGGAGAAGGTGACAGTCTGTTCGACTCCAGCCCCGCGCATTCCTCTAAGTACGGTAGCCGCTATTCCGTCCCGCAAGAGCACAATAACCCGACTGGGACCCACAAAGTCATGACCCCCGCCGAGTTTGAGCGGTATCGGAAGGACAAGGAACGCCAAGATAGGGAGCGGGAGATAATGGGTGCACCCGGTAGCAAGGCCGGCGAAGACGATGAGGAAGACAATTATGAAGACGAAGAGGATGATGCGGAAAAGGCGAAACAGCAGGCAAAGCAACGACGCAAGCAGGAGGCTCACATGTCCGTGTATCGACAACAGATGATGAAGGTGACAGGAGAGGCCGCCGGCAGCCTACCGTCCTCCCGACACAGTTTGCAGATGTCCTTCAGCACTCCGAATCTGCCAAACGCGGGTCCCGCGGCTATCGCAACCGAGAATTCCGACGAAGACGAGGAAATCCCCTTGGCAATCCTTGCCGCACATGGCTTCCCGGCCAAGAACCGCCCGCCCAATCGCTTGAGCACCATGGGGTCGAATCCTAACTTGCGGGCTTCGCAGCAACCGAGCTACCAACGGCCAATGTCGGTAGTTGGGGATGTGCAAGGGCCAGGAAACCCGCGTCTCCCCGCATTTGCTAGGAACCTCCCCAAAGACCCCTTCGTCGGCGCTGGCCTCGTCCGTAACTCGGTTCGAGAGAGCATGGCCCTCGGGGGTGGCGCTCCCGCCCCAGGGCAGCCGAGCCCGCCAGTCCATCCTGGTGGCCTCATCGGTGTGATTGCGAATGAGGAGCGAAACCGCGCGATGAGGAGGGGCAGCCCGCACATGGATGGCCCTAGCTCTATGCCTGGAGCAGGCGGTTTTGACCCCGTCGCCGGCATCCCTTCCCACATGATGTATCAGCCTAGCCCGCCGGCGCTCACGCCAGGCGACCAAGCACAGATTCACATGACTCAACAAATGCAGCAGTTCATGCAGATGCAGATGCAATTCATGCAGATGGTGGCTGGCCAGAATGGCAATCCTCCGGCCATGGCTGGCGGGCCGTTGACATCGCCCTCGATGGGGAACCTCAGCGCCATGGGTGGTCCTACCACTGGTTTCATGGCCCCCGATATGCGACACTCGTTCATGGGTAACGACCCGATGCTTGATTCGCCCTTCGGCCGGGGCGAGGCGCAAATGCGCACCATGAGCATGGTCCAGCCGAGTTCTGCGTCATGGATCCAGCCGACGCAGCCTGCCGGGTTTGCGCCTTCGATTCGTTTCCAAGGTGGCGGTTATGCCCCGTCCATCGCCCCCTCGGAGCGCAGCAACATCGGCCTTCCGGGTCGGTACCGCCCAGTCTCGCAGGTGCCGGCGGCGGCCACAGTGAGCCATTTGCGGAAGTCCTCAACCATGTCTGGTGCAATCACGCAGCCCAGCATCTCGGTGACGCGGTCTGGCAGCGCGTCAGATGACGATGACGAAGAAGGGTGGGAGGCTATGAAGGCGAAGCGTGAGAAGAAGAAGTCGCTGTGGAGGGCCAAGAAGTCTGTCGGTGACGATATTGGCGCATTCATTAACTGAACGAGGTCGGGATTAGTGAGACGAGTCTTTTAAATGCTTGGCGATGGGTATTAATTGTCAGGGATGAAACTTTTTTGGCCTTTGTATAACGGCACACGTTGAATACGCCGAGGTATGGCGCTTGCATTGTATACTCTCTCGTTTTACTTACCAGGCAGTGAAATGGACGGGTTCGAAGGGCGGTAGACGGAAACCAGTTTGGGCCCGGGCCTTCCCTGGTCTGCGCGGAGGATTCATGATAGACATAGCATTTTGATGCGCTAATCTGGTAATACCAATATACAAAAAGCGACTGTTTAGACGCCTCGACTCTAAAACTCGAGCCCGAAGTGAGCCGGGTTAATAAAGCATACAGAACCACGCCGAGCAGGGCGTTGCTATTCCATTGTCCCGGCTGCCCAGGCCTTCCGTTTCACACCCATCTCAACGGCAGCAAGCCCCCAGTCCTCGCCGTGGTTGTGGCTCCCCTCGATGAGACCTGCCCGAGCCTTCGCCTGCTCATCATTCAGTACGGTGAGGACGCCGAATACAACGGGCACACCCGTGTCCAAGGACACACGCATCAACCCGTCCGAAACACTGCCGGCGATGTATTCAAAATGCATCGTCTCTCCCTTAATCAGTACACCAATGGCGATGATGGCGTCAAACGGTCCCGTAGAAGCCGAGGCCGAGGGTAGGGACGCCAAGTCAACCGTCGAGCTCCCCAGAAGGTCACCTGCCGAACCACCGCTGCCGGCTGACGAGGATTGCACTTGTGAGGCCGCGTAAAGGCTATCGGGAGGGGGTCGAGGAAGCATTGTCAGCGTAAGGCGGTCCCATCTCAACTTAGCGCCCTGGGATTGCGAAGGACAGGCGGCAACGTCACAAGAGCGAAACGATTGGTGCCATGCAAAGAAGAGGGTCGCAGAAGATGAACATACCGCTGGACGGCAATTGGTAGCTCCCATGAGCCCGGGACGGTCTGGACCACGATATTCGACTCCTTCACACCACACTCCTCGAGCTTGGCCTTCGCACCGGCGAGCAGGGGATCGATGATGGTGTCATTCCAGCGCGCGTGGACGATACCGATGCGCAGGTTGCTGCCGTCGTGGAGCTGCGGAGCCGGGCCTTTGGTATGCATTTTTATTCAGAGACTGAGAGGTGTGGGGTAATTGAAAACGAGAAATTCTAACGAGGGCTCGATTGAAGTCGGGGTATCAATTTGGGTAGTCACCGGGGTTCGTGCATGAGCGTCGGGGAGCGAGGCGTTGAGGTTGAGGGACTCGTACACATGAGGGGCACATGGAGGGGCAGCTCCGGCCCCACCCCCTTGTCCGAGGTGCTTGCTTGGCTGACTCAGCTCTGGGAGGAATAACCAGGAACATCGAGATGGCCCGGAATAGATTCAGTTATTGTCTTCACAAAGTAAGCCTGTCAAATTCTTCTAGATTACCATTTTGCTTCCTACTCGATGTTAGGTAGCTTTCCAATCTTACTAGTAGGACAAATGCCATCGACAGGGGTCAAGCTACCTCAAACCCCGGACCGCTCAAGTCGACGGCTCCTTCCTTCTATTCTAGTTGTATACTTCGCAAGACTCGAACGTGCCTGCCTCGAGTTCAATTGAGAAAGGCAGCCGAGGTACCTATGGACAATGGCCTGCCAGTGAGATAAATTCTGCTTTAGAGTCCACACCCGTTCCCATTGTGATCTGATTCCCTTAAACATCGACTCTTGAATCGACACTATTACTTTGAGCTCCTGCTCTCGGCGCTGCAATACCGTCCTGGACCCCTTTTCCGATACCTCTCTTTTTTATCAATCATTTTTATCAATACGGTATGTCAATCGTACCTTTGCCCGAAGCCACTGTCCGCAACCTGGGTTCGAGTCTTGTCATCACTAGCCCCGTGCTTTTACTCAAGGAGCTTGTAGACAATGCTATTGACGCGGGAGCGACCTCGATTGATGTGCTAGTTTCCCCTAACACGGTTGACAAGATCGAGGTCAGAGATAATGGCCACGGTATCAGCCCTGCCGACTTTGGCTACCTCGCTTGCCCCGGCCACACAAGCAAGCTCAGGTCACTAGACGAACTCGACGCCCTGGGAGGGAGAACGCTGGGGTTCCGCGGTGTTGCATTAGCGAGTGTCAATAACTTGGCCAATGTTTCTCTGTCAACCCGAGTGTCAACCGAGCATGTTGCGGCGGTCATCTCTCTCGCGAAGGGGGGAGGAGTTGACACCCTGCGACATGCTGGCGCTCCAGTCGGCACAGCCGTTTGTGTGACGGATTTGTTCTCTCATCTGCCCGTTAGATCACAAGTTACCGTCAGGGAGGCACCCAAGAATTTAACAAGGATGAAGGAGCTTTTACAGTCATATGCACTCACGAGACCCACGGTAAAGCTGCGATTCACAGTTCTGAAGACCCCCAGTCTCTCGTGGTCTTATGCTCCAGCGGCGAATAGTGATGTCAAGGCAGCGGCGATTCAGATTTTTGGCACAGAGCTGGCGTCGCAGTGCTCATTCGAAACTTACCCGAGCAAGATAGCTCAAGACGACGACAAACTTTCGAGCAATCAGAACGTCCCCGGTTGTCTGCCGGAACAAGCGACAAAAGTGGTCTTCGAAGCTCTGTTGCCGAGACCCACGGCCGACCCCCAGAAGATTTCCAAGGGAGCCTTTATCTCTGTGGATGCTCGACCGGTATCTGCTGCTCGAGGGACGGCCAAGAAATTGGTGTCCATCTTCAAAGGACGCATCGAAGGTCATTTTGCATCGGCTCGCTCGATAGCCACGCCCAAGAGCCCCTTCATCAGGTTGAATATCCGGTGCCCGCCGGGTAGCTACGATGTGAACGTTGAGCCATCCAAGGATGATGTTCTCTTCAAGGCGGAACATCATATTATTGATCAGTTCGAGTCATTCCTTTCATATGTCTATCCTGCCACTAGGGGCGGGCCGTCACACCTGTCGCCGATAACCGCCACAGAAACAGACGTTGAAGCGCCTGGCGGGAAGGCCGCGGAGAGTTTCAGTCCATGTCCGTCGCCACAGGTATGGAGATCTTCAGATACGGACAACCGAATTTTGCTGACACCCCAAGACCGTGGTTCCGCCGTGGGGGGTTGATATGTCATCAGGATTTGATGGAATCAGCGACGATGAGGCTGGTGAACAGATCAATGCCGATACTCGACAAGATATACGACAGGTGGTAGAGCTCGGGGTTGACGACGAAAACATTGCGCAGTCTCCAGATGAGGGTTTGAATCCTTGGTCTCTCGCCAAACTTACTGGCAAGACACAAAGCAGTGCACCACGACACGAAGGACCCGTGCAAAATATACATTGGGAGACTCGACTTCGGTTGCTAGAATCTGGAGCCACCGACCCCCTCGGCGTGAGCTCACCATCAGGTATGCAAGAACCAGACTCAACACAAAGCCCGCCCCCCCGGCCCGGTCGTCACGGTAGACGCGAGAACCCGGCGTCGCAAGGTAGACGCGTTGAAGACCTCCTCGGGCACAAACATGACAGATCGACCGTCCGTTCTGCTCGGCTGCCAAATCAGCACAACCGGCCTAGTCGCTATCACGGACTTCGAAGCCCGCCAACTTCTTCCCCGCATGAGCAAGATCGTGATAGGGTTGGTATAAGGGATCGTCCCCGTCCACAAAGCTCAGCAAAACCAGGCCGGACAGTCCAGTCGCGGCTCTCATTCGACAGAAATAATAGCCGGCCAAGAAGACACCGTGACCATCCCGACCTGGATCGGCAGTCTCCAAAACCTGCTCGGCCAAACAGGCGCGCGAGGAACCCAGCATCGACTCGTTTAGTTGACCTTGAGGACATGGACTTCATAACGGAGACTCCTGTCAGGACGAGTTCCGCAGACGGGAGTGTTCCCCGACAGCCATCGCCGTCTCACAGATCTCTGTTACGCAATATCCCTGGGGTTGGTGAAAGCGCGAGAGAGGTCTATCTGCCGAGAAGGCCAGATAAAAACACCACTCAGCCACCTCTGCAGCTCGATGATCCAAGAGTACGACTCATAGAGCAGCAGCGCCTTATGACAACAAGCGCACGAAAGAAGCCCAAGCGGCTCACAACCGGCCGGCTGCCCCTCGAGACGATCCCACGCGATTCCGAGACTTGCGCTCTATCGCTGACAGTGGCGGCTGATGCACGAAGTTTGGCACAGCTGCTTACCGAAGCCTCTCAATTCGATACTTGGTTGGTTGACGGGGAGTTGAGAGGAGCCTTTGATGATGGGCCCGGGCCCAAGGACACGGCCAGGCTGATGGAGCCTTTGCTGGCACAGCTGGGCTATGGAACAGCCGCATCTGCCCAAACCGCATCGCCGCTGCCAATGCCGTCGTGATAATCACATAACCACACGAGTGAAGCCTCCGTGGAGGTATGTTTGGCGCATGCTTTGATGATTTTGGGGTTTCTGTTCACTCTGCCTGTCGTGTTCAGACCATTAATCTGTACATCCGCCGTTGTGTCGTCGGGCGTGGAGGTTGTAGATCGCTACTAAGCTTGTCGCATACGTCCCACACGCGGACGAATTGTACCCCGGGCGAGGAAGAAGCGAAGAGGGTGAAATCCTTTGGCCGAGTGCCCCCACGGGAGGGAGTCAGTTCAAGCCGAGTTCAGGTCGACACGAGCTTGCATGCAGAGGGACTCGCATCCAATTGGAGCTGGGAAGAGCTTTCAAACGGCACCACGGCGCTGATCTTGGTTGATATTTATTAATGGGCAGGCTATTTTTGAAGCAATGACGGCTAGGATCTTGCAACGAGCGGGCGACAACAAGACGTTTGATTGACTGGTTTTGTGTTTCGTGGCTGCGTGCGTGGATTCCTCGTGTTGAACCGCAGGATCAAAGCTTCCTCAACCTTACGACCCACCTTTAGCGAGCGGACGTCATCCATGGCTTGGTGCCACCCTTTCAGCCCCAAACAGCAGCCTCTCCAGCCAACCAGCGCTTGAAGTGGACCGCCGTTGATCAGCAAACCCGGTGCTGCGCACAGTGGAGCCGAGCAGCGACCGCCCGAGCGCCCTTCTCCATCCACCATCCATCCACCCTCTTGGGCCTCCACTGCTTTTTGATTTTACACGAGACCCAGGCCCGCCCCCTAACTAAAACAAACACTTGCACTCGCTTCCCTCTATCGCCTGGGTTATTGAGCCCCTACTTGCGCCGCTAGTCAAGTCCGCACAAAGGCGCTGCGGTCCCGGGGAGTCTCATCCAAGATGCACAGCTAGTCGGCCGCTGCCGCTTGTGCTGTTGTTCCACCCGCGCTTTCCAGGTTCCTGCCTCCCTGTAGCCCACCGTCCGCTCCCGGGTCCCTCCTTTCGAGCCTTGAGTCAGCCGGCCGTCGACACACTTGCCATTCCCGGTCTCGATCCAATCATGCCGGCAGTCGATGCCTTTGGCCCTCTGTTCCCCGAGTTCGAGCCCGAGCCATGTGGTGTCCACCGTGACGATCGTGCCGGTGGGCGTCGGCGACCTTCCGGGCATGTCCCGCCCTGCCACCTGCCTTTGCGCTCCGCGATCTGCCCGGCTGGACCCTCCACTTTTTCGTTATCCAACAATGCTGCCGAGAGAAAACGCCTCCGTCCTTTCCTGCCCCGGCCGTCGGTCTTCGCTGCCATCGCTTCCCTGATCTTCGTGCCCAGCGCCGTGTTCCGTCCTGCCGCGGCCGCCGCTGTCCCCTTCGAAAACTGCCTGTCCGCGTCCTACATCAACAACATACCTACGCCGCTGCAATGGGTCCCCCACTGGGTCGACGCCTCGTTCAACGCGACGGATCCCAAGCACACGCTCCGTGTGACCATGTGGGGAAATGTGAAGGGCGCCTTCACAGACGTTGTGCTGCCGCCGCCCGAGAGTCCGGACTGGAAGGACTCGACCAAGACCGACGGCAAGATCATCGACGAGCCCGAGCCGGACGCGCCGTTCCCCAAAATCACGACCCTCTACAGCAAGGTTAATGTCCTGACCTACGAACCTTGGAGTGATGGCACAGACTTTTGCAACACATCGCTGACGAATGCCTCGTGCCCGCTGGCGCCTGTCTTCGTCTCGCCCAACTCCAGGTAAATTCATCGTCCACGACCGTATTTGTACCCCGGTTGGGCCGGGTAGTCAACCCCTCCATGCTTTCAGATGCTGACCGGTTTTGGATGCGTAGTTTACTTCCGTACATCCTGCCATCCGTAACCATGAGCAACGACTTCTACTCGTCCTACGCCTTCGCATCCTTCACGACAACTTTCATCATCATCTATGGGGACGCCAAGGGCACCAACATTGGCTGTGTCTCGGCTGCTGTGACGCCCGATCTGGGGGACTTGGCTTGGTTGCTCAAATTCCTGCCGTTGCTTGTCTTGTTGTTTGTGGGTGTGGCGACTGTCTTCGCCGGTATCTTCAGCCCGTGGGGGGCCGCCGACATCTTCCAGTGGAGCTCCAACTACGGTCGGGATCCCGATCTCCTCCGCCTCGTTACGCCTGGTTTTGGGGATTGCCTGCAGTACATCCAGTTCGTCGTCCTCACCGGAGGGCTCACTCTCAACTACCCGGGCTTCTACCAGCCAATCGTCAGCCAGGGGTCCTGGGCGGCTTTGATGTTCAACCAGAGCTTCGTGAGCAAGGATCCGGGGTGGGTCAGCGTGCGGGATGGCATTTACATCACGGATGGTATATACGGTTTGCAGGATCTTTCCCAGCTGGTCGGTATGGGCACCGTCGACGACATATGGGCTGGCATGATGGTATGGCTGCTCGTGATCATCGCCGGCATGATTGTGCTTCTTCAGGCAGGCTTTTTCGCCCAGTGGCTCTATCGCTTCGTGAAGAAGATACCCGAGGAGGACCTCCGTGCCAAGAACATTCCTTTCACCCTGGGGAATGTCATCAGGATTGTTTTCAACTATTTCCTGCTGCCGATTGTAGCGCTCTCGACTTTTCAGCTGGTCGTCGCCAGCGGTTCACCGGCCTACGCGGTCACCTTCGCCGTCGTTACCTTGATTCTCATCGTCGGTTTTGCAGCTTGGTTACTGTACCTCATCGCGACCACAAAGCCGAGGGCATTCTTGTTCGACGATCTCCCGACACTACTCCTCTACGGTCCTCTCTACAACACGTATTCCGACGAAGCCGCGGCCTTCACGCTGATCCCGGTCCTTCTCACGTTCGTTCGCGGCATCGCCATCGGAGCTGTCCAACCTGCGGGGGTAGCCCAGGTGGTCCTCCTCGCCATCTGCGAGGTGATTCAGATCCTGACCCTTCACGCGTTTCGGCCCTTCCACTCTCCCACGTCTATGAACGCCTACCACACCCTTTTCTCCGCCCTTCGCCTCATCACCGTCCTCCTGATGGTAGCCTTCGTCCCTTCTCTTGGGGTGACGGATGGCCCTAAAGGCTGGATTGGTTACGCGATCCTCGTCACCCACGCGGGCGTACTCGTTCTTGGCTTTCTCCTCAACGCGGTGCAGACTATAGTGGAGGTTTTTGCCCGGATGCTCGGAGCCGGCGGCGACGATATCCGCGGGCAGTCCAGGGGTGCTTTATCCAAGATTTTTGGGATGCGTCAACTGTCGCGACGCATGTCCCGGCGCGAGAACGGCCCATCTAGGCAGAGTCAGCTATCCAGCTCGGCGATGCTTGACGCCGACGAGCTATCCAGAACGGGATACGTTATGCCCAGCGGTCGTGTCCGGAGCGAATCCGCCGGGAGTATCGGGATGCTGATGCATCGCCGCCAGAGAAGCTCATCGGTTTTGGATAATCTGAGTCTTGATACCCCGGCCCGCAATTTCGACAGCGGCGCAAGCTCCTTCACCCCGACCACCCCGGGTGAGGCGAGTAACTTCTCCTATTTGCCATCACCCAAGCAGGTACTCCGACACCACGGCCCGTTCGGTATGCAGACACCGGACCCCTATTATCGCCCACCGAGGCAGCGACGTCCGACCCTCGATGCGCCGTCTTCACCCTCCTCCAACACGGTCGGGACTTGGCAAGCCGGCGAGTCGCCCCAGAAACGCCTTAGCCAGGCGGGGACCGGCACACTAGGAGATCCCGCGGAAATAGCGGCCCAGATATCAAGAGACGCGACGCCTGCACCCTACACTGTTCCTTTCGCCCCACGGGCCGACTATTCGACCCGTGAGGTGGATTTCTATTACGGGGTTAGGGGCGAGCGGCTGAACTCGGACGCGCCGAACCGTAAACTGAGGACCGGCCCGGCCGACCCGACCCGGCCGGTACCATCTACTACGGGCTGGTTCTGGGGTATGTTCGGGAATAAAGCAAAGGACAAGGGGAAAGGATTCGAGGTGGTCAGGAGCTCACGGATGCCGCCCGCCATGCGAGCTGCGGGTGGTGATTTTGAGGATGAGCGCCCCCCGGAGGGGATACCGGTCGCGATGGGGGTCTTGCGGAACGGGCCTATCGAATCGGATGAAGAGGACGAGGGGCGGGGAAACAAGGGTGCCCGTCCCTCACACGTAACGTCGCCGGAGCGGGAACCACTCAACGGCCGAAGGAGGTCCCGGGAGGATAGTTCGGACGGCTTTGGCACCTCGAGCCCACCTCCAGCCCCAACCGCATCCGGGGATGCTACCACGGCAGATTCCGCCAACAAGCCTAATGAAACCCCACAGCATGACGCGGGTGGCGATCTGCGAGTCCCAGATGTCCCCAGGAAGAGCTCCAAACGGAATTCGTGGACTGGTTCGCAGAAAGGGGATTCGCAGCTATCGCAACCCGAGCCGAATCGGCCGGCGAACCTCGCCCCATCGGCCGCAACGCCGTCCCGGCTACCGTTTGAGCGGACCCCGTCGGGCTCGTCAGCTGGACTCACAGACGAGTTTACTCAGGTCGACCTGCAAGAACCCAACGGCGGGACAACTGCTGGCTACGGGTTCGTTAACAAGGGCAGCGTTAACAGAGTCGACCACGATGTCGATCTCTTGAGCAGTTCTGCTGAGCTGGTGGACGAGAGGCGATAGGTGGGCCGACGAGCAGCTAGAGTTTCCGCCCGCCATCTGGGGGATTCTCGCCCCGTAGGCCCCAAGTTTTATCGGCTGGTTTTCATATTGTGTTTTTTGGTCTTGGAACTCACTGAAGTGACGGCTGCAGACCTGTTCACGGATCGGGCTATGTTGGGTTTTTTTTGGTTTTTGTTTTGGATGTTTAGCGACGGCGCACAAAATAGGGGTGTCAATAGGTCGGGGGTCGGATTGTTCTTATTGTCTGGTGGCGAAGTGGCAGATATAATGTACGTACACACGCGGGATACTTAGAAGAACCAAGGCGGCAAGGGTCGTATATTGTAACGGGTAATTGACGATTGTATTGAGGCTTGCTACGGATCCGAGTGGCACCGAAATGCCATCTCTTGCAACAGCAGATGTCCTGATTCCTTGGGAATCAGGGAAAGATGGGTATCGGGTCATTTATTCGTGACTTCATGAGAATAGATATCCTTAATATGTATCGTAGAGAAACAGAAACCATACTCTTGCCGCCTCAGCCGGCAAGCAAACCGACCATAGCCGGTGAGAACGGCCAACGTAAAGCAACAAGACACAAAACAGGTAGCCACCCCTTTGACGCAAATCGGCTGCTCACAAGATCCCTAGTCCAGCCACTCCAGCGGCAACGGCGCCAACCAGCCCGGCGCATGCTGCCACCCCCGTTGGTCTCGTTGCTGCGTTGCCCTCACCCGTGCCAAAGTAGAAGCCATCGGTAGAGGTGCCGGACATGGTGCACATGCTGGGTCGAAGGCCGCCGCAGGCCTCGCTGGACAGGCTATTGCCTATTAAGCGTGGAAAGTAAGCATACTGCTCGCCACAGTCGAGGGGAGGGCAGAATAAGAAGGGAGAATACAAAATACAAAAATGCGACTTACAGATACTGGTAGCGGCGGCAGCGGCGACACTGATCCCATCCCCGGCCGCCACGGTCGTCCCGCCGCCTCCTGGGACCACGACGGTAACGGCGTACCCGGCCCCCGAGCCATCCTGGCCCGCCAGCTGCGAGGTGCAGGCCGCGTGGTTTGCGTTGCATTGGCTGATGGCCGCGGAGCAGTGGCCCGGGTTGGCGAAGTAGGTGGCGATGTAGGGGAAGGAGAAGAAGACGTTCGGAACGTAGGAGGCGGCGGTGGTGGCGGCCGCGTCGGGGGGTACGAAGTTGTCCGGCGCGGTGCCGGTGCAGACGGCGCTAAGAGAGGGAGAAAAAGAAACCGACTTGTTAGCGCGCTGTGTCCGTGTCGACGCCGGGGGCTCAGTCGGATCTGCTAGGTACGTCGACTTACTTGGTGGGGCAGCAGGCCGGGCTATCGTTGGCGTCGAGAGCGCATCGTTGTCCGTTCTGGCAGCAGACGCCGTCAAACGCGGGGCCCTGGTCGGCGCAGCTGAAGAAGTTGGCGAGGCATGCCGACTCCTGGCGTTTTGCGACAGGCGCTGCCGTCTCGACGGGCCGGAACGGCTGCATGCTGGCGCATACTGCCGATGTCCATGCAAGTATCAAGAACAGACGGCCCGGGTTCCGCCCGGAGCGTGGTTGTTTGATTCCCATCCTCTGCCCTCTTTCGGAACCAACTGTGGGGTGGAAGCGGCTGGTAACAGAAATCTGGACGGGTTGCTGCGGACGATTATGGCGCTCCGCAAGGTGGGACAGCAAGGTACGGATACGTGGTATGTATGTTACGTAGGTAGGGAGGCGGTTGGGTGCGAGCAGCTTTAGACAAATGCAATTGGGAGACAGCGGGAAGCTTGCAGCTCGATGAAAGCAGCTTCGGCTGCAGGAGCGGTGTTATTTACAAGAAACAAAAGAGAGCGGCGCGGCGCTGGGCTGCAGCTCTGCGGCACTCCAGCAATTCCTGCGACATAAAAGCGAGCGCCCTTTTTTTTTTTTGGAACAGAGCGGTGTGCTGCGCCGACTGCGACCCGAAGAAGGCCGAGAGGTTGGACAACACAGCACCGCAACGAGTCTGGCTTGGTGGGTGAGGGAAGCTTGGAAGATCTCCCTGACCAACCACAAGCCTAAAAGCTTCCCAGTGATGTCATCCGATTGCTGGCCCAGCAACCCACACACTTGGACCCTGGTTTGGTGGGCGCCAGCGGGGTAAAAATGCAACACCACGGGCCCGGGAGGGGCAGCCTTGTCGCGATCTGGCGAGGTGGAAGAACGGAACCACGTGACAAGGCATGGGAGCGACTTGTTAAGGGGTTCAGGGACATGTCCGTTTCGCTGCGCCGGGCGAAGTTCGCTGGTTGGAACATCATATTATGATGGTTGAGCGAAGGCGTACCAAGAGTTTATTAATTATGTTTCAAGGCCCTCGTAGATGACCGAGGATGGCTCGTAGCCGCAGTAATGCTGTTGGCTCGGGTGGTTTCTCCCCCGGTTTTGCTTCCTCTATCCGCCGTACCTCGGAACGAGCCTCCTCAACAAGTGAGCCTAGATCGCCCCAAACCTCATCCTGGTAGCTGGTAAGCACGCGGGACCACTGGTCAATCCAGGTCTGCCAGGCCTCGTCCATGTGAGAGGTACCCATGTGCATGGAAAGTTGGTTATCTGGCGCTCGGAGAAACTCTGGGATGAAGTTAAGCACATCATCCCATGCAATCGGTGACGATGAACCCTGGCCGGCCCGTTCCCCGAAGAGCGCCTCACGCAGCCCCGCCAGGTCGTCCAGTGCGGGGGGCTCGTTGGCATGGTCGAACACCTGGTCGAGGTCACCGTGACCAGACAGTAAGGTGGCGACGTCAACGCCGTCTCTTGCCTCCTGCTCCGCGACTGACAGTGGTACCGGTTCCAGTGTCCCTATGGCCCCGGCCGTCGGAGCACGAGGGACAGCCGACTGCCAAGCGTTTTCCATGCTGCTTGGTTCTGAGAGCATTGGTGCGCTTCCACTATCCAGAAAGGCGGAAAAAGATGCCTCCTCTTGGGCAATGTGCTCCTGCGCCTGCCCCATCCTCATCGCAGCGCCTCTTTGGGCGTTGGGCCGCAGCTGCACGGAGCTCTCGCCTGCCCTGGCTAGGGCCTTGCTGACCCGCGACGAATCCCCCTTTTCATGACTGGCACCGAGGCCTTCTCCTGGCGGCCCCGATAGCAAGAAAGATGCCGCGGATTGGGCCATCCGAGGCAGCGATGTCCCGGCGGATTTTGTTCTATCCGTAGTATGGCTGGGAGCCTCGTCCGAACTGGCACCAGCACCGTCAGCCTTGCCTTTGCCTTTGTCTTTGGACTCCGCCCTCGAAGCATCGCCGTCCATCGTGGCTACCTATCTAGGCAAGCGTGAGCGCGACTCGGCGATATGACCAATGGGGGCTGAGTAGGGCTCGAGGATGGTAGCCTCTACTCGACCGTTGTTAACGAGCGAGGTCCACGTTGCGGGCCGATGAGTTGCATGTGAATGGTGCAATACGATTCGGTTGGGAGACTGAGCGTTGCTGCCCGGTGGGAATTCCCAATCAAAAACCCCCGAAGAGAGTTGACCCCGACTCCAATAGGTTACTGGGAGGTTGTCACTAGCAGGCCGGGGCTGTACTTGGTCGGGACGGTCCAAATGGGTGGAAGGCAATGAAAGCTTGGTTTTGTCGGTTGTTTTAGTTAGGAGACGGGGTAGATAAATAAATAGTTGGGTGCGGCAACAAAATTGAATGAATACCTCGGGTCCTCCCGAGGCACGAGGTCCACATGACGGACGGGCAGCTTCGACCTGAGCACTTGAAGAACGCTCTCAAAGGTGTTTCAGAGGCCAGAGCCAGGTTAGGCACCTTGGGTTTCCCACTGATTCCATTGTGGGCCCGGGGGCGAACTGCTTAAAGCGGGGACCCTCCGGTGCTGAGGGAGGTCGCTGGCTGCCCGGATGGATGCCCGCACACTGTGCGCCCGTGCTCTGGGCACTCCATTTGGCCCCAACCCAGCAGTCTGGCCCATTTGGGCGCACCGAACTAACTGTACTGCGTCAAAGCCCATTGCTTGCGCCAACACTGGCTCCCGTCATTTCTAGCTCAACCTGCTTCCATCAACATTCGTGCTCATTCAGCTACACCACAGTTGGCCACGGCCCAAGTGCATCCCATACTTCACGTACGTCCTGTTTTGGAAGCGCCTGCCCCGCACCTGCCCATGTATGGACGTACTGAGACCAAGCTTACTGCTAGGGTCGGCCATCGTCTCTTTTTGCCTTCATTTTTGATCGTCGCTCCATTCTCCAACTCCCGTCCAGGTGGCACAGTCGCTTCCCGCCTTCTTCCCCGCCGTCCATCACCACGAGCCTCAGCTCTTAGCTCTTTTTATTCGGATCCTGCCTTCCCGAAACCCGCATCACGTCCACCTGCATTGTGCTCGCTCTGCGCAGCTCCCACGGACCCCAGGCACAAGTGTCGAACCCCGCCTTCGTCCCGCCGCCGCCGCCGCCGCCGCGACACACTGAACTGATACCTCGGGGACCCCTCCTTTACCTTGGACTTCGATTTTACAACGTCACTCCCGGTTTAGTCGCCGCCCCGGCTTCGTTTCTCTTTTTTTTTTTTTTAGCAGCAGTTGTTGGTAGAGGCGGACCCTTGCCGCTCCGCCAGATTGTCAAGATGGTGGACGCAGAAGCGAACGTACCAACATGGAAGTTCACCCAGTAAGCCCATGTTTTTTTTTGTCATATCTCCTCAGCTACGCAAAGTGCGCCGTGTTATGCCATAATCTAATCACGAGATCACAGGTGCTTCGGTGATAAGGGAGATGTGGAGGACATCACAGAAGGTACGACAGGACGCCCCCGCGGTTCGCCCAAGTCTCCTACGTCGAATTCAATGCCGGAACATAATGGCTCCATCTTTCCATGGTGCTGTACTGACTCCAGTTACCTCCAGCCGATATTATCTCCACTGTCGAGTTCGACCACACGGGCAACTATCTAGCAACGGGTGATAAGGGCGGCCGTGTGGTTCTGTTTGAGCGTAATGAGACAGTCAGTTGGAAATCCATGCCCATCACCTCGCCTTCTCCCAACAGCCCCCTTTCCCTACGCCGCAACCCTTGCTGATGCCCCGGGCAGAAAAAGACTTGCGAGTACAAGTTCCACACTGAGTTCCAGTCGCACGAGCCCGAGTTCGATTATCTCAAATCGCTGGAGATAGAGGAGAAGATCAACAAGATCAAGTGGTGTCGGCGACAAAACGCCTCTCACTATCTTTTGTCGACAAACGATAAGACCATCAAGCTCTGGAAGGTGTTTGAGAAGTCCCTCAAGGTTGTGGCGGAAAACAACCTGTCCCACGACCTCACCCCGGCAAACATAGCTGGTGGAGGCGGGGCCCCCCGGTCGCTTCCCGGCGCCCATTTCCGCAACGCCAGCGACCTAAAGCTCCCGCGGATGACCCACCACGATACCGTGGTGGCCGCTGTTCCCCGACGGACGTATGCTAATGCCCATGCGTACCACATAAACAGCATCTCGGTGAACAGCGACGGAGAGACATTCATCAGCAGTGATGACTTGCGCATCAACCTGTGGAACCTCAACATCCAAGACCAGAGTTTCAACATTGTCGACATTAAGCCGGCAAACATGGAAGAGCTGACCGAGGTGATCACCGCGGCCGAGTTCCACCCGATGAGCTGCAACTGGTTCATGTACGCGAGTTCCAAGGGGACCATCAAGCTGGCCGACATGCGGCAGAGCGCCCTGTGTGACCAACATGCCAAGAGTGAGTGCTCCTGCAAGCCCTCCGCCCGGTATGTGAGGTAGTAGCTAACCTAGCCGCAGTGTTCGAGCAGGAAGAAGACCCCTCTTCGAGGTCGTTCTTCTCTGAGATCATCTCGTCCATCTCGGATGTCCGCTTCTCGTACGATGGCCGTTACATCCTCTCGCGCGATTACCTGACGGTCAAGATCTGGGACGTGAACATGGAAAGACAACCCATCAAGACCATCCCGATTCACGAGCACCTTAGGCCAAGGCTCTGTGACACGTATGAGAACGACAGCATATTTGACAAGTTCGAGGTGGTATTTTCTGGCGATGGCAAGAACGTCATGACGGGAAGTTACAACAACAACTTCATGATCTACCCATCAGACCCTGAGCAGGAGGTGGAAGTAGTACTCCAGGCCGATAAGTCGGCTTTCAAGGCTAAGAAGGTTGGGGTGCCGACACCCATCAACTCGGCCACGAGCCCAACTGCGAACGGGAAGAAGGGTGGCTCACGGGCGGGGAGCCCAGCGGCGCCAGGACAAGGCCAGAGGATGCGGAAGGAAACTGATGCCGACCAGATCGACTTCAACAAGAAAATCCTGCACATGAGCTGGCATCCCTTTGAAGACAGCATTGCGATTGCGGCGACAAATAATGTGAGAGCCAACTTCAGGCCGATGAGCCATTCTGGGCAGTTTACAGTCCGCTAACACGATGCTCTAGCTCTTCGTCTTCTCTGCCTTGTAGAGAGATACTCACTCTACATCACAGAGGAGAGAGGCGTTTCTGTGCGACGCTCTCTGACTTGACTACAGTGCTGTAGAGGCTAAGGCATCCTGACATATCCTGGCTTTCATCAAGACGGCGCTGCGACACTTGACACTTGACCTCTCGTGTCTATTCCTCCCCAGCTTCAACGTTTCGGGAAGCAGCAGTGCGCAATTGGCGAGGGGGCCAGACGGGAAAACCCGGTAAAGCCGGATGAGAAACACAATCAAGGAGGAAGATGAGCACGGGTCTGACACAGTGCGCCTGTTATTGGAGGCAGCTGGTTAGGCGGGCGGCTTTCGTTCCTCGTCAGGATGTCGGACATGGTCATCATCATGTACCTTGGCCCCAGACATTGTCGCATAGGGCAGGACTCGCAGAGGGCAAGATAGCAAGGACGCTAGAGGTAGCATGCATTCCACGGGGTGCTATGGCCGCAATGCAACCTATTAATGAAGCTTGGGGGTTGTTCTCCCTCCCCTATGTGGTATGGGGGCCGGACATGGTCTGCGCTAACCCGAGTACCTTATGCAAGCACGAATACCTAGTATGCTATTAAGTCGTAGTTCGCTTCACGGGAGAACCGCATCGACACTCGTGGGAAAAGAGTCACATGGCCTTTGTGTGGTGAGACTCCCGCTTCTCACCAACGACCTTGTTCCATTTGACCCCCACCATGCCCACGTTGAGCCGCAATGCCCCGCCGACAAGGGACATGGCCGATCCCCGCAGTGACGAAGCCTCGACCGCATACCCTGATCCACAGTTTGCGTGCGACTATTTGGGCGCCCGCACTGTGAGAACGACAAAGGGCCCAGTGACCCGAGTTGTCAGCGAACAACCTGCAAAGCTCAATCCGCACACACCACACGAGAGCTTCAACCTCTTATCTCGACCACCCACCGAAGAGAAACCTGCTCGATTGATTGCCCATACCTCGCGAACGACAAAGTCATTTATCCCTAAACCCTACGCACGCCCCGGTGAAAGCCCCAATCGAGAGAGCGCGGCCAGTGCCGAACACCGACAAATCTCCCATTCACCAACCATCGAACCGACCCTTCTCTAGCGATCCATCTCCCATCAAACTAAACATGTCGGACCAGAACCACGCGCCCACGTCGCGGTCCAAGCCGCCGCCGCCCGGCGAGGAGGAGGCGGGCGCGGTGCTCAAGCTGGGCGAGTTCGAGGGCGTCGACACGCTGACGCTGTCGGAGGCGTCGCTGGTCATCGACGCGCTGATCCTGAAGCGCCGCAAGGACCGCAAGGACCGCAACGAGACCGACGTGCTCAACAAGACGCTCGACTACCTCGACGCCTTCGCCCGCTTCAAGGAGAAGGAGAACGTCGAGGCCGTCGAGCGCCTGCTGAGCTCGCATAAGGAGCTGACCAAGTTCGAGAGGGCGCATATCGGTTGGTTTGCTCTTTTTTTGTTTTCGTCTATCTTATCTATTCCCGAGGATGCGGTGCAGAGGTCTGACTGGGTTCGTGGCTTTTAGGCTCCCTCTGCTGCGACAACGCCGATGAGTGCAAAACGATGATCCCTTCGCTCGCCGATAAGATTTCCGACGAGGACCTTCAAGAGCTGCTGGATGAGATGGCCAAGCTCATGAGCAGTTGAACTGCCTGGATATGAAATTTGTCGTGTTGCGGATGTCTGGAGATGCTGGCTCCTTCGCGATGTTGGAAGGGCAATGATTACAGCTTCCTGTGGCTGTAATGTTTTGGGTTTATGGCCAGGGTCGGAAGGAAGGGTCTTTTTTTCATCTGCATATCGCTACTTTCTCGGAGATATGGTCGAAGAGGCAGAGACGAATCTGCATGGCATATGGCACGGCGCATGAAGGTCTAGAGGAGTTAGGTTTGTTCTGTTCTTCTGCATGGTAAGACCCGAGCAGTCTCGGGATCTATTCTGGCACGGGTCCTATATACGCGAATCTCGTTTTAAATCTCCTTCGGGGTTAAGATCCTTAATTAACACTCGAGGTTTTAGTCCCTTTACCTCCCAAATTAACCAACGCCGCCTTCTATGGTATCATACCGAACATGACCCTAACATCCCCATCTTCTCCTGGAACAACCCCCCTCCACAAATACATGAAAACCAGTCACAAACCGCAATCCACCGCTTCCCTTGGCCAGCCCCTACAGCTGTACATTCTGGAACCTTGTCCAGCTGTTCACGTAAGTTCTAGTTTCTCGCTCTTGCTCCGTCGAATTGAGTGTCGCCCTCGGCACAGCATCTGCCTCCTTCACTTCAGGTTCGGAGCCGGGCTTGGCTCCTTCGTTTCCTTCCCCTGACTTAGTCACGTCTCCATGGACCAAGGTTGAGTCAGGCTCTGAAGGGCTTGACGGGAGTCCTGATCCCCATGAGCTGCCGGGCGTGAGAGGGCTAACAATGCCGCTGTGTGCACCATGCCTCACTGTGCTCCGGCGAGGGCCATGGGTGAGCGGGCCATGGGTGAGCGGACTGAAGCCCAGCATGCTGTCCGCTTTTGCCATCCGTCCTGCGCAAGACATGTTAACTCCCATGATCTTCTCGGCAAAGACTCCAAGGGCCGCTCATACCTTCTGTTCGATCAAAGACACTGCCAGGACCGCTGTGTGCCATGGGATTGAAAATAGACTCCAACCCTGGCGGGATCTGTTCGTCACCCAGCCCTCTTGAAGAGGGAAGCCTCTCCGTGTGATCGCTTCTCTCCCTTTTCTTCCGCCGCCGTCGGCCCCACCACATGCATGCGACAAGCGCGACAAATATGACGACAATACCGCAACCAACCACGATGCCGGCGAGGGTATTGATCGGGATGCTCAACCCATCGCCACTGCCTTGGTCAATGTTGGCGGTTGACGTGGAAGAGATGGTGGGTGGTGATGGTGCGCTTGCACCTGGAACCGGTGTTGATGTTGAGGAGAATGGGGATGGTGAGAGTGAGGTTGAGGATGGCGATAGTGAAGTCGAGGTCACTGCTCTAGTCACAGTCAATGTCTTGGTGACCGATATGTATGCAGTGCTGCTGTCAGAATGGCCGCGAGCCTGAGGAGGGCAGCCGATAGGGGTATTTTGGCAAGGATTGACACGGCAGCAGCCGCTATAGAATGGAGTCGTCCATGTACAGATGTACCAAAGGTACCCGCTATTTGTCTCGCAGACCCTGCTTGTGGTGTCGATAGCTGTCTCCGCCGGCGTCATGGCGATACGAATTTCTCGCGCCAATCCTTCACACTCCACCTACGATCAACTCCACTGTCGGAAAACTCGGTAAGTCCGGTGATTGTGCAATAGTTTCGGGGACTGGTGGAAGCGGTATCCTAGGGCGGAGGGGACATTTAGATAGGAAACAAAATCGAGAGCGCGCCACGACAACCCGATCATGGCTCCCAAGGTTGCTGAGATCGTGGTAGGGCCCATTTGAGATTTAGAATGGGAAATTGAACTTTGTGCCTCCATTGTGCGAGTACAACTGCTCAGATGGAAAGCACCGTGCTTAATCACAGTACACGAAGAACCATGCAGGTGGTTCTTGCCTTCTCTGTCCAACTTAACGAATCTGAATGAGGGGAATCACTTCTAAGTTCAACTTCCCCAGACATTGGCCACCAAAGACTGCTTATGGGATCCCATGTGTGCTGGTCCTGTTGAATACAATTCTCGGTGAGAAGTGGGGTTGTTGGAGAGCCGTTCAACACCATGATACAGATACACGCAAAATGCGGTCATCCATGCACGATAGGAACATAGGATAGGGCGGGCATGGCCGATCAAGTTGAGAATCAATTTCCCTGGAGCCCAGGCTCGGAAACAGTACGTGTTGACAGCTAACGGGACTAGAAAATGCCAGGGATCCTACTGTCTCTCCGGCCGTGAACTTTCCCAACCGCTTGCTCTCTGTTCGACACTACCATCTCCGCTGAGCGCATTTTCTCCCCCGACACAATTCGTCCAATACCTCCCTACAACTTCCCAAGAAGCAACTTTGCTCCTTGATTCCCGCCGGACTTGCTCTTGTCCAATTGTGTTCCTTTGCCTTTCGACTTCGACTTCTTGCCATTTGCCGCTGGGGTCTGGCTCGCCACTTCCCTGGTTGCCGCCGACGACTCGAGCGCCTTCTTGTCCGAGCGAAGGACCTTCAGCAACTCCGTCGTGGAAGAGAAGTCAGGAGCCTCCAACAAACCCAGCACGACGAAGGAACTTGGCCCCGTCGCCCACTGCACAATGTGCTCCTTGATGATCGGGTAGAGAATGTCGGCGAAGTTGAGTGGGGGGTCGACTCTCTTGACGGCGCCCGCCGCTTTGTCAAACCTGCCGCCGGCAATCAAGGTCTTGAACATTTTGCCCCCGTGCGGCGTTTGAGAAATGTGAGGCGGAGGGGGGTAGAGGGGATCCGCGTCCTCGGACTGCGCCAGCGCTGGGTTGCCAGCTGCTGTCGAGGCCACGGCCTCCAAGGCAGCATTCTTATCGCCGGTCGCCGATAACAAGACGTCGGTAACAAATTGACATCCGAACGAAGTGGCCACGAGGTCCGCTGGGGAGGTCGCAACTGCCGCAAGTAGGGGAGGTGACATGGCCGTCACCAACTCCTTGCGCCGGACATCGGCATCCTTCTTACTCGTCTTCTTGCGAATCTCGTGGATCTCGGCGAGAAGCTCCAAGTCATACGCATGGCTAGCTGGGAACAGTGACTTGGATTGTCCTTCGAAGAGGTAACACACCGTTATGCGAGCGTTGAGGTCGTTGGCGAGGAAAACAATATTTTCAATGTCCTTCTCCTCGTTCTTCCCGAGGATCTCCGGAAATATTGTCTTCGAGGTTAATACGGTATCGTCGATGACGTCGTAGGCAGCCAGGAGGATCATATGACCGTTGGGGTCGCCGCACATGAGCTGGAAGGTGTCCTTATATGTCTTGATGATTTGCTTCCTGTCCTTTGCGGTTCCGTTGGCCAACAGCAAGCACACCAGGCGGGCTCCTGACTTGGTGAAGGCCATATTCTTCAGCAGGTCGCCGTTCTCGTCCTCCTTGACCGTCTCGACAAACTCCTTGAGCTCCTCGCTCTCGGACTTGAGATTGAGGAAATATTGCAGCATGGCGTCGTGGAGCATCGTGAAGCCCGTCATTTTCTTCTGAATGAGGCCGTTGGTCATGTCGAAAAGGTACTTCATCACGGGTCCCCGTTTGCTCGGCTCATCGGCAAGGATTTTGCGCAGATCCGCTGTTACCTCGACGCCTTTCTCGAGCTTGAATAAGGAGAATTCGGGGCCGTACCACTCTCGTAGCAGGTGGGCCTTTTGCTCCTTCGTTGCTACTCCGCGATAGATGTCGTCCAGGATCCAGGACGCCTCGGCGTGGTTGATAAGCTTCCGTACCTTGCCGTATAATTCCGGGACGATAATGTCTCTGATCTCGTTGTCATTCTGAACAAGAAGTTTCCCGATGAGAAACTTGGCGTATCTGCTTTCGGCAAGCTGGGCGTAGGTGCCTTGGAGCTCCTTGGCGATCTGCTTCCGCTGGGTCGGGGTTGAGTACTTTATGGCGGTCTGGACGGCGCGGACGGCGTCGTGTTTAAGTACAAACTCCTTGATGCGCCCGGTGATGATGCCGTACAATTCGTCCACGAGCTGTTGGCGCTCCTCCTTAGGCACATGCGACTTCCGGCGCAGTTTTTCCCACAGCTTCTTCGTCCGGTGCACCTCGTCCGCCAATGGTTTCGCAGCCTTGCGTTCCTGCGCCAATTGTTTTTGTTTTGCGTGCGCTTCGCGAGAGGTTTGGGCTGGAAAGGTGTCAGAGCAAGAATCTACCAGGTGTCAAATGGAGAAAAACGAACTTCGTTCAGCCCCATTCGGTTGCCCAAAGGCCCGCCCATTCTCTTTGGCGTTCGCCGGCCCTCGGGAAGGCTTAGCATCGCTCAATTCGGCACCGCCGTCGCCCGAGTCAGAAAACCCGCTGCCATCGCTGCCATCGTTGTCCGAAGCCATGTCCTCATCCTCATCGAATCTCTGGCGCTTGGGCGCGGTTACGGTCTTTGCCTTTTTGGCGCGGTTGCCGTCATTGTGCTTATCGCTCGAAGATGACTTTCTTTTCGCCGAGGCGCCAAATGTTGAGTGTTTGGGAGCCATTGTGGGATATTTCCAGATACTATGCTCTAGAACAATGCGTCGCAAATCCACGGGCCAGGAACGGCTTCACCATGCAGGTTGCTCTGATTTTTTTTCTGGGGCTCTCAGAGGCGGACCCCTGTTTCTGCCGGGCGGTGAGGCGTGCAGGAGCCGGGGTTCGTGCCAACCCCACCAAAACTCTCCCCTGGGGCTTGGCTGCCCCTCCCTCGGTTTTGGTTGTCGGGTGTACTGCGTAAAGCTTCCTCTGGAGAATTGCGTGTTGGTATCAGACTTGACGGGGCGTGCTTATTTGTTTTCGTCTCTCCACGACAACGTTACTATGGGGCGTGAGGAACAGGTTGAGGAACGGGAAGTTCTAGACTCCATCTTCCCCGAGGAAATCACAGGTATGACCGACCCAGTTCGCAAGACAATGTGTGATGACGGGCTGATCGGTTTTTTGTCTGCAGATATATCAGAGACCGAGTATCGGATAGCAATCAGCCTTGATCTCCTCGACGATGAATCCGAGCCACCAGTCATCCTACTCACGGTGCGGTACCCGGAGGATTACCCAGACAAAGCACCTCTATTGGAGTTAGCCGCGCCTCAAAACTCAACCCCCCATGAATACCTGAACATCGCCGAGGACAAGGATCAGTTGCTACAGGACTTGGAAGCGGTGGTTGAGGAAAATATCGGTATGGCCATGGTATTCACTTTGGTGTCAGCCGTGAAGGAAGCTGCCGAGCAATTAGTGGAGGAGCGTAAAGCAGCCGCCGCGAAGGTGCAAGAAGAAGCTGCCCTCGCGGCTGAACGAGAGGAAAACAAGAAGTTCCACGGCACTCCCGTCAACCGCGAAACGTTCCTAAGTTGGAGAGAGGGTTTCCTGAAGGAAATGGAGGAGATTCGAATTCGGGAGGAGGAAGAGAGGGCGGCAGAACTGAAGAAAGCCAGGATAAAAGAGCCGACGAAGCTCACAGGGAAGCAGCTGTGGGAGCGGGGCCTTGCCACGGCTGGCCAGGAAGAAAACGATGAGGATGGCGTGCCGACCGATGATGTACAAAAACTCAAAGTCGGTGATAATTAAGTTTACCTGTCGCGCTTAGAGGGCCGGCTAGGGGGCCCAGGGCGGGTTCACCATCAACCACAGGTTCTAAAAAGCTTTCTAACATATGTGACGACCGGCAAAAAGGTTTCTGGCACACACACTGCCTATACTTTAAAACATCAACAATAATTTTCCATCCTAACGCCTGGGCACGCCGCAAATTCGGCGGACATGTAACCGGTCCCCATCACCAGGTGGGCCCTCGACATGCAAGAAAGGAATAGGAACACATCACTTCATTTCCGTATCCTCGTCGTCATCTAGACCTTCCCACTCCTCGTCGTCAGTATCCTCCCATGCGTCGCCATCCTCGCCGTCTTCGGCCCCTTCGCCAAGTTCGCTCTTGATGGAGTTGAGCAAATCTTGCGCGTGCTCCCCTAGCCTCTCGTCTTCGTATTCCTCCTGTTTGAAGACTTTGAGGCATTGCGTAAGCCATTTCCTCGATGACCGCCAGAAGGCTTTCCAAGTCTCAACGTCTGAAGCCTGCCCCTGGGTCTTTAATGTCTCGCCCGAGATATACTTGGCGTACCCGCCAAGATACAACACCTCCACACTCCGATCGTCTTCAGCTATGAGGCGCTCGGTGACATCCACCGCTTCCTTCTCCATACCGACCTCGATCAGGAGCCTAACGAGACTAACTCGCGACGGGAAGGGCGGTACGGCAGGGTCCTCAGGCGCAAGGTCGCTCCACAACCCCAACCCTCGCTTCAGAGCCTCCTGTGCCTCCTCCGTCCTATTTTGCGAGATGCGAACATTGGCAACGGTCTGCCACGTCTCGGCGGATTCGGGGGCGAGCATCGTCGCCTCGGTGATGAGCGTCTCGCATCGCTGTTCAGCGTCCTCCTCCCAGCTTAGATCGGTCATGTAGACTTCCACCACGGCGCAGAGTGTCTCGGCAAGCCGTTTCCGCTTCTCAGCTATAATCGCCTCCTGTGCGTCGCGCGTCAAGGGCCGAGATTCGAGTGATTCCGTGAGCGTCTGGATTTGGGAGCGCAAGGCGGCGGCCCCTCGCTCAAACCACGAGACACTGTCTTGGCCGCCGTCATCGCTAAGCTGCGCTAGCCACAGGAACTTCTCGGGTCCACCACCAATGTCCTCCGGGAGGGAGCCGTCCTCGTCGACCTTTACGGCGGCAGCGAAGAATGCGCGCGCGGTGTCAACCTCGCCCAGTTCGACATGAATCTGGCCAAGAAGTGACAGGGCCGCGCCGGCTTGCCTCCCACCTTCTCCAATGTGTTCGTAAGCGACAAGCGCTATCCTTGCTGCGGTCTCGGGGTCGCCTTCTTCAAGGGAAGCGGTTGCTTGGGCGAGGAGCTCTCGTGGATTGACATTTGCAGGTTGTGTAGCGGCTGCCTTGGCTCGGGCTCGATCCCTCGCCTTGTCCTTGGATTTCTTTTTGGGTTTCGTCGGTGCCATCTTGTTGGGGTCGACCCGGTTCAAGATGGGGGGCGACTGGTTGAGAATGCGACTTGTCCCGCCAAAGTTTAAAGGTCAAATCCACCACCTGGAAATTTGGGCCTTATCGTGGGCATCTCGGGCTTATCGACAGGAAACTTTACCCCACGAAAGCCTGTGTGGGGCCTGTAATGAATCGACGCAGGTTACGGTGCCGGGGTGCCGGGAGCCGGCTCGATTTACAAGTAAGCTCCTCTCTCAACGCCCAAAGACGGCCAGACGGTGCGCTTCCTTCGGCCGAGAACTGAGCAGTCAAAAATAATGAGATACGTAGAAAAAGCATGTATGCCTTAAGCTTATATACTGAGAGTACGACTTGTTCTGAAAATCAAGTCTATGTCTTTGATCGCAGCGCCCAGCACGGCACCCCGCTTGGAACTCTTTGTCGCCAAGCATGGAGTTCAATTAAGGTTTTGCGAGGGACCGTGAACTCCTGGTGTCTCGAGACACAAGTCCATCCAGGTAACGAACCGCAAACATAAGGAATGCGCAGGCGATAGCTACTTATCGATCCGAGTCTTGGTGTGTAACGAACGGTCAAGAGCTTCAACTCCCATCCAAGCCGCCCTTTCTACGCTTCCCACCACTCTTGAGGCACGATGCCTCCTCGCGCTCTCCATTGGCCGAGCCTCGCGCAAATTGAAGGACCCGGCTACTGTGGCTTGACCCCTGTCAATTGTGTTTCACTCTGGCGGCGCTGGGGACTTCTCCCCAATGGCAAGGGTTGATCGAGGATCAACGGCACCATCGGCACCACGAAAGGTTCCAACTTGGGAAATGCGGGAGCATGAGAGGATACAGCTGCGGCCTATTTTTGCAGTGCTCCCCGATCATGTCGCGCTTCGCGTCTCTCCCTTCCCTCCCGTCACTCCCTCACGGTCATCATCCGCGCGAGACCGCTCAATATCAGGTGTCCTCGTAGCCCCCTAAAGCTCACCGGCTAGTCAACGCTCTCGCCAGTAACGACCTCGCTCTTAGCAGCCATGGTTCTCGCCAGTTACATCCGGCTCGCCCTCGTTGGCGCAGCCCTCCTGTTCTCACAGGCCCAGGCATCGTTCGACTTCTCATCCTGCGCGGCAAACTGTGTTACTTCGTCCGGCTGTGACGCCGACAACGCGCGATGCATGTGCAGGGAAGCACGGGAGCTTCTGCTCGACTCGGTCATCTCGTGTCTGTTCTTCAACTGCAAGGACGACCTCCGCGATTTCGAGGTCGCCTTCCTCGACCCGATCGAGGAAGGGTGCGATGACAGCGACCGCGACATCCCCCGCTCCAAGCTCCGGGCTGCCGAGAGCCTGGCGAGCAGCTACATCGGCAAGATTCCTTCCCCCACGACGGCCAAGAGCACGGTGACCCCCCCGCCCAAGCCGACCAAGAAGCCAGACCCCACCACGGCAGAGGAGCCCTCGCCCTCGACGACGGCGACGACGGAGGATAGCGCGCCTTCAAGCACCTCGACCGTGAACAGGCAACCTGAAGAGTCCTCATCAACCACCGCCGCCGTGACTCCGGCCGTGGTACCGGATCCCGCCACCCAGAGCTCCGCCGCACCGTCCGAGTCACCCACGCCCGACGACTCTGGCTCCGGTGGCGGTCGTCCTGGCGGTGGTGATCCGTTCTCGACTCCCGGCGGCTCCGTTGGATCAGCCATTCAGCCGTTTTTTGCGTTGCTTGGGTTGCCCGTAGTGGTTGCCCTGCTGGCTTTGGAGTGATTTCAGTGGGGACAAGAAGGACATGCTTGTCAGGGGCTTAATGGGGTAATGATGGATGTGTACTATGTGATGAGGAGGCTATGGTCTATCCCGCGGCTCAGGAAAGAAGCCATGGTCATGTACGAAGATGTCGCGTTCTTTTCTTGTTTCTCGTTCTGATACCCCCGTCCATAATTGCCGGCGAATGAAGAATGTTTAGTTACCAATAGGGAGAAGGAGGCAGCGGACGCCACCAATGGCCGTCGTTTTGGAGACAGCAACATAATATCAAAGCAACCCTGCCCTCAGCGAATGCTGTACATGCTTCCTACGAGTGATTCCATAAACCATCATAGACGCGGCGTTCCTACCTCCTCTAGAGTTAGCATCCCTTGCAGCATTTCCCGAACCATCGCGCCCTCGCCTTGCCCACGGCCCGAATTCGGTACCTGCAGCTCCAGAAATCTTCTCGCAATGAGTTCTGCTTCCTCCAACTGTTGCTTGTCCCCCTCGGACAGGCTAGAGCAGGCCTCCACCAAGCTCTCATTCCTGTCCTGCAAAGCTACAACGGCTTCGGCCCTGTCGATGACATCTCTCGGGACATCATTCGTTGCCGCGCATAATACGCCCAGGCTTGACGTGCCCCGCCCAGGCAGCAGGTGGTAGAGGAAAGTGATTCGTTCATCTGGGTCTTCGGCGTCTGGGTCGAGGTGAACATCCATATGGGCAAAGGCGACATCCTTTCCAGGTCGAAGGAGGCCATTGTTGAAAACTTCGTGAAAATGTGTTCCGCCGATCACCTTGGGCCGCTCTACGCCCAGATCGAGAAGGTATGTGAGGTAGGCCGTAAAAAGAGCTGAGCCGCTCTCCGCCGTCGTGCCTTTTCCGAACTCGTCAATTAGAAGCAGGCTCCGGCGCGTTGCAAAGTTCATTGAGAACGCTGCTTGCTTCAAGTCCACCAAGAAGGCACTCTCGTCATTGACAACCGTCTCTCTCGTGGCAATGCGAGTGAGAATCCGGTCGGTGACCCCGATTGTCGCACGAGTGGCGGGAACATAGCTACCGGTATGTGCCAGGTATACGATGAGCGCAACTTGTCTCATATAGACGCTCTTGCCCGAGTTATTTGGCCCAGTCAGTATGAGCATAGACGGAGCTAGGCCCCTGGCTTCTTTTGAGCGTCCAGTGCCCTCACCGCCGGCTATTGTAGTGTCGTTGGGGATGTACGATGGTACGAGTAGTTCTTGAAGTGGGTGGCGCCCGCCAACAATATCAATCACGTTTGAGGAAGTCATTGTAGGAGCCACCCAGTTGTACTTGTCCGCGGCCAAGGCGAGTGCAAGCATGCTGTCGAGTTCTCCGAAAAGTTCAGATGCGCTGAGAATCGCCCCTTCGTGCTCTAAAACTGCCGTAGAGAGCGCCATCATCACCTCAATCTCCTCATCTAACACCAACGTTAGTTGCGCGACATTGACCAGGTCGCAGCTTAAACATACCGGCAATGCGAGAGGGCAGATCGCCATACTGCGAGTCGAGATCTAGCATGAGTTGATTTTTGTAGAATACCATATCGTCGCTTATAAAACACATCATCCACTCACCCTCGGGGTGATGCTGGCCATGGTACACCCCTTCCCCGGTGTTGGGGTCGAGGCTCACCGCGACTAGGAACCCCAACGGTGGCATGACTGTGCAGTGAAGGATAAATTCGGCAGCCTCCGTCGGACCCTCCTGCACCACGGACTGCTTCAGTTCAGGGAGCAGACGACAGACATCTGCAAACTCTCTCCTTAGTCCATCTAGGAAATCGCTTGCTCCTGAAAGAATTTCGGTGTAACCACTTTCTTTGGATAGTTGGAAGTCAATGGTTCGAATGATGATATCTCCGACATGTAGAAAGCGATTGACATCGACTTCGTTGCGTATCTGCGTGGGTTAACGAGCTTGACGACTAACCAGGGCTCGTAAGATGAACACTCACCCTGTCGAATATCTCGATTCCTGAAGCCCCTTTCAGTGTGTGAACTGACCGCTTCAACTGGGCGGAGACCATTGCGAACCTCAGCAACGCCTTCCAGTCCCCAACTCGGATGGATAACTGGCCCCGTATTCGGTCCACGCCCTTCCTGACATGGAGGAGCAACGTTTTGGTGTTTTTCAGCTTCCTGAGCAGCCTCCGCATGTTCCTCACAACCTCCCCATTATCGACGTGCAGAAGAGTCTCAATACTCCTGTGTCGTTCCTGAATCAGGCCGATATTAGTGCTTGGTCGAAGGAGTATTTGTCGTAGTCTCTTTTTGCCCTGCGCGCTAGAGGCTAAGGCCTGAAGAAGGCCAGTGATGGAAAGGGCCTCCTTTGCTTTAGGTTCGGAGCTGTTTGAGGAACGTGTTTGTGGGTTAGGGTGCAGTTCCGATTGCAAGATTTGAAGGGATATCAACGAGTCTCCGTTTACGAGCATCGTGTCTGTAGATGTGTTCATCTCGATGGATCTCACCAAGAACTGGAATGTTCCGTTTTCCTCTTCTTCTGAGGATGGACCCTCACCCTCAGTAGTTCTTCGCCGTTCAAGATCGATCAGGACTGCCCCGGCGCAGCCGATCGACAGGCAGCTCTCGAGATTGATCTTCTCGGAAAGACGCATGAGCTTGTTATGGACAGAAGAGCCAATAGACTGCACGGGCTCCTCCTCCAACGCCAGGACTTCGATAGGGTCAGGTCTTGATGGCCCCTGGTCAGCCTTCGCTAGCGCTTCCCTTCCAGCTTCATAGTCGAACTGGGCGGAAACGATGTGTCGTAGAACGTATGCCCCTTGCCCGCTGCATGAACCCTCATTATCGTCAAACCGGTGCGCATCCCGCTCAAGCAGCTCGATCAAATCGCCGGGTGCTCTGTTCGGTATGATAACCGAGGTTGGTTGAACATGGAGTAGAAGTGTGTCGACAGCTTCAATCCCCCCCATGGGGATGTCCTCCTCAAGCACCAGTGTTTCGTCCATGGCAATATAGTAAGCACAGCCAACCTTGTCATCTTTGTCCACATCAATCGCCATGATGACTTCGCTCAACGTGTCTTGGTCATAGTCGCTGTTGTTCCGTTCATTTGCCGCATAGACGGGGCGCATACCTAGGTCCACCGTTGCTCCGGGAGCGGCCAAGTGTGGGTGGTTGGGTGAGGCTTGATGATTATATTGGCCCCTCGTTCCCGGAAGCGAGACCATGGACCCGCCCCGGACCCTGTTGGTCCTGTTTTCCGGTGACAATACGTCGGGAGCCCGCGAGAGGGCAGAAGGGGTAGAGACGACGCTTGAATCTCCATAGCCATGTTTAGGGCGCGCCAGGAAAGTTGCAGGAGAGCTCGAGCGGCTGGAAAAGGCGCGGTTACGGGTCGCACTCTTCTTGGAACAAGACCTCTTACGGCGAAGTGCTGGGCGGCGGGAAGCTGTTGGCGGACGATGAAGAGTATGCTCCGAGTGGCGAGAATCCGGGTAGAGAGACGAAGACGGTCGGTTTAAAGGCGGTAACGGTGTTCCGGACCGGGATGACGAGACAGATTGTGGGCGCGACTGGGCCGGGGACGAGGGCGAGTCAAGACTCCGGGGAGAAAGTAGATGGGAGGCGGTCGAGTAGACGCTGCGAGCACTGCCGTTGGCCGGCATGGCCGCTGACAGCCCCGTCAGGCTAGGTAAGGTAGTCTGGGTCCAGTTACCAGTGGTAAAGCTGCGAGCCTGGAGTGCTGCGTATGCTAGAGACTCGGATTAATTACAGCGGAATGGAAAGCTGAAGAAGGGAGGGGATCGGACGGGCAGGCATTTCATGAAAGGTCTGAGAACCTCAAGTTGATTTCTGATGCATGAAGAAGTGAGTTGGCTCAAATTCCCGCCGTGGCAGGTCAAGTAAGATTAGGAACGTGGAAGCGGCTTCCCAGTCCTTCAGCCAGTAGATCCCGGTACTGGGTTAAGGTAATGCTCATCGTGGCGCGATATGGAAGCAGATTCGGAAGGCGCGGCCAACTGGGAAATATCAGGTGCAACTTCCCAATGCAGACATTCCAACTGCGGCGGCGAGAGCTGATACAATTTAGGGGACTCGGATTGGAAACAACTTTAGGTAGGTGAAGTAGTCCGCGATGCCAGCCGCATGATCTCATGGACGGCTGAAAAGATAACGAATCATTGAATTCTGCAACCTGGGGTATCACTGCCCTTGTTTACCATCGCCCTTTTGAACCCACTCGGCGAACTCCTTCCGTTGTTTCCGAATATCCACGAAGTTTGGCCGCGACTCCAGAACACTGAATGGATTGCCCATATAGTCCTTGTCCACCGCGCCGGCGTTATCGGTGAAGCCCTCCTCGCCTTCCCGCTCGATCTTCCCGGCCCAGACGCGCCATTCGAGCGGCCGCAGCGGGCGCGTTCCTAGTACCAGCCCCAGGAGGATTATAAAGGTTGAGATGATTGTTTCAATTATTATATCCACCGGGAGTGAAGTGGCAGCCGTCGAGGACGAAGTTAAAGTAGCGGCAGTGGCGGCTCGGATTGACTGGAGTGCGGTATGCTCGCGCGCCGAGTAGCAGCTTGGGGGATTAGTTAGAGATTGAGATTTGGGTGATGGAAAATTAGGAATTCTTACGCATGTGCGAGCAAAAGGCTTCCAAAGGCCGTAATCGTTTTCGAAAGCAGAGTCATCGCCGTGTTTGATGCTTCCTGTGCTTGTGGTCGTGATGCTCCGAAGCTCCTTATGACGATGATTGGGGATGCTGCAGGAGCTTAGGCGATGCTATCGAATTGGGTTGCATCGGATTGATGGATTATTGAATAGCTTACCGAGTATGCATATAACCATAGTATAACCCGTTATCCGCTATCTGCCACTTCCTGGGCAGCTTATGCGCCAGTGACCTCGTTCACTCTTGCCGCCGTCAACTGCCTTATTGTTCCACTCGATGTGTTTTCTCTCATTTCCTCTTTGCACGGCGCTCAGAGTTGGTAACGCGCCCCCGGGAATGAATATCCCTTGTCAGCCTTCGAATTGCTCATCATCAAGGGCCGCTCGCGGAGATGCAACAAATAATTTCCGCTGCACTGCCGAGGTTGGCTTGTACAAAGGCTTTGTTGGATGACCTCGAGGTCAAAGCAATTGAGCGCAACACGGCGGCGGTGACACACAAGGCGCAAGGGCGGAGAAAAGCAACAGGGCAATCTCATAAAATGGACGCAAAGCTAAGTTTTTCTCTGTTGTCTATCTCAAATTCCAAACGCCCTTACCGTTACTTTCCCCAAAATATGCTCTTGTCCAGAAACCCGCCGGATCTCCCAAACTCCAAGACCCCATCCAGATCCCATCCAGATTTCAATGCCCTCTTCACCACCAACGCCAACGCTCCCCGCCCATGAACCCTCAAGATGAGGCATTTACAATACTATTTCATGATCACGCTATTTCCTCTTTGCCGCTTCTCGACTAGTCTCGATCTTCATTCCTCTCTTTCATTTCCAGACGAAACAACCATCAAGGCTCCGTCTTCGGTTCCACCCAGCTCGTGTCGAAGTGCGCGGTTTCCGGAAGAGGCTCAACCTGCCACTCGCCTCCCAGATATTGGGTCTGCTGCTCGAGAGATAGGGGCTCTTCGAGACCCATGAAGGCGTTCGAGAACTGGCTTTCAGTCTCGGCACCTGCCGTCGACTGCGCCGTGTGCCAGGCCTGCTGTGTCATACCAAGGCCGCCATCAAACATAGTCGGGAGGGTGTTGAAGCCGCCGTTATCGAACAGGGCGTCGTCTTGCTGAATCAGTGATGGGTCTATCCGATGTTCGAACTGAGGAGCATGATGCGGGTGCTGCTGGTGCTGATGGGGCTGCGATTGATGGATGGGCTGATGTTCGACCTTCTGGTGGTATGGGTTGAGGTCGTAGTGCGACTGCTGCCCGGCGTGCGTCTGCTGGAAGGCCAGGCTCGGCGACGGTGTCCTGTGAACAAAGACGTCGTCGACACCATGGTGCAAGTGTCTCTGGTGCTGGTTCCGCTGCGGTTCATAGTACTGCCCCTGAAAGTCGCGGTGGTCGTATGGGCCTGGCAATGGCTTTCCCGGACTGAAGTCCAGGGCGGTCGACCTGGTTTGCTGCGGCATGCCCATGGTGTGCATTCCCGCGTACTGGCTCGGGTGCGGATGGGTTGCCGCGTACACGGAGCGGCTCGGGATGTAGTCGCTGTCGGCGCCGGGTGTGTGTGTCGCTGACCGCATCCGAGAACCAGACCTGCCGGACCAGTTATAGTCCTCCAAGTCCGACCCGTCGCTGCGCTCGTCATAGCCCCCCTCATACTTGGGCGGAGGTTTGTGCGGCTTCGCCGGGGTGAACTTGTAATTGGGATGGGCCTTTTGGTGGTTGTCGCGCTCGGTGTCCGCCCACGACTTGAACTGCTGCCGGACATGCTCCGGTTCCAGGGGCCAGCTCATACCGCACACCCGGGACACGATCTGGTGGTTATGCTGGGAAGCCCACTCCTTGGCCCGTTGTTGGTACGCCTTCCGGTACAGCATGAAGGCATTCATCGGCCTCTTGACCCTGCCAGGGTTCTTGCCTATCTCGATCTCCTCCCGCCGTACGTCGGATGATCGCTGCACATACGACTCGATGTCGGCAACCGGTATCAACGAAGCCTTGGTCAGCTCGCTCATGGGTCTGTCTAGCACTGGCAAGTTCTTCGGTGGCTTGGCCCGTTCCTTCTTCTTCTTCATGGTCGACTTCTCGATGCGTGTGCTTCGGGGGCCCAAGACCCTTGAGCTGCCCCGAGTGCTCATGATGTCCGACCCCCGCGATGGCGTTGGAGGTGAAGTTGCTGGAGTGTTGTACGGCTGAGCAAGGTTCAACAACTCACGTTAGCACCTCCGCTGCTTATCTAGCCGGCAACCTCGTCACTTACCTCCGGAATTGGCCCATAGGAACTGTTATCCTGCGGGTACATCGCCTGCTGGTGATATGCGTGCTGCGAACACGTCAGTCTTCTGGACTTACACCACCTGCAATATCTTTCTTACCAGATCGCTAATACCTCCGCGTTGTTGATACACCACCGACGTGTCAATTCCGTGTGGGTGATGCGCCGGTGGTCCGGGTGTGCCGTACCTCGAACTTGGCTGCGAGTGGGCTTGGATGGGGTCGGCGGGAACGGCTTTGTGGGGGTATGCCGCCGATGCGTTGTGTTGCAGCAGCTCGTGGAACCCTGATGGGAGCGGGTCTCCCCTGGTTGGCGCCGGGGATGGCGGCGTATGGCGGTCCATTGTGGACTTATTGGCTTGGCTTTCGAAGTGGTCTGCGTGAAGCCGCAAGGGCGCACAGTCGATGATCCCAGACGCTGAAGCGAGTTGCGACGTTTGGTTGGATCTGGGGCTTGCTCCTCAAGTACAGGGTCGGCTCTGGGCGACGCTGGTGGGGTGTTGTTGTTGACTTTTGGCTTTCGGGGCGGGCAAGTGCTCTGCTTACAACAGAAATGGCACGCTCTGGATATGGACAATGGTGTTGAATCGTGAACGGGCAGCCGATTGGAAGCGGAAGCCGGGGCGGACAATCGGGCAAGGATTGGCGAGACCAGCTCTTGCAGCAGTGCTTCGCGTGGATGGCTTGACGGGTATCGCCTGGCTGAGGACTGTGGACCTAGCGGCGTTAGGAGGCGGCTGGGCTTGGGTTGGCGAAAGGTGTGCCGAATGGATGGTACGGACCCTTTTCAAGGAATCGATCCTTGGACTCCAGCAGCCACGTTGAACCTTTGCAATGCGGACCACACGTCTTCTAGGTAAGATCTCTTCAACCTCACTCCGGCCAGCGAGCGGTGTCTTTCCCTTAGGTTAACCTTGGTGGACTTTGCTATGCAGGCCAGTCCTCCGCGGAATCGGTGCTGCCTTTCCAGAGGCGACAGTGAAGCTTCTTTTCTTTGTCCTGTGCTCTTCGGCGACAGGGTTTGCGACGCTAGAGTGGCAGCCGGTTGATGGTCTCTCCTCTTTACCGCCTCAATGAACGTGGCAGGTGGGCTTTGTCTCGGGCAGAATTTCATGAGGCGCCGGGGGAAAAAGGGAAAGGGGACCGGCCTTGTATTTGTATTCTCTTTATTACAGTCCTGCCGCTGGCCAAAGGTGCTGCGATCCGGCGTGCAGCCCCAGTGGGTTGACGCATTCGGAAGCCAGCCAGGTCAGCAGTGCAAAGGCAGAGTCTGGATGGCGGCCCCCGGGAACCCACCCTGCACCGCCTGTTGGCAATCCATCCGTGTTCGGTCGGCTCAGGAGACCCGAAACTGTTGCATGGGCCCTACGGCGCCGGAGGCAGCAAGCCGTCTTCTAGGGACGAAAGAAATGCTTAACCCCGGCCCAGCAGCCAGTTGAGCCCCTTCTGCAACAAACCACCCCGATATGGCACCTACGACCCCCGTCTGCCACGCTCTATCTGGTTAGTGCTCCACATGTTCACGCCGAGAACCGAACCAGCCAGCCCTCCCCGAAGAGCAACGAGGACTCGTTGAGTTTCGCTCCGGGTTACACAGTGCCACGATAGTGATGCAAGGCTGATTGTGCGAGGTACCCGAGACTCACTGGAATGTGGGCGGGTACATCCCGGAAACGGTTCTCTTGCTCTTCGCCATCGCTAAATCTCCGGCACCTGCCGAAGTGGCTTCCATCTTTCTTTGACTGGCAGCTCTAACGCGCCTTTGACGTCTGGGGGTTGTCATCCCTCCTGAACGCCGTCCCGCCCTGCACCCGTGACCGGGAGGCAACTCGCACATGTGGGACGGCTGGGAACAGAACCCGACTGCCGCCAGGTTTGCGCATGTGGGATTCTGGACAGCCGGTTGCTCTCTCCTTACTGCGCCCTATGTTATTCATGGCCAAGCCGTATCGTGCATTGCATGCATGGTTCGATGCAACACGCATCTGGTTGGCCATCTACCATGCAAGCCGCGACGGGTAGCCGCATTAGCCTACCACTGTTTGAACATCGATTTTGACAGAAAGACAGGGGGAGACCAATGGGTCCGATTGCTCGTGGCTCTTTGCAGCTGCGCATCTGGACACCCAGGCCCAGGGGCACTGGATCTGGGCCGTGGTACCCTTGGGCTTCTATTTTCTCCCTTGCGGCTGAGTGGCGTTCTTTGGACCGGGCTTGCTACTTTGGGTATGTTTGCTAGAGAAAGAGGAATTCAAAACAGCCAAGGGATCGCGGGTTTACCCCACGGGTTAAAAAAAGGGACGGCTGTGCTGGCAAGCAACAACTTGGGCCAAAGACGAACCCGTTGGGGGAGCGACCGGGTGTGGCGCGAGTTCATTTCACCTACCCGACGGCGACCACTCCTAGCCGTTGTGTAGGAGATGGCGGTGTTGCGTACCTGGCGGTCTACCTACCCTGCATATCTGAAATCTGCGACCTCCCGGCCTGCCGCCCCAATAGTAGCCTCTCCCGCCCTTTCCGTTGGCACGCAATGTTTCTGTTTCGCATCTCCAGGCGACTAGGTGCCGTGCCATGTGCTGAGTCCGATTTCCTGTCTCAAAGCCCAGGCCAACTGTTCGTGTGCCTGGAGTGTAGGTGCGGCTAGCTGTGAGATATCACTTGTCACATTCTGTTCGAGACACTACCCGGGCGCCTCATCCCACCTCCTTTCGCTTGGGGGAGACAACCGCCACATAAGGTAATCGGCATGGCTGGATGTAACTCAACAAATGTCGTTGGTGGGTGGGTAGGCCATTGCGGTGTTGGTGATCGGATCTTCCTCGCGTGTTTAGCCCGGTTTTCTCTACGAAGATCGTGTGCCGTGTTAGATACAACGGACCGGTTGGTTGGTTGGTTGTTGAGTCCATAGCGGGCTTCCGGCGAGGGGTGAGATTAGGGAGATATCAAATAGTGCTCGACAAGCTTTCCGGTACAGTGGAAGGGGACCTCAATGGACGCACTGGCGGGCGGTTAGAATTAGGATTACGGCCCCCAGCGAGTTAATCTGATGACGCTGAGGCGCTCCCCATATCAATTTAGCAGCGCTCCCCATATCAATTTAGCAGCGCTCTCTACTCGTCTATCATCTATATGCTGTGATTGCCCCGCCTGCTCATGTCACGCCTGCAAAGCAAAATATGCCTTAAAACCAAAACCAAACCCTGTTTCCGTAGGATGCAAGAATGCCTGCCCACCAATACCATTAACTTCCCAAAACCGAAACAACTCATACCATCTCGCTTGACCAATCAGTTTATTTCGCGGTCCAGATCAACCTGACTGGGTATCCGGCCGGGGGGAACTTGATGGACCCGGCTTGGGCGTCTGCGTGCTTTGCGGCGGCTGCAGAGGGGGGACACGGACCGGCTCCGCAGGTTTGACCGGAGGCGTCAATACCTGTTGCCGCGGGGAGGGAGACAGGGCCGCCACAGGCGGGAACACGGCTGAGGGGGGGTGAGTCGCGGCACCGCTGACCCCTCCGTTGACGTGCTGTTGGCGTTTGGGTGCGGGGGGCGAGTGCTTCGTGGGTGACAGGCCGCCGCTAATGGGCGGCAGTGGCGAGGAGCCGGACGCGGCATGATCGGATCTGGCATCGCGGGACTGAGCGGGGGTGAGGTGTGGCAAACCTATCGGGGACGCAGATGTCATGCTGCTAATACTCTCCGCAGAAAATGAGGAAGCTAGCCCGTTCGAGGCCGCGGGAGTAGGCGCAGAGGTCTTTGTTGGTGGGGAAGGGGGACGGTGCGGTTGCTTTGATGGCGAAGAGCCGCCACTCCCGCTTCCGGCCAGTGTTGAAAGAGCGCCGTCCAACAGAACCATTTTAGCAACCGATCCCGTCTTTCCATCGTCACCGCCGGTCGGGAGGGTTGCGGCCAGATTGGGGGCGTCGGATTTGACCGGCTGTCGTCGACCTGGCGGCAAAAGACTCGGATGCGGTGACGAGAAGGGGTTGCTCCCCTGACTGACTGGTGATTGTTGGATTTGACCAGGGCCAGTTACGATATCGTTCGCCGGATTGCTGTTTATCTTTTGCTCAGGCAGATCAGATGCGGTGGCCTGTACGGCTCGGAACGCCGGTGCAGGCAGTGGCTCGGGGCCACTGAGCGAATTTGATGGCCGTGACTGAAGATCAACGACCAGCTGCGCTTGAGGTCCTTGAGATGTCCCTGCGGTTTCCTCGACGGGCTGTTTGCTGACAGGAGATTCAGGCGCCTCATGGCGATTGACCTTGAGCTTGATCACTCGAGAGCGCGGATCATCTGCTGTCTCCTCTCGCCGGCGGCAGGAGTTGCAAACGAAGTGGAAATCCTCCTGATCTGCTTCCTGTTCGTCGATGCCCAGGCATTTACTATGTTGCCAGGTGTTGCACTTTTCGCATGCCACGCTGTGTGTTCCGTCGTCGATTTGGCCGTATACCCCGCAAACACAATCGAAGATCCAGTCATCTTCTTCCTCTTCGAGTTCTTGTAGAGCCTTCTTGTTCCTCTCGATCTCCGCCAATCGTCGCCGCTCTGACATGCGAGCGGAGGCATTGCTCGCCTCCTTGCTGTCCTCGGACAGTTGAGCAAGCTCCTCCTCGTGTAGCCGGCGGCGACCCTCTCGTTCCTTAAGTCGTTGTTCCCTCGACATCAGTCGGCTATCCCTCTCACGCTCCATTTTCAGCCGCTGCTGCTCTTCTTTCCTTCTGGCCGCTTCTTCATCGACTCTCTTCCGTTCTTCTTCACGGGTTCGCTCCTCCACCTTCTGCTGTTCCATTTTGCCCGCAATCCGGCTTGACCTCTTAGCATACGCCATCTTTTCCAAGCTGAGAAGCTCCTTTTCCCTTTGCAGCTGTTTCCTCTTTCTGGATTCTTCCTGCTTCTCGAGGATGGGGAGGAGATGATCTTGAACTTGGTCTCGCAGAGTCTTCTCGTTGGGATCCTTGGATTTCTGAATGGTTGACAGAAATTCGCGGACTTCATCAAGAGTGACAGCGATGCATTCCCATTTCATCCCCCCCAGACCGTCATCTTCTGGTTCGGCCTGTTCGGCGGCATCGGGAGCCTCATCGTGCGCATCATCAGCATCGCTCGCGGCCCCGGACGAAACACGCCGTCTTTTGCTCGACCGTTGTGCAGCTCTGGCCTTTTTCGTGTTGCTCTTAGGTTTCGGGGGAGGCGGCCAGGCATCGGTTAGGCGATATAGGCGGTTGTCATCGAGAACGAAGTAGGTGCGATCGTGACGGTCCCAGCCGTAAGGCTCGATGCGCTGCATAGAAGTTAGTATAGGGTCCGCGCTTGTGCATGCCAGGTCAAGTGACGTTGGTGACGTACCCAGTTTGTTTGGTCGGTGTCCTTCTGCTCTTCGGTTTTCTCCCGTAACCGCTCTGGGTTCACCATGATCAGTTGCGTCATCTGGTGAAGTACTCGAATCTAAGTGCGGCACTCCGTCAGTTCGAAAATCGTGGTGGATAGTTTCCGCGGCCGTAACAACATACCTTGGTGAAAACGTCGAAGTCTGCAAACTTGGCGGGTACCTCGGCAGAACCGAAAGGGTTTTTCTCCGGCGCTTTGCTAAGAAACTGCCTTCTTGTGTACTCGTCGAACAACTCGTGACTGCGCAAGGTTAGAAAACCGTTCAGTAAAGTGGCAGTGGTGGCATCGGGTAGGCGAGCGGTACATACGTCAGGCCGCGGTGCGAAGAGAGGAACTTGAGGAGACGAAGGCCGATATCTTGGAGCGCTACGGCCCCCGGTTTGAGGCATTCTGCTTCAAGATCCTAGCGCAAGTCGCCTGTTAGCAACCCCTCCATTTGTGTCGGTCATAGCGTTATCTTAGGGGCCGGGAAGGCATGCAACGCACTTCGATATCGAGATTATCGTCGAGCTTGAGAGCTTGGCCGAAGAGCAGGATGAACTGAAAAAGGTTGGCGAATTGCCACATGTTCCTGATGCGATGTAGCATGGATGGCTGCGCTGAGCCCTGGGCATTGCCAGAGCCTAGCTCCTGCGAGGAGCGCTTTCGGGTTGGCGGCATCTTTAGTTCACTGCTTTGCGCGTGGTGTTTGCTTGATGGGCGAATGCGACGGGTGCTGCGCGCAGTTTGATGGTGGATGCGACGGGGAATCTGGAGCTCAGGAGTTGGCAGGAATTCGCCAAATAGAAAATAAGTTCATTGCAAAACTCCTGTCACTCAAAGAATACTGCGATAATGGGCGACGACAAGGGGTTGCGAAATTGTTCCTAGACAAATTCCTTGTGGGGAGAATCTTGAACGATGATGCAGCGACTGGCAGATCGCGTTGGTTCAATGCCTGCCGAGCCCAGTCAGTCAAAGTCGCGGCGCGGTTAGGCAAGACGCGACGGGCCCCGCATCGACGATACCGCCCCGTTTGTTGCACTTACTCGAAATCTCGATAATTGCCTTTTGTGTGCCATTCCGGTGAGTGTGTTCAAACATCGGTGGAATTCTACGAGACCGAGAGGCACTGCCATGATTTCTTTATTTTTAATCATATCGAATTACCCATGCTGAAAAACCTATCAACCTGCTTTCGATGCTGCGAGCTGGACTCCGTTGTTTGTTCCGCAGCTTCGTCACCATGTTAGGTTCTTGGCGCCGCCTCTCTGTCTCGCCGCAGAAAGGTACTTGTTCGTCGTGCATGACGACTTGCGGATCAGAGCGCGGGTGCTAAAGACGTTTCAGAAGTGTGAGAGTGGGGCTGCCGTTGATCCGTTCGGCGATTGCGGGGCGATACTGTGTACCTGGGGTTTGAGATTTGAGAACCAGAACTGGAGTGCGAGAGCAGGGGACTGCAGCGAATGAAACCCCAGGTGTCCGTATCTCACGGTGCGCCAAGACACTGTAGGCAGTGCTCTCAGCTTTCCATCTTGGGATGGGCTGAAGCGAAGTTCCCCTGCTCCCTGCGTGCCTGCAGCACCGTATTCATACAAACTCCAGATCCGTATTTGCGGCGCAGCCAGAGACCAACTTCGCCGACCTTCCCCAGACCGATTGCCTCCTTCCCGTCCCTTCTCTCGCTGCTTTGCCCGATTTGCCGCTGCCTGCGTCGCCTTCGGTGCCCCTTTGCGACAATCACCCCCGACGCACCTCACAATCCGACCCGAACACGCACCCGCCACCCGCCACGCCCAGGTAGCTTGTACTGTGTATGGTCAGCAGCGAGGCCACCCGATCTTTGCTTACCATCTACACCCCTTAGACCACTGCCCGCTACGCGCAGAATGCCCGATTCGAGATCCGGCTGGCACACTCCGCGACTGTGTTAGCGCATCGCGCGCTGACATTTGCCGACGAAACCAATCAACGACGGCGGCCCGGGCTCCGTTCGATCCATCAACATGGCCGGGAACGAGAACACGCCGCAACCGCCCCGCCGAACAACCTCTGGTTTCTCGCCGGATCCCCCACAATCAATCCCCCTCCGAGAACTTCAACGGCCCGGGGAAGCTGACACGGACCATGGGGCGGGTTTTCCGGGCGGCGTCGGGAGCGGCGGGACGGCTCAGGGGGGTTGGCAGCAGCACTCGGGAGCAGGAACACGCCATGGAGCCGGGGATGCACCGTCACCTATTGCCATGTCGGCAAACCTGCCCGGGTTCTCGTCATACTGGGAAAATCCGTATCCGCATGCCGATGACGGGGCCGGCGCTAGCGGCGGCGCGTCGCCCATCGACCGCATGGCCCTACAGTTTGCGCTTCCTCCCGATATATATCCACAACAGCCCAGGTCCCAGCTCGAGCAGTATATAACCTCCGACGACGACCCGTACCGAACCCCCCACGCGTACTTCGAGGAGCGCGCCGATACGGATTCCCTCGAGTCGGATACAGTGCCTTTGAAACCTGCAGCACAGCCTATCGGCCGCCTGGATGCCCGAGACGGCGAGCCGTCGCCCCGGACCAGTTTCCAAACCGTATCTGATTTGGGAAATACACCCTCCCGCGCCCGGAGCGCCCAGATGCTCGGTTTCGACCTGGAACCGGGGTTGGCATCCAACCGCCACCGTAGCTATGGGGATCATCTTGCGCCCACAGACCGGCGCCGGTCTCGCTCCCCATCAACCGCCGGAGCTCTGTCTAGAGCGAGTTCCATCATGAGAGCCATGTCTCAGCGCGTCGTTATGATTAGCGGAGAGGGTGACCTAGTCGATCAGGCAAACCGGCGGGATCGGTCGCGCTCGCCGAGTCCCGATGGGCGTCATCCATCCCGTGTGTCCGGACCCATGCTTGTTGATACCTCGTACCCCTCGCAGATGTTCCCCACGCCAGCCGAGAAAAGACCCGAGTCTGATTATTTTCAGCCTGAGCCGCCACTCCCCATGCCTCGGCGGCACGGCCCGCTCCCGAACCCTCTGAAAGGGAACTCGTTGGGCATATTTCCTCCCGAAAACCCAATACGGAAACGGCTCTGTGATGTCCTGGTCAGCCCATGGACGGAGCCGTTCATCTTGGTCTTGATTGTTGCCCAGGCAATCCTGTTAGCCGTCGAGGCCGCTCCGGACGTCTTCGTCGCGGGAAATGGCAGACCCGAACGCTGGGGCAGTACCCGAATTGACTGGGCCATCCTAGGTCTATTCATCATCTTCACTCTCGAGATCATAGTCAGGGTCATCGTGTCTGGTCTTATCATCAACGCGGACGAGTATGCGCCGGTCGGAAGCAAGCGGAGATTGAGAGAAAGAGTGACCGAGCAGTACCACGCCATCTTCAAACCACAGCGCCAAAAGTCAGTTAGGCAGCCACCGCAGGAGCAGCAGTTTGTGCCCGCGTTCCAAAGGTCCTTTACAATGATGCACGGGATGCCAGGCGAGGTTTCGCTCAAAGAGCAGCAGCGGCTTCACCTCGCGCGCAGGGCATTCCTGCGCCATGGCTTCAACAGGCTAGACTTCGTAGCCGTTGTCGCCTTTTGGATATCGTTCGTCCTCGGTGTTACCGGCTTGGAGAGCCAGCATAATGTCTACGTTTTTCGTATGCTTAGCTCCTTGCGCATCATCAGGCTGCTCGCTCTCACAAAGGGCAATCTCGTCAGTTGGCTCCTGCTCTTCTTAACTCACCTTGTGTCTGCATGCTAACTAGCCGTTGCAGATCATTCTCAGGAGTCTTAAGAAGTCTGCTCCGCTTCTCGTTCGGGTTTCGTTTCTAATGGGCTTCTTCTGGCTTCTCTTCGCTATCATCGGCGTCCAGAGCTTCAAATCCAGCCTCAGCCGCCAATGCACCTGGATCAACCCCGAGGATCCCACCAACTTCGCAGCCGCTTTCACGCCAGACCTGTCCTTTTGCGGCGGCCACGTGAACGCGACGACGAACAATACCGAACCCTGGGTTTCCTCGCCAACGAAGAACTTGTCTCCCGAGGCCCTCATCCCCGGTGCAAAGAATGCAAAAGGTTTCATCTGCCCAAGGGGGTCCATTTGCCTCCAACAGGACAATCCGTTCAACGGCACGGTCAACTTCGATGATATTGGTCATTCGCTCGAGCTGGTCTTTGTTATCATGAGCGCCAATACTTTCTCCGATCTCATGTACTACACGGTGAGCTCGGATTTTCTACCGGCCGCCCTCTTCTTCGGGGCCGGTATCATTATCATGATGCTCTGGATGACCAACTTGTTGATTGCCGTCATTACCTCATCCTTCCAAGTCATCAGAGAAGAATCCAAGGCCAGCGCTTTCACGGCCGACGACGAGCCGTCCCTCTTTCAGACGAATATGGAGAAGATTCCGCGAAGAAAGTCGGCGTTACAACGAATAGCCAAGAAAACCTCGTGGGTTTGGGTGGTGGTCATTGCGTATGGCCTCTTCTGCCAGGCATTACGGAGCGCGACCATGTCAGAAAGCAGAGAAAATTTCATCAACGCGTCCGAAATTGTTGTCACCAGCCTTCTCGATGTCGAAATTCTCCTACGGTTCCTCTTCAGCCTCCGGAGGTTCCATCACAAGCCGCGTAATCTAGTCGACCTCGGGCTCGCCGTGATCACTACCATCATCCTTATTCCGCCCATCCGGAACTCGGGTCAGGTGTACAATTGGCTAACCATCTTCCAAATCATCCGAGTCTACCGCGTTGTCCTCGCCATCCCCATGACAAGCAAACTCATCGAGCTGGTGCTGGGGAACGTCACGGGTATCGGGAATCTGATGGTGTTCGTCTTTCTCATCACGTTTCTGATGGCGATCTTCGCTTCGCAACTGTTCCGGGGCCAGCTGCCGGCAACAGACGACGACGGGGAGTTCTTGAGGATTCCGTTCAACACCATCTATAACTCGTTCCTCGGCATGTACCAAGTTCTCTCCAGCGAGAACTGGACCGACATCCTGTACAGCGTTACGTCGTACACGACCCATCTGAACACAGCCTGGATAGGCGCCGTGTTCCTCATCGGCTGGTTCATTCTCTCCTACTTCATTCTCATCAACATGTTCATTGCTGTCATTCAAGAGAACTTTGACGTGGGCGAGGACATGAAGCGCCTAGAGCAGGTTAAGGCGTTTCTGCAACGCAGAGAGCTGGGCAGCTCATCCAATCTAGCGCTGTCCAAGGTTTTCGGTTTTGGCAGATCGCGGAATCGAGCCGATCCGCTCGACCAGACCACCGGTGCGGGAGTGGTGGACATGCTGTTCAAGGAGGGATTTGTGCGCGAATTTCTCGACGACGCCCTGGACGAGCTGCAAGAGGCCCAGGGGGACAACCAGTCGCAGCATCCCGGTGCGAAAGGCAGAGCCAACAACGGGTTCCTCGCTACTGTGCAGGAAAAGGTGGCCTCGATGTTCCGCGCGGGGGAACCCAACCCATTCTATTCCAACGTTCGATTTGGCGGAGCCATCTCCACTCTCGATCCCGCACAGTTGGCCCGTCAAGCGGTGAACTCTACCGCCGCCCGGCGCAAGGCGCAGAGGGAGTACCTGATGCGGCATCCTACCTACAATACCTCTCTCTTCGTCTTCAAGCCGCGGAATCGCCTTCGCCGTCTCTGCCAGAAGCTCGTGGGGCCCGGTCATGGAACCGAACGGTTTGACGGTGTTCAGCCCAACAAGTATGCCTGGTACACGTTCTCGGCCGTCGTCTACGCGGCCATCGTAGCCATGGTGATCCTGGCCTGCGTCACCACGCCGCTCTATCAAAAGGAGTACTCCGAACGGCACCCGTTCAGCCCACTGAACTGGTTTGTTTGGACTGACACGGCCTTTGCTATTGTGTTTACTGTCGAGGCTCTCATCAAAATCATCGCTGACGGCTTCTTCTGGACCCCCAACGCCTACTTCCGAAGCACATGGGGCATCATCGACGCCATCGTACTGGTCACTCTTTGGATCAACGTCGTCACCCTGTTCACCAATGCCGGAGCCATCTCTCGAGCCGTCGGCGCCTTCAAGGCTCTCAGGGCACTGCGCCTGCTTAATGTCAGCGACAGCGCCCGAGACACGTTCCACTCCCTCATTATCGTCGGCGGTTGGAAGATCCTCAGTGTAAGTCACGGTCTCGCTTAAATGCCTTCATGAACGATGGAGAAGGGGGAAAGTGTGCTAATCTACTATGCGTCGCCCAGGCCGCCTTCGTCTCGATCTCGCTCCTGATCCCTTTTGCCATATATGGGCTGAACCTTTTCAACGGAAAGTTGATGGCATGCAACGACGGCGAGGGGATCGTGAACCTGGACGACTGTGTCGGCGAGTTCAACAGCACACCCTTCAACACCGACTGGCCGATGCTCGCTCCGAGGGTTGCCCAAAATCCCTTCTTCAACTTTGACGATTTCGGATCCAGCCTCTTCATCCTCTTCCAGATCGTGAGCCAAGAAGGATGGACGGATGTATCATTTGCTGTGCAGGCCATCACCGGCGAAGGGCTCCAGCCAGATGCTGAGCCGCCTTACGGAGCCCAGGGCAACGCTTTGTTTTTCGTGGTGTTCAACCTCTTGGCCACCGTCTTCGTTCTCACTCTCTTCATTTCGGTTTTCATGCGAGGCTATACGGAACAGACGGGAGTGGCATTCTTGACCGCCGAGCAGCGGTCCTGGCTGGAACTGCGCAAGATGCTCCGCCAAATCTCACCGTCCAAGAGCGCTTACGATGACAAGAAGAACAAGTGGAAGAGGTGGTGCCATAAACGCGCCATCGAGAAGCGCGGCAGGTGGTACATGGCCATCACCACCGTCCTTGTCTTGCATTTGATCCTGCTCCTCACCGAATATGACGCCGAACCCGCTCTCTTGACGCACATCAAGGACATCTGTTTCCTCATTTTCACTCTGATCTACATTGCCAATCTCATCATACGCGTCTTCGGCCTCGGCTGGACACGGTTTCGAAAGAGCTCTTGGGATCTGTTTTCCCTTCTGGCCGTCACGGGCGCCTTGGCCACCTCGATCCTCTTCCTTACGGACAGGGGGGAGGTCACATACATCCAGCTGCACAAGTTCTTCTTGGTGGCGCTGGTACTCATGCTCATTCCGCGGAATGACGCGCTCGATCAACTGTTCAAAACGGCGGCGGCCAGTTTGACGACGATAGGCAGCCTGCTGGCGACGTGGATCGTGTTCTTCCTGGTGTTTGCCATCGCGTTGACGCAGACATTCAGCCTTACGCGGTTCGGCAACGAAGAGAATGCCAACATCAACTTCCGCACCGTGCCTCACGCCCTCATCCTCCTCTTTAGGTTCAGTTGCGGAGAGGGTTGGAACGAGGTGATGGAGGACTTTGCGCAGGTCAAGCCTCCGTTTTGCGTCGAGGGCGACACGTTCTTCGAGAGCGACTGCGGCAGCACCGCGTGGGCTCGGGCGCTCTTCATAGCTTGGAACATTATCAGCATGTACATCTTCGTCAGCTTGTTCGTGTCGCTCATCTACGAGAGCTTCTCGTATGTGTACCAGCGGACAAGCGGCCTGGCGGCAGTCGATAGAGACGAAATTCGGCGTTTCAAGGAAGCCTGGCGCAGCGTTGACGCGTCCGGCACGGGGTTCATCACCAAAGACGCGTTTCCGCGGCTCCTCGGTGAGCTGTCCGGAGTGTTTGAGATGCGCATCTACGATAACGACGATTCGGTGCGGGCTATCCTCGAGGACGTGCGGAACGAGAACGACGCGGCCAGTATCAGACATGCGTCGATCGTCAGCAAGAGCCAATATCAGACGGGTGTAGACCTGAAGAAGCTAAACGAACGCCTAGCCATGATTGACGTTGCCAAGGTCCGCGAACGTCGGCGCCGGTTCAACATTTTCTTCGAGGAGGTTATGGTGTCAGCGGACCCTGAGAGAGGCATCTCGTTCACGACGGTGCTGATGCTCCTGGCGCATTACAACATCATCAACGACAGCAAGAGTCTACGGTATGTCCCCTTCACCGGTTTTGTCACGAGAGAAAGAAATAAGAAAGAAGATGAGCTGACATGTGGAAACAACAGACTTGAAGAATTCTTGCGTCGCAAACTGCGCCTCCAGCGCGTCGAAGAAGAAGTCCGTAGAAGGATCGTCCTCGGCTTCTTCGACATGCTCTACTACTCACGCCAGTTCAAGCGGCACATGGAAAAGAAGCGCGCCGGGCGCATGACAGCAATTCCGCAGCTCGACATCCCAGAAATTCTGGTGGACAACGAAGAGCGCAAGGGCGAGGAGGGTGGCCAGGGCGGCCGCGGAGGCCAAGCGCAGCAGCAGCAGCACCCTGCGGCGGCGAGCCGCAGCCGGGCCAAGTCCAGCGCGGCGGTCACCACGCCCGTCTCGGACGCCGGCGGCGGCCTGCTCTCGCCGTCGACGAGCCGCGCCAAGTCGCAACACCGCAGCTGGGCCGGCCTCGGCGCCGACCTGTCGTCCTACGACACCTCGTACGGGCACCCGCTCGCCGGGCCGCGGGGGTCCCGGCCGGCGGCAGCGGGGACGGGGACGGGGACGGGGACGGGGACGGGGACGGGGGCGGGGACGGGGGTGGGGACGGGGGCGGGGACGGGGGTGGGGACGGGGGCGGGGGGGCCTTCCCGTCAGTCGCAGGGGAGCACCTTCAGCTTCGAACTGACGGAGCCGGGGCTGGTGGCGGGCGACGATGCCGACGAGGCGACCAGCCTGGGGAGACGCGGGAGCTCGGTCGATCCCTCGGTCGTCAGGGATATGTTGGACAATTCGGTGTGGGTGGAGAGTCTGAGGAGGAGCGCGACGAGGAAGAGCGGGTGGGGGGGCCCGTCGGGAGGTTTCAAGTGAGGGTTCTACTGTGGCAGTGGTAGTGGTGGCGGGGTGGTGGGGGTCGTGGTGGTATCATGCAAGAACTGGCGTTTGGTAGCACCCTTACCGGGTGTTTCTGGCTTTATGAGCGATGATAATGGGGGATGCATCATTTTTTCTTTCTTGGACGGGTCAACTAGCGGGTAGCGGGCCCGGTCGTTGCAAAGAAAGCACTGGCGCTTATTGGGGAGGGATTCTAGATTTCAGTGTTCCAAGCAAGCGTGTATTGGGGGGAAGGCATTGTGTAATTCTAAAAGAGCGGTTGACTTGGTTGAAGAAGCCAATGTGGAGCAGATATGAGCGAATTCGTGGATAGGAGGAAGGGAGCCCGGGTGTGTGTTGACGCGTCTCACATTTCCGTATGTACAATACAACCTACCCAAGGGTGGAATGAATGTGGTGTGGTGATGTTCAATGTCTCAAGGGCGAGCCAAATTCGAGACTATCACAGCAGAATCACTGCATGACAGTTTGTTTCAAAGCAGCAGGAGTGATGGCCGCCAAAACTTAGCATTTCCAAGAAAGACAAAAAGTAATATATGAACAAAGCATGGATAGGTAGGTAGGTAGCAAGTTACGGGCCGACGAGAGGGTTTTGAAGCCAGCCTCGACCAACAATGTTCTAGAAGCTTAGAAGAAGAAGTGTTCCATGGCCTGCAAGATATTAGCGTGGCGAGAATGAGGGCTCGAAACAGTCGTGAAGGGGCTTTCCCTTGATTGTTGCCCCTTGATGTGTGCAGGGTCCCCATTCTGAGCAGGGCCCTCGCCCACCTGTAACGACGATCAAACGAGCTCCCCAAGTGTCATTCGGGTGGATCCCTGTTCAAGGCCTGTTTGGTCGGCGGGCGCACAGTTCGATCGACGGGCTTCAACGGTTGATATTTTGGGTCGTCATATCAGGGGCGGGGACGCCATTACTCAGTTTTATCAGAAGCCTCGAACCTCCAAATTGATGTGATGAGTATTGAGAGGGTGCAAAGCAGTTCTAGCCCCGTCATTTTGAGGTCGCCATCGCCTCACACAAAAGTGGGGGTGTTTCATCGTTACTCGCTTGGCCCGCAACTCACCCTCCTGCCCCGTGCGTTTCTGGGCATCTTGGCCAAGAACTCTTCGGCCACATCCAACAACACGAACACATCAACGACATGGTCTCGGCGATCATGTCACTGCATGCCGTTCAGGGCCAGTTCGCGGCCCATTCTACGAGTACAGCGGTGGTTTGACTGCTGAGGATCCCCCCGTGCTGCGCTGGCGATCGCGGCGAACGAGCAGCCGAATAAGGCAATGTTCTCCCTGTCTGGGTCTCGCCTTTCCAGGGTACTCGGTGCTTCGGTGCTTGGTGTTGAGTCGGGTGCTTTGGGTCGCGGGGCTTTAAGGGACGCCCTGCCCCGCTCATCCTGGGGACGCATGACGGATGCTGCAGCAAACCCATTCATCGCCCCTGCCTTTTTACTGCGTCACCTCACAGTAGCCCTTTGTTTCCCTCCCTTCCGAGCCGGGCTGTGCCTGCATTGTGCTCCTCTTCCCCCTTGCAGCCCGCCCTTTGTTTCTAACCCAAGTCAGTTCCGACCCGACTCACATCCATCCCCTGTCTGGCACGGGGCACCCCCTAGCTGATTCCCCAAGCACCAACTCTCGTTTGATACGAGACTTGCACCCCGTCTCTACTTAAAGTAAGTGCTCATCCTCCTCGGCACGTTTACCGGGTCCCGATAATACTCCATCCTACTCAGGCTCTTGGGCTTTATAGCAGGTGTTGTCGCTGACGCGGACGAAGACCAACAATAACTACAATCGGCATATCCTCTGCCCTCTGATCGGTGCCACGCATAGATCGTCCCATCTTTTCAAGAACGTTACCACACCAGTCTTTCGCTTCTACACCGTTTGCCATTCGCCCCTCCACGGACAGGTTTTCCGAGGAACACACTTCACTTCTTCAAACGACACAGGCTGTGCCTTATTTTCCACCGCTCGACTTAAGCCGTCGAACTAGACTTTCTACCTCGCCCACGCGAAACATCTTCATCCCTACCGCCATCATGCAGACCTCCCGCTTCCAGACCATCACAGCGCGCTTCTCGCCGCACAATATCCGCACTTCGTTCCGCCGGTCCATGTCGTCTTCGTCGACATCCTCGCGGGCCAGCAGCACGGACCGGGCCTCGTTTGCCTCGCAGGCGAGCTCGCCAGTCAGCACCATCAACAGCATCGTGTTTCGCCAGAAGACGGGCCTCGAACCTCATGACGAGGCCGAGCGCCCACCGCACATCCTCGAGCCGAGGCCTGCTGCCACATTCTGCAGCCTCGAGGAGCGCATGATGTCCTTCTAAGCCCGGGTGCCGGGTGCCTCTTGGGTGTTGGCTTCTTGAAAGGAAGCAACAACAAGTCAATTCTACTTCTTTCAATTCCCACTTTTTATACGACATAATGCTGCCTTTACGGAATGGGTCAGGAGTGATGGTCACGACTACGGTGGGATAGTGCGTTCGGTCTTTGTTCTTTTTTTGGGAAAAATGGCGTTATATGCCCCGATTTCGGGTTGAGACATCGGGGTTATAGTTATGCAGTAATGAATGCTGTAGTTTCATTACCTATCTACAGTTCACAGGGATGCCTAGCTAGCTGAATCAACAGTTGTCCAGGCTAAACCTGTTCCTCGTGGTCTTTCCTTAATTTAGGGCGTTCTTTTTGTGGTAGCACGATGCATGAATACATGCCGCTCAGGCATGCAGGCGGCATGCAGATGCAAAATGCAGGAACCATCTTTTTGCGAGGGGCACTCGGTGTCACAAGCTTGTTGTCGACGGTTAAAAGTCGATGAGGCTGCATGGGGTCACATCGGATTGGGGGCTGATTGGCCGGCGCAAGTTCGCCCCATCTGAGACCAGAAGGCTCGAACGACATCCTGCTCCTCAGCCCGGAGAGCTTATCCAACCAGCAACATCCGGCTGAGAACCCGTCGGAAGAGGTCGAAGGTCAGGGCCCTCCCCAACGAAGCTCACCGGTCTTGACCGTAATTCGTGGACTTGTGGCTAAACAGCCCCCCGCCCCCCGCCCCCCGCGCGAACTGTTGAGAGAGCTCTGTCGACGTGGCAGAACAACGCTCTGCCAAGCCACGTCACGCCTCGCCTCAGAATTTGATGTGGTTGGGAGAGAGACATGGGTTGCCAAAAATGACAACCCCCCCCTCTCTCATGTATGGACAGCACCACCCAGCTTCGCCTCGGCTCCATTTTGGCCTGCCATACGGAGCACGAGGGCATCTGATGGCGTGGGTCGGGCATCAAACTTACCTGAACCACTGAACCGGGCCTGTCATGGACGCACGGTGGCACTCGACGACGCGTGTCATCTCTCATCTCGCGAATTGATAATGAAGCCGCTTCTTTGCTTGAATACTGGGGTAATCCCGAGTGACGGGTATCTTCTTTGATAAACTCATAAACTCAAACTGTCAACTCCCGTCTAGTAGTTTTCGCTCTCGTAAGCAAAACCAACAAACACCATGGATCTCAGCGCCAGTATCGATGACTTCACCGTCGACGGCGGAAACTGGCGATACGCCATAAGCCGAATGAGCATGTCAATCTGGCCATCGCGCATCTCTACACAAGATCGGCATCGCCGCAATGCCCGCCGATCACTGAAGATGAAAACGAAACCGATCACTGGCCGAATCGAGCGCCCACCACAAAAGACACGGGTCTCTGGGTATCGACATGACGAAGGTAAGATACCTCAGCACTTTTTAGTCACAGGGAGGAAGGGAGTGTTATGTCCGTGTAACACACCTGCCTGGCGTTTGTTCATTCACTTTGTTCTGTGTACCTGTGTGATGACTTACACGGGTGTTGTTTGTTTCCATCCCAAACCTACCCATTGCGTTGCTTGTTCAGTAAACAGCAAGCAGCCACAGAAACTCAAAAGTTGAAAAACATTGCAAAATGGGCCATATTATTTCGAACAACCCACCGCGAGAATCCTCCCCGACCGATCTCGTGATATTTTACTTTCTTAGTTACCCGTTGTCAGCTGCTGCCTTCTTGACACTCACCCATGGGGACCTGCAAAGAAAGAAAAACGAGTCGCTTACGATTTATTAACACAGCTTTTACCGCCATCGTAGCAGCAGCCATGCTTGCCTGCGTACCTCTCCGCCCGCCGCTCGCCCTCATGGACGCTAGGTTCGCCAAGTACGTCCTGGTGCCGGCTCGACGGTCAGAGATGGACGACAAAGTGGTTCAGATGGGCTCCCGGCCGTTGTTTCCGGTTGAGAGTCGGCTACCGAGTGATCGAGAAGACCCATGCTCATTCCGAACACGGTTGATCGACCCCATGGCCGACTCCGAAGCCGATATGGCGTTCGGGAGCACCGACATGCTCAACTGCGACGATCTGGCGTTTGATGACGTCCAATGCATCTCGGTCGGTCGGTCAACTAGGAAATTCAAGGCCGTATCCGGAACGGCAACTCCGCAGAGGGACTATCATGCCCAGGCCAACGAAGACCACGATGACAAGAACAACACCAACAGCGACATGGAAACCATGAACATGCCCTTCTGGAACCTCCCGAGGCGCCAGAAACAGCACATCTTCCGCGGGGGAGACACGATCCCGGACGACATGTCCATCATCTCGGATGCGTCGCTGATCCCGACCTACTACCCGAGCGACATCATGAAACAGCAGCAACAGCAGCCACAGCGGTCCCCGCACCGGACCCTCATCAAGCAACTCTTCCGCGCAAAGGCCAGGGCGGCGAAACAGACGGTGCGGCAGCTGAAGCGGTCGTGTCGCGACGCCGTCGGGCACGTCTTTGTCGACCCCGCGAGCCACAGGGGCCCCAAATGCGTCGCCGTTGGTTCGGTGTATTGAGGAAGCCGGGGAAAACCAACTGGAATACATCGGCGGGTTATCCGCCGGCTAGCATCATGTGTTGCGCATTCTTGGTTTCGGAACAACGGGCGTGTCAGACGTTGCCAGAACATGACTTGTCCCCAGTTTGTCAGGTGTTCAGCCGCCCTGCCCCAGCAAAAAAACTTCACTCATCACCATGTCACTACCAACTGGGTGCCAATGGACTGCATTGGAATAACAAACGGGGCAGAGAAAGAATGGAAGGGGAATGACGGCGGTTGGGTTGCGGGTGCCAACCAGCCAACTCACTTACCTGTACCAACCCCGTCACCCAACCGGCCACCCCAACAAGACTTTGGAGACATACACCGTGTTGGAGGAAGCCCGGGAAGGAGGAGTGAGGGTTAAAGAGAGGGTTGGAAAGGCATCACCAAACTGGATATATTTACCCCGCCTTTTTTCGTTTGTTGATACCCCCCATTGTTGCATTCGCTTGGCGCTTGGATGGATTCTATCATATTACTCGTTTTTCTTGACGTTTATTGATTTCTCTTCGCCTGTCTTCCGTTTTGTGTTTTGAACTGTTCCCTGGCATGGATGCGTGGATCATTGGGTTCTGGTCACGGTACGGTGTTAACGGAGGGGGGATGGGGGGCGGTGTTTGGGACGGTTCAAGGGAGGGGTTGTACTTCGTAGTGAAAGATGAACGACAAGATTGCTTCATGAACTTCTGGCCCCTGAGTCACGCCGCGATTGACACCTTCGCGTTGTTGTCTGGAGAACCGTGGACCCAATAAGCAACGCGCGCCAAACACGCGTTCCGTTCGGTCGGCAATTAACTGCACCACCTGCAGCCGGAAGAATGCACTCGACCCAGCTCTCCGGGTCAATAAAGCGTTGTTATGACAACAGTGTTTCGGGTTGTCCGCTACAAACCGCTGGCCCAGACGCTCCCAGCCACCGCAAGGCGGGTGAATCGACGAAGATAGAAGATACTCAGTGATAATGCAATGCTCCCATTCCGATGCCTAAAACCGTCATCACCGAGGCTAAACCAACAGAGATGTATGTACAATGTCCCCACAAGCTCCAGTCCCTCTCAGGAATGGCAAGGACCCCTCCCAATGGCTGGCTTCACCCAGCCCACCTTTCAGTCCCGTCCCACACTCCTCTCTCCAGCAGCCTCTATTATGCAGCAATAAACCACCAGAAAATCCCAAGGCCGTCCCGTAGGAACCAAGAGGATAACCTAGTATTCCAGCAATAGGAGGGCAGCATTCGAAGCCTCCATGGAGCAAAGCCTTCGCGAAAGCAAAATTGCCCCCCAATAGGCCAAAAGCACATCCACCCAAACACCGTCCCCAACCTGCCGGTACCTAGCCACCGAGCGCCGTCGCCAAATAATCCGATGATCGGAAAAGGATAAAAGTGGCGGCCAAGAGAAACAAACCCAAAACAAAAAACCATAACCGACAATGCCGTGGAGAGACGCCCCTAATCCTCAATGGGTGTTGTGTGGGCCGAAGATGAAGATGCCGAGAACGGGGATCCAGTCTCCCAAGGAGCAGGAGCCAGGATGCGTCATTAATCTATAATCGTGAGGTGTCGTCAAGGCGGCGAATCCAACCACAGCGTGGTATCCTAACACTCCGCGACAGCCGTGGAGGCGCGACGCAGCACCGCGTGCTACGGTGCGAGATGACACTGACGAGACCTCTAAGAGACCTCGCTGAGGGTCAGGTGAATGTCATCGATGCCATAGAGATGCGCATTCTTTTTCGACCATTGGCGGGTGATGATTGATGCTGCGACTCTAGTTAGAAACAGGCACCGGTGGGAACCATGGGCCATGGCTAAGAGGGAGGGCAACATACCCTTCAAGAACTTCTTGTGAGCATACTTCTTGAAGAAGGCCTCGTGGATGACGGGCCGCGCCATATAGTCCACCATCAACATGACGACGGGCTGGATCTCCTCCTCCGAGTACCCGGCAAAATACTCCAGCGTATCATCCTATCGCACGGGAACCATTAGCCTGAGTTCAACGAGTATCAACTTGAGGGTAGACTTACCCATTCGCCACGGTCTAGGATCAGCCGCGACAGGTACATAGCGGCGGCGGCGATATGGCTAGGGCGATAGGCCATTAGGCGATGGTCCAACAAACTGATCTCCATGAGGTATTTCCCGAGGGTACGGGATTGAATGTCGTAATTATCCGCCTTGGAGATGCGGCGGAGGAAGTTCATCGGGTTCGGGTAGCTCAAGTCGTAGTTGAGGGTGGCGAGGACGAAACGCTCAGCACTCAGGATCTCAGCCTCGGTGAAACCATCGTCGGCGATATGGCGAAAGTTGGCAATATGAGGCGAGAGTACTTCCTCGTACTTGGAAGCAATGAACATGGCGGTGATCCCGACGAGCTGAAGGCGGTCCAGTTGAACAACCTTCTCAGACAGGAAGCGGTCGACGATGTTGACGGCGAGGAATAGAGTCTCGGGGAGCAAATGGAAACGGGTGTGAACCTCAACCAGCCAGTCGATAAGAATACCCCGTGTCTTCCACTCTAGATCGTCTTGGTGCGACATGTACTGAGGGTTGGGGACCGAGTTGCACTCGAGGTCGCGGAGGTATTCGAAGATGTCGTTAGCATATTCGGCGACCATCAGCGGGTCATCGAGGTCTTCTCGGTCGAGGATGGTCGCGGCGGCGGGGATATCGGCACGCGGCTCGGGCTCGCTGGCCACGGGAGGCGGTGATGATGGCGCAGCCTCCTTTCGCGCAGGCTCTTCTTGTTTCACGTCGGTCTTTGTCTTCTTTTCCTCAAGTGTGTGAACCTTTTTGCGGATCGGTTCGCCGTCCTCCGGGGTAGCCTCCTTGACGACGGTGTTCGTGGCCGCGGTACTCAGGGTCTTGCGCTTCTGCGCCACGATTGAACCGGGACCTGACCGCTTCGCCTCCGGCTTCTTGGTGACCTCCTTGGTAGTTAGGGCCGACCGCGTCGCCGTCGTCTTCTTCTGGACACCAGTGGGTTGAGCTGCCTTGGACACGAGACCGGTCCTGCCGACCACCTTCTTGCTCTCCACGGCCTCAACCTTGGTCACATTGCTGACGTCGCCGAGGGCAGCACGCCTCCTCGCGGGATTGGCATTGGCGGCTGTCTTTTTTGACTGCAGTGCCTTGGTGGGCATGGCGAGCTCATCGACATTCAAAGTTGCCGCGGCTTTCGCCCGGGTAACGCGTGCTGTCGCATTGCTGTTCTCGTCGTTTTCGTTCGTCACCGAACGGGGGTTTCTTGTCCTGGTCTGAGTGGTGGTCAGCATGGCCAACCATGCTTCAATTGGAGGTCAAGTCGCGTCGAATCCAACCGCGTCAAAGCAGAGTGGTGGACACGCCTGGGGCAAAGACTTACAACAGGCATTGTGGCGGCTGATGTTGGGAACAAGTAGACAAACGGATGCTACTTAAAGCTAATAGAGGGTTAGCTTCGACATGTTCCTTCAAGACCGACGAGGGCTCAAGCATGCTCGACGCGACGGGCAGCTCCGGACGACAGCAAATTGGGCGAGATAACTCACCAAAGATGCAGAAATAAAGGATCACGAGGGCGATATGACGTGCTAAGTGTCGATATGCCGAAGAGTCCAACACCACACGCGCTTTTGAGTGGAGGGCGGTCGCTGTGTCTCGAGAAATGACGCGTTTCTCTCTCGCTCTGCGAGTACAGGATCGAATCGAACTCGAGGATGGCCTTACAATTGAGAATGGCACAAAGTCTAAGGTCCGAAGCGCACGTTGTGGTGAAGGGCTTCGTGATGTTGGAGGAGGATACTCGCAAATTGGGAGCTCTCTTGTTTTTTAAGATGTGTTGGTGGAGAGGTGGGAAGGGTTCGCGAGTTGAGGGAGAGAGAAGTGGGACGGGACGCGGTCAAATCAGCGTGGTGGGCTGGGCGCAAGTACCAGGTACTACGCGACTGCGGCGTTGAGCTCGGCAGGTGGGTCCGCCGCGTTGAAAACGCGTTGCTGTGAGCGTGCAGGACCGGGGCCGGCAGCAACAGAATGATCCCAAGTCGTGGCGAGCGACTTCTGAGGAACGAGAGAGGAAGTTAGAGAGCTTGATAACGTAGTGTGAAAAAGATTAGATGGTGAGGAAGAAGTTGTTGATGTTGGTAGCAACAGCGGGCTGCCTATGTTATAAGGCATTGAGAGGTACACGGTACCAGCAGGGGAAACGCGGTCGTCCAAAACCGTGCTCCCCTTCCCGAACCCGCCGTCAACAGTGACAACCACGGGGCAACCGCCTTGCGATTGGCTGGGCGTGGGAAGCTGCAGACCCTTGGTCGCCCTCGAGCTTTATCCGCGTTTTTCGCGCTCTCGGTGGGGCTGTGGCTCCACGCGGTGATCAGCCGCAATCCTTAAGCCCACTAGCCACACTTGCAAGGAACCCGTGCACGGACTCGGTGATCGGTCGAAGCAAGCAAATTTCCAAAGTCGCAGAACATCAGTGTTAACGGAAGGACGGCCTACCGCCACCGCTACCCATTCCCCAAACGCCGGAGATCACTGCGGCCAATTGGCTGCCCTGCGCTTTCGCAAACACGCCCGGACACCGAAGGTGCCTCGATGTGCTGACGTTGACGCCTCGTTGGTGCTGGTTTCTCCCGGTCTCGGTTGAGTTGCGCTTCTTTGGCAATGCTGCAACCACGGTTCCGGCCCTTGGTTGCGGGGATAGCCTCGCTCCCCTCCCTCTGCCAGAGGGCCCTCCAACTCAACACTATCAGACGCTACTCGGCCGCGGTGCAAAGCGAGGTCAAGAATGCGTCTAGCGAAGATGCCTCCGCCGGCTTCGGCCCCCCCTCCACTCAAATCGAGGCAGTTAAAATGCGAACGTACAAGCCGCGGACGCCCGGCCTCCGGCATCTTAAGCGGCCGATCAACGACCATCTCTGGAAAGGCAGGCCATATTTGCCATTAACGATACCAAAGAAGGGTCACGGGAAGGGTGGCAGAAACAACACGGGTCGAATCACCATTAGACATCGTGGAGGTGGTGTCAAGCGGAGACTCCGTACTCTCGACTTCAAGCGCTGGGCTCCGGGACCGCACTTGGTGGACCGTATTGAATACGATCCAGGCCGGAGTGCTCACATCGCCTTGCTGACGGAGCAGGCGACGGGCAACAAGACTTATATCGTGGCCGCCGAGGGCATGCGTGCGGGGGACGTGGTGCAGAGCTACCGAGCTGGCATTCCCCAAGACCTTCTCGACAGCATGGGCGGCGTCATCGACCCTGGTATTCTGGCAGCGAAGACGGCCTGGAGAGGAAACTGCTTGCCCATGCACATGATCCCCGTCGGCACGGTCGTGTACAATGTGGGGTCCCGCATGGACGGCGGGGCGGTATTCTGCCGCAGCGCCGGCACGTATGCGACCATCATCTCCAAGGAGGAGGAGACACGGGACGACGGTACCAAGGTCATGACCGGGAAGCATGTCGTTGTCCGGTTGCAGAGCGGCGAAATCCGCAAGGTCAGCAAAGATGCTTGTGCCACGATCGGCGTGGCCAGCAACATCATGCACCAATACAGGCAATTGGGCAAGGCTGGACGTAGCCGTTTGTTGAACATCAGGCCCACAGTGAGAGGCTTGGCCATGAACGCAAGTATGTGGCGCATGCTCCCGTTCTTTTATCCCCATTCGGCTTGTTGCTCCTCGCAACCGTTTCTCGTTCGGCCGCTGACATTGCTTTAGATGACCATCCCCACGGTGGTGGTCGTGGTAAGTCGAAGGGTAACAGAAACCCCGTCAGCCCATGGGGCCAACCGGCCAAGGGCGGGTTCAAGACACGCACGAAGAGCAATATCAACAAATGGGTGGTCACGCCTCGGGTACGGAACATGGGCAAGCGGAGAGACAAGAACATGGCCTAATGACTGCGGTGGCTGTGTTGGTGAGCGCTGGGCGACGACATGTTGTACATTACGTAGATCAGCAATCTTGGTTCTCTGTCAGCGGACTTGGGGTGCGTTCCGCCGGAGCGCCGATTGAGAGATGCTTGCGGCCTGGAGGAACACATGCCCCCGCCTTGGCGCTAAGAATCGTCGTCAAATCCTCAAGAAGCCAGCAGCGTGAGCATCGACGAATTCGTAATCCTGATACCTCGTGCCCGGTGTCGGGGCAGCGGTTGCGCAAGCGCCGAACCACCAAAATTGACTGGCGTCTATCACGTAGGTTGGCGGCAAAACCGGGCGTTGCTGGGGCTCGGCGGCTCGGGAGTTGTGAGTTCGGCGTTGGCGCTGGTGATGGAACTCGGTGGACTCGGCAGCGGCGAAACATAGAAAGATGATTGGCAGAATAGCCCGAATCCGGTAACATCAGTGTCCGACTGCAACTATTCGCACCGTCTCTAATTTATCGAAGTTTGTGTTCTAAACGGCAATTTATGAATAAAAAATGCGATGATGAGATGATGTCAGGTATCGAGAGAACTCGGGACAAATGCATCACGGCCACGAGTGAATGTAGATCTCAAGTACGTGGAGATACCGGTCAACCTGTGAGACAGAGTCACATAGCACAGATGATGCACAGCAGAGGAACAAACACAGGAGGCACGTGCAGAGGTCTCGGCGGGGCTTCCAAGCAGTTTCAGCTTTCCCCTGCTTGCAGGGTTTCATTCTAGACCCTTTCCGACCCGTCCGGTCCCATGTTAACGTGAGTTAAGCTGAAGCCCAGTTCAAGAAGTTCTTCCTGTACAACCTTGACCGTTGAATCCCCAAGACTCGGCTTTCTTTTTGTCGTTGTATTTTAGCGCATATTATTCTCTGAGAGCAAGCCCCGAGATCACTCGGTTTTTCCCTTAGTTATTTCATTCCTCGAATCGTCCTGTGTCCCCCCGAGACCCGCAGCGCCGATCGGCCTTGGCCAACCACTCGTGTTTCGGTCATCTCGATCCCTTTTGTGGCTGAGCACCGGCTCACACAACAGGGCGGCAAAGGCGTGCGTCTCCTTTGGGGGGCTCGGCGTGGAGTTGCAGGGGGAGGAAGCGGCAACCCAAAGTGCGCAGCGGGATCTTGAGAGCCATTCACTGCCATTCCGTGACCAAGAAGCTGGCGGATGACGCGTTCGGGGCTTTCCGTTTGGTTTTCGACATTCTTTGAAAGAGACCGCTCCTTCAGTGATAGACAGTGGCGGCCGGTCGACATTTCAGTGGCCTGCTCACACCTTGCTAGCGTGCCCTCTTTCCGTTCGTGGTCTGGCCCGGCATTTGAAGTTGGTTGTTGGCTGCGCCTGTCCGACACTGTTTCACACTCTTTTCCTTTTTACTTTTCCATACTTACTCGAGGGGCGTCCCAATGCCCGACGACTCAATTCGCCCTCTCATTTACGCCCGATCGTTCTCCCCCGCGCCGACTGTCGAAGCTCTCAATCCTACTAGTATGGATAATTTGGATCTCGCAGGGGGTAACGTGCGGAGGAAAGGGACGGTATCATGGGTTCTGGCGCTCTCCTATGCTTTCGACTGGGTCGTACTCGCCGCCTTTGCCGCCATCGGCTACGTTCTAGGGCATATCACTCCGAATAAGCGGCCTTTCTCTCTAGACGACCGCAACATCGCGTATGTTGCCGCCCTGGGCCACCCCTCCTTGCGCCTCGTCGCTTAGGCCGGGATACTAATATGCGGCAGCTTCCCTTTCACCGAGAACGAAACGGTTCCGGTCTGGCTCGCGGTAGTTGTCGCCATTCTCGTCCCCATCTGCATCATCGCCGTCATCTGCCTCATCTTCGTTCCCGGTGCGACAGTCCCCGTTGGAACTCCCAAGTCTCTGATCTGGAAGCGCAAGCTATGGGAGCTGCATACTGGCCTGCTCGGGCTCGCCATGTCTGTGGTCGCGGCTTGGTTTATCACCAACGGCATGAAGAACCTATTCGGAAAGCCACGGCCCGATCTCTTAGATCGATGCCAGCCTGACCTCGACAACATTTCCAAGTATATTATTGGCGGGTTGAAGGGGCTGAGAACGGCGACCACGAGCAACCAGCTCGTGAGCCCTGACATTTGCCAGAACCCAGACAAGTCTACGCTGGACGACGGTTTTCGCAGTTACCCGAGCGGGCACTCGAGTTCTTCCGCTTCAGGTACGCACCCTTCCGGAATTTTTGGGGGGTTGTTGGTGCGGAAACGGGCAGCTTGTCTAACTTTTGCCACAGGTCTGATCTACTTCTCTCTCTTTATTGCGAGCAAGTTTGCCATCACGATCCCATTCCTCGCCCCAGCCGGTTTCGCCGACGCCTCCGCCTTCACCGCTTTCCCTTCGCGCACACGTTTACCGAGCATCAAGGTCTCAGGACCCGACACCTACGAGCTTTCCAACCGCGGCCCCGGCGCGCCGACACCATCGACGCTGGACTCAGCCCTGGGCAACAAGGGGATCACGCGCCACAACCAAACCGTCTCGGCCGTCCGGCGGCAGGCCGCGGCGCCGCCCATCTACCTCCTCTGTCTCGCCGTATTGCCCTTCTTCGCGTCGGTCTACATCGCCGGCTCGCGGTGGTGGGACTTCCGGCACCACGGCTTCGACATCATCTTCGGCTACCTCATCGGCACCGTCTCGGCCATCTTCGCCTTCCGCTACTACCACCTCCCCATCTCCAGCGGCGCTGGGTGGGCGTGGGGACCCCGCAGCCACGACAAGGCCTTCTGGGCCGGCGTGGGGAGCTTCAGCTACGCCACGGACCACTTGCGCGGGGAGTACCGCTCCGGGGACGAGGAGGAGGCTCTTACCGGCGGCGCCGGCGGCGGCGATGCGTACGGTCGCGGCAGCGGCATGAGCGCCGCCACGGAACCGCGTTCCTCCTCACGCAAGGGGACGGCTTCGGATGATCGGGAGGTCTCGTATGCGAGCGAGGCGCGGATTTAGAATGCATCGACATTTGATGTTTTTTTCTTCTTTCCCGGCATTTGGGGGGTTTGGGCGGTAAGGGCTGGGTCTTTTCTGTCTGCTTTACGTGGGATTCAATGCTGCCGATGTCTTGGGAGCAACTCGTAGACGACTAGGGGTGTTTTCCGGCGTTATGGGTGCCGTTTCTGTGTTGGCAAAAAGCACCAGCGTGGTAGGGGGGTTATTGTGCGTGTACATCTAATTGGTTTTGGTAAAGGATGACCGAGCGGGTTGGCAGGCATGTCATTATTTCTGAAGCGTTCCGTTTGAAAGAGACTGCTGGATTTCTATGATGAACTCGCCTAGTGGATGACGTGACAAGAAGCGGCAAGGGCAAACACATACTAGGCCGAAGGTTGGTTTCCGACTCACTTTGGAGGGCATACATAGGCATTTGTCAGAATCTGGACAACTACATCCACCCAGAGGCCCGACTTGCTCCGTCGAGAGATGCCAAAAAGGAACCGTCAGCCTGGAAAGTTCCTGCTACTATGTAGTGGTATGGTATCGTGTACCGCTTTTGGTGCCGTGTTCAATGCATTAAGAGCCAGACCAACAACCAAGCCACCTTCAACTATCATCACTTGGCCGTCCTTTATTTCCTCTTGCCCCAGTTTCCTCCTCCAACTCCCCCTCCACCCTTGCCCATGCCAACAAGAACGCCAAGTGCAAATGCGCCAGCCACAAAGTTTTTCCCTACAAGTATCAAAGAAGGAAAAGAAAAGCCACCATGACAGACAGACCGCCGGCATCATGCCATGCCATCCCAGCCCAGCCAGCCCCCTGCGATATAGACACGAGATCCGTCTCCCACCCCAAGCTGCATCACGCAACACTCCCCATTTGCGCCTCCCCGCCCGTGGTAGGAACAAGAGCGGTGGCAGCGGCAGCACCGCCGCCCCTGTACTCGGCCACGGCCAGCTGCTGCAGCAACTCCTCTTCGTCCTCGGGGTCGTCGTCGTCCTCCTCCAGCTCGTCCTCGCCGTCCTTGAAGCCGCTCTCGACGTCGAGCTTGCGCAGGCGGCGGCGCATGTCGTCGCGGACGCCGTTCTGCCAGCGGACGAGGGCGGCGGCGGCGTGGACCTTGAAGCCGTAGACGCGCGGGACGTAGCGCTCGGCGCTCTTGGCGGGGATCAGGGCCGGGTAGACCTGGAAGAGGATGTTGTGGAACGAGGTGCCGAAGTAGGCGCCGTCGATGGACGCGTGCCGCGACGACTTGGGGTTGTACGTGTCCTCGCACCGCGCGCAGTGCAGCTTGACCGGCTTGAGGTTGGGGATGTCGGAGAGGCCCATGGGCAGCAGCGGGTGCGAGTTGCACATCACGCGCGGGCACTTGCCGAAGTCGGCTTTTTTGTATTTTTCGAGCTGAGGGGCGGAGGGAGAGGGTGGCCTGTTAGTATGATATCGGGTGGGGGCCAGTGGGTGGGAGGAAAGAAAGGAGGTGGGGGGAGAGGGAAGGATACCATTTTCGCCAGACCCCTTGTCGTCACGATATACCGGGCATGGACGAGGCCGTACAGGTGCCTAGCCGATTTTTCTATCGTCTCGCGCATCTCATCGTCGCAGTCGAGGTCGAAAACGTCTGTCACGAGGTCCAGCGCATACTGGTAGTACTGGACCTCGGTGTTGAGGCCGGTCAGGTTGAAGCGGTCGGTTAGGTATTCCTCGTCGATCTCGCAAAAGTATTCGTTGCCACGGGACGAGATGAACTAGGGTACGGCGTGTTAGACCCAAGCGGTATGAGGGGGTAGGTGTGTAAGAGGGTGGGTAGATGAATCAAGACATACCCAATCCCTCCAGTAGCTGGTGTAATCACTATCAGATTCGGTCCCGTAGTCATCCATCTTGCGATCGAGACGTTGCAATTCGTGTCGTCGGGTTGGGCGCCGTTGGCTAGCAATGGGAGGAGAGCGGCGCGGAAAGAGAAACCGCCGAGACGGTTAGATTGAACAATGATAAACCGATCGGGCGGACTTTTGATGCGGAAAGTTACTTTTTGTCGGCGTTCGGGATCGCGGGGCTGGCGGATGGTGTTCGGGTTGGCCCACTGCGACAAGCAATGTTGACGGACATCTGCAGGGCGGCGGCTGGAAATCTATTTGGTGGGGGACACTCCCACGGGTGGCCCGCCCCATGAGCTTGACGCAACCCCTGAGAAATCATTCCGCACTGTGCATCCAGCCACCCTTAGGCATCGATGATAAATTGGTGGCTTTTGAGGCTTGATGAGGAGAAATAGTGCGATGTGTTCGGACTAAGAAGAAATAAATGATTAGATTCCCAACAAAATTTTTCATCTAGCCATGAAACCGAAGCCTTTTCCTTCGTAGTGCGCATGGACTGAAATCGCGATACAGTGCTAGCACAATCAGGGCTTTCTGGTCAAGTTTAGGGGTCACAATGGCAATGGTGTGCTGGGTAACGTAATGTAGCCAATTTATCAAGATGCCCAAGATGTACAAGAACCACATGTCAGTCGGATATTCCCCGGAACCCCTTGAGCAAGTCATTCATCGACTGGGCGTAAAGCGCATCGGTGCTCATGGTGCTACGCACATGGGGGTTCTGTTCGAGAGCATCTAGCCATCCTTTCCATCTTGCCGGAAGTGCTTGTAGGTTTAATCCACGGAAGGGTGCTAGGCGAGACAGCCTGAGCGCAAAGGGTGCAAGGTGGACATCGACGAGACACATCTGGTCGCCAAGGAAATAGGGGCCCTACTCGGTGTTGCGGAGGTAGTTAAGTATTCGTATACGGTTCTCATTTCTGTTGACGGTGATGGGAACTTACCTTTTCATCAGCGGCCTGGGTGAGCTCGCAGATCTGGTGCTGCAACATCTCCATATGCTGACTCCTCGCCTCATCGACGGTTGCTAATAAAGCGCCAGAAAAGGAGGGAACGATTCTAGTATTAATCTACAGGGAAACAAGGTAAGTGTGTGAGTCGACTAGGAGATATGAACGGGCCGAGCGTACAAAGTCAATCCACAATCGGCAAATCGCCTTCAGCTTGGGGATCGTTGGATGTAGCGGGATTGTGCTGTTGGTGTCTTCAAGCTGATTGTATGCTGTTAGGAAGGGGTGCTACTTATAAATGCCGCCACCTGGGGGGTGAGAGAATAGGAAACGAGAGGGAAATCCCAGGGAAACGTACGTATTCCAGGATGACAGAACTCTCCGCACAAGCCCATCCTCCTTGCCATATGGCGGGGACGAGCCCTCTCGGGTTTGCCTCGAGCAATGGAGTAGGTTTGGGCTTGCGAAGCGGATCTGTCTCACAGTACTGGTACTTGAAACCCATAGCTTCAAGCGCGATCCAGACGCGCTGGGAGAAGGGACTATGAACATTGTGTGTCAGCAACAGCACGCCCAAGATATTGCGACAGACCGTCTTTACCAAAAACATGCCGAATAGAACTTGATGTCCGCATCCCCACTATGATCCCTTGCCGTCGCCGCCGCGTTCCCTCTCGGCTTCCAAGGCGATGGCTTCTGATTCCGCTTCGCCTCTTTCTCGCGCCCGGCGAGGTATCGCAAGGCTGTGCTTTTCTTGGTCTCGTCACTCTTTTGCAAGTCATGCCTGTGTGTTGCTAGCCCATCATCACCGTTTCCAATCATTCCGTTGCGTTGTATCACTCGAAATGGCCTGTCCTGGATCCTCGAGACAGCTGCCTTGACCAGGTCGGTATCCAAACCGATGGTGTGGCCTACCGCCATAAGCTCCCCTGCAGAACCTGCTGGATATTCTGTGATTTTGATTCTGACGTCGCATAAATCAAGCGGGCGCGCCGTGCGCTTGCGTTTCTTTTTGTTGGGGTCTTGTGATTTGGGTGTTCCAGACGGCCGGCCCTTCAAGCGACAGTCGAAGTAACGTGTGACGAGCCCCCGTTTGGATGCCGACTGCGACGTCCGGTGCGAGTAGACATTGTCGACCCAGGGAAAGTACGTGTCGTACCTTGAATAACTTAATGAGCACACTCAAGCACGGACGAAATACTCACAGAACAACTTCAGGGACCGAGGGAGATATATAAGGTGTTCACTCACTCCTCATTGGTAAGTATGAGTGGCTTTTCGAGTTCAAACAGTTTCTGGCGCCATAAATCGAGGTTGGGAGGGTTCTCCACGATGTTTGCGGGCAATTGTCCGTCCCCTGACACCCCAAGGCTACCAGAACCATGAGCAGAATCCGTTCTGACCAAGTTAGTATTCCTATCACTCGGGACTTCGGTCACGGCACGATTGGCGACCGAGTTTTGAGACAGTATGCCAAACTGGCTTAGAGGAGGCAGCAAAGTACCGATGGTGTCTGTGCCTGAATCTCGATGTGCGTTTGTTTGACCCAGAAGTCCGAACGCTCCTCCGGATATGTCATGTTCATGATGCTCGGGTTCCGTGGCTGGCACCGGTTTAATTTCATCAAGGGTGTGAGATAGCGTGGCAGCGCTGACCACGCTCCCCGACGGCGGGCCCGTGTAAGAGTTTGCGAAACCGTTAAATCCCGAGGCGTGGAATGCCGGAGAGGGCCCAACATTGTCAGACGAGGACGCATCTGGCGGCGGGAGGCCATGAGGATCCCTAGTCCTGCCGAAGTGAGATTGATGACCGGCCGTGGAGTTGGACGGCTGGAGGCGGACATTTGTCGTCGTAACATGCCCAGTAGCTGGGGGCGCTCGAGGAAAGGCCGAATGTTCCATCGTTCCGGTTCCAAGAGCTTGCTGCTTTACTGGGTACCGCCCGTTAACCCTCCGGTAAGAAGTTAGTTGCGGGGGTGAGACTGAGCGGGACGAGGCCGCGAATTAAAGCAGCAAGCGCTTCAGGGCACGGGCCAATGGTAAGCTGCATCGGGTCTTGCTCTTCGCCAGTCCTGTGGCGTCATAGGTAGCAAAGGGAGGATGAATGATATATTACCGATGGCGGGCTCTCAGACGAACCTCTCCGTCTATCTTCTCGGCTATGCACTTTCCAACCCTCAATATTGGCGGTATATCCATGTCATGACTGATTGGGAGCTCGCCGGCTTCCCATCCCGAGGCGCCATGCCGCCTGCCACCACTCCGTTTGGGCCCGCACCGTGCCGTCTGTGAATGATCGTCTTCGATGTCTGATTAGGCGCTGCTGATGAAAGACCCCGCGTCACTAGCAGACAGGCCTTCTGCGTCCGAATCGCTCCCCGCTATCCGCCCGAGACCAGCCCCCGCTGAGCCACCGAGGGAGGGGTAGATTCCCGAGGATGGAATCTCGAGTCTGGCCATGAATCCGTTCCTGACCGACCCTTCGTCGGCCTCGTGTTCTTGTCCCATGCGGGCATTCACCATCTCCATGGCTTCCCGCAGCGTATCGCCGGTTTCGTCAAGCGCCGCCAAGAAGCGCGCAAGCTCCTTGCACAGATCCCAGTCTTCCTCGCGCATGGCACGGCTCAGCAACCGCACACTTTGCTCGCTGGCCGTAGCCAGCTCATCGAATGTGTGGAGAATCAGGAGATAACCGCCCGCCGTCTTCAGACTGCCACGCTGCAGGCTCTCCTCAAACAGCTCCTGCGGCGGGGGTAGATACGCGAACAGGGTGCGCCAGGAACGCACCTCCGTCTTGCGTGTGCACTGGACCACGATATCAAGATATTGTCGGAACGACGAGAGGAGCGAGAGTACGCGTGGGAGAATGGCGTGCTCAGGCGCGGGGGTGGGGTTTGCATCTACCTCCTCATCCAGCACGTGGTGTAGGAGGATCTCGAGGCCGTGGGCGAAATATTCCAAATGCTCATATTGCTGCGCTAGTCGCAAGGCCTCGGTCGCTCTGTTGGCGGTGAGATAAAACCGCAGGATATCAGGGAAGAAAAGGTGGGTCTGAAAGCCGGTTAGCTTGATAGTCCATGGCGGCAGACTGACATCACTCTTACCCTGATGGAGAAGCGAAAGAAGGAGAAGCTGATATCGCGGCGCTGAATGAGGTCCGGCTCAACGCCGAGCACGACAGCTTTCGGAAGCAGAACCGAAAGCGGATAGAAGTCGAGAGGGACGGGGACCATGGCGGGCAGCTCTCTTGAAAGCCCCCCTGATATCGCTTTCATGACCGGGTCCATGTCAGGCCACGCCTTCAGCTCGTTGCCATCAAACAGCCAGAGGGAGTCCGCGAGACCTTTGCCTCCTGCGCCATTGGCTGCCTGAACGGGCCGCTGTGGTGTGGCCTCAAGAGTGTGTGGACAGTCCCTCATGCTGAGATAGTATTCGACATTATGGGCGATGACGCGCATGTCGTATTTCAGATTGCCGTCGCTGACCGAGGGGCGCAGGAGGACTAGCTTCCCGTCCACCAAGAACAGGACAGATGCATGCGCTACATCCTGAGTTGGATCGCCCTCGTGGAGTTGGTGGTCGGGTAGGATCCAGCTAAGGCCCCTCACTCTTGCAGGCGATCTTACGATGCCATGGAAAGCAATGTGGCCGACTTCAATCAATTTGATGGAGCCAGACATCGGGGCGAAGATGTAATGATAAAGGAGGTTGTCGTAAGTGTAGACCAGAAGCGAGTCCTCGCCAGTTGAGGTGACCAAGACAACGGGTGTCGCCATTTGTTGTGTGTACGCCGGAGCGCCGTCGAGCGCTGACTCGCGGGAGTAAAGACGTAACTCGAAGGACCTATTGGCTTCCACAGCGGCGACGAGTATGTTCTGGTACCAGCACATGCCCCCCCTGACTTGGAACTCGTTCTCTAGACCGTCGTTGGCAAACGTCTTCCAACGGCCGCTGTTGACGCTGTAATGGGCTAACCCCCGCCTGCCTGCCACGGCGAAATAGCGGCCGTCTGCTGAAATGGCCGTACACCTGATGGGCCACTGGTTCAAAAGGTAAACAGCGGGGATCCGGCTTGTGTGCCAAAGGGAGGGCTCAGCCGAAATGGATGTGAGATCTGGTAAGTCGTAACCCCGGTATACCAGGACACTCGAAGTGCTCTGAAGCACGGTCCGAAACAGGTTTGCTGGGTTGTAGCACCCCGTTACCGCGCTCCGCGCCATTTCCAATAGCCACACAGCCTCGTGAGACCTGCTAGCCAGGAGAAGGTCGCAAGACCCTCCGATCCAGGCGGCATCTAGCACACCCGAAAGCCATTCTTCTCCATTTGTAGAGGAAATGGCAAGGTCGGCTTGGAAGGTGCTGCTCAGTGGCATTCCGTAGACGCTCCAGGTTGCCCAACCCTTCTCGAACCCGGCGAAGAGGCAGTATCCGTCGGGGGAGTAGTTGAGCGCGGTAAGTCTGCCGGACGTGGCGGCAGACGCCTGCACGTTGTGGACGTGAGATGCAGGGATGTTACCAGAGTAGTCCCTCGCTGAGTAGACGCGAACACTTCCATCGGTGCACCCGACTGCAATTAACGAAAACCTCGCGTTGATCACACATCGAACAGCATGGTCCCCGTCGTTCCGGGGTGTGTGGAAACAGTATCCTTTGAATAGCTTCTTGGGGTCGGCAGGCTCGTTTGAGCCGCTTTCTTGTTGGGTAGGGGCTATTCGCTGCATCGCGTACGCCCTTCCATCGCTCGTGATCCATGTTGAGAGGTTCATGGGCCTGTCGTGGGTCATCTCCCTGACTGTGACCTTCTTTTCTAACCAGCTCATCCGGCTCAATAGTTCGGTGCTTGTCTGGCTTCCCGAGTTATCGGGTGCCCAGCGGATGCACTGGACGGCGGCGGGTTTGCGTGTGGCCACAATCAGCTCGTCGTCAAGGGCCAAAGCGCTTTCGATCCCCGCATCCACCTTGATCACCATCCGGAAGCGAACACTGACATCCCTCACCCCAGGCCCCTCCCCCGGGCCCCATAGTATTTGGTCGGGAGCAGCGTGGCCGGGATCCCCGACATGATTCTGCCGTCTCCGTTGGACATTGGTGTGGTTGGCAAAATGCGGCCGGTAAACCCGGGCTTCGGGGTCCGTGGCGAGAGAGTATGTTATCAGATAGCCCAAGCTCGTGTGAAGTACAAGGATGGCCGAGTCCGGTCGGATGAGGAGGTTGGTGTTGGTGCCGTAGGTCTCGAGAGACGCTTCGGAACGGACGACGACAGCTAGGACGACGGTTGGCTGGGATGAGAGTCAGACAAGGCAAGAAAACGATTATGAACCCACGAGGCGGTTTCCCACACCTTTGTTTGCCAGATGACCATAGATGTTGCCGTGATGACGGCAAATATATGGCCAGCGCGAGCTACGCGTAGAGCCAAAATGGGCTCCCGCAGCGGTATGGGGGGAGGAGCGATTCCTGGCGCGTGTACGGGGCTGTTTTCGTCGAGATAGTCGTGCTCTATGGGTTTGATGCCAGGAGTCAAGGGAGTAATCGGTGTCACTGGAGTGATGGGGTTTGTCGAGGGGGCCGCGGACGAGGTACCCGGACCGTCTTGTTGGAGAACAGCGGAGTTTGGAGAGAGGAGCGAAGCATTATCGAATCTCTGCTCAGGCCGCCCGGGCGTGCTAGGGAGGCCATCGTGCGAAACTACGCGGAGAGAGTCCGGCTGGCGGGAGCTGCTCGTAGCATAGATCCGCGGTGTCCCAAGCGGCCAGTACATGGCTCCTCAGAGGCCGGACCCTTCAGAGGCGGCACTCATACGCGCATCGGCAGGTTTGGAACAGTTCTATCCTCGGCGTCAATTCATGTCGACGTGTCGTTCTCTCTCGATAATCGGTAACGGATTCCCATTGAGAGCAACGGGGGTCGCCTGTTGTAAATAAGTGGCAGTCGTGAAGTCGGTTGTGCGACCAAGAACAAGGTCGGTTGCCGATGCGGGCGGGATGGAGCCGGGGGTGTTTTGTGGAGCAACCGGGCCCAAAGACGGGATGGAGGACAGCGGGAGATGCCGCAATTCCTGGATCCAATGCTTTGAAGGGTTTCTTGGCGTGCATTCGGCGAGCTGCAGCAACTGTCCCGTCAGTGCCCACTCACTCACTTCCAGGTACCTTATGGACATACCTCTCTACTCTGCGCAACGATTCCGTTTCAACAACATCGACGGAAAGTTTGACTTCCATAAACCTCAGAGCACTTTCAACTCTTGTCGAATTTAGTCTCTGGCAACAGAGGATATTCGGCCCTACGGTACCTCCAGCATCCAAATTTCTCAACACCATCTCGGCCGTTCCGAAACACATCATCAAAGACATAGGCTCCGCCAAGGTGTTCATTGCGCCTGTCAGCTCGAGAGGAACTCCATTGCAGCCCCGGCTCGAAATTGAATCTGCGCCATCCATCTCACCATGTCGCAACCAAGCCGACCTAGGATCGGCCGCATTCCTAGAGATTCATTCTCCCCCTACTTCAAAGATATCAAGAGCCTACCCTACCACGAATCAACGTCCGGCCGTGGGACGGGATCTCACCATAGGTGTGTCTACGTCCTTAGGTGCAGTTAATTCTGAGGCAAAGCGCAATTCTCACAGTGGCTTCTGTCTAGGTTGCGTCATATCGCCTGGAATCCTCTAAGCACTTTCGTCGCCACCGTCACTTCGGACAAGACGCTCCGTGTCTGTGAGTCGTGGCTCTCCTCGGCTTAGCATTCTTATAGCAGAGGCTTCTCTGTTTTAGAAGTTTCACTGACGCGCCATAGGGAACCCTGAAAGAAAAGATGTCAAAAACTCAACAGAGCTCCGTGGCCACCTAGCCGCCATTGAGAAAATAGCCTTCAACCCGGTCAAAGAGGCGGAGCTCTGCAGTGTCAGCAACGATGGGGTTGTGAAACTCTGGGATGTGAGGACAAAGGCATGTGTCAACGAGATCAAGGGCCTGGGCAACGCCCACGCTCTGGCTTGGGCCCCTGACGGCTCCTCGCTGCTCGTGGGAAACCGGGTAGGTCTCCAAACCATGGCTTACGGGGGCGTACGATGCACTGACCAGGCCGGCAACTGTAGCGCGGGGAATTCTTTCAAATATCGCCGGCCAAATCCGCAGTGATCTCGTCTCGCCAGCTGCCGGTTGATACCAATCAAATGGCTTTCTGCTGGAGCGGGGAGAAAGTCTTCGTTCCGACGACCGAGGGCGCGGTACGGATCCTCTCGTATCCCGAGCTCGAGCCCGCGTTGCACGCCAACTACGCGGCCAAGGATGGGGATTCAACAGAGTTTATGCTGAAGGGGCATACCGCCTCCTGTCTGACGACTGAACTTTCACCCACTGGGAAATACCTCGCGACCGGGGGTGCTGACTCCATCATCTCCCTCTTCGACACCAAGGATTGGATTTGCCAGCGTACTATTTCCCGCATGGTCGGCCCTGTTAAATGCTTGAGTGCGGCACCATCCCCCGCGCGGATCGATAACCTTAATGCTGATCTAATTTTAGGTTTCTCTTTTGACGGTTGCTATGTGGTCGGCGGATGCGAAGAAGGTAAAGTGGCGACGGCCCGCCGTCCCAAACAAGCGCGATCTGCTTACTTATTTTGTCATTTAGGTTCTGGCATCGATGTCACTCATACCGAGACCGGCGACCTCGTCCACACGTTTAAGACGGCCGGGCCGTGTGAGGCTGTCGCGTGGGCTCCCACAAGATACTGCCTCGCTTACGGCGACTTGGGTGTGCTGCGCATCATCGACGCAGACAAGAAGAGCGCGCCGAAATGATAGAGGACCGCCTTGGAGGTATAAGCGTATGGGGTCATGGGGAAAGGAGCCCGAGGGGCTCTACCCGAGAGTGGTGGGGATCATCTGGGCCTCTCGGCAACAACCTTTCGAGGAGGACCTTTCGAGGACCTCTCGCACTCGACTATTGGCTTCCCGAGACGAGGTACTTCTGCCAAGTTTGTCCATGGAGGCAGTTTCTGAGCTTCGACCAGGTGTTGCCGTGACTCAACCTCTCAGCACGGGGTAATCTTACTCCGACCTGCCTTCAACGCCGAGCTATTCGCTGCAGAGATCATCGGGAGATGTGGCTGTGCGGCTCTACCCGTGCGAAACTCAAAGTCCGGAAATATCCCACATTGATGAGAACCACGTGGGAAAGAACAAGACGGAAAGAGGTTGTGGAGAGAGTGTTCTCGAGGACGGCGTTTTTTAGGAGAAACAACAGCGCGGTGTCGCGGGTTCGACTAGGGCCAAGAAGCATCTCAGAATGACAGCACCGCGAAACCGACTGTCTCCACCATTTTGCCCACTAACATTTTGAATCACCACCTCGTTCTTGGGGCATCACCACAATGTTGTCGTTGAGCTTCTAGAAGAGAGAGATTGCACCCAGAATCACTCAGCTTCAACACTGGCGGACTTCCGTCCGATCAGCTTGTCGATCATCTCCATATCATGTTGGGGCATTGGGTGGAGAGGTGTGGGACCAGTTGTGGGCGGTGCTATTAATATGGCACGCTAGCTGCCGCTCTGAACCAATTGCTGGACACCCGAGACGGCACCACGCACGGTATCACTGCAACCCTGACCGAGAAGACATCTCGTGGGCGTGCATGTCGCCCGCAGCTGCAGACGCACCAGCAGATGGGATAATACTGTGGAAGAGGTTTTCAGGAAGTTTGGGGCTGGAGATCATCGCATGCCATCCATCAAGATCCTAGCAAGGAGGTTCGCGGGGCCCGCGCCCATGGAACCGAGCCGAGGCTTACTTTGTATGTATGTATCTCAAGGAATCTTATTATGTTGCTAATAAAAGCCTACCTACGAACATACCCAAGTAAGTATGGATTTGCGTATGTACATCTGTACATATGTACATACACGCACGGTGATAACGGCCGGGAAGCCAAAATGTCAAACTCGTATGGAGTGAGAGATCGAAATGAGACAAGTGCGATCTGCCGAAGACTCGACTTGGAACCGATCGACCCGCTCACTCTTGAAGTCCAAAAAGAGAGGGGCGCGGTGGCGGGGGTGACTTTTGTGTACAGATTAAAATTAGGGGGCTCTGCGAGTCTGCTTGGGGGAGGTTGATGAACCTTGCTCAACGTGTTCGTTCTCGACGGTTTGCTACTTCATTGGTCTGCTTAGCTTCGCTTGCTTGTAACCAGGCCCGCGGATGTGCCGATAGAGTGGCTCCAGCCCGAAAGTCAGTGCCACTGGGTGCTTCCATTCCACACGGACCAAAGTACCAAAATCCCCACTTCCGCAGCTTTGACAAAGCACGAGCACGGCGTGCCATGCGTGCCCGGCCCAATCAGACCAGTCCCATCCCATCCCCAACCCAAGCACCTCCCGGTCATCGAACAAGCCTTCCAGGTTGTCCCGGATGAGATTAGTACACGTTAGAAGGGCAGCACCAGGCATTTGTAAACCGCGTGGCCCCCCGCGATCTCCCGTCATCTGCACACCGTTGTCTGGCTTCACGCACCGCGTCTAGCCCCCAGCAGTCGCCTTCACGATTTCATCCCGTGGCACCACACATTGTTCGAATTTGGCTTCTCGAAGCCCCGCACGGCCCGTATCGCCGATTTGGTAGGAGTCAGCGATCCTTCGAAGAATGCAGCTGAGCGGCGAACCCCATCGATTCTATCCGAACTTCCAAGCGAACCTCAATCTGGGCTTGGGCTCGGTGTGACAACTTCGACCAAACGAAACCTTAACCACGCTGCATCCTCTTCAGGCTGTTCACCACCCGATTGTGCCCTGCGAGAATCCTCAACGGTTGATCTAAGTGGTGGGCCGCTCCTTGGACGCAGAAGCGACGAAGCTGCGCGATACAGCGCATGCCGATTGTGCAGCTCGCTACCCGCCGGCTGTCCGCGAGGACCAGAACTGCCCGTCTCCGAACAGTTGGCCGCCATGTCGACATCCTCCGAAACACCGCCCGACACCATCATGGTTTCGGACCCTGGTGCTGATAGGCTTGCGGACGGCGACCACATCTCAATCGAGGCCCCCACAGGGGGCAACTCGAGCGTGCCCAAGCCAAAGCGTCTGGCGTGCATGATCTGTAGGAAGCGGAAGTTGAAGTGCGACGGAATCAAGCCAAGCTGCAGCACATGTTCGCGCCTTGGCCACACATGCGCCTACGACGAAGTCAGGAGGAAGAGCGGGCCCAAGAGGGGCTATGTGAAGGCGTTGGAAGAGCGACTAAGTGCGGAAACCTGGTGACCTAGTATTCATTGCCGATTTTGGCTAACCGTCTTTTGCAGAGCAAGTCGAGACACTGCTGAAGACGCAAGAAGTCTCCGGTTCCGATGGATCTAAGGGGATGCCTATCCCTCTTGACGGGACCGCGAAACAACCCCTCAATCAACGCGCTGCCGCCGCCGCCAACTTCAACGTCACGGACCCCTCCATCGGTATCGCCAGTAGCCGTGATATGGACCGATGGCACTTCAATGCCGACTCGCCTAATAACCCACCCCTCGAAGATTTCAACTTCAACGGCGGCATGGGCATGAACATGGGCGGGGTTGATAACAATTTCACATGGGAGATGATCGGCTTGGGTCTAGAGGAGCCGTTGCCCCCTCAGGAGACGATCGATGAGTTGTGAGTGACTGCTAGTGCATCTTGTCAAAACCTCCAGGCGTAAACTAACCGCTTTTTGCCCAGGCACCAAATTTACTTTGACAAGATTCACCCTTCTTTGCCCATGATTCACAAATACCGGTATTTGGCAGCGATGAACCTGTATGTTTTTGCCGTCTCCGTATGAGTTGCCCACAGGCTGACCATTGATAGTGCCCCTCCCCAACGACCTCCCGTCTGTCTGCGATACGCCATGTGGACTTTGGCCTGCTCCGTGTCGGATAAGTTCCAGACCCTGAAGGACCTCTTCTACGCCCGCTCAAGGAAATACCTCGAGTCGGATTACATCAAGGGATACGGCGAGCACATCATCTCAGTCGCCCACGCCCAGACCCACGTTTTGCTGGCCTCGTACGAGTTCAAGTGGATGTACTTCCCCAGAGCGTGGATGAGCACCGGCTCAGGCGTGCGCCTGTCTCAAATGTAGGACCTGTTATTGTTCAGCATGAAGTGAACCTCGCTAATGTCTCACAGGATCGGTCTTCACCGCCTCGACGGGGCCGGGTTAGACGTCAAGCAGTGTCTACCGCCCCCTCGTGACTGGACGGAGAGGGAAGAGCGTAGAAGGACCTTTTGGATGGCATTCTGCCTCGATCGTTTTGCCAGCATTGGCACCGGGTGGCCACTGACTGTTGACGAAAAGGACATTTTGACGAACCTGCCAGCTTCCGACGACGCCTTCGATATGAGCCGGCCGGAACAGACCCCCACTCTTCAGGAGGCCATGGGCCCCGCGGGCGCGGGCAAGATCTCGTCCTTTGCTGGAGTTGCGTTGATGGCGTGCCTTTTCGGCCGAAATCTCGTGCATCTGCACCGCCCAGACGTCGATGACAGGGACCACGACCTCAACGGCGAGTTTTGGAAACGTCACCGACAGATGGATAACATCCTCCTCAACACCTCGCTATGCCTCCCGACTCACCTCAAGTTGCCAAACGGTCTCGGAAGTCCCAACGTGGTGTTCACCAACATGTGTATCCACACATCCACCATCTGCCTCCACCAAGCGGCCATCTTCAAGGCCGACAAGAACAGGTTGCCGGCTTCGGTAAGCTCGGAAAGCAAAGTGCGGTGCATCACAGCCGCGAATGAAATTGCGAGTATCATGAGAATGGTTTCGCACCTTGACCTATCTTCGGTATGCTCGCTTCACCCGCCCAGAAGGTACGATGCTGACTTAGATCCTTCAGATGAATCCGTTTATCTCTTTCTGCCTATACGTCTCCGCTCGGGTATTTGTTCAGTACCTCAAGAGCAGACCGGACGATAGCCAGACTGCCGATTCTCTGCGCTTCCTTCTGTCGGCTATGAACGCACTGAAGAAACGGAATCCTCTCACCGAGTCCTTCCTCGTTCAGCTCGACGTAGACCTCGAAGCATTAGGCGTGCGAATCCCAAAATTGAGGAGTGCATTTCCCCGCAGCAGCGATACGGTAAGCTCTCACCGCCACCCTGCGATGCTCCCTCCGGTATACTGACCGGACCAGCCGGGTTCTCCTCTCCCGCCCGGCCTAAAAAATGCTCGCAAAGCCGGAGAGAGGCATGACATCATGGGCTATAGCAACCAATGCAACTTCATGAAGGTCCCAGGCGACGACGGCAACCCCGCCACCGCACCAGATATCATCGACATCGACGCAGCCGGCCCCCCGGGTGCCGCAAACTACTCGCCCTCTCACCAGCCCACTACCCTCCCCACCCGCGATCGCAGCCACACGGGGCCTTACTTGCCCAGTCATAGCCTCGCACCCCCCCCTTTCTCCACCTACGGCCCTCCTCCAGAGATGGACACGGGCAGCAGCAACGACCTCTCGGGCACCTCCCCCGACGGCAACGGCCGGACGCCAAATTCAAGCACAACAGGAGGAAGCTCGGACCCGCAGCGCCAAAACCTGGCGCCAACAACTAGCAACGGGCACGTCAACGGCGGGTCCGGGCGAGACTCGTTCGAGACTAGCCCCGCATCGTCCCACCAGAACATTAACAGCATGCCGGGTACGGCACCGGGCGACGTCGAACGGAACGTCAACGCCTTCTTCGGTGCGAACCCGTCGTCGTTTGGAATGTCGGCTGGTGTTTCGACCGGCCTGACACCCGACCAGCGCTTTACTATGACCGCGACCGGCGATACGCCCAGTTCCAGGGGACCGGGTGGTAGTTCTGCCAGCGGCGATGGGTCGGGTGAATTCCCCGGCCATACGGCGCCAACATGGGCGGATATATCGGGGCAGCAGGGGATGACTCCCGTCGCGGAAGGTGTATTAAGGTCGATGATGGGTATGGGACCTATAGACGGGATGGATATGGGTTGGGAGCCGAGCGGGTAGGCTCCGGGCGTACCTGTGGAATCTTTTTACCATGACTTGAGTGTGTTTTTTTTCTTTCTTGGGATACTACGGCAAAGATACCGTTTTGCGAGCTGTCGTCTGTATACCTTCAAGCTTATGGAGTTCACTGGCTACGGCGTTTGGAGATGGAGTTCTTGGTATTCTACTTCAGTTTGTGCATGGGAACGCCTAGACATTAGGCCTCATGATCATTTTTACGTTCTCTCAACTTGGGTCTGGGGAGCGAAGGATAGACAGTGCAAATCCCACTTCAATACGTGATCTTTTGAAAACCCCGAACCACGACCCATCACGGATGGGACCTCCTCCTGATCAGAGATCTCTTGGCAACGACAGTCCCACCTACCTCCCGCCCTGTCTATTTGGAGACATTGTTTACCCGCAAGCTACAGATCAGATCCTTGAAGCCTTCGAAGCATAGAAATAGGCTATTGCGCCAAGCCCATCCATTCAGCTGAACTGCGGGCCAAGCAAATGATTCTCGAGGGTCGCGAGAAAGGGTCATGTCACATCCCGCGGCACCGCCTCACGTCCCGCCGCGCGCCATATTTTTAGCACATCCATTACCGAGAAGCAAAAACAGGGATGGGACATACATACAGACAGCAGCAATATCGCGGCATAACGCAGGAATTAAACACCCCTCCACTAAAGCAAGCAAGCAAAACTCCCCACAACAACAACAAGATCAACGAAACCAGCCCCCTACCCCCCTCTATGTATCTCAAACAATACCACGACCATCCACCTCCACCGGCGCCGCCGGCCGCCCCATCCCCTCCCCCACCACCATGGGGGGCGTGCCCCCCCTCCCCATCTGCTCCATCCCGGTCCTGTCCCTCTTCCCCGCCGCCCGACGATTCCGCAGCTGGTCCCTCAGCAGGCCCCACTTCTCCCGCACCCCGATGGCCTGCCCCTCCTGGCAGGCGCGCACGTACCCTTCGCCCAGCTCCTCGAGCGTGCGCGTCTCGAGCCGCTTCTTGCCGCCCCCGTCGCCGCCGCTGGCGGTATCCCCGCCGTCGTACACGGCGCGCTGCACGTCGGGCAGGTAGGCCCACGAGTAGATGGCGCCCAGCGCCATGAAGGTGGCGAAGAGGAGGAAGATGAGGCCCTGGCGGGTCGTGGAGTTGTAGCCTGAGTTGATGCCGTAGACTACGAGCACCGCGACGATGCTGCCCAGCTTGCCGGCCGCGGCCGAGATGCCGTGGCAGGTGCTGCGGTAGGTGGTGGGGAAGATCTCGGCGGGGATGATGAAGGTGAGGGTGTTGGCGCCTGGGTTCGTGGGGGGGGTTTGGGTTAGTTGTTTTTCTACATATTTGGTCTTCTTTGTCTGCTGTGTGTGTGTGTGTGTGTGGGTGGGTGGGGGTGGAAAAGGGGTGGGGGTGGTGAAGAAAAGGGGGGAGGGCGGGATTTACCAAAGTTGAATACGAAGTGGCAGATTGCCACGCACACGACGGTTGCGGGCGCGCCTGATGAGTGGGCGACGCCGTAGTAGACGCCGCCCGTGACGAGGAAGAGGACGGTGAGGATCATAAAGGAGGAAGTCAGCCACTCTCGGCGGCGGATCCGGTTGGCAAAGAAGATGAAGCAGGCGCTGCCCGCGATGGAGGCGACGGAGACGGTGAGGAGGTACTGCTTGGTCTGCTCGATGATGGTCTCGTAGATGGTGTTGCAAGGCTGGGTGCGGTCAGTTTGCCAAGTCGGCAGGCCTCCGTCCTTCCAGCCCTGAACGAGGGACGTCCCGTTCTCGAAGCTGGAATTCCAGCATGGGAGGCTGGAGTTGATAGGGACCCGCTCGGTCGTTGCCCACAGGTCGGCCAGAGTGCCGCGGTTATCCAAACTGAACCCATAGAAGGATACATCGAGGAAGAACCATGTCATGGAGGTGCCGACGAGGTAATACCAATTCTTATCCTTGATGAAGTACGTATGCAGGTCCTCGAGGGAGAATTGACGAGGCATGGTCTCCGTTTCGAGGTAACCCGCACCGCCGGTCGGAGACAAGGGCAAGCCGTTGGTGGCTGGCGGCGGGCCGTAAATTCGTTGGGTGTCCCTGAAAGCATTTCCGGGCTTGTTCTTGACTTCGAGGGTGTAGAGGCCGCAGTCGTAGAGGAAGAAACGAAAGATGATGGCCAGCAGCGCGGGCACGGCGCCCGAGCCGATGACGATACGCCATGTGCCATCAATGATTTTTTTACATTCCTCTTCGTGCAGTGAGTCGAGGCCGCACTTCATGTCGTGGAGGCCGTGGCCAGCGTTCTCGCCTAGGAGGACCCAAACGCCCACGATCTGGGCCAAAGCTTGGCCGACCGGCTGCATCAGGAACACGGACGACAGCATTGTCGCTCTGGAGGATGTACTGGCCCATTCTGATGTTATCACTGCGGATAATGGATATTCGGCGCCGATTCCTAAAACATGTCAGGGGTTGGGTCTGGAAACGTTCGGGGGGTGGCATCTCGACACTTACCAATGCCCATGACAAATCGCCACTGCCATCGTCGTTAGCAACAGGAGAAAAGGGCAACAGAACACGGAAGGGTGGAAAAAGAATATACCCAAGTAAAGAGGGCTAAAAACGAGATATCGCCATAGCCGTTACTCGTCGTGGCGACTCCGATTGTGGACACAATGACGAGGACGAGCTCGATGCCGTACAGACGGGTCCTCCCATATTTATCGGCGAGATACCCAAAGAGAAGCTGACCAAATACAGAACTGTGCAAATTCCATTAGTTGCCGGCGTACTAGGTAGAGATCCGGAGGGGCCGGCATGCGTACCCGGACAAGGTGAAGAGGTTGATGATCAGGCCGCGCCACTTGTCGTGGGGGAAATAGACAAACGAGACGGTGGAGAGAATGACATTGGTAGCAAAGAGATTATATCTGCAAGTAAAATACGGTCAATTCTATGTTTGCGCTCGCTGGGGAGGCATCATGATGGGCAACGCACGAGTCTGTCAGAAATCCCGAGGCGGCCACCCCCCAAATTCTTAAATTCCACGAGTTGAGATCGAGTTCATAGCGCAGCTGTTGGCGATCCTATTATCATTGGCATTCTCGGTCAGGAACCGTCGACATCTCGCAAAAAAGCACAAGGCTGGGGGCCATTGGGTGATGGGTTGTCTACCTGGCTGTCTCGTGGTGGGAGCGCGGAGCTGTCGTGTCCCAGGTAGCCGCGGTTTCTTGTCTTTTCGGGGTGGGGATACATGTCGGCCGCCAAAGAGTCGAGTGGGAGTTAGGTAATTAGTCAGGTTTGTGAGGTACTTGACGCCGCAGTTGCTACATGTCCATGGCGGAGAACACGCGCGACAACGAACTCTGGTTGCTGGCGATTGCCCGACGCACACACGACACAAGGTGCTCGGTATAAGGTGAATACGGGGAGCAAGTCAGGAGGTGAAGTCTCAGGTCAGGTCTGGTGGTGGTTGTCAAGTCTACTAGTTTGATCCGCCCCAAGGCTCTCTCAACTGAGAAGGCTCATCTTGTTCGCTACAGAGCCAAGCGCGACGAACCCCCACCATGACCATGGCCCAGAATCACCCAAGACCCAAGCCCCCAAAGGCAGAAAAGCATGGCCCATCCAATGCTACCCAGGATTGACCATTGGCCATTGATGTGTGTGTGGGGGAGCTGGAACAGGGGCTGAATCCGAACCTGAACCACTCCCCGCCCCGGGGGTGCTGAGCCGGGTTAGCTTCTGCCACATCTGCATGTATGTACTTGTCCTTCAGGGCTTTCTCCAGCACCGATCCAGAGTCGACCCAGCGTTGCATTCTCGATGGAGTGGGGGGTGGATGGGGGAAACTTGGAATCCGTTTATCCTTCGTCGAGAGGGTTATTTTTGCCACTTTCGGCGTCAAATGTGCCCGGCTTAGGGAGAAAGGGGAACGGAGATGCAAGCCTTGGTGTGTTGCGTGTTGTGTTGCTCCAACTCAAGAAGCAGGCGACCACTTTCTGTCTGCCAAGTGCATCATTTAGCGGGACAGCCTTGGCAGTTTCGTTGCCTGATCCTTGCCGAGATTTTGGGGAAAGAACGTCCGTCGAACGAAGAACTTGGGGGTGTGAACCACCCCGATCTCGCGAAAAGTTGGACCACTGGCTCCTCCGCCACCTTCTGGATCTCAACAATGGATAACTTCTTCTGCCACACACGACCATCCCGCACAATCGGAACGTCGCAGGCCCAGCAACTTGGGTTCGTGGATCGTGGAGCCTTGACAAGGACCCACTCAGACCCGCCCCCAACCGTCCCTTTGTGTCCCGTGCGTGCCCAATTGAAGCGAAACCGACAGCGGCCAATCATGGCTGCTATTCGAGACCTCCTGCTGCAATTCGGGCATCCCATTGGCTAAATGCCAGATCCTTTTTGAGATGGACAGACGGGAAGCTTGAACCCGGTTCGGCAAAGCTGATCCTCGAGGAAACTTCGTAACGTACATGTACGTATGTATGTACATACCCCGTAACGGTGAATTGATAACCGCCTCGCGGGGTGCTCACCCGATCCGTTAGCGACAGTACCGAACAATTCCGTTCCATCATCCGATAACTACGCATGTGCCGGCACTACCGGAACGGACAGGGAGGGAGAAGGCGAATCCATGTCCGCCATGCCGTATGATGCGTCTCACTACTGCAAGCCTCGTGCCTGAAGGAATATTCTGGGCGTGGGAGACTCTGTGGGGGATCGTTGCCGCCTGCCTCGGCATGTCAGTTCGGAGCAACGTACCTGGTGCCAACCAGCCAACAAAAAAAGGTTACCCATTATAAACTACGATTCAAGCCGATGTAAAACCACGATCGCGACGTCCGTGATCCACCAAACGCCGAGCGCCCTTCCACTCGGCTAGCTGACACTGCCGGCCGGATACTGTTGCCCGTCTTCCGCATGATAAGCCGGCTCCTCTTCCTGCCGCACCGGCTCATGCGGCGGTCCCAGTAATTGTCCCAGCGGAGCTAGCTGCCGCTGGTCATAGAACAGGTCGGACGAAGCGGTCTCGTAACTCTGGTCGCCGTTGTCGCCGCCGCTCTCGCCGCCGCCATTCTGCTGGAGCTCGAGGGCGATGGAACGCCCCTCGGCCTCCCTCTGCTTCCTCGACCGTAACCGCGCACACCGCCCGCTCCTCCGGAACGCCCCGCCGTATGCTTTTCGGATCTGTCGGCTGACGGTCGGCCGGCTTACCTCGAGGCCACATTCTATCCGCAGGAACATCTGCATGTCGTCGAGGAGGGCATCGGGGTGGTCCTTGTGCCATGCAACCAGCTTCTGCAGATCGAGACCCCACACGGTCAGCAACTCGCGCAAGGATGAAGATGGGGATGAAGCGTCGGGGAGACGGCACCTCCATATGCTGCGGCTTCAGTTTCTCGGCATTTTTGCTAACATCCTTGTGTTTCTTGATCTCGCCGGTCGCCTCGAACTCGTGCCGGCGGCGTCTCACCGTCCTGTCGTCAATGTCGAGGACCCAAGAAATCTCGCGGTTGGTGAGCTTGGGGATCTGTAGTAGCTTCGATAAAATGGCACGGTGGTCGTCGGAGAGCTGTTTGCCTGTCATGATGGCATCTGTCCCATGCCGATGATGCGGCGGGAGTTGCTCTGGAGGTCAAGCTTGGAGTGGGGCAGCGGCCCCGGAAGGAACAGCGGCGGCTCCCGATCGATTGAAGGTTGCGGGATCTTCCGAGCGAGGGATTGTCCTCAGGGTTAGGGGGTGGATCATGGGATCTCCGCTGGCGGCGGCCGCTGGCAGCCCCAAGAACCCCCCACTCAAAGCAGGAAGAGTCACCTTTTCACATCCCACGAACTTCGAAAATCCAGAACCATGATCGATCGCTGTGGTCGGCGAACGGTCCCCGGCCCGATATGTACGATAACTAATGATTTCCCCGTTTTCTGCAGGCAAGAGATCGATGACACTGAACAATGAGACTTTTCAGCCTCCTCGCAGCGTGGCGGCCATGACGACCGTGGCTTCAGTGGCGCTGACTGGCTACTGGGGGATTTTCTGGGGTCACACGCAAGCACAAGCAACAGGGGGTGATCCGGGCTAATGCGTACCCTGCAGGGCCCCGTCCACCAGCCACATGGTGTGTCTCGCAAATCGCAGAGCGCCCTGTAAGCCCGTGGGCTGATGGCTTGCGGCCAGTGCCCAACCTGCACAACCTGCAACACCATCGCAGCCGCTCCCCCCACACAGCCTGGAACCATTGAGAACCGCGCACCGCGCCTGTATGGGACCAGCGTTCTGGTCCGGGCCCTGGGGAACGCTGCAAGTGGGGCGGCTATCGGCGACTCTGCCCTGGCTCACTGGCCTCACTCGCCTCACTGGCCCCCGCGCATGTTCTGGCTGGGTGCGGAGGCAGAATCCTGCTACCTGGCGACCCAACTACGAGTAGGTATGTTCCCTGCCCACGGGAAGCTCGAAGCTGGCCTGTTCCGTGTTGATGACAGGCTCTAGGTTGCTACCTACTGTAATCTGTACAGATTACACACACGCAGTGCGCTCCGACTCGTCCATACTCTGTACCGCTGGGGCGGCTGACGTCGTACCGTGGGACAAGCAGCCTCCTACGCCATCGCCCGCGCCTGGAAACGCCTGCCGCCGCCAGCGTTGCCGTCACCTGCCTCGACGAGCATGCCGTTGTGGACGGCGACCAACTGCCCAAGCCTGCCGCTGCGCATCCCTCTCTCACCTTCTCTTCCTCCTGTCTGCGGGTCGGGCTTTTTCCGGCTCGCCAGCAACCTGGACGACAGGGTCAGGCTGGTCATCTCTCCCTCTTTAATGAAATGGTCGACTGCCGCATCAACAACCCCCTGACAGCCTCCTTGTGGCTCTTCGGGTCCCGGTTACACACCAACTCGCACAGAACGGCGGTGTGTTCGACGTTCCCAGCAGACCAGCACAGCCGGACACTACAATGTCGGCATCCTGGCGCTCTGGCTCCTCTTCCTCCTTCGCCTCCTCGGCCCTGAGCGCCCCGCCGTCCCTCCCCCCGCAGCATGCCAGCCCGGTCGACTCGACCTTCACACCCACCTCCGCCGCCATTTCCGCCCTGACGGCCGAGTCATCGGCCCCACAAACCCCCCCGGCGCCCCTCGACCTCGGGCCCCCTGGCTACCACGCGACAATGTAATAGCCGCCATGGCCTATCCTTCCTAGCCCCGACTTCGCAGCGATCTGTCTTCTGACACCCCGGCTGTCTAGAAAGCTATTCGACCGGACGCCGAATGAGATGACCGTGTACCTCGGCCCTTGGGAGATCGTAGGTGCCAATCCGCGGCGCCTGCTGTGGCAATGCAGTTATGCGGGCGAGGTACTGGAGCATTTCCGTACGTTTGTCTCCCGTCCCGTCCCGCTCCACTTACCTGGAAAGTCCCCAACCACTGAGACAGAAATCCAGTTCCGTCTGACAACCCCAACGAACTATTCCCCCACACACTGCATGCCCAGCATCGCCGGTTCGGCGACCCACGGGAAATGGAGCTCTACCTCTCCTTCTTAGAGCCGCATCGGATTCGGTACACCACCACCGACGGCATAGTGCACGATGAGTACATCGAAGTCAAGTACGAGTTCACGACCGTCGAGGGGTCCGTCCAGCTACAGAGCGACATCAGGAGGAGAGATCTGATCGATTGGTTCGACGCTGACGTCGTCTGGTCTGACACCCACCGCAGGACAGACAACTACGGCAGCGTCAGGGGCTTGGGCACTATTCAAAGGATAAAACTGTGGCGGGATAGATATTCGACGTTTCATTATCTCACATTCTATGCTAACCACCGACGACGCTGGAAAGAGTACCTCCTCGACGACTTTGACACAGATTTTCGCCAGCGGGACGACCGGCACAAGCGGGTTCAGTTGGGGGCCCGCGGCGCCAGGAGAGGCAGTGCGTCCGAGAGCAGCCAAGGGCGCGGCCAGAGCCGCGAACGGCGCTTCTCGACGTCAATATTTTCCCGATCTTCCAGACACAACAACCCCCCCGCCACTAATGGCAACACAGCTTCGTCATCCGCCCAGGGCGCTCTTGACATACGTTATCTCGGCATTCAGTTTTCCCGGAACGCTAACATCCAAGCCGGGAGCGATGGTAAGCCGTCCAGCTCCCGGAGCCCTTTCTCTCCGTGCCCAGCTTGGTCTAAGATGCTGCACAATCTAGGCAGGCAAGCTGACCATCACATAGACCATACTAGGTTCATCTCGCGGTGGAATTCTGCACATACAGCGGATGCTCAGTTCGAGGCAACTTTTCCGACAAATCATGTCGAGTTGCCTTCGCCTTACATGAATGGCTATCACGAACGAAGCCCCCATATTAACGGAGTTTCAGAGCTCTCGGCGCAGCACGCCTCGCCCGAGTTGCTGGGGAGTCTACCGCCCGTCGCCGAGCCGAGGTATAACCCGGAATCGGACGGGACTCTATGAAAAAGGCCGCTTCGATCCCAAGATGTTGGGCTATAGGTCTAGGACGATGGCAAGGCCGGCAAGCGCCCTTTGCGATGTCGCTGCAATAGATACCCGATTTGCGCCTGCACTGCTCAGAGTGCGTTCCCCGATGACTTCAAAAAGTTGAATGGTCGATAGACCTGTGAGTGAAGGTCCTCCGGTGTTAAGCTGATCGGGCTCCGGCAGGCACATGCGTTCTCGGGTGGCTGCATTACTTGTTCCCAAGCTGCGGGTCCCGAAACCGTGGAGCCTCATCAACAACTGGGAACCCCTTCCTGTGGCCGAGACCGTTCGGACGGCCCCGCTGCGGGCCACGGTCAACCATGAAAGCCAAGACGGCACGACGTCATACGCAGTACACCATCAACGGGGGTCGTCTGAGTTGCCCCCCCCCTCGTCGGATCACGGCACAACACCACCCAGCTGGTATCAATGATGTTGTAAAAGCTATCCGTGACTTTCTGCGTTACCGGGAGATCTAAACACTGTTCAGGTGGCCTGACACTTTTCGATCGTAAGACAACGTCGCAAACGACAACTTGAACCTGTCCTTTGCTTACTTCGGAGCAACTCTCTCAAGTAACACTTTGTTTTCCACTCTACAACATCAGCTTAGACGTTCCGAAGCCTCAATTTCAAGCCGAACCCCTCTATGAATTTGCCGGCATAATGAAGACGATCATCTTATCCGTGAACGCTGGCTCCTCGTCAGTGAAGCTCTCGGTTTACACCGCTGAGCAGGGACAGTCGCCAACGCAAATCGCAGAGGCCCAGGTGAGCGGCCTGACCGCACCTCCCGCGTCTCTCAAGTATGAGCGGGGCGGCAAGACCGTTGTCAAGAGCCGCAAGGTGGATGACCAGGTCAACGACCAACGGGATGCGTTCAGCCTCATCCTCAACACGCTCATCGAAGACCACGACCTACAGGAGGTACAAGCCAAACACGACATTGGCATCATATGCCATCGCATTGTCCACGGCGGCGACTACACAAAGCCGCAGCTGATATCCGATAAAACGTACCATCACCTGGAAAACCTCAACGACCTCGCGCCCTTGCACAACGCCAATAGCCTGCCCATTGTGCGGCTGTGTGTCCAAGACTTTTCCTCGACACGCAACGTCGCCTGCTTCGACAGCCAGTTCCACTCCACCATCCCCGAGCATATCCGCACCTACCCCATCAACCAGGACGTCGCGCGCCGCGGCCGCCTCCGCAAGTACGGTTTCCACGGCATCAGCTATTCCTTCATCACGCGGGCAACAGCCGAGTTCCTGGGCAAGAACCCGTCCAAAGTCAACATCATCGCGCTGCACCTCGGCTCCGGCGCCAGCGCGTGTGCAATCAAAGACGGGAAGAGCTGGGATACCAGCATGGGTTTAACCCCCCTGGCCGGACTCCCAGGTGCTACGAGGAGCGGCAGTGTCGACCCCAGGTCCGTTGCCCCCCCTGCCCCATGATCTTTCCCCTTCCACCCGTAACTAACACATCCCCCCACAGCCTCGTCTTCCACTACGCCAGCGACGTAGGCAAGCTCTCCCCGGCCTCGACCAAGGACCTGCACATCTCGCGCGCCGAGGAGATCCTCAACAAAGAAGCCGGGTGGAAGGCACTAGCAGGCACGACCGATTTCAGCGTCATCGCCGACGCCGACCCCTCGTCCCCCAATGATGATGATGACGACGACGACGCCAAACAAAAACGGCTCGCCTTTGACCTCCTCGTCGACCGCATCAGCGGCTTCGTCGGCGCCTACTACGTCTCCCTGCGCGGGCGCGTCGACGCGCTGGTGTTTGCCGGCGGTATCGGCGAGCGCAGCGCCCGGCTGCGCGCCGCTGTGGTCGAGCAGGTCGGCTGTCTGGGGTTTGTGCTGGATGAGCGTGTGAATGGTGATTCGCCGGAGGGGGATGATGTCGTGGTGGCTGTGGGCAGGGAGGGGGTGGCGCCGCGGGTGCTGGTTTGTCAGACGGATGAGCAGTTTGAGATGGCGAGGAATTGTGCGGAGGATGCTGAGTTTTGGTGAGACGGAGGTGAGGGAGTGGTGAGATGAGATGAGATGCGGTCTCGCCTGGGGTAGATGGAGGAAGAGGGAATCTATGCTGATGGCGTGCTGGGTAGAGTGGTCTCTTGGACGAAAGAACTTATCATGACACAACGTAAACCAATGATGATGCTATAATGGCGTACAACCTTTAGCTATGATCCAAATGTAGTCGAACCCTACGAGATGAGCTTTTCCGGTGGTGACTACCTTTTAGGAACACAGCAATACACTCTTCCTTAGAGCACCCAGTTACGGCCTTTAAACTTAGAACATATCAAGATTGTGTCGTATATTGATTGTCAAGCAACTAACTTGGTACTGTATTTCGCTTGGTGTCTTGCAGGACTACCTCCATACCGCTGTCGCTGCTTTAACCCATCCCATCCTTGACACCACAAAGCAAGCCATATGTATGATCATGACCCATATCTGAGGGGTCCACGCCGACGGGAACGAGGATGGCCTGTTGCTGTGACCGTTCCAGGTCGGCAGGCACCTCGCCCATCCAAGGGCACCCCCAAAGGCCAGGCACCAATAGCCGCCAACAGCCCACTCCCAGTTCTTGATGGGAGCCACCCCTTTTCAGAACCGGTGAGTTTTACTCGTAAAACAACAAGAAAAAAAACATTACAGATATCGTAAGAACCATATTAACACCTGCCCAAACCGGTCAGCCGACCAAAAATGACAATATCCGGGGCGCCGGTCATCCTAGGTAGCCACCACGGAACAAATAACGCCGTCATATGTGAAAAACCTTCCCAAAATGCAAACTCGTGTCGACGAGAACCCTCTTTGTGTATCCCCCCAGGCGCCAGAATCGTGTATGTAGTTGCCTTAAAAACCAAAGAAACAGAACCAAAAAGAAAGAAAGAAACCCCCCGATGCTTTTAGAGTGGGGAGCAGAAAAGGTAGGTAGGAAAAGGAAAAGGATACAGCAGAGAGCGAGTTCACCGAGTCCGAACGCCAGTCACATGAAGTCAGGCCCCATTCCGTGAATGCTCCACAGCAGGTATCAAGGCCACGATCCCGCGGTGCCCTTCATTGGCCTCCCTGTTGCAAGGCGACCGAGGCAAGGGCGTCAAGCCCCCTCGTCGAGTTGGACGGCCCCGTTGTCGTCGGGGATGTGGGTGCGGCCTGGGCCATCGCCAGAGTCTGGCCGTGGTGGTAGGGGTGTTCGGCCTGACGCAACGGGAGGTGCGGCAAGACCCGGGCCCCCGCGTATGCCTCGGCCTCTATGGCCATCCTCGCGCGCTGGTCGGCCGGGTCTCCTGTCGGAGAGAGTGACTGCGGCGACACGGACCGGCGCCGAGCGGCGGAGGCTCGCCTTTCTTTCCTAGAGATAGACCCTGAGCGGGCGGAACGGGATTTGCCCTTGTAATGGGTTTCTAGGTGCTGCTTCATGTTGTCGGTACGCGTGAACTTCTTGGTGCACCCGGGATACTCGCAGGGAACGGCCTTCTCGGCCGTGTGGATTTTGGCGTGACGGGAGGCGTGGCCGGAGGTGGTGAAGGTGCTGTAGCAGCGCAACTCGTCGCGGTAGCGACATGCGTGGCGCCTCGGAGGTTTCTCACCGCCCTGGGGAATGTTGGGGCCAGTGGTTGGGGAGGGTGCGGCCTCGGTGGTGTACAAGTCACCATCGTACGAGGGCCGCCGTTCGAGAGCGTCGGAGGAGAACTGGCGTTCGGCGGGATACTCCTCATAGGAGAGGCGTATCTCGAGCCCGGAAGCCGGGGTGTATTGGTACCCCGGATCGTAGATGGGAGTGATGGGCGAGATGGGCTCGGCTCCCCTCTGGGAGTCGTACGAGTTGGACCGGAGCAGCTCCGGAGTGGCCGGCGTGGAAACGGCGGGCGGGGCTTGGCGCTCGAAGGAGGGAAAAGACATTGGGGAGGGGCGGGTCAAGGGGTGTTGGTGCTGAGTATCCTCCTCGTTAAGGAGTGATACACGACGCCCCGATGCATCTCGCATTTGCAGGTAAGCCGACATGGCGTCCCTGGTTTCCTCGACCCCAAAAGATAGGCGGCGGTTGTAACGAAAGACGGGGAAAGTTCCAAGCCGAGGACGTCGGCAAGTCGGCAAGTCGGGAAGTGAAGGGAAACGAGGTACCTCAACGGGTAACAAGAAGGTGGGGGGATAGGTGGGTTGTAGGCGATTCAAGACCAAGGAAGCGAGAGCTTGACGAGGACGGCTTGGTTTCAGCGAGAGACACGCACCGTGATCTTTCAGTACGAAGAAACGGCGGGAAGAGAACGTTGGGGTCGTGGTGCAGAAGCCGAGCAGACAATGGGCGGGTGGGTTCATGCTTCACCTTATATGGTAGAAGGGAGGGCAATCGAGCGCGAGGGAGGAAAAGCATCCCCTCAGGGATCCATGCTCCAAGAGACCCTGGGCCTGCAGGGGTCGGGGGCGAGGGATGGAGGGGGTGAGTGCAATGGGCACGGCAGGGGCTCTCTGATCCTCGGTGGCCTGGCCCTCCAAGCTGCAGTAGCGCAGAACTTGCCAGTTCCAGGGACCCCACCCTTACTCACCTCTTGAGGACCCTTGACTTCCTGATGCTACGCGGGGGGCAAGTTACTCGCGGGTTCTCAGTCCTGGCAGCCGTTATGCCGAATCTGTGACGTACACTTTACTCAGGGATGCATACATAGTAGGTACGTACCTAGGTTGCTGTGCTGATGAGCTTGATTTTGCTGTCCTCCCATCGTCCCATCGCCACCACTCTAAGTTCACATCGCCGATGTGCTTTGGTGTGTTGACCGAGCGACTGCCAGTCACCGGTTCAATCGGCCGCTGTGCGGTTCGTTAGCTGGGACGAGGGCTGCAACTACTGTACACTCGAGGACGAGATGGAGATAACGACTTCCGATCCTGAGACGGCCGTTTGCGCTGCCGCGTTCCTTGATCCGGATTTACCTACATTAGCAACGAGTGATGCACCCGCAGAAGGCACAAGAGACAATCAATACATACTCGCCGTCCCCGGACAGGCTCTGCATCTGGGAACCTCTGCACCCCTTGTTCATTAACTTTCCGCAACCGTTTTGCCCCCGAGTCATTCAGGGATCAAGCTCTGGTGACGAGGCTGGGGTGATGTGGATTCGATGACGAAATCCATCGAAACGCCTGCCTACACAGTATGTAAGCAGCCTCCGCGCAATGGAAAATGCCCGAGCTCCCAAACCGGTCATTTACTGATTTCTTTTTTGAAAAGCAGTGACCGTTACATCTGCCACCGCTATGACTTCGGGAGGTCGTGTGTTGCGATTTGTGTGTGTCGTTTGTTTGCGTGGAGACGGGAGCATCGAGAGAGCCTTGATGCTTGAGTCCCAGCGCTCAGGTCCATGCTGTGATGATCACTGAAGGGGTGGCAGCTTTCTCGCTTGCACATCCTTCTGTGGTCCCGGCAAGGCAAGGGCAGATGTTGTGGCAGATCAGGGACGCAAAAGCACACATGCGCGAGCGAAGAGCTCGGCCCGACGTGATTGGCCGTTTCCCTTCCGGCGGCTCCCCCGAGCCCCTGGTCGAAAAGGTACCGGCAGCTTGGCTTTGATGCCCTGTTAGCTGTTTGCAGCGCGAGCCCCGTCATTTTATTCGTGCCAATTGACCCCGTTTCGTGTCGTGCATTGTGCACCGAATCTTTTGTCCATGCACATCCTCCACGGTGCTCACCTGTTGAGAAAAAGCAACCACGCTGCCATGCTGGTGACAACTTGAACGAGATCTGGGGTTGCTGCCGTTGGTCTCGGCAAAATCTAACGATGACGTCGGTGGCTGCCAGCTCGCTGGCCTTCGTTCCGAGCTTCTCCACCGAGGAGGCGGGGTTCACCGGAGCTCTCCCGCGAGCGTCGAAGTTCTCGTGGTTGCAGCTAAGTGCTTTGGTTCGGCCATTCCAAGCACGTTAGATTAAAGTTGTTGTCATCCCTCGTAATAGACACAGTTGAGCCATTCCGCGGGCCATGTCGAGTTCATGGCCAAGGCAGACACGCACACAGGTGGATTCGTGGAGTTCTCCATTCTCCCTCCCCCGAACCTGCCCCGAACCTCATCCTTGGCAAGCACCCGCGGCACCCGGCGAGCTGGCTTCGAATGCGCGGGAATCGGGAAGTTTCTACATAGCGGTTCTGGGCTTCGGGTGAGCGCATTTTTGGTGGAGCGGCAGCGTTCGGGGACTCATTTCATTCTCGCGAGAGTGTCATGGTCAATATTGCGAACTTTTTGACTCTTGCTCGAGCAGGAGAGCAGGCAACTACATACAGGTAAATAATGAACATGTCGTCCGGCGCTCAGCTGTCAATGAAGCCTGTTTCGAAGGACAACTCAAAATTGTGGGTTGGATTGAAACCGCGGTTCAGGGTCCTGCAAAAACCCTCGTTGCCATGCGACTCGGTGTGCCCAGTGCCGGCACCTCATACCCGAGCGCAACACCGGTCAAAGGCCTTATTCGGAAGTTGATCTGTCGCGAGATCCTAACCCTGCCTCGCATCTTTGCGTGTCGCAATTGCACCGCAACCCCATGACACGCCCCGGATTCTCTTCCGGACGGCGGTTCCTTGGATGGTCTTATCGGGCGCTGACCGGCCGGCAAGCTTGGAACGGAGTCGGGGGTTTGGGAGGTGGGGCGTGGGTTCAAAGAGCAAGGGAGGGGGGTGCGGATGGAGAATTGGTGATGCAGTGCTAAATCCGGCTTGTTGTTGGACCCTGGGCTTGCCACGGTGCGACCATGCATCCCGTCCATCGTTGACAGAAAAAGCTCGAGAAGTTGGCACACCAGATCCCGTTGGTTCCCAGGGGCAAAAGCTCCGGTGAATGAACCACCATCGGCGCATCGAGCAGCCACCGATCGCGAGCTTGGATTGCAAGCCACGCGATCGTTCAAAAACCCCCGTCATTTTCTTTCGCGGGGGTCACTGCCCTGATCTGAGATGGTGAGAACAGGATGAGCCGGAACCCAAACGAGCCGAGCTAATAAGCCTCCGACTGCCGCACCTTATCTGTGCACTATTGGACCTCGAAGTGGAAATGGACTGATTGGGGTGTAGACAGCGCCCATCTTCAGCGGAAGAGGTAAGTATTGTGGAGGTGGGTATTGCAGTGAGCACAGCGTTTGGTAAAGAAAAAGCGACGAATGCCCTCTCGCCCCCGTGCCCCCGCCTCCTCCCCCGATGGAATTCTCAGGGTCTCTCATCGGTGTCTTACTTTGAGAGCTCACCCCGGCCCATGCAGAAGCGGGATCGAGCTTTTGGCCGACGATCGAGAACCCCGTGGGCCCTCGCCAAAAGACCATGCGGGACGGGCCCCACTTGGCTGCTCCAGGACCCCTGCCCAGCTAGGTCGCTGGCGCCTGGGCAACTGGCTCGTTCCTGACTTCCGTCGCCCCTCGACTGGAGCTGCCAAGTCAGCCGGACAATTTGCTCGACAGAAGCTCCAGAAGTGAAGCTTCCCAACGAATGTGCCAATTTGCACGGCGAATGCCGATCGTGATCGTTGTTCATATGGACTTCTTGTTTGTGGTGATGACATCAAGAAGCACGGACACGCGCCTTGGAAGGCGGTTCCAGGGATGTCGACCCCGGCTGGCCGTTGCAGGTTGTGGGGAATCAACTGGGAAGGAAACCGGTTGGAACGACTTGACATCGCGGAGATTCTTCTCCGGAGGGAGTGCAAGAAGTGCCCAAAACACCATCACCACTAGGAGATAGTTGGAGTAAATCCTGAAGGAACATTTCGACCCTGGTTTCTGAGCCACTGCGCACATCCCGTTGTAGCATCTTCGAGGATGCCGGTCCTGCTCGAGCAGGATTTAACCACTCTCCGATCTCTCACTCCCGCACCAATTCTAGGCCAGCATCGTTTTGGGCAAAACCCTGTGATATTATTCTTTGTGATATTCGGTATGTCTCGCGTAGCTGCCTCTTGTGATTCTAGATCAACAACAACAGCTCAAACCGGAGACCGGGCAGGATGCGAGCCTTCTTGTCCCGAGCCTGCTTCAAGACTTCCCCTTCCCGGCCATTTCGATCGATCGATCGGTAGGCTCGGTGGAGTCGCTACCGTTATGTGAGGAACACGGCCCCTCTTCGCACCCGGAGCTTCTTACCCATCCGTGCCATCTCTTTTTCTGCACAGCTGAGCAAAATGAAACCGACATCGATCGATCGCATGCACCAACAACACGAACGCACCAGTACTGTGTAGTGGAATGGGAACAAGCAAAAAAAAAGTTTCACCCCATCTCTCTGCTCAGCCCCGAAACATTTAGGTACATAATGGAGTTAGTCCATGCGAGTGTTCCTACTCGCTCGAGTGGTACCGTACCAGAGCGAGCGTGATGTGAAGGAGGGCATTTAATCAAAACCACAACGGGACGCCGATACTCAATTCTCTCTGCCCGTGTCGAGATCGAACCGGGACGACGAAACAAAATACCATCTTTGCCGAGGGTCGAATTCCCCACTTGCCCATCTGCAGCTCGCGGCCTGCAGACCCCGAAAAGTGAGACGGGAACCAAGCCGAGCGTTGATCCAATCGCGGCCACCAGCTCACAGCCCCGATGCACGAACAACCCAACCCACACCCGTTTCCCCTCCTCTGATTGCCGTCCTGAGAAAAAGACAAACAGAAACAACAAGCACAGCAGGAACAACCCCCTCCCTGGCCGGGCCGGGTTGGTGACACAATCCTTCGCCAGGACCTCCCGAAACGCTGCCACATGCCTGGGGCGGTAATGATGGGCGGCGAGGGACCGAAAAGTGCCCAGCTAATGGTGTCCCGAAGTGTGCGACTGGATGAGCAGGACGACAAGACAGCAATGGTGACGCTTGCAAATTGGGGAAACCTCCCTCCACCCGCCCACACGGCGTTTCTCGAACGGTCTCGGCCGGCGACAAACGCTGCTCCTAGCGGAAGACGCGGCGAGTACTTGTGCGGTACATCCGAGTTGTGTCGCGTGCCGAAGGGCGTCGGCATACCCATGGCATTCCAGACGAGGAACATGGTATTCTCGAAATGCCATGACGCCCGGCACAATGCGGGGTTGTCTGGGATTTCATCCCAAGATGAGGGAGAGTCCAGACTTTTGGATCACCCTCGCGATCAGGAAGCTGTCGATGTTGATGTCGTGCCGGCATCATCACCATTTTCCACGCCCATAAGAGTGAGCATATTACTCGTCATTAGAGAATGTGTAGATGTCAAGTCTTTCTCCTCTTTCTCCCACCGACTGCCATATCACGAAGGTATGAGTCGCGCGATGTAGTACAGGTCAGCCACGGCAGTTGTTTCCCACCCGAGTGCTCAAGAGCGATGATTCATCACAAAGTAGAAGCCGTGAAGCTGAAGTCGAAGTCCAGTCTTTGATTCCGCTAGCTGATCGACCATCGATGCAAATATCAAACCTCCAACACCAAAACCCCCTGGGGTGGCCATTCCAGACGCCGCATAATCATGGCCGCGCAATCAACGCCCCGCCATCGTCTATACTACACATCGATCGAGAATCGTTGTCTTGCCGACTCGGAGCAACCCCCGCAAGCTCTGCACCAGCCCAATCATGGCTTTGTCGAGCCCGTGTTGAGTCTCTTGCTCGGCGGCAGCTCCGGTTTCTTGAAGCCATCGTTATTGCCGCCCACCTGTGTAAACGCGCCGCTCTTGAACCAGCGATCCTCGTCCGCCTTGCGCTTCCTGCTCAGCTCGGCCTGCACCTTGGGGTCGACCAGCTCCAGGCCCTGAGTCGCCGTGAACGCGAGTGATGACACGGTGCCCGCCGTGGCCGAGCCGGAGCCCAGCGTCGTCCCCACCCCGGACGTGCGCAGGCCCTTGCTGCTGGCCAGACTCAGGTTGCTCACGCCGCCGCTCCCCCCGGCGAGGCCCCTCAGTGACGAGGCGCTGCCGCTGGTGAGCGAGCTCGCGCCGCCCCAGCCCTTGCTCTTGGCGCTGAGCTTCGCTCGAGTGCGGTTGTCGATCTGTGTCACGCGCAGCCGCCCGTCGTCGCGCTGCCCGATCATTCCCATCCCCCTAGTGCTGTCTCCCGCACCGTAGCCGACCTCCTGCTCCTCCTTGTTGAACGCTACCCGGTTCTGGGCCTTGGCCAGCTCCGTCACGGCCGTGGCCTCCTTGGCCTTGCGTGCCCGGCGACCACCACGCTTTCGGCTGGGCTTGTCGTCGGGAGCGGGCAGGGCGCGGGCACCCTTGCTCAGGGGTTTTTGTTGGAGCTTATCTAAACGGTCGAGACATTCGTCCTTGAGGCGTTCACCTTCGGAACCGTCGCGGAATTGGTGGAAGCAGTCGGTACGGGCGCACATGACGATCTTGTTGGCGAACATCTTGATGGCTTGCTTCTTGATGTCGCTCGGGATCGTCCGGATCACGGGCGATTGGAAGATGAATCCCTGATGCCGGATGCCGACGTTGGTGGCCAGCGCCGCGCTGGCCTGCTTCTTGGAGCCCCATGCAGGTAGGTTGCATGCCGGCGCCTTAGAGAGGCCCGTTAGGCCGCCGGCTTGGTTGAGCAGCTGTGCTGCCGTCAGGGACCCGATAAGCGCCGTCAGGTTTGGCGCAAAGATGTTCATGCGCGACTGCACGTATTCGGTCAGGGTCTTCTTGGCCCTGTCGAGCGCGATGACCATCTCGCATGCCTGCACCACCCGCTGGAGCTGTTCTGCTGACATAGCCTGACCCTTGGACGTGGTAGCCTCAACCGTGACAATCATCAAGGACGGCCCATCGAGCACTGACTTGAGCGTTAGGCCCAGGGGGTTATTTGTTGATGTTTGGAGAGACTTGATGCTCTCTGAATCCATCGGTCCGTTTCCTAGAATCGCCACGGCCTTTGCATATTCGAGAGGATTGGTGATCAAAGTCTCGAGCTCCGGGAACCGCACCGAGTAGTGGTCTCTGATGAACTTGTGTACGAGGACAATCTCGTTGTCGATTTGGGTCGAGAGACTGTTTGACTGGGTTAGGAGGTGGTACTCGGGATGGTCCTCCACACTGCCCACGTTATCGATCGCCTCGGCGGGTTGTGACTGGTAGTGTGCGATTTTCTGCAGCGTTCGAGGCAAACTGTCAGGGCTATTTCTCAAAATAGATGTAAACGCTTTTCCACAACTGATGGGAACAGACTGGGAAGAAGAGGGGTGGTGTTTACTAACCTCGAGAACGGGCGTCAGGGTCTTCATAAGGCCTGCCACGGCGCGCACATCGCGTACGGCCCCCAGTTGCATCTTCTCTATGTTTGCCTTCTCGTCATCGCCGTCAGCTGCCGGCGTAGCGGTGCCGTCGGCCTCGTCCATCATGTCGGCATCCTGGTCTTCGTCTGCGTCCTCGTCGCGCACTTCCTCCATGGCGGTATCTCCCCCATTCGCCGGCGCGCCGCCTGAGAAGCCAGCCTCATTAAAGAGGCCATCATCGTGCTCGTCGCCTCCAGCTTCTGACCCAGAATCCTCAAAGTCCTGAAGGAGTTCGTCTGCGAGCGTCGACATTGTCGGTAGTTTTCCTAGGGCTCTGCACCTAACGGATATCGATGTTATCGAATGTTCGGTGCTGACGCGCAGTTGGGAAGTCGCGAGATGAGAGGCGAGTCAAGCATGCGACGTGACGACCGCGATGGATCTTTGAAAGAAAGAGGCTTTGAAGCTGGCAGGCGGGATGGATTCCTAAATTATAGCGCCTTGGCTTGCTTTGTCGAGGCCCAGACCCATGCTAGCGCACGGTCCATCGGCCTTTCATCCTGCTGCGCGAACGTTGCTGTGACATCCGCAGACAGAATTCGAGATCCAATCCAAGCATTCGAGGCAGAATCTTCCGCAACCCTCACCTACCGCCGTATTTCCAACTCCATTGATACACCGAAGGGCCAACACCATGGAGTCCGCCCGCGGCCCACCGAGGGTTAAGAATAAGGCTGCGGCGCCGGTGCAGATCTCGGCCGAGCAGCTGCTTCGAGAGGCCGTCGACCGCCAGGAAACGGCCATCCAGAAGCCGACCCAGCGCTTCGCCGACCTCGAGGAGTTGAAGGAATACCAGGGCCGGAAGCGCCGCGAGTTTGAGGACTACATCCGCCGCAATCGCGTCCGACTTGCAAACTGGTTCCAGTATGCCCAGTGGGAGCTCGAGCAGAAGGAGTTTGCACGCGCCCGATCAGTCTTCGAGCGCGCCCTTGACGTGCATCCGAATAATACGCGTAAGTCTTTATTTACTTCGCCTTATCGCCTTGGGTCATCGGGAGACCACAAGTGGCAGCTACTAACGATGTGATAGAGCTCTGGATCAGGTACGTCGAGGCCGAGATCAAGAACCGGAACATCAACCATGCGCGCAACCTTCTGGACCGCGCAGTCACCCGGCTGCCGCGGGTCCCCAAGCTGTGGTACAAGTACCTATGGGTTATGGAGATGCTCGGCGACATCCCCGGCACACGCCAGGTGTTCGACAGGTGGATGAAGTGGGAACCCGATGAGGATGCTTGGAGCGCTTATATCAAGCTGGAGAAGCGTTATGGCGAGTTTGAACGGGCGAGGCAGATCTTTCAGCTCTTCACCGCGGTGCATCCCGAGCCGAGGACGTGGCTGAAGTGGGCCAAGTTCGAAGAGGAATATGGGACCAGCGACATGGTCCGCGACGTATTGCAGACCGCGATTCAAACCATTGCCGAGACATTGGGCGACGACGAGGTGGACGAGAGGCTGTTCATGGCATTTGCCAGGTTCGAGGCACGTCAAAAGGAGTACGAAAGAGCGCGCGCCATCTACAAGTTTGGTCTTGACAACCTCCCCCGCTCCAAGTCAATGACCCTTCATGCGCAATACACCACGTTCGAAAAGCAGTTCGGAGACAGGGAAGGCGTCGAAGATGTCGTTCTTACCAAGAGGAGGCGACTTTACGAAGAGCAGGTGAAGGAGAACGCAAAGAACTACGACGTATGGTTTGATTTTGCCCGGTTGGAAGAGACCGGGGGCGACGCGGACCGCGTTCGGGAGGTATATGAGCGAGCTATCGCCCAGGTCCCCCCGACACAGGAGAAGCGACACTGGCGGAGGTACATCTTCCTCTTCCTGTTTTACGCAATATGGGAGGAGCGGGAAGCCAAAGATATCGAACGCGCCCGGCAAATCTACGACACCTGTCTCGGGCTCATACCTCACAAGAAGTTCACCTTCGCCAAGGTATGGGTCGCCAAGGCGCACTTTGAGATCCGCCAGGGGCAGCTAACCCCGGCACGAAAAGCGCTGGGGCGAGCGATCGGGATATGCCCAAAGGACAAGCTCTTCAAGGAGTACATCTCGCTAGAGCAGAAACTGTACGAATTCGAGAGGTGTCGGACGCTGTACGAGAAGCATGCTCTCTACAACCCGTCCAACTGCCAGACGTGGATCAAGTGGGCCGAGCTGGAGCGCGGCCTGGACGATCTCGACCGCACCCGCGCCATCTTCGAGCTCGCCATCAGCCAGCCGGTCCTGGACATGCCCGAGGTCGTATGGAAGGCATACATCGACTTCGAGGAGGAAGAGGGCGAGTACGAGCGGACGCGCGAGCTGTACGAGCGCCTCCTCGAGAAGGCCGACCACCCCAAGGTCTGGATCAGCTTCGCCCAGTTCGAGATCAACATCCCCGAGGCGGACGAGGGCGCCGAGGAGGAGGGAGAAGAAGAGGCCGAGGAGCGGCCCATCAGCGAGGAGGCCAAGTCGCGCGCCCGCAAGATCTTCGAGCGCGCGCACCAGAGCATGAAGGACCGCGAGCTCAAGGCCGAGCGCGTGTCGCTGCTGGCTGCCTGGCAGGAGTTCGAGAACATGCATGGCTCGCCCGAGGACATCGAGAAGATCCAGAAGCAGATGCCGCGCAAGACCAAGAAGAAGAGGAAGCTGGACGACGATACATGGGAGGAGTACGTCGATTACATCTTCCCGGCAGACGACCAGCAGACCAAGAACCTGTCGAGCCTGTTGGCCATGGCCAATGCCTGGAAGCAGACTGGCGGAAATATTACCGGCGGCGACTGAGGGTGTGGTTCAAGGGGCTGGGTTTGTTGGATCAAGTGTCTCGCGCTTTGTTTCGTTGTTACTCAGGCGCCATTTATAGCTGTCCCGACCTGAACTGTATTCTAATATGGACAAGAATCCGCGGCCTGTTGATGCTGCACGAGCTACTAAATCTGGTATCCTGGAAAGCGTGAAACAACCCGGGGATCTTAAACCGATATCAGCGACTCACAAGCTAAGGGGCTTACGAGCTCCAACTGCAGATCACCGCACTCACCTAGCTCTTGGACGGGCATCAGGTCGGGGACCCGGGAATAAGATGGCCGATAGAATCATATGGTCAACTTGGGATAGACGGTCCAAAAAACCAAAAGCACCAGTCATCATTGCAGCTACATAACATAACATCGTAGGTTTTCTCATCAACGTCATCCCTCATCCAGAAGAAACGAAACATAAAGGGAACAAAAAGCAAAAACAAATCATAAAACGTTCATCCACCATTCCTTCCTCTTTCCGTCTGCACCGATCCACCCCAAACCCAAACCCAAACCCACGGAACTGAGGTATCGTCCAACGCGTGCTTGCGAAGTTTGCCGGGAAGCGATGAAAGAAGCCACAGGTCCAAACAGGTGTCGAAAAAAAAGAAGCTGAATACCCGAGTAGGACGAAGGCCGAGTAGGGAAGCCCATGTGGTCCACGACACTGGGGGGCCGAAGCTGATTTGCCGACGTCGCAGTCCAGATACGAAGCCTTGGTCCTCGGTGCCGTCCTTGCCGAATGCTGTCCCTTGGGGTCCGCGTCTCACCCGGTTCGTTTTTAGTAAGCCCCCTCCTCAGCTGGGTTACCAGGCCAGGCCTCGTTTTGTGCTCGTGTGCAGGCCTGGGCCGATGGAGGGATGGTCTCAATTCGGGTCCTAGTGGCGGCGGCGATCGTCTATCACGGGTAACAGATTAATTAGGATGTTTTGTTTTCCAAAAGTCTATGAGTGTAATTGGGGGAAAAGGAGTGAGTCGCGCAGTGCCAGAACCAGAGTATGGATACAAGGGGCCTCGTGTAGCCGGCCCACGACCACCCGGTCAAACGCCCAACGCATCAAGTGCCACTGAGTGCTGCGTCGGCTGGTTGGTGGCATCTCGTACAGCCCGTGGCGGTGGTGGTGGCGTCCACAGAGGCACAGCTGAAGATGGCGCTGACGGTTGGAAATTTGTGCGTGTGGCACGTACCGGAAAAACGGCAGGCGGCACTAAAGTCTGAAAACGTGGTGGTATGATATCTCAATCGAGAAAGCTGTGCATTGGGGCAGGGCGTTCCGGAAGGTTTCAGGTCGATAGATTAGGGTCGAGATGGGGGCTGGTCGAGAGGATGTGTTATCCCCTCTACCTCCTGTCGGACGGAGGCATGGCGCCGTACGGGTTCCCGTCGACATAACGGGGCCCATCGTCGTAGCGGCCGGCCCCTGGTGGAGCTACCGAATCCCAAGAGTCAGCCCTGCGTCTGACGAGCTGGCCGGCACCACCATCGAGATCAACGAGACCACCGTTCGCCAACCGTCTCTGTCGCTCAAGGCGTCGTTGGTGTCTCTCTTGCTTCTCGAGATTCCATTGACGCATCTCGTGCCTCAGATCGTTTGCTTCCTTCACGTCCGAGATGGCGCCCTTGATCCCGAGCGCCGCGATGCCGACGGCGGCAGCATCCTGGAGGAGGGCCTTGTTCTTGAGCTTTTTGGCCTGCTCCTCACTTATCTTGCCTTCCGCAACCGCCTTGTTCCGCACATTGCGCTTCTCCATACTCTGGTAGACACTGTGGGCCGCGTGGATGGTCGCCACGGCGGCCAGGCCCGTGGTGATGATTTGCTTACCTCTCAATTTCTTGCCTCGCTTCCTGTCATCGTCCGAATCACCCAGATCATCCGACGACACCGAGCCGCGTCTGTGACGGGGCCGGTCGTGTCCTCCGCCGCGGTGCGAGCGATCATCGTCGTACGAGTGCCTTCGTCTGTCCCTGTCGTAGTCGTCGTAGCTGTCACGGTGCCGGCGGGAACGACCGGCGGTTTCATAATCGTCCTGATCGCGCCTCCGGTCGCGGCTGCGGTCACGGCGATCTCCATCATCTTCTTCGGGGCCATTGCCGATACCCACTCTAGCCAGACGGCGGCGCGCAGAGTCCACAACGCTTCGGCTGCGGCTACGGTGACGGCGGTCGGGAGAGTCGTCACGGGAGTCTACGCTCCGATGCCGGGATCTAGACCGTTCGCGGTTGTCCATGATCTTCTTCGCACCAAAGGCGCCCAGGCCAGCGGTGGCAAGAGCGGCAAGTCCGCTCACACCGCCGCCGCCGCCGCCCTCGTCCTTTGAGCGAGCGCGAGAGCGAGAGCGGGAACGGCCGGTTTTCTCGTCCATTTCGATGTTCTTCTTGGAGCCGTTGATGACACGGTTACCAAGGAGACCACCGACGACGGCCTCGGTTAGGCCAAGCTTGCTGCCGGCCTTTTCAGTGTCCTGGGCTGCATCCAGGGTGGCAGCACCGGCGGCGGCGGTGAGAATGCGCTTAGCCTTCTCACCCTTCCACGAGCCTGGCTGCTTGGAGATGCGAAATGCCTCTGTAGCACCGGCAATAAGTGAGGCCATGGCGGCCTTCTGGACCTTGCCGGCGCCCTCGCTTTTGCCGTCCTTGCTCCTGTCCCTGCCGCGAGAGCGGGATCTGGAGCGTGATCTGGAGCGGGAGCGGCTGCCGCGGCGGCTCCTGGTGTCCGATTTGTCGTCCTTGCCTGTTAGAGCCTTGACAGCGCCTCCAAGACCGGCAGCGGCAAGCGCGCTTTCCAAGAAGTTCTTGTGGCCCTTTTTCTCCTTGGCGCTCTCCTCGTCGTCCGAGTAGTGGCCGGACCGGTGGGCGATAGCCTTCTTCTCCTCCTTCTCCTTGTGCTTGTTGTAGAACTCGGTTCCCTGGTAGCCGGCAAGGGCACCGGCGGCGCCGAGGGCGGCCGAAGCCAGGATGTTCCGCTGGACATCGGTGCCCTGCTGATTGGCGTCGCGGCGGTCATAGAGTTCCTTCCCACCGATGGCGAGGGCAGCGCCAGTCACAGCGGCGATGATCTGCTCCTGCTTAGAAAGCACGCGGGCCTTCTTGCGCTCTTCTTCGTAGACAGCATCGGTCTTCTTGCGAGACCTGCGGTCCAAGTCGTCGTAGTTCCGGTCCCGGCTGTAGTAGGAGCGGCGGTCGTCGTACTCATCGTAGTACCCGGGCTCGGCAGACCGGGCGCGGCGAAGGTCTCTGCTCGAGTAGCCCGGGGGCGGGAAGTCGCGGCGGATCTCCTCGACGGAGAGGTCGCTATCCTCACGGGCCCTGGGAACGAGATCGCGCGACGGCTGAACATGAAGGGTCTCGCGGGACTCGTAATAGCGAGGGTCGCGTTCCTCGCGGCGCTCCTCCCGGTAGTAGCGCTTGCTTGTGCGCTCCCTGGGGGGTGCGTCATAGGGATCGTATGAAGCCATCGCCGAACGGCGGTGCGGTCGACGCAGTCAACCAAGCTGACCTGTAATAAAAAGTCGTCTCTTTGGGAATTGTTTGTTGGTTTGTGGTAGTCGGATAAATCCTCTTGGCTTTCGCTCTTCTGGAAAGATTCAGGAAGAGGCAAGTGCGGTGCAGGTGAGGTCAGCTGGGTTAGAAGGCTGCCTGGGTAGGAAGGCTCGGAGCGGGGCTGCCCAGGGTATTAAGTGAGGGGGAGGGGAAGGTGGAAAGGGAGGGGCAGAAGAGCAGGAACAGGGCAGTGAGAGTGGATTCTGATTTATCCCAGGCACCCTCGGCGATGCCGTCCGATCAACAAGAAGGACTTGACGAAGATGAGACGAACTGTTTGTGGTTCCCTCGATAACTACTACGCCTAGAGGAAAAGAAACGAAGAAAATCGAAAGCTGAGAAGAAGCTGGAGGGTCTGCCAGGCCCTCTGACCCGCTGTTGGCCATCTTCAAACTGGCAAGGCTCCTGGGCCGCGGACGCTGCTGTTAGAGGTGAGACGCCCTGGGCCGCCTGTTTGGCCCGCCCGTTTTGGCCTGCCTTGGAAAGTACCGTCATTGATGACCGCATTTATTGTGACAGAACGCTCCGTTCGAAAGAAAGCCACTGCCGAGGCTACAATAAATCCTTTCCCTTTCCTGGAAGTTGTCTCTCAATGTTTCGGGGTCGAAGGCAGGGGTCGTTTCGGCAGCACACCAAACATCACCGTTTTCCCGGCCAATTCAACTAAACATCTCTCTGGCCTGGCCGGCGAGTTGGAAAATGACCCTGTCGCGGCCGCTGTTCCTTGATCCTTTCACGAGCTGGCGGCTCTGGCGGGACCAGCTGGCTGCCTCTCCACAAAATGCGAGATGCCGTTGCCCGAGCAAGCGTGTGGGAATCAGGGACTCGGCATGACCCACCTCTGTGGTTTGAGGGTTGAGATCGGCTGGCTGGTCGGGCACAGAACGAACGAGAGTGGTGTGTGTGACACCAGGAAAATTCAAAACCTCCTGCGAACAGCCGACCAAGCAATGGCGCATCCCGCCCATGGCCAGGTCATGAGAGCTGAGCGTTGGGAAAGACCAATCTCTTTTGGGAGACCGTGCACCCGTCGGAGTCACAAGCCGCGTCTGCGCCTTGCCCTATGATGTCATGGGGACAGCGTCAGCCACACTCGAAACACCAAGAAGACCCACGAAGACCAAGTCTCAGCGAGTGCACAATGTCTCGGCTGCTCGGTTGGTTGACCCTCGTCGAGCTGCCAAGTCACGTAAGTGTCTTAGTTAAGTGTATGAACGGATAAAAACGTGCGAGCGGACCGCGACGTCGTTATATGCATAAGAACAACATCACCACTGTGTAAGAATATGGTGTGAAAGGCAAGTCGGCCGGAGCCCTCCCCCGACTACCACAGTTGGGGAGGGTGCTAGTCAGGAATCGGAATTTTCTCAATTCCAGTTTTCAATGATAAATTATACAGCGAACTCTTAGGCAGCCATCACGTCTCTTCTATCTCATTGGGTATCAAGTCTTGCACCGTTCCTGTCGCTGTTCGTCTCCAGCGTTTGGTCACGGCTATATTGATGGCCCAGGTGGCTCACTGCCCTCTTGCAGGCTACCTCCTGGCGAGCTGCCGCCTCCTTTTGAGCCGGTTATGCTCTTTTCCATTTGCGCCTCCCAGTCATCGTCAAAAAACCATCTAGGCAACATCTCTAAAGAGCTAGACATCAAGAAAGGTTAGCCACCATGGTTGGTGTCACATGCCCACAGACACATGGGCCTTGTCTAAACGACGCGTGGGGACAACAACAAACAGAAATGGAGACACTCACCTCTTGTGATCTACCGGCACCTCGACGCCGTTAGCCTCGAGATTTTGAATCAATTCTCGCCGGGCCAACATTAGTTTCCTGATGTATTCTATTGTGCTCTGGAGTACCAGGCCTTCGGAGCGCGCTCGCCCTTCAAGGCCGGGAACAATGTTCGAAAGCCGGTCAAACTGATCTCGGATATGTTCCCTTCGTTTTTTCTCTGGTTCTTCCGGTCAGTCGCGTTCTCGCAGCTCGATGGGCAGGTAACATGGAACCCGAGCTGCGTGCTGCTTACCCGAGGCGAGGTGATTCGCCTTTTTCTCCTTCTCTGTCAGACGTCTCTTCTCCCCCGCCGCAGCCTTGAGATTTGCCGAGGTCGGGGACAAGGAGGGCGATGGCGATGATGGTGCCGAGTTCGTCATCGCGTCCATATAACTAGCGTGCCAGATAAGTCGTCGGAGTCGTTGGGGCGGTTTTCATGAACTCTCGTCGAGGACCCTCGGGGGGGGGGGGGGGGGGGGGGGTGGTTAACCGATGGCGATGCGGGCGGACAAAACGGACGAGAGTGCGGCCGCGGGGCCGGGGAAGGGCAATTGCGTCAGGTCAATATGTAGGACAATTAATGCAAGTGCTTCCAGTGAGAGAATGTCGCAAGTATAATGATGCAGCCGTTTCGGCCTCTGTAGTTGCTTGTGTGTAGTCGGAGTCGTGAACTTCCCACCTGCGGGCTACTATCGGCATGTGATCGTAGCTCTAGTACAGAACTGGTTGGCCAGATTCTTTTTCGACATGATGCTGCTGTCATTTAGGTGCACGGGACCTGCAAAGAGGCAAAAACCCGGGAAAGAGTGAGAGAAGAACCGTCACAAAATTCGAGGCATGTCGGCGCCGAGCGAGCGCAGACCTGGAGAGGGACGGTTTCGAGGCTTGCTCTGTTTTTGGGATGAAAAAGGAGGGACTCGGGCCAGGGAGGTTCCGCCGTCGATTCTTACGAGAGCCAAATGACATGGAAGTCGCGGGCATGTGGTGGGTGTTCCAAAAAGCAACTGCCCCACTGCTTGGCCCGCTGTGCCTGAACTGAACCGCTGCTGGCGCCTCCGAACCCTCCAGATACCATGGAAGTTAACCTCGGTGCGGGGCACCTGACCTCTTTCCCGAACATCCATGGGCAAGCAGGCAAGGTCCCTCGGCCGCTCCATGGCAGCATGAAACCCGTAAAACCCCACGTCGCTGCCGGACTACCTAGGCATTTCAAGAGCCGGACTTGTCTCGTAGCAACTCGCCGAAGCAGCGAAGCGGCGTGCTGTGCAAGAGGAGATGTGCGTTTCCGTGTATTGCCCGTCGATGATGCAGGTCGGTACATACCCTCCAAACCCTCGAAATGGGCTCCTGCCTGTGCCGCGGTATGTATGTGGAAAGCAACGTTTTCTCTTTTTCATTTTTGGTGTCTATTTATACACTTTACCAAGTCAAAAACGCTTTTATCTTCCGTAAAGGAACGAGAATGCGGTAATTCCCACAACTGGGCCGAGGTTCCAAAGAGGAGTGTCAGGTCTGAAACTGAAACATTGTCGAGTTCCCCATCCCATCTTTTTCCCATGACACCGTCATCCATGAACCCCTTCTTTTCCCCCGTCGTTAAATGCCACAGCAAATCGCCGAGCTGTTGCGTCAAGCTGCCTCCGCCCCAAGGAAAACCCTCCCCTTGCTCGAAACCAACACCCGCCTTCCTCAGGTGGACCCCTCAAAATCCCTAGCAATGACAAAAACAAAGCCAATCCCGTATTCCACCTGCCAGGCGTGTCCGTCTGGCACGTTACCACGAGGCTGCCACGACTCCCCCGCCCTGCTGTCGAAAGCTCGGTGAAGGGATGGATAGGGGATGCTTGCCAGAATGAACGCCAGAATTGATGCAGGGAATATGTCGAGTTCGTGAAACCCAAGATTGGCGACAAATCGCAAAAAGTCAGAAAGATTATCGCCCCAGAACTGATCATGTCGGGGTCTCATCAACGTTCAAGCACGCCTTCCTCGGGGACCATCCCCCCAGGCCCGTGCTGCGAGTCATAACGCCTTCCCAGCTGTCCGCCCGCCCTCCCCCATGATGTAGATTGACTCCGGAAGAAAAATAAACGACACCGCATGGCGCCCAGCCACGACCAAGCAAGCCGCCAAGCGATGTACTTAGCAAGCCATGTTGCAGGAGTCAACTTCGCACATGTTGCGAGGCATACCCGCACAAGGTCAAACTCCTGCTTTACCATACCTCGCTGCGAATGGAAATGGTTTCTGGGTGATGCGCGGTGTCCCAGATAATGAAGACGCCCATCGATGACCATCCGGTTGACGACATATTCCGGATCAAGAAGAGGGAAGAACTAGTCGTCTTGTCGAATGCTATGGCGGTTGTCGGATCCCCAATAAATCGCCATTTTGTGTAATGTGTACCTTGGTTAGGACGAGTCGAATCAACAACTAGCCCGGCCCGTTGTGGACATCTGGAATATTGTTGTAGGCCAAACGAATGTGATGCCAACGATCCTGTCAAGGCCGTCGGCAGCCTGGGGTACCGCCGACTGGCAGCCCGCACCCGGGCCGTTTTCAGGCCGCGGGCGCGTCCTTCCCGCTCAGCTTGCTGTCCAACTCGATAGCCTCGTTCATGTGAGCCGTGAAGATCTCAGGCACCGCTCGGTCTTGGGGCCAAGGCTTTCGAGTGTTTGTGTTGAGAAGAAGCTTGTCGTAGAACTCGAGCAGGGACTTCAGCCCACATGTCGAAGGAGCTTCCTGCAACGCGTCTTCGAAAGCGAGGCCTCTAAACTCCTCATAGACCTTGGCATTGAAGTCGTTGAGAAGCATTTGCGACCAGAACTTGTAGAGCTTCTGCATCTCCTTCGGCGTCTCGGCCGCTTTGATGCTCTGCCGCTGCTCGAGGGCCACCTTGCGGATCTCGGTGTACGGTTTTCGGTCTCTCTGCTCCTTGGTGGGGACAGATGCCTGTTCATCGACCCAAACGATCCCGCGTTCGGCCCGATCCGCCTCAGCGTTGGCAGAGCTAGCTTCTGCTTCTCCACTGCCGTTATGGACGGGTTAGAATCGCTTGAACCCGCATGGTGGAAGGAGACTAGCCGGGTAGCATGAGTACTCACGTTGAATATTGAGATGAAGTTGTGGCCAGGCGGCTGTCCGAAACATAACCGGCCACGCCGGCAGCACCGGACGAGCCTGCGTCACCCTTGTCGTCGTAGTCCAGAACCACCATCAGGTTTTCCACCTGAGAGTCCGGAAAATTTGTCATACTCTCCAATGTAACGGGAGACTGGGGCGGTGCATATTCGGGGACACCAGCAGACAACCGGGTATCATGGCTATGTTGATGGCCGTTCAGCGCGCCATTGACCGAAGGATCGTAGGCGGCCCCGTTGACAAAGGACGGTTGGTACATCTGATCCTCGGCAAACGCGGGGTAGCCGCCGGCAGCGGTGGCAGGAGGATACGGCTGAGGGACCATCGGGCCCGGAAAGTGGGTGGCAAATTGAGGGTCGGGCTTCGCATAGGGAGTCCAGTGCGCTGGGCCATCATTGCGGTAAGGTTCAGCCCGTTCGGTGGCAGGCAAAATGAAGTGTTGCCACTTGTCGCGAGTTCGCAGTCGCTCGATGCCATCATCACCAACGCCAAATTCAATCTGATCGGAGAGGGAGCAAGCCAGGCGAAGCAACTCCACCTCTTCGGTCACCGCCTTGATGCGCTTGAAGGCCGCGATGGTGGCGAGGTGAACGAAACCCTGCCCGTCCATGTGCTGGCGAAGATAGTAATCCTTGCAGAGGTTTTCCACAGAGAGATAGTACTCAACCTGGGTCTTCAGGATGGGCACCGAGGCATCGAAAACCGGCGAATACATGTACGGGGAGTACTGACCAACCGCAAAGTCGTTCGTCTGGGCGACCTTGGGCGGGTACCCCGTGGAACCGGCGCCATTGCGTCCGGCCGACTGGCCAGAGCCAGCCCACTTATTTCCTCTCCCTCTCGACGAGTGACCAAAAGATGGTGGGAACTGATTTGAGAAGGGCGGGGGGGCTATGGGCGCTGGGATTCTGCCGGGATTGGAAACCGTTGGTCGCCGGATAGTGGCCATTGGTAGGGTACGACGCCGAAGCAATGTGCGACGACGAGTTATTGTGCCCACCGCGGACACGGAACCCCCCGCGGCCGCGTTCCGGCCGGCCGTCCCGTGGGTACTGCTGGCCATCTTTGGCGTATTCGCCCCTGACCTGGTAATTTGTACGGTCTTGCAGCATGGCCCGGGCTGCGGGCTGACCATTCTCGGAGGTCAAGGAATCATTTTCCAGGCGGATGTCCCTTGTAGCACTCGCTCGCTTGGACGACTGTGACTCTGTTAGCGGCCGACGGGACGGAAGCATGGCGACTGAACTCACCGATGAGGCATCGATGTTGGTATCACGAGCCTGGTCTGTTGCGTTGCTAGACACGGCCGGCTTGCGCTGGTCTCGCGAAGCCACATCGATCGAGGCGCGTTTCGATAGAGGCGCGGCGCGCGAAGGGATGCTTCCCTCGCGGGGGCGAGTGGTGGCAGGTTTGGGGCCCGTGGATCCCCCGGGAGAAGGTGCCTTGTCACTCACAGAGCCGGTGGCGGTTTGGGAGACGGCGGCGGCACTAGCGGGGTGGCTGCCCCTCATTGAACCTGCCTCACGGCCGCCTCGGGCCGCGCCGCCACGGGGTTTGGATCCACGAAGCGGCGGTAGCTGAGTCTCAAAAACCACCGAATGTACAATCTCGAGCTTTTCCCACGTCTTTTTGCGGGTCGGGCCAGCTTCATCCAAATTCTCCTTCTCGGCGGCTGTGTCAACTTTTTCTTGCGACTTGCGAGCGGGCTGCTCTCGCTCCGCAGCAGACTTGGGATCTGGCCATGACGTGGGGTCCGCAGTTGGGGGGAGTGCGGCTGGGCTCTTTTCGTCCTTGTCACCGGCACGGCTGCCGCGGGGACCGCTTCGGCGCGGTGCTTGGTCAGCAGGGCGCAATACCTCAGCTGACTTCTTCTGTGGCCACTTGTCTCCGTTGATGCCACTGGACACGGCGCTGCGCGGGCCGGCTTCTTCCTGTGACGGGTTTGGCTTCGACTCGCCGTCGGCCGCGGGGGCATCCGAGCCCTTGACTTGGACTACCTTCTGGGCCTCCATGCGCTTTGCCCAGGGGTTGACGGCAGGAAGGGGTGCCTCCGTGAGGACAACGGGCTTAGAAGGCTCTTTCACCTTCTCGGCATCCTCTTCCTGATTTTGGTCGCTCGGTGCTTCCTTGTCGCTGGGGCGACCCTTCTTGCCCTTCCGGCTCTTCCTACCCTCCGCGCCGTCATTAGCCCGGGAGGTCCTGCTGGCAGAGCGAGAGGCCTTATCCTCGCTCTGACTCTGAGGCGTGGCCTGGGCATCGATCGATTTTGTGCTTGCCTCGTCGGCCATATTGTCAGGTTGCTCCGTGACGGATGCTGTCGAGAAACTGGAGTCGGCAACGGAGGCGGCTTCCGGATCTTGCTTTGACAATCCACTCTCGGCCAGAGTCTGGGCTGTTTGCTCTGCATCCCGGATTTCCGGGCTAGTCGACGTAACCGACGGCGCTGTTACGGAAGTGGCGCCAGTAGAGGCGTCATCTTTGCCCTGGGAGCCGGTTGTCGAAGGGGCAGGACTCGATGTCTCTTGGGGACTCGGCTGCGAAGCCGTTCGGCCTCTCGCGGCTTGCGCGTACGAAAAGGCTGCGGCCGACATTCTGGGTGCGGAAGTCGAAGTTACCGCTATGCAAGTTGATACTGAATGCACGATGGGGGGGGATCGGCCTGGTCGGGCGAACAGGTATGAGCCCTAGTTGACCAAGGAGAGGCAAGCTGTATTGGCCTGCTAACCTTGATGTGCCTGGCCGAGGTCAGGCGATGTCCGGAGAGGCCAACACAACCTCCCCGCACTGACGAAATTCTGAAGGCGTCGATGCCCGAGGGAGGGACAAGAAGGCCGTTCAATCTGAATTGGGCGACAATCGGCCGGTCAAATTGATCAATAAACCCAAGCGAACAACAAACACCCCGCTGTGGTCAACGGGAGTGAAGGAGGGCCGAATGTTCGGCGGGGGTGGGATCCGGTGAGCACCCGCTCGATTTAGCTGTCTCTCTGGGGGCGATTCTTCTCGGGTTCGACGGATCGCGCGTGTGGTGGCCTCTCTCGAGGTGAGCAGGTTTGTGAAAGCGACAGAACTAAGGGAGTCAGGGAAAGAGCGCGAAAGGCAAACGTTTGTAACAGGATGCCAATGCAGCTCTGTGGTGTTCTGCGATAGCCCGAACGAAGCCTCACGTCAAAGATAACCGAAGACAACGCCCTAGCGACCGACCTCTAAAAAGAGTGTCCTGGGTGCAGGAAGGGCGAAAGGCGGGAGTTGTGAGTGAAGGATGGTTGGAGGGGGGGAAAAAGAGAAAAAAAAGTGTGCCGGGGATATGCAGAAGTGCCTCCCAGGGCGAAGAGTGGATGTGATTTGTGTGCGTGTGTGGAATAAATTTTTCTCGGTTCCCAGGCTCTGCCAAAAGAACCTTATGGTGGAGATAGTGCCCGGGCAGTACCTAAACAATTAGCATTGTCTGGGTGCCCCAGCTCTGGAAGGACGGGAGCTCGGAGCGGAGGGGAAGGCCGGGACAAGGACTGTGGGGTACAAGTTTTGCGCGAATATAAATCGGTTTCTGCACGGCGGGGGCAGGCCTGCGGCAAGGAAACCGAAGAAGGCAAAGGGTGAAAAATATGGAATAAAAAAAGGCCAGACGACAAAGTCGCAGCTCCAGAGGAATGGGACATGCGGTGATTCGGGTCGTTGCCTTGAGTTCTTGCCTGCCGCTGACGTAGGTAACCTATCTTACACAGGCAGTCGGTACCTGGCTTGCCGAGCTTTGTATTTATTCGAGGCCCGTTCGTAATCATGTCGACCTGACCACCCGTGCATACAAAGTCCCACCCGCCACGAGCAACGATTGTTCCTGTTCCGGGCGATCCTGCATCTAGCTCAATGAACTTCCATTGCTCACAATCGAGTTTTGAGCTTTGGGAAGGCCAGAGTAAACAGCCAACAAAGTGGCGATGCCACACGACCTGGAACTAACACCATGCTCGCACACGGCGCAACTACCTATCCAGCCAACACCAAGGCGACCCTTTCCAGCCAATACTGTCTCATCGGATTGGTTGCTCCAGGTGATGTCCCACGGACCTGAAAACGCCGCGTGAGGAATTTCAGCAATATCAGTCTGGTAGCATCCTGGTGGGAAAATCCGGGGTGGTGGTGATGGTCACTTAACTTATTAATAATTATTCGTACTGCTGCACATGTATACATACATGTATTCACATTACCTCAGGTGTGAGGGGAACTCGGCTCCAGAGAATGCCGAGCTGACTCTCTTTGCGCAGCATTCCTGGTAGTCACCAATGAGCAATCCCTTGAATAACAAAACCATTGCCCAAATTCCTGTCCTGTCTCAAACGTTTGAGGCCTGGGCGCTTCCCTTCGCACACCAATTTGCCTTGTGTTGGTACCTTTCTTTTTCTTTGAGGGGCTCGACCTACCAAGGTGTCAAGGCATTGATGCGCCTTGAACCCCGCGGTTACGGCGCCTGGCAAAGGAGACGCCCAGGTCGGTTCAGAAACCGCTCATCGAGCATTCTGAAGGGGGCAATAGGCCACTCAGCTCCGTAGCGCAAGTTATACACATGGAGGGACGGGAGCAATGGTTTGACGTTTCTTCCGTAGTGGGTGCTTCTGATCGGTTATGTAAGTGGGGATGGGATGGATGAATTGGACATGCAGGCGAGGGACCGAGTCATATCGTACTGTTTATTACCAGTCGATACTGTACGGAACGATCGACTTCGCTCTCGAGGTACTGCCAACCAGCAGCGTTTGAACGGGAATTCAAATGCAACAAATACAATTAGTTCTTCATAGACCTATTTCTAGAATCCCTTTGCCATTTCCCGTATGTGTGCTTAATTTGGCGCACTTTGTGTGGCCCAACATGGGTGCGCCGGCCCCTCAAACGAGCGTCGTATCGCGCTGTGACGGAAGCGCGGCGAGCGAGCGGAGGGGTCGGCCGAGGTGGGGTTCCACGCACTTTCTCAGTCCCGTTTGACAAGACTGCCTTCAATTGGTAGGCTGGGCTTGTCGGAGCAGCCCGGTAGATTCGAGCTTTTGTTGTTGCGGAAAACTTAAAACTCAGACATGCCATTAATTCGGTATGCGTGCTCTGGCGGCGGTCATTGACGCCAGTCTTTCTCGCGGACAGCGCAGTCGGAGTTGAATACGGCACCCCGCCTTGTGTTTCGGACGAGTCTAATAAGTACGATTGGATACTTCCGGAGTATGCGACGCTCTGCTATTCGTCTGGGTGTGTCGTTCAAGCAGAAGACTCGCCTGCCTCCACTTTGACCACCTCGGTCCAACCAATGCGGCTCTTGGCCGTCAGCTCCGAAGCACCCCACGATTCCCGACTGCGGCTCGCTTCTCGCGGTGCTTTTTCCACGGAGGGTAACCAACGTCTGCCCCAAGTTTATTTCACCATGCGGTCTTAAAAGGGCCGTCTACTCAACCACTCACCGTGGCCTTTCTACTTCCTCGGGGCGAGACAGTCTCGCCAGCCACCCAGCAATGGGTGTTGCCGGCTAAAAGCTGGGCCAAATGGGTTTGGCAGGGCTGGGGCTCTGCTGATCTTAGGAGTCCGGGCCGAAGTTATCTTTTACCGTGATGACAGGGTTCAAAGCAATGCAAAAAAGGACCGGGCCGCAAATGCCACGACGGGATTATCCACAATGGACGCCTCTCCGAGGTTCGAAGTGCCACAGTCTGGTTTATCGAAGCAAACCACCTTGCATAATGTACATAGAGTACAACGGGAGAACGGCGATATATCGCCTGCTGGGGCCGCCTCACTCCGCGGCTTCTTTCGTCTCTCAGCTCGTCATCCAGGCTGCTGCCCGGCGGGCACCGAAGCTGCTGACAAGGCGAAGTCCGCTGGAGCCCATCGGGAAGTAGCTCACAAGATACCATAACAGGGAAGCCAGTTGGATAAGCCCCGCAAACATCGTGAGAATAGTGCTTTGAAGCTAGGAAAGGCTTAGCAGCTGCGCCCGCCATGACCTGAACATGGGATGGACTTACACCGATGGAGAAGTACAGCGTCAATCCGAGAGATCCGAAGTAGGCGGCTGTAAAAGGCAGCCGCGGAGTTGAGGCGAGGTGCTTCAAGTAGGCCAGTGGGCCCATGATGGCAGCGAAGGACGACAGGAATAACACCGAGCCTAGCGTCCATCTGCGGGCGGATACCGAGTCAGCCTGCCGTTGACCTAAAGATGTGCATGACGAGCATCGATGGCGTCACCGAAGGCAACGCTCCGACGCCCATCTTGACCGAAAAGCCTTGAACCCAAAGACTTACAGGACGACTAGCTTGCGCGGCTTGGCCACAGATATGACGGGGAAAAGGAAGAAGCAGATGACGAAGCAAGCGAGAGCGCCGAGGTTGCAGGCACCAAAGATCAGCAGACGATCCCACTGACTTACTATGTCTCGCTGGTTAGTCTTGGTTGCCGGAGCAAGTCGGGTTGGGACTAGGTCGGGGGCAGTGACCACGATAGAGATAGGACAAGGGGGTGGGACGCCCTGAGACACGGCCATGCAGCACCGGCACATGCCCTGCATCTCAGGTCCGGCCGCAGGGGCAGCAAGGTACACAGCAAAGGTCCTTGGACGGAAAACTAAAGAGGGAAATGTGGCGTGGGGGTGAGGCAACATGGGAACTGAGTTGACTCACAGGCAAACCACCCTTCCTCTTCTTCGCGGCGACTAGGCGCCGGTAAAGGGGCGCCTGGCCCCTCGCTCGTCGGGAGTTGGACATAGCCACGGTCGCCAAATGGGTTGAGAGACTGGAGCGATGACATGAAGCCGCCTTGTGGCGCTGTGTTCACCGGGAGGTCTGCATCACGGCGCGACCAGCCCAGCGAGTTTATCGAGTCGCGAAACGATGTCGACGTCATGTTCCGCCAAGCGTTGTAGTTCCCAATACACGCGTTTGTAAACGATGTCCGGCGGTGGGGCTGAGGCGAAGGGGCGGGAACGCGTCGTCGGGTGCGTCGGGCGTCTCGGCCAGAAAGTCGGCGGGGTGGGGGACCGAAGGGGAAGCTCAGCGAGGCTGACGGGATCCTGGTGACCACACTAAAGATCGGGTATGGTGTGCGGGCGAGGAGTAGACGGAGTTAAGTCGATTTGGTGATGGAGGGACGGTGGGCGGGGCTGGCGTCGCAATAACGTCAACGGGGTTGCTGCCCTAGAACTGAACGTAGAAAGGTGTGTAGTCGGTTGTTTGACACCGTTGCGGCTCGGGGAGTCATGCGACGAGCTAGTGAAGTGAAAATGATCCGGCGTAGTGCTCAGATGATTCGGGGTGTTGCTGAAACGGAGGGTCGTGTTTGCCTTGCTATCCTGTTTCGTTTGCTTCTTCTTCCTTGCTTTCCGTTGTCGTGGTCGTTCTGAAACGGTCAATCCCGCAACCACACCTCCACGGTACAAACGCGACTTTGTTGATGCGGCCGCGGCCGTGGCGCCTCTGGGCTGTGTGGAGGGTTGTTTCCGGCCGGTGCCTCTTGATGGATTTGGGAGCAGGAAGTTGGTTGCGGTTCATCGCTTGCGCAAGCAGTGGAAACGGCCATCCTTGCAGACGGAAGGCCGGGAGGGCACCCACTCTGTCGATCTTACCCATGTGATTGGTTTTTCTGACCATTATGGCTCCACAACTCTCTGGTCACGGACCATCCAGCGTCGAAGGAGGGTGCCATCCAGTCTTGGGGGCTCTCGAATTTCATCAGCGATGCACCACACTTCACTTCAACCTCACCAAAACTCGGTGCCTACCTTACCCACATCCGCCTCCCATACCTTACCTTAGATGCTCGGGTAGCTTGCCAATGCCTAGAAGCAGCAGATCAGGCCGGCACGTGGGGGCTCACTTGACCACCGGCCCCCTTTCATTGGAAACCCAAACGCGGAATGCGCCACGCGGCGCCCAGGTATGTATGACACCTATTCTTGGGGACGCTGGGACGGAAAAAACACGAGAAGTCTGGTCCGCTCGAGGCAAGCCGTGTTGCTCACCTGGGCCATCAGGGGTCTGGAGACGAGGCTTAGAAGAAAACGGCTGGAGAGCAGGGCGCCTTGGTGTTCGCGAACTCCCCAGTCCCATGTTTGTTGGTGTTGATACGGGGGATCGACGGCAGCGATCGCAACGGCGGGCTGCGAAATGCTCCATCTTGCCATGCTACCAACCCACTTTATATATACCTCTTTCTCAACACGGCACATATCCGGCAATCGATGAGCGCACGATGTTTTGTGTATCACACGGGCCGATCCCTTTCCTGCGTCTGCATCTCGTTGTGGGGCTCGATGCCGGCAGTCCTCCTGCCTGCATCCTCTGCCGCGACCGGGGTTGACGCTGGGGTTGGTCCTCTCGGCTTCATCACCGTTTTCTCCGGCATGCCTTGGCGTTGCTGGAGCTGGATTAACAGCGGCATGACGTATTGCCCACAGAGCCTGGGAAGAAGGGTGGCTGCGTTTCTCTTTTGGTGTGCCTTGATGTCTCAGCTGCGAGTCACACTGACTTCCAGGTGTTGTGCCTTCGGACAAGTTTCGGTGAAGCGAGGGTGAGCCGGGTGGGAAAGCCAAGGCTCACGACGAACTACCCGCTTCCGAGTTTGCCCTTATGCGCTCCATGTCTCTCTTTCTCAGCACACCAACTTCTGGCTCGTCCGGTAGTCAGACGACTTGCCTCGATCCTTGGGAGGTACAACTCTGGGGGGAAGTAGATGTTCTTCCCGGAGTGGAATACAAGTATAAAAGGCTCCCGCCCGCCACATGCGCGCGGTCTGCCGTGAAGTGACAAGGCTTACCTTTCTCGCATCTTCCGGACTTGTCGGACCAACTCTCACCGTGGCTCACCGTCGCCTATTGCACTGACCTAGACAAACCCTCGCTGTATGTCTGTCCGTCGTCGCACGAGACCCAAGCCATCCCGCAGAGTTGACCAATCGAAACCTGCAGACGTCGCACTCACTCCTCCAAGTTGTTTATCGAAGTGGATTTGACGCTTCGACACCAAGCCAAGGACGAGCCAAGTCTTTACATCTGACAACCTGGAGCCATTCCGAGAACCGCCGTTTTGGATCCCAGACCCCGCCAGGGTTTCCGTCGATGCTTATCGGCTCAGAATTACCCCGCCATTCCACAATCTTGCCCCGCGCACCCGGACTCTCAGACTCCCGGACGTCAACCGCGCTGATTCATCCAAGAGCTTACTGTGTACCTTTGATCGGGGGTGGCCTGAGCGAAATAGCCTCTATCCGCTCGCCGGGTCATAAAGAAGGACTGGGAGTGAAGCGACGAGTATCAAGTCCCGTCGGTCTTGTCGAACAGGCCGTCCAGTCTCGTCGAGAGTCAGCCAATCAACGACCTAACTCGGGTCACGGCTTGCCTTGGAAGGAGGGGCCGGGCATCGTGAATCGTCGTCTCCCGGAAGCACGGAAGGACGTCCTCTCCAGCAACACCGGCAACACACTTCCCTCTTGGACGTTGCCGCCAAAATCCACTCACATTCTTGGTTGCAGGTAGCGAATGAGAGCTCTGTCTGTTTCTCGGCTTTGCTCGCGCAAGACACCTATCTCACATTCATAAATTAAAGTTCGACACTCGAGTCGCTCCGAGTCCCCGACTCCTCCCACTACTCCTTGGTGGATGTGGCTCTGTCCGAAATAGGCACTCCGTGAAGCGAGCATCTACTCAGCCTCAGCCGCCATTCCCGCAACTCCGTTATCAATATATTCGCATCCCATCCTCTCTCCAACCCGCGCTTGGGTTTTCTACTTCTGGACTCCCGCATCCCAACTCTCTTTATAACCCCCGAGTCGTCCTTACTCGAGGAACAAGCGTTTGTTGCCGCCGGCGTTAACGTGATCCTACCTAAGGGTTCATCCCAAAACCCTAACAACTCGCTCCAACAAGGGCGTTGCCGCTTCATCCGAATTCTCAAACCGCAAGCTCACGATCTTTTACCGCTCTTCTGGGCTTCATAAAAGCCCCACCGAACCCCCGTTTCCACCCCCGCCCAGACCTTCCCCGCCCTTCTCCAACTTGCGCAACCTCGCCACGACCCAAGTGAGAGAGAGAGACGTCGGCACCGCTGATTACGATCTTGCTTCTCGCACTCCTCGGGACACACTTTCGGATCCCACATTTCAGTGATCTACCTCCCAACTAGATATTCATCACTCTCCTGGTTGGGGCCGACGAAGACAAAAGAAGAAGCCGGATTTTTCTTGTCCGTCGACGCTCTTCTGGCCGCTTTGTTGGGAAGGCCCTTGTCTCTCCCTTGCACCAGCTGCGAATTGAAGAAACCATCTCCCAAGCGGGTTAGCGGCTGCATTGTTAAGGCCGGGCACTCCCCACATTTGGCACCCTCCTCTCAGACCCTCCTCTGAGGCCTTCGCATTCTCGGTCACCGCACCCACCCCAAGAACGACCAGTCACGTTGGACGACACGACCACACAAGCTGCTTCTCCTTGCAATCACTCTCGCACAGCAGACAATCACTCGTGCACACTGCGTATCGCAAAGAACCACAAAAGCCCACTCCAGCTTCTCTCTTTGCGACCGACGACGAATACCTTTTCATCCAAAATCTCCAGTCTGCGATATCGCTCTCTCGTCACATTCGTCACCTTCGTCCCAACCCCCGACGAGCGATCCATTTAGCGATCCACCCGTTGTCTCTTCCCCATTTTCATAGAGAACAACCGACACTAGCCAAACGAAATATCTTGTCTTTAGGTACGTTGTGCAGTTTCTTTTGTCCCTCGCTTGCCTCGCCCATCCGTCTGGCATAGAGGAGGCACAGCCACGGCCTGCTTCAGCGGACGTCAGTGACGTGAAGGAACGGGAGCACAGCCCTCTGCCTCCTGTAGCACTAGGCTAACATCGTGCCCTGCTCACCTAGGCTACCCAATACGCCTCAAGACGAACACCACATCTTCTTTACCCGTCAAGAATTGACACCGCAGGCAGACGTTCTCTGCAGGCACCTTGGTTACCTTGTCAGATCGATCTCACGACAATGACACAACACGGCTTCCCAGGCGGGATTGACCCGAACGATTTGGCCATGCCGGGCAATTACCCCGGGTCATTCCAACATAACTTCAACCACAACCCGTCATCAAACAGCTACTCGACTGGTTCGGCGCTCTTTGGAGACGAGGAGCTCTTGGACGGGCTGAACAGCCCAACCGAGGCTCAAGCCGGAGTCCAGGAATTTGGGGGGATGAATGATATGGGTGTCAGTTATTCCCATGGGGTTTACGGCTCCCACCACGGGCTACCGATCAACCAACAGCCGATGAACGGGTACTCGAGCACACCGGATGGCGATCCCATCCAGAGCCCTTTTGCCCACAACTTTGCCTACCGACAAATGGGGCACGCTCAGCCCTTCGGTGCACTCAAATCGCCACTGTCATACGCCGGCTCTCCTCTTGCGAACCCGGAAGTGAACGAGAGCAATGACCCTAACTTTCTCAGTGCCCAGGCCCAGGCCCAGGCACAGGCCCGCAACCGCCTCGCAGGTGCAATGCAACGAAAGCCCTCGTCGAACGCCAGAGGTTCGTTGACACCCAAGTCGGCAGCTCTGGCCGGGCTGCCGGTTAACGCCGAAGCCCCCTTTGGGGCTCAACCGATCAGAACCACGGGCCCCCATCACGAAAAGTCGCATTCGGGCCAGTGGATCCAGACGCCTAACAGCATGTCATCCTTCCCGGGTTCTGGGTTTTCATCACCACTGCAACAAGGCATGCCTAACAGCCAGATTAACGATCTCATCCTGAAGGGTGGTGTTTCAATGCCCGCAAAGCTCGGTGCACCCTCGGCTGCTGCATCAACCCAGGAAGCCAGGCGGAAGCGCCGAAGAGAGTCCCACAATATGGTCGAGCGTCGCCGACGCGACAACATCAACGAGCGTATCCAGGATCTCAGCAAGTTGGTACCGCCGCACCGGCTCGAAGACGAGAAGATAAGGAAAGCCATCCAAAACGGTACCCCGCTGTCGCCCACCCTTTCTGGGATCAGCGGACCGTCGCAGGCAACATCGGCTCTTGCGGGCCCCGGCGCGCGGCGCGCGGCAGGCGGGAGTACAGGGAACATCACGACCGGCTTGCCTGTTGATGACAAAGATAAAGGCCCGAACAAGGGCGATATACTCAACGGCGCCGTCAGCTGGACAAGGGACCTGATGTGGATGTTGCACCTAAAGATCCAGCAGCAAGAGGAGCTGATCAATGCTCTCTACGAACGTGGCGGCCAATTGCCTTTCGAGATTACCGACGACGAGAGGCGGATGCAGACCGAGCTTCTAGAGTCAATGGCCCGGAACGACGATGGGATTTCGTACTCGCGCACGGCTGGCTCCGGCCTTCGTGTGCCACACCATACCGACTACAAGGGCGAGCCCCTTGGCGCCAACGGGAACGGAATGGATCACGGCTCGCTGAGCCCGGGAGACGACGGCCCGGGGGTGAGCCACGAAATGCTCGACAATGGCGATTTCGTGGACTTCGACGATGATGGCAGCGGTGAGGTGTTCAAGGAGGAGGACGAATTCGGCATGGATCTCACCGCCTAACGAGGAGCACATGTCTCCGAACTGGCGTTTTCCCGTCTCTTTCCTGCCCCTTTCAGGAGGCTCGTTCACCCAGCTTTTCCTTTTGGTTCTTGATCACGGCTCGGTTTTGAGGTTCGCATCGGCATCGCATCATCTCTGCGTTTTCGGGGTTATATAGCATATCGGGGGGTTTTCTGGCGCGGTCTGGTTACGGCGCAGGCGGGTTGAACTGGGAGGCACTTTCGCCGGGACATGGTACCTGGCTCTCCAGTTCCTGATTCCTTGCACTTACGGAATGATACCTCGAGGATTGGGCATAGGGATAGGAGGGTATTTTGGTTTTTCTTTATCGGTTCATTTCTCATTTTTTCTGGTTTCAGTTCTTACTTTCACTTTCATCAATTATCCATTTCGCATACATTTACGGCCGAGCGCTGGTTGGCCGACGGCTCATGATAATACCTTCTCAATGCAAATTGTTCTTTTGATGGTGCGCTCCTTGAATGTTTTCTTCATGTCGCCACAACAACTCCCAGCACTCCCACATTGTAAGGTGTTATTAGTACGCTGCGTGATCTAGCAAGCTACCAATGACGGACACAGAGCAGGTACTCGCTCATAGCCGTGAGCAAGTTCCACACATCCTTGCGCTTCATGTCCTCCTGCAGCGCGATCCTCTCCAGCGCCGACCGCCCGTTGAAATACTTGCACAGCACAGGCCACGCGTTGGCCACCCGCTCGTCCCAATCTCCCGTGTCCCGGATCCCACCACCGCCGGTAGAGTGAGCTGCCCCAAGCCGACTCATCCCTCCCCTCCCTGCCGTGCCAGAACCTGAGGCAACAGGGCCACTGGATTCCTCTCTCCTCTCCCCCACGTGGGCGCTGGCGCCTCTCTCCCTGCCCACATTCCTCTCCCTCCTACTGTCACCACCACCACCACCACCCCCATTCCCATTCCCATCCAGACCACCACCACCACCACCCTCTCCCCGCCGCCCATCCCCAGCAGGAGCAGCAACCCGATCCCGAAACCGCCGCCCGATCGCACTCAAATACAAACTCTCCTTCCCCGTCGCCTTCTTAGCGTCCAGAATCACCTGCGGCGCCATCCCCGCCAGGTGCCGCGCGCGGTTGACGCTGGGGTGCGCCGTGGCCTGAGGGACCGCCTTGCGCGCGTGGGCCGTCGCGCGCTCGGCCAGCGCCCGCGCGGCCTTGTCGGCGAGGCGGGCGAGGCGGGCTTTCTCGGCGGCTTGCTCGGCGGGCGTGGGCTCGGGGTTGTCGGTGGGGCTGTGGTGGTTGTTGTTGTTGTTGTTGGGGTCGTCGTCGTCGGGGTGGGTGGTGGTGGTGGGTGGTTGTGATGGTCCTTGGGGTGGTGGGGTTGCGGAGGGGGTGTATGGGTGGTGGTTGTTGGTGGTGGTGGTGGTGTTGTTAATGATGCTGTTGGTTCGGGTGGCGGGTGAGGTGGGTGTTGAGGAGGTAGGGACGAGGGGGGATTGGGAGAAGGATAGGGAGAGGTCGCGGAGGCTGGTTGTCGAACGGGATGGGCCGGGGAGGTCGGAGAGGAGGGGGAGGAAGCCCGATGCGGACCCGGGCGTGGCTTGGTCGCCCGGCGTCGTAACCGTGACGGCTGTAGTGGCGTCGTCGCTTTCTACGCTCCCCGCCTCGCGGCCCATGTTTTGGGCGCGCTTTGCGCGGGCGATCGCGATCTCCTCGGCTTCTTGGGCGTACTCGACCTCATAGATAATTTCAGGCCAGACGACGACGTAGGCAAAGGTGCAGAGCTGCGTGACCCAGCCACCGCGCATTAACCAAGCCAGCATCGCCATGTAAACGGGGCGGTGGGCTTTGCTGGGGCAGTGGAGCTTGTAGGGCCGCGGGGCGACGCTGAGCTCGGCGAGGAAGTTGGGGAGGGTTGGCGAAAGGGGGGAACTGGCGAGCCCATTGGGTAGCGGCTTGCGGTAGCTTTTGCAGGTCGCAGTTAGGGCTCACAATGTACATGTCGCGGGCATGCAGTGGCGGGATGGCGATGGCACGCCGCCAGAAGATGAAATGCTGGGCGAACTTGCGCACTTGTGCGGGGGTGAGGATGTTGCTTGACTGTTGAAAAACTTGGTAGAAGCTACTCGCGTGTTAGTTATCAGGGGCTGCAACCAAGAGTTGTGGTCACCTACGAGAGCGTTGGCTTGCAATGGCGCACAAACTCAATCATGGCGAGAGTGGTCTCATCGGGATCATTTTGTAGCTCTGCTGTCACCCTCTTCTCGTCCATCATGAGCAAGAGAGCAAAGTTCTTGTCAAGAAACCCCGGGGTTTCGGCTGCTTCCTCGCCCATGAGCGAGTTTGCGGTCGTTAACCAGACGCCGCTCTGGCCCTTTTCGCCCTCTTGGGGTAGGTCGGGTACGTGGAACGGGACGGGGATCTGGACCGAGTGAGTTACCGCGCCCTCGACGGTGTCCAGCTGCAAAGCAGCGATCCTATTCTGGGAGACGGCTTCGTAGATGTCCTGCATAGATGCTGCTAGGGATGAGGTAGAAAGGATCTCCTTCCATAGCAGACTCATCTTCCTTTCTGCAGCTAAAGTTAGTGGCAGTTACAGCACGGCGGTACGAGCTACCTACTGTCCTCACGCCCCTTGTCCTTGAGGGCAAGAATTCGCTTCGACTCCTTCCACACAAAGTCACTCCGCTGTTGGCAGTACTTGTAGGCCTTGTTGATCTTTTTGATTATGTGCGTAAACATTATGTCGACGAGGGGCTTAACCTCATGCTTTTTCGGGTTGAGGAAGAAGACCAGGTTGAACATGGTCATGGAGCTTTTCTTATCCTCGGCCTCCTCGGCCGACTTGGTGGGAGGCTTCAGCGTGTCTCTCGCCTCAATCTTCTCGGCGTCACCCAGACCTCTCTCGCCGCCGCTCCTGGCTGACCCGCCAGCGTCAGTTGAGAAGGGGTCATCGTCTTCTCTCTTAGCGGGCCCTGGCTCCTTCTGTGGATGCCGTTGCTTCCCTGCCTCCTTGCCCTTCTTCTTCCTCCACACGCCATTCTCGGGCACCTGAATTGGGTACGAGACACAATATATCGGGTCCAGTGACACTTGGAAGAGGCGTTTGTGGTACGCCCTGGCCGGTTTCAAGATGTTCTCCAGGTCTTTCGTGGGAAAGCCAGCCACCTGCTCCCAAGGCACGATTTGGGTGCCGCTGTCGGTGACGAGATGGTCGTCATGATTCCACTGGGCCAGCTCGGCGGCAAGCAAAGCAGAAGACGAGCCAGTCTCTATCCTCGATTCGCGTGAGGGGCGGCCAGGCAGGATATCGTCGTCCTCGTCAACATCGTCGCCGCCGTCGGTATCCCCCTTTGAGGTCCCTGGTGGTAAGAGGTAGGGCGGGTAGTGAAAGACGAAGCGCGGGCCATCACGAGAACGGTTGATGACAAGAGCGACACCCAGGAAATTATCCGTGTTTGGGAGAACTGGGAGTGCCATGGCTCCGGGATATGGACGCGGTGGACCCGGGGCATGGAAAAAAAAAGGAGGACTCGGGACGTTGAAAGAAACAACAATCAGACCGGGACAGTAAGATAGGCAGGGACGAATCAAAATCCCGAAATTGGCAGCCCCTTATTTTTCTTCATTCGATAGAAAAAGAGTCTTGACAGTTGTAGTGTCTAGATAGATTTAGGTATGTACCGGCCCACTAGGTTGGTAGCCCGGTAGCCAGTTGACAAGTCCCGGCGCGGGCTCCGAGATTCAGAGCTCCAAGTGGAGGTTGCGAGACGGTGGGAAACGGCGAGTCGGCGGCGACTGTCAAATGCCGCGGCAAAACCCTGCAGTCACTGACGCTGCCGAGACAATCGCATCACTTGCACCACTGATGTTTAGCGTCTCATTAGCGTGCCACACCCCCCTGTATTAGGCGAGTCCAGACGAGGCGGGGCAGCGTGGGGGCTCACTCCCGGTCACTCCCTATGACGACGCTTGGGCCAGTTCACAGGCCTGAGATGAACCACTCAACAGGGGCATCGATGGCACAAGGGGTCCGCTCAGGTTCCTTCCAGTTTAAAAAGCGAGAGAGAAGGGCAATTGATCGTGTGAGCGAGTACATAGTAGAACCCAAAGCGACATTTACTTGGTCGAACTGGAACGAGCATTTTTGCACAGCCTTCGCCACCACGTTAACTACCTAGTTTTGTCCCTCATTTTGCCGTTTTCCTCGTCTCCGTTTCAAGGTCCCCAGTGTTTCCAGGTTCGGCAGAGCATTCCCAACTTTTTTCATCCCTGCTGCGTCCGAGTCCACTCCACCGCTGTCTTTTCCCGTGTACCTACACTGCCTACGGAGTACAAGTATGTGGTACCTGCATTCCCCAGACCCTCTCTCTCCCTTTGAGCCACCCAGCTTCCGTCTTTCACTCTTGCAAAGTCCTTTGACGAGTATTTATTCATGGTCTAGGATTCCTTACTTACAGCTCTGCGCAGTACCCCTTTTTAGCCGTCGATTTATTTGAGAAACCACACTCCTGGAACTGGTTCGACAAAAGCATACGCGTCCACTCGTCCACTCTCTCCCCGCCTCGACGGTTCCGCGACCCCACCTACCTATCATGGCTGTAGGCCGCGAAAATGGACACAGCAAGGGTGAATTGAACGGGGACGACCACCCGATTCGTTATATCCCTCTTTCCTACGACGGCACCAACTCGGAGGAATCAGCGCTCCGCCTCGTGCTGTCTATTCGTCCCGACTGGCAATCGCCCGACTCGAACGTCGAGTTCATTCGCTTCACCGACGGCATCACAAACACCCTTCTGAAGGCAGTCAACAAACGCCCCGGCCTATCCAAAAATGACGTCGATAACGAGGCCATCCTCCTGCGGGCTTACGGCAACGGTACCGACGTAATTATCGATCGGCACCGCGAGACCCAGAACCATGAGCTGCTCATGAGGAACGGCTTGGCTCCCGAACTCCTTGCACGATTCGAGAATGGCATGATGTACCGCTTTATCCAAGGCGCCGTTACCCAGCCCGAGGATCTGCGCAAGCCCGAGATCTACAGGGCCGTCGCGCGCCGTCTGGCCGAGTGGCACGCCATCGTGCCTTGCATATCCGCCCGCACCGGCCACAGCCGTAAGAACTCGAGGGTCGATGGGTTCGTGGGCTCGGCACTGGATAGCAACCTCGGCGACGCTGAGTTCCAGCTGGCTCTTGACGGCGTCGCACCGGGAAAGCCGCCCCCGAACGTCTGGACCGTTATGCAGAAGTGGATCTTTGCTCTACCAACCGATACGGAGGCGCAAAGGGCCCGGCAGGCTGAGCTGCAGCAGGAGCTCAAGAGGCTCGTTTCCGAGCTAAGCCATCGCCCGGGCCTGGGTGCAAATGGGGTGAGTTAGCCCGGTCCGACGAGGTACGGCCATCTGCTAACGTGCTTGCCCAGCTTGTTTTTGCGCACTGCGATCTCCTGAGCGGAAACGTCATCGTGCTACCCAAGTCTCAACTCTCCAACGGCGACAAGTCCTCCGAGCCCACGGTCACCTTCATCGACTATGAATACGCGACACCCTCGCCAGCTGCCTTTGACCTGGCGAACCACTTTGCCGAATGGGGTGGATTTGACTGCGACTTTAGCGTTCTGCCGACACGCGCACAGAGGCGCGAGTTCATTGCCGAGTACATAGACTCATACTTCAGCCTCCTCGAAAAGAAGAGGCCTACAGGGGCTGCTGTTGACAAGGCCGCCGAGATCGAGCAGCTTCACCAGGAGGTGGACCACTACCGGGGTGTTCCCGGTCTCTACTGGGGAATCTGGGCCTTGATCCAGGCCACCATCTCCGAGATTGACTTTGACTATGCCTCGTACGCCGAAACAAGGCTAGGCGAGTACTATGCCTGGCGTGCCGAGATGACCGGAGCGCGGGAGAAATCCGGGCAGGATATGCCGTTGCGGGAGCGGAGGTGGGCACAGGAGAAATAGAGCGAGGAGAGGCGTCATGAAGAACCCATCTTTCGAGATGAGACTAATAGCATCCATGGTGCCATCCGCTAAGCGTGGCATTGGGGGCGCGTCTGGTTCAGCGTTGTCATTCAGGGTACGGAGCATGGGTAAAAGGGCGACATTCAACATGGGCTCGGATACGCCTTCTATAGTGGCCATAGATATCTGAGCTGTGTTGCGGCGATGTCGCTACGAGCGCGCACCAAGCATTGCAGGTACAGGGGCGCGCAAGCGGAATAATTGGGGAAAACAAATACAATTACTTTTCAACATCTCGTTGGGTGAAACTGAGGTAAACCCTCGAACCATGGCCTGTTGAAGTGACTAACTGCCCTGTTGGATATATGTATGCTCCGCGCCGAAGACCACCCATTGGGTCTCTTGTATAACCGCTACCCGTGCACAACGTTGAAGTATCCCGTCCAGCCGAATCATGACTTGAAAACCTAGCGCCATTCCGAAAATGTGGTGTTGAATGATCCCCTTTCTCTCGTTATTCATCCCAGACGACAAGGCCCCCTACCCTTTCCCTCAAGCATCCCCCTTCCAGTACTTGGTTGGGACGAACGGCATCTTGGCCACCACGGCCTTCCTTGGCCGGCCACGGACCAGCACGTCGACCTCGGTCCCAGCCTTGTGAAAGCCGTCCTTGACATAACCCATGGCAATGTTCTTTCCCAGGGTAGGGCTGGGGCACCCGCTGGTGACAGTGCCGAGCTTGACCGCCTCCTTGCCTTCCTCGGCGCGGCTGACGATCTCGGCGCCCTCTCGTGCCGGCGCGCCCTCGACAATCAACCCAATCCGGCGACGCTCCACTCCAGATCCGCCCTTGCTCTTTGCCACCAGCTGTTTCGATATCACCTCAGCGCCGTAGTAGCCGGCGTCGGCCGTGCGCCGCTCCTTGGGGATGATCCAGCTGAGCGCGGCCTCGACGGGGGTGGTGGTCTCGTCCAGGTCGTGGCCGTACAGACACATGCCAGCCTCCAGCCGCAGACTGTCGCGCGCACCTAGGCCCGCGAACTGCACCTTCTCCGGTCCGCCAGCCTCTAGCAACGCCTCCGTCACGCCGACCGCCTCCTCCCCCGCGATCGAGATCTCAAACCCATCCTCCCCGGTATACCCGCCCCGGCTGATCAGCACGGGACTACTAACCCCACCGCCGCTCATCTTGACCCTCGCAAACGCCGACTGCCCAAACAGCAACCCCCTCAACTCCAACCCCTCCCCCTCGGCCAACACCGCCCTCAGAATCCCCTCCGCCTCCGGGCCCTGCAGCGCCACCAGCCCCTCCCGATCCCACCTCTCCTCGGCAACCCCCAAACCCCGCCCCTCCATCTCCCCATTCCACTTCCCCACCTCCCTCCCAAAATACCCATCATCCTTCTCCCGACACGCCGCATTCGTCACCACATAGAACCGCCCCCCACCCAGCCTCGTCACAATCGCATCATCCACGATCCCGCCCGACCCATCCTCCTTCAGCAACACCGCCAACGTGCTCCGATGCTCCGCGAGCCCCTCGATCCCGGCCGGCGTGACGCGCTGCAGGAAGGCGGCGGCGCCGGGCCCGGTAAAGAGCCGCTGCACCATGTGCGAGACGTCGAAGACGGAGGCGTGCGTGCGGGTGAGCGCGTGGGACGCGCTCACGCTCAGGCCGGCGTATTGGACTGGCATCTCGAAGCCGCCGAAGGGGACGAGCTTGGCGCCGTGGGTGAGGTGTAGGTTGTGGAGGGGGGTGGTGAGGAGGGGGGTGGAGGAGGAGGAGGCGTAGGGGCGGGTTTGGGTTCGGGTTTTGGTCTGGGGGAGGCGGGTGGGGAGGTGAAGGGCCTGTTGGTTTTGTTGTTGTCGTTGTTGCCCGGTGGTGAGAGAGGTTGCTGTGGTGGTGCGGGTGGTGAAGCGCCTAGCAATGTGCGACGAGGTCCGGCAAGCACCCCGGAGGGCCCTCCCGAGGGCGATTGACCTCGTGCTCTGCATTGTGAAAGTTGCTGTAATCAATTGCGCTGTCGACGAAATAAAAGGGTAGGTGTGAGGACGGAGTGTAAACGAGGGGAGGATGAGAAAGGGCGAAAGCGGGAGCAGACGGACGGTGACTTCACCGGTTTGCTGTCGTTAGCCGACATTGGCCGAGGTGCATCCCCGGGATCGGCCCCGACTTGGCATTGGTGGGCCCAGAGATAGGGAGGTACCCCCTGCCCCTAACTGCCGCTGAGCGTATCCGGCCTGCTGGATCGGGAGATATATTCTGTACACGGCCGCATCAATGGGTTGTCGTTTGCACAGCGTGTAGTTGGAATGGGTATCAGCTCGCATTAGTAGTCTTTCTCTGGCTCTAAAATCCCCTCCCAGCTCGCTTCCGAACCGGCTTCACCACCGCCCCCGACGTGACCGTCTTCTTGTCCTTAGACGGCCCAGCCTTCTTGACCAGCTTCAGCTCCTCCTCCGCATTTAGCTCGTCCTCCTGTCGTTTCTTGTCCGCCGCCATCTGCGCCTCGATCTCCATCTTCCTGTTGAACTCGGTCTCGGTGATCCGTTTCTCCCGCGCCGAATAGCCCTTCTCCTTGATCGAGTAAAAGACACCTCCGAGGTCAGCCAGCCAATGCGGATCCACCGATGTCACCGTCGACATGTACTCTTTGGACGTTAAGATCAACTCGTGGTACACGACGTAGTCCGGCAGGAACCCCAGTCCGTAGAGCGCACTAGTCGGGTGCAGCTGTACCGTCACGCTGGTGCGTAGGTTGACATATTCCCCAATGCCCTTGACCTTCGCCGCCTGGTGGTAGTAGCCCGAGCAGATGCACTTGCGGATGATATCCCAGTCGGTGCCGCAGCTGACCATCTCCATGTTCTGCATCTTGATGATGTCCAAGAGCTGGTCCCGGACCTCCTTGGCTCGTCGCAGCGATTTGGAGTGTAGGAAGTGCTGGATACACCACCTGTCGTTATATCCGTTCGCCTTCCATTGCGTGTACACGTGAAGGTATGTGAGATGGTCCGACTCGGGCACGAAGAACTTTTCGCGCGCTGCGTCGGACTCTTCCTGGCGTTCCTTGGGCCGGTAAAAGACGTTGGGGACGGAAAGCATGGAGACGATCGTCACCATCTCCTCGCTGCAGCCGTACTCTACTGACATGATCAGCAGTTTGGCGAGCGACGGGTCCATAGGGAACGCGTTCATCTTGCGCCCGAGTTCAGTCAGTTCGCCGAGGTTGTCCAGCGCACCCAGCGCCCACAGGTCGAACAGCGAGGTCGTGATGGTGTCCTGGGGTGGCGGATCCATAAAGTCAAAGTCAAGAAGGTCCTTGACCCCGAGCGACTTGAGAAGCAGAACCGTGTTGCTTAGGTTCGTCCGCTGGATTTCGGGGATCGTCTGAATATACATCTCGTCTCTGAAGGCTTTCTCGGTAAAGAGTCGATACGCCTGTCCGGGCCCGGTCCGGCCGGCACGACCGGAGCGTTGCGAGGCATTGGCTTGCGAAATGGGCGTGATTTGAAGTGTGTCCATACCCATCCGGGGGTTGTATACTTTGAGCTTGGAAAACCCCGCGTCGACCACGTACATGATACCGTCGACGGTCAAACTGGTCTCGGCAATGTTGGTCGCCACAATGCATTTCCGAACGCCGGGAGCAGCCCGATCAAAAATCTTGGCCTGGAGATCCGCAGGCATCTGACTGTATATAGGGAGAATGCTGAGTTTTGGGGGGTCGTTCAGCGCGTCTAGGCGGTCGCGGACCAGCTCGCAAGTCACCTCGATATCCTCCTGGCCTGTCATGAATACAAGGATATCGCCGGCCGGTTTCCCCACGTGGATGGCTAGGACTTGTTGCACCGCTTGGTCGACGTAGTCCTCGACCGGTGACCGATGGAACATGACATCTACCGGGAACGTTCGGCCGGGAATGGTAAACTCGGGAGCGCCGCCGTAAAAGTCGGAGAAACGCTTCGAGTTCATAGTGGCAGAGGTGACGATCAGCTTCAAGTCACGCCGCCGCTGCAGGATCTTCTTGAAGAGCCCCATCAAGACATCCGTGTTCAGCGCCCTTTCGTGCGCCTCGTCCATGATAATGCACGAGTACCTGTCCAGGTCTGACTCGTTGAGCGATTCTCGGAGCAACACGCCATCTGTCATGTATTTGATGACCGTCTCCTTGCTTGTGCAGTCCTCAAAGCGGATTGCGTACCCAACCGTACCGCCGAGCTTCACCTCCATCTCCTCAGCAACACGCTTGGCAACACTCATCGCTGCCACTCTGCGAGGTTGTGTACATCCAATCATGCCACTCTTGCCGTAGCCATCCTCAAAGAGAAACTGGGTAAGCTGCGTCGTCTTGCCGGAACCTGTCTCTCCGATCACAATCACCACCTGGTTGTCCCGGATGACGCGTAGGAGCTCCTCTCGTACCGCGAACGCTGGTAGGAATTCGCGCTGCTCTCTCAGCGTTTTGCTTTGGCTGAAGCTGCTTGCGCCCTCGGCTTTCTTCAAGTGGTCGCTGAATTTGTTGGTATTTTGTGTTTTGGAATCATCCTCGACGGCAATCGGAAGCGCGCTGTCGGTATCCTCATCCTTGACGCCCATCAAGTTGCCCAGCGCCGTCCCGGCCACGTTTGTAGCCTCCTGAGCTTGCTTTGCGCGCTCTCGTTGCTGCCGCCGGTCCCTAACCACTTTGCTGCCTTTCCTACTGAACACGGCCATATCGCTTTGTGCATCACGGACGGCGGGGACCGGCTCGAGTTGTTTGGTGAACACGGTCCGTCCATCCAGGAAAGGGGGTCGCAGATCGTGGACCAGGAGATGAACGCGCGTGCCTTCTTGGTCGTCCTCGAAATCAGCGCCCATGTCTCGCCTTTGTGCCACACCCGATGTGAGCATTCTGTTGGTCTCCCACGCGTCGACGTCCTTTTGCTTCTGTACTTGTCGCACGCTCATGCCCCGCGAGAACTGCCCGACCTTTTTCTCCACCATTGCGGCCTCCCTCTCCTGCGCGGCCCACCCGTTATCGCCGCCGAATGGGTTGTGCGTGTCATCGCCAAATGTGTGGCCCCCAAGATCATCGTCGCCGCCGTACCAGTCGCGGTCTAGCGCGTTGGCGGCGTCTGGGTCATCCACCCCGGCTTCTGGGCCGTCAAACTCGCGTTGCCGTGGCGTGGCAGCACCCGCAAGACGCGATCCGGCGCGCGGCGTTGAACTCCGAGAGTTGAAGGTGCCATTGCTCCTATTCTGAACGCGCGATGGCAAGTCACCGAATCGATCGTCGGAGCGAAGCGGGTTAAAGTCGATCTTCCGCCGCTTGTTAGAACGGTCGTCGTCGTAGTCGCGGACCATGGTGCCGAATATCAGAGGAAGGAGGGAGGCACAACTGGTTTTGTCCGGTTTCGTAAGCAACCTAAACCCCCAAGATCCTCGTTGTTTCTCGAAAGGTTGGCGCCTATTGACTTTCCGAGAAGAGCCGCAAGCAATACACAGTACAGAATACTAGTAATCTGTAGGTGAGCCCGAGCTCGCCTCCTGGCAGAACAAAGTTGTGGAGCTCGACTCGGCCAAGCACAAGCTAATGCTTGATAAGATAAGCCCCGCCGCCCGCTCCACTGAAAAGTTGAGGGACGAAATCTTCGATTGCGAAAGACTACGAATTTTCCATGTGTTCCGCCTAAAGACACCTGCGGTCAATCCTGCTGCCTCCAAAATGGCGTCTATGATAACAAGTACAGCCTGGGTCCCGCGAGGTTTTGCGGCACCTTTCCCGACCAAGTACAACTTCGACGAGGAAGAATTCGATCGTATCGCGAAGTTGGCGCAGCTCCAACTCGACGACGCCAAGGAAGACCTGGCCGAGGCGCAAGAGAAGGAGGAAGAGACGGAAAAGGCGCCAAAAAAGAAGAGCAAAGAGAAGCCATCAGCGGAAGACGACGATGATGCTTCAGAGTCCGTACCCAAGGTTCACCACAGTCGCCGAACCCCGCTAACCCTATTCCACAGCATCGATATCGACGACGACCTCAAGGAATACAACCTCGAGAACTATGACGACGAAGAGGAACCCCAGGGGGAGGCCCAGTCCATGGGCATGTTTGGGAATGTCAAGTCGCTAGCCTACTACGACTCCAACAAGGACGACCCGTACATCACCCTGAAAGACGACGCCGAAGACGAGGACGAGGACCGAGAAGATCTGCAGATTCTTGCGACCGACAACTTGCTCCTGGCCGCGAATGTCGAGGACGAGCTTGCGCATCTGGAGGTCTACGTATACGAGGACTCGGCCGACAACCTCTACGTCCACCACGACATTATGCTCCCAGCGATACCATTGTGCGTCGAGTGGCTGGACATCCCCGTCAGCAAGCCGGGGGTCGACAAGGACTCATCGGGGAATTTCGTCGCTATCGGCACCTTCGACCCAGACATCGAAATCTGGGACCTGGACACGGTCGACTGCATGTACCCCAACGCAATCCTGGGGCAAGGGGGCAACGCCGAGGAGGACAAGAAAAAGAAGAAAAAAAAGAAGAAGTCGAAGAAGGCCAACGACGAGTACCACGTGGACGCGGTCCTGGCGCTCGCGGCCAACAGGAAACACCGGAACCTGCTCGCGTCGGCGTCGGCCGACAAGACGGTCAAGCTGTGGGACCTGCACACGGCCAAGTGCGCCAAGTCGTACAGCTACCACACGGACAAGGTGTGCGCGCTGGCGTGGCACGCCGTCGAGTCGACGGTGCTGCTGAGCGGCAGCTACGACCGCACGGCGGCCATCGCCGACATGCGCGCGCCCGGCGAGGCGCCCACCAAGGTCGGCGTGGAGAGCGACGTCGAGGGCGTCCGCTGGGACCCGCACGACCCCAACTTCTTCTACGTCTCGACCGAGCGCGGCATCGTCCACTACTTTGACGCCCGCAACGCCTCCAAGGACCCCGCCGCGAGCAAGGCGGTCTGGAAGCTGCAGGCCCACGACGAGTCCATCTCCTCGTTCGACCTGAACCCTGTCATTCCCGGCTTCATGGCTACGGGGTCTACGGACAGGACGGTCAAGCTGTGGAACATCAGCGCCGAGGGGCCGTCGCTGGTTGTATCCCGCGACTTTGACGTCGGCAAAGTGTTTTCTACGAACTTTGGTCCCGATAAGGAGGTCGCGTTCAGGCTTGCCGTTGCCGGGAGCAAAGGGACCGTCTCCATTTGGGATACCAGCACGAACGGGGGTGTTCGGAAGGCGTTTGGCCAGAGGGTTCCCAGCAAGGCTACAGGGGAAGGTGAGGTTGAGGATCGCCTCGTCGGTGTGGACGATGACGAGAGTAGTAGCAGCGAGGATGAGGAGGACGAGGACGAGGATGACCAGGGCGTTGCGCTGAGCCATGACGGAGACTCGATGGACGAGGATGAGGACTAAACCGCATCCCGTTTAGGTGGATGCGTGGGTGGTAGGACTGGAATCATCGACTCTTATGGTCCAGACTCGATGTTTCAATATGCCGAGATGTATACCCTATTTTTGGACCGTCGTGCCGGGGTTTGCTCTAGTTCCATTCCGGCTCGGATGTTGCTAGTACGATGGCATCCCAGAAGCCATTCTTGGGTTATGACAAAGTTTCGCGCTACAGAGCACACATTGTATGTCCTGTGTCTGCCGAAGCAAGTTTTATCGAAGAGTTGATCAACAGCACAAACTGCACTCGACTCCGTTCCAAAAGGGGGGTTTGCATGACATCTGCCTCCGATATAAACTAGCGGCGGGGCCTCTTCATGCATTGGTTGGCGATCTTCGACCGTTGACTTGTGTCGGTGTTTGCGGCCCGGCATCGAGTGATTGACAGGTGTGGAGATCGATCGCGGATCCGAGGATCTGTGATGATCTGGGAAACCACCATGTTCACAGATTGTTACTGTGAATGTAACGCTTTCCTTGATAGAAGACATGCGGGGTCAATGACCGAGTTACGTGGTCGGTAGTGACGGGCTCTTGTCCGAGCAAGAAACATTTTACTCGTTTCAAGGACATGTAGATTCTGTCAAGAAGAATATCAGCCCCAGAAGCTATCCAGGACCACCTCCGTCCGACTGATGTTGCTTGGTGGAGTGAAGTTCCTCCTCCACGTGGAGCCCGGCGGCGTGGTTTTCCCCGCGACTCCGCCAGGGGCACGGGCGCAATTCTCCGTTGACTAGCAGCGGCTAGGGTCGGAGTTCATTCCAAACCACCGGCGCACTGCGACTCGCGTCTTTGGCCCTTTTGGATGAACTGCGAACTCGGCGGAGGGGAAAGATCAGCCGCGTGCATGGTGAAGAAACAAGCCATCGATCTCCTGGTGGCTGTTCATCGTTTCAGATGGAATTGCCCTTCGAGAAGCAATGACCAGGGGAAACGCCCGGCCAATCAGCGCCTTGTCGCGCTTTAGCCCCGTTTCAACTGCGAGAACAGAACCCAATCCCAAGCCCTCAGTGGACAGGGAGAAGTTCTGCAACGAAGAGGGGAGGGCCGGGGTGGCCATCTCCCCGGTCACACACTCCGAGCCCGCGGCCGATCAAGTGGGCAGATGGATGGATGATGACAGTGAAATGCTCGGCGATGTTTCTTCCTCGAAGCCAGAAACACAGTTTGTTTTCTTTTCGATGTTTCGCGTCGATAAAATGAGCAAAGGCCGGGCAGCTGTCATGCAACCATCCGAACTGCTGTTTCTGTTAACGTGGACCTAGAATTAACGACCACGTTGATGCCTGCTCGCCGAGCGCTGCTTGATGCAGGTACCCACGATGCTCATGCTCAGAACCCTGCGTGATCTGTGAGGCCTGGCCTATGGGCGCCGAGAAGGCCGAGCTGACTTGCAGAACACCAACCGCGCGGTATTTTAGTTTGTGAAGAATTGAACCCAAAATCCCCCGTGTGACCGTGTCTGCTGAACTGTGGCGGCCATTGAATCCCCCTTTCCCTCCATCGCCTCTCAATATGCGCCGACGTGTGAGGCGTGCGTGCGTGCGCGCTCTGGCGCTCTCTCAGTCACCAGAATCTGAGTTGCCGTCCTTGCCACTCCCGAGCATGAAAAGGGGATGGCCGTCTGGGTGTGAGCGAGTTGGGGGTCTCTTCTCTTCCCATTGGCCCAGTCTCCTTGGGCTCGAGAGGAGGGCCAACCAGGGCCAACCAGAAGTCAGGGATATAGTAGAGGCCCACTCTCAGAGGGACTGCGGGTCAGGCCTCGATGGCGGGCTGGGCGGGTGCAGTCTCTGGAAACGGGGCGACCGGGCCCGGTCCCCTTGCGATCACCACCGGTCCTTGCATTGTGGTTTGCTCCCGCCCACGCGGCCAGGCAAACCTCCCCAAGGGACCAGCACTTTCGATCGCCCCCTGGCTGAGGGAAGAAACCAAACCACCCGCTGGGTAGGCTGGCACTGGCTGGCGGGCCATGAGCAGGGCCAGACCACCGATCGTGAGTTACTGGTACCCCTCCCACGCGCTCTGCCAAGTGTGTGTGAATGTCGCGGCTACCTCCACTTGTTTCCCTGAAGTGGAAGTTTGTGGTTCCTCCCCAAACCTCATGCCCTTCCTTTAATGATCGGGCCCTCCCCTACCCCCCTCGTTGCAACCTTTCCCTTTCTGAGCTTCCTTCCGATCTTTTTCGATCTGCAATTTGCATTGCATACTCTCCTTCAACTGAATTTGTTGAACTGTTCAGAGTTCCTCATCGCGGGCCCATTTGGACTCTCGAACTAGTTTCCATTCCTTTTCCCACACATCGTGAACGTTCCTCCTTGAGCGGAGACGACATCACCACGTCTAGACCATCTAGCACCCACGACTGTTCCCAGTCCGACACGTTCCCTCCGAAGACAAAAACAGAAAAACAACCCTGCGCGGTTATATCAGTGGCATTAAAGGCCGTCAAACCTGAGCATCGAAACGGACTGGATCCACGCGCAACAAAACCCTCGAAAATTGCTGGCGTCTCTTTGTGGGAAATACCACCGAGGGCTTCTTTTCATTCAACGATTCTCTTTTTTTAACCCGCCGAGCGATTCCGCTTCGCACGTGGTTAGATTTCTTTGACTAGGTTGCATTCTGAAGAGATCTTCTCACGACCGTTTGGGGTCATACGATCTGAGACTCGCTCATCGTCACCTGCGATCTCTTGGGTTGATTTGATAGGGTGCGGGAACCGATTGTAGTAACCTTCATCAGGAGGCGTGCTACGAATCGCGCACAAGACTCACCTGGCGCAACGTCACACCGGCGCTGGATCACAAGACTTGCCAGCGCTCCAGCAGTCTCATCGTCTCCAGAGTCGACACTAGTTATTAACTAGCTCGGAGTTGCCGATCCTCACCTATTTCTCCTTCGACCAAAACCGCCGAGAATTTGTTATCAACGATTTCATATTGGGCACCATCAACCTTCAACACTGAGAAGAAGCCGGTTTCAATTGTCGACTCGCTACCTCGGTTCTTATTTCGAGGCTGCGGGTATTTTCGATCCCGCCCTTTCCGCACAGGGCTTTTTACGACGCCAATTCGAGCAAGAGAAGGAGTTAACGAGTCAAAATGTCTCTCGCCAGGGCGTTCACGACCCGAAGGGTCAAGCAGAGTATTCAGGCGGCGGAAGAGAGGACGAATGGTCGCAGCAATTCAGTGAGGGGGTCGGTCGGCACCCTGAGGCACAAGATCTCGAGCCCTGTCGAACTCATTCACACCACCAATATGCTCTCCTATAATGCGCCAGATATCCACCCCATGTCGGCATCATCAACGGGCTCGTCACAGAGGTCTGACGACGACATGTCCGATAGCGCTCTCACGAATGGTACAACCCCGCCCACAAGTCCCGATGTCGAGTCGCCTGCCAAAAGGTCCCGGTCCCCAGAGCCGAACCACCTGTCCTGCTTCTTCACCGTCCCCCCCACCCAGCAACAGACCCCCGCTCCCGCTCCCGCTCCCGCAGCCCGACCCGAGGCGCCAGTGGTTCCGCAACGCGCTGCCTCCCACTCCAAGAAGCAGTACAACACGCTTGTGCGGCAGCGGTCAGCGTCGGGGCTATCCCAGCAATCCCAGCGCACCGTCTCGACAAAAGCCAGCTTTACCTTCTCGCGGTCCTCGTCCACCAGCACAAGTACCAGCGTCAGCTCGACCCCAATGCACCACCACCAGCACAAGACCAAGCTCTCCAGCACCGCGAGCCCAGCCCCGGTCCCGACGCCACCCTCGCCACCCCGACAACAATTAAACCCTCGACCGCAGCGCAGCAACAGCAACAGCAGCAGCCGGAAGGACTTCTCCTCTGAATCACAACAACAACACCAACACCAACACCAACACCAACAACACCACCACCACCACCACCCGTTCGGCAACGAGCTAGCGCAGGTGTCGGAGCTGGCCGAGGAGTACGGCGTGCAGGAGCAGCTGGCCGACGCGGCGGAGCGCGAGGAGCAGGCCATGCTGCAGAAGGGCCTGCTCAAGTTCACCGCCGACGAGTACATGAGCGACGTCCGCGGCTTGTTTGCCAGCTTCATGGTCCCGCCGCGGCCGGTGGCTGCGGCGTGGATTTGAAGTTTGAAGTTGGGTTTGGTTTTTGGGGGGTGAAAAGGGGGGGGGGGTTCTACTCGGCATTTGATGTGCTGCCATTCGTTCTTCTGTATATACTTTTTACGGGATGTGGGATTTAGGGGTTTGGTGGTTTCGAGCTTGGTCTCTACGGGGGTGGATTTGTGTTTGGACGGCACAACCTGATGTTTTTATGACTGGGTTGCGCGGGGAATGGGGAAGGGAAGTGTGGTTTTTTTGTTTTACTTGTGGCTGCGGAAGTTGTTCGGGGACAGAACATCACACTCGCTCGCTTGGGCTGTCTTGCGTTGGGCAGCTACATCATACCCTGGGGCACGGCTTTGGAGGGGGGTAAAGGGAAGAACGGTACACGGCGGCGTTGGGAAAACTCTTTTATGGGCAGACGGACACCTCCTGTCTTTTGTGATTTAGATTCGTCTTTTATTCTGAGATACTCCCTGCGCTATTTGGAAGGTCGGCGGCAATGTTGCTCTGTTTTCACGATACTTTCCCGTTCTGCGTTACGTATCTACAATATGTCGTTCTCTCGTGATAGCAAGGCACTGGTGGTTAGGTAACTACGGCCGTTAAAGGCCGTGGCCGGCCACCATGGGCCGTGGAATGTTTGATAGGGAGGCACCCGTCCCGATGGTGATCCCGAGCACAGGAATAGAAACAACCGCGGGAGGTGACCCCAACCAAATCCAGGGCCGACCACCGCCGACAGGCTAAGGCAGACTGGATAGACCCCTCGTCGGTTGGGCGTCGTCTCATGCAAATGCTGTTACACGGACCTGGGAGACCGGAAAGGGGACCGCTATTGACGTGCATACATGTGCCGGTGATGAGTATGGTACGCATACATATGTTAGTCTCGGAATAAGACATGGCGGGCCGCGATACGGAATCGCGGGCGGTGGCAGAGTGACACATGAGAACCCGATGTCCTGTTCCACGGCCGCGTACTTTGAGTGTTGTACTGCCGTATAGCAAACAGAAGGACGGCCATTTTGGGATAAGAGGGCGGTCGGCTCCCATGTTTCACCGCTTCAATACCGAGCCCAGCTACTCAAAGATCATGCCGTCTTCCCCGTATTTCCCGTCTTCTCGCAAGGCCGGTCTACCGAACCAAGCCATCACCGTGACTACCCTGGTGGGCCAACGTCCCACGGCCTTTTTCTTCTATGACCTTTTTGGTGAACATAGTAGAAAAATTACAAGGCTACAACCCGGCCGGCCTGCTTCCGAAGGCTACCTAGGTTTGTGAACGGAATTCGGCATCCCGTAGATGTGGGCCGAAGGTCGTCGGCCGGGTAATCGGGCCTGAGTCGATCTCCCGAGTGGGTCCGGGCCAAGAAACAAGGCCGGCCGGCCGGCCGGATTGCCCGGTCTAAACCGGTGCACCGGGCTGGGCTGCCGGGCTAGTTTTCTGGTGCCGAGCCGTTTGGTGTTGGGAATTATGGTAGCTTGTGGGCCAACATGGGCCGTCGGATTGATTTGGTTTCGATAAATGTCCCCCCCTCTCTCACCACGGCATTCGGATTCGGGGTCATCGCCGCCATTGACAACACCGGTCGCCTTGGTCAACACCGGCCCTCGTTAAGTATGTCTCTGCCAGGCAAGCGGCTAACAGTTGTCGGATAAAGCTGGAAGCCTACATCCTTGCGCGCTTCTCAGGTTGTATTCGTATCATGGTGATGCACCGCTTCTTGTGCCAAACTGAGTTGCATTGTAGACCTCTTTCGTTCGGCGACGGGCATCTGTTGGTTATGGAAGGATCCCTTGACCTCGTTTGAGTCGAGAAAATGTATGATGACTCTTTGTAGGTAGGTATGCGTTAGAGACGTACGTACCTTTCGAACGGTTGGAAAGGTTACAGTGAAGCGAGGAAGTCAATGTTGGCAGGGTTAGGGTTGACGCAGCTGTTCGCTTCTCTGCTCAAAAGTTGCCGTTTCCGGTGTTCAGCAAGGTTCACCAATTCATTCCCCACATTGCCACCGATCCAGCCACCATGACAACCATCAGCGCAGAACCAGACGACGTGCCCCAGGTGGTCTTCCGCCCGGGGAAGAAGAGGAAGATTTATCGACAGCGCTTAGGAGAGCCAGACAGCACACCCAGCAATGGCGAGACACCAAACGAAGCCGGCCTTGCCGCATCGAGCAGGCCTACTGCAGCCGTCGAGAATGACGAGGACGCTGAAATCTCAATCGCCGACGTCGTGCGGCTACGGAATTCCCGGAAAAACAAGCATGGCGGTGTTGGGTTTAGCACAGGGCCATCCAGCCTCGGCGGCGACGAGGCGGCAAGCGAAGAGAACGCGGAACGGAGCGTGGTGTTCCACGGCAACACAGATGCTCAACAAGGCGCGGAGGCAGCCGTCGTCGGCGGCATTTCGAAGCGCTTTGCGCGGCAGACGGGAATGGTCGGCGAATTAGTCAACAAGCACATGTAAGTTGGACCCTTCCAAACAGAAACAGATGCAGGAACGGCGGCTGATCAAGCAAGGGAGGAGTACGTAGAATCCGAGTTGTCTAGACGAAAGCGGCACGCCGCAGAAGCTGCCGCGCAACAGCAACAGCAACAGTCAGATGGGGAGTGGCGCGAGGATAGCGTGCTCTCATCCACCGGCGACGGCCCACCGGGGACGAGTTCGACAGCTCCCGGCGGCCAGGTCGATTCCCAGCGAGTACTACACGGCCGCCTTCTTGAGATCGACCTCGGTGACGAGGCTCGTGCACGAAACATTGAGATGACAGAACGCGCCAGGCGGCGACTGCAAGGGCAAATCGACGAGGAAGAGCAAGAGGAAGGCAAAGGGCGGCCGAGGAAAGTCCGCCTCGGGCGAGACGGCAAGCCCATGCGGTCGAGGAACCGCCGTGGAAGCGATGACATTAAGCGCGACCAGCTCGTGGAGGCGTTCTTGAGCGAGAACAGACGTAAGTGGCTCTCTTACCCAATTCATGTTGCATAGTCAAACAGGCAGCTGACCCTTCTTCAGTCGACATATATGATACACAGTCGGAGCAAACAGCCAACCCAGCGGATCTCGAAGAGGAGGATGGCGCTGCCGACGACAGGATCGCCGAGGAGTTCCGCCGCGAGTTTATGGATGCGATGGCGCAGCGAAACCGGCGGAGGAGAACGGCACAGCCCGCCAAACCCGGAGCGAAGAAGCAGGAGGAGATTCTCAAAGGTCCAAAACTTGGCGGCAGCCGCAACGCAAGAGCAGCCATGCGGGATCTGTTACTCAAGGAGCAAGTCAGCAAGCAGAAGAGATGAGGCTCTGGAACGCTGGCTAGATCCAAGAACGAAACTCGGGCTGGGGTTCGAGCAGCTTGTGTGCTTGTGCGTCGGCAGCCGCCTGTTTAGGATATCATCGACGACCAGCTGAACAGTTCGCTCCGCTCTTCATTTCGCAACACCTCCCTTCAAGCCAAAGGCTACACAGGCACACAGGACAACAAGAAACGATTGATCAGGAGCGCATCACGTGAAACCAAAATACAATAATGAGTTATTGGCGCAATCGTGGCAAGCGAGAATCAGCCGCTCTCCACTCGAGAGTCGATCGGTTCCGAAAGAAGACTACTTTCAGCCCCATGGGAATTGATTGCTGACAGTATCCCCGCCCCCGAACATTCGTTTCTGGGGTTTCAACTCTCCCACATTGTCACCCAGGCATCCTCTTCACGCCGGTTGATAGGGGGGGAGGGAACGTGTTTCGGACCATAAAATGCCCCGATCCATTTTTTGCTGCTACCATCTTCCTTCCTGTGTGTGATGCGCAAGGAATGGCCCGTTCATCAGCGGCATGAACATGTGTCGCACAGCGGGCGTGTGCTATTTAAGGCCGGCGGTTGCTTGACCGATTGGTGAGTTCCAGGCCTTGGAGTGTGTAAGCGCGAAAGCGACGACGGGATGGATGGCATGCTGATGGGAGGAGGAAAGGGAAAGCTCAGTAACTCTGATTGAGAGGAATGGGCTCTCTGTCATGACAAGCTTTTTGAATGTTCTTCGTGGCGTCTTTCTGGCGCTCTCTTCGGATCTCAAATCGCCCGTCCACTCGGATTCCTGTTGACTGCGTGGGGAAGGGATTGGCGGAAAAGGATGATACCCCATGCAGCCCTTCGAAACGTTGCGCCGCTTTGGGGATGGTGTGCGGTCGTCGACAGGGGGTTCTGGTTGGTGAAGCTGTGCCGCTCAGCCTTTGGGCTATGCAAGAGGACCGCGCAATCCTTCCAACCCAGGAGCCCAGCTGAGTGCTCGGGTTGGGGCCAGGCATGGACTGCGGAGCGAGAAGTGGTGCTGACACGGATCGGAGCCTCGTTGCCCACACTCTCCCCTCAACGCGCCAGGTTGGTCATTTTTTTCTCGCTCGACGGACATCTCCAAATCGACGACAGTTCGCGACGTGCCCGCCGCTCCGGATTTGCTGCAGCACTTGACATCGGTTTGTGCGATGACCCACAGAATCTGAACCATCGAATCATCCAATCCTCGAGTCTGGTCGACGACAACAATGGGGATATCGAGGGCGAGGGCTTGGCTAGCCGTGGCAACCCTGGCGTTGGGTTCCGTTCGAGGGGATCTCGTTACCTTCGAATCGACCGGGTTCAAAGGGTCCTTTACTCCCGGCATTGCACTCATTTCGTTCGAGGATATCGCTCAACGAAGCTTTACGTGGCGGGCATTATCGGGCATTGTTGTGAAAGAAATCACACTGTGGTCCGAGACGACAGGCAGCCAGCTCGGCCAAACAGTTCTTGATAGCCCCGAATCGGCTGCTCCAGACTCCGGCTCGGAGTCTTGGTCCCCTCGTTGGGACACTCACCGTCATAAAAGCGAGGAAACAAGCCCGGGCCGCCTGGGTCGTCGAAACCCGCAAGGTATTAACAATGGAGGCGGCGGAGGTCTACCGGTGCAACTTACCTGTGAGTTCCGCCTTGTTTGCTGGTTTGACCGCTCCTCAGTTCTCACACGTTACGCAGCCGAATTATACTCCAGCGGCGGCCAGGTGCGCTTCACAAGAGGCTCTCAAGGGATTCCCACCGGTCAACTTCTCTACTTCAACGCTACATGGGCCAACGGCTCCAGCTACTCGCAGTTCTTCGCCGCGTCGGGCACCTATATAGAGGTAGATGACAGGGCCTCCATCACGTTACCCGCCTATCGCGAAACGGGCACACCCACCGGTTCCCCAACTACCTTGACCACCACCACCGCCGCCACCGCCAGCCCAGAAGAACCAACCAATGCTTCCGAAGGGGGCTTGACCAGCAGCGAATCCAACAAACCCGTAGCGGCAACCCCAAGCAGCAGCGGCGGACTTGCGACCGGCGCCGTCATCGGCATCGCCGTTGCTTGCGGCGTCGTCGGCCTGCTTCTCATCTTGGGGCTCGTCTGGTACCTACTCCGCCGGCGCCAGCAGAAGAAGGCCATGCACCCCGTCGACTCGACCTACGGTTCCGGCAGCCGCGGCGAAGAGCTCATGGCCGAGAAGGAAGCGGCAGCCGACGTCGACGTCACCCCCCACTCACCCTACACCGACGAGGGCGCGTCCGGCAACGTGGCTGGGCCCAGCGGCACGTACCCGGACAGCGCGCCCCACGGCGACACCGTGGTCGCGGGCGCGATTGCAGCGCCGAACCTATCCCACCTGCAGGACCCGCCGCGGTCGTTCACCCCGTACTCGGACCGCCCCAGCGCCGCCGGCACGGCCGGCACCCCCGGCACCGCTGCCGCTGCCGCTGCGGGGACGCCCAGCTTGCGCGCCCCGTCGCTCGCGCAGACCGACGAGGCCCGCGTCAGCGTGCCCAGCCCCATACCGGGGCGGGCGACGCCGCGGGGGCTCACGACGCCGTACGCGCATCTGGTGGAGGAGGGCATGACGGAGGACGAGATCCGCAGGTTGGAAGAGGAGGAGCGGCAGCTGGATGCTGCGATCGAACAGGCGGGGAGACGTTGAGTCCGTTTCTCCGTTTCCGCGTGGGTAGGGAGCCAGGGGCGTTTGATGCTATGGTTGATTCGTATTTTATATATTTAAAAGGCAGCCGGTGTTGTACGCTCGCTGCTTGGATATGCTCGCAGATACAACGGCCTTGCTTAGGTAGGCTACACCTTGCGCTGGACTGTCATTCGTTTTTAGATTACCATGACACGACACGGAATATACCCTTTAACTTGTTCGTTCCCATCCTGACGCCTCTACAAAGAGGGAGCACATGCTGGCCAGGTTAAGTCTGCTGATCCGTGGTACACGCCGAGTTATAGCCCCACAGCTTTTCTCACGCAGATAAGGGTTACACAACAAAGGGACCGCTGGGACGGCGCATTGTTTCTCATCGCCGTACCCAATTGTTGGCCATTTTGGGGGGAGAAGAACAGCAAATATATGGCGACCACTTTATGGGGGTGAAACGTGCCTGGCAACTCCAGCCCCTTTCCTAAACGCCAATCCGCAGCGCTCGTAATCATACAATGAATCACTCTTAGCCACGCCCTAGTATAAACTCCATTCACGAACTCGAGTTTCGTAGCTGCCGTACCACACCACCCCTTCCATACTTTCCAGATGTGGGTCCGGCCAACCATCAAAGCAACCTCACAGCCTCAATCGGCATGTGTATCTCGGCGGCGCGTATGCGATCACCTTGTAAAGAACCTCCCGACCATGTTGCTCGCAATGCTCCCCGCCAAGTTGCCGCCGCTAAAGGCGCTGCCCGCCAAATTCGACGCCTGGCTGAACTTGTCGCACCGCGAGAAGGCAAGGGTGTTGGTGATGGTCAAGACGAGCGCAATAGCTAGAGACACCCACAAAGTCAGCCCTCGTTCCTCTTCACTCTCCTAGGTCCACACGGCAACGGAAAGGCGCAACCCACCAACAAGCGGCAGCCAGATGAACTTGAACGTCAACACGGCCACGAGCGCGAGCAGGACCCAAAAGACGGGCTGCGTGTAGATGGCGATCCAGAAGAAGCGGCTGTCGGTGGGGTTGATGATCTTGGTGCCGGGCTCGCTGCTCTCAAACACCCAGTGCGAGTCGCCCGTCGACGCGTCCACCTCGTTCCACCAGCGCAGTCCGACCAGCCGGCGGCCGACAATGTTCTTGAGGTAGTAGAAGTCGGCGGCGAGGAGGAGGATGGTGATGATGAAGATCATGACACTGGGTGGCGCATTGGGGGGTTAGCGGGGCTCGAGTCTAGGGGGGGGGCAAGCATCGTCGCATTGTCGCATTGTCGCATTGTCGCGCCATTGTGGCCGAGGAGTGGGCATGCTAGGGGGACTTCTCTTACAGGTTGTCGGTAAAGAGTAGACCGAAGAGGTAGACGAGGAGACTAGCTGGAGTCGTCTGTCAGTCACGAACCATGATCAAGCCGTAATCAAGTCGAGGTCGGGGCGCAAGAAGCCGAGACGGAGCCATGGGGGGACGTACAAATTCGAAAACCCAAAAATGTGAGAAGGGTAATCGGATGTGAGCTCAAGCGCCAGGTCAAAGACCCAGGCGTGGCCTGTGGTTGCTCCATTTTGAGAGTGTCGTTGCTTGGTTTGGAGACAGCTCTGGCCTGGAGCTCCGTGATGTTGCCTGTATCGTGATACGTAACCTTGTCCACTTCCCCTGCCAGCTGCCAACGACTGCGAGAATGCCAAGAACCGACTCCGACTGCATTCAACCCAAGGTTCGTCTCACTAAAAATGGAAGCGCTCACTTACACCAACTAGCAACAACACCGGTTCATATGAAGCCAAGGTAGAAAGAAATTGTTAGAGTGTTGAAGAAGGCAATCCGAGTCAAGGCCCGCATATAATTCATAACCCCGCACCCCTCGACGTCCACCTAGAGAAAACCAGTGGTGATTTTGTTTCGCCATTAGGTTGTTACCCCAATCAACCTCCCCAAAATATACATCACACCTCCCCAACAATGGCATCTTCAACCTTGCCGGTCCTGCGCCGGGCATTGCTCTACGGTACCACTATAATCTCACTACACTCACCCATACCCGCAGCTCACATCACTAACCCCTTCCCACAGTCCCCGCCTCCTCCCCCAGGTTCCTCGCCAAGTCCCTCCAAGTCAAATCCGACAATGTGACCTACGACCTCGAGGACTCAGTAACCCCGGCCATGAAGCCGGCCGCGCGCACCGCACTCCAGGAGCACCTCACCTCCCTCTCCAAGGCCGACACCACCATCGGCGAGATCGCCGTGCGCATCAACGCCGTGTCGACGCCCCACGCGGTCGAGGACATCCAAGCGATCGCGGCGCTGCCCAGCCTGGACACGATCGTGGTGCCGAAAGCCAACAGCGCGGCCGACCTGGCCCTGGTCGACGACATCCTCCGGCAGGCGGCGCCCGACCGGGGCGAGGGCAGCGAGCGGCCGATCAAGATCCTGGCGCTGATCGAGTCGGCGCGGGCGGTCATGGACCTGCGGGAGATCTGCGGGGCGACGGGCCGGCTGCGGGGGCTCATCTTCGCGGCCGAGGACTTCGCGCTCGACCTGGGGCTGCAGCGGACGGCGCGGATGGCCGAGATGGCGTACGCGCGCAGCGCCGTGGTGACGGCGGCGAGGGCGTTCGGGCTCGAGAGCGTCATCGACGCCGTCTGCACCGACCTCCGCGGCGCCAAGGCCACGGCGCAGATTAGAAGGGAGGGCGCGCTCGGGCGGGCGTTTGGGTTCAATGGGAAGCGTGAGTTGGCCGATTTCGTTTGTTTTTTTCCTTTTTTCTTGCTCTTGACGACGACCGCCGGTGCCTGCTCGGTCAGGCCGGACCGCCTCCATACCTTACCCAGCCTCGTGGGAGGGATGATACAGAGCTGACACTCGATTTTACAGAGTGTATCCACCCAGAGCAAGTACCAATCGTGCAGCGTCTGTTCACGCCACCGCCGAAACACGTCAAACATGCGGCCCGTATCGTCGTCGCGGATGAGAAGGCTTCGGCGGCCGGACGGGGTGCCTTCACAGTAGACGGGCAGATGATTGACGCCCCCGAGGTTGGGAAAGCCCATGCAACACTCGCCAGGGCAAAACAGTGTGGGTTTGACGTTGACGCTTTCAAAGAAGAGTACAAGGATCAAGACTTGGAGTAATCTGGAGCTGGCTTTATGTTTATGTCTCGAGGGGCTCGAACTGCCCATAAATCCGGGTTCCTCACCGGCATAACGTGCATGTATACTACCTAAACTGAAACATGTTTCCACGTTGCCAAACCGTCCTTGGATACTCGCGTTCAGCCGTAGGATACGACTCCAATAACGAAAGCGAGGTAGGTCTAACGAAATCGGTTTGAGAAAAGGAAGCCGAGTCGCCAATAAAATCAGGAGTTAACAAATCTGATCCAGCAGCAAACCAATCTCTGTTAGACATGATAATGGCATCACCGGTCGCATCAAAATCGGCAGCCTTCGATAGCATGGGTGGCCTCGGTGTCGGGTGATCAGGCATCTCAACTTCGCCGTAACGGAGCGCTGGGTCGTCTCCTGTTTCCCCAGGAGCCATTGCTGCTTCGTCCTCTATCCTTCGGATAAACTCCTCGAGGTTCTCAGCCCCGAAACTTTCTGGAATCGCGTCGGCGTAATTCGTTCGGGGTTGGCTTTCGTAGGTGTTGTTTGGTCGAGTGGGCTCAGCATGACCCAGTCGCTCAGCCGGCTGGATCGGAGGGTACAAAAACGATCCCGCGTCCCGAAGACGCGTGGTAACGCCGCGGCTCAAAATGCCGACTTCCTCAACCCTGGGGCATTCGATCTCATGTTCAATATGTGGCGCATTTCGCGACACTTTTGGTACTAGCCAGCCTTGTTCCCCCACGAAGATCGGGACCTGCGAAGCTTTCTCCATGTTCTCTCTGGAAGATGCGACGGCATTGCATCGATGCTCGTCACGAGTATGATCCACCACCCTTCGGAACTCATCGGACCGTTGAGACTGGCATGGCAGTGTATTTCTTGCCTTCGGACTCAAGTCGGTTTGAGCAGCGGCATCCTTGCGGGTTCCCCTTACTGCATCCAGAGATCCCTCAGGGAGGCGTTTCCCGGCCTTTGCTGCCACCTTTGGCTCAATCCCGCTGTGATGCCTCAATGTGTGGTCGGGGACTTCTGTAATGCTGCGTCTGGCTCGGGCCCTCCTCGAGGAGCAAGACCCAGATATGACATCTCTCTGGTGATTGTCGTACGGTTGTGACCACGTAGAGCCAGTGTCAAGCTTATCGCTTGCGCGGCTTCGAGTGATGGAGCCAGAGTCACGGTTTCGAGCCGCCGGCAAAGAGCTCGAATAACGGGGTATCCCCCCACTTTCGCCCATAGTGATGCTTCCATCAGATTGTTGCGAACCATGAGACGAACCGCAGCGGCTGTGGCGGGTAAGCCGGAATGGATACTCGATGTCGCGGGGGATGCTGCGTAAACGAGCGTCGTGGTCTGCAAACTCTTGTTCTTCAGCCTGAGTTTCTTCTCTGCGTGACGGCTTTCGAGAGAAAAAGGCAGAAAGCTCCTCTAGTTCTCTATCTTCCTTTTGGCTTTTGTTGAGCCTCGACTTAGACGCGTTGAGATCCGAACCGCTTTTTGTTAAACTTTTCGAGATGCGACTTGTTCTTTCTGCTTGTTTGTTTGCTGTGTCCCGTTAGCCACAACTGAATCGATACTTTGCTGGGTAGGTTACTGTACTTCGTACAAACATATCACTATGAACGGTCTCAGGACTTTCCTGCCGTGTTTGATGCTTCGTCGTCAGTGGCGTGCGATCACTTTGGTCCTCGGGTTACTGCTCACCGAATATTTGTCTCTGCCGCTTTGGCGTTTTCTGCAAGTGGCCTCTTTCGGTACATGCCCTCGAGACTCCCGGCCTAGGACCCGTTTCTTTGTTACACCCGCCTTGTAATCATACTTGTCGTCTCGAGTCTTGTGGCGCGCCCTCTTCTCGAATCGGTGTTGAACGTGGTTAGCCACGCTTGGGGATGGAGGAGACTCTGACAACAAAGACCTCGGTCTTTTCCCATGTTTGTTTCCGCGAGTGTCGAGCCTCGATCGCCCTGTACTCTGAGGCCGTCCTTTCTCATGTCCTCTCTCGTGGTCGACTACCGAAGGATGATAATGGCGAGCCTGTGTCTGCTGCAACCATGACTGAACGAATTCGTCGTTCTTCTCCTTAGATCGAGGAACTGGACCCTTTCCCAGGGTCTCAGGGTGCCTGCTGATCTCGGTGGGATGCCGCGGTCTCGCACTCAGAGTTCCTCTTTGATATTCGGCTTGGCTGACGCGTGTACGGTGCTCGTGGATGGCTTGATAGCCGCGGCGTTCCCGAGATGTTGTTCCTGGTGGGTGTGATCGTAGGACTTCCATGTCATTGGTGTAGATGCGCGATGTTTTCTTGTGATGAAATGCCGATTGTTCGTGGCGGGCGATGATGGCGTGGGACTTGGGCACCAGGCCTACGCCAATGCTAGAAGTGTCCCTGAAAGCAACACCAATTTTTTTACCAGACCTGCCTCCTCATCTTAGGTCCTCCATCGATCCTTCCTCTGTCACCTTGGTAGGTAGATAGTACCTTCCAGAAAGGTTCATACCCAACCACGTCACTGCCATTTAAAGATCAAACGAGGCAGCGTGCCTGCCTCAGGCTCGTTGCACGCTGCCTCGTAGCCCCAGTCGTTTTCCCTCTCCTTCCAAGGTTCCGCTTTTACTGCTATGGAAGGTACCTGGCACTTCTGTCAAACATGGGGGCTTGAAAACTCAAGCTCAGGTTCCCGTGGACATGGATGTGTTGTGTGTTGGTGTTTCCGCCTCGCCAACCCATCCTGAAACTCTCAGCTCTCACCTTCACTCCTCCAAGACGACCAACCCTTGGATCAAGATCCATGGTCCCAACCCGATTACGCCTGTTCTCTGCGAGCCATTCGCAGAGACTGTTTGCTAATTATGGCAAGACGGCTAATTGCACCTACTCCACTTGCTGTGAGTTGCTTTCCGAGTGGAAGCATATATGTACCTCAAACGACATCAATCAATCGACGACACCGAAACCTAGGTCCAGATGCTGACGAAGCACCGACGAAGCAATCCATATTCCGAGAGGCCGCAGCGGTTTCCTTTGACCCTCGTCTTCCGAGCTGATCACTGCTCGTTCTCGACTGCCTCGTGCCCAAAGCCCGCACCATATTGTGGGATAAAAGAAACCGAAGCTTGGCTCGTCGTCTCTTGGGTTTCTCAACTCCTTGACCCAGGGAAGACGCCGGTACACGCTTCTGACCCATGCAAACCGCAGGGGCCTCGTGCCGTCGTCGTCGCTTCTCCCGTTGTCGGCTCCCGACAACGGACGAAGGATCCTCAAAACCAATGGCCGTGCGCTTTCTCCAGATGAACCGTGCAGCCGATGCCTGCATGTCAAGATGCACAAGCGGAAACAACCAGTGGGATGCATCACCGAGATGGGTGACCGTTGGATAAACCCCCTTGCCCGTTTGGGCAACGTCCAGGCAGGTTCCGGCTCCGCAATTCCATGTCGGGACGACCTGCCTACGGCCCATCGCCATCGACCAAACACAAATGCTAGCGCCCCGAGGACATGGTTTCGAGGAGCAAGGCCTCTTTCCGTGACGAGAGCTGCCTCAACGAAGACCAAGGCATCGTCGCCGACGCCGGAGCTTGGAGCATATCGCGTTTCAGGCAATGCCGAACCCAACCCTGACAGCTTGGTCGGCCTTCGCGCTGCTAACCCCAGGATATGATGGGTTTCCCCCTCGAATAAGGCCCTCCCCAGAGCCGCAAAAGTTTGGGTCAGACGACCGCCGTGGTACAAAATACTTGGCTTCGACGGTGACCTGGTGGACGTTGGGCGGTTAATAGGGTGATCGACGACGGGATTATGGAAGGGGCACAGGGGGTCTCTCAAAGGCCCCATGCCCTGAACGGAGCAGGCCCACATCGCGCGGTCGACTGACGGACACCATACTACGTAGGGCTTAGATCGTGCGGAACACCTGGTGTGTCAAATCCGACAAGCCTACCAATCAAAGGAAGTGCCGGTTTCCTCCTCGCGCAGCACCCCGCCTACCTCGTCTTTCACCACACAGCCCGCATATCAGGACTCAAACAAACAGCACGTCTTTTGAATACCTCTGATACCTCCTGTCACCATGGCGCTGGGCATGAGAGCCACATCCCCGGACGACGCTGTCATGGAACGGAGGGTTGTAGGCGTATCCGTCCGTGCCGAGCCACCGCCTGCATCTTTGGATCATCTGAACTGAGAGATCGACTCCCAGTTTCAGTTCTCGGATCATCTGCTGATACGACGTGGTATTCCGCCCAGGACACGTGGAATTCGTTTTTCGAGCCCTCGAGGCACAACGATCGCAAAAGCATGGTGTTAACTCGTCTAAAGTGGCCAAATGGCCGACAGAACGGGTTTCATAGCGCTCCGATCAAAATGCTTCTCGTGGGTTTCGCATCTGCCTGGAATCTCCAAACCATGTTTCATGCCAATATCCACTTGCCTCCTGCGGTCAATCTTGATGCGGTCGATCTCTTGCGCTACCAATGGCATTTTTTTCGAGAACCCGGATACTTCCCCATGCACGCGAAAGGAGGCGTATTCGGGCCTTAAATGCACGCCATCTCGAGACAGAAAGTTGTGGGCATTCTTGTGGGGTGTGAGACCTGGATGAACCGCCGAGATATTCTCGGTTTCCGGAATCAGCAACCCTCGGTGCCCCTGTTCCATGGTCCCCCCAGAGCAAACCCCAAGCTTCCCCAGACCCCCAGGCAGCGGCTTTCGGATCCATGCCCCTGCTCCCGATCACCGTTTGTGGTCCAGGGCTCGGGACTGGGGTTTGGGCCCCCTCGGCCCTTGGTCAACGAGCTGGCTCGAGATGGATGGCGATGCATAATCAAGGTGCATATTTGCCAATGCCGGCAAAATAACCACAATGCCTTGAGCATGTCATCGTTTTCCCAATGCCAACCGGAGGGTGGGCGTTTCCTCTTGGAAAACCCGGATGGGCAAGCCTGGGACCATCCTTCATGGGCGATTCGAGCCGCCCTGAGAAAGGGCGCCGTTGTGAGCCGCGGCAAGGATACCAAAGCCTCGCTGGGAGAGCTCCCGTGTACGTCCATGTCCATGCACCGAATCAGGCCCGACTGCAAATTGCAAGGACACCGGCAGGGGAGTATCGCTGGCTCTGGTGTGGGGCCTGGCTCTGCAGAGGGTTCGGGGGTTGAATGGCCTCGAAGTGATGTTGGGCGAGAACTGAAGCTCGACCGCTGGCCAATCCTAACGTCGGAGACTTGGTTTGTCACAGCTATGTGGATGAGCTGTCGTTGTCAACCCCCTTCCAGGCCTGTTCCGCCGCAGGGTGCAAGCGTTACACCCCCATGCAGCAGCCCTGTTCAGACATCGTCCTGCGGTTGTGGTCCTCGTGGTCCGTTTGATGCTTGTCTGGACCTAACTCTGCGAACATTATCATGCTTGTCGAAACATTGGCCGGGGAAACGGCAAGCGTGTCGAGGAGCCGGCAAGGGACAGAGAAACCCAAAGGGGCCCGGTGGCTCCGTCAAGGGCAGAGCCAGGGGGGTTATTTTGGTCCTTCCTCAGGAATCCCCGCTGGCATATAAGATGGGTAGCATCAATGCCGGCGGCTCTTGCCTTTCCCTTCCTTCCCGAGTTCTCTTCCCCCAACCCAACCAACCGGCTTCCATTGATAGGGAGACTGGAGAATCCTTGACCCTTACCACATAACGCAGCTTCGCTAACACCCCGCTGCTTGCTGGCTACTGCCCGGTTTCCCCTCTACCACAGTTCACCAGCCTCGCTTGGAGAAATCAAGGGCCGAGATTTAATCGAAGCCATCCCTCCTCTCCGGCTGAAGTCATCGAACCACTGGTCTGACGACATCCCCAACTGTTGCCGGGTGAGAGGAGCTCATCCTACGGTAAGAAGAGCCCCGTCCCTCTCATCTTGCTAAGCGCCAGAAAAGGGTGGCAGTCCCCCGCCTTTCTTTCTTGGGAAGCTTAACACACGCGTCACACCCCTCGTGAGGTTTCTTGTTCACTGGATCCCTGGAGATTCCCCCCTTTAATCCCATCCCCACCTGGCACTTGCCAGAAACGTAACAACCTTGACCACACTTGTTCTTTTCGGTCTCCCGGAGAACATCGACCCATTCACCCAACAACCAGCTGACCAAACGACCCCAGAAATTCAAGACACTCCAACCAAGATGTCGAAATTATTTATCGGGTAAGAAATCGCGGGTTCGAACCCCGTCTGCTCATCGCGAGTCGCTGGCCACTAACATAAACATAGCGGCCTTGCATGGCACACGGAAGAGGCCACCTTGAGGCAAAAGTTTGAGGAGTTCGGTGACGTGGAAGAAGCGGTACGTTCTATGCTGTTTTCATTCGGCGCGGCTTCATCAATCTCGAACGAGGGACCTAACGGCTCGCTAGGTCGTCGTCAAAGATCGCGACACCGGTCGTAGCAGAGGATTCGGGTTCGTGCGCTACACCAACGAAGACGACGCCATCAAGGCCATTGAGGCCATGAACAACGTCGAGTAAGTCGGCTCAGCAGAGTCCACGCCTCTCCTCCCTAGCTAGGCACTAACTAGCCTACCCAGCTTCGACGGTCGCCAGATCCGTGTCGACAAAGCCTCGGACACTGGTCCTAGGGGAGGTGGACGAGGTGGTGGTGGTGGTGCGTACCCTCGAAGCGGGTACGCGCCCATGCCAGTCGCTGGCGGCCCCATTGCATACGGCACCCAGCAACCGCCGTACGGAATGGCGCCGCAGAACATGTACCAGCAACCCTACGGGCGTGGTGGATACGCTCCGGCGGCCCCCGGCGGATACACCATGCCCCCGCAAGGTATGTAAAGAGAAATGAAGGGACGCGAAAGCAATGGAAGGGTTGACAGAAATGATAGCGTGGGCGGCGAATCCCTACGGCGGCTACCCCGACCCGAACCAGCAGGGCCAACAGCCTCCCCAGCAACCGAATCAAGGCCACGGACAGGGCGGGTACTAGGAGCACTTGCTGCCCGGCTATGCGAGCCACGAGACCACCGACCTGGCGATGGCACCACCGCAGTGACGGATAGAGTATTCGACGACGAGAGACGAGAGTTTACATACCTGGGGACCCTTTTCTCTTTTGCCATTCAAGCTCGCCTGATATTGCCCGTCGAGGATGCTGTACGATCGGACGTTGTTGTTGCTCTGTGATGATCGACATCCATGATACCCCCTTGCGTGCTCTGTTCTATTCTTTCCTCGGCATCGCTGGCTGTTTGGTGCTGACTTTTGCTTTCATCACGAGGTTGGGGCTGAACAAACCCAGGTTCCCGGAAGTGAGTGCTGGGATGCTTCCTTCCTCCCTCGCTTTTGTTTTCCCATTTTTGCCCTACGATATTTATTCCTTCGACTTCGTTGCTGCTTTGACTGTTTTAATTCATTTTGCATTTCACGCTCGATACCGTGGCGGCAGGCTCGGGGGCTTGGGGATCGGGGGTCGGAATTAGGGTGGGCAAGGGTGAGGACAAAAAAAGAACGTGGGCAGAATGACTGATGAGGGAAAGACACGATGTATCGGGGCCTCACCGAGCTCCCACGCTTGCGGACATGGGGGGGAACCTAATTCGATGCTGAGTCTTACGTTATGGCAGGGCGTGCGGGTTTCGGGGCGAGCTGGCTGGGGATATCCGTGAGAGAGGGGGAGAAGGGGGAACCGACAAAGCGACCGCCGCCGACAGGACGGTCCGAACCAAACCAAAAAGGGGGAGGGAGGGAGGATGGAGGGGGTAACTCGTAGCTGTTGTTTTGCTTCTGCTTTCTTTCATCTCCTCGACAATGCTTTCTTGAACTCTTGCCTCCATCACGAAGTCTTCTCCGTCTCCTCCTGCTCGTCTATGCTGCTGACCTTTCTGAAGTCGTGATGCTGCTCATGATGTTGCTGCTCCCGCCGCAGCACCGACGGCGATGGCAACGATGGCGGTTGTTCCGGACCGGTAGTGACGCCGACGCCGACGTCGACAGGAGCGGGCGGGCCCGGGATCGCCTCCTCCACGCCTGGAGCCTTCTTCCCTTCCGCCGCCGCGGCCTCCTCGCGAGCGGCGACCGCCCGGAGCCGGTTCGACAGGTCCGTGACGTGCTCGTCGCCGCTCTCCGGGCTCAGTTCGTCCAGCGCCGCCTCCAGCCCCCACAGGTAGTCCCGGTTCGGCCCGCTCGGCCCAGTGCTGCGGTAGATGTGCTCGGCGAGCTGCTGTGGGTCTTGCGGGCCGACGAACTGGTCGTTGTCGGGCGTGCCGATGTAGACTAGCGTCCGGATCGGGCCGGGGTGGTGGTGGTGGTGGTGGTCATGTGGGTGCTGGGCCGGGTTGGTAGGGGCGGCGGTGGCAGCAGGGTGGAAGGGCGTGTAGTGGATCGTGTACCCGTTGATCTCGCGGATGTCGAGGTACTCCTTGACCTCGGCGACGCGGTCGGGCGTGATGCGGTAGGCCACGCCCCAGACCTTGTCCGGGGCCGAGTCATGGTGGTCGGTCAGCTGCTCCCAGTAGGAGCGCGAGATCAGCGTGACGACGCGGCCCGGGGCTTCGGGGGTGCCGCGGTGGTCCTGGCTGGAGGAGGGCGAGGGCGGGTTAGTGGGTGGTTGGCCATGGTGGAGAGAGAAATAATTCGGGTTTGAGGAGGAGGAGGAAGAAGACGGTGACCATATGGTGATGGCTTAGGATCTAACGAGCGGATGATAACACCGTAACACGAGCATGTGCGGTTGAAAAATCATGAAAGGAGAGGGAGTGAGGCTGAAATACCTTGCCTATAGAACAATTAGTATGGGGAGAGCTGGGGAGAGGTCATCGGGCTGGCCGACGGGAACCAGAACGGGGCCGGGACTTTGATGAGCGAATGGCCAGGGGGGAAGAGGGAAAATGGGAAAGGGGGCGGCTGGGTAACAGGGAAAGGGAGGAGACGGAGCACGGGGCACGGGACGACAGCACCACTGTACTGTGTAAGGCAATGTTTTCCATACCTGCCAGAACCTTCGGACATAACCCGTCACCCAACCTGGGATTCGCCTATCTGGACCTGGTCAGCTCCCGCCTTGCCGAGCCGGACGATCAGCCCAAGGGGGCTTTGGGTTTGACTTGGAGATTGGTTGAAGGTTAGGAGAAATTACCAAAATGCGGAGGAGGTTTCCAGATCAAGCTCCTGTAGAGCCAGATATCAGTTTCCGTTCCCAGTTACAGCAAGGTAAATAAGCATCACGTTTCACCCACCCATATCCAAACAACCAGAACTCATCTGCTTCCGCGGCAGTATCTTGAGCCGACATTTTCTGAGAGACGGATCAAGAAAGACGAGAGACACTGACGCCCAAGGGCTGTACGGCTGCAGTAGTAAATCTGAGTAAAAGTGCCCCTGAAAAAAAGAAGAGGAGTGTGCTTCTCCGGTGTGATGCTCGTGAGAATCGAGTCTAGTCGCCTCCAGAAATACCCCCGATGGTCCAAATCGAGTCAATCTCAAGTTTGATGTTCCCCCCTTGAAGTGTAAGCGAAAGGGAGAAAGCGCTACCGTCGGGTATCTATCGATTTAAGACGCATCCATCCCCCTTTGGCTCTCTCTTACATAACCTTGCAACACGTGGAAGGTGCCCCGGAAACTTGCGGTCAATGTCCAGGGCAGGTGCTGCAAGTCATCGTTAGTGGAAACCGTTGGTGGAGACTGGGGCTTGCTGGCACGGGAGCGTGCTTCGGCCCGTGTATCGCCTCATTCCCGGCGGATTTTTGGTGTGCGCAGTAGGGCTGAATGGCATGGCATTTGTTGCTTTTTGTCAACCGACGGCTCCTGATCTACATATCCTCGGTTCCTTATTCAGACAAGGCTTGATGATGGAGGGGGATTCGGCCTCAAATAATGGATACCAACTACGTAATGTCGAGTGAGAGAAAGTTCTGCACGGTATGGTGGTAGAGGGAGGTAAGGTAGGCACATTGGAATACACATGCACGCGCCCGTAGATATCCCTCCTGGAGTTTGGGAAAGAAAATGTTAAGCTTCCTTCATGGTGTCATCACGGGATTCGAAACTCGGGATGCCAGGTCATGAAGCTTCCGGGGACCCTGCAGAAGCTGAGCTGAGAAAGACCCTGAACAACCAATGGGTGGGTCCGCGGGGCAACAATCGGGCGCTGCACACGTGTATAAATTACGTATTTACACAGCAAGCAGCATTCGCTTCGGACCGGGCGTCGGGCGCCGGCTGGGCTTTTTTTGTGCTTTCTTTTTCCACCGAGGGTTCGGTAGGGAGGTACGTTACCTAGCATGAGGCGGAATTTCGTCATGGTGTTTGACATTCCATACCGACGGCGGCTTCTTGCCTAGCGAGCTTATTGTGATATCTGCCCGCTGCGTTACCCGAGACCCTGCGGGTACCCGTGAACGTCACCGAGGACCTTCCACCGCGCCACGCGGTAACACGCGTATTCTTCACCCGGCACCCCGCCCGAAGTCCTAGGTAGGCAAGCAGAACACGAGTCCAGGATTTTGCGCAGCAAGAACAGCGGATCGAACCAAAGTATCCCAAAGACCTTTGGCTGCCATGGGAGTCTTTTGTTCTCCACTCGGACGGTTTGCCAAGGTGCTGCGACGGCGTGCTGCAGCAAAGTTGCGGCTGAGTCGGCACACTGAATTGGATTGCAGCCGTAGCTGCCCTGTTTAAATACCACCTGTTCCTCTCAGTAGTACTGTACCCTAACTACCCTACCTGGCTGCTGTTGCCTTGCAGACGGGAGACTTCCATGACCCCCCATCCAACATCCGCCGAGCGCACCCCAACACCAAAACTTGACATATCAGCGAGAACGACAGCGACAACTCCGTGCTTCGTCACAACCAATACACACTCGTAAAGATGGCCTACAATAGGCCGTACAACCCGGATGAGCTGCCCAGGTAAGTCGATGCGGAGAACGCACACGCCGTCGCAAACTGGGTTGGTTTCGCATGTGCTGGGAAGCCCCGCCACCGCGATAACCCATTGCCACCCCCTCGTAACCGTCACCAAAACTTTTGCTAACATTGCGCTTTAGGTTTGCGGAGCCCGAGCAAGTGAGCCTCGCCCTTTTCCCGCTCTCGTTCATGAGGTTCGCTCTTCGTTTGTCCCGAAGCTAATCCTGTCTTTTGCCCGTTTCAGAAAGGAAATCCCCGGTCTCCAGCTTCAGCGCAACCGCCGTCTTCAAGATACGAGAGCAAGCCTCCTCCTCCGCGTCCACTTGAACATAGAGGATCCGGTGACCCGTACGGTTCCCATCCCCAAGGTCGGCTATCGCCTCGACAGACAGCGCCCCCTGAGCGTTTCGGAATGAGCCCACCTCCGACTGCCGGGGGCAGCCGTCCGATCCACCACAACCTTCCTCCCACTAGCTCGCGGCCGCCCCCAAGCCCGGCGCCGCGCGATAGCACTGCCGACCCGACGCTGCTACCGCTTTTCAGAGCCGTGGATAAAGATGGTGAGTCACGGGAAGTTCGCGGGGACTACCACTCGGTTGCTGACACATCTCGCCTGCTCAGGTACCGGCCAGCTATCGGAGCGCGAGCTCTCGGCGGCCCTCGTCAACGGCGACTGGACAGCCTTCGACCCGCAAACGGTTCGCATGATGATCCGCATGTTCGACAGCGACCGCAGCGGCACCATCGGCTTCGAGGAGTTCTGCGGCTTGTGGTCGTTCCTGGCCTCGTGGCGCTCGCTCTTCGACCGTTTCGATGCGGACCGGTCTGGCAACATCAGCCTGGACGAGTTCAACAACGCCCTCGTCGCCTTCCGCTACCGCCTGAGCGAGCGGTTCGTCGAGATCCTGTTCCGTACCTACGACAAGCGCAACGAGGGCGTCATGAGCTTTGACCTGTTCGTGCAGGCCTGCATCAGCCTTAAGCGCATGACCGACGTGTTCAAGCGGTACGATGACGATCGAGATGGCTATATCACCCTGAGCTTCGAAGACTTTTTGATCGAGATCCTGCGCCAGTTGAGATAGGGGGGCTGATGTTGGTTTCTCGCGCTCGACGTGGTAATCTAGCCACGGCTTTTTGGCTCTCGGTTGCTATGTTTTCTGGGTCTCATTTTAGTTTAGGAGGTATTTTTACATACCGACGAATGATGACGTTGATACCCGAGCTATCGCACAGAGTTTTCTTAATATGTCATCAGTGCAAAGTATCGTCAACCACATGCTAGAAAGGCAGCATAACAAACGCCATATGTTAACATATATCCGCGCTAGACAGCTCGAGGGGCACTGATGATGCTGGGAGCATCATCGCACAGGTCAGATGCCACCCACATCCTAGCGGCACGTAGGGTTTGAGCGGCGGCTTATAAAATACAGGTCCCATCCCACTCCCACTCTGATCTTCTGCTCGGAGTCGCCAGGCGTCCCGAGACCTGCTGCTCGCTGTCTTCCACACATAATCTCACGCCGACACGGCCCGAAACACCCGGCTTCATTAGGACTTTTGTTTTGCTCAACTTTACCTAGTGGGTAAACCGGAAGGACGTCGAGGGCAATAACGGTGACGCGTTCAAGGGTGGTAGTCCACAACCGTATTGGTGCTTACTACATATCTATCAAGCTGAGCTGACCGGAAACATGCATTTGTGTAGCTGCCGCACCTCGAGCAGCTCTCGGCCTCGCCCCTTATGGACGCGAAGTGGTTCCTTCCCACGGCTTCCTCTACGCCCAGAGCAACCCGCGAGAGCAAGCTCGCAACGTGGGACGTCGACCTAGAGCCGCGGGCGGTGGAAGCGTGGGAAAAAGCGGCAAGGGGTGATCGTCAAGGAGCCATTGGATGCTGGCATTTCCGACTCGATCAAGATGCCATCTGCCATCTGCCATCTGAGCTTCTCGCACGACATGTGTCACCCCATTCCCTTGTCACAAACCAGGGGGGGCGAGCTCCGACTAGATATTGGGATAGGGACCGACATGCTCCCGTCGTCGAACTGCTGGTAGAAGTCCTCTCCCTCTCGCTTCGATGGCCGCTATCCCCACCTGGTAGTAGTCCCGCCCGGTTGCGGTCCACGGCTCGTTGAGTGGTGGTTGTTTAGTGCGCGAGTTGTGGGCATGTGACTCTTTGTTAGCGTCTGACCTTGAATAATACTTTGTAATAATAACCTTACTTTGGATGGAACGAAAAAGGAAATTATTTTGTTTTAACGCTTTCTCCTCCATTTCGCTTTCGTTCTATTTTTATATCCTATCGTTTTTCATTCATCGTTTTACCTTTTGTATTCTTTTGTTGCCCTCTCGTTCTCGTCATTGAAGGAGGTCTCGGTCAAGAGCCCCGGCCCTCGCTGACGGACGAAAAGGCCAAGCAACAGAGGTATTTATTCACACTGTGTACATGTGTACAACTCGACGTTGGACCGTCTCCCTTCACCATTCCTCCCAATTATTGCTTTCGTCTTATTTTCTAATAGTAGGGTAACATTCAATTGGCATCTTACTATTTGTCGAATTCTGGACTCATAAATGGTAACGAGGCTGAAGCTGACAAGCACGGGATGGGGGACCTGGAGTTCCGTCGCTCGGCACCTCCGAACAGCCGGAAGCGAGGATCGAGTAGCCAGCCACCCCGTGGGCAAAAAAATGGGAACACACAAACGACTTACAGCTACCTTGATATGGTGTTCCTCGGTCAAATCAAGGCCAAATTTAACAAACTAAAAGGAAATACAGTCTTTGAGTGTTGCTCTCTTAATATAATATATCTACTATTACGTATTTATTCTCTCTCGTGGTCTGGATATACCTTGTCCAAGTGTAGTGCTTCTGTTCTGTGAACGCGACTTGCAGGCGGATCCACCGAAAGTCGGTTTGTGTGTACACAGTACCGGTTTTTTTGGCCAGAGCAGCGTGCCAGCTTTCCGGACCCTGGGTCCATGCTTGCTACTGGCCCCGCCGCCCCCGCTCTCCTATTCGAGCTGCTCCGTCCATTGTCCTGCTCTCACCCGCGGGTCATCGCCACCACCCGCCCTCCTTATCCTTAGAAACGCCGCCTGTCACACCTGCTAGGGAGCTTGAGCTCTCCTCCTCCCAATGACCCCAATCCCCGATCGCGCCTTTTTCGAGCTCTGAGCCAACAACGGTCAAATGTGACGGTTTCTGGCATCGCAGGCCACTTACACGTCAATTCCGAGACTCGCTTCGATTACACGATTACACGATTACACCTATCTTATCAGATAGAAGCTCCCTCGAGTCCCTTCGTCCACGCCCCCCCCCCCCCCTCGCCGCAAGCACCCCTCGACGAGCTTCCCTGCGTCGCTTGGTGGGGTTTCGATTGTAGAAACGTCCAAGATGCCGCCGAGGTCGTCTCTCACGTCGTCTTTCTCAATCACCGATGCGAATAACGAGGTTGTCTGCCCGCTGCGCAACCAAGATGGCTCCAGCTGCCGCAAACGCTGCATCGGGGTAAGTCGCTACTAGTCCGGCCTTGTTTATGTCGCCACCCGAATCGAATTCCTTGCAAGCAAAACTGGCATAACGCCTCGGGTCGCATGAGATTAACGTAGTGTAAATTTTAGGAGAAGCGGTACCGCTCAATGCAGGAGCACATACGTCGGGCGCACCCAGAGTACTACATCGCCAAGCTACCTGCGACCGAGGAGAGCTTCCTGCTCATGATCAATACTTCCCCGAGCGAACGACCCCAAGCCCAGCCAACTACCGGGCCACCCCATCACCAAGCCCAAGGGCCGCTGCATGGCTTCCGACGAGATGAGTCCAATGGGCCCGGCACGCCACGGAGATTCGAGGAATATTCTGGGGGCCCTATGTTTCCCGCTGCTGCAGCGCTCGCCCAGCTGCACAATCATAAAAGTGACTCGGGGTGGGAGTCAGACCTGGTAATTGCTTTGCCCCAGCCTCCGAATTGCGCAAAGGTACTGACGCTACCTCCTTACCAGGAATGGCACTCTGATACGGAAGGGGCAAGACGACGGCCGAGGTCCTCGGTCGAGCTGCCACCGATACAATTCTCAAGTGCGGATATCACGAGCGCACCACTTCCCAGCCTCGATTCTGGCCGGCAGCGCGATCTTCTCCCTTCGATCATGGCCCATTCACCCCCAGGGCGCTCATCTACACTCCCACCATTGCACAGGCCGCTAGGGCCAGCTCGGCCCCGGAAACAATCAATTTCCAAAAGGGGGCACCATAGGAGGAAATCTAAAGCGCTCGGGTCGGATTGGCTTCGCCGAATACAAAACGACGGAACTACCGATCTGTTACGGCCCGGCAATCATGATAGAAAGGCCCTCTCAGCCGAGCCAGGTACAGATTATGGTAAGCGTTGGGAGGATCTGATCGATGCGGCGGCCTCGGCAACGGAAGACATAGATGAGGACAGAACTCCAGTGAGTCTCAAGTTCCCTTCGATGCTCGACCCGCGCCTGACGAGCCAGATGCCGCAATCGCCCGTTTCTATCCAGAGGTCGTCCCTACCGCCTGTCACCCAAAACCCGTTCACAAATTACCAAGCATCCCCTCTACAACGAGCGCTCACCCCTCCGTCGTACAACCCTGAAGCTCCTGATCCGTTCCCGTCGGTCGAGAGCGGCGAAAGCGGAGATACTTTCCATATCGACTCGCGCGGTTTAACCTCGGACTCGTCCCCGAGCTCGTCCCAGAACACGCAGATCTACTGCGCCGCCTGCCAGGGCATCTCGCTCCTGAGGGAGTCGTACGCCTGTACCGAGTGCATCTGCGGTCTCTGCCAAGCCTGTGTTGACGTCCTGATGGGCGAGCAAGGCGCGCGCAGAAAGTGCCCTCGGTGCGCTACGATAGGAGGCCGGTTTAAACCGTTCCAGCTCGATATTCGGTAGTCACCGGACGCTCTTTCACGGACTGGACCTATCTCGAGATTCCCCATCCTTTCATTTTCCCGTATTTATCCATCTCCCTCTTTCCCTCATTATTCCAATTTTACTGTAGCACAGATCTGGCGTCATATTTAGTTGGTATATAGCGGCCATTTCGAAGCCGACAGCATATTCTGGGAGGTATAACGGAACTAGGACAACCACGGCGATGGTTTGGCTGTATTTGGCTTCGGAAATGGTTCGACGACTCACGACTGGCCCGACGCCTCACGCCGATACGGGAGCAACCAACACACGGGGGCGGTATTTCATTATTGTTTTTTCGCTTTCGCTCGGGATAGTTCACGGCACTTACCTATCGACGAAGCGGCTAGCAAGGGGGGTTCTTGCATCACGGGTTGGAGTTCCAGCGTCTTGAAATTTGTTACGAAGGGGAGATCGGAAGGAGATCTTTTACCCACACTACGTTTGAACTTGCTACGGGTCGGAGAATGCTGGCGTTTTTGCTTTTCACTGTCAATAGACGGCTAGTCCGTGCTGTGCTACATGGACTAGGTCGTGGAGCTGCTCGAGAGTCTGTTACGGGTCCTTTGATGACCGCTGGCACCCTCGGCTTACCACATTTCCTCGCACAAGATATACGTTACCATAGCCGCGCAACTATTACCTACTTAGCCGAGAATAAGGCGTACGTACGGGATAGGTTGATGATAGCTTACATCTCGTTTTCCGGGTAGAAAATACATATGCTTTCCACAAACAAACAGGTACCCTCACGACAGGAGATGCTTTCACGATGCACTTTAGTTACCAAGCTGGATACCCCTCTGCCTCATCCACTCGCCCGCGGTCAGCACTCCGCCCGTCCTCGCGAGATCGGCAGAGAATTTCCCGGCCACTCGCACCGCTCCCCCGGCCGTGTGGCTGGCATCACCGAACTGGTCCAGCGCCTTCATCGGCACGTCATTGTGGGGCCGCACAAAGTACACCACGCTGTACCGCTCTACGCTACCCTGTGGCCCCGGCGAGGGCACCACCCGGTGCTTGGCCGACTTGAGCGCGCCGTTGGTGAAGGTCACCATTGCGTCCCCTGGAGTGGGGCGGGTAATGATGGAGGTGCTTGTTAGTGTGGTGGTGCTTGCTTGCTTGGATTATGCAAAAAGGGGCTGCTACTGGGGAAAGAAACTTGACTGACTCGCTCACGGGGCTGGGAGGGGGGGGGGGGGGTTGAGAAAAGGGGGAGCGGAGCGGGGTATACGGTACCTAGATTGACGATCGCGTGCCCTGGTAGGGGCTTCACCCATTCCCATTCCCGCTGAACTTCTCCTCTTTCTCCTCCTTCGCTGCTCTTGGTGGTTGTGTCGATATGGGATTCGACCTGGAGCCCGCCGAGCCAGTTGAAAAGGACGGTCACGCTGCCGAAATCGGTGTGGCTCGGCAGGCCGAGTGAGGAGGGGCAGGAGACGCCGCCGTCTGGGCTGGGCGGTGACGGCGGTTTGTGGGTCAGGCGGCAGTGGTCGCCCGAGGGGTGGTCGAAGAGGTTGAGGTTGGTGAACGAGTCCTCCGGGAGGCCTAACTGTGAGGCGAGCGTGCGCAAAATGAGCATGCCGCAGGCGTGGCCGTGGCTGGTGAAGGATTGGAAGAGGGGGGTGTGAGTGGTGATTTCGGGTGGGTAGGTTATGGGTGTGCCCCTAATGTTATCTCGGGCTATGTCGTGGACGTAGTCCTTGCTGACGTTGAAGAACTGGGTTGTGTCGGGCCGTTGGTCACGGTCGGTTGTCTTGACTGTGCCAGCGGGTTTGTACCCGAAGAGGGAGACGCCGCGCTCGAGGGCGTGAGGCAGTTTCTCGTGCAGGGGTAGGGCGAATGCCTCCTTGGCAACGGCGTGGAGCTGATCTGCTTCAGCTAGGAAGGCTTTGCCTTGCGGTGTGTCCTGCAGTTTCAAGTACCAGAAGCCGTGGGTCTTGGCCGCTGTAAGTAAACGGACGGCCTCATCATGGTCGCCCTCGAGTAGTTTTGCATGTGAAATGATGGCGATTGGCGCAAGAGGGAGATTGTTGGGAAAGGGGGGGATGTCATCGAATGATGAATGCATGGTTGCTGTCGTCGTATTTGTTTAGTGTTGTTGACGTTGGCGGTGGTGTTGGTGTTGTTGGTGGTGTAAGTGCTTTTGGTTGGTGGTTTGGGGGTCGGATGCCTGATGCAAACCCAAACCAACATGCAAGTAACCCCTCCCCCTCTTCCCCTCCTATGCTCGCCTAGGTAACGTGTGTGAGAACTCAACCCCAGTTAGAGCTTTAACATTAACGAGTCGACTGAGGGCCTTGTCTCAGGCTGTCACGCTCTTTCAACCAACGGCGGGCAATTCTAATTCTAGGCAAACGCCGCACCCATGCGGGGTTAGGGGCCTTTTGCTCAACCAACAGCGAATCTGAAAGGCAAAGTGCAGATTTCTTGACGGAGTTGCAGATGCTAAGAATCCCCCCTCTTCCAGGTTGTGAGGATTCAACGAAAGATAAAAGGGTGGGAGGTTGGCTGCACCTTCCCGCTCGCCGTTTGTAATTCTGAACCTCAATCCTGCCACTCGACAACCACTTACCTGAACGCTTCTCTTTTACTCTTCCAAACTCCAGCCCAAATATCCAACCGATAACTGGAAGCTACCTTACCTACCAAACTCACACTACCAACACTCTCAGTAAACGATCATGGGAACCCGACATCTCATCTGGTGAGTCTTGCATCCTTCTGGCTACACGCGGCTTGTTTCCCTTCTGTTCCCTCTGCCTCGATCTACTTTCCCAAATCCATGGGAAAGGGGGAGGAGAAAGAAAGAAAACGCAGTGGGAAAAGAGACAAGAGAGGAATGGAACCTATGGCTAACAATTTGCAGCGTCTTCTGGAAGGGTAAATGGTTCATCGCCCAGTACGGCCAGTTCGATGGCTACCCGGAAGGCCAGGGCGTCAAGATCTTCAACTTTTTGTCATTCGCCCGCAACGTCGAGAACCTCAAGGTCGGCCTGGAGAACCACATCTACGAGCCAAGCAATGAAGAGATCAATGCCATCTGGGTTGAGTGCGAGGCCTGGGATGAGAACCGGCGCGCCCAGAACCTCATAGATAAACCCCACATGTTCGGCATCAACCAGCTCTACCCAAGCCTGGCGCGCGAAACCTCAGCTGGAATCCTGGGAGTCATCGCCCGGGCGAGCCAGGCCGAGGAGACGGATGAAGCCGAGGGTGATGAGGATAAGGAGCCGAAGAAGGTCCCCGTGAAGCTGGAGCTGGAATTTGCCAATGATACCCTCTTTTGTGAGTGGGCCTATGTCATCGACCTCGACAAGGAGGTGTTGGAGGTCTATGGTGGGGGGGAGCCAAAACACGATGGCCATCGGTTCAAGGACGTTGGCGAAGAGAGGGCCAGAGTCCCTGCATTCATCTGTTCGCTCGACTTTTCTGAGATGTACCTGATGAAGGGCGACCAGGAGTTTATGGAAAAGATCAAAAAGGCCATGGGCGAACAATCTGATAACGAAGAAAACGACGACGCGGAAGGTGAGCTCGTCAACCCTGAGGGGAGCGAGAAGGGCAACCCTTAAGGAAGGAAACAGAACAGTGATGGAAGATAGACGGATCCCTTCAAGATAAATTACGGATGTTGGCCATTGTGAGATCTCTCACGTCGTGTTCATGGGGAAGAGAGGGTCACTCAGCGGCATTGAAGATTGGTCGGCCCAGAGGGAGTCAGTGAGAGCCAGGCACCGAGGGAGGTCAACTCCCTGGTTAGGGGCGTTGCCCCTGGTGATCTGCCAAGCAAGCCTTTCTGTGGTGCTTCTTTGCGTTCAGTTTCGCCTGCTTGGCATCCGTTCTCGTGGGTCAACCCAAGGATTCAGCCCTGCCTCCAGCTCCGCTTGGCATCTTGAGAGTTCTCTTTCCCCTTCTTGGCTGACAGTTCTTGTCCTTCTCATCCTCTGCTGATCTTGACCAGGGCTGCGGTCAAAAGCCTTGCATGGTTGCAGAGAACCGAATTTGCCGAGCCGTGCCGACAGCGGTCCAGAAGCTTGATGGCGTGGGCAATATGGATGAATGCCGAAGCAACGTGCGCTCCAATCGGATGGCAAGCGTGCGAGGCGTTGGGGAAGCACAACCAACATTCGCTGGACCGCAACTCCTCACATTCCTACGAGTAGGTAGGTACGCACGGTATGTACGAACGATCTGAGCTGTGCTCAGGCAGGAATGGCTACCTTTGGGTTGCCTTGCTTCCGCTTGCCACCACCATCCGCATGAGCTGAATGCCGACTATCACAGCCGCCGTAGCGCGGAGTCCTCAGTCCACGAACCAGGCTTGCCCGGCTGGTGGGGGTTTCGGGTGCAATTTGAGGAGCTCTGGTTGTTCACCACCCATCCCGTTGCTCGATCCTATTTAGCCTGCCGAGCTGGTCTCGATCCCGCTGCAAGGAACGCCCCGTCGGTCTTCGGCCGCTTCGGCCGTCTCCTGTGTGTTCGGGAGGTGTGATAGAGGACTTCTTGCTCCTCGGGACGCAGCCGGGATCGCGATGTCGCAGCGCAGATGGCGAAAAGCGGCTCGGCATGGACCAGATGGAACTGGACTCGTCAGCTACCAGGGCCCGCACTCTCTGCTGCTGTCTGCAAGTCTTGCTATTTGTGGGTTTGCGGTTGCCCCCAGTCTGGCTTGTCGATGCCGGTACCCGTGAGACGGCTTCATAGCGCATACAAAACCCCCAGGTTCTGTTCCGACCGCCAGTTAGCCGGGCCGTGTGGTTGGTTTTCGTCGTTTGTCAGTTTTTGTGAGGAGTGACACATGCAGCCCGACGATCTCTCTCATCCGCTCGTTCACTCCTATGATTCGTGATACCAAGCAGATCATACCTGCTTCATCTCGTGTTATCCCTGACCGGCACCATTTTTATCGCCCAGATTCGATGTCTCACAAACTGGAATACTTCGGGATGCGCTCCAAGGGCCTCTAAGGAACCCCCAACCCTGCTACTGCAGCTACCCGGGCCTCGTCGGAAGTCAGAGAAGCTTATTTGAGCAACGGAGAAGCACTACGAACCCGCTGTCACTCGTTACACGCTCTCGTATCTGCTAGGGAAAGAGATTATTGGAAACCGGCCGTTCGGGACGGCCAGCACCAGGGGTCGGCTGAAGTACGCTGATCGTTGATCATTGTGCAACTAGGAGCCGCCATATAGGATAGGGAGGGGAGGGTTGACATCCACTGTTGCCTTCAAATCCTAAGTTTGGTCCTAAGACACGACAACAAGTCAACATAGCTCTGCAAACGGGCCCGCGGTAACCTGCATATCTTTTATACCGTTTTAGCCACACTTGGCCGCGGAACGGCAATTGGACAACATGCCCGGAAACTTTTTTACATCATGGGACTTGTGGCAGGAGATGACTTTTGTATGTCACATTTCTTCTATTCAGACCTTCCTAAACAGTTCAGTCAAGTATCTTCACTGACACACCTCCGTAGGTCCTCGCCATGGCAATTGTGTGTGTCTTTTGTGCAGGTCTGGGCAAGCTGTGGTGGAACAACCGCCTGATGAAGAAGAAAGAAGTGTTGGATGATGAGAAGAGGGCGCGGATAGAGGAGATGCGCAAGACGGGGCTTCCAATGAAGCGGGCTAATCCGGTGCCCTTCGGCGTTCGTGCGATACAGAGCGGCGTTGAGGTCGACGGCATCTGGATATCTCGGCCGGCATCGCTCAACGAGCTGGGGGAAAAACTAGCTTCCTCAACCACCCTCGCGGGCCGGGACTCGGATTCGCAAAGCAAGGGGCGGGGTTACTTTGAGGACGAGAGGCCAACTCGCATCACCGCAACAAACCTCGGCACCAAACAGAGTCCCTCCTCCGCCTCCATCTTCCAGAAACTCACAGACACCGAATCCATGGGAAGCAGCACACCCTCCGCCGCGTTACCCGTCTCGCAATTCGCATACCACAAGACCAACAATAGGCACTCCTCCCGCTCAGCCGGCACCCTAAACGAAGACACCCTACGGCGCCTCGAAAGCCAGTCATCACCGCCACTCCGAAACCAACAGCCCTACGACACCTACATCCCAACCACCACCCCCGTCCCCACCGCGACCACCAACCCCCCGACCTCCCCGCGGCGTCCCAATCCGCGCCGCCCCGGCGACCGCAACTCGGCAGCCTCCTCATCAGCCGACTCGGTCGACTCACAACCGCGCTCGTTCAAGAGCGCCAGCGACGGCCGCAGCTACACCTCCTCGCACAGCTCGCGGCTGTACATGGCGACAGCGGCGGCGGCGGCGCGGCACCCGCAACAGCAACACTCTCAGCAGTACCACCGCCAACAACAGCAACACCACCAACAACAGCAGCAGCAACACCACCAACAACAGCAGCACCACCAACAGCAACAGCATTCGCCGGCGCCGCGGCGCTGGCCGGAGAGAGGCACGGAGGGAGAGATGGCGCCGCCGGAGCCGACGTTTGGTCCGGGGGATTTGCACTTTGGCAATAGCCGGGCTTCTGGGGGGGAGGGTCGGTGAGGGGTTGAGGTAGGGGGAGTTGGGGGTTAGTTTGTGATGGAGGGTACCTGATTGCGCATTGTCAATTTGATCGTTGAAGACTTGAAGTTAGTATACAGCTCGGTGGTGTGTTGGCTCATGATGAGTGTGCTTGGCGGCGTTCGGGATGCAAAGGGGCGGTGGTGGTTCAGTCTTTGGAGATCGTAAACGTCACATGTTGTTGTTTAAAGTTCGAAGTAGGTATGCTAGAGACTCATATTTGGAATACATGAACATATTGATCGCTCTTTTGGTTGTTACCTACTCAGGATGATGGCTTTCAAAGTCTCTCTCACGGGATTGCAGTTGGTGGTTGGTTGGTTGGATGAATCAATTCTGGACTGACATGTGGGGCGTACTCGGCCAAGCAGGGCTTTCAAGTGGTCACGGGGCTGCGCGTCTCCTGGATCCACCAGACGCGTTGATGCCTGGCCAATTTCCTCCTGTCAACAGCCCAACCGTGATTCCCCAATTTCACTTTTCTCTCGCTGCATCATCCCAAATACAACGCACACGCACCTCGATATCTGCAGACACGGCCCAAATGTCCGGACACGAGGAGTATGATGAGTTGGGCGGTGCCGAGGATGCCGGTCAGACCGGACCTGGCGCCCCGACCCCTCTCCAGGCGCTCGAGGTGAGTTCTGGTTGTTGTGCACGCCGCGGCTAGGTTCGATTGAAGTCGAGCAGTTACTGATATTTCTGATATTAAGGGTGTGGCCGGGCTTACAAAACGCGACATTCAAGCAATTGTCGAGGGGGGTTACAATACCGTCGAGTCAGTCGCCTACACACCACAGAGGATGCTTGAGCAGATCAAGGGTATATCGACACAGAAGGCAACCAAAATTCTAGCAGAGGCTTCCAAACTTGTCCCAATGGGTTTCACCACGGCGACAGAGATGCATCAGCGGCGCAGTGAGCTGATATCCATCACTACCGGCTCGAAGCAGCTGGACACCCTTCTTGCCGGCGGCATTGAGACGGGCAGCGTGACCGAACTCTTCGGCGAGTTCCGAACTGGAAAATCACAAATCTGCCACACTCTGGCCGTAACATGCCAGCTTCCCTTCGACATGGGCGGCGGCGAAGGGAAGTGCCTGTATATCGACACCGAGGGTACATTCCGTCCGGTCCGGCTCCTCGCCGTTGCCAATCGTTACGGCCTCTCCGGCGAAGAGGTTCTCGACAACGTCGCGTACGCCCGGGCTTACAACTCGGACCATCAGTTGCAGCTTTTGAACCAAGCAGCGGCTATGATGTGCGAGACGCGCTTCAGCTTGCTGGTCGTCGACTCTGCCACGTCGTTGTACAGAACGGATTTCCTGGGCCGTGGTGAATTGAGCTCGAGGCAGACACATCTTGCCAAGTTCCTGCGCACCCTCCAGCGACTTGCCGACGAGTTCGGCATTGCCGTCGTCATCACAAACCAGGTGGTAGCCCAGGTTGACGGAGGCCCGTCTGCCATGTTCAACCCCGACCCGAAGAAGCCAATTGGCGGCAACATTATGGCACACGCCAGCACGACGAGAATCAGCTTGAAGAAGGGCCGCGGGGAGACGAGAATCGCCAAGATCTATGACAGCCCATGCTTGCCCGAAGGCGATGCTCTGTTTGCCATCAACGAGGACGGCATTGGCGACCCGAGCCCCAAGGACCTGGAGAAGGAGTAGGGAATGAAACTAAACGAACCGGTAGAGGTGTGAGTTTCAGACTTGCAACTGTTAGCTTGACATGAATGTCACGATGCATGGGGAATGACGGGAGAGTTGTGATGCAGCGTAGGAGTTCTTGTTGGGCTTGGGATTTAGCTAGGTTATGCATGAAGGGCTGGCGTTATTTGGTTATGACAAAATGAATTATTTATTTGCTTGAGGAACAAAGCCCGCACCCTTGTCCATGTTTGAATGCCCCATTCCCTCCCGTCTTCGCTGTGAGGCTGTTGTTCCCTCCACAAACCGGCCCACTTCATTTGTTATGGTCCGTGCATTGACTTCCTGACTTCCATGCAAGGGTCCATCCACTGTTGCAACAATCCAAGCTCCCCGCCAAGCTGCCATCTGCAAGGCGGCCAGAATTCTGCCCTTGAAGCTCCAGACCGCGTCTCCATCTCGAACAAACCGCGACAACATCGCCGACCCCGTCCATTGTCGCCTACGAACGACACAGGGGATCAAGATGGCCTCTAGAGATTTCGAGATACTCTATAAAGAGACGCGACTGAATTTAGAACCCGCGTCGCAATCATCAACCGTCCAGATCCGTGTCGCACCGCAGAGCGCCTATGGACGGTCGAGCTCAAGTCGGAGCGGCGCATCGGCTGACGACGAAAAAGGATACAAATCGAAGAGCCTAGCGACGGCTTCCTCCATCTACTACCGGAAATACAACGGCTCACCACGGGGCTTCATATGGCGGGTCTTGGATAACGGCAGCGTCCTCAGTCTGCGCGTCGCCGACGTCTGCAAACAAGAGAAGGAGCCCGATGCGCCGCTGATCCTGAACCTCCGATTCCCGACTGCGATTCGGACATCCTGCATTGGATTTGCCGACTACGAAGACAGCGATGCGCTCTGTGTTTATGCTGTCGACCACTCCAACCAATTATGGTCACTCACACTGCGGCCGGACCACTTTCGGAAACGGACTGCAACCGATGGCGGGCTGGGCGACGCTTGCAAGTCGTACTCGCCGCCGGGCTTTGGGTTTAAGCATCCGCATAGACTGGCCGTTGTCAACCCCGACCAGCTCATCGTGACCATGCACGATGGCGGCATCTTGAAGTTCGACAGGAACAAGGCGTTTGACAGTAAGTCACGGGTTCCTCCGCAGTCACATTATGAACCACCACTAACCCACTCTCAATAGCAAATGGAGGGGCATGGAAGGAGACCATCTACAACGTTGCAGGATGGGGGCAAAGTCTTCGGGGGTTGGTTCCCTTCCAACGAAACCCGACCATTAGGTACGACAAAGTCAACATGGAGTTGACAGCGGCCGCTTCGACAGCAGTCACGGCGATGGGCCATTCCGAAACTGCATTTCTGTTCACCATCTGCCTGGATCACCGGATGAGAGTGTGGGATGTACGAACGGGCCAGATTCTGTACACCGGCGACATCTTGAACACGAGGCGTGACCCCCAAGAGGTTGGCAAGTGGACCATCGATCCTTCCCAGGGCAACCTAATCCGCATTCTGGAGAACGGCCGCGGGCAATGCCTAGTAGTGACATACTCACCCGTTGGGGCCGGCGAGTTCAAGTTCTGGAAGGTCAAGGCAAACGACCAGGGGTCGGTGCACGTCGCGGATTGCTTCCCAGGCGCCCACTTGATACCACCAAGCCCGTCCTCGTTGGATGTGTGGACTCTCGCGGATTTCGCCGTGACCCAACAGCCTGACGGACCCGAGTTGTGGACGATGTGGAAGAACAACACCAGCTATCGCGTGCACAGGTTGCAGGTACAGCCGCAAAATGGGACGGAGCCTTTTGGCGATGGCTGGAAGGCGGTACATATCGACAACACGGTGCCGACCGTGCGGGTGTCAGGCTCCTGGAACCCGACAGACTCGGCCGAAAAGTGGCTCGACCTCATCTTCTTCCCTGGCCGCTTCTCCAAATCGACCCTCGAAACAGCACTGGCGATGTACGAGAAAGGGTTGGGCACTTACAAGGAGACGGCCTCGAAAGCCGGCAGGAGTATCGCAGAATCCATTTGCTCTGTGCTAGGATCAACGACAACGTTGGACCGGAGCCCAACAGGGGGCGCAGACTACGACCAGTTCAGAAACACGAGCGAGACGCAGTGGATGCGCTTCTGGCGTCTCTTGCTCGAGCTCGACAAACAGAGGGGCGAAGCGCTCTCACTAGTCTTCGACCCCTTGGATGGTATGATCTGGGTTGCTTGCGCCGACTTGGTTGCCGCTGTCAGGCAGTGCAGCGACTTGGACCGCGTTTACTACAACCTCCAGTCTCCCGAAAAGAGAAACGAGGATGTCGCTGCGCTGGTGTCCGCCGGTTTGACCTTTGTGGACAGCTTCTCGGACAGTATGCATCAACTCAGCAATTCCGCTTTGAGGGCCGAGTTATATGGAGATTCGGCCCGGTCGGACAGCGAACGGATGCAGCTATTCTTGGACCGAGCCGGGTTCTGGCCCTCAGTTACGGACGAGGACTTGGCCCAGGTGTTCGACACCCTAGGTCAGAACTACCAGATGGTGACTGCGCGCCTTTACGAGGACCTGTTCGATCTCATCACCGCGACGAGCGAGGCGAACTCCCAAGAGCTCCGCGAACCCTTCACGGGATTTGGACGGAAAGTGGTTGTCCGTGCCGTGCAGGAGACCATTGAACTCCACTGGCAGATCCTCTTTAGCCAGCTTATCCTGCTTGTGCACATGGAGTTTGATATCGAAAGCGAGGACGCTTCCCCCCTACACTCGCGGTTCGAAGTCGGCGCAGTGTATCGCCGCTTGATTGATGCGCTTCGGAGACTGGAGCACCTGAGGTGGATGGCGAAGACCGAACTGAACTTTTCGGCAACAAAGTCAGGCGGCGGCTCCGGCTCCTCTTCACCCGCGCTAACGAAGCGCAGCCAAGATGAGAACAACACCAAAACCGCCCTTGAAGGCCTGACCGGGCATCTCTTCGGTCTCCCAGAGAGCAACAACGTGCCTCTACTCTCTAGCATCACTGATCTGGTGCTGGACCTCTGTGCTCCCAGCAGTACAACCGTCATTTACACCTGGCTCCTCCAGTGCTCGCTCCTCAAACAGGACCGGCCCGACCTCGCGTTGGAGCTCCACCCCTTTGCTGACCAAGATGCATTTTCCACCTACGTCCAAGGCCGCGTCTTCCTCGCGCTCAGAGACCACGACACAGCTTCCTTTTACTTTAAGAAGGCCGCTATTGGCCTGAGCATCTCCCTCAAACACCTAGACAGGCACAGCGCGGGGCTACTCGACGACACAGAATGGAACCTCCTTAACAGCGGGCTTCCAAACTACTACGCCCACATCGTTAGCCTCTACGACCGACAGAAGGCATACTCCTTCGTCATGGAGTTCTCCCGCCTCGCGCTGCAGTTCGTCCAGCAAGGCGGCGGCAGCAGCAGCAGCAACAACAACAACACCCACAACAACCACGAAGCCACGGGCGCCATCAAGACCGAGATGCTCAGCCGGCTCTTCGCGGCGGCCACCTCGACCTCGCACTTCGAAGAAGCCCACTCGGCGCTCCTCTCCCTCCAGGACGACGAGGCCCTGCAGAGGGCCTACCTGCGGCGGCTGGTCGAGAAGATGTGCGAGACGGGCCAGAGCGCCGCGCTCACCGCGCTGCCCTTCTCGGGCCTGCAGGCCGCCGTCGACGACATGCTGCTCGACCGCTGCCGCGCCGCCCGCGACGTGCGCCCCGGCGCGGGCGTCCCCTACCACCAGATCCTCTACGCCTGGCGCATCAGCCACAACGACTACCGCGGCGCCGCCGCCGTCCTGCTCGACCGCCTGCAGAAGCTGCGTCGTGCCGGGGAGGGTGATAGGGTTAGCGGTGGTGGTGGTGGTGTTGGTGGGGGTGGGAATGGGGGTGCTGCTGCTGCTGCGGCTGCTGAGGACGCCCTCGACACGCAGGTCACCAGGCAGTACCTGCTGCTGATCAACGCGCTGAGCTGTGTCCCGCCGCAGGAGGCGTATATCCTGGAAGACGTGCTCCCCGGCGGCGGCGGCGGGGATGATGACGACCGGCGGGGTGGCGGCAAGGCGGGCGATGATTTGGACGCGCAGGTGGACGAGCTTGTGAAGAAGCTGGATGCGGAGGCGGCTAAGGACGTCGGTGGTGGTGGTGGTGGTGGTGATGGTGGTCGTAATGGTGATGGTGGTGGCGATGAGACGGCGGAGGAGGAGGATGCGGCGCTGGTGGAGAAGATGAAGAGGTTCTCGGCGCGGAGCGTGCGGGACTTGCCGCCGCGGCGGTTCCTCATGCTCGCGGACATCCGGAAGCAGTACCAGCAGGAGCTGGACAGGATCGTGGCGATCCAGAACAACCAGTTCGGATTTACCGCTGACGATGATTTGATGGATTTAGCGTGAGGTTGAGAGGTAAGAGACGGGATGAGGGTTTGGGGGGTGGGAATGCAAAGGACATGCATGGTTTCTGTAATGATTTCTACTGTAGGGGTTTTTAGCGTCCAGGAAAATGGATACCTCTGATCATATCGGCGTGATGGCAGGGATTGCGTGCTCGAGAGAGAAGGGGGTCACGATGGTGGGATATAGGTCCATCAGGAGGAGCCCATGGAAGATGAGAACAAACACATAAATCTCAAGTGTTTGGATCAATTGACGCCATGCCCATGCTGAAGAATTACCTCCCCGCTTGTCCATACAATCCACTAACATAACATTGCGCTATTCCTCGCTTCACCATTTCCCCAATTCTAAAATCATGCCGCGCTGGTACCTGCCATAATTTGCTTGTTTTCCGGTGGCGGCGCCGGTAACGCTCCTTGCTCTTGGGAATTGGCCAGTTCGGGCGCTTGCCGGTAGAGGATGATTTCTGACTGTTTGAAATACCTCCTCGCATCTGCAAAGCTATGTTAGAATATCTAGGACGGCGGGAAAGGGGTAAAAGTAAACGTACCTTCATCGATCAAGACCAAACTCAGGTAGTATCTTGTCGAGAACTTCTTGTTCACGTCCCGGAAAGTTGGAGTCAAGTCGAAGCCGCCGAGGAACAACCGGATGGGGATGGTCTCTCCCCGTGATGGTGAGCCGTCCATGATCTGGATGCAGGTGTCAGTCTCCCAGGTCTCCAGGTCCCAATCTCGCTGATGTAGGTTCTCTTACCTCAAACCGTACCAGCGTCTCGCTCTCGTTGTACTGGTTCGGCGCGGCGCCCGTCGTCTCGCGGCGGATGATGCTCAGCTCCATATGCTTGATCTTGAGTCGCACGAGCAGGAAGTAGATTCGGCCGACAATGACGTCCTTAAGGTGGTACTTGCTCTTGCTGTACTCGAACTCGATGTGCAGACAATCCTCGATGCCGACGTCCATCTTGATGCTGCTGTTCATCTCGGGCGGGATCCGGTAGCTGTAGACCCAGATGTCCTTCTCGCGGATCACGTCGGCCATGCGGCGCGACACGGTGACGCGCACAAAGTAGCGCAGTTTGACGTTGATGCCGTTGTACGACTCGTACTGCTTCTCGACGTTCTTAAAGTTGAAATCGAAGGTCTGCGGGTGCTGCAGCTCGCCGGGCGCGGCCAGCTCTTGCACGAGGGAGAGGAACTCGTAATGGTTGCCCCGGTCGAAGAACATCTCTAAGGTTTAGGCGGCGATGTTAGCTGGAGCCAGCATCACAAATTCCGCCTGCCATGGGGCCATACCTATTGTGCCGATGAATTGCACCTTGATGCCCGTGTGTTCTAACCGTTTGCCGTCCTTCGGCCGCACCGTCACGGCGCCCCTGACCGACTCGCCGTCCATATACAGCGGGGCCTTCTCCCGCCGGTTCTTGTCCAGCTTGACATCGACCATTGACCGCTCGTCGGCATCGTCGAGCACAATGTCGATGTCGACCGGAGTCGCAAAGAAGTACGACATGGTGGGTAGGTATTCGGTCGGGGAGAGCTCTGAGCGGGTTGCGCGGGGGTGAATTCACATGCGCAAATGGCAGTAAAGGTTTCAATGATATGATCCTGGTCGGGAAGGGCGAGGCGATAGTATCGGTAGAACGAGGGTAGCGTGTCTAGGTATCTTTGGTGTTGAATAAGTTCAGGACGCAGGAGTGGCAGTTGAATGCTCCCGCAGTCAGCCACGGCTCAGGACCCTGCAGCAGTGAAGCTACCGCGCGGCGTGCTTGCGGCTGCGCAATCGAGTGGAGGTGGAACCGGGCCTTGGCACGGGTTGGGATCCCTGGAGGGACTTGGCTGCCGTGGCTGCGTCATCTGCCCGTCTTGAATACCACTCAGCTGGAGGTTGTTGGACATGGAAGCCTCCAGACAAAGAGGTATAAACCTGGGCTTATTGATGCTATTGTTGCCCCTCCAGATATGGTCTCAACGGTTTACTTTCAGAGATATAGGAACCAAGAAACAGTGCATGTGTCCGCTTGATTTCTGGCTCGAGAATTACATCTTGTTTGTAAGTGCCTCCATCGCAAGGCAAGGAAGGGCAGTGCTCAAGCGCTACCTACTCATCTCTCCAAGCTGCTGCCAAAGTCCTGGGGTAAAGACCGCGGATAGAAGAGACAGTATTTTGTCTTGCATTTATGTCGGCGATGAGGATGACAACTATCTTTCACCAGGTCGAGGATCCGTGAGGAAAACCAGAAATGGGCTTACCTCCTCGGTTCGGGAGGACTCAACGTAAATCGACCGACAAATAGGGGCGTGTGTGGCAGTTGAGCGATGGAGATATCGACAGTCTTGTGTCGCTCGTCGAGACGGCTATTGCGCTGTAGCCATCTCGTGTTTTCTCGACTTGGATGCACAGTGTAGATATCGGTCGTGGTGGTTCTTGAAAGTTGGGGGAGGAAGCAGGCCGGTCGGCCCCGCTTTACTCCAGCCTCCGCCCTTCTCAGCCAATCGCATCAGCACTTTCTCCTCCTGCCCTAACAACAGCTTCAAAGCCGATCGGCGCACAACTCGAATTAATCCGGGGCCGCAAAATCGACGTTTTTTCTCAGGCTTGCATACTACCTTTTCGCCCACCTCGACGACGAAGCAACACCTCACCCCTCCTCACGTTCAGGTCCAAACGCAAAGATGCGCTACATCCACAGTGAGGAGACCCTCGAGGTCCCGGAGAACGGTACGTTTGCCAATTTGGAACCCAGTGTGCAGCAGGAAGACGTGGAAAGAAAGGCCGCCGCCGTGACCCGCGATCGACGACCGACACCGACCAAAGTGTACCGAGAGGGATGCAAATAGGCATTGGGGCTGGGCTTCTCAGGGGGGAATACGCGTGGTGGTTTCAGGGCAATTGCGAAATGGCTAGTTGCTGACCCATTGCTCCGCCTACAGTCAAGGTCTCGATTAAGTCGAGGCTCGTTACGGTCGAGGGCCCCCGCGGCAAGCTCGTCAAGGACCTGAGCCACATCGCCGTCAGCTTCTCGTCCCCCAAGAAGAACCTGATCGGCATTGAGATCCACCATGGCGTCCGCAAGAACGTTGCCGCCCTCCGTACCGTCCGGACCATCATCAACAACCTCATCACTGGCGTGACCAAGGGGTTCAAGTACAAGATGCGCTACGTCTACGCCCATTTTCCCATCAACGTCAACCTGGACAAGAACGCCGAGACTGGCAACTGGGAGGTCGAGATCCGGTACGTAACAATGGGCGGATATCGGGGCGGCTGGGGGTGGTATCGAAGAGGGAAGGACCCGGACGAGCCGGGTCAGGGCCAGACGCGGAAATAGTACAAGGGCTGACTTGGATGCGATGCAGTAACTTCATCGGCGAGAAGATCGTCCGGAATGTCGTGATGCAGCCCGGTGTCGAGGCCGAGATCTCGAAGAACCAGAAGGATGAGCTGGTCCTTTTCGGTAACTCGCTCGAGGCTGTCTCGCAAAGCGCTGCGGACATCCAGCAGATTTGCAGGGTGCGGAACAAGGATATCCGGAAGGTTCGTCGAACAACAAACCACAGGGCACCGGCACCTGGTGTCTCCCACACGCACCACTAGCGAGGATACGGAAGCTAACACGCGACACAGTTCTTGGACGGTCTCTACGTCTCGGAGAAGGGCAACGTGGTTGATGAGTGATGGACACGCAGCCATGGGTTTCTTTGTGCTTTATGGGTCTCAACCGGAGTGGCAAGGGGTCAATGGGCATTTGCATGTTTTGTAGCGTAAAAGTCGCTACTGCAAAATGGGCAACCTTCTGAACCACAAGTGCTGGGGGAGTGGGGTGCACGCGCCAATACCCGCCGTTCTCGGGCTGCCTCGCTCTGCAGAGCTAATGATGACGGATCCCCGGCCAGCCGCGGCTACAGGCTCGTCTTGGACTGGTGGTTCAGTTTTTTGGGGGAAGCGATCAGTTGATATACCTCGATACCTCGATACCTCAAAGCCTACTTCCGCAAGGGATACAAAATGTACATCAGAACGGCACTGTTGAGAGAGATTGTTCATATTATGGAAGCACCCCGAGGGTCATCGTATCTCATCTCGATCTCACCACCCATCTCTCATCAAAAGTCCTCCAGCAACCTGCTATGCAAATGCTCTCGTTGACTAAACATCCTCTCATCTCATGTCCTGCATCGTCTCTTCATTCGTCTTTCATCTTTCATCCTTCATCATCAGCCACCCATCCTGCACCGCTATCTCGTGCTGCAGGATTCAGAAATCCTCCCTTCATCTTGTGTGTCTACCGTAAACTCCGTAAAACGCCGCCCGAAAAAAAAGGGGGGAGGAATGGGTCCCCGAAAACATATATACTGGGGGAAGGGGTAAAAAGCATGTACTTGTGAAGACGTGTATGTGTGGGGGGTATGTGTGTGTGTGTGTGTGTGTCTGCCGACATTTACAAATGGCAATATATTTGTCGTCGTCGTCGTCCCTCAAAGTTTTGATTTTTGAGGTGTGGCGGGATGAGAAGAAGGGCATGTTTCTCATGTTTCTCATCACGGCCTCGGCGACCGTTGCGATCGTACCGATGGCCCTCTCGACCTCGACACGCGAGTGCGGGTGTGTGTTGTCCGGGTCACCCTGCTCGGCGCCCTGCTGGGGCGCGAGTGACGGGTCCGTCTGTCGCTGCTTCTTGAGCCTGTTGTCGGATTGCACGTTAGTCAACTGCGTCTCTCTCTCTCGGCGATGGGGGAGATGGAATGCGGGGTTACTCACTCGGGCTGGTGGCCGTGTACGAATCCGACCAGTAACTGCTAGCGACGTCGCTCCTCGTCTTGGACGGGGCCGCCTTCTTCTTCTTATCCCTCCTCAACCCCAGCAACAGGGCCAGCGTGCCGAGGGCAGCACCGATGCCGAGCAGGCCGGCGCCCTTGCTCTTCTCCTTGCGGGCGCCGGCGGAGCTGGGGCGGCCGCCGTACCACGAGCCGTGGTTGTCGCGGTGGGTGTGGGACGACCCGCGGCGGTAGTGCTCCTCCTCGATGACCGTCTCCTCCTTCTTCTTCTTGCCGATCCCGAGCAGCGCGAGCAGGCCGTGCCACAGGCCGCGCACCACGCAGCACGCGCAGATGAGCAGCAGCAGGGCCACGCCCGCGATAGTGCCGATGACAATACCGGCGATGGCGCCGCCGCTCAGCCCGCCTGCCGTCCCCCCCGGGCTCACTGCGCCCGTGCTGGTGGCGGCACCCGCGGCGGTGTCGGTGCCTGTCGTTGTGGCGGTGCCGCTGGTTACGCGGTACGGCGCGCTGAAGGCGGTCGTGATGGTCTCCGATCCGTCGGTGCGCGTCGGGGCCGGGCCGGGATCGGGACCGGGGTTGTTCGCCATGCACTGCCCTTTGAAGGCGCAATACTGCCAGCTCGCACAGCAGATGTTGCCGCAGGCGATCTGGCCGGACCCCTCGGGCGGGACGCAGTCGCCGGTGCCTGGCGGAGCGGTCGCGGCCGGGACGAAGGAGTTGTACGTCTTGGTGAAGGTCTGCGTCAGTGTCCATGTTGTCGTGTACCGAGCCCAGCCGCCGCCTGCGTCGGACGAGCAGCCGGCAATGCCGTCGGCTGTGTAGCACTGGGTTCCCTCCTCGCAGCAGAACATGTTGTTGTAGCCGCAGTACTGGTTGCATTGGCGGGGCATGAGATAGCCATAGCCCGCTGCGTGTAGGTCATCTTTCGGGTAGGGGTGGGCAGCAGCATCGTGCGCAAAGCTTGCGAATAACAGCCATAGCGCCGAGCTTATGCCCAGCAGTGATGGCCGAGGCGACATTGTTGGTGAGAGTCGGAACGGGGCAATTCCCGGAGCTGGGACCCGGCCGTTTGTGGAGACCAACACCGTGCGCCGGCGGTCTAGCTCCCGGTCGGGGCGGAGCGGGGCGGGGTGTTGGAGCGGGCGAACGACGAGTGAGGAATGTTGAAAGTATTGGCGAGAATAGTGGTTGTCGCTGTCCGCTGTATTTGTCCTTTGTCCTTCTCAGTCTGTACCTGATGATCCCAACTCGTCACTTGGTGTTCGGTCCGACCCGTGGAATGTGCCTCTGATTTGGAATGCGTGAGCTGCAGGCGATTCGCGGGAGAGAGCGAATGTCTGAGCTTTGACTGGGGTGAAAATGAGCGATTGAAGGTATCACGAAATGCAAGCTGCTTGTCGCAGGACCCGAACGTTGTCGAGCAAAATGCAGGGTAAAAGATTCTGGGCTCGGAAGAAAAGTAAAGGAAAAAGAGGGCGGGGGGGTGCTGCACGGCGGGATTTATTGCAGCCAAGTTTTAGTTCATGGCTGGTACGGTGAAGCTTGCTGGTCGGGCTCAATTGGTGTTCCCAACCTCCTCCAAAGTTGTCGACACTTGATGCGCCCAACCTCTCGGATTTTACGCCCTCTTTTTTTCTCTAGACGCCCCGCGACAGGCTGTCACAACCAGCAAACCCCTGCCAGACCTCCAATTCAAAGTTGCAAGTCAAAAAAGGGCCCCTTCCTCCTGTTCCCTCCTGCTTCCCCCGTTCCTGGCGCCGGGTTCCCGCTTCCATGATCTGATGTCGACTGGCTCAATCACCCCGGTAATTCTGTTGATGCAGGTCGGGTGTGCTGCATGACAGAACGGGGTCCCGTCTGAGTTGGCAGGCTGCACGTCGGTGTCACCCCCGAACCATGCGGGCTTGTCTGGCTCTTTCAGAGCACAACGCTCTCCGTTGACAGCCTCGCAGCTTCACCCCCGAAGCTCATTGCCCCGCCATCTCCGTCGGTGGGTGGCTGCCGGCTGGATCTTATCGAGAGAATCCTTGTCGTTTCGTTTCTCCCCTGCCGCTCGGCCAAGCCAATCCTCGTCCTTCGCACCAAAGCCTGCCGTCTTGGCGAACACCCCTGTCAATACGAGCTTGGACGCATCATGGTGGTGCGAAGTGTCGGAGAAGGCAATCGGTAGGTTGAATGGTTGAGGGTGGAGAGTGACCGAATGGCGCGCCATCATTGCTGCTTCGTAAAAACACCACCGTCACATACTGGGTAGGACCTACCTGACATCACACTTGGTGATCGTCCTTCTCAAGTGTTTTGCCCAATTTCTCGGCCGACATTCTCCAAAAAACAATACTTTGGTGCTTAGGTAGTCAGTTAGTTAGTCCAGAGTGAGTTCCAGGTTGCAGCTGACAATGGGTTGTCGCCGCCGCAGCAGGAAGCTGCAGGGCCCCGCTCACTGTGCAGTTACGTAACTGGGGTTGGCCGCCTTGCTCGACCCGAGCCAGGGTTAGGTAGTTCGTTGCCAGAGACACCAACATCCAACAAAGACCAAACCACCGGGAGCTATCTTGAGCCTCACAACCCGAGACCAGAAGCTTGTTTTGCGCCATGTTACTAGACCCGCCGCCGTATTTGGCAGCGCTGCAAGGCAACGTCCGCCAGCGACTGATTCCGTGGGATGGCGCCGTTCGCGCAGGCACCCTGACCGAAGACCAACTCGCCCGCATCCGCGCCGTCGACAAGGTCAAGCGGGATGTGCGCAAACAAACCGTCGAGGCCGACTTGGATGGCTACCGCACACTGTTCGTCGGAGAGCCGGGGAAGAAGAGCGTCCTCGAATCTGCCGCAAAGCGACAGGATGTGGTGCAGAACATCCTCGTCCTCTTGAGCGATCTGCTCGACAGTACGCCGCTCCGTTGCCCATTGCCCACCTAACCTTACCACCTGTATCGCAATTAACTAACCCATGGATTGAAGGCGTACCGGCGCTATCTAAAGCTATCCTCCAGACCGGCGACCCCTACCGACATTTCCTTCCGCTCCTCGCGCACTCGTCCAACACCGAAGACCCGATCCCGCTCCTTACCTCGACGGTGCTCGTAAAGCTCCTGTCCGGGTCCCGAGACGAGTCCCCCGCCACGGTCGGCAAGGCCCTTCCCGTCATCTTCAGCTACCTCTCGTCCCTGACCAAGAACTCGGACGCCGGGCTTCAAGACATTGGCGTGCAAGAGTACTCGTCCCTGCTCTATGGGCGGGCGCCGAGGCAGCAGTTCTGGAAGCAACGGAGCGAAACAGTCACGCCCCTTATCGAGATCCTCCGAGCGGCGGCCGGTGTTGGCAACAGCGATGCTTCGGCCAGTCTCTGGAGTGGCGCTACGGGGACGACGAGGAGCGGATTCGAAGGGTCCCTCAGTGGCGGGGTTGGCCTCCAACTCCTCTACGGGGTGCTGCTGGTGATGTGGCAGCTCAGTTTTGAGGGCGAGGACATTGGCGATGATATCAACGAGTAGGGCGCACCCGTGTAATCCCCCGTTAACGTTGACTAACTCCTTTCCCAGTGAATACGACATCGTCCTACTCTACACCCAACTCCTCCGCCTCTCCCCCAAGGAGAAGACCACCCGCCTTCTCATCTCGACCCTCCTCAACCTCCTCACCCAGAACCAAAACACGCTCCTCCCCACCGCCGTCCTCGCCCGGCTCCCCGCCCTACTCCAGAACCTCAAGACGCGGCAGTTCGCCGACCCCGACCTGCGCGAGGACATGGACAAGCTACGGGAGCTGCTGGACGAGTACACCAAGACCAAGACGACGTTCGACGAGTACGTCGGGGAGCTCAACTCGGGCCACCTGCGGTGGTCGCCGCCGCACCGCAACACGGTGTTCTGGGCGGAGAACGCGCGCAAGATCCTCGAGGCCGAGAACGGCGCGCTGGTGCGCCGCCTCGCCGACATCATGCGCAAGCCCTGGGACAACGACAAGGCCGTGCTCGCCATCGCCTGCAACGACGTCGGCTGCCTCGTCCGCGAGGTCCCCGAGAGGCGGAGCCAGCTCGAGCGCCTGGGGCTCAAGACCCGCGTCATGGAGCTCATGGCCGAGCCCGACGAGAACGTCCGCTGGGAGAGCCTGCGCGCCCTCGGCGGCTGGCTGCAGTACAGCTTTGATAGTACCAAGTAGTGTCTGAGTCTGCCTGCGCGGCGCGCTCGAGGGAGCCGGGGGAGGGTGGTCAGCATGGCGGTGGCGGTGGGTTGGGCGTGTTTTGTGTGTTTTTTTTGTTCTTGTTTTGGCGAAGGCATGTTAGTTACCTAGGTACGTTACATGTTGGACATGGTGATCTGGCATCCGGAATGGCACTTTAGACTGGCTCGAGTTCTGTTGGTTGTACTTGGTACTTGAATACATGTGGTGTATGCTCTGTTTGGTCCGAATATCCGGACGGACTTATGTTTTCAGAACTATGAAACCGACCGTTATATCGGTTAGTTAACCCAGGAATGGTCAACAACTCACATTACAGTTTGATCACTTCCATGTGTTTATCTTGATGAACCGTTCTCATTCCTCTTTCTCGGCCGCCAACCCCGCCATGCTTATCTTATCGAGTTTCCCTTAATTAATCCCCAGTTCCGTTGACATCATCACAGTCTGCATGATAACTCGAAGTGTCTCGAAGTACATAGTCCAAATCATAGCACGCTCGCTGTTATTAACCCTTGCTTATTTTTGAGTGTTATTTCCTGGAGCTAAGTCAAGGTGGCCACGATGGTGAAGAGGGTATGTCTGATCGGAAAGCGATTAACTAATTCCAATAGCTCTTAACTTTACTGACATTGTCTTGTTTCTCTCTTTATTAGGTTTATTTCCTCGCCCATGGGGGCTTGGTACAAGGTGAGCGCCATCTCCTTATGCTGCTCGTAACATCAACATGGATATGAGAAATCCGGCACGGAACATGGAAGACACGACTTTCTTGATAGACATAGGCTAACATGAGATGAACCTCAGGGGTTGGTTTCCGGTACGTACTTGAGTTGGTCCTTGCGAACTATTGAATCAACAAGACAACGCGATTTAATCTCACCAGAGGTTTCACTTAACCTCCCTTTCCTCTCACACCCCACTAACCAGCGCCAGCTACTTTACCCGCCACAAAGCCGTCGAGCACAAACTCACCGGCTGGGTGCGCAATACCGACAATAACAAGGTACGGAGAACACACACATCTATCATACAAACACTCAAAGACAGAAGCATCTGATGCCGTTTGAAAACCCCCAGGTCGAGGGCGAAGTGCAAGGCGAGGAAAACGCCGTCACGGCTTTCCTAAAACATGTCAACAACGGGCCACGGCACTCACAGGTTGTCCGGCTGGACAAGGAGGACAGGGAGGTGGTGGACGGCGAGGCCGAGTTCGAGGTTCGGCGTTGAGCGCTGGCGTCGGGGATTGTTGTATGCATAGATGTTGAGTATACCGGTATGTTCAGGGGGGCCAGTGAAGACTTGAGACGGGACACGCAATAACAGTAACCATGGCCATGACCAAGATAATCAATCGCTCATACAACCCTTCCCCCCCAGCAGCAAGCCCGTGTGCCAGGCAACCTCCTAACCGGGAATCCATCTCTGGGGTAACCAGTAAAATAACCCCCCACCTAGACAATCCATCCATCATCAAAGCATTACCCGACCAGCCCCTCCACCACCAAAACCACCCACCCATCACCACCACCATCATCACATCGCATCACACAACATCCCACATTCATTACCCCACCATTCTACCCTCCCCACCCCCCAAAAAGCCAAAACCATCCCACCCCACCCCAACCAAGAGGCAAAAAGAAAAATCAAGCAAAAGTCATCTTAATCTCCTTCTCCCCCCTCCCAAACTCCTCCTCCTCATCCGCCCACGGATCCGCCAGCGAGATATTCGGCACCGTCTGCGCCGACCTCATCTCCGGCCTCGCCGGGCCGCCACCGAGCGAGGACATCCCCCCCGTCCCAGCAGCCGAGGCCGCCGACGGCGACGCTTTCGGCCCTCCGTCGCCGTCGTCGTCAAAGCTCGTGTCAAACGTCATCTGCACGCCGCCGCCGCCGCCGCCGCCGCCGCCGCCGCCGCCGTCGTCGTCGTCGTCATAATCGTGGTGCAGACTGGAGGCGTGGTCCGGGTAGTTGAAGCCGTAGCCGTAGCCGTGGCCCTGGTAGGGGTTGTTGCTGCTGATGCTGATGCTGCGCTCGGGTTTGCCGGTGGGGAAGGTGGGGACGCGTTCGCGGGAGGGGTGCGGTTCGTGGGAGGAGTGGCGCTCGTAGGATGGGAGGTTGGGGCTGCTGAGGTTGTTTGGGGAGGGTGATGGCGCGGGGATGAGCTCGGCGCTCTTGCTTTCGCGGAGGGTTTGGCGCGGTGTTGTTTTTGGTGGCGGGGAGAGGGTTGCGCTGTCGAGTTTGATGGGTGGGAGGGTGCTCTTGATCTCGCGCACCTGGAGGAGCTCCTCGTCGATGTCTCCGTCTTTTCGGTTCTGGCTCTCCTTGGCGATCTCGGCGCGGATGGCGTCGACGTCGAACAGCACGCCGTGGTTGTTCCCTTCCTTGTCCTCCGTTTTGCTGTTTTTGCTACCCTTCGCTTCCTCATATAGCTCCCACTCTTGCTTTTGTGGCGCCTTCTTCCGCTTGAAGAAGCCGAACGCGCCGCCCTTGGTGGTCCCCTTCCCTTCATTTTCTAGGTCTCGGCGTGCCTCCTCGATCTCGCTGATCAACTCGCGCTGCCGCTCCTCGTAGTTATCCGGGTCGGGGTCTTCCATTTCTGTGAACTCGTCGCTTTCGACCAGCCAGCCGCATTCCCGCATGAGACGTGGCATGGCCGTTCGGTAGTTCATGTGCCCGACGACAAACTCGGAGACGTCCATGTTCTCGATTCCGGGAATGTCTTCAATGGGAGCCAAGCCGCCAATGCGTCTGATACCGCCATTGGTCAAACGGAATAGGTACCCGAGGATCCAGTCGCTGCGGTTGTAGCCGTTGACAAACCGCCCAGATACCACGGCGCGGGCGCGCAGATACTCGTCCCTCTTGACGACGATAGGGCTGCCGAAAATATAAACGTTCTGGACGAGACCGAAAGCGCCCTTCTTAGCGAGTTCCTGAAGGCAGGAAAAGATGACCCGGCTGCCGAGCGAGTACCCGACCAGGGTGACAGGCCGAGTGCCCAGGTTGCGGTCGATGAGCGAGTCCGCCAGGATCAGCCCGGCCATGGTGGCACGGTCAAGTGAGACAGCCCAGGGGTTGTCGATCAGGTAGGAGAGTTTGGTGAGTACGACGGGCACCTGGAGAGCTGCCATCAAAGTGATGAGAATGGTGTTGCCCAGAACCTGTTGAAGACCTTGCGTGAGAGCCTAGTAATAATTAGCCCATGTCCGACTGCCGCAGTCGCTTTCCGACTATAACTCAGGGGCTCACCTCGGTTGCAAGGATGTTGATGGTGTCACCCATGCTCGTAAGCATTTCTGGCTCCCAGAGCACCGAATAAATGTCTCCCATGACCGGGTCGACCGTGCTGAAAGGCAGGCGAACATCGTCGACCTTGCCTGTCATCCACCCCGAGACGGTAACAATCAGGTTCACGCGCTTGTTATTGTGTAGCGGCCGGTACTCGAATGTCTTGACGGAGCCCGTCCTCCTGTTGGCGGCTCTGACGCCGATGATGCCACCCGACGCTGCGGCACTCGAGGTAATGATGGCTGCACCTCCGGCGCCCGCGAGGAAACCACCCGTGCCACCGACGCCTATTGTTGTGAAACCGGCCGCCAAGCCTAGGCCGATGACGGGGGCGAGCAGGCCAGCAGAGAGGCCGATCACCAAGCCGCCGCCCACTGTAGCGAGTCCCATCATCAGGTAGCGTCTCTTGAGAGCCAGCTTCCTGCGGTTCTCCATATGCTCGTCCTCGTTCCAATTCTCCGTCTCAGCGTTTGCCTGCATCTCTAGCGCGTCCGTCACCTTCTTTTCAAACCGGCAGATGTCAAGCCAGGTGATGTCGAGGTCCTTGGCGACTTTCTCTAGCAACAACCTCGACCTCGCATCATAGATGGAATCCGCGATGAGCACCAGAAAGAGATCACACAAAACGGTCCACCGGATATCTATATCGATCTTCTGGCTGGTAGGTAATTGCGACGGTGTCCTCACCGGGGCCGTGAGCTCCACGTCGTCGTCGGCCGAATAAGGCGGCGGCGGCTCGGCAGCTTGTTCCGGCGCAGGACTCGCGATCGAGGAGGGTCGGGACGGGGCTGCGCTGGAGACGGATGACCTCGCGTCCTTCTCGGCGGCCATGGGGTTCCGTACACGGGCGTTCGCCATCAAGACCGGGGTGAGGTCCTGGGGCATCACGCCGTGGGAACTCAGCTGTTCAATCATAACCTGCTCGGCCGCGCTGATGTCCATGTGGGAATAGAGCCTAACCATCATCTTCTGGCTCCACATTTTCATGTTCTCAGCCGCTACCGTCACCTGCTTCTTAGACTTGGCCGACTGCACGAGCGCTTCGGCGTCCTTTAGCATTGACGACAGCTCCAGTCTGGTCAAACCCACGTAGGCGACCCTCTGGCCCTCGGTCAGGAGCTCCTTGGTAGCCTGTAGCTGGCCCACGGCATCCCGCTGGGTGTCGTCGTCGTCCGTCACGCCCGTACTCGTACCGCCGCCTGCGTCCTTGAATAGATACTGAGTGTGCTCGTCCATGCTGGTCGCAGACTCGGCGTCATCGTCCAGCAGCACTTTAGTGTACCCCTTCCCAGCGCCCCCAAGCCCGGCATAACCGTACGTTTCGTCTTCGGCCTCGACGTACTCCTTCGCGATCAACTTGTTGTCGTCATCGTAGAGATCGTACGGCGCATATGCGGGCATGGTCTGCCACTCGTCGGCGTCGTCCTCTTTCTTTTCAGGCTGATTTGAGGTAAGCTGTTGGTGCGAAAACTCGGACACGCCGCCCGCTGCGCTCATCCTCTTGCTCGCATCGTGCTTTTGGTCGGCTGCCACTGGCTCTGGCTTCTTGGCTTCGGACACGGCCTGATCTTCGAGTTTCGTAGACTCATCGTCTAATTCGCGGGCCGCCGTGGGTTGCGGTTGCGGGTTGGCATTATCCGGCACGGCATCCACTGACTTTCCTTGATCGTTCGGAGGCGATGGGCTGGTTTTATCTGTGGCGGTACGCTCCCCGGGGGGCATAGCCGCAGGTACCCGCTGTGCATCTGCAAGCTCATTGCTGCCGTGGGAGGCGGCATCTTTGGGATTCTGGTCACTGGTCGACTCCGCTTCATTGCTCGTGTTACCCAGATCCCTACTGCTAGTTGCTCCCCGGGCAGGCTTCGCGACTTGCTTCCCATTGTCTGTCGTGTCGACCTTCGTTGCCGGGCGAGGCTCCTCGGTGGTGCCCGACGTCTCTTTCTTGCCGGTGGGCGCCGTGTATTTCCTTATCGGGAGACCGAAGTCATCGTATTCGACGGTCATGGCGGCAACGGTTTGGGGCTCTGGTTTCGGACTCGTGGTGGGCGCCGGGGCGCGCGGGACATCTTTGGTCGCAATCGAGGTAGTGGTAGTGGGGGGTTGGTCACTGCCGGTCGAGGCCCCGTCAACGCCCGGCATGGCTGTTTAGTTTTTGATTTACTCGATATTGATGCCGAGCGTTGCGAACGGAGAGCTGCTCGGGGCAGAGGCGGGGCCGGAGGAAAGAACAATCGGGGGTTGCAAAGGCACCTCTGGGGTGGTGGTGGTTTTGTTTCAAAGAGTGAGCGTGAACGGGAGGTTCCCCCTGGCTTCAAGTGGTGTCACTCCCTGGTTTTAGTGGCCCCTCGCAGCTTATCAAACACGCAGCCACGCCATCAGACAGGGGTCCCTGAAGGCACAATCCTGCGGTTTCTTGTGCTGACTGTAGGAATGATCAGCATCTTTGCAATACGTGCTTTGCCCATCACCGGAACTGAAGTGCAAGAACTCGTCCGGCTTGCGTTACATATCCCATTTTAAAAAAGATACACTTTTGTAACCGACTGCCACTGTTAACGTTGGGGAATTCCAGGGGGCGCTGCTTGGCATGTCCGATAACACAATTGCGCCCCACACCACCACCCGGTCCAAGTTGAGTGTGGGGTTGATGCCCAGCCCGCAACGGCTGACACCGGGGGTCCGGGCTCGGGGCATCAGCTGAGCTTCGGGATAGGTATGGGAGAAAAAACAAACACTAAAGGCAACAACAGTGAGAGGAATTCCTCGGAATAGGGATAAAATAAACATTCTCTTGCCGTAGAGATCATGGGGGTAACTTGACCATGAAACCCCTTTTCCGGTATACTGTAGTACTAGTTAAAACATGGCCCAGAACTAACCGTCCATGGCGCCGGGATATCTCGATTCCCTCCACCGCTAACTCACGCTTCCGCAACCTCCTCAGGGCCTGGCTCTGCCTGTCCTGCCCGCTCAATATCACCGCCCTCACCACCTCCCTGGGCACCGCCGGCCTTCTTGCGCCTCTTCCTCTTCGCCTTCGCTTCTGTCGGGGCCTCTCCTGCGGGCGGTGCCGGTTTCCCGGTTTTTTGGTCTACTTCCGACGCCTTCTTCGTCTTCTTGACGGCTAGCGGGTTCGGTCCTTTGCGGCCGTACTGCTTTTTCTTCTTCTTTTGCTTTTCCTCTCCACTGACTTCCCTGGGGCGACCCGCACCGCCTTCTCCTCCCTCGTCTTCGTCTTCACTGCCGGATTGCTCTTCACCGGACTCATCTTCGTCCCTCTTTCTCTTCCGGGGTTGCCTTACGATACCCTCCAAGAACCTGTGCTGTTTGTTAGTCTGTGTTCTCGCCTACAAATAGTCATTTGCAGGGGGAAAACATACTTGGAGCGTTCTTCCCGTTCCCTGACTCGTGCCGACGATGAAGACATGGGCTCCAGAATCTGCCGACCCGTTAGCCTCAACCACAGAATTCATGAGAACAGCTGAAGACCTACCATGACGCTCCTCCGCACATACATGAGCGGTGTGGGCACAACTGACCGTAACCTGTCCCTCTACGATCGATTGTTAGCCACAGACAAACAAGAGAATCTAGGGAAAACAACACATAAACATACCAGCATCTCATCCTGCGTCACGACCACATATCGAAACTTGTTCTCCCCCTTCCCCTTGGGATCCACAACCGAGAGCATGCATTCCCGCTCCGTCAGGGGGTCCTGGTCCATGAGATGGCCACACCGTCGCCTCTCAAACGTCTTCGCCCTCTCAATAGCAGCAGCCACAGTCTGGTCGCGATTCGGTCCCACATTCTTCGCATACAATGCCCTCTGTCACGGCATATCAGCATCCACACCCTCAAAACGGGATTCATAGGTAAACGTACGATGCAGCACTGCGTGATCATGGGCTTCAACCCCTTGGTCGACAGCGTCTTCTCGAACAGGCTGACCAGGTCAAGCTTGGTCGTGTCGAGGAGCACGTCGCTGGTGATGAGCAGTTGATAGGGCTGGCGGAAGCCGAGCAGCTCGAACGAGCGCATGAGCTTCTTGTACTGCTTCGTGCGCTTGCCCATTTTTGAGATGGGGGGGCCTTCAGGCCGGTTTTGTAGGGGATGTGGCGAGGTTAGTGAAGTGAGGTCGTGTCAAGATTTCCGGGTGGTATGTTGGGGGTGATGTACTTTGAAGCGAATGTGATGGATATTTTGGGTGGTGAGAAGATGGATGACCTCTCACGACCCGTGTTGTTGAGAAGCCGAAAAATTTCCAGAAGGGATGCCCACCAACGCTGCAGCTCCCGCAGGCCAAGCTTTCCTCCAGCCGCTCGCCCCACCACCCTAGCGGGTTATCAACCCGTCACCCTCTGGCCAAAAAAAGCCGAACTCGAAAGGAAAGCAGGAAATCAAGCAAAAAGAACAAATGAAAAGAGATCGAGAAAAGTAAAAAGAAGAGGGTAAAATAAAAGTGAATGGAGCAAATACAGTTTATTTGGGCTTCAGTATGACTTTCGTTATGTTCCTCCAGCCGAGGACTCGAAGTTTCCATTGCCGATATCTGCACTTGGAGTTCGGCTTTTTTTGTCCATGAGGTGCCCGTCAACGGACCAGTTCATGCGGTCGGGCAGTATTAAAAGTTACGTGATAAATTGAACCTGCACGGAAGAATTTGGCAAATTAAGAGTGCCTATGTTGTGAAACAGAGAGAGATATTTAAACCTCCCGAGATCTGGGAATTACTAAGTAGTCCGCAATTCTTGCAAGCGTCCTACTTTACTGTGGTGATACAGCCGCTCCCAGCGCGAACCAAACCTCGAAGTTATCATTATTTCGTTCAGCAACGCCATGTACCCGCCTGCCTCCAGAAACCCCGACAACAAACGGTAGCAAGACCAAGTGACAAAACCAGAGTATTTGTAAAGATTAGGTACCCGAATAAACAATGTTCAGCCCCAGCTCATCCTCGACCCCAACGCCGAGCACAGCAATACCTGGTACCTACCTCGGTAGCGGCCATCGATAAAACCCCACCCCCCTTTATCATTCCCGCCCGTTCACCCCGGGCCATTCCTCCTACAAATCGCAGCCACGACGCTAATATCATCCAGTTTGCCTACACCAAGTTAGTTAGCCGGCCCCCCAAGACCTCATAACAAAAACCAAGACCACTCACCGCCGCCACTAGCCAGCCCCTCCTCAATGGCATGTTCCATAAAGGGGCTCTCAGCAAACGGATCGACCGCAATAACCCTCGCAGCCTCCATCAACTCGTCCGCCACAAACCCCATCCCACTATCACCACCACCACCACCACCACGCAACGCCTGCTTGGAAACGACACCACCACCGCCGCCGCCGCCGGTGGCCACATCCGGATGCCCCGCGCGCCAGCGCTCCAGGCTATCACAGACCGTCTTGACAATCTCGTGCGCCCACAGGTTATCAATCACGCCGTCGGACATGGCGAGCACGACGTCGCCCTCGCGCAGGGGCACCTCGTCGACGACGGCGCAGGCCCGGGGGGTGTCGGGGCTGTTGGTGCCCAGCTGCCGCGGGCAGTCGAACCAGTGCCACTGCTCGGCCGTCTTGTACACGGCGGCCCGCGTCGACGGCCGCACCACCATCACCTGCGAGTCGCCTAGGTTGGTTGCGTATAGGACCGGTTCGAAGGCGGCGTCGCCTTCTTGGCCGTTTGCGTTGGGGTTGATGTTGCTGTTGTTGTTGCCGTTGGCGGAGTTGTCGTCGGGGTTTGAGGGTTTGGTGACTCGGCGGTAGTGCAGCTGCGCGCCCGCGACCGTCGTTGTGCCCTGCCAGTCGTTGGGCGAGCTCGTCGCCTCGATGGTCTGCTCGTAAGCGCGCTGCAGCTCGCCGACCGGGTCGGGGCGGTAGGAGCCCCCTTGGCGAGCGGCGTCTTCGAAAATGGCGGTTGCCCAGTAGTGGAGGATCAGCCGCGCCCACAGCCTGTGAATTGGTTGTCGGTCAGCACGCCGCGCCCCGTAATATCCTACCGACCTAGCAGGTGAGTCAGTATGAGGGGGGCCTTACCCAGCATGGCCCCTCGGGCGCGCACTCCACGCGCCCACGCCGTCGTTGGCGCAGATGAAGTAGTCGCTCGCAAACACGGCATCGTCGCCGTTGGTAAACCCTTGTATCAGGTGGCCATCCACGTACGCCCTCCGGTCCCTGCTCCGGTCGTGGGTGCTGAGCGGGTCGCTGAAGGAGCCCGACGGTGGAGAGAGGAACGGAGGCGGGAACGGGCGCGGCGTGCGCTTCGCAAACAGCGCGATGCCCGTGTCGAAGCGGAACGGGAGGTTCGAGAAGACGGATGGGTCGAGCTTGCCGTCTTCATCCAGGGGCGGGTACGTGACTGGTGATGGGTCCGTGGGTGGGACTGGTGGCCGGGATACGTCTTGTAACAACGGCGTCGTCAGAGATATCCGGCGTTTTTGTGGCAGCAGAACCTCGTCTTTCAACCATCGCGGGCGGGCGCACCACGACGCCGTCGATCGGGAGGACGAGACATGGGCTGCGATGCCGGAGCGCGAGGCCGCGGTTGTTCGCCGCAATCGCGCATGTGAAGCTGGGGTTGGCAATCGAGCAGCTAATCTTCTCATTCCAGCGGCGCGCGCGCGACCTGATGGGCCGTGGCGCTGGCGGACGGCATTCGAAAAAGGGCTTGCCGAAAGTACTTTGTGTGAATGTGTTAAAGTGTCGGGCGGACAGAAGGGGGGAACTTGATTACCTAGGGAGGTCAAGTAGGAGGTATCCACGTATCTTATCGTTCGATCTCCAAGTGCTTGCAGGGTAAGGGCCTGGAGAGTTCACAGCCAATGGGCGCGTCCCGGGGGTTCCGGGGGTGCTTGTGCGTTGCGTGGTGTGGATTCTTGTGACAAATGGCTTGAGCGTTTGCCACTTCAGCTGAGCTCACTGTAATTCAACATTTCAATTCCAAGCTCAAATGGTTTTGAGAGATGATGATATTGGGGATATGGATTTGTAAACATTAACAGAACCCTCGCGCTGGAATTGCCACGCTATGCTAGAGCCCAGCCAACTATGCAACCAATCTAAACACAAAACAACAAAATCGCAACTCATAGTTAGTTACAACAGAAGAACAAGATTCAAAGGGCCCTGTGCCAACAGTCTGATATCGCCAACTCACCCACCGAGCGAATCTGATATCGAAAACAAAACATGATCCAAAGAGATCCGAGGCATATCCAGCCCCGCAAAGCTTCCAATGTAACTTCAAGGAAATGCTCCTTAGCAGTGAGTTGTCTAAAGTGAAATCCTCAACTCCGTCGCCATCTATCCAGTCCTACTCCAAGACGTTGAAGAAGAAAGTCCACCCACCCACTGTGCCACATCAACATCACCGCGTACGCTCGTTTTATATTCGATCCCATTGTAGCATCCAACCCCCGCATAAAAAATTGCCATCCTTAACTCTCGGGCACAGATTCAAACTTCTCTCTCAGATCCTTGACCTTAGCCCTCTCCTAGAAGGCCTGGCCGTGGTACTGCATTCGGCCTGGTGTCCCCGGTGTCCCCGGCCGAGGGCCGCCGGGTGTTCCGGGTGGCGCATATTGATTTTGGGGGGGCAACGCGGGTGATTGCGGACGCCCGCCCTGCATGCCAAAGCCCATGTTAGGCGGCGACATCATAGGCCCCTGAGGACCCTGGCGGGGTGGCGGCATGTTGCCCCCGTTCCACCCGCCTTGCCCCGGAGGACCACCCCCGTACGGCCCCGGGGGAGGACTCATTTGAGATCGCGGGTGCGGCGGCCCCTGCCCATAGCGTCCCGGGGGGCTCATCATGTTCGGACCGGGGCTCATCATATTTGGACCGGGGCTCATCATGTTCGGACGGGGACTCATCATGTTCGGGCCGGGGCTCATGCTGCGGTTGTTCATACCGCCCATGCTAGGCGCGTACGGCGACGGGGCGCCGCCATCCATCATCATGCCTCTGGTCCCCGGGGTTCGCGGGCGGGGCTGTCCCTGCGGACCATAGGGTGGCCCACCACCACCCATCATCCTGCTGCCGGGGGTTTGCGGGCCCTGCGGACCGTATGGTGGCGCACCACCACCCATCATCCTGCTGCCAGGGGTTTGGGGCCGAGGCTGGCCCTGCGGGTTGAAGGAGGGGGACATGGGGCCACCCATCATCATGTTCATGCTGCCAGGTGTCTGGGGGCGGGCTAGGCCTTGCTGGGCGGCAAACTGAGCCTGTTGTTGAGCGTACGCAGCCTGTGCCGCGCGCTGGGCCTGTTGGTTCTCCCGTTGTCTTTGGTCGATGGCGTGAGCAACCGCTTGCCCCCCAAGCCCCTGTTTCATTTGGGCTCTCTCGCGCTCTCTGACGTCGATCGCACCGACGAGGCCAGCCTGCGTTTGTGACGGGCCCTTACTTCCGGCGAAGGCGATCAAGGGGCTGCCTGTGACCCGTGCGACATGCTCTTGCTCACGCGCCGAGAGATACGAAGACAGCTCACCCGCCGATTGGCTGGGCGCGGTTCCCTGGTTGGCGGGGCGTCCGGAGGCGAGAAGATCAGCCGAGCTGTTGCGAGAATGCAAGAGACCTCCTCGACTGCCGGACCGCTTGTGCGTCTCACCACCAGATAGGGCAGCCGCCGTACCACGGCTGGCGGGACGCCCAGAAGTCAGCAGATCCATCGAGTTGTGCCGTGAGTGCGACTGGCTGATTGGACGCCCAGAAGAGAGCAGGTCGGCCGAACTGTGTCTAGAATGAGAAGCCTTGTAGTCCGTCAGAGTGTTCGTTGACGGGACACGTTGGTGCGCGTATTGGGGGACGGGCGATGTGCGCGGCTGAAGAGACTGTTGGAGCGACGCAAGGTTGTCTGACGACGACGATCCGCCAGAAGGGCCCGGCCAGACAACACTCCGGCGAACATTGTCACTGTCATTCGACTGTTGCTGGGTGTAGGCGAAAGCGGTTCCGAGCCCAGGGGACTTCCGATCAGATGCAGGAGGGGAGGGACGCGGGGGCTCCTTGGGAGACGGCTTGTCGCGTGGGAGACTAGGCGCGCTGTAGTTGAGGGTTCGCCCAAAGTTGATCTCGGGAATGTCGTACTCCTGGTCCGAAGTGGTCTTCGACGAACCATCACCTCCATCACCAACGACCTTTAGCACACCGGCACGAGGTCGATCAACAGATTCTTGGGTGTCGATAGAGCGGCGAGTGCTTGCATAGTCCGGACTGGCTGTAGACGATGCGTCGTCTTGGCCAGTTTGACGATACCGGGTGTTAACCGGAACCGGAGGAGCAAAGTCGTTGAACGACCGGAATTGGGATCCAGACCCAGGAGGCGGGAATCTAGGGGACGGCTGCGAGGAGACAGGGGAGATTGCGTCGTGGCGGTCACGGGATAGACTGGTTGTCCTGACGGGAAGAGGTTTCCTGTTGACGGGCGGCGAACCCTCTGTGGCGGGCGAGAATGGCTGGCTTTGGTTCGGACCGGGGGGAGGGGTGCGGCGACCGCCGGGCGGGCCAGGGCGGAAGGATGGGGAAGGGTTACCAACGGGGTTTGGTGGAGGGCCCCTGAGGGGAGAGTTTGAGCGTTTCCGGGCGGGATCCCGAAGCGGGGGTGGGGGTGCCGCAGCGTCGCGGGCTGAATAGGCAGTAGTGGGGGACGTTAGAACTTCACGAGATCCATTGACATTAGCATTCATCCCCACGGCGTTGGCGCTGGTATGTGGCTGTACCGCTAGACCTCGTCGGTCGGTGATATTTGGTCCGGGACCAGCACTCTCGCTTCCGAAATGAAGTTCGTTGCGGTCGTCCGAGAAGGCCTCCGGGCCAAGGCCAGAAGCCCTGGCAAGCTGGGACAGCGTAGTGTTTGACAAACGGTTGGTTGCTCGGCGCATCTCCGGAGATGGAGAGGGCTTCTGCTGCGGGCGGGAACCTGCGCTATGGGCAAACGCCGGAGGGGCTTGGACTGGTTCAGGCGTCCCCATGGGCTTCATATCCTCAAAATTGCCAGCCCTTGGCCCTCTAATGGGGCTATCGTCTTCGGAACTGAGCCTCTCGGGCGTCGAGGCTAAGTCGGTGGCAAATGCTCGGACGCGGTCGGGGCCGTTGCGTAGCACGGGTTGGCCCGTCGGAGAGCTGTCGAGACTAAGGCTGGGAGGGGTGTCGCCAATTTGTGTATCGGAGATGTGACGGGAGTGCCTGGAATGCCCAGCCATTGCTGACGGCGCCCGCTCCCGGTTCGGATCGGGGGGAGCCGAGTCATTGCGCATACCCGGCCGTGTTACCGACATGGAGCGAGATGATCGGACGGAGCCGCCATCATCGGCAAACCCTACTTTCGGTCGGGTTCCCGAGTTTTGGTTCCCGTAACTCAACCTCTTGCTGTGCCGGCTTGTGCTCCGGCTATGGCCTCCGGCTGAATCCTCCATAGCGGACATCCGCTGGCTCGTCAGCTCCTTGAGCTTCTTCCGCCACTCTCGTTCTGACCACGTGCCGTTCCCGTCGGTGTTTATTAATCCGGTCACATCCAAAAGCTCGAGATAACCGTATCTCCGGTTCTTTGGCATCGCAAACATCAGCGAGCGTGTGTCAAGGGTACTAGCCACCAACCGACCCGGCCGGCCGTACAGGGCAAAGGTGTCCCATATGGGAAACAGAAAGCGGAGAAGGATCTCGAAGCCGGACACAGCAGGGGGGATCTCTGGCATGATGAAGACGAATCCCTCGGTGGATGACGACGGTTCGGTGTGGATTGTGATGTTGCCTTCGACCTTCAAAAGCGTTGATGTGTCGATCAACTCCTTTGCCTGCGGGTAGATGGAGTAGGCAGAGTAGGCATCGGTAATGGATGCGATCGGCCGCTGGTTCTTCTTTTTCTTGTCGGCCTCTTTCTTGGTGTCGAAGAACCGGACTTCGCCCTTGAGCACGGGGCCGTGGGAGCGGTCATAGGGAGAGCGCTTCTTGTGCTCCTTCTGGGCCTTTTGATACTCCTTTTCGCTCGGAGGCTCAATGACACAATAACATCGCTTCCAGGGAACGCCTGCACCGAATCTCACACGCACCCATTCTTGGACCGGCTGCCTCGCCCGCTCCATGATGATGTTGATGTTGTTCAGCGTTTTCCCCTTGCCTGCGACCAGAGCACCTGTGTAAGCCTCCTGGAGTGTCGAATGCTCATACATGGCGAGCCGTATCCCCGAGGTCCACTGGATGAGTGAATGGTGGGAGTTGAAGTGAAGCAGGTATCGGTTGCGGCCGGCAGTGCTTATGCTCAAAATGTTCTGGAGAGGCTGCTCGTCATTGGTCTTTGTCGGAAGCGCGTCAATCTGTAAGGCTGGTCAGACACCCAGTGCACCAATCTGACTTGGAGGACAAAGCCACGGTACCATTTTGATTGACGCATCGGTTAGGTTGATGAACTTGGGCAGAACTTCCCCATCCTCACCCGCTGCATCCAGCTCGGCAGCATCCCAGAGCGACAACACGGTGCCGACCAACTGAGCAAAGCATTCGGTCCATGTCCGATCGGTGTTCGGGTTTCCTCCTACACCACCATTATCAGTAACAGCAATCGAGACGGGCGCAGAACAGTTTCCTACGGATATCCTGGTCTTCCAGTTTCAAAAAGTAGCCTTCCTGGTACAGCTTGTTCGAGTGGCTATTTAGGAGCGTGAAGATGGGCTGCAGCTCGGGGAGGGTTTGTTCGTTGACAGCCATGACGGGTGGTGTGTAGGTCTGCACCATAGACAGGGGTCTCGAGCTTCTCCTTGGCCTTCCGGTGGGAGTTGATGGTGATGCAGGATTATCTATCGAGGTGGGAGAAGCGGCATGCTCGGGATCGGATGGTGGTGTGCTCGTGGCTGATGAGGCCGATGGGGGTTCACTCGCGGGATCTCGCTGTGTGCTTGGTGGAGCGGAAACTGTCGAGTCGGTGCGCAGGCGTTGTTGTTGTTGTTTTGAAAGCGAGCTTGAAAGCGAACGGTGGTGGAAAGAGCCGCTTTTGGGCGATGATGCAGGAGTCGGGGTCTTAGAATCCCGGTGAGGTGCCGAGAACTGGGCAATAAATGAGAGGACTTAATGACGCGGCGGTTGTCAGCAAATCGGCTGGGATTATTATTGCATGGTCCCGGCGCCCGCTTATCATGCACGGAAATATTTCTGGCCTTGTGTTGACAGACGCAGACACATAACCTTTTTTTGCAAACACGATGGATGATTGCCCCGGCAGCGGAACTTTGCGTGCCAGTGCCTGGTGGCCTGGAATCCAGGTGTTGACGAGACGGAAATGCCACATACCTCGATTCCGACCCATGGTGGGGTTCTGGTGCTCCGTTCAGAAATTGGGCGACTTGGCACTTAACACAGTGCTGAGGGGTGATTCCGTCCTGCAGATTACAGGTACGGTAGTAGACAGCACACTCAGAACAGTTGATCCGCCAGATATGTATGTGAAGGGGAGAAAGTGATGTTGAGGCAACGACACCGTAAGATTTAGTTGGCCGAGACGTCAGAAGAGGAATCCGAGCTCTTGTCTGCGGCAAAGACCTGATTTTCAAGTCCGTCACTCTTGCGCCGCCTGCCGCTCCATCCGGACTAGGTCGTCTGAAGATGCGGGAGATTCGGGACAAAGACCGAAGCGAGGTTTTCGCCTGGTTCCGTCGATAGGTGTAAGGGTTGTTATGGAAGACGAGGGTCGCGGCAGCCGGCAGACGAACAGCAGATCGCAAATGCCTACGTCGGTTGCAATTGCGTCAGTTAACCAGCACCCAGCAAGCCAGACTCGTTGAAGAAGGCGATGTTTTGCTGGGGAAACGAGCGCAAGAGCCCACTTGATGGTGCAAATCGACGGTGAATCTCGGCAGCATACCCTCGTCATGGAGCTTGCCGCCGGGACCGGTTCTTTGACAAGCAAGCAGCACCGACAGGGAGCTTCACCAACAACGGAACGAGAGGAATGTAATGTCGGGGGCAAAAACGTAGCAGCGACGGAAAAAACAAAGAAAAGAGAGAGAAAGAAAAGAATAAAATAAACTCTTATCGCTTTGCCTTTCCGCTCGGTCGTTTGGATAATATGCCCTCCCGCTGCCGAGCGGTTTGACCAGCGAAGGTTCCAGTCCCAGGTTGTCTCGACTTCCGTTTCTGGTAGCCGGGCCTTCCGGGGTGGTGCTGGGACAGTGCGTCTTAGTAAGGTACGTACCGCTACAGAAGGTTGAAGAAACCTGGAATGCCTGCCAATCGGTTGGAGTCAACGTCAGAGAAAAAAAGAGCAGGGTTGGTTGCAGAAAGAGACAGAGCAGACAGAAGGACACAGAAAAAGACAAGCGAGACGGGGCCGGCTGCAGGACACCTCTCGTATTTGAGCGTCTGGCAAACAGCTAGGCCAAGATGCTTTTAGCTACTGTCCGAAACTCCCGAGCTATTCGATCAGGTCTACCGGGGACGGCGAGACGCACCCTGCTGCTGTGATTGCGCCGTCGACTCGCCCTCCTCCACTTGGCAAACCAAGGCATGTCATTCCCGATTCATTCGTTTGTCCTTCCGATCCACCGCGATTTTCAAGGGTCCAAGTCAGATTAACTAACTAACAAGTTACTACCTTATTGATGTGATCTTTTGATGCAGTGCGGAAACACGGAAACAAACCCACCTCAGGTTCTTCATTTTCTTCGACCTGTTTGAAGACCTTGATGAACAGACGGTTTTCAAGACATCGTTCTCAAAACGGGACATAGATCAACTAACGTTCGTTAGTGCTCAGATCGCCGGCCGGGTGGCACATCTGCCACCGTGTCAGACCCGCCCACTCTTCGACATCATGGTGGTTCGAACTGCTTGGCTGCATTCGCTGTTTGCAGCCCAAGGCAAGGATTCCTCGCCAGCCCTCTCTTTTTACCACTCGCTCTCCTCACACTTTTTCGTCGTCATGCTAGAGAAGCTGGCCTTTGATTGAGATCCACCCATGTCCGTCAGCGACCCTTGGCGTTGCGCGCAGGTCATGATTGGCCACCGGACGCCCAGAATGCTTGGATGACGGAAGACGTCTCGAACGCCAACCGCCTGTCGGCCATTAAAACCCTGGTTCACCTGGCAAAACACGTCAGGGAGCAGCGGCAGGGCCTCCGATCGTCTGGCGGTCGAGACGCCGCCACCTCCGGCATGGCGCAGCCGACCGCATGTTGCGAAGAACACGCAAGCAACCACACATTCTGCTCCTTTTTTTCCGCAAACAGCGTTCCGTTGAGCGGCAGCCAGCTCGACCTGAAACGTTCCTCCCCGCTGACCCCGGACTAAAGGTCACAGTGGGAAGCGCTAAGAATTGGCGTTCGCGCTCCGGTCACATTGTAACAATCTCTCGTGATCGGGGTTGCGTATTGTAACCTCCTCCCAAGCGCTCCCCCCGCGACGAAGGGATTCTGGGCGGCCTTCTGGGCGCGCGGTTGTAACGGAGAGATCCGGGTTGCAATACGAGCTGGATGAGACAATTGGCGTGGCGGCGCAATGGGCGTGTCCGCGTATCCGTCTCGGCATCGTTGCGGTGGAGCACGGAATGTCGGAGTCCAGTGAAGACGTCGTGCCACTTTTTTGTGTCGAAATTGTTGGTTTGCGGTTTCATTTGTACCCAACCTTAAATTATTAAGTTTGCGGGAAGGCCGACGTATCCCCTTGGACAATGCGACCATGCTCGCCATGAATGTTCACCTAGTGTGCAACTCCGAGGAAAACCGGAAAAATAGCCTAGACGAACGTCTGATCTGCAGTTGAGAAACCCGAAGCATTGGATTAAGTTAAGTCTCTATGCATGCACAGGAGTAAAGTGCATCCATCTGTTGAACCTGCAGCGACGCAGGCACAAACGCTGGCGAGAACTTGAAGAAGATGGTTACGTCACATCCCACCTTCCTCTCTTGATGTCAGCCCGCCGTGTCTGAATGACCGGCCCCCGCCCTCCATCCCTCACCGCAGTGTGGTGTGGGGGTCACGTTCTGCTATCAGGCGGTGTATCACATGCAGTCCAACATCCCCAAGTGGGATAATGTCAGCCAGGTTTCCGCCGTGAAGGACGACCCATCTAGACCTTGCGTTCCCGAATGTTGTGCCACACAATATGGGTTCCGCTTTCCCCTGCGGCGGGTGTGCCCCGGATCTGCGTCTATCAGATGTTCATGGGGAGCTGGAAACGATGGGAAACAGGCCTTGTTTATCCCCGCCTGGCCCCCGATGTCGTTAAAAAGAGAGGCTGCAAGGCCCGACGAGGTAGTTCTCTCATCCATTGTTGCTTGAATTATCTCGACTTTCCCATCTCGCTTTCTCATCTTGTCTCTTTCTTTGGGTGATAAAAAGGGGAAGCTCCTGTGGTTGGTTGGATTTTTTTAAAAGATCACAAACAAACAAGCAGGGTACATTCATTTCCAACTCTCGCATGTGGTAACTACCAGGTAAGTACCCAGGTACGCAGGCCGAGAGAAAGTGATGCGATCGGTCTCGCAGCTGGCAACCTGACGTCTCTTGATACTGAGAATACACACTTAACAGCATTGAGGGGTATAAAGAGAACGAGGTTGATGACGGCCTGAGCCAAAACGCCAAAATATCAGCAACGCAGGCCGACCAACCCCACTTTCTCACAACTGTCGACCTCGTTGGAAAGTTTCCAATGGAAACTGCCCTGCCCAGAATGGGGAACGAACAGATACCGAATCGGGCTCTTGCCTCTTCTTGACGAGCCCATGTCAACATTCCCCAGATGGAATTGATTGGCTCCCCATGTTGCCCTCATGTTGCTTTTTGCTGTTTCTGCTTATCCCGCCCCCAGAAATGACGACGAATGGGCCGATTGACCGGCCGCAAAAGCCTGTGAGGCCCGCCACTACCAGCGTTTTCTCCAGTCGAGGACTGGCCCCGGGGATCCAGCCGGTCTTCCTTTGCCCTGGCGTGCCCTGTCAAGGCCTTCTTCCAAAACCCGTCCGCCTGGGAAGCGAAGCGGCACTACGACGTTTATCGCCTAGTTCCGGGAAGGATAAATGCATTTACCGAGGAGAGGGGAGGGGCAACCAGTCAAAACCCTGTACCGATTTAAACGGATGGATGGGAGACCCCGTGCTCCTGCAGCGCGTGTGCTGGGCAACCAGGGGCCACTGACCATCCATCCAAACATGGCTGCAGCGCTGTCTGACAAAGCTGGAATTTGGGTACTCGGGGCAGTCAGTGCGGACTCGACCTGGACCTGGTGATGGACGTGTCTGGTGGTCTCCATTTTCCACCTGCCAACCGTGACTGCGTAGACTCGGTAGACTCGGTAGGCTCGAGAATGCCGCATCACGCTCTCGGTCGCTGAACGCGTTTTTGTTCCCGCGTGACGTGCATGGAAAGCTACAGAGAGCCTGTTCAGAGCGGCCGCTGACCGGCGACCGGTAAGGCTTCCGTTTCGCTACTCGCCTAGCAACCACCGCCCACCACAACCACAACTACCTCCCACCGAAATCATCACCACAACTGCTGCGATCTCCTACCATACACTGCCCACCAATTCACTGCTCGCCGTCGCCACGCCTTTGCCGACCTCACCCGCCTCGACCACCTCGCCTAGCTCGTCCCGAGACCCGCTATCTTGTTTATCGCACCCCTCAACTTCGAGAAATCCGACCCGCTTTCGAGTACCTGTCGCGTTCAGCTTCGTCCGATCAGGCTTCGACCTTGGCAGCCGCGACTCCACAACGCCGCCTCCGATGCGAAAAGACGCGCCGTGTTGCCCGAACTCGATCGCTTCCGACCGCCAGCGCCGCCAGTGCCGCCGGCCCGCCCCCGCGGACCTCGAGCGCCGCGTTGCACGTCGCCGTCATTAGGTGGCAACCATCCACAAGGGCGTCACACCGCGGCTCGCCCTCCCAATGGATTCCTACCGGGAATCGCAGCAGCCTACCCAGGGTACGCCCGTGTTGCCGCAGCGCGCCGTTATTCTCTGCGATGTCGCTGTTTTGTCTTGTAGTCGTTGTTGTCTTGGCTGACCCCGCGCACAGCTACGCAGACCGTTGTCGACGCCGAGCGGTTAGGCCAGCAGCCCTCTGGCTTCTCAGATGAAGACATTTCGGACATAATATGCCTTCTCTTGCCCTACTCCGAACCCGCGCGCCAGGAGGTGAGGCGGATCGCCGCCGAGACGCCGCAGCATATGGTGGGGAGGGAAGAGGTGGACGATCTCAAGGTGGATTACTCGAGGGAGGACGACTCACGACACTTTGCTGGGGTCCAATCCGACGTGGGGGAGCACCACATAGCCCTGCGGTTTTCGTCACAGGTCAAGGACCCCTCGCTTGGGTTCACGTTCGGGAGGAACCCTAATTGTTGTGATATCTGCCTTCGAAACGACCCCCACCGACGACTGAGCAAAATACACTTCCGCATCTATCTAAACGAATGGGCGGTGCTGATGTTGGAGGACAAATCAACAAACGGGACCGTAGTCGACGAGACTCTGCTAAAGAAGAGAGACGGGTCACGAGCCGAAACCATGAGGACGTTGGAGAGCGGGTCCAAAGTCAAGATCCTCATGCATGAACCGGGTCGAGACATCACCTTCTTGGTCCGAATTCCGATCCGTGATGGTCCTTGCGAAGAAGCTTATAAGCGCAACCTGGATGCGTACCTAGCAAACCAGGCACAACTCGCTTATGACGCGAACGAAACCATCGTACCTGGGCCAGGCGGGCACGTAAGTCTCAACCCTCCTTTTTCTCCCACTTCGAAAAACCCGCCTTGGTGCTGACGAGATAGGTTGACATCTTCAAGCCCCCCGTCACAAGACAGCCTCCCGCGTCAAATCGTAACGGAAACGGCGCTGTTACCGCGCTTCGCGCCCAAGTAAATGGAAAGCAAGGGAAACGCGCCCGCGCGGAAGGAATCCCGAGGCCATGGAACGGCTCGAACAAGTACAACCGCATTTGCGAGATTGGCCGGGGCGCCTTCGCGACGGTGCACAAAGTAACACTCAGACTTACCGGCCAGCCTTACGCAGCGAAGGAGCTGGATAAACGGAAATTCATGAAGAACGGCGTTTTGGATCAAAAGGTGGAAAACGAGATGAATATCATGCGAAAAATCAAGCATGTACGCCAACCTAACCCCCCCCCCCCCCCCCCCCCAGGCGAGATGAATTCAGACTTTACTCACATGTTGGCAGCAAAACATCGTTGAGTACATTGAACATCTCGACTGGGATGACAGGCTCCTAATCATCGTCATGGAATTCGTTGGCGGGGGCGATCTCGGCAGACTAATCGCCGACAACGGCCCATTATCAGAAACCGCCACGAAGACCATGGCGAGACAGCTGTTAGACGCGCTCGGGTATCTACACGACATGAACATCACCCACCGGGACGTGAAGCCCGACAATATCCTCGTCGACTCCCTTGACCCGTTCGTGGTGAAACTCACGGATTTTGGGCTATCCAAGATGGTCGACAACGAACAGACGTTTCTCCGGACCTTTTGCGGAACGCTTCTCTACTGTGCGCCCGAGGTCTACTCCGAGTATGCCGAGTATGACAACCACGGCCGCCGCCACCCGCGCAACCGCCGACTCCGTCCCACAACAGGACAGAGATACGACCACGCTGTTGATATCTGGTCGCTGGGCGGCGTTCTCTTCTATGCCCTGACAAAGAAGCCGCCATTCCCAGCCAAGAACGGGGCTAGTCATTCCGAACTTCTCCACCAGATCATGACCAAGCCGCTAGACATCTCACCACTCCTCGAAGCGGATATCTCGGAGGAAGGGATAGACTTCTTACGTCGCATGCTCGACCGGAGGCCAGAAACCAGGGCTACGGTGGAATCACTTCAGAACCACGTATGGATTTCCGGCTCCTTTACGACCGTCGCACAATCATTCGAGGAGATTGTAGAGGAACAACTGCACGTCAATGCTTCTCAGTTGAGCCTCGATGACACAGAAAGGAACCCGGAGGAGTGTCGAGAACTTCGTGTCCCGAGTGACGATGAGATTTCAGACGACGAAGACGTGGACTTTGATGCGAACCGCCTGCTCGGCTACGAATCCGAAAAAGAGAACTACACATTCGGCCCGGATAACCACCCGCAGCGGCTTTTCGGCGAAGTTAACCCCTCTGCGGTCAGGAGCTCTGGTGCCGTTACACCAAATCGGCTGAACCTACCATTATCGCCAGGGAGCTTTGAGTCAACCGGCACCACAGAAATTCTCGGCAACGAGACAGAGATTAAAGACAGCTTCGAGTCGGAAGCCAGCCTGACCCCTCGTCAAAAGTCGCAGAAGTCGCAGCCCATGTCGGGAGGTCTGCGAGCCTCGATTGCTTCCGCTGGCCAGAGCCATTCGGTCGATGAGCTCAACAATATGACTTTTGACGTGGCGTCACAAAGTCTCGGGGGCGCCGAATCGATTCTCGAAAACCTGAATATGAAGTCGGGCGCCGGCTCGCTTCTCCGTTCTTATACAACTGGCGATCTGAACACGAGCAAGAGAAAGCCTTCGTTCGACACTAGCGAGGAAGACGACATGCCTTCCGGGGAGGATAGGCGCGGCCTCAAGAGGATCCGCTCTGATGCCTCGGCGAAGCTCTCAGTCAACAGGGTGGTTGAGGATGGCGAGTATGAACTCCTCGCCCAGATGCCGTCCATTCTTCGAGCACAGTCCGGACGGCAAATCGACAACCCGGTCCACAAATCTACCTACTGGTCAGCTCAAGACAGGAGGACATGGCACCTCGGCTATCCAGAAATGACCCAGTTGCAGCTTGATGCGTTCAAGATGGCCGCCTCGGCAAGGGACGAGGAATTTGGTCCAGGAAAAACACCATTGTGGGATTTAGCCATGAAATACTTCCCGGCGGTCAATTGTGAGCGTCGCGGCAGTTCTCCCAAGGACCCCCGAAACGGTGTTGAATACGGCGTCATCCCTTCCACGGCTGGTCCGGACGCGACCGTTCCAGCTACACCCCCGACGATGGATGACCCCGGGCCGATGCTCATCATGCCCATGCAGTCCGATCCAGGGAGGCCAGTCGTTGCGTGCCTCCAATCAGCACCGGGATCCGCCCTCAGCGGAATTTCCATCATGGTTACCGAGTCCATGGTCTCGTGGGGACGGGCATTGGAGAACACCCGATCCTATGCTATGAAGGAAGACGTCAGGGTCCCCAAGTTTGCTTTCCGAATCCTGCTGTGGAAGGAACACTACGACCCGGCCAAGAACTTCCGGCCATGGAACCGCGCCTCGGAGCCCGACGAGGATTCCTTCCGCTTCTACATCTCGACCAAGGCAACCATGGGCATCTATGTCAACGGCGTCCGCCTGCCCTCGGACAACCCCAAGAAGCCCGACAGCCCCTCCACTTACTGGATGGCTCTCCACGACGGCGACCGCGTGTCGGTGTGGCAGACCCCCGACAAGTCCGTCAAGGCCGAGTTCGTCTTCCGCTGCGGGTGGGGCGGCAGCGCCAGCCCGCGCGCGAGCATTGGGGCGCCGCGGCGGCCCGACTTTGCGCCGGCGGCCGTGGCCGGCAAGCTGGACGAGGTGTGCGTCAAGACGGAGCGCAAGATGCGCGGGCTGAGCGAGCACGACCTCAAGATGGAGGAGGCCAACCACGACGTGGACGAGCGCATGCGCGGCGGCGGCGGCGGCGTCAACCGCGAGCGGCAGCGCTCCCGCGACTTCGAGCTCCGCCGCCTCGAGGCCTGCCGCGCCCTCGGCATCCGCAGGGTCAGCCCCGCCCCGGGCGTCACCCTCGGCGAGGAGTCGGCCACCCAGACGCCCTGGAGCTCCTACGTGCCCGGCACCCGCACCGTGCCCACTTTTCGCCATGCTTCGCCTAGCACGCTGGAGCTGTTGAGGGCGGCGAGGAGGGGGTAGGCGGTGGTGTGTCTTGTACTCGTTTTGTTTCGGGCCGGCAATATCTTTATGAGTCGTTTCCATGTACTGCATGTATCGCCACACATCTTCCTCGCGTTTTCTTCCCATCGTTATAGACACCAGCACTATCCTTGTCATGCGTCACATTTTCTGGAAGCGAGGCGTCTGGACGCTATCGCGACTCTGATCTCCACGTCTCGATATTTATATTTCTTTTTCTCGTTTCTATGTCACAGAAAGCGCAGAGAAGGAACCACCAGAGGGGGGTTAGAGGAGAGGCACAATTGTGCGATCTAAACACATGTTACAGACGGGCGAAGACAAAAACCATGGCGCTGGCGGAGACGTACTTGGGGAGGGTTGCGGTTCCGAGATCTTGGAGTGCTCGACTGATCCGGCATCTGAGGATCTGGGATGGCGGTGTCATGGGCGGTGGGGGATTGTTCACCTTGGGTTTTCCTTGGCTGTTCCGTTTGTCTTGAGACGCAAAATGTTGTTTAGGGGTAGGGGTTGGGACTAGCGATCTAGGCGTCAGAGTAAATGGGGAAAGACATTCATACACAATACACAACTGTGATGTTTACATCAACATAACAAATCCTTTCAGGACTTATCGTCATGATTGTACCTTGAATAACTATCTCGGTGAACTACCCGAGGCTCTTCGAGCGAGCAGTTGCCATGTGATTATTGCTCGCTGCCCTCCCTTCCGAGTCCAGTTTTAGAAACAAATAAAGCGGACGACAGGGTATGTACCGCCTCCATGCCATGCGAACACCTGACACCTACCATACCCGTGCTAGTAAAGTCGAGAAAACATCTCAAAGAGCCTGGCTGAAGATGAGCAGCATCTCCCCCCTTCAGCCCCCTCCCCAACAAAAGCCAGCCATCCCAACCATCCTAACAACCAAACAAGAACCCTACCCCAACGACAGGACCTCACAATCAACTCCAACCCTTCCTCACTCCTCTCCCATAACAATCCTTATTCACACCATCCTCATCCTCCCCAAGCAACCGCGCACGCCCCTCCTCAATCTCCTCCGCCTCGTCAGAATCCACCTCCCAGATCTGGTTACAATAATCGTCCTTCTCAAAACCGGCGGGCTCTGCGGTAGCCATGTGTCCCATCGACGCGCGGAAGACGTGGCCAAAGTCGGGCATCGGCATCGTTCTGGCGGGCTCGTCCGTGGTGGGGGTGGGTGGGCAGTGGGTGTTGTTGTCTGTATCGTTGTGACTGCTGCTTCTGTTGCGGGTTCTGTTGCCGTCTCTGCTGCCGTTGCGGTCGTTTCCGCTATTGTTGCTGCTCTTGTCGCTGTTGCTGCCGTTACCGCCGGTAGGAGTATTGGTGCCAGGGTGGCAGGGATCCGCCGCATCCCTGGTGACACCGCCGTCGTGTGCTGCGTCGGGGAAGAAGATACCGGCTGCCGTGAAGGTCTGCTCCGCCCGGCCGTGCTCTGAGGACCAGTACATGTCGGAGATGCCCATCGGGCGGCTCGGCTTCTCTTTGTGGGGCTGCTGCTCCTTCTGCTGCTGCTGCTGGCGTGGCTGCGACTGCTCGGGGCGGGTCTTGGACTCGGAATCGGGCTTGCGACGGTTGGGGAGCGGGTTGGCGGGGTGAGTCGGTCTGGGATCCGGCTTGGGCTTCGGCTTCGGCTTCTGCGCCTGGGCGCTGGCGGGCAGCGGGCACTTGAAGTAAACCGGCTCGGCGGCCGGGGCCACGGGGGATTGCATGGATGACATGGACACACGCTTCCGGTGGTTGTGGCGAGTGGACTGGCGCTCGCGAGACTCACCCGGCTCGTGGCGCTGCTTGGGCTCGGGAGCCGTGGCGGGCTTCTCGCCCGGTTGAAGCGGCCGCTTTGGGTTGGGGAGCCTGAAGTAATCCCGCGTCTCGTACGGCTCCTGCTTCTGCGGGGAGCTGGGGGTGGCGGTCGGGGTCGGGGCTGGCACAGGCTTGTGGCGAGGCTCGTGAGGCCTCGTCTTCGGCTGAGTCTGCCGCTTAAAGTGCTCCTCCAGATGTGGCGGCCGGAAGTAATCACGCAGCTCCCGTCCCTCCTGGGGGAGCTCAACACTTCCCCTGCTGCTGCTGGCTGCTGCTCTGCGGGACTCCTCACGAGCCTGCGTGTTCTTCGGCCGCCCATGTGTCGGCTTACTCGGTTGTTGACGCCTGGGCTGCTCATACGCCTCTTTGCGCTTGGTATTGCCTGACATAGCGGGGCGGGGAGGCGCCTCGCGAGACTTCGCTTGCTGCTGGGGTTGTTGGGCCTCCCGACCTCTCCGGCGCACTTGACCGCTCCTCGGCACGTGGGAGCGGTCATCTTCCGAAGTAGGGTTCTCGACGGTAACCTTCCGGATGTTGTTGGCTTGGGGCCGTTCTGGGGCCCTGCTCGTACTCGGGGATGGGCCGGACATTCCCTCACGGGCACGGGTCGTGGCAAGGGGCGATATGCCGTGTTTCGGGTCTTTTGCCTGCTCGAATCCATTCCGAGGGCCCGACGCCGAAGTCGCAGCGGAGACAACATTGCTCCCATCACGAGAGGAAACCGGGGTGAAAACGTACGGGCTACTCCGGCGGTGCTGGAGGCTGTCCCTCAGGGGGTCGTCCCTATCCTCCTCGCCCCGGCCGGCCGCGGCCAACTCGTAGTACCACAGCCGGTCACGGTTCTTCTTCTTCACCATGTTGATCACACACCGGCCGCAAACCTCGTGCCAAGGGGCCACCTTGCCGGACAGGAGCTTGTCATGGTACTTGTTGGAGCGGAGGGTGCCGCAGTTGGCGCACCACTCCCGCTCATCGCCACGGGGTTCGGGGTCGGAGGCCCTGCGGCGGCGTCTGCCATGCTGGGACTCATTGGCGAGTCTTGATTTCCGATGAAAGCGGCAGTGGGCGCAGAGACTGGGCCTGGGGGGCTTGCCGCCCCTCAGGGGGAAGTCCTGATGATACTGGGCGGACCGGAGCGCCTCGCAGTTGTAGCAATAATGGTGGCGGGGGTGGAAGTTGGCATCCTCGTTGAGATAGATTGAGTCCTCTTCCTCCGCCTCGGACTCGGGAGGGGGGGCCTTGCTAGTGCCACCTTTGGCCTTCGAGGAGCGCCGGGAAAAGTCGAGGATGAGGCGGTATCGCTTTTTGACTCCGAGGTTCGGCTTTAGGTCCTCCCTTCCATCATCCGCCTCCCAGCCCACCTCCTTGGTTCTGGGGGAAACAGTCAGTAATGGATATCAGAAAAACAACGAAACAAACTGCCCTGCTTCGAGGGTGGGCCTGGTGACTGCCCTGAAATCATGGGGTTGATAAATCCCACCCTTAAGAAACTCGGGCCGTGCGATTCCCGCCTAGACCGATCCCGAAAAAAAGAAAGAAAATCGACTTACACAGTGAAATGCATCTTGTATCCCCTAACTCGAAGCTCATTGAATACAGTGCTATCGGTGTCCGTAGACTAAACAAAATCAGAGCGGCTGTGATAACAAAGGTGGCAGGGAAGTGAAGCAGAACGCCAGGAGGAATTGTGGAAGGGTAGAACAATAGAAGAGGTAGGCTGCGAAGGAAGGTAGTTCAGCGGGAACTCGTGTGCCCATGCTATTCAGCCGTGTGAATAGGGGTTAGCGTTGTGATGTTGCACTGTATCTAGCATAGCTCTTCGCGACGCGTCGCGTGGTGGTGATGGGATGGAAGAGGGGTGAAGGAGGATAGTGAAGGAGGATAGAACGTCTTGGGTGACGGGGGAGCGGGTATCATAGGAGGCAAGGAGAATGAGTATAGTATTGCACAATAGCAACAACAACGTATTTGGTTTGTATTCGGATGCCCTGCTTGCATTGATGGAATAGAAGTAGGGCCCTGTACCGCTTAATCGTCAACAGTTCCCATCTTCATTTGGTGTTGTACCGATCGGACGCAGATTGGGGGGTTGAGCTCACAGTCGGGGCGGGCATGGAACCAGGTCACTGCCAATGTGCTCTGTAGGACGATGTCGCGCAATGAAGGTGCTTGTGCTATACGCTGCCAACCCAGTTCTTTTTCCCAGTCCATATATTGTAGTAAAGAAAGGAAATCAACTCTAACATACTTCTTTATACACAAACTCGCTCCCTAAATGAACCGCTTAATCCACACGGAGGAGCCTCGGACCCCTCTTCTTGGTGGCCTTCTTCTTCTTCTGGCCCCGGTCAAAGGCGGCCGCCGACATGTGGTCACGGCCCAGGTTGTCCAGGTCCTTGACCTTGTAAATGCGGATAATCCAGTTCTCGCTCGTGAACGCCTCCTCCATTGTGCTGAGCGTGGGACCAACCTCGGGAAGGTGGACACCCCGCATACGGTCCACCGCCTTTCCGGGAGGGAAAAGGTTGTTGTAGTTGTAGTAAGACATCTTGTACCTATTTATGCTGTCAGCACTATACGGGTTATGGTCGGTTTGCTTGGGGATACTCACATCAAGCTGTTCTTCATGGTCTCGGTGGCCTCGGCGTCCACACGGTACTCGCCCCGCTGGGTGAAGAAGGCACGCTCGCTGACCTCATCGGGCCAGATGCCCTCGGCGATACGGACCATCCACAGGAACTTGTTGATGTCGTCGCCGGAGTAGCCGAGGAGGCCACCGAAAACGACCAGGACGTAGTCCACCTCGTGCTGGCGCATAATCGGGTAGCTGACCTCCTCGCTCGAGCTCATGGCCTTGCCCACGGTCGCGATGTGCGTGTTGTTCCACGTGTTGTTGTCGACCAGCGTCGGGCGGTCAGCCATGCCACCGATCTGGTAACCGTAATCCCACCACGACATAATCTTGGCATCCTCGCGTGTGTTCTGGCGCAGCCACTGGTACGCCTCGCGGTAGTCGTCGATGATGTGCTGGCTTCCGTCGGGCAACCTGCTGGCCAAGACGACCGATGGGGAGGAGTACGCATTCGACGTCACCCAGGTGCAGTGCAGAACGAACAGCAGAAGATAGACGGCGAGGGCGCTGACCATCATGCTCTTGCCCCAGATGGAGTACACACCCACCATAGGCTTGCTCGTCGACTTGAGGCCGGACTTCGCCTTCTTTCCTTCTGCGCCCTCCACGGCCTGGCTCTCTTCGGGCTTGGGCGACTTGGTGCTGAGGTAGGTGTCAAGGAGAGTCGAGACGGCAATGGCGGCGGCAACACAGACCACCGGGGTGAGGGTGAGCATCAGGCGGACCATGACACCGGCGAAGTAGCTACCGAACAAAGCATAGACGACAATGAAGACGTGCTCATCGGCGAGCTGCTGGAAGCAAAGGTAAACGCCAACGGGGAACAGCCAGATGAGCATGTTGAGGTCGAAGAAAAAGGCGGGCCAGGCGGTCGGTTGGTGTTCCGACACGGAGGCGATGATGGGGATATGAATCTTGGCGTAACCGGTATCCCAGAGCGAGTAGAAACGGCCGCTCCACGGAGCAATGACACCTGCGCTAGTCGCAATGACCAGACCCAGGAGACCGATACCGAAGGTTCCACCGGCAAAGAGCCAGAGGAAAGTCTGGAACTGACGGCTGGGGATAGCGGAACGGACATAGTCGAGGAAGGCAAGCAGCTGAAGGAAGCCGAAGATGCCTGTCTTGTGTGTTAGTATCTAGTCGCAGCTTTCGAAATATGAAGGGGGGGTTGGTAACTGACCCAACGCGGGCATGTGCTCGCTAGTCTTGACCGGCAGAAAACCAACGAAGGGAATCTGCATGCTGGCCAAGGTCCCCAGGGCATACCAGGTGGTGTACGCAACATACAACCGGGTGCTGTAGCGGCCCATGCAGATGAGGACAAAGGAATGAAGGGGAAGAAGGCAGGTGATGAAGGCGTAGCCTCCCCACGAGGCAACCATGTAACCGTAAAAGAGGGCGCAGAGGGCACCCCACAGCATGGACCCCTGCTTCAGCGCCTTGATCCAGAGGTAGAAGGTGAAGACGAGCAGGAAGATGGCAATGGCCTCGTTATCGTAGCTGCCAGCGACGGAACGGGAGATGTAACCGGGGGCGATGCCCATGAACAGGGCAGCCAGGAGACCAGCCGAGGACGACGGGGTCATCTCATTGGTAAGGAGGTAGGCGGCGACGGCGGTAAGACCGGAGAAGGCGGGCGCAAGAAGGACGCAGATATTCCGGATATCAACGGGGATCGTGAGGGCTCGGAGGGCGTGGTAGATGGCACCACTGGTCACCATGAGGCCCGGGTAGAGGGTGCCTCCCGTAACACGGCCGAGGGGGTGCCATGTTCGGTCATCGAACCAGTCCCAAAAGTTGTAGAAGCCGTTCGCAACGAGGTACTTGGTGGCGCGGAAGTTGAACCATGGATCGACTGGTCAAAGTGTTAGTGTCCTGACGAAAGCGATGGACGCGTAGGGAGGATGGATGAATACGGACATTCGTGGATAATACTTTCGAACCCTACACACAAGAGAACAAGTAATTAGCATCCATTGAGTTCTAATGATAAATGCGCTAGGCAATTGGAATGTCCTGAGCTGCAGATGTGGGTGATCCCGAGCTCGCTCCAAGACACAACCAAGCTCCCACTCTCGGAGCTGCGCCATCACCAAAAAAGGGCCACGTACGAATGACGGAGAACAATCGACTCGCAATTGAAGCACCAGCAATGAGCGCGAGGATAATCACACGCAATAAACCGCGTGTGCTCTCCCCCTTGCCCGCGCTGGCGAGAGCCTGAAGAGGATCGGCCGACATGGTGGCCTGGTTTGAGGGGTGGTGGTGCTGCCTCTCGCCAGTTGAAGTTGGAGAGGCTAACTAACTGACCCAAGGACAAGCATGGAAGCAAAGCACTGGCGTTTGGAGAGGACAGTTTGGAGCTTCTGCATCATGTTCCAGGGGTATGCCTTGGCGTGCTTGATTAGACTTGGGACCCACTCAGCCTCGTGCCTGCCGCTTGACCGCCCGGCAAAACTCGAGATAAATTGTTGGAAAATGGAGGGGCGAGAGATTCAGCCCGTGGCATGAAATAGAGGGGGATTCTAGAAAAATGGAGGGGAGGAGAGAAATATTAAGGATGAGCTTGTCGGGAGCTATAAGCATCAAGAAGGGGGGATTGCGGCCCGATCTCGTGCTGCGTAGTCCCAGCTATCTTAATTTACGTCGAGATATCCATGCGGGCGCATCGCGTGAACACTCAATTCCTTCCTCATCAGGGCCGCGAAGAGCCGTGGATAAACAGACCGATTCTAGTGCAAGTAATCTACAAGCTGTAAATGGCATATCAAAGACATCACAACAGGCCGGAGGGCGGACCGATCCATCATCCCAACTCGCCTTGGGTAACTGTATCATATATCTGGCGGGGTATAAAAGACAAATGGACCTAAAACCCGTCCACAACTGGGCTGAATCATCCATCGCTGGGCATCGTCGAGGCCCCAATGCCAGCACGCAACCCCAGCAGTCATCATCGGGCGTGGATCACCAACAGGAGCTTGGTCTGAGGGTGGGTGTGTTCAGCGCAGCGCTTTCATTCGGCAGTGGTATAGATACCAAGCCGGGACCGAGAAATCATTGACCTCGTATAACACCCTAAACCCTGAAAGCAGAATCCCTGGGATGATGCAATGTGTCGAGTGCCAAATGTTTTAATAACCGCGCCGGAAGTGCCCCTAGATACAACCATCCCATTACCCACGAAAACGCCTTTATGCAGCCTAGACAACCAGTCAGCATGGTCCATTCTGTCCAACATCCAACACCACCGGAGTGGTCCTCTCGGTTGCCCGCCCCTCAGATATGGCGTACCTTGACGGCGAACTTCCGCTGGGGGAAGTGCGTTTGGCGCTTCTTGGTCTTCTCCAGAACCCTCGAGGCGTCCTCGGGGGACAGGCGGCGGCGGATGGCGCGAGTCTGCTTGGCCCGGAGGTCAAGGGGCAGGTACTTCTTGTCCTTGTAGAAGAGGCGGAGCTGAGCACGTTGCTTCGCGTTGATGACGGTAAGGACGCGGGCGATCGACTTGCGGATATCGTGGCTATTCGTGAAAAAAGAAACGTATGTCAGCCAAAAGCTGCCCGTATCCTCCAACTTCTCAACGTTCGCAGGTGGGTCGTGGGCGCATTCGGGTTCGATTCGACGTACATCTTGGTGAGCTTGCTGCCCGAGGACACGATCTTCTGGATGCGAAGCTGGCCCAGCTCCGTCTTGAGCTCACCCAGCTGCTTGGTGAGCTCGTCCTTGTTCTTAGACCATAATTGGCCCGCCTTGACCTTGGAAGTAGACTTTGACATGATGGTCAGCAGTTGCCCGTAACAAGTCGCGAGTTTAAGATCGATCGATTCGATGATGCGACTAGGGGTTAAAAGTTCGAGTGTGGCTGTTGAAAAGAACGAGGTTGTCGCAGCCGTTCAAGATATGGATACGGGATGCTTACCATTGTGTAGTATGTCGGTGTCGAGTCAAATGGGCGATGGGCGACGGTTCCTTTGACAGCGACGGGGCTTCGGGTCGTTTGAAGGGAATAGCCTCTCCTGCGGGCACACGTCCTAACAAAATCTGAGAGGTGTGGATGCGCAAAATGCCAGCCAGGGCGGAAAACCCTACCACGAAAAGTGGTCCGTGCACCACCTTGTGGCTCAAGCGAGCGTGTTGCCGCAATCCCCGAAAGCGGTTAGCTTGGGGTTTGGCCTTTTCGAACTTGCGCACAACCGGTGGCTCACTCATTTCAAAATCTTGAGCAGCAGCAAGTCAAGTTGACGACCGACCAACGAATTTTACTAATCCACCAAACAGCCAAAGCGCTCAAGATGTCGGCTCCTACGACAAAGACCTTTGGCAAGTCGACTCGGTCGGTCCCTCACCCGACCGAGAGGGCTCAGAAATGGTACCCTGCTGAGGACGAGGACAAGCCGCGCAAGGTACGTGGATGCATGCATTTTCCGAGCCGATATTTGGTGTTGCGAGAGTCTTTGGGACGGCAAATTGGGCGAACTTCGACTCCAATTCGATTCGGGGCTGGCTGGGGCGTGCAGCGCAGACCGAGGCGATCCGGAACGGAAGCGGGAACAAGAGGCGGGACGGCGGGATAGGGATTCAGCGGGCAAGAGGATGATGGGACTTTTGGGGGAAGGATGCAGCGGGCAGGCTGGCCGTCGTGAGCACAGATTGATGCTAACTTTCGTTCGTTATCAGGTCCGCAAGGCCATCCGCGCCTGGGCTCCTCGCACCTCCCTCCAGCCCGGCACCGTCCTGATTCTGCTCGCCGGCCGGTTCCGCGGCAAGCGTGTCGTCCTCCTTAAGAACCTCGACCAGGGTGTCCTGCTCGTCACCGGGCCCTTCAAGATCAACGGCGTCCCCCTCCGCCGCGTCAACTCGAGATACGTCATCGCCACATCCCTGAAGGTCGACCTTGCCGGTATCGACGAGGCCAAGATCGAGGAGATCTCTAAGCCGAAGTACTTCACCGCGGAGAAGACCAAGGAGAAGGCCGGCGAGGAGGCGTTCTTCAAGCAGGGAGAGAAGCCCCAGGTACGAGCGGAATTCCGAGATTGGACTCTGGGTGGTTGAGGGGCAGGACTGACAAGATGCACAGAAGAAGGAGGTTTCTAGCAGCCGGGCGGCCGACCAGAAGGCCGTCGACAAGGCGCTGCTCGCCAACATCAAGAAGGTCGACATGCTCGCCAGCTACCTCGCCACCTCTTTCAGCCTCCGCAAGGGCGACAAGCCCCACGAGATGAAGTGGTAGAGAGAGGGTGCAGGGCGTGGGCGTGACGGATGGTTGATGGCGCGATTTACGGTTATGGCTTGGCCAATTGCATTTGGACGTTTGACGGTTCTCGGTCCATTACGGCGTCTGTAATGAGGGTTTACAGTCATCAAAATCCCAAAATCACCGGGCTTTGCACAGGATCGGAGCCATGAACAACAATCGGGTTTTAGAGCGAATGGGATGCCGCTGGTGATTTGTACATGGGGTAACGTGAAAATGCGCTGGAATGGCAGGGCAGATACAGCCAGACAAGTCTGGGCAACCCCGATCCCGGTGCGGATAGACCACTGGGATATCAGGAGAGCAAACAAGGAGCACATCAAACTCAATATCACAAAATCCCACGCCGAAACCTTGATCAGATATCACAGCTCTGATAAACTGATAAACGGGCACCTTGCGGGCGAGGGTGAGTGAGTTATGTGGCTAAACCGTCCCAAACATCCCAGCGGCCAGCGATCTGACATCACTGATGCAGCGCACCGCCACAGGGTCCGCATGCTGATCAGCTGTCAAGAACTTGACGCAAGCCGAAAGGGATCCGCTGCATAATGCCGTTTACACCACTATCCTTTCCACTTTAAGCCGTTCAAAGTGCATGCCACACGTTTGGGCCGCAACCTACCTTTCGGTGTTTCGGTGATACGTGAACTTAATTGTAAGGTTGGAGGTTACTCTTCACCCCTAACCCTGGCTTATTCGGTTCCTGCTGGCGTGGCCCTTTTCAGCGCAGAACAGCCAAGAATCCGCGCGGCTGACCTCTCAAAGAAAAAGAAACGGTGGGCCGGACCAGCTCCCCATAACTTCAAGCTTCAGCGATCGGATGCTGCCGGATCCCGCTCCGTCCCCCTGTTCCTCGTTATTGCAGGCAACATGGCGACAACGACAGGTCAGGGCTGGTCCCAGCTGAGGCAACAGGCGCGATCGTTGGAATTACAGGTAAGGAGCTCGGAGGGGAGGGGCGCGAGTTGAACAAAGGAGGACGACTGACCACTCGTCGCAGACCGAGGCATCGCTTCAAACATACTCGCAGTTCTCGACGCAAACCGCCATCCCCCCGAAGCCAACAGAAGAAGAGAAGAAGGCTGAGGCCAAGGTCCAGGAGCTACTCGATAAGGTAAGTGTTGACATGTGATCCCCAGCGAAACCAAACTAACATGTTCCTCTCTCTCTCTCTCTCTCTCAACAGCGCGAAACAGTGATCGCACAGCTAGGCCGACTGCTCGACTCAGAAGCGACACTGACGTCGTCGGCGCTCAAGCAAAACAACCTCGCGCTGCTGCGCGACAAGCTGTCGGACCAGCGGCGCGACCTGTCGCGGCTGCGGGGCACGCTGCAGGAGGCGCGGGACCGGGCGAACCTGCTGGGCAGCGTGCGGGACGACATCTCGGCGTACCGGGCGGCGAACCCGGCGGCGGCGGAGGCCGAGTACATGCTCGGGGAGCGGGCGCGGCTGGACCGCAGCCACGACGTGGCCGACAACGTGCTGATCCAGGCGTACGAGGTCCAGAACAGCTTCGCCCTCCAGCGCGAGACCATCGCCAGCATCAACCGCCGCATCACCCTCGCCGCCAGCCAGGTGCCCGGCATCAACACCCTGATCGGCCGCATCTCGGCCAAGAAGAGGCGGGACGGCATCATCATGGGGGGGTTTATCGCCGTGTGCTTTTTGTTGTTTTGGTTCTTTATGTGAGCGCGCTCTGTACGGAGAGGGACGACTAATCGGACGAGGAGGCTTGGGGGCGGCTGCATCTCGGAAAGAGACCTGTATAATTCCTTGGAGCGCATGGTTTGGACGTGGCGTAGGGGGGAGTCTGGAGTTCTTGTTTCGGAAGACTGCTCAGCAAACGTTTTGAAAGCCAGCAAATAAACCGGAGGCATCGCGGCCCTCCATGTTCCAGAACAGCCCCCGATATACTGGTACATCTATAAGAGTGGCGGTGTTTATACATACAACAAAAAGGGGGTATCACGCAAACTCCTACAGCCCGTCTATCCACCTCCGCTGTCTTCACTTTTCGTCCGGCTTCTTAGCAGCAACAATCTTCCTCACAAAGCCCTCCCCAACCCCCTCCTTCTCCATCTCACTCAATACCCTCTGCATCCCCTTCACCAACCCCTCCTTCTCCCCAGGATCCGCCGACCCGCTCCCCGCCCAGCGTATCCTACACTGATGGTCCACCAGGTAGGTATACCCAACCTTACTATTCAACACCCCAATCGACTCGCGAATCTCATCCGTAATCCCCTTCTTCACCATAAAATACCTTCCCCAATTCTCCCTCCCCACCCTTCGCCGCAACGACCCCGCAAACAACCGCACCAACCACCCCTTCAGCAAATCCTCCTCCACATTCACCTGCACCAGCTGCGCCCGCACACCAGCCCCCTCCAACACCTCGTGCAGCGCCGCGTTCTGCTCGGGCGCCGTGAAGGTCTTGGCCTGGTCCTCGGCCCACAGGCCGCTGAAGACGGACACGACGGAGGCGCGGCCCTCGAGAAGCGGGGTCGTGTCGGCGGCGGGCGCCGCCAGCGTGCGCCCGTGCAGGTTCGGGAAGTAGAGCGAGAGGTCGGCGCGGAAAGGGCGTGGCGGGGAGAGGAAGGTCTTGCCTTGGTGGAATTGCAGGTTGCGCCAGTCGCGGAAGTAGGGGCGCGAGATTTTGTTTTTGCTGTTGTGCGGGGAGAGGGAGGTTAGGGGTGGGTTGGCTTGTTTGGGGGGGGGGGATGGGGAGGTGGGATTGGGGAGGCGGTAGGTAAGAGCCTTACAGGTATTCTCGGCGCTTGAGGTGCTTGTCGTAGTTGGTGAAATCGGCGTGGCGTTGTTTGAGGCTGCGGTTGTCGACACCCGTGTTCTCGCCCGCGCTCGGGGGGTAGTTCATGCCAATTGGCCTCGCTAGCGGCGTGGGCGTGAAGTCCTTGATCTTCTTGCCGTACGCCCGGGGCGCGTGAGCGAGAGGGCTCTCTGCCGCCGCGGCATCGCGGCTGACAGTGGCCGGGGTTGTGCCGGATGATGGTGACGGTGACGGTGAAGCTTGGGAAGAGTTCGGGCCTCCTAACCCGGAGGTCGGAGCTGGCGGTTTGTCGGCTAGCCGGCGATAGGATACGCTAAAAGACCGCCATTGGCAGAGAAGACAAGCCGCTGCTCGGGAACCAGTCCGGATACCGGTCCGCGTGATCATGGTGGGCAGGTGTCGCGGCTGCAAGACCTACGGATGTCGGTCGATCGGTCGAATTGGGACGAGCGCCATCGGTGTCCCAAGAAATTTCCCATGCGGCTTGTCTAGGGCCCCACTTTCATCCGCTGGAGATCTCGCCGAGCCGCCCAGGTCCCCAGGTCCCCCGCCTTCGGGTCCGGGGTTCCTTCGCTTTTGGCGGCACCAATGGCTCGGTTATCCGCGGGGCTGGCTCTCCCCCTGGACAGCTCGGCTCCCAACGTCATTCAGCAGGGCCATAAGCCGCAACAAGCCATGGTGCCTTGCCCTGAACCGCCGTGTGTTCTCTGTTCCTTGGGATGTTTCGCGCGGAGAGATCAATTGAACTCCAAGAGATGTGACTGCTCACAAAACACGACGTTGGTGATATCTACCGTACTTGTTCGATATGTTCTCGAGGAATAGTTCCCGAGCGGTACGCCAGCAATGGCGCCTGTATAGAGGACTCGGAGGAGTAACTCGACCTGCAACAACAGTCCGCGCATCCCGCTCTCCTCTCTCTCTGACTTCTCCGGTCTCTCCGCATTCTTCACTTCCGACATCAATATCCCGGGCATTCCATGCATCGAGGCCACTCCTCGCGATCAAGCCAGTATTGCTCGCCGACATTGGAGAAGGTGTGTCTCTATTTTCCTCCTCCCGGACATACCTTACCTAGCTTTGCAGCTTCCAGCTAACCATCACCCCCCCAGGTATCGTCGAATGCGAGATCATCCAATGGTTCGTCGAGCCGGGGGCGCGCGTCGAGGAGTTCTCGCCGCTGTGCGAAGTCCAGAGCGACAAGGCTTCGGTTGAGATCACCAGCCGTTTTGCGGGCGTTGTTAAGAAACTACATTATGATGCTGGCGAGATGGCCAAGGTTGGCAAGCCATTTGTGGACATCGACATCGAGGGGGATGTAAAGGGGGAAGACCTCGGGGCAATGGTGCCGCCCGAGACTCCCCAGAAAGAGGCGGAAACAAAGCCCACTCAGGCACCGATCCGCTCTCCAGCTGAGGAGACGGCAGGAGCCCAGGTCGCCGTGTTGGCCGAGCAGGAGACGGAGAGTGTACCCAAAGTCAAGGGGAAGCATGCCGCTCTCGCGACGCCCGCGGTAAGGCACCTATCCAAGGAGATGAAGGTGGACATTTCAGAGATAGACGGCACGGGCAGGGATGGCCGCGTGCTCAAAGAGGACATTTACAAGTTCGTCGAGGGGAGGAACGCGGCACCCCCTCAAGCACCCTCTACACAACCTACCCCGACCGCGCCCGCGACCGGGTCCTTCACATCACCAGACGCCTCCACCGCCGGGCCGCAGCAAGAAACACCGGTGGCGCTCACGAGGACGCAAGAGATGATGTTCAAGACCATGACGCGCTCCCTCAGCATCCCCCACTTCCTCTACGCCGACGAGGTCGACTTCACCTCGCTGGTCGAGCTCCGCGGGCGCCTGAACCGGGTCCTCGCCAAGTCTGGCCTGAGCGACAGCCAGGTCGGCAAGCTCTCCTACCTCCCCTTCATCATCAAAGCGGTATCCATGGCGCTCTACAAATACCCAACCCTCAACGCGCGCGTCGACGCCGACAGCGCCAGCGCCAGCGCCAGCGGCAAGCCCAGCCTCGTACTGCGCAGCCAGCACAACATCGGCGTAGCGATGGACACACCGTCAGGCCTGCTCGTGCCCGTGGTCAAGAACGTGGGCGGGCTCAACATCCTGGGCATCGCGGCGGAGCTGGCGCGGCTGCAGGGGCTGGCGGTGGCGGGCCGGCTGGCGCCGCCCGACATGGCCGGCGGCACCATCACCGTCAGCAACATCGGCAGCATCGGCGGCACCTACCTGTCGCCCGTCGTCGTCGAGCGCGAGGTCGCCATCCTCGGCGTCGGCCGCATGCGCACCGTCCCGGCTTTTTCTGCTGTGCCAGGCGAGGAGGACCGCGTGGTGAAGCGCCAGGTCTGCAATTTCAGCTGGAGCGCCGATCACCGTGTCGTTGATGGCGCGACTATGGCCCGCGCTGCGGAGGTTGTCAGGGCTCTTGTTGAGGAGCCCGATGTCATGGTTATGCACCTGCGGTAATGTGGCGAGAGGTGGTGGTGTTTGCCGGTTTTGGGGGGGGGGGGGGGGGCAATGGACTGGCTATCTCTTCCGCAGTTGGGGCATAAAGTCCGTCCATGACTGACCGAGAGAGGGAGGTTTGTTTGTCGGTTGGTGAGGTGTAGCAGCAGTGAAAGAAAGGGTGCAGGATCCGGTGAGGTGCTTTAGCGACTGCGTACCTGTGCCATTCACCCGGCCGCCTTACCCGTTTTCTTCGCCCGCTCGCTTAACCCGGTTATACGCAAGCGGGAGGTGGCAGCAATGCCGGTGCGGTGCGGTGTTTATTTACATAGAGTAAGCAGGCCAACTTTTCTTGTCGATAGACCGCCTACCTAGCCAAGTTGATTTATTACTCGTTGCTGTCTGGTCCGAAATCCCGCAAGTACTGTACATGACCCGCCGCGAGGCAGCCATGCATGTTGCATCCATCGGTCTGTCCGGAGCGGCGTGGTGGTGAATCGGGGGGTTGTTCCCCCACGAGAGATGGTAGTACCACATACCACATGCCTTTTATTGTTTCCTTTTTCTTTTTCCCGCACCAACCTCGGTGCTGTTTCCGTGCCTTTTCCATGCAGCCCTGGGGCAGGGCGGCTTGTGTGGTCACCGTCATCCCAACCGTCGGATGGCCGTGGCCGCGTGGTCTCTGATTCTGGCCAACGATGTTTCGGGCCGCGAGGAAGGGAAGGGTTACTTTTGGGGCCGCACACCCGCGAAACCGCGAAACCAAGCCAGGCCGGGCCAGACCACGCCACACCCTACCACAACCACACCCCCTTCTTTTCTCAACCAACTCGTCGTGTTAGTGTGATTCAAGCACACGACAACAACACCCATAAATCCCATTACACTGTGGGGAACACCCAGCAGAGTAATACCGAGTTAATCAATGGAGCACCCGTCTGCTGTGTGTGTTGTGTGTGCTGTGTTGCGCCGGGACCTCCCCCATATTGCGCATCCAACCCCGTCCCCCATTGTCGCCTCCCTTGGGTCGTCTCCGCCAAGCCAACAACTCGAAGCCGGTTGGGTCGACCGCTGCCGCAAGTCATCGGGGCTCCCGGGTCCGTGGGAGCAGGTGCGTCTGCCGTGTCTCTGCTCGTTGGCGCCAAGGTGTTCCTTGTCCTGCCTGCCTGCCTGCCGCCCTGCCTGGTGGTTAGGTTGTCGTGGAACTCACCCCGGGTGGCTGTGCCGTGCGAGAATGATGGAGAAGATGGAGAAAGGAGGGGGGTGGCGCTGTTGGAACGCCCGCCCGCCCCCCTCAGAAATTGAACGCAGCGGTTCGTTAGTTGCTCGCTCGCTCCCTCCCTCGGAGATGGGGAGCGAAAAGTGCACAAATTGCGAGGCAGGCTAAAATCCTGCATGTATTCGGCCCATCCATCCATCCACTCATCTACCCATCCATTCATCCCACAGCTCACCGAGTTTCGGCAGTCGTTTCTTGTGTCTTGTGGCTCGTTTGTCTCCGGGTGCTGCCTTGCCATGCGAGTGTCGCATTGCCTCTGTGCGTGTCTCGCAATTTTTGTTCGGAAAGTTAACCCGAGATTGGGTCAGTGGTTAATGTATTACTGTTTACGAAGTATCTGTTGTCTCGTATGAACTGAAAGATAGGCAAATAGGGGTGAGTGCCAAGAAAACAAACCATCAGCATAGGTATGTAGAGACTTGATATTCACCTGGCAACGACAAGCTGCAAAGCAAAGTATGTAATCCCGTTCTACATAACTACCTAGATTCTCTTCGTGAAGCCAAGTCAAAATGTTAGGATGTGGAACGGCGAGGATATGGTGACTAAGGATCTCGTGCAGTGTTCGTGTAAAAAGTGATAGATCGTCTCACACACATCTCGCAGGATTGGGGTGTGCTTGGTTGTCGCGGCTCGTCCCGCATCTTCGGCGGCGGCCAGAGCCTACCAGAACGTCGGGAGGCGAACAAATAACTGCCGTGTGTGCGTGTCTTGGGAACTCAAGGGGCATAATTGCAACTCGCCACCAGGGAGTGGTAGGGAGAATTAACCGCAGGTGATCAGCAGAGTCTAGAACAGGGTGAAAACACATCGAGAACCACCCGAGAAGGAATGGTAATGATAATTCTTCGCATTGCAACTCGCTCGCTTTCAAGCGACAAATCACCGGCCCAGCCATGATACCTAAGTAGATCCTTTTGAAAACGCCTGTAACCGAAAAGCGCGGCTCTGCAGCCCGCTCCAGCCATGCAAGTGAAGCTCGTCCGACGTGACGAGCCCGTTCTTGTCCCCCCCCCTTCTCCCACTTCCGCGCCCATATCGTACGCCATAGGAAAGGATAAAAAAAGCCCAAAGGATCAGATATTGCGATGAAATCAAGGCGGAACTCAGGCCAACTCCATATCCCGATGCAAATAGTATGGTTAATACTGCCCCCTTTCCCCTGAGCAGACCAAGATCAATGCTGCGTAGCCATGCGTATTCTTCGCCGTAGAGCTTCCCGCTCGGCCCCTTTTCATGACCGAGTGCTGTCCATAGTCTTGTTTGCCTGGTCAAGAGCATCCGCCTTGACGGCCTCCTGTGATTGGGTCACGTCAATGGTGATGACGTCAACTTCATCGGCCGTCGGCCGCTCGAGGACTTCGAACTGGCTGTGAACCATGTTGGCGCCCATGTAATGGTTCTGGCGAGCGGATACCCTTTGCAGGAGGACCTCTTCGGGGGCGTCGAGGTAGATGAAGTGGAGGTGCACGTTGGGCGTGAAATAGGGAGCGACTCGGATGACGTCGCGGTATTTGCGCTTGAGCGCCGAGCAGGTCAGCACCACGCCGTCACTACCCTTGTCCAGTTCGTTGATGGATGCCTCGCGGAGGGCCGTCAGCCAATCCCACCGATCCGCGTCGGTCAGGGGGATGCCGGCGCTCATCTTCTCGATGTTGGCCTTGGGATGGTACTACAACAAAAGGGTGAGCATGTGGTTCGACCAGTCGACCGTACGGGCGGCTATGGCGTAGGGCTACATACCTCATCACCCTCAACGAAGGGTAGCTGAAGCGAGTCCGCGATGTGCTTGGCTACCGTGCTCTTTCCACACCCCGCGGGCCCCGTCACGAGCCAGATGTGTTGGTCCTTGGCCGGGGAATCGGTCGTGGATGCGGCACTGCCATTGGTCATGACGCCATTGGAGAGCGCCGTCGGCAGCCGTGCGGCCTTTGGCGAAGGCGGGATACTCTGGCGCCCGGACGACATGGCACCGGAAGATGATGGCCTCTGCCCATTGACCGCTACTGAGGTGTTGTAGGAAAGCATTGTGATGGATGGAGCAAGTAGAGGTGGCGAGGTACGGTGGAGGAGGCTATTGCATATCGCAGTGGATGACGCGGTTGTGTTTTTATAGGGACGGGAAGGACGGGGTGGGTTTCTGACGGTGGCGGAAAGGGGGTCGTGGGGGTTCGTCAGAACTCAGGTGTGTTTTGTGCTGTGTAAGTGAGTGTTTGGTCGGTTTAGGGTGAAGGCGGGATCCCAATCGGAAAGCGGGAGAGAATGAAAGCACGGAGACTGTCCAACGAGACACCTTAGGAGAGAGAAACAACCGGCGGAACAAACACTTCGAAACCAAACAATGGATGGAAGCCAGGAAAACGAGCCAGGCCGATGGCGGACCGAGAGGCATTCTTATAAGCTGACGCTCTGAGTGGGCGCCAAACCCACGGGTCTGGCAGTGATGACCTAACGCTTTCTCTGACAGGCCCAGGCCGCCGGCTGGGGGGCAGAGGGGGTACCTTTCTTAATTTTCAACGGGATCGAATGAACTCATTAGTCGCGGGATGCAAGCAACGCCATTCACCATCCATGTCGGGTACTGTACATACTCACCGAATGCATCCGGTGCATGGATGCTCCCGCACCTCTCGCGTGCTCCCAAGTGCGTCTTCGCGGGGTGAGTCTCACAAATCCCACTCCGACGCGGATCCCATTGGCGCTTGAGGGGCCTTGGAATGACTTCCAGCCCGGCCCCGGGCGCCATGACTGGTGGAATCGACCGCTTGGCATGGGGCGTGTGCAGTGAGGGTGTCGCTTCAGTCACTTATTCGGACCTCATTGTGGAAACTCGGGGAAGCTTTTCCCAGAGCAGCGTGGGATGGATCGAGAACCGAGATCGACAAACCTGAGTGAGAGCTGCCTCGCAAACCGATCCCGTCTTCATTATTGAGGGTTTTTGCGACGGGACACCGCCGTGTAAATGCCGATTGTGACACCCGAGGAAGATCGAGCATCTCTTTTGGGTTCAGGATGCTGGAGGATAGGTACCGACAATGGAACGAGCACAAATTCCCGAATGACTGGCAAACACGGCAAGGCACCACGGGGACTCCCTTGGTTGCGGCTGCCAAAATTTTGGGATAGCGTGGGGGGCACCCGTGTTCAAAGTTGGGGGTGAAGTTGGGGTGGCTGAGGCGAAGGGGGTAGATTGAAACCCACCCGCATTCCCTTCCTTATCGAACAAATTCGAGAAAACTAAGAAATAAAAACAACATAAAAGACATTTCTCCGGCTCTGATCATGGTATCCTCACATCGGTCGTCATTAGAGAGGCTCTCTAGTTAGTCCTCATGAATAAGACGTCAAATATCTCGCGCTGACTAGACAAGGCAAGCTTCACACTCCCTACGTGGTACAGAGAAAGGGGACGGAACTTCTGTGTTTGTCCAGTCCCCACGAGCACCGGCCCCGCTGAGGGATGACTGGTGAGGTGGGGGAGCCAAAAAAAGCGCTGAGAGAAGCGGAGACCCCAGCGCCACTCAAAGCCGGAGACGGTCGATGGCCTCGTGACATGTCCTGTTTTGGTTGCCCCACTCAACTACACTCGTTCGGGCCCCTCGCAAGCCCGGGAAATACATACCTAGCTCCGCCGGCTCAGCTTCCGGCCTCACCGAGCGAAGAGATCGAGGTCGGGTGACTCCCGCATCAAGATCTGGGTCAATTCTATGTAGGTCAACCGTCTTGATCCCGTCTTGCTCCCGTCTTGCTAGCAAGACCAGTCACTGTGAGCTGTCTCATCGTTCTGCCAGGCAGCTGCCTTCACTAAAAGCGCAACCTCCTAATCGAAGTTTGGTACCTCGGTATCCGACTTTGAAAGGGCCTGACCTAAAAAGTGTCAGGAGGGAGACTCCATCCGACGACCCTGGCGGCGGGAGGTGGGAATAGCTTCGCATATCCCGCAATGCACTACTGCGGGGGGTCGGAACCAAGGGAGCCTGCGCGGGCTGTTTCTGGTTGCCAAGCTCCTGCACCCCGGACACTGCTACAGCTGTCAAACAACACCCTCTCGACTTCTCACCGCTTCATGGTTCGGCTTCGCAAGCGATAGGACGACAGCTGCTCGCCGGCAACGGAACCAGTCAAGGTGTCGGGTCATCCTGCAGCTCTTCGGATTCATCGAAGTGCATTGGCGACCGACTGCAGGTGAGCTATCGTGGCCGTCTCAAACCCATCCGAGATGGCCTCCGCCTGTGAGGTTCAACGGCAACGGCCGGGCACGTTGCAGACCGGTATCGCCAAACCGGTTCACGAAAGCATGAGAGCTGCAAGGCTCCAAGATTCATCACACTCGCAGCGGCCCCAAAGACGCCGTCTTCAGTCAGCCCGCATGACACCCACCATGGGGAAAAAGCAGTCAGCAAAGCATGGAAGTCCATGCTCGGTCGTGCCACGACTTACACACAAGCATGCTCATCCATGGATAACTAACTAGGTAGTTACTTGGCAGTAAGTTACCAGAAGCTGGAGCTCAACTGCCCTGGCCTCCCGCGAGGAAGTTCCAGACCGCGCCCACCGACATCTCCCCACCCGCAAAGCGCAAGGGTGGTTTTCTTATTTTGTTAGCTCCTCTGGTTCTGGGATAGTTCATTCCCACAGAACAAAGGTATGGGGCGGCGGTGGCTTCCTTGGTGAGTGGCGGCGACCGACCAGCCAGAGGACGCCTGATGAGATGCAGCAAGCCCAACGAACCAGAACGCTCAAAGACGTGGTTTGCATGATAACGGACCAACCCAACGAGCTTGTACGCCCGCTCTTGTTATGTGGGTTTGTTAAGTACTGGTACTGGTACTTCGTGCCACCCTCTCCACCCTTTCCATCCCTTGACTTGCCGATCAAGCATCGTCACCACCATGGGATGTCCGTGCAATTACCTTGTTGGGACAGAACGAACAACAACGCCTCACGCTTCCCTTTCGGGGCCGTCGAGGCCATCGGGGCTCGAGGCTCGAGTCGGTCTTTTGATCTTTCCATTGTAGCCAGCCCCTCTCCCGCCCCAGACCATCTGCCGGCTGCGGCGCCGTGACAACCTACTGTCCCATAACTCATATCAACCTCTCAAGGGTTGTTGTACTTCGTAGCTTTCTCTCATCCGAGCTGAGACTACGTCATCGCCATATGTCTTTCCTCCTTCCGGCTGCAGGGATCCGCTTTGAGCCAAAAAGATGGGGACGAATCCCTTTTCAATCGTCGAAATATTAAGATTCGGCGAGTTTGGCATTCTCGTCCGATTCCCGCGCAGCTGCTGTCTTCCACGAGTATTCCATCGTATCTCTGCGGAGCAGGTGCCTGGTACCCCTCGCCTTCCCTTTCAAGCAGGCGAGTAACAAGCACCACCCCACCAAATTGATGGAGTGCCCGAGACCAGTTCGTCCGGGCAACGTACAAAATACAGTAGTATACCTAAGCCAATTTCACCCCAAAAAAAAGCCGAGGCGATACTGCTGGTCTCAGATTACCCCATGTCCAGTCTATTGATCAATTGGACCTATCACTTTGCCTTAGTATTGTTCCCTTTATCTGGTTCAATTAGTGAAGCTTTGCCCTGCGGCTGCCAGCTACCCCGCCCCTAAGCTTTGCTGAAAGTGGATACAGCACGTGCAAGTGGTGGGTCGCGAGCCAGTAAATTGAAGCTGTGAGTGCCGATTTGGGCAGTTGGGACGACGCATGCAGACGGGACGAGGTGCCCGACTGTGTACTGTGTAAGCTAGAAGCCGCGAGAACCCGGGCGTTTGGTGTTAACTGCTATTTTCAATGCGTCTTTCATTTCAGGCCCCCCTCAGGTCTCGAGGTCTGAGGTTTTCTTGTATTTCAAGTCCACGTTTGGCCCACCCTCTCCTCCGCGCAACTGCCATCTCCCCTCTCCGAATTCTGCAGTCGCAACCGCGTCGTCTATTCACCATGAACGCCCAAGAGCTCTCGCAGTATCTGGCTGATGCCCCGCCATCAGTCGTCAGGCTCGAGATCGAGAAGCACTTCACCGCGCTATCGGACAAACAGAAGCGTTACGCCCACTTTATTAGCAGGTATGAATGGGTCCATCATTGATGCCTCTTCTTAGGTGGACAAACATCCACTGTGCGAATGCAACCAATATGTTCCGATATGTTGTTTGCTCTTCCTAGAGTCCCCCGTACCCTACACGTGAACATCGCACCTCTGCCGCCTCCTCCCCTGCTGATCCTCGAATCTGCTGTGCAGGGCCTCCTTCGCCGGTAACCGCATTGTGTTGCGTCAAGTCTCGCCCGAGTCCGAGCACATTTATGACCTCATTCTCGCCCTACACAAGACCGCTGGCGGGGACTGGAAGGCGCTTGCCGAGAAGGCCAACGTTGACGAGCAAGGGCTTTCGGCCTTCCTGCAGTACGCTGCGCAGTTCCTGGGCAACGGCGGCAACTACAAGAGCTTCGGCGACTCCAAGTTCTTGCCTCGATGCGACGAATCCGTCTTTGCGTCGCTTGCTTCGACTTCTTCTGAGGCTAAGGAGCATTACAAAGCCACCAATGGCGCCATCTTCGCCTCCGACAAGCAGGGCCTCCTGCATCTTGGCTTCACAGACGAGGGTCACTTGACCACCTACTACCCCGATTCCGCCGACATCACCAAGGACGAGATTGGCGCAGTCTCCAAGTGGATGGAGAACAAGGGCCTCCTGCCGGAAAACACAAGGCTTAGGAAGACTAAGGACGGCGTCTTCGAGCTGCTGATTGCCTCGGCCACGGCCAGCATCCCTAGCAACGGCGGTGATATCGGGAAGGACACCGAGCATGTGATCAGCGACGGTCCTCTGGCAGGAAAGGCCGTGAAGTTGGTCTATGGAGACCACAAGAAGGAGATGGATGCCATTGCCGGTTTCATCAGGAAGGCGGCGGACAACGCCGAGAATGAGACGCAAAAGAAGATGCATCTTGCGTACGGCGACTCTTTCCACGGCGGCTCTCTCCTCGCCTTCAAGGACAGCCAGAGGCATTGGATCCGAGACCAAGGGCCTATGGTGGAATGCAACATTGGTTTCATCGAAACATACCGCGATCCCGCAGGTGTCCGTGGTGAATGGGAGGGGTTCGCCGCAGGTAAGTGGGCTCTGTACACCCGTTCCCGGAAGTCCTCAGCTCACCAATATCACAGTTGTCAACCGTACGTTTTGTTCCCCTAATAACCACCGGTGGAGCCACCATGTCCTGACACCACCGTTTAGTTGAGAGAACTCGGGCTTTTGGTGAGCTCGTGCGTTCTGCGCCTGAGCTGATTCCGCTGCTGCCGTGGTCGACGGACTTTGAGAAGGACAAGTTCCTTTCGCCAGATTTCACTTCTTTGGAAGTCCTGTCCTTCGCCGGTACGTCTAGAGAACTCCCGAGGGCATCTCGTCAATACGGGAAGAGAACTAACAACATCACCCAGGTTCTGGGATTCCTGCCGGCATCAACATGTGGGTTCTAGAAGTTACTACTGTACCGGATTGGGCACTTACTAATATTGCGTTAGCCCCAATTACGATGATATCAGGCAGCAGGAGGGCTTCAAGAACGTTAGCCTGGGTATGTAACCCCCAAGGCCGCACATCAGATTGGAATGGGTGGCGAAACCCAAACTAACTAACTTCACAGGTAATGTCCTGAGTGCGAAGGCCCCGGATGAGAAGATCCCGTTCATCTCCGACAACGATTTGGCGCTGTACCAAAAATACCGCGATGCCGCCTTCGAGGTACAGGTCGGCCTTCACGAGCTTACAGGTATGGCACAGTGACTAGCGATACCAGTATCTTACTAACGGTTCCTTAGGTCACGGCTGTGGTAAACTCCTTCAAGAGACATCGCCAGGCGTTTTCAACTTCGACGCGAAAAGTCCCCCGATCAGCCCCCTGACCGGGAAGCCCGTCACCACCTGGTACAAGCCGGGTCAGACGTGGGGCTCCGTATTTGGCGGAGTTGCTGGCGCGTATGAGGTACTGTTCTCCTACCGGTACCCGCGGCTCGAACGTAACTGACCAATGTATCAGGAATGCCGAGCGGAGCTAGTAGCCATGCATTTGAGGTGAGTTTGCTAAGGGGTGATACTGTTTGGTCACATCTAAGATGCGCGAAGTTGCGAATTCTCGGCGCTCAAGATCTTTGGTTTCGGTGACGGGACGGTCGACATGGACGGCCCGGCCGGCGACGTGCTTTACACCTCGTACCTCAGCATGGCTCGGGCAGGCTTGACCTCAGTCGAGTTCTGGGACCCCAAGAGCCAGAAGTGGGGGCAGCCTCATTGCCAGGCTCGCTTTGCCATTCTTAAGGTAAGACCCGCTGGTTTAGTAAGTGGAAAGCGCCTGCTTGCTAACTCAGACTAGTCATTCCTCGAGGCTGGCGACGATTTCTGCCAGCTGGCGTACAAGAACGACGACCTCTCCGACCTCACGATCCAACTTGACCGTTCTAAGATCCTGACCAGCGGCAGGAAAGGTACGTTAACCGCCACGGGGTGTGGTCGGAAGGAAAGCTAATAAAAAATGCACTAGCCGTCGCGGACTTCCTTCAAAAGATCCACATCTACAAGTCGACTGCCGATGTCGAGACCGGCACCAAGTTCTTCGCCGAAATGTCGGGCGTCGGACTCGAGTACTGGGGAACCAAGGTGCGGGACGTGGTGCTCAAGAACAAGCAGCCGAGAAAGGTGTTCGTCCAGGCAAACACGTACTTGGACGAGGCGACCGGGCAGGTCACGCTCAAGCAGTACGAGCCTAGCCTCGAGGGGATCATTCAGAGCTGGGCTGAGAGGGACGTCTGACTGACTGGTCTCCTTCGGCCGCGTCCACGGGTTGCCCATCGGGCAGCGTTATAGGATGCACTGGGATGACGAACTCAGTCATGGAGGATTTGTTGCGGAATTGGGCCTTGGCTAGCTAGTGTAATGTGCATCTTGGGATTGCGACAATAGACCGCGTTGGATTGTCCGTATAACTTACCTGCCAAGTTGAAAGGTTTATGGGATTAAGCGAGACAGCTTAGTCTAGTACTGTGGTGATAACTAGAAGCCCGTTTCCCATGAAGCCTTTTCTCCCCTGAAACTCGTGTCTTAAAAGAGGGGCCTGTATAATACTAACGAGGCGTCTCACCCGGCTTGCTGTGATGAACTTCCAACTTCCGGAATCTCGTGAGAAATCCAGCCGCCATACGGATTAGAACCAAGTCAAATACTTCGTCATGAGACAACAACCTCGACGGACGCAAATAGCTTCAATAACCGCAGAACATATCGCCTCGATAAACACAAAAAAACAAGTCGCTTCATAATAACTCGCCTCAAACTCCCGTAACGCGTTCATGCTCAAATACCCACGCCAAACACTCACATGCCACCCAGGTATATCCACCCCCTCCCCCCCACCCTGCGCCTCCCTACTAGATAAGATCCCCTCGACCATAGTAGATACATGCCAACCATCCCAGCGCCCCCCTTTTGGAGCAAATGCCACATGATGCCATCTTTTTAACGAACCGCCCCACGCCCAACCCATCCCACCGGCCCCAGCGCGGGCGCTGTCCCCCTATGTATATACCGGGCATATACGCCTGCCGTTCCCAAGATGGCGAGGCTCGCGCCTCGAAGACAGACACTCGCCCCAAAAGCAAACCCCTCTCATGTGATGTGCCCAGCGTGGAAATCCCCAAGGCCGTCGCCGTGTTTGTCCTCGCTGAGCGGGCTGGCCCCAGTCCCTAGTCCCCGAGTTCCCACAGAGGATAGCTGGCCAGCGAGCCTTCAGCTCTGCGGCGACTGTTCGAACATGCCGCCGTCCACGCTGGCGGCGGAACTCGACATGGGCCTGCCGTCGCCGTCCTTTTGGTGGGTCTTCATGTGGCGGCGGAGCTGGTCCTGGCGGTGGAAGTTGCGGTCGCAGCCCGGGACGGTGCAGGTGAAGCGGCCCTTGACCTCGTGGGTGCGCTTGTGCTTGGACAGGTTGGAGGATTCGCTGAAGCCCTTGCCGCAGACGGGGCATTTCAGGGGTTTGAGGCCGGAATGGACGCGTTGGTGCATGGCTGGGGAGATTGTTAGTTGGGTAGCTACCCGGAGCTGGGATAGGTGGAGGTCAGACTTACTGAGAGCGCTGGGGTATCTGAAAGCCTTGTGGCAGATGTTGCACACGAGCGGCTTCTCGTTGCTGTGGATAAACATGTGCTGCGTGAGAGCTTGTTTCGCCGAGAAGCCCTTGTTGCACGTGGGACAAATATGGGGTTTGTCTACGGGATGGTGTTAGTATGACGGAAAGAGGGGCAAGGATTCGAGGCACAGCTTACGGCCAATATGAGTCTGCATATGTCTCTCAATTTTGCTCCTCTGGGGAAACCCTGTGGCGCCGACCTCGCTGCGTGGACAGTCGTCCCAGCCGCAACGGAAGCCCTGAACCCCTTTTTGAGCATGCTTGATGTGAGTTTCTGAAGCGTGCTTGAACAACTCCTCAGAATCATCAAATAGCTGCCCGCAAATACTTGAACTACCTTCCTCACGCCAGAGACACCTGTGTTCTTCTTCAGCGGCCAGATCAAGAGATCGTTCTGCGGACGAGGATATGGACGCATTGCGGAGATGAAGTGAGCTCTCAGGTTTGGCATCTGTCATCTCGACGCTATTGGATAGCGGAGTGAGGGGAGATGGTGTCGCTGACGACCGGCCGGAATCGGACGTATCTAGAGGTGTGGCTGGGGGGGACATGACTTCGGTCGAGGTCAGAACGTGTCCGTTATGTTGCGCCTCGGCCGAAGCACGTAGGAGGTTGGGCATACTGGTGGTAAAGTACGGCCTATGCTGCGCATTGAAGTGCGTGAGAAACGACGCGGCGTCGTGGATCTCAGCTCCGCACTCAACGAAGCCTTGGTTCATCTGGAAGGCTGATCCAATAGGGTTGAACTGGCCGAAGGTAGCGGGGTTGGTAGGGAGAGGCATGTGGCAGTACTGGTAGATTTCAGGATCTTCCAAAGGGCATGGTCTTGTGCAGTTGGAGGAGGATGTGTCGCCGTGAGCAAGCAGCAGGTGGTTAGTAATGTTGCCCAACTGCCCAGGCAGGAAGTCGGGAGGCAACAAGTAAGGCTGCTGAGGCGGACTGGACAGATCGAAACCCATATCACCCATGACTACGGCTTGATTATGAGCGGAGTTGACTTGACACACGGGGGATAGTAGGTCCCTCACCTTGATGTTGCATATCATAGTGGTGCTGAGAGTCCTCTGGTGCGTGGTTGATGGAGATCAGGGCGGCTGCACCGCTGACGACTTCGGACGTGGGGTCGGGGACAGCAGAGCGCTCGGGGCAGGTCTGATCGGTGCAGGCGTCCTCGGTATCGGCACAGGCAACGTCGGTGCACTTGTCGGTCATGGTGCACTCGCTGTCGCAACAGCTGTCGGCCATGGAGTGGCAGTCCTCGTCGGCGCACGGGACACATGGATCTAGCTGGTGGGTGTACCACGACTGCTGATAGAGATTCGCGGAAGGCGGCGCCATGTCGGTAGCGGTACGAAACTGCATAGATAGGTCGTTGAGGCCCATGGGGAAGTCCTGGGTGTCACGCGGCCAACGGTTCTGGAGGGAGGGCTGGCCACCTCGGTGATTAAACTGCTGGAAGCCATTGTAGAGGCCCACACCCATGCAACGGTCGACGCAGAGGTCGTCGTGAGACTCATAGGCGCCACCGGCGGCGGCAGAGAGACGAGCATCCTCGCTTGGTGTCTGTTGGGGGTGCATCACGGAGAAATCGAAGTCGAAGTGGTTGGCGCTGCAGTGGGAGTGATGTCGGTGGAAGTCGTCCCCAGTTCCAGAAAAGCGGTCGTTGGAGTCGAAATGGCCGTCCATGACGGTATGCGAAGGGCAGCCGCCGATGGCTGGCCTCGACTGGGGATTTGAGAGAGGGGGGGTGGGCGAGTAGGGGGTGTGCTGTGAGCGTTGGGATGGGGATTGGAACCACGAGGGGAACCTCTTTGGCCAGCTTCCGGGTTGCGACTGAGCAATTGAGTAAGCGGGTGGTGTGTGGTCTGTTCGTCCTTCTCGAATAGATACACGGCCGTTGATGTCGATCGGGTGTCTCGTGGTGAGCGGCAGGAACCGAGAACCGGCTCTGTATGGGCAATTCGGCGACTTCGCGTGTCTCTTGACAGAGGTGGGAGAGTTGGTTGTGGGGCCGAAAGCTGCGAGGTTGAGATTATTTTGCAGTTAGTGAGAACCTTGACGGCCCAGCCGAGGGCGGCGCGTGGGAGGCACCTTCCTCGCCGAGTTCCGTCCGTTTTTGTGCTTTTCTCCCGTCGCTTTTGTCTTTTTTGAATCTGGAAAAGCTGGGATGATGAAGACTGTCCCCCGGCAATTGAAGTAAATTTAAAAGAATCTCCCAAAACAGCGGCATCCATCAGATACTCGAATTACACAAGTCCATTGTGCGATCGAGTTCTGCCTCATTTGATGGTGGGGCTTGCGACCAACGACCCTGAATGTGGGGGTGACCACATCGATGGGGCCGAGGAGCTCTTCCCAAGTTCTTTCCACATTCGTTCATTGGCTAACTAATTTCTGCCAAGCTCGTGCCCCCATTCATGAATCATCCACTCCTGGGCAGCTTCCATCGCTGAGAGGTCCGGATGAGAATGAGACTACGGTGGATTGGGGTAGAGGAAAAGGCACAATATATCGGGCTAAACCCGCACAGTGAAGTCAAGGAATGTGCCCGTGAAGGCTGAGGTGTAACTAAGGGACGACGTTCTTCTGCGCTCTCCCCAGAGTTGCGGGGAGTTCTTGAATTGGACTCGACACTTCACTCCACTGCCTCAGGATTCAGGTTAACCCAAAGCACATAGTTCAGACGATAGCCCTTCCACCGATAGGAAATTCCGGTACCCGATAAATATCAAACTAGAGTCGATGACCTAGCTCATTCCACCGACACAGCTTCACACTGAAAAATGGCAGGAACATGGGAACTCAGTCCAGTTTGTTGTTTGTATGTCGAGATATACCCGAGCCAAGGGATCTTTGAGTGGGGCAGTCCAACTCACCCCAGACAACTCACCCGAATGACCACCATCTCCAAAGCCGTTCAAACCCCAGATTGAATCCCTGGATACTAACCCCCCCCTACAAACCCGAGGAATCATCAAATACCCCCCCATACACCAACCACCCCGACCCATCACCCGATAGATAAAAAAATAACAATAAAAAGATGGGCAACCTCTGCAGCAGCGAGCGCGACCCCTTCTCGCAACCCGGCCGCCCGCTCGGCACCACACCACCCGCACCCACCTCGGCCTCCGTGCCCGCCGCCGCCAAAGCGCCCCGGAAGGTAGGCGGCCCACCCCGGACCCTAGGCGGCAGCACCACCGGGTCCGGATCAACATCAACAACCGCAGCCGCAGACGACGCCAGAGCACGCGCAGCTGCCGCAGCCGAGGTACGTCATCCCTTCACTCACCTCACCTCACTCACTCACTACTACTACCTAACCCCCTCGTCAAAACCAACCCACCCCCCGAACCGGGGCCCGCATATATATATACATACATACATACACCCACACCCGCCCCAACACCTAATCCGAACACTTAACACACACACTTACCCCTCACACTCACACTCAAACTCACATTAACCCCAACTAACACCCCCCCTTTTCCCACTCACAGGAACGCCTCCAAAAGAGCAAGCAAGGCGGCGGCAAGCTCAAGGCCCAGCTGGACCAGCGGCGCGGCATGACCGACGCCGAGGCGCTCCGGCAGGCCAGCGAGACGGAGCAGCGGCAGCGGGCGGTGGATCAGAGCACCCAGGCTTTGAGTCATAGTTGATGTGGTGGTTATGAGGATGATGATGATGGGGGTGATGATGATGATGATGATGTGTGGGTGGTTGGTGTTGGATGAGTGGGTGGTGGGGGTTGAGTGGGTGGTTGATGGGGTGAGGATGTTTTCATTTCATTCGGGGGGGTGTTGTTTATACGTCGGGGTGTCGGTGTCTGTATAGTGGGCGGTTGAGTGTGATGGGTTGGGCGTTGGTTGGTTTCCATTTTTTGAGGCATCTTTTGAGGCATGTTTACGGGCAGTTATTTGGTTAACGTTTTTTTAGGCGGGCATCAAAAGTTGGTGGCGTGAATAATACCAACGCCATCGAGAGCTCCCCAGATATCGACCCGGACGGCGCCGACCAACCCAGCACTTCCTGATAAACCTATGAGGCGAGTGTTAAATGGGATTAAAATTCATTCTCCGCAGAAACCAGCTATGACAAGAGCAACTAAAAACTCCTATTCGCCTTTCAAATACCGCCTGCTGAACACGTATACTCTCACCCTTCCGTGAGCCCCCCACCCCTATGAACACCGGCGCCTCACGTAATGGTGTACCGCCCGCTCGCCGGCGCCCGACTCTCGGCATCCGCCGCAGCGATCGTCCCTTCCCTGAGCAGACGCGTGAGCTCCGAGAGCGCCTTGCCGACCGCCAGCTCCGTGTCGCCCTCGATGAGGATGTACAGCTTGGGATCGGATCCCGCGGGCGGCTCCTTGCCGGGCGCGTAGTAGTTGCCCTTGGTCGTGATCGACGTGGACGTGGCCTCGAGGATCTTGGCCACGTTGGTGCGGTTGGTGACCGCCCAGCGCGCCTTCTGCGGGAAGTCGTTGATCTCGAGCGTCGCGTGGAACGCGCCCGCGTCGGGACCCTTGTTGTCGATCGGCTGGCCGGGACGCAGCTGGCCGGCCCGCGCGAGGCGAGCGTTGATCTCGCTGATGGCCGAGGCCGCCTTGTCGAGTGCCCCGCCTTTCCCGGCGTTGACCGTGACCCCTCCCTTGACCGCGCCCTCGGCCACGGCAGGTGACGGCTTGGCCTCGCCAGTCTCCGTCTTCGCCGACTCGCGGGAGACGATGGCCGACGCGGCTGCCTCGATGGCCGACTTGGCCTTGTCCTTCTTGGCCGCGTCCTCCGCCGTCTCTTCCTCCTTGAAGTCGTCCTCCTCGCCCTCGGCCTTGTGCGTCTTGCGCTCACGGACGCGCGCCGCCTCGCGTTCCTTGTCAAGCCTTTCCAAGCCCTTGCCGCCGAAGCCACTGGCATCCTTGGCCTTTCCGGCCTTGACCTTCTCCTTCCACGCCTTGCGCATGTCGTTCAGCTGCTCGGGGACAGGCTGCCCGCTCTGTTCGAGCGCTTTCGCGATACCGGGCGCACAGTTCTCCTGCTCCTCCGTGATGAACGTGACGGCCGTGCCCGTGTTGCCCGCGCGCCCGGTGCGGCCTGCGCGGTGGACGTAGTCCTCGAGATGGTTTGGCGCATCGTAGTTCACGACCAACTTGAGCTGCTTGACGTCCAGACCGCGCGCTGCCACTGACGTCGCGATCATGATGGGGCAGACGCCCTTCTTGAAGTCCGAAATGGTCGAGTTACGGTCTTCCTGGTCCTTGCCGCCATGTATCGACATGCAGCCGTACCCGCGCCGCAGGACCTCGCGCAACAGGTCATCGGCCTTCTCTTGCCGCTCGACGAAAATCAGGGCGCGGACATCGTCGTCATCAGCATAGAGCTCACCCAGGAGCTCGAGCAGGCGGACAAACTTCTTGCTCTCGTCCAAGATCTCGACAGCTTGAGTGATCTCAGCAGCTACGACGCTACGACCGCCGACCTGTATCTCGACCGGCTCGCGAAGTACCTTTTTGGTAAGCGCATCGATGATCCTCGGCATTGTCGCGGAGAAGAGGATTGTCTGTCGGTCCGGACGGACGTTGTTGAAGATTTTCATCACCTGTGGCTCAAAACCCATGTCGAACATGCGGTCAGCCTCGTCCAGTACGAGATACGTCGCACGCTTGAGGTTGGTGACGCGACCCGAGTTCGCGGCGAGAAGGTCAATCATGCGTCCCGGCGTGGCGACGATAATTTCTGCACCGCGCTTCAGCTCGGCAATTTGGTCCTTAATGGCATTCCCACCATAAGCAGCGATGGCGCGAAGCTTCAGCGCCTTAGCAAAGGGGAGCAGGTCTGAGTAGATCTGCGTGCACAGCTCTCTGGTAGGAGTCATGATCAGAGCAATGGCGCCGTCATCGCCGCTCACCGGATCTTGGTCCTTGATGTGGCGGAGCATGGGAAGAACGAAGGCCATCGTCTTGCCGGAACCGGTCTTTGCGACACCGATGACATCGCGGCCCGACATGATCACGGGCAATGCCTGCATCTGAATCGAAGTTGGCTTCTCGTAGCCAAGCCCTTCAACGACGTCCAGGATCGGCCGAGTGAGGCCACACTGCGACCACTTCTGGACCGGTTTGGGCACGTTCTTGCCAGAAACTTTGATGCCGTCCAATTCCAAACGCAGGTCGGCTGCCTCTTCCTCGGTCATCTGACTGAGCTCCTGAGGCTCAACCCAGAAGTTCTTTCGTATCCGGTTCAGGTCGATCTTGCTGTAGTCTATCGTCGGGATATCCTTCTTCTTCTTTTTGCTCGCCATGGCAAGTATCGCGGACGGGTCGGCCTTGTCTTCTTCGTAGCCGTAATCGTCTTCGCTGAAATACGCTTCTGGTTCGAACCCCTTCCCGGCGTTCTGCTCCTGTCGGGCGGGCGCCGAGCCGATGCCCCCTGCAGAGCCAGTTTGCTCAAGGTCAGCCATGAATGCATCCAAAGGGTCAACGTCTTCATCAACATCCATAGTAGGGGCTGGTGGCATCGCTTCCTCCTTGGTTTCTTCCTTGGTCTCCCCGTTGGGCGCCTCCGTGTCGACATCCATGGCCATCTCCTCCTTTTGAATGCGCTCGTCACGTCGCTCTTGGAGGACCCGGTGAGCTTCTGCCATATCTTCCTCGTTCCGGGCCATGAGGAGGTCCAAGTCTTCGGCATCTTCCTCCCCTTCGCCCTCCACATCTGGCGTGCTGTCTGCATTCTCCGGGACAAAGTCGGGAAGTTTAACCAGCTTGCGCTTGATGACCTCCTCATCGTCCATGTCGATCTTGCGCTTCGCCGACGATTTCTGGCTGTCAGCAGATTTGTTGAATCCGAACGCACTGACCGCCCTATTCGCCGGTAGCAAGCCGGCACCCTTAAAGTTTGTCTCCTTCTTGATACCTAGCGGCTTCGGCCCGGGCGCGGCCAGCTTCACGTCACCAAGTCTCGTTGGCGATTGAGGCCGTGCTGCTTTGGAACTCTTCGCAATAGCTTTAGGGTCGAACTTGCCGGCATAGGGCATCGGAGGTGCAGGGGACGCCGGGGCGGGACTCATGGCGCCAGCCACCGGGCTGTTCGGGCCTGGTGTACCGCTAGCCTTTTGGTCCATCTCGGCCAAGAGCATCCTAGTACTCCCGGCCGTGACGGCGGCTTCTTTCGCTTCTTTTTGGGCATGTTTTTCCTTCATCGCTTGGAGTTTGCGAAGTCGTTCAGCCTTCTTATCCACCTCTGTCTGGGCCTGAGTCGGTGTGGACTTAGCTGGCTGCGGCTCCTGATAAGCGTCAACATGGAAACGGGCAAGTGGTCGGGGGGGAGGAGGGCGTACCTCGCTGTCTTTGCGCGCGACGCCATCCGATTTGGGAGGCCGAGCGCGTGCGGCGTCACCGCGGCGGGCAGCGGAATCCGTAGAGCCGTCGCGACGGTTGCGGCGGTCCCGGGAGTCGTCCCGCCTACCACGGTAGTCCCGGTTACCATCTCCGCCCCTTTGGCCCCGGCGATCCGGCGATCGCGCTCTGTCCAGGCCTCGATCGCGTGACCAACGACGGTCTCGATTGCTTCCTCCATCACGGCGGCCGCCTCGGTAATAGTCATCGTCTCGGCGGTCTACGGACCGGTCTCTGCGGCGATATGAATCGCGATCCCGGTTGTCGCGGCCATGGTCACGTTCGCGGTCGCGGTATCGGCGCTGCGGGAGGTATGGGTTAGGAAACCATGCAGAGGCAGGGCGTGGGGTACGGAAGCCGCTTACATCCGGGCTGCGAGACCGTCGGCGGTGGTCGCGGTCACGGCGATCATCATCTTTCCGCCTTCGCGCAGCATGACTTCCTGCAGGAGATGGTGAGCGCGAGTCTCTGGGCCGAGCCATTTCTGGTTTCAGTGACGGTGGCTCAGCAGGATGTCACTGGTGGTGAGAAGTACTTCTGGAAGGCGGCCGACACTGGTTAGCGCACTAGATGGATATCCTGCATGTTGTTGCGCGATGCGTGGAGGCGACAGGGGGGTGTTGATGCTGGAGTTGGGATGGCGAGGGGTGTCTCGGTCTGCAGAACTTGGAGATTCGAGACGAGTTCGAGAGGTGGAGCAGACGCGGCGACAAAACTAGGTGGTCGAGGCGTTCAACCGTGTACTGTGCAATTTATGGCGTCAAAGTTAATCCGTACTGTGAGCGTAACAGGCCCGAGTGAGTTTTACATACACAGTAGTTGATGGTTTCGTCCCCACAAACTCCTGTCTACATACTTCGTAAATAGGTAATTGGCATTCCGTGCACAGTAGCTGTAATATGTATGAGTGATTGATGTCTCAGGCAAAATGTAGCTGTTGGTGGACTTGGACTCATCAATGGTGTAATCTATGATCGTGATTGATGAATTTGACTCGTGGTTTCGTTACCCCACCAGGCAATGAGGGCTCGAGGGCTCTTGATTTTAGAGGGAGGTTTCGGTCGGTATGCACTTGGATTCCCCCGCTGGCCGTCCACTGGACGTTTCCAAGTTTTACACTCCCAAGTATTCGTGTGTACCTCCCTCCTGTGTCGTGCACGAATAGTTCGGCTGTGTGCCGCCAACGGGCAGTTCCAGGTTGCATTGGGGAAGAAAGCAGGAAAGCTCGCAAGGGGCGGGGCTGAGGGGCCGTGCGCTGCTGTTGTCCGGCTCCAACCCTGGTTGAGCTCGAATGGGAATAAACAGGGGAGGTTGGAGCTGCGTTTGAGTTTCGCAGAGCTTATCCAGCAGGGCAGAGCTTTAATCTCTTAATCAAGGTGGTGCAACCACGCGACCGCCCGCATAAAATTGCCGAACCTCTCTCACACACCTCTCTCCCCTCCTCCCGCGCCGCACCAATCCAGCGCACCCTCACCACAACAAACCTTGACCCAGAACGAGGCGCACGGCGACTTCACCAATCACCCGAATTGAAACTGTAAAAAAAAAAAAAAAAAAAAAACCCAGATAACTATCGTCATGTTGTCCGCATTTGGCCGCGTGGCCGCGCGACAGGCGTATGTCGCTAGCAGCCTCTCAATTCGCAGCGCAAGCCGCCTCGCCGCACCCGTCATTCCGAGCGGCTTCCGTGTTGTGGCCGTTTTCACCAGAGGCTTCGCCGCGGCCGGCGCCCCGAAGAAAACGGCAACCAAGGCCAAGACCTCTGCGGCACCAAAGAAAACGACTGCCGCCAAGAAACCTGCAAAGACGACGACGAAGAAGACAGCCACGAAGAAGGCTGCGAAGCCGAAGGCGAAGGCCGCAAAGAAGCCAACGGGCGGCAGAGCGAAGAAGCCGCTGACCGACGAGGAGAAGGCCAAGAAGAAGCTCCGCGCTTTAAAGCAGAAAGCATTGTTGAAGGAGCAGCCGGCCAAACTTCCTGTGGCGCCATGGGCCATTTTCGTAACCAACAATTTGAAGGAAGTACTGAACAAAGACCCGAAGCCCGAGTTCGCCGAGGCTATGCGCCAACTCGCGGCCGAGTACAAAGCTCTGCCGCAACAAGAGAAGGAGGTAAGGCTGACGGGAAACCTTGGGTACGCTCCGAGCATCGCAGAAACGTCAACTAACCACCACGGGAATAGAAACTCGATCAAGAGGGCCAGAAGAACAGAACCGCCAACGAGGTCACCCTCAAGAACTGGATCGACAGCCGCACGGCTCAGGATATCCGCGGGGCGAACGTGGCCCGCAGCACCCTCAAGCGGATGCACTCCGTCTCCGTCAAGCCTACCCTTCCCGACCCCCGCTTCCCCAAGAGGCCCATGACCCCCTACATTGCCTTTATCAAGGCGCGCTACGCTGCTCATGCGTTCGAGGACCTCTCGAATCCGGCCAGGGTCTCCAAGCTAAGCGCAGAGTGGAATAATCTCGGTGCTCAAGAGCGCAAGGTATGCCCAAGGCCCATTGCCATGGTTAAATACCCAATGGTTGCTAACCCGTCTGGTTGTTTTAGGAATATGAAGGGATTGCGGCAACCGACTCTGCCAGATTCAAGACCGAGATGGATGCGTACCGGGAGACTGCCCAGGAGAAGTAGGCTTCTACCGCGCCGTGTTGGCAGTGAGAGACCTGCTCGGCCGTCTGTACAATATAAATACCATTCCCTGGGGGTTGTGCCTTTGCGTGTGATTGACGAAGTTTGTCGGAACGGCTTAGGTTGTATATGTAAATATACCGATGTCTGATGAACCGTTCCGAGTTCCTTCTAGTGCTATGTTCACCGAAGACGTGATAATTGTGCCCATTGTGTGCGCCGTGGTGTGTATGTACATGCATATGAGAAGACGACTAACCCAAAGTTTCATTCCTAAAATTTAGCAAACCCAATTCAGGAAGCTGCCCATAATATCATGGCATTCCTGCCCGGCCTCTCCCATGCCAGCCCCTCCCAGCCCGAGCTCGGTATTTCCAAAATCCCAACTCCGTCCAATGTCTATTGAGGGTATCAACCGAAATGCACCAAAACCAACCCGCGACCCTGAGCCCGCGGAGCAGGCCCAACCAAAACCGATCGATATCCAGAAGCAAAACCCAAGACCATACCCCCCCCCCCCCCTCTTTACCCCACCATACCTCAATCCCCCTCACACACCCCTCCCACCGGCGGCGGCGGCGGCGGTGTCCTCACCCCCATAACCACCACCGCCCTCCCCTCAGCACCCACCCACTCGGCACCGGTATACAGCACCCTCCTCTTACTCATCAGATACAGCACCAGATACATATGCCCGACCACCCCGCCCCAGCAATACACGCGCAGCCACGAGAACCCCGCGTCGCGCGTGCACGACGTGCCCCACCCGGCGGCGCCCTTGCCCAGGTAGTCGGCCAGAAAGGCCCACGCGGAGCGCTTCAGCCCGGCGTCCCACCCGCTGCAGTCGACCAGCCAGTAACCGCGCTCGAAGGGCCGGAGGGGGCGGGTCTGCGAGGCGGGCTGGAAGCGTTTGGCGAGGTTGAGGGAGCGCGCGAGGCTGGCGAGGACGTCGGTGATCATGTCGTCTGGGTGCAGGGTCCGGTGGCTGGTTAGCGGGGGTGGGGAGTGGATTGAGAGGGGGCTATCCGGGGGGAGGCAGGGGGTGGTTGTGGTGGTTGATGGTTGGGGTCCGACGTCGCTCGCGCTCCTGGCTAGGGGTTTGCCTGGCGAGGGGTCCCGGGAGGTACGCGGTCGTTTGGGGGGTGGTGGCTCGGAGTCGGCGCGGAAGGAGGAAGAGGCGTTGGTGGGCTGGCTTGGGTAGGAGGAGGCGATGCGGGTCTCTTCGATGATCCCTGATGTCGTTGGTGTTGGTGGTCGGCGGCGTTTCTGGTCTCCGCCGGGCGAGAGGGGAATGACCGTGCCGAGATTTACGTGCGGCGTCTGGTGTTGGATGTTGTTATGTTCTGCGGAGGTTTCTTGGTCTGGGTCTGGGCTTTTCCTCCGGGATGGGCTGGATACAGGGAGCGTTTGGAGCTGTTTCCTTTCGGAGACCGGCGAGGAGGAGTCCATGGTCGAGGTGTAGTGGGCTAAGAGTCTCGTCGGTGTACAGTACCGCGCGAACACGCTGTCATTCTCCGGCATCGAGTCCTCAACAATGCTCGGGGGTGCCACCCACGACGACTGGGATTCTACCACATCCTTTGTTTCGGGCTGTTGTAAGCCAGGGGATCCAAAGTTGTGTGTGACGCTCTGGAAGGAGAGCATTGGGGACTGGATGAATCCAAAGGATGCCGAGTGAGATGCCGCTTTTGTCTGTGGTAGTGCCTTGTGTGTGTTGTCCACACCGAGCCTGCCTACACCCTCATCTTCTGCCGATGGGCCGAAGACAATTGATTTGTGTGCTACCGGCTCGAAGTCCAAGTAGGCAGCCGCTAGGGTCCGATAGTTAACATCATCACTGGCCCGAGCTGGTGCTGCGATATGAACCAGGATCTCTGTCTCTGGTTTATTCATTGTGTAAATCCGGTGAGGGTAGCTCATAAAGGAGGTAAAAATAACGATAAGTGAATATGATGAATATAGAAACTCGGTCTTAAGACTCAAAGTCCAAGAAGGGCAAGGATAGGATGCAATGAAGGAAGCTGTGTGTTTGTCAAATTAACGGCAACGAGTGGAAATATTTGTGAGAAACCCCAAAACTAAAGTCAAGGCCATGAGACTGACTAAACAGCCTTTGTCTGCTGTTTAGTCCGTCCTCCCGATGAAGTCACAATGGTGAACCTGGAAGTGAATAGGCAGGTACCGACCTCGGAAGTACGAATATGCCTGTTGAACGACTCGGGATGGAGTTGTGGAGACAGGTGCCTTCTTGACAGGCTCACAGGCTCACAGGCATATGCAGTTCAGCTCACTGGCAGGCTGCCAAGACCCAACGAGCTGAGAGACCCTGGCGCTCCTGGCGTTTTCTGCCCAGTGGTTCCGCCTAAATGTGCAATGGAAAGGAGGCGCCAAGAGAGAAACATCATCTCTCAGCTACGTAGTTTGTCTATCCGTTATCCTCTATCATCAATTGATAGCTAATTCCACCAAACCGATCTCTAAAACGAAGTAATACCACCAGACATCACAATGGTATCCGAAAAGAGGCCGACTCTCGGCTCCGTCATGGTCATTGGCGGTTGCGGATTCCTTGGCCACCACGTTGTTCGCGTGTTGCTGAGAGACTACAACTGCTCTGTTTCCGTTATCGACCTACGATGCACTCGCAACCGGAGGCCCGAGTCGGATAATGTGGCATACCACGAAGCCGACATTACCGATGCCGCCAAGGTCGAGAGCATCTTGAGCAAAACCAAGCCCGATGTTGTGATCCACACCGCGTCGCCCCCTGCACAATCCAACGACAGTGTCTCGCATGCCCTTTTCAAGAAGGTCAATGTGGACGGGACCGCGGCCGTGGTTAAGGCGTGCCAGCAGACGGGCGTCAAGGCGCTGGTGTATACGAGCTCAGCAAGTGTGATGAGCGACAACGCGAGCGATCTGATCAACGCCGACGAGCGGTGGCCCATGATCCGTGGCAGCCAGCAGACCGAGTACTACTCGGAGACCAAGGTACGAGGCGGACCCTATACCAAGTAGCTAGCGCGCGCAACTCCCACTAACCCGTCACCACCTTCCAGGCCGCCGCCGAAGAACTCGTCCTCGCCGCCAACCGCGCCGACGAATCCCCCAACCTCCTGACCTGCGCCATCCGCCCCTCGGGCATCATGGGCGAGGGCGACACCATGGTGCTGTACCACCTGATCAACATCCTCCGCCAGGGCCGTTCGGGCGTCCAAGTCGGCGACAACGACAACCTCTTCGACTTCACGTACGTCGAGAACGTCGCGCACGGGCACCTGCTGGCCGCGCGCGCGCTCCTCCTGACGGCCGCGACCAAGACAATCCCGCTCGACATGGAGAAGGTGGACGGCGAGGCGTTCCTCATCACCAACGACAGCCCGGTCTACTTCTGGGACTTTGCGCGGTCCGTGTGGGCGGCGGCCGGCTCGCCGCACGGCACCGAGCACGTGCGGGTGCTCCCGCGCAGCGTCGGCATGGTGCTGGGCTACCTCAGCGAGTGCTTCTTCTGGGCCATCAACAAGCCGCCCACCTTCAACCGCCAGCGCATCGTCTACAGCTGCATGACGCGCTACTACGACATCTCAAAGGCCAAGAAGAGGCTGGGCTACATGCCCCTGGTGAGCCTGGACGAGGGTGTGAAGCGGTCCGTGAAGTGGTTTCTGGAACAGCAGGAGGCTAGCAAGAAGGCGTGATGTGGATAGGAGGGGGTTAATGCTGGGATAACGTCCTAGATTTTGAGCGTTGTGTGTACACGGGAAAAAGGGAGTCTACCATGTTTTGATACCTACGAGGAGCGCGTAGCTGTTTTCCCGTTCATGTCTAATATATTAATGGCAATTATCAAGGCGTCGGTCACGGGCCGGGGAGGTAGGGGAATAAGGAACACGTCGAATAGAGCGCGCGCTTGCTTTCTTTCTCTTGACTCAGATGTCCGGCTAGGCCAGACCCGTCATATGCTATGTGCTGATCAACCAACGAGATGTCGTGCGCCACCGCCAGTACTTTGAAGACCAACAACTACTCCAAACAAAAGGGGATCTCGACCCCCAATCCTCAAAACCTCCCCAGCCAGAATGGAAAGGAACAAAGTCACCCAGGAAGTCGGCCTCATCCTCTGCGCCCTTCGATCCCAAATCCCTCTATTCACAGCCATTTCCCAGCCTCTTCCCCCGTTTCCCTGCCCCCATTCCTCTCCTTCCCTTCACCTCCCTCAACAATCCCTTTATCCACACCCCAACCACTACCCGCTCCGCCGGCGGCAACACCGCAACCATCCCGAAAACACAAGCCAACACTGCCAGGAAGCCCACTCACACGTCCGCCCCGACTGACACAACACACAAACATTTGAAAAATGGTATGAAATTTTTTTCTCATGGCTGAACGGACGAAGCGGGAAGAAGTGTGTGAGTGTCTGAAATCTCAAAAATAATAAACGCCGAGCAACCATGCTTGCTTTGCTTGCTTGCCTCGCAATCAATCAGTATTGGTGCATGCAAAAACAAAAAGACGCCGTCTACGCCGAGCCCCGGTGATCAAAGAAGTGGGCTAGAGAGAAAAAAGACTTTCGGTTCAGTCATGTCGGGGCGGGGAAGTCGCAGGACCGTCGTCGCCACCATCAGCAGGCGTCTGCTAGACGCTGCTGGTCGTCAACCCGCTGTTCTGTCTCCCCCACCCCGAGTTGCGCCATTCCCTCTGCTGTTGTTGCGACTGTTGCGACTGCTGCGGATGCTGCTGCTGCTGCTGCTGTGGTTGCGGTTGGAGCTGGCTACCGCCACGGCCGCTGCCATCTGGCGTCGGCGCCCCTTGGGCGTCGAATTGGCCGTACTGCGGCGCGTCGTACGGTCCTCGTTTCGGCGGCGGCGTTCCCACGTGGGGTGGGCCGTAGGACATGGGTTCTTGAACCGGGCGGGCACTGCTCTCCTGCTGCCACTGCGACGGGTCGGTCTCTATCCGCCTGGGCGGTGGGCGAGTGGGGATTTCGTGCCGGCCGACGATCTCGGTGACTTCGGCGTACTGTTGCGGACCGAGTCTAGTTGCGGCTCGATCCGAGAACTTCTTGAGGATTTCTTTGCTGGTCAGCTCCCCCGAAGGGTTGAACAGTCCCTGGTCGTTTAGAATATCGACGAGGTCATCGGGGACCTAGACAACTGTTAGTACTAAGCCAAGGCGGAAAGAATAAACAAACTTACCAAACACATCTCCCCGATGTTTGATATCAACATCTCCACCACTTGGATCGCATACATCGGCTCGTTATCAAAGCTGGACAACTTATTCCTGTCGAATAAAACATTGGGAGCGATGACGGTGGCCAGGTTCTTGATGTCCATCTTGGATCCCGACTCATCATCGACCTGGTGGAACGACCCGACCCACTTCAGGAAGCAGAACAAAATCTCCAAGCAGTCCCGGTTAGGCTTCGGGAGCAAGCAGCAGGTCAGATGGAGACAGTGCCGCATCTTTTGCTCGTCCTGGATCTTTGCGGCAGCCAGCCACAGCCGATAGAGCTTGTGCGTCATCAAGGGGTCCGGTAGCTCTCGGAGGTAGCGTTTCAGCAGGGCGGCCACTTGGACGGCGTGGGTCGAGCTGAAGTCCACTTCTTCCTCCTTATCGAGCTTTTCCACAAGCTCACCGAGCTTCTTGATATTTCCATTCTTGCGGAAGACACCCTCCACGGAGAGATCCATTTGTTTCATGGACGAAATGATATCGTCCACGACGGCGGGGATCCGCAGAGTACCAGGTCCGACACCGTCTGTGGATTCTGCGCCCTCTCTCTCAATGATAACCTCCAAGGGCACGCCGAAAACGCCCTTCTTCTTGACGTTCTTGCGACCATCGTTCTTGAAAGCCTTGCCGATGTTTTTCCAAAAGTTGGCTGGTTTTTTGCTCTCGATGAAACCAAGAAGCTCCTCGAGCGTAAACTCGGATTCGACCATGGGATGCATAGTCAAGACAGCGAGGTGCCTCACGATAAAATATTCCAGCCCGGAGAGTTCGGAAAAGTAGCGCCGGCTGCGTAAAGCAGGCTGTTCGCCAAGGCCGCGAGCCCCCGCCCCTTTACCATCTGAAAGGCTGCGCTGGTGGCCGTTGCCGCCCATCGGCTCGCCGGCTCCAAACTGAGCCTCGGCTGTTGGCGAACGGAAGAGCTCTTGTCCCGAGGGAGGGTAGGGCCGCTGTTGTTCTCTCGCCTGCTCCGCGGCGATGATCCGAGGAATGTCATCCAGCGTTATCGCATCCTGGTTGGGCAACATTATATCCTCTTCATCGATAGGCCCCCTTTCCTCAACGATTGAAAAATGCTTGTTGAAGCCACCCTCCCCTTGACCACCCGCCGATCCGGGGCGTGCGCTACTACTCTCGGGCCCGTCCAGGATTCGGGATGTCCGGGCTTTCCTAAAGCTCGACGACAGGTGCTTATCCAGACGGGTGCTTTTTAGCCTCTTGACATCGTTGAGAGCGCTCTCATAAGACGACTCCCGGTGGTGCCTCGGATACTGACCCCCGTATGACCCTGACCGCGCCTCAGCCGGACCCGAACCATCGCCATTCGGGTCCTCCGGGAAACTAGGGATCGAGCCGCTAGCCCGAAGGATCTCCAGGAGCCTGGCAAGCGCGACCTGGAGCAAGAAGACGTATTGTTGCAGCTTGGTGACATGTTCAAGCGGTGCCGCGTTAGGCGGGGCGTTGGGTTCGCAGGTACTGCAGAAGACCTTGACGTCGTAGGGATTAAGGTGCCCGTCTTGAAGGTTCCGCCCAAGCTCTTTGCCGCATCGCGAGCAGTTGGCGCATCCCAGATGCCATCTCTTGTCCTCAATCTTCGCACACTCGTCCTCGATTGGTTTCCGGCAAAGCGCGCACTGGTCTGAATCATGGGCTGAGAGCTTGGACATTCCCGAGGTTAACTGCAGTGTGGTGGTGGAGTTGTCGTCTGTCTTGAGCGTCTCCAGGTCGTTGAGATCGCCCAAAAAGTGGTAGAGACCATCGGCGTTCTTGCGCTCTTTCTCGATGCGGAGCGCTCCTTGGAGGCAAATCCGGATTAGAAGCTTGAGGTAGTGAGCAAGGCCGGTAACCAGGGTTAACAAATCCTGAGTGACGCCGGGTTTACGTGTGGCTTTGTCCTGGGTCTTGGACAGCAGTGAGAAGAAAGCCACAATCTTCTTGCACAGAAGCTTGGCTTCTCGGCCATAAGCAAGAGCTACACGATGAGGTTAGCGGTCCAGGCCTGCAATGAAAGGGGGTTCATTCCTACAGTTCATCTCGAGCTGACCCATGGACGCGTCAAGCCTATCGGCCGACCGGAAGAGAATATCGACATGAAAGATGAACTTCTTGGCGACCATGACACCGTCGATATATGCGCCATTGCTCACATGCAGAAGCATGTCTGATATGCAAGCGGCTGAAGACTCCTCAAATGTCGACAAGACGCTCCATATGCGGTAAACCTTCTCTTCCATGCGCTCCTCCTCCTCGCGGACCAGCTCCCGGCCAGCTGGGTCATCTGGAATTGGGGCGGTCACCTCCTGGGGTGGGTTGAGACGGACATTCCAAAACTTGTGGATCATGTAGCACTCAGGGTGCCAATGCTGGTTCTGGCCGTTTCGAAAGATCTCGACGAACTGCTTAAGAATAGAGGCCTGACAACCGTTACAGCGCTGGGCAAACTGGGTGGAGTAGTGATAGTGGCAGTACACCTGGTCATCGTGCTCGTAGTAGCTGTCCTGGGCCCCAAAGACGGTCGGGCACAGTGAGCAAGTGAAGTGGTCGACGTGGTACTTGCGCTCAAGGGCAGTGATGTATGATCCCCGCAGTGCGCCGTTGCATTGATGGCAGAGCAGCCCGAGTCGGCGAAAGTAGTCGGTCTCGCAGAGGGGGTACTGCCCTGTGCCGTTTCCGTCATCGGCTGGGAAGAATTTTGAGGCTACGATCTGACCACAGTCCTGCAAAGCGTTTAGTTAGCACAGGGGGCTAAGAGAAGCATGCTATGAAGAACTCACCCGACACTTGAAGCAGTCCAAGTGGAATGTCCCATCCAACGCACGCACGAACTGCCCTGTCAAGGGCTCGCCACATTTCTTGCAAGTGCGAACCTGGCCACTGGCCGACCTAGAGCCCCGTGGCCTCGACCCGTTCCTCTCCCCACTACGTCTCGACTCGGTGTCGGTGTTCTCGGCGCTTAATGAAGGGGAAACCGGCTGTCTCCCCCCTTGATTACCATGTCCCCCATTGTGTCGGGGCATGGCTGGCGTGAGACTGGCAGGGTGTTCTTGCCCCATCCGGTAGGGGAGCTCAGCACCACCGGGCGAATGGTCATGGCCCCAGTCACTACCCGGGCTGCCGCCATAATCGTATCCTGCCATGGTAGACTGATCCTCAATCCACCCACTTTTTGTTTGTCGCACCCACCATGTGGCCTTCTTTGTCAGGAACGCGACCGCAGCGAGGGGCAGGAGGCGATGATGTGCAGGTTTGGCGGCCGAGGGGATGGTTGAGGCGCAGAAGCGGGGGCAGCTCGCTCAGCATCTAACTGGTAATCGAAACCTAAACACGGTCTGGGCAGTCCTAAACTCGAGGTAAAAGAACGGTATTGGCGCAGCGATTGTTCTCGACCGAGGTAGAGGCTGTGGGAGCGATGCACTCGGCGCTGGGAGGCTGGGCACAGTGAATGCGGATGTGGATATGCTTGGTTGAGGCTGAGGGGGGACGGTGTTGAGGAAAGCCACCTGCACTTGTCGCGGTCGGGTGCGGTCGAGTCTCGGCGTTGTGCAGCTGGCTGCGCTGCTGCGGCTTTGTCTGGGTCCTGCAGAGCGGGAAGCAAACCCGGGCGGAAAATGTATGCAAGCGCGTTCGGGTGGTGCTTTCGGATACCAGTGCGCTCGAGTCGGTCGAAGATGACAAGAGACGGAGATGTTCAGGAGGTCAAGGTTGTGCGATCCACTTCCAGCCTGGGTCGGATAGCAGCGATCGACAAGCCCCCGCCACGGCGGAGTGCTAATTTCCAGGCTTTGGTGGGTGGTCTTTAGTGGGCATTGGGCCCAAGAAGGAAGGAGTGAGGATGTGTGCCTAAAAACCGTTGGGCAAAAGAAAGGTTCAGTATTTGACTCGACCTATAATAACAGACCAAAGGCACAAAGTTTGGCTATTTTTCTATTTGCGTTTTATCCTTATTTTGTAGACTTTCCAGACCCTCGAGAACATCCAATGAACATGGATCGACCCATGCAACGAGAGAACAGGTGAAAGCGAGGCACAGCCCGGGCAGGTGCTTTATTTATTATTAGGCCCTGGAAACACACCACGGGCTGGAGAAGCTCTGTCCCCTCCTTCTGTCCGTGAGTTTGAGGTTCCCCTGTCAACGACAGAATGGGGAGATTGCCAGGTTGGGAGCCAAGCAAAGGACAAAAAAAGGCCGACACAGCGAAACAAGAAGGAAATATAGCATGAGTACCTCTCTATCCTCGGTAGCTCGTTTCTCGGTTTCCATCCTCGTTTTGTTATCAGATCTCTGATGGGGTGATGAGAGTGGAAACCAACTTTTAGCTACAAGTATTGTTGAGGGCAGATGTCGAAGGTCGCGCATGCCATAAATTTTATGTAGCCAGAACTGGGTTCTCTGTCAATCATCCGGCAAGTGCAATGATGAGCAACATCAAACCCTTGGTTAACCCGGTTCCAGCTTCAACTTTTTATTCTCAAAACCTGCAACTGAATCTCGTTCCCTCGCTCTGTCACAAACATACCACCACATCCCCCGAACCTCGACGGGGCCCAACAAAGCCAGACATACGGACACAATACTTACAATCCACCTCGTCCCGGATAACTCTTACCTACTATGTAGCTTCAGCGGAATCCAACTTGTAAACCGACTGCCCGAAGCCCTTCGCGCTCATTCCACACACGTGCATCAAACTCCCTCCAGTACCGGAGGCCGAACGTTCCATAGGTACCTACCTAGTTGACCAGCTTTCTCAGCCTCCTCTCAATGATCTCTCTCCCGCCCAACGTATCCCAAACACGGTGAGGTGCATCGTCCACAATGTCCCAGTTCTCCAGGTTTGTGGTGAGATGGCTCAGATCGCGTTGCTATTTCCGTATCAGTCAAGACCAATGTCAGGGTTCAAACGGCGATGCTGATCACCAACCTTGTTCTCCCAGTCCCTGTCTTTACGGATTTGGTGACCTGAACTGATCACCACGAGCGGTGTATCTTTATCCTGGATGGCACGGCTGGAGACCACATCTCGCTTCGTGAGCGACTCTGCCACGAGGCTTTCTTGGAGTTTGGCGAAGACGGTGGTTCCTGACTGATACGAGGAACGCCCCCAAACGCGGTCCACGGCCCGTCTACCCCTGAAAATGGCACCCAGGATACGGTCAATCCCACAAGGCGAAATGACGCCTCGGATCCAGAGGAGGAAACCACGCCCAGGGCTACCGGTGCGCGCGAGGAGGTCTTCGTGGAGAGGATCAATCATGAGAATGCCTCGCACCTGGTCGCCGTGGCGGGAACTGAAGACCCGCGAGTACAAGGACCCGATACCAGCGCTGGCGAGTATCCAACTGTGGCCAACCGGCTTGTCAGCTTCTATGTTTTTCCACCGGTCTTTCCCTGAATCGTTTGTTACTTACGGCCCTTCTTCTCCCGCTCGGGTGAGTGTTTCGCTCAGGCCGTCCGAAGCGATACTGGCGGAGAACGGGGATGGTGCGGTATCACTCTGGCCCTGTGTGTCAGCAGACTGGACTGTGCTGCTTGGGAAAAGACGCCATCATCAACTTACCCACGCCATACCCGGACGGTCGGCGAAGCAGAACCTATTGATCGATCCGTTCTTGACGGCATTTTCGGCAAACTGCCATAAACCAAGCTCCACCGGGTCCTCGCCCCCCTCAAAGAGTACCGTGGTCGTCCTGTTCCCAGCCGCGTCGGTTTCGTTGCCATAGCAGAACAGGTGGATTTGATATCGGTCACCATCCACCCAGTACCGCTCGCCGGGAGGTGGGAGACTGAAGTCGATGGCTCGCAACGTCAAAGTAAGCGTCATAAGTGCCACGATACATGTCATGGCGACCAGCACAACGGTCGATAGCGTGACCTCTGCCCACTCCAGCACCGTGCGCCTGCTTTCAGGGCGGCCGGTCAAGCGCTGTTCCTCCTCCGCCTTGCCCCATTGCACTGTTCGGTCGGCGGCCACGAACCAGGCCGCCATCAGCGCTGCCCAGATGACGCTCGCGACGCCGACCCAAATCTCGGCGTGCCGCAACCCCGGAACCACCAGGATTATGACGGCGTCGACAAGCAGCACGACCGCGTTGACAATGCTCAGTATCCTCCCTAGCTTGCTAGGGACGGAGAAAAACAGCAGCAAGATGATCAGGGTGAGGAGCGCGAGCGAGGCATAGTCGAAGGCGAAGAAGGGAGATCCCCGGACATGCAGGCCGGGGGGCGTGATGAAGACGGAGACGACCATCAACACCCACCAGACAAAGGTGATGCAGGTCAGCGCGACGGTGACCCAGCGAACAAAGCGCACGGTCCAGAGATTGTACGGCGAAACGGCCGGGTCGTCGGGCGAGAGATACGGTGTGCTGTGGACGCGGTTCGGCAGGAGCCGTGTGTGCTCGTCTACCCGGTCGTCCGGCCGGGTGTCTTCGGGGGCCCGGTCCGGGGCCGAGTTCCGTCCGGGCCGGTCCTCGTCCGTCTCCTGCCGGTTCCAGAACTTTTTCATGGCTTCGGATGTCTCAGATGGGATGACGTCAGGTGCGAGATGTTGTGCATCTATACTAGTACGCGGACGACCTAGGAGAAAGAAACAGTAAGTTGATGTGCCTGAGCCGGGGATTATCACTGTTTTGAGAAGTCTTGAATATTAATCTTAGTCCCCGTCCATCGTCTTCCTTTTCTTATGAATTCCGGATCACAAAAACTTCGCCTCGAATTGACACCGGGCCTCAACCACTATCAAAGACGTCATGGTTCGGCGGCTTGAGATGGCAACGTGGGCCACCCATTGGTCGACAAGCCGGAGCAACAGCGGCAGATCGTCCGTCAAAACGGGCCACATGGCCCCCCTTTGCTTTGTCGACGCCAGGATCCCATGGAGCTATATGTCTTTTAGGCATTTTTATGTCGAACTCTCTGTCCTCCTTCTCATCGCTACAACACGTCAATAACACCGCTCCTTCGCTCTTTTCGTGCGTTTGCTGCTGCATGGTCGTTTACCCCTCCCCGCAAGTGTCGGGTCGGCCCAATGACAACAGCTAGGTCTTCAAGCAGAGCTGCTCTCCACCGCCGTTCTCTCGGCCGCTTCCAATGTACACCATCCCATCTTGCTTATTGTTTTAAAAACAAGTCTCAAGGGACTTTCAACATGCAGGAAATACTCGCACTCCCGAGCGACTCAAGCAACCACTTGAGATAGGATTGGTTGAATTCCCAGCCCCGTTTCAGCCGCTCGGCCCTATGTAAGGGAATGTGTTCAGCAAATCCGGCGTAGCCCCCTGCCCGCTGTATGCCGACCACGACCCCGAAAATGAGACCTGTTCTTTTAGCGCGCCATCTGGGCGTTTACTGTGACCATTCTTCCTCCGGTCTGCTGCTTTCTTCCGCGCCAGCGCTTCCGGGGTTGGTCCGGTCGAGGGCCGGATGGCGTCGGCGGGAATTTCACCGATTGGGGCGTGCAGTTTTGCATTGGGCGGCTCCGTGTCTTTGGGAGAGATGCCTGCTTTTTTGAAGGATTCCTTGCGGTATTGCCTGAGGGCTCGGGCTGAGGGTTCGCTCGTTGCGAGCCAGGCTGCGAGTTTTTGGGCTTTGCTTGAGAGCCACGGCTCTTTCCTGCTCACGGTGCGTGGCTCTGCTTTTTGCTCGGCTGTCTGCGCCGTGGCTCCGTGGCCGTCTGTCGACGCGAGCTCCAAATCTGGGCTCAAACTCGGGGCGTCGGTCGAGGCCATGACCGAACAATGGCTTTGAGGTGCTTGCCGAGTAATACCCTCGTTGCTAAGAGTTCCGACATGGGCTTAAATCTTTGATAGCACAGCATAGGATGACCTGTCCTGGAGGTATGTCTTGCCGCGCACTCGTGAGCTTACAAGACGGCCATATCGAGAATGGCGGATATGGAGTCGGATCTCTGGCGAATAGCCCGGCGAGAAAGAAGCCCAACTAGACGGCCGGTCGCCTTGGACGAACAGCGTCAAACCTGTCACATGTCAGTGAATACTTAACTTGGGCAGCTGGGTGACACACTTGGTTTAAAAACAGATGACGCTCACGTTGAAAACGGGATTAACAACCTGATTGCAGGAAAGGTAGATTTGTGAAACAAATTGAAGAAACGGGCACATCGACGAGACCTATTGTACGGTGAACCTCAAAAACCAGATACCGCTTTTCAGCTGCAGGAATTGATGCATATAGCAGGGATTGCACTGGAAGCTCGGGAACGGAAGTCTGCTTCTAGAAGTCAAGAAGCTGGGCTGGTATCCCAAAACTAGCGTGATTATTGGATGGAACGAGCACATGGCATGGCCAAGCGGACTCGATGCTTACATTGCATTGTCGCTGCAGGTCTCCGAGACATTCGACGACGCCACTGCAGCACAACTCGAACCGCTCAGAGAGAGAGAGCGCAGCTGCTTGAACTTTAAGCTACCTTAAGTTGCTTGCTTGACACGCCCCGTGACAGTTCACCCGAGTAAAGTTCTCTAATAATGGAGTTGTTGAATATTCCTTCTTTTCGACGCGATCAAGTGGTACTTGATAATAAACACATTTGGCTTTTATCGTTCAAGTTCCGTCTCACCACTTCATTGTGTGGGCGTTCCGATCTTTTCTAGAAGCGAGAGGTTGCAGCTTCCATCCCATTTTCGTCGAGGGTGCGGGGCCAGGGCGGAAGGCAAGCAGCAGTGCCGACAGTTGATTCGCTCAGAGCTCAGCCAACAAGGGGACCCAAGCGACCGGGTGGCGGGGTTAATCGTCACTGAGTGGCACCCTGAACCCAGGATCCTTGTCGCTCATTGTTGCTTTGACCAGACCTACCTGTGACTCTGCCGCGCCCACCTTTCTCAACCTCAACATCAAACATCTCTGACCATGCCGGGCCTCACCATCACCACGGACGTCAGTCCCTCCCCTGCGACGGCAGAGGCCGCCACACAAACGCCTCTGCGTCGTCGCCCGTCAGCCTCATCGCGACCGGCATCGCCATCTCGCCCCTCCGTGAGTCCCATCACTCCGACCCATGAATCCGCAGAGTTTCCGGCCGCCCATTCCACCCACCCCGCCCCGACAGCGATACCAGACTTTGCATCCGGCCGACCGATGTTCACACACGCAAACCAGGTTGACCAGGTTGGCGTCGCCCCCCCGCCAGCGCAGCCCATCGACTTCGAGTCAAACCCAGACGTGCTCGCCCTCAAAAGCGCCATCTCGATCCTGCAAATCCAGCGGGCCCGTGCGGCTGCCGACATCCAGTCATTAGGCCGCGCTCGGGATGCCGCCCTCGCTAACCCAGAGGCGTTCACCGCCGACCTCGCAAGCGGCAGCGTACGGATGGAAGGAGACCCCCTCCTGTCAGGGACGCGAGGGTCATCAGGCGGGGTTCTTGCAGAGGAGGACGATTCCGACTCGGATTCCGACTCGGAATCCGGCGCCGGAAGCAGCACCCGGCAGGAAGTGACGCCCGAATCCGAAACCAAGACCGACAACAACAACAACAACAACAACAACCGCACAGCCCCCACGAACGGCACCGAAGCAGCAGCAGCAGCAGCAGCAGCACCAGCCTGGCAGAAACTGCCCAAACCCCAGACCGTCGTGCGCTGCCCGCCCGTCAACTGGGCGCAGTACGGCGTGGTGGGCGAGTCGCTCGACAAGCTGCACGCCGAGCAGGTGGCGGCGCCGACGCCCGGCGCGCCGAAGGTGCTGGGCCAGGGCGGGGCCTACGAGTTCAAGGCCGGGGCCGGGGTCGGGGCCGGGGCCGGCAACAACCAGGGTACCAGTAGCGGCAGTGGTGGTGGTGGTGGTGGTGGTGGTGGTGGGGAGCCGTCACGGCGGCTGGTCGGGGTTGCGGCGCCGTATAGTCCGATGAGGGATAAGTTGGAGAAGAAGGGGCGGGGTGGGAAGCGGTGAATTTTCAGTTCTGGAGGTGGTGGTGGTGGTGTCTTGGGCCGTTTTTGAGCGGTTATATATGGGATGAGATGGGATGATATGTGGTGTGTAACGAGCGAGGGATCAAGCATGGATGGATGAATAGCATAGCAGGGCGTTTTGAGGGTGTGTGGGGGTTTATATATCAGGATTCATCTTTGTTTTTATCTGTAGCAAGATCACACGCAGGATTAGGAACACACGTGGGATGAGGAAGAGTCTCTGTCGTCAGTGTGTCATCGGGCCCGAAGTCAAGGACGAGGCACTCCACGCAAACTGCTTAGTAGGGTTAAATCCATACATACACGTATCTACACGCCGCCGCTTCATTGAACGAAGTTTATGTAAAGAAAAAAGCCCCGAGCGCGTTCTTCCAGCAGGAAACCAGGCCGTTGAGTATCGTCACACCCCCGTAAAAGCAGACCAAAACCCAGACTCGTAACTCCACCCCGGCGGACCCTGCCTGTCCCCCCTAGCCATGTCCGAACGCCGAACGGCTTGGTTTGGGATTCCGTAGACCCAACAAGCTGATGCCATGTCTGAAGAGTCGAAATGAAAGAGAAAATTGCACGCGAGCTGGATATGGCGTCCACTTAGAAGTCCCTGCTATTTGTTAGCCGACACCGTCGTGGTTGCCCGGGTCCGACAGACTTACTCCATGGACTGCTGGACTGACCGCCGCAGGCGCCGGTTGTACACCCGCCGGTCCTCGGGCGAACCCCAATACAGCTTAAATGCCTCGGGGTGCACCAGCGTCCTGGGGTCGTACGGAGGATGGTCCTCCTCCAAGGCCTCGATTATTGCCTCGATATGCGTCTTGACATCCTCCCGCCGAGTGGACGGCACCACGTAGCAAGGTGTGCCGTCCGCAGCAATTCTGTGGTGGAACAGGCGCGTTTCGAACTTGATTCGTGGTTGCTCCTCCGGGAACCGGGGGCTGAAGAATAACCTCGCCCTGAACAACCCTCCGTCAAGATTCGTCATGGGCTTTCCAAAGTATGTCAAGACCCAGACGAAGGGGTTGCCATCAACCAGCTCAAGGTTGTGGGCAGTGCCGGACCGCTTGAAGAACTCGACGATTTGCTCAAACTGTCTCTGAAGGTTGACCGCGACTGTAGTATCCTTAGACTTGGCCGCAAGTCCCTCCACCGCCCAAGCTTCCGTCTCCGCGTCCAAGGCCTTCTTGATACCGTGCAGCCGGCGCTCGAGTTCGCTGTAGTTGAATTTCCCCTCCATGGTGTTGTTAGAACCTTCGAAAGGCATCCGCACAAACGGCTGGCCATCCTTCACCTCCGCCATTCCTTTCTGGATGGTAGCGAGGTACGAATCGTAGTACCACAGGAATCTGCGCTTGCACAGATCCTTGAAGGGCTCAAACGGGGTGCTGGATTCGTCCTCGATGGTGTCCATGTCAAGGTCATAGTCCTCCTTACTGGACTCGGGAGTCGTGACGGCACCATCAAGACCGATCTTGAGGTATTCTTCCAGGCGTTGGATGACGGAGACTCGGAGTGTCTCGTGGCGGATCTGCACACTCGTTAGCCTCGCAGGCCCCGGACGACTGTAGGTCGCAGTACCTTCTGCACGTAGTCCTTCTGATTCTTCTTGTCGGAGGGCTCGTTGGCGTCCTCAAAGCCGGGCTCGTTCTCGTAGGGGTTCGAAGACATTAGGCTCTGGATCGATAACAGGATGGACTCTAGGCCCTGTGCGGCAGACCACTCTTCTCCCCGCTCGCCCCGCCATGTCCTATTAGGTGTTAGCCTCCCGTCGAGAAATGACCGTATGTAGGTCGTGATCAATAGGCGGAAATTACCCTAGAATTGACCTATGACCCAGTCAGTTTGCATTTCGCATCAGGCAATAGGGAGGGATTTGCATACAGGCATACTCTGCCATTGGAATAGATGTTGGGATTGAACCTGCACCTGCCTCCATTTGTCGTGATCGCGGTGACCTGTGGTGACTTTCTCGGATACTCTGAATAGACAGTCAGTTTCCTCAGCTAGAGCTGAAGGTTCCTCGCGTGGGCTGTGTACCTTTGTTGAATTTGAAGGCAAACTACTAATGTTAGCAGGTCGAACCAACATTAACTAGTTGTTACCCAATTACCTCAAAAAACCCAAACTCATAGGGAGTCTCGTGCGGTCCGATGATCAGCGCCTTAACATTTCGAACATCGATGTCGCGACAAGCAACGGCGAGCGCTGGCGAGCAACGTTAGGTGGGAGGTTGGAATATTCGGCTCGGGGCCATGCGCTGGGGCTTACAAAGATCCGAATTCTTCTGGAGCTCGCTCAACTCCTGTGACGGGGACGGCATCGCCGTTATGGTCAGCCATACAACCCCGCGCCAACAGAGGGGAGACAAGGGACCAGCGAGAGCGACCCACCTTCGTAATTCGGAAAACGGACTGGTCTGCCATTGCTGCAGTTCACCGATGTATTCCTTGTGAAAAGGAAGGATACTTCATCGACTGCTGGAGGCAATCGGTCGATTTCGGGGAAGATATGGCGCAGAAAAAGTCGTGGTCTGGCGAGGAAGAGGACCAACTTCGGGGAGGAGGGTGATGGGCGTTTGATGTAACTTGAACGCTGAGGTCGCCCATGGCGGGGCCTGCCCGATCAACGAAGGCGGACCCTGGCCGGGCCAGCAAGGGCCTCAGCACAGTGCAACTTTAGGCTGCAAACCGCCATTCCCATGGTGGGCAATGTGTGGGGCACTGTGACCAGCGCCTGGGGCGGCACGAGAGCGGCGACTTACATTCAATGCTGCCTATGAACAGGACCAACAACATAAAACAACTCCTCAATTTGCCAGCGAGAGTTTGATAAATGACCCATCAAACCACACTAGTCCGTTTGACGGATAAGCACGTTCAAGTGATGTTTTAGTCTCCCACCCCCAACCCCACTAGGCAACGCCTCGTACAACAACCCTCTGAAGAAGTGATTGTCGTTCAGCTTCGGATATTACGGACATGCAGTTTCACATCAGGTGATTCGGTCGGCGTTTGGCATCTGTTCAGCTCGATCCCTATGTGCACCTTACGCAATCCCTGAAGGGACATGTGTTTGTGCATAAGCATCTGGATATACTTAACTGGTAGGGCTCAAAGTCCAGGTGAAGTTGGGCCGTGTCAAGCGGGTCTGGAGGGCCCGAAGGCCTTTTCACTTTGGGTGCAGGGTCTACGGGTACGGAATCCATCCATATCCATCGAGGCTGTAACATCTGAAGACAAGCAACCGGAAGGTCGGGTACCTGATTATTGGACCAAGCCCGTGGTGAGTACCAATGGAGGTTACGGTGCTGAGATCGATAGATCTTCGGCGAGGTATCTTCCTTGAAAATCCGAGATAATACAATCAATAATACGAATGCAGCTCTAAGTAAGAATGTGAGGCGGTATCAAGGAACCCGAAGCCACATCCCCATTTCACTATTTTTTTTTAAGTGGTTGTGGTTCCTGATCTGAAAAGTGACATGCAACTGAAGGTCCAGTGAGGTAGTGGGGCATCCGAACCCCCTGTGCAGAGAGAGGGGCTGACATGGCGCCGGGCTGACGCGCGACCACCAGAACCCTGGCGCGTCTTCTCTCAAACCCGACGCGTAAAGTGCCTGCACCGACGAGAACCAGCAAGACCGCAAAAAGTCGTTTACCACAACCAAGATACCTACCTCAGCACCTTAATCTCTCTTATTAGCGATTCTAACTCAAAATACTACTCGCGACCTGCCATGTCAAACTTCTTCGATCTCAAGGCCCGAAAGGCGGCAGCTGCAAATGGGGCGACGTCGAGCAGCACAGAAAAGCAGAAAAGCGAAACCACAAAAGTACAGCCTTGGGTCGAAAAATAGTATGCCACCGCTACACTTGGCGTTCAACCATATGGGATGCTAATTGATGCTATCTAGCCGACCCAAGACACTTAGCGATGTGACAGCCCAAGACCACACCATCACCGTCCTCGAACGGACGCTGCAAGCCTCCAACGTAGGTGCACTCCACCTGACCAGCAGCCGACTGCCCGTTAGCTAACGCCGTACCCAACCACACAGCTCCCACACATGCTCTTCTACGGCCCCCCAGGCACGGGCAAAACCTCGACCATCCTCGCGCTCGCCAAGGAGCTGTACGGCCCCGAGCTGATGAAGTCGCGGGTGCTGGAGCTCAACGCGTCGGACGAGCGGGGCATCTCGATCGTGCGGGAGAAGGTGAAGGACTTCGCGCGCACGCAGCTGACCAACCCGCCCCCCGGCTACAAGTCGCGCTACCCGTGCCCGCCCTTCAAGATCATCATCCTGGACGAGGCCGATAGCATGACGCAGGACGCGCAGAGCGCGCTGCGCCGCACCATGGAGACGTACAGCAAGATCACCCGCTTCTGCCTCATCTGCAACTACGTCACTCGCATCATCGACCCCCTCGCCAGCCGCTGCAGCAAGTTCCGCTTCAAGAGCCTCGACCAGGGCAATGCCCGCCGCCGGCTGGAGGAGATTGCGGGGCTGGAGGGGGTGGCGGTTGAGGATGCGGCTGTGGAAGCGCTCATCAAGTGCAGCGATGGTGATCTGAGAAAGGCGATTACCTTTTTGCAGAGTGCTGCCAGGCTGGTCGGTGCCAGCGCCGGGGCGGGCGGTGGCGAGGACGGTGACAAGATGGATGTGGACAAGAAGATGGTCACGGCCAAGGTTGTGGAGGATATTGCCGGTGTGATCCCGGACGATACGATTCAGGAACTAGTCAAGGCAATGCGGCCACGGGCTGCTGGCGAGACGTACCAAGCTATTGCTAAGGTGGTCGAGGAGATGGTTGCGGATGGCTGGAGCGCTGGGCAGACCATGGGCCAGCTCCATCAGGCTGTTGTCTACGACGAGACGATCCCCGACATCCAAAAGAACCAGATAGTTATGGTCTTTTCTGAGATCGACAAGCGGCTGGTGGACGGCGCGGACGAGCACCTCTCGATATTGGATCTCGCGCTCCGTATCTCGGGGATTATGGCTGGGCGGTAATTGAAGCGGCAGCGAGAAGGGAAAAGGGTGCTCGGCTCGATGGCACATGGTGCAAAGCAGGCACGGTCATACCAAAGGCGTTACGGAGCAGGCAAAGGAATAAATAGGGTGTGCTGTTCATTGCTGTGATTTAAGAGGCATCTTTCTCGGCTCGAAGCAGCCCGAGATTTCCGTCCAACGTGTCCCACACCGTCTTGGGCTGCGCCGGCTTCTCTGCCTTTCCGATGGTATGCTTCCGCGCCCCGGCCGTCCTCCCTGATGGGCGGCCTTCCGCCAACCAGACATCATCCTCCCCGGCCTTAGCCCCCTTGTCTTTCCGTTGATTGTTTGGGGGTTGCCCTAGCAACTCTTCGATCTCCCCAAACCTACGCATCGTGCCCTCGAGCGCAACCTGTCCCTCCTCAACCTTCTCGGCCACGGCTTCCAAAGTAGAGATCTTGGCGGAGTCGGCCGCGAACACCCACGGCCTCACCCGGTCGGAGGGCCCAGGTTCTCCGGTCATCGACGTAGCCTCGGCAAATGCTGCATTGGCTCGCACCCCTCCTGGCATTGGATGCGCCGGTATGAGATGACTCTCTTCGGCCAAGTGGTCGATGATCTGGCTGTTTTCTTTCACCTGCTTGGAAATGGTTCCATTGACGTGCGATTTGTGGGCGATAAGCCCTTTTTGCTCGCGGGAAATGGACATCAGTTGCTCGAGGTACGGGGAGAGAAGGTGTGCCGTGGGAGGCGGTTTGGGTGTCGTTAGAGCTTGTGGTTTCGCTTCCTTTGCGGGGGGCTTGATGGTCGGCTGCGGTTGTTGGCTGACAAGTTGAAGAAGAGTCTTTCTCGCCTCGAGGTATTGCGCATACTTCTCCTGGATGCTAGCCAGCTGCTCCTCCATGTTAAGAGACTCTGCATGTGGCCGATGCTTCTGGGCTCCCTGCCCCTCCGCACCACCATCCTCCCCTGCCGCCTTGCCCAGCTCGGTCTCGATCCAGTTGATAAGCGTCTCCCTCGTCTTGTTCAAGGCCTCGAATTTCGCGCCTTGACTAACGCTCTCTGGCCTGACGGTGGATCGTGACTTGATCTTCTCCAGTAGTTGTTCCTCACGTTGCAGCAGGAGCTTCGTCTGCAGAACGTGCTTCTCCAGTTGATCGACGAGCCCCTTGATGTGTGGACCGGTGTTTGCATTGTCAAGCGTGAGAGCAGTCACTAATTCCCTGGGCATATCAGGAAGTGGCCTGGAATCCCTGAAGATTTCCTCGGGTGCCAGGAAGTTGGGCGAGGCGGCTGGTTTTTGGCCCAGCGAGGTAAGACCCCCCTCGATGACTTGCAATTTATCGCGTCTTTGTCGAAGGCGGATCGCGGTGAGATGTTCCTGTAGTCGGTCTGCACCTTTCTCATCGGTGCTCGTTGTATTTTCCTTTGGTCGCGGCTGCTCATGGCAACAAGCGGCAAACTCATCACGAGCCTTGATATTTGCGCTCAAGGCCTCGAGGTATTCTTTCTGCAGACCCCGAGCGGTCGAAGGGGACGAAATGTGATCCGTACCAACAAGAGCCAGGGGGCCAACTGCACCGCCATCGTTGATGCATGTGCCGAGATGAACAGCCAAAATCTGTCTTATACGTGCAACTTCCTCTCTCGGCCGGATGTAAGGTTCGAGTGTTTTTTGTATGTTTTTGAGAGTTTCCTCGCTTGATGACCCCATTTTGAGCCAATATCACGTTGTCACTGCACTGTCGATTGAGATGTTGATTTTAGAATGCCATTGTCGCGACACACAAAGTGTCGGTCAGGAAGTCGAGAGTGCAGGTCGCATGCCTCTGAAGATCCGATAGAGGTTGTCCGGTCCACTGGGCTGTCTCGGCACAGTGCCTGGGGCTTGCTTGACAGCGGGGAGCTCCCAAAGCTCACGCACTCGCTAGCGCAACAACAGCCAATCAGGGGCCTTTGCTGTTGCAACTGCCCAAAAATTTCCGGCTTGCCAGGCGAAGTTGCAGGCAAACAGCAACGTCCCGTCCTCACTCGCGAACGCGACGACTATCAACTTTTCAACATCACAATTTTCTTTGAGTTCGTTTTTGCACCCTCGACTTTTCCCCCTCGATGCGGTGCAGCAACCACAACTTGTCCGCGACATAGAGACATCCTGGTTTGGGTGGGGTCGGACTGATTAACGCCACCAAGCTGCAGGCAGAGCCGACGCGGCGGCGACATTCGAGTGCAGATATATATCATCGCGACCTGAATCCCATCCCATTTCCAGTCGACCCCGAGATACCCCTAATAATCCGCCCAAGATGTCCGACTATCAGCGCGATGTCTCGCAGTACAAGTACTCGGCCATGTCCAACCTGGTTCTCCAGGCGGACCGTCGGTTTGTCACAAGACGGACTGACGAGGCCACTGGAGATCCGGAGTCGCTGGCCGGGCGTTTGTCCATCAAGGAAATGGGTGGCCGTGTAGGTCGGGGCGCAGCGCCAAAGACGAAGAAGACGGGCGCCATGCCGGATGTGGAACGAGGGAGCATGCGGGAGGGCGCCGATATTCTACGACATATGAAGCAGCAGAAGAGCAAGGCGGACGCGCGTGGGGGCGGTATCCTGTCTGGCGCCGACGCCTTGATTGAGGGCATCCGGTATCGACCCCGGACTCAGCCTACCCGCGATGCCTTCAACCTCATTTTGACCATAGTGGCAGAACACCTTGGCGATGTTCCCCACGAGGTCGTGCGCAGTGCTGCCGACGCGACCCTAGAGTATCTCAAGGACGACGACCTGAAGGATTTCGATAAGAAGAAGGAAGTCGACGATATTTTGGGGGTCTCGATGAACCCAAAGCAGTTCAACGAGCTAATCAACCTCGGGAAGAAGATTACGGATTACGATGCACAGGATGAAGACGAGGACATGGAGGATGTACAACGAGCCGGCGAGGACGAAATCGACGGTCGCCAGGGTGTCGCTGTCAACTTTGAGAACGAGGATGATGATGACGGACTGCTCGACGTCGTTCGGGACGAGTCCTCGGAGGACGAGGACCAGGACGAAGAAGATCTCCCGGATCTCCCAGAAACGGCCGAGGGCGGGGAAGCAGGCGAGGACCACGACGAGGAAGAGGTGGGGTTGGCCGACGGCGAGGCTATGGTGATCGATGCTGTCCCCCAAGGAAAAGCCAAGTCGGAAGAGCAAAACTCCGTCCCAGCCCGGGATATTGATGCGTACTGGTTGCAACGCCAGATCGGCCGACTCTATCCCGATGCCCACACCCAGCACGACAAAACCCTACAAGCTCTGAAGATTCTATCAGGGGAGCCGGATGAACCCGATGGCGAGGAGAAGCAGCTTCGGGACATCGAGAACGACCTCATGGAGCTGTTTGACTACGAGCACCATGAGATCGTGCAAAAGCTCATCGAAAACCGCGAGAAGGTCGTGTGGCTCACGCGCCTAGCAAAGGCGGAGGGCCAGGAGGACCGCGACACCATCGAGCGGGAGATGGCTTCTGAAGGGCTGCGATGGATCCTTGACGAGCTGCATGGCAAGTCCAAAGACGGCCAGAAGAAACCCAAGATGGAAATCAAGATGGACATCGACAAGAGCACCCTTGAGGATGGGCGGCCTCAGACGGAGGAACAACCCGAAGGGCAGTTGGTGGGGGGACTCCAACCTAAAAAACTCATCAACTTGGAGAACCTCGTCTTCGACCAGGGGAACCATCTCATGACCAACCCGAGGGTCACGCTTCCGGACGGCACGACGAAGCGGACTTTCAAGGGATACGAGGAGGTCCACATCCCGCAACCCAAACCGCGGAACGACCCTAGTGACCTGAACATCCCGGTTTCCGAATTGCCCGAGTGGGCTCAATCGCCCTTCAGTACGACCAAGTCCTTGAACAAGATCCAATCCAAGTGTTATCCTTCCGCCTTCCAGGATGACGGTAACATGCTCATCTGCGCCCCGACAGGCAGTGGCAAGACAAACGTTGCCATGCTCACAATCCTTCGGGAGATTGGCAAGAATAGAAATAGCCGGGGGGAGATTGATCTGGATGCGTTCAAGATTGTTTACATCGCCCCCTTGAAGGCCCTTGTCCAGGAGCAGGTTGGAAATTTCGGGAAGAGGTTGCAGCCGTACGGCATCAAGGTGTCAGAGCTGACAGGTGACCGCCAACTCACCAAGCAGCAAATATCGGAGACCCAGGTCATTGTGACGACCCCTGAGAAATGGGATGTCATCACGAGGAAGGCAACCGACATCTCATACACAAACCTCGTCCGCCTTATCATCATCGACGAGATCCATCTGCTGCACGACGACCGTGGTCCGGTCCTGGAAAGCGTTGTCAGCAGGACGATCCGCAAGACCGAGCAGACGGGTGAGCCAGTCCGCATCGTCGGCCTGTCCGCTACACTTCCCAACTACCGGGATGTGGCCAGCTTCCTCCGGGTTGATTTCGAAAAGGGCATGTTCCACTTTGACGGGTCATTCCGCCCATGCCCCTTGCGGCAAGAGTTTATTGGCGTTTCGGATAAGAAGGCTATCAAGCAGCTCAAGACGATGAACGACATCACCTACCAGAAGGTCCTCGAGCACGTTGGCCAAAACCGCCATCAGATGCTGGTGTTTGTGCACTCGAGAAAGGAGACGGCCAAGACGGCAAAGTACATCCGCGACAAAGCCCTGGAAATGGAAACCATCGACCAAATTCTCAAACACGATGCCGGTACCCGCGAGGTCTTGAGCGAAGCTTCCAACTCGGTCAACAACACCGACCTCAAGGATATCCTACCTTACGGTTTTGGCATCCATCACGCCGGCATGAGTCGGGAAGACAGGACTGACGTCGAGGAGCTCTTCGCAAGTGGACACATCCAAGTGCTGGTGTGCACGGCAACCCTTGCCTGGGGTGTCAACCTGCCCGCCCATACGGTTATCATCAAGGGCACGCAAGTCTACTCTCCAGAGAAGGGTAGCTGGGTCGAGCTGAGCCCCCAGGATGTGCTGCAGATGCTTGGCCGTGCGGGCCGTCCTCAGTTCGACAAATATGGTGAGGGCATCATCATCACCACCCAAGGCGAGATTCCATACTATCTGTCGTTGCTCAACCAGCAGTTGCCGATCGAAAGTCAGCTTGCGAGCAAACTCGTCGATAACCTGAACGCCGAAATCGTTCTCGGCAACATCCGAAGCCGCGACGAGGGCGTGGAGTGGCTTGGCTACACTTATCTCTTCGTCCGCATGCTTCGTTCTCCAGGACTTTATAGCGTTGGCGCCGAGTACGAAGACGATGGCGCGCTGGAGCAAAAGCGGGTTGACTTGATCCATTCCGCCGCGACGGTCCTGAAGAAATCCAACTTGGTCAAGTACGACGAAAAGACCGGCAAAGTCCAATCCACAGAGCTCGGGCGCATTGCCTCCCACTACTACATCACTCATACTTCGATGGACACGTACAACAAGCTCATCCAGCCATCCATGAACGACGTCGAGTTGTTCCGCGTCTTCGCTCAGAGCGGCGAGTTCAAGTACATCCCCGTCCGTCAAGAGGAGAAGCTTGAGCTCGCCAAAATACTCGCCCGCGTTCCGATCCCCGTGAAGGAGAGTATCGAAGAGCCGACGGCCAAGATCAACGTTCTTCTTCAAGCCTACATCTCCCGCCTCAAGCTTGATGGATTGGCTCTCATGGCTGACATGGTTTACGTCACCCAGTCCGCTGGCCGTATTCTCCGCGCCATCTTTGAGATTACTCTGAAGAAGGGCTGGGCCTCTGTCGCCAAGCTCGCCCTGAATCTTTGCAAAATGGCCGAGAAGAGGATGTGGCCCACCATGTCACCTCTCAGGCAGTTTCCCAGTTGCGCTATCGAGATTGTGAGGAAAGCAGAGAGGATAGAGGTCCCGTTCAGCAGCTACTTTGATCTGGACCCTCCTCGCATGGGCGAGTTGCTTGGCTTGCCAAAGGCTGGCAAGACCGTGTGCGGTCTCGTCTCTAAGTTCCCTCGGGTCGAAATCCAGGCCAATGTACAACCCATGACAAGGTCGATGCTGCGTGTCGAGCTTACCATTACCCCCAATTTCGAGTGGGACGCTGACGTTCACGGGTTGTCTGAAAGCTTCTGGATCCTCGTGGAGGATTGTGATGGCGAGGACATCCTCTTCCATGATCAGTTCATCCTGCGCAAGGACTACGCTGAATCGGAGACCAATGAGCACACCGTCGAGTTCACGGTGCCCATCTCCGAGCCGATGCCACCCAACTACTTCATATCGGTCATCTCCGATCGGTGGATGCACTCCGAAACCCGCATGGCAGTGTCATTCCAGAAGCTCATCCTGCCGGAGCGGTTCCCTCCGCATACAGAGCTGCTCGACTTGCAACCCCTTCCTGTGTCGGCTCTCAAGGCCAAGGACTACGCGGCCCTTTATCCCGACTGGCAGCAATTCAACAAGGTGCAGACACAGACCTTTAATTCCCTGTTCAACACCGACAACAATGTCTTGGTGGCCTCGCCAACTGGTAGCGGCAAGACCGTCTGCGCGGAATTTGCTTTGTTGCACCACTGGGCGAATGAAGACTCTGGACGCGCAGTCTACATCGCGCCGTTTCAAGAACTTGTGGATCAACGATTTGAGGACTGGCAAAAGCGCTTTTCAAACCTCCGTGGGGGCAAGGACGTTGTGAAGCTAACGGGTGAGACCTCCAGCGACCTCAAGCTGCTCGAGCAAGGAGACCTCATCCTAGCCACTCCCCTCCAGTGGGATGTCCTATCCCGGCAATGGAAGCGGAGGAAGAACGTTCAGACGGTGGAGCTGTTCATCGCGGATGAGCTGCATCTTCTCGGCGGTCAAATGGGGTACATCTACGAGATCATTGTGTCTCGGATGCACTACATCCGCACACAAACAGAACTCCCCATGAGGATCGTCGGCCTCAGCGTCTCCCTGGCCAATGCCCGCGACGTCGGCGAGTGGATTGATGCCAAGAAGCATGACATCTACAACTTCAGCCCGCATGTGCGCCCGGTGCCGCTGGAGCTGCATATTCAGTCCTACACCATCCCTCACTTCCCGTCCCTTATGCTCGCCATGGCTAAGCCGACATACCTCGCTGTTACCCAGTTGTCGCCAGACCAACCGGCCCTCATTTTCGTTCCGAACCGGAAGCAGACCAGAGCAACGGCTCGCGATATTCTCACGGCCTGCCTTGCGGATGACGACGAAGACCGGTTCCTACACGTCGAAGTCGATCAGATCCGGAAGCTTCTCGACCGAGTCCAGGAGGAAGCCCTCGCCGAGGCTCTATCTCACGGCGTGGGTTACTACCACGAAGCCCTGAGCCAGAGCGACAGACGTATTGTCAAGCATCTCTACAAGAACGGTGCCATTCAAGTACTCATCGCCTCTCGCGACGTCTGCTGGGAGCTTGATTGCACGGCACACCTGGTCATCGTCATGGGTACTCAGTACTTCGAGGGCAGGGAACACCGTTACGTCGACTATCCTCTAAGCGAGGTCCTCCAAATGTTTGGCAAGGCCGTGCAGGCGTCCAAGGACGGGCGCAGCCGCGGCGTCCTCATGCTTCCGGCCGTGAAGAGGGAGTACTACAAGAAGTTCCTAAATGAAGCGCTACCGGTTGAGTCGCACCTTCACAACTACCTCTACGACGCGTTCGTGACGGAGATCAGCACCAAGATGATCGAGTCGGGTGAAGACGCCATCAACTGGGCCACATTCACGTATTTCTACCGGCGCCTTCTTGCCAACCCAAGCTACTACAGCTTGACAGACCCGACGCACGAAGGGCTGAGCCAGTATCTCTCCGACATGGTCGAGGCGACGTTGAAGGAGCTGGCTGATTCCAAGATCATCGACATGGACGAGGACGACGGGGCGGTTGCGCCACAGAACGCTGCGATGATCGCGGCCTACTACAACATCTCGTACTACACGATGCAGACGTTCCTCCTATCGCTCAACCAGAAGACCAAGCTGAAGGGCATCTTGGAGATCGTGACGTCGGCTACCGAGTTTGAGTCGATTCAGATCCGGCGGCACGAGGAGGTCATCCTCCGGCGCATCTACGACAAGATTCCGGCCAAGATGTCGGTGGTGGCTTATGACTCGCCTCATTTCAAGGCGTTCGTCCTGGTTCAGGCGCACTTCTCGAGGATGAACTTGCCGATTGACCTCGCCAAGGACCAGGAGGTCATCCTGACCAAACTCCTCAGCCTACTAAGCGCCGTTGTCGATATCCTCTCGTCCGAAGGCCATCTGAACGCGATGAATGCTATGGAAATGTCGCAGATGGTGGTGCAGGCCATGTGGGATCGCGACAGCCCGCTGAAGCAGATTCCCAACTTCACGCCAGAGGTGGTCAAGGTGGCGAACAAGTACGAAATCAATGACATCTTTGACTTTATGGAGAAGATGAACCCCGAGGAGAACGCCGACTACGGCTCGCTCGTCAACGACCTCGGCCTCTCTCAGGCACAGCTCGCGCAGGCGGCCAACTTCACAAACTCCAAGTACCCGGACATCTCGCTCGAGTTCGACGTCGAGGACAAGGAGAACATCCGCGCGGGCGAGCCGGCGTACCTCAAGATCCACATCGAGCGCGAGGTGGAGGAGGACGAGGAGTTCGATCCCACGGTGCACGCGCCGTTCTACCCGGCCAAGAAGTCGGAGAACTGGTGGCTTGTGGTTGGCGAGGAGAGCTCCAAGACGCTGCTCGCCATCAAGCGGGTCACGGTCGGCCGGGAGCTCAACCTCAAGCTAGAATACACGGTGCCCACGCCCGGGCGCCACGACCTGAACCTGTTCTTGATGAGCGACAGCTATGTCGGGGTCGATCAGGCGCCTACTTTCTCGGTCATGGTCGAGGAGGGGATGGATGTGGACGAGAGCGAGGAGGAGGAGGAGGATGAGGAGTAACGTGGTGGAAACGGGTGTGTCAAGAGAGAAGAGATGGGGTTTTGGACAGCTGTACGGTACACAACGGAGTTGGACGGGGCAATTCAAAATGCTGCATTTTTTGTTTTCTTTCATTCCCAACCCACGGCTCGCCAGCGGGCGGTTCTTGGAAGAGGTGGACGACATCATCAGGCTGAACCGAGAAGCGGTGTGGGGTCTCGGCTTGTTGTGATCAGCCATGGGGAGCAGGCATCCGTGCCGGGTTGTGTCGGGTGTTGCCAGCCTCGGACACCTCGCCCGGAAAGTGGCAAAGAATCGGGGGGACCTGGAACCACGGGGGAGGGGGGAGCAGCAGATTTGATAGAGAGATGGTGGTCATGGTGGTGGACTTTGGGAGAGGTTGTTTTCGTGTTAAACAGTTGTTGGAACAAGATGGGGTGTTCTTTGACCAGCTCGTGTCTTTGGCGGGTTGGTGAACATTGGCGTTGGGAGGGGGTGAAGGGGGGCGCGGGTGCGCGGGTGGTCGTTGGCGTCGTGGATCTGACGCACGCCCGCAGCCAAAAGCCCAGCTCCTCCCCCTCCACAACTCCGCCGCCCGTTTCTTTCATAGAACCAAGGAGACTGCTCCCTCGCCAAGACGCTCGGACCAACCAACTCGTGTGCTGCCCTCAAATAATTTCTCTTTCCTTCACGGATGCTCTCCATCTGCATCTTCGGCGCAACCTCCCATCCCCATTGTCTAGCGCCTGCGCATTGTGACCCGCACCCCCCATCAGCGCATCCCATCAACTTTCATCACTACGCGTAACCGGGTGAGAAGCACGTAGCCTCTGGCCCACATTTACGCGAAGAACGCGTCGACTTTCTACCTTTGCACGCCAAACACCTCCATCAGTCGCGTGCTGACATCACATCGCCACCTCGCGACACCATGTCTGGCGAGAAAGGTCAAACCACACCCCCGGCCGAGGGCGCGCCGCCTGCCGTTGAGACCAAGGAGGACGCGACCAAGAAAGACACTGCCGATGCCGAGATGAAGGATGCTCCTGCCACCGAAGCCAAGGCCGTCGCCGAGTCTGGGGCTGAGCCTGCCGCTGCGGAACCGAAGAAAGACTCTGAAGGTAACACCTACCCTACCCCTTTGCACAGACCGCATCCTCGCGCGTGTCACAGTTTCTTTTACTAACCATTCTATCCTCACCCGCGCAGCATCCGCCGAGAAGCCCGCCGAGCAAAACGAAGACAAGTCCGACGTCGAGATGGCAGACGCTGCCGCCCCATCCGAGCCTGCGCCGCAGGCTGCCGACGCCGGCGAACCCGCAGAGGCAGAGCAAGCCGATCAATCCGCCGCCGGTGGAGAGGCCGATAAGTCCAAGTCACGGCGCAAGTCAATTGGCGGTGGTGCCGCGAAGGGCAAGAAGCTGAACAAGAAGGCGTCGAAGCCGCGCATGCTGAACCTGGATGCGGAGCCCGGTGACCATTATTTCGTCAAGCTCAAGGGGTTCCCGCAATGGCCCGTCATCATCTGCGACGAGGACATGCTGCCGGCATCGCTGCTGAAGTCGCGACCCGTCACGGCAAAGCGCGCCGATGGCACCTACCGCGAGGACTACGCCGACGGGGGCAAGAATATCGCCGACCGGACATTCCCGGTCATGTACCTCCACACAAACGAATTGTGAGCCCCCTTTTCCGTTTACCCTGGCATTGGTCTTCCCCATTGCGTTCCCTGCAGGCTTTGGACGCTAACCTAGAGCTCTAGCGGCTGGGTGCCGAATACCGAGTTGATCAAGCTTGATCCCGAGACGGTCCTGGACGCCAAATTGGACAAGATGAGGAAGACGCTGCAGGCTGCGCATCACCTGGCGTCAGAGAACCACCCTCTGTCATACTACAAGGAGGTGCTCCAGAACTACCAGGAAGAGCTCATCGAGCAGGAGAAAGCCAAGGCGGCTAAGGCGGCGACACCCAAGGGCAAGAAGTCCAAGGCTGTCAGCGAGGATGGCGACGATGTGGATATGGAGGATGCCCCCGAGGTTGACGAAACGCCGGCCAAGGATAAGAAGGCTAAGAAGAGGAAGGCTGAAGACAGCGCCGAAGTGAGTTTCCCTACTAAGCCGTCAGAGTCATGCACAGCCACTAACCTCACCAGACACCGCGGCGTTCGGATTCGGTCAAGAAGCCCAAGATCAAGCTCACAACGAGCGCGACGCCCAAAGCAGCCAATGGCGCGACGGCTACGCCGAAATCGACCAAGGCGACCGACTCCAAGAGCGCAAAGTCCAAGTCAAAGAAGAAGGACGCGGATGATAAGAAGGCGGAGGAGGCGGCAGCTGCTAAGGAGCCGGAGCTCTCGGCCGAGGATAAGCACGTCAGGAAGTCGGTATGTTTGACGAGCACTTGCAACGCCGGAAATTGGGCAAGAGACAACTAACACAGCGTGTAGAAAGAGGTTCTGTTCCTCAGGCACAAGATCCAGAAGGGTCTGCTTACGAGGGATCAAGAGCCCAAGGAGGACGAGATGAAGTTGATGTCGGACTACGTCACCAAGCTCGAGGGGTTCCCCGACCTGGAAGTCAGCATCATCCGGTCGACCAAAATCAACAAGGTGCTCAAGGCGATCCTGAAGCTGGACAACATCCCCAAAGAGGACGAGTTCAATTTCAAGTCGCGCTCGCAGGTCCTGCTAGACAAGTGGAATAAGTTGCTGGCTGTCGACGGGACCCCGACTGCGGAGGTGAATGGCACTTCCAAGGCGCCTGCAAAGGCCAACGGCGTCAACAAGAAGAGCGAGGCGGCCAAGGAGGCCGAGGAGGCGCCCAAAGACGACGCCAAGGATGAGTCCAAGGAGGCAGCTAAATCTGACGAGGCTGCGTCCGAGGCTGCTGAGGAGAAGCCGGCTACTGAAGAGGTAGGGCTCTAATCTCTGGTATTCTTCACTGGCGTTTTAAGCTGACCCATCTAAAGAAGGCCGCTGAGGCTGTCGAGGCATCCGCATAGACGAGTTTGTCTCGCCTTAGATGGTGAAGCTGAGATTGGAATTAAGCCCTACGTCGGCAATGCTTCGCGACGGCGGTTCCCCCATTTCATCGGGCCTGAGCCACCTCGACGTGGGCTTGCCTAGCCAACCGACCAGCACAACTAGCAGCTACGGGGCAGGAATCGATTGAAATCCTGGGGCTTTTGTAAAACTAGGAAGGATACAACCATCCATCCATCTATCAACTTTCCTTTTCTTTTCTTTTTTTGCACATGGGCAGTTCTTTGCGTCGGAATCCGGGTCTCTGGGGTGGGTGTTCTGGTTCAGTCAAATACAGGCGTCCGTGCTTTTTCGTTTTTCCCTTTTTTGCGGGCATTGACTACCTATCTTTATCCCGTCGTTCCTTTGCTACTCTTTTCACAGACATTCCTGACATTCCTTATTAGGACCTGGTGTGGTTTGTCCTTGATGGCGAGGAGTGAGCGATAGATAGGGACCGGATGGAACCTGGAAGTGTATAAAAAGCACAGTAGTGGCACCAGCAGCAGCAGGACTTTGCAAAACTGAGTTAGCTACCTTATTTAGAGAAGCGGCGAGGGCGAGGACTTGCTGGGCCGTTGCTTGTGTGGTGTGGGGTGGTGCTGGAGCGGAAGAAGGTAGGGGGGGGGTTATCTCTCTAGGTATTTCCTAGGTACATGTACCTAAAGTGGCTAAGGCTCGTATCTGCGTGACTCGTTGTGCGAGGAGGATAACAACGGATGAGGGACAGAGAGAGAAAGTGAGAGGGACGGAGAAAGGGTGGCTTAAAATAACTAGGAGCTGCGTGAAGAGGGCGGTCGGTCAGCAAGTTCGTCAGTCAGTCAGTCAGTTGTAAATTGCTAGCGATCATATGAAGCTAAATAATGAGTTTCTTTTGGGTGCTTCTCAGCCGAAGTGAAATAAGTAGTATTAAAGCAGAATTAACCCGAAGACAGCAGCAGGGCGAGGTGGTGAAAATGTGCCCTTTGAGCTGTCAGTGAACCTCCCTAGTTAACGCCACAGTCTAGGGAGCAAACAGTGGCGCAGTAAGAGGGTAAACAGTGGCTAGTGACAGAAAGCATCGCGTGAACCTTCACAACGTGTTTAACACGTAACCGCGACTCATCAACTCAACACACCAAGATGGCTGAAAATGAGTATAATAACGTGTCATATGAAGAGGATGACCACAGGGTAATTTTATCCGAACTTCACTTCATCACATCCAGTGTACCACGACCACTAACTCACCCCCCCAACAGGTAGCCTTCATCTTCAACGCCAACCCCGGAGACAGTAGTAGCAGTAGTAAACCAGCTGCCCGTCCTACTAAGAGGCGCAAAGTTGTCAAGGCAGATGCACCGGGCCCGCAGGAGGGGCTTCAAGCCGGACCTGCATTCCCTCCACTCTTCAACGGTGCCGAGGGACCCGATGCAGTTCGCATACGGAGGGAGCTCTTCGAGACGGCGTGGCCCGTTCTGGAGGGCCGTATTCAGGTTAGATTGATTAGACCGAACATTTGTGTTGTGTTTGGGGAGCTGTCGAGTCTTTGGTTGCTGACGCCCTCTAGCACGTCCTGAGGGAAGCCAACCGCGCCACCCTCGACCAGGTCTCGTCGTTCTTGCAGCAGGCCGCTGAGGTTGAGACGTAGGTTTCCGGGCGTCTGTAGTATGGGGGATTGGATACTGACTGATTCTTTGTGCGTGCAGAGACAAGATCCCGGCAGGCTTCATCATCACCGGCCCGAATATCGCATCCCAGGACCTCCTGTTCGAGCAGCTGGCTGAGCGGCTCTGCACGGCGGCCCGGGCGCGCTTTGTTCGACTGCGGGCGTCGGAGGCGCCGCATCTTAAGGCGGCGTTGAAGAAGATCATCCGGGATGCCACGGCGAGGGCGGCTGATGAGGATGACGATGTGGATGCCGAAGTCATGCAGGGTGTAGGTGTCTTGGACTTGGTCTCCGGGTGAAAGAGAAGAGTGACTGACTTGGCCAGGGGAGGAAATACCTCGATTACGACCTCGAATCGCTACACGTGTTTTTGAATCAGCAACAGCAGCAGTCGCGGCGCGTCGTTGTCGCGTTTCAGGACAGCGAGGCGTTTGACAGCGGCTTGTTGACGGACTTGATCACGCTCTTCCAGTATGATCCATGCCCATGTCATATGGATTGAGAATCTCAACTGACTCTGAACGACTAGTTCCTGGCGTGGCCGCATTCAGTTCGACCTCCTCTTTGGCGTTGCTACTTCTGTCGAGTTGTTTCAGGCCCGCCTTCTCAAATCTACCGCCCGCCAGCTCTATGGTGCCCAGTTCGACGTCGTGCAGGCCAACTCCGTCCTCGATAGCGTCATCAAGAGTGCTGTTGCCGGAACACAGGCTAAACTCAGGATCGGGCCGTCGCTGCTCCGGAGTCTGGTCGAACGCCAGCAGGACCAGGTTGCCGGCATCCAAGTGTTTATCAGTTCGCTGAAATACGCCTACATGTGTCACTTCTACGCGAACCCGCTCAGCGTGCTGCTTGCCAGCCATGACAGCTTGGACCGCAAGCTCCTGCAGCCGGAGCACATCGAAGCTGTCCGGACCCTCGACTCCTTCAAGGCCGAGACCGAGGCCGCGGTCGACGCAAGACAGCTAAACCACGCGCAATCCTTGATTGAGGATGATGACTATCTAGTTGGACAGATTCTAGAGCAGGAGGAGAAGCGACAGGCGTATCTGCTGCGTCTCTTACGCGCACTGCATCTTCTGACATCCACCGGCCTGAGCTCAACTTCCTTCACGGACCTCTACATCCTCGCCCTAGGCGATGGTATCGATATCGATCAATCGTCCGGGACGGTTCCTCTGGAAGACGCCGTGAAGCGGCAGGGCCCGGACGAGTTCCTATCACTTATCGACCGCTTGCTAAGCGCCGTTCAAGCCGGAAACTCAGAACTAGGCCTCGAAGGCTGGGAGTCGGATGCCGAGGATTTCGTGACGTCGTTAACAGACCTCCGAGACGAAGTTGACGGCCTAATGGAGCGCACTAAAAAGGGTAACGGCACCGCCCTCAAAAGCAAATACAGCGCTCAAAGCAGAGTCATGCGCACCACCGTCGTTGCGCAGAAAGTCCAGCTCAGCCGGGACTCGGCAACCCTGTCCGAGGAAGACAAAGCCTTCACCAACGCCATCGACGCTTTGTTGGGCCTCTTGTCCCAGGCTTTACAATGCGACCCGGTTGACAATCTCTTTCTTCACGAGGTTTGGGTCTTCGACTCCAAGTCACCCTACCGCGACGTCTTTGTCCCCCGCCCGGGCGCCACCTTCGGCCGCGCCCTCTCCCGCCCGCACGACTACCTCGCTTGTGCGTGTTGTGGCAGAGCGAACGGCGGGCTTGGGTCGACACTGCCCGCCACGTCCATCTTGTACCACCTCTATCTAGAGGCCGGCGCGCTCATCAACGTGGCAGATCTGTGGTCGGCATACTACGCCCTTGTTGGCGAGGAGTCTGACGTCGGGCTTGACGAGCGGTCGGCCCTCGTCCACTTCTACCGCGGCATGGCAGAGCTCAGGATGATGGGCTTTGTGAAGCAGAGCAAAAAGAAGGCTGATCACGTTGCCAAGTTGAAGTGGCTGTAGGCCAACCGGATCCGGACCAGCGTCCCCGACAATAACCCCCCGACAATACTGTTGCTGTTGAGAATGTATTGTTGGGAATTCGGGAGCGGCGGGAGGTATCTTTGGAATGCTCCTTCATGCCCGTCCTAGACAATGTCTTGGTTGTTCTCAGAACGGTCAAAGGCGGGCCGAGGAGTTAAAGATGTCTCACCCACCCAAAGATAGCAGCAGAGGGACAAAGATATGGACGGGTAGATGTCCGATTTTGGAGAAAGGAGCGGCTTCCCAAAGGACCGGCTCTCCACTGTGAGCACTTACAAGAGCATGAGACGCCCCGCCGAAGTTGGTGACGTTTTCCGCTATCCAGTGTCATTCAGCATTCCACCAACGAGAGTCGTTTGTCTGTTGTGTAAAGACAATAGCCCAACTCCGGAAGAGATTACTATATTCTGCTGCTGGCAGCATCTTTCTTTACAAGACCGGCTTTGTCCAGCCAGCATAACTACAGCTTTTCTCTCTCAGTTTCACTTCTCTTCCTGTCCCGGCTCATCCACATCAACAAGTCTTTAGTCTCCCACTTTGAAAGGAGACCTCTATAATAATATCAATTACACGCTGCTCTCGTCACTCTGACCACAACTCGGATATCAAGCCACCTCCGAGTTGAGTTCAAGCATCACCAGAGCACACCGTCCAACAAACCACAACCACAACAAAAACCACCGCCAAAATGGAGCACCCATCCCACCAACAACCCGACGGCTTCCCCCCTCCCACCCCCAGCTCCCCTCATCTTCCCCCCTCCCCAACCCTCTCCACCACCACCACCACTTCCACTACCACCACCACCACCACCGCCTTCGGCACGCGCCGCGCAGCCCAAAACCCCGCCTTCCAAGCCAAGCTCACACAAATGTCGCTCCAACTCGCCCCGCTCGTCCAACTCACCACAGGCACGATCCACCCGGCCTTCCCGCGGACCTTGCTCGCCTTCTGGCTGCTGACCGACGACCAGCTCGACGCCCTCGCCCACTTCTACCACCAGCGCACCCCCTGCCGCTGGACCCGCCAGTACCCGTGCCCCGTGGCCTGGCCCCCCGGCTTGGGGCTGGAGGAGAAGAGGCGGAAGCTGGGGCGGTTTATCGGGCTGCGGGGGTGTGAGACGCCGATTGGGGAGCTGATTGAGAGGGGGGTGGTGGAGGTGCTGGGGAGGACGGAGGCGGAGATTTTGGAGGCGGCGAGGAGGGAGAGGGAGGAACGCGGGGGTGGGAATGGGGGTGGTGGGGATGGGGATGAGGTGGAGGAGGTGAGGAGTAAGATGGGGTGGTATTGAGGTTTGGAGTGTTGGGTGTTGGGGTTTCTTTTTTTGTTTATGGATGGATGGCATCTTAAAGTGAGCGAGCGTGGTTGTTGGTGTTGTTCGTGTTGGCTTGGAGATGGGATGCATCAATCACGGTTAGCGATGGCTAGTGGTAAAAAAGGGTTGATTTTCAAACCCCCCAAAAATAACGGAGGACGCGGTTTGACAAGTTAATTGCCTTGGTTGGGCCTCGATAGTCAGATCGTGAATGTAATTGACAGGCCGGGATGAGCATCATATATACTTGGGGCATGCTCATTAAAGTAAACAGACACCCTACCCAACCATCTCTTTAAAATAGGTAGGCACACCAACAAAACAACTGCCATCGTTCAACCACTGAATAAAAACAACCCAAGGCAAAACCCTATGTCCCACCCAACGCCATACACGATGCTGTCGACGGCCCAGGCACCCTACTACCCCTTTTACTATACAACGCTACGCCCGAGCGCGCACTCGCTTTCGCCCCTTCCGGTGGCCCCCCGCAGAACTCTATTTCTTACCGCCCTTCTTCTTGGAAGCCCCTGATGGGGTGGCTGACGGGGTGTCTGTCTCCACCAGAACGGGCTCGTCCTCGCTGCCGGCCAAGCTGGCCTTGGTCTGGCCCTTCTCCGACCCCTCCTCCTCCGCCTCCAGCTCCTTCATGAACTCGGTCTTGATGTTGGTCCGCCGCTTCTCCCACCACTCCTTGTCGTTCTCCGTCTGTGCCTCGATCTCGTCAATCCGGTCCCGCAGCGCCTTGTTGGCCGCGATCTCGTTGGCGGACTGGAAGATTATTTGGCCCCAATTCGGGACGAGCGCGTTGGCCTGTTGTGCTTGTTAGCGCGGCAATTGATTTGGCATTGGGGGTGGTCCGTACCTCCATCACAACATCCCGTAGCTCCTCCTCCATCTCCTTCTCGGCGCGTTGGAACCGTTGCCACAGGTCATCGCCGACGCTCCCCCGTTGCAGCAATGAGCTGCAGGCTTGCTTGGCGGTACGGATTTGGATGATGCGGTGGATGTCCTCAACGGCGCGCCTGAGGAGCGCGGCCCGGATCACGCTGTCGGGGACCTTGGGCGCCTTCTCGGACCCCTCCTCGGGTTCCATATGCAGCAGCGACAGGTAGATGTTGCGTTGGAGATGCGGCCCGAACCACGGAGCAAGGTTAGCGCTCTCGACTAGAAAAGCGCATTGTTAGCATCCATATGATGATTGCATTGCTCGCAGCCGGCAATCATGTCAAAACATACACGCTTTCCTCTTGCGGTAGACTCGCGAGAATGTCACGAAAGTGCCGACCAGCACTCCCAGGTATGCCAGGGGCAACAGCAGCCCCCGCCAATCGATGTCGAACATGGTGTTTCTGGAGTATTCCCTTATTCCCTAAAGAGTGAGGAGGAGCGCGGTCTGAAAGTGTCGGGGCTGGCACCGTGTCGCGAGGTACAAAGGCAAGGTTTTGGCCGAGTCGTTGCGAGGTCGAGGTCTGTGTGCAACTGTCAACTGTAAAGGTGGCCTGCATGTGCCCTGCCGAACAAGGCAAGGTCCGAAAGAACAGCTTGACAACTTTTGAGTCTTGGCAGCCGACAACTCGACAGGGGACAAGGGGCCTGTGCCGCTGGGGCCCGGTCGGTTGATATGACTGTACCGAGTACTCCCCCACGATATGCATCTACACGGTATCTTTGTGCGAGCACAGCTGAGGGTGGGGCGGAGGGGCAGCTCTATCTAGGCAGCTTGATGAATGACGAAGGCGTCTGTTGAGGGCCCAGTCTTCGAGAACTATCTTTTACATTTAAGTTTCAAGAAACGCGGTGCAGAGCACGGCCCGCCAGCTCTAAACTATTTATTTCATCACGCAATAAAAATCCAAAATACAAAAGACCCGGCACACACAATATCGACTAACTGCAGTCCATCCCGCCTTCGCCATGCTGTTACGACTGCGCTCTCCCGATGGCATGTTCCGCCTGACGGTGGAGAAGGACGATACATTTGGCGAACTTGTTACCAAGGTGATTAAAGGACGGGTTCTCTCGTTCCACCATCTCGAGGCTAACAGTCTCGCAGCTTGTCCCACAGCTCCCTCCGACCGTCGATCCAAAATCCATTACCCTCTCGAATCATCCCAACGGCGGCGACGCGAAGAAGATTGGGGAAATCGCTAAGTTCAAAATCACCCAAGTTGGGTTAAGGCACGGGTTCCCGCTCTTGCTTGCGAGGTGTCGAGGGAGTGCAATACGGACCATCAAGACTAACACCTGCGGAATAGCCACGGCGACCTCGTCTTCGTCAGCTACCAGCACCAAGAATCTGTGACAAATGGCGGGACAGTAAGCGATGGTCTACCAACGTCACTCCAGTCATCCACAAACCGGCTCAACGGAAAACCGATTTTGCCGACCGAAGACCACCCGATCGACCCGCCGCCCAACACATCTGCCGAACGGATCAAGAACCCTTGGGAGGTAGTCAGGCAATCTCCGCTTGACGACAGGCTAGACAGGCAAGATGGCAAGATTCCAAGGAAAAGGGATAACAAGATGTGTCGCCATGGGGCGAAAGGCATGTGCGACTACTGCATGCCCTTGGACCCTTTCAACGCCCAGTATCTCGAAGAGAAGAAGATCAAATACATGTCGGTGCACGCCTACATGCGGAAGACCAACTCAGCGACAAACAAGCCAGAACTTGGGAGCTCCTTCATTCCTCCACTTGTCGAGCCCTACTACCGGGTGAAGCGCGACTGTCCCTCGGGACATCCCGAGTGGCCCGAAGGCATCTGTACAAAGTGCCAGCCGAGTGCTATCACACTCCAGCCACAGCAGTTCCGTACGGTCGATCACGTCGAGTTCGCCTCGCCACAGATTATAGATAAGTTCCTGGACGCCTGGCGACGGACTGGATCGCAACGTTTGGGCATTCTTTACGGCAAATACATGGAATACGATGTGGTACCGCTCGGCATCAAGGCCGTGGTCGAGGCCATTTATGAACCCCCTCAAGTCGACGAGATGGACGGGGTTTCGCTCAACGCGTGGGAGAACCAGGAAGAGATCAATACCATTGCCAGGCTCTGCGGATTAGAACAGATCGGCGTGATCTGGACGGATCTCATCGACGCAGGCATGGGAGATGGTAGTGCCGTCTGCAAGCGCCACGCCGACTCCTATTTCCTCGCCTCTCAGGAGGTTGTATTTGCTGCGAGGATGCAAGCCCAACATCCCAAGCCGAGCAAATGGAGCGATACCGGCCGGTTCGGCTCCAACTTCGTCACCTGTATCATCTCGGGCAATGAAAAGGGCGAGATTTCCATCTCGTCGTACCAGATGTCGAATGACGCTGTCGAAATGGTTAGGGCAGACATTGTCGAGCCTTCGGCTGACCCTACCCAGATGCTCGTCCGCGAGGAGGAAGAGGACGACGGCTCGACGAGCAGGACGCGGTACATCCCTGAGGTGTTCTACCGCCGAATCAACGAGTATGGCGCCAATGTACAGGAAAACGCTAAGCCAGCATTCCCCGTCGAATATCTCTTCGTCACCCTCACCCACGGGTTCCCCGAAGCGCCGAAACCAGTCTTCAACAACATTGCATTCCCCATCGAAAACAGAGAGTACGTCGGCGAGGCACAGGAAGTCTCGGCCGTTGCCAAGGCGTTGAAGGTGAACCAAAAGGACGACAGCATCAACGTCTCTGACTTCCACCTCCTTTGCTACATCCACGCCATGGGCGTTCTGGCCAAGGTATGCATACCTCCCCTCCCTCCCACCATTCCACTCACCCCACAACCAACCATCCCTTACTAACGTCAACCTCCCCAAACCCAGGAAGAAGAAGCCCTCCTCTGCCGGGTCGCCACCCAGCACGACCTGGCCGAGTCCTTCCAGCTGCGGTCGACCACGGGGTGGAAAACGCTGCACATGATCCTGCAATCCACTGGTGAGAGACTTCCCAAGCGCCCCCGCCAGTCCGAGGACGCGGCCGTCGTCGTCGGCAACGGGAGCGGGAGCGGGAGTGGGGGCGGCCAACTCGGCGACGGTGCCGCCGCTTCTTCTTCCTCTTCCTCGTATCCCAATGACGACGCCCGAGAACCCCTTGCTAAGCGTTTTGCTGCTGTCAGGCTGAACGGACCCCGCCGCGAGGACGACCCGGCTTAGTTTACGAGGAACCGGTTTGGACCATGGAGAGAGTGGTTTGCGTAGGGTTGGGCGTGGGCATGCTCGGAAAGAGGCTGGGTTTCGTGACTTAGAGGATACGGACCACCAAGGGAAGAAGGGGGGACGGACATGATGGATACTACGGGCTTGGAGTTGGGGTGTGGCTAGGTAATAGACGATTACAAGGGAACCGTGGTGGTTACTTGCTTGACGGGTGCATGAATGATAACGGGCTCCTTATTCACGAAACAACCCAAGCGATGATTTATCCATTATTCGTTCCTCCATTGTGATACCTCGTGTCCAGTGTTGGGTTAAATACTCGAATTAACGAACCGAAGTCATATCTAGATTCATAAAAGGGTATCTGCTATCTAATAACACACATTGTAAATAAATCCCATCATCCCTATCTCACACATAACACCACCCCCATAGACAAGCGACACAGCGGCACAATCAAGCTCCTCAAAACGCGTTGCTACCAGGTCGCCGAAACGAATTATATATCAGAGAAAACAAGTGTCAAAAGCAGATAAATGCCCATCCATCCCCGCTATAAATCCAAAAGCCCGCAAAACGCCCCTAACTTTGTCTTTTTTGTGATCGAAAAAACTCCAGCAGAAGATGGCTTGGTAGAGAAGGTATCAAGTGGTAATAATGTATGTATTTACAGGGGCTTGCCGCCAATGAACTCGGACCACCTGCGCACCTCGGAGGGGACGCCCTCGGGGCGAGGCAGCTTCTCGCTCATGCACTGGGCGAAGAGCATGGCAGTCTGCAGTCGATGGTCAGTTAGTGTCACGATGAATGCGGAATGTGGAAGAACTAACCTGAGGCTCCATGAATAGCGGGACGCCGAAGTCGACGGCGTTGCGGCGCATGACGTAGTCGACGTCCATGATGGTCTTGCCGCGGGCCTGGGCCAGGTTGAAGACGCCCTGGATGTCGTACTTCTTGAACACCTCGCGGAGGGCGCGCTTGTCCTCCTTGGGGAACTCAATCACCTCGACCTTGAGCTTGTGCTTGCTCGTCGACTCGAGGAACTGCTTGACCTCTTCGTCGGCGGCGTACAGCTTGTAGCCGAGAGGGGCGAGGTAGTCGACGACGGTGGTCAGCCAGCTCTTGCTCAGCTCGCCGCCGAAGAGGATACCCTCGCCGGGCTCGGGCACACGGAAGTTCATGGCCGACTGCAGCGAGGCCCAGTAGGCCTCAACTAGGTTCTTGCCGAAGCAAGCCATCTCGCCGGTTGACGACATCTCGACACCAAGGAAGGGATCGGCACCGGCCAAACGGGTCCACGAGAACTGCGGGACCTTGGTGGCGAGGTAGTCACGCTTGACGGCCATCAAGTCGGTGGGTTCAGGCACGTTCTTGCCGACAAGAGCCTTGGTGGCGACGTCAATGAAGTTGGTACCGAGGACCTTGCTCACGAAGGGGAAGGAGCGCGAGGCACGTAGGTTGCACTCGATGACCTTCAACGCCGGCAGGCCGCCGTTGGGGTCATCAACCTTGATAATCTGCATGTTGAACGGTCCGGTGATCTTTAGGGCTTGAGCAATCTTCTGAGCAATCTCCTTGACGCGCTCCATTGTGGTCTCGTCCAGCTTAGCAGGAGGGAGAACCAGAGTGGCATCACCAGAGTGGACACCAGCTTGTTCGACGTGCTCGCTGACGGCGTGAACGATCAAGTTGCCCTCGGACGCGACACCGTCGAGGTCGATCTCCTCAGCGCCCTCAATGAACTTGCTGATAACGACGGGGTGGTCGGGGGAGACGCTGGAAGCCGCCTCCAACTTGTCCTTGAGCTCGTCCTTGCTGCGGATAACGGTCATGGCGGCGCCAGACAGGACGTAGCTAGGACGGACAAGGACAGGGTAGCTGACCTGGTCAGCAAACTCCTCAGCGGCCTTGACCGAGGTAAGCTCCTTCCACGCCGGCTGGTCAACACCGATGCTGTCGAGGATTTCGGAGAACTTTTGCCTGTCCTCGGCCTTGTCAATGTCGCGGGGATCCGTTCCGAGGACCTTGGCGCCGCCGGCCTCCTGCAGACGAAGGGCAATGTTCTGGGGTAGCTGACCGCCAACAGAGACAACGACACCGCTAGCGTTCTCTAGCTCGTAGATGTCCATGACACGCTCATAGCTCAACTCCTCGAAATAGAGTTTGTCGGCCGTGTCGAAATCAGTGGAATAAGTCTCCGGGTTGTACGTGGGGGATGTTAGCATACTTCTTGCGAAAGAGCGAGCGAACGACAAAAAACAACAAGGAAATAAAGAAATAAAAAAGAAAAGTAAGGATTCTTTTTTTTTTTTTTAGAGTAGAAAGAAAAAGTATTAAGTTATCGCGAGGACGAGATGTTACGCTTGTAAGCACTCATCGTCTTATTTCTCGAATAAGAAAACGGATAAAGATAAACACCAAGTAGATCAAAAAAAGAGGGAAAAGAATAGAAAAAAGAATATAGGCGGAGATGGTGGTCAAGAGGACAACAACCGCCGCGAAGGTGAGAAAAACAAGTAGGTGGACGTTAAAGATGACGTATGTAGCGAACCAGGCCACGACAATGGGAAGGAGAGCAAAGCCGGATTGGCGTGGTGGTGGTGTACGTACATTGATCATAACGGTTTTCTCACCCATCTCCCGCAGGGCAAGGGTGGCACTGACGGCACACCAGTCAAACTCGACGGAGCTACCGATACGGTAGACGCCGCTGCCCAAGATGACGGTGCCCTTATCCTCGAAGGTAACATCGTGAGACGAGGCGTTGTAGGTGGTGTAGAGGTAGTTGGTGTCGGCGGGGAACTCGGCCGCGAGGGTATCAATCTTCTTGACCCAGGGGCGGATACCGAACTCGGACCTGCGGGCGCGGACCTCGTCCTCGGTGCTGTTAACGGCGTGAGCGATCTGCTTGTCGGAAAAGCCCATCTTCTTGGCCTTGAGGATGTGCTCCTTCTTCAGGCCCCGAAGGCTGCCAACCTGCTGGAGCTCCTTGGTGCAGTCGACGATGTTCTGCAGCTTGTACAAAAACCACTTGTCAATCTTGGTCAGGTCGTGGACGCGGTCGACGGTGTAGTTCTCGTGGAGCATGGCCTGGCCGACGGCCAACCAGCGGCGGTCGGTGGGGTTCTGGAGCTCGTAGTCGAGATCCTCAAACTTCTCGCCCTGGAAACCGACGAACTTGGGGTCAACCTGCCGGATGGCCTTTTGGAAAGACTCCTCGAAGGTACGGCCGATAGCCATGACCTCACCCACAGACTTCATGGCGCTGCCAATGTCCCGTTTCACATGCTGGAACTTGGACAGATCCCATCTGGGGATCTTGGTGACGATGTAATCGAGCGAGGGCTCGAAGTTGGCGGTCGTCGTCTTGGTGACGGCATTGGGAAGCTCGGGCAGGGTGTGGCCCAGACCGATCTTGGCGGCGGTGTACGCCAAGGGGTAACCAGTGGCCTTGGAGGCCAGGGCAGACGAGCGGGAAAGACGGGCGTTGACCTCAATGACGCGGTAGTCGAGGCCATCGGGCTGGAGCGCATACTGGACGTTGCACTCGCCAACGACGCCCAAGTGCCTGACGATCTTGATGGCGGCAGAGCGCAGCATGTGGTACTCCTCATCGCTTAGGGTCTGACTGGGCGCAACGACGATGGAGTCACCGGTGTGAATACCCAGGGGGTCGAAGTTCTCCATATTGCACACTGTGATGCAGTTGTTATTCGCATCCCGGACCACCTCGTACTCGACCTCCTTCCAGCCCTTGAGCGACTTCTCGACCAAGATTTGGGGCGAGAGGGTGAGCGACCGGGCAGCCATGTTGCGCAGTTCCTCCTCGTTGTTCGCGAAACCGGAGCCCAGACCACCAAGCGCATAGGCAGCGCGGACGATGATGGGATAGCCGATCTTGGTGGCGGCATCGAGAGCCTCGTCGACCGTGTTGACGGCAATGGACTTGGCGATAGGGATGTTGATCTCGTCAAGGGCCTTTGCGAACAGGTCTCGGTCCTCGCTGAGCTCGAGTGTCCTGACGCTGGTACCGAGGACGCGGACGCCGTATTTCTCGAACAAGCCGAGCTTCTGCATCTGGACACCGAGGTTGAGGGCCGTCTGGCCACCGAAGGAGAGGAAGATGCCATCGGGCTTTTCCTTCTGGATCACATACTCGACGTACTCCGGGGTGACGGGGAGGTAGTAGACCTCATCGGCGAGGACGTGGTTCGTTTGGATGGTAGCGATGTTGGGGTTGATGAGCACGGAGGCCACGCCGGCCTCCTTGAGGGCCTTGAGGGCTTGTGATCCTATATAGGCAGGCTCTGGTTAGCATCAAGGCTTCTGTGACTCGTTCTTGGGTGACTCATTGTTCACCGCCCAAGGGTGGCTAGGAAGTGCTCGTGTGACAAACGTACCTGAGTAGTCGAACTCTCCAGCCTGGCCAATGGCAAGACCACCACTGCCAATGACGAGGACCTTCTTGACGTCGATGTGCTCCTTGGGTTTTACCACTCCGCTCGAAAGGTAAGCCTTCGGATCGGGGGCGGGTTGTGCCGCGCCAGCACTCGCGAGAACCCTGGAGGCAGAGAAGAGCCGTTTCTGGCTCAACCGAGCGGTGGTAGAGGACTCGGTCTGTGTGCGGAAGAGGCCATTTTGGGTGCCAGCGGTCAGCGACCTCAGTTGAGAGGAAGTGACTGGGATGCGGCGACCATGACGGAGGACGGCAGGAGCGCGGCCCGCCTTGCACACGGCCGACAACATTATTCGGAGGAAGTGATTGCGGAAGCGGAGGGCGCTTGTTCAGTTAGGAACCCGCTTCAAAGGTCGCAGGCAGCACTCCGGTCCTTCGTGTTGGTCAATTGGCGATGTCGCGTGTCCTCCGGGCCACTTCGAGTGCTGTGCAGCGGGGGAAGGAAGTGGAAGATGGGAATGTGTGACGAAGTCGGGATGCGATTGTGCTGGGCCAAAAAAAAGGAAGGCCGATCGGTCCTTGTGGGGGAGATAAGCGATAAGCTGTGACTCTTCTTCCTCTCACAACACTTTGCGCATCGACCCCAGTGCGTTCGCAAATTTTTTCCGTGCTAATGGGAGAGACCCTTCCGAGGCCGGAGGAGAATGGGGTTCTTAAAACAAAACAGTGAAAACAGACAGACACGATGGTGTTTGAAATGGAACGTTGGATATGGTCTTTATATCGGGTTGTTGATCCCCTCATTGTTCATAAGCGCTCTTATTTTGCTCTGTATGACTAACTACCTACGTAGGAGGGCACCATGGGAACAATTCCAGTCGTATACACTGTTCAAGTTGTCAACTCTCACTTCCTGATGGAGTTTCTGTTCTTGAACAGCACCTCTGTGGGCGGGACGAATATGGATCTCCATCTGAGTGTGCTTGTTGAACCCCGCAACTTCGCATTCGGCTCCACAAAGTTTGTTGGAATGCAACACAACTGTCTGATTGGTCAATTCAGCCAGCCGCGATTCAACCAAAACGGTCACAGTGCACGAGGGAATCTCCATCCGAGGGTTGGGGGGAAACATCTGTCGTTGCGAACATGATAAACAGTGGCTAAGTTCCCTATACTTCGCAGACGACAAAGCTTGAATTCCAAGTCCCTGGTGAGGTAAAGATTACAAGTCCTGCTGAAGATCGTAACATTGAGTCAGTTGCTAGCTGAGTCGACCTTGGCCAGTTCAGTGAACGATGACGTTAAATCCGCTTGTTGAGATATAATAATGGGGTCCGTCTTAGAGACTTAAATTTAGAAACCCATAAAGGGCGAGAATAGTGTACTGCGTAGAGCAAAAGTCACACCACAGCCGTATGCGAACAGCTTTTTGCGAACTGGCGATGGGATCCATCAAGGTGCACGGGAGGAGAGGTCTGCAGTTCGACCCTAACCCTCCCTTTGGGGCGCCAAGACAGAAGCCAAGGCTCCCAGCAGTGACGGCAGTCAGGCAAGCTTATCATCCCGTAGCATCCATCGCAGGAGCACCAGCCGCGCCGGGCCGTTCGCAAACGACAGTTTCGATGCATCACTTGGCCGGTTGTACGGCACGAAAATTCCTAGTCATCCCCTTCTGTGCCTGACAGCATTTTAATAAGCTGCAGAACCAACTATGTAAAGTTTGCACGATTTCAACTTAGTTTCACCTCACCCCAACTGCGCGGCGAGCGATGAGCGATGATCCGGGCCCGAGCTCCACGGTCCGGCAGCCCCCGTCACGGTCCGATGGCGAGTACGACACCGAGGAGCACGCCGTGCCCGGGAATATCGAGGATGGCGGCCGCGGCGATGACCGATCCAGCGAGGAGGAATCCACGTCACGGAAGCAGGAGAAGCGTCGGGAGGGCTTGGCCAAAAAGCTCGAGCTCGTAAGCCACCTGCAAAAGAACCTGGACATGATGGTCTTCGTGTACATCTGCACTTTGTACTATATGGAGTGAGTGTGCCCTCCTACTCCTCTACCTCGTAATTCTTCCCCCGGGAACCAAACCAACTTACCAACAACCCACTCTTCCCAGACGCTCCCTCCTCCGCTTCCTCCTCCGGCTCGCACCGCACTACTCCTTCCTCACGCCCAAGGACGGCCTCCTCCTCCCCGCCGAACACCCCCACATCTACACCATCTTCATCCCGAGCGTCCTCTGCATCCTCGCGCACATCTTCTTCGGCCTGCCCGAAGCCGGCGAGGCGACGCGCGGCTACCTGCACGGGGGCGTCATCATCGACTTCATCGGCCAGAAGCCGCCGACCTCGAAGCTCGCCTTCCTCTGCTACGACCTGGTCATCCTGGGCGCGCAGTGTCTGATGCTGGCGGTGCACCAGGAGCGGGAGAACCTCAAGAAGGCCGTCTCGCCGTCCCTGCGGACCATCAGCCTGAACGATAGCCAGCCCGAGCAGCCGGGGGCGGCGGCGGCGGGAACGACGCAGGACCACGACGCGGAGGAGCGCGGGGAGTTGAGGGACGAAACGTACCTGGGCGAGGGCGGGGGGACGGAACTGCAGCCGCTTTCCGGCAGCGGCGGGCAAGCGGGGAGGGGTGAGGGCGCGGCGGGGGCGGCGGACGATGAGCAGGCGGGCGGCACATACTCGTCGGCGGCGGCGAGTGCCGACATGCTGGATATTATCAGCTCGGGCAACGCCGTGTTGGGGAACTTCCATGTCATCCACGCTGTCCGGGCGGTGGGCAACGGCGCGCAGGGTGCGGCCGCCTACTCGCTACGGACCCTCGGATACAGTGCCACGATTGCCGCGCTTGCTGCGGAACGGAGGAGCAGGCTTGTTTCCGCGAGGCAGAGGTAGTAATAATGCCCTGAACGTGTTTCCTGGTTGTGCAACGTCCAAAGAGGGTTTGGTTTAGGCGGGCCCGCCTTAAAAATGAGCTTTGGTTTTATTCCTTATGCTACCTTCCTCCCGACATTACCAACCCCTGTCCCCTTGACTGATATTATCAAGTCGCCCGCCCCATCGTCGTCGCCAGCATCCCGTATCCCCCAACTGCTCGCCCCGAACTCTTTCAAGTCCCTCGCCAGCCCTATTATCTCCTCCCGCGCCATCACCTCCCTCCCCAGCCTCAACCTCCCGACATCCTCCGCCCCCATCGCCATCAACGTAAGCACCGTCGGCGCCGCCGCGCCCGTCACACACCCGCCCTGCGCAATGACCTCGAGCAGCTGGTACGCGCACCTCGTGCCGATGTCCTCGGGCACCACCCCACCCTGGGGCGGCGCGACCTCGTCGGCCGCATAGAACACGCCGTCGGCGCTCGACTCGGCCACCAGGCTCAAACCAAACCCAATACCGAGCTTCCTCTTCGAGGCACTGCCCTTCTCCCCGACCAGCGGCGCGGGGTCATACTGCGCAGCAACATGAACATCCGACACCAGCTGGTTCAGCACGCCGCGGGCGGCCGTGATCATGCGGTTGTTGTGGCTGGCCGACACGCCCGTGCAGTAGGCGACGCCGCGGATGCGGCGGATGCGGCCCGGCCGCCGGTTCAGGTGCAGCGTCTTGGGCAGCCGCACCTGGCTGGCGAACCGCAGCTCCACCACGCCGCCGCCGCCGCGCCCGCCCGGCCCCGGGCACGACCGCGATAGCACGCGCAGCTCGATGCGCGCTGGTGGGATCCCGAAGAGCCCGTACAGCGGCAGCACTGCCGTGCGGAAGGTGTCGATGGATAGGTCGCCCGTTGATGAGGTGCCGGACGTGATGACGCCGGGGCCGGAGAAGCGGACGTTCATGTGCGCTTTGGAGAAGGGCGCCAGCAGCGCTAGCGGGAGGAGGAAGTAGGTGATGCTGCGGTTGCAGGCGGCCGGGAGCACGTGCTCGATGGCGTCGCTTGCCAGGGCCGAGCCCGCGCCCGGGGTGGTGCCCGTGATGAGGCCGGGCTGGTAGGTTATTGTGGTGCCGCTGTAGGAGACGTCGATGACGCTGCCGTTGGTGACGGCCTCGAGCAGGCGCAGGAAGGAGACCTCATGCGGGGCAAGTCCTGGGTTGGTTGGCGAGGCGGAGCGGATCTTGGAGATGTGGATTGGTCGGCCGGTGAGCGTGGAGAGGACTAGCCTATGGGCGAAGGCGCGGTGGCCTGTGAATCGCAGGAATTCGGGTTTTGAGCCGGACATGATGTTGGGTGTTGGCGATTGATCAATCAATCAATCAATCAATCGCTCATGGAAGGTGGGAAAGCTTGCAGCGATCGGCTTGCCGCAAGTTTCCAGAAATTTTGGAGGGCCCTGCTCGATTCCACTGGTTCTGCCGGGCGGTCAGAAGAGCCAAGCCACTTATCGGTTGAGCTTGCACGCTGATAAGAGGTTTTTAGCGGAGTGTCTCCACAAAAAAAAGACGCCGATGCAGACAGCCCGGGGCGAGAGTCCCAAACGGGTCTTGCAGGTTCAAATCGAGTCCGAGTCTCTTGAACTGGAAGACGGACAAACCCGACAAGCCCTACGAACCCCATCACCCCTCCCCCTCTCTCAGTCGCTGTTACGTCTGTCACCTTCTCACCCCAACCCCGCATCCACCCGTTGGGATTAAAAGTGCCAGGAGTAACTACCGATGCCGCCTCTCAAATGCCACCCAGGACGTTCGCCCTCGACTTGAGCAGTCGGTGCAGCAGCTATGTCTGCAAGTCGTGCCTCGACAGTTTGCGGCCCGTGAATGCCAGCTTCCGACCATGGCTCGCCAGACCATCATCATCAAGAAGCGCCACCCGACGACCTCAACCACCCCCTCGCATGCCCCGGCAGGCTGAGGGCAAACCGGACCCCGCAGAGCTTCAGAGAATCCTCACTGAGGAATTCGAACGCGGCCCCGACTCCCCCGCCTCTACCTCTGAGAACGGATTAGATGTCAAATTCTTCGACCAGGAAGCCCCCGGGCGAATTCGGCGCCTGCGCGATAATGACGAGTTTGGAGTGGTTGCGGGCGGCTTGGACTCCGAGGTTGAGACGGCCATCAACGACCTAGAGAAGAAGATGATTAGCACCGTTAAGATGCTGGAGCGCATGGAGGTGCAGGGCGGGCAAAGCGGGCAGGAAAAGGCAGACAAGCTGCGGCAACAGTTCAAAAAGACCATCGGGGTGCAATACAAAGACAAGACTGGTCCAGCGGCCGAAGCGCATCGGTTGATGCACATTCCGAGATTCACCGGCCCGCGCCAACGGCACGTAACGAACCTGAACACCTTCCTGGCCCGGAACGACGTGGTCAAGGGCGGCATCCCGAGGGACAGGGACGTGGCAGAATGCTGGAAGTACTATTCCGCGGCGAGGAGATCACTGGCGTCGGCGTGGCAGAACGTGCCGCAAGAAGTGTGGAATTACCTGTGGATGATTCTGTCGTGGAAAGGGGAAGGCGTTCAGAACCCCAACCGCATGCAACACGTCTACATCCTCGCCAAAGACATGCAGGCCGCTGGCGTGCCTTTGCGAGACTCGCAACAACTTCTCGCCATGGAAGCCATGTTTATCGATGGTTGGCAGGAGGAGGCCATCGAGGTTTGGAAGAAGGGCGTTGTTACCCTTGGGTCGAAGCCCGAGACCTTCAAAGACTACTGGGAGCTCGGTGTCCGCATGTGCAGCTTGCACGGAGACACAGAACGGGCACAAAAAGCCGCTGACACCCTTCTCAAATCCTCGCACCCGCCCAACCCCCGCATCCTCCTCCCCATCACACGGGCATTGGCGGCGAAAAAGGCGACCGCCGACCAGGCCTGGGAGTCGTACACCAACATGCGCACTCTCCTCGGAGAGACCATGACAATCGAAGATTACGATGAAGTAATTGCCATGTTCCTCACATCCGACTGCGTCGAGTATGCTCTGCAGGCCTTTGTCGACATGATGTTCTCGCGCGCCATTGACATCCGTGGGAAGACTAGGTTGCCGCTACGAGTGGCCAACCATTTCTTTATCGGCAAGTGGCTGAAACGACTCATTGGAGCAGGCGACTTAGAGGGTGCCTACAAGGTGGTGGTCTATGTCCAGAGCAGGGGAATAACCCCCTCGCCCATCCAAGTCAATGGCCTCATCGCCGCCTGGTTGAGGTCAGGATCCGCCGAGAATGTCGAGAAAGCTGACGCCCTGGCCTGGGACATGATTCATGCTCGTTTGGACTTCGTCAAGTTGCGACAGCGACAGGATGTCGTCGGATCCCATGAAGCCGACGGCACCTCTGTAACCCAGAAGGCCGACGCCGAGCCAGGATTCATCTACTACCCGACTCGCGCGACCGCCGAGACATTCTCCATTATCGCAGAAAATTACTGCTCTCGCGGGCTTCACGACCGGCTGCAGAAGCTGTTTGATGTCCTCGAGCAAGCCCAGATCGGCCCGGACAGCTTCCTCATGAACCAAATCATCCGCTCCTACTCCCTACATGGCGAGGCCGCCGAGGCGGTCAACCTCTACCACGTCATGACCGAGGAGCAGCACATCCGGCCCGACGGTCACACCTTCCTCACTCTCTTCAACAGCCTCTCAGTCAACCGCCTCATCCAGCGCGACCCGATCCTCACGAAGCAAGACATCGCCACGGCCCGGCGCTTCTTTCGCGACATGATACGCGCCGAGTGGACGTTTGACTCGCCCGACACCCTCGTCCAGCTGCCGCGCACGGTGCTCTTCAGCATGCTCAAGGCCAAGGACTTCCGCGGCATGATCGTCGCCGCGCGCGCCATGAGGGAGCTCTTCGCTTTCCACCCGACCGAGGCCCTGCTCATCGAGATGGCCACGGGCGCCGGCTCCCTGCAGGTCAAGACCAAGCGAAACATGCAGCGCCTAGTCGGCGGCCGCCACACCATAGGGATCCTGATGAAGAAGCACCGGACCGAGCTGATCCAAGCCGGCCATCCGGGCGTGGAGATGACCGAGGAGGAGCAGGTCAACGAGCTTCACGACGTGCTGGAGAAGCTTGTGCTGCACAAGGCCGGCGCGCTGGACATGGCCCCCGAAGAGGTGCGGCCGCTGTTGGAGGAAGCCGCCGAGGAAATGGGCGTGTATGATATTGTCTTCAAGAAGGACCCCGACCAGATCGCGAAGCACAGGAAGCTCGACAAGCGGATGCCAGGGTTTGAGCTTATGTAGATGTATGTATGTACAGTAAATGTAATATGGCCACTCAAACATCGCGTCTCAAGAGTTTGCGTACATCACACTACGGCGGATAATCAAGTCAGGTGGGCTCCAGACCCCCTTCGGCTGCACACACCTGGAGCGACCCCCTATCAGACATGGCCTTTCACTCAAATACACTCTGATACACCGTCACCGCCGCCAACCTTTCCCCATCACCATCCCACAACGACAGACACGGCACAACCGGCCCACCACCCTCACCCCTTTCACCACCGCCCGGCGTAAACACCGTCGCATCCACATACCTCACCACCACAGCCGGCTCCACGCCAATAGAACCTGACTCGCCCAGCTGCGACAGCGCCTCCCTCGCAACATCACCATGCACCACCGCCACACCCCGACCCTCGGGCCCACACCGCTCCGCCACAACCGTCTGCACAAACCGCACCCCGCGCCCTTCCCCTTCCCCTTCCCCAGACTCAGACCCAGACCCAGCCGCAGCCGCAGAGCCGTCAACAACAACCTGCCACACAACCACCTCCCCACCAGGCACAGCCGACACAGCAGCACGGCGAACATGCACGGCACCCTCGCCAGCGCGCGCCACGCCCAGGTGGGCATGCCACTCGACGGCAGCGGCGCGCGGGAGGGCGTCGACCTCGGCGACAAACAGCGGCGGCACGGCTGGCTGTGAGGGTAGTGGGGTGCGGGTGGTGGCGAGGACGGAGCGGTCTGGTAGGGTTGGGGCGGAAGCCCGGCTGTTGGCGTTGTTGTGGTCTGAGGTGAAGGTCATGTAGGCGGGGTTGTAGCGGCGGTCCCAGAGGTCGGGGCCGGTTTCGTCGTCGCTGGTGTCGTTGTCGTCGTCGTCGGTGGTGGTGGGGTGGGGGGTGTGGGCTGCTGTCCAGGCGGTGGAGGCTGCTTGCGCTTTGGAGCGCATCTCGCTGTTCTCATCGTTCTCCTGGCCGGGAGGAGATACCGGGAAGTAGGCTACGGCGCTGGTCCACCACTGGACGCCCATCTCGAGGCCTATTCGCCAAAGGTGCTGGAGGGAGAGGGATAGCTGTAGCGGCAGGGTGTCTGCGGTGCTGCCGACTGGCAAAGCCATAGTGGCCGGGACGAGGGGGATCTGGCCTGCGATGCTGACGAGTCTTGCGCCGGAGGAGGAAGAGGAAGCATCCGACTCGCCAGATCCCCCGAGGCTCGATACGGGGATGGAGATGGCCTGGCTGTAGGGCCCGATGTTGGCGGGTGCCCAGTACGAGCGCGACTGCACGTGCAGGCCGTGGCGCTGGTTGGGCTGGAGGGCGGTGTGAACGGTCAGGTAGATGGCGATGTTGGCGGCCGCGGCGTCACCGCAGGAGATAGTAACTCTCGAGGGGGGGTTAGGTGCGTCAAACAGTGTGCCGTAGACACTGTTAACGGCGGGGAAATCGGCCATACGTCTGAGGATGACCGTGGCGCTAAGGATAGCGGACGGTGGAATGTCTTGTTCCCGAAGCCGCTGACGGACTTGCTCGACAATAGAGCGAGTCTCTTCTTCGACGGAATCTAACTTGCTGCCGACGAAAGACCACTGCTGAAGATGTTCACGAGCAGGCGGTTGAAGAATCCCAACCTGAGAGGAGAACTCAACCTCCGCAACTGGACCTGACTGGAGAGAACCATCCGTATCAGGCGAAGACAGCGCATTCATCACACCAACAAACTTGGAATCAAGCAGATCAGGAATCCGAACAGTACCCCCAGCCGCGCCTGCGTCTGGCTCCTCGGCCTTATCCTCCAACCTCGCATTCCGCAGGCTAAGCCAGGCACTCCCGCCGCCCTCCCTAACGACACGGCGGTCACCTTCAGCAACCACGATCCGCTTCCTGAACAGCGCCGGCGGCCCGTCCAGCACAAGGGTCTCGAACTCGCCCCCTTCCCCGATCACGGCGCCCGTCTCGGCCGCGCCAAAGCGCCGCATCGCCCGAGCAAGCCTGCCCTTTCCGGCGGCACTCGCAACGTTGGTCCACAGAAACGCATCGTCCAGGCCGCCGCTCGCAACCTTGATGATGCGGGCCTCTACTCCCGCCGCCGCCATGTCATCCAGCAGCTGGGCATCAGACCCGGCGATGGGGTCTAAGGGACCCGGGGTCGGGAGCACGGGGAACTTCCACAGATAGGCCAGCGGCGTCAGCCCGAGGCGGGTAGCCACCGACTCCACGCGGGTGCGCTGGTAGGTGCTGAGGATGGCGCCGGCGCAGATGGCGTTGGCTTCTGGGTGCGCCTTCTTGATGGCCAGGAGGAGCGGGACCATGGACTCGGTCTCGTCGGTGTCCTCGGCCTCACGGGCACGGTCCGACCCGGAAGCCCCATTCTTCTTCTGATCAAGCTTCGGCGTCAATGCGAAGGCCCCTGCCTCCGATCCTGCACCGGCGCCGGAGTCGTCCCCGGCCGCAGGGGTGGGAGGGCTCCGGTGATGAGAGTAGTCCTTTCCGTGCTGGGTCGCACCGCCGGTGATTGCCCGGCGGTAAAGCGGGATGCCTGTAGCCTCGGCATAGAGAGGGATCACCTGGTGGCCCACCGTCTGGTACATGAAGCTGTTGAGGTCCCGTTCATCCTCATCTGCTTCGGGCACCATCTCATTTCCAGCCCCCCCACCTTCATGACCCGGCAGAACGGCGACGGGGTGCCCACCCTTGCCCGAACCTTGACGCGGCCCATGGCCAGGGGTTGACATGAGTCCCGGGGCCGAGACGGCGGCACTGACCGCTGGGGCAACGGAAGCTGTGGCAGCCGGGGTGCGCGAGGTATCATCGCGGGGCCCAGACTGCTGTGGTAGTATCGGGTGCAAATTGGCGAGGGCGACGACGCGGTGCCCGTTGGCCCGGCAGTGGAGGAGCGAGAAAAAGCTGTCTTTGCCACCAGAGACCAGGGCAATCACATTGAGCCCCCCGTCGGCCTGGTTGGACGCCATCGTTGCCAAATCCGTCAAGAAGTTCTTGGGGACTCGTCACTCCGCCACAGCGAGCAACCCGCTAACTGCCTGGGAATTCCTGGGCACACTGAGCTGGACCAGGGACACCCACACCGGGTCGTCCCGCGCGTGGAGATACGAGAGCCCGTTTCGAACAAGTTATCAAACGATATTGGCAGATATTGGCTGTGCCTTCGTATGGAAGGCCGGAATGTTCTTCACGAGTTCCACAACTGCCGGCGAAGAGAATACGGCGGCTCGGCTAGATTGGCGAGTCATTAGTTCATGTAACGGAAAACTGTTGCCGTTGATGGGCTCGAATTTGGCATCATTTGGGGGTCAACCAAGGCCGAATATGGCAAACCATCGATTGATTTCGGTGGATAGTGCATGGGCTCCGATGGGACTTTGCGTGCCGCTAGCACCCGGTGGGAAGTGGGGCCGCTCCGGGCTCCTGGTTCTCGGGCAGGGCACGCAGCGAAGCGCTCACAACGGGAATGTAACATGAGGAAGCTCTGGGGGTTCCATCTAATTTCCTCGGCCAACGCCATCCGCAGTCGATGTTGCTTGGCTGTGACGAGACGTTCGAAAGAAGAAAAGAAATGGAATGTTTGTTTTGGGAAGAGAGAGCAAATGAGAGGATGCCAAAAAAAAAACATGGGATCCGCACGAGGGTTTGCCGGTTTGCCACCAACGACACAATTGGGAAGGCACGTCTGAGGTGCTCCTGAGACAGATCGCCCGGCCCCGGAGCTAATGAGTCTTGAACGTGGGCCGAAGGCAAGAGCAAAACAGGCCATTTGAAGATGGCGTTGCAAGTGACTGCCCCATGCAGAATTCAAGCTCGTAGATCTGTCTCACTTGCTCCATCGATCCACACGTGTCCAGACGGCGGAAGCCATTCGAATTTGGGATGTCAACGCGTTGAGACAGAAGCAAAAGTGTCAAACAACACAGCCAGCAGAAACGGCAGGAGGAATTGCTCCGGTGGCGTCGACTGACTCCATACACTAAGTCTGTAAAGCAATTTGCACAATTCATCACATCTGAGAAATAACGTGGAAAAGCATCAGTTGTGTGAAGAAAGAGCTTCGTTGAATTTGATGTACACATTGCGCGCAAAACTACCTAGTCATCTCTCGCTGATTTGTGACCTGCACATCACCCAACTCCATCCATACAATCCGCCTTGATAGCTTGCAATTCCGAGAAGAGCCTGGGCAGCGAGAAGATAGCTAGTCGTTGAAAAGGGCAAAGCAAGTCCGCCTCAAAAAGTTAAACATACAACATCGACCCCACACACAAACAAACACCCACCAGAAGGACCGAGGTCCTTCTTTTTTTCCACCAGAAGAAATAAAAACTAAGCACTGAAAAGGTCAAGTTTGTCCCAGAGCCTTGGCGGTTTGAACCTGTCGCTCCGCCTGTGCTGTACAATTACAACGAGTGTAGAGAACCCGAAACAAATATGGTAAAAAGGGGGAGGGGGTTGTGCAGTTGACAAGATATTGAAAGAGAAACCAGAAAATAACCACTGTCCTCTCCTCCCATCTTGGCAGATCCCTTCCTGTCATGAACCACCTCCGCCCAAGACGGTGAGGAAAATGCCCGAGTATGATGAGTCGAAACGGTGATGTTACAATGCGGAAGAGGCGGATGAAATATGCGCAAACGCCGAAACAGAAATTGACCTTGTACTCGCTTTGCTTTGAAGTGATCCCCCCCTCCCACCCCTGCCCCGGGTGCAGTAAAGGCGCCGTGTGAAAATAAAAAACCAATTCCCTGGTCATGCCGGCGTTTCGAAATGGAGTGATCCCCCCTTTGTATGCTGATGACCTTTCCCACCGGTGTGATGTATTTACCATGCCCAGGCTGAAGTCATCATGGGTCGTCGTATCGGGCATCAATGGCGACGGCACGTTCCAAGTGCGTGAACCATTGCCATTGTGTGAAGAGTGTGCGAAGAAGCGAAGGTTGGCGTCCCGAAGCGGCGGAACGAGTATGCGTCCAACTGCTTACTCGGCCCGCTTGCGCTTCTTCTTGCTGTGGTCGCTGCCTTCGTCCGAAGACAGCTCGCTACCGCTGCCCGGAATGTCGGCGGCGACCTGGAAGAGGACCTTGCCGAGGGAGGAAAAATCATCACCGGCCATGCCGGGAGCGCCCATCATGGACGGATGAGGGTAGCCGGACATACCCGCACCACCGGCGCCCATGGAATCGGGATCGTCGATGAGGTTCATTACGATGGCGCCGGCGCCGTGGGTGCGAGCGTGCTGCGCGAGGTTATCCGAGCGGGAGAACTTCTTGCCGCAGTCGCCGCACTCGAACGGCTTGTCCTGAGTGTGCAGCGAGCGGTAATGGCGCTTGAGGTGTTCCTGGCGGCGGAACCGGCGGAAGCAGATCTCGCAAACAAACGTCTTGGAGGGGTCCTCGGTCAGAGATTGCTTGCGTCCACGGCGGGTGGTGGGGGCCGCGAGGGGAGTTGACCCGGCGTTCTCGGAGCCAGAGTTCGACTCGGACTCGTTCTTGGTCTCGGTGGCATTGCCCGTGCTGTCCTCGTTGCTAGGAGACTGGCTCTGGGTGCTACCCGATTGGGAATCGGCGACGGTGCTCATGGCGGGCTTGTCGCTCTTCTTTTGACGCTTGTTCCTGTGCGCGTCACTGTCGTCGCCCGAATCAGCTGGGCTGAGGAGGCTGTCGGCGCCAAAGGCGTCGCCGGCTTCGAAATCTTCCGAGTCGTCGCCGCAGAGGTAGCTCGATGCGCCGAGTGAGAGCGCGTCAGAGCTGGCACGTGACCGACTGATCTGAACCTCAGTGCAGTCGCCGAGGTTGACAAGCCCGTTGACAAAATCGTCCTCGGAATCGAGATCGGAGAGGGCGTCAAAAGAAGGGAGGTTGCTGCAGAGCTGCGAGTGGAACTCAAAGGAGGAAGAATCGGGTGAAATTGCAGGCGTCGCACCCCTGAGCACAAACTTCTGGTCTTCGTCCTCGCCAGCGCACAGGGTGGGCAAGGCAGAGAATTCGGGCGCGAGGGTCGAGTTGACAGTGCCGACAGTCAAATTCCTCGGGTCGCAGAAGTCGTCCGACGAGATGGAGCGCGCATAGGGGGATGGCGAGGGAGAAAGAGAGGGGCACGAGGATGCGGGAGAAAGGAGGTCGCAAGCCTGTGTGTTGAGCGGAGCGATCTTGGATGCCTGTGGTTGCGCGGGGAGGTACACTATTGTTATGCTGGGTTAGCGTTTCGTCTCAAAATTTAGTGCTGTAACAAGCAATCGATCCCGCCAAATCAAGCCAAAACGCAGGGACCAACTTCCCCATCCACCCGACAGCCAGAGCGATCCCACCAACTGCATCTTCCAAGTTTAAGGGAAAAAAGGAAAGAAAAAAAAAAGAAGAAAAAAGAGACAAGTCACGCCAACCAACCGCTTTTTTCTTGTTCACAACGGTGGCACACCCCTCCGCGTTTAAACCCCAGTCAAAGGGAAAAGGAAAAAGAGGCAAAAATGGCAGAAGAGAGCAAAGCTTACCAGGCGTCAGCGGGGGTGATGCGCATGCGGACCAGTCGAGGCTCGGGAAGCTCTCGAGCTCCCCGTCCATGCCACACGATTCCTTGCCATCGAGTCCCGAAAACATGGGGTTCAGCGGGGTCTGCAGCATGTCACAGCTGCCGGGGCTGCTGATGGCACTGCCCGATGACGAGAGCGGCGGGGTCGACGGGGAGTACATCCCCTCGGCCTCGCACAGCTCCGTGTCCAGCACGATGGTCGGCTTGGGGGCGATGGGCATGGGGGAAGCCACGGGCGTCAGTGTCGACGGCAGGATCGGGACGCTGCCGAAACCCTTGGGCAGAAGCGGCGGCTGCGAGCACGAGGAGCCGGGCCGCGAGTAGACGGGTGTCGAGGGCAGCGGAGCCACGATCGGAAGCATGGACATTTGCTGCATCGCCGGGTGCTGGTGGTGGTGTTGGTGGTGCTGGTGTTGTTGGTGTTGTTGCGGGATGAACCGGCCGTGTTGCCGGCTCTCCGGGTTCATATCCGGGCTGTAAAAGTAAAAGGCCGGCCCGTTCGGGTGGGTTGTCATCATGGTATCCATCTCTGATGCTGCTCATTGTTGTTAGCCATGGCAGCCCTGTAACAGTCCCGGGTTACAGCTGCCACCAACCTGTCCTTGGTGTCGTGTCTTGGATGGTCTGGATGCTGTGTCCCACTCGCGTGTCTCGCTGTCGTGTTAAGTATTAGGTAGGTATATATGTGTGTAGTGTACAGTTGTCGTCGCAAACGTCGTGTCGGCTGTGGCCTAATGATGGTGTGGTTCGGTTCCGCTAAGTAAGGAATGGATGGCAGTTGTGATCGTGGGATCAAACAACTAGCCGGTTTAGAGGGCTCGAGGGTTGGTGTACATAGACTCGTCTGAGTGCCTTGTCTCGCTGACCGTCACACTAGAATTTCCCACTTCCTATCTGTTGTCGGTGACTTCGCTATCGCTGCATGGAAGTCGAGAAGGAGGATGGGAATTATGGTGAGGGGGGTTTTGGTTGAGACTGAGTTGCTGTAAAAGAAGGACAGGAAAGAGATTCCGAAAAGGCTCGAGACCGGAAAGAAACAAGAACCGACAGGTGAAGCAAGAAGAAAGAGGGGATCACGCGTCTAGGTCGACAGATCTGCCCGTGTGGAGAGGAACCTGGGAGGCCAGAGAAGGGAAGCCCTGGCGGATATGTACAAGACGCTTCCTCCAACCCACCCCAGATCAACGGCGGAGAGGTCGCAATGGCCGATGGTGGCTCGCCTGGCTGGCCGGTCGGGAGCCCACCCCATGCCCGCGCCGTCTCGCTTGGACTAGACAAGGGCCAGGACCAGGAGGCCACAGGCCCCTCCGGGACTGGCCCACTGGTGCTTGAGACCCCTGTCTGCATGTCTGGGGCAAGGTGGAGAGGCAACATCAGATGGGTGGATTTCTCAAGTGGAGGATGGCGCAGCGATTAGCACAAAGTTCTAAATCGGGACTGGTTCGGCCATGCCCTCGGAAGTACCGCTGAACTGATGGTACATTGACCCACCAAGTAAATGCAAAGCGGCGAGCGGTCCTTGGGTCCCCTCGTCCCTTCCGAGGGTGTGGTTGAAGAGGCCTGGCTGTCCCCCACCGCTGGTCGCTCGCTCTCTTCGACCACCTCCACCTGTGGGATGCGAGAACTGTCGAGTGGAGTTGCGTCCCACCAGTCGTCGAATCCGCCGAGTTGCGCCTGTTTTCGGGCTCCGCAACGAGTTCTTGTGTGTACATGTCGAGATGTCGCAGCCCTGGGAAGTGGAAGAGTGCGACACACCAGTCCGCGACGCCTGGCCGTCCCGACTGCAGCCGTTGGCTGCATGCTCTCGCTTCGTTGGGACTTGCGAGTGGCAGCGACCAAGTTTCCAATCCAGACGAAGCAGGATTCTCCCCTCCCAAAAAATCACAGAGTCGTACATCCAGCTGGGCTTTTTCGCCGTCCGGCGGGCGCAGTGCATGGCGGCTGGCCAACAGGAGGAAGCGAGCAAATGCATAAAGCCGGCCGTGATGGCCTCCGAAGCTCTGATAGGTTAAACTGCCTACCAAGGCGGTCCTCCACAGAAAACCTGCACAGAAGATCCTGACCGAGGCGCGGTGTTGACCAGCAGTCGGGCACACCCATTCGCTGCACCGTGTCAGGTCACATCTGTCCGTTCCTCCTCGCCAACCAGTAGCAACCGCAGCTGGCTGCAGCGCTGCAAGGTACCAACACCCCGAGAGGCCACCCTTTGCATCACAAGTGCTCAAGAGACTGGGCGTTGCGCCGCCTGTGGTGTCGATCGTGACCGCCGCCGCCGGCACGCAACAGCCACGGATCCAAGCGGTTGACTCGAGCCGATCACAGCCATCTTGGTTGCCTCGCGCGACCGTCGCCATGGATCGTCAGGTAGCGAGGTGCGGGACTGAATGCGTTGCCGCAACTCCATCATGCTCTGTGCCCGTTTGAAACGCAGTAACAGTCGATGACCTCGGCGTCGGGATGGGGGGAGGAAAGGCACAGAGCAAATCATTCCCGCGCAACATGAGAATAGCATTGAGTTGGCTCAGGGTTCACCCCCCGGGTCATCCCCCGACATCACCATCCTACTATTTCCAGGAAATCACGGTTCTTTATTTATCGATGCATCCCAAATTGGGTGCGTAAGATCCATAAATGGCTGCTTTCTCTCTCGACATTCTAAATCCGTCAGTTGCCAGAATGGAAACGGGGAGAAAATAAATGGGATCGCCGACAAGTGAACCGCCGTTATTGTTGTCGAGATAATGCAAATCATGGCACTGGCGCACGCGGACTCCACCGGCGGTAAAACTGGGAACTGCGCTTCGGGTGTGGTGATGCGAGAAGCACGGGACCACATGTTTTGCATCTTCGGCAGCCAATATCGCCCTCCGACTAGTTATTCGTAGCAAGTAGTCAGCCCGATGATATGATGCCCTCCCGATGAAGGTTGCAGCTGCTCGGCGGTTGTGCAGAGAAACATGAAACAGCCGAAAAGGTCGTCGCAAAAACGGGCAACATGTCGATCACAGCGAGGTGACCATTCAGAAGGACGGCTCGACGGGAAAAGAAGAAAACTCTGTTGCGCATGGCCCAACGTCCACTCGGAAGGTGCAAGCAAGGCGTCAAAGCCCCTCCATGCAACCACTTAAAGTGCGCCTTCTGCCAGTGACGCGGCAGGATTCACCCAGAGCGCAGTGTGACAGGACAAAATCACGGGCGACGCGCCTTGGCCCGCCGGTTTCTCGTCTCGCTGGCGCAAAGACTGCCGCCTACCACAAAATTCATTCATGCCGACAACTACGAACTCAAGTTCGGTATACCCGGAGAATTGGACATTGAGCAAATATCAGGAAAGCGCTACGCAGCGGCAGCTGAGCATGAGGCAACCGTGCCACGTCAGTCACGAGCGTGACAAGCAGCCCAGCAGTCGGTTTTGGCGCTTTTCCCAAGCCACTTTTGTCTGTCACTTCACCCAAAAAGCCCACGAGCATCAAAGCTTGTTTGGCGTTCCACGAGCCCCGGACCCTCTTCTTCCCACGCATCAACCACCGCACCGAGTCCCCCACGTGCAGTCCAGTCGCAAGCCAGTCACTGCCAGTTTGCGTCGATATGCGGGCTTATCGGCAAACAATATCTCAAGCGGTCGTCGGCGGGTACAGGATGAATCTCTCATTTCGACACAGCTGATCATCACTTACTCTCCGGGTAACAGTCGGCAGCTCACCGTGCCCGTAATTCTGAGTGTCGACCGCAACTCAAACGGAAACGGAACGAATTGGCGGCACTTGTCGGGCCTTCTCTTCGGCTCTGCCGCCGAGTCTGGAAACAGGCGAGACTCTTCAGTGTAACTCTTCTCTCGGGCACTTTCTTTCCCCAGATTCGAAGCCGAGCACTCCGGCCGCCCGTTCTGATGATGCGTGCGTGGATGGCCTTCTGCAAGTGCTGGGGCTGGGCACGACCTCTCCCAGGCTGGCTTGTGCTGTGGATAGGGCATGTACCGGTACCTGGACCATACATCTGACCCCGCTCCTCTTGGCGGCTTCGGCCCCTGCACATACGTTGCGGACCCAGGCGGGTTTCCCGCCCACTGTGTTGGAAGTGGTTTGCCCTGAGGTGAGTTATCCACACAAACCAGAAGGTGGCCGGACTTTGCTCCAGAAAAGGCAACTCACCAAGTTCCGAACGAAGAAAAGGACCATTGCAAGACCTCTCGATCGGCCCTTTACGACCAGTTCGGTGATCGAAGAGGAAGACATATGATGCCAAAGTTGACAACTCTCGCACTCGACCAGAAAACCCTTTGCTATACTTGTACGACATAACGACCTCGTACTTGGTATGTTGAACCCACTGTCCCTTGCATGCTGCACTGCAGACTGCTGGCAGCCGCAGCATCCAGGCTCAGCCAGGTACCCTAACGGCTGGGTACATCGACCACTCGCTTGCGTGAGATTCTTTTCTCGACGTCCGCACTTGCTTCATAACTACTGGGGGCTGAGAGAAGCCCACTGATGAATCTGCCAAGTCCCTCGGATTCGTCGACCCGGCTCCAGAGCTGTCAAGTGTCGGTGGGTCTGCCGGTCTCGAACACGGCGGCGTCCTGATCCGGAACAAGGTGAAGACTTCTCCCATCCTCTGATGTCTGGTGTGCCCTGTGGCCCTGAAACCCTGGGAAACCGAGTCGGATTGTGGTGGGCTTTGGATGGAACCTGACAATCATTTGCCACCGCTGGCCTGGTTCGTGTTGACACTCGGGAATGGGCTGGGCAATCGCCAGTCTGTTTTGGCGGGTTTAGCCAGAAACAGACAACGCGCCAACATCCATTCGTCAGCACGTGCATGCGCTGATCCCACGCACGAAAGGTTTCGTGGGCAGAAAACCGAACGGAAAAAGGAAAAGAACGTGGTGGTCGATTTTTTCTCTTTCTTTCCAGAACAAGAGGTGCCAATAGAGCCAAGTTTTAACGCACGTGGATCGAAGAACAAGAACTCTCTTCCCTCTGCCCCAACGACGTCTTCAACACGTGGATCTCGACAACCACCCACTTCGGTGTGTCGATTCGGCGGTGGCGGTCTGCCAGCCAAGGAAAATATTCCGCGTTCCACAGAGCAGGGCCCTCGGAGCCTCTTTGGGGACCTGGTACGGACCGTTGACGAACGGCCCGCGGAGGGGGACCCGTGGCAATCCCAAGGATTCCAACAGCATCGGCGGACTCAAGCCCAAAAGGGAGGGTTATGCCGTGTCGGTGACCTCCCCGGATTTGTGGGAGAAGGGCCTGGTCGCCCTTGTCGAATTAGGCTACCGCATTAAACTCAATGTGGTACTGGGCACTTCGCTTGTTCTCGTCCACCGCCATTTCCACCCCAATGCATGCCATATCTCGGAACCCTGGGTTTCATTTTCCCGGGTCGTCGCCGGTCGCTGGGGCTCGCCGGGGACGAGCCGTGCAAGCAGGCAAGCCAACAACCCCATGCTCGGGAATTTGACACCTGGATGGGTTTTTCGTTGTTCAATGCCACGCCAGCGGGAGTTGGGATGCAACGATGGCTCCAGGGAGGGCCGACCGCCCGCATGGATGCTCGCTCGACTGAACGTTGCGGCGTTGAACCCAAACAACCATGGCAACCTTCTGACCTCATGGCCCATCTTTCCCGGATCAGAGCCGAAAGCCCAGGGATATTCACCGTTGGGCGCATGCTTTTTGTCTGAGATCGACGACCTCTTGAGGACCCGTCTCTCGAGAAGCAAGCATGGTCAATCTTCCCATGACAGCTGCCGATGGCGCAATGTATCTGCAACGCGTTATTTCCCGTCTCGGCGATGGGCAGCACGACCAGACAGAGAGCGAATCACGTTTCCCTGCGGCCCCCCGCCTCTGTCCCCCACCTGGCCCAGCTTCATTCCCACGTCGGATCCACTAACGCAGGAACAGAGACCGGCTCTGCCAATGGGGGCGCCCCCGTGCCATGTCGATGGGTCTTCTCGAAGGTTTCAGGGTCCGTTTTTGTGCATGAAAAGCGCCACCTCACAATTCGCGCTCTGCAGGCCAACTTGCCTGTTCCGTCTTCACCTTCCCAGCGGACCCTTGTACATACATCGTTATGTTGTGGACAGAGGGTACTTGTCCAGAGCAAGCTCGGCCCATTTCCCTCCCGGTCCCAGCACGGCCGGCCGGCGAGCGTCGGGGCCGCCAGACTCGCTCGTACCGGGGTCTGCTATGGAAAGATAACGTTACGCAAGTAGTTACACAGGACATGCCTCTACAGAACGACAAGCACGGGAGCTCGACCTTATCATACGATAACAACGACTTCTCCCAACATCTCCGGGTGAAGTTGTCGTTGTCCAGCACTGCGGACAGCAGACAGCCAACGACCACAGCAAACAAAATCACTGCGCATGTCCAAGTCGCGAGCGAGTCTACCCGTCACGAGCAACCCCGCCACTGTGCTCGTACCGGCAGCTTCAGCTCTGATGCCCAAGGCTGATGCCGTCCATCGCGGCTGTTCTTGCATCTCAAGATCGACGGCCCGTTTTACGTAAGGTATCGATTCTGCTGGTTGCTAGCACTGGCTAGTCCCCAAAGCTGGGGACGCCGTCAGCACTAGCGCGGTGAACGGACGACATCGAGAGGGGTTCTGGGCAGCTCACCTCGGGCATCCCCAAGTTTTTGGTGAGGATCGAGATCTCACCGGGACCGCAACTGAAGGGAACCCTGTCGACGGATGGCTGGCGAAGGATCGCGGCCTGACCGTGCGCTGCCGCCCTGCCATCTTGGACAGCAGCGGGCAGGCAGTGGCACGGGCGCTGATAAGGCGCCTCGAGGATGTCCGGATCTGTGGGGTTGAGGTTGCGAGGCCGCGAGATAAGATTCTGCGGCAAAGCAAGGCATCCCGGGACTTGAACGTTGCTGTCAATCCATCGGCCCTGTCCTCTTCAACTGATGGCTCAGAAAAGCAAGAGGAAAAAGCAGCCCTGTCTGTTTGACAGAGAGGCGACAGTTTGTATCCAGTCATTTTGCCAAGCACATCGTGTTCAACTGCCGCGTCGAACGACATGTTCGAGACATTGCCACAGTGCTAGTCGCGGTTTTCAAGCAGCTCAGCAGCTGTCGTGGCGCAGTCTGGACGTCCAATCCAGCCTCAAACGAACGTGTTTTCGGTCTTCGGCTGTCTAGTGTCAGATTCATCCCAACCAGGCAACAGGGCACACCTGGCACACAAGCACACCACACAGCACACACCCACGAGCCTGGACGTGATAGTTGATAGTCCCATGCAGCACTATCACCCCGCCGTCCCAAAACACGAACAGCCAGGCCAAACGCCAATGGGGTGAACAATCCCGTTTCGACATCGCTCGCTCAGGGCTCGGATAAAAATCTGCAGCTCTTGCATCTTGCATCGCGAACGGGCACCTCGCCACAAACATCCTGCAGCTCGGTCGCTCATTCCCGGGCCCGTTCATTGGCCCGTATCTGTTCCGACGGGGAAGTCTTCGCTCCTCCCTGCAGTCCGTCCGCGAAGGGCCCCCCGCTGCCGGCGGGTTGGCGTCTTCCAACACTCCACCCTTTTTCCGTGTTCCGCCGTCAACATGCAGACGGGGAGGTCTGAGATCTACCTGTATGGGCGAGTCAACCACACAAGTAAGCCAGTCGTGCTGACTCGGCAGTCATCCATCTTGCGTCCCCGAATCGGTGTCCGCGCCGCAAACTAGGGTTTATCACACACCTCGTCGGAGACGGTATCGGACCCCAACCTGTGACAAGCGTGTTGGTGGCCAACCGGGATTGTTCTCAAGCCACCAAACACCAAATGCCGGTGGTGCCAGGGGTGTGCTGCTGCAGGCGTTTTGAACTTGTGTTGTTGCTTGCAGCCGGCAGGCACCTCACGCAGGGGCACGCGAGTTCCTTCGAAACACTCGCTCCAGTTCCGCTTGCGCCGCGCATTGCATTGAGCACTCACCGCTCGACGTCATGTTGGAGGCGAAGGCATTGCCCGTGGAATGTCCCAATGTCCAATGCCCACTTTCCTTGCGATCGCGATCGGGGTGTCCCGTTCTTTCGCTTAGACGATGGAGTCTCTCCAATTCTCCAACTTAATAAGCTATCCCCATAAGCGGCTGAACACAAGCGCGACACTTGCAAACATAGCGGCGGTCTCTCAGCCATCGCGACATCTTGTGGCAAGTCAGGAAACCCACCCTTCGTCACCTGCGCCGAGTCGTTTAGCAGGGGATCCGAGGGCAGCGCTGGATCGAGAGGAGGGCTCTGACTGGCTCATAACGCGTGGGATCCGCCCGCCGCGCCGGTGGCCGCACTTTCGGGCCACGTCCTTGGTTTTTTCAGTTGGCCGCGCGCGCTGCACAGGCCGCGCCCGCCCGCAGGCCACCCACCCCACCAATCCACTCCAACTCGGGCTGCACACACGTTGGCGGGTCTCCCGAAGGGCAGCCCCCCCGACCGACCCGATGGGTCCAACAAACTGGCCGCAGCGAACGGGCCACATCGCACGGCCGCCGGCGGGAGGCCTGCTCTCCCGAGAGTTGGGTTGGGTTGGGGTTGGAGGTTGCGCAGGGCTGTGGTCGGGTTTTTTGTTGTATGCCTTGCCTTGCCGTTCGTTGGGTTTGTTGTTGGTAACTCGTTGATTCACTGAAAGGTCCTGAAATGACGCAGAAAGGCCCGCCTCGGTTGTTTCGGGGGCGCCGACACAGGACAGCTTTTCAGGTGGTTGTCAAACTCAACCCAAACTAAACCCAAACCCAAACATTTCACCGAGGCACTTCCAGCTCTGTCTCGGTCCAGCAACGGGGCCGTCACCATGGCCGCCTCACGGAGACACCGCCAACGGGTTTGTTCTTTTTTTCACACGGCACCGAAGTGAGTGAGTGCCTTGACGGGTGCTGTGGGTGCATTTTGGGGTGAATGTACCCCCCATCGAAAGGTACATCGTCCGTCCATGCCGCATGGGCATACTCGCTCCTCTGAGGGAGCTCAAGATTTGAGTGCGAGGTAAACCAAGGCTTCTCGTTTTTTTTTTTTTGTTGTTGTCATACAAACGTGGTGACAAACTCGTCTCCGTTTGGGTAGCACAGCACCTGCCGGCGCCGCTTCCCTTGCATCCTCCTCGTCCCATCCCATCCCCCTTCTTTCTGTGCGGGGCGATACCGTCAGCAACTCGGTTGAGCTCACTCATCATGGTGGTAAGAGAGGTTGTAGGCAAGTCAGTGGTGGTGTGGTATGTGTGTGGGTGCGTGTGTGTGGGTGTATTTGTGTTTGTGCGTATCCTCGAATATCCATCCCCAAATATCCCCCCTACCTTTGCTACACTCTGCTCCTTCACGCCCCAAATAACCCACCGGCCGTTGTGCCCTACCATCTAAGGTATAAAAAAGGTCGAGTATGCAGCGGCCGAACAAAACCCAGTCAGATTCCAGTCCCGCGCTGCCGCCGCCGTGCCGCGCCGTGTCTGTGCCGCGCTGGGGTTCGAGTGCGGAGGCTGGGAGGGACGGGTGTGTTCTTGATTCGGTCGGCCGTTCTGCGCCGTCGGTGTGCTTCTACCTGTACGGGACGAGTGGGGAGTCGCCGCGGTTACGTATGTGTGCTGCCGCGGTCCCTGGATACGGAAAGTTTTGACGTCCTTCGATCCGGTCGATCCGTAGGTGCCGGGGGGTGACTGCCGCTTGAGAGGGGGTGACTAAGTTTACAACTGCCTGTCCGAAGTCTGCTACTCGCCCCCACAGCTCATCTCTCTCGGGGAACCATCAGGGATGTCAATCGTTTCAGGTCCTCGTGGCACCAAAGCTAAGACGGGACGCAACCGTTGAGGTCTGCCCTTTGGGATTACTATGAATATTGGGGGCGGTGGCTGCTTATACTGAGTAGTCTCAAGCAATATTTAGCCACTGTGTACGACTCTGGTCAACATAATTTCAGGTTAGAACTCGAGAAGGAAGAGATAAGGTTTCCATTGGATATACGGACCAGGCGAAGGGTAACCGCCTTTCCACGGACATCAGCAGGATCTGACCTAGGTGGATATCTAGGGGGGAAATCAACGGCTGTTGAGATTTCCCTGGAGAACGTCCATCAAGCGAGGAAATGCCCCGCCCTCGACAGCATCGACCCATTGTTCCGTCCGCTTTAGATACCAGCCGTTGGCACAGCGGGCGACAGCGCCAAAGAAGTCCAACTTCAAGGGCGCGTACGTAACCTCTGTCTCCCACTGCGGCCAGAGTTGCTTCATCTTGTCGGCGTAGACCTTACGCAGCTGCGTCCGTTCGTACTCCATCAGGTGAATCCAGTACAGCTCTGTCTTCCCCTCGTCGTCCAGCTCATCCGACCCCATGACATCATCGCTGGCGTCTCCATACCCATCCCTATTTGGCTCCTCTTCCCGTGTAGGCCCAAGCAGAAACTTGGGCAGCTCAGCAGTCATCCAAAGTGGTTTGCATGATACGCACTCCCAATCGATCAGCGCCGTGACTTTTCCGTCGTCGTCAACCAGGATGTTTGGTAGGGAAAGGTCGTCGTGCCAAAGCACAGTTTGTTCGGCCGGATTTTGGAGAGGCGGGAAAATCTTGGGGAGCAGCTTCGTCAACTTGGTGGCGACCCGTTGGTAATATTCGGCGACTTCCCGGTCGTCTTCGTCTGCTTCTTCATCTGCGAACACCCTCGCTTGCTCTTCGTCGACGATACTCAGGTACGCATTCAGCCAATCGTGACTGGACCGGAAAGGGCCACGGGCGATGTCGTAGTCGAAACTATCTCCCATGAAGAACATGTGAGATACGATCCGGCCAGGCTTCGGGTCACTGGAAGGAGTGTGGTGTTCGGACTCCGGGTTGCCAGGAGAGAGCGTGCCGATGGATTGGAATTTGGCGTCCTCGAGACTGCGGCGGAAGAGTTGGCTTTGAAAATCTGCGACCTGCTCGACAAGCCATGTCTTTTGGGCCATGGACATCTTGCGCCACCTCTTGTAAGCCGAGACGCCGGGCATGAGCTCCATGAGGATCCACTCAAAGCCGATCTCATTGTCCTGGCTGTCGTCAAAGGCGATGATCTTGGGGACGGGAGCATGGGTCATGCGGCGAATCCAGCGCAGAGTAGTAACTTCACCCAGCGTCTTGTGCTTGGGGTCGACTGGCAGTGACACGCGGAGCAGAGACGTGCCACGCGGGGTATCGACCAGATAGACCTTGTTGAAGGCGCCTTCGGCATGAAAAGTGATGAGGCAGCGATCTTTTACGGAGAGATCCAGAGTCCTTCGACAGACTTGAGCAATCTTGTCGACCTGGGGCTGCCGTGCCCAACGAGGCTTCAAGTCGAACCCGCTCTCATCCCACTCGAGCCCATCGCGTTGGTGAGGTGGCATCTTGACGATATGGCGCGGAGATGCACTGCAGCTTGGAGTATAATCAAAGAAAGGAATGGTAAGGGTAGCTTGGTGCCGTTGTGGTTTGACTGGCTCAGTTTGAGGCGTGAGCAAAGCATGCAGTTAATGAACGGGTAACAAGGTAGGTAGGTAAGTAAGGTGTTATTATAGGCAGCCTGCCACTGCATGTTTTTAGTATCTAGGAAAATGGACCAAAACTCAAATCTACCACTAGCTCCTCCTTGCGGTTGAATTCCGTTAAAACATCGGATGCGGCATAGTTATTTTGAAAATATTAGAAACATGACTATAAATATGTCCTCGTGCAATTAATCCGGGTCATACCGTTGACCATTTTCCATAACAATTCCGCCGCTCCTTGTGATTCCAAGTCACGCATGACCCTAACCCTGCGCGCCCGACCGCTTCAATACAGAATGTTCAACCGCATCTGATCAACTCTTTCCATTCACCATCAAATAACACCATCAAATAATCATCACCTGCCAGCCTCTCACCAACAATTCCTCAACTCGATCCCAACCAAAAGACAAAGAAATCGCCAACCACCCACCACAGCACAAATGAGCTCCCTCAACCCCCCCAAAACCACAAAACCCCCACCACCAAACCCAACCCAAAATGACGAATCCTCATCATCAGAAGAAGACTACATGTCCATGACCTTCACCGACCCCCCCACCTCCACCACCAACACCAAAACCTCCACCACTACACGCACCCCCCGCCCATCCAGCACCCACCAACAACAACCACAATACGAAACCTCCCTCCAGCGCCGCCAACGCCTCCGCCGCGAGGCCGAGGCCCGCTCCCGGCCCAAGTCCAAGGCCGAGGTCGCCGCCGAGGCCGACGCCCGCCGCGAGGCTGCCCTGGCCCAGTCGCTGTTTACGGCGCGGCCGGAGAGCAAGGGGCTGGCGATGATGGCGCGGATGGGGTTTCGCGGTGGGGGGTTGGGGAAGAAGGCCGTGCCTTCGGAAGGGGGAGGGGAAGGGGGTGGGGGTGAGAATGGGAGTGGGGTTGGAAGTGGAAGTGGTGGTGGTGGTGGTGGAAGTGGTGGTGGAGGGGGGAGGACGGAGCCGATCCGGATTGAGATTCGGGATGGGAGGGAGGGGATTGGGTTGGAGAGTGAGCGGAAGCGGAAGGTTAGGGAGGCGGCGGAGGCGGCGGGGGAGAGGGCCAAGCGGGCCAAGGCCGATGAGGGCGAGTACAGGGAGCGCATGCGCAGGGAGCGCGAGGAGGCGAGGTGGGAGAGGCAGCTTGCGGCCGCGCAGAAAGTGGCCGAGCGGATGGCGGCGGAGAGGGAGGAGGAGGACGCACAAAGGGAGAGTAGGGCGGCGGTGTCGCGCCCGTTGAAGGGTATTCCGGTTTGTTGGCGGGGGTTGGTCAGGTCGCGCGAGGAGGCTGAGAGGGACCGCAGGATGAGGTACGATCTTGAGCAGGGGCTGGCGAGGCTGCCGACGTATGAGGACGCCGAGGAGGATGAGGACGACAAGAAGGCGCTTGGTAAGGCTGCGACGACGTATGCCACGGCGGAAGACCTGGACGAGGAGGATCCGGAGCTGGAGGAGTTCAATGCCTTACCTGTGGATGAGCGGTTACATAAGATGGTGGAGCACCTGCGTGACGAGTATCGTTACTGCTTCTGGTGCAAGTTCACGTACCCCGACGAGGAGATGGAGGGGTGTCCTGGGTTGACAGAGGAGGATCATGATTAGGGTGTGGCTTTGGATAATAGGGGGTTGAGATATCTTGCGTTATGCACGCCTTACAACAGTTCAGATTCATGTTGGAGAGAGAGTACATAGTTCTGGTTCTCGCAGGTCAGGTAGAAACCCGCATAGCCTTTACCTAGTCTGCACTGCCGTATCCTTAAGTCATTAATGAACCATGCCGCCGCCCCTTCTAAAATAAACAAAAACGAAAACCCCCTACCGCTGCCTCATCCTCCCACCCCCCAACCCCTCCCAAAAAGCACACCTCCCCCTCTCCCCCCCTCCCACCCTTTCCATCCTCGCCCCCTCCGTCTCCACCACCAACCTCCCCCCATCCCCCTCCCCATCCCGATCCCCAACCCCACCTCCACCCCAAACCTCCCACCTCGGCGCCCCCGGCACGCGAAAGACGTTCGGGTCCAGCGCGCGCACGAAGCTGATCCAGTACCCCATGACCAGCGGCACCACCGCGGCGTTGTACGTCTTGTAGCTGGCCCGCGCCAGGTAGCCGCCGCCGACGTTGTCGGGCCCGAAGATGGCGGCCGAGTCGAAGATGTGGGGGACGCCGAGGCCGGCGGCGAGGTTGGAGGCGTCGTGGACGTTGTAGCGGTAGGTGTAGATGCTGGATTTTCTGTGCTCGAGGGTGGTGGTTTGGTTGGTGGGTTGGCTGGGGGTGTTGGGGTGGTGATGTTGCGGGTGGGAGTGGCGGTGGAGGTGGGTGAGGACGTTGAGTGACGGGCAGATGAAGGTGGCTTCGCCAAAGGCCTGGCTGGCGGTGGGGAACCAGGGGTTGCGGTTGGGGATGGGCGGTAGTTGGGGGTACTGGGCGAGGATGGAGGTGGTGTCGTTGGCGGTGAGGAGGGGGGTAGTTGTTGAGGAAGAAGAGGGAGACGTCGTCGGGTGTGGCGGCGTTGGAGACGAAGACGGAGCCTTCTGTTGCGGAGTTTAGTATTGGTTAATGAAGGGTGGCGGGGGGAGTTGAGGGAACTAACCGTCTGTGGATGTTCCGAATACCACTGGCACGTTGATGAACTGCCCCCTTTCAAACAGGCGATAGGGGAGGTCGCGGAGGAAGTCTCCGTCAACACACGGAGTCCAGTAGAACAGAGGCATGGGCGGACCGGGGCGCCCGGGGAATGCTTGTGCGTGGTTGGCGGCTTGTAACACGGCAACGTCCTTGCCCCGGAGACAACCTATCTGCTGGGATGGATCCAGCTTGTCACAGCCAGTTTGGCTCACCACCCTGTCGAACTGGTATTCGAGCTCCTCAACAAAGGGCTGGGCAGGGAAGAAGTTGGCTTGTGACATAGCCCCGACAAAGAGGTTGTCGTTGCGCCCGCCATAGGCTACCATGTGCGTGGCCACGGAACCGGCGCCTGCCGAGGCACCGTGGATGACGACGTGGTCGGGATCTCCGCCAAACTAAGTTTATAGTTAGCCGAAGTAGGGGTGGGAAGAGGAGGACATGGAAACCTACCGAAGCAATGTGTGTCTTCACCCACTTCATCAGCATCCGCTGGTCCAACAAACCCGCATTCAGAGCCCCGTCCTTCCTCACCCGCTCGCTCGCAAGGAAGCCCCAGAGGCCGACCCGGTAGTTGAAGTTGACCATGACAATTTTGTGACCAGACCGCTGAACCACTTCGTTGCCGTCCCAGTTGGAGTTCGCGTTGTGGCCGTATCCTACAGAGACCATCAGTCAGGGCCACACCACACCAGGACTAAGCCGGGAGAACCCACCACCGCCCTGAATGAACACCCACACCGGCAGCTTCGACCTCTCTGTGGCATTCGTCGGTGCCCAGACATTCACAAACAGACAGTCTTCGCTCTGCCCTTGCACGGGATACGCCAGGTCATTCCCGAGGCATATTGGACCATACTGCCGGGAGTCAGCGCCTTGTTCCCAGAAGACACTCTCACAAATGTTCACATACCGTCATGGCCTCCTCCACGGTCCCAGTCGGAGTCGGGACAGGTTCAACGGGGGCTCTCCATCTCAGATTGTCGAGTGGCGGGGCAGCATAACGCATACCCCGGAACGAATTCACCCCGTTGGACAAACGCAGGCCCTCGTAGGTGGTGTAGTTGAGGTGAACTCGGGCGGTGCCGACGACGGTGGGCTGCAGTGGCAGGATGATATCAGTCTTCTGGTGCACACCATTGTTGGGCATAGGGGGGTTTGACGAGGGGATCATGTTGGCGGGGTACGTAACCTCGAGGGTTTTACATGATATAGCGTGGATGGGTGAATTGTGTAGCCGGCAAGATAGATGCAAGTGGTGAGATTTCCACCGTACCACAGCAGGACTTGGAGCTTGGAACTTGGAGCTGGAAGTTCGATCAAAAGCCAGGAAACCAAGGAAACGAGAAACAACACAACCTACCCCATCTTGACCACTCCCCCCTGACCCGATGACCAAAAACCAGACGCCCACCTGCACGAGCAGTACCAGCACCATCGACAACACCAGCGCAACTGCTGTCCTCCCCGACGGTTGCGGCGGCACCAAGACACCATCCCGGACTCCTTTCCTGTTATGGCCTTGACCGGGAGGGAGGATATTATGGGAATAATCCCTCAGCCGGCCATCCTCATCACCAGCATCCATGTCACCTAGTGACGGTGCTGTTGGAATGGGGCGGCCCATAGCGCCCAAGAGGGGGAGTGCAACGAGGAGGGCCACACCACACCATGCCGCGGAAGGACTACCGCGGTATCTCAGCGTCGTGATCCCAAAGGTGCCGTTACGAAAGGAGACAGAGCGGGATCATACCTTGGTTCCAGGAGCCAATCTAGTCTTCTTCAATATCCAAAAATAAGCAAACCACCACCCAGCATGAAAATAGTAACAAAGACGGGTGAACACTCCCCTCAATGGTGAGTGTTTCATTCATTCTTCCAAGCTGTGCCAACTCCAACGCAACCCCGACACCAACCGCGCCCGAGAACCCCACACCGCAGATCCGGGCCGCCCGCCCGGCCCAGAAGGAGCTCAGGGGATGAGATCCCACGACGGGATGACAGAGACTCGCATATCAGCTTCTATTTTTCCTTGACGGCGAAGAGCATGTTGTGAACACCGGCGAAGAACATGACACAAATACTAGTCAAGAACATGATACAAATATTACACCACCCCCAAAACGTACAATAAAACTAAGTAGGTATCTCCGATATCTCACAACCAACAACCAAACCCCCTCTAAACCCATAATATAACCCAGAGAAACCAGCCCCAGGGAATGATAACATTAGGCAACCCCCCGAGTCGCAGAAAACCAGATACAACCCCGAAATAATAACCCAACACCAGCAGCCTGCCATACAGAAGACCCAGTGTTGATAACAATAATAACAGCAGCAATTAATCAATCCAAAATCCTCAACCCCCCCTTCTCCCCCGCCGCCGTCTTTACCCCCGAACCCTTGACAAACACTCCCCTATACCTCTCCCACATCCTCTCCAACTCACCTACATACTCGCGATGCAGCCGATCCAACTCCCTCGCATCCATCTTCTCCCCAGTGGGGACCTTCCTGACAGGAATGGGCCGCCCGACCACAATATTCAGCGGGCGGCGGTAGGGCATCAGACCGACATCATAGTTGAAGATGCCACGGCCGTGCAGGAAGGGGAGGGTGAACTTGAGGGTGCGGAGGACCCACATCTGCAGGCGGTGCAGCAGCGGGTGGTGGCGGGCGCTGAGCTGGTCGTAGAGGTCGTTCTCGCCAAAGGCCAGCACGGGGACGAGGTCGGCGCCGGTGCGCATGGCCATCTTGACGAAGCCCTTGCGCTGCGCCAGCACCAGCCGCATCGTCCCCGGGTGCGCCTCCAGCGACTCGCGCGCGCCCCCGACCACGATGGTCACCGCCCGGCCCATGCCGTCGCCGTCGCGCCCGCCTGTCGTGAGGATCGACGTGATGGACTCCTTGGACACCGACTGGATCCCCAGCGCGAGGATGTAGTCGCGGTAGAGCGGGATGCGGAAGTTGGAGTCGAGCGTCAGCAGGCTGTTGGTGATGCCCGGGAATTTGTCCGCGAAGCCGAGGGCTTCCGTGCCGAAGGCGGCGAAGGCGCCGTGCGAGATGATGCCGTGCGGGTGGTAGCCGAAGATGTACTTGCGTGTCGGCGGCAGGTCGTGGGTCTTGTGGAGTGTGGCGGGGAAGTAGTCGGCGAAGAACTTCCAGATGGGGAGGCGCCGGAACCGCTCGGAGCGGGCGCGCAGGCGGCCGTCGGTGGCCGATTTGGAGAGCAGCATGTGTAGCAAATAGGGGATGAGAATCGGCCAGGTGAGGGGGATGGCGCAGAGGAAGAAGAAGAACGAGACCGTCATGGCGATGCTCAGGCAGTGGGCTAGCACGGCCATCGTCTGCAACCGCCGCCGGTAAGGTATGTTCCAGGGGGCGAAGCGGATGCCGCCTGCTCTATAGGCGTTGATCCGGGCCCGTTCCCGGGCGGCGGCTTCTTTGCCCGCTGCGTCTGTGAGTGGCGGGTAGGTGTCGCGAGCATCCTTGTGATTTGTGGCGAGTTGATTGTCGGTATCAAGACTTCCCAACGAGGAGAGCTCGTCAGCCTCCCTCTCGGCGATATCTCCGGTGGACTCGGCCATGTCAGCCAGCTGGCCGATGCTGTTTCTGCGGCTGTGGATCGAGCTCATGGCGGAGGCAGGCGTGAGGGTACCGTTCAGTCCCTGGCCATGCTGTTAGTCCGGAGCCGGGGCAGTAGTATGTTAGGGGCTACTATCACCCACCGTCTCGGTACTCCCCCTCCCCGACGCCGTGTCGCCATCTTGCGGTGCTGTTTTAATGTCAACAACCTGAACTTGGATGACACCCTCCTCGTGTTTGTCCCCAGCAGACTTCTTGGTGTGCGCCGCCCTCCGACGCAGCGTCTTGCTTTTGCCCATGAGGAATGCCGAATCACCGTGCTACCCCCCTGTTTGTTCCTTGTGTGCGCTATATGGGGTGTCCGAGGAGTTGAATTGCACTGCTGGTTGGTCCCTCACCTGAAAGAAGAGTTGGAGCAGACGGCATGGTCTTGGCTGTGGCCCAAACCGAGGGCAGGAGTGTAGGAGGAGGCAGTCGTGAATCGTAGAATGCGAACGGAAGTAGCGATGCGATGCCTTTGTAAAATTGTGAAGCTTAAGTTCCCAGAAGGTGCGATACGATTGATGGTGAGGAAGGAGGATCGGAATTTGGAAGGTACGAAATGTCGGAACGGGTTTCAACACACAAGTTCGGGTCCGAGTGAGATTCGGATGAGAATGATCGGGTGAGAAAATATCAGATGGGACCTCATGGCCATCAGCCCGAAACCCGTTGGTTATTTGGTCCAGCTCCGGACAGCTCCAGACAAGTCGCGCCGCGGCGAGGGAGGCAACGGCGGAGCACGGAAAGAAGCACAGCGATCCCTGGGCCATTCCAGTTGCTCGTCATGACGTTGCGAGGTGGGGCTGCGGCATGGTCGGCCACACCGGCATGCCGGGCATGCACACTCCCAGCACTGCCTTTCTGGCATGTGGAACGCCAAGACCTGTTTGAGGATATCCCTGTTGGTTCTGGTTTCGACGGGGTTAAGCTACAGATTACATACTGTGTAACTACTGCACAGGGAGGCTCGGCGTTTGGAGGCACGGAGGGTAGGCGCTTAATAGGTACTAGCGAATACTGAGGATGGAATCTAGTGGTAGACTCCAAATCCCGTTATCGGATCTACCATGGCAAGGCTGCCCGAACGCTGCTTCACCTTCATGAGCACCTAGGTGCAGAAGCCTAGCTAGTAGTCCACACATAGCCCGCGTCTCGAGGCCGAGATGTTGGCTGTTGAACGAACCTCACCTCCTTGGAACGGAAAGTCGGTTGTCTCTTGCGAGATACCTTGCCTAGTCCTGCCTGGCTTGCTACAAACCCACCACGCTAAACGCTTGTTCCGTCTTTTGGTCCTAAATACCACCGTCCTTGCGCCGTACCAACGCCCGCCGTTGCCCCGAATCAGATTCGAAACATCTAAAAGATACAAGCGCCTTGTATAGTTAAGGCGCGGAAATGTGATAGCGGCAGGTCTGGAGCCTCCTGTTCCGGTCCGCCTCTCACCTGCTTCCTTCAACCGCACGCTCACCAACTCTACTGTTGAGCGGCGGCAGAATCGGTCGGGGAGCCCTCCTCCTCCTGCGGCGGCGTGAACTGCTGCCGTAGTGTTGCCACCTCGGCCGTTAGCGCCGCGATGTGCTGCTCGTGCGTATTGAGCTTCTCCAGGAGCTGCGCTCGGCTTCTCGCGTCTGTCTCCGCCTGGGCGCTAAGCCGTTTGACCGTGCCTTCTAGGTGTTGGAAATACGCCCACATCGTCGGGTCTGGCTGCCCAAAGCCGCCGTTTTCCCCGCCCTGCGGGGGTAGTCCCGCGCCGCTCGCCGCGCGGGGGCGTCCTCGGCCGGCTGCGTGCTGGCCCGTCGTCGCGTTGCCTTGGATTGCATCTCGGTCAGCGGGGGGGTACTGAGAGAGCCAGGCTTGCTTGGCCGCTGGTGACATACCATGCGTAGGCAGGGACAGCCCCGGAGCGCCCTGCTGCTGTTCGTTGCCCGCCCTTTGCTGGCCTGCCGCTGCGTTTACCTGCGTGCCGCCCGGGCTCAGCGGCTTGGGGCTCTCCGTCATGCCGCCCTGTGAATACATGGCTGAGCTGCCCGCGCTCAGCGGCACAGATGATATGCTAGTTTGTGGCGTGTGGCCGCCCGGCATGCTGGGGGATGTGTTTGTGCTGGACGAGCCACGGTCGACATTGGGCGGATACAGGCCGCCGGGTGCGCCTGGTCGCTGCCCGGCCGGGGGGTAGGTGCTCGAATGGCCGGTCCCGTAGCCGTCTGGCCCCGTCTGTCCACCGACGTGCTGCGGCTTGATGCTCGGCATGCTCAGACGCCGCCGCTCCTCATCCGACATGTCTCCCGCACCGTCGTACAATTCCCCCGACATGGCGGAGCTGTCCGCTCCATCATATCCGTCCTTGAGGCCAAACGAACCCATCGTCTGTCTCCTGCCCGCGCAACCACCCGCCCCCTTGCTATGCCTGGCTAGCGCGTCGCCACGCGCAAACTTTCTATCACAGCTCGGACACACGTGCGGCTTCTCGCCGGTATGTAGTTTGCTATGCCGTTTGAGATCATGGAGCCTGCGGAAGCGCATCTGGCATGATTGGCATACGTAGGGCTTCTCCTGGCTATGCGTGAGTAAGTGGCTTTTCAAGTTATGATGACGCGTAAACTCTGTCTCGCAGTAGGGGCACTTGTGTTTCTTATTCGAGTTTGGCGAGCGGGGCGTGAGATCGAGACCGGGGGTTTGTGGGCCGCCTACGGGCATGCTCATCATTCTTTGTGGATGGCCGGGTGCTGGCATGGCTCCTGGGTAAGAGAGGGACGCTCCCGTTTTGTCTTCCATAGGTGCCTCGGGTTGTGGCGCATACAAGCTCTCGTCGTTGCGAGAATCGACGTCCATCGCCGTCGGGCTGTCGACTACGTGTCCATCTCCATCCTCGAGGCTTGCTCCACTTGTGCCGCTTTGCGGGCTGACATCGTGAAGCTCGTCGCCAGGGGCGTGGCCTTCCGGAATGGTCACTGAACTAAGCGCCCTCGCAGTCGCGGCTGCCGCAGCCGCCTCGATATCCGAATGCCCTGTGTCCGGGGGCGCGTCTTGCGGTCGGTGCAGGTCTGCTGCGACCCCCGACATGAGGTCGTCGGTCGCAGGTTGCTGTTGGTTCTCACTGTGTTCTAGTTGAGCCAGCTGATGCTCCTCCTCCTCCTCCTGCCTATTGCCATCGTCTTCGGCGATCTCGCCTGTCGATGGGTTATGCGACTGCCTGGCAAAGCCCACCAGTCGGGCAATTTTGGACGGCGAGATATCGCCACTGGAGACCAACGGATCCTGCGACGTCGGTGTTGTCTCCCGCTGTCGCTTGAGCGACTTCGACCGGGCTAGTTCGGCGACTGCCCCAAAGGGAGCTGTGGTCTGCGGTACCGTCGATGTAGAGGGCGCACGCGGAGCTTCTGTTGCGGTGGGCCCCCGTTCCGAGGCCATGACAGCGGCGAGACGCGGGCGAGGCCGAAGATTGGGGATACGCGCTCAAGCCGGTCAGTCGAGTACCGGGTGACTGGTCAAATTATTCCGCGCTGACGGCTTCACGAGCAACCCGGGTGCATCGCCGGGTCGATGGGGGGTGGGTGCCCTCGAGGCTTCGATGTGTGGCTGAAGATCGTGGCGAGAGCTTCCGAGTATCGTAGCCGACGGGAAAGCTTGACAAAGCGTGGTATTGTCGTGGCTGCGGAAGAACAAGAGAGATGAATTGGAACTTTGAATTTTTACTCCTTAGAAAGACGGTTGTATCTAATCGCCGTCAAAAACAATATGCAGTCAGCATCCGGGAAGTGGGAATGGTTTGGTGATTGAGAGAACGTGTCGTGAGAAAGCAGCCTCAAGGCGAGGGAAAGAAGGCTGCAAGAGACGGGGAGTGTGCAAGAAAAATGGGCGCAGCAGCCGGCAAGCCTCCCCTGCCCCACTTTTGCCGGATCGCCCGTCGGCGAACACCAACTTGCAAGGCGTTCAGGTGCCTGCTAACAATTCCGACTTCGTCGTTAGTTAGGGCGGTACTTGACCGGACCAAGCCCCATTCGGCGTGTTGTGGTGCAGCCTCGCCGCGCTAACCCGTCTCGTAAATCAAGCCACCGCTTCGCTTTTCCATTCGTGGTTTACTGCTTACCCCAACACACTCACGCGTTCTTCTGTTTCGGGGCAATTTGGAAAAGCTAGAGAGGGCAGTGGCTGTGCTGCGAAACCGAATCGTTGCCCGTGGCAAAGAACGCGCAGACCAGGATGGAATGTTTGGGCTGGGCGCTGAGTGGGGCGACTTGGGAGTCGTCCCTAAACACGCAACACGATCCAAGGGAAGTGGCGCAGCGACCGCCAGACCTTCAGCAGCACCTTCCCTCCTTGGGAGTGTGCCTGTGATGCGGTTGCCCAGAGTGCCCAGGTTCGATGCATCACGACGCTCTTTTTGGTCGTCACGGTTAGTGTACGCATCATTAGTTTGTGTTTTCCGATTCCGCGGAACAACCAAACGGCCCCTCCTGCGCGGCAGCGTTGCATCAAAGATGCTCGCGTTTCAAGTCAACAAGAGCAGTCTGCACCTGGTTTCCAGTTCCAGCTTTGCACCGGCTTCGGCTTCCGTTTACCTGGGCTCTGGGACCCGTGCCGTCCCGGGGCGGCATCATCCAAGAAAGATCGCCGTGAGAAACGCCCGAGTTCAATGCGCGCCACTAAATGGCCGAAAAGTCGGCTGGCAACGCAGGCATGTAGCGAATGAGGTCCCAGGGCGACCTCTCTACTCGGGTTTCCAGCTGCCCACAGGGAGCCTCACCAAGCCAGACGCAGTAATATGCTCGTCGGGTCTCCCGTTGGAGTGGGTCTTGATTGACCGCTCTGACCTCCCCGCCGACTCACCTCCTGTCCTCGCTCTGTCTCCCTGTTGGCTGCCGCGAGGAAACCACGGCGTTCTCGCCGGTGAGACTGATTTGCTGGAAAGGTCAGCCCAACCGCAAGGTAACCGGCAAACACATAGTTATTGACGGATGCCGCCGCTGAACCATGGCATAGGTAGGTGTAGGACACCTCTCCCTCAGTTGGAACCTCCCTAGGCGAGTAACCCTTTTCTGGATTTTGGTCAACCCCATGAGATCTACCAAGTATTGTTCGCCTTGATGATGGCCCATGTTTGACTTGATACTGTACACATAATTAACCCTTCGAGCATCTCCGTAAGGTTAACAGCAAGAGGTGGCCCGGAGACGCAGCCAGAGTGGCGTGGGCTCCTGGAGCCCGGGTCTCGGACAGCTCCCGCTTGAGACAGCGGGAGGGTCGCTGTTAGGGGCTTCGAGAACAGAGGATAAGCAAGGACGACGACAACTGACCGAGTTGTCAAGAACTCGTTCATTATCTGGTCGCTTCGTCTCGGACCTACGAGCAACCTCGGCCTCGACGAGCGCGCCCATAGTTCCGTGGAATGTCACACAGGGTACGCGTACCTGCATCCATGCTGACGCCTTTGTACCTCGGCGTTTCTGTACCGGACACTCGACAATTGTCGCACGCATGACCACTTCGTAGTCGACGCCAGTGTGTATTATGAGGCCTTATTCGTAGAAAGCAAACCGGGGGTTCGACTCAGAGAGGTCTTGACGTTTGTGGCTGCTTGCACAGACGTATGTGCTTGCGGAGATCGCCTCCTTGGGGTTCGACCCGGACTTTCGCCAACGTGGCGCCAGTCCTCTTGTCAGCGCCAGATGTTGTGCTTGTGGAACGAGTCCGACTTTCTGGAGGCACCTTTCAGGGAAGGTAAGAGGAACGGGTGAAGCACGATCGAACGCGTGAGGCATAAGCCGCCAGCAGCCTCTGGGATGGACCCGTGGCGTTGTGTCTTTATATGTACCTACCGTGTGGACTTTTGACGAAGGATGCTTCCCCGTCGCATACGCCCCGAGCACCCTTTTCACCACAGATTACTTCATAGCCCTCGCGTAGAACATTAACCACGGCTTTGATGTAAAACCGGGAAAACACCAATGCCAAGTAGAAGCAGGGACGTCGCTGCCCACTCTTACGGCATCCCTTTCAACAAAACAGGTTGTATACACTACTATCAGGGCGAGATCCAGGCTTTTCTCTCGAGTTTGTCGTTCGCCAACAAAGAAAGGGGGGCCCGAAATCCCTTGCCTTGCAACGTCGACGGCGGCGTTGGAAAGGAGTCTTAAACAAGGGATTTCGTCCGAACGGAACGTCGTGTTGCCTAGTCGCTCGGGCGATCATTTGCTCGAGCCGAGCTGCGGTGGTGGCTATGCTGTTGTGAAATCCGGCCTCATATTGCCAACAACTTGGCAGCGCCCTGGCAGAAAAGGGCAAGCCTCGCGGCCAATTCATTGGCGCTTCAGGCAGAATGTGACATTTTGTCGTCCGATTGGGACAGCGCACCGACAACGCGCCAACTCCGCATCGACGACGGCCGTGGGCCCGATGGGCTGCCGTCCGGGGGATTGCCCGGCAATCAACTGGCGATGCAAGGGCCTCACAGGGGTCAAGGGAAGGAAAACCCCGATTTGGGGACCCGGCCCAGGCAAGTTCCGAATCGAAGCCTGTCGAACTGTCGAACCCGGACGGGCCGAACGAAGGACGAGATCCACGGGTGATGTGCTGGGCAGCCGAACCGTTGCAGGTAAGGTGCATTGTCAGCACCTTGTTCAAACACGAATCGGGGTTGTCTCGTCATTGTGCAACGATTCAGCGTTCGACTCGAGTCAGCTTGGAAAGAAGAAAGTTGGTCAGAATTCTCGAGATCCGAATCCAATAGCAGCAGGAACCCTGATTGATTGCTTCGCCCAAACGGGGCTAGTCAGGTACCCAGTGGAACGATGTGAAGGCAGGAGCCCGAAGTGCCGATGTACAGAAGTTCCCGTTTATTTCCTTCGAAGGGAGTTGGGTCTCCGGCTTCCATCGTATACACTCCTCCATATGGACTGTTGCTGGTTGAATCGGATCGGAAGTGTGGAAATGGGAAACGTCATATTCGAGACTTCCAGGCTGTTCATGATGATCATCGATCCCCGCCCTCAAACTTGAAAGCCAGAACGGCGTTCTGGCCATTTCTGTCCGGACTTCCAGGCTGAGCAAGGCCAATGGTGTGCGCTTGGCGACCCGGTGAAGAAACTTGGCTTCTCGGTAGCTTGGCAGGGGTAGCGGATCCAAAAATACGTCGTCGTTTATGCCGAATTTGCTTCCTGGTAACTAACGGTTTGTTTTCGAGTCGTTTCTCGCTCAACTTCCAATGCCGACTGCGACTGACGAATCGGCTGCGTTAGCTGCTGCTTTCGTCCGAAACACGTTTTCGAGATGGTAATCCCTGTCATCCCATGACTGGTTGCGCTCCTGCGCTCCTGCGGTACCTGCATTAGCCGCCCTCTTCAATCTGCAGGTTCATGGCCCACCTTCCTCCCACAAGATGCAATTTCGCCAAGCGACGTCGCCCTGGTCACTGCCCTCCGCTTGGCGAGGTCTGGACTAAACATCCCAGCCGGCGCTCATTTCGCTCCTTTTCCCTTTCCGCTCGACCCACCACAACTCGCCCTGCCGCTCATTCAAGACGCAGCCCTCCTCCTTCGGTTCGTCCCTCTTTTGAACCGTTGGTCACCCGTTTCCCACCGTCAACGTCGCACACTCTTTTTGCGACGACGATTCCATCCAAAAGAAAGTCTTTGCACTTTCTACCACATTCTTTTGGAACTGCCAACGAACATACAATTTTACCCCAATTCGTGTGACCAGAGAGGCAATTTGCCTGTATCCCATATCAACACCAAGTGAGTTCCACAGTTGACAACCAGGGCAACAGGGGGCCGACAGCAGCACGGACTGGAGTTGGGCTCGAGAGCAGAGCGGCTAACGAGCTCGAGCGGCAACAGATAGGATATCTGTGGTTCAGAACTTGCAAAAATGAGGGGAATCATCAAGACCGCAGTCGCGGCAGCAGTTGTTGCCGGCGTTGCTGCTCAACCTCATGCCCACGGCCATGGCCACAGCCACCGCCATCTCCACGCCAAGAAGCACGGCGACTCGCAGGTGGAGAGGCGTGGCGGCACCGTGGTCGTCACTGAATATGTGGAGGGTCCGACCGTCGTCGAGTATGTGGACGCCAAGGGGAAGAAGATCGAGGATGCCAAGGCGAAGGAGGGCCTCGACAAGGGCCTCTACGTTGTCATGGGCTCGACGAAGCCCAGCTTCAGCGCACCCCCCGTCTCCCTTTCCACTTCGCTGTCTGCCCCCGAGCACGGCGGCCAGTTCTTCGAGAAGACGACCTCGGCCCCGGCTCCGACTACCACGTCGACCCCTCCGCCGAAATCCTCGGCTACGCCTCCGCCAAAGTCGAAGGGGCCGACTGGTCTCGATGCCGACTTCCCGAGCGGCGAGGTCTCCTGCGACAAGGTGCCGACCGACTATGGTGCCGTGGAGATCCCGTGGTCAGGCACGAAGGGCTGGACCACGCTTGCCAAGTTCGGCGGGTGGGTGAAGGGCGTTGCGATTGACAACATCGACTCTCCTATCTCGGGAGGGTGTGAGGCTGGAATGATGTGCTCCTACGCCTGCCCCCCGGGCTACCAGAAAACGCAGTGGCCCGCCGAGCAGGGCGCAACTGGCCAGTCTGTTGGCGGTCTCTGGTGCAACGAGGACAATTTCTTGGAGCTCACACGGCCCAATGCCACCAAGCTTTGCGAGCCGGGCGCGGGCGGTGTTTACGTCCGGAACGAGCTTTCGTCCAACGCCGCCGTCTGCCGTACCGACTATCCCGGCAACGAGAAGATGATCATTCCCCTCGACACCTACCCTGGCGAGACATACCCCCTGACGAACCCCGACTCCAAGACGTACTACTGGTGGCAGGGCGCAGCCACGACCGCCCAGTACTACGTCAACGACGCTGGTGTTGAGGTTGAGGAGGCCTGCACGTGGAAGAGCGCCAAGTTCCCCTCGTCAGCCGGCAACTGGGCGCCGACCAACATCGGTGTCGGTAAGAGCCTGCTGGGCGAGACATTCATCTCCATCTTCCCCAACCTGCCGACCAGCCACGCCGTCCTTAACTTCAATATCGAGATCACTGGCGACATTTCCGGCACGTGCTGGCTGAAGAAGGGCGAATACTACGGCAGCGACAAGGGCTGCACGGTATGTAGGATCCCAACTCGTTCCACGTATCCCTTCGCTAATGAAATAACAGGTCGGCATGAAGGCGGGCGGCAAGGCTACCATTGTGTTCAGGGATTGAGCCTAGCAAGCGACAGCTGCGTTGGTTGTTCTTCTTTTGTTCCACATCGCTGCAGGCCCACGACGACGACTTGTGCAAATGTTTGGTGCTTCAAAGCTCTCCCGCCCCGGCAAGCCTCGGTCAGGGAGAGAGCGGCGGATTTAGGGTCGTATTGTAATGTTCGAAATGTCCATATAGCGATTTCACAAAGGGATGGGTTGGCGGTTTTATATATGTGCTTGAGTTTAAATCTGGTTTTCGACATTTGCTCTTCGAGGTTCCTTCGCAGGCCCGCATCACATGTGGCCATGGATTAGGTAGTGTAAGAGAGACTCGGACTCTCGTACTCTCGTAATGTTTTATCGGCTAGGAGTATTTGTAACCATTTTGATTGCACAGTGGTTAATAAGAAGAATGGATAATTCATGTTCATGTTTCATCCACCCTAAAGCGAGGCGGGTGACCGGAGGTTGGTTGAATGCATTATTACCCTTCCACCTCATGGACAAAAAACGCCGAACTCCAAGTGCAGATATCGGCAATGGAAACGTCGAGTCCTCGGCTGGAGGAATATAACCAAAGTCATCCTGAAGCCCAAAGAAACTCTATTTACTCGATTTCCTTTTCTTTTACTCGATTTCCTTTTCTTTTACTCGATTTCCTTTTCTTTTACTCCATTTCCTTTTCTTTTACTCCATTTCCTTTTCTTTTACCCTCTTCTTTTTATTTGACTTAGTCTTTTCGATCTCTTTTCATTTGTTCTTTTTGCTTTCCTTTCGAGTTCGGCTTTTTTTGGCCAGAGGGTGCCTTCCATAGGTAGTTATCGCCTTATCAGGCCGAGCAGGCCCAACTTGTGGCGCGCGTGCAGCTTACTCGAGCTCTCCCCACTGTCTGCCGGCTGCCTGCTATAATTGGCGAGCTGCGTCTCAGCTTGCGACGCAACGCCGCCTGCGGAACATGACAACTTTAAAGATTCCCGTCCAACCTCGCAAGTCCAACACGTTCCACCATTAAACATCTACGAACCTCTTTATCGACACCGCAGACACGAGCACGCGAAAGTCATTCCGCGACCCATGAGAAACAACCTTAATACCGAAGAATCAACCTAGACTTCCAGATTCCTTCGCTTCAACTACCTGACCTAAGCCTTCTCTGCCGACGACTCCGAGTTTCTTGAGGGCGCACTCCTCGGTATCGCCTGTGCCGTCCAGGCCCGTTCTCGGGATACCGCGCTCACCCGTCTCTTCGTTCGCGCAGCCATATTGATGACCTCCCGACCCGTGATATCTGAACCATGAGGGTCAGGGGAGCTCTGCAGGCGGCAGCCGTGCTGGCCACAGCCCTCTGGGCGACACCCCTCGCCGCGAAGAACGACGGGCCAACCTTCCACTCGAAGGCATTCGAGAACATACCCAAAAATCTCAACTACTTTTCCGACTCGGACACGGTCCTCTTTCAAGACACATCTTCCAACAATGTCTACCTCTCCGACGACCATGGCGTGAACTGGGAGCGCGTGGATGCCGTACCCGACGGCAAGGCTTGGTTGTTGCGCATGCACGACTTTGACTCGAAACGCGCCTATATACTCACCGAAGGTACCACCCATTTTCGAACTAGCGACCGGGGAAAGACATGGGACACGTTCAAGTCCGGCACCGAGATGAGCATGTTCCGCGCCGACATATTGCGGTTCCACGCTACCGACCCCGACCGCATCCTCTTCAACGGCATGATCTGCGAGGGCATGCTCTGCCAGGAGGTGGTTCAATACACCACCGACGGTTTCAAGACGCCCGCCAAGGAGCTGCGCAGGAATACCGACGGCTGCTGGTGGGCTAAGTCTTCGGATTTGTTCACCACGGGAGCCGAGGATTTGGACAACAACCGTATTCTCTGCGTCGTCAGGGACACGTTTTCGCCATTCAAGCAGGACCAGCGCCTCTTGATCTCGGACAACTTCTTCCAAGCCGGCGACGACAGCCGCGACATCCAAGAGTTCGAGCCCGACCTCGACATGAACAAACCGGTGCAGGGTGTGGTGAACGTCGCGGTGGTGAAGAAGTACCTGCTCGTGGCGACGAGCTCCATGAACACGGATGAGATGGCCCTCTTCGTGAGCGACGACACCAAGAAGTGGCACCGCGCCGTCTTCCCGGCGACCCACGATGACCACGACCACCGCGTCCTCCAGGAGGCGTACACGGTGCTGGAGAGCACCAACTACAGCATCCAAATCGACGTCATGACCACCCGGCCGTCCAATCCCATGGGCGTCATGTTCACGAGCAACTCCAATGGCACCTACTTCACCGAAAACATCCCACACACCAACCGCGACCAGCGGGGCCACGTCGATTTCGAGAAGATTGCCGGTATTCAGGGTGTTTTCCTGGTGAACAAGGTTGATAACTGGGAAGAAGTTGCAAAGAAGGCGAGCGCCAAGAAGAAGCTTGTGTCGGAGATCACCTTCGACGATGGCCGTACCTTCGAGCCTGTGACGGCTGGTGACAAGAGGATCCACCTCCACTCGGTCACCGACCTGAGCAACGTGGGGCGTGTCTTTTCGAGCCCCGCGCCGGGCCTCCTCATGGCGATCGGCAACAGGGGTGACTATCTGAAGGATTACTGGGAGGATGGCAACCTCTACGTCTCGGATGATGCGGGCATGACCTGGAACAAGGCGCTTGACGGTCCGCACAAGTACGAGTTTGGTGACCAGGGTTCCATCCTCGTCGCTGTGCGGGACTCCAAGGAGGTCGATGTCAGCGAGATCAGCTACTCGCTCGACCACGGACTCAACTGGAACAAGCAGGCCCTGCCCGACGATCTCAAGATCAGGCCATACATCCTCACGACCACGCAAGAATCGGCCAGCCTCAAATTCCTCCTCATCGGCATGACGGAAAAGTCACCGGAGTGGCAAGTCATCTCCATCGACTTCGACGGCCTTCACGAAGCCACTTGCAAGGAAGACGACATGGAGGAGTGGTTCGCGCGCGTGGACAAGGACGGGAAGCCGACTTGCCTGATGGGCCACACCCAGAGCTTCCCGCGCCGCAAGAAGAAGGCCGAGTGCTTCTTGAAGCAAGAGTTCAAACACGCCGTGGCAAAGACGGAGAACTGCAAGTGCACCGACGCCGACTACGAATGTGATTTCAACTTTGCGAGGGAGGACGGCAAGTGCGTGGCCAAAGGCCCCATCATCCCGCCTGAGGACGTGTGCCGCGACGCTAAGCCCGACGATACCTTCAAGGGGACATCGGGGTATCGCAAACTCCCCGGAAACACGTGCGAGGCGACCGAGGAGATGGATGACAAGTACAAAGACGTCGAGAGGAAGTGCTCCGAGATTGGTGGCGGCGACAAGCCGTCGGCCCCGGCAACGGATCAGATCGAACAGACGGAAAAGGTTTTCGAGAAGGACTGGGATAGGTGGGAGAAGCACTACCTGGAACGGGGCGAGTCGAGCTCTACTGAAGGCGAAACCATCATCATGCGTGGACGGACGAAGTCCACACTCGGCCCTATCTACGTGACGGAGGACCACGGCAAGAAGTGGCACGTCCCCAAGGATCTCAAGGACGAAGAGATCTTGCACATCGTTCCACACCAGTACTTCAAAGATATGGTCTTTTTCCTCACGACTGGAAAGAAGATCATCTACACTACCGACCGCGGCCGCAGCTTCCACAGCTTCAAGGCGCCCAACGAGCCTTCCGACGACGTGTTCCCCCTGTCCTTCCACCCGGATAAAAAGAACTGGCTGATGTGGATGGGCAAGAAGTGCGACAGCTCCGACGGCTGCTACGGTGTTGTCTCGTACACCAAGGACGGCGGAGATCACTGGCAGTCGCCCGGCCACTATGTCCGGCGTTGCGAGTTTATCGGGTCGAGCGCTTACAAGTATCCCAACCGCAAGGAGGAACAGATACTCTGCATCAAGCACGAGAAGGAGAGCATGGCCAAGGACAACCCGATGGTGCTGGTCTCGAGTGACGATTGGCTCGACAACCAGGTGGTTCGCCAAAAGAACGTGAAGGAGTTTGCTACCATGGCCGAGTTCGTCGTCGTGGCCACCGAGAATTCGGCCAACAAGACTCTCCAAGCTAGCGCCAGTCTTGACGGGACGACTTTTGCGGATGCGCTGTTTCCCCATGGGTTTGTCGTCCCGCACCAGCATATCTACACGGTCCTGGACAGTTCGACCCACGCCGTCAACTTGTTTGTCGCTACCAATATGGACGGCAACCTTTGCAACCACGGCACGATTCTCAAGAGCAACTCCAACGGGACCTCGTACGTGGTCAGCGTGGGGAATGTCAACTGCGACGAGGATTCCTACGTCGACTTTGACAAGATTGCCGGCCTGGAAGGCGTTGCGCTGGTGAACGTGGTCGCCAACCCCGACGAGGACAGCAGCGCGCCGAAGAAGCTGCAAACCAAGATCACGCACAATGACGGTGCGCAGTGGGCGTACTTGTCGACGCCCCCCGACGACGAGATGGGCAAGTTCCCTTGCCAGTCCAGCGGCGATGAGAAGTGCGCGCTGCACTTGCATGGCTACACGGAGCGCAGGCTCCGCGGCAAGACCTACTCGTCGGAGAGCGCCGTCGGCATCATGTTTGCTTGGGGCAACGTCGGCGACACGCTGGGCCTCCGGAAGGATTCGGATACCTTCATGACCACCGACGCCGGCGTCACCTGGAAGCGGGTCAAGGAGGGTCAGTGGACGTGGGCGATCGGCGACCAGGGTGGCGTCATCGTCCTCGTCCAGACCACGGCCGTGTCGCGGAAGAAGACGAAGAGCCTCATCTACTCGCTCGACCAAGGCAAGACCTGGAAAGAGCACGAGTTCGTGTCGGACGAGGTCGAGGTGTGGGACGTGACCACCCTGCGGTCCGGCGGCTCGCGGAACTTCTTGCTCTGGGGTAAGGGCAGCAAGGGGCCCTTCACGCTGAACCTGGATTTCTCAGGCTTCAGCGACCGCGTGTGCGAGCTGGACGACGATCTGGACAAGTCGGACTACGACGTCTGGTCGCCCATGCACCCGATGCAGTCCGACGGCTGCCTCTTCGGCCACGTCTCGCAGTACCTGCGCAAGAAGTCGGACCGCAAGTGCTACAACGACTTTAAGCTGCAGCCCCTCTACGGCAAGCAAAACTGCAGCTGCACCCGGGAGGACTTTGAATGGTAAGCCGCCTCCCCTCTCTTTGCCCACCCCCTCCCATTATCACCACACATACTCCCATACTAACTCTCCACCCCCACCCAGCGACTACAACTACCAACTCGACCCCTTCGGCCAGTGCTCTCTCGTCGCCGGTCTCGAACCCAAAGACCCCGCCGCCTGGTGCCTCCAGCACCCCGACGAGATCGAGTACCACGAACCCACGGGCTACCGGCGCATCCCCTTAACAACCTGCGTCGGCGGCCGCCAGCCCGACAAGGAATCCCCCGTGCACCCGTGCGCCGGCCACGAGGAGGAGTACGAGCGCAAGCACGCCGTCTCGGGCGTCGCGCTCTTCTTCGCCATCACCGTCCCCTTCGCCCTCGCCGCCGCTGCGGGCTGGTATGTCTGGCGCAACTGGAACGGCAAGTTCGGCCAGATCCGTCTTGGTGATGGCGGCGCGGCCGTGTTTGAGGCCGATCGGCCCTGGGTCAGGTATCCTGTGATTGCGCTCAGCGCGCTGGCGGCCGTGGTGGTGGCGCTGCCGGTGGTGGCCGGGGCGGTTTGGCGCAGTGTGAGTAACTTGGTTGGGGGTGGTGGTCGTGGGGGTGCGGGTGGGGATGGGAGGGGGAGGTGGAGTCGTCTTGGGGGTGGTGGTGGGACGACGAGGTTTACGACGAGGGATAGCTTTGCGAGGGGCGGGGATTATGCGGTGGTGGACGATGATGAGGGGGAGTTGTTGGGGGAGGATAGTGATGAGGAGGTATGAATGAGGAGGGGTTGGTGGGTTGGGTATGGATGGGTATGGGTTTAGGGCGGGGGTGGGGGTATTCTCTGTTTTCTTTTTTGGTGTAGTCTCTGAATATAGATGGGTGGGTGGTGGATGGGTACGATATTGGACTGGGTGGTGGTTGGTTGGTTGCATTGTAGTCAGCGATTGGGTTGTGATAACTAGTTATTCGGACATGGGCTTCAAAAGATGTGTATGGTTCACGTTATTTTGTCTGTCCTTTCTCCAAGGCACTGCCCCTGGGTCGAGTACAACGAAGCGCAACGGCTTGGATGTATCAGTTGCAGACCATAGCTGCCGACAAGTCAGATCTTCTTTTTACACGAGTCTTTTGGTGTCACCTCGATGTCAGGCTATGATTTCACACGGCGGTTGGTTCTCGAGTCGCCCACCAGTCAACGAGCCCGAATGAACCAGTTTGTGCTGGATCCCGTCACACCAAGCACACTAACTCGTGTAACTCGTTCACTGCACTTGCGGTTGGATCGCCCTCAGGCGCCCGGCAATCGAGCTTATTATTCCTTGCCCCTGCACCCGTCACCCAGCCAGTGAACTCGCTCAGTCTGATCCAACCACTAACTAACCCGACAACTCATGCAGCTCGGTTGGTGGTGCATCTGGAGATCGCGTCTCCTCCTGCAAGACGCGATCTCATCACGTCACGTCACGTCAGCCGCAGCCCCCATTCCGTTAACTCGTCAATGTTGTGATGCGGGGGACTTCCAAGCAGTCTCCTGTCGGGTAGCTCTCCTTCTGGGGGGGATGACAAACACGCAAACTTCATCTCCCCCCTCTGAGCCCCCCTAACTAAATGACGGTGACGAGTCCGCGCAAACACTCCCCTCATTCATCCACCCAGTCCGGCCCAGTCCAGCCCAGGCGGCCTCGAAGGTTCCAGTCCGGAATTCCCCGTCACCAAACCCCCTTGTGCCCTGTCTGGCCTTGTCCGAGATCTGAGCCTTGAAATCTTCACCGCCGTCTCAGAGCGAGACAACCCTGGGAGGAGAAAAGAAAAAAAAAAAAATTAAAAAATTTCTTCCCTGCCGCCGCTCATCCTCCGTCGCACGTGTGTGTCTCTCTTTGAAGAAGATTATCCAACCGAGCGAGTGACAAACCCATCCCATCCCCCCGGCACAGCGGGGAGCAAGGGGGACTGCGTGGGGGGTTGATGAGAACCCCAGCCGCAGCTGCAGCCAGCCGGCCAGCCACAAGGAGCTTAAAGGATAGACACGCTCGAGAGTGACAGTCTCACTGTGCAGTTCCAGAGTGACGAAGTATGGAGTTAGCGTCGATAGCATATCACCCGGAACCCTCCGGCGCAAACCCCCCCAGGAAGAAAAGCCAGGCCCATCGGCTGATCCGTGTGGGGCCGGACCGGAGGGAAAAAAGAGCATGGTGGAGTTCACTCGTTAACGAGTGATCGTCCTGACCTTTGCGAGCCTTGTCGAGCGAGCCTTGTTGAGCAAAGGCCAGCTCTCTCGCACTCGAAGGCACGGACGGGAAACGGGGGCCGGGGAGCGTCGGAGCAGAGCAGAGAGTGCTGACTGTGGAGCAACGAACAAGAACAAGAACAAGGACAAGGACAAGGACCCGGGGCCCAGGAACGGGACCCAGAAAACCCCAGGGGCGCGCAGGTCCACCTCGGCAGGCACGGGCCCGGCTTCGCGGCGGAGGGGGAGGAGGGCAAGTTCCAGAGCAAGCGGTCAACAAGACCGGCAATCGGTCTGACGGTGACAGTGACGGTGACAGTGACAGTGACGGTCACAGTCAGTCAGCACTCACCGCTCCGCTCCGCGAAAGTTATCGCCCCCCGTCGACCGGTCCCGTCAGTCCCGGATGGCATCCGTATCGTATCCTCTTATCCCCCTCTCTCTCGCTGAGATTGTCGCAAGACATCTCAGGTGACCAAGACGCCCTGCCGGGGAGGCAAACCCCGTCGTTCACAAACCGACTAAACTCCAACGGTCAATGATAGCCCCTAGCGTGCCTGGACCCCAAGCAAGCGCCCGATGTGACGTCGAGTGACTCGGGGCGGCGCGGGGTCCAGGATGACCACACCACCGCACCCACCAGGCCGGTTCGAGGGCGCGACGGTTACCGCGGCTGCGTTTATGCGGCCATGCCAGAACATGTGCACGCCTTGTCGGGTCGATGGCCGCCCTGAGGCCGGCCTGGGCGAGACATGGGGAGCATCGTCATGACATTCCCAAATATTCGTCTCACTTGGGGATTCGCGGGGATTCGATGAAAGCAATTCACTATAATGGGACCAGCAAGTAAAACGGAAAAGGCTTCAGATGTTATTGTCCATGCTCCGTTTTTCTCAACGCCCATCTATAGACTATTACAATAGAAACTCCATCGTGAGATGCTAAACCTTTTTATACACAATTTCCGCCAGCCAGCACCAAAGCAGGATGCAGAGACAAAAGAGAACCAGCCAACGCCTTGCAAAAATGTCAAAACAACCAATGAAAAAGTCGATCCAGTCTCTTCTGGTCCAAGTAGATTAGGGAGAAGGAATCGACTCGATAGTAGCGAGAGATCAATAAGCGTTAAATTCGTTGCGAGAGCGAGTGACATTGCGTGATGTGACAATGCTGTCGAGTGTGTCTGGGGGACTCAACCCCTCCGTACGCGGTTCCATATCCGCCTCATCACCCCCTTTTCCGGGGCAGTTTCGTTCCAGTGGTCAACCTCGGCGAATTTATCGAGGCTCTCCTTGTGTGGCGCCGTGTGTGGCGCTCTGTTCTCCGTACCCAGAGACGCCATGGCGGTTGGTCGGCGCGCGTGCTGTTGGTAGACAGGCTTCTGCTGCCAACCATACATGTCATCCTCGTGTGCGCGAAGGTCAGGCCGGGTCAGCGTCATACGCAGAGTCATCTCGCGGGACGCCGCTGGTGCTTGAACATAGAAAGGCCCTTCCGGGGTGGTCCTCCCGTATCCTCTTCCGCCGACAACGTCCGCCGAGGCAACCCGCCCGTGGCGTGGGGCGACAGTCCGTTGTTCGACCGGTTCCGGGGTCTTGGGAGAGTCGGGGTCGCCCAGCGACGTCGCATGATCGCTGTAAAGTGACAGATCGTCGTCGTCGTCGTGGTCGGCCAAGAAGGTGTGCATATTGGACGAGCCATCTGCCGATTTTTGCTTCGGCTGCCCGTCAAGTTCAGTGTGGTCCGCATTGACCGCCTGTGCAGGTGACAACACGTCTGCCGATGGGAATCCGAATTCGACAGCCTCGTCAAACTTCTGCGGCGAGGCCAAGTACACACGGAGCTTCAACCGCGCTTCGGGGTCCTGGTAGTGGGCGGCTGCGGGGTCGAATGCGGTGATGGAAGGATGGGCTGCGTGTTTTGGCGTGATGAGAGACAGGGCGCGCGACTTGCGCCTCGCGTGAGTCAAGCCGTTGGAGATGCTGCCCGTTGGGCTGTGGATCGGCGACGTCGGCGTCATGACGTCTTTGGTGACAGGTCTGATCGACGACACTGAGCTTCGACGACCGAAGGGGATTTTTGAAATCGACATGGTCCTACGGAAGGATGGCCGTTGCTTGGTCGTCGGCGTGCCCTCCCGCAAGTTCGCATGGTAGTCGTCTAGAAAGAGGCGCAAGTCCAGATCCTCCTCCTCGTCAAGCCACCGAAAGCTGTCGAAGAACGACTTGGGTACCTGCCCATCGGCGGGGCGATCAACATGATTCCTGAATCCATCCTGCGAGTCCATACTATGTCGAGCAGGGGAGAGCGGCGGAGTGAGAGAGTCAACAGTCGGTGACCGGTTTCTCCTGCCGGCTTGTTGGTTGAGTTTATATACGGCCTCGTCGGCCGCGTCAAATATGACACTCGCACGATGCCGTATCGCAGGGCGGCGGAACTCTACCTCTTCCTGTGTTGCTTCTGGCTGACCGGCGCACAAGGGCGACGAATCACAAGTGGACGAGTGAAACTCGAACCCGGATTCGTGCCGAGATCGACCAACGAGTTGTTCCGAAGAGTTACGGTCGTGGCGGGGGTTTCTACCCTTGAAATGTGATATGTCGTCGTAGTGCTGGGAAATGCCGTCGACGAGTCCGGACTCCTGAGCGAAACGTAGCCGTTCGAGGGTGGAAAAGTACTAGAGGGGAGGGCACCGTTTAGTAAAAGGAAGAACGATGAGGGTCAGGAGAGGTCGTCAAGGGTGACCACCGATTTGGTTGGTCAAGGCAGTTCAACGATAAAGAGAGAATGGTCCGCTGGATGCAAGGAACGTCCCACGGACGGCAGCGAACAGCGAACGAGGAGAGGAGCTCAAGGTCCTAGCGAGCGGGACCTGCAGGTGCTGAGGGCTAAAACGCTCGTGATGGGGTTGCTTTCCCCTCCCGTGCAGCAACAGCTCGGCCCAACCAGATGCATGGCTGCGAGTTTGAGCACACTGCTACCACGCATGGGTTCTCTTGCCGTGACGCACTTTCGCCAGAGGATCACCACTTGGTGGATTCCGGCACAAGAAGCAAGGCCGCATCGGCGCGCTGCATGGCTCAACGGAGAGATCGAACAGTCCGGTTGGCGGGCATCTCGCATATCGCGATGAAGCAAAAGGAGCTCGCGCAAGCTCCCTGTCTCCCCGCAGTTCCCGAAGCTAGGATACCCAGGTCGGAAATTACCTGAGCTTTTGGGCAGGCGTAACTTCACAGTGAGGGAATCCCTTGTCTAAGCCGTGACCCTTGCTCAGGTACGCGGCGCGATGATGCTTTCCGAAACTCCTAGCTGCCGCGCGTTTGACTGCAAAAAATTTGTGTTTCTCGACCAACCCGAGTCATGGAGATAAGCGCAACCATCTCGGTGCCATCGCGAGCAAAGTCCTCCGGGGAGCCCTCTCCCATTGGCCGTGGGTAGTGTGAATGTGAATTCAGCTGCAGGCGCCCAGCACTTGCGGGACGAACCAATGGAGAGGGAAACGGGCGGGGCAGAGGCTGGTATGGTTTGGGATTTTGTGTTTTTTTTTTTTTTTTTTGCGCCAAGCCAAAGAGAGCAGCAGGTCTGTGGCCGAAGCAAGCACGCCAACACGAGCGACTCGGTCATCGAGTTTCGCGGCCGTGCGTCTTGAATATAACGAAACCGAAAAGAGAATGGCTTCTACACACCTTTCTTTGTATCGCCAGCGGCAGAGCCTCAAATTCCTCCCGGGTCATCTGTGGGGCACCTCCGGTTTGAGCTTGTCGTTTTTGGATGCTGCCGGATCTCGAGAGGCCGTTTCGGCTGCCATGGTCTCGCCTTTTCAGCTTGTTCGCTGGTTCCCCATCGTGCTGTCGCCTCGCCCAGCGCGCAAAGCTCATTGGACTCGCTGTTCGTCCACTCTTTTCGCTGCCTGCCGAACAAGGTGGTGGTTGGGTGGTGGTGTCGTCGATGCTCGTGTTAGTCGCGGTACAGATTAACGGGAAGTAGTCGGCTGAGTTGGGAGACTGGAATCGATGCTCGGCCTGAGCCTCGAAAGTCTGGCCGGGCATGACGCTGGACGTGTCGTCGCTAAGGCCACCAGGGTCAGACGACAAGCCGGAGACGCTGCCGGATCTCGATGCCGAGGGAGGGAAGTAGAAGGAGGAGGGAAGCTGGATGCAGTCGACGTGTGACGCGAGTGGCGGACTGGGGGTCTGGCAGGTATCGTGAGGCGGGATGAGAGGTGAAGAGGGAGTCTGGGGGGATGGGGTAGATGAGCTGCTGATGAGGAAGGGAAGGCTTGATGAAGCTGTCCGGGGCGTCAAGGGTTCGTCTGGCAACGGACGAGCCGATGGGGGAGCTACCCCTGCTCCCATGGCTCGAATCAGCACTGGCATGTCACCAGAGTCGCGGGCGTCAAAGGCGTCCATCACTCCACATTGAACCCCTGGAGGAGTCCATCCGGAAATAGTGCCACCACGCTCTGGGGCACGACGAGAAGGCGCCAGGAAGGCCTTGTTGCTGCCCATCTCGCTAACTGGCTGCCGGCTGCGCGAGCTCCCCTGGTGTTCCTTCAAGGGTCCAGCCAGTTGGGAACGGGCCTCGCGGCAAGCCAAGACAGAGAGCGCCAGGGCAGGTTGCAAGGGTGCTAGGCTCAGCCTCCGAGTGGAAGACGAGCCGTTTTTCGAAAGCGGGTCACTGACGACGAAGCGCCATGGGGGGTGATGACAGTCCAGAGCCCGATCTGCGGAACGCGGAAAGCGGAATGTTGTTGTTGGGGGAAAGTGTGAGAAAATGGTCCGAGAAGAACACGTTGTTGTGTTTTAGAGGAGGTAGTATTCGCGGATTGGCATTGATATTGCCAATGGCATAGTGCTGCTCTGTTCCGATGTTTCCATTTGGTATTCGTAAAGGGACGATAATTGTCGGAGTTCAGGTTTCTCCCGTCATGGAGCGGCAGGCAGGCAGGCAGGTACGGAGTTACAGGACAGCAGCATTGCAGCATTGCAGCATTCAGTTGCAGACGCGGACAGCACACAGCATGCAGGCGGCGTCCGGGGTTGGACCTGCCTTATCAGCCCCTTCCATCCGCGTTCGTGTGCTGCCCGCGTCGAACCGCCTAAAATCTGGGGAGGATCGCCACTGCCCTCGATTTGCTGGCGAAGCCCCCATCCATCCATGCCTCGATGACTGCAAGTACGACTGGACTGCGTCCAGACGCAGCCATTGAGGCTGCGGCACGGAAGGCACAAAAATCCAGGAAAGAACCTCCCCGCCCTCCCCCCACCTGCACCCACAATCGGTCACCAACACACAAAAATCCAGCTCCAATTCGGATTTCCAAGACGGGCCATCCTCCTGTGCAACTGGAAGGTACCGATGCCGTCTAACGTAAGGTTTACATACGAGACGAGGGGAACACACTGCAAATTTACCTCCCTAACCCCCAACCCTGCCTTGCTGCACATTGGCGCCTGTCCAACATTATGCAGTTTGTCTCAAACACGATGGCTCTGCGAGGCTCAATTAGGTCCTCGTCTCGCCCGACTGACTCTCTGGCGATTGGATGCACAAAATCCCGGGACGAAGACACAGTACGGAATCTACAAAATATGGCATCCAACTTCCAGAACATCCGGGACGAGCAGCTCCGGGGTCTCGCTGCCTCGGGCAGGTGTCTCGTTTGACTCGTCGCGTTGAGTGATTTTCTACTTCTGCACTGCACTGCTGAGCTGGCAGGTGGAGTGGGATCCTCCAAGGTACGGGTTGCTGTCTCGCTGTTTAGGCACCTGAAGGATCTCTGTCATCAGTATGTATTCCATAATGCTACGCTCTGAGCTTCACCGTTGGGCCGGACGGGTCCAGATGATCCTCTCGTGGGTATGTCTTAGATCCGGCGCCTCACACGTGGCAGGCGGTCAGTCAAGCTTCCTCCCTGGTCTCGCAGCATGACCGCTGCGAGTTCACCATCTGAAACGACTAGGCAGCGGAGAATTCTGGCTGATGCATCGCAGACGAGCCCGTCAGACTTACCGCCATTTGCCCCTCGCCAGGCCAGAACCATCAATGAGCCCCTGGTAGTTATCCGTATGGGGTTGTTTACCATTCAATTACGCGACAACGAGTCTCAGACGTCGGGCTTGGACTAACTTACTAGGGTCAACGGGTCAGACACACATGTTTCACGACGACGCAACAGTCCGGTGATCTATCCCAGCGCAATATCTGAGCTGACCACCGTCAGAACCTGGAGATAGTTAGTCTCAGTCTCGCAGTTTACCGCGCAAAAATCATGGCCTATCCCGGCGGGCGTTATCTGCAAAACAACGGCACAGCTGCTCTGCAACCCAAGCTCGCTCTCTGTCCAACGGGCCAACCTCGCGTCCATGCTCGAATTGAACGCGTTTCTTTAACCGAGAGACGCATTGAGCATGAAGCCAACCCGTGGTTCAGTGCAACCACCCATTTAGGCGACGGGCAGGGACGGAACCATACAGCGTAGGTGTTCGAGAAGATCTCGCCCAAACTCCCTACGGACATGCACATGGCCCAGCCGAGATCGACCGTATTTACATCAGTGATATCACCCCGCCCATTCGGCGACCAAGTTTCGGGAACTCGCAGTTCCAAATAGAGTTGCGCCTGTTGTCATTGGCCTCGTGGCGCGCGTTATGAGAGACAATGCAGGAACCCGTTGCAAGTGCAGCACCCCCAACATGATGCAATCAAGACAAGTTTACTCAGGTCGGCACATCGCTGGGAAACATGTCAGACACTCCTCGTCGCCAACCGCAGACGTCCCGAGCGCCACGTGCAATATCGTATTTCTCATCCGATCACGGCCCATAGCGAGCATGAAGTTGAGCCGGACTGTCAGTAACCCTCACGATCCACATGTCACCCGGGCCAGACTCCGCAAACCACCTGCCGAGTCTAGGAAGAATCTGGAAGGACCTGGGGAAGACAGGGGAGGCGATTGCGAGGGAATCGTTGAGTCCGGCACTGTCATCGACGCAGGTGATCTCCGAGAGATTGACATTGGCCTTGTGGGAGCCGGACAGGGTTTCCCAGTCGACGTTCCAGTCGACGCCGCCCACTTTTCAAAAGCAACTTGACGATGCACATCACGACATGTCAACGCGGCTGTGGACGGCTTCACAATGCAACAGGCCGCCCCAAGCCCGAGATGGAAAGATAAACTCATCACTTGTGCTAAAACCGGAAACACCCCGCCTTGGTGGCACGCTTGACCGAGTTTGCTCGTGGGAGGGCGCAAAACACCAAACTAGCTCAAGACTGGCTCTCCTCTCTTGGGAAATTGCAATTTCCTTGTCCCCGCCAGCTTCGATGCTCGACCAAGAAGTCGCGCTTGTCTCGCCTCCCTTCGCCTTCGGCGAAGATGAGAGGCAATCAGCCCTCCTAAATTTAGGTTGGTATTCCTTTGGAGGCCCCCGTAACCGGATGACCTTGTCGACGTTCGACGCCTGACGGTATTGTGCCTCTTTCGAGCACCCGGGTTGCTCCCGATGGATTTCGGGGCCGGATGTGGGTCCAACTCGGCCGGGCGGGGCCGTCTCAAGCCCTCCGAGCCGCCGGTGTGGGGGCATATCTCCGGGTTGACCAAGTTCCGCCGCAGGAAACGAGCAGCAGAACATCAACTGGGTGGCGCACACCACAATGGTCTGCAGGACTCGATAGGCGCCAAAATGTCGCCATCCCGTGCCGCTTGTGGCTGCTTCTCTCCTTCGATCCAGCCCCCTTGACTATCAGGGACAGTAAAATTGGCATCCAAACATCCCGAAGCCACTCGTTCGTCTGGTTGGTGGCGGGCGGCAGCAAATCATGAACCCCTTGCTCTGCCAAACCAGGCGCTGACCGACTGTGTGCTTCTTGTCACTCTCCTTCCGACTGGAGCAGGGGCGATGGCTGCAAACACTAAGATGCTATTCGTGACTTTCCTCGCCGTCGTTATTTCACCATGTTAACAGCATGCCAGAACTCCGATCGGATGAAACATAAGAAACCCCCAAGTATGCCGCCTACCAAACCACCGGCCGTCCTATCAACCTGGCCCAGCCCCATGCATCCACTCTCCCCGACACAAAGCCCTTGACGGTGACCCCATAGCCTCATGATGCCGTATTCCCAGGCAGAGAGTCAACTGGGTCGTAGTACTCATACACCTTGTTCTCCTTGTCACGCCCCGTGACAGCGGGAGCCGTGTACGTCGAAACACCCGTGGCGCGGTCATACGACTCATAAGAGCACGCCAGCCGCTTCCCACCGCCCCCCGGCAGGTCGACCACAAACGACGGCATCATAAAGCCCGCAATCGACCCGCGGAGCTTGGCTTCCAGGTCAAGGATAGTCCGCAGCGGCGTGCGCAGATGCTCGACGCTCTTGACCATGTCGCACTGGTAGACGTAGTACTGCCGTGTGTGTCACCGAGTCAGCCAGTCCCCAAAACTACAAAGCCACCTTCTCTCTCTCTCTCTCTTGGGTAGGTAGGTAGGGTAGGTTAGCCGCCAGACAGGACACACTCACCGGAAAGATGTTATTATCCGCCAGCCCCCTCACCAACGCCCCCATCGTCTCCACGTCATCATTCACCCCCCTCAACAGCACCGACTGGTTCCTCACCGTCACCCCCTCCTCAAACAACCGCTGCGCCGCCGCCTCGGTAACCCACGAGATCTCGTTCGGGTGATTAAAGTGCGTGTGCCACGCCACCGCCTTGCCCACCCGGCGCGCGCCGTCCGACACCCGCACCAGCGCGTCCGTCCACGGGTCCGCGCGGTCCAGCACGCGGCCGGGCGCCACCGCCAGGCCCTTGGACGCGAACCGGAAGCGCCGGATGTGGGGGATCGCCGTCAGCCGCTCGCCGAGGTGTGCGAGTTGCTCGGCCTGCAGGTAGTAGGCGTCGCCGCCCGAGACCACGATGTCCCGCAGCTGCGGCTGGCTGGCGATGTAGGCCAGCGCTTCCTCCCAGCGGCGGCGGCCCGGTTTGAGCGAGGCTTTGGAGACGGTGGCCGTGTCGGCGCCGACGGCGTAGGAGCGCGTGCAGTAGGTGCAGTAGGTCGGGCAGACGGATGTTGCTGGGTTGGGTGGTGGCTGTCAGTTGGTCTGTGGGGGGGGGGGCTCAGGTGGGGTGGGTTTCTCTTCCGTTCTTTTTTTTCTTTCCAGGGAATGGGGGGGGACTTACGGAGGAAGAGGGCTTTGTCCGGATACCGGTGGACGAGGCCTTTGACGGGCGAGTCGGCCTCCTCGTGGAGGGAGTCGAGGGTCAGTTTTGGGTGGTCTGCGATCATGCGCGACTTCAGGGGGATGAACTGCCGGGCGATGGGGTCGTGCCGCGGGTCGTTCCAGTTGATCCGGCTCAGGATGTACGGGCTGTGGAAGTCAGTGGCGTTTTCCTCCCTTCTGTCTCGGGGGTCGGGTTGGTGGGGGCTGATCACTCACGTCATCCGGACCGCCATGGTGGCGGCCGTGATCCCCTCAAAGACATCCTTGATGAACTCGTCGCGACTCTGCATCCGTGTGCCGGACTTGTCGTACGGCACTTCCTCGGGGAGAGTGGCCTCCAAGAACTTGAAGAGCTGCGGTTTTGTTTCGACCATATTCTTCGTCTAGCGGTGTCTGTAAGAAACGGATCTCATTTCTTGCTTGCACTGCGCCTGCCAGACTTACACTCCAGCTGTACGAGAGGAATTCCTTGGTCGATACATTCCCCCACACCGGCACCTTGCGCCAGAACTCTTCGCGATTTTGCGGGTACGCAGACACAACCGGCCGCACCGGTGGGGGTGCCCCGCGGACGGGTATTGAGTTGAAGGACGCGGGTGGGAGACTGCGGGTGTTGTTGTCAAGGGTGGGAGTGAGGTCGGCAAGCTGGGCTTGGAGCCGCGGAACAGAACCAACCGATCGTGCCGAGACCAGATTGCTGGTTATTATCTTCGGGCCGTGGCCGAGGATCCCCCGCGGGGGAAGTGTGGTAAAGACCATTGTTGGTTGTGTCGTTGGTTGTAAGAAATGCAGGTGAGTGATAGAGTGTGGTTCCCCCTAGCCTATGGATGGTTTCTCTTTGACACCTTTCGTGGGAGGCAACTAGGTTAGCGCTCTAAGTTCGCCCCGTGTCCGCTTCGTCTGTCTGAATTGAACAAGTCCGAACAACCCCTTATACTGTGTTTGACGATGAGCAACACGTTCTTATATCCGACCGTCCTCGACTCAACTCAGCCTGCTGCGTCGATAACCGGGCGGTGGCAACAAACTCGGTGGCAGTGAAGAAGGCAACAGGTACCACAATGTGTTTGTCCTCCCCCTGCTGCATTCGCTCTGCAGTTGGTCCTAGCAATGCTGTTGCGCAACCGCCTTTCAGGGGTCCACCACAGTTGCAGTTTGATCCGTGTGGATTGCTCTCGGGCGAAGTCGTCGGGCAGTCTGTCGGGTCCGAATTGGCTGTCTCCTACGAGTGCGGTTTACACAGTAGTTGCTCTCTCTCCTCGCTCGGCCCGATGGCCACCACCAGCAGCTCTTGAGCAAATAGCAAGACGTATCAACCACAGCTGCTGTTGGTGATGCTGCTCGTCGGCCGCAGGATCTCGGGCGCCTTCCTCTTTCAACCTTCGGCTCCCCCGTGCTTGACCACGTTAATTAACTGGTCTTCAAGACTGACGACTGGTGATGGGGGTAGGTGAGATCTACCGAGGCGCGGATGTTCCGATGTTCAGCACAGCCTGGCCGTGTTCCACACCCTTCTCGCCTTCCAAATGGATCCGGAAGGTGGTGTGTGCAGTCGATGGTCCAAGGATCCAAGGGGTCAAGGATGTCGCTCTTGTCTGCCAACATGATCAGCTCTCCTGTGGTTTGGGGGTCGTCGTTTGACTTGGGGGGACGTTGGTTATTTAATCCTGGGGCAAACCACCTTGTTTTCAAGAGGGTGCTTGGGGGGGGGCAAGCAAGGCGAACTTTCTCAGGCAGACGACTCACTTACTTACACTGCTAAGTTCCGTGCGTCTTCCCTGGTGTTTCTTAACTTGACGCTATCACGGTATCAAGTCCACGTCAGGAGACGTTATGACAGTAGGTTGAAAACGCCACCCCTCAGAAACCCGAGACCCTTGCTGTTATAAGCCAGCGGCGCCATGATGACTGCTCTTTGGCCGGGGACCGGCGCGAGCAGAGACAAGACGGGCGAGAGGCAGGATGAGATTGAGTGAGTACGGAAAAGATCTCCACCCGCATGCGAGCGAAGGAACGAGCCGGGAAAAGAAAGGCCCAAAAGAAAAAAGTGATAACTGACCAAGAGATATCACCCAAGAAGCCTCACGCCCGTGTGTCTCGGCAGAAGCAACGAAAACAACACTAGTCCGTCATCGACGCCACCGGCATCATCACCACCACAACCCGGACCAGGAACCGGGGACCCGGAAGCAGAAGCAGCTACAGCTGCAGCCGATCAGCGGCATGACACAACAGCAAGCGGCGGCCCGCCACCACCCCGCTCTGATACATGCACAGCAGCAACACCAACATCAACAACGAGTACACACCCCAGCGACGGCAGTACACTTACCACACCCCCGCCTCCACCTCCACCCTTACCTACACCACCTACACCTACACCATCTACATCCACACCTCCACCCCCCCTCCCCCTCCCAACCCAGCAACCCCATCCCCGCCACCCCCCCGACACAGGCCTCCGGCCCTGGAAAGTCGTCCTCGGCAGCTTCAGCCTCACAGTCCCCACCTTCGGCCTGCTCAGCGCCGTCGGCTTGTTCCCAACCTACTGGCGGCAGACGGTCCTCCCGCACACGAGCGAGGGGGACGCGGCGTGGATTATCGCCGTCTTTGGGTTCTTGGGTTGTCTGTTTGCGGCGCCGGCGGGGGTTTTGTTCGATCGGTTCTGCTCTGGTTGTCCTAAGGGCGAGGGGGGTGGGAGAGGAGGGGTTGGGGTTGGGGTTGGGTGGTTGCTGGGGCTGGGGTGCGCGGTGTATGTGGGTGGGTTCGTGGCGCTGGCGTGGTGTGGTGGGTATGCGCAGTTCATGGGCTGTATGGCGGTTGCGGGGGCGGCTGCGGGTGCGTGTGTCTTGTTTTGTTTTGCTTTGTGTGTGCCTTTGCTTTCGTTGGGTTTCGGCATGTCACCTCTTGCTGCTACGTACTTTACGGTGGTTCTTGCGAGTCAAGGGGGGGTGGGTTTGCGGTGTGTGTGTGTGTTTAATGATCCCCGGCTAACCACGGGCGTGGTGATAGCTACGCCGACGACGATTGCGTTGAGTGTGGTCGGCCAATGGTTTGACAGGAGGAAGGGTATCGCAACCGGCTGCGTCACCCTGGGGGCGCCCCTAGGCGGCATCTTCTTCTCGCTGGTACTGCAGATCCTCTTTGACAGGTACCCCTGGAGGACGGCAGCGCTGATACTAGCGGCTATCATGGCTGTCTTCTTGCTGCTGGGCATTCTGCTGGTCGAGACCAACCCGCCTGCCGCCCCTGCCCGGGGAGTGAGCAAGGATGACTCGGACTCGGACGCGGAGCCCCTCCGGCAAGAGATATCCCACATGCTACTATCGTCCAAGTTTTGGCTTATCTCCTATGCTCTGTTCGGTGAGCCCTCTCTCAACTCCCGGATCTGCCGTGTTCTTTCTTGGTCTTATCTTGTCTAACCCAACCCCTGAACCACAGCATACGAGCTGGTGCTCTTCATCCAATGGGGATCTATCCCCTCGTATGCCGTCGCGGCCAACGTCGGCGACAAGCAGTTCTACTTGATGATGTCGTACAACATGTAAGTGCCTTCTTCTTGTCCACTTTGGGTTTGGCGTCTAAGTGGCGGAAGCAAGTTCAGCGCTAACTCCTGTACGTCCCGCAGTGGCGCCGTGTTGGGCAGAACTCTGCCCCCCTGGCTCTCCGATCGGCTGCTCGGCCCACTCAACGCCACCGTCATGATGAACATGTTCACCCTGCTTTCTGTCTTGGCGGTATGGCTACCCCTCGGGGCCTCGTCTATAGAAGCCCTGTTTGTGGTGGTTGTGCTTATGGGCATTGGCACGGGAAGCTTTGTTCCTCTTGGTGGTAAGCAAGGACGGCCTTTTTCCCCAGGACGGTGACTGGACGGACAGCATGCTGACATCTGACATGCGGCCGCAGTCTCGTGCATCAATGCGCTATGCAGGCCCGAAAACACCGGGACTTGGTTAGGCTCTGTGTACAGCATCGTCTCGGTTGCGTAAGTTCCCCTTGAGTCCACCCCCCCGGTCCCGGGGATGACATGTACAAGTATCTGTCAACATGCACTCACCCAAACAGGACTCTGATCGGAAATCCGGTCTCGGCAGTAATTCTCTCCCGGTACCAGTCCAACGGCCTCCTGGCCTTTCTCGCCGCCGTCCTCTTCTCGGGGATGATCAGCGCGGTTGCGCTTCGGTGGCTGTCTCACGACCGGCGGTGGATCTTCAAGGCTCGGGGTTGAGGCCGAGAACTATCTGAGTGATGACTGCATGTTTATTGGCTGCTGATACTGACCATGCATGCTTCAGGTGAGACAGCAGAGCACGACATGCCGTGCTAGCCCGGGGAGTATGTAGACCCCGCGAAGGCAAGCAAGGCAGGAGGGAGCCTGGCCGGAGGGGGTGAAGTTGCCAAAAGAAATAGTTACGTACGTTGCACAAGCAAACAATGATTCCTGTGGCCCCAGCTACAAGGCAGGGCGGTGACCCGTGTAACCCAGAATGTTACACGGCAGGCCCAACTCCTCGGTCGGTGGGCTTGGTAGTAGATGTTTGGGTACACAGCAGTCTGCCATCGAGATTCCGCCGCCTTTGTGTGCCACACAACCTGGCTGACGCGAAAAAAAACGATAGATCTCTTTTTCTCTTCCCGTCGTTCTGGATTGGATGGATGGATGTCACCAGACCAGGAATTCCGAGGGTGCTTCAGGGGTAGGCGTGCAGCATACACCGAGGCCCGGCCTAGAGAAGCGGTCGCATTGCCAGTTCATCACTCTGCAAGCCGGTTCGTGCTCCGGTCTATGCCATTGGATATTCGAAGAACTTCTACCCGGAACGGGAGGGGATGATTCAAGCGGGTTGCCGAATAACTGGGGTACATGCATGGCCCTGGAGATGATCTGGTACTACATCAGGAGATCAGGAGGCTCGCTTCAGGGGAGAGGGGGGGATGGACAGTGTCTTTGCCGCCCAACAGCTTTCACAGTGTCATACAGAGTGGGCTATACGCACATGAAGCAAGGTAAGCGCGGCAATCGCCCCATAACCACTGCTAACCCGATCTCGGTCGCGGCACCCTCTCCCGAGAGGACCCGGTATTCGGTGAAGGGATGTTACTCGGGGGCTGCATTAGCGTGGCTCTCCTTGACCTCATTTTTCTTCTCCCTTCCCGCTTCAGCCCGCTCTCATGTCCAGCACAGTGTCAACTCACTCCCCTCCCCCTTCTCGCGGGCCGTACCGTACCTAGTCCGCGTATGAGGTGTGAGACACCCCTTGTTGGCACTGTGACGAAAGCCGTCTTCGGGCAGACCGGGGCATCGCTGCTGTGTGGCATATCTATCTAGGGTTAGCCTTGTGTGCTGAGTAGGTGCAATGACCCCCCTTCTCTTTCTGCTGACCTATATCTAGCCGGCTAGCATTGGGAAGCTCGGGCTGTAAGCTGAGTGCGGATATACCAACACCGCCGTACTTGGACGCGGGAGACTCAACGTGCGTTGGAAGTGACAAGAGGCTGCAGAATCGGCCGATCCTGGAGTATCAGCACGCCCGCACACGCATGCCTGCAGGTCGAGGGTGATCTGGGGAATCGCTGCATCTCCGACACGTCTTAGGGTCACCACGGGGCGGGGGATCGATAGCTCCAGGCATGCATCGGCATGCGTGCCGATCATAGTTCCTTCTCCAACCCACCGTCCCTCAAGCTGGTTGGGCGAGGAGACCGGACAGCTCAAGTGGACTTGTTTTCTGCATATGCATGCGGGTGGTGAGGCTAGACTTCGCCGCCGATGAACGCATTGGGAAGGGCGAAGAACGTCAATGCGGCCTCGAACTTGGAAAGCCACGCTTGTTTCGCCATCCGGAGGAAAAAAGAGGCACTGTTCATCTGTAAGAGCGGGAGGCGGTGAGCAGGATACTCCGCAACGGGGTGGGACACGGATTGAGCTAACTGAAGCAAAAGCAACACTCGAGATCTAATCTATGAGCTCGTTTTCGCCCTTGAAGGGAGAAGAAAGGCCGTGGTACCACGGTACTCCACGACACCCCCACGTCGTTCCCCAAGACAATTAGCTTGTGGGGACTGATTAGTATTGTATTCATAACGGGCTTGTCATGAGCTAAACGTATCTGGGTATGACCAATAGCTTAGCTTATGAGGACGCGTGGGAAAGAAGCGGCGTTGACGATCGTCTCCAGAGACGGACTTTCGGCTCGACAGCCCAGCACAACGGCCTAGCACAACGGCCCAACACAGCAGCCCAACGTGTCCGAAATGACTCGGGCAGGGGTCGTCGATGGTGCCATAAGAATCATGCAGCTCCATCTAAAACCGGAAAGGAGGCATGGCGGATATCTGCAGAGCCATCTCACCTCGGCAGCAGCGGCCGGCGGAAAGAAATACGAAGACGACCTTGAGTCAGGTAAACCCGGCTTTCCGCTGTGGGCAAAAGCAAGAGGACGGACGAGCTGAGGTTCAGCTGCCGGCATGTTTTATCAGCTCCCGTTTCGACTCGCCACCTAACTCTTCTCCTCAGTCCTCGTTTCTTTGGCCACCTTCCCGATACCGTCCCCCTCGATAACTGTACGCGTGCGGTGCTTGATCGAATAACCTCGGTTGAGGTGGGCCGAAAAGTTGAAGACGGGAGGCCACTTCCTGCTTTGGTGAGGGGTGAGCTAGGCATTGACATACCTCCGGCAAGACTAACCAAGTACGGGATCTTTTCTTGAGTCAATGTGAGTTAAATTGACAGCTGCGTACAATGCCCGCATCTAAAAAGGCCGGGGTGCCGTCCTCGATAATCCAGTCATCCACGTTGTTTATCCCTTCCAAGAATATATGATGGACGGCCCCCTCCTCTGTAAACGCTTAGCAGCATAGGCGCATTCATCATGGTCTTGCTGCGAGCCACCTTTGATGACTTCAGCGCAGAGTAGTTGTCGGGCCATTGGGAGAGCAGTCCGACCGGGTTGAACTGCGACCTGCCCCGGTCTTTTCTCCACCGGCTCTGCCGTCTCGTGTTTTTCGTCAAAACTTGACACGCCATGGCTTGCTTCCGGGATGTTATGCCTGGAGGCAGCTGCAACAGTAGAAGGTTAGCATCATAGTTATTCCCAAGGTGTAGTGCGGCACTGGTACGCACCCAAGGAAATCACCGTTGATGCTGCCGATGGCCCACATCTCACCGACCTCGGTGCGCAACCCGATAATCTTGACACGCACGTGTGTCCCCTGCTCGATGACGATATCGGCGTTGTTGGTGAATTGCGCGGGGGTGGCGCTGGCGTCGTATTGAATCTCATCAGGCATCAACTGCATGCGACACTCCGTCAGTAGCTGGGACAATTAGACCGGCTGGTGGAGGAGAAAACGTACATGTGATGAGACGAACAGCCGCAGAGGGCCGGCCTGGGCGAAAAAACCGTGAGGATTTACGGTTTGTGTAATCGCATCAATCTGGCTGCGTCAGCGAGAGGGAAACGCCACCACCATGCCGTGTCCAAATCTTACCACCTCGCCCTTGAATGGCCGCCAGACCACGGCGCGATAACCGACGGTGAACTCGGCGAGGCCACTCCCAGGGAGAATGCGGCCCTCAGATACATCGAAGGTATCCATGATGGCGATGATGTAGTAGTCGCCAGCGCATGTTCCCTCGACATCCTTGACCAGTTTTGATGTAACTAGTTCGTGCATGTTTCGCCCGAAGTACGAGGGATGCAGCGTGACGCGCCGCTCGAGGTTGTGGAGGAAGAACATTTTCGGCGGATCGTATGGGGGATGGTGGTACGATCAATGCCGTTGACTCGGCGCTCGATGCGCGGGCTCGAAATAATGACGACTTGTCGAGGTTTAAGGCGGGTTTGCGATGGCAAAGAGAGCGCGGAGACAGAAGCGTGTCGCGAGTTTAGGTAGGTATTGTCGCGTCGCCAGGTACGAAGTACAGGTCTGCAATAAGATTGAATTTCGGATGGGAATTAAGAGCGAAGGTACAAGCACGCCCACATGCTTGCCACCTTACTTCGGTGTGATATGGGTGCTGAGAACGGACTTGGACAACTCGAGAGAGAAAAAGGGCCCCGCCGTCTTTGATGCGCCGACGAACGGTCGAATGTTCTTGGGCGAGGCTGACGCATGCAGAAAGAAGTAAAAAAGGCTGAGAGCTTGGGTGCTCATTGTTTGAGCGTTGCCGCTTGATTAAGCTATTGGTCTGTGCGCCAGCTGCATTTGGCCTTGGCACTCAAGCAGCACCAAACCGTATCATGTGCTTCCCATATATATAACCCTAACCCTAAACCGCCCAACTCTTCCCAACATGTCAACCACAGTTAAAGCTTCCATCTTGCAAGAGAATCGTGTGACCTCCATCTTTAGCTGAATGGCCATCTAAAGTTATTCAGTTCAATTCATTCAAATCAGGCAACCCTTCGTCTACCGTTCGTCTCCATCAATACCTTACCTCATTGCACCCAATTAGCAAAAACCCCTCGCCTTCTACATCGGATGTCCCTCTTTTCTCTTCGCATCTCAGGCACTCGCAGCTCCGGCTGTGGTGCTACCAACGTGGGTTGGGGTTGGATGGGAACAATAACCATCTAAGTTAGTGAACATTCCTCCCATTTAACGAGGCGGAGATGCAGGTTTGAAGATGATGTCTGATATCGAGGAGTTTCGCTGGGAGTTTTCCCTCTTATTTTGTCTTTCTTCGTTTTCATTTCCGATTCTTGTTGTTTCTTTTTTTTCTTTTATGTCATTCTTTTTTCAATGTTATGTTAACATTGTGATTTTTAAGTACCTATCTTATGTGAATTGTTAAACCCCTAGACGGCTTTTTGAATGAGATTGATGATCTCTCTAGATAATGGACATGGGGCGTACCCATCTCGTCTGTTTCGTCTTCCTCGCTATAACAACGATTCCTGTTGGCGGTTGCCTCCCTTACTTCAAATGAGCAGTCTCCTCACCTTCCCGTGCATTGGGTATCAGGGATAGCTTTTTGCGTCAATGTCAAGAGGACTATGCACAGCTACCTGGCATGATAGTCTCATGATAAAAGCCGGGCGATTTCCTGCTACTAGCGATGCCCTTCCAGACCAGCTTTGCCCTAGTAGGAAAGCATAGATCCCTCCCCTCCCAACTTGCTTTGAATTCCCAACTTTTCGACTTCCGCCTCAGTGCGTTCTGAGTCCAGACTATCTTCACCGTCTTTGAACCCCCCCTTGGACATACAACAATCAACCTTGTATGATGGCGACTGTTTTCTTCTTTAATAACAACAACGCCTTGGAGCCCACCAAGGGGTCGGGCGACCTCTCCCAGCTTTACAAGCAGACGAGGTACCGACGTACCGACTACCTGGTACTTATTATCAGACATTAGTGCGGTTGGACAACTACTGGTATATGGGTAGCGTTGATTTCCGTATGTTGCCTACTTGACCTAGCCCAGTTTATAATCACGGGAAACGACTGGAAGCTCGTTCTCCAGGTCCCCGGAAGCGCCCTCGAGGGTGAGGTGGATATAATTTCGTTGGCTAACGGCCTTGAGCCTGTTTACAGAACTCACTTTCCGTGCCCTTGAAGACACCCGAGACCAGCCTACCATCTTCGTTATGACGACATGAAACAAGACGTCCCCAGCGGTGTGGAAACGAACCGGAGAGCAGGCCAAGCGGTTCCTTGATGTGCTGGCGGTTGCTTACGGGCTTCAACATCGATCACAGGCGAGATAATTGCTGGAAAGTCGACCCCAGGAGATGTGCGTAACATAACCTGTTCTTGACCTCGGCACTCAGTCGGGATTGGAACTGCATCAGAAGACAATATGAGTATGGACTAGAAGTTGAAAGTGCAGTGAAATGCCAACGGGGTCTCCAAATGGAGGTTCTTTTCGTTTTATTGCGTTTTGGTCTTTTTTCTTTCTTTCTCTTTCTTTTTCTTTTCTTCATTTTTATCTTTTTTTCTTTTTCTTTTCGTTTTTATCAAGATTTGGTTTCGGTTTGATTTGTTTTTATTCTACTTTGTCTTTATTTTATGCCATCCTTCTAACAGTACCACACTGCAGTCCACGAAGTGTTTGGTGGAAGTGCGATATGTCGGGTATATAGGCTGGAGATATTTCGGAAATGGTGGCAGAGTGGAATGGAGTGGAAGTGATGACCCCCTTCCATGTAGGTTGCCAATCTGCCCCGTGGGGAAAGAGCTCATGCGACCCGCCGTCCGAGGCACAAAGTTTTATCCGCCAGCTTGCCAAGTCAGCAGCGGACTGGGCCCCCGACACGCCACAACTCGGCCAAACATCGCCCGAACATCCCTTCAACACGAGATCCACCACCTCTTTTTGTTGACTACGTTGTTGGAAATTGGAGGCCCGAAGGCCCCTGAACACGCGGAACTTCATTCCTGTAGCCACGCTGGCTTGCGCTAGTTAGGTTGGGGCTTTGCCCTTGTCCCTAAATGCCGTTCAAGTCGGGCCTGTCCATTCCTCATTCGTCATCCTCTCACTTCTTGCCTCTTTTCGTGCATCATCACCCTTTTTCGGTTTCGGGCGCCCGATAATTCGCCATGTCCCTCGACCTCGAAAGGCAGCTCACCTTCGTAAGCCTATCCGAAACACCCACGGGCCTGCATGGCCGAGTCCATGTGGCGGCGCTTCGTACCACGTGCCCAGCAGCTAACCAGTAATCCAGTATGGTGCATATCACCATAACCAAGTGAACGTAATAATTCACATGGTTTGCGTGCCGCTAATTCTGTTTTCCTTTTTCGAGCTCGTATGCATCCCTTTCCCCGGCTGCATCCGAGCGGGACGATCTGACGAACCAACTTGGCGCAGGCTTCCAATTACGGCCCCTTTTTCACACCACCGCCATGGCTCCACGTACCCTATCTCGAGCTAAACTTGGGAACCATTGCGGCAATGATATGGGGCGGACTGTACCTCCTCCTTGAACCTGTTGCGGGGGGTGTGCTTGCACTCATTTGCCTCGCTGCCGCGGCTGGGACCAACTACCTCCGGCTGCAGGACCCCGCCGGCACAAATCAGATTTCCATCGCGGTACACGTTGTCTCTTGGATCGCGCAGTTTGTCGGCCACGGCAAGTTTGAGGGGAGGGCACCGGCATTGCTCGACAACCTCTTCCAGGCCGTTTTTCTGGCTCCGTTGTTTGTCTGGCTCGAACTGCTGTTCTTGGTAGGCTACCGCCCCGAGTTGAAGAGGCGTGTCGACAAGGCCGTCAAGATTGAGATTGCCAAGTTTCGCGAGCAGAAGGCGAAGAAGGCCGGAAAGGCCCAGTAGTTGGGTCACAGCCCAGGTGCCGAGATGCCGTTGCCGTAAACAAGGGATTGGCACATGGGCGGAAGACAATCTAGATGAGAAGGTTCTGCAAAGAAAAGCCGGGGCCGACAGAGCCAATTACACGCTTTCTACATCGGCTGGAGGGGGGAACTGGAACTGAGGTTTAGGACTGGTACCTCTTGGTTATCGAGGAACTTGAACGGTAGCTATAAGTCGGGGATAGCACCGTGTCAAGACACAGGCGTGCCACCTGTTCGCGCTGGAGCTTCACATCGTCCCTTCGTTTCACCACAGGTCATTGAGCAGAGTGCTTTCTGGATGAGCATTCTGTCAAGAGACGCGGAGTTTCCGAACCAATTGGACAGTTAACACGGTCCGGAAGAGGGTTGAGGGGGTGCAGTAATACGGAAGAGGATATAGTTCGCCTAGAATTGTGGTCACTGTTCAAATCTACCCGATCTCCCTCTCCTTTCTCGTTCAGTGATTGACCCACTTTTGTTATCGTTGTCTCGAGGAAGGAAAAGATGAGTTACAAACAACTGAACAGCCCCTTGGTCAAAGAAATGTTTAAAAGGGCCCGCCGTCCACTGTCGTTGCACCGCGACTCCTTGTTGAAGCTGTCACCTGGCCGGTCCAATCCCAAGCTCCCATTGGCAAGACCCAGGTCCTTATCCTGGCGCGTTTCAGTCGGCCCACGTCACCTCTTCAAAACCAAACAACAACACCTCAGACGGCAGCACATACACGGAATCACTGCTACAACTCTCTCCCGCGAAGCCAAACGTATTATTACCCACGAGCAAGAAAGAAACGATGGACGACTCATTGCCCTGGACACTCTCCATGTTAACAGGTAGATACCTCCCATCCCCCCATCCCGCTGCGCCCCCATCCAAAGAAAGTGCAAAAGAGAAAAAAAGTTAAACGAAAAGACAACTAATCCCTCCTCCCATGGAAAACAGACATCCTCCCCCCCGAAACCCTCACCTACCTCGCCCAGCTGCAAACAACCCTCCTCTCCCCAACCGGCCCGCTCCAAACCCTCCGCGACGCGCTCGCCCACCTCACCGCGATGCTCACGCCGCTCTTCACCGCGGCGATCGACCGGCTCGTCACACTGCTCTCGGCGTCGCCCAACGTGGTGGCCGCGGCCGTGCTGGTCGTGCTGGCGATCGTCATCCTGCAGATCCTCAGCCTGGTGCGGCGCGTGGTGCTGTTCTGGACGCGGGTCGCGTTCCGGCTGGTGTTCTGGGCGGGCGTGGCGCTGGTGGTGTCGTGGGCGTGGCAGCGCGGGATGGAGCGCAGTTTGCGCGACGCGGCCGTCGTGGGTGGGAAGGCGGCCGGGTGGTTGGCGGGGGCCGGCCAGGCGTGGTGGCAGGAGTATGAGAAGGCGCAGTTGGCGCAGCAGCAGGGCAAGGTGCCTGGGCACGGGGGGTTATGAAGGGGGTGGTGTTAGGTGTGTATGACTGCACGGGGTGGTGGTGGTGGATAGGGGTGGGTTTTGGGGTTGGTGTCGGCATCATACCATGAAGACGGAGTTTCGGGGGGATTGTTCGGGATTGTTCGGGATAGGCATTTCGGAGGATGAGCGCCTGGACATGGATATCACACGGTCGATTTGGATTACAGCGGCATGTATTGAGAGGACCGTTCAGAAAACACGCTTCGATACCTTTACGCCATCGCTATGCAAATTAAGCTGGCCATGGGCCATGCTAAGCCAACCTTGCCGAACCCCAATACCGTACGCCAGAACGTAGCCATGCCACTTTTTTTTTATCCTATCCCATGCATCACCCCATGCTCTTCAACGTGCATCATGGTTCGTCGTCAAACTCCTCCTCCGGAGGATCTCTGGGCTCCTGTGCCTCGTGGTACTGGATGCAGTCGTCGATGTGACTGAGGATTGCGTGAACACTCTCCTCGTCTGTGCAATCCAGCTTAAGGTAGTTGACCAAGGAGTAGCTCTCGATGAGGTTGGCAATAGCGGCGTTCAACCGCTGGAACGTCGCGCCTGACATGAGGGCATCCTTGTTCCCTGGATCATCGCTGCGAACGTCGACAGCGACGGTCATTCTCTTGCGGATGGTCTCCGCTGGGTCATCCTCCAGCAACGTTGTATCCGGGACGAGGAAGCGCTTGAAGTCCTTTTTCCGCATCTGGTCCTTGATCAAGTCCATTTTGGTCAGGACGTTGATGTGTGGCACCTCTAGCATCATCATGGCGCTCATGGCGCTGAGCGTCCCGGCAAAGTACTTGGCCCTATCCAAGACGAATGTCGACTCGATAAGGTACGCCGCGCACAGCCGAACGTCGAGTGCACCTGATTGTGTGAGAAACTTGACCAAGCCTGAGAGCACCGGAATATGCGTGTAGAGCTCGATCTGGCCGGGCATGTCGAAGATGATGAGGTATTCCTCGGTTAGCGACTCGAGGGCGTCGGAAATGAAGTCGAGATTCGCCAGCAGATATTCGAAGCAGTAGACCAGCCCCCCATTGGGACCGAGCTGCAATTCTTCCATCACATCTTCGACGGATATCAAGTCTTTGATGTCGAGGTCTGGCTGGTGTTCGAAATGCTCGGCGGCGGGGTCGAGGTTCACGTAGAAAGCGGAGCGGCGATTCAGTTGAAGGTGTGTGATGAGGCTTGTGCAGAACGTGGACTGCATGCAGGTCACGTCGTCAGAGGACATCCAGAAGCTGGCTATTCTGAATGATGGGGGGGTCATCGTACCTTGCCCACCCCGGCGGGGCCCATCACCATAACACCGTATTTGCTCATGATTGAAGTTCCTCGAAAGGCAGGGCTAATCGGGGTTGTCGTGTGTTGCAAAATCGATGTGGAATGGAGATGCAAGTGATGGTCCGACGAAAGCTTTACACAGGCAGCTAAGGTAGCTATGTACCTCTGACGGAATTTCACTGGGCACATGCCTATCTAATCCGTCGGTCGGCCCATTGCTGATTGTGCCCAGGCAAGGTTCCCATGCTCGGTCACCGGGCAGGGCACGTGCCGGGCTGCAATGTGTGGACACCGTCCGTTCAACAACGGCATAGCCTGGTGCTAAGGTAACTCCCGCCCGCGAGCGCCACTTCCGATTCGATTTTTGATTGCCGTCTCGGGGGAACCGGCGACACAAATCATTGTTCCGCCAAACGTGCCCTTTCCGTGCTTCCCAGATTCTGCCCCTCAGTGGGGACCTCAATGGCTGGCTGCGGTGAGGGGCAGCAATGGCGCAATCTGACGAAAAGGGACAAGCCCGAAGCCCGGGTACTCAATACCAGCACGGCATCTGAGAAATGGCCTCCACTACAGAAAACAGGAATAGATCGTCGACCGAGACGCACGCAAGCAGCCCCAAGGATACCGGCACGATCTGGCTGGGAGTTACTTGTACTGTGGACACAAGCCGCCTGGGGAACTATTGCAGCCGACAATGCTCTCGGTTCCACAATCAAGATCTCGCAGTGAGCCGTCGTTTCCTTGTTTCGCCGCCGCCGACCCAGAGAAGGACGTAAATGTACCGCCGTATTATTTTGTAACTGTAGCAGGGTTCTTGGTGTTCTCAGTACCCCGCTGTGCCGCGTTTGCACCTTTGCGGTGAAAAATGGCCGAAGCTCGGCCACTTCTGTCTGGGGACCTTGCCAAAATTCCTCAAATACACCACTTCCCCCCCCAGAGTCCTCTGCTTCCCCATCTTCTTCCAAGCCAAAACACCCACCGTCCCCCGTCCCACTCTATTCCGCCTGCTTGCTTTATTGTTTCTGTTTCTTTTTGTGCAAAAGGTTAGTGAATTCTGTCCCCCGAGATCCATTGCTTTCTTACTTCGGAGGTTCGGAACCCGGATCGGGTACTCTCTCCTTCCCCCGCTCTTTCGCCTTCCATCGGAGACCATCAATATCCCGCGATCTGTTGAGGAATTGTCGGTCCCGGAGGATAACACAACGGACAATTCCTGGATTCGAATGGGATGTCCCTGATATCCCACCAGAATCTTGTTGTGTTCCCCTCTTCGAGTGGACTTTACTTACTGGGCCGTCGCTCTCCTTCAAAGCGAGCCATCAGCATATCTTTACTGAGCACCGCTAACCCTCACCCAGAGCCCCCGTCTCCGAATTCTCTCATAAATCACAATGGTTACCAACGGCACCAACGGGACCAATGGGTCTGGGAAGCACTACAACGAGGGGACCTTCCTCTTCACCGTAAGTTCTGCTGCTGTCGGGATCGCCCAAGGCTGTTGCTGACCGCCTTTACCAGTCCGAGTCCGTCGGTGAGGGTCACCCCGACAAGATCGCCGATCAGGTCTCAGATGCCATCCTCGATGCCTGCTTGTCCGAGGACCCTCTCTCCAAGGTTGCTTGCGAGACGGCCACCAAGACCGGCATGATCATGGTCTTCGGTGAGATCTCCACCAAGGCCAAGCTCGACTACCAGAGGGTTGTCCGCGATGCCGTCAAGGGCATCGGTTACGATGACTCCTCCAAGGGCTTCGACTACAAGACCCTCAACTTGCTCGTCGCCATTGAGGAGCAGTCCCCGGATATCGCGCAGGGTCTGCATCTCGAGGACCGCCTTGAGAACCTCGGTGCTGGTGACCAGGGCATCATGTTCGGCTATGCCACCGACGAGACCCCCGAGCTGTTCCCCCTCACTCTCCTTTTCGCCCACAAGCTCAACGCTGCCATGTCGGCTGCGCGCCGCGACGGTTCCCTGCCTTGGCTGCGCCCCGACACCAAGACCCAGGTCACCATTGAGTACAAGCACGACAACGGCGCTGTTGTGCCCCTCCGTGTCGACACCGTCGTCGTTTCTGCCCAGCACTCCGAGGATATCACCACCGAGAAGCTGCGCAAGGAGATTCTGGAGAAGATCATCAAGGCCACCATCCCGGCTAAGTACCTGGATGACCGGACCATCTACCACGTAAGTTACGATGGACCGTGGATTGGGATGACATGCACTGACAGCAACGAATAGATCCAACCTTCCGGCCTCTTCATCATTGGCGGCCCTCAGGGTGATGCCGGTCTGACCGGCCGTAAGATCATCGTCGACACCTACGGCGGCTGGGGCGCCCACGGTGGCGGTGCCTTCTCCGGCAAGGACTTCTCCAAGGTCGACCGTTCGGCTGCCTACGTCGGCCGCTGGATCGCCAAGTCCCTCGTCGCTGCCGGCCTCGCTCGCCGCGCTCTCGTCCAGCTCTCGTACGCCATCGGCGTTGCTGAGCCCCTCTCGATCTACGTCGACACCTACGGCACCTCGGAGAAGACCTCGGATGAGCTTGTCGAGATCATCCGCGCCAACTTCGACCTGCGCCCCGGTGTCATCGTCAAGGAGCTGGACCTGGCCAAGCCCATCTACCTCCAGACGGCCAAGAACGGCCACTTCGGCACCAACCAGAACTTCAGCTGGGAGAAGCCCAAGGCCCTCAAGTTCTAAGTGGGAAACCATGTCGCAGAAGATTCAACTTCTCTCTGCTGATACGATCCCGCTCGTCTCCGGACGATTTCCCTTTCTTCATCTTTTTACTCATCATGGCATATGAATGGATAAGCATTACTGGCGTACGGTTCTCAACAAACCTGGGTGGGCGGATAGACTTATATCCTTGTCATTTTCACGTTCGGTTTGGGTCTTTCTGGGTTGCAGGGTAAAACGCCTGCGGCGTGGTGTCGGGCGAAGTACGCCTCGGAGTTCATTTTTCAGCGAAGGCCAAAAGGTTTCGTCAGGTCACAGCGCGCTGGGGGCGGTTTACAGGAGGTCGGCGTCTTTCAACAAAGACATTGCTTGAGCCAAGAAGGCGCCAAGTTTAGGACATTGCGATACCCCATGGGGAACGGCATACAAGGGCACAAGACACGGCGTTTTGGGGAAAACAAAAGAACTTCAACATCTTTTCTTTTCCTGAATTATTAGACGTCGAGACAGGTCTTTTTGGCTTGGCAGGAAGCGACGAAGGCCTCGGGGTGGTGTTCGGAGCCCATATCATGGGATAGTTACTGGGTTAGTGGTGTTGGAGGGAGGGGGTGGACTGGGCCACCGTGGATCGCGAGATAGTAGCGTGCCTTCACCAACATAATCGAAGACCAAACTTGCGACCAACTTATTCGTGGACCCTTACACAGACAATAGTGTATTTCGGTGTGGTTTGACTCTGTCACTCTTCGGCGGTCGAGGAACACGTGGCTTGGGAGAAGCCCGATTGGCTTGTCACCTCGCATCTCGAAGCCGATAGAATCCCGACCGGGTACCGAGAAATCGGAGCGCTGTTATTCGTATCCCAGTAATCACAGTCGCATTGGATCATCGCCAGGAGCGATTCGGCACAATTTGATTAAAAGAGTATGAAAATACCGGGAAGGGAATGATTTCGGCAGGGTTACGAATAACCTTCCGAAGACGCCGACTCTTTGAAGTCCTCGATGGGTTATCGTGAGAAAACCAACAAACCCTTCTCATCTGGCACTGCACATTCACAGAGGTGGTGTACATACAGATTATGTACATAGGTATGTAAACTGTTTTATCAATCGCACATCAGCATCGCCAAATTGACCGACCCATCCTCCTCGCTTTCTCATTAATCGACAGGGGCGAGCGACCAGGATCCCCGCCGAGCTGGGCTACCCGAACCCACTCGCCAACTCGAACTCAAACATCAGACCAAAAAACAATGGCTTGTTTGTTTGCTGCAGTGGTGGAAACAACAAGCAATCCGTTTGTCCCGATTGTCTCACGCAAGCTCGGACCATTTGGGGAACCTCGATACCTCAGGTACGAGTTATTCTGGGTGTCTGGCAGCGGAAACGGCGACCCCGGCGGCGGTTCCGAATCACATCAGGGGACCGATCGATCTGCGTTGAGGGAAATCACTTGCACAGAGCCGTGGGTCTCTCCCCCCGTCTCGAACCCCACCTTCCACCGTTGGGAGGACCGACCCCAGCTCGAGCCCAGCTCCTTTGGGTGCCCGTTTGGTGCAAGTCCCGGCAATTTCCAATATTTTCTGCCTCGCGTTTGACGCGATCCCGCCGTGCCGACTGTAATCTGGAATTTGTACACTGCATGTGCCGGGACTAATTTTCTGTGCTGGCAATCTCACCATCGTAACCCGTCCATTCGTTCGTTTGTTTCCTTTCCGCTGTCTCTCGCTCAGTGCAACACTCTCGACCAACCTCGTTGCGACAAACCAACCGACGATCGAACCTTGACACGCACCAAGGTTCCATGCACCTGGTTGTCTCGAGACGCAACGCAACGCAACCACTCACAGACAAATTTCAATTCGTGCTCTGATTTACCCGCTTGGACTGGTGGTGAATTCAGCTTGGGTCCCGACCCCACGGTTAATTGCAGCCCGGAAGACGCGCCCTCGCTTCCTCCTATTTGGGTTTTTCGTTGCACCGCAGGCGCATTGCTGCTCGTCGCCGGGAACGGGCGTTCCTATTTTGCCAGCTAGCAGAAGCAAGTACCCGCTCGCGCTCTATACGGTAGCAGGAATAGGCACCACCTTGGGCGACCGGGCCCCGGTGCGTCTCGACTTCCTGCCTCCCCCCCCGCTCCCACCAACAAACCAAACACTCGAAGCCTGCCCGCAAGCACACTCGTTATGGCAACCATGGAAACCGCGAACGCCCACTACCACAACGGGCACCAGCAGCCAGGCCCGCCGCTCCCTGCTTCACCGACCCTCACGAACCCCGACATGATCTTGCCAGACTACGACCGTAGCGACTCCCCCGACCCGGACCTCGGGAGCGCTGAGCGCGCCTCACTCATGATGTGGAAAAACACACATAACACCACGTCACCTCCTGATATCCACCAGATGTTCATCGCGACGGGTTTGGCCGGGCCGCGCCCATACGGTCCCTCGGGCCCCGTCACGCCCACAACGCCCATCATCTACGGGAACGGAACTATGCTGTCAGATATTGGGGAGGTCACTGAAGTTGAGAGCACGGTGGGAAAACCCTCGCCGGCGCGGACAAAACTGGGCTTACGGAGATCGGGGTCTCCCAAGCATGGAGGTGGAAGCGGAGGCGAGCCAGCGCTGCAGTCCTCCCCGACAATCCACGCGGCGACCGCGATCAAGAAGAAGTCAAAACAGAGCTTGACCGCCAAGCACGAACGCCGGTCGAGCATGGAGAGCACCAGCACCATCACGAATGGCGATCACGCGGCCGCTTTCGCCGACTTCGACGATTCTGTCAGTGTGGGGGACAGCGTGTTTCAAGGAGATGACGAAGAGAGCATGGCCTCGTCGTATGTGGAGGGCACGGCGGCTGTTGAGCCAGCAAGACTGGGGGTTGCAAAGGCGGATAATCTTGATCGGTTGTCTACCTACTCGACGACCTCGTTGAGCCGGCGGGCGGAGGAGATTTTGGCCAACGCTAAGAGAAGGCTGACGGTAGGTTTGGATGGTCAATTTCAGTGTTTTTGGTTTACTGACGGCTATTAGACCATGGAAGGTAACTTGACTCGCGCGCGGAGCTCGCTGCACTCCCCGTACGGTTCCGATGGTTCAACACCTTCCCCGCCTTTCCAGCGAGCAGCGACGGCAACCTACCACGTAGAAAATATGATGGAACAGGACGTGGAAAACAAGGCGGAAAAAGTCGTAGAGACCGGCATGGAGCACGACCCTTCAACTCCCGACCACACCACGGGGCACAGTCGCATGTCGAGCGAGCTCCTCATGCGGAATGGATTGCCGTACAGGGTGTCGGTACCTCGATCGCAAAGCGCGCTTGGAGCCGCCGGGGGCTACCGACAGCCGCTCACAGCATCAAAGAGCGCCGATCATATCCGTGGGAGTATGGATGGTGAACCTCATCGTCCTCTTCACAAAGCCAACTCCGTTAGGGAAGTCGGGCTCAAGCCGCTTACCGAGGATGAGGTTGCACGGCTTGGAGAAGCCGACAGCGCAAGCCATAATGCGAGGTTGGAGGCGTTCCTAAGCCCTACCTTTGGCAGCCCTACTTTTGGGTCTTTCCACAGCGACGGCGGGACAAGAAACCCTCACAGGTCATCCTCTGCCGCCCAAATGCGAGACATCAAGGACCAGATGAAAGACTTGAAGGGCAAAATTTCAAATTTGCGAGAGCAAGCCAGAGTTGATAACATGAAGAGGCAGAGTCTGCAGAGCCTGCGGACGCCCAGTCCTTTTACGCATTCGCAAATCGATCACTGGTATACTGAACCCCCGTCAAACAGGGCATCAGAAGCCATTGCCGGCGACTTTGCTGACCAAGCCCCCTGGAACGACGAGGGGTTGAGCGTGGATGGTGATTTTAAGGAGGTAGCTCAAGACCCGGATAGTGGGCACGCTGATGGAGAAGAGACGGATTACGCCGACGCAGAAGAGGGAATTCACATTGAGGATGCGACCGACCCCGAACCACGTTCTCTTACGCCGATTGCCGGGCCCGATGGTGTCGCGGACGATATTTCCGACCTGCATACGGAGAACGGCGATACGGAATACCAGGAGGCCTTCCACGATGCCCCCGACGCCGACGCCATGAGCGAGAGTGGGGAGTCCCTCTACCATGACACCGTCCAGCACCAAATCTCGCACGAAGACCGCGAGGATGCATTCGACTACGAGCACTTTTTCTTGCATAGCGCAATGGGCACCATGAGTATGGCAAGACGCGCCAGCAGAGAGAGCTTCACTTCAGAGGACTCTGTCGAAACTACCCGGGGGCCAGTAGCGACGAGCGGCGACGAGCACCCGCCCATTTTCGGCAGACGGAACAGCAGCAACTCGATATCCACCATCGACACGTTCGCCACTGCCCAGGAGGCCCGGTCCCTCAAATCCCCCGTCAGCCCGGACGATGTTCAGAACCCGTTCGAGAGCCTCTCCCGCGCCACCTCCGCCCAAAGCCACCGGTACCGCTCCGGCAGCACCGCCACAGCCAAACGCCTCTCCTTCAACCCGGGCACCCTCCATCCCCCGAACTCGGGCCCCGCAACCCGCGACAGCGACGGCTCCATATCGCCCATCGCCGAGGAGTCCTCCAGCGCAGGCTCCCCAGCGGCGCCCCAAACCGCGCGCCGCGCGTCCGTCATCCACCGGCCCATGTCGACCACCTCGCAGCACGCCTCGCTCCACCGCCCATCCACCTCCTCGTTCGACTCGGCCGGCACCAACCGCAGCTTCCCGCTCGTCAACAAGCCCTCTTCCCGGCCATCCTCCAAGAACGGACCGCCGGCGACGGGATCTGCAGGGGGGATGATGGTGCGCAAGGCGAGCAGCGCCGGCGTGCTCACCCCGCGCGACCACCGCTCCCTGTCCCCCGACACCATCAGCGGCGAGGCCGAGCTGAACACCCTCGCCAGCCGGCTGATGCGCGAGATGGGCCAGCACGCGCAGCCGCAGTCGCCGCCGGGGACTAGCGACGGAACGGGAACGGGAGCGGGAGCGGGAGCGGGAGACGCTGAGGTGGCCGATGGGATGGCCAACGGTATCAATGGCCTGATGATCAACGGCGGCGGCGGCGGCGGCGGCCCGCACCCGCTCGAGGCGCTGCTGCGCGAGGACAAATACTTGGTTGAGCGCATCGTGGCCAACCTCGGGCGCTGCGTGCTCGGTCTGACGGAGAATGGGCGGGCCAGCGCTGAGAGCCGCATGTATAGGCGGCGGCTGGATGCGGCGAGGCGGGTGTTGGAGGGGTTGGATGGGGATAGTTAGCCTGTTCTTCTTTTTACCTTTGTTTTGTTTTTGTTTTTGTTATCCTGACTGTGGCGTTACCTGTGCTGGTTTGGTCTGTTGCCGGCTTGCGGTTTTAGGGGTGGTGAAAGGGGGAGGGGGTTCCACGGGGGGAGTGCGGTTTATGGAATGGCATTGCGAGGGGGGGTTGGTGTGACGACGATATGAGCGTTGAGTAGATGAGGGGGTAATTGATAATGATTCAGTGGATGTCTAGAGGGGGACCAGAGGGGGATTGGGTGAAGGGCTTAAGAAGGGTTTCTTATGCTGTTGGGTTGGATATAGGGGGGGGGGGGGGGGGGGGGTTGGCTCAGAGGCTGATGCCGGAGCAGGAGATGGTTTTGGGGGATTTCTTGAGCGAGCGGTTAAACCTGGAATTGGGACATGCTTTGGCGTGGCGAGCCCGTTGCAGCGCTTGTTTGCTTTGCTTCTTTTCGGTTTAGGAGAATTGGCTCGATACCCTGGGTTCTTCTTCAGTATATACATTATTTTAGATATATTTACTTCGGCAATGGCACTTGGGAACAGATATGTTCTAGTCAATTTTCAGGAGTGCATCTGTATTCTACGCGACGGCGAACAGGCTCTATTTCCGAATGGTTGTTCTTGTCCCTCTGTAATATTTTTGCCCCTATTTTGGTCCTCTAGGTTGCCGCATACACAGTATATGAAAACATGGAAATCACAATACAGACCAGATCGTCGATCATCCTCAAAGTACTCGCTCCCCGCTTACTCAGGGATATCGGTCGGGACCCCAGATTGGGGTCGGTTGGCAACCAAACGCTGTCAAACTGATTAGCACACTAAGAGCATCTAAAAGTAGGTCCTTGAACATACCATTAGATTCCGCAGCAGGACGGCAATGGTCACCTTGCCGGTGCTCGGCACGTAGATGCTTGCCTTCTCCTTGATGGCTGGGCCGTCAAAGTTGCGGTAGCTCGAGAAGTTGATACACACAGCGCCGTCTCGAATCAGTTCGGTAGGTACCTTGAAGGCCTCGCTGGGAACGCCGGAGATAACGACGTCACTAAGCGGCAGCACGTTTTCCAGGGCCCAACCCTCCTTGTCGTGGACTTGATGGCGTGGAGCGCGGATGCCACTGCCACGGGTGAAGACCTGCACACCGGTAATGTCGACGCTGTAGACGGTGGCGCCGTCGTTGGCGAGTAGGGCGGCCAGGGGGCGGCCGTTGACCTCGCTGCGGTTGATGACAGTGATGGTTTTACCGAAGAGACGGTTGCCGTAGGCCAGGATCGGGTTGTAGATTTGCAGGTGCTCGAGCGTCTTCACAATGGCCAGCGGTGTGCACGGCAGGATCGACTTCTTTTGGTTTGTGGGCGGGTCGAGGAAGCGCGTGTTGTGGTACATGTTGAAGAGGTGAGTGTGGCACAACCCCTCGACGTCCTTGGACAGAGCGACCGTCTCCTGAATATAGCGATCCTGTTGCTGGTTGTTGCGCCAAATGGGGTAATATACCAACATGCCATCGACGGCATTATCGTTATTGGCTTCTACCACGGCCTCTTCAAGGGCTTCCTTATCGACCTTGCGGAGGTCGAAGTTAAAACCGCTGTACGATGTTAGCCCCTAGCAAATCCTCGTCGTTTAGTATGGAGAACTGTGCTCACTTCTCCTCACATGTCTTCTTGGACCAGTCGGCGTACTGCTGGGCCGACGGGTCGTCGTTGGCCAGGAAGGCTGCCAGGGTGGGCTTGCTAACGGCAGTACCCTGGAAGCCAGCCAGAGTTTCTTTAACCTCGGCCAGCAGCTTCTTGGCTATTGTGTCGGCGAGGATGACCCTGCAGGTCTTGGGGACCTCTTGCGAAGCCATGATACTGTTCGTGCCTCGGGGTGCTTTGGAGTGTTTCGGGTGTTGTTGAGTGTTGGCTGAATCAACTCGGGCACCGGATGCCTGGCAGTGAAAGTGGGATTAGCAGAAGCCCTTGCCGGGTTGATATACCTCGTAAGTTGGCCATCGTGTTTTCATAGATAGGATGGAAGTCGACACTCGTGGTTACACAAAATAGGATGAGATGGGGGGAATTGGATCTTGTAAGTGAACATAGAAATCGACGACCAAGTGTGGGTGACTCAATGGCAACCCTGACAGTGCTTGCAGATGCAGAGGGAAGGAGCACGAGACAGCCTACCCCGCGATACCCCACTAAGAAGAGAACAGGAAGGAGCGACCGATAAGCTCACCGTTAGCAAGAGGTCAGGGTCGAGAAGATATGTATAGGGATTACTTTGATGACTGAATTGACCAAGTTGAGACTATGATTCACCTCACCCGAGAGTTTTGGACTTCGTCTCCGATCGGTCTCTCCGGACGCTTCTCTAACTGCCGACCCCTGTCACGCCTTGCAATCCGGCGAAAATTTCAGGGCGGGAGAGAGGTCCACACCATTGCCCCTCTTACCAGTTACAGTTTAGCGTGGGTTCACGTCGTCAGAATCAAGCTTCACCGCCTAACCTTTCCGGCTCTCTCAGATTTCCTGCCGAGGGGCAGCGTGGGGCAACAGGGCGATAACGGCCACGGCAAGCCACCCAAACACCGACGGGAACTTGAAGGGCTAAGTGAACTGTGCCAAGCTACTCGAAACAGTACTGTTCTCACTGCTTGACAACCCGGAAGCTAAGGTCCTACCTTACCTACCTACAGTACCTGACCTAGTATTCCAAACAGTTTCAAACTTGGTGTCGACTCCCTCCATATTTGCGGTGCATCTCCTCACAGGTCTGCTTCATTGGAGAGCAACATTTGGGCTTGATTTGTCATTGGAGACGTAAAAAGGTACCACTTGCACCATCAGGCAACTGCTGAAGCGTCACCTCACGAGGAATCTACCCTTGGAAAACTTGGAACCGTGAAAGTCTTTCGGTATTATTGATGCTGGAAGTGTGCTTTGTGCACATTTGAGTCTTGGCCATGGCCCAGTTCAAGCAGTGGGCACTGGAGTATGTGCTCTCTGACGATGAGCCCGCACAGCTGGAAATCACGAAGAAAGCAGCAAAGGGTGAGGAAGCTCTCAGATATTCCCCAACATACTTTATGTGTCCCTTACTAATCTGTCGTCTCAGAAATCGAAAGCTCTCGTGCAAGCAGTACAGTGGTGGGAAACTGGGCGGCTTCAGTGCAGCAATGGATGACTCCAGCCAGTGCCGATGATGACAAGATGGAGGATGATGATGGAGGGGGGAGCGGCGACATCATTGCTCGGGCCAAGGGTGAATCCAGACTCTTTTTTTCAGGGGCTGGCCAGAAACTAACACCTGTTCCTGGCATTTAGCTCTGGGCTTCCTTGCAGGGACATTGGAGGCACTCGACAAGAGCGTGTTAAGGTCGGATCAAGGTTTGAACCCTCTCCCTTGCACACATAGGACCTCACTCAACTCGCTCTAGTGCTCCGCCTTATTGGCTTCTTCGGTGCCATGTTCTCCTACGATCACAAAGCCGGCATCACAGCATCCGCCAAGGCCTTGCGGCAACTGTACTCGATGAAGAATTTCAAGCCCAATATGGGCATCAAGATTCTAGATGATGTCTGCAAAATCAAGGAGGACTTCCGGTTGCAGGTTGCCGTCACCAGGCTAGAGATATATGAGCTCTTCCTTGGCCTCATCCAGGACCCGGCCGTCAGCAGCGAGCTGAAGCACAAGTACGGGTCCTCTTGTGGCTTCGTTGTCGACCTTCTTCAGGTGTGCCAAAACGAGAGAGACCCACGGAATCTCATGGTCTGGTTCAAGATACTTGCTTTACTCATCAAGGATTACGACCCTTCGACTGAAGTAACAGAGGAACTCTTCAAGGTCTTCTCTGCTTACTTCCCTATTTCCTTACGGAGTTCAGCTACGCCGATAGGCATCACCGCGGACGATCTCAAGGAGGCCGTGCGAGGTTGCTTCTCGGCCCACCACCGCGTTGCGGATCTCGCCTTCCCGTTCCTCATCCAAAAGCTAGACCAAGGAGATGCCGTCACGGTAGCTGTCAAGGTTAGTTGGCCAAACCTGCCCCAGGCGGCCCATTTTCCGATTGGGTTTCGGCGCTGACTTCGATTAGTTGGACATACTGAAGACGATTCAAGCGTGTATTGAGCAGTACGAAAATCCACAGGCAAACATCGTACCACACGTTGAAAAGATCTGGAACTCGCTCAAGTACGAAGTCCGGAACGGCGAGGTGAAGGAGACCATAGATGCGACTCTTGACGTGCTGCGCACCATTGCTCGAAAACTGGACGGAACAAAAACCTACAAACTCGATGTGTCCTTGCTTAAAAGCTACGTCGATCTCGTTTCGAGGGACTGCCGGGACGACCTCGCAAATCCTACTTACACGAAACAAGCCGGGTTGCTCTTGATGACAGTTATAAGCGCCAATATCCGGGCCTACGTGCTTTATAACGCCAGCTTCATCGACACCATTCGGCAAAATCTCCGCCAGCCTAAATCGCCCTCCCACACGCGGGACCTTCTTCTGCTCCTGAACTCTCTCCTCAAGACTCGAATGGAGCTGTTCAGGGACAGGCAGCAGGGACATTCTGACGACGAGGATAGTTTGAGGACGGAGTCCCGTGCTCACCTGGACACATTGTTTCACGATGTTTACCTCCCGGTATGGACCGACAAAATCAAGGGGCCTGTTTCCGAAGAGAAAGATGTGCTCAAGCAGGTTATCCAAGGCCTTGCCCTGCTCGTCAGCCAGCAGGTTCTCCAACCCGACGGGTCTGCTGTCCTTTTGTGCTCTGGCTCGGTCTGCTCCGACATCTGCTCTCTCTTAATTTCTACTATTACGAAAGGGTTGACTCTGAGTTCGAATGACAACGCTACCGAGGACACCGCCGTGGAAGACGAAGCTGTCCTAGGTCTACGCACAATCGTCATGAACTACACAAAGGGTTATTCAGAGCTGGCAAGCAGGGTTAAGGCGGAGATCAAGTCGCGGGACTGGGCCAACCCCTCGGGCTATTCGCTTGATGCTCTGAAGGATCTCCTGTCTCGTTTTACCTTCATTGGTTGTTCCGAGATTCCGTCAAACATCGCGACTGATACCCCAAGGCAATTCTCCCCGCTCCAGCATTTCATCACACTGACAGCGAGCCTCTTGGAACTTTTTCCCCTTTCACCCTACTGCGAATCTACTCGCGGGGATGAAGGCGCGTCGGCGAATTCGCATGTCATTTCCTCACTCCATGCCTCCATCATCTGGTTCCGAGACGCCTGCGAAGCGAAATACGGCAAGAAAGCTCTCGCTTTGGATCCATCGGGTAGTCAAGACTGGCTAGACGAGTTCAAGCGGCTGCCCGAAGACTGGCTGTTGCAAATACAACGCGATGTCGGTGCGGCAGGTTCGGCACTGGCATTACAGGGGGACGACCCTGAAGTATACCGCCAATTCCTGAAACTCGGCCTTTTCGTTGTGAGGTCCCTTTACCGGTCCGCATCTGCTGGAGCACGGGGACCGTGGGATGAGACGGCTCTTGTTCAGCTCTCCCAGATGGCCGCGCTCGTGGTGGGCAGGCTCGACGAAACGTTGCAAGTGTCCTGCAATCTAGCCTACGAGGCCTTTAATTTCTTCCGCGACACAACAGGGCTGCTCCTCCAGACCCCTTCAGACCTCCTGAATGGATTATTGACGCTGGGTATTCTCCAAGGACTGTGGCCCGGGGCAATGGCGGGATTAGTATGTCGTATCCTTCCACAACTGGCGAGCCTAGCTAATGAGCACTTGTAGTATAACCCGGGCGGATTCGCGGAACGGTTCACGAGTGGCACACCCAGCTTCAACACATCCCGTGAAAGCGACATCCGGGCAGCTATCGGCGCGATACTCGCCAACAAGTTCAAATCCGGCCCCTCCACCCCCGCACAGGAGGTAGAGGTGCTAAAACGGGTACTCGACTTCTGGGGCGACTGGCTGAAGAAGGAAACCGCCGATCCATCCCCAGCCGACTCGACCACCTTCCGCGCCCACTGCACAACCGCCCTAAACGTCATCGCCGGTGCCGCAGCCCGCCAGGAGCCGCACGTCCTCACTCTCATCCCGGCCCTCCACCAGGCAGCTTCCACCCCGACCCCCAACGGCGAGATCCTCGCCGCCTCCCTCGGCCTCATCATCAAGCAGAACCCACTCCTCACCACCGAAAACCACGCCATCGTCCGGCGCTTCCACAAGCAATGGGCCTACGCGCACCTCGCTAAACCCCTCCTCCAATCCGCCCAACCAGGCTCACCCGGCAGCGACCCCCTCGCCGCAACGCGCTGCCGCGTCGCCGTGCTCTCCATCGTCGCCAACTGCCCCTTCACCGTCTACCAAGACGACCTCGCCCCGCTCATCCGACTACTCGTCACAGCCCTCGGCCACCGCGCCGGCCTGTCGGACGAGACAGCCTGGTCGCAGACGGTCGCGGCGCTGGAGGTGCTGGTGGAGGTGCTGGGCAGCGAGCCCGAGGCGCTGACGGGGCACCTCAGGGCCGTGATCGGCGGCGCCACGGGCGTGTACCAGGAGTGTGCTGCTGCGCAGAAGAAGGGTGTGGTGCGTACGCTTTGCCGAAGGCTGGCGCTGCAGGTGCTGGGGGCCGTTCCGGGCCGGTTTGAGGAGCGCCATGTCAGGGCTTATGCGCCGCCTACGCAGCGGGTTTTGGCGGTGGCGTGTGGGGATCCGGTGAGGAGGGTGAGGGAGGTTGCGAGGGCTGCGAGGGGGAGCTGGGCGAAGGTGGTGGTGTAGTGGATTGGGTGGTTTGGGTGGGGAGGTACCGAGTAGAGGTGGGTATGGGGGTATGGAGGGTAGAGTCTGTAAGGCTGGGTCTAAAGAGAAACATCTAGACAGTCGCATCTGCCGGCGCCAAAGACTAGAACATCTAACATGGGACCCTACGTTCTGTCCACCCGAACTGAGTGAAACTGGGGTGGTTCCGCATGTCTGGTGTTGGTAAATGTAGATTGTATCTCGATTCCCGTCCAATCCGTTTTATTAACCAACCCAACCCTTTACACCCATAACCGGCGCCGTCCTCCCCACCACTCCCAACTCCCCCATCCGCCCATGCCACCTCACGCCTTTCTCCTCTTCCCCCCCTTCTTCCCCGCCGCCGCCTCCGACCCAGTCGCCTCCTCCGCCGCAGACCCAACCACACTCGCATTCGCCTTAGCGAGCGCATCCAGCATCTCGGGCGTATACACCGCCGCGGCATTATCCTCCCCGCCCTTCCCCACCGCCGCCGCCGCAGCCGCCCTCTTGGGATCCGCCCTCCCAATCACGGGCACACTGCCCGCCAACATAACCTGAAACGGGGCCGCCACAAAATGCCCCGCGGCATCGAACCACTCGGCAAAGGCACGCGCAAACTCCAGCTGCTCCCGCCCGCCGTCCTTGCGCGTCACCTCGACGGAGACGCGGTACTCGGGCACGTTCTTGTCGACGCGCGTCGCGATGCGCAGCGCCTCGCCCGTCGTCTTGGACCGCCCCACGTACACGGTCCCGCGCTCCGCCTGGCTGACCCAGAGCGTGAGCGCGCCGTTGAGGAGCGTGTACACGGCGACGGCGGCGGCGGTGAAGTGCTTGGTGGATTCGAAGCCGAAGTGGTAGTCCCACCCGAAACAGGCGGCCGCGAGCGCGAAGGCCGAGTAGCCGAGCGCCAGGCGCACGTCGGTGAGGTAGTGGGACTGCGTGAAGCCGAGGCTGTTGAGGTAGTTGGGGAGGGCGTCGTCGGTGGTGTTTTTGAGGTCTGGGTTGGGGAGGGTTAGTACGGATAGGGGAAGGGGTTGGTTGGTGTGTGGGAAATAGGTATGGCTGGTTTAGAAACGGGAGGGTTCAAGAAGGGAGAGGGAGAGGTAGAGGTAGACGGGGGAGGGTGTGAATGGATGGGCTGGGGTTGATGGAGGGATGGCGGATATGGGGCAGCTTACCTGCTACATTGTAGACGGTGATCTTTTCTTGGGAGGCCATTTTTGCTGGTTTTATGCGGAACACAGCAGTGATTCTGGCTGACCGTCGACAATTCTTGTGAGTTATTAAGGTTGTGTCAAGTCGAAGGTGCCGGCGGGTCTAAAGTCTAGAATCTGGGGACTCTTCTCGACAGCTTCACTCCCGGAAAGGCCACCTGCGCAGTTGGACAAGCTGCAGCTTCCCTCCGATTGGCCTGTTCTGCGCGTCGCATTGGGGTTGCACTGGCCTACCTACAGGGACCCTGCCCCACCACCCCTGTGCTTGGCTGAGGTTCCAGCGGGTCCAGGCGACGACAACTCGCAAGCTTCCTTCTGAAGCAGACAACACCACGCTTCTAGGTAACCGAGTAGAAGAAGGCTAGCCAGCGCAAAGCAGTTGGCAACAAGATGGCGCAGGTACCGGTGCAGTCTATCCATAGGGATCCCCAGTTATTGTCAGTATTGATTCCTTGGTGATCTGAATGTTTCAATTGCTGACATTGGTCCGGCAACAGCTACTGGATTCTCTTCCCTATCACCATTGTCATGGTACACACCCCCCTCACCCTTTCGCGCACCTGTTGCACCCCTTCCTCGCCACCCAACGCCATGCGTGGTTACTCACACACCCGGCTCTAGATTCTGACCGGTGTCCTCCGCCACTACGCGACCGTCCTGATGGCCTCGGCCCCGAAGAAACAAGACCAGAAGGCGACGCGTGAGCAGCGCTCACTGCTCCACGGCATCAATGTGCGCGGCAACCACCACGTCCTCTCGAAGCCCTCGTTCACTGCCCGCCGCGACGCCCTGATCACGGCCTACGAATCGGGCGCGTACCTTAAGAACCCCGACAGCCGCGGCCAGCCGCCTCCGAACCCCATGAGCGACCCCAATGCAATGGAGGGCATGATGGGCATGATGAAGAACCAGATGGCCATGGTCATCCCAAACACGTTGATCATGAGCTGGATCAATGCTTTTTTTAGCGGTTATGTGATTAGTGGGTAGCCCGGACGCCCCTTGTTTGTTTGGGATGGTGCAGGGTGACTGACAAGAACAGTGAAACTGCCATTCCCGCTCACCATTAAGTTCAAGAGCATGCTACAAGCCGGTGTGGCGACTAGGGACATGGACCCGCGGTGGATGTCAAGCATCAGCTGGTACTTTCTGTGCATCTTTGGCCTGCAGCCCGTGTTCAATTTCTTGCTCGGCAGTGACAACGGTATGTTATCCTACTCTGTCTATCTGGGTACCCTGCTAACCCGCCCCCCTAGCCGCCAGCCAAATGGCGCAGCAGATGAACCAGATGGGTCCTCAGGGGGGAGCCCAGATGTTCGGCCCTGGCGTCGACCCCAACAAGCAGTTTCTCGCCGAGGCGGAGAACCTCGCCGTCATCGAGCACCATTCCGTCTTGGACGGTGTCGAGCAGCGTCTTCTCGCGGGTATCAAGGTGTAATATATCAAGCCACATAGATCGCCGTGTAATATGCGACATATGTTTCGCTCCGTCAACCCATCCCTCATCACTCCCACCACAGACAGCAGCCAAGTCCCGGGCCACTCATGGACCCAGTGATGGTGTATGGCGGCTTCGTGTTAATTGGCGGCGCGGGGGCTTCCTCGGTCCCTTCGGGCACTTCGACTGCCTCGACCGGTTTCGAGGGCGTCTGGTCGTGCCACTCTTCCGTGATAACCCGGAAGCGGACCATCTCGTTGTCGTCGAAGTACATGGCCTGGTCATCCTCCTTCCATATCCAGAGGTTATCGGATGGCTCGCTGGGAGACTGTGTTAGCGGGGATTGGGTGACCAAGGATTGAATGGGGTCGTACAATTCTGAACCCTCGGGCAGCTCGGTCCAGGGGACGAAAATGTCGTCGAAGAAGTCCGTGGCGACTGCAAAGGGTAGTCAGTATTAGCGACGAGGAGAGAGTCAAACAAGGTAGACTGACGGTTTATCCCTTCCGGTGACTGGTCCATAATGCGTGCTGCGATAACCTCTCCCTTATAAGGCCTGAACACCACCACGCGGAACTCCACTGTGCCCATTGTCAGCACAGAAGAGAGATAATCGGAGTCTGAGGTGATCCATTCGTACCATTGATGTTGACCATCCCATCGCCCTGCCCGATTAGGCCTTCTGATGTCCATAATATGTCCCAGAGGCAGATGCATAGTCCAATTTTTTGCACTACCTACGAGGGACTGGTTAGACAAAACAGACATATTCAATGGGAAATTCCGAGGCTTACCTTGTTGCCATATTTGGAGTTGATGTTGTCCTCGATTGCCATATGACTTGGCTTCCTGAAATCATCGGGCGCAATCTGCACCAGATCGGCGACTTTGGTCTAGCCATTGTTAGTGATTGAAGAATGCAAACGCATGACAAATGGAACTGAAAGATGGACTGACTAAAATAAACATCTTGATTGTGTTTTTGAGCTGCCGGTATACTATGTGATCGGCACTGACTCTCTCCTTTGCAATGAAAGTGGGATAAATACGCTCGAGAGAGTGACTGATGGGAGGAATTCGCTACGGGGAGTTTGCACAGGCTTCGCTTTGGAAGTAGTTAAAGCTTTGATTACCGATCCGTTGAGGGACGTACAGAGAATCAAGCTGAGAAGCAAAAACGCTAGTACGCACCCCGATTGTGTTGCTTTGGTTGACTCTCGTCTGTCTACTGAAGATAGAACCATGAAATAAATCGCCCTGCAAATCAATCACCATCCCATCTCGTTTGAGCCCCACAATTCGATAGCTTGGCTTCTGAGTTTCAAGACGCCTCATCCTGGTGCGATGACACGAAGGACCCAAGAATTCTGCCGTCATGCCCCACTTAACGTCGACACACCGCCTTGGGCAGTACCACCGTGCGAAGAAAACCACCAGTCGGGCTGTTTCGAGTTGCCAACCATGCTCCTTCCTGCAAACCCACACCGAACCACCTACATTTTCCCTCCCACTTTCGATTTCGAAGCACTGCATCTCGACAAACCGCACGTCGACGGCATATCAACCGCATATCAACCGCGGACACCCGCACTGTGCCCTTTCAATATCCCCCCTTTTACACCACTCCTCGCCGCTGTTGGGTGGTTTTCGGATTCAAGTGAAGACGCGTTCAATCGGCTGCAATCGGCAGCTGGGCCTTGTGGTGGTACCCAAGCTATCCTTGGGAAGTTCGCCCTGTTCTTATTCTGACCTCCAAGAGTGAATTCGTCGCTGGACAATCTCGACTACTGAGCCATGTCCTACAATTACGGACCACCTCCTCCGGCTCCTCCGCCCGCGCCCCCGAGCGATGGCCCGGGTGGCTATCCCTCATACGGCCCTCCTCGAGGTGGTCACAGTGGTAGAGGTCGCGGTGGCTCCGATCGTGGTGGCTACCACCAACCACACCAACCACACCAGCCTCACCAACCGCATCAACCGCATCAACCGCATCCAGGCTACGGCTATGGCCAGCAACCCGCCTACGGACCCCAGAATCCCGCACCCTACGCCGCCCCCCCTGCCCAACCCGGCTACCCCCAGCCTCAACAACAGGCATGGCACCCCGAGCACGGACAACAACATCCCCCGCAGAGCGGACCGCACGCTCCTCTGCCCCCTCAGAATTACCACCCGAACTATGCTCCTCAGATATACCAGCAGCAGCCAGCTTACGGCGGTCAACCCCCATACCAACCGGCTCCTCAACCTCCCTACGGTCAAGCTTATCCGGCTCCGGGACCACCCAATGCCCCCCCGGCCCAGCAGTGGGGAGCTCACCCCCAACAACCTCCGGCCCACGGTGCATACGGCGGCGGAGGGCGAGGCGGTCGCGGTGGCTACAATGATCGGGGGGGACCAAAGGGACAGATGATGGGCCCTCCGATTCGCATGGGTTTCGATGGCAGCCAGCCCCAAACAACACCCGCTCCAGTGAGCACCCCATACCCTTATGGCGGCCCTCCCGCTCCTCCGGCATCCTACCCTGCCCCTTACCAAAGTTACCCGCCCCCGGCCCCTTATGTGCCTACCCCGTCATTTGATGGACATTCCGGTCCTGGTTCGCGCCATCACGGCCGCGGCGGTTTCCATCACAACAAGTCTCGCCCTCAGTTCGGGGGCGACAAGAACCGAGGACGCAACCACAACCATAACAAAGCGTCGACGGTTCAGACACCCCCCACCCAGCATCAGAAGCCTGATGCTGCCTCGGCTGGTAAGAAGAAGAAGCGTAAGACCAACACGCTCGGCTTGACGCCTGGTGACGACTCGGATGAAGATGACGAGAATGAGGAGGAGCGCCTGAACGAGATGTATGGCGCTGACGCCCCCAAGTATGTTTATTTTCCAGCGTGCCACTTCAGACGATGCTGACTTCGTATAGCCCCAAATCCTCGTCTGATATTGCCGCGTGGATTGCCGAGCGCCGCGCCAAGTTTCCTACCAAGAGCAGAATCGAAGCCAGGAAGAACGCCGCCAAGGCCCAAAACGGCGATTCCCATCAAGCAAAGGGTAATGCGCTGGAGCAAAGGGCCGAGAAGCTGCGGAAGCAGCTCGAGAAGGTTGAGTCGAGCATCAAGCGAAAGCGCGAGCAGCAAGACGAAGGTGACGACATGCGGGATATCGACTTGAGCTCTCCCTCGAGCGACGCCAGGTCGGACGACGAGAAGCCTGAAGTCATGTCGACTCGTCAAGAGCCGAGCAACGTTCCCCCGCCGCCCAGGAAGGCGGACCCGACCAAGCATTGCAAGTATTTCTCTACAGGGGGTACCTGTGGCAAGCGGGGCAAGTGCCGCTTCGTCCACGACCCCGACGTCCGCGCAGCCGCCTTAAAGGAGCGCGAGATGAACGGTGGCCGCATCACCCTGCAGCAGCGCATCACCCTCAATGATAAGGACCAGGAGGATCTCGCTATCGTCGAGACCCTCAAGTACCTTCAGGACAGGGGTGTCATTCCCAAGAAGCCAGGGGCCGACGCATCGGACGAGCAGCCCGAGGAGGACACGGTAGCCAACGCTGAGCTGCCCGCCACGAACGGGGGATCCAGCAATGGCCTGCCTCCGATCCCGCCACCCGCCTCTTCGGACAGCAACAACAACAACACGACTAAATACCCTGGTTGGAACATGAGCGGTTTCGGGAACACAGGTGTCAGGCCGAGCGAGTAGGATTCTCAACCCAAGCCTCGTGGTCGCGGCAACCGCCGCTCCCAGGGTCCAAGCTTCCGGAAACACCGCCGTCGGTGTGTACGCCGCAATACGCTGCCAAGGAAGAAAATGTGATATTTTGTGGGTGTCTCCCCAGCTGGGAGCAACCCGATTCGTCACGTTACACATGCGCTGCCATCTGGTCTGACTGCTGTTCTGTTTGGTTTGCCTAGTTGTCTCGACAGTGTCGAGGGCAGCTTGGGTTGCTATAGCTGTACGATGATTTCAAATTACGGGTTCACGGGCTTGAATTCTGCTTTATTTTCTTATCCTCGGATGTCTAGAATGGCCGGTGTGGGTTCTTGAGGGCTTCGGAGTTGGTATGGTTCTAGAGAGCCTTCCTCATCGGAGCTGCACGATACCCGCCCCCTGCACTCTTGCTTTAGATGGGCAGATTGGGCGAGACGGTCGGGCAGCGTATAGGAACTGCATTCATTCGTCGGTTTTTGATTTCGGGCTTCTGCTGTGCCGCTGTGCGCGTTATCGGGGCTTTTGGAGCCACAAGTGTTGTGACACAAGTGTGACGCGCGGCGGAAGGGATCGCCCGACGGCTGGCGCTGGCAGATCCCCAACCCGCAAGTGTTTTGCATGCTTTTTTCTCCTCGGGGCGGTGAAACGCGCTGCCACATATCGGGGACCCGGGCAGTATGTCCTGTGCGCTGCTGTGGGCAGTTGGTGTCTGGAAGTTTAGACCGCCTTTTGGTACGGGCCGCTGGAACTGCGAGCGTCCGAGACAACCTCTCAGCCAGGTAGCCCACTCAACAAAGCCCACCATCTCAGCCGAGAGGAGCTTCAACACCGTGGGTGCACATACACTACATCACCAAGGTCCCAGGAGCTGTAGCAAAAATGATATGAACTAATTAATACATGAAACCGTTAATCTTGTGTGTTTGTTTGTTTATCCAATCCATCACAGGGTATACGACGACACCTCTCCCCAAAAACATACACATAACTCAAACAAGCATCTCCAATCCCCCTCCTAACCTAACCTCACAAATCCACCTTCTCCCCCCTCCCCGCCGCCTTCCGAGCCCCCTTCACCCCGCGCCACAGCTCATGACTCCAATGCCCCTTATCCAGCTTATACCGCTCGCTCAGCCCCCTCACCAACCAGTCCACGCACTCCTCCTCCCGCCCCTGCCCCTTTTGTGCCTCGCTGCCATTTCCGCCGCCAAACAACGCCGCGCACTCCCCGTCATCCAGCTGCGCTTGCCCCGGCCTCGGCCACTCCCCCAGCGCCGCGCCCATGTCGCTGTCGAGGAAGGTGTCCAGCAGCAGCACCGCGGCGCGGCGCTGGGTTTGGGCCCATTCTTCTTCGTCCTGGTCGCTAGAGGCGGCGGTGGTGAGGATGCGCAGGATGTGGGATGCCCCGGTTCCATTTGAGCCCTCCGTTAGGGGGGAGAGGAAAGCGGTGCGGAAGAGAGGGGATTTGAGCAGTCCCGTGAGGAGGGAGATGCGTGCTTTGGTGAGGGGGGCCGGGGGGTTGGTGTGGGTGTAGGGAAATGGTCGGAAGAGGGTGAAGATGCCGGGCGAGAGGGGCGGTCTGCGGGTGTCTTCGCCGCAGAAGGACGGGGCGAGTTTGGGCCAGTGCGCCTCGATGGAGGCGAGGGCCGTGGGGTTGTTTTGGAGGGTGGAGGAGAGGGTGAGGGTCGCGAGGCGGGCGCGGCGGAGGAGGGGTTCTTCTAGGTCTGAGGGTTGTATGAGCACTGTGGATAGGCAGAAGAGGCTGCGGACTGTTTCGTAGTCTTCGGCGATCTTGAGCCCGTAGTAGATGTCGTGCGAGATGTCCTCGAGCATCTCCAGCGCCCCGTCGGTGTCTAGGCCTCGCTTGAGGATGGACAGGGACTTGTAGAACGCGCTGCCCTCGGCCGCGTCGGCGGATTTGGGCTTCTTGATGGCCCCAGCCGGCTCGTAGGCGGGTGCGTTGGGCGGGATTTTGATCTGCTCCTCGGCCTCGTCCCGCTCGACTACCACCACGGAAGAGTCCACCGGCAAGCCTTCTAGTGACGGGTCGAGCTCGTCGGGGACATTGATTTTAGCCTCCTTGACGCCTGTGTACACGTTCAGCCGGACGTGGAGGCCTATTGGGAGGTCCTGGTCCGGGTGGACTATTTGGAACTCGTCGGTTGCTTGGAAGACCTTGGGGTAGCACTCTGCCGGGTTGTCGGTGTGGCAGATGAGTTCGACCTCCGCTGATGGTGAGGGCGCGGATTCAGCGGAATCTGATGAGGCTGATGTGCCCCAGGCCATGAGGCCTATGAGGGCCACGAGGTTGATGGGTAGCATCTTTAGCCGGAACTTGGCCATTCCGGTGGATTTGTGTTGAAAGTGTAAAATGAAGATACTTGAGAGGGTGAATGCGTTTAGAAGGTATACAAGTAGCTTTGTAAGTGAAATCGAGTTAAAATGAGTTCCTTCGAAGAACCATTAAATATCTAGGCATTTAACAAAACACCATGGCCTTTTGCCTTCAAGTTTAGTTCCTGATCCCCACAATGACTCAGGTACAGAAGTTGAAAGAAAGGCCAGATTGACTTGTCGAGACCGACTTTGCCTCCTTCTCTCGAGTCCTGATTCGATTAAGAACAAGGAAGGCGCGAAACCAGGCAATTTACGGGGCATTTGTTGATTGGCCGGTAAGCGCTCTGCCGCGCTTGTTGGGAAACCTCGAAACCAAGCACTCAAGCTCCAAGTCACGTGCTAAACCTCACACGGCGCTGACCATGCCAAGCTCCTAGGCAGCATCACGAACAAGCTCATTGGCAATTAATTAGTCGCTCACCAGCACACCCTCCTGTGGCTTCGTCTGTGGGGAAGCGACATAACGACGACTTTCCGCCTCAGCCTCCGCGCGCCGGCTGTTATTTTTTAGTCTTCGGAGAGCGCTAATCTGCAAGATCGCAAGGAGGCGACCCGTCGGCCTCGACAACCGTCAACACCCCTCCATCGATTGACGTCGACCACCCCGGCGACGACCGCGAATCGCAACCATGTCGGCACTCAGACAGAGGGCAGCACAGCTTGCCAGGCAGGCCCGGACAGCTCGGCCCTCCGGAGCCCAGAGCACCAGGTCGTACGCCTCGAGCCACGGCCACCACGAGGCCCCGCACACTGTCGAGGAATCGCTCGGAGTACGTCGTCAACGAAGTTTGGAGGGTGCCATTGGCTCGCTATGGACGGGTACGGACAGGGAACTAGGAGCTAACGGCGGAATAGCCTGCGTTCTTCATCACTATGGGCACGTTTGTCGGCTCCGTCTTCGTCTACCAGATCTCACGCCCTGGCGAAAACGGCGAGCTCTCGACCATTCACAAGTGGATTGAGAAGATCTCAAACTACGGCACCGAATGGGAGACGAAGAACCACCTGATGGCGGCGGCCATCCAACAGGCGGCCCACGACAAGCACCTCCTCTACGGCGCCGAGCGGAGCAAGTACCACGAGCTGTCATACCCTGAGTACGTAACGATTCCTATATACCCTGGGTTTGGAGGGGCAGGATGGTTGGGGTGTGCCTCGCTGAGGCAGGTGCTTCCGATTGGGAGTTCGTTGAGTGCTGGGCTGGTTACGTTGGGTCCGGTTTGCCTGGGCAGGCGTTCTTGCGTTCGGCCCTCTTTCAGGCCGTTTCCACGGGCTACCTGCCTTTCTCGAAGGGCACACTCCCGCGACTCGCTCTCCAAGCATTCGCAAAGCATTTTGATTGCCGGGATCTTAACAGAGAGCCGTTCTGGCCGTGGTCAACCACAACTGTAACCAATGTAACGATGCTGACCACGTGATAGGGTATTTACACATGGGTCGCCCTTCAATGTCCCGGCCGGACACTACCCGAACATCAGCAAGGTCGTTGCCCACTACCAGAAGCAGCATCACGACGACGAGGCGCGCAAGGCGAAGAAGCTGGCAGCGGCAGCAGCAACAGCGGCGGCCTCCGAGTAGTGAAACACGACAATCAGGCTTTTCTTGTGTCTCAAAATACCCACAACTTGTGGCACACGTGCCTTACCTGTACATACGGTACCCTACCTTAGACACGAGGCAACCACAGTTCCACAACCCAACCCTCTTTCCTGAAACCCCATCATTTCAGAGCATCCTGCATTTTGTGTCCCGTCCCCTATTTGGCAATACATGCTATGCTGCATTCAGAGGCCGCCCATTGCTTATAATAATACCACGTCGATCGTGACCCGCGCCCATGCGAGCTCCAACCACGCGACTGCGACCCAACACCCGAAAGCGCAGCTGACACCAGCATGGCGAGCCCTCCGGGGGAAGCTACCCAGACTGAAGTATTCGATGCCTCCAAGTCGGCAAAGGCATGTAGTTCAAATACTTTTTGTGTCTTATCCAGCATTCAGTTGGCCCAATTGGTGCCTTATGACTTCACCTCCCGGTTGCCCCACGTTCCACCCCCCCAAAACATAACAACATAACATTCCCAACCAACATAACCTCCGAGTCTCCCCCTCTTCCTCACCAATCTCCTTCCTCACCAATCTCCTCCCTCACCTCCCTCCCTCCCTACCTACAACACCTACCACCCCCTTCCCCAACCCAACCCAACCCAACCCAAAAACTAACCCCCCACCCCCCCAAAACAACAGGCCCCAACGCACCTCCTCCGCCCGCCCCCGCGCGCCCTCCCCGCCGTGCGCATCCGCCTCGTCAGCCCGGCCGTCGGCTACGGCCTCTTCGCCGCCCGCGACCTCGCCCGCGACGAGCTCGTCTTCCACGAGGCGCCCCTGCTGACCGCGCTGTTCAACGAGAAGTTCGCCGCCGACCGCGCCCTGGTCGCGTCGCAGCTCGCGGCCTGTCGGAGTGTGTTGGGGGTGTGTCCCGAGGTGGTGGCCGTGGCGTTTCCGGCGTTGGCGGGGAGGTTTGGGGTGGGGATGGTGGAGTGGGAGGTGGCGAGGGGGGTTTTGAATGGGGAGTTGGAGGGGGGTGGTGGGATGGGGATGAATTTGGTTGTGGATGGGGGTGCTGGTGGTGGGGGGAGGCCGCAATTTGCGGGGGCTGAGGTCACGCAGCGGGAATATGAGGCGTATACCGCGGGGTTGAGGGTTGGGGGGAGTGTGTCTGAGGCGGATGCGCGCGAGGCGTGTCTGGATTTCTTCAAGCACTACGCCTTCCAGGTGCCGCCGGGCGGGGGTTCGGGGTCTGCTGTTGGGAAAGGGGGAGGGAGGAACGGGATGGCCGGCGCCGCTTCGACGAGGCACGCCTGTGTCTACCTGCTCGGCTCGCTGATCAACCACTGCTGCACGCCCGATCCGACATCCTCGGGTTCTTGTTCTGCTTCTTCCCTGACAAGGGACAAGCATAAGAGCGTGCCCGGCCCGAATTGCTCCTGGCGCATCGGCCCGTCGGGGCTGACGCAATTTGTCAAGCCGCGCCATATCTGTGTGCAAGCGCGCCGTGATATTCGCGAAGGGGAAGAACTGACGTGGGACTACGGCAAGAGGGAGAAGGGCTTCGTTTGCGAGTGCGACACCTGCCGGGACGGTGGGCTGGGTTCGATCTGTAACGTCCTGTAAGGCGGCGTTCCAAGAATGGTGCCCTTAAGTCACTCGGCCAATTGACCGGAAGGTCGGTTGTTGAGCAATCCAACTTCTTCTTTGCTGCGTATGAGCTAGGACAACGGGCACACTGGTCTCGGGCACTGCTAAAAGACGCTAAGGACAAGGGTATATCATGACCACACCGGTCAAAGCAGCATTCCGAGCTCAAGCTCTTGTTCCCGCGTAACATCATCCCGTAATTTTTGTGTCATCGCCGTTGGACCGAATGCAGCACTCGAATTGCTCTGTGTACTATCTCGTGATCCCTCCAAGATAGAGCGTCGACATTGCCACCTCAAACAATGCCCGTGAGCAGAACCGTGTCCCGTTTCGCCGAATCCATGATTGACTGAATGCAAGAACCACCCATATCCCAGCGCCCTTACTTCAGAGGAATGAAACGAGAAGAGTGAGTGGCACCGATACCTGGCCGACCGTGCTTGACGGGCTTGCTATGGGGTTGTCAGTCGTCTGCGATCACGTCTAAGAGCGGGGGGAGAGGGGACGCACTATGAGATCGAGAATTCGCCAAGGTAGTGGCCAACCATCTCAGGCTTGATCTCCACCTGGTTGAACTCCTTGCCGGAGTAGATGCCGATGACGCTGCCGATCATCTCCGGGACGACAATCATGTCACGGAGGTGTGTCTTGACGAGGTCGGGCTTCTCGTTGGGCTTGGCCTCCTGCTTGGCCTTGCGCAGCTTCTTGATGAGGCCCATGGGGCGGCGCTTGAGACCGCGGTTGATCTTTCTCCGGGCACGGGCGTGGACAACGTCCCGCAGCTCATCGGAGCCAAGGTCGAGGAGACTGTGTAGACCGTCATGTCAGCGCTTTTGTTCTTCATTCGGCCATCCTCCGTCCCTCATTTTCAAAACTCCCCCCTCCCTCCTTCCATATTCCGCCACACGTCACGTTTCGAAGCCACGTCCCAATCGAGCTAATAATGTGTGCTGTTGAAAAAGCGGGAGGGCACCTACGCTTCGAGGTCAACACCACGGTAAGAGAACTTGCGGAAGGTTCTCTTCTTCTTCATCTCGGCCGCCGCCTCGGCATTCTGTTATTCGCACCATTAGCTGAACGTCCCTTCAGTGTTGGTAGGTTTCGCAGGTTTGGAAGGGCCGTAGCGAGATTGTGATGCATCGGAAGATCGGGGAGAGGGCGGAAGGGAAGACGTACGTATTCGTCGGCCATGATTGCGGTTTGTCGGTGATCACGGATTTCGCTGCTCGATAGTCCTGGTATCGAAGAGCGAAATTCTGGTTGTCGCGATGATGGGGTGGATTTGACTGCGGGCGGTTTCCCAGGCTGCGTGGTTGGGTCGCTGGCGGCTTGGGGTTCCACTCACAAAAATTCGTAGGGTTCTGTGCCCTCGGGGTCCGGTTGTGGTGTGATTGGTGCGAGTGGCTGTGCGCTGTGGCTCAGTGTGGCTGACCGATTACGGAGCAGATACTTCGTAAGGGCCCCTCAATGCGCACGCGCTTGCCGCTCCACTCAAGCCCAGCGCATTCAACATGCATTTAGAGGGGTCTCAATGACTGACACGACATACAATAAAATGCATTATAAGAACGCATTATATTTTCGAGTTCACAGGATTGGCTCCTCTAGGCTATTCGTCTTCTCCTCATCCATTGCGCTGACCTAGGCCACTGCCCGCACCTAAATCCGCTGGAAAACAGACAAGCTCGACAAGGCTTGACCAGACGGCGAGAACATGGTGTTGTCGGCACACGACGAGCCCAAGTTCGCATTGTGAATCCATGCAGGTTCCCAGTAGAACAATCCTACCCCGCGGCTCACCGAAGCCACCGCATTGGCCACGTTAGTGACGTACGTCGACTGTCCCGCTGCCGAGAAGGGGATGTTCCTCACGTCGGAGGGGAAGCTGTACTTGGGGTTGGGGCAGGATGTTGGCCAGTTAGTCTCAACAACGGCCACATCCTTGTTCCATGTCTGGGCCATGTTGGCCAAGCTCGTTTTCAGCGCGCTCAGGCTCGCCGACTCCGAGTAGAACGGGTAGAACGAGACGCCCATCATGTCGAAGTCGGACAGCTCGAATGTTCCCTGCTGCAAGGCATTCGTGTACCACCACTTCTGGGTCTCCCAGTTCCTGTTTGTCTCATTAGTGCCTCAGCTAGAGGACGTTTTCCGGATAGCAGGGGCACCACTCACCATCCGTTGTCGAGATGAACCATGATCTTCGGCTTTGGGTCGAGTGCCGAATCCTTGATACCCCAGGCTGCCGAGTGCAACAACCGAGCGATGTTGCCCCAGTTGTTGGTTTTGCCCGTGGGCCACAGAAGGCCAGGCGTAATCTCGTTTCCAATGGACATGATGGACGGCTGCACGCCAGCGGCCTGGAATTGGTTCGCGGCATCCACTGTGTAGTTGTACAACTTCCAAGAGAGGTTGTCAATGTCGGTCGGCCATCCCGAGGGGGTGGTTTGGTGGGCGGGATCCGCCCAGGTATCGCTGTAGTGAAAGTCGATGTACACGCCCAACCCAGCAGCCTTTGCCCTCTTCGCAAGCGCGATATTGTAGTCGAGGTTGTAGTTGCCGTCCCTCGGGTTGACCCATACTCGCTGGCGCACCGTGTTCACGCCGTTATCTGCGAAGATCTTCTCCAGCGGCTGCGCGTTGCCGTCGACGTTCTTGTACGAGACACCAGCCCGTTCCTCGACCACGACCGAGGACCAGTCCACACCTTTGTAGGTGAGGGCGGCATCGGCCACGGTGAGGCCAAGGAGAGCGGTGGCGAAGCGCGTGAGCATCATGTTGTCCGTTGCAAGCGTATCGGATCGAGCAACAGGTTCGAAGCTCACCAAGCATGGAACCGAGATGATCTTACGAGAGCTCTTTACAAGACCATGGCAGAACAAAACTACCTTGACTACTATAAGGTGGTTCCCAATTTGGACCGGTCTCCGTTCGGGGGCTGCCGAATGGTTGGTCTTGGCTGTACATGTTTCCGCACCTATCCAACGCAATCTTGAGAAATGCCGATAGTATGCTGTTATTGCAAGGTTCGCGGATGTATCGAGCTGGCAAAGCAGAAGCAGAATGGCGCGTTTCCAGGAGACGGAATCTACCACCAATCACACGGGCTACTCGGCTCATCTCGTTCCGGAGGTAACATCAGATCGGTTACAGACTGACCTCCGGCTCCAGACCCAGGTTTGGTATCCACGTTACGTCCCGGTGCTTGGGGCATGTTAGGAGCGACCTCCTTAGCACCAATACTTACATGAACCTAACTTCATTCAAGTCGGGAAGTTTTCAACTTGGAACAGTCGAGTAAACTAGGTGCCGGAGACATGTGAACTCCATTAACGAACATATGTAACCAACTACCGTCTTTAACTGTTGGTGATATTACAAGCATTCGTAAATAAATTAGATCTCTCCGTCTGCCACTCTCCACACAAGCTTCTCTCCTGAGACAGCCTGGTCTTTCAGCAGGTCGAGCGCTTTCTGTGCGCGTTCGAGCATCGTCTTCCCTTCCACGACCCGCTGTTTGTTTGGCTGGACTACCCCTTGCTCCAGCAAGGCAGGGATGATTTCTGGTTGGAGGTGGTTCTTGAAGAACTCGTTCTATCCGACCCCGAGTTAGCTAGCCGTCCGCAGGCACTGGGATCCTCTCACTCAACATACCTCATGATAGCAAAATGTCCTGACACCCCTTAGCTCAACGCCGTCCTTCCACTGCCCAGGCAACGCCTTGGCCACGTCCATCTCCAGTTCCGGTTCCTGACCCTCGCCCGCGTGGACGTTGATCACAGGCAACATGACGGCCACCTTGCTGCCCCTCTCCGCGATCTTGGTCAACGGCCGCAGCGTCCCCTCCCGCGAGCCGATGCAATCCACAATATACGGCACCCTCGGCCTGCCCTCCTCCCTGCTCCCAGCCCCCTCGCGATCAAGATACCGCTCAATCTCCCACACCACATCCCCCCCGCGGTAATCAAAACACCTCCTCGCCCCCATCCCCTCCAACACCGCATGATGCCTCCCCGCCGCAACAGCCAGCACATCGCGATACCCCCAAAACCTCAACACCTGCAGCACGTACATCCCCACGCTGCTCGCCGCCCCCCACACCAACACCGTCCCCTTCTTCCCCACCCCGCCTTTTTCCTCCTCCGATACAACCGGCCACGGCACCTCCAGCCCCAACTCCGCCGCAACAGTATGCACCGCCGTCACCAGATTCGTCGGCACCGTCACCGCCGCCTCCAGCCCCATCCCATGTGGCACGCGGCTCACCTTCCACGTGGGCACCGTCACGTACTCCTGGAAGCCGGCCTCGCGCGGCGCGCCGTCTTGCACGAAGCCGATCACGCGGTCGCCGATCGATAGATGGGAGGGGGTGGAGCCTAGGGCGATGACGGTGCCGCCGAAGGTGGAGCCCATTATGAAGGGGGTGCGGGTTGTGGTGGTGGTGGTGGTTGTGGTGGTGGCGTTGTTGAGGTAGAGGCCGCCGGTGGCGCGGTGCATGTCGAGGGGGGTGGAGGAGGTGTGGGTTACGTGGATGAGGGCTTCGGTGGGGGATGGGGGGAGGGTGGGGAGGGTGGTTAGGTGGAGGGGCTCGCCGGGGGTGGTGATGGCGACGGCGGCGTGGGTTGCCGGGATGGATGGGGGGGGAGGGGATGTCATTTTGGTGGTGGTGTGGTAGTTGTGGTGGTGGGTAGGGGTTCAAGGGTCGTGAACGCGAGTTGTAAGAGCTAGGTGGTGATGAGAGATGTGTTTGTTAGCATTATCTAGTCAACTCGAAGGCGCGATAACTTATATACAACTATGAGCCTCCCGGCGTCACTGTTAGTCCTGTCTTTCATTGTTGACCGCATTATAAATCTTGGCTGGTGGTGGTGGATACACTGCATCCTCGGCGGAGTCGCCTACTCTAAGTTTGTAAGCTGAACTCATTATTAAGCTCGCGACAGTCTCATGATGCCAACCCAGAATGCGAAATGAATGGGGAAAACCAATGCCCCTTTTCCAAAACGGATGCTATTAATTTATCTTGTCTCAAGTGAAGACAAATTCTGAAGGTGCTTTGCTGTGGTGACAACTGTGTCCCAAATGGTTGTAACACCGGCGACATTACAAGTTTCAAGAGTTACCCGATCGAGATCAAGGTGTTTGAAGTAGCAGGACCTAGCTGCATCAGTTAATATTTGGAGTCGTTGTCTCGTAGCTTGCCTTATTCAGGGCCATCAGCCTGAGGTAGGGTTCTTGAATCAACATGGAACCCGAAAGCGGCTGATGACTGAGCTGAGAACAACAGGAGGCGGCGGGTGTTGTTGCAAGTTCAATTGCAGCCTGCAGTTTCCCTGCAGCAGCTGGGCTTGCTCAACCCACAGTACCGGACTCTACAGTGTGAGGCCTGTCCCTTTACCAACTAACAACGGCTTCAGCAATGGTACAAACCTAAGAGTAACGCTAGAAAGGGGCTATTTTAATCCCCATGGCCATTATTAGCTATTTCTATCAAATTGAAAGCTTCATTAAATTTGAGTTCGTTACTTGGAACCCAAGAGTTAGCCCATTTACCAGTTCTCGAGGTATAAAAATTGAGAAATCGCACGGTGTGCCCTCGTCTCCCCGCAAGATTACATGCGGGAGGTTCTCCGCTTTGGGATGCAGCAGCGCGGCAACAACATCCCAGAAGTAATTACTTCCTTCCCCCGACGCCCTTCGATGTTGCGCGCACTGCAATGTCGACTTCAACACGGCCCGCCTTGATTCCAGACTGATCCCGACGTCGAATTCGAATCTGAACAATAGCACGAACGAGCGCATTATTCTCCCATACCTACTACGCCCGTGGCTTCAACACCCCACTAGCCATCACCCATCATGAGGTCCCAAAGGCGTTTTCGCGTCGTCACGTACCTGGTGCTGGCCGCTATTGTCACACTGCTATTTTTTTCACATACCCGCCAATCTAGCGAGCCCGGCTCGCGATCGCTACACGACTTTTACTCCAAGACCGTGAATGCCATGGACAAACACCACGCGGCCGGTGGCGACCGCGGCGGAACGGGTAGTGCTTCGGGCCAGAAGGTCATTGCCGACCACGACGTGGATGGGGATGGGGATATTGACGAGGATGACCGTATCCAGGCCAAGCAGATGGCCGACCGTCTCCGGAAAGCTGAGCAAGAGGCGAAGGACAACGCAAAGGCCAAGGGGCCCAATAAGCCCGAGTCGCCCGCACAGGTTGTCGGCGTCGGGAGCTCGGCAAGTGGCCAAGAAAAGCCTGCCTCGGACGACAAGAACAAGCCAAAGGCCGAGGAAACGGAAAAGGACCATGAAGTGGAGGAGGCTCTCAACTCCATCTTGAAGCAATCTCCAGGTACTTTATTCCCACTGCTGCCCCAGTTATGCGCCGGACGAATTTGGTTACTGACCTGCGCTTGTCTTAGTCATCATCTTTTCCAAGTCATACTGCCCTTTCTCCAAGATGGCCAAGGGTGTCCTCCTCGACAAATACATCATCGAGCCTACACCGTTCGTGGTTGAGCTAGACCAACATCCGCTGGGGGCGAAAATTCAAGCCAAGCTAGGAGAGATGACGGGCCGGCGTACGGTGCCTAATATCATGATCTACGGGCAGAGCATTGGCGGCGGCGATGACATCTCCGACATGGACAGGGAAAAGACTCTGGCCGACAAGATCGCCTCGCTCGGGCAATCTAAGATTAACGTGTCGCTGCGCTTTGTGCAGAGTGCCCAAAAGGCCAGCTAGGTTTGATGGCGCTAGCTCGGCTTCTTTCCCTCCCTCCCCCATTAAGGTTGCGCCCGCATTGCTCGCACAGGCTTCACATTAAGGCACCGTGTTTACGTGGGGATCGACCACCCGTGGCACGGGGCTTGGCATCTGCGAGCCCCAGCCCGACGTTTCTCACCCGAAGGAGAGTACTCGCGACTCCAAAGAGAGGAGTGTCCCTCGCGGGAGTTGGTCATGAACGAAACGATCTAAGTCCCCTAGAACCGGCGTTCTCACCCGAGATGAGCTCCTGTGGGATCCTTTGAAGGGCGCATAGCCATGGTTAGTTGGAAGGCCAGTGGACACCTCCACGGACCACGGCGGTTGCAGCAAGCTGCCATCACCGCGCTTGGCCGTTCTCCACTTGTCGGATTGCAGAAACGGATAGAAGCGTCGGGTGTGTCGGCCAACATGGTATGGGCCGCAAGACTAGTATGCGTGTCTGGGCCAAACGACAAAATTCGTTTTGTTTGGGCAAACCTGCTTTATGCGTTGGATTAAACACGGGCGCCCGCGCAAGCTTGACATGGGGGGACCTGCCCGGGAAAAGTCCAACTTGTCGCTTGCTAATACGGCTTGCTGTCGGGTGGTCGATAATAGGAGCAAGCACAGGGTTCTGTGTTCAATGTGTTCTCAAAGGAATGGTCGGGAAGCCCATAGAATTTGCCAGTGCATTATCGCTTTGCTCGACTTGCCAGTAACGGTATGTACTTACCCGAACAGCAACAAACAAGTCATTTCCCGACCAAAGCATCCTTCAGCTGTTCAAACGTCGGCTGTTCTTTGCCGGTGGGCCAATGGTCGTCGTTGATTGTTAGCAGAATATTGTGGTATGCTGCGAACACTTGTGTGGCAGGTATCGGAACAAACATGGCTGGCTTGTGTCTCGGGAAGTCCACAGTGGGAGATATATTTACTTCTGCCTTCCCCCATCTACATCCTTATTCCCCTTTCTAATTACCAAAGCCACCACGAAACCAAGACAAGCAACCCAGCAGGCCTTGCACAGTTCTGCCGAAACCTACAATGGACGACTCCTTGGAGGACCTCTGCCTCGGCATGATCGAAGAATGTAATTATGATGTGATCCAGGATATTATGCTCAAATCGGAGTCGAACATGAACCTCATCAAGTCACACGAGCAGTCCATTGCTAAGGCTAGAATCTGCCGTATCATCAAAACCGCACAGCTCCGGCCGCCCCTCGGGGCCGTCATTTCGTCCAGCGATGAGAAGCGCTCTGTTCTAGGGCCGACAAATTTGGAGGTTGTCCGGGAACTTGAACTCCGGCATGCCTTCTTCAAAAGGCTCCTCGACACCAAAAAAAGAGACACCGTCCTGATCCTCTTTTTCCCCGTCCTCACGGGCCTCTTGATGTGCGAGATGACATCGATGCTGGCAATCCTCTTCGTCATTCGCTTCGAGGAGGCTCTGCAGCTCATGGACCGCATTCTGGACTGCGCGGCCACGATCCGACACGAGTTCGCGCTTGACCCGACACCACCCTATCCGGGTTTCGACGCACGCGGGCTCGACCGAGTCATCCACAGGGCTCGCCAGAAGCTGATCGCCGCCTTGAGCCCTCTAGATCTGGCCTTCCTCTGCCTGATTCCCGACCTCGTCGACGAGACGGCCGGGCTTATCGGGGATGACACCGAGACGACTTACATCGGCGGGATCGACGGTGAGATGCTGCTCCAGAACGGCACCATGGGCGTGTACCACGCGCTGATTCCGGACGAGTCTCACACCATGGCCCTCCTGGAGGCAAGGTTCGCCGGGGCTGTCAAGGTGATGCAATGGGATACGGGTATGAAGTCGGAAGCGCCCGACTGGCCTGCCGGCCGCGCGCTGGAGCCTCTGGCGCGCGTCGTGCGCAGGACGTTTGCGGAGAAGCTACCGACTCTTCCCCAGCAGCATCTCGACGCGCTGGAAGAGGCCATAGCCGACGAAGACGTTAACGCGGGCCGGCGCGTTGCGGCCATCCCGGAATACTGGCTCATCGGTCGCTGGCTTACGACGAGGGACACAACCCTGGAAGAACGACCGCCGATCCCACAGGAGTCCTGGAAGGAGTGGTTTGACTGGGCTGCGACCCAGGACCCGTCGCTCGCGGAACCCGAGGTCTTGCCTGAGCGCGACGAACCTGACTCTGACGACGAGCTCCGGGCTTTTCTCTCGACCGCCATGGATGCATGGGATACTGAGACTTAGCATGTAATACCATCAAATAACATTGTACCATAACACATATCGCAATCCCATATCCCCAGTGAACATGACGTGATTCGGAGTTTGTAATTTATGCCTTGCTACACCCACAGTCCGAAAGGAGTGTCTCCAGCCGGAACCTCTGCGCTAGTGATGTGTGATACCTACATTGTTTAATCGTTGTTCAACATATGTTCCGGCCAGCACTACCCATCAATCCTCGTATGGCCCGCGGCACATTCTCGAAAGCTTGGGGAACTTGGAACATAATTGATGGTTAAGAACAAGGGATTTGTTCAATTCCTAGGTGGCTAAGCAACAAAGGTGGCGATGATTACCAGTGTAGTCGAGGGACGATGCCATTGTGTCACTGGCCCCGGAACAATATCTCTTGAACAAAGGACAAACAAGCAAGTATATAAGCTGCGAAGCCCCTTTTGTCCGCTCCTATTCCCCCCCATACGTCACATCAATCTATTACAAGCAAACTCCCCCTTCCTGGCAACAGAACCCGGATGAACCACAAGATTTCGAAACCGACAACAAACTACCAACTGCAGACATCATGTGCCACCGTGATATCTGCCACTACAAATGCGGGCACGCCTACGAAGGCAAGGTGCGCCGGTGCCAAAGTTACTACGAGATGCGGGCAGAAGAGACTCCCACGCTTTGCATGATCTTTCGGAGGAAGACTATGGACTGCAAAGACCTGATGAGCGTCAACCAAGACATCGCGACCGTCTGCTCGGTAACATGCGCCAAGAGGCTACTGAACACGCAGAAATCCAGAGAGAACGAGTTGCGGCAACGGGAGAAGCAGCTAAAAGAGAGGGAGATGGCTAGCGCACGGGAGTACGAGCAGAATAAGAAGGCAGAGGAGGAGGCGCTGCGGCGGCAGAGGGTGGAGAGGGTGGAAAGGGCTAGACGAGAGAGAGAAAATGGTAAGTCAACGGAGGGAGAGCAAGAGACGCGACAACAGAGGGTCGAGAGGGCACGGAAGGAGAGAGGTAAGCCGCAGCAGACCGTACCAGCTCAACACACCCCGATGCCCGAGAGAGCGGTGCACGCCGAGACGGGTCCCTACACGAGATTGCCCAGTCACCAAGTGGTCAAGCGGCCATCTCCACCACAGGGAGAGGTGCAAATCCCGCCTCGTCTTGCTGACCGGCGCATACACCCAGACTACCGCCCCAAAAGCCCACAGGCAGAGGTACAACGGGCTCCTCCTCGTCTCGCTGACCGGCGAATCCACCCACAATACCGCCCCCCAAGCCCCCCCATCCCCAATCCTGCTCCTGAAACTAACACCTGGCCTCCAGGCCGTCATACGCAGGGCGCCCCAGCCCAGCAACGAATGCCTTTCCAGCCAACCACGAGCAGGGCCGGCAACTCGATCTCACGCAGCAACGCCCGCCATCTCGGCCCCGGACAGACCGGCGCGCTTGACGACCCTCGCGTACGAGTCCAGGCTTCTCGGCAGCACGCTCAGGTAAGGTTGCCCCAAGCCCAGCAGCTCCCACCCACGCAGTCCGTTGCGCGGAGGAATCCTACCCTGGTAAGTCGTACCACTGGCATCCCCGAATCGCTCTGCGCCAGCCCGGTCACCAGCACTCCAACAACAGCCAGAGCGCCATCACCATCCCGACTCCCGCAGCCAGCAACCAAGCAGCGGCCGAAGGTCGAACCCTTCTACGCGCCACCCGTGCCACCAAAAGACACATCATGGCGACCACAGCACCCCAACATGGTCCCCGCACCCCTCACCGTGGGCACCCGAACCCCAACAAGGACCACCGGCCCACCACCAACCACCACCACCACCGCCCCCAAGCGGAAGCCAGTCTACCCAAACAACAACAACAATAGTAGTAGTAGTAGGTCATCCGCGCCAGCAGCGCAGACGCGCCCGGCCGGCCCCATCAACCCCACGCACCACATCAACCCGATGCACCAACTCAGCCCCACACACAAAGTCAACCAGACGTACCGCCCCAGCCCCATGCACCGACCCAACCCGGGACACAACAAGCCGTGCCCGGCAGTTCCGGTCCCGAACCGCCTGGTGAAGAACAACCCGGCACCGTCGTCGTCGTCGTCGGGGGGCAGGAGACTCGTCGTAACCCGCGCGGGTGCCGACAGCAGCAAGACTAGGTCGGCGCCTGCGGCAGGGGTGACACCGACGGGAGGGCCGGTTAAGAAGAAGAGCTGGCTGAAGAAATTGGTGGGCGGGGCGGGGAGCTGTGAGTCGGCGGAGTGGGTGTCGGCGGATGCGGTGAGGGTTGAGAGGGGGTCGGTGGTGGGGTTGTGAGTAGGGGATGTGGTGTGAGTGGTGGTGTGAGTGGTGGTGTGGTGCGAGGGGGGGGTTCTTTGTGGTGTTCGACTAGCTTTTTTGGGAGAACAGCGCTTGAAATGTCGCCCCCCATATATATATATTTTCTTTTTGGTTACTCCTTTTTGGATAAATTGACAATTTGATTGGAGAAGAAGAGTAAAGTGCCATTTGCATTGTGAGATTGTGACTTTGGACAAAGGAGAGATATGGTTGTTGAAGAGCTTGGCAAATAACGGAACTAACGCAACAGAGCAATGTTAGCAGAATTGTTACTGGGAACGCTTTTTTTATCCTTGGAAGTGATATTGTCGATGTGATGAGGGTGTCCTAGTGATTGAAGTCAATATGTGCGAAGATAGGGGAACCCGCGTTGATAAGAGAAAACAATCTAGGTATCACCGAAAAGCTAAAGGTTATGTTTCGGATTCGAGGTATGGGTTTGCCATTCCGCACAAGTTGCGAGCCTTTGAGGAAGGAACGCTGTGAGGTGCCTACCTCCATTACTCCTCGGGTTGTTGTTTACCTCCAAAAGGGGGTTCTTGATTTGGGGAAGAGGACGGTCAACCCCACCCTCACCGAGGTGAACCCCCTGCCAACGGACCCACCTAATTTTTGCCGGCCCCGGCTCCCAACCTCAGGTGGTCAATCCACCGAATTTTCCACGCCAGCTCACGACGCCCAGCCCATCGCGGAGCCGACACCGCAGCGCGACGGCCGAAAACCTTCCCGTCACCGATCCAATCGGACACGAACAAACAACCAGACCAACCATGAGCAGGGCATTACTGCGCTCCGTGCTGGAGCTGCGCGCTCCCGTCACGCGACTTGTCCCCTCCGCCCGCCCGACGACGATGACCACAACGACGACAAAGGCGGCAACCACAGCACTCCCTGCCGCCACAGCCCGCTTCTTCAACCAGACCGCCCAGCACGTCGAGCCGACCCCGCAACCCCTCGACCCGACCCTCGTCGGCAGCACCCCCACACCGCCCGCCCCGCCCTCACTCCAACCACACTCCCGGCGCACACCACCCTCGGCCCCCGCCCCAACCACCCCCTCCCCCATAAGCGACTCAGTCCGCACCCTCCTCCCCGCCCTCGCCGCCCAGCCGGGGCACTACATCACCGTCCAAATTCACGGGCGCCCCTACCTGGTGACGGCGGGCGACAGCGTGCGGCTGCCCTTCAAGATGCCGGGGGTGGAGCCGGGGGCGGTGCTGCGGCTGAACCGGGCGACGGCGGTGGGCAGCCGGGACTTCACGCTGCGGGGCGCGCCCTTCGTGGACGAGCGGCTGTTCGAGTGCCGAGCGGTGGTGACAGGGACCGAGGCGGAGCCGATGCGCACCATGGTGAAGAAGAAGCGGCGGTGCCGGCGGTCGAAGCGGGTTACCAGCAAGCATCGGTTTACGATGTTGAGGATTAGCGAGCTGAAGATTCGGCCGGAGGTGGTGGAGGAGGAGAGTTGAGGGTGGGGATGGGGATGGAAGAGGACGGCAGGGTGGTGGGTTGCAGTGACAGGGAAAACGACTCGTCACAGGTCGTGGTCGATGTTGTAAGATGAGGAGGAGCTGTTATAGACATGTATCATATTTGATGTCATTGTACAGGAACCTTCAGCACCCTGACTACATGGCTTCATCGTGACTGAAACGTTGCGTAAAGCTCAGCTCCCTATTCAACCCTTCCGCTAGTCAATGGCTACATGCTGTGAACAAATGATTCGAGATCTCTTGCTCCGGGGGGCTTCAAAACGTTTAACCAAGAGTGTATTTGGCAGGTAGGCCAAATGGTAACATCAAAAGGACTGCAACGATGCCCTCCCACCATAACCATAACTCGCAGGCCCATTGATTGCCCCGGGTTAAAGAATAAGACGCCACAGCACGGAGATCCAACATTATCAACAAGCTTAGAAGTGATGACAGTGGTGGAAATTAAGATCCTCTTTTCCTGAGAAAGAAACAAACTCTAACTTCGCAAGCTCCGGGTCATTAAACAATAACTATGCCTTGCGGCGGCAGCCCCGTCACCACGAAAGCCCCTCCAGTGTCCAAAACAGAACCTCAGTTTCGCAAACCAAACTCGCCAAAACTCCAAGCTTACAGGCCCCCAAATCTCTAGAAGACAACAAAAAAACAAGGTCCCTTTCCAGCCCCGGGTATAGGAATGCGACAATGTGGGGTCTTCAAATCATGACATCTTCCGTCTCGCCTTCTCTTTGATACAGAAACCAACAACTCCGATCTTCCAACAGCTATACACACATGTGTTTGTGTTTCTTCAGTTGTCATGGCTGGTCTCCAGTAGCAGCCGGAGATCCGCTCAACCCATTGCGCATAGCCAACGACTTTTTGCAACTAGCCCAATACGCCGTTGGCCACAGCTGCAAGACTTCATTGTTGACCGCATCGCCGCGGCGGACACGCTGCGCAACATCCCAGACCACGTCCCGCAGCAGCTCGGGCGTGATGGGGATGACCTTGCCGTGGTCGGCGGCGGTAAAGATATCGTTCGATAGCTCCATCGGATAGAGGAACGGATCCGTCGGGGAAAGCAGTTCTTCACACGACGGCCGCTGTGTCTGGTCGCGGTTCAGACACCGTTTCAGGGTGCGGACGAGACTCGGCGGCACGCGCACACCGTGTTCCGTGTGTTCGGGGAACTCGATCGGATGAGCCCAATCCTTGATCGCGTTCACTCGAGCCATCATGTTGACAATTTTGGCAAACGGGCACTGCCCGTAGACCATCTGGTAGAGGATGCAGCCCAAACTCCAGACATCGCTGGCTTTGCCGAGCTTGAAGTGTTTCGGCCGGTGCGATGATGGGGCGTTGAATTGGCCCTTGTAGGCTGAGGTGAGGGCATACTCCTTGGAATCCATCAGTGACTCGGGGGACATGTAGTTTGGCGTGCCGATCTGTGCGTCGCGGTGCACGTTGACCGTCATGTCAGTTTGGATGGCGTTAGCGATGCCAAAGTCGATGACCTTTAATCGGCCTTGGGCGAGGACGAAGTTGGCGGGTTTCAAATCGGTGTGGATGATGTCCTTCTCGTGCACGGCCTGCACGCACTCGACCATCTCCTTCCACCAGTATCGTACAAAAACGGGGTCGAATCGACAGTCCTCCGACAGGCGGCTCCGAAGAAATGTGTTGAAGTCGAGCTCACCAGCTTCCAAGACCTGGACTAGAGTTAGCGAGTGCATTTGTTAAATAGAATCCCAAGGCTAACTGACCAGACTAAGCATTTTCTTTTCGGCATTAAATTCATGGTCAATGAGCTGGGCAACGCGGTTGACTCCAGTTAACCGTTGCAACAGGTCGATCTCGCCGTGGTACCCCTTGATGGTTCTGTCGTCCAGGTTCTCGAGCGACACGCGCTTCAGTGCAAGAAGCTTCCCGTTTTCGGCCGAGACGCGGTAGACCTTACCGGACCCGCCCCGACCAAGGGAGTCGATTCTCGTGTAAGTCTTTCCGTTGACACGAAGCAAGAACTGCCGTTTCTTGTTCGACTGCACAGCTGTGGAGGCGCCAGCTGCAGCAGTGGCTGTCTCGACGACTGACATCTTTGGCGGCGGAGGCGGTGCGGGTCTCTGCGCGACGTTATGTGACCGTGCGGCGAGGATGTGGTCGTTTGGCGCGACAAAAGCTTTTTGATGGGATTCGACAGCCGCTGGGTTGATGGGCGCCATTGCGCGCGAAGCTCTCTCGCTCGAGGCCGAGGGAGGAGGATTGGGTGCCCGAAGAGAGCTGGGGACCGCAGGTACTATTTCAGCCGGAGGTTCGTTCTCCTTGTCATGATTGATAGGTTCGTGAGCTGGTGATGTTGGAATTCGGTAGGCGAGCGGCATGTGATGATGTTCCGATTTTCTCTGACTGACGGGCGTAATGAAGGTGGATTTATGCCTGCGAAGCGCGGCCCGAGCAGAGTCTCGCGCGGAGTCTCTGGCGCTGACAGGGCTACCAGAGGCGGCAAAATCAGCATAGTCAGAGGCGGGGACTGGAGCATCTTCTCGCTGCCTTGATCCAACCTGCTGACTCCCGGGTTCCTGGCCAGAGCCAAACGCATCCGGCTCGAACTGGTCCTCGCCATCTTCCTCGCTCTGCCTTCGGCGGCCACGGCGGGCAGGGCCAGAGAGGAAGCTCCCTGGGGTTTTTCCGACTCTTTTCACTCTCAACGAAGCCTGGGGAGCCACAGCGGAGGGTGCAGAAGGGGCCCCGGAAGCATTTCGGCCCTCGCCCTCAGCAGATCGCGCGGAGTACTTGGGATGTGTATCAGACGATCCCCCGGATGCTGGTTTCTGACCCGAGGACCCAACGGCTATCCTGACCGTCCTCACCGGCAGGACTGGGGTCTTGGCGGACCTCTCTTGGGGTCCAAGAGGCGAAGAAGCGGTCTTTCCTCTGTGGCCCTCGGCGCTATCCGGCCGTTTCCCTCGGGTGGACGACGAGAATGAATTCCGGAGACTATTCCGGCGACTTCCATTTGCTCCGTTGGCCGAACTCGGAGCGTTGAGGCGGACAACGCGTTTCCTCGGGGCGGGGCTGTTATCCCGGCTGCCGACCGGAGATGGCTGTTTGGGAGAAAGGTTGCTTTCCCTTCGTGACTGGCGAGTCACACGGGTGCCTTGCACTGGAGACCCCTGGTCCCTAGATGCGACCTGAGAAAGCGCGGGGATAGAGCTCCTTCTCAAAGCATTCCGTGACTGGGGTCGGCTGGGCGGTGTTGGAGGCCTTGAGGGAGGTGCATTGTCGGTCTCTTGAGACCGCTTCCACGAGGACCCCTGGCCCACCGTGCTTGCCCGGGCCGGAGTTGGGATTGACGAACGGCGCGCGGTAGGTGCGGGGGCATTGGTAGATGACCCATCGGAAGCGTTGCTGCCGCCGAGTAATGCTTTGGTGATGGCGCTCAGCTTCATAGGACTGAGGACTTCATCGTCAGAGCTGTCATGCAGATTTCGGTATTGCGAAGGCTGGCTGCGTTGGGCCAATCTCGTCGATGTCCTCCTGCCCATCGGGGCGTAGCGGGCACCTCTTTCCGCAGGTGTTGGCGACATGGTGAGGTTCAATTGGGGCGTTGAATGACAAGTCGTGGCGCGTTGCTTTCCACGCGTCGGAAGCTCCTTCCTCAGCGCGGATAAAGCAGAAGCGAGATTGCCGAAGCAGGGTAAGCAAAAGAACAGCCAGTCGGTGCAAAAACAAGATCAAAGCAAGAAGCAATTGGTGTAGTCTCGATCGCGGGGACCGAATGCTAAAGCTTGCGCATACGTTTGCATGGATGGTGTTTTGGAGAGGAAGCTTCCGTTGAGGGGAGCTTTGCGAGATAAACAGCGGGAGGACCCGCCATCGTCGAATTTGCTCCAATTGCTGGTGTGGGCCGCCGTTGAATGCCGAAGAGCTGCAAGGGACGCGTTGACCGGGCAACGAGCCAATAGAATTGGTTGCAGCTTCAACCAGCGAAAAACCGCGTCGGTCGCGTTGCATTCATGCAGAGACGACTTGGCATTTTAGTCGAGAGCAATTTACCATTTCATGCACCAGGTGCTTACCAAGGGACTACCTAAATTATTCGTCCTAGTGGAGGGTGCTGCACGAGTCATTCTAATCGGTGGGGAATGGCATCCGAGGATCTCAGATAGCTGAGCGGAAGAGGGCAACAGCTTCGCATCGCTGGGTGATACAGCGGTTCAAGACACCAAAACGTGGCGGGGCACATGGAGCTGGTGGCCCATTTTACAGTTCGCAGGGCAAACTTCACGCAACCCAAACACCTGGGGCACAGTATATCCGAAGCGACCTCCGCACTTTATTGCTAAGTTCGTACTTATGGTACTCCGCGCTGGCGGCAGCATGGGCTTGGATATTCCACAAGTCCAACACCACGACCCACACAACGGTGACGCGAGAAATTCCGCGAGTATGCGCATGCATGGTTGGGCTGCTTCGGAAATAACCACATGATCGATTTTCTTGCGATTGTGGCGAGGTGCTTAGTCGAAGAGACCGAAGCCCATGTCGTCATCGGACTCCTCCTTCTCTGTGGGAAGGTTAGTACAGCGCAAAGATCATGCCGCTTGTGGAGATACGCACCCTCTTCCTTGGCCTCCTCCTTGGGAGCCTCCTCAGCGGCACCGCCAGCAGCGGCGCCACCAGCGGCGGCAGCACCACCACCACCGCCCGACGGGACGGAGGCGAGCTTGGAAGAGCCCTCAGAAATCAACTGCATCAAGTCGTGTCAACAAATTGTGGTTCGTTTTGCATTCGATAGCGGGGAATTCTGCGCACCTCGTTGATGTCCTTGCCATCGAGCTCGGACAGGAGCTTCTCAAGGCGCTCGTCGTCAGCCTCAATACCGACAGACTCGAGGACGGCCTTGACATCGGCGGCCGAGGGGGAGGCGTTGCCGCCGAGGCCGAGCAGGAGGTAAGCGGCGAGGTGCTTCATTTTGGATGATCTGCTACCAGTCAGTATTGGCCTGCATCTCGGCGGGCGTTGCCCCTCGATTCGTTTGGTTGCACAGGTTGTGCAGGCATAAGAAACTCACTTGTGAGGTTGTTGGAGAACAAGAGATGCCAATCAATTTTAACCGCAAGTTGGGCGGAGAAAGACTCTTCTTAGTTCTAGTCGTGATATCGGGTTGCTGAGAAAGTTCGAGGGGCCGATTTATTTTCCAATTCTGCAATTGTGAGCCCGCAATTTTCGGGCCCACATCTCACATGACCCATCAATAGGGCAGATGTTCAGCTGACGTAATGCTCTCAAAAAGCTGTTCTTCAGAGCGGGGCTGCAGGAGCTTCATGCAGCCCATCAGTCAATCTGGCCAACTCCCGGAATCGGTCGCACGTGCCTCCGAGCTTGACATCGGCTGAACCCGCACCCTGGTGCACCAGGCGCCTGGCTGATTTTATGTGGGTCCTTTGGCGCCCCCTCCAAGTTAAAAGGCGGCTGCTGGCCAACGTTGGAAGGCTTGGGGCGCCCATCAAGCACGCAAACTTCTTTGTTCTCTTCCAACAAACGCCGCTCCGACATCTCCGCCCTCCCCGGAAATCCTTGCAGAATTTTCCTCGATTTTTTCCACAGCACCACGATCAACAACAGTCCCCCGAAATTCCAGTTCAGTGGAGACTTTTGATACACTTGCGACAAGCTCGCAAGCTAATTTTGCTGGTTCTCAATGCCTTGGCGGAAATACTTCGTGTGAGGCTGGGGAGGGTCTACGCAAATCGTAGTAATTAGGTTCCGTCGCCACGGCGCATCCGTCACGATGCCGGTAAGCGCAGATGCATCTTGGCTTGTCGTGTGACCGATGCTGACCGATGTCTCGTTAGATTCTCGACTTGATTGCGTCCATCACGGGCGAGAAACCGTCAGCGCCTTCGACCCCGGCATCTCGCCCGAGCACGGCGTTGCCAAAGCGAAAGGCGGAGGATGATATTCGGCCGGCAGGGGCCAAGGTGGCCCGCGTTGATTCGCTATCAGAGAGGTCCTCGAGGCCGAACGGCAATTCGCCAAGGCCATCGCCTCGCCCTGCGGATCGGGTGCCTGGCGGTGCCAGCGACAAGCCAATCTCGAAGCCACGACCTGCCTCGGACAAGAGGACGTCGAATGACAAGCCCAGTGCGTCCCAAGCTCGGGCTGGCAGTGCTGGGACGAGACCTGCAAATGGCAACAAACCATTGCCTTCTCGACCGGCACCCAGCCGGCCGAGCCCCACGGACTCTGGTCCGCCGAAAAAGCGGTCCTATGCTGAGATCATGGCACGGGCAAAGGCCAACTCGGAGCACAGGGAGTCTCTTGGAAAGATCCAGCACAAGACGGTGGAGCGGAACATGACCATGAAAGAGCGTAAGGAAATGAAGGTGGAAGACGCCAAAAAGGCGAAGACAGGTACGAGGAAATCGACGACTGGCCGGACGGGCCCTGCCAGCGCGTCTTTCCGTGACGCCGCAAAGCCCTCTGGCACGCGGAACAGCCTGCCACCCGGATCGACAAATCCCAAGAAGGGGGGACCCGTTGAAGAGAAGAAGGTCAAGAAGGCCGCCTTGGCGACGACGGGGTACACCGGTACTGCACGGCCGCGTCCCGGCTCGTCGACCGTGACCAAGTCCGGCGCCACGAGCCGCCCGAGCTCCGAAAGCCGGCCTCGTGAACGACCTCGATACGGCGGCCCGCTCTCGTCCTCGCGGAGGGATCGCGAGGAAGAGGAGGAGATGGACGACTTCATCGTCGATGATGAGGACGAGGACGAAGCGCCCGGCTATAATAACACCGGCCGGCAGTATCGGTACGACTCGTACGAAGAGGAGTCGGATATGGAGGCTGGCATTTCCGACATCGAGGACGAAGAACAAGTGGCCGACCGCCAGGCCCGGCGGGAGGATTTCGAGCAAGAGGCTCTGGAGAAGCGGCTAAAGCGAGAGAAGGAGGAACGGAGGCGCAGGTTCCTCGACGCCACCAGGTCCAAGGCTGGTCGCTAATCGTGTCGATGGTGGCACCCGGATCCGGAGCTGGCTGGCGGGATGCATGGAGTGGGCGGTGCAAGCAACAGAGTGGCAAGGTGCATTCTATCTTCTGCTGGGTGATGGTGTTTTCTGGGAACTACTGAAGGTTTTGGCGTTAATATTACTAGAGGGGCAAGCATCGACATTTCGCATCAGCATCAGGAGTCCATAGGCGGGTGGCGGGTTGGTGCCAGCCATATTAAGCAAGCGTTTGTATTCAAATGTATTCATTTAGTTTGTAAATCGCATCCCATACAAGTAGCAGTCGTTTCCAAGTCTCCGAGTTCCTTTTGGCGATGCGTGTGGTGTTCGTTGAGAGTGACTTTTTTCTCGGTAATCTTTAACTCCTGTTGACCACTCGGCGGGCTTTCCACACCGGCCGGACGGCTTACACGGACGGACCTCATCGGGTTCCTTGTCTCGGTAGCTCCCGTCTCCCCACTTGCCGTCTGACTGCCCGTCCGTCGTGGCCACGAGCGTGTGTGGGGTTGAACTTGTGGTGGTCGGAGAGTTTTTGAGAGCGAGTTCGGCAGCCAATAGGTGCTGCGACAGCCTGCCTTTTGCCCCACCACGAACCTGCCACTTGCAATCCGATAAGCCTCTCGATTTTTTTATCGGCCAACGTCCGGAGATCGCGTGGCTGAATCGAAACCCCCCCCCCCCAATTCCCAGAGGTCTTTGGTATTCCCAGCGAATAGGGTCTCCCGAGCTCAATTGTAGTCCATCTCTAAAGCTCCCAGTCCCTTCCGAGGGCACCCGCCGCCATCATGGTCAGTAGCCCATCCTCTCTCAAATGCGTTCCTGGAAGATGATGGGTCTCGCTAACCGCATGTCTTGCACCGACTATAGCCCCAGAACGAGTACATCGGTATGCTCCCCTTCCCAAGCCGACGGCGTCGACCTACACCGCCCTCCTCCCTCACGCATCCCGGCCTAGCACGAACCCCCCACTAACCAGACCTACCCAACCGGCAGAGCGACACCGCAAGCTCCACGGCAAGCGTCTGGACCACGACGAGCGGGCGCGCAAGAAGGCGGCGCGCGAGGGCCACAAGCAGAGCGAGAATGCGCAGAACCTGCGGGGCCTGCGGGCCAAGCTGTACGCCAAGCAGCGGCACGCGCAAAAGATCCAGATGCGCAAGGCCATCAAGCAGCACGAGGAGCGCAACGTCAAGGGCGCCCCCGCCGAGAAGGAGCCCGCCGAGGCCATCCCCGCCTACCTGCTCGACCGCGCCAACCCGACCACGGCCAAGGCGCTGAGCTCCCAGATCAAGAACAAGCGCGCCGAGAAGGCCGCCCGCTTCTCCGTGCCCATCCCCAAGGTCCGGGGTATCAGCGAGGAGGAGCTGTTCAAGGTGTACGTGCTGGCTGGGTTTGGGGTGTGATAGGGGAGACCTGGGCACCTGGGCTGACGGTAGTATAGTGTCAAGACGGGCCAGAAGGTTCAAAAAAAGGGTATGTTTCTCTTGGGGGCGTGAGTTTGCTGGTCCTTGTGCTAACCATTCATACGACAGGGTGGAAGCGTGTTGTCACAAAGGTTGGCTTGATCGATCGACGAAAAGACGGAAGACTTGATGCTGACCTATGTTCCAGCCTACGTTCGTCGGGCCCGACTTCACCAGACGGCCGGTCAAATACGAACGTGAGTTTTGGCTACCAAACAACGCCTCCAAGTAGCAGAAAGACTGACAGCATCTAGGCTTCATTCGGCCCATGGGTCTGCGTTACAAAAAGGCCAACGTTACACACCCGACCCTCAACGTCACAGTTCAGCTCCCCATCCTTGGTGTCAAGAAGAACCCGAGCAACCCACTGTGAGTTATACACTGGCAACTCTATGCCGGATTATAGCTAAATTGTTCTAGTTATACGCAACTCGGAGTATTGACCAAGGGAACCATGTATGTCCTTCCACCCTTCAGCCCTGAATGAGCGTTTACTGACCAAGGCGCAGCATCGAGGTCAACGTTTCCGATCTGGGTATCGTCACAGCTTCCGGGAAGGTGGCGTGGGGTCGTTACGCACAGATCACGAACAACCCCGAGGTAAGCTCCCCTCCTCTTTTTTTACTTGGACATAACCTGACTCGGCTTGCTAGAACGATGGCTGCTTGAACGCGGTTCTTTTGGTGTAAGGATTGTGTTTGATGCTGAGTATCTCTGGGTGGGCCTACAAAACTACAAACGTTGGCATGGGAACGGCGTCTGGTGTTGGAGATGGTTGAGGTGATCTTATATAAATGTATTGCTTTTGGGACCTCTTCTGCATTCTGCGGGCGGGTTTGACTCGGTTGCCCTGCCGTGATGTGCTTTCGTTCATCTCGTCTGTGGAATCACGCTAGAGTGGCAGGAACAAGAGACCAACTGGTGGTGTTCGCAGTCAGCTACAAATGGCTAATGTTGACTAGCCACCAACGCTTCGTCAAACGATCGAGAAGGATCTAACTATCGTCAATCGTATTACTCTCGCACCTAGATGAAAGAACGCCTGGTTCGGCAAGCCCCTTGCTGTTCCGTTGACAAACGAAATTTGGTCGTCCAGACCCCGTTCCCTGACGCCTAAAGATGAGTGTCGCTGCCGACTGGTTCAGAGCGGACACGGCTCCAAGCAAATGACCAGCCCAACGCCGCCTATGCAAATATGAAGGAACAAAAAAAACGCTGTGAGACGAAGAACGGAGATGGCCATCCCGAATCTGGTATCAAACCCACTACCCCCTGGTCACATGGCGCACTCGCCATGATTTCCATATGGTGCTCGTCCGCAGCGATAGCAGAAGTGACACCCGCAGAAGCAGCTATTTCGGTCAGCCATGACAACTTCACGATACCCGGAATGCCCAAGGGGGTGGCTCACAGGATATGGTTACACCCCATCGTCTTTTCCACCCACCGCTTGCACACGGGACAGCGTTTCCTAGGCCTCAGTCAGCACTTTGCATAACTAACCCCCTTCTTATCTAACAGACAGAGAGAGCGAGAGAGAGCGAGAGAAAGAACCCGCAAAAGAAGAAGAAGAAGAAAAATCAGCACACATACCAACCCATCTCCCTCACCACCTTCCGAAACCCCGCCTCCGCCATCTCCTCCCTCCTCCCCGCCCTCCCCATCATCCCATCCTTCCCAGCCGCAGCCACCCCATCGCACACCCCCATCCCCACATGCGCCCTGCCCCCACAGCGCACGCACGTCCGCCCATGACACCCCCTGCATCTCCCCACCCGCCCATCCCGCAGCACCGCCGGAATAAACCTCCCACAGCGCGGCTCCGCACAATACAACTTATCCGCGGCATCATGCTCGGCCAGGCGCGCGCGGTAGGCGGCGGCGTCGGCGGAGCGCAGGCCCAGGTGGGCGCGGAGTTCGCGCAGGGGGAGGCGTGCGCCCGGGCAGCATTGGACGGGGCGGAAGGGCCCGCTGATGCCGCCCGGGGTGCTGCTGAGGGTGAAGTTGCGGCGGAGACAGGGCAGGCAGTGCATGTGGCCGCAGGGGAAGGTTGGGGGTTGGCGTTGGGGGGGGAGGGGGGTGGTGCAGATTGTGCAGGTCCAGGTGTCGTCTTCCATGGTGGGGGGTGCGTGGATTCGTGGATGCTGGTGGTGGGGGGTTGGTTGTGTGCGTGTTTGTGTGTGTGTGTGTGTGTGTGTGTGTGTCGGTTGGGGGTGTGTGGATGGTGGTATGGTGATATGGGGTTGTTTAAAGGGGTTGGAGGAATACGATGGTGGTATCTTAGTAGCGGTTTGTGGGGATTTGGGGAAGACGGTAATTATTTGGTCTGAGACCTGAGGGCTTACAACATGGGTAGAGATGCGTTGGCAGAACATGGGGTTTATGGGGGCGAGGGTAACTAGGTAGAATCGGGTCGAGAGATGCGAGAAGATGAGCGGCCCGGGCATGAGTGGAAGATGTCATCATCGGCTAGGCCTGTGAAACTGGCCGCGAACAGACACGGAAGCGAAACAATTCTCCATGTTATTATGATGATGACACTTGTGGTTCAACGCTGCACTCGAGCAGTGGTTCGGCCGATGATGGTTGCCCAAAAGACATGTCATTCGTTGGGCAGCTTTACACGCCAGTGACGACACAGGGCGGGGCGTGGTTCGCAGGCCCATGTGCTCGGACACTTGGAGGCTTTCGGAGGGCGGATTGATGATGATGCGTTGACCAAGTCACCAAGTGCCACGCTATTTAGCGGCATGTCGTGAATTATGCCGAGCACTTTGTTTTGTTTTGTTGCAGGTAGAAACAGGCACCCTCCAGGCACACCCGCGACTGCAGGCAGCCAAGGGGCCGTCGGGCACCGCATGCAGGGCTCCCGGATTATTTGCAAGAATCGAACCATGGAATGATAGGAAGATTGCAATACGGGAATAATGGAGTCGTAGAAAGTTGCCTAGGTGGAATAGAATACCATATGAGTCAAGTCGGAAACCAAAAGACGAGTTGTTCTGGTTTTAGTATGCGCTTTCGTAGCAAGGAGACGGGAAGAGAAATGTAATTATTGGTTCAATTACGATCATCTCTACAAAGGATATAGCATTAACGAATTAAAATACTTATAGGTAGGTAGTTGATACTTGAGTCGTAGCTTAGGGAGGTAAAGTACCGTAGTGTAAGCTCACGTTGTTAAGGACTAGGCAATGGATATAAACCGCAAAGGAGCATTTATCATTTTAAACTAGAGGGTACTATGTAAGAAATAAATATCTTCAGGTAAGTAAAATAGATACTAAAGTACATCTATAAATAAAGGCAACACTCCAGGAAGCACTACTGAAGTCCACACCACATAGGTAACCACATCGATAAGATTTAGCATAGGGGCTCAAAAAAGAGATCTAAGTCGTAAAAGCAAAAGCTCACCGGCTAGCTCCCTTTGTGGTCGAGAGAAGGTAACCGGTTACGAAACCCCGTGGCGGTTTACTTCGTGGCGCAGCCCCGTCATGCCCCGTCGGGCCGATGCGGACTGCTCGTTTCTGAGGGGGAGGTACCAGCGTCCCAGCGCCTCCTTAAAGGAACCCAGGGCAGCCTCATGATTCGGACCTAGGGCCTTTCCGTTAGGATTAGGTTTGCCATATATGGCGAACTAGCTGTCCGTGGGCCGAGAACCACCGCCAGTAACCGCTTGGCTACCCGGTCCGTAGTCCTCGTTGGAAATCGACGGCGCGACCCTTCCCTTTGTCAGTCCTTTCAGGCATCGGGACGCACTGTAGGCCAACCCGACTTGAGGTTGTTCACCAAACAATTTCCTCTGGTTTATCCTGCGCTGTATTCATGCCGACGACCGGTGTTAAGCAACGCTGTCTCAACAACTTCCCCAACGCAACGGGCATGCTCCCCAACCACCCTGCCTGATCTAATGCCAACCCATGCCTTTATGTAGGTGAGTATATACATAACATGCACCCGCCAGCGGCCCGTCCCCCCTCATATCCAAACCAGCAACCGAGTCAAACGCTCAAAAAAAAAAAAAGAAAACACAACGAGATCTGACCCCCCCAAACGCCGGCAAATGACCACCACCACAACCACCCACCCCCACCAACCACCGCATCACATCACTCATTATGCCAAACCAACGTCCTCAACCCCTCCCACCTCTCCGAATCGCTATAAATATACGTCATACTACTCCTCAAACTCGACTGCAGCTCGGCCGGATGCCACTTGAACAGATGCATGACCGCCGCCCACGACACGCTCGCAAACAGCGGCCAGGCCGCTTTCGAGAGCGCCGCGCTGGGGCCCGGCTCCGACACCCCCGGCAGCCCGACGCCCGGTTTCACGGAGAGCCGGGCCAGGGCGAGCACCACGCGCGCGAACACGTAGATGACGATTTGTTGGTTGACGCTGGGGATCTTGCCGGAGCGCTTGGAGCGCTGGCCGAAGACGACGTACCCGCCGAGAAGGCCCGCGAGGAAGCTGTCGTAGGGGCCTGGAGATCAGGGAAATGGGGTGGTTAGTTTTGGGGGTTGGGTGAAGGAAAAAGGGGGGGGTGGGGGGTGGCTTGCCTTCCTTGCCCGGCGTCGCGCCGTAGTGCTTGAGCAGTAGGCAGGTTGTCTTGTAGATGGTGGCGAAGGTCGCGAGGTTGCGGGCGTGGGCGCGTGTCGCGCGGAAGATGAGCCATGCCTTTTCGCGGAGGCTAGACAGGGTGGGGGTCAGCTTTTGCTGTTCGGTAAGGAGGGTTGGGCAGAGTCGCGGGTGGGGATCGGACGTACGTTCCGGAGCGGAAGAGCACCATCATGCTATATTTTTCGCGTCAGCCTTGTCGGCGCTCATGGATCGGGTATTGTGCCTCCTCGTACACGAGCGCATGCGGAAACCGCACTTTGGTGCCGTAGACGGCGCCATTGCGCGCGCCCTTGACGACGGCGAGTAGGTCGTGGTATTTCGGGTCGAGGACGATGCGCTCGGCGGCAGCCTGGGTTTCCCGCGCGGTCAGAAAGTGTTCCTCCTCGACAGCCTCCCTCCAAATCGCACCTTGAGGCTCTCCAGCGCGGCCGACATGGTGCCTCGGCAATTCGGGGACGCGGGCGGATCGCGGATGGTGGGCGCGCGACGGGATCGGGTCGGTGCACTGCGCGCGACGGAGGTCAAACTGCGGATTCTACCGCATCGGGGTATGCGTCGGGGATCGGAGGTCTTCTAGGGGCCTGGGTAGGGGATATCGGATACGGGATTGTTGTTAAAAGTTGGAGCGAGGTCGATAGGGGAGATGCTCGGCTACGACTTGTGGAAGCCGTGGAGACGGCACTTGTCGGCTCAAACCCCTGTCGCAGGGGGGAATCGGCGGGCTGGGCACGCTGGGGTTGCAAGGTCCCCGCGGGGAATGACGCAGGGGTGTGTTGCAGGTCGAGGCATTTGCATGTGAAAACGCCATTTTCCCCTCCATCTCTCCTCCTCCTCACCCTAACCCTTTACATCCCGTAAGCTACCGACTGTGTACTGACCTGCTGATGAGAATATGATGAGACTGGCTGCCAAGTAGAGGTTTATGCTAGGTAGTGGGAGATACCAATGGAACTATCCTCTTTTCCTTTCTTCTTCCGCAGTTGTCAGGTTATGGATGTTGGATGATATTTCTTAATGCCACTTCATTTTTCCAAGTACGTGACTGCGTGGAACTACTTCAATTTTATCAACATACTTCATAGTTCGTACCAGCCTGCCTAGGTAGGTTGTATTCCTTGATCACGTCACGGCCGGTGGACATTGACAGGATGACCAGCATCCCTCTCTGCTTTCGCATCCTTCCCCCTCCCTTCAACCACCTTTAAATCCGTTTCCAATATCACAAGGCCCTTAAGGTCTCGTAGATCGGCCTCTGCTAGCATGCGTTCGCCCTGAATCTCGGGCATCTCGGGCATCTCGGGGATCGCGGGCATCGCGGGCATCCGACCTTCGGGTGGTATCACGAGGAGCCGATCTTCGGGCGCTTTCACGAGGAACAGATGTTCGGCTCGTGGCCTGGCGGCTATCTGTCGTCATTCGACCCCCATCGCCGCGGGAATGGTGGCCTACGGCAGCCTGACGACGTGGAGGTTCGACGGGAGCTGCATGGCGCGTTCTGCTTTTGCTCCTGCTCCTGCTCCCGTCGCCTACGCTGAGCCCTAGCATGCTGCCCGCGAGCCTGGAGAGTTGATGGTCCTCTCTGCCCCTGGAACTATCGCTCCGCCGTGAAGCGTGTGTGCGACTGCTGTTATCGTGACCGCGAGAGTAGTGTTGTGTCGAAGAACTCGGAGCGCTCCAGCTGTCTTGATACGCTGGGCTGGCATAATATTGGTCCTCGGTGGTCTCGCTCTCCCAGGTCGTGGTGTGTGTGGAGGGGGCTGGGGGCGGCGGGGGTTCATTGGCATCCATCTGGTCGAGATCTAGGGCTGTATATCCTCTGCCGAGGATCTTGATACCCAGCAGGTCAGCGACATCCGTGCAACTCGGGTTCTTTTTCCTCCTGTCATCACAGGGGTTGGACTTCCCAACATCCCCACCAGCTCCCCTTTTCCCATAAACGACCATGCGGGGTTCCTCATAGCGATCGCTGTAAAAGCTCCCGAACTGACGGTTGCAAATATATTCGACACTGTCCTCGGAATGATATTTCTCTTTGAACCCTCCCTGGAGGGGTTGTGAGTATGCCGCTGCATGCCAGTTCGGGGCCTCCGTTTGCCCTTGGCTCTTCATGTGATTTTTCCACATGCCCCTGGGAATTGTGCTCTGGAAAACTGTCCAGCGGTTACTACCCCGTTGGTAACAGAGTGTCGCAATCAAACAGCTCTCTGACCCAGGTCGCGTGTTGGGCCGCGTCTATTTCGCGGACGTCATTAGTCATTCGGCGCCACTCGGGTTCACCAGAGGCAGACATGTCGCCTGATGTCTTGGTCCGAGACGACTTGGCGGGTAAGCGCAGATGAGATGACCACGGTCAGCAACTGAGAGGAACGATGAGAAGGCGTGGGTTCTCGTCTAGGGAGCGTTCGTCCGGCGAGCGCGTGGTTTAACGATTGCCTCGGCGAAGGGAGTGAGCGGATGGATGGGCTGACTTGGCTTCGGATCGATCGCTGGGTATACTTCTCGACCGGCGAGAAACAAGTAAGGAAGTTTGAACAGAAGATGAGAGGGAGGTGGTTGAGTCGAGGCATGGAAGAGGCGTTCCATCACGGCCCTATATGTGTTTCTGAGGTGCGTTCCCGTTCTCGTCCATTTTCTCTTGAGCCGGGCAAAAGTTCCAATGAGTTGGCTGCAGAAAGCGGCTTCTCACGGCCTCAGACAGCTAGGGCTTTTGTTGAAGCTCTTCGCGTTTGGGGGGTGGGTATCGGCGTCATGTTCACCTGTTCTGCCGTCGACGACGGCCTGGTCCCTTGGACTTGGTATTCTTTAAACAGAATATAGCCGGGCCATCCCTCGGCCCTCTGACCACCGTCCAGCCATCGAGTCCCAAATTGGTCACCAGTCGGGCCACCGGGGCCTGTCTCACCTTGATTCCTATGTCAACGGATGGAGCACAGAGACGACGGCGATGGCGACTCGAGGCGGAAGAGCGCGCAGGTGAGTGGTTCCACCTAACACCCACCTGGTTGGAAGATGGGATGGAGGATCATAGGCCATGAACCATACTTAGGTTAATAGCGGACCTTGTCGATCCTGACGGCCCACGCTGTGCCTTTTCGACCCATCCTTCGGCTGGGAACGTACAGTAGCATAACACGGCTCAACTCCCAAATCGTCCCGATGATGGAGATTTGCTCAGACCTGGAGCATGTTGCATAACCCTGCTTCTCGAGTTATTATCCGGGTGCCTGTTTTGTTGATTGCGTTGGCCGGGCAGTTTAATTAAGGCCTGGTATTTTGTATTATTTTATTGGTGTTGCGATGGCGATTCTTTGCCACTCTTCCTCGATCCTAGAATTCCGACAGTTGAAACTTGGGGGCCGTAGGATCAAAGTTCTTATGAAAAGCCAAAAAAAAAAAGAGACATTGGACGACAGCCCCTGACTGGTAGGTGGATGCATTCAACCATGACTGTGCCGCGTCTAAAAGCTCGGCGTGCCCTCGTGTTAGCAGCACCTGGTGGCACCTTCTCCAAGTTGAACTCTTCGACGGGCGCGTCTATCGCTACTTCGGTTTGGCGTCATAGAATTGCCCTTTGTGCATACAAGTACGAAGTATCATGTGTAAGGCGGGCCGGCGTGGCACCAAGCGTATGACCCGTCTGACCCGTCTGACCCGTCTGACGCGTCCGCTACATGCCGGTCTTGGGTCGCCCCCCAACGGTTACTGCCGCCGTTGCTACGCGCTACGCCGCCTTTTTGCTTACGTGCGTGTAAGTGCCGGACCTGCGCCGTTCCTCGTCGGCCGCACCCCGTATGATGAAATAGTTGGTCTTTTTCTCTGCTTGCCCTTGGTATCACAATTAAACCACGCCTGCCTACATAAGGTACTTAGGTATGCTTGGATCCGAACGAGTGGTTCGCCTCCTCAGAATCTACGAGATGTTGTGGGCGGGCGGCAACATACTGTCTCTGGGAATGATAGGAACGAGCCAAAGCTCAGCAATAGGGAGAAGACACGCGACAGTGATTGGTTGGAAATGACAACCAGCCAGCTCACAAGGTTCACGGGATGGAGTGGGACGCATGGCATGACAATACAAATCCGCTTAGACCGGCTAATAATGATTTCGACACCCAAGTCCTTGGTGACTTTTAAATCTAATATTCAACCCTTCCATTGCTTCGCAACGCAACCTGCCCTTGGTGACCAGCACTGGCAGATAACCCCCCCCCCCATTACAGTTCCTACACTCGTAGGGGAATTACAGCCTACTTCGCCCTCCCCTTACCCTTCGAAGAAGCCTCCTTACCCTTCCCAGCCCTCGCAGCCTTTGCAGCCTCAATCTTGTGAATATCGCTGATTTCTGCCGTAAAGGGTCAGCCTTTCTGGAATCTTTGAATTGCATGCAAAGGAGGTCAGGCCTTACTGGTTTCCTGGGTGTTGATCTCCCTGAGGGCCTGTTTTGCCGAGTTCATATTGTCTTGAGCCGCGATGAGGTGAGTTTTATGGATCGGCGTGTTGAAAGCGTCCGGGTACTTCTGCATGAAGCCGAGCCGAGCCGTCGTAGCGCTGATTCGAAAAGGGCCGGGGTCAGTACGAATCCGTCGACGGGGCCGGCCGAGATGGGTGGTACTTACTCAACCGCACGGTCGAGCCAGGCTCTGTCGTCTTCTAGGGCCTTGAGGCGAGCGGCTTCCTGCTCCGCTGCCGGCTTCTTGACGCTCGCCTTGGCGGCTTTCGTGGAGGCTTCGTGCTTGGCCTTGGCCTCCCCGAGCCGGTCGACCGCGTCCTTGTACGCCTTGTACTCCTTCTGCATCGCATCGGTCCAGGTCCGTTTCTGAAGATCGTTCGGGTCACGACGCTTCGAGATGTGGGACTGCGCCTTCCGCTCCTGCTGGAGCGAGGTGCCCAAGTCTCCGACCTCCTTGATCATCTCCTCGAAGGCGTCATCGAGCCCGGGCGTGAGCTTTGCGACGTAGGAATCCGCCGAGAAGGCGGACGCGTACGAACTGTCGGACACCTTGGAGGCGGCCGAGGTCTTGGAGGTGGCCGAGTTCTTGGAGCCGGCCGAGTTGTGTGATTTTGCCGAGTGGAAGGACTTGTTGGAGGCGGAGGAAGTGGGACGAGACATGATGAGGTAGGAGATTTGGGAGAGGATAATGTAATTATGTAAATGTTGTAGATGAGAGGGAAGGTGCTGGCTCGGCCTGCGTAGCTAGCTGCGGGTTGGCAAGATGAAGAAGATGGTTGATGAGATGGTTGAGTAGATGCTTGATGAGTTGATGGTTAATGGGTAGATAGGTGAGGCGATGACCCAAGATATATACCCCCCTCTGGACTCATCCGGAGACCCAGTCTCTCCAACCAACGTTTGATCTTGACAGCCACCCTAGGTCCACGGCCTCTTCGGTTACGACCTGTTTGACTGTGAATAGCAACCGGCCGGTGGCGGGCTTGATGAGGCACGTGGGAATGGTCTCGAAACCCTCAACGCCTCTCCAACGAAACATGGCACCGACTGGCGACCGATGCTGCCCCCATCGCGACGACGGTCGGAGCAGCCCGCGCTACTGCCGCAGCCCGATTCAGACCCGTCGGCGGCGGTTGAAGGATCACCTAAACTTTCAGGGATTTTGCCGTAATCGGGGTGGATACCGAGGATTGTGTTGTTTCCATATTGGGGACGAGGATTGGGGGTCCCGGGACCGTGGGTCCGTTGGCGGCCATCGTTGTGGTCACCGACAGGATGTTCCCGCCGCATTGCCGTTGACGAGGATCCCAACTACCTACCTTCCGTGGTGGCGGGTGTTGGTGGTGTGCGGCTCGGCCGTACCTGTAACCTCCCTCCTGCTTCGGCTACCGGTTAACTCGGGCTGGGAACGGGGGCACGTCTAGGGGCAGAGCTGCAGAGCTGCAGAGCTGCCCTGGGAGGAATCTGTGCCCCGTGCACGCCGCACGCCGCACGGCCCCCAAACTGGCCGCCACAGCACCCACCTAGCAGGTGCCCTCGCGGAATTCCTGCGACCTGAGGGAATTGGAACCATGGATCCATGGATGATTGGATGCACCCATACCTCCACAGTAACTCGGTACCTACCTGTAGGTAGCTCCTGCAGTTTACACAGCGACTGGCACCTACCTTCCATCCTACCTTAGGTACAGTGGTTTTTTCTCGATTCATTTTCAAGGACAGCGGTTGTTTGCGAGGTATTACCAGGCCCTATCTTATTTTTTCCGTCAGGTTGACTTTGGGTTGATCAACACAACACAATGCCGTCGCCGGAAGTCCACAGCAGCCATGTGGCCAATCCCTCTGTTGAGGTAAACATCCTGACTTTGAAAATGGAGGATGCCGGGGTTCAAGGACAACAACAACGACAGCAACAACAAGGTTCACCCTCCGGGCTCTCCCCGTTTGAGAGCCTGCCCGCCGAACTACGAGACAACATCCTCCTACACATGCCCGATCTGCCAACCCTGCGGTCGCTCGTCCGGGCCTCACCCACGATGCACGCGCAGTACAGAAGCAACCGCAACGCACTCCTCCGAGCCTGCCTGGCCCGCGAGCTGGACGGCTGTTTCGTCGACGCCTACGCCTGTCTGAAATCTCGCGCACGCGAGATGCGCCCTGTGCGCACCAACGAGAAGATCACCGACTTCCTCGCCGGATACCGCGCGTGGCTGTCGGGGCCGGGCCCACCTTCAGACATGAATTCACTCGACCCTAGTTCCTGTCGGTGGCTGGCCGCCTTCCATGTGTCCGTGATCAGGCCCCTCGGCCGCCGGTTTGCCGCCTGGGCCCTCGCGAACATGGCACGCGCGAGGGTGACGCCTGCAGGCGGCCGGGAAGCCGGAGAAGCCGAAGCCGAAGCCGAAGCAGTGCCAGACCCGCAGCCCACCCTGAGCAGGAGCGAGGAGATCCGCGTTTTCCGTACTCTTTACCGATACGAGATCTTCTGCCACCTATTCGGGCGGAATAAGTGCGGCCGTGATGACTCATTCACAGACGACGAGATCAATGAAATGTTCTTATGCCTGTTCGATCCCTGGGAGGCCGAAGCTATCGGCTGTATCGACCTGTTTATGCGTGATAAATATAAGGATATATTTGAAGAGGTTAAATGGGACCTGAGCGACGAAAATCCAAGATACCGGCAGCCAGATAGTGACGTTAACCCCTTGCATTCCTTTGATATAGATGGCCAGTGGGGCGGTAAGTAAAATACCCCTGGAGTTCTACACAAGAAGCAAGAAGGTTGACCAGACATTCTAACACGACGGTGGCAGACTTTATGGATGGTACCGTCTCCCGCGGCATTGAGATGTTGGCCAGAATTTTGGCAGTCGAGGGCCACCAGGCCCTCGTTGACAAGATGGAGCGTTGCCTGACGCACCACCACGAGCTTGATGCGCCTCTGAGGAAGGCTCTTTGGTCTGCGAACCAGCTTGTCCGTCGCGACGAGGCAACTTCAGTCAACGCCCGAGATGAGGCCGAACGCAGGAGGGACCCAATGGAGTTTGGGGGTGACGCCGTGCCGCCGGACGGGCCGCCTCTCGCGTGGGTGCTCTTATGGGGCGGAATCTACGCCAACATCTACGGGGGGCATACGCCTACCTCGCTCAGGAATTGGGGCTACGTCATCTGGGACGAGCGTCGGTGGACCGAGTTGGGCGTTAAGGATTTTGTGGTGAGACAGTGGGAGACAGAGCCAGGGCTGGCCAACGAGATTGAGGAGTTCTATGGGTGGCGTCCTGTTGGGTGTTAGCATAATTACGAGGAATGATATATCCCCCCTTCAACTAAACCGCCCGTCCGGAAAGAAGCTCTCCCAGGCAAACTCCTCCCCAAACCCGTCAAAGTCAAACCCCTGCATCGCCTCCATCCCCAACCCATCAAAACCCCCCTCATCCCCAGGCGACCCATCCAACACCGACCCTCCCCCAGTCTTTTCACTCACCCCCCCAACCCCAATACCACCACCACCACCACTCCCATCCACCCCATCCCCACCCCCCACCAAACCCGACGACGAAGAAGAAGAAGCACAAGGAAGTAAACACCCCTCCGAAAACCGCAGACTATCCCTCGCCGCCCTAGCCACCGCAACCGCAACCGCCACATCGTTTTCATCAACCCGGGATTCCACCGCGCGCACCTGCGCCAGCACCATGCGCAGGAACATGTGGATCTTGACGTTGGTCTCGCCGCGGCGGATGCGTGCTTCGGCAAGCGTGATGATGCGTTCGAGGACGTGGGTGAGGGTGGTGCGGGTGTGCGAGGTGAGGGGGAGGGAGCCGTCGCGGAGTTGGGTTTCGACGTCTTTGGGGGTGTTAATTATTAATATATAGGGTGGGGGATGGGGGGGTTAAGTTGGGATGGGTTGGTGGGTTGGGGATGGTTAAAGGGGAGGGGGCAAGGGTTGGTTAGGGGTTGGTTAAGGGTTGGTCAAGGGTTGGGTGGGGGATGGGCCGTGATGATGATGATGATGATGATGATGATGGGGCTTTAAGGGGGGGGTGAATGGATTTGGTGTGTTCGATTCTAAACGGGAAGAAGGAAGGAGGAAAAAAAGCACTCACGCGAAAGCAACTCTAGACTAATCGCCGACGTCGCGTACCGCAGCCCGTCCCGGAGCATGCCTCCCGCGATCGAGATCAGCTTGCCGAACCGGTCGTTGCCCTCCTCCGGCACGTGTGAGACCAGCGCCAGCGCGGCGTCGAGGCTGACCTTGAGCGAGTAGTGGAAGAGCGGGTTCGTGCGCGCCTGGTGGCTGAACGGTATGTGTAGCGGGATGAGGAAGCGCCGCGTGAGATAGTCGAGCAGGCTGCGGTGGAAAGCGTTGCTACTGCTGTCGCCACTGCTGTCGCCACTGCTGCCGCCGCTGCTGCTGGGTTCGGCCCTGTTGTTTGGTGCAAAGAGGGTGCTGTTGGCGCTGATGGATGCGGTCAGCTCCGCTGTAAGAGCAAGAGCGCGGTGGTAGGACCGGTCCGAGTTCAGGTTGTTAAGGAACTGCACGATGCCGAGGCGGGTTGGGAGCGAGGCGGAGAGGGCGAGCTGAAGCGAGGTCGAGGTGAATGTTTCTTTAGGGTGTGGCTGGAGCGTGGTAGTTGTCTCGCTAATCTCGTCGTCGTTGACGTTGGCCGGGAGTTCCGTGTCGAATTCTTCGAGCGAGAGGCGCGGTGGCATCCAAGCATCCAGGGAAGACTGGACAATCAAGTCCAGGATGGTTGCCCACAAGCGCCGGCGAAGCTCGGCCTGCAGCAACGACATGTCTGGGAGGTTTTTGGGGTCGCGGTGGAGGCCTATCTGCATAGCCCCGTGGAGGAGCGATCCCATCGACACCCACACCGTGTCCCCGCCGATGGAGAAGATCTGACGGGCTAGCACGGTTAGGCAGTGGATTTGTAGCGCCTTGACGTCAAGCCGGTCTTTTTCCAACGGCCCGGATAGCCAGGTCTCGGCAGCGTAGATCCACTGGTGCACTGACTCCGTGTTGCGATGGATGGCGGCTATGTCCCCGTGGTCATAGACGCTCGACCCTATCCCGATGACAAGAAGGATCCTATGGCGGGCGTCCTCGGAGACGCTTCCCGGATGGTCCCAGTATTTATGGTACTCCGCCCAAAAGGTGGGAGCGTGGAGGATTCGGTGTCTAGTATAGTTCGGTGTTAGCCTCTCACCCACCATTTACGGGCTGCCCTGGTTGAGTAGGTACATACGTGGACTCGAAGGAGGTAAAATAGAGCTCGGCCATCTTCGTCGCTACCCTCGAGCGAAGGCGGCGCGAGACAGGCGTAAGGAGATGGCAGACCCCTAGTCGGCCGGGCAACCTTGATGCTCTTCGCTCTGTTCTTACACCCCTGAAGGGCTTCGGCAGCCTGGGCGATCAGCGCCGCGGCGTCGGGGGTCTGGAACGCAGGGTTCTTGCTATTCTTGCCCACGATCTCGGCGTAGCAGGCCATGACGACGGCGAACTCGGTGGTGTCACCCACCCAGCGGGTGCGGCCCCAGTCCCGCGGCTTGTTCTGGAGGGGCTGCCAGTCCTGTGTTCCGGGCAGTTGTTGGCCCTCGACATGGAGGGGGCGTCGGTCCTTACTAGGCTCGGACAGCACATTGGAGGCAGGGATATCGCCGGTCCATTTCCGGGCTGCCACGGACTCTTCGAGCTTCGCTATCCGATTTATAAGGCCACAGAAGCTGGGATCCCGCTCCCTTTGATTCCGGTGCTGGCCATCTTGATTTGGCGATGGCAGTTCCACGTCTTGGGAGGTGGTGACTGGGACGAGAAACGAAGCATCTTGGGTCGCTGGAGTAGTCTCGACCGTCTGTCGACTCAGTACCCTTGAGAGTGGCGTCGGAAGAGAAATGCGGGTCGTCGGCGGCGGGCTTGCTGTTGCAGTCGTGCTTGTCGGCCGAGGACTTATGGAGCTTACGGGGCTGTCGCCGGTGTGGTCGCTTGGCTCATAGTAGGTAAAAGGTTTGTAGACACACTTTGTTTTTTGGCGAGTGCAATGTGCGCAGGGGTTGTTGTGGTCGCATCTGATTTTGCGGCGGCGGCATTCCTGACAGGAGAGAGCCGGCCTTCGACGGCGGCGGATCGGACTCATCATGGGAGATAGGGGCCGCGTGGCCCTTGTGGGATCCATCGAAGCAAGCTGCAAGTGGTGAGGCGGGCCCCGGGTGGTTACGTGGATGATGAGCAATAGGTTTAGGGGTATGGGTCTCCTCGGCGAATTCCCCGACTTCGTTGCCGACAAGATTACCTAGGTATGTTAATAAGTTTTCGGCATTTTTGATTCACTGTCGCGTTTCCATGAATGAGATTTACACGGTATGCTGTGAAACCCGAGTTGAATTCCCCGAGCCTCCTTATGTCCGCCATACCCCTGTCTCGGCCGAAACCAGGGGCGCCATCGGACTTAGGGTACTGTGTCAGTGTGTGATGCAAGCAACTGGTGTTAATGGAACCTCGACGCGTCGTGCTGTGACGACAGCGATCTCTCTTAATTTAAAACCGGAATCTCCGAGCGACTTCCGGGCTTCCCCTCCTTTATAATCTTCTCTCTCTTAAGTTTGTGTTTGTCTCGGATATGAGACCTCGAGTCCAGTCTCAAGTCCTTTCGATCTGTCATCTCCCTTAGACTCCCTATCCCAACCACCCTACCCTCCAAGCCAACACCATCAAGTTATCAACACCATGCCTCCGACTACCCTACGAGTTCTCATCAGCGGCGGTGGAATAGCCGGCAACGCCCTCGCCTTCTGGCTTGCCAAACAAGGCCACGACATCACCGTCGTGGAGCGGTTCCCCTCTCTGCGTGCCACCGGCCTACAGCTCGACCTACGCGGGTGTGGCATTGAGGTCCTCCGAAAGATGGGCCTCGACGATGCCTTCCGCGCCAAGGCAGCCCCGGAGCAAGGCATGCAGATGGTCGACAAGTCTGGCCGGCGCCGTGCCTACTTCCCGGCGAACAATGCCGGCAGCAAGCGGACCGGGAACCTGACCTCCGAGTACGAGATGATGCGGGGTGATATGTGCCGCCTCTTTTACGACGCCGCCATGGCAGCCAAGAGACCGCCGCAGTATGTCTACGGGACGACGATTGAGAGCCTCGAGCAAGCGAACGGCTCCGTTGATGTCCGCTTCGAAAACGGCCAGACCAACACGTTCGACCTCGTCGTCGGTGCCGATGGCCAATGGTCACGCACACGGAGAGTCATGCTCGGGACCAGCGCCGAAGATCATATGCAACGTATCCCGGGATTCCACATCGCCTACTTCACCATCCCTTTACCGATGCAAAAGGGGGAACAATTCCTTGCGACCACGTACATGGCCACTAAACGGCGCGCCATAATAACCAGGAGACACAGCCCGGACGAGATCCAAGCCATGCTGTCGTGCAAGACGGAGCCCGAGGGCCTCGATAAGGTGCCGAGGGGTGACGTCAAGCGGGAGAAGGAGGCCATGGCCGAGATTTTCAAGGGGGCGGGGTGGAAAACGGAAGACGTCATCAGGGGCATGTGGGAAGCCGATGACTTTTACTGCGAGCGAGTCGGTCTCGTGAAGCTGCCATCCTGGTCGTCCGGCCACGTCACCCTAGTTGGAGACGCCGCTTACTGTCCGTCGGTTATGTCAGGGATGGGCACCACCTCTGCCTTTGTGGGAGCATACATTCTGGCTGGCGAGATCGGGAAATACTCTGCTGGCAGCCTCGCCAGCGAGCCAGACGGTCTTGCCACGGCAGTCAAAAACTACGAAGAAAAGTTCCGGCCTTTCATGGAGAAGATACAGGAAGGGATCGCCGAGAAGGCTGACAGCCAGTGGGCTTTGTCTGGGTCGGCATTCAGCATCGGCTTGTTGAACTTCTTCATCGGAGTTGCATCCTTCCTCAAACTTAACATGTTCAGCGTCCGGGAGAGTGTTGAGGGGTGGAGTCTTCCAGAGTACGAGGAGTTGAAGTAGCGAACCGGTGTCTGCTCCTGGGGAGGTGGTTTTAATGTTGTGGCGGTTGTGCGAGTAGTGTAAAATAGTGTCTTGCCCCTCAATATCATCGTAATGGCCGGTTTATGCAAGCTGTGGGGTGTTCATGAGTTTTACCCCCGAGACGCATATCGGTTGAAGGTAATCGTGCTATCACTTTAACAAACGCTCTGATGTAGCGGTCGCTTATGCTCACATTTGCTATATATCACATGTGTGTGGTGGTATTTAGTCCAACACCGCGGCTCATATCCTTGATGGACAACACGATTATCCCCCGCCAACTTGTTTCTCCTTTCTCTTATTCGTCCTCAAGCCAGACGACCTCCTCCGCCTCCTCCCCATTTTATCCTTCGGACTCCCTGCTTCAGTTAGTATCAATACACCGACGGATAAGATAGTATCACCACAGCCAACTAGTCTCGCCCAATCGAAAGACGCCAAACAGGGAATAAGAGTAAAAAATAAGATGGATAAAGCTTACCCGTAACCTCCCCTCCAAAACGATGCGCCCTTCCCCCGCACCCACTACACGTCCTCCCCCCACAAAGCGGACACACCAGGGCCGCGACCCGGCCCCGCCCAACCCCCTTCCCTTTCTCCTGCCCCTGACTCTCCATCCCCTGACTCTCCGTCCCCTGACTCTCCGTCCCCTGACTCTCCGTCCCCTGACTCTCCATCCCCTGACTCTCCGTCCCCTGACTCTCCGTCCCCTCCATCCCTTCCACCCCTTCCACCCCTTCCATCTTTTCCACCCCAACAGCCCCTCCTCCTCCCCTACACCCAACTTCCGGAACACCCACCCCCATCCCCAAAAACATGCCGCACCCCTCCCGGTCGTGACAGTACAAGCGGCGCTCCGGCGGCGTGTGCATCTCGCGCAGCTTGTGGCGGTAGGCGAGGAACTCGGGCGCGGTGGCCACGGCGCCGAGGGTGGGGAGCGGGAGGGGGGTGGCGCAGGGTGAGGTTGAGTTTGAATTTGAGTTTGAGTTTGGGCTTCGGTTAGGGGTATTGGGAGGGGAGGTCCGGGTCGGGCAGCGCGCTGGAGTGAAGGGGTCCCTTGAGAGCGAGGTGAGGAGGGCGGTGCGCAGGCAGCGGTGGCAGAGGGCGTGGCCGCATTGTGCGGGCGGGGAGCGGGGTTGTGGTTTGCGCCGTTGAGGGCTCTGCTGGAGGCGGGAGATGCGGCGGTGGCAGTGGGAGCAGGGTGTGCTGGGGGGACTGTGGGTCGATTGGCTGAATGAGAATGAGGAGCCTGGTGTTGGCGTGCCGAGAAGGGTTGGGGATAGTGTTGGGCTTCGTGGATCCGGGGATGTTGGCGGTGAGGCTGGTCTCGGGCGGGTGAGTTCTGAAGCTTCTGGTTGTTTTGAGTCCCCAGATGGTGGTGGTGTGAGAGGCTCGTATGCTGTCGGCAGATTCATGCTGGGTGTTGAGGTACTTGGGCGAAACTCCTTCACTGGAGTCGGCTCTGGTGTAGGCGGCAGAGCATTCGCTTGTGCTGAGCCCTTGAGGCCCCGCGAGGCTGGGCGGGATACGTCGTTTCCCATGCTTGCACAGTAAATCATACAAGATAGTCCAAGATGTTGGAACAAGTTGGTTCTCTTTGAAACTCAAAACCAAAAGAGAGCAAGAATCTCGGAGGAGAAGACGTTGTAAAGTCAAGACGTGTTTATTGTCGCGTGATGCCTTACTACTACGAGTAGAAATAGTAGCACCCCCTGAAACCTGACGTCTGGTCTTCTTGGACGATGACTCTACATCGACTTGTAAGCTCCGCATTGGAACAGCACATATTCGGTGGCAAATCTTTCATGGTTCCACAAGGCAATTGACGCCCGACATTGTGTGGCGGCGTGTAAGTGGTCGCCTTGAATTCAGGGGTTCAGGGGTTGCGATTGGTCACCGGTTCAAGACTCCAAGGTCTTTTTTGAGAACTTTCGAATGAGAACTACACGTGATTTCAGGAAGAACTCGGAATGAATTCCAGGATGATGAGCATTCAAGTCTTGATCCTAGCAGAGTATCAGGGAGTCGGATCCTGGCCGAGCCAAGACATGCATTGCTCCCAATATTCGGCCTGTTGGTGTGGGTTGGTGGTCATCAAGGTTCTCAACCCCCACGCACTCCATCCAGCCTCTCATCTTTTCAGCTTCTGCAGCTCACTCTTTTCGTAGTTACATTCCAGTCTCGTGCCAGTCTCGTGCCAGTCTCGTGCCAGTCTCGTGCCAGTCCCCGCGCTCGGAAGGAGAGCTGCAACCATTCAACCAGCCGGCGCCGCGCCACCCACTAAACTCGGATATTAACCATGAGATCATCAGCCTGGACTGCCGCCGCTCTCTGCTGGCTCTCGGCCGGACGTGTTTTGTGCGATGAAGTAGATGCACAATCACATTCGGGGCTTGTTGGTGTTGACGCATCTGATGTGAGCTTTTCGAGATGCAGAAAAAGTACCACGGTCCCCGCTGACATCAAGCAGCCGCAGTATCTCGTTTACGAAGTTCACGACGTCGAGGTTGTGCTAGCCGAGAATGAAAGTCTGTCGAAAAGGCTAGACACGAAGCGGCACCTAGAAGAGAAGGAGAAGCTGCTTAAGAGACTAAGCAAAAGCCACGGCACCTGGAACGAGCACCATGCGCGCCATCGCCTTCTCGAGGCCCTCCGCGGTTTCTCCGCCTATGCTGATACCCAGCAAGCGGAACTCACCCGGTTGAAGGGGCTGTACAGCCACGTTCCCAAAAAGCAGAAATCGGTTTGTTTGCTCACGCCTTGAAGCAAAGTTCGGGTAGAGACTTGCTAACTCGACACAAGCTGCTCGAACGGACGGTCAAGTATAGCCAAAAGTTCAACGACGTTTCCGAGCTGCTCAAAAAGAACCAGCAACTGTGCGACGACATTGTGCGGAACGCCATGGAGTTCTACGGAGTCAGCCAACAGGAGCTGGACAAACACGTCAAGGCCATGAAAAAGGTCAGCCGGCCCGCCGAAAGAGTCAGCGTCTCGCAGGCACTGAAGCACTTTGTCCGGGACTGGGCCGCATCCGGCGCCCACGAACGAGATGCGGCGTTTCCGTGCATCTTGCAGGCGTTAAAAGACCAATTTCCCGACGCGGGGGAGAAAGAAGTGAAGATCCTCCTCCCCGGCGCCGGCCTAGGACGGCTCGGTCACGAAGTGGCTCAACTACCAGGTACGAACCCAACCACCAACCACCCCCCATCCCATCTCACGGAACCTCCCCCCTAACCACCCCCCGCCGTCCCAGGCTTCCAAGTAACCAACAACGAATGGTCCGCCTACCAAAACATCGCCTACCGCTTCCTCACCCAGCCCACCTCCCAATCCCAGCCCCACCGCCCCAACACCACCACCCTGCACCCCTTCATCGACAGCTGGTCCCACCACCGCAGCACCGCCTCCATGCTCCGCAGCATCCCCATCCCCGACATCCCCATCCACCCAACCGACGTCCTGCTCGTCGAAGGCGATTTCACCACGGCCTTCCCCGCCTCCGACCACCACACGTCGGGCGGCTACGACGCGCTGACGACGCACTTCTTCATCGACACGGCGCGCAACCTGGCCGCCTACCTCGAGACCATCGCGCGGCTGGTGCGGCCCGGCGGGGTGTGGGTGAATTTCGGGCCGCTGCTGTACGGGTCGGCGCCGTTCGTGCAGCTGGCGCTGGACGAGGTGGTGGCGCTGGCGGAGGCGGTGGGGTTTGAGTTTTTGGAGGTTCCTGTTTCGGTGGGTGGTGGGGAGGGGGGTGAAGGGGATGGGGGTGCGGGTTGGGGGAAGTGTAAGGCGGAAGAGGGGGTGGTGCCGGGGAAGAGGGTTTATGGCGTCGAGGCGGTGTATGGGTTTGATGAGCGGGCGTTGACGCGGAATGCGTATGAGGCGGTGTTTTGGGTGGCGAGGAAGTTGTAGGTTGGGGTTGTGCTGCTGTTTTACTTGGGGTGTACACTACAGCTGCAATAGTGCCTTGGGGATTGGATTTTCACACTTGTTGCTGTATGAGAGACTGCTGTATGAGAGGCATGCGGAAGGCTGGGAAATCGAGATAAAAGTGTATACATGTGGCTTCACTGCGAACTCGTTGCGTTGGAAACTTGGTATTGTGCACTTTGACTTTTTATTGTTGTGAAACTAGGTGATAATAACCCCCCCTCATGCCCTCCAAACAAGTAGATCCCCGAGCCCTGTGTTGAACTAGCCTCGACTGGGGCCTAGATATCCCGAAGGCACGGAAGGTGGGGGCTAAAGCGAGACCCAGCTGGGGATTGTCAACCATGAGTGTCTACTTAGGGCTATTTCTGCGGCATTCCAAGACTCACATGGTTCTTGTGAAGGCGTCGTTAACATCACTTGGCGAAGTGAGCAACGCAGTGGTAGCCCTCGCTGCCAGCAGGGCACGTGAAGTCTCCGTGGTCTTCGTGGCAGGGGGGGTCGCCGATGGCGTCCCCGAGGTTCAGCCACGACTCACAGCAGAACCCGCACACGGCCGGTTCGCTGCAGGGCCACCCGTTGGCAGCAATGGTGTCGCGGACGGCCTGGCACTCGTCCTGGCGCGGCGCGAGCGCTCTTCTAGCGGGGGAGGCGGCAGCCACGGCGGCGAGCGTGGCCGTGATGAGGAAAGTGAACGAGACCATGTTGGCTGAATCGGGCAACGGTTGGAACTTTGGGACTTTGGGAACAGGGGGTTGGTTGGTTGAATTGCTATGTTGGTTCTGGAAGTTGGTTCTGCAGAATACAAGATCAAGACATACCTCTTCTGGCGAGACTTTCCTCCTATTTATACTTGAGAACAAGCTGCTATCACGTCCCGTAACCGGCGCTCTTCTTCTGGTTCTATCTTGCCGACCTCCGTGACTGAAGCTTCAAGCAAGACTCGGACTCGATGCAATGACACCGTAAGAGCTTATGCTAAGTCCGAATTCAGCTAAGTTCCCTCTACTTCATGCCAAGGTGAGAACCTTGATGACTTTAAAGGAACTAACTGGTCACACCAAATACAACCCCTGGGATGGAAAGGAGTGGAAGCCTCTGTTGCCAAGAGTGATAGCAAAAAGCTTGCGGCATTTCCCCCACGTCAGACCGGACCATGAACCAGGTTGAGAATAAAGTCCCCAAGTAACCATGCGAGCCATGTCAGCCACCTTCCGTTAACTACTTGCAGGCCGTTGTTAGGATGCTACGCCACTGGCCCGCCTCTCTCGCCAAAGAAAGCTTGCCCCCGCGCCAAGGAGGTTGAGCACCCTGATGGCCCTTCAGCTCTTGTTTTCGCTCTCCTTTCGCTCTGGCACACGGTGCGGGGAGGGCGGCCGTTTTGACCGAAAGGTTCACCGTGGCGTTGATGAGAACCTCTGTGTCTGCATGTCGGAAATCGATAGTTCCAGCACCACCACCACCACCATGTGTCACCGTGCCCACCGCAGGATGCCGGGGTCGAGAACCACGCGGGGGTAGGGTTGGTGGCGTGCCCAGTGGTGCCCGAGTTTGCCCACATTTAACCACGGCCTCGCCTCCTGCAGTGCTCCCACCGATGCAGGTCCACGCAGCTTCTTCCTCGAATCACTTGGACGGTCGAACCCATCTTGCAGAGATGGCGCCCGTGGGATACCCCTCGTTTCTCCTCGTCCTGCTCCAGGCATGGCGTGCCGTGGGCTTGCCCCAGGCTATCACAGCTCGTGCCGAGTCGAGTTGTTTGTAAGTGGCGCCAGTATTGAGGATTGAAGCCTGCTTGAAGGTCTCTAACACACCATGCCCGATCACCAGCCCAACCACGACAACGGTCTATGGCATCCCCACCGCCATCACCGACTTCGGCTCCTTCGTGTCGTCGATGAATGGCCAGTACTCGACTTCAGGAGTGCCTTTCTCCGGAACGAGGGTCCCGTTCTTCACCTCGGTCGTCGAGGTGTCTCCCGGAAAGTTGTACACGGGTTACGGGTACTACGACTCGGAAGCGCTCAAGAGTGCGGGCTATAGCATCGTCACTTCAGTCGTCACCACCACCACGTGCCTGACCACGTCCGCATCGCCGACCCTGCCCCCATCTCCAACCGGTTCTCTGTGCAGCCCGCACGGTGACCACTGTGCGTATCCGAGTGCTTGACAGACTCGTAGTAAGAGAGAAGCTGACAACTGTTCCAAGGGCACTGCGAGCCGTACCCGTCAAGCACCCAGCCCCCAGACGCCGGGGAGTGCGAGCCCCATGGCGACCACTGGCACTGTCCTCCGGGTGTCCCTGAACCCACCACCCCTCCTCCGGTCGACACGACAACCACCTCGCCGCCGCCGGCTGGTGAATGTGAACCTCACGGTGACCACTGGCATTGCCCGCCGGGTGTCCCTGAGCCCACCACCCCTCCTCCGGTCGACACGCCCACCACCTCACCGCCTCCGGCCGGCGAGTGCGAGCCTCATGGCGACCATTGGCACTGCCCCCCTGGTGTCCCAGAGCCCACTACTCCGCCGCCCAGCCCCTCGGCCGAGCCCACAAACCCGCCGGCCGAGGGCGAATGTGAGCCACACGGTGACCACTGGCACTGCCCGCCCGGCGTGCCTGAGCCCACCACGCCCCCCGGTTCTACGCCCACCGACACACCCGGCGGCGGTGACGGCGACGGAGAGAGCGGTGAATGCGAGCCTCACGGTGACCACTGGCACTGCCCACCCGGCGTCCCAGAGCCCACCACACCCCCGGGTTCCACCCCCACCGATACACCCGGCGGTGGTGAAGGCGAAGGCGAGTGTGAACCCCACGGTGACCACTGGCACTGCCCGCCCGGTGTCCCCGAGCCCACCACACCTCCCGGATCCACCCCAACGGATTCCCCAGGCAATGGCGACGGTGACAGCACCGAATGCGAACCGCACGGCGACCACTGGCACTGTCCCGACGGCGTGCCCGAGCCCACCACACCCCCCGGCGCCTCCCCCACCGACACACCCGGAGATGATGACAGCGGTGAATGCGAGCCGCACGGCGACCACTGGCACTGTCCCGACGGCATCCCCGAGCCGACCACGCCGCCGCCTGGCGGCACAGTGCCCTCGCCCACTCGCTCGTCGACGGCGTCGTCGGCTGTCGTGACGGCTGGTGTGGGACGGGTCGGCGTGCCTGGGGCTCTCGGGTGGGCTGGTTTGGTGGTTGGGGGGTTGGGGATGCTGGTTGTGCTTTAGGGCTTTGGGCTTTGGGCTTTGGGGGTTGGGTGCGTGCTGGTTGGATGTATGTACCGCCTCGTAGAGGTGGGAGGGCCTTAACCTGTTTCAGTTTGGAGTGTGTTGCGCTTTGTGGCCGCTTTTTGGTAATTGGTGGTGGGCCGGGATGGGATGTGTATATTGGTTAGCTACCCACCTATCTGAGTAATACATATGACGAGTGGTCATTGTAGGTCGTGTAGTGAATCTATTCGGTGATATTTACCGGTGTTAGATGACAAGGAATAGGGTATCTCGGTTGAGAAAAGGGTCGCACAGGTAAGGATCAAGCACCTACTATGTACGTATGTAAAGAAGCCGATGTGGTTCGCTCCGGAAGCGGATTTGGTGGGATGGTTAAACTTAGCCACCCTATGGGCAAAAGCAGCCGGGCGCCTGCGAGTGGAGATGTGGAATAAACCTCGCCTGGAGGAACGAAACCAAGGCCACTCGGAAGCCTAGGGGGGCTGTATTTTACTCGACTGTTTGTATCTAATGTGTATGCCGATGACTTTCGTTGTATTCCTTTTTGCTTGATTTCTTGTTTTCCTTTCGAGTTCAGCTTTTATTTAGCCAGAGGGGCCTAACTGCCTTCAGCAGGGCTGGACTTGGAGCGGGCAGCCACCATTGAAAACTGACCGCCAGCACCAGCCCAAGTGAGCGCCCTGTCCTTCAAGGCTTTGCCCTGTATAAGCTGGGCAGCTTCCACATCATCCTCATGGCCGAGACCCAACTGACCCTGTGAGTTGAAACCCGTCGCATAGGCCGTTCCTTTCCGGGTAACAAAGATGGTGTGGTCGGGTCCGCACGCTACATGGCTGACTTCTCCTATACCGGGCACTGCCGTGGGGCGAAGACAAATGCGCGGTCTCCCGCGCTCGTCATGGCGTATCACAGTGGCGTCCTCAAGTTGCTCCGGGCTGAAAGTTATGCCGAGCTGCCCGCCGTCTAACCGGCCCCAGACAAGACATTGCCCATCAGCCGTCACCGCAGCGGAGTGGTGGGCTCCACCGGCCAGAGAGACCACCCCCTTGCCGCGGAGGCCTGGTATCCTCATCGGGAAGGGCAGGAGCACCTCGTCACTACCCGCCGCTTTAGCATAGCCGGCTTGGCCGAAACTATTCAGACCCCAGGCCCACACCTGGTCCTTCTTGTCAACCGCCAAGGAGTGGTAGTCCCCGCAGGCGATATGCTTGATGTCCCTGATTCTGACGCGGTCAGGGGTAAGCGAGTCCCGAGCGTGGCGTCCAAAGTCGTGGCGACCTAGCTGATTCTGCTCGTTGCAGCCCCAGGCCCAAACGGCGCCGTTCACGTCGAGAGCTAGGGCGTGGTTAGCACCACAAGTGACTTGGGTGATGTTACTCAGGCCGGCGATTTGCGTGGGTGTGGGTTGTTTCTCGATGGCCTGCCCATTGGCGTCATAGCCGAACCTCTCCTTCCCTTCAGAGTTCTGTTGCAGATCGAGTGGATTAGAAAACGGCCTAGGAGAAACCCGTGATGGGTCAACAAACCTTGAACGTGCCCCAACCATACACTGCTCCTGCATCCGTAAGCGCAAAGCTACAGCTATCCCCGGCGGCGACTTGAACAAATCTCGTTCCAGGCGGGAAGTGTTGTGTCGGAATCGGGGTCGGGGTCGACTCGAGAGGGTTCAGCTCGCCATCCTCCTCCGAGTCCCCGTCGACGTCTCGCAGACCACCGTCCCAGGCGGTGCTCCTTCCGAGAGCGTAGTTGTCATTGACGCCCCAAGTCACAATCCTGTTGACCTCGGTCAAACCGATTGTGTGCATCCCACCGCATGCGAGTTGGACGACACGGAGTGCGGAAGGGTCACTGGGGTTGAGAAACTGGTTGAGGCGAGGGCGACTGGCTTCCTGTGCTGCGGGCCCGAGACCTAATTCACCCCCATCGCCGTTTCCAAAGACCAGGATGGCTAAAACCTCGGTCGGGGGCTGGTTGATAGTGGGTTCGACTTTTGCCTTCTTCAACCCGCGTGTTGCGGTAGGACGGTCAATATCATCGTTGTCGTGCTTGCGCTTTGTCGCGCGAGTCGCGGCAGGGCGAGCCCCGGTTCCTGGATTTGAATCGTCTGATAATCAAGACGCGATAGGGTGTTAGCAGTCCAGCAGATGGTGGTACTATTCAACCGTGGTTGACAGCGAGCCGATGACCACGTACTAGGCTCTGCGACATTGGGTTTTACGCGCGTTGTTCTTCTGCGAGTATCGCCGCCCCGGAGTGAGGTCATGGTCTACTATGTACGATGTCGTTACTCTGTAGCCAGTCATGCAAGTTTGGTGTTTTGTTCTGGGATATCCCAGCGGAGGAGGCCCACTCAGTTTACAGATGCGGATCATTCCCATTTAGGCTTCGAGTGGGGGGTTGGCGGGGCAGCCCTGTCAAGTGCCAAGCAATGGCTTCAACGACCTGCATCTGAATTCATTGTCTTTATTGGTTTCAGCAAATATCTCGGTGACTTCGTCCGACGACTTGGAACATGGCCACGAGGGCGCAATTGTAGTGTCACCCTTTAGGTTCTTACAAGCCCGGCACGATGGACGTGACGTTCGGATCAAGCCCCACACATGAACCGCCCTTTGCACTTCGGTTCAGCACATTGATCTGACTACAAATACTGCATCGAGGAGGAAGAACAAGGTAGTTAGATTGCATTCCGAGCCCGTCACCAGAGGGTTAGGTAAGTCTCTAAAATTTAAGCTTAAAAGAGTTCAGAACTATTCATGTGAGGTCAGTGGGTGACTGTAACCTGGGACTCTGGAATCCACCTCGACCTGCGTTGTTCTGTGTCGGCCCCTGCCTGTGCTGTCCCTGGCTAGCGTTTGCACCGACCCGCTCTCGCACCGCCGAACCTACCACGGAGAAACGCGAAGTGAGAGCGGTTGTCTGAGTGCCCCTTTTTTTTCCCCATGCGTGGCTGTGGTACCTGTGTACATATAGCGGCTGAGGTGCAACCGAGCAAGAATTTTCAGTTCACCGACTTCACACAACTATTGCAAATGTATGCAGATTCGCCATCATGAAAGCTGTGAGTTTCCCTTACCGCTTATCGCAAAACTTAAACTATGCTGATATTAGGGACGGCAGCTCAAATATTTCTGGTAAAAAGATCGCAGTCTTATGCATGTCTCCGGCTGCTAACCACGGTTCACTTAGGCTCGGCTGGGGCTCTTTCTTTGCTGGTATGTGACGTTGCTTGATGCTGGACCTCAGGCCAATATCATTGACCTCTGCTTTCACAGTCGGTGGGGGGGCATACTTCTTCGCCAAGAAGAACTACGATGCCCGACTTCAGGGGCGGCAGAGGAACTTGAAGCACAGTACATGAACTGCGGCCTCGACTCGGACCTGGATGCGCAGACCAAGGACAGCACGCGCCGCGGCATCAAGACCCTGAGAACGGATAAGGATGAACAGCCGACTCTAAGGTGGGGAGAAGCTCACATCCTCTCGGGGCTAGGGACTTGGAATCACCAAATCACCACTAGAAACATAGACGACGATAATACCAACTGCCAATTCAATCACAGGCCAATAAAAATATATTTGCGTCGGGCCCCCTTGATATCCATCGCTGCTCGATGAGAGCAGGTGACAAGACGCCATCCAGTTCCATCTGGCGCCTTACTGTTTGTTATTCACGCGAGGGCACAGCCGGAGCGCAGACGCGCCGGCCCGTTGTTGAAAGCGGCAGGCACTTGGACACGACGCGAGAAGTTTCGGATGTTCGCCACAAAACCCGGCGCGATCCGGGTGACGGCATGTCACGCAGTACTTTGGATGACCAGGCACCCAGGGAAAAGTGAAAAGTTCGCCGAAGGAACGGCCCCGATGCTTGCTCGAGGCGGCTCAGGAGATCGGCAAGGCACCAAGGCAAGACGGCCGGGCCTATGGGATGTGCGAGAATCGCATTCTCTGTCTCGGCAGCCAAATAAATCTCTCGCTTTTGAGCCGGAACTCGGCGTTCGGTAAGTGTTTTGTGATTTTCCTCTCGTTCCAGACTCGGGCCCAAATGCAAAAGCTGACGGGATTGTCCGGTTTCTGCCGTCGCTGAGGTGCGGTGGCCTGATTTGAATTAAGAATGGGCTGATTGTCGGAAAGGAGCAGGGGGGGGGGGGGGGGGGGGCGTGTTTTCGCGGGAAAGCAGTGGGTCAATCACATGTGGGGCCATGCAGATGCAGAGGCCCGAGAGTGGGCCGCCTCGACCTCAGCTTCAACGTCGTGTCTCTCTGCCAGGTATCATTGTCCAACAAACGAGCATCTTTTCCGCGGCTTCGGCCAACCGAACAGCGACGTCGCGTGTCCGGCCCGATCCAATTTCTGCCAAAACCACTCCAAAGGGCGCGCAGGTCAGCAGCACTGCAGCAGGCGCTTACGGCGAAAGGAGAAAAAACCCGACCACCCGTGGCGTTGGGCAGCAGAAGAGCCTCCAGCAGCTGCAAGATGTCGTCACAGGACCCCTCGGGTTCATGGAGAATTCTACGTCGATATTATCGACTGCCAGTTTCATGCCTTCTTGAAGCGAGCCTCGTACGTTGAGAAGTGTGCGTTAAGTCCAAGTGTTTGCGTAGTCTATTCCGTACTCTATCTAATGCCCTATAATACCCGTAAAATGTAAACAAAACGTCGCCGCACCTATCTCAGCTCCACTCCGTCGGTTGCCCCGAAAAGCTGCAGCAAGACATGGTCAGCCCAATGTCACCAGTTAAAGAGGTCAAACAGCAGCACGCACCTTCTTGGTATCCCCATAAATACCGAACTGGACCGCCGTCATCCCACCAACCATGACCAGTCGAGCACGCATCCCGGTGTAGGCCCCGCGCAGTCCAAGACCAGACGCAATGCGGAATAAACGCCGAGCTGTGCCCTCGCCTGGCTGCGCTTTCTCCTTGTTGATCTTGCTGAGTATCGTGTCGGCCGGCTGGGAGACAACGGCCGCTGCCAAACCAGCGACAAGCCCAGAGCCGAGGTTAATCCCTGTGACACCCGCTGCCGATAGCTCATCTCGATTTATGACACTGTAAGCGGCCTGGATGGCCTTTTCGTATACCACAAAGGTCGCCATCGTATACGGAATCCTGTGGCAGAAGGTTAGCGCAAAGACAAGAACAAGGTGGGGCCAGGGAGAGTACGGTATGGACGTACTGTTTCAGCAAGATCGGGCTCAGCCCGGAGTAGAGACCGCCGAACCCCTCTTCTCTAGCCAGCTTCGCGAAGGCCCGCACGAAGTTGTCGGCGTACTGGGGTTGGGATACAAGCCGGATTCGGACGGACTCGAATGGACACAGAGCAATGTCGCCAAAGAACTCGGCGGCCGCGGCGGATGCGAGGTACACAGCATTGCGATTGTCGGCAGCGGTAGAGTACCCCAGGTAATCGACAGCTCGAGCTTTGAAGAATTCGTATCCGCCAAACTTGAAAGCACCCTGGAGGCAGTAGCCCGCAACGGTTGGGCCCAATCCCGTCAGCAACGTCCTGGGCCCTTCCAGGGAAGCGATCTGCCGTGCACTCTTGAGAAGGCTCCTGCTGTACGTAGTCGGATCAAGCTGGATTCGGGTTTTCACGCTGTGCAGAGAGCGTATCAGCAATCGGGTGCCGTGCCATGGCCTGGCGCCGGGGATGAGCCAAACTTACACGTCGACTGGCGTCAGTACGGCATGGGTGAAGGAGCAGCAGAAGGCGCCAGCCAGGGCATATCTCGCATACAAGCTCACGTCCACGGCAGTTGCGCTTCCTCTCGACACCTTCGATCGTCCTTCCTGTACGCCCACGTCGGCCATGGCTGCTGCCGGTCCGTGGTGCGTGATGGTGAGATATACAAGAGGATTAATAGAGCTGCCACCACCGTCTCGAACTGCGACTTTTCAGGTCGTCTAGTTCCTGCGAGAACTTCTTCCGTTGCCGCTCGCTCAGACTGTCTCCGGCTGCATCCAGAACCTTGAGATGTTCCTTCTTGAGCGCTTCGAACCCAGCGTCCAACTCCTTGTGCCAGGGGTATAAAACAAAAACCTGGAAGCCCAGTGCGGAACTGGCCACCAGAAAATTGGTCAAGGAAATGGCGCGCGTGTATTTCATAGTGGGATGTGTGCCGGAGCAAGAATTGACTGTGGTGTGGTTGATGAAACGGGGAGTCGGCGACGCAAATAATAACCGCAAGCACATTTGCATCTTCCAAGTTGGGTGCCGGTCAGGGATGACGGAGAGCCAGGGGCCGAGACCTCGGTTCCGGCGGCCCACAATTCGGGCTCCCTCGTGGTTGAGTCACATCCAGCCCGGTTGTGGAGAAGGCGCTTGGGTGCATTCGGGAAAACTCGTGTCGCAGGAAAGCAAGGTGGCAAGCCAACATCGAGGTTCACCATGCAACGGTTGGTGGCGACTTTGGATGCCTCCACTCACTCCTTTTGATCCAGCATGTGACAAATGCAAATGGAACTAGGGACTCCGTGCAGGTGGGCTTGCATAGCAGAGTGAAGTCGCTGTAAGTGCTCAATGCTGTGTTATCTCCAACCTTGGGATTGCAGGAGTTCAGTTGGTCAAATTCTTGCTGGGTCACAAATGGTTCCTAATATAACGCAATTATGGTACGACTTCTTGCCGATCCTAGTCTTCATGGGGAATTTTCGCCAATATTTGGTAAGGTAAATAATGCAGAGGTCGTGATCGGGGATATCTCTGGCGTTGCAGCGGGAAGTCCGACCGAAACTGCGACCTCGACGCCTGGTATGAGTTAGGCACACAGGGTGGTGCATGGAGGAAGAAAAAGTGGAGAGGTGATGAATGCGGCCTTTCTCATTGACACAGCAGAGCAGAAATGGACACACAGGGGCCGGGTCACAGTTTGGGCGCAAGGCGCAGGGCAGGACAGAGTCACATAACTGGAAAAAAAAAAAAGAAAAGAAAAAGAAAAACGGAATAAAAGGAAGGGAAAAAAAGATTCCGTAGATGTCAAGTTTATTAATTATTGCTATCTCTACGGTCCCTCCCCTCACCCCCCCACACTAGCATCGGAATGTACATACCGACTAGCTTCCCTGACATACATACACATATCTTGCCGGTGGAAATGCTAGCTTTGTATTCCGTAATCCGCGTAATAGGTAACAATCAATTACACAATGTACCTCCCTTCCCGCGCCGTTCGCACGTTGATACTCGCCAACCTGTCTAACCATAGTTTGAAAACTCGAGCTCGTGGGTCACCGGCGCATACTGTGACGCGACCCTCCCCCCCAAAGCGCGCCTTCAACCACTCCTGGTGAGCCTTGGGGTTACCATCCCACGCCGCCGGCGTCCAGCTCGGAAAATCGGGAAGGCTCGTGCGCCAGAAGAGTTCCATAGGGTTGGGGGGTAGCGCGTGGAGCTGGGACGGGTGCTTGCCATGGCGAGAGAGCTCGAAGACCACGGCAGTATTGTAGTCGACGATGACGGGCTGCGGTAGGGGCTGTTCGGGATTACGCGCCGCCGGCGACGGGGAGCCGGTCCGCAGCACGACATTACGCGCGGCTAGATCCCGCTGGTCGACGCCCGCGTGCTCCTGCCGCGCAACCCCGTCCAGCACGGCGGCGAAGATGGCGAGGCGATCCTGCTCCGTGTAGGACGCGAGCGCGGACGGGGCCAGGCACACAGCCCGCATGCTAGGGCCTTTGATGTTCTCCATGAGCACCAGGCGGATAGCCCGCTGTCTTTTGCGTCCCGCGTGGGTAATGGGCAGGGTGAAGGTCCACGAGCCGAAGTACTTGGGGGCAAGCAGTCCGGCGTCGCCATCGGTTTGGGCCCTCTTGGCGAGGTGATCTAGCGCAGCGGCTTCGTGTGTATAGTGGACATCGGCCTTCCAAGCGACAAGGACGGGCATGTGCGCGGCCACTCGGTTCTCGAAGGAATAGTAGAGAGGATCGAATATCTTAGCAACGGCTTGGTACGGGGCCGGCGGCTCACTTTGGCCAGGGCTAGGGCTCGCGTGCGGAGTCACAGAGCAAACTACCAGCTGCGGGCCCCGGCCGTCTTCAACAGCCAAGGCGCTTAGGATTGTAAGCTTGGCGGCGAGGACGGTAGGGGCGGGCGGCGACGGCGACGTGGGTGGGGGCTCGAGAGGAGGATATTCCATGACCACCCGAGTCTGGGTCACCTCGTGCAGGTCGACGTCGCTCCGTTCCCGCCACGCGCCCGGGCCGTGGTGGGGGTCGCCAAAGGGTGGCGGAGGAATGTGACGCTTGATTTCCACGGAAAAGCCCGGCCGGTACGGGCAGGCCGGTTTCTCCGGATCCGGAGGCGGACTCCACAGCTCCGGCGGAGGGCCGAGCTGCGGGGGAAAGCGCGGGCGCATGTCGGGTATAGGCGGCATCGGAGTCGACGAAGGCATGCCGAGGAGTGGGAGGGCGGTTGTCTCTTGGTGGATGGCTTTTATGGTGGATGGCGGATGGTCGAGCGAAGAAAAGAAACCAATTTCCTTGTATACCGGAGTGAAGTTGCTATTCTATCACGTTATCTCCAACCTTGTAGAGTTAGTTCGTGGACAATAGGGATCTTGAGTGCTTCACATTCTTGGCGTTACCATAATTCCTACCTTTATATAACGCTAACTTCTTTCTGATTCCAGTCTTCATGGGGATTATCTCGCCGCCAATAAATAATGTAGAGGTTGTGATGGGGGATAACTTTGGCGTTGCAGCGGTGAGTCTGGGTCTCGGCACGCAGGGTGGTGGTGCATGGAGGAACAAAAAAGGTACCATAGCGCGCCAGGGGGGGGTTCCAAAATGGTCTCCACTTTAATGTTGGAGCTGGAAATGGGTCTTTCGGCTGGAAAATGGTTTTCAGAATTGAAAACTGTGAATAGCACAGTCTTAGAAAAAACTACATTATTAGCTTAAAAATAATATTTAACGAGGGTTTATTTTGAAAAAAGGAAAAGTATATTAAAATTGAAAAGTTATTTTAAATGTAGAAAAATATCGTATAAAGTAAAATCACTGTATTACTATAAGATATTTTTAAATATAAGATTTATATAATAACTATTTTGAAACTAAAAAACTAACTTTTTACTGAAAAGTTTTTAATAAAAATAATTTTAAAGTTTTAAAACTTAATTTTAGTAAAAATGGTTTTAAATAATATATATTTAATGATAATATTCTATTTTATTTATTATTTCTAGTAATATTTAATATATAATATATTCTAAACCTATTTTACCTACTCTTCCTATATATAGAATTATTTCTATACAATATTCTAAAAATAGTAGTAAGTCTTATAGCTCTATCTCGTAGTTCAATGTGAAAGGTCTTGTGTTCGATTCCCTGTGAAGTCTGTTTTTTTCTTTTAAGTAAATTGTAAATCGTAAATTGTAAAATTCCAAGTAAATTTCCACGTAAAGTACTATACAAAATACTAAGTAAATTACAAAGTAAATACAAAGTAAAATACAAGGTAAAATACCGAGTAAAATACAAGGTAAAATACCAAGTAAAATAGAAATATTAAATTTTTTAATTTCTTTTAGAAAGTTTATTATAATATTATCTTAATATTAAAATATTCTCGCCTCTAAGATATTTTTAAAACTATATAATTATCCTATTACTATAGGATTATTTTCAATTGAAAAATATCTTTCAAAAATTCTTATCGTATGCTAATCTTGTAACCAAAATGGTCTTTCATCTCAGAAATGCTTTTTCAGCTGGAAAATGTATGTGGAGACCATTTTGGAACCCCCCCCTGGCGCGCTATGGTAGCGATAAGGAATGCGGCTGCTTGAACGACAACCCTCCCCAACCGACACGACAGTTCCGGAAAGTTAAATTCAACACACTGAAATGTCCATCCATTTTCTAGTTGGTTTTAGTAAATATCTCCGTCCAGCGAATTTATTTGATGACATCTATCTAGGAGGCTCTAGCTGTAGGGACTGCCACCAGGGCACTCGTCTTGTGGTAACGAACGTGAGGAGGCTCAATGGGGTTGGGAGCAAAGGAGTGACGATGAGCAGGTAGGGTAGAAAAGAGCAAAACAGAAAGAGCAAAACAGAAAGAGCAAAACAGAGACAAAAAAAAGAGAGACAAAAAAACGAGACAACAAAAAAAGAGCAAAACAGAAAAAAGAGCAAAACAGAAAAAAGAGCAAAACAGAAAACAGAAAAACAGGAAAACAGAACCCAAAAAAACAAAAAAAGAAAAGAGAGAAACAACCGCATCCACCACGCGCACCCGTCCACCCACCTAATTACCTAAACGGAACACCCGATCAGCGACCTTGCGACCCGGCGCCCTGCTCCGTCCTGGCGGCGGCCCGGGGCGGAGCCTTCTTCTGGACCGGCGCGGCCCTCGTCGTCGTCGTCTGCGGCGGGGCGGCCTTGGTCTTGGCCCGCGGGGCTTGTCCGGCCGGCGGCGGCTGACCCTGCGGCGGGTGGGCGGGCTTGTGCTGTTGCTTGTGCTGCTGCTGCTGCTGTTGCTGCGCGGGCGGGGCCGGCCGGCGGGCGTTGTTGGCGCCTTGGTTTCCCTGCGCGCCTTGGTTGCCCTGCAGGTTTCTGTGCGGCAGAGTGGTGGTCGCGGGGTTGGTGGCAGTGGCTGGCTTGACGGTGCGGCTGGTGGGGGTGGAAGGCCTCGCGGGGTGCGCGGAGGTGGGCTTCCCCGGCCGGGGCGCTGCCGTCTTCCCGGGTGCTGCCGTCTTCCCGGGTGCTGCCGTCTTCCCGGGTGCTGCCGCTGCCTTCTTCGCGTCGACATAACCAGCGTCGTTCCTCGTCCGAAGCACCCTGGTGTTGTCGGAGTCTTTTCCTGGAGGTCCCGACCCTCCCCCCGATCCTCCCGGACCACCATCTCCCCCCTCACCCGAGGTGTCTCCACCCGGACCACCCGAGGTGCCTCCAGAGCCACCCTTGCCTGAGCCACCGGCGGGAATTTTATCGAGTTTGCAGTCGCCGTCGTTATTGAACGCTTCCATCAGCCAGCCGAGGTAGGCCTTTCGGAGTTTGTTTGCATCGGGCCCCCCGCGAGAGATGAGCGTCCCATAGATGAGATCCTTGCCCTCTTGATCGTAGATGGTCAGGAACAGGAGATCCCAGTCGAAAACGGCCGCATATTTGGTTGTCTAGCTCTTTTCGAGGTACTCGTGTCTTAAGTACCTCGGTAGGTACCTACCAAGCAAAATAGGAGCCCACAAGCACCAGAGCACTCAGCCAATGGCGGAGACCGGCCCGGGCCTTCAAGTCCCAACCGCACTCGTCTGAGCCGCTCGCAAAGTTCAGCTGTCCACCGAACATCTCATCATGTGAAAAAGGCGTTGTATGAGGCCGCGTTTGATTCAGCCTTGAGACGAACGCCGCTCTGTGCCCCCCAGAGCCCCTCGTTGGGACGGATTGCCGGGCCCATTCACACTGCACGAAGCCGAACGGTTTCGGCAGGTAGCATTGCCGAGTGTGTTTCTTCCAGGTTGGGAACCCGGGTCCGCTGCCCGCTGCTGCCTTCACTCGCCAGTCTCCAGAGCTGTGCCGGTGTGGTAACAAAAGGACACCTCCATCGCCCGACCTAACAAGACAACCCAGGCCTTTATCTCTCTGTGGATTCGACAAAGCAGCAAACATTCCCGACACAACATTGTGTGGAAGGTGCCTCACACGGTCACACCGCCCATTCAATCTTCGACGTCAACCCCTCAGAGTCACCAACCCCTTCTCGTTCGATTGTTTTTTACAACATCAAACCCCCTCCTGCGAATCTCCAAACACAAACGGCTCATTCGAAAATGGCCACGAGGGCGGCAACCGTGGTGCCCCCTTTCCCCTACGAACCAGGCAGCACGTTCGTAATCAAGGCCCATACACCGCCTCCGCCGTTCGGGCCATACTACAAAAACAAGAACCCCGTGAGGGTTCCGGTCCGGGGCCTGGAGTATGGGTCTGGAAACCGAGTGGGCCATATGGGCTTCGTCATCTCGAACCCTCCCCTCGACCCGGAGGCGACGGCCAAGACTAAGGCACAACCACAACGGGTATTGACCATCGCCCGGAAGATCAGTCATAAACCGAAGGAGGATGGCGGCGGCCCGGTTGTTGTTCGCTGTTCCCTCGACTCGGATAAGACAACTACATACATCGCCAAGATCTATGACGGTTTCGAGTACGCGCTGGCCGAACCCGGCGAGACTGGTTGCGACTGCATGTACGTGGCCGACATGGATTACAGCCGAGAGGCGGCCGCCTACGAGAGCATCCCCGCGAGACTTCAAGGTTCCATCGTCCCGCGCTACTTCGGCTCTTGGACCTTCCCTCTCCCAACCGGCGCCCAGGGCCGGCGCCGATGGGTGCGCATGGTCCTGATGGAGGACGTCCCTGGCGAGTGCATGCTGGACATGATTCTGCGTGCCAGGGGAGCGACTCGAAGCAACCCGGAGCCCGACGCGTGGTCGGCGGAACCCCCTGGCCTCGATTACAGCCTTCTTCCGCCAGAAAAGGAGCGTCTCGATATCTTAGCGCGCATTGTCGAGGCTGAGGCCGAGCTCCAGTGGTACGGGGGCGTGATGCACGGTGATGTGGAGCCTCGGAACGTGATCATTTCTCGCCGGGGGCCCGCCAGCGCGTCGCCGCGCGTCACCATCATCGACTTCAACCTCTCGTACGTGCCGCAGCGCTGTGAGGCCGGCCGCCGGATGATCGCTGAAACAGGCCACGGCAAAGGCTTACCCGTCTCGATCATCGAACGGTATTGGCTTGAGTCGCACTTTGCCTACGGAGGCGTGTATAGCGAGTGGATTCCACAAAGCTGGGTGGTGGAGGATGAACCCCTTTTTCCCCCAATGAGATGGTTGATCGACAGGTGGTTAGGGTCTCCGAGATTCCGACCGCCGTCTGAGAAGTTTTTCAACCTCCCGTTTCACCGAAATTTGGATGAGCCTTTTCGCCAGCTGTTTGAGGAATTGAAGGCTGCTGTAGCGAAGGATCGCCAGGCACGCGGATGAGGACTCTCTGGAAGACATCAACGCTAGGACTCATTTATTTGTCATAATGATTCAAGTATCGCACTCAATGTAATATTTCTTTGCCCATGAGGGCGTTCACGTGGTAGCCGAGCCAGGGTGGGTTTCCAACTCTCACGGGCTGAAGTTTGTTTGTGGGAAGAGAATGCAGACTGATCACCCTGACACACTTGCTAAACACTGCCGAAAGGCAAAGGCTGAGATACTCTGTGAAAACATCCTTAGAGGTAGGAGCTCTCTCAGTTCCGCCCACAGCCTCACTGTGCTTTCACTGACTGCTGTGGGGATCTCCGAGTCCTAGGAATCCTAGACTATAACTTAATCTAAGGCCTTCATGGACCGTCTCAGAGAGTTCGGACACACAGTTATGTATGAGACAATCTGAACATGCGCACCTCGCAGGTGGAAATCGGACTGCCGCGGCCGAGGGCGATCGTTATCGTAAGATCCGGCAGGTCCTCTAACGGGAACCGGTCTCCGTTTTGGGGCCTCCGATATACGGTCTATCTTGCTACTGCTCCGTGCCCGTGCTGATGCAGGACTGCGCCGGCCGTAGGTTGGATCCCACGCTCATCGCCAGCATATAACATGCATCGGCAATCCGCCTTCGGGTGATGGCGGCGCCGCAAGCGATAGGAGCAGCGCGTGTACTCGTTGCCACGTCTGCTACTGGCTCGAGTGGTTCTATTGTATATTGTATAGTCGAGGCTTTCCCATCACAACGAGCATCGGATTGACTGGGTCAGTCCGTATAAGGCACGGTCGCGTCCAGTTCGATATTGGCCAATTTACTCAGGTTAACGAGTGTCGGGGCCGATACTCGTAGCGCGAGCACACCAGGTCACTACACCCACATCGCTACGTTTCCACTGCAGAATCATCTGATTCAGCTATTTCTGATAATTGTAGTTGGTTCCTAGTGTTGATGTACTGTGATTGAAGATAGTTGTTAGGTGGAATTACCCCCCAGCCCTTGCATTCAGCCGCTCGTTTGTACACATCGCCATGAGATCCCAGCCAGGTCCTCTATTAACAGAGGTACTGCGCGCCGCACTTGTCCAAGTTCGGTGTCAGATAAGCGGCCGACACGTAGTATCCTGACGGGTTCCTAACCCAGGCGCTAAACGACATGGATTGGATCAGTCTCACATTCTGCCAGCGACCAGCGTGCACTCAAATTCTGAACTTACGTCTCGCCCTTGACGGACTGGCCGGACTTAACGCAAGAGACCTTCACCTTCGCCCCCTTCGCGTATTGCCCAACAGCGCTGCAGCTCGTACTGGCGCACTTTCGGTATCTGACGGCGGTCGTGGTCTTGAGTGTGCAAGGCTTGACGGCGCGGTCCTCGAGGTCGGCGCTTGGTGCGGCGAGGGCAACGACGGCCAGAAGTGGGGCGACGAGAAGCGAGGGGAGCATGGTGAATATGGGAAGCACGGTAGGTAGGTACGTAGGCTTGCCTTGGTGGATGTTGAGTGTTGGAAGGTGATGCCGATTCTGGAATGCAAAGAACAACAGGAGGACTCATACTTTATATAGGTACCTGACCGTTCTCAAATTGCTTCTCAAAATAGTATGTATGTATGGAGATCGAAATTCCAAAGCCGACCGTGCAGGGGTTGCGATCCTCTTCCCGTGTAAGCGGAGCAATGCCCTCCCTCACCGTTCGGCTTTTTGGAGAGTCGGAGTGGAGAGGACCACTCAGCTCAAATCGTCAGCGGAGGAATTCCTTCCCGTGCCAGTTGTGCTAGCAGGGTTGCGGTGGAGAGACCGCCAGCCTTACAAGGCGAGGGAGTCTCAGCCTCAATTCCTTTTTTTAACAATGAGCCCTGAAGGGAACAGAGGAATTTCCCCGGACTATCGAGCCCCGAGCTTGGCCTGCAAGTGCCATGTGGCTGCATTCGATTTAATAGGTACCTACCTATATTTCATTTCCACTGGTCCTTATACTCACGGAACAAGACTTCCCTAAACGGATCATGCTCGATGAATTCGGTGGGCTTACCATCGGTATCGAATAGTAGCGAAGCCGAGATATTGTCTCGTCTTGTTACCTTATAAGTCTTTTAGGCCTAGGGCCTCCTTCTTGTAGGCCGTCTTGTCGCCGTGCCCCTTGGATAGGTCGCCAAGGATGAGTTTCAGGAAGCGGGCTCGATGCTCAGCCTCGCGGACCGTGTATGTGAAGATGATGGCGCGTAACCGGATGTGGTTAAAGATCTGGTTGTAGAGCGATATAATCTTGAAATTCGGCGTCGAGAACTCGTAAAGGAACATGATCATCCTAAAGCAGTACTCGGCATCGAGGCCGGACAGTTGTAGACGCGGCAGGATGTATTCCTCAAGAAGCGTATCCGAATTTGCATCAGCTTTGGCAATCTCAGCAGGGAACCAGCTGCTGGCTTGTCTGCCAACGTTGATTCGGCCATGGCGTCCCATTCCTAGAACCACGACTCGTACCTGTGGTCTTGTTCGAACTGCCGTCTGGTCTCCTCGCCCCGTCTTTCCAGCTTGAGGATGCCGTCCCTCATGTCTTTGTCGAGCACATTCTTCGGCTCGATAAAGTCGCCGCGCGCCAGTTTCCGAAAGAGGTACAGCCCTTGCCACCTTCCTGCCATTCATTTAGCCCGCCTTCATTCACGAGATCTATCCACGACTCCTGAGCAACAAAGACGAAGAGAACTCGGGGCTTCCTTTGATACTCTCCGTATTCTTCAACACCGAAGCGAGAACAGCGACCCTGGAAGAGGACTAGGAAGGGCAATGGTTTCGTATCGTCGCCCGACCTTTCCCAAATAAGCTCACCTTCCGAGATATAGGGTTTAGCGGAAAGGAGATGGACGAAACCCAGTTAGTATAGATGGTACTAGCACTCCTGTATAATAGCGGCTTAACTCTATATATCCTCTTATAGTCCAGATGGTTTAATGCTCCCGAAGGACTAGGAATTTCTCATATGTTGTCCCCACGACGCGAATAGGCCATGCGCGGTGAGGAAATGGGAACCACAATTGTCGACCGATCAAGAGAGCAAGGTTCTGAACTGGGTGTTCGAAGTTGTCGGCGGTACCATCCATCTTCTGGCTCGACGAGCGTATTTCCCGTCCGCCTTGGAAAGGCCACCCCGCAATATTAAGCAAGGCCCTTCCTTGGAGCCATTCGATCGCATGAGAGTCTTGATGGACCAGGACCGCACGCGGGCACAGTTTGGCAACTCTCCACCACCTCCCCAAATAGCTGCATCCTGCCCTGAAGGTGAGAACATCTATCACTGCAGCGCTACCCAACTACGTTGTGCGCCGCAGTAACACCGTCACCAAGCTCCCGACCGTGATCCCGCGCGCAGGCACCAATCCCCCCGAGCTGTATCACTAGGTAGTTGGCCCCGTCGTCTTCATCCAGGGCGACCTCACCGCGGACAACATCCTGGTTCGTGACGGCCGCGTCGCGAGATCCTGGACTGGGGGTTCGCCGGGCGGTAATACCCGGAGTATTGGGACTGCGCGGTTGCGCTTCGCGGGCTACATGTAGATAACATCGACTAGGGGACGCTGGGCAGCGAGCCCCTGTCTCTCTTTGCTAAGCGTTACGATCTCGAGTACATCCTATCCTCTGATCAAATTCATCCTCGGTATCCCTCACCACGGCGCCAGAACCAACAAGGGCCCCCCACCCACCCAAAAGCACCAAACGTAGCAACCAAATCCCGACCCCCCCCCCCCCAAACCAAGCCATCAAACAACCGTACTATCCAGCAACTTATCCATCATCTCCCCGACGACCTCCTCCCACCAATCTTGCGTCTGCCACCCGCGGTCCACCAGCACCTGAAAGCCCTCATACAGAAAATTCTGACAATTCCAGTCCGGCGGACGAGCACCCGCGGGGACGGCGGCGACGGCCTCGGCGGGGGCCATCTCGCGACCCGCCGGCACGCGCAGGGCGCCCGCGCTGACGTGGGCGACGTAGGCGCGCGTCTCGAACCACGGCACCGGCACGTGCAGCCGCCCCACCACCCACAGGTCCGTCGCCTCGTCCCGCTGCGTGTGCACCGTCTCGTGGTAGGCCGGCAGGTCCGGCGAGGTGAGGTAGAGGAGGGCGTGCCGGTGGTTGTAGGTGTCTAATGGCTCGCCGCGGAAGATGTACACTGTGAGGTGGATGGTGGTGAAGCCGGTGTTGTTGGTGGTGGTGGTGATGGCTTTTGTGTTGTCCGGGGTTTGGGTTTCTGTTCCGGATCCGCCGTTGCTGTTGCTGCTGTGACTGTCTAGCTCTTCGATGCCGTCACTCCGGCTTGGCGTATTATTGCTTGCTTTCTCGCCTGAACCCTGTCCCTCGGGTTTTCTGTGGCTGATTATGCTGGATGTATATGTACTGGAGACCATGGCGGGCGCGGATGGGTCATACAACAGAAAGCGAATGTATCATTTGTGTCTCGGGGAAGAATACTGTGTACGAAGATCTTGATCAACCCAGTTGCCGGAGTCCGGAGAGCACCAATCAGTTTGTATCGGGTACCCCAATTTTTACCCCTCGCCACCCGTTGGTTGTCGCCGCAGGTGACAGGATATGCACCGAGTGACCCACCCATAACTCAACTTGAAAGATCCCATCACCTGGCGCGTCCTTAACCATCGCACTCACCACACTCGAAAACAGGTAGTGATTCATCACACGCTTGACAGCACCCACTGTGGCGTTTGTTGTTATCCGAACTTCTTGGCGGTGTTGATGGCGAGTGTGGAGAAGGGACGATGAGAGGATTGGAGGACAGAACGAGGAATCGGTGAATCCAAACTGAAAAATTCGAAAGAAACCCCCGGAAAAGAAAAGAGAAAAAGGCAAGAATAATGGAGAAGAAGTTGAAGGGAACTTCATCGTAGGTAGCTAAGTGGGAGGATGCAACTTTGATAAACTGTCCACCATATTCAAAACACGGGGGAGCTAGGTGTAAATGGTCAAGCAACTGAGGGCTTATGTGATCGTTAAACAAACTTGATAAGTGGCGATGGAGTGAATTGCAGGGTTCCAGATACCATTCCGTCAGTTGAAGACAGAAAAAGACTTGGGATGTTCGTGCGACGATTGGGCTCGCAGAATGTGGGGCAAAAGGTCAACGGTTCTGACCTAGCAACCAATAGGAAGGGTTCAACAAGTGGGTTTCAAGTTCGCTGTCAAAACCTCTGCGCTTCTCCCCTTCTCCCAAATTCATAACCTGCCGTGAGATGCAACCACTCACAAGACGACGATGCTGCAGCCACCTCCGGGGTGGCGCTCTCTCAATATTCAGGAGCGCTCTCCGGCAATCTCTTAAACCCAGCTCACCAAACACCTTCTACTCTCCTCTTCCCTTTTGGCTCGTTCGACGGAACCACAATGTAACGAATGCAGTCAATGCACCCCAGAACTCACAAAATGCCGATGCCATCGTTGTCGGCGGTGGAGCCGCCGGTATTGCGGTCGTCGGCAACCTCCTCGAAGTCATGCCGCAGGGCAGGATAGTGTGGATCGACCGGTCGTTCATGGGCGGTAGCATCGGCCAACTCTACCGTGAAGTGCCGAGGTGTGTTTCGACTTTCCCGTCTTACTAGCCTCAGGCTCAGTATCCACCATCTCAACATCCATGATCACGGACTCTAACACCATTCCAGTTACTCCCCGGCGGGCGATTTCCTGCAGTATGCTCAAGCCCTCAAACTCTTCCGGGACATCTGCGACGCGGCGCCAAAGCCCAACGTCATGACCACACTCCAGAGCCTCGACCCCGAGATGACCTGTCCGCTCCACCACGCGGCCGACATGCTCACGTTCATCTCCGACAACCTAATCCAACACCCGCGCGTCGAGCCCGTGCTAGGCACCGTCACGCACTCCGTACGCGACCCCAAGGTCAGTATCCCCCCCTGAAGCCCAAAACCCAACCCCCGCCCTAACCAAACCCCCCCAGGCCCGGCAATGGACAATAACCCTCACGCCCAACCACGACATCGGCACCATCACCCCCGACCCCCAGCAGCAGCAGCAGGATCTTTCACAACAACAACAACAACAACAACACCAACACCAACACCTCCACCAACACCTACAACACCCCCCACACTCACAACACCACCCCCAAAAGTACAAACACACCGCCCCGCTGCTAATCTACTGCACCGGCACCCGCCCCAAGACAACCGACCTCCCCCTCCCCTTATCCCGCCTGACGCTCGACACCTGCCTGTCGCCGACCCGCCTGTCCCGGCTGCTGGCGGCCGACCGCCCGCGCACGGTCGCCGTCATCGGGTCCGGGCACGCGGCGGTGCTGGTGCTGCGGGGGTTGGTGGGGTTGGTGGAGGCGGGGTCGCATCCTTTGTTGAGGGTTCGTTGGTTTGTTCGTGATGGTATTGGGCGTGGGATGGGGGGTGGGTTTGGGGGGATTGGGGGTGTGGGTATGGGAGGGGGAGGGGGTGAGGCGGTGCGGTTTGCGCAGGAGATGCTGGAGGGGGGGTGGCTGGCGGAGGAGGGCGGGCAGCTGGCGGAGGAGGGGGAGCGGCGGGCGGAGGAGGGGGCCGGCAGGTTTATCACGAGGCTTGTGATACCACCCATGGAGGCGGGGCACAGGGCGATGAAGAAGGGCCTGGAGGGCGTGGACTACGTGGTGGAGGACGCCGGGTTTGTCAGGGGCCGGTTGCCCGAGGTCAGGCCCGGGCTGGGCGTGCTGCAGGGCCCGGTGGGCAAGCCGAAGAATCTGGTGTTTAACGCGCCGACGGGGTCGTTTTACCCGAATGGGGGGAGCAGAGACCATGTGCTGGGGCTGTTTGGCGCGGGAAGCGCGTTCCCGGATGTGGACCGCTCGGTGGCGGGGTGGGGACAGCCGGCGATCGGGGTGTGGGAGTTTATGAAGTCTGTGCAGCGGATGGTGCCGAGGTGGGTGCAGGTGTCAAAGACAAGGCATGTGGTGAAGAGGGATGATCGAGACTGGGGGGGTAGGGGGAAGAAGTTCCGTGAGTCTAGGTACTTTTAGGCGTATGCGTGAGGTAGGATCGGAGTGTAAACTACCTGTATTATATTAGTACTATTGGAAGAACGAGAAATGCATATGAGCCAGTCATGGCTGGTATTAAACTTGACATGCGCCGCAAAATATGAGCCGTCAAGTGCGCGTAAACACCGCCCAGGTTGGACACTAGAGGCGAGGGATGCTTCGTCGACAACCCCCATGGTCACAAGCTACTCGACAGCACGGGTATGCCAACGATGCCATGTCAGTTGGGAGCTGCGCGGGCCCCGGCTCCAACTAACAGTACTTTGGCCTCGAGTATGACCGCGGGTGCTCTAGGGAGGTTAGGCTTTTCATAATAACGTACGGATGTAAAAGGTAGGCGAGGTCATGAGAATGAGAAAAAGCTACCGATTGTTGCTAGCCTGTCACACCTTCCCGGAAATGGCTCGCCACTCTTCCTATCACACAGACATGACTGAGCCGACCATCACAGCCCTCAGCCCTATCACTCACCACATATCTTCACTTCTCCAAAGCAGACCACACTGGATATTATTACACCATCAATGGGGTATTAAACTCCGCTCTATCGACACTCGTCCCAGCACGCCTACGCCGTCCAATAATCCGAATCGATATCCACCGGTCCCCGCCCCTCTATGGTGATTTGGATAGGCAAGTTCCTCGCAAGGTCGCCCAAACTGCCTCCTCGGACCTCCCTAAGCCATGCCACCCATGCCTCTGCCCCCACCTCGTCCTCACACACGATATCAATCTCGCATTCGTTGACAAAAGCAGTGAGTGTTGCATCACATCTGGCGGGGTAATACCACTGCACATCGATCAACGAACGCGCAACCCAGACCCGCTTGATGAGCGGTGCGATCGGCCTGAAGTCGTCGAGCGGGCTGCACGGCGCAACGAAGACGGTAGCGATGTCCAAGTTCAGCCAGACGCAACAGCGGCGGCGCTCGGCCGTGCCCTCGGGGGATATGCTTGCTGGTACAGCCGTAGGCCCCGCGCTTCCCGGCAGGCTTGGACCGTCGACGGCGCCGACGTGAGAGAGAACACATACGGGACCGGGTCCGGTTCGCCCCTCGGGGAATGTGCCGGGCGGCCCAGAACTCGCCCCGTTGGCGTGCCGGTGGAGGATGACGACCGTGACTGTGCGGGGCTCGACCGTCAGCTTCCATATCAGGGCGCGAAGCTCGAATGGGAGGAGAGGGAAGAGGTGGAAGATGGCCATTTCTTTTTTAGGCTCCGGTGGGCTGTGGTCTCAGCCTATTAATATATTCTAGAACGTGTTGCTAAAAGTCTCCTTTCAAAGCTATCGTTCCTTGCAGTAAGTGCCTGGGTACTCAACAGCTTGAAGGTTAGAGGTAGGTATGTTCCCGCTCCTACTACATACGTATTTTACCACGCCAGGAGGAAAAAGGAGAGAAGAGACAGATGAGAACATGACTCGGAGTGCTTCATGATTCATCATTCACGTGTTTCCGTCCTCTTAGCGTTCTCAAAGAGAGGACGAAGTACCACGGACCTTTACGGTGCCAGCGGAGTGGGGAACTCATTTAAGCAACGAGTATTAAAGATGGGGGAACACAAAACAGCTGGGCTGAACTTGGTTCCGGTCAAATACACTTACTTCGTGTTGAGGAGGTACGTGTGATTGGTGATTGGTTCATAGCGAGGAACACGAACAATGAATGACGACGAATCACAACTCGGCGCTGGGCGATAGCGTTACCAAGCTGCCAGTTTAAAATGCAGTTTCTCAGCGCCTGCTTAGCGTCAATGCGTCGTTGACGGGCTGTCGTTTTTGAATTCTTCCTCCACCGTCGTCAAGGGGCTACACAAGGCCACCGAGCTGAGCATACCTAGGTATTAGGCCCTGACATACCTTCAAAGCCAAGGGATAATTCTTGGATAATTCTTTCCACGTTATTACTACAACCTCGGCGTGACTCGAAACTGTTACTCGGGCTCAATGTCTCTCTGTAGCCAAGAAGAACAATTCGGAGGCGGGCTTACGGCACAAGTCCAAAGGATAAAATAATGAGAACTACAATCACTTTGCAATCAACATCAACTGCACAGACATTGAGTTGCTTTCCGAAACGGGATGCATGACGCAGGTACCGGACTGTCGGTAAATGGAGCGCACAAGGGTCTGTTGCTGGGACGGAAGTTCGTTGCAGTACCTAGGTACCTACTTTGTAAATGATGTCGTGATAAATCTTGTATTTATTCTATAAACCAGTTCTTGTATGTTATCTCTTTTGTTACACCTTCGTCCTTGTCATCACCTCTGTGCAAAACAACGCGGTGCATGTGAAGTGGCCTGTGATGATTGGTTGACAAGGGGGGCAACCCAAATATGGTCGTTGGTGATCCCAGGCTCCCAGGGAGAATCAAGATAGCCGAGCCAACAAAACCCAACCATCAATAGTTAACGTGCCAGAACCCACGGCCCCTCTTTCGCTATCAACACCTCGAGTTGGCGAGTTTCTGGCGTAGAAGAGTACCTTACCATTGACTAATCCAATGGCCCGATTGCTGAGCGCCAATGCGACTTTAATGGGGCGTCTCTCTTCCTACACCGTCATCAAGGAACTGCACAAAGCCGCCGACGAAGGCGCTATGTACCTTGCTAGGAACCAACGCGATGAGAAATGCATCGTCAAGAGCATTCGGGGACACTGGCGGCTGCAAAATGAAGCCGAGATCGCCAAGCGCTACCAATCTCAAACTCCGTTCCTTCGCCCCTTGATTGACGAAATCCAAGAGCCGGCCGACCCGCCCTCCATCGTCCTCGGGTACCTAGACAGCGATATGCTCACAGAGTCGAACAAGAAAAGGCTATCGCGTCCCGAGATCAAACAGGTAGCTAGATGTATTCTCGAAGCCCTTCGTGTTTTCCACAAGGATGGCATGGTTCATACCGGTTCGCCTCCCCTGACCCATCACCTGCGTTGTCGTGATCAGACGGAGTTAACTCCTATTTTAGATGTCAAGTTGGACAACATATTTGTCAACCACGGCCAAGGCGACAACCGCTTCTCCGACATGGAACTGGGCGACTGCGGCGGTGTGGTATCTCAGGAGTCCAAATTTGCAAAAGAAGGCCACATCATCGGCGCCGCTTTCACTCGCAGTCCCGAAGCCACGTTCCAACTGCCCTGGAACACCGCCACAGACATTTGGTCATTCGGCAACGCTGTAAGAAACAAACCATCCCCCCCGCTGCCCATCCCGGCCCCCTTAATAACCACCGCGCTAACTCTTCGGCCCCCAGATCCTCAGCCTCCTATTCGGCGGCAACTACCACCTCTTCAACCCCCAAATCGACCGCGTCCCACCGGGACACGACGCTTACGAGTTTACCGTTCTGAAGCGGATGCACCGGTTCTTTGGGCCGTATCCACAATCCTACGAGACCTTCAATGACCCGGACACCATTACGATCATCAACTTCATCAATCACCAAGAGCCTCCGGCAAAGCCATTTACCAGGGTAACCACGCGGCAAATCCCCCTGGCAGATAAGGAGTTCCTCCTAAAAATCATGAAACTGGATCCCCGCGACAGGCCGACTGCGGGAGAGCTACTTGCGGATGAGTGGTTCACGGAGGAATCGCAGGATACGCGAGACCCGCTTCCAGGAGAGGTCAAACAGGACGTCGGACCCGGACATGCCGGGACCTAGGCCAAACCGAGGCACGGCAGGCACTAGTTGGAGATGATGAAATTGCATGCATGTCATGTATGTATGTACAAGGCCGTCGGGTAGCAACAACAACCTCCGAGAGTCCACTGTGGATTGTTGTCACACATCCCCCCCCCCCCCCCACGCCACCCACCCAACACCTCAGGTCCCCTGCCCCAGGTGTAATTTTAGGACTTCTTCCTATCTAACCCGAAGCACGATAAGCCTTGGCTCATACACCCCGTTTTGACCCGTCCCCCCATCCTACGGAGATGCTGACGAGTGAGTGTTGTTCTGCCTGCCACAGTGTTCTGCCTACCACAGTGCCTAGGACCCCTCCTCACTTGGCGGCGGTATGTCTCGTCGAAATCTGTCGGGTGAACTACTGCATTCTCAAGACTACTACGTCTCCAGCAGGAAACACCTTAACAACACCCTTCGAGGTGGAGGCTATTCGTGATATACTCAGAACGAATGATAAATTAAATGACGCAGTCAAATGCCAAATCAATGCTAAGCATAAAATATCGCGAGGGTTTGGACCCTACCCTGCTCGTGGGTATCAGAGATGTAGATCCAAAAGACATGGAAAACAAAGAAGAAGATGCGATTTGCAGCGGCCAGGCCGTCCGTTCGGCCCCGCTCCCCCAGGGCTCGAACCCGATGGGCATAGTTATATAACATAGATAAATAAGCGAAAAAGCAATGAAAGGAAAAGCAATGCGCGGATATGCGCGTGGTGTCGTTCTTCTTCGTAAAACGATAGTAGTCGCCTTTAAAAGTGCAACGCTGGCCAGAGCATCGAGTAGTCCTCCGTCACGGCCCTGAGATCCGCCGATTCAACAGTGGGTGGCCGCTTCGGCTCCGCCTCCTCCTCGATCGTCTCGGCAAAGTCGCCCGCCACCCTCTTGGCCGGCACCGAGCCACCCGTGTCCTCGATCCCATGCTTGTCCTTTTTGTGCTTTTTGAGGTTGTCCAGCCGACTAAATGTCTTGACGCAGCCCGGTACGTCACACGCTAGCCGCACACCCCTGTGCGTGTTTTTGTGTTTGCGGAGGTACCCCTTGAGGTTCTCCCTGACGCCTCTGGGCTTCCACTGGCACTCGTCGCAGACGAGGTCCTCGACGGATGACTCCGGCCCAGGTTTGCCTTGAACGAGGGCCGAGTGTTGGCCGTGTTGGTGATTGTGTTGATGATTGTGCGGGTGGTTGTGCTGATGGTTGTGTTGATGATTGTGTTGATGGGTGTGTTGGTGGTTGTGTTGCTGGTCGTGCTGTTGTTCGTGTTGCTGGTCGTGTTGGCGGTCGTGTTGTTGGGTGTGGGCAAGCTGGTGACTTTCGGCACGCGGTGTTAGAGAACCATGCCCACCTCCTTCTGTAATGGGAGTCCCAAAGACCGTTGTCATGCTGCTCTGCATGGATTCCTGGCTCAGCGCCCGAGACATGGCGTGCGTCGAGGGTGGTTGTACTTGGTAGTAGGGAGACGCCGCCGTATTAGGGGATGTTGGACTTGACAAGCCGCTGCTGACGCCCCGAGCCATGTCGCCCAGCATGCCCGCTTGGAGAGGGAAGCAAGGTGCTGGCCCGGCGGATGGCGGGTTCGGCTGTGGTGTTTCCACCTCTGCCTTTGGCCGCCACCAACCATTGTTACTCGAGGTTGCCGAACGCAATTCCGCTGGCGATATCGGGCTCTGGGGCAAGGAGAGCGGTTCGTCCAAACACATTGCCGACGTTGGTGGCACATGGCCCGGAGGGGACGTTAGGCCAGCATTGAAGGGCATCTGCGGAGGGAACATGTATTGTTGCGAGGCCGACATGTTGTTGTGGTCTTGTGACGACGAAACGGTGGACTGGTAAGGACCCAGGCTGGGGTTGAACAGCGTGCTCTGCGAGGTGTTTTGTGAGAGGCGTTCGGACGGACTCTCATCCATGGTTGAGGAAAGGGCAATCGACGATACTGTGGATGGCAGGTCGGAAGCACCCGCGTTGAACCCCGGCCAGAACATGCTTCCGTCGACCTCGGGAAGATTCGAGCCCAGCATGGGTTTCTCCAGAGCTGAGAAGCCTGGCGGCCCCCCTTGCGCAGGCTGCCCCGGAAAGACGACGTGTTGTTGGAACGCCCTAGTCGTGTAAGTCGAGCTGGGGGCGTCGGAGGTGGCGGTGCTCGGCCGTGTATCCATCGCTGAACCGCCCTTGAAGTGCGGGTCAAAGGTGGCATTCTGCTTGCGAGACGGGTCCTTCTTCCTCAGAGCGAAGTCTCTCATCTTGGAACCAAGGCTGCGTTTCCGCGAGATAGGCATGGCTTGCTGCGGCCTCCACCCCATCCATTGCGCCCAGTCCTTCTCGTTCGTCGGGAAGCTATGGCTGGTGCTGCACTTGTCGCAGTCGAACTCGCCGCTAGGGAGTTCGGGGCAAGACAGGAGGTGCTGGACGACCTGAAGTGGCGCTACGAAGGACCTGTGACAGCGGGTCATGGGACAGCCATAGCTCTGCTGGGTCTGCTCCCCGACCGACAGCTGGTCCAGGAGTTCGCGAAGAAACAGGAGAACCATGCGCGCCGTGGTACCGTCTTTGGTGACCTTGTCCTCGTACCTGGTCCATGTACATCAGCCACGGGCGTCTACGGGAGGAGGTTTTTCGGTCGGGCGCCGACCGGGATGTTGGACGACGGCTTGACTCACGGGCATGGCACATAGTGGCCGCTCATGGGGGCTTGCTGGTGGACGGCGTGCGAGCCATGATTGTGTCCGGTGTGGATGGCCGCCGTGAATGCCCCCGCATCGTGCATCGCTCGATGTTGAGAAAAAGTCGACATAGAGACTGGCGCAGCGTGGCTGGGTGGCTCGCGGGGTGCATCCACTGCATCGTGGAACCGGACCAGGCTAGCGGGGGAGGCCCAGACAGGAAATACAGAGAGATGTCTTGGGCCTTTTTAGGGGTTGGGGGAAGCACGGCGCGGAGAGAGAGGGCGGTGGGGGGGGGGAGGGACCGGGAGGCCGAGTCGCACACACAGCCCGCCACGCCAGCGGCTCTCGTCTAAACGGCGCCAGCGAGATGAAGAGCGGGTTCTTTTTCTCCACGATTCCTCACGGCTCGTTCCCGCCGCCGCGGCACGCACGCACGTACGATGGGGGATGAGTGCGGTGCGGCAGTTGTGTTGCACCCGGCCGTTCTCGACGGCGGGCAAAACCAGGTGAGAGTGTGGGGAGGGGGAACAGTCCGGGGTTGGCTGGGCGTGCGGCCAGGCGTCTGCACTGGGGCGTGGTCGGGGGGCGGCTTGCTCAGCAGCGCAGCGGAATTGACGTCAATTCATCTAGATTGCCATCTAATCAATTCATTGGACTTGGGCCGGCCTTGGCATGTCGAAACCGGGAGGTAGGTGGTCGCTCGGGAAGGGTGAGATGTGAGTGTTGCGAAGCGAGCGAGACTGCGCCAGGGGGGTGCTGACCGCAGAGGGGGGTGGTCAAGGGGTGGGTGTTGGGGAAGGGAAAGGCGGGAAGAACGGGCGAAGGAAGGATGGGGGATGCGATGCCAAATGGAGATAAAGCGGGCAGGCAGGTCGAGAAAAAGAGATGCAGATGAGACGGTCCACTTCACTCTTCTTCTGGGCGAGTGGGATTTTTGGGATGCTCTCCTGGCAGGTACGGCCCACCTCCACCAAGCTCGACCTCGAACTTGGCGGTCGTTCCCGTTCCTTGGGAGCACTGGGCAGGCGTGGCGCGGGCTGCCTCTTCCTGCTTTGCTTCTCACAGGGGCAGGCACGACTGGCCGTATTCGGTGTCTAATGCTACCCTCATGGAAGGGGGGGGGAAGGGGCCCGCCGGAGTGGCAGGTGGCAAGTGGCAGGCGCGGTTGGTTGGCAACCCCCAAAACAGGATTATCAGGCTGCTTCAGGTTTAGACGACGGGCAGATGAAGGGGCGGGTTCGCAATAAAGGGCCGTCTTCTCCCCGCGAGGCCCCGGCGCGATGTGTGCGGAGAGGGAAAAACTCGCGCATCCCCAACATGGGGTTGTGACTTGCGAATTGTGATTGCTGGGTTCGACTGCCGTGTGTCTTGCCCGCACAGAATTTGGGAAAATAGCCGGGAAGGCGCCCGCCGCTGCTGGACCGAGGCGCAAACCCAGCTCCCTTACCAAGCAGGGCGTTTCGCAGGGCCAGGTGAGCACTTTCCAATAAAGCAGCGATCACTCTTCAATTTCCCACCAAGAGTTTTCCGCGCTTCCATATTCAATTTCTCCAAACAGGTGGTTTGCGCGCAGTGCATCTGGCAATGGCCGCCGCCCCTGGCTCCTGGAGGGCGCCGCCCCGACGAGCATCGAGGGCCCCTCCCCCGGGCTCTGGGTTATCCGTCAGGGTGCCCTAATCCTTTGCGGGATTCGCTTCCGGAAGAAAGGGAACCCATCCGGCGGTGCGGAGCGTCGAGCGCGCGGCAGGCCAGGGGTCGCCCAACGCCTCTCTGCTCCTGCTCGGCAATCCGTCAGCTCTTTTCCGTCGCCCGGGGCAACACGCACTGTGACGTGCTCCCATTTCCAGCTTCTCAGCTTCGATCGAGCACCGGCGAGCTGGGCCACGAGCTGGGCTGGGGCTGCGCACCTCGCCGTCACCCCTGGCGAAATCGAATCCGGCGGGCCGGAGACACTTTACGATGCACCCTCGGAGCGGAAACGTGGGCATCGTGGGAAGCGCGGATGGTGCTCTTATCTCGTTGGCTGCGTGTCGATGCTGCCAAATTTGGAAGCTGCAGACAGGCTAAAAGCCCGGAAGTTGACAAGCAAAAACGTCAATTTAGCCTGGCCCGCCTCGCTAGCTTGTAACGGTCTCTTGGCACCCCTTGCAGCTCTCGCTGCTCTCTTCCCCAGACCAACACCAGCATTCGTCCTCTCGGCCTCGGGCCACATTTCGCCGACTTCGGTGCCGTGTTCCGGGCTGAAGCCTGGGGGCGCCGCTCTGGCCGATGCAGAGATCACGCGAATTCAACACGGCTGACGAGTTAGGGTTGCTCCCGGGAAGGCCCTCCGGATTCTAAATTATATCTAGCCTCCCGCTCGGTGTGGATGCTGAGGGGGGGAATCAATTTGGAGCCCGCAGATGTGACAGCCAACGAGGTTCTCGTCCCTCCAGTTCCGGGGATGCGAGAATCGAGAGATCGCAGACCGTCAAAGAGACTCAGGGGCACCGCCACACATGCGCTGATCATGTGTCAAACATTACCCGCCCGTCGGGATGCGCGAGTGTGGCGTTGAATGGCGGTAACGTGGATGGTGACATCCGGCTTGTAAGGCTGTACATGGTTGGGGAATTTGGTCCATGTGGGGGACGGCAAGGGCGCAATTCAACTGATGCAAGCCACGGTTCGGCTGTGTGCCGGACCCGACCCGAAGGGACGCCCGAATGATACCGGGCGGACCAGGTGCGTGCACGTCACGCTCCCTGCTCCGGCCAAGGGAGTACTGTGTACTATGTAAGAGGACTGGCAGTGTTCCTGGAATTGACAGGCGTCAACCGTTTCCCGGCTCTGCCCTGCGAGAACGGCAGGTATTGCCTCGTGACTAGGAGACCGCGAGTTACATTCAAGCAACATCGACTCAGGACGGGGGGTAGATTGGTAGTGCAATATGCGAGTGTTGCACAGTAACGCCCTGTGGTCGTTCCAAACTCTTCCCTCACTACCTAGATGCCCTCACACAATCCGCTAAGCAGTCGGCACTCGAATAGTTTATTATTCAAAACCTCACCTTCCCCTCGACATCAAAAACATGATGCCGGTATTCCATGACGGAAGGACAGGGTCAGCTCCCAATGAAATGCCAAAGTAGTTCGTCTCACCACCTCAAGCGCAGGGGGCGGGGAAACCAACGGCAATGGGGATAATTTCTCCCTGAGAACAACATATCGAGATCGCACAGCGAGTTGATCTCTGCCGGGTCGACTAACCGACCTGGATGTCGACGCGCGGCACGGTGCGGGTTGGTCGATAGTCGGGCCGACGACGTGTAAAGTGCCCGCCGTCTAGGTCATGACGAATCGGGGTCCCTTTCCTGCTTCGCCTCCATGATGAGGTTCAGCTCCTGTTTGATCCCGGTAATCCCAGACGAGGTGTATGACTGCATATCCAGCCAGCGCGCCTTTCCCGCTGTGCTATGAACCATTCGTACGGGGGGAAGGTTGTCTTCGCCGTACCGGTGCTGGAACTGTGGCACCGGAGTCAGCCCTTAGCTCTCGCCGGGAACCGTATATCTAGATCTCGTGTTATTCAAGGTCCTCAAGGGCGTACTAGTGGCTCAGCCGGCCCGGGAGTTGCGCTGGGCGAACTCCCATTCAAGTCGGTCGTCCGAGTACCTACCTAGCCAGTGAGATAGATCATAGTCTGGTCGATTCAGTTGGTGGAACGCAGATGCTGTCGCACGGCTTCCGCCAAGGAAAGAAGCCATCTGCCCGAAGCAGCACCATCGGCATTTCCGTTTACGAGTCTACTCCGGATACACGGGTTTCTGAGGCGTGGCTTAGTGTCCATTGTTGATGGGGATGATTATGAATCAACGGGAGGGCGGAAAACGAAAGACATCGACAGGATCGTTATGATAACTACCTAGGTACTATACCCACATGTGTAGCATGATTCATGTCTCTCGGCTGGGATACGTCGCTCGTCCGCCACTGTCGACTATGACGGTATGATCACATGTTTCATGACTGTCGAGTCGAGAGGCTAGACCTCCAATGAATAAACTTAGAGCCAATAAGACCATCCTGAGCATTGCACGCGGCTGCCACCTAGGTAGGTAGACTTGCTAGCCTTGTCTACGAAACTTGAGTTGGTAGGCGTCACCTGCAATCTTGTTGCTAGTCTCTCGCTCTACCCGAAAAGACGAAGACAGTAGTAGTGAGAATAGGTCGACTAGGTTGCCTGCTCATGATAGGAGCTGGAAGATTGGACGGATACCGTCGCATAAGGGCGACGATGGTCGGGGTGTGACTCTCGACCTGCTTCAAAACAGCTTGGATCTACTTCTCTGGGGTATTCTCTTGGAATCCCGCGACTTTTGGAGAGATACCCGAGAACATCCCGCCGAGTAGTCGGTTGATATTCGACAAGTAATCCTGAAGTGCAGGCAGGGGGGGTTCATTGCTTGGGCAGATGAACGGCTGAGCAAATAAGGCGCATGATCTTGTAAGCCACCAAGGGACTGCGTAACGCGGGATCTAGGTTTCGAGCGGGGAACTGCTCGCAATATCGTCCCTTGCGATTGATGCGGTCGCGGAGATTGAGGCCGGCCCACGAGAGGTCATTCGCCAGATCACTCGCCGAAGTGACCCATGGCAGGTTCAAAGGACCGAAAATGCGCTAGGGGGGTTGCTGTCCTTTGGCGGTATTCCAAACCCAAGTTTTGTTCATCTAACGGGTGTGCAGTATTGAGTACTAGCTGACGATATAAGTTCCCAGGATTTAGGCGAGCAGTGTATGGTGGGAGGAGGGGAAGATGGAAAATAGGAAAAGGGGAAGGGGAGATAGGAGAGCGGGAGGATAGGAGGATAAGAAGACCGGAAGACAGGAAGACGAAGAGATGGTGGGAAGACGGGGAATGATGGGATGGTGGGGAAATGGTCCCATTCAGGGGAGGGATCTTGGAAAGAAAACGCCATATTCATTCTGTTTTACGATGCTCGCTACCGGGCATATGTACTGTGTTCCAAGTCCAAGTCCCTTCATTTTCCCATTCCCATCTTCTTCTTCATCTCGCCCATCGTCTCGCCAATCGACTCCGAGACATTTTTGCCCGTCTCCTGCATCTTCTGGCCCGCACCTTTGGCGGTGCTCTCGGCGCCCTCGAGGCCGCCCTTACCCTTAGCCCGGTGCACATGCTCAGGCTTGTCCGTAGTTGAGTACATGGAGTTGGGATCATGGAGCTGGTTTTGTCAGAATTTATATTTAAAACCAAAGAAGTAGCAGTAGAAGCTTGGGTGGTTCGGTAAACACACAATAACTTACATGGGCGTCCTCCTCGGCATGGTCAATCAGGTCGTGGCACTCCTCGGCCGCCTCGTCGGTGTAGCCCGACTCATGCTTGGGCACCACATGATGCGGATGGTGTGCCTTAGGGGCTTTGTGAGTAGTGCGTTGTCCTTGCTCCATGATGGTTGACGTAGTTTTGACTGATAATTTTGTGGCTGGGGGGTTGTGGTATGAGTCTGACAATGACTTTGGTGGGTGAGAATGGGAAGTAATGTAATTCTACGAAGCCCCCTTGGTCCTATTAATACCAGTGGCGGGCGCCCTTGATCATTTGCGTCACTGTCGTCATGCTGAGCCCTTGGATTGGAGAAGCTCAGGGTTGCTGAGACGTCACTGGCGGATTGTTCGTGCCACACCACCACCCCGCACCATCGAGAGACAAAGAGCGTCATCCAAAGGGTGATCTGTTACAACCTTCCCGGATGCGGATATGCTCATCAGGGCGGTGCTGGCTGTACACTGTAGTGTAGGCACGAGGAGTGTTGCCCGGCCTGGCTGTGGCAACGGATACTGTTGCAATAAGGCCATGAATAAAACAATAGTAGTGCATAATTGTGGCGGGTAAACTCCCCTTGGCATCATGACAACATGAGCAGAAACTGACTGCTCCGCAAATGTATTCGGGGAGGGAGAAGGGTTCAGGGGTCGGCCGGGATCCAGGTACCGAGGTTTCCGGGGCAAAACGTGAACACCGATCTCAAAGGCCTAGGGAAGAGATGAGTACCTAAGGTAGGTAAGGTAACTATAACTAATTGAGAGTCTTTTAATAGTGATATAATACACCACAGCGAAATTAATTGACACAAGAGAACTATTTATCTAACCCCCAACACTGCCCACACTACCAACCATCTTCGGTTCCAGCCCCATGACGAACCGCCTACCAACACGACCCGGAACCTCTCAAAGAAGAACGGTCATACCAACAGCCCTGTTGTTAGCAATACCGTCCAGGCTAAAGCGCTGGACCTCGGCAGCAGAACCAGAGCCGCCCGAGACATCAACAACGGTGACAGCCGACTGGGTGGAGCCGTTTCCGGGGGCGAGGGCGTACACGAAGTTGCCGGCGGCGCGCAGATCAGTCAGGCCGGCGTCGCCGTTGGGGGACAGGTCCAAGGTAGAAACGACGGTGGCGTCGGCGACGCTCATCTCGACGATGCGGTTGGCGGCGAAGTCGGTGACAAAGGCGGTGCCCGTCACAGGGGAGATGGACACCCAGCAGGTCGCGATCTGGCCCTCGACCGCGCCCGTCGCCACCGTCGTGGCCATGCCGGTCTGCGGGTCGACGCGGAGCACCGCCGCGCCGAAGCCGGCGTCGGTCGAGAAGACGGTGTCCGTGCCCGGCACCTGCTGCGATCCGAACAGCACCAGCGTGTCGGCCGGCTCGCTGCGCTGCTCCTTCATGGAGACGGACGCCTTGCCGCCGCCCCTCTTCTTCTTGCCGCAGCCGCTGCCGGCCGTGACGGGGAAGGACGAGAAGAAGCCGGTCTTGTTGGTGGGCGGGTCGCCCTTGACGATGGCGTACAGGGCGCTCTCGTCCTCGGAGAAGAAGACCTGCGAGACGGTGTTGGTGGGCCCGATGGGGGGCGTCGTCTGGCCGAGGTCGTAGGGCCGCAGGGCGTCCATGGGCCCGAGCCCGCGCGTGGCCGAGAAGCTGCTGCAGGCCACGCCGGCCTTGGCGCCCGACGACCCGACGCACACCAGGCCGTGCTTGGCCGAGGCGCCGACCGTGTTGGGGAACTCGCCCGGGAACGCCACCGGCTTGCCGACGGCTGTCAGCTTGGTCGGGTCCGATGGGGAGATGGTCAGCATGCTCAGCGTGTTGGAGCCGGCGTTGACCGCGAAGATGGTCTGGTGGTTTTGGTGTTAGTACCTATCTTGCGTGTTGTGGATGGGATGGGCGCTGGGCTTACGTTTCCGACCATGGTCAGCGCAGATTGGCTGACCAGGGCATCGGGGGTGGCGGGCTGGTTCTCGGCGTTCAGCGCGATGGACCCGGCTCCGTCGGTGGCGGTGATGGTGCCGGCAGAAAGCTTGCCGTCGGGGCCGATGGGCAGCGCAACAACCGAGTTGCTCTCATCGTTGGTGAGGATGTAGATGGCCTGTCCGGTAGGAGAGGCTGGGCAATCCTTGGACTCAGCAGCCTTAATGACCCCAGGGGCCAATGCCAGCAAAGCGGCCAAGGGGAGCCACGAACGCGAGATAAAAGGCATGTTGAAAGTTGAAAGTTGAAAGTTGTGATTGTGAAACAGTCAAAGTAGTTTGAGTATTATGTATTATCTCTGTGAAGCCAAGATGTGTGGGGATGGGGATGGGATGATTTCAAGACTCATCTCGAAGAAGAGACGATGCCTCTTATACCTTTGTTGACGAATCTCGATGTCAAAGCAGCCAGACCCTGCGAGTTGAGACCGTCGCAGCCTGCCGCAGTCTGACGAAGATGATTCCAACACTGCGGCAGTGTTGCCTGCCATCATTCTCCACGCAGACATGGATCAAGAGGAGACACTACTAGTTTTGGATTGTTTGATTACGGATCTACTTTCTGAGAAAAGACATACCCGTGGCCGTGTCTCCTTCGATGGGCGGTGCTGGGAAACATCACCCCCCTGTCCAGATTAACTCTAAATCAACCCTGAGTGTCTCGAGCTGCGCCCTGCCAAGCGAATGGACGTGTGAGCTTGTTTCGATGCTCACTTAATCAGAATTTCCTTTTTCGGATCGCTTCAGGATTCAGGGGCCCACAAGCTGACCCGGTTCCTTGGTTACATGCGGTTCCCGTTGGACTCTCTGGTCGGCGGTAGGCCCAAAGCAGTAATTCAGGTTATGTGAGCACAATTTCCTTGCAATACCCCGGACGGTCCAACAGCCCTGTGCGTGGGAGCTTCCCCTCTCCGCCAGTCCACCCCCCTTGTCGGGGTCCAGCGCGCTGAGACTCTGTCAGATGTGGCAGAGACGTGTCAAACTCGAGACCTCAACAGTCTCGTTTTCCGTTAGTTACCCTTTGAAATCTTTGGAATCTTTGGAGGCTCATCCGCTCTTGGAGGCTCTACCGTTCTAAAGATTCTGGTGACTTGACGGTTTAGGAATTCAACTTCCCCGTCCAAGTCATTTTAGCCGTGGCCCCGAGAGAGGCATACTCAACTAAGCATGGACGTATTCCGCTTCTTCCGTCCGTCAGGAGGTGTGTTATCAATCAAAACTCCCAGCCCCAGCAAGCACGTCAGAATCGAGCTCATAGGGGGCCCCACTGGAGTCGTGGACCAATGTGCTGATCACTGATCCGGGAGCTGCAGAACCCAAAGAGGACCGCGCTGGGAAACGGCGAGCCCAGGTGCGGCGGGCACAGCAGTACGTGCAACCTGCCCTATATAGCGTGACCTATCAGTCCCCTAGCCCTCATAACTTGACCCCTTCCCGTCCGCTCATCTTGGACCAGGACCTACCGTCTCCGCAAGGATCAGTACACCAAATCTCTCGAGAATGAAGTCAGCCGTCTGCGAGCTGTCGAGACGGACCTGTTGCACGAGACTCGGCATCTCCATGACACCATTCAAACACTCGGAAACCTCCTCGCCGATCGTGGAGTAGATGTCAACCTGCACGTACCGACTGCCCCAGCCAGCGATGGAAGACAGACATGGCCAAACACGCCTCTCGCTGGCAACCACCTTCTGACGGAACAACCCCAAGGCCCTCAAGGTGCCCAACTCGGCGCGCCTCGGGTTCTGCCAGCTGACGATGCATCCTCTTTCTGGCCGGAATTCTGGCAGGACCCCCGTTCCGTGAACGGCTCCGTCGTCTCTCCCGAATACCAGACTCCCAGTCCGAACGGCCGCCAAGTCGTTGCCATTCCCGCAGTGCCCAACCACCACAAACCCCAACATGACGATACCGACACAACCACCACCATGGGAATGGAGTTCGTCCTAGCGCAAGTTCACCCACCCCCACCCCCCTCCTCATCACCACCGCCACCACCACCACCACCACCACCACTACCACGACTAACCCACCCCTCCCCCATCAACAGCCTCGAAGCGCCCTGCCTCCCCCACCTCCACGGCGACCCGTCCAACCCCTCCCAGCCCTGCGGCCACGCCCTCACCGTCTCCTCCCAACTCCTCGCCATCTCCCCCGCAGCAGCAACCCACCCCGGTCACGGCCACGGCCACGGCCACGGTCCCCACCCACAATCCTCCTGGCCCGACCTCTCCTCATCCCCGCCGTCACCGCCGTCGCCGCCATCCCCCAAGACGATGCACGATGCTTGTGCCAAGACGCCCGCGTCTATTCTTGATCGTTTGTTGACCTTGTCGGCGGGCCTGGATGTGGCGGCTGATGAGGTCACGCCGGTGCGGGCGTGGCATAGGGTTCGGGGTTTGCCGGGGTTTGAGGGGCTGGGGCGGGAGGGGGTGAGGGTGTTGATGGGGAAGTTGGGGGCGGTTGTTAAATGCCATGGGTGAGTTTTTGTTTTTGGTGTCTTTTTTTGTCGTCTTTTTTATTTTTTATTTTGTTTTTATTTTGTTTTTATTTTGTTTTTATTTTGTTTTTATTTTGGTGACGGAGGTGGTGGGGGGCTACATGGTGCTCTCCTAATCTCTTGTGCTGTTTGATTGCTGACTGCTGTTAATACTACCCATCTAGATTTGGGGCCGTGGTTAAAGAAGCCGTCTTCGAGAATTTGCTGCGGGAGGTGTTTACGGAGAGGCGAAAGAGGATCTAACTCGTTTGAGCTAAAATGTCGGCATACCTAAGCTATCCCACGACATCCATGGAGATGGAAGTCAAAACATTTGCTTTCTCCGGAGTGGCTGTGAGAGGAGCGACCGCTCTCGATTTCCCTGGTATTTTTCTCACGAGGTTGAAAAGTTCGAGGCCAATGTTCAGTTCTGATTTCCGGAAACTGAGAGCGTGGTTAGGTACGATTGGTTGTGCGAAAAAGGAAACAAGATTTGACAGTTAGCTCTCTCTATCACATGGGAATGGAACAAGTCACGGAACTCGGTAGGCATTCTTCAAGCAGAAAATGGAATAACCTAAATTGAAATGAAATCTGGATAGTGGTGGCAGAGCCAGGCTTGATGAGGGGCTGAGCCACGAGCGAGCGGCTTTCCACGAGGCTCACAGGGGCTTTATGTGAACGCTTAACCAAACTTGGGCGTTCGCAAAGCTTCCATTGGCCGATTTGCCCAAAGGGGCCACGGCCTGGGCCTTGGAAGGCCTCAATGTTGCCCGGTTGGGAAAGTGGGGCTAACCCGACGGCACGACACCAGCACGACTGATAAAGAACGGCAGTTACACCACAAAATCCCGAATCTAGGTCTGTCTCCCCAAGTCATATCAACATCTCCTCCTCCAACATAGAAGGTCGATAGTTCGTAAGTCGAGTTGATAGCGGACCTTTCAACAATATCCCACAAATTTGCCTCCCTCGGACAATCACAACTTATTTCGTTGTCTTTCTTTTCCTCTTTTCTTTTATTACGACCCGCATCTTGGTACTATTTACTACTAGGACAAGTTCTACCACACAAAAAAACAAAAAAAACAAGCAAACGGCCATGGAGGCACCAAAGGCTACCGCGGCCGAAGCACCTCCACAAACTCCCCCAGCGACAACCGATGCCAACCTCTCCTGCGATGGACCATCCTCCTCCACCGAAACCGGTACCGATGTGATCTATTCTCGGGGCGAGTACATCCCCCAGCCCCCTCCCTGGGACGCCCAACTCCTCAACGCCCTTGAAACCTTCATGCAACGCCCAACCCAGCGATCCAACCCGTCCAACCCAGACGACGTCGCCCCCCTCCCACTCTACACCCCAACCGCCGACCCCTCCCAACCGTCTCTCAAAACCGCCAACTCAACCCAACCCCAACAACCAAACCCCGAAGAGGAAGCAACCCCTTCCACCGCCCTCCTCACCCTCCTCACCACCCTCCTCACAACCCACCCGGACCTCCCAACAACCCTCTCCCTCCCCCTAACCACCCACCCGGCACCCCTCCCCCTCCCCCCGCTCCTCCCCCGCGACCCCACCGCCATCTTCCCCACCCCCAAAAACTACAACCTCCTCCAGATCCAACACCACCTCATCGCCGCCTTCTACCACGCCATCTCCCCGCTGCGCAACACCCACCTCGTCACCCGCTTCATCCGCCTCGGCCTCGTCTCCCCCGACGTCCCCGACACACACGGCCGCACCCCGCTCATCGCTGCCGTCGAGGCCGGGTCCGGGGAGCTAGTCTGCGCGCTGCTCGGGCTGGGGGCGAATGTGGATGGGTGGGGGCGGGCGACGGGGTTGTTTGGGGCGCCGGGGTTGGGTGGGGGTGGTGGGGAGGGTGCGGAGAGGACGGCGGTGATGGTGGCGGCCGGGAGGGGGGAGTTGGCGTTGGTGAGGTTGTTGGTGGGGGAGTTTGGGGCGGATGATGGGCTGGTGGCCGGGGACGGGCAGTTGGCGCTGAGGCTGGCGGCGGATGCCGGGCAGAGGGAGGTGGTGGAGTATTTGCCGGTGAGGAGGGGGGGTGCGTGGAGGAGGTGGAGGGTGCATCATGCTGTGGCGGTGAGGCGGGTGAAGAGGGCGGGGGTGAAGCTGTATTGGTTTGGGAAGGTGTTGGTGTGGTATGTGCCGAAGTTTGTTCTGTGGGACTGCCCGAGGCATGGGGTGGTTGATCCGCTGGTGAGGGGGTGCAAGTATTGTTGGGCGAACAAGCACAAGTTTGGCGGGTGGTGTAAGAGGCAGGCGAAGGAACTTCCGGGGAGGGTGAAGAAGGCGGGGAAGGCTGTCTGGAAATGCGCGAAGAAGGTGCCGAAGGGAGTGTGGCGGGTGGTCAAGGAGATCCCGGGAGCGGTTAAGAAGCTGGTGAAGTGGCTGTGGAAGGCCATCACCAAGATCCCGGCGGCCATGAAGAAGCTCTGCATGTGGATCTGGGAGAGCCTGAAGAGGGTTGGCAAGGCGGTTGGGCACGTCTTCCTGCGCGTCGTCGCGGTGCTGCACACGGCTGTCGCCGCCGTGCTCGACTACTTCCGGAACATCAAGCTCAAGGATGTGTGGAACGGGATCTGCGAAGTCACCGAGGCCATCTTCCGCGGCCTGCCGCGCGTGGCATGGAAGGTTATCTCGTCGCTTGGGATTGTCGTGGCCGGCATCATTATTGGAATCTTCGGGTTCGCGGGGAAGCTCATCGTATCGTTCTTCCAGGTGCTGTGGCACATTGCCATGTACGCTCCGCGGCAGCTCGGGGTTATTATCTCGGGGATCTGGACGTCCATTGCGAAAGGGTACCACGAGATCATGGTTTGGATTAATCCCAAGCACTAGGGTAGTTTTCCTTTGTCTGGGTGACGGCGTTACTGTTTGATACCCGGATGTCAGTTAGATCTGTACGAATACAAGCATCCCTTTCGCTTTTCCGTTCACAGCATTAAACCGGGGAGGGTACCCGGGCGGGTTGCGCATGGGCTAAGCAACGTTGGGGGCCAACTTCGCTTCATCGGGACGTTGTATAACTAAAGCACACGACATGCTCGCGGGGAACTCAGGGAATTGAGGGAGGTTGGTAAAGAATGGGCAGGTGTCGAGTAAATAGACTAGAGTAAGACTACAACAGTTTAGGGATGTGTGTAGGAGGCGGTGCAACCAAATCATGGTACGTCGTGAGTAAATGATATGGTGATGAGCAGGGCACTGATTGATGTCGGACGCAAAGGTTCACAGATTTCGTCATGTGGCGGTGTCACACCAGCGTGTCAAACATGTAACAGCCAGCAAGACGAGATGCGTAGGGTATTATACTATATCTCTACAAATCCGCTCGACATCAGGCGCACCCAACCACCACACAGCAGTCCAGGCCGTGGATACCTGCGCCCAGGTCCCTTCCCCGAAGCCCATCCCGATCCCGTTCCTCCCAAGGGCCCCAAAACCATGCTCTCCCCATCTAGAATGTAGACAAAACGGTCTCGGAAATTGACACGAAGGCCGATATAAAAGTAGCCAAGAGAAAAATAGAAAGAGAAGAGCCAGATGGCGGTGAAGGAAGGTGTAAAAATATCCAATCATCCAGACAGATAGAAAGGGCAAGCAAGAAAGGCACAAAAAATGGTATCCCCACCCGACCACGAGTTATATTCCCCGTCTCGTGCCATATCCTGTCCTTTTTTTCCCACCGCTCAACTCCCTTGTGTGTTCGTGCCCAATGTCCGTGTCCCAGAGGCGGCAGACCGAAAACCGCCAAGCAGGCGTGGCCGGCTGACCACGTCCAAAACAAATGAACCTCCCTTGCATCTGGATATCCATCCCTCCGTCACACTAATAAAAAGAAGCAAAAAACTGCATTCCCTCTCCGGAGAGATGGGGAGCAACAGAAGCAAACCAGAAGGTAACAAACACAACAACCCTATAAGAATAAAAAGCGGAAGAAGAGGAAGAAAGGTAAGTCGCTTTTAGGGAGTTCGCCGGCATAAGTTGAGACGCGCACACAGACCGGACACATTGGATAGAAAAACGGTCTGGTAGACCAAGACACACTGCCAGTGACACGGGCAGTGATGAAACAAATGAAATCGTAGTTGTAGGAGACGTGCGCAGGGACGCCGTGTCAAACCCTTTGTATTTTTAGCCGGGGTTGAGTGAAGTTGAAGGAGCCCGTTGTGTGTATGGGCAAATAAAGTGTTGAAGATGTGATCGAGGTTTGGCGGATTGTTTTCGGCCATGATATGGTTTGCGGGAGGGATAACCGGCCTTTGGGCTCTTCGAGAGCTGACGGGCGGCTTGGGAATTTCTAGGAGCGCGGTGTGGGTTCTAGCGGTTCATGGTCTCGCGAGAGTAAGAACCGGGTGGAGGGTTGCGATGTATACGCGGTCGAAGAGTAGCCGGGGCGAGATCGGAACCCTCCACCTTCCCGGGCTGAGGCTGTTGCGCCTACCCTCCGCTCGACTAGTACAGGAGGAGCTCCAGTGTGGCAATACATGCCTCGTGTGTTGTAATGAGAGCCTCCTAAAACCTGGCGGGCTCGGCAGGCCGATAGCCGTTAACCCTCGGCGGCTCGTACTGCACGCCCGTCATCGACTCGGGCCCTTGGGGTGGCCCCGTGGGCGACTGCAGTGACCGGAGCGGCGGAAGCTCTGGCGGGCGCGGTCGGCCGTACTGGTCCTGAGCGTACGGATCCGCCACCGGGCGCGACTGTGGAGCCCCGTGCATCCGTTCCATCTCCCGCCGCAACATGTCGATCTCGTTTTGCTGCGTCGCATTGATGCTCTGGAGTTGCCGAATAAGGTCGCTTTGGCGTTGATGCTCCGAGATGGCTTGCGTACTGTCAGTCTTGGGTGGAACACGTGATTAGATATCCTGAGGATTTGCACACCTTTGGTAAGAATTTCCCACTTGGAAGCTTTCGAGCCCCTCTCTTGGGGCATCAGGTCCCTCAACTGGTCGAAGAGCTCCTTCATCTCTGTGCGCCGCTTCCTTTCGGCTAGCTTGTGGCTCACACGGAGCTCCGGTGTTCGGCTATACGGCTGGGCACCGGCGTGGGCGGCCGCCTCCTCGTTTCGCAAATCATCCAGCTGCTTATGCTGGAGCGTGTGGTGATGTACCGTCGAGTACTCGCCGGACGCGTTGGACAACCTTTGGTAAGGGCTGACGGTTTCCTCGAGTCGCCTTTGCCCGGGCGGGAGCCTCGATTCGGTGGTGTACTGGCTGCTCGCGAAAGATTCGGCGATGCTGCTCCTTCTCGAGTCGATCAGCGATCCATTGGCACCATTGGTGATCGATGGCACCCTCTGTATATCTTCCTCGGGAAACGCCCAGGCCTGGCCCTTGGTTGGCTCGGCGGCGCGGGCGATTTGGCTCGTTGCGGGCCCCGTAATGGCCGGTGCAATCCTCATCGTCTTCGGATGGCCGTCTGGGGTACGCTCGGCGCTCGGTTGATACCCGTTCGAAATACGGTGGACGCCTGGGTTGTCGAGGCCGGTCCGCGGGTTCCTCTGTTGTTGCAAGGTCGTGTGAATCGAAGCCGTCGACTGGTTGTGGCTAGCGTAGGGCGAATTACCCAGCCTCATGTCGTGGAAGCCCTGGTTGATCCTGCTGTCCACGCTCCCCCTCCTCGACAAGGCCTCCGGGATATCCCCAGTCGCAAAGCCGGCGCTGTTTGGCGCCGAGTCTAGCGACTGCGTTCGGTCGAAGCGACGGGGGTCAGCGCTCCCGGGTGTCGTCGGTGATACCATGGACGCTACACTCATGTTGCCATTGCTGGTCGTCGGCGATACGAGCGGCTGTGGGAGGAGATGTGATGTCGTCGTGGTTGGGGACGGGGTTTTGTCGACGGGCGATGGCTGGAAGCCCGAGTTTGGGGGGCTCAGCACGCCCATACCTGACGCAGCTGAGGTGTCTGCAATAGGTTTTAGAGTAAGCCAATTGGTTCACGAGACGCCATCAGGAGAGTCCGGGAGACCGCACGTTTGCTCGATGCGTCAGTACTCGAGAAATACGCCGAGTCGCGGTGATCCTCGGGCGAGTTCAGGACGCCGGCCAACCCGGCTGGGAACTTTTGGGAAGGGGGTCGCTGTTGGTCCATGGTCGCATCTAAGAGCCGATATTAGGGTACGAAACTGCCCAACGAACCCGTCAGGATATCGGGTGACGGGCGGCAGTTTCTGAAGCTTCGACAAGTTCCGATAACGCGGCGGCGGTTCGTGGTTCGCGGTGGGAGAAAAAAGCCGGGAGTGAAAGAAGGGGGAGACAGGGAGGTAGGGAGGTATCGAGGCAGGGAGTCGTTTGAGACGGTGGTCGAGAACGAGTTTTAAACGGCAAGCCCCGCGGAAGACCAATGGGCTATCGGGGGGGGGGCCGCAGTCCCGTTGGGAATGAAGTTGATAAAATACCAGAGCTGGGTAGACGGACACTAAACTTAAAAACAGAGGTGGTGGAAGGGGAGGGTTCGGTCGGTGACTTGCGGAGTCGGGAATTGCTCAAGTTCGCATCGCCATGTCTAGGTAGGGTGAGGGTGCGGGTTGGTTGGGGGGCAGATGCAATCTCGAAAAAGCGTGGTCGGGACTGGGGGCGGATGGGCGACAGGCGGCAATGCCTTGAAGCGCGGACGGGCCAGCACGTTTTTCAAAGCAGCCAGCATCTGGTGCAGAGTGGAAAGCTGGGGCGGGTGCGCGCGCGGGTGGGGCGCGAGGGGCCTTAGGGGTGTGCGGTATTGGCTGGCATGGGGGTGGAATTGATGGCCCACTGTGCCCACCCCAAAAGATGGTCCCCTTCAGCCACATGGTGTCTTCCGTGCGCTGGGTTCCCGGTACGTCGCACAGCACAGACGCTGCGTTCCAGCGTGCGAGCCCCATTGGATCGAGCGTGGTGCGTGCCGTGGAATCCACACGGTCTGGAGAGGTACCTCATGCCCACGACCGCATCTGGCCCTAGCCGCCACGGCCGAAAACGGCAGGAGCTCAACTCACAAAGCCAAGGCGGCCACCAAGGCGCGCCGGGACCTGGGATGGCCCTGCTCCCGTCGTGGGTTCGCGTTCCACCGTCCGGCGGGTTTGTGGTTCGGGCGACAACACCATCAGACAATCCAAATGCCGTAGACCCGGCGCGCTCAACCTCTCCGAGGGCCCCGAGCCCGACGGGTTCCCGCTGGTATAACGACTACATGCTGTGCAGGAGATACGTAGTGGTCGCACCTTTCTCGGCCTGCTGCAGAAATGTTGCTGTCGCCGTGCAGCGTGTGGGGGTTGCTGCGACATGATGGTGGCCTGGCGTGGCCTGGACCTGGGGCTTAACGTATTGGAGTTCAGATGGAGTTCAGATGTTTCTGTGCGATTCGTCGAGTTATCACCTCTCGCGAGTCAACCCGTGCGCCCGAGTCTTTGGTGTCCATCCATACACACAGGAGTTAATGCGGGAAATTGCCACGATTGCCTCGTGCAGGAGATGACTGGAGGTTAGAGATCCCGACTTTCAGGTGACACGGCTCACCCGGCCTCCCTCACTCCCTGACGTTCGTGAACGTCAAGTGTTACGGGACAAGACCCGAGGGAGGGAGGCAAAACAGACAACTTTGCGATGGCCGAGCTCAAGCTTTTTCGAGGGATAAAGTAACTGAGAGCTACAGTGTGTATACCTAAATGTACGGCACTGTGCTGGTCCGAGGCGATGGATGGCATCAACGCGACACCGATCCTGTGATACAAAAGAATGTGGACTCCAACATGTGCCCTCCTACACGTGTAATCGAAAAGACGGAATGCGACGTCGGCCGACACAACGCGAAATTTCGAGTGCATCTTGAGAGGGCAGCCTTCTTTTTTCCTTCTCGATCTTGCGCGGAACAGTGAGCGAGAAAGAGGTGGTCCGCGGAACCTGGCGCTGGAAGCACATGGAACCTACATAGACCGTGATCATGATGCGGGGTAGTAGGAAGGGCCGGCAGCGGATAAGATTGTCTGTAACTAAAGTACCTAGTGTACTTCGTACATACAGATTAAGTGGTTGGGAGATCGTTGCCGTATTTCTGTGTAATCGTTCAATGGACGTCAAAATTGAATTAGTTATAGCGGAACCATACCGGATTACAGCCGACCGCAGCCCGCAGCCCGCAGCCCGGTGGTACATACTGTCAGCCTCCGAACTGCGCCATCTGCGTGAGGACCAGAATTAAGATAGTTGCCAGGTAGCTATCCGCGAACGGAGCTCGAGGCGGCTCGGATTTGCGCCGCCATCCCCTTCGTGTACTGTGTACCATGAGATGACTTCCGGCTCGAAATTAACCTTTCCGCGCCGCCGAAAAGCCAATGGGATGGGCCGGGCGTTTGTCTCCCTGAGTTACCATTTTCGATCGCTCTCTGGCCCTTGCAGGATCGTTTTCTGCTTCGGGGTCGGGCCGGCATTCAAATCGGCTTACGCGGAAACTCGCAGAAAAGAGCCGTCGTCTGGCCCATCGGGACATTGAAAGTAGGTCGGCCCTTCAGTCGTGGCCTCCAGATCTTGTCAGTACATACCTACTCCGTACCCGCGGCCCACCCGTCCTGGCCCGACCGATTGGGAAGCCTGGAATATGAGACGAGGCTGCTGTCCGGGCCGTCTGATCATGGCATCGTGCACTGCCCGGCAAATGCCGCACGCGATGGACTTGCAGTCGGTCGTTCTCATCGTTGTGATGGATATCCTTGAGCGGCACAGGACGCACGTAACGTTAACGTGGTCAAAATGAATTTTACAGAGGGCCTTTGCCCCCTAAGATATCCCCCGAAAGTCGGTGGTGGTTTTCGTGACCGAGATGGGATCGGGAAGGTCCGAGGTCCCGCCCAAGAGCGAAATCCTTCGCGCCGTGGATTCCGGGCTCCTCTCCTGAAGCGACGCAAGGTACCCGGTACATTTTGCCGATGTTCCCTCGCCGCATGGGAAGGGTTGCTGGCGATCCGGGGATGCAAAATTCGCACTAGCGCCGAGTGACAACAGATCTCGACCCCACACATGCCCACACAACACGCTCACATTCCACACTTTTCCTGCCGAGAGACGATTGGCGCGGCACGTGTCGTCGATGTGCCATGCCAATGCCCAAATTTCGGCCAAATCTCGAGGCCCCCCGGCCGGACCAAGTTCCAGGGGGGAGCATGGCAGATCGCCCCACCCCCCTGTCTCGCACGTTTCTTGTGTTGATTGTGGGTTTGTCCGATTTGACTGGACGCTGAACAAAGGCGCGTGGGAGGGACAGGCGGGAGTGGAGCGACCGAGTTGAACACCGACAAGCAATCTGGCATGTGTGGTAATTCGGTAATCAACTCGAAAACCATCATGCTTCCATTTTCCTCGATACAAAAATCCAGGGTAATTTTGAAACCTGATACCTAGGTAGGTACAAGTAGTTGCCCGGATTAGAAGGTAACGTAACCACCTCAGCTGCTTGCGGGCCGCTCTCGAGGTCCTGCGCTGCTGCAGTCTTCACCAACTCCCGAGTCGGTTAATTACAGCGGTTCGTCACAGCATGCGCATCGCTCCTTTGTCCTTCACGCCCCTCCCTGGCAGGTCCGGTTCAGCCGCTGCTGAAGTCTGGAACCAACAGCCACGAAGCTGCCCGCGACCTGCAACTTTACCTAATCGGAAGTACAACTTACTTTTTAACCCGCCAGTTCAATCTGAAGAAGGAAAAAGATAAGATGCAAAATTGAGTAAAAAACCCGGCGTGGCCGTTGTACGCCCCCCTGGAAAGGCTCGAGCTCAAACACGGTCGTTGTCTCAGCGCCCGGGCGGGCTATCCGTCAACTCGGCTTCGGGATGGCGTGCTGATTGTCTCTACTGGGGGCGGATGTTCTGTGGTTCATCTGTGGCGCAGGTGCCCTCGAGTTTGGCAACTCTCCACCTCAGCCCGGTTCAGCTCGTTAGAGAGCCATAAAAAGCACCTTCATAACAACCTCAGGGATCCTGAGTTGGTGACGCTAATAATAACTGTAACTCGTGTACACAGCAAGAGTTGTCTGTTCACAACGGCATCGCGGCACTGAGCGCCGTCCCTACCAACACCATGACTCCCACATGCCACGAGAAGGGCCCCGTGCGCACAACTGGTTGGTTGGTTTGCCGCTTGCGGTTGACGAGGAAAAGGGCCGTTGCAAGATCCGGGCTGATGGTAAGCTCACATCGAATCACCGAAACGACTGGTTGTTGAGCGCAACTCGCTGGCTAGCAGCCATCGCGTGCTGTCACCGTGCCTCCCTCACCTCTTCACCCTGGCCGGTCGAGACGGGACGCAAGGGAGGCAACCGAGCTTCACCCCCCTTGTTCCTGCACGAGTTAACGTTGAACAGCATACCCGTGCGATAAGACCACAGCGTGCCCGCCGGGGATCGCGGCCACGGCCAATGGCCGGCTCGGCCGGCTGCCTGCGTCCCCGGAGACCCCTTCTCGTGGGGGCATCTCGTGCTCGAGGCAATATTGGAATCCGCCTTGCCTGCATCGGCTGCACCGCAAATCTTCCCCGGGTCTCACGGGCAGCCGGGGCCGACTCGTGGGCTCAAAGCCCATGCTCTCTGCCGTTGATGAGGCTGACCCCCCGGCATGATCGATACTGCGCTTGTACATACATACCAAACCGTGCGAGCTCAGCCGGTCTCCCCGGGCCTGCTGGCAGCGGCACCGGAGTTTTCGACAAACCTCGTCTACCGGTTCGTCGTCGGCGCCGGCGTAACCTTCCTCGTCCCACCAGTGCCTTCTCCGGGCGGGAACCAAGGCCTTTCGGCCGAACAGCATCGGCCATGGCGCCGGTGCTCCGGGAAAAACAGGCCGCCCCGGCCGGTCAGCCACCGCTAACGTGAGCTAGTGAGTTACCCCTTGCCACACCCCCGAATCTTGACCGTGCGAGAGTCCCACGAACAATCTCTTTTGCGTCCCGTCCACCCCAGCCAGACCCACCCGTTGTGCTCTGATACACGGCATATGATCGGTCGCAGGTTTCGTCTGATACTCTTTCCGTCGTAGTCGGACCAGATGCAGTATCACATTACTCGCATCGAGGAACACCGATTCGGGACGAGCCATGCGCACGCCGCATGCGCTAGTGGATAGGAGACACCGTGCGTTTTCCACGCAAGGCCCTCCCCGATTCTCGTCGGGCGTCAGGGGCCTCAGCGGTGGCTTTTGACCCTGGTAGACTATTGGCGAGCGCGTCTTTGCGTCCGTTCTGAAGACGCCAACCAGTTCTCTGTCAACTGACACCGCAGCGCAAGAAGCATTCTCCACCCCATTAGCTTCGAGGTGACTCAGCCCTAGCGTATATATCGTCCTTTTTGTCCTGAGCTCTGCGCTGAGATCCGATGTCTCTGCCTTTGCCATCTTTCTTTTTCCTCCAGCTCTCTTTTTGTGATGGTGGCTGATAACTAGCTGCTTTTGCTTTCCACCGGCAAGGCCGAGTCACCAGACCTCACCGCTTGCTCGGGACGCTGACGGGAACAACCCACCCACATCCACCGGAAACCCAATTACCTCCCCCATCATCTGTGTGGCCGGCTATCTTATCATCGCCAGTACCGCATTGCCCCAGCTTCTCGGGACAAGGCAGCGTCGATCTCGGTTGCTTTCCCCACGAACACTTGACATTTCCAGTTTAACGCAACCCCAGGGACTGTACACTACATAACTACATACAAGCTGCAAAGGGCCCTTACTTCACGCTGTGTGACGCCCCCCCCCCTGTCCTCCCGTCCTGTCTTGTTTGCCGCCGCCGCCGCCGCAGGATGGTTCCCGTCTGGTGACACGGGCCCGTGGCGAGGAAGCTCCGTCCGGCTGTCTGTCCTCGAGGGGGTGGTTCCGTTTCCTGTCACCCGATCCAAGGTAATAATCCAAGGCAGTACCACCTGATTGTACCCTCCCACTTTCCCCCTTATTCCCCTTCCTTTCGCTTCCTACCTCACTTCCCACTGCGCCCACACCCGCGCACGCCGCACGAAAACACGCGCACTCCATAACAGAGTGGGTGGTCGCGTTTCCCCTGTTTGTATCCTCAAGGGCCAGGCACGGACGGTGGGGGGCGGGGCACGGGACACGGCGGCAAAATACTATGGCCGGCGGAGGTCGCCTTGGGCTGGGTTCTCGGGCGTAAGACGGGAGGGGGCCATGGTGCACGGGCTGGTTCGTTCGGTAGATGCGGGGGGGTCTTAAGCGGGCCGGAGCCGGGGACGGGGATTGCTTGCCTCGTCGGACGGTGGTCCGGGGCCCGGCGCGGCGGGTTCGGTTGGTTCGGGGGAAGGTGGTGTTTGTTTGCGGACTCGGTGGGGGGTGGTAGGGTGAGGGTGCTGCTTTGGGGATATGGTTACACGGCCGTCTCGGGATATGGTCTCTGGGGTTGAGAGGTAGGTGCTTGGTTGGAGGTGATAGAGCAACACCCCGTGGGTTGTGATGCTGTGGCATGGCAGCACGGGGCAAGGTGGGTACGGCCGCGTGCGCGCGAGACAGCGTGGGACTATGACGGGTCGACGGTCTCCGCTTTGATCATGTCTCGGGAGGGAAGCAAACATGATCAGGAGGTGCCGAGGAATGTATGAGACATTGAGCTAAAGCCTAGGGGCTTCCGCTACTCGAGCTTTGATGTTTGGCTACAACTGAACAAGGTGAGCAATATGGCTACCGTGGTGGAGTATCCTAACAGGTAGGGGGGGATAGAAAGCGGGAAGCACGTCCTCTTACTGGCGCTCATGCCCATATCCTGTATAGCTAGTCTAATCTAGGTGGTTTGCCATGACAACGTTAGCCACGACATCGCATGGCTAGGTCCCCTCCGACTCTAGCAACTAGTTTTGAAGGTACTGGGACCCCACGCAAATGTTAGGCAAACGCTATTCATTATCAGACCAGGTTCTGTTCTAGGAAATAGAATAGCCTTCAAAGGAACCAGCTTTTATACCAAGTAACCTCCAGCTTGGAGAACCTCGTAAAGTCTCCTAGAACTAGGTGCTTCGTCGTAACGGGCGATGTTCACTCAAAGACCGACCCTAGGTATATACCGAGGTCGTTACATACAGCCCAGTCAATACAGTTTGCATGAGCAGCACAAAAAGGATAGAATAGGACGACGGAGCAAAAAGAAGCCGTTCTCTAACAGCAAACTCTGCGCCAAGAGGGAATCGAACCCCCCCCTCAACCTTGGAAGGGTTGAATCCTAACCACTAGACCATTGGCGCTGAGAGAATTGGACGAGCTGGGAATCGAACCCAGGACCTTTCGCATACTGAGAGGCATGCTAAGCGAACGCTCTACCAACTGAGCCACACGCCCTTGAGTATTTGTTGAGAGTTTTTCGGAGGAGGTGGAACTTGAGAGCTGGCTCGGTTTGGGTTCCTCCGGCCCCGACGAACTCGATGGCGGGGCACCGGACAGGTCCTCCATTGGGCCGGGGTCGGCTGCAGGGGTTCGGGAGTCTCGATAAGATAACACAGGTGGGTGGAGGGGGCTTGGCACGAAATTTCTCGCAAGCACGGAAGCGCGAAACACACGACCATCAAAAACTCGTTCTGCAAAGCACCTTCCTTCAACGTTGTAATCCTTCAACTTGAATTCCCTCCCACACATCCACTCCCGCCATCTTAATCAACGCTTGTTCAAGATGTGCGTACAGAAGATTCCCTTTATTATATCGTGCGGTCACTAATTGATATGGGATTAGGCATTCTCTCCGCCGCGCTGCTCTGAGGTCCGCCGCCTCGGCTTCGAGGTCTGTCTCGACCACGGCACGCATCACCCCGTTTGCCACTAGATTTACCGCAGAATGCAACGCTGCGAGGATTGCCTCGCCGGCGGCGCTCCGGTTCTTCTCGCAGACGATGGGCAAGGCCTCCGAGAACAATGATCTCGAGGAGGCACAGCGCCAGTCCGAGGAGGACATTGACCGCCAGGCTGCCGCCGACGCTCAACAGGACGTGGAGGTAAGATTGCCAACTCCGGAGCATGAATTGCCCTCGGGTCACCAAGACCGCTAACCTTGCCCTTAGGAGTCCGTCGGACAGACCGAGGCCGATATTCAAGAGGCGATGCAGGAGACCCCCGCCGCCCCCGCTGAACGGGCTCCCCGGCCTGCCCATGGTGAGTCGCGACGCACTGCCGTTCCCTATGTGACATGAGCGCTAATAGCGACTCGGGACAGCCGCCCATTCCGCCTTCATCCGCAACCTTGTGTTTGAGCTCAACGAGGATCACCTCACCAAGGCCTTCGCGAAGTACGGTAACGTCTCGAATGCCCACGTCGCGCGTGACCCTCGCGGTATGAGCAAAGGGTAAGTCTTAGCCCCCCTTGGACGCGGTCTCGTGATGCCGTTCCCAAAAGGCCCGTGGCTAACGTTGGGTGCTTCGTTCAGGTACGGTTTCGTGTCCTTCGACACCGCCGAAGAACTCCAGGCCGCCTGTGAGAGCGTCAACGGCTCGTTTTGGCACGGCCGTCGTATCACTTGCATTCCCCGGAGCAATGAACGCTCCGAGGGTCGGGACAAGCACCGGAACTCGCCCCGCGAACCGACTCCCCAGCTCTTCCTCGGCAACATCCCCTACGAGACCACCGACGCCGAGCTCAACCGGCTCTTCAACGGCCTGGGCAACCTTAGGGACGTGAGGGTCGCCGTCGACCGTACCACGGGCTGGCCCCGCGGCTTCGCGCACGCCGATTTTGCCTCGGTCGAGGCGGCCACCGCAGCCAAGGAGGTGTTGGATGGTGCCAAGATCGGCGACAGGGCTCTCCGGGTCGACTTTGCTCAAGGGTACACGAAAAACCGGCGGGATGGGGACCGGGGCTTCCGCAACAACTCTCGTGACTCTCGCGACTCCCGCGACTCCCGGGACTCCCGGGACTCCCGCAACTTCCGCGACCGCGACTCGTCCGAATCCGACTACTAAAGTATGATGGTGTGATGGGATGCTGACTATGGGAATTTGGCTGTCGGGAATCTGGAAGAAGCCACATTACTTGGGCGGCGTCGGTGGCAACTGTAATATGTAAACTCATGCTTGGGGATGTGTCTTTTCTTTTGCAGTCTAGATGTGTATAACAAAAACGAAAATCTCCCTACACATACCGCTTGCTTACAGCTGAGTGAACATGAAAATCAATGGTTAGGTAGCTGGCCTCCACAAGGGGCCCTTGCTGCGGCCCGGAGTCGGCAACGAGCCAGAGACCTAGCCGAGCACATGTTCGGAGTGGGGCGGCTCATACCGGCCCCAGACCCGGGAATTGGGGGAGGGGGGACTTGCTGCCTCGGCATAACGCGTTGTCGAACCATTGGCGCCCCAGTGGCGGGCCCTGAAGCGGCCTAAATCTTCGGCGGCCCGACCTCAACCCCAACCCCATTCATCCAACTCACCTCACTGGAGCACCGAACCAAACCCATCCACCTCCTCCCTACAAAACAACAAAGCAATGGACTGGTGCCTTATTTCGGCCTGACCTTCTGTTTATCTCTGGGTTTCGGGTGCTATCCTGCAAAGATCCTTTTTATTTTACTACAAGTCTTAACCCTCGTGCATCTTGCATTTGTCAGCCCCTCCTTCGTGATTGACCCCTCCATCGACTATTGACGAGGTTACCTTTTGTTTCTATCTTCCATCTTCGATCCTCGATTCTCGATCTTCCATCTCCTGGCTTGTACATACCTTTACATCCTCGCATTCTCAATCTCTCGCATCCCCCGTGTACCGAGCATTGCACAGCAGCTATGTCTTTTCTCGGGGGCGCAGAGTGCTCAACCGCGGGCAACCCGCTCAGCCAGTTCACGAAACACGTTCAGGACGACAAAAGCTTGCAGCATGACCGCCTTGTTGGCCGAGGACCAAATGCTGCCGCTGGTGGCTTCAGGAGCGCAGCTCACAATGCTCCCCAGGACGAGGTGCGTCGGAGACAGAACGAGCGGGGATAGAGCGGTCAACCAATGCTAACGTCTCCCTTTGTGCAGATGATGAACGGCTTCCTTCACCAGTCCCCAGGCCTCCCCGAGATGCCCCTCGAACAGCAGGGCCCCATGGGCCAGGTGCATATAGACCAGGGCCGTGGTGTGCACCTCCACGCCCAATCCGCCTCGCCCATGTCCCCGGGCTGGGCCCCGACCGACACCCAGGCCGCCATGGAGGCCGCGTTCAACGTGCCGCCAGGGACCCATTTTAGCCCGGATGAGTTCGCCAAGTTCCAACAGATGAGTGGCTCGTCGGCTGCCGCCCGCGCCAGCCCAATGGCCGGGGGCAGCAGCGGCATGATGGCTCAACAGCAGCGGCCGATGATGATGGGTGGTGGTATGGGCTACAATATGATGTCACGCCCCATGTTCCAGCCCATGTACGGCTCGCAGATGCAGATGGCGCACCCGCAGCCGCAACAACAAGAGGCCGAAGGAAAGGGGAAGGGCAAGGTGGTGGAGCTGGATGAGACCAAGTGGGAGGAACAATTCCAGCGGATGGAGCTGCACGACCAGCAACTGCGCGAAGAGAAGGACGAATCGCTGGCCATGGAGCCCGAGCTGAACCAAATGGACGAGAAGCTGTTGCACTCCGAGACAGGCTACGGCGACCTCGAGTCGATATGGCGTGGCATCCAGGCCGAGAAGGATGCGATGAAAGATCTCGACGACATCGAAGACTTCACCAAGTTCGACAGCTCCTACTTTGGCGGCGATAACCTCAACGACTGGGGGCTCAGCAACCGCATGGGCGCCGACCCCATCATCCAGGACTATCTCTTCGAGGAGGAGAATATCTTCCAAGACCAACCTAGCCCGTTTGACGAGGGTGTACGCATCATGAACGAGGGCGGTAACCTCTCCCTCGCCGCGCTCGCCTTCGAGGCGGCCGTCCAAAAGAACCCGGACCACGTCGAAGCATGGGTCTACCTCGGCAGCTCGCAAGCCCAAAACGAAAAGGAAGAGGCCGCCATCCGCGCGCTCGAGCAAGCCCTCAAGCTCGACCCTAACAACCTCCCCGCCCTCATGGCACTCGCCGTGTCCTATACCAACGAAGGCTACGACAGCACCGCCTACCGCACGCTCGAGCGCTGGCTCTCAATCAAATACCCTGCCATCATCGCCCCGACCGACCTCTCCTCGGCCGCCGAGATGGGCTTCACCGACCGCGCCCAACTCCAGCAGCGCATCACACAGCTGTTCCTCGCGGCAGCGCGCCTGGCGCCGGACGGCGACCACATGGACCCGGACGTACAGGTCGGGCTGGGCGTGCTCTTCTACGGTGCCGAGCAGTACGACAAGGCGGTCGACTGCTTCCAGGCGGCGCTGCACAGCTCGGAGCTCGGCACCTCGAACCAGCAGGAGCAGGTACACCTGCTGTGGAACCGCCTCGGCGCGACGCTCGCTAACTCGGGCCGCTCCGAGGAGGCCATCGCCGCCTACGAGAAGGCGCTCGCCATCCACCCCAACTTTGTGCGCGCCCGCTACAACCTCGGCGTCTCCTGCATTAACATAGGCTGTCACGCCGAGGCCGCCGGCCACCTGCTCGCGTCCCTCGACATGCACAAGTCGGTCGAGACCAGCGGCCGCGAGAAGGCCCGCGAGCTGCTCGGCGGGGACGCCGCCGGCCCCGGTGCCGACGCCCGCATCGAGGCCATGACTACCCAGAACCGCAGTACCACCCTCTACGACACCCTGCGCAGGGTGTTCACGCAGATGGGGCGGCGCGACCTGGCGGAGAAGGTTGTGGTCGGTGTCGACCCGGCCGTGTTCAGGGGGGAGTTTGATTTTTGACGGGGTCGCTGATCCTAGCCTGACCACCGACCCCGGCGCGGATTCCGCGAATGGGCGTGTCGTGAGGGGGGTTTGGTATCTGAATGGGGCGGGGAGGGTGTGGGAACGGAGGGTGGTGTTCTGAACACCTCCTGAAGTCCACTCCCGCTCGTTTTCTCTGTTCTGATGATGCGGGGGGAGGGTCCGTCCGGTTATACTGTGCGCGTATATACAGAGCGCGGGAGACAGTCGGGTTCTTAATAATTTCTCTGGTCTAGAATACAGTCGGAGCGGTTAGGATGGATGCATATGAACGTTGGAAGATTACTCGTTGACGGCGGCGTGATGGTCAACGGGTCTGTACAATACGTCTGGAACCAAATACGGGTTGATAGAACGTAGCAAGCAGCGGAACCAGCGATACGGCGAAGCGTTGGGTTATAGGTGTCATCCCTCGGTTGATCATGTGAATGTGGACATGGCGATTATAGGCGAAGCAGTGATGTATTCTGTCTCTGAAGACAGCAGGGTGTCTGTCAGCTATGCCAACTAGGTAGGTATCAGACCGAGATGCATATCCTCCATAATGCTACGATATCGCCCCCGAAGCTCAACCGGCCCCGGCTGCAATAAATCAAGACTTCGGCCAAGCCATCACCATCAACATGAAGGCAACCACCAACCCCTAATAACCCAACGCAGCATTTCCCAGGCAACACATGACAGTAGATACCTCGGCACAAACGCAGGTAGCAACCCGACACCACAGCCCACCACCACATCCATACAACCCACCACCACCACCACCACCACCACCCCAGCCCCTCCCTCCCCTATTTCACCCCAATAAACCCGATCCCCGCCCGCGCCGCCCGCACCGCCCGCCGCAGCGCCTGGTCCTCCTCGTCCGTCCACTGCACGCTGAGCCGGTCCCAGTTGGAGTCGGGCGCGTTGTACTCGCGCCGGAACTGCGCCTGCACCGCCTGCAGCCGGCCCACCTCGCGCGGGTCGCCCGTGCCGCTGAAGACGATCAGCGCCGTGCAGGGCGGGAGGGCGTCGTGGATGCGCTTGAGGCGGCGGGTGAGGGTGGTGAGGTGCGTTGAGAGGGGGGATGGTGAGGTGGTGGAAGGGGGGGTGTCGGTGTCGGTGGCGGTGGGAGTGGGAGTGGGGGTGTCAGTGGTGGGAGGGGGTGCGGGTGCGGTGGTGGTTTCGGTTTCTTCGGCGCCTGGGAACGAGGGGTCGGTGGTGCCGGGCTTGTTGCGGTTCCACCACCCCTGGAATGCCTCCAGCTCGCGCATGCGCGCCCACACGAAGTCGACGCCGCCACCGGGGACTTCGAGGCCGTCGGGGTCGCCCTGGACGGCGCGGATGATGCCCGCTTCGACGTCGGCGTCGGATGTGCACGAGATGGTCACCGTGGCGGCGCTGCAGGCGCTCCTGGTGGCGTCGCCCCAGTCCACGGCGGCGCTGCTCTTGCCTACTGGTAGGCCACCCGTGGCTTCGGGCCCGGCGGTGGCACGGTAGGAGGTGCCGGCGCGGGCGAGGCGCTTGAAGATGTTCTCGCCTTGGACGTCGCCCGCCGCCCAGGCCTTGCCCTTCTCGCACTTCTTCTTGACCAGGTCGAGGCAGGTCTTGGCGTCCTCGATGCTGTCATGTCCGTGAATGGTCCCGTCGCCTTTTTGGACTTCGCGGTTGAGGTACTTCAGCGCTAGGAACTTGAGAGAAGATTTAAGCGGCGGGCCCCGCGGGTGGGGAAAGAGAATGGAGGTGTCGACAATGAAAGGATGGGCGACTTGCATCGCCTTCAAGTCCGAGTCGAGGGAGTGGCCTACGAGAATCGTGCGTGGATGCAAGATATCAAGCAGCCGGGTTTGTATGTCTTTCAGGGTGGTTGATACGGGGTCGATCATCTCTTTAGTGATGCCCGAAAACCGAGTCACATAGTCAATGATGGGCTTGTCGGGTTTGACAAGCTCGTCGAGCACAACCTCGCCATCCCATGATACCAAGCTTATCCTTGTGAGAGAGTACTCGCTCGCGCCTGTCATGCACATCTCGCAGTCAAGAGCCAAGACTTGGCGGCCCGCGGTGATGCTGCCTTGCTCGATCTCAGCCTCCGGAACATCACCTTCTGAGAGTTCGTTGACTCTGGTATGAACCCAGCCTTCGGGATCCTTGAAAGCGTCCCTTTGCGACCCCCGGAGCATAGCCGGATGTTTGGGGAAGCCATGTTCCATCAGATCTTCGGGCGTCGCTAGAAATTCCGTAATCCTTGTCCTCACGTCTTTCCAGCCGTGGGGGTCGGAGACGGGCTTGAGTCCGCCCTTCTTCTCCTTTAGGGGCACTGAGAGCATCGACTGCATAGGGGAGTGTAGCTTGGCGTACTTGTCATCGCCCGGTGCTCTCACTGGCCAAATGTGCGGGAACATGTCCGCGAACGGCTGCAGTGGTTCGGGCAGGGCATCCTTTGTGAGTGCGCGGGGATAGTAATCATCTGGAGATGTGGAAACCCTATCGATCGCTTGATCTGGCGAAAGATCACTGTACGTGGAGAAGTCAACGTTCTTCTTGAACATGGCCTCCTCGAGACCAGGAACCATGATGGTGACAATCTTTCTGAACTCTGGCCGGTGCTTGACCGAGACCCACTGGGGGGCCGGCCCGTCGGCGAAGATGTACATTACAAGGTCGCGAAGAGACGAGACATTGATCTTGGACTGTAGCCTTGCTTGTGCCGAGAAGTCGATACCGGGGTACCGTTTTGAGTCGACGCCTGGGATTTTCTTGTTTTTCTTGACAGGGCGACCGCGCTCGATTGTCTGCCATCCGTCGTCGTCGTCGTTGGCATCGTGAGGGCTGCGCCTTTTGAGGCTTCCTAAGGACTCGCTAGAGGTATTCGGTTGAGGAAGAGCAGTCGAATCGGAGCTGGCATTTCCAGAGACAGCCTGGGCGGAATCGACAACATCGGCCACGACAACCTTGTCGTCGTCGGCGCCGGTCGTCGCCAGGGTGGCCATGGCGGCAGCAATGCCCCGAGACGACTTGTTTTTCCTGTTCTTCCCCATGATAAAATCACAGCACCTGTGTGCAGATCGGCCGTGGGTTGAGAGGCTCGGCGCGATCAATGGATGCACTGCACGCAAGGCTGGGTGAGTGCAGGTCGATGGAAAATAAAGTTTTATGGGACCGAAATCGAAACCACAGCCTGCCAAGTCGATGGACCCGCACTAAACTACTTTGGGACAAGAACCTGAATGGCGGGGCGGCGAGACCTCTTTCCTGTCTCGGTTCAACGGTCAGACTTCGGAGCATCACCGTACCTGCCTGAAAGGCGAGGGATCGAAGGTGCTAAGGTGCCAGGTTGCAGGTGCTATCAAAGCTCGAGCAGGCAGCCAACCTAGGAAAAATACTACCTGAGTAATGGAATGTCAGAACTAAATCTCAGACTCGCATTTCCAGCCTCCAAACTGCCAACCAACCCACGACATGGAACTTGCACCTCGTTCCACGGCATGACTCCGCGACGACTACACACCACCCTTCCAGGTCCACATCATGGAAACGGTATTTTGTGAGTGTAAAAAATGTGATGCCGCCATTGGCCGATTCGCCAATCTCTGGACGCAAATTGGCAAGAGTTATTTCAGCCCGGTCATGGAACCCGAAGACGATCTTGCCATTCAATATCAGGGTGCCGTCCGGATTGGAGAGCAGGGCACATTGGTAGCCGAATGGTCAGCTTTCTTGTTTGTCGTATTATCGTGTTTTGATCCTGATCTCCTGATTCAGCCATCTACAAGACATGGTCTGCGGCAGCTGCGCTGCTCTTCTCGGCCTCAGATGCGTTCAAACACCCGTAAACCATGTGTTGGATCGGTACGCTATGCGAGGTGATCCTCCGGATTGGTATTGACCTGATATTACAGGAACCAAATCCTACTTAGACTGGCCTCGGTAGAGCTGCTCGACTGTGATGGTCTCGAGATTGAGTTCGTTATCAAGCGGGTTCTAGCCGTCAACAGACCCCTCGAAACGAACAAGGCAAAGGTCCCGACGCCATCCCAAGGAGGTTTTACTTCCGCTTTCCCTGGCACCGTCGAACTCCAGAAGCTGCAGCTTGAGCTCCATAACCAACGAGAAGACATCAAGCGAATCGATAGCAACGGCTTTAGGATTGTCACGGCACTGGATAAGCGCGCAGGTCGCATCCAAGCTGACGTCACGAACTTGAGGGGCACCGTACCTGGCCTTCAACGTGACATCGAGTCCGTCCGGCAAAAGCTGGTGTCAATCAGAGTCGAGATTGACAAGACGCGGGCATCAGAAGAAAGTTCTACAGCCCTTCCTGCCCTCGAAGGCCGGCTTGCTCAACTGACTACTATTGTTGGGGAAGTCGGGAAACAGGTTGCGACATTTGGTACTCAGTTCGGTAAAGAAATCGGCGAACTAAAGTGGTATCTCCGTCAACAAGAACAAGCGATAGAGGATTTGAGGGGAAAAGTCAGGGGCATTGTGTTCACTGCAGACTACGGCGAAGACATGGCAAACCTTCGTGCGGAGATGGCGCTGATGAGGCGGCAAGTTGACGAGGCCTACGCACGGGAGACAGCACGATCCGAGACGGCATTCCCGTCCCGGGAGCTTGAGGCCCTCACAAGCGCCATTGCCAAAATCAGCAACCGGGCTAATCAGGTCGAAACGTTGCAGATGGAGGTCGAAATCCTGAAGGGCAGGGTCGAACGGTCAGAGGCGGGCAGACAAGTGACTGACGACGGCCGACCGACCCGTGCTATTTCTTCAAGTCTTCCAAGATATCCCAGTGCCTATCCCGCCATGCGAAAACGTGGCGTATCCCCGGGTCTAGAGCTTCCTCCCAAAAGGCCAGCATCTTCTCTCGGCTACTCAGACCCCCCAAATCGGCGGTATGCCACGCCTAGTTGGCCGAGTATCCCACCAAGTACCGACCATCGGGGGATTCTGGAGGAGACCGATGGCATCACTCGCATACCAAGCTCCGCGAAGCGAGGAGCAAAATCACGCGGCCGAACAACGACGACAACAAACGATACCTCAACTCGTCTCAAAACGGTGACGCATACAACCCGTGGCGTCCCTATCTCTTGACGAGGCTCTTCCCATCCAGCATTGCCTCTAGCGTCTCGACGGCAAAAGATGAGAGGGCTTTAATGGGCCCGAGCACCTGGCTCTCGAAGAAAGCAGCCCCTTCCGGGTCTTCCGGGTCCCTTGCCCATGCTCGAAGCAGTTTCGACTCCTGCTCACGTCCCTCCAGGCTCTCGAGGTCCGCCAACATGGCCTTTGCTTCTTTAAGGACTCCCCAGTCCTCCGACGCGCCGATGGATCCGTGATGAATGGCCAGGCGCAGTAAAGCTTCGCACATGCTGACTTGATCCGCCATCGCGAGGGTGCCCACAATGCCCTCATGCGTGCACCTGGTTGCAAGCTCCCCGCTTGCGGTAAACTCGCCCGTTACAGCCAACAGCATCACAATGCCCATGACGCCCTTGATCCGCCACGGCATGAAGGGAGCCACCAGCTTGATGGGGTCGCACTCGGTGCTAATGAAACAGAGCAGCGGCAGTGCGTAGACGACCATCTTGTAGCTGGTTTGCCAGCTCATGGCCAACTGGCCGATTGTCGTTGGTAACGGCTCCACGGCCCACATCCCGGCCTCGACCAGCGGCCGGCACACTTCCCACCGAGCCTGAGCGAGCCTCAAGTGGTCTTCCTCATCATTCCCTTCCGGCACCGTCAGGGCCTGCCATTTTTTGTAGATGGCGTCAATTTCTGCCTTGGAGACCTTTGACCTGTCGATGGATGGGTTCCGCAGTTTTGCCAGGTCTGGTTGGAGGCTGAACGAGTTGAGGCGAATATCCGGGGATGACTGGCACACCTCGTAGACATCTAGATCGTCCTTGCAGCGTGGGCAGTCGCACTCGAAGTGGTACAGCCTGAGTGCTTCGCGCCGAGCGGTCTTGGGGAGCGTGTTGTCTGAGAAGGTCAGCAAGCCATCGTTAGTCCTAGGTTTCCGTGCAACATACCGATATACGAAATGGTGATCTCTTCCCCTTCTTGGATCGGTCTCTCCGTCCTCAACACCGCCGTCCGCTTGTCAAACCCGATGAACGCGTTCGGGACACACGAGTGATTGACCATGGCCAAGCCAGCATCCAAGAATATCCCCGTCATCCCCGTGTCCGCATCCAGCCGGTTGAACGCATTGGTTTGTATCTGCGCCTGTTAGCATCCCCCCGACCTCAACCTCCACCCAGCCGTTTAAACCCACCTTACACAAAACCTCCCTCGCCTGCTTCAACACCTCCTCCCCCTCCCCCAGCCCAGCATACACCACCGCCCCCTTCGCCTGCAGCTCCATATCCCGCCACACCTCCCCGTCCTTCCTAAACCCCTCCACATTCCCCTCCAACACCACCCCATCATCCCCACCGCCCTCCTTTCCCTTCCCCTCCCCCTCCTTACCCTTCACACCCCAGCCAAAAGCCTCTCTCACCCGCGCCGCAGCCGCACCCCCCCCACCCTGGTGAAGCAACAACAGCACCTGCGCCACAGCCCGCACCGGCGTCGGCAGCCAGTCCCGCCCCGCCTGCGCGCGCACCCGCCCAAACACGCCGCACTCCCCCTTGTGCCCGGCCTTCCAGTGGGCGCGCTGGCAGGCGGGGTCGCAGTACACGGCTGCTTTGCAGGCGGTGCATGCTTTTAGCGAGAAGGGGGGTTGGGTTCCTGAGGGGGAGGTGGGGGTTCCTGAGGTGGGGTTGGGGCCGGTGGAGGTGGGGGTGCGCAGGCAGTAGTTGCAGGTTGTGCGCATGCTGGCGCCGTCGGGGAGGGCGAGGAGGGGGGTGGTGAAGGTTGCGATTGTTGTGCCCGGGGTGGGGAGGGCGGTGGTGGCGAGGAGGGAGCGGCGTTTGGGGGCGGTTGGGTCGGGGTTGTGGTGGATGCGGAGGGTGGGGGGGAGTTGGGGGGGCATGGTGGTGGTTTCTTTTGGGGGTGGCCGGTGGTGTTGATGTTTGTTGTTATTGTTTTTGTTTGCTGAGAAGGAATGGTCATAGATGGTTTGAGATTTAAGAGGGTTGTTGGGTGGTGGGAGAAAGGTTTATATACAAAGAGGATGTGATGTGTAGGACTTTGAGGCTATAGGAGGTATGCCAGGGCCTGGAATTACTTATACAGTCCTACACCGGTTTAATCGTTAGCGCCTCACTTCAAGACAGGGGTCCAAGACAACATCTCCAACGGCGCCTTTTCTAATGACAAAAAAAAAGGTCTTGATTGGAATTTACTTTACGAATTCCACTGACCGTCACATTTTTCACTATTTTAAACGGTTTTTGTGCTGTCGAGGTTGGGGTTTTTAACTTTGGAATCAAGGTATCGTACGCTGTAACAAACCTCCCTAACCAGTATCGTACACTAAGTAAGACAAGTGGTATCCAAACTCAGAAGAGCCCATGGCATGGGTCGATTCGAGGTCGATTTAGGTTTTGCAAGGGAACTTTTGCATAAAACATAAGCTTGCCCCAGCCTGACTTGTTTTGATCCCAAGGTACACCACACCGTAAAAAAACCCATCCCATATCACGACTCACGCCCTACCTCACTGAGCTGCACCGGAGAATTGGTTGCCAGAGTTGTCCCCAGAACCGGCTGCCTTGATGCGTTCCCGTAACAGGTCCTTCAGGAACTTGATCAGGTCCTTGGTGGAGATATGCAGACTGTCCAAGTTTGATGCATCCGCATCAGCGCCCGCGCCTGCGCTAGTACTTGTCTCCTTCTCCTCCCCCTTCACACTCCCAATCACACCTTCACTTTCGCTGTTGCCGTCTGACTCCACAGGTGTTGGTGGTATTCTCTTGTAAACCTCGGCCGTAATGACATTGGCCAAAGACTGGATGTCCCGCCCGTTGGACCACCCTTCGGTCACTCCCAGCTTGTAAAACAACCGCAGGACCGTCTCGTGCTCGTCGCTGCTGGCCGGCTTCTCGTCGTGGATCGTTATGTCTTGTTTCGACAGGAGCTTCATCAGATGATCCCGAGATAGCCCTTCGTCCATGGGCCTAAAGCGAATCTCGGTGGGAAACCTGCCTCTCAAGCCGGCGTTGGACTTCAGCAGTTGGCTCATATCTTTGTTGTATCCGGCCAAGATGATGATCATCCTGCGCAGGTACCGGGGTTTGGTCATGCAGTCGACCAGCTCTCCGATCGCCTCCGACTCGAAGCCGCGGCCGCCGCGGCTGGACGTGAGACGGTATGCCTCGTCGATGAAGAGCACCTTGCCCAGGGCGCTGTCCAGGAGCGAGACCACCTTGGGGGCTGTCTGGCCCGAGTACTGGCCAATCATGTGGCTGGCCGAACACTCGACCACTTCGTCGGTGGACAGGAAGCCCATGCGGTAGAACATCTTGCCCATGATCCTGGCCGTGTGCGTCTTGCCTGTCCCCGGTGGACCTTTGAATACGTATGTGAAGGGGATGCTCTCCCTGGGATCCTTGCCCCTTCGGCGCATGTTGGCGGCCATGAGTTGATAGCCCTCGAACTGCTTCCTGATCTCGTCAAAACCAAGCAGGCCGTCGAAGAGCGATGATGCCTTGCCGCCGCTTTCCGGGTTGATGCCGCGATCCCACTCCGGGTCAAAGTCCTGAGGTTCCAAAGCGATTACGACGCGATCTTCTTCCTCGAGGAAGTCCCGATCGCCATCCTCATCATCATGATGCACCACTTCGCCGTTGGCGCCAGCAGCACCTTGACCTGCGTCCCCTTCGCCCTTCGCCTGCTTTTCTTTCTCGGCAGCTTTCCTTTCCCGGAAACGGGCTTTGGCCTGATTCAAAAGGTTGTCGACATCGCCACCGTTCCCAAAGTTGGGACGATCCCTGGCTCGGCGAAGCACTTCGGCGGCCACATCCATGGCTTTTTTGCTAGCCGTGATTTCCTCCTTGGCCATCTTGATCCGGAGGATCTCATTGAGCTGTTTATCGTCGTAGTCGTGAAAACGGAATGCTTCCTCAAGCGGAAACCGCCTCTTCAGGCCCGGGTTGCACTTCTGGAACATATCTTCCATCTTGTCGGCGTATCCAATCAATATGACGCTGCGGTCTTCCCCCGGCCTATTGTGGATCCGAGACACCAGCGTGTCGATGCACGCCCGGCGGAAGCTGTCGAGGTCGTCGCCGAGAAAAGAGGTCTCGTCTCTGGTGAAAAAGGTGTGGGCGTCGTCGATGATCAACGCCTTGCCGGCCGCCGATTCGATAATGGAGCTGGTTCTCTGTTCCGTCTGACCAGTATATGGTCCGATAAAGTCACTTGGAGTCGTGATGATGACTTCCTTGGATGAGACGAGGCCCAGCTCTCCCAGAATCTCCCCGTAAAGCTTGGCCACGGTCGTCTTGCCGGTTCCCGATGGGCCAAGAAACAGGCGGTTGAGAGACATTTGCAGCGGCTCCTTGCCCTGCAGTTCCCGCCGGTAGTTGGTCTTGGAGAGCCGCATCAGAGATCTGACAGCCTTTTTCACGTCCTCGAGCCCGGCCATCCGATCGAGCTTTTTCCACGCTGCACTTTCCTCCCAAAGCTCGGCAGGCTCAGGTCCCATGAAGTCTTCCATGGTAAGGACCGCCTCAGAGTCGTCGTTGGTTGACTTTGCCTCGCTCTCGTCGGGCCGACTGGCAGTAGAGATGTCACCCAGTCTCAACGCACCCAACTGGGCCTGTTTCAGGCGATAGGCTTGCCGCTCGAGCGTTTGCTCAAAGGCCAGCTTTATCTCATGTATGTTTCCAAAGCCATCTGTGTTTCGACCTCGGCCGACACGCCTGGCAACCATGAGAGGATACGGGCTCTCAGGGCCCCCATCAATCTGCAGATTGTTGCGCTCAATGAGCCGTAGAAGCATTACTCGGAGCCGCTCGTCGTCGTAGTCTTGGAGTTGAAGCCGTCGCCAACACTCCCATCTGCTGTGTGGCCGTTTCCCGAGCAGTTTTAAGACGCCGGTAACGCTTCCAGTCATGACGGTCACTTCGTCATCACTAAGCCTATTTTTAATAGGCGAATTACTGTAGTCTTCCGGATCTATGTCGTCATATATTCTGATCTAATGATACAGTTAGCTAGTGCAGCAGCTCGCAACCTATACTGCGAACGCCGCAAGCGACTCTGGGAACAAAAAAGGGGTACCCAAAGAAGAATGACCGTCGTAAGTACCCGGGTATATGTGGCAGGGAAAATGAGCTTAACTTACGTCTTCCTTCCACGTCTCTGTCCATACTTTGGACTCAATGAGAAAGTCTTTGTAGATTTCTGCCACCGTCGTTTTACCTAAACGGCGCGGAGGGACGGCCACGAGATTAGCACAAATCAAATCACTAGATGGTGACAGCTACTGTCAGGCAGTGGATGGAAAATGGGGTACTAATAACCGTGAATAATATACCTGTTCCAGGGTTACCCAAAATGATCATATTCAGATCCTGTCGTCTCAGCCACCCCTTCCTCTCCCGGGCCGCATCGATGGTCGCTTTGATCTTGAGGAATTGCATCTTGACATTTTCCAGACCCACCAAGGCCATCAGTCGATCCAGTGCATTGTTCCTGTCCCCCTTGCTTTTCATGCGCTCCCACAGCTCGTTTGCCGACAAGTCTTGCAGCGCAGACGAGGCATCAAGAGGGCTCTCGTTAGGGGTAGCTTGTACGGGGGCGCCCTTGAAATCGAACGGGTTGTGTTTGCTTTCGCTGTCATCTGCGTCCTCTTTTGGCTCGTTAGCAAGCTTCTCCTGGCCCTTCGACCTCTTTTGCCGGCTAACCCGAGGCCTTATAAAGAGCCGCATTTTAATCTTACCCGCGTTATCATCCTCATCGCCACCATTAACCTCCTCATCACTATTAACACCGTCACCACCAGCAATCTCGTCACGACCCTCTATATCGATCGAGCCCTCGGCTGAGGCTGCGAAAGGGTCCGGAGCGGAAACTACAGGCGATTCCTGTTCCGTTTTCAAATCTGAGAGCGGAGCTGATGGTTCATCTGAAGTTGGCACCACAGGGGACGACGTTACGGGGAACAGGTTGGGCGATTCGGGCTGCTCAAAACCGCCACCTGTTGAGGGTGCCTTTTCTTCTTCCTGGACCGATGGCATGGGCCCGTCCAGCAAAATGCGTGGGTTCTCGTCAGGTTCTCCCGGAGTGACAATGGGGACCGAGCTGGCACGGTTGTCATCTTCGGCCTGACAACGGGACTTCACTTCGGCGTCGGCGGTGACCTCAACAGTGGTCAACAAAGGCCCCGCATGACCGTGATTGCTGATCCCAGCTTGGTCTGGGGTGGGCGCATCGCCGGCAAATTGGAGACCAGTCTCTTCGGTGCCATCTTGGTGGTCTTTGTCTGACTGACGAGGGAACTGCTCTTCAGAAGGAGGAGTCGTAGGGCTCATCAACGCATCGATCTCAGCCTCCGTTTGGACCACAATACTAGTTTTGCTGGATAATGCAGAACCGGCCTCAATAAAACTCTCATGGTCCTTGAAAGGTTGGTCGGGGAGTTCCTCGGGAGGAGGAGGAGGAGTAGCTGTAGGACTACTGTCCCCGGATTCCGACGAGGACATGGCGAGTAGGAAGGATTGGTATTGGGGGAAAGTTGGTCGGATTTGGTAATAAAGACCTGGAGAGGCACGCGAACCGATGTCCTGACTTCTATGATGCGAAACGGGGTCTTACTGGGTTTACACGGGGAACTTGGGTTATCCGTTATCAGATAACTCAAGTTTCCTCGTCCATTCATTCTTGTACAGACGGGCCGGGATCCAGGCGCCAGCGGCAGGCAGGTTGGGCATTGAAGTGGAGGGAGGGTGGCATTAGGATGAGGAAAGACATTGGATGAAGGTATCCCCCCGCTCTAACATTGATTGGGCGATATGGCTTGAACGACACAGGAGTGCATGCGGGAGGGGAGCATGAGGAGCCTCATCTTGTCGCCAAGTGGTATCTAATGTGATTAATTGGATAAGAAGTGCGATTGCGGTGACCAAGAAGGGAAGGGAAACCGAGATGCCGTTCGCCAATTTCCTGACTTCGCAAAATGCAGCAAGGTGCGGCTGACGAGACCCTAGACGAAAACAACTTCCCCCTCTTTAAGGTCGCACAGACCTTGAACGCGTTTCCATTTGAAATCACTCGCTTTTGTCAAATGAAGCATGCACGGTTCGACTTGGTTGGCGCCGCGCCACCCTCTCCGCGGCTTCGGGGCCTTCCAGTCCCTAATGTGCCGGTCAATGTCATCGCAGACAAGGTGCTCCTTCTTCTTGACACCTTCGTGCTGGACGAATGCTAGGAATGTGCCTCGACGGTGATCCAGACATACGATGGCGTGTCCGCGGGGAGTCACAACCTTGAGCGGAGCGAGGCCACTAAGAATCAAAGTTGTGGGCTTGATTTTGACATCGATGGAAAACCCGTCCTCGGAATTTGCCTGTCGCCGGAAAACGGAGTTGAAGGGTCCCCTAGTAACCAGGATGCTGTCGCCACAGTCATCGTGGAGCAGCTTCGCGATGATGACTTGTTCGTCCATCTGTGTGGTGGCTGCTAACTCGGACACGGATTTGCAGCGAACTTTGAATTGGAGAAAGTCGCTCCAAGCCCAGCTCTCAACCAGGACAGCTTTGCATACTAGAACGACAAAGGCGGCAACGACCCAAGTATAGGTGGCGAGGTTGAACGGATCAACACCTGGGATGCGCTCGCCGACGGTGAAGCCAATGGTTAACCCGCCCGCAGCAAGCACCAGGGCCGTAGACATGACTCCAGAAACATAACGGCGGCAGGCAACTGTCACCGAGCTCTCGTCTATCAGCCATCCATTCATTTTGACGGAGCATTTGATGAGCTCTTTCTCCAGGCTCTCGTATTCTGTGTCGTCTGGAACCCCTTCTGCCAGATGGGGAAAGCTTGAAGAACTGTCCTCCATTTTGTCGATAAGCCTGCAGCGGGAGAAGGTGCGGCACTTGAATGCCTGCGAAAGCCGTAATATTTCCCGGCCTTGGGCTTCCTGGTCGAATTCTCTCGTATAGAGCCTGCAATAAGTGCCAAACTGGCCTTCCTGGAACGATCGCACAACGTCCTTGACACCTCCAGACAAGGCCATCATCGTGCGGAACTGTGTGAACGCCGCCAGTAGCATGGGGCTGGTAAAGGCGAGTGGCACCATGACGGTGACGATATCAGCCATAGAATCGAGCGGGACTTTCTGCGGGATGAGTTGAGCGGGTGTCACTGTTCCGATGCCAGACTCTTCGAGCTCGTGATACGCCCACTCGACAACGGTCTGGTCTTTTTCACTGATGAGTCGGTGGGACTTGCTCGCTTGAAGCTGTTTGAGAATCTGGTCGAGTATAACGAGGGCAGACTGGGTCGTATTCAGCACGTCGCGATCTGACGAAGCAGAGTACTCTAGGTCCCTATCTTGGAAGAGAACAGTCTTGAAGCCCTCGAAGCCAATGTCGTAGACCAGTAAGCACATCTCGTATGTCGTCGCGGGCAGCCCGGAAAGATTCATAAGGCGAAGACAGCTGAGGGCGTGCCGCATCGCAGTGTTCAACCCGGAGCGATATTTGTTCTGGTTGACGCAGAACGAAGCCACGGAAGCATCCATTTCGGATGCGAGGCCGTCTTTTTGGTTCGCATTGATGATGCGCAAAGCTTCTTCGCACTCCTCTTCGTCAAAGTCGGCATTCATGGAGAAGTCTCCGAGTGAGCCTTTGTCAGCGCCGCGATCGAGAACTTCCTGGCCTGTGTTGGCCGCTTTGACCGCATTGGCGACAATATCGAATAAGAGGAACTTGATTTTTGCGGTGCGTGCCGCCAAAGCAGCGAGTGTGTTCAAGAGCCAAAACTCTCCTTCTGCGGTTTGGCTAATCAAGCGGGCCAGGATGGCAGAGACGTAGTCAACGAGGGCAAAGACTGATGCACGGTGACCCTCGTCTTCGCTGTTGGTAGATTCCTCGCGCGCAGCCACGCGAGCACGCTGGACATAACTCTGGAGTCGTTCGCGGCTTGAAATGCGCTTGCAGTACTGGGTGTTGACGCATTCGTTGTCCAGAAGGCAGAGGTTGAGTGCGGCGGATATGGTCTGGGACATGGAAGAGAGTCGTCGGTAGCAAGCCTCGCCGGCGCAGGCGGCCTGCAAGTACTGGTACTGTTGGCCAACCAAGTGCAGGTCAGCGGTGACGGGCTTCTTCGGGTTCTGTATGACTGCCACGAAGCGCTCGGCTTCTACCCTGCGCAATGCGAGAGCGTCACGGTCGACAACACCGTAGTCTGCAAGACTGTCGAGCTCAAGTTGGGAGTGTGATTTAGCTCCGGGAAGGTGAAAGGGCTTGAGCTTGTCCATGATGGCTTCGAGGTTGCATCTCACTTCTTTTCCTCGTTTGGGCAACTTCGGGGCTTCTGGTTCGGCAAGAGGCTGGGGCGGGGGCTTTTTCCACGATAGCACCGGGTGCTCTAACCGGGATTGTGTCCTTCGGCCTCGGATGCGAGGGAAGGCTATCCTATTCTGGTGCTGTGAATCCTCGGGGGCATGAGCCTCTGCCTCTTCTCGTTGACACGAAGTGCCCGAGGAACTGCCATTCTTCTCGGGGTCCATTGCCAAGGAGTTGCTGGTTTTGATGTTGCTAGTTCTACCTTAGTAAGGTAAGTAAAAATTGAGACCAAAGAGAGAAAGAAAGAGCCCAGTGCACTGTTGAGAAGGCAGCGCCGGCTGGAGATTGTTCTTGTTAGACCTAGGCAGGAGCGACCTGGATGCTGACGAGTGCAGGCACTGCAGGGTGGCCCATCGCCCGGTCTCGAACCTCTGCCGCTTCCACAGATAAGGCAGGTAGGTATCCAATCAAGGGGAAAGTTCTGGCTGTCATGGGCGCCATGAACCTGTCGATTAGCTGCCACGCCAATCCCATCGTATTGGCATTCGAACACCGACAAGACCCCGCATCATATTGCCGTTCTGAGCCGCCATTGCACAGCATAAGCTGCAGAACTAGTAGTCTTGCGCGTTGTCGATGCAGCATGCGCCTGCTGAGAAAAACGCACCCCTAGGGGTGTGAAGACCTAAAAGGAAAGTATTTCTCTGATCTTCTAGCGAGCCTGGTCTGGGCTTCCCTTGCATGTTGCTACCTAAGCAGAGCCGCAGAGTTATCCGCAGTTAGCGCCTATTGTTTTGTGTGCCAGAACGGGCTTCGGGCTTCATCCCTCATCCCTCACCCCCATCGCCACGACCTGAATCTGAAATTCCAAGTCCGACAGTAAGATACCTTGCAGCTACACCGTGGCCATGAGCCGACTGGACAGTCTTGAGCCGTATCGACGGGTATTCCTGAGATCAAGGGGTATCTCCGTCCCGGATCCTGTCGCCAATGGTAGCGGCCCGGAACCGGTCGATTCCACGACTGCAGTCCCGGCTCTCCTGAGTCCAAACTGGAGCCCGAACCCGGGCCGGAATGAGCCTCCAGGACCAATACCGACACCAAATCCAACGTTCAGCTTCTGTTCCACCTCGGAGAACCAAGAACACAATTCGGCTCCGCCCCCGGCTGATGCAACGACTGCACAAACCTCCCCTCCTGAATTCCTCTACTACGATCCCGAAGGTGACAAAACCACGTTACATCCCCTGGACCAGACACACCATGCAGTCCCGCGTTCGTTTGATGACATCCGCAGGGCGAGCACATCGCAAAACAATGTTGATGGCAACAATGACAACTCGCATCTAGATGTCAATGTGAATGCAGATGATGCATTCTCGGTGGCCACTTCGCGTTTCAAAGCCAAGCGTTCTCAATATGCGGCTTCTCGAAGCTGGCGCAAAGCCCCGGGAGGTTACGGATCTGACTCGGACAACGAGAACAAGGGCGGCAAGGATGGCGAGGATGAGGCCTACGATACCGACCTGGACTCACAGGCATCTCAGATCGGGGTTCGCCGACCTCGGGAGCACGCGAGGAAAATGTGGAAGTGGAAGTCTCTTGTAGCCAACCGGTATGAGCACATGTTCTTGGAGTGCATCGTGAATATCGGTACGTCGCCCGTCGTCAAGCCTGGATGTGCATGGCAATATTAACAATGTCGATGCAGATAGCATTCCACCAAATTACGAAAACATGTTTGTCCATAGCTCCGTCACACGAGAGCTGGAGAGGGTAACTAAGCGATCACTTGAACGGCAAAAAGCATTCAACCATGGCGTCCTACAAGGGAACCGGGTCACGGGCGCAATTCTTTGGGGCCCGCCAGGCACTGGAAAGTCTCTATTAGCAAAAGGGCTCGCCAAACAGTCCGGCTGCAACATGTTGGCCGTCTCCACGGCTGAGTTGTGGCAGAAGTGCCACGGCGAAGATGAGAAGGTAATCAAGGCCCTATTCACCTTCGGCAGGAAACTGAAGCCGTGCATCATCTTCCTGGATGAGGCCGATGCCATGCTGGGAACCCGCAAGGCGGGCGAGAAGCGACATTTGCGAGCCATGCTCAACCAGTTTCTCATGTGCTGGGACGGCCTTACCAGCGATCGAGACTCGCCGTTCGTGCTCCTCGCGACTAATCGACCGTTCGACCTCGACCCGGCCGTTCTTCGACGCGCACCCGTGCACATCGAAATTGGCCCCCCCGATACGTCCGCGAGGGAAGGCATCCTTCGTCTACTTCTTCGTGCCGAGCGGATGGAGCCGCCCCCGAGCGTGATGATTCCGCACCTGGCAAGGATCACCGACAGGTACACGGGCTCGGATCTCAAGAATCTATGTGTCACTGCTGCTACTCTTGCAGTGGACGAGCAACCGGAGGACACGGACGTCCGAACACTGACCACGGCGCATTTTGACCTGGCCATGAAGAAGGTTCGACCCGTCACACTGAGTGCCGTCACCAAGAACGAATTGGACAACTTTGGGAAGAAAGGTGTTGCGGAAGGAGGGGGAGCATATGGGATGCACGATGAGGACTGAATGATAGCGGATTGTCCTAGGTTAGATCTGCAAATTTCCGCATGTTAAGCTCAGATTATTCGGCTCGCGACTAATCTGTACAAAGAAATGCCAAGATCACCTAATTAACGCGTATCCCCACTCCATATAAGGTTCAAGGACCCGCACAACCTTTATTATCTTATCGTGCTTATGTACATACAAACCCCCGCATTGGCTTCAAACAACCCCACCTTCAGCCGTTGTTATTAGCGGGGCACCAACATATTCCTTGAAGGATTCAGGCTCGTTTAAGCTGCTCACTGGAGCTGAGTCCTACCCGCCTATCACCCACACACCTTCAGTCCTAAATTACCCAGATCCAGACTTGTCAAGATGGCCAGTCGCGGTGGCCAACAACAAGGAGAGGCAGGTGAGTTCCGTCGAAGCTTTTTCACCCCCGAACCTGAAAACGCAACGCTCGCCTTGGCCAAAAGCTGCCCCACCATGGCATCCATAAAGCACCCCTCTTGAGCTTCATCTCGCTCTCTCAATAAGACCAAAACACTAACACGCCGCAGTCGACCTCGGCACCCTCAGCGCCCAACAGCTGACGGCCGTCAAGAAGCAGCTCGACGGCGAGGTCGAGCACCTCTCGAGCTCCTATGCCCAGCTTGCCGCTGCCCAAGCCAAGTTCAAGGAGTGCCTGCGGGTAGTCAAGTCGGGATCATCATCATTCGACAGTGCGTGACCCCTTACGATTAATGACCCGCCATCTCGATCCTTCCCACTTCCCAAACACAAACCATGGATGCTAACCCCCCGCAACAGAAGAGAAGTCCGTCCTCGTCCCGCTCACCAACTCCCTCTACGTCAAAGGCAACCTCGCGGACCCGGACCGGGTGCTCGTCGACGTCGGGACAGGTTTCTACGTGGAAAAGGTACCGTGCCGTCCAACCACCACACCAGGCCACCCCAATCCCCCAATTCCCTCCCCCCCCCCCATACACACACCTCCCAAGCTAACCCGGCCAACAGACGACGGAATCCGCCTCCGAGTTCTACGACGCCAAGGTCAAGGAACTGACCGGCAACATCCAAGGGCTGGAGGGCATCGTGCAGGCCAAGACCAACAACTTGCGCGTTGTCGAAGAAGGTTTGCTCTCTCCTCCGTTCCCCCCTCATGCTATAACCAGAACCAGAACCGCAACCAAACTTCCAACCATACACTCCCCCAACTGGCGCCTCTCCCTCGCACCTGTCATCACACCCATTAATGAAGCACCGTCAACTACTCATGTACTGACGCACACTTTACGTAGTCCTACGGCAAAAGGTTCTAGCACAAGGAGGACCAGGTGCGGCAGGGCAAGCATCGTCATGACACGGTCGGCCATAGGATAAACTGTGAGGGCTCGTGTAGATCACGATCTAAGTAGCAATAGATGCCGTCTGGCCAAGAGAACGCTCCCAAATACGACACCTTGTCATATCACAATGTTGCACAACGAACATGGGTTTTATGGGTTTTACGTGTTTTCTTATCATGCGGGCCAACAGGCACCTCTGGTAATACATCACACTAACAAATCCAGTCGTCCATACCCCACCCATTTTCGACTTCAACCACCAACCCGTTCATGGCAAGCAAAATGGAGTTAACCCCCTCCCCAGCAAGCGCGAAAGTCGTCGCGGTAAGAAGAGAGAAAGAGAACAAAAAAAGGGTATTGGTACATCCCACCCTCGCCTCCCTTACCAACACACCTCTACCATCCACGCGTTTAAGCGCTGTCGAGCGCTTTACGGATCCAGTCGACCCACGCGAGTAGGTGATCCATAGACTCCGCCGCCGTGTCACCGGGAGCTTGGTCCTCTTGCTCGTGCTTCAGGAACTGCTTGGCGAAGGTGTTCTCCCACTCCCGAGGAGTGCGCACGTTCGCACGCATGTCATCGTCCCAGATATCGCTAAAAAGCGCCACGCTGGCAGTGGTGACCATGGTCCCGGCGTTCTGCCCAGGTTTCTTCGACTGCCACGCGTGAAACAAGTTGATGTCCAGCGTGTACTTCCAGCCGAGTGTATATCGTAGGGTCGTTTTGCCGTGAACATGGTTGATGTGGTTATTCTGGAGAAAGTAGTCGTTGATGGAAATGTTAGGGAAACCTTCACCCAACGACCCTCCCTTGAACATGACGTTCTTTTGTAAGGCCTCGACCTTGAAGGGCGCCGACGGCGGAGTGACCTGCTCTGCAGCCTTTTTCCGAATCTCGAATCCCCAGTCGTGTATGCTACGGTCAATGTTAGTAGGTCTGCGCGGTGGGGAAGAGATGCTTGCCTCGGCTCACCTCTCTGGGCAAACGGTGATAACCTCCGTCGCCCGGTGCTGCTTCTCGAGTTGATGGGTCGTTAACGGGCCAAGGGTATACCGCTTCCCCCGTTTGCCGTTCTGAGCCCTGTCTTGTTGCCCTGCCACCGGTTCAAAGGTCGACTCGACGGTGAGGTTCTTGGTTTCCAGGATGATGGAGTGAGACCGAACCGGATCACCCTGTTCGCCATTGGGGCCCTCGAAGAAGTCCCTCACGTGCTCGGGCAACTCCATGTTGGCCTTGGAAAGCCGACCGATGAGTGCCTCCACAGCAGCCTCGCTGACTCTGACGATGTGTCAATCAACTGTAGTTATCGGGTCGAAGAATGTAAACTTACATATTGAGCATCTTGGAAGTGCCCCTCGTTCCGGCACTGCGAAGTAGGGCTTGCAACTCGGCAAAGTTGTACTCCACCTTATCTTTCTTCCACTCATTGAGAATGAGGGTACCGAATTGCACCTTCATGTACATACCGTTGGGTTCATGACGCAGACCTTCCGTCGCCTTGTCTAGAGTCTTCGCCAGATCGGCCTTATACCTGGCCTTCTTTTCGGCGACGCCGCCTATATCGGTGCTACCGAGGTTCTTAATCTTTGCGGCGGTAATGCACCGACCAGTAGTACCCTCCTTGGACTGAAGAACCACCGTTAGGAGGTCCTTGTTATTGTTGGTCGGGGGGTTGACCAGTAGCCGGGCACGCCACAGCTCCTCCTCCGGTCGGTGTAGGAGCTGGGTCCGAAGGAGTGCGATGACTTTTGCGGCCTTCGCTCGGTTCGTCGCCTTGACGGTGACGGTGACGGCAGAGTCGACATCCTCCACCTCAATCATGGCCTCATGATCTCTCGCTGTTCGAGAGATCACGGCCATGACGTCGGTATCGGAGCCGTGTACGTCCTTGAAACCGCGTCCCGGCGCGGGCCAAGACACCACGACCTGCTAAAGTCAGTCGGACATTCTAAACATTGGGATTCGCAGGAGTAAGACGACTTACCGCGACATTCAACCTTGGCGGGGGTCTCTTGGTGACCTGGTCCGCCCCCGAGGTAAAGATCTTCCGTCGCGCAACTTGATCCATCGCCTTTCTCGGGTCGAAGACCCCGTTCTGGCGCGACGATCGGTTTCCCCGTCGCGGGGGAGCAAGACAACCGGGCGCCGTCACCCGAACTGGGAGATCGCTATTTGGAGGGTCAGTGGGAGGGGTGGTCGGGGAGGGGAGATGGGCAAAGAAGAAGCAGCCGACCCAACAACAGAAAGAGCAACTTACCTAGAAATGGCGGGAGGAGCTTCGCTGCTCTGCGAATTGCTGGATAAAACACCAGTCAACTATCAACCCGAAAATAGAGCAGGTAAGCCAAGTCAAAATCTGTTCGAGAGACTGAGTCTCGAAACAAATCAAGGAGCTGAAGTCCTTGGAAAGTTGGGGAAAGGAAGAAATCCAGAGCAGGAGGGGGAGGAAAGCGACCCTAAATAAGAAAACTTTCAAGAAGAGCTCGGCTACATCAGCCAGGGCTGGGCTGGTGCAAAAAGAAAAGGCAGGTGAGCAAGAGCCACTCGGGGCCATGCTAGGCAGCCTGTGCAGTGTGCCTTCCCGGATGGAAGCCTGAGGCTCGGCGGTGCTGGAGGAAGGTGGTAACCTCCTACCCCGAGTAGACCCGCAACTTCCCTGAGAAAGAAGCCAAACACGGAAGGTAAACAAAAGCAAAGGGGCAATATAACTGAGGCTTTGGGGGGCACAAAAATGAACAAATACTCAAGCTCAAAGTGAACCTTTTTGGGATGAGGAGGAAACGTACTCGGCTGGGAGGGGGGAGGCGGAACGGAGGTTGGCGGCGGCGACGGCGGCCATGGTGGGGCGGGGATTGGCGGTGTTGGCGGCGGTGGCATGGGCGGCAGCGGTGGTGGTGGGAGTGGTGGTGGTGGTGGCGGTCGTTGTACTGCTGAGGTGAGTCAGTCAAAGGGCCACCGCGACAGAAACTAACGGAGTCGAAATAGAAGTATCCTGGGGTTGGAAATAGGACTGGACACCAGCAGTTTAAAGAGTGTCTTTGGAGGACAGACTTAATGGAGAAAACAAAAGGTTTCTGAAAGAAATCCGGCCATGATTTGAAGAGAGTCGTGAAACATGGAAAAGCGGATGAGAAAGCAGCCACAGCCAGGGCAACCGGCCAACCAGGTAGAGCTGAGGTCTGTCTCTCTACTTCGGTAGGACGACAAGACCGAAAGACATGACAGAAATAGAAATAAATGAGCTGGGGCCAGAATAATGAGGAATGACGAAAGCCGAGAAAGCATATCGAAGATCGGAAGCTTGAAATTGGTGGGAAAATAAACGCGAAACTGAGAGAAGCATACCCGGACGCGGTGGGATTCTGGGCCGACGAGGGCCCCGCGGTCTCTGCTCCTCTGGCGGGCTGGGACCCGCCGCGGCTCTCCTTGGTGGCCCAGACGCTGGGCATGTTGATATTTCTTTAAAGTTGCTTTGGTATATTTAGTGACAATGAAGATTAAATGACGTTGCCCTCGCGGTGATCAGGGAGTACTCACAGGCTTGCGGGTCGGGTCGGTTTGGTCGGTTGGTTGGAGAAGAAGAAACGCAGGATTTGAACTTGAGAAGCAATAAAATATCACAGCAGGATCTCGAAAGGGAAGAATGATCGGCCGACGAGGCGGATGATGGTGACGATTCAGACGGAAATTAAGAGTGGAAGGAGGAAGGAAGCATGGGGCCGGGCCGTGCATGTGGTAATGGTGTGCAACGTGAAGCAGGCACATGGAGGGCACGATTTTGACAAAGGCATACAGTTTGAGGAATGAAGGGCATCTTCACAAAGGTGTACCATAGCAAAAACATAACTACCTGTAAGTACTCAACCCCCTTTGACTGTTCGGTGGAGGCCGTTTTATTTACAGGAATACCCCCGGACTCCTTAAGTAACGCCTCATAAGTGAGAAGAGAGAGAGGGTATATTTGACTTTTAAACCAAGGAATATACACCTATCTTGCCAATTTAAGCTTACACAATTCAAGATGGTGAGACACTGGGTCCTCTTCCACATCTGTTTACCATCGCTCGCTCCCAGTCGCTACATTCCCCCCAGATTCCCTTGTCTTTGTCCGACTTGGCCTCCTTTACATGTACCTCCAACTGATCCACGAGTAAGAATTATCTGAGCATCAATTTATACACGAGTAGATCGCCGTGGTGAAAGGATGACTGCCACAATAATAACCACACTTCTGCTCTCAAATCGTTTACCCCTTTTCCTGTGTTTACTTTGATCGAGGGTTAGGGTACGAGAATGCATCCTTTTGCTAAATCACCACGAATGGATCGGGACTGAGTAACAAGGGCTTTGTGATGGATAGTCACTAATAATCTACCTACCCTAGAATAATAATATGTGGCCTCTCCAGGGGTAGATAACGAGTTGGTTTCCATGTGAAGTAAAATCGCTTCGATGCGCTGGTCTTGGCATTCCCGGTGGCCCCTGGTTTGCCGTTGCTGGGCAGTCCCGGGCTCTGCACGAAGCAGCTGAGACAGGGATCTTAATTGATTTGACGCGACGAAACCTGGCCGAGACGCGTCGCTGGACAGCATCCCCATGCGACTACGTGCACTTGCACACCCAACACCTCCGCACTCGGACAACGCATATCTAGATTTCTGCCAACCCCCAGGAACAACATAACCTCACTCTTGTTTTTATAATTCCAAAATGCCCGGCGTTACTGGGCGGACGCGCACGAAACAACCTCTCCCAGGCGTGGCCAGGGAAGACTCGGACGATGAGTTGGGGACAGACGACCTCCCCTGGGAATGGATCTACGATAAGGAAGTGGCCGAGGAAGAGCCCGCCGAAGAGACCGGGAGAAAGCGGAAACGGACCACGGTGCACCAACCCCAGATCATCGGCGCTCGCATGGGTACCTTTGAGTGCTACTTGGGGGATACGGTATTGCTGAAGGCTGATGGCTCTAACGAAGCCTGGGTTGGCATAATATGCGAATTCCAGACCGACGAGGAGGGCGAAAAGGCAGCATACTTTATGTGGTTTTCGTCCTCCCAGGAGATCCGCAACCCGAAAAAGAAGAGGACCGACTTTCTCGAGGTGAGCAGCTGTCCGTCTATCTGCGGAGCTTGGGTTTTGGCTAACGGCTTGATTTTGCATCTAGAACGAGCTGTACATTACCCCTGCCTTCGATGTCAACTCCCTAGCCACCCTCAATGGCAAAGCTTACATCCTGTCCGAGGCTGCATTCATGGCCAAGTACCCGACTGGCAAGGTGCCGCGCAAGTCGAGCGAGTTTGGCAAGGTGTTTATCTGCCGCAGGGGATGCAACACACGAACGGGCACATACACGGACGAGTTTGTCTGGGAAGATATCTACCGCGGGCGAGATGATATGGATAGTCTGCAGGAGATGGTGCTCAAAAACACCAAAGCCACCCGCAAGCGAAGACAAGCAAAGGACGAACCAACCGACCAGGACTACAAGCACGAGGCAGACGACGGCCGCGAGGGCGACTACGCCCCAGGAACACCGCGCACCCCGAAGAGAGCCCGCACCCGCGACGCTGTCACCCCCAGCAGCAAGCGCAAGCCCGGCAGCAAGCCCGCGACCCCCTCCTCACACCGGCGCATCCTCGTCAAAAAGCATCTCGAATTCACCCCGCTCGCAACCCGCGTCCTCTCTCCACACCACATCCACGCCTCCCCCTACCAGCTCGCCCGCACCCAACTCCACGTTGCGTCGGTGCCGACTAGCCTCCCCTGCCGCGAAGCCGAATTCAGCCTGGTCTATTCACACCTCGAGGCGGCCATCACCGACGGGTCCGGCACGTGCATCTACATCTCGGGCACGCCGGGGACGGGCAAGACGGCGACGGTGCGTGAGGTAGTCAGCCACTTGGACGCGGCAGTGCGGGCAGACGAGCTGGACGACTTCATCTTCGTGGAGATCAACGGGATGAAGATTACCGACCCGCACCAGTCCTACTCCCTCCTCTGGGAGGCGCTCAAGGGGCAGCGGGTCAGCCCGGCGCAGGCACTCGACCTGCTGGAGCGGGAGTTCAGCCACCCGTCGCCGCGGCGGGTGCCGTGCGTGGTGCTGATGGACGAGCTCGACCAGCTGGTGACCAAGAACCAGGGCGTCATGTACAACTTTTTCAACTGGCCCGGCCTGCGCCACAGCCGCCTCATCGTCCTCGCCGTCGCCAACACCATGGACCTGCCCGAGCGCACCCTCAGCAACAAGATCAGCTCCCGCCTGGGGCTCACCCGCATCACCTTCCCCGGTTACAACCACGAGCAGTTGATGCGCATCGTCCAGAGCCGCCTGGAGGGAGTGCCGGGCGACATCGTCGACGGCGACGCCGTGCAGTTCGCCGCGCGCAAGGTGGCCGCCGTGAGCGGCGACGCCAGACGGGCCCTCGACATCTGCCGGCGGGCGGTCGAGCTAGCCGAGGCGGATGCCAAGGGGCGTGAAGCGGACGAGACGGCGGCAGGGGCGCCGGACACCCCAAGCAAGAGAGGGCGCAAGCCCAAAACCGACGACACCCCCACCAAAAAGAAAAAATCCGCCGCCGCCACCGCCGGACGCGTCACGATCGAAACCGTCCGGCGCGCCATCAGCGAGGCCACGAGCAACCCGCTGCAGCAGTACCTACGCACGCTGCCCTTCGCGTCGCGGCTGCTGCTGGCGGCGCTGCTGATGCGCACGCAGCGCACGGGCCTTGCCGAGAGCACGTTCGGCGACGTGCTGGAGGAGATGCAGCGCACGCTCAAGCTGGCGGGCGAGAGCAGGCCGCTGGCGCTGCTCGACCGCAAGGCCGCCGAGATTACTAACGGCGCCGCCGCCGCTGGGGCTGGGGGGAACACGGGGGGGCTGATGGGGCCGGTCCGGGCGAAGAATAGCTCCCAGCTGGTGCGGCCTGCGGGGTTGAGCGCGGCTGCGGTGGATCTTACGGGGGCGGGGATCATTAATTTGGAGGCGCACAAGGCGGAACGGCCGAGTAAGATGCGTCTGGCGGTGGGGGATGAGGAGGTTAGGCTGGCCTTCCGGGATGACCCGGAGATTAAGGGGCTTGGTGTGATGTTGTAGTAGAGAGATACCCAGATATACATGCATACATTAGACCAGGATAGAAAGGTCAGGCTCATTCTATCTATCCGGTTCCCTGTGCGCGTATGATGCGGCAACAAATATATATACATCTGTACAAACACCCGCTATTACTCAAACCCTCAGTTTAAAACTTCCTCCTTGATAACGTCGGCTTCCATTCGAGGGGATGTGATTCTGGCGTGGCAGTTGTATCCTCCTTCCAGATTTTGACTGCCGATTGTTAGCTTCCGGTCCACACAAAACCCGCACAGATACTAAGGAGAGCTTACTGGTCTTATCCGCCTCGCCACATATTAACCTCGAGCCGGAATTGTCAAAGATGGAGCTCATCAGCCCGGACTCGGCATCCAGCGAGCCAGGCTGCGCCGTGGTATCCAGGGCCTGGAAGCGGTGGCCCGACTTCCAGTCCCAGAAGCTCATGGACCCGTTGTCACCGCCGGAGAAGAAGACGTTCTGGTCGTTGACCGACATGGTGTTGATGATGGCGTTGTGGCCCTCAAAGTTCTGCATGAAGGCGCCCTCGGGGCACTTCCACTGCTTGATGGTGCCCGTGCTGCCGGTGGCGAAGGTGAACTCGGTCGGGTGGGTGGCCAGCGCGCGCACGCCCTTCTTGTGGTGCGTCAGGACCCCCATCGTCTTGCCCGCCGCCAGGTCCCACATGCGCACCGTCGAGTCCAGGCTGCCCGTGATGACCTGCGGGTCCGCCTCCTGGCAGACCAGGTCCGCCACCGTGCCCGTGTGGCCCGAGAGCACGTGCACGTTGCTGCGCGTCCGCATGTCCCACACCCGCGCCGCGCCGTCGCGCCCGCCCGTGACGAGCACGTCGATGGTGGGGTGGAGCTTGAGAGCGTACACGCCCGAGAGATGGCCGTGGTAGTGTCGGATCTGTGGGTCACTGTCAATTTCCAAGGCCAAATGGTCCAATAGCCTCAACGCGAAGTTCACTTACCACTTTGTTCGTCTCCAGGTCCCAGCACTTCACCATCTTGTCTTCACCGCACGAAAACAAGTAGGGGTGCCGCGGCGAAACAGCCAGCCCTCGCACCGTTGAGATATGCCCCGTCAGCGTCAGCCGCAACCGACCCGACGCCAGATCCCAGATCTTGATGGTCCGATCCCCAGCGCCCGACGCAAACCACTGATTGTTCGGCTCCACCGCCAACGCCCGGACCCAACCCAGATGCCCGCTGATGACGCGCTGCAGCTTCCACGGCGCGTGCCAGTCCGGCCGCGGCTGCGCCAACATGCTGTCGGGCCGCCGGCTAAGAGACATGTTCTGTGGTTCGTTGCGTTGTTGGGTTTTTGTGCTGGCGGCACCAGTAGGTTTGTTGCGAGAGAGGACCAGGGCGCTGGAACCGGGGCCGCCTGCTGCGCCAGCCGTCTTGCTCGCGGGTATTCCCTCTATCAACTTGCGCGCGTGCTCTTCTGACTTGGACGGTGCTTCCTCGGCGGCTTTGGTCTTCCTCTTGCGCGGGCCGGCCGCGGGCAGCTTTCTGGCGATGGCTTCGGGTAGGGTCTGAACATCGCTGTATTCGGCGTGGAGCCTGAGGGAGAGGGATGATTTCGTGATGTCGGGGTCTTCGGACGCCATACCGGGATCTAGCTTTATGCGCTTACGGGCAGATGGATCTGAGGTTGTGTTGGCGTAGATGGACTTGGTCTTGCGCGCGTTGTCGCGGATGAGAGCCTCGAGTCGTGAAACATCGGCGCCATTGTTGGCGGCTACTTCTGCCGTCATGGTTGCGGCTGTGGGTATCTCTAATTCTCAAATTTCGCTGTGATGATGTGGGAATGGCTTGTTCCTCGTCAAGTTGCCTCGGTCACTTGTTCGTCGCGTTCGATGGTTGAAGATGGCGTCGGCTCCACTTGCTTGCTGCAGCGCATCTTGAACTTTACAACGCCCCAAATCAATAAATTTCGGTATGTGGCTGAAGCTCCAGCCACAAGTTAGCTCCCAGACCCGCACAGTGCAGGGGCACCTGAAAGTAAACCCTGTTGGGTGATCAGATCCCAGCATGCCCGTGCTTCTGTGAGGTGGAAGGCATCACTTACACGCTCGGGTGACTTTCATCCACTGGCACTGGCAAACTGCATTATCGAAAAGGCACTTCCGGAATATTTGAGCCTGCGCTTTCCTCGTCTTCCGGACTTCTCCTTCTTTGCCTTCTTTACACCCATCACATTCACGTTCCACATCATCCACATCGACAAGTGAAAGATGGAAAACGCGACTGAGTCAAAGTATGCCATCCATGCGGCAGCTCGGGAAGGAAGGAGTGAGTATTTCTAATGGCCCGTGAATGCCAAAACCAATTATTAGTAACATATTTATTAACTTGAACTTTGCTTAGTCGCTGCTGTCGAGTCGCTCCTCCAAGTGTGTCCCCGGTCACCTCGGACACTCTCCAATTTCTAGTCACTGACCCGACCGGATGGGTTAGGCCAACTCGAAGCTTGCCCAGCTCAAGGACGACGATGGCAGACTCCCAATTCACTGGGCGGTATCATACAACCACCCCGAAATTGTCAGCCTGTTGATCAGTCAAAAGGGATTTGATCCGGATGCTGAGGTAGCTCTTTTGGTCACTGGCATTCATCAAAGGACCGTAGCTGATTAATCACAGGACGACAGCGGCTGGACACCCCTCATGATCGCCGCCAGCGTTAAGGACGCCGACAAGGTGGCTGACATTCTCCTCGCCCGGGGCGCCGACGTCAACCAGACAAGTAGGTCACTCACACTGCTTTAATTCTGTTTCACCCACTAATAACAACCCCCAGATAACAACGGCCAAGTATGAAAACCCCCCCCTTCCCATCTCAATCTACCCTCACCCAACCTCCCACCCAGCACTAACTAACCTCATCCCCTTCCCCAACCCACAGACATCCCTCCACTTCATCGCCTCCAAGACCAACCTCGACCTCGCCCGCAAGCTGCTCGAGGGCGGCGGCGCGCAGGCGGCGTCGACGCGCGTGCGCGACAAGCGCGGCCAGTACCCGCTGCACCGCGCCGCCGCCGTCGGCTCGGTGCCCATGCTCAACCTGTTGATCAAGCACCGCAGCCCCATCAACGCGACCGACTCGGCGGGGCAGACGGCCCTGCACCACGCCATCGCCGAGGGGCACGGTATGTTTTTTTGCTTCTCCTTTCCCGTTGTCGGTCTGCCTGCCTAGGTGGGGAAAGGTAATGTGGGAGGGGGGTTGGAGCTAAAGCTGACGGAGGGGTTGTGTGATAATAGGGGATGCGGCCATCGCGTTGTTGAAGGCGGGTGCGGAGGCCGGGAAGAAGGATGTGGATGGGTGTACGCCGTTGGAATTGGCGCCGGCGAAGGACGTACGTTACTCCCCTGGTTATCTCCCTTTTGCAAAGCACCGGCAACTGCTGGGGTGATAGCTGATGCTAATGCGGAAACAGGTCCGGGAGTACATCGTACGCAAGGCGGAGGAGGACGGGATTGAGTTGTGAGGAATGACGTTAGGATGGGATGGAGTCCTGACGGGGGACAGTTGAGACCGCAATTGCGTAGTTTGGGCTCAATTCTGGTTCGGTCCACAGATGAAAGGCGGCTAGCCAGGATAAGAGAAGAACAAGGCATAGCAAAATCGGCTCCTATTTGATGGTATCTCCTAGTCCGCTACATTCATTCCCCATGCAAAAAGTCGTGATACATGAATGCTCCCCCCCAAAAAGTCCCAAGCCAAGCCCGGCGCCAGCCAGCGCCTCCTCATTTAATAGTCCTCTCCACCAGATCCCGATACATAGCCTTCACATCCTCGACATCCGCCCTCAGCTCCTCCACCAGCTCGCTCTTCTCACCCAACAACTCCAACGTCGTCTCATAACGCTCCTTCATAACCGCCACCTCGCCCTCCAACACCTCGACCTTCTTCCCGGCCGCCCTCCCCCCCTCGGCCTCGCGCATCAGCGCGACCAGCTCGGCGCGCGCGTCGTCGCGCTGCCGCGAGATGCGCGCCAGCTCCTCCCGCGCCGCCACCTTCTCGCTCTCCAGCCGCCGGATCGCCGCGCTCATGCGCTCCACCAGCTGCACCGACGGGCCCGCCGCCACCGTCGACACCGACACCATGTCCTGCAGCACCTGCTGCGGCGACGCCGACCGCTCCATGCCCATGCCGACGCCGATGACGCCGGCCCCGGCCCCGCCCCCGAACGCGTCCTCGCCCCGCTGCACCTCCATCATGTCGAGCGGGTGCGAAGCGGGGGCTTCCGAGGTGGGGCTGAAGACGCTAAGCGGGCTAAACACGCCGCTGCCGCCGCTCGGGTTGGAGTTGATGGTGGGCCGGCTGGGCGGGTGCTGGGCCGAGGGGCGGCGGGAGAAGGGCATGCGCGGCTCGGCGAGGACGCCGCCGCCGCCGCCGCCTGCGTCGCTGGTGCTGGAGGGGCCTGACGTCTTGCGGCCTTTGCTGGCGAGGGTTGAGATGCCGAGGAAATCGGTGCTGAAGGTCCGTTGTGGGGCGGTTAGTTGTGGTGAAGCCGGCCGGCTGTCCGGTTTGAGGAACGAGCCACCGCCCGGGAGGCCTTCGAGCCAGGACCGGGGGCGTTCTGGGACGTCGCGGAGCTGGCGTTCCTCTTTTTCGGTTTCCCAGGCTTGTTTTTGCTTTTCGAACTCGGCTTTTGCTTTGGTTAGTGCTGATTCGGCTTCTTCGGCCCGTTTCTTGAGCGAGTCGAGCTGGGTTTGGTAGGACTTGACGTCTTCTTGGATGGTGGGGATCTTGGTCTTGGCCTCGTCCAGTTCCTCCTCCTGACGCCTTGCACGAACAGCCTACAGACAATTAGCACTTCGATCGAGGGCTCTACAAGGTAGCTGTACTCACCGCTTCCCTCGCCTTCCTCCGCATCTCCGACTCCCTCTGCAGCGCCTCGTCCCGATCCTTCTCCAGGCCCGTGATCCGCGCCAGCAGCGTTGTCTCAATGCCTTGCCAGTTCTCGCTCGCGATCGAATACTGTGTCTGCAGCGTCTCGACCTGCCGGAGCAGTTTGGCCTGCGAGTCCCCAGCGACGCCCGACGACGCCTCTTCGGCTCGCGTGCGCATAGCCTCGAGCTTTCCCTCCATCACCTGCATCTCGGCCTTGAGTTCAAGTTCCAATGCCCGCGCCCGCTCGCCGGCCCTCTCGGCCTTCTCGCGCAACTCGGTAGCTTGCGCTTTGCCGCGGTCGGCGACGAGGGCTTTCTCGACTTTAAGCGCGGCGACTTCCTCCTCCAGGTCTGCGATCCGCCGCTTGTCCTGCTCGCGGGGTTTCTCGTTCGCCTTGATGGTCATGGCGTCCGCCTGCTCGTTGGCCTTTTGGAGCCGGGAACGGAGCTCAGCGATGGTGCTGTCCTTGGAGCGAATCTCTGGCCGCAGTGTGCTGACCTCCTTTTGTGTCTGGTCAAGTCGCCTCTGCAGGTCATCGTGTGCCTTCTCAAGCTCCTGGGCGCGGCGTACTCGGCTTCGCAGGTCCTCAATTTCCTTGTCCGATTTGGCCCTGGCTATCCTGGCGGTCTCCAGCTCCTTCTCGTTTTTGGCCATGTCCATGCGCAGCTTCTTCACAAGAGCGCGGTGCTTATGGTCGGTGCTCGCCAGATTCTTGCCCTCTTCCATCAGTTGCACAATTTGCTGGTCCTTCTCGGCCAGTTTCTTCTCAGCGCTCCCCGCAGGTGCGGCCAAGGCGGCCTTTCTAGCCGAGTCTGTGGCTTCCCTCGCAAGAAACTGAAGCTTGGCTTCGAGAGCGTCTATTCGCTCTACATATTCGTGAATCTCCTCCTGATGTTGTAGTTGTGCGTCCTCGGTCCTGTCTCCGTTTTCCCTTTGCTCTTCGTCGCCGGCGTCGTCGGGGGCCGTCTTCACACCTTCTTGCGGTTCCGGGTTTGGAGGTACGATGATGGGGGTAGTGCTCGGGCTCGGCGTTATCGAAGGCGGTATGTCTGCTGAATTCCTCGCCCCATTGGCCTCATCCTCCGACCCCCGCGCCCCTGATCCGCCATCGAGCGAGTTATCCCTCTCCTCCATCTGTGGTGAACCAGCATCCTGAGAGTTCCTTGGGAGATCTTGCGAACCGCGCGGAGAGGAGACCTCCTTGGCAAACTCCTTCAAAGTCGGACTCGCGCGGTCCGCACTGTCGGTCGAGTTGCGGGTCTGTGCGTCGAAGCTCTGGCGCGGACTCCCCTGTGAGGATATCGAGTTTCTCGCCGCTGCTTTGGCGGCCATGGCCCTCGCGAGTCTCTCCTGGAGGCGATCATTGGTGCGGGTGGAAGAGGCAGCTCTCGAAGGACCTACACAAGCGACCCGGGTCGTCAGAAACACGGCGGTAAGCATTCTAGTTCCCGGGATGACATACCGGGACTCTGTTTAGCTGGCGACACGGGAGTCGCCGGTTTTGTCTCTCTTGTCTCTTTTGTCTCCTTCTGTTGCACTATGCCGTTCTCGTCCTCGGCGAGAATGTTGTCCAGGCGGGCCTCGACTCCGGCGACGGCCTGGGAAAGAAAGGAGCCCCATCGAGCCGACATTGTTTTGTGACAAAGCGTGGTGTATGGCAGGCAATCGGAATGCTGTGGCCATCAAGTGAAGCTGTGGGGGCGAGTCGTGGGTCGGGTCACATCTGATCCATCTGAGCGGCTCGAGATCATGCGTCGTGGCTGTTGCGCGGCAGACGGTTTGCTCGTTGACTTCGTTCCTTTTCTTGCGTAGGTATCGTTATCGTTACAGTCGTTACGGCGAAGAGAGCTTGTGATCAACACTCTCCTGATGATTATTTTCGTCAGAGTTGAGGAGGCGCGGGGCCGAGGATTCGTTGCTGAGTGAAGTTGGAAATTCTCCCAATGTCAAGTTCTTGGCGTCGACAATTCCAGCCAAGCCTCGTATGCTTCGCGACAGGCAACCGTTCAGCGGGTGCATAGCCCGAGTGGCCACGCTCACTACCTCGGTATTAAATGTGGGGCCGAGAGTTCGGAGCTTGGCGCACATCATTTCGAGATTGAACCAGGAACGGAGTCGAACTTGGATCTCTCAGAACATTTCAACATCGATTTGTCGAAGATGCTAGTTGCGTTTCAACTCGACAAGTAAGTACGCCATGGAGGTAAACGATACCAACATGCCGAGCGATCCGACCGAGATAGACGCCAGACTCGCTATTCCAAGAGCATTGGCCTCCATCAACGACGTCACTTGCCTAGGTTCTCCCACCCGGATTTTCAAGACGGGACGGCGCTGGTGTCCGGAGTCCGGAGACGAACCACGGGACCACGTTAGGAAAAGGTGAATGTGTCGCCACGACTGCGGAGCAACAGACCATTCCAATTTGGTAGAGATGGCAGAACCAGACAGCCCAGCCCGTATCAACCTTTTGTTTGCGTGTCGGACCCATCCACACTGACTCGGACTACATGGTCTTCACCTCAAAACCTCCACACATTCCTACGTCGCTCCCTTATCGAAATCATCACCAAACTAGGTCTATCATCATGTCCTCATTAAAGCGATGGGATAGTTTACCGAGAGAAATCCGTCTTCTCATCCTCGAGACCCTGGTGCAAGACGGTTGCAGACTGAGTCGCTTGGTCACAGTCTCTCGAGAGTGGCAAACAGATCTCGAGCGCTACAATTTCGCCCGAATCACACTAACGCCAGCGCGACTTGTCGATTTTGGTTTCATGGTTCATCGCAATCGGGCTCTCGTTCGCTACATTTGGTTCTGCTTGGAACTTGATGACTACGATTGCACCATTTGCGCGCCCGATTCTAGAGACGAGGAAGCCTTTGATATCACCGACACAGACAAATGTCCTATCACCCCGTCATTCCAAAACCTGTTCTCGACTCTCAGCACGTGGGAACCCAGGGGCGATCTTGTACTCGATATCAGTATCTACTCGCCCAGCGACTCGGAACATTGGTTCAAATACCTAACATTTGTGACCGATACGCCTTCAGCAGAAATGCCGGTAGGCGATGGTAGAGATCAGGCGATATCAGCCAAAGTCTACCATGACCCTCAACATGGCTGGGATGCTGGGTTTCGACACTCCGCTCCGCCTCGGTCCGCTATTCACAAAATTTTCCATGTAATTATGGATATGGGACCCTTTGATAGCGACGAGTTGGAGTTCCAATGGTGGGATCAGCTTCCATCGGTCCCAGTGGTCACCAGCTTGCTTCTCCGGCAACAGAACCGCCGGAGATGGAAGCCACGGTCGCTCGCACATATGTTTGCTCGTTTCCCCAGGCTTCAGGAAGTCCACTACGAGCCCTGGAGGGAGTGGGACTCTATGATGAAGAACTTTACGGATAAACGTGAGTATTGGTGCATACCTCCCTAAGCTGTTTCCCGTTCCCAGTCGTAGAAGTACTTTCTTGCTAACAACCCGCATCCATGTGTAGATTTCGGATACTTTTTCACGTCTATCCAAGGTTTCAACAACCATATCAAGAGACTTACCGTCTTCGAAAACTTCAATCAACAATACCCAGCCTCGCTGAAGCTATTCCAGGCCGGTGTTGACTTGTCTGATTGCGAGAATATTCGCAACCCAGCCCCCGCTGTTAGCCGGATGGCCGCACTCGCCAGTCTCAAGCTTGAGCATCTCGCAGCATCCTTCCTCGTAGATGCTCGCCATTTCTTCGAGATCGAGCCTTCTTGGGTGTGGCCAAACCTAACCTCACTTGTGCTTACCTCAAAAGTACTTGTGCCCGACGGCGATCAGACCGAGATTGAAGCTGTGCTTCAGGCGGCGGCGGCAGCGGCCATGAAGATGCCACGGCTGGAAACAATGGAAATATGGAATGGAAGAAAGGGGTTAACGGCGCTCTTCAGGTATCAGGCGCTCCGCGATATACGGAAAGCTGTGATTATGTGGAGAAGCACATGGAAATTGGCCATGGGACCATCTACGATCCAGGCTTGGGAAGTCGTTATGCATCAGTATGGTGGTTGGAGGCTCGATTTGGTTCAGGAACAACTAGATGAAGCTCTCATCAAGTCTCACGGTGATGCAATCCAGCATCTCATGCTCCCAAGTCAGGTCATTCGGCCCATCTCGTTGCGGCAGATTCAGATGGAACAGAAAGTTTTGGAGGGCGTGGAGACTGTGTAATTGTAGTGTATGGGATATAGTTTTACACGGTTCTCTCACCGTTTGCGCTTCTCCGATCATACCTGAGAGGCTGAGACGTTGGAGCAGCCTCGGAGCTTTGATTGTGCAGCACATACACAAAATAATTGACAGGAGATTAGCTGTGAAGCAGTTCCTCATGAGATGTGCCCGTAGGAAACCACCGATGTCCTGCAACGCCCGACTTGAAACAAAAGGTCCGGGAGATCAGGGAACAACCATTAGTCCATGTTAAATTTCTTTTTTTTTAAAAAAGCAGAACAAGAAGAAAAAAGAACAAAAAAGAAAAAGAAAAACAAACGAAAGAAAACCACAAAAGAGAAAAAGAAGAAAAAAAAGAAAAAAGAAACTTATGGAAAGAAACCGAGGAAATAAATGATGGAAATAAATCAAACAGAAATCGAGAAAAGAAATCAGAATCAAGTAACAAGAAGTTTCTTTGGGCTATTACCAAATGACGTCTGTTCAGGTTTCGATCCTCCTTGCCGAGGAGTCCGAGGAGTCCGGGTCGTCCGGCTCCTGGGACCGAAGCAATCCACTTGCACGCACCTATTAAATCAGCCGCACTGAGGATACGGTGTTTTTGACTCGAGACTGAGCTATTTGTAACGCGCTTGAGAAAACAGATACTGCCCATGAGCAAACATTGTCAAGTCTTTGACGCTTGCATTATTCTAGTTTTTATCCAATCAACTTTGTACTGCAGTTCTCATCACTCTCGCGCTGTTTTGGATACGTTATCGCCTCGTTTGCGATAACCGCACGCACCACTGCCACGGGCTGACGTATCCTTCTCGACGCGTTATTTCCGCAAACACAGCCTGTCCAACCCTCCCGTCTGCCGCCCCTCCCCAGCCTGACTACGCGGTTACATACACACGGCACAGCAACCTGTACAGAGGCGAGCCCGCCAAGCATGTCCTTGGTATCAGCGTTGCAGATCCCGTACAGGGAAGCCCGGGATGGATTCTGGGGGGACCAGACATCAACCCTGAATTGGTGCGAAGAGGTATGGACGGCTTGATATAGTTGCATTACTTGCATATCGTGCTGTAAAGAAAACCATCCCGGCTCACCGCCTCGCCTCCAGGATTACAACATCAGCTTCTACTGCGCCGAGGTCGTCAACACGGTCACCAACTTGGTGTTTATCTGGCTCGGGGCCAAAGGTCTGCGGAATGTGCTCGCCTATGCCCACTCGAGGGTCTTTGTGCTCGCGTTCCTGGGTTACGTCGTAGTTGGCCTGGGGTCCATGGCCTTCCATACCACGCTGAAATGTTCGTTCACCGTGCCGGGTCGTCTTTTTGTCGTACTTGCGCCTTGTATCCCGTTTCTCATCCGTGAAACAACCTAACCGCTCCGTTGTCTGACACACTCTTATCTCGCAGATGAGATGCAGCTCGCCGATGAGCTGCCCATGATATACACGGTGTGCATCATGGGGTTTGCCACGTTCTCGTACAGGCGGCCGGCAAAGGTGCAGGCCCTGATTGCGGCGGGGATGATTGGGCTGGCTGTTTTCATCACGGTTTGTGTCGACTACGTCCCCGTATTCTTTTGGGTCCCGACCGGCTGACGAGCAGTTTGTTTAGGTCTACTACCTCGTTGCCAAAGATCCAGTCTTCCATCAAGTTGCCTACGGCATTCTCACTGCGACAACCATATTCCGCGGCTTTTACGTCATGGAACGACACCTGCGGCCGAAGCTGAGCCAACGAAACCCGGCCGAGTGTGGTCGCTACATGCGCGGCATGTATACACTGTCGCTGACTGGTCTGTACCACCCTTCCGGTAGCCCCGGTGTTTCGTCAGAGTACCACTAACGTACGACGTCCTGGCAAGGCATCCTCATGTTCTTGGCCGGCTTCTTGCTCTGGAACATGGACAACATCTACTGCCATAACCTGACGGCCACTAAGAAGCAGATCATGCTTCCGTGGTCGGTGATACTCGAGGGCCATGGATGGTGGCATATCCTGACCGGTTTAGGTAAGTTGCCAGTTTTCCCCTTCACAGAATGACTCCAGAACGATGCTGACGTGGAAAACAGGCGGTATGTGAAACCTGCGAGGACTGACTTAGGCGCGAGTCGCTAACGCTTGATGTAGCATATCACATGATTGTTTGGAGGGTGTGGTTGAACCGCTGCTTGGACGGCAGCGAAACGGAGTTTATGTTGGACTGGGTGCCTTTGCGGTCCGTCCCACAGGTCGTGCCCAGACCCGGCGCCTTTGTGAATGGGAACGGCCACCAGAAGATCCAGTAACCCGGTTCTGTTGCCTGTTTTTGAGACTGCCACAACCGGGCTTGGGTACAATCGGGCATCAAGGTGGTGATACCATACGTTGTGGCAGTGTGATAGAGGAGTAAAATCCCGTAGAGAATAGACTTGGATAGGTACCTTGTATATAAATTAAAGTTGAATTTGATCGTGGCTCGGGGGAGTCTTGATCCGAGATTTTCTTGTTGAGTTGAGACCTGTGCAGGACATAAACCCGGAGGCAAATATTACTAGGTACCTTAGAGGTATAATACTTCTAGAGGAACAGAATTGCCTCTTACCCATGATTTGCCCCTGATGTGTTGTGTTCTATACGGGCACCGAGTGCTGTGTTCGCCAAGTGCGCATTATAGCACTTCGCACTGTAGCTATCAAGCCCACTAAATTTCGAGCAGACGACAACCGCCCCGTTAAGACGAACACAGCATCGCCAGATCCGCATCACACATCAAAGTGGCAACTCCCACTCTCTGCGTCACTACACATCGAATCCGAGTCTGAGTCACCCTCATTTCGAGTGGCCATCTGTCAACATGTCAATATCCAACGAGGCGCTGCAGAAGGTGAGTGGTACCCTAGAATTGGGCATCAACCCCTCATCGCGGCTCATGGTAGCACATCATTCTTTGATGCTGACCGAGGCAACAGCTGGTGAGGGAGATCGAGTCGCAGGCCGCCGCCGCCCAGCAGCAGATCAGCCTGGTGCGCACCCAGACTGCCAGCAAGCAGCGCGAGATGCGCCTGGCCCAGTTGACGCGCAGCGAGATCGCAGCGCTGCCGTCCGACACAGCCATCTACGAGGGTGTTGGGAAGATGTACGTTTTGCCCCCATTTCCCCCGCGTTGCGTGCGTCCGGCGGGTTGACCACCCCTTGGTTAGGTTTGTCGCTATACCCGTCCCGACTCTGCAGGACAAGTTGGGCTCGCAGATCAAGGGGATCGAGACCGAGGTGGAGGCGATGGGCAAGCGGCTCCATTACTTGGAGACGACGGCCAAGAATAGCCAGGACCACATCGAAAAGATGCTCAGGGGTTCTGGGCAGCAGTGATGCTCCGGGTCGAGGCATGGGTTACGCTTGGGTACTGGGCTGGGGTTACAGGGCACGAAAGCCAAGGCATGGCGTGGCCCGGGAGGGGTGCCGGAGAGGTGAATTGGGATGTTGTCCTTCTCGGTTGTCAGCTCGCTCGGGTATCGCGGGATAAGGCAGTAAATAGCTCCATATCAGTCTCGCCATGAAAAATCGAAATCGGTGATTTGGGTAGGTTGCACCAGACTCAACATCGCATCCCCAGACCTGAGCCATCCAATCTTGAGCCTTAACGTTTGTGGGGGGGAGATGGGAGGCACACTGTGCTCGTACCCAAGCGGGCCGGTTGCCGCATGGACAAAAAAGGCTGAACTCCAAGTGCAGATGTCGACCATGGAAACTTCAAGTCCTCGACTGGAGGAACAAAGCGAAAGCCATCCTGAAGCCCAAAAAACCGTATTTACACCATTTACTTTTGTTTTATTTCCCTTTCCCTTAATTTGGTTTCTTCTGCTCGATTTCTTTTTATTTGTTCTCTTTGCTTGATTTATTGCCCTCAAGGTTCCTTTCGAGTTCGGCTTTTTTTGGCCAGAGGGTGCCGGTTCACGGACACCCGACTGGGCCCACTTCTCTTGAATGAGGGGCAGAAATTGTCACGCTTGCGGGGCCTGGACGCATCTCGCAGCCAACAGTGCCAAGTTAAGTTTCAGACAAGCGCCGTTTCCTGCAGCTCGTCGGTTCATCAGCTGGGCTCAACCAGTGACTCGAAGACGGCGCGTTTCCTCGCTCCCGACTGGTTGCAGTCAGTATCCCCAAATAACATGACACAGGCTAGCTGAGCGCACGTATGACTCGCTGCTCTTGTTCGGATGGGATTGGCGACGACCGCGGGCCATGACGGGAGCGCAGCCTCGCGGCCATCCCGCCGCAGCTTCGTTGCAGGTGGCTGCCCAATGGACCCCCAGACCAAGACCAGACCGATCAGCATGCCAGCCGCCAACCACCCACAGGCCCGCGGCATCCCTGCTCGTCGTCTCCATTGCAGATGCCAAGATGTCGCTCGCAGCCCCTCACCTAGCCCTATGCGCCGTCCCGGTTCCTTGATTCCCTCACGAACATGGAAGATGGGTTCGCAGAGGACCGAGACTGCAGCGCTCTTCCACTGCGATAACCCGGGAGATAGGCGCCAAAGCGAGGGCAGAGTGGAACAAGGGTGATTTACTATCCCTCTCCTCCCCGAGCGACACAATGCCACGGTTTCTTGACACAAGGCTGAGCCGGGTCAGGTCCAGATTACACTCGGGAGTATGACTTTTCGGAAGTGACATGGAAGTGGCAAGTAAAGAGCCGAATTCGTGCTGCTGGGAGTTGCCAGCTTGCGCAACTCCAGCCTGCAATCTCACCAGCCTCCACTCTTCTTCCCAGCCGCTGACCGGCACTGGCCGCGTTGGCTGCTCTGCCGCTGACCTGCACCGTCCTCCACCCCAGACCCTCCCGCCCCGGTGCGGTCTTGGGCCAACCAACAGCGGCCACCGTGGGAGAAATGCGTGCTCCCACCCTCTCCGGAAAGGGACCAGTACCTCATCTCGGGCTTGTTCCGTGTGGCACACGACCGCTAGGCTGCCATCATGTGTTGGTTCCCGATACCTTTCGCCAAGATCTCCCGCACTGTACGGGCTTGAGGCAGCTCTCCCTCCCCCCTGATTTGTCGTGTGTCCGCGGCTCATGCAGCCCTCATGTCTGAAGTCGCCGGGGCCCGGGGGGTGGGCGTCGTCCTCGAGTCTTGCCTGACCAGTGCAGCGCAGCGCCGAATAAGTGGTGGGTCACACCCCCGCTCGGTTGGGGGCTGACAATCCTCCTGACCCCTCTGCACACCGAAGACATCTTCCCTCTGTTCTCAATTCTGCTTTCTGAAATCCCTCCTTCTAACACAAACAAGTTGACAAAACCGCATTGAGCGACTTGAGAAACCCAGACCCGACTATCGTCTAACCTTGGGAAGAGCGTGGCAGCTCACCCACCCCCTCAACGGATACGTTTACAAAGATACCTTGAGCGTGACCCAGCCTTCCTCTCTTCAACATGTCTAGCTATACTAGCGACGATTCGAGTCACTCGACCGAGATCAGAGTACGGCGCGGGCGCGATCCGTCTCCTTTTTACCACCGGGCACCTGTTCCCCCGCCCGGGCCCCATCGCGGACCAGCCCCGCACTTTATCCAGACCGTTACCCGGGATGTACGGGACCACCGGCCTACGGGCTACTTTAACGCACCCGGCCCTCGCCGGCCGGACGAGCGCATGACCATTGTTCATACCCGCTCTCGGTCGAGAGAGCGCAGGTCCCCGCCGGTCCGCACTGGGCCGATGCCTGTGCCTCCGCCTGTGGCGGCTCCTCCCCAGGTGATCATCAACCAGCCGTTTGTTGATCGTCGCCGGGCCGAGCGAGAACGGGATTCGGATTCTTCCTCGGACGACTCGTCCCGTGGGTCCTCCCGGCGTCATCGCCGGCGCCACAGGCACCACCGGTCACACAGCCATGTCCGCAGCCGGTCCTCCAGCACCCACAGCAACATCGAGGACGCCAGGAATCAATGGAAGCTGCAGAGCGCAAATGAGCAGCTCGCCCTCCTCCGGCTCGAGGCCCAAAAGAGGGACGAGCAGCGTCAGATGGAGCGGTACTCCAAGGAGCAGGCCGAGCTCGCGCAGTCGCGCGCCGACCTGGAGATGCGGCAACGGAGGGAGGAGGACGAGCTCCGCCACGACCGCTACCGCGACGAGTACGAGCTGGAGCACCTCAAGCGCGAGATCGCCCGCATCCGGCGCCAGGAGGAAGACCTGAAGGCCGAGCACGCGCGCGAGGAGCAGGCCAAGTTCGTCAAGGATAGCGACGAGCTGGCCCGGTTCAAGCGCGAGCAGGACGAGATCAAGCGCGCAAAGCAGGCCGAGGCCGAAACCGAGTACCAAAAGCAAAAGGCCGAGCTGGAGCGTCGGATACGCGCCGAGGAAGAGGCCAAGCGCGACAAGGCCTTCGCCGACGAGACCAAGGCCAAGGCCGCGCTCGCCGAGCTGGAGCGCATCAACGCGGAGCGGGAGCGCAGGGAGGAGGAGGAGCGGATTCGCCGCGAGATCGAGCTCAAGAGGCTCGAAGAGGAGAAGAAGGCCGCCGACGAGGCCAAGCGCAAGGAGAAGGAGGCCGAGGAGGCCATCGCCGCGTACAAGGCCAAGGAGATGGAGCGCGCCCAGAAGGAGAAGGAGGAGCAGGAGGCCCGCGACAAGGAGCTGCAGCGCATCATCCAGGAGCGCCTGATCAACTCGGGACTCGACGAGAAGGAGATCGAGGCCGTCATGAAGAACGAGAAGATCAAGCGGGAGAAGAAGGAGGAAGAGGAGAAGCAGATCGCCCGCCCCACCTACACGCGCATGTCGCTCCGGTATCTCGACATCGAGACCCTCATCCACCACAAGATCGAGTTCGACCTAGACCCGGTAAGTTTCATCCAGCCTAGGCCGTCCGGTACCCTTATAACAAGACCCCCCACTAACCCTCTCCGTGTGCGCCGCCAGGAACCGGGCTACGTCATCATCAAGCGCTGGGTGCCCGAGTGGGAGCAGACGGTGCTCTGGGAGCACACGCGGCGGCGCCGCGGCGGCGACAGCGGCAAGATCATGCTCGAGGTCGACGACGGCCACCGCCACCGCCACCGCCACCGCCACTCCTCGTCGGGCGACTACGAGTTCGTCCGCGCAAAGTCAAAGTCCCGCCACCGCAGCAAGTCGCCCGGCCTGCTCATGTACTTGGCCGGCGGCCGGCCGCGCTAAGGGTGTGTCGGCGTCGCTGGGGTTGTCGGTCGGTGTCGTTGTGTGATGGATGGATACCCTTCTTCTCTGGCGAGTTTCTGTGGTTGAGTTGAGCTGTTATATCTTGTTCTGTTCGTTTCTTTTTCTTTTGGCTACACACGGTGGGAAAAGGCGGGCAGGGAAGCCTGGGGGTGAGAGGGAAGGCAGAGAACGGGCCGCATGAGGAACGATAAGATGAGCTATGATTTGTGTTGTTTACGTTTGCGCGAGTCGAGAAATTTTCGTATTTATCTTTCCTTTTTGTTCCTCTCCATATTCCCAGCTCCGTTTCGCGCTGTCAGGCAAGACGAGTGCTCGTAGCGTCACGGGGCATGTTTGTTTCTGTTCCCTTCTCCGCCGCATCTTTCCCTTGGGTGATATGATCCTCTAGGATGAGCGAGCCATGGTTAGGATAGGGTACCGTAGTGGAACAGGTGTCGTATAGTACAGTATAGTACACTCTAAACCAAAACAACCTTCCCCCCCGCCCCCTTTTTCACCCATCCAACCCATAACGCCGCCGTCATGCCCATGCAAATAACAGCCAACGCCACCACCCCATCCCATCCCATCCCTCTCCCCAACCCAAACAGCCACAAACGCACCCATCCACATCACATCACAAACTCTCCCTCGCCGCCGCCGCCCGCCACCCGCCCTCCGCACGCCGAATCAGCTCCTCATACACAGTCCACGCCAGCGCCGAGCTAACCGCCTTGCGGCTCATGCGCAGCGCGAGCCCGTCCCACAGCGCGCGCAGGCCATCCTCCCCGACCATGCGCCGCGCCCCCTGCACCATGTTGCGGTACCGGCCCGGCTGCAGCTGGATGCGCGTCTTGACGGCGTCGAACGGGTTCGACACCACGCTGCACACCACGCCGGCCAGCACCCCCGACGCGAAGTTGATCCCCGCCGCGTGCTGCAGCCCCATCTCCCCCCCTCCTCCTCCTCCTCCCAGGGTAGTAGTGGTGGTGGTGGTGGTGGGGAAGAGCGTCCCGAGCCGCTTCTTGCTCTGCTCGTACAGCAGCACGTACAGGCCCGCGTAGGGCGCGTCGCGCACGGCGGTCGCGCCGTAGCCCGCGAAGAAGCCGCGCAGGCCTTCGTGGGTCGCGATGTCGCGGGCGGCGGAGGCGAGGGAGGTGTAGGAGTAGAGCGTGCTTTCGTAGCGCACTTTGAGGACGGTTAGGGGCATCAGGAGGAGGCCGGCGAGGGAGCGGGCGGCGGCGCCGGCGAGGAGGTTGGAGGTGTTGGAGAGTTTGGGGAGGGAGGAGGATGTGGTGCTGGTTGTGGTTGTACTGCTGGAGGTGGGGAGCGGGGAGATTCGGGCGGCGCTTTGCCGGATGGCGTTTAGGGAGGTGAAGTAGATGGCGGAGCCGAAGCCGGTGCGTAGCGCGGAGGGAACGGCGCCGCGCCAGAGGGCTGGGAGGAGGCGTGGGGCGGCGCGGATGTCGGCTATGGCGGCGGAGAGAGAGTGCGCGCCGGACTGCTGCACGCGGGTTTTGAGGAGGTCGATCGGCTGGAGGAGGACGGCGGAGAGCACGCCGGAGCCGAGGCCGGCTGCGAAGTGGAAGGCTGTGATGGGGGGGATGTCAGCTGGCGTTTAGGGGTGGGGTTTGTGGGATGGTAAAGGGGTATTCAAGATAGGCGTACTCGACTTCGAAAGCGCCGTGCGGGAGCCATCGGACATTGCGGCGTTGGGCACCTATCTATGGTTGCTGGTGTGGTGTTTTCGGGCAGGGTTGGTGTGACGACCCGCGCGGGGTATTTCTCGTTCAGAGATTGATGTGTCTGAGATACGGACCGGCCATCCTCAACACAACTCGAGAAGGGGGCAGCCCATGTTAACTCAGGCTGGGGAAGAGGGTCGTTCTGACTGTTGTCGGTGTTCGAGTCAAAAAGTTGGGACGACAAAGCTGCAGTCGCAGGCCTGGATTGACCTATGACGGCATGCCAATTCTGCATTTGGCGGGGCCGGATCTGCCGGCTTAACCCGACCGGACCGGCGCCGGGGATCCAAGCAGCCAACCAGGAACGGGGTCAGGCACGAATGGTCCCGGTATTGTCCTGTTGATGCTTGAGTCACACTGCTCGTGATCGTTTTGAATTAAACTGAGGGATAAGCTTTCACTGTACCTATAGACCGTGACCGTCGTGTAATGTAACCACCCCGCTAATTAAACAGTGCCGCTCTCAACTCCCCCTCCTCTGTTCCCCTACAATCGATTCCAGCCGCCCAGCCAGAGCCCGGTGCCGCTTAACAACCTCAACCCACTCATCCTCTGCCTCGGGCCCGACATCCAGCGTAGCAAGGAACAGCCCGAAATCACCACCCAACCGCCCCAGACTCCCCGCACAGTAGAGCACCTGCGTAAGCAGACTGTCCCTCGCCGCCTGGTCCCTCACGGTAGGTAGGTACACCCGCAGCGTCTCCAGCAGCATATCCACCAAGTAGAGCGGAAACGTCGCCAGCGCCGAAGGCATCGGTTCCAGCGGGTCACTGCCACCACCACCACCACCACCCTGCTGCACACCACCACCACCCCCACCCCCACTACTACCACCACCAACCAACCCATCACTCGTAACCACCGCGGCCACGGGGAAGATACTCCTAAACATGGACACAATCGCAAAGCTCTGCTCGCGGAAGATCTCGAGGTAGCGCTTGAGGTAGCGCTCCGTCTGCTGGCCGCCCGACCACGCGCTGCTGCCGCCGCCGTCCAGCGCCCGCTGCCGCGCCTGCTCCTGGTCGGCCAGCTCCCGCAGCGGCTCCAGCGCCTCGAGCATCGCCATCAGCGTCGCGAGGCGGCAGACTAGGAACAGAGCGCCGAGGATGCGTTCTTGCGAGTCGCGGCCGCCTTTGGTGGCGTGCGGGGAGGGTTGGGTGATGGTGGTGGTGCCTGTGGTGGTGGTGGTTGTGGGTGAGGTGGTGGATGGGGAGGAGGCTGCTTCGAGGTCGGGGAGCACTCGGCGCAGCCAGCTGATGGTTCGGAGTGAGGCGGCTAGCTTGAGGCCGGGCGCTTTGAGGGAGAGGATGAGGTTGGCGGCCATGTCGCGCATCGCCTCGTCGGCTTGCGTGGATATTGACTCTATGAGGGGCGAGTTCGGGTAGATGGAGTGCAGCCGCCGGATGTGCCCGTTCAGGTCCAGGGCGGATGAGTAGTTGACGGGAGCTGTGGTGATGGAGGAGGATAGCAGGGTTGGCAATTCGAGCACATCAACCAACCGCTCCACGTTACGTGAGAGGAGGAGTGCCTTTTTGCGACGTGCTAGCACATCACTGTCGCTGCTCTTGTTGTAGGTCGTCGAGAAACGCACTGCTTCGCTATCGAGCTTGGGGATTGCATTGCGTAGGTCGGCAGTGCTCGCTGCGAGTGCGGGTAATGTGGTGCGGAGTGTGGCATGGTGAGATGCAGACTCGATGATCTGCTTGTGTGATTTCTTGGAGAGAGCTTGCAACGAGAGAAGCAGCCCATGAGACGATTGCGACAGTGCTTGTGGTTCTGATGACGCGAGTGACGAGAGCGGCTGTGAGGCCAATGTTGTGAGATATTCGAGTGAGCTCGGGTCTGCGGTATCCCGGGACGATGATGGCCCTGGCGGCGACAGTAATTCGTAGAGAAGGTCGGCCATTTCGGGCGTTGTTTGGTGCCGACGAGTTGAGTACGGAGATCGCGAACTTGAACGTTCTGTCTTGGCTCCGATATGAATGAACGTTACGCGGTAAGATACCTGTACATGCATACATTACCCCGATGTAACGATATCATCTTTGGCTTCTCGGACAACGTTCCTTATCCAATACTCTTGCGAAAAAAAACACTGAAAACATTGAGCGCACAAGGCTTGTCATAAATATCACGGTTTTATTATCATCACATATTCCTTGTTGCTTCCATAAAACGGGAGTATGGGTAAGTTGCCAGGTTTGACGTTGGGAGAGAGGAGTGCTTGAATTGGCTGATCAGCGCATGACGGGCCTGCCGTTACCTGATGAATTTACAGCTCATCGGGCACCCATGTTCCCGCTATCAATTTCTTTTTTGTGACTGGGCATGGTTTGTTTTTACCTCGTAGAGCGGTTTAGAATTTGAGAGAGGTGAGCACTAACAGAGTTTGCTTTGAGCTTTATGATATGTTAGAAGCTTCACAGATGAACTCCACAGTACACAGTATTCGCAATGCTCGGCCTTGCCCCGCCTGGCCCACAAAACTTCGAGCGGTGCTGGGAACCGTGGCTTCCTCCATCGCTTCAAACCTCGAAGATGACATGGACTTAATTTGTTTTCTTTTTCAGCTCCAGAATCCAATTAGGTAGTTAATCTATCCCTATAGTCGCTATGAGTTGGTACTATTGGACTCGATATCTTCCCATTCCTGCCTTTTCCGTTTTGCAACACCGACATTCAGATATCCCCGACGTCCGCGGAGTCGCCCTCGAACGGGATAACTCGATCTCGTCGCCGAAGTTTTCGTTCGGCTACTCTCCGATGCACCGTCAAATCCAACCATTTTGAGTTTGTTCTTGTTTCGTTTCTTTACTTTCGATGTCTCGAGTTTCGGCGTTGATGGGACCGCAACAGCAACACTAGCGAGCCCGGACAGCAGCACGCCGACTTTCCCAAGCCAATACAGCAGTATGGCGGTGACACCCAGCCATACTCCGCTCCCTCCGCTTTTCGACTTGATTTCTTTCCGATCTTGTTTCCAGTCCTTCTGGCAAGTGTCAGGGGCAGGCTCACTGTCCACTTCTCCCACCTGCGTGGGCACTGCCGAGTTCACCAGCGTTACCGAACTTGAGGACTCGGACATTTCTTCTGCTCCGGCAGCCGGGGGTGTGGATGTTGAGAGAGGTGGAGGCCGGGGTGGATGAGAAGGGTGATATGCGAAGCCAGCGGCGGCCATGCTCAGCTCCTCCAGTGTCGGAGCGGGGAGGTGCTGCATGGGGTTCCCCATCACCGATGTCCCTCCGCCGGTGCTTGCCGGGGGCCGGGGTTCCAGCCACGGCCTTGGGGGCGGTCGTAGTTGCGGTACTTGGGGGTTACCCGGCGGTGGTTGAATTGGCAGGGTTGCCGTAACCGGGTTCGTAATGGCGGGGTGGTAGCTCGCAGCCAACGCGTCGGGAATCTCGACCGGGACCATGGTCATATTCGCGTACCCCATTGCCTCGGGCAAATCGCAGGCAACCTCGTCCAACCGTAGGGGGCACGAGTACCCCTCCGCCCACTCGATCTTGGTTACGATCTCCTGGTCCTTGCCTCCCTTCTCTCCAAACTTCAACTTGCTTTTGATCTTGTCCGAAAGCTTGGCGAGTTTGCCGCTGACATGGACCGTCATATAGAATCTCGTCGCGTTATGCTCCAAGGCAAATGCCGTGTGGAAAAGGTTGTTGTGTTTTGGTTGCCACTCCAGCGAGTTCTCCGTGAGCGTCCAACGCAAGCGGTTGTACCATATGCTCCCCTTGGTTGAGTCGATACCACCAGAAAAGTCCCACCGTCCGCTCGTTTGCACGACCTTCTCCTTGTCTACCCCAAGGCCACCCGCACCATAGCCAAACAACTGCACCTCGGGCGTGCGGTTTTGGATCTTCCTCGTCTGTACGAGAGATTCTGGGCCCCGGATGCACTTGGGGCCGTAGTGGTCGGTAAACTGGACCGGACAAGCAGAGCGGTGCTGTATCCGATCCTCTTCGCCGTCGTCCTCCGTCAAGGTTACCGTGATGGTCGCCGACTGCAGCTTGCAGTCTGCGGGCTGGCTGAAATCCAGGTCAAGGTAGACGATACCCCCGGGGTTTTTCGACTCCCCGATGACGCCCCAGCGGGATTTGGTAAACATAAACCGACAGTCGATCTCAACCTTGCCAATGCTCCCCCGGCCTGCGCGCATATGCGTCGAAGCTATGTTGTCGAATCGTTTGTAATCATGCCGTCCATATTTGCCACGTACTTTGGATAACAAAGCAGGTCGAGTGCTCTGTCCATCCATTGTCGAAGGTGGCCTCCAGCAACCGACTCAAGACTTGTGCGTCGTACAATGACTGGTTCATTTCAAGCGCGGAAGCAGTCGGCCCTCGGAGTGCGGCCGTCTTGAGTAAATATTTGAGCAAGCCAGGGCGGGGCAGCGTGCGAACCACCCAACACCCCTCGCTGCCAGCTGCATTGGGTACCGCAAACACTGCCTCCATTAGCCGTGTGTAACTGGGCTCCTCGGGGTGCCTCTTGGCCGCAAGAATGCACGATTGGCCTGTCCCTGCAGCTTTGATTCGTCAGTGAAGCTGCACGAAACCCGACTCGACAAAGCCCTTGGCTAGGCTCTCACAGCGAGGGAGGCCCTCGACGGGGCTGCGCCCCTCGCTCCCCAGACGAGTCCATCCCCACCCGTACCTTTCAAGTTTCTCATGAGCAAGGAAGTTGGTGGCCGCCCACGTTGTCTATGGGACACGCCATCCTCTGGCATGGAATCTATGAACCGCTTCACCATGAGTATCTGCAGTTATTCTGACGACGACCAAACGGATCATTCGTCAGAAAGCACATCAGGAAACGGGACCTACTCTGATGATGAAGACGATGCCAGCACCCGTATCATCGTCCGAGAGAATCCGGGGAGAGAGAGACAACGGGTGGTTATAGATGACGCCGATTCTCGGCAACCCCCGCCCTCTCACCACACCCCCAATTGGCAAACGCCGCCAAATACAGGCTTTCAGAGACATCATATACCTTCAAACTATCCATGGAATGGCCACTATGTTCAAAACCCGGCTGTCCGGGGACCCCCGGTACCGGTACACCAACATCGGGGAAACTTCTGGGAGCAATTCGAGCATTTCGAGACTGGCGCCGAACGGCAACCGGGGAAGTCACTCGTCCCAACGCGAACTCCATGTATCCCGGATACAGGGGAACCGTCATATCCGAACCCCAAAAGGCTCGAAGGCCCGGTCGCCAACCCTACTGATCCTATCGCCACCATGGGCGCGGGTCACGGTGCCAAAACAGACCTTCAGCCTCCTCGGCCGACGTACTTTCCGTACCCCAAACCAGTAGCGCCTGAGAAACCTGGCGCCCGAACGCACCTGCCGGACAAGGGCCCTCTAAGAGAGCCTCTCAAAAAAGCAGAGGCCCCCGATGCTACCACGCGAGTCGACCTTGTCCATGATCCCTCTCGGGCAAACAAGGACATGTCGATCCGCATTGCGCTGGATGCTGAGGAGGATTGGGAGGATGACCTGGAAGAATTCTGCCGCCTCAGAAGGCTAGGCCTGATCAAAGAAGCAAAGGAACAGTTCTGGTCAGCATTGGCACATGTCAACACCATGCCCTATATCCGGGTCCAGTATGCCGAGATGCTCCAGGCATCCGGGGACTTCAAGGGTTTCCAGAAGCTCGACTTCCTCCCCGAATTTCCCCCAAGCCCATCAGAGGAGACCCCCGATGACCGTAGTCGGGGAAAGTTGGTCGCCAACCATGCGCTCCTAGATCTGCTCTCACAGCGGCCCATCGAGCATTACCTCACTCATGCATGGGGGGTTATACGTCATACGCTAAAGGCTCTCGCCGGCGAATCAACGGTCGGCTCTACAGAGGTATGTCGTGAACAAGCCGTGTGCTTCCTGGGCTCCGTCTAACCTATTGCCTTCCAGATTCAACTCATTGTTTTGTGCCTCCGCGTCCTAGACTACCTAAAGACCTGCACACATGAGACGGTCGTGGGGCCGGCCATAGTTTACGCAAACCGGTTATTCAACTGGCGGCAGCTCTACCACGATCTTGTCGGTGAAAGTTGCGTCTGGGATTTCAAGGATCTCTTCTATGCGTCAGTCTCGGTCTTTGGCTGGCAAGAGGCCCTGGTGCAGTTTTTCGGTACCACCCATTTCCCCCGCGCCCTGGACTCTATTGTCCAAGATTGGACCCGTCCCTTTTACGATGAAGCATCGGTCATGGGCCTTCTCGACCTGTTCAGTTCGTTGATCCTCCAGGACCACGGCAGCAGCATGAAAGCTCGGAACACGCTTTTGCTCCATCATGCTAGGACTATGGCAGAATCTGCGGAACGCAATGACCCAGAGCTTATGAAGACTAAGCCCTTCGTTCAGTGGCTGCTGGCTAAGTCTGTCGTCGACTTGGAAAATCCGCCCGAACGTCCGGACGGAGTACGTATGGAACACTTCAGCGGACTGGGGCTCAATCAGGGCGGCGGGGTTCATTTGCCGATATACGTCCCAAGTCGGCACTCCAGGAAACCCGACTGGGATATGTTTTTCTCACGATCCACGCCCGCGCAACGACGTGTTGTCGAGGTCGCCGTCAGAGCGGCGGAACAACTTGGCGATTACAACTTGCAGGCTGAGGCCTTGAAACTTCTCATCCTTCAGTCTCAGGACCCAAAACAGTGGATGACTGCGCTTGCGCATCTACAATTAGAAACCCAAGGAGACAAGGAGGGCTACCTTGCAACATGTTTGTCCAGGTACTTGGTTGCCACCGATCCAGCGGAGGAAACAACCCTTCTCAAAGACCTCGAAAGGCACGGCGGGTCAGGGGATGCCCTATACTTTGAGCAGTGCGAGAACGCATCCTTGACCTGGGCTTGGAGCATGGTCCGGGTACTGCTCACGACAGCGCACGGCGATGATGGTTCGGTCGCAACTGGTGAAACGGAGCCCTCGCCATTCCTAGCTCAGGGGTTCAGCCTGGACGGTTCAAAACTGCCTCCCTATGTTGCAGAATTCGCTCGCGTAGAACTCGGTATCTTTGTTACGGAATCCATGGGCCCGCTGTCCTTGGCCGATCTCAAATCGACGAATGTGGGCGGCGAAGAGCAAGTCAAGCATGACCAACACCAGCCCGACGCCGCGCTCCGGGCCCGTTTTGCTCGTACAACGGCCGAACCAGCAATAGGTGTCCGGCACCCGGTGGAGTACGAACTGCGAGGCCGGGCGGTCAACCCTGCGAACTGGCCCCCTTGGCCGCCGCGCTCTCCGTCACCGCCTCGTCCGCCGCGGCCCCCCCCGACGCGGCCTAACCCCTTGGATTACTACAACGACCAGCAACCAAACCCACTGGCGAAGGGGGTAACGAAGGACCTTAAAGTGAATGGCTGGCCAGAGACATGGTTCAAGGATGCCAAACAATACGCGCCGCGCATGCAGCCGCGTTACGTTGAGGACTTGGACTCGGACGTTGGCAGGCCGCATCGAATCATGACCATAAACCGGGGTCCGGACGCAGAGCATCAGAGGCTAGAGAATATTAGGAAGTTCGATGAAAGAGTGAACAACAGGCGGCCGGTAGAGATACTCAGGATGGGGCGAAGACATGGGTCGAGGGAGAGAGATATACTGGGGGGGAGGGATAAGTTGAGGGAGAGGTTTGGAGAGGCGGACGAGAGGGGCGGACGGTTAGGTGATAAGAAACACCTCAGCAATACTAGGTTGGACCGTCAGCGGAGGGAGAGGGAGAAAAGTGAGTGGGACCGGGGCCAAGCGACGGTCGACGATGCCGGGCAGGAACGGAACGGAACCAGAACAACACACAAGACCCCCCATAAAGGCATTAGGGGACACAAGAAGCGTGAACCCAGGGACCGCGAAGAGGAGAAGAGCAGTCTCAAAGAAGTTGATAGTTTGGACGACGGGTATAGCAGTGGCGGGTCTGATGGCCCGGAGGACAGACTACATGTCACGGTGGAGGACGGTGTGACCAAACTTTACTTCCCCAGCGGCCGCCTAGACGGCAACGGCACGACGGTGGTGTTAAACGACCACAAACACTCACGCAAACCTAATACCTACGTCGTAGGAAAGGGCGGCGACATTGATACCACCATGCCAGACCGAACTCGACGGCGTCTGCGCACTGCTTCTCCCCCCGGCAGAGGCAAACCAGAGATCGATGCCAGGGCACGTTCGCCTGGGTTGAGCTGGTCAAGCGAGTCTGCCATCTGGCAGCGGTGGCCGAAAAGCAAAAGTAAGAAGAAGGGCAAAGTTAATGAGCCGCGGAAGTCTCCTTTCGCCGCCCAAGTCAAAACCGAAGACGAAGCCGACCGTCAAGAAGCAAGGGAGTACGAGGACACAGATCCACTCGCGCCAGCGCCGCCTCCACCACCGCCAGCAGAGTCGGAACCGAAACCGGGACCAAAGCCCGCCGACACGGATGCCAATGATCCACAGCCTACCTTATCCAAGGAAGGAGAAAGGCAGACACCGGCTGCAACGACGATAACAGCAATACCGGGCGGTGTATCAACGACAGCTGCAGCGGCAGCAGGGCCGAAATCCCCGGCAGAACTGGAGGCGAAGCCAAAAGGGTGGTCGTCGCCGCCGCCAACGATAGCATCAACAGAGCCAGCAACAGCACCAGTAGAGTCAGCAACAACTGCAGCAGAGCGACAAGCAGACCCCAGGGACATATGGGCCGATCTATGGGCGGTCGGCGTCGCTTCCCCCAAGAAACACCAACACACACCGGCTTTGCCAGAACCCAAGCCAAAGCCAGAACAAGCCCCGAGCACCTCGGGCGATGACATTTGGGCCTTCACCAAGCCAGCCAAGCGAAAGAACAAGCAGAAGGCGGACGAATCCCCCATCCCAATTCGACCCCCGACAACGGCACCAGGCACTGCAGATGGCAAGGCCAGCGAAGAACCGGCCCAAGATCCCAGCGACCAAAACGAGGACGACCCGGCCCCTGCTCCCGATCCAGAGCGAGGAGCATCCACAAAACCCGAACAGCAACCAAGCAACAGCCGAGCAGGCGGGGGCACAGTAGCGAATACGAGTAGAAAATGGGGCGCGACCTCGGACTGGGCGTGGGAGGACGACCCTACCGCACCTACCGGGCGGGACGTGCCTGCGGCGACGCAAGACGACGATGCGGCAGAGGACGACGACTGGGCGCGGGAGTGGGGCTGGAATACCAGTGTGAGTAAGAAGGAGGAGAGGAAGAGGAGGATGGCGGAGGGGCGGGAGGAGAGGGACAGGGCGGAGGAGAAGATGCAAGAGGAGTACCGTGAGAAGATCCGAAAGAGGGTGCGGGAAGAGATAGAACGGGATATACGAGAGGGGACGGTACGGGACACGGAGAGGATCACGGAGGGTTTCTGGGAGAGACATCAACAAGGTGTACAAGAGAAGGAGAAGATGGGAGAGGAGAAGGCTAGCGGTTCGGTCGGGAAGCAGGCGGAGCCTCTTAGTGCGGAGACACTGGTGGGGGATGTCGGGGAAGGGCAACAACTGGTTGTAGCGTCGATGGATAAGGGGGAGAAGCAGAAGAAGCAGAAGAACAAGAAGAAACAGAAGGTGGCGAGGGAGGATGTGCTGGAGGAGGGGGAGAGGATGTGGGAGGAGGAGAGGTTGAGCGAGGAGAAGAAAGTTTTGGAGAATATGGCGAAAGAAGAGAAGGCTCAAAGTCCGGTTGGGAAGCAGGCGGAGCTTCTTAGTGCGGTGACGCTGGTGGGGGATGTCGGGGAGGGACAATAGCTGGTTGTATCGTCGAGGGATAGAGAGGAGAAGGCGAAGGCGATGGAGGAGGAGGAGCAGGGTGGGTCAGAAGGGGGGAAAGCGTTGGTTGTGCGACGGGCTAGGGAAAAGAGAATACATAGGCGAGTCAAGGGCGGTGGTAATTCTAGAGTTTATACACAGCGTGACGGGATCCCCCTCACGCCGAATCCACCAAAGGACGACTTTGAAGAAACATCAATTCGCACGGGGAAAACCGTCTAATGGAAGGGGGCTCCGAACGATCGGCGATGGGCGTTGGGAAGGATGGTGAAGAGATGCCTCTCATAAAATAAGGTTTAAGGCAATTTCGAAGTGATATACCTATACAACGATCAAATGGGAGTTGGTGACATCTCGTATAAGCAGTGCTGCCCGCTTCGTCGGGGTACGGAAACGGCCGAACTCCAGTTCTCAACTAGGTTATTACAAGTATTGTCTCTTCCACTTTGGTTTCCACGACGGGTCTTCACCCATGCAGATCTCCATCCGCGCAACTTTATGGTTTTGAGCGCGTCACCCTGCGGGATGGTTGAGCTCATTATCCCGATGTTTCTCGACGAGCCCGACGGTATCAACAACACCTTTGACGATTATTCGAGGCCCTTTGGGTTCTGAGATGGCAACGGCCCAGTTGTCAGGGGCGGCGGGGGGCGTGTTCGCGGCAGGTAGTGAGATTGGTTCGATTACATCCAATCCTAACTGATGTGAGCATTTGCATCTTCAATGGTGGGGCCATAGTCAGAGTGTTGTTGGGATTTGGGATGATGCATCGGTGATCCTGACTCTGACATTGACGCTTTCAATTGCATGTGACGCGTTGCGTTCATGCATGTCAAAGAGAAAGTTACTTTGGGGAAAGGCGGCGGCCGGTGCTGCAACGCCCGACTAACCCCGCATTCCACCCCTGTCCCGTGGGCTTTCAGTGGTTGGCCCAGCTGACAGGGCAGCCTTGGCAGGTGCCAAGACCTTCCAGATCCCAACAAAAACGGGTGTTGCCTTTGGGTCGCAGCGAGTCCCCAGCTCCCGCTCCGCCTGGTCTGCAGCCTGGAGCTCCGATTCGAGCAACCAGCAACGCACGAATGAAGAGGCCGCACATGGCGCAGTGACTTCCTTCCACCACCTCTTCGACGTCTCACCTGCTGCAGCCGCGTGCCTGGCGCTCTGAGACCTCCAGGGCTTGGGGACGAGTGACCGTAACAGTACCCGCTTGGCGTTCGGTGTTGGTCGTCGTCGTTTAAAGAAGCACCGATTCCCGATTCCCGATTCCCGTTTCTAGCTTCTGGTTTCCCGTCTCCCCTTTCCCACCTCACCGGTGACCATAACGATAGCCACCATAAACATCATCGTCAATCCAACATGCGCGACCCCTTCCCGCCGATTCCGGCGCTGAGTCGGGCCATCGAGCCCCTGGCTGAGCGCCTCGGCATGCAAACGCTGCCCTTGCACATCCACGAGGTCGCCGGCGCCGCCCTGCTCTACACTTTCATCCAACTTGTCGTCTCGCCCGTGGTGTCGTCCCGCCTCTTCCCGCGGCACTACCCGCGCCATGACCGAGCCAAGAAGGCCAACTGGGACACTCACGTCGTCTCGCTCTTCCAGAGCCTGCTAATCAACGTTCTGGCCCTGTGGGTCATGTTCGTCGACGAGGAACGCCAGAACATGGACTTCGAGCAGCGCATCTGGGGGTATACCGGGGGATGCGGCCTGATCCAGGGGTTGGCCACGGGCTACTTTATCTGGGATCTGGGCATCACTATCACGAACCTAGACATCTTTGGGTTTGGGCTGCTCGCTCACGCCGTCAGCGCCCTGGCAGTCTACACGTTCGGCTTCGTACGTCACTCTCCCTCTCCGCTCCCTCCCCGCGGCAGCCCCTCCAACTCAAACCCCCATCAAACTAACCCGCTCGTGCCTTAGCGCCCCTACATCAACTTCTACTCCCCCGTCTTCATCCTCTACGAGCTCTCCACGCCCTTCCTCAACATCCACTGGTTCTTCGACAAACTCAACATGACAGGCTCCAAGCCCCAACTCTACAACGGCATCGCGTTGCTCGTGACCTTCTTCTCGTGCCGCCTGGTGTGGGGCACGTACCAGTCGGTGATGGTGTACGCCGACATGTGGCAGTCGGTGACGCGGGGCCCCTCCCCGGAGTACCTGGCCCAGGCCTTCGCCGACCCGGCCACCGCCGGCGACCCGAACACCAACCCCATGTACTTTTCCCGCGACGCCGCCCCCATCCCTTTCGCCCTGACCGCCGTCTATCTCGCCAGCAACCTCGTCCTCAACTCGCTCAACTGGTTCTGGTTCGTCAAGATGGTCGCCGCCGTCAAGAAGCGCTTCGAGCCCCCCAAGCCGGGCAAGGCCAAGCGTGAGGCGGTTCCGGAGAAGCCCGTGTCGCGCACCAAGGCGACCGCGCTGGCTGAGGAGGAGGAGCTGGCGGCGAGGCGCCGTAGGGCGCCTTCGATCGAGGATGTCGTGCCGGATACGGAGGAGTTGAGGGAGGGGACTATTCAGTGAGAAGGGTTTGGTTTAGAAAGACTGGAGATGTGACTTGTGATAGACGGTGTTTGAGAAGGGAGGGTAATGGTTCGGTGTGTGTATTACGACGATACGGCATGGCATGTCACGGCACGGAGATATTGGGTCGGGGTCGGCTGCATGGGATGGGATCTTCCGGGCTCATTTATTCGCTCTTCTATCTGTGTGCTCTTGCTTTGGGAGTTGTTATCTGGATTTAGACGCCAATCTACGGAATTCTATTATACCGGGCCCAACGGTCTCTTTCATCCAATGGACCGACCCCTGTGATACGGGCCGGATGATGTACCCCTCCGAGCTGAACCCTAAACCGGAAATGAACTCCTTCTCGTCCTCGTAGTAGATTTGTTGACAGAGCTCGGGATCCGAACTCGAGATACTCGGGGACAATGTCCCGTTTCGAAGTTGGCCAAATCCTCTGGGGCAAGATATCCTCTTACACAATTGCCGTTTCCCTCCGCAACCGTCCCGGCGGGCCATGGCTTGCCATGTTCGTAACCAACCCAACCTCATTGTGACTTCCGGACCCCTAACATCAAGCAGAGGGCCGAACTGCGAGCGTTTTGTGGTGAAAACCGGGCCAGAAAACCGGCTGCAGAAAGAAGCCCAAGCACTCCGACTCTTTCGGGGATGCGGCCCCCTGCGCCAGCTCGTCGATGAGGTTCAAGACCCACCCTCCCTGGTGCTGGAGTACATGGACAGCAGCGTCCTCAGCTTGGTGAAGAAGAACAAGCTCGCACGGGTTGAAGCGAAGCGTGCTCTTCAAGCAGCCGCCCAGGCGCTTGTCGCATTGCACGAGAACGGCATTGTACACACAGGTATGCGGAAGACCTCGATGCGTAATCTACGAGCATGGTGAGGTAATCCCTCTATCACATCCCTCCAGATGTTAAGCCGGACAACATCTTGGCCAGGGACAACGCTCCGGGCGGCGCTCTGTACAAACTCAGCGACCTCGGCGACTGTTCCCCAGCAGACGTGCCCTCCAACGATGGCAACCACCTGATCGGCGCCGAGATCTTCTGCGCTCCGGAGGTGCTCCTTGGGATTCCGTGGACGGCCAAGGCCGATATCTGGGGGCTCGGAGCCACAGTGAGTTATTCCCCCGTTTTGTAGGACCAACGCTTCTAATATTGTCTCAAGGGAATCACCCTCATAACGAGGAGTTACATCTTCTTCCCCAGGAACCCCCCACCTCCGAAAGACCCGCGGCTATCCCTCGCCGTTCTCCAGATCCAGAATGACTTTTACGGACCCATCAGCAGAGCCGCGTTTCGCAGCCTCGCAAAGGACTCCGATTTACCCCTACTGCAACAACTTGAAGAGAGCTACCGCCCGTTTCCACTTTCGAAGGCATCCCCGCTGGTCAGGCAGGAAGATGTTGAATTCTTTGGGTACATAATGAGGGCCGACCCAAGAGAGCGCCCATCAGCAAGCGAGATTCTGCGGCACCCGTGGTTCGACGGCGTCTAGACAGCCGGCTCGCCTGAGTTCAGAAAGAGACAAGCGATGGCACGTTCCAGAATGGTAATGTGTAATATGACTAGGTAATCGGTAGTAGTTAGGAGTTAGAATACGTAGGTACAGAAATGGGAAGTTGTTTAGGTAGGTAGGTCGGTAGGTAGGTTAGGTACGGTCGACAAAGCAAAGGTTGGTTGGTGTGTGAGTGTGAGCGTGAGGGGTAGAAAACAAGGCAAAACAAGAAAACAAGCGCAGCGGAACGCTCATGGCCGACTGACATGCTGCGCAGAACCCAAGCAGACGATATCCTCCCACCCTCCTTCTATCTCTTCCTTTCTTCCCCCCCTCTCTTTTCCCCCCTTCTCCTTTCCCTCTCTTCTCTCCACTCTCCTCTCCTCCATCCCTCCTCCCCTCTCTCCCATGATCTTCTCCAACTGAGCTCAGCACAACCTTCCACTCACTTTCCACGCCCCCGCCTCTTCGAACCACCCACAACCTCGTGTGTAGCCCAGAGGAACAGAGTAGACCCAAGCGAGCAGGGGCCCGAATCAACCTCTCCGCGTTCACTCTCTTCTGGTGAGGTCATCGGCCCCGCTAACGCAAGTTGCCCTTGACGCTCAAGGTCCTAGCTGCAAGCGATGGGGACTCCTCTCGAATGGCTGTGAGCCCTTGTGAAGTCGTAGGTATACCACCTAGCTAGTTGTCCGGGTGGAAGATGAACAACCCTAAAGGGCGTTCACGCAACTCCCGTGGGTGTATTGTAGGCGTAGTGGTTGATCAAAACCCGAAGGGGTTATCCGGCGCTGTGACACATCACCGTTAGCGTCAATCTCTTCAGAAAAAACGGAAGCAGAAAAAGAGGAAAAACTCACTAGCAGCAGACAAATTCGCCCTCCTCCCCGTAGCCTGCGGCGCCAATTTCTTGGCCCCCTCCGTCACACCAAACCTCACCGGCGGCGCCGGCCCCGTCTGCTGAGGCACGAGCGGCTGCACAGGCGGCTGCAGTCCGCCACTGGCACCACCAGAAGCAGGCATATTCCCAAACCCAGTAGCCTGCGGCTGCATGGGTTGCATCGGCTGCATCGGCTGCATGCCACCTCCAAACCCAGTAGGCTGCGGCTGCATCGGCTGCGGCAAGCCAGTCATCTGCGGCTGCTGCTGCTGCTGCGGATAGCCGCCCATGAATCCCGTAGGCTGGGCCTGCATGGGTCCCATACCCGTGGGCTGGGGTACGAACGGGCCCTGGAAGCCGCCCTGTTGTTGTGGTTGCTGCTGCTGTTGCATGCCGGTCATCATGGGCATCATCGGCTGCTGCTGCTGCTGCATGGCGGTGTACTGCTGCTGGAGGCGGGCTTGGGAGAGGTCGTTCAGGCTCTGGCCCGGGGGCGCGACCTGGGAGTAGCCGGTCATCTGGGGCTGGAGGGGTGGCGGGGCGAAAGCGCTGGGTTGGGCGGACTGCGGTGCGGAAAGGGGCCGCGAGGGCGGAGGGGGTGGCATTAGGCCGCCCTGGCCTTGGGCGTACTGCGGCGCCATGGGTCGTTGGCGAGCGATGTTTTGTGGCAACTGCTGAGCGTACTGGGATTGTTGGCCGTTGATGGCGGGCGGTTGCATGCCGCTGAAGAAGCCGGGGGTGGCGCCGGTGGGCTGGGCAATCTGGGCCGGAGCCGGGGCGGGTGCCGTAGCGGGCGCCAAGTTCAAAGCTGGTGGAGGGGCGGGCGGCTGAGCCTTTTCCGGCGTTAACGGCTGGGTTAGCAGTGACAGCTCCTGCATCGACCCGGTGAGCTTGGCCGAGCTCGGTGCGGGAGCAGGGGCCGGAGCCGGGGCAGGAGCGGAGGCGGGAGCTGCCGGTGCCTGCTGGGGAGCCGGTTCGGGGGTCTTGGACGGCTTCACATCCCACGCATCATCATCAAAGCCCCCGGCAGGTTTTGAAGCCGTCGGAGCTGCTGCCTTCGTAGGCGGGGACGCGGCCTTGGCCTCAGCCGGAGACGAGTCTTTCTGCGAAGAGAACGCGTTCGGATCGACGGTGTTGTTGGTCTCGACGGGAGGAGCCGGCCGTCCTTTCCTGGTGTTGTTCCGCAGCGTGCCGCCCGGGCCAGAAAACAACCCGCCACCAGGCTCTTCCTCGCCCTTCTTCCCACGATAATACTTGGTATCCAAATACCGCATCACCTTGATGATATCACCCTCGCGAAAGCCCAGGTTCCGTAATACGGAAGCATCAACGTCGGGCAGGACACTCTCGTCCATGGACTCCCTGCCGAAAGCCTGGGCGTAGCGCTCACACAGCCCCGGCTGGACCTCGCAATTCAGGAAGAACTGGAACCAGTCATAGTCCGACTTCTTGGACTCGATGGAAGCGCCGACCTTGGCAGCCGGGGGCTTGCGCGAGCTCTCGCTCGTCGTCGCCCGCCTCTTGAGGTCGGACAGCGGCTTGTCCTCGTCGAGGGAGATACCGGTGACGCGCTCGACATACTCCAGGTCCTCGAGGGACATCTTGGCGACGGGCACGGCGATCCGGACGCCGTTGAGCTTGTGGAGGTTGAGCTTGCCGTCCTTCATGCCGAGGAACTGGGCGTCGACGGTGAATGACTTGGAGCGGTCTGTCCACGAGCGGACCTTGGAGGGATCGGGTTCTAGGGGGGTTAGCAGGCCGCCCTTGACCAAAATAAAGCCAGGTCAAAATATTAGGGCAAGACTCACTCGACTTTCCGTTGGACCTGGACGAGCCCGAGGCCTCGGCGCGGCCGCTCTCGCGTCTGCTTCGCTGCTGCGACTCGGTGTTACCCAGTCTGGCCGACAGACTACTACTCCGGTCGGGCAGGGGCAATCCAGGGCCTACCTCTGATCTCGATTTTTCCCTCTCCCTCTGGTCCTCCCGCTGGCCGGCCTTGATGGCCTCCTTGGTCATGCGCGCCTCGTCTAGGCGGTTCTGCTCGATGGTCGACTTGCCGGCGCCGACACCGGAGGCGGCGGTCGGCACGGGGCTCTCGATAATGCCGGTAACCTCGATGTAGCTGCTCGGCACGACGCCCTCTCGCTGGTTCTTGACGCGGCGCACCATCCACCACTCTTCGCTCTTGGTGTCGTCCAGGATGATGACCTCATCGCCGATGCCGACGGTCACCTCGTCATCGCCCTGGGCCATGAAGTCGTACATGATGACGCCCTTCTTCTGCTGTATCGCCCTTGGCCCCGTGGCAGCCATGATCACCTCCCGCAGGCCCTCGGCACGCACGGCACCGGCCAGTTCGCCGAGCATGGAAACGATCTCTTCGGCGGTGTCCTTTGCGCCCGCGTGGAAGTCGATGCTCTTGCTCGGCTTGACCAGCTCCATGAAAACGTGCTTTCCCTCGCGCGAGTAGTGCGTCATGCGATCGGCCGTCCACTCGAGCGAGGGGCCGTCCTGAGCGTACTCGGGGGCGATCATGATGATGCCTGTCCGAAGGTTGATGCCCAGAGTAGTCGGCATCTTCTTCTTCTTGCCCATGATGGATGTCATCTCGTTAATATTGTACATGTGGAAGTCGCCTGGGGTCAGAGGTTCGGTCTTGGGGGTTTGCGGCTGCTCGTCATAATCGCCGCGGCTGTGGCGGTCATTGCGGTTGCTGTATTCATTGCGGCTACTACGCTCATCGCGACTGCTGTACTCATTGCGGCTGTTATAATCGTCGCGCCTGCGTTGTTCCACCGGTGGGGACGGACGGGGAGGCTCCACCGACATCTGCGAGTCGCCGCGCGGCCGGGCCGGGAGCGGTGGGGACTTGACCTCGGCATCGGATTCCTCGGAGGCATACTGGTTCCGGGGCGGGAGATCGAGCGGCGCAGGGGGAGGCTGCTGGGACGAACTCGCGCGCGCAGCCATCATGCCAGCGATCATAGTGGCCGGATTAGGGGCAGCGGGCGTGTCAGGCGTGCTCGGCTCGGCGGGAGCCGGGTTCCTAGCGGGAAGAGGAGGGCTCTGTACGTCGCTACTGGGGGTCCGCGCGGGGAGGGGAGGCGGCGCGGGCGCGGGCGCTTCAGCCTCTTGCTCCTCCTTGGGCGCGGCATCCCCCAGCTCGATGTAGTTGGCGGGAACGAAGCCATAGTCTCCTTCGTGTCCTACCAAAATCCAATCCGGGTCTGACGTGTCAAAGACCTCAAGCTGCGCATCCTCGGGGAACGACAGCTCCTCGTCGGTCTGCCTCGTGTATTCGTACAGAGCGCGGGCTTTCGCCTGGGGTTGGACCTAAGCACAAGCAAAACCAGCCAAGTCAGCACAATTTCCCCCCTGCATGTGAGCGAGTGCAGACGGGCATACCTCCTCGACGTAATTGTTCGGAATCAGGCCGACTGGCTCATCCTCATCTTCGCCGGTTGCCTTCTTCTTGGCCTTCCACCAGTCGTCGTCGGTGCTCTTTTCCAGCACGTAGAGCAGGTCCCCCTCGGTGATCTGCAGCTCGCCCTCGCCCTGGGGGGCGTAGTCGTAGACGGCCTTGTAGACGCCGACGAAGCCCATGGCTGCGGCTGCTGCTGTGGTTGTTGTTCACAGGAGTCGAGGCCGCTCGTCGGATCGTCGGAGGGTTGCGGTCAGTGTCGACTATTGTCTCTGGAGAGCGGCAGCAGACGGCATCGGAATCACGGTCGACGGGAAGCGTTACGGAACGGGACGGAAGGGCGGGGGGGTTGTGCGGATATGACGCCGAACCGGGTGTCGTCGCGGGGTGGCGCCGAGGGTGGGATGCAGACTCGGACTTGCAGCGGACAAGTTTGGGACGGATGAGAGTGGAGGTTGGGCCGGACCCAGGGGCGGGACTTCCTTCCACTTCTAGGTTGGTAAGGTACAGTACGTGAGTACGTAACTGCTTGAGTACGAACGGTGCGCCAGAAACGGCGGCGACTTCAACCAGGGACGACCCCGGTAAAGGTTATCTGATTTAATGATCTGTAAAAGAATTAAAAAGAGGGAGATGCAGGGCAATTCGCGTTCCCAACTCCCTCAAAATTGAGCGACTCCCAAACCGAGTCGACTTTCTCCAAATCGCAAAAAGGAGTAGAAGAGGTCGGCGGCGGGCAAGGTTGGGTCTGGGTCTGGGTCTGGGCCTGGGTCGTGGAGAAGGGGAGGCCTGGCTGCTGAGTGGACCCCCAATAATTCACTAACTATTGATTTACCGGCTTACCGGTTTACCGGGGTGGAAACGGACCAGTCGGGCCAGCTCCCGCTTGTCTCAGGCATGATGAGCTGGGTTGCAGAAGTGCGTGTGCATAATCGCACGTGGTCGGTGAACAGGTATCATACACAGGAGCAGGACAAAGTTATGCAGGGAGATGACGAGTTATGAGGTGAATGAAATACACCGCCGACTGTGAAACGGATTTCAGGTTGCCGTGGCACCTACCGTTATCAGAAAACGCGACGGCATAATGATGAAACGGGCTTGTTACGTCGCGAGTATCCCCCGTTCTTGTCAAGTTCCGTGAGTCTAATCTGTAAGTAGAAATATCTGTGTATATGACCAGAGAATGTCTACTCTTTCGGCCCACGTCTATCGGGGGACATATTCCTGAAAAGGTTATCACGGTCCCTATCAACTGAATGGACTACCACATGACAATATTGAGAGAGCGCAGTGCCAAATTCCCATGTGTTTATCCCCCTTTTCCTTCCCTTTATTTTCCCCTTTCTCTTTCACTACAATCTGTGTTCCGCCCACCGCTCTTTACCTAGGCTGCTGTGGCTGCGGGTCACTCTCATGCCCCGACTCCCGCCTCGTGCTCCAGGTGCCCTGGCTCCGCGACACCATCCCGGGGAAATACCGCGGCTCGTGCCCCGACAGGTGCACCGCGGGGTCAGCGGCTGTGGAAGATGTCACGGGTGTTGACGGCGTCACGGGGCTGCAGCCCACCGACACTTGGGCCTGGCTTATCGAGCTGGGCGGAGGCCCGGCCGAGGTTACGCTGCTGCCAGTTTGAATCTCGGGCGCCTTCCCTTTTGCCGTTGGCAGGGTGGTTTGCTCATGCTGCTGCTGCTGTTGCTGTTGTTGTCTTAGATCAGGAATGGAGGCGGCGGTGGCTGCGGCGGTGGCTGCGGCGGTGGCGTTGGTGCAAGTTGAGAGGGTCGGTGAGCGGGGAGGGAGCGTGGTGGTGGCGGCTAGGTCGGCGACGGACGGTGCCTCAGTGGGGAGGGCGGTGTACCTCTCGACGCTGAAAAACATATGTTAGTTGTTATCCTAGGTGAGGAGGACCCGAGGGGACTTACAGCCTCCGCTCCTCCATGAGCGTGTGGTACCGAAACTCCTCTCTCCGATCCGGCACGTTGGTCTTGACCTGGGTGTTACCCTGGCGTCCCGGCAGGTGGAAAGTCGGGCCTAGCCACTGCTGCTTGACTGAGAACTCGTAGCCACTCTGCTTGACTGAGTTCTTGGCGAGCTCGCACATATCGACCGAGCTCAGCTTGTAGATCTGCGCCGCGACTGCGTACTCCTCGATCAGCGGCTCCTTGGTGAAGGCGAACTGCAGCGGGTCGTCCGTCGACAGCGACACGTTCAACCCGCGCTTGAAGTACTGGAAGAACGGGTTCCGCTCGTACGCCAGGAACAGTGCATTGTTGCTGAGCGGCGACATGGCGATGCCGATCTGCTCGAGATAGTAGACGTACTGCAGCAGAGGCACCTTGCGCAGCAGCAGCCCGTGGCTGATGCTGTGGCAGCAGAGCGCTGCCACCGCCAAGTGTTCGCTGTCGCCGGCCTCGCCGCAGTGTGGTCGGAGCACAAACGTGTTGAAGCCCCGCTGCTTGCGGAAGTGGTTCAGGGAGGCCAGGTTGGCAAATAGATAGTATATCCAGTACGTGTATGGCGGGTTCTGCTTGGAATCCCATACCCTCGGCACGGGGAATTTCCTGAACAGCCTGCGCTCCACCTTGCTCTCGTCATCGACGCTGTCGATACCAATCACACGCTGCAGGAATATGTGAAGTTTTGGGTTCTTGCTCGGATCCTTGGTGACCTCAAACAGCGGCTGGAAGATGTTCTTGAGGATCTGCTCGAACGAGTTCATCAGGCCGCTCCCCTTGTAGACATCGTACAAGCGCGGGATCTGAATCAGCCAGCGGACGTTATGCGAGAAGAGTTTGTTGTCGACGACCCATTTCGCCAGCTTGTCCCATTCGTCGAGTGACTTTCCGTAGATGGAGATGCGCCACTCGACCATCTGGTATTTACTCGACTCCAGGTCGGCAATAACCTCCTTCGTAATCTCGGCCAGATACCGGCCCTTAATGAAGTTATCCGTCTTGAGGAAGATGGTCCGCAGCCGCGACTCGCCGATCGGGTTGTACTTGAGGTTGAACTTGTCGAACCGGTGGAACGAATCTTTGTGGGCGTGCATATCCAATGTGTCAATGCTGAGATCGTATGCCGTGAGATTGATGCTGTCAAAAACCTCGGCCAACGTCAGGTGTTTGCCGTCTCGGAACAAGACCATCTCGTCCGGGAACTTCTTCATCTTGCTCTTGATGAAGCGCAGCAGGTGCTTCTGGTTCATGCAGGCCGAATGGTGAACGTGAGTGTCGACCTTCCTGACATTGTAGAAGTCACGGTGCGGCACCTTCTTGCTGTCGGCCGTTTCCTGATACTCATTGAGGAGAATGTACAAGTTGAACTTGCCCTCCAGATACTGCAAGCGCCGGAATGCAAAGCTCTTGCTGGGGCCATCGGAAGAGATGTTCAAGATCGCTTCGAGGTCGAGGTAGTACTCTTTGATGGTGGGCACATTGACAATCGGTGTGTCCGCCTCCTCCGACTCTTGACTGTCATAGACCTGATACACCCCCATGTCATCCATTCGGAAAGTCATCCCGCTGGCTCCTGGCACAGGCGGCGCGTCATTAAGATCAAAGTCCTCGCCGATGTCCTGCCCAGGCTTCCTCTTTCTTGCGTTCGACTTGCGCGGTGACTCAACCCCCTGGGCATGCTTGTCGACATTCAGCACTAGGCTGTTTTGCATGCTGGCGTTGGCGCTGTTAGCACCCCGGGCGGCCTTTTCCCGGTCCTCAGTCCACGAGGGCTCAGGAGGGGGAGGATAAATATTCCAGGTCGGATCATCTTTCGGGTTATCGTTGGGTCCCTGGAGAGAGAGCCGGATGTACTTGTTCCGGATGTCGATAACCTTCTGGACGTCTTTGAAGATGGTGCTCAGTTCGGCGTTGATCTGGGGGTCAGCGTCCAAGTAACTGCTGTTGCCGAGGCCAGGAATGCCTCCACCCAAGAGCATCTGCTGCTGGAGGGGCCGGGTCTATCTGGGCCCCTGTGGGCGCCCCTGCGTTGATCGACTGGGCGTAGCTGCCGCGACTGGGGAGGTTGCCCGCACCGATATAGCTGGGTTCCCTCCTCAAGGGTTGGTCGAACAGGGGCTCCGCAACGGCAGCCGAGTCCAGCTCGGAAAGCTTCAGGTTGCTGAAACTGTGCCCAAGGTTCGAGGCCAGATCAGAATACGAAGCGGCAAGTCCACCAGCAGAGAGCAGTGGGCTGCTCTGGGGCGACATCTGGGCAAGTTGGTTGAGTTGAGTGCGGCTTTCTGCCTGGCTTCGTTGGTAGAACAGCTTGGCGTCAGTCTGGGTCATTTTGCGTTCTGCTACCATGTCGTAAAAGGCAGTTTTATGAGGCATGTCTCGGGGCAACATGCCATCCTCCATATCAGACTGATTTCGCCCCTGGCTGTCATCCAGACTGGAGCCGGCCTCGATGTGACCCTGGGCGGCTTTCCGAGAGTTGTGCTCCTCTAGCTCACCCTCGGAATCCGTGTCACCGTGATCACGCATCCCGTACTCCTCATTATCCGAATCGAGATCAGGCATCTGAGTGGCTGTGATTTTGGGCGAAGTCGAGTTTGACGAGGGGTCATGCGAGTACGGGTAGTCTGGTTACAAAAATCAACAATCAGTTCCACAAAAAAGATGTTGTGGTTATCGAGATGATGTCGTGCCCAGTGCGTGTTTGGATAGTGTTTGGGTACCTTAGAGAACTTAGGTAGTTTGGGAGTGTGTGGGAGTTGTGGTTGGTGGTTGGTGGTTGGTTGGGCGGGGAGGGACAAGCATTGAACCCGCTTTCCGGAGTCGACTCAAAGCACTCACCAGCCATGGTCACGAGGTGATCCTCGAAAAAAGGAAAAAGAAAAGCAAATAATTCCGAAGTAGCGAATCGTTGACTGTGAGCCTGTGATACTGTATCACTTGACCCAATAATAAGCCTTTCTCGGTTGACCGCGGGGTTGTTTTGTGCGAATACTTCAGGCTCGAGTTATAACTTTCCGTGTAAGAGTCACCACTGCTTAACTAAACAAGAACCACCATTCCCAAAGAGAAGAAGTCTTCATGTTGGGCTGACCAAAACGGAAGGATCCAACCTGATGCAACCTTAATGAGCGGCACCATCGGCAGCTTCCGCCCTAACCGCACTGTCTGGTGGGCACTCTTGGGCCATGACGTTCGGAGGTGGCCGCTGGAAGTACTGCCAAGGCCGCGAGAATGCGAGTCGTTTCAGTGCCGAGAGTGCTCAAAAACATGCAGTCCGACCCTAACCGGGTCGATGATTTCTTGGTTGAGTTCCACGAGGGTGATGGATGGGGATTCCAGGTTCCATCTCATAAAAAAATAAAAAAAATAAAAAAAAATAAAAAGAAACGGAAACCTTGCGAATTACTTGAACTTTAACGGGATATAAGACCCTCTGGTTGGTCTTCCGCATTACTCGACTCCACTAATACCTATATACAAGAAAAAGGCATCTTCGGAACCAGGTCTGTTCATGACTTGGCCGCCGCTCGCACTCTGGCGGGTGGCTTTCGTTTCCCGTCTAAGGAATACAAACCACCCGCAAAGAAGACGATGCACGCCCCAATCAGTGTCCCAAAGGCCAACCGGTTCCCAAAGAGCCATATACTCAGCAGCAGGCTCACGAGCTTGCGGATGTTGAGCACGATGGTCACCGTCAGGGCCGACGACGCGGCCGCCAGCAGATTCACACCCCGGATGCAAGCGTACTGGGTCAGCACGTTGAGGACGAGATAGAAGAGCTGGTTCGGGATCTGAATCCTCTCTAGGCCTTGCTGGATGTTTGGCGATAGGTTCGGGTAGTCCTCGAGCGGGGGTACGGGGAGCGCAAGCGGGGCGCTGTTGGCGAGCTTCATGAACTGTTTCGTGAGGGACGGTAGGAACGGCAGGAAGAGGGGCAGCGAGAGGAGATGGGAGTAAAAGAGGTTCTCCTTCCATTGCGGGCCGTATATGCGGTACGTCTCTTCGGTGTAGAGGCCCATGATGGCCGACAGGACCTGTGCGATGAAGAGGATGGCGAGGCCAGTACTGAAGCTTGTGTTGCCGACGGTTTTGTCCGATGACGACCCCTAACACATACATGTTAGTCCTGACTGTCCACACCGCAATATCGCAGGTCCATAAATACCTTGGTTTGCGCATCGGACCAGGCTGCGGTGATGACGCCCACGGTGAGTAAGAGCACTGCAGTCACCTGGATCCGCGAGTATCTCTTGCCATACAGGCTCCCCGCAATCATAGTCGTGATGCTGCCTCCCGACCGCAAGATAATATGCACCGGCACCGAAATATCGTAGCTGAACGCATGATTATTGAGCACGTTGATGCTGAAGAACAGAACGATGTTGACGAGCCACCGGCGGATCGGGACCTTGTTCGGCTTGAGGAAGAAGGGCGGGCGCCTCGAATCGAATTGCGACGGAAGGCCGATGGTGGCGACAAAGAGGAATTGAACGAAAGTCAATAGAGTTCCTGTTGACAAACTGGTTAGCCCGCCGATGCTCCCTTTTTCCCGGGCCGCTCCCGAGGGCGCGCCCGAAACCGCGCCGGGTAGATGCGCTGCGCGCTCTCGAGGTAATGAAATACGGGTAACAAAACATACCACTTGCAGGCTCGACCTTAATGATAGACTCGAGAGCGAAAACGTTGGAGCAACAGCCGCCAAAGATCAGCGACAGCATGGCCCCGACGGCCAGCCATTGCGGGATGGTCTCGATGAACATGCGGCCGGCCAAGGCCATGGCGCGGCTGAAGACGGGCCGGTTGTCATCGATGCCGTACATCTCGGCCTTTTCTAGAGAGGGTGCCGCATTAATAACGCGAGGCGACGGTGCGGGCATGGCATATGCCTTGTCGCCGCGGTCTTTGCTGTTAGGCGGCGTCTGTTTGTGCAGCGCCGGGCGCCGGCGCGATGTCATGGCCAGGGGGGTTGTGGCGCGGGGGCCTTCGCTTCCAAGTTGCTACAGGCACATAAAAAAAGGGCCAGGAACGGAGAACTGCTGAGTGCGGGACGGGCAAAGGAACGGTACCCAGTCGTCTTGCCACAGGTCTGGGAGGGCGAAACTCGGTCCTCTGGGCAATCGAAATCCAAAAAAGACAGCCAGGTGGTCGGTGCTGTACTGTGGGTGCGGCGAACAGATCGTCAAAGCGATGGCGGGGCAAGAAGAGAGATCTGCCCCCTTCTTGGATGCTCGCTTCGTGTAGTCGGACGGGTAGAGAGAGAATGGCTCTAGTCAACTATCCTCACGCCTTACACTATTCGCAACCCCAAACAAAAGTCGAAGTTCGCGCTGGAGTTCAAGCTGTGGCCGTCGCACGAGAACAGCAATACGATAACTAAATGAGCAATAGAAGAAAACAGCGCCAATCCCTCCCTTATGGGGCGCTCATAGTCACGGACCGCCCGTGCAGCGTTTTTCGCGTCGGCCGCAAACTCGCAGGGCGACGTTACCTTATCCGTGCTTATTTCGAATCTTCCGTCGAGGCTTCCATGTGGCCACATGAAAGGGTGTCCCGGTGGAGTTGGTCCCGCGGTCCACCTTCAGAAGAGCGGCAGCACAGCGGCCTGTGAATGTGGAGTGGTGCTCAGGTTGTGAGAGAAAGCCCTGTTTCCGGGCCACTCGGATGGCAGGGAATAGCGGATAGGGCGGGAGGGAAGGCAGTTTTCAGCGGCTTTGGAAATTTGCCGAGCCGGGATCGCGCCTGACAGCTCACACAACCAATGCACAGTTTGCTCAATGATCTCCCTGTGGGGTTGCAACTGCCGTGGAACGGCCTGACTTGTCTGAACCTGCATGCCCAGATCTTGTTTGGGCGGGAGTTGGAGTTTGAGGATTGCCTCTCTGTCCGGGAATGTGGCTCGCTCTAAATAGCCTTCTGCATTCCGGGGTGTTACACGGCCGGAGAATACTCACCTTGGCCATTCCCTGGAAGGCAACGTCCGTAGCGGGAACCGAAGGAACCGACTGCCTGGCTCGGGACCTGGGATGAACAGACGGGTTGAGGTTAGCCAGATCCTAGAACGCCTCGACATTTGTCCAACTCCCGAACTCATAATAGAGAAACGGGGGTGACGAAGAGGGGGGAAATACTACGCAGAAGGGAAAACCACAGAGTTAACCAACACATTTGCAATAGACTATTGAGCCGCGCCGAAGGTCAGGCTCAAGTGACATTGGAACCGAGAGACTGAGAGAGACGGAGCTCAAGTCGCAGCTGTATCGAGCTCGTCGAGTTGCCAACCCTAACCCAATAACTGGCACCTCATGCTATCCCCACATCATTGGAGCGATGCACAGGTGCAACTCACCAACATCACCATCAACATCAATACCCCCCGAGACTATCACGCTAGGACTTCAAAACCTCCCCATTTTATTTTCACCCCGTCAATTCTCGGTTTCACTCATCCACTTGGTACTTGACCACGGCATCCGGCGGTTTTCTATCCTTCCCGCCCTGTCAGCCATGAGCTGAAACTGCCATCATGTTTGTGTTTCCCGGTGCCTATCTGACAGGGACATCAATTTAATTAGAGTAAATATCGCTAGGACTGTATTCGCTCTCATTGTCATAAACAAGGCAGGTGGCCTGATCTATAACCGGTCCTTCCACGAAGGGGGTTTGAATAAACTCAGCACCAACGACTACCTAGTCCTAGCAGGCACCTTCCACGGGTTAGTATGATACACATAATCCCATCCTCACCCACCCTCTCTCCACTCTCCACTCTCAAAACACGTACTCACCAAACGCACAGCGTCCACGCCATCACAGCACGGCTCAACCCGCTCAAGGCCGCCAACCGCACCTCCACCTCGTCGGGGGGCGCCCTGGTCCGACCCGACCCGCCGTCCGGCCTAGAAGTGCTGGAGACGGAGAACTTCCGGATGCAGTGCTTCACGACGCTGACGGGGATCAAGTTCCTGCTCTTCACGGACACGACGCAGGCCAACGTGGACCTGACGATCCGGCGCGTGTACGAGATGTACGCCGACTACGTCATGAAGAACCCCTTCTACCAGCTCGAGATGCCCGTGCGCTGCGACATGTTCGACCGGAAGCTGGGGTCGTACATCCGCGAGATCAACAACAGGTAGAGCCTGCGCTCGACGTGGGTGGATTGGGTGATGGGTGGAGGGGAGGGGAGTGCGGGGTGAGAGATGAACGGGGGGAAGCATGGGAGTTATTCGGCGTTTAAGTTTTCAAGTTTTTTACTTTGGGTGTAGAAATTAGTAGTAGTAAAGGGCCGTGAGAGGGCCCGCCGTTGATGACAAGCAACGTCTATTTCTACAGACTGGAGAGGACCGGAGTGTGGGCCATTCTAGTCCCATCAGGTATTCTCAACCCCTCAAGCAGCGCGGCGGCCGTCTCAAGAAGTATCCATCTTGTCGTCGTCCTTCTTGCTGCCGCTCGGTTGCCCGTCCTTGTCCAGCAGCGGCGCCGACTCGCCTTCCTCCTTGACGCTCTCTAAGCCGCCCTTGTTGGACGCCTCGCCCTCCTCCCGAGCCTTCTTCTCCTGCCGCGCCTTCTCTTCCTCCATACTCATGCGCAGCGCCAATGCCAACTCGGGGTCCTGTGTCGGGTCGACGCCGAAGGGGAAGTCCTCGCTCGCACCACCGCCGGCCTCGGCACCTGCGCCACCGGCACCGCTAGCGGCGGCCTCGCCGAGCATAATCGGGGTTGAGATGAGCTGGTCGCTGAGAAGCTTGGAGCTGGGTGGAATAACAACAAGGTGCGACGAGTCGGTCGTGCCCTTGATTTCGCGGTTGAACGCCTCCAACTTTGCCTGGTTCTCCTCGTCCATATCGCCAAACAGCACGAAGTCGACGCTAATGGAGAACTTCTTCATCTTCTTGGCGAGGGTGACTAGCTCGCGCTCTCCCTCTTCGATAGGAGAGCAAACAAAAACGACGATGCGCGCCCGTTGGGACTTGTTCTGTCGGTGTTTGAGTGCGAGCTGGCGGGGTCATAGGTTAGCCTACGGATGAGTCGCAGCGTGCGGGTTGTGGCGCATTAACTCACGCTAGCTATTTGTATGCCAGTAGAAACATGGGCATGGCCCCGGATCTTCTTCTTGGTCTGATGCAAACCCTCGAGAATCTTGCCCTGGTCCGTTGTGAGAGTCGCCAACACCTCGGGACCCTTGCCGCCCATGCTCATCAAGCCAACCGAAGACTCTGGGTTGCCCTGCACAACATTTTGGAAGATGATATTAACAGCATCGCTCTGTGCGTCGTAGCGGGTCGCTGGGTAGTCGCCGTTCCTGCTGCTCTCGCTGTTGTCCACCACGATCATTACCGCCTCGAGAACCATCTTGGCGAACTGTTATCGGCGAACAAATGACTGATTCTGAATGGAAGAGCTGATATTTCTCGTAGTCGTTGCTTCGGTACGTTGGGATGGGCGATGGGATTGTCGCTGATTAAAGGTGTTGGTGGTAGGTTGTTTGCCCGTTCGACGTTGGATGTTGCCGCACAGCAAGCAACGGAGCTGCTGCGTAAGGCGGTTCAGCCTGGAGGCCCAGAGCTTGGCTTGGCTCACAGCCTGACGCCCGATCGAGCAGCTTCGCACTGTGCATCGATCCAAGGCTGGCCAGAAGGACCCACATTAACAACCCCCCCTGGCGGTGGCCCCGCCGGCGGTCTCGGTTTGTTTACTTTCGGAGACGCGGACCACTCACGTCTCAGCGCGCGCAACTCCTTTCCCACAATTCATTCTCGACTTTGCACTCCCACCGCCTAAATTCGACCATATCGATCTCAACAAAAGACTTCCCGCTCTTCAAGCAAAGTACAAGCATCCCAGGTCAATTTCGCACCATCAGAATTATCTTCGCGACAGAAACGACACCATGCAACCCCTCGGCACCAGGAAGCGCAAGTCGGACCAGTTGGAGATAACTAGCGACAATCAGTTCGCGGTTGACATGGCCAGCCAAAAAGTCCCCACCAAGGAGGGCAGCTCCCACCCCAATGAAAGCCCAGCCAAAAGGCAGCGAGTAGGAATCACACTTGCGCAGAAGCAAGCACTCATCGATAACCTGCACCTCGAGAGTATGTATTCGGTTGTCGCAGGAGAGAGCGTGGAGCGCGACGCTAACAACTTCGACAGTCACAGAGCGCGCCCGCAAGCTCCGAGCCAACTACAACATTCACGCGCAAAGTCTTCGTACGCGGATAGAAATTCGCGTCAATCGCATTCCCCTGTCTCTGCGCAAGCTCACCATGGGGGAGCTGTTGGAGAGGTACTCGAAAGATCCGCAACAAAGACATGCCGCGAACACAGGAAGCGCCCGTGGCCCCCCTGTTCCCGCGAAGGATTCGCCCTCTCGGCCACCGACGAGAGGAGCGACGATCTCGGCGCATCCGGTTAAGAGGCGAAGGTATGTTGCGCTGTCTTTCAATGGCGTAGCTTATTATGCTAACAATCTCGGCAGCCATGAGATCTCCGGCGGAGACAAGGAGAACCAGGTCCAAACTCCCCAAAAGAAGATGCGCGCCCACACTGGCGCCAACGTCGCCCGCAACCCCGCACATGTCCTGTCGCCGACCACTTCAAACTCGAGATTCACCCCCCGGGCGGCTGCAACGCCCGCTAGGTCAGGCATAGCCCGCCCAGCCCCCACCCCAGGCAGAGCGGCGGCCGCAACCAACATCCTCAACAAGATGGTCGAAGGAACCAAGTCGACCAGCCGACCCCCGATAACAACCACAGGCCGCAAAACCCTAACCTCCTCCACCACCGGACCAACCACAACATCCACAGCACCAACCTCATCCTCCTCATCCGCAGCAGCAGCCGCCGCCGCCGCCGCCGCCGCCGCAAGGCGCAAGCGCGGCGCAACAGTCACAGCATCCAGCAACCCGCCCTCCTCAGCCTCGAGGCCGGCCACGCGGACGGCTCGCCGGGCTAGCGGCGCCAGCGAGTCCAGCGAGGGCAGCACCTCGACGGTGATCCGCAAGCGGCCCATGACGGCGCCCCCCGGCGCCCAGCCGAAACCGCCTCCCACCCACCAGCAGCAGCAACAGCAGCAGCAGCAGGCGGGGAAGCGGACGACGGTTATGGGGTCGGTTAAGAAGAGTGTTGGTGTTACGGGGGGTGGTGGGGCGGCGAGGAAGGGGCCTGCTTCTTCCGCTGGTGGTGGTGGTGGTGGTGGTGCGAAGGCGGCGGGTGGGACGGGGAGGGTGTTGCGGAAGAGGGCTTGAGTTTTTATTTAAAGGGGGTGGGGTGGTTTGATTCTGGACTGTGCGGTGGCTTGAACGAGGTTCGCGGGGAAGCTGGAAAAAGGGAATTGCTTGTTATTGCTTGTTTTTCTGGTTGTTATAGCATGGGTCTGTCCGGCGTTGATGATGGTGTTGGGGGCATGCGGGAAAGGCATTTGGGATGTGATTTTGGAGTTTGTGCCGGATCATGGTCAGGATACTGGGTGCCATGGCAATGGGGCGTTGGTCGGCAGGACTGTATGTATATTGTGCCCCAATGGATTCACATGTCCAATAAACCGCCCCGACGATTCTGCGAAACGCCCTAACTGCCCGCTATCATCCTCTCCAACTTCCTAACCAGCAGACGCCTTCTTCTTCTTGTCCTCTACCAGCTCGATATTGTCCTCGGGGATATCCTTATACTTTTCCAACAAGAACTCCTCAATCTCCCCGCTGACGTCGCCCTGCACCACAATTTCCTCCCCGCCGCTCGGCACCTTGGTTACGGACGCGCCAGTAGCGAATTTCTTGCCAAAGTCCTTGGCCACCTAGTCATCACACGCTTGTCAACAACCTCTCCCCACCCTTTTCCAACACAAAACCGAAAAGACACAACCCAAAAGAAGAGGGAGAAAACCCCCCCAAAAACGAACTCACCTTCTTCAGCTCCAGGCCGAACGCCTCCAGGCCGGTGACCGAGGTCACAAACTTGCGCTTGTTGCGCTCGATGCGCTTGATGGTCACGACGCTCCTGGCCAGCTTGTCGGCGTGCTTCTGCTCGGCGGCTTCTGCTTTGGCCGCCTTCTTGGCCGCATCCTTGGCCGCGCGCTCCTGCGCCGCCAGCGAGAGGGACGCCGTCGCCGCTTCGAGGGCTTCTGTTATGTGGGGAAGAAAGCGGGGTGCGTTAGTAGTCGTGTGGTTTGGTTTGGTTTGGTTTGGTTTTCTTTTTTTTTGGGGGGGGGTTTGGCGGTGGTGGTTGGGGGTGGGGAGGCGTACCAGGAGACCATATCCTTGCGTAGAGCTCGGGGTGTTTCTTTTCTAGCCATTCTTGACACTTTTTGGTGGTGCCGCCGTATTCGCAGTACTGGGGTTGGGTGTTAGACCTGGGGTTCGTAGGGAACGGGAGATAGCCCGGTTCGAGACGGGGGGTGTTTAAATTAAGGGGTTCGTACCTCCGGTGGCAGTGTGCATACTAGTAAGGTGGACGTCAATGTTATGCTAGCTTATAAAAAGGGTATAAACACATTCTGGGGGGTGGTTCAGTGCTTCGCGGGGGTGATGTCACACGAGCAACCGGAGCTTCCTTCGATGGAGGGGCAGGAACTCACCACCACAGTAAATAATCTCGCGGCCAACTGGTGCGGGCTCAGCCATGCCTAGATAAGTTTCGAGTTTCCTCTCCCGAAAGTCTGGTGTACAGGAGTGGCAGTTCCTTTTGGCTGCCTATGTCGTCTTTCGTCGCGGTTCAGTATCGTCGTGTCGCGCCGAGATGCTGCGGTGCCCCTCCTTGGAATTGATTGCGGGGTTCTTCTCGCTGGTTTGATGGCGGGGCACCGCCAGCAAGGACGGCGGCAGGCACGGCAGGCAAAGCAAAGCCCAGAACTTTGGAGTAATTCAGCCAATCAAAAAATAGAGAAGCATCAAGTGGGCCCATCTGCCACAGCGTTTCGAAACTGCAACAGCGGCAAGCGAGCGCTTGCACTCGTGCTCTGTGTCGACCGCTTTGCTCTTTCTCCATGCTGGTCACGCCGTGTCAGTCGCGTCAAGCTCAGCGCGTCCACATCTTGACACACCGCTCACAAGACAGCCGCCGCCACATAGATCACGAGGGCTTTTGCCGTGACTTAATTTCCGCCTCTTCCATCCCCTTAATCAACACCCCTGGTCATGCACTCGATACAATTGGAACCGCCCTTCTTCAAGCTTCGTCTATGGAAACACGCTTCGAGGTGCCATCGGCCTTCTTTTCTTAGCCCGTGGCAGGGCGCTGCTAAAAGAAGCCGCGAGCTAAATCAGCAAACGAAACGATCTGCCGGATAGTAGCGACAGCTCACGTTGATGCGGGCCATTGATTGAGCCGGGACGGGTGGGTGGGAGGTCGACCACCTACCCGGGATGGAGTCAAAACCGTGGGTACTGCGATGCCGTCGAGGGGCACGAGACGCTGTTCCCTTCCTAGTGTAGACTCGGTTCTCGCTGCGACTATGTGGGTGTGAATGTGGGCACCCTAATCACTTCAGCACGACCAGAAATGGAAGTGACACGGCATCGACAACCCGAATATGGATGAATTGTCAAGGCACAGCAACCCAGCTCAGCTCGATGCGCGGTTGCAGCAACAGATCGGGTTGAGGATCGACCGACGGCTCGCGGCACGTCTCAAAGGTGTGTTCCTCAGCCACGGGCAGGGACATGGTTCGTTCCACGACGACATCGCCAACCCTCTCCGGCCCGTGATCGAAGCTCGTGTACTGTGGATTTCGTGCATTTCCTAGTACAGACTTGTTTGCAAGTTTGCCATTTAGCATCCTGGGCGCCGATGACAAAGGTGTGTGGTTCATCTTGCCTCGACGACGAGCCCGGTCCAATCGATGGCGGCAACCGCCCGTGTAAGCGCCCGCTCAACCTCCTGCGTTACACCGGCCATTCTCATTGGCCATCACCATCGACAGTGCCACACCTCTCTTCCTCCATCAGGAACTCGATTGGCGCGCGCCATGCCTTCGCATGCCTCTTATCGAGTGGCAGCCAAGATGCCGTCGAGCTCTTTGTCACCCCTGATTCGCCAGCGGCCGCAGACTCGCCGTCGTGATGCTGCCAGTGGCTGCCCAACTCGTCCTAGTGCTCCCTCTCTAAGCGGTCGTCGCTGCAGACTACCCGCCACCAGGCAAGCACCCATCCGAATCGTTGTGCGCTATCCCTCGTCCGGCGTCCCATCTGCGCTTCGTAGGATACCAGTCACACCATGTGCTGCCCGTCCTGGATGGCGGCACCTAGGCGGGAATCAGGGTTCGGCCGCTCATTAGGCGCTCTGGTGGATATCAGCTGGATTCCTGACTCTTCGTCCTCTCTCCATATTATAGTCCGTTCCAGTCACCTGGCAAGGCCCGGTTTGGCTCCCTCTCTATTCTCTTCTCCCGCATCCTGCACACTTACAAGAATAGTGCTTCGTTGACCGAAGCCGGTCCCGTCGCTCCCCTCCCCCCCCCTTCTTAATTACCGTTACATTTTCTGGCGCAGGACGTCTTCCATCTTACTGCAGTGCCTATTTCTATACCTGTGACGCAAATTCTTACTATATTGATCCTTTCCACAATAAACAATCATGTCCGACCAGGTATTGCTACCGAGAACCACATTCCGGCCGCCCTCCCCGCTGGGTCGGAGGAGGCCGGCTCGGACACTTAATCCTATAATGGAGGAGCCGGAGCAGACAAGAGACTCGTTCATCGAGCGAAGGAGAAACAGGCGGTCTATCGACAAGATCGAGCAGTGGCTTTCACCTATGAGCGACCACTTTCCCACTCCGAGAGGACAACACTTTCTCGCCGCCCCGGTCTTCACCACAACCTCGTCCTGCGCGTCGAGCGACAACGAGCACGAGGCCGACCTTGACAACGACAACGACGACGCCAGCTCGCAGGCTTCTTCATCAAACCCGTCCCTTCAGTGGAACAACACCAACAACCGAGACAGCATAATGACTGATGTGACCGAGTTTGACGACCTTTACGATGTTTCCGATGACGAAATCACACGAAAGCAACGCCTCCGAGCAAGCGGCATCGGCCGCCAACGAAGCTCCAAGAGCCTCAGGAGAACATCCCGGGCCTCGATGGAGCGGCGGAGGTCACTAGCTCCCCTGGTGATTCCTGAGGAGGCGACCGTCGCAGCAGCCAAGAAACTGACGTCGCCAATTCCGCCAACCCCGCCATCCGCAGTGCTCATGTCGCCCAGTATCAAAAGCTTCATGGAACTGCGCCAGTCCCAGGATATCCCTCGCGTTTCAGCACCCCCGTCCCTCGACGGGAGCATCGGCTCGGAGGAGATGGCTCAGATGTCCGCCCCGCCAACCCCGTTGATCGGAGCGCGGGACAACGAGGACGAAGAGTGGTCAGGGGTCCATCTCCAGCCAGGAGCTCTCGAGACCCTCCAGGCGCTCTCCGGAAGCGATTCCGAGTATGAGGACGAGCCGACCCAGGTCATCGAGGTACCACAAGAGATGACCCAGTCGCGCCAGCGGCTTCCTCGTCTCGTTACCGGCGGTGGTGTAACCAGGGCCCCGTCCAACCGACAATCATTAGCCGACCTGACAAGGCTCGATATCCCGTCACCTGGCGGATTCTTCTCGGACCTTTCGTCTGCCAGCCGTCGCACCTGGAATAACAGCCAACCGGACGAAGCCAACCCGCCTACTTCGACAACCGCCGAGAACTTTTACAAGGTCCCCTGGGGCCGATCTACGGATAGGATCCCGCCCCCACCACCGCGGCCCCTTCATCTCGACGACCTGCCATCCGCCATTGTCGAGCGTGTTATCGAGTTCCCCGTGAACGAGTACTCCGGAGACCTTCCGACCGCAATTCGGGTAGAGGAGACTCCGGTACCCATCACCGCCCGCCGAGTGCCACCCACTCCGAAGCACGCTAATGCTCCGGCCTCCGAGGTGGTGGTCGAGGAACCCTCCTCCCCAGTCGATGTGAATGAAATCATTGCCGAGTATGATGCCGAGTACATCACGAAGCAGGAGGAGAATGCCATCTCACACATCAACCGCACGCAGATGTGGTTGGCTGCCCAGCGATCCTATCTCCAAGGGGTCGTGGGGTTCTCTGAGGAGAACGAAAGCTCCGAGGAATCGGAGCATGAGTCCGAGACAGAAGAGAAAGTTGAGGTGCCGTCTGCGGCCACCTCTCCCGAAATCGAACAGGAACAGACTGAACCCAAGAAGAAGGCGGTCCGCTTTTCCGAGGTTGTCGTCAAGAAGGACATCCCCTGCAACCTGCCTTCAAAGCTCGTCCGCCAGGAGTCGTCCTATTACCGCGCCTTCACCGATTACACCGTGAGGGCCTGTGCCTCTGACGTCTTTATCCACCGCCAGCCGCGCTTTGAAGCCCTTCAGGCTCAGCGTGTCTGCCTCAGGGATGCCCACCGCAACCAGCTCCTCGGAAAGTTCCAGCTGTCGGTGGTGCCGCAATCGGCCAAGAAGCGCATGAGCACCAACGTCGTCCGTGGTGACGACGTCGTCGTCGACGACCCGGAGAAGCTCCGCGCCGACAAGGAAGCCGAGGCCCTCTCGCAAATGCACCTCGCCACCTGGCAGGTCGCCGCCACCAAACTGCTCAACGGCGGCCGCCTCATCTCCGCCCCCGTGGGCAAGCGCCTTGCCCGCCAAAGCTACATGGCCGTTACCCCCCGACGGCCTTAGCCGCGACCGCGCGCGCATCCTCGACCTCGGCGGACAGGGTGCCTGCGACTGGGCGTGGCACGCCGCGCTACAGTACCCCAACACCAAGATCTACACCGTCACCACCAAATCCATCCGCCAGCTGAGCAACAGCAACATCCGCGGCCCGCCCAACCACCGCCAAGTCGCCGTGGCCACGCTCTCCAAGCTCCCCTTCGACGACGACCAGTTCGACCTCATCTCCGCACGGGAACTACACGCCGTCCTCAAGCTCTCGGGCGAGAACGGCGCGGACGAGTGGGACGCCTGCCTGCGCGAGTGCATGCGCGTGCTTAAGCCCGGCGGCTACCTCGAGTTCGGCCTGCTCGACGCCGACATCGTCAACGCGGGGCCCCTCGGCAACGCAAAGGCCGTCGAGTTCAGCTTCGCCCTGCAGACCCTCGGCTACGACCCCAACCCCACCCGCTCCTTCCTCGGCCGCCTCACCGCCGCCGGCTTCGACGAAGTCCGCCGCGCCTGGGTGTGCCTCCCCGTCGGGCCCAAGCGGCCCCCGCGACCCGCCGCCGCCGCCACCACCACCACCACGACCTCAACCCGCGACTCGACCTCCGGCGCATCAGTACGCGTACACCAGCTCGACGCCATCGTGTCGGGCTCGGCCGAGAACGCCGCCGCCGTCACGGGCGTCGCCGCCGGCTGGAGCTGGGAGCGGTGGCTGCTGCGGGCCGAGACGGAGAAGGCCGCGGGCGAGCTGCGGCTGGCCGACACGGTGACCCCGGGCGAGGCCATGCGCGAGGCCGGCAAGATGATCGCCGACGTCCACGCCGTCGTCGAGGAGGGCCGCCTGCAGGGGTCCTGCTTCCGCACCCTGCGCGGCTACGCGCGCAAGCCGAGGCCCGGGGTTGTTGTTGGTGGTGCTGGTGGTCGTCGTGGTGCGCCTGCTCCTCCCACTGGCCCGCCTCCGGCCGTGCCTGTTGCGCCGGTGCCGGTGGTGGAGGAGGAGGAGGTGTTGTCGCCGGCTGTGCAGATGATGGAAACGGTGGGGCTGGATCGCAGTGGGTCGATTCGTATCTTTTTGGATACCGAGTCTTTGATGGGTTAACTACCCTACCTACCTACCTAGCGGGGTGGGTGTGTTTGTGAATGGGTGGGTGGTGTCTATGGGGCATAAAACGGGGTGTCGGCCGGTTGCCATTCTTCTTCTCTTCTCTTCTTCTGTCGAGAGTAACTACCCTTTCGGGATTTGGTGTTTTCTTTTGTTGCTGTATATGTCGCTGCCACATAAATCGTTGTCATCGCCATCGGGATACCCGGGGGCAAATATAGGCTAGGCTGATACCCATTACAATGATTTCACGCGGAACTACTACGATCGTGAGCTGGTGACGTCCCAACCTCCTTTGCTATGCATATCACACACATAGGATACGGGCGCAAAAAAGTCTTATCAACTTCCAATTCTTCCCATCCTCGCTCGTGTCTTTCTTTGCCCCCCTTGACAACAACTACCTATGCAGCAATGGCCCTAAAACCAAAGCCCCCCCCTTCCCGGCAAGCGCAAGTGATTGCGCATACAAGTACCTCAGTTAAATCAGTCTAGGTGTTCGAACTTTCCCTTTCTCTGCCCGCTAGGTCCCTCCAAAGCAAACGCTCAAAGCCGCCGCTCCCTCCCGAGTTTCCGAAACAGGCGCTCGCCCACCATGTTGCTCTGCTCGCATCGGCAGCCACACACATCAAGTGTGCTAGCGCCCGCGATATCCATACCATAAGATGAAGCCCACCAACTAGGATAATGCCCTGCTGAAAGCGATACAAGAGAAAAAAGGAGGAAGCAAAGTTAAACTAAATAAAAAAGGGGGCAGCACGTGCGCGTATGCTATGTACGCGCAGCTGAACGAACGTAAGGTAGAAAAGGATATGTACAAGGCGAAACAGAAAGCAAAATAAAATAATCAAAATCAACCCAGCTGACCAGAAGCTCGACCCCCACCGGCCAGATCGCGTCACTGCGAGTCCGTATCCATGGCATCCGGCGCCGGCGAACCGAGCGTAACCTCCGGCCGCATCATCTGGTGTTTTGTTTCCGTGGCTCCGAGGCTTGGCGGCGGCTGGTCTGATTGCTGTGACTGGCTGGTGCTGGCGCCGGCGCTGCTGGATCTCTCGACCTCCATCGCCTCCTCATCTCGGCTGGGAGGGGCGGCGCCTGGCATTGCGACCTGGATTTCGTTTTTCGGCTCGGGTTCCGAGGTATGCCCGGAATGTGTTCGTTCTGGTTGCGGCTGGGGATAAGAGAAAGGCGGGGTTTGGGAGGAGGGCTGTGATTCGAATCGCTGCTCCGCTGGTTGCTGCTGCTCTTGTCGGTCGATTTGCATTGGGTCCTTCTCCCCGGCAGAAGATGCCCCATCGTCCCGACGCTGCTCGCCGGCGCTGGGCGTGCGGTCTATGGTGTTGGCTTGTTCCATGCTAGTATCTCGCGGGTCGGCTCGCGGTTGTGTGGGCTCCCGGGAACGCGCCTCTATCTCCATGTCAAGTCCTTTGCCCTTCTCGGTGCCCGCAGTTGTCGGGGTCCTCGTCGCGGAATCCTTCCTTGTGATGGCGCTGCCACCCCCGCTGCCGGCCGTCTTCGGCGTCGACGGAACGATGACATTCAGCACGCAATCATCGAGATGCTCATAAAACTCCTGGGCGGTGCCGAACTGGCTCTGGCAGATGTTGCACTTGGCACCGACCCCTCCGGCTCGTCCAGGGCCTGTAGGTAGAATCATTTTTCTGCTGTTGGGCGGGGTCTGTTCGACATTATGCACCGCTGTTAGATGCCGTTTGAACACATCTGCACGGTTGAACGCTTTCTCGTATGCGGTCCCGGCCCCCGGACAAAACGGACACACCATTGTGCCCTTGTAGTGCGTCAAGGCATGCCGATTCTTGTCGTATTTGCGTGCGAACCCCTTGATGTGATATTCGCAAGTCTCAATGGGGCATTTCTCCGGCCGTTCCTCCATGTGTGTCAGCATGTGAGCCGCGAGATCTTTGAAGACGCGACCGCACTCGGGGTGCGGGCAGCGGCTGCGAATGGATGAGGATGAGGAGCTCGATGTATGCGGCGGCTCGTCGCTCTTGAGAGTTGGCGTGGGCGCCAGGAATGCGCTCTGCGCACTCTGGATAATAATGGGTGGAGGACCAACGGGGTTAAGACGGTCGAGAGAAGGTGCTAATAAGGGTGGCCCATGTGCCTGCGGAGGCATCGGTGACGCTGGCGCAAGACGCGGGGCTTCCAAGACAGGGGAGCGCCGGTGTGGTGGGGAGATGAAGTCGTGGACAGTTTTGTAGTCCTGCGCTTCGTCGTCCCCGCTGGACCCGTCATCTTGATCTTGCACGTCGATCGACTGTCGCACCTCACGCATCCAGTCCTTCAAGATCGACATGGGTGGCCAGTCACCGCTCGCCTTGCCGCCACGGTTAGGGTTGAAATGGGCACGCCTAAGGTGTGCGGCTGCGTTATAGTAGGCACCATAGCGTTTCTGCGTGACACAGGCCTTGCACTTTGCCAGTGGTATTAAGGGGTGGGGCGAGCCCGGAGGATCCGGCGGCTGTGTGCACACCCACCTCTTCACTAGGGCGGCGTGCTTCGCATCGTTGTGCCTCCTCAACTCATGCTCGCCGCGAAACCCCTCTGGGTATTCGTTGCACTTTGTGCAATAGACTCTCCGAAGCGGTGGCCGTTGGTAGGAAGCTCGCATTCTGGGCGTGGCAACTGGTGATGTCAGCACACGGCCGGGCTGCCTCATGAAGGTTGGGCTCTCAGAAACGGTGTGCCGCCTCCCTGGGTCCATCGTCTGGGGCGACGCGAGCATCCGGTCGGGCTCTCCTTTGAAGACGTAGACCTCTCTGTCCGCTGGGCCATGGACGGCAGGGCCCCAGCTAGTGATGAGCGGTCGCATGTCAGGAAGCGGTTTCCTGGGTTCCTCGCTCGGCTTGGTGATCGGCGGCAGGGCAAAGGAACCTTGCCTCGCAGGCGACCGCTGCTTGATGAAGCCGTTATAGTAGGCGCCCTCGATCTCCCCGCTCCCAAGGAACATGAGGAAGTCTTTCGATGACGGGATACCACGCTCAGCCCACGCGTTCCTTCCCAGAAACATGCCAACCGAAAGGAGCAGCTCGCGATCACCGTGCCCCATCTCTATATCCTGGCCATCGAGAAGCATCGGTGTGGACCAGGCAAAGGCACTGACGAGCGCCTTGTAAACGGCGTGCATGGCTAGTATACCGGCGTGCGAGGGCGGATTGAAACGGAGATGCGCGGCTCTATCGACTAGGATGGTCTTTACTAGGCTAAAGATGCAGAGGGCGAAGAAGCTAGCCAGCCAATGCTTCGGGTCGTGCGGGTTAGGTTGGGCCATCTGGGTGTCGAGGGATTGTAGAAACTGAACCATGCAGTTGTAAAGCACATAGAAGCGCCCATAGGAATCGGCATCGTCGAATACCACATGCGAAGCTGAGCTGTTTGGCTCAGCATGGATGGCCGGATCGGGTTGTTGGAGGTCGTAAAAGAGGGTTTCGCGGAGAAGCAGCTTGGCGCGGTACAGTACCGGATATTTGGCGAGTTCAAAGTCTCGGCTCTCGGACAGCACACCAGTTAATTTTAGAAGCTGCCAGAAGCTATACATGGTCTGGTTCATATTCCAACTAGCTGCAAGTACGTTGAGGATCGGCGGTGGTCTCTCGATAGGATCCTTGTGGAAGGCAGCACGAGTCGGGTTGGGTAGTGGCAAGTTAGCGAGGTCCTCGGTCCACCAGAAGCCATCGTCGAAATCCAGATGGGCCTTGACCATTCTCGCGATCTCCGGCGGCACGACAAAGGCCCTATCCAAGAAGTCGTTCATGTTGCGGCGAACAGCGAGGGGTGATGTCATGGGTGTCTGGGCATGTCTGGGGGCCATCGACGCCGGCAGCATGATATCGGCAAAGGCGGTAAGGGGTCCTCTTAGGCAGTCGAGAGCTTTCCAGAAGTCGTTGCCGGGGGATGTCGCTGGATCGGGGCAGAGCCTACAAGGGTCATTGGAATCACACTGGAGGGGTTAGCCGGAAACGCTGGTCAGATTCAACGTCCCACTCACTGTTTTCTGAAGTACTCTACAACGCAAACATGGTCCGTTATCGCGGAGGAGGCGAAGTTCCTCGATGGACTCCAGTCGAGCTTGTCCCACGCGGCTGCGCTTCAGAGGTGGTAACAGCGGATCAACCTCGGAGTCGACAGAGCCGCGAGGGCCGGCTGGATACTCGGGGACGAACGAGTAGCTTCTTAACGATTCCCGGTGATCCCTGCCTTGACTGCCCGTTGCCAAAGGGGCGAGCTGAAAGTTCGCGCCTGGGCGGGGGAGATAGAGCGGCGAACTCGTCTGTTTACTATAGTCGGCACCGTGGTTTCGGCCCGGATGCTCGGTGAACGATAACGGCGGCGTGCCTCCGACCGAAAGGCCCGAATCTCTCTTACGGGGAACGACATGTTCCTTGGAGTGCTGGTCCCGGTCGTCCCGATGGGGGTAGCCGTAGATGTAGTGCATGCACCGGTCGTCCCAGCACTTGAATGAGTGGCTATTGCGGAAGCCTAGGGGCATGCTGTCCTTTAACCGCAGTGCCCGAGCGACGGGGTCGTACTGGGCAAAGTTCCTATCCAGCCAAACAGCATATCCTTCTGGGGCCTGGTCTCGGTGATAGTGATACTTGAGTGCATCGAGGAACCGAGGATCTTGGAGGTCGATACCTAACAAGCGGGAGCATGAGACGAAGTGACACAGTAACGACGGGCGATGGATATTGCGGCTTACCTTGGTCCAGACAAGCCATCTCGATACACTCACACTGATACTGCAGTGCTCTTGCCTCCTCTATCTCGGACAGGGGAGTGATGCTGCCCGATAATTCTACGAGGAGGGTTAGTTCAGACGGAAAAGGGGGGAACAACAGTGTATCAGACGCGATGACTAGAAAACAATGATAGGCTCGGGAAAGCAAAAGTCGGCTCACGGTTGTCCTCGGCGTATGCGCGCAGTACACGAAGCTTGTGGTGTAGCATCTCGAGCTCCAGCTTGACGTTTGGGCCATACTTCTGGGGAAGCAAGGCGGCCAGCCTTGCCTGGATCTCGGCCTGCTGGTCTAGCAATTGCTTAATGGCGGGATCTAGTGCCGGATCGTACTGTTGATGCGGAAGAACGGGGGCGGCGGGCGGGGCACTAGTACCGAGAGGTGTAATCGCCGGCGCCGTGAAGGGTTCGCGATTCGGCGGAGCGGATGGGCCCGGTATGGGAGGCGGCAGCGGTAAGGCCGGCGACGCAAGGTTTTCGGTGGCCATGGCGGATGTTGTCCGCGGTAACGGGAAGGCGGAGCGGTGGGAATATCAAGGGTCCAGACGACGCAAGCGCAAGCGCGGACGTGGACGCGGGTGTCCACGAACGGGCAGGGGACGGCGTGGCACAGCACGGCACGGCGATGCGATCGCAGCAGCAGCAGTAGCAGATCGGGGGTGGTCGGTCTCGACCTCAACCTCAATCTCAACCTCGACCTCGACCTAGAAAAGCGAGCTCTGCTCTGAACGAACGCCAGTGCCCGGTAAGCTGGCTGGCTGTGCTAGCTTTCGGAAACTCGCGGTGGACGCGGACGTGGCGGCTTACTCGCCCACCAACCAGGCTTCGAGGGATTTGTTCTTCGCGCATCAACAATAAGGACGTTCTCGAGCCAGCAGGCACAACATGGTAGTCGGGAGTTCAGTATAGGTAGCAGTGGTGGGGGTCCAGCAGCGCCGAAATGCATCACAATCCCATAGTGCGCGGCTGCGCGGGGCGAATTGGGGCGTGTGTGCTGAGGGAGCTCGCTCGAACGGATCTGGGAGCTCAGGGCTGGCGTTGGAGCTGTCCGGTGGGCATGAACCCGAAAGGTGCGGCCGGTAGTGTGCGAGTGGGCAACGACGAGAGACACCGAGTCTTGCGTAGATTTTTTGGGGCCGTGAACTGAGCTCCTCACTTTTTTGGGGAATTATTCGGCCATCAAAAGGTCAATTGGGGAAGAGTGGGCCGCAACAGGCCGAAAAGACCTGGACAACCTGACAACCTGACAACCTGGAGAATGGCGAGGCGGCAGATTACCAAAGCGAGACCTTCCCGTCCAGCCCCAGCCGGGGGGACAAGAGGGGCCAAGCCTTCCAGGAAGCTCCATTCGGCCACCGCCTGTTCCACCTCATGCCTTCCCTCTTTTTTCTCCCTGGCTGAGGTGTTCCTTCCGTTCGACTGGCAGTTGTGACCACAACCCCGCTTCCTCGCATTACACGCACGGGAAGTACCGCAATGCCTCTCTTCCAGGTTTGTGTGTTCTAGCTCAGGCTCCCACCACATCTTGGTTCAAAAAACCGCGCGAATGAGCCCACAGCCAGCCTCCGCACGCATGGGGACGGACCGAGGGGACCCCTTCTTCGGGCAGCCGGGCAATTGACTGGACGCCCCATCGCCCCATAAATTCGAGCGAGGGCAGGGTGCGACGCTTTACCCGGACAGGCTTAGCTCATTGCGCTAAGCAGCCAGGGTCCCGAAGGCCGTTGGGAGGTGCAACGTGAGTCGGCCTGGCTCTGTGACTGATGGGAGGAGGCCAGGACGGGACTGGTCAGTCAGCTGCAAACAGGGCGGCCCCCACTTGTTCGATTCTTCCATCCATCACCTCGACAGCCGTTGGAGTCGTTCGATCCAGCTTCCAAGCCATGACTGGCCGGGCCGTTGTTGGGAACCTGAAGCTTTGGCAATTTTGAACCCGACGCCGAAGTTAGTGTCGCAAACACGCACCCCGCCTTAGTTAACTATTAGATACACAACAGCAACACTCGAGTCGAATGGATAAAGCGATCCGGACCCGCCGACGCAGAAGCTGCCGTCATCGCACCGGGAGAATGCAAACCAGCTGTGCTCGATGAACTGCGGGCTGGGATGCGGTCCCAAACCACAGAACCAGGCGCTTTCTCTACCGACAGGCGATCCCACCCTGACGCATCGCCTGTCCGATTGATGTTCCGACCAGCCTTCAGCTGATTCGCTGTTGCGAGCATATTGCTGCGGGGACTGACTGACGAGATGAAGGGACAGCATTCCGCTTCGGCGAGCCAAATTTCGCCATTGCTTCGTCCGCACACATGGAAGGGAGATCCCTAACTATCAGAGCTGCTGACGGAGGCATCGGGACCGCTCTCGCGCAGTGATTTTGCGAGGGCCCGCTTCTGCAACGACGTTTCGACGCCTCGTTGCGCGGTCGCTCGGTTTTGGGGCCCTTGCTCCCCTTCTCCACGCCTTTTCAACGGCGTCACATCGGGCGGGGAACATCATTGGGGGGCCTTCCTGCTCCCCCGCCCCATGTCATCAGCCTGGCGTTTGCAGCTCTTGCAGCTCGGAGTGGCCCGCATGTCGAGTACGTCCACCGTCACACAACTTCCACAGGAGCTCAGTAGACAGGTCCACCACAACCGTTCGCAGGGTGAAAGATTGCACGGGAGCATGGTTCGACACCGACCCACACGGGAGATGCTGCACCAAGTCGGAACTGATCTCTTTATTCTTCGGCCAGGCCAGTCCGAGACGTCGACAGAACTCGTCCAAGAGCATTTCACGCCAACCAGACGGCGATGGCGAGGGCAACGGCAGCTTGACGATTCTCCCCAAGCCGACGAGAAGGCAGACGGTGCGGCGTGCCTCACAGAGCCGGCTACCCCTCCTCCGCGACCGTCGCCGGGATTGTCGGCTTGGGCAATTAATGTGACGGGGAGCTTGCAGCTGGTGTAACTCACGGCTCCGTCTCCCAAACCAGCGGCTGGCGAGTGAGGACCGGCGAGTCGAGGTGAATGCCATGGCCTCGAGCAAGCTCCCTTCGGTTGCGACGAGCAAACGGTGGTGAGGGCGCCGATGTGCTCCGATGCTCCGACTTGGGAAGGCGCTCTCACAGAATCACACCTCACACAAGAAACCACGCACGGCCCCTCTGGACGAACGACCTCTCGTCGAATTGGAGCGCGCGGCCACCCTCCTTCACGCCCAGACAGCCCGGTTGTTATCAGCAGGCTCTCGGCGACTTGGTTCTCAATGGTTGGTCGGCTGCAGGTGAGAGGGATCCCTGTCGTCCCAGCCACCCCTCATGGCTTGCGAGCTTGCAAAACACACCAATGGCCTGGCCGCTTGGGCGTCCCACGCGTCCTCGACGACGGATTGAGGCGTCCACACAGCCCGTCCACTTCGGGCTTAGAGCGGTTCGCCCTGCTCCTCAGCTTTACTCAGCTGGTTCGCCTTGTCCTCTTCGTCCGAACATGTGGTGGCCGTGCCCCTCAGTCGTTAACTTGGAGGCCAAGCAGCTAAGACTTACACGGTATTTGGCTTTCTCATATTGTGTGATCCAGCAGGACCCAGACCTCATGTGGCTTCCCCATCCTTCCCCATCCGGAGAGCCATTGTCCCTTCGAGCCTGTGGCGTCTTTGCGGTAGTGAAGGCGTCCGTGCCAAGTGGTACCGGGGAAAGCGCATGCCATCCCGATCCTAACTATCCTCCACCCTCCATCCGCACCCCTGGCGTTTAGGGGACGGCACCTCCGAAATTCCCTTGGTGACCTTTTACACTTGGGGTGGGCTCTGAAAGGGACAGACGATAGATATAAGGCGTGTCGGGCCGCCTGGTTTTGATGGACGCGGCCACAGCTTGATGTGTAGGATATCCCAGCTCAACAGAATACCGCAAGCATGACTTTTTATGCCCCTTACCTCGTTCAAACCAACCTGTTGGTGGCGGCCGTAACCGCCCTCCTGGTGTGCGCAGCTCTTATTTTCGTGGCCCTTCGCCCCAAAGCCAGCATACTAGGTATGTGTATCCCTATATCCATGCTCTTTCCCCAGGCCGGTTGTTTCTGATCCCGTCATCCCCTTTTGCCAATGTCCATTCCATCACCTGTTCAATCCTGACCCCCCTTCTATGTTCTTGTTCTTGTCTCTTTCGTCCAGTGCACCATTCAAGTCGCCTTCTACTCCTCTCACGCCCCAGACTCAACAACCTAGACCGCCCAATTTCTAACACCCCCCCAGCGACCAGCCTCAAACACACGACCGTCAAATCAACTCTCCCCCTCGCGCCACAGCCACACAAGACGTCAACAACCACGCCCACAACGCAGACCAAACCAATCCCCATCCCCACCCGGAAACCCATCATTTCCCATAACAACAACAACCCAACCCCAACCTTCACCCCAATATCCATCTCCCCATTCACCACACCCGCACGACACCCATCCAACCCATTTTCCATCCCGTCCTCGACCTCAGCCTCGACCTCAGCCTCAGCCTCAGCCATCTTCCCCTGGCGCGCCTCCTTCACCCTCCACCACCATAACCACCACCACCACCACCACTGCCATCCGGACGCAGCACGGCGTCGGTCAACCAGCACGCCCCCGCCTCCCCTGGCCCTGCCGGTGTCGGATTCGGTGGCGGGCCGGAAAGGGTCGGCGTGTAGACGGTGGTCGTCGGACGAGGGGGGTGGGAGTGTGTGTGGTGGGAGTGAGGGTGGGTCGTACACGGAGGGGGTGTTGGTTGGGGTTGGGGGGCAGTTTTAGGGCGGGCGGGTTGGCTTTTTTGGGGTTGGGGTTTGGTTGGGTGGGGTGGGTTTGGGATGGTTGATGAAGGAGTGAAGGAGGGTTGGTGAAGGTGGGTAGATGAAGGATGCTTGAGTAGTTATCTATGTACAAGGAGTTTGGGGATTGGGTAAGCTGAGCTTCGGTCATAGTAGTTCATTTCTACATCGCCCCGAGGATAAAATATAATACGGTGGACCCCAGTTAGTTATGATTGCGCCTCTAGTGTTGTGTTTACTCGGACTGTACGAGCCTTGAACCCCCTGGGCTGGTCTATGTAACTCCGAGACAGGGCCGGAGACAACTCCTCTCTAGGAGCACGCACCATCCCCGATCGTCTCCGCCTGTACATCTGCACTTGGTTGTATCGATTCTGTCCCCTGCTGACAGAGATGAATCTCAACTGGGGAACTCCACACAGTTAGTAGCCTGGACCATGGGTAGAAGACAATTGAAAACAACGAGCTACGGATTTTAGCTCCGCTTGGTGTCATGATAAACGGATAGGGTCGGGATAGCGGCCGAGGCCTAGGAGGGTGGCTGAAACCGGATTCTGATGAGATTTTGCTTTCACTACTCTGAGTAGAGGGTATATATGACTGGATTCTCTTTGTTTTTAGGACAAGTCAATGCCAATACAGGACTCTGACTTGGCCCAGATTCAATGACCACACGCCAGGAAGTCGGTCCCTCTACTAATGCAAAGCGAAAGAGACATCACCTGCATGATACTGCAAAGCCCGGTGTTCTGTGAAGCCAGGAAGCCGGCAGGCACCCTCCTGAAACACGACTAGTGGTGCTCATACCTGAGACAATAACGTCATACCAATGCCTCTCAGATCGACGAGATCAAGGGACAGGGAGCTCGGTGTTGTCGAGATGAGATACAGGCTGATCTGGGTTGCACAGCAGCTATACTATTTCAAGGTGCCGTGTTGACAATTTCCTGCTTTTGGGCCTCGGGCACGCGACACAATGCCGTGATTAGTACATAGCACTCCTCCAGCTAACGAAACAGCAGCCGCAAATCCCTCTGACATCAACCAAGGCAGTTGTGCTGCAGGAGACGGGATCTGCATCGGGTTCAAGTTGGAAACCCCAAACGGGTTCCCGAACGATCTGCCACTGGATCTGCCACTGGATCTGCCACCCGACATGGCGCAACCGCGAGATAGGCGCGGAAATGTGGCCGATTTAAACCATAGGAAAGCGTCACAGCGATGCGCTCAGAATTCCCTCAAACGTACGGCTAGGTAATCTAGCAACTAGCTATGAGCAATCATGGGACATGGGGAGAAGGAGTCCTTAGATGCGGCGCTGGTTGCGAATGATGTATTTCGAATGAAGAGAAAAGAGAAAATCATTCGCAGCTCGCGAAAATTTCCGAGGTTAGGGGACCGGATACAGTGCGCCATGTCAAGAATACAAATACACACTGTGTGCTGCAACTCTCCTCGGTCGCTCTCGCGGGGCAGCATCGAATTCACATCTGGTGATCAGCGACAAGTGGGTCTTGGGCTTTGACGAAGCGCTGGCAAATCACCAAGTCAATCACGTCAAACTCGCAGGATGGCTTTTTCCTCGGCCTCTCCCACGGCCAAACAAGTTTGGAGACTTGAAACAAAGTGGCAGCCAAGTTTCGTCTGGGGCCGACGACCCCTCCAAGACCCTGACTCTAGGCCAGCCAAGGTGCAGAGATGATCCCTTGAGGTGACTCTCCTGCAATGAGCAATCACGGACGACGGCCACACGACTGGCTGCCGTTCCCGTCGCATTTGACCAACCCGCGGGGGAGATGGAGCTGGCCGCACAAAAAACGACATACTCCTTATGCCAGATAGGCAGATGACCAGTTGATCGTGTCAGCTCCCATCCAAGGGGTCGCCCACATGTCTCACTCCATGGCTTGCTAAAGCACCCTGACGGCAGCGCTCCAGCAACACGTGGGAACGATGCTCGAAGGATATTGGCTCGTCGTCATTTTCAGCCTCGCGAGGCGCGCAGTCAACAGTTGCGTCGGGGCGAAAATGCGGGTGATCAGCAAGCGCTTGAGGGCCGGGAAATCGGCTGTGTGGGTGTGTGGCCTTCAAGTCACCCCCCGCGGGGGGAGGGACAGCAAGGTTCTCACTTTCCTCTCCGCGTGCACATGGCAGGTCAGGTATGTAGTTATATATGTACAAGATGGGGAGAGTTGCCCGCGGGGGGTTAGAAGGAACGGCGCAGCTAGGTTGCTCTGTTTTCCAGGCTCCTGCCATCGCATCAACGACGACATCGTTGTGATCGACGCTACAAAGACGCCCGACTCGACTCGGTGGACTCTTCTGCTTGGCCCGAGTCGTGCGGCCACAGCGTCATCATCCTTGGTCCGACCTTGGCCGCTGCCCAAACACTCGGGAACGTCGACAAATAAAACTTTCCGCATCCCCCGGGTCGGACATTCAGACACAGTAGGACGCCAAACCCGTGCCAGATTCTCACCCTCTGTTTAAACATCATAATGACCATGTAAAGGCGCGACGAGCGCGAAGCGACAGCACTTTTCTTTATTTTTTCGCAATTTTACTCCGCTCTCACAGCTGGTGATGCCTTTTAGACGCGTTTTGGCCGCGGCACTACTGTGCCATGGCGTCATAGCCGGACCATCAGGGCCCGTGGCGGACCAAACCCAAGTTGTAGCGCACTCTGCCCCGCGAAAGCTACACGGCAGGTTCCTGCATATTACAGGTGAGAGCACCCCTCATCGACCGAATTCTCGGGAACTTGGCGGTACATCGGCAATCAGGAGACTGACGATCCCCCGCGATAGACATCCATCCGGACGAGTACTACAAAGTGCACTCGTCCACCGACGAAGATGATGGCTGCCACAGGGGCAGAGGCCCCGCGGGCCCTTACGGCGCCGAAACATCCGATTGCGACAGCCCCTTCTCTCTCGTGAACGCGACATTCGACTGGATCGACGCGAACATCAAAGATAGTATCGACTTCGTCGTCTGGACCGGCGACAGCGCGCGCCACGATCGCGACGAGGAGCTGCCCCGCAATCCCGACCAGGTCCTCGGCACCAACAGGTGGATCGCTGACAAGTTCGTCGATATGCTTTCCGACAAGGGCGACAAGGGAATGAACATCCCAGTCGTGCCGAACTTTGGGAACAACGACATCCTCCCGCACAACATCCTCCTGCCGGGGCCCAACAAGTGGCTCCAGCACTACTCGCACATCTGGCGCCATTTCATCCCGGAGGAGCAGCGCCACAGTTTCGAGTACGGGGGGTGGTTCCACGTCGAGGTCATCCCAAACAAGCTGGCCGTGTTCAGTTTGAATACGCTGTACCTTTTCGACCGCAATGCCGGTGTCGACGGCTGCGCGAGCCCCTCGGAGCCGGGGTACAAGCAGATGGAGTGGTTGAGGGTGCAGCTGCAGTTCATGCGGGAGCGGGGCATGAAGGCGATCCTGATCGGGCACGTTCCGCCGGCTAGGACGGACAGCAAGATGCTGTGGGACGAGACGTGCTGGCAAAAGTACTCGCTCTGGATGCACCAATTCCGGGACGTCGTGGTGGTCGGCCTGTACGGGCACATGAACATCGACCACTTCATAATCCACGACAAGGACGAGATCAACATTGCTGAGCTGGAGGGGTCCGAGTTCGGGACCCGCGAGGCGATGGATGATGAGCTGTCCACGCAGTCTGCGTCGGACTACCTGATGGAGTTGCGCTCCGACTGGGCCAAGCTCGCGCCGCCTCCCACATCCGGCAAAGACGTCAACGACGAGGGCAAACGGAAGAAGGGCAAAAAACGCAAGGACCCCTGGGGCGAGCGGTACCACTTGTCTATGGTTAGCCCCAGCGTCGTGCCAACCTACTTTCCCACTCTGCGGGTGTTTGAATACAACATCACGGGCCTCGAAGACACGCCTCTCTGGCGGGAAGCGCTGCAAGAGAGTACCCAAAGTACCGCGAACACGCCCCAAAAACACCTCGAACTCCGCCAGTCCCCTCCCTCACCCGACGACTCCGACCTCGACCTCGACTTCGAAACCGACGACTCCATCACCGCCACCAAAAAGAAAAACAAGAAAAACAAAAAGAAGAAGCACGGCAAACCCAAAAACCCCCCTCCCAAACACGACGACCCCAACCTCCACATCCCCCTCCCCCCCTCCAAATCCACCCCCCCAGGGCCCGCCTACTCAATCCAACCGCTCACCCTGACCGGGTACACCCAGTACTACGCCAACCTCACCCACATCAACAACCTCAACCTAACCGGCGCAGCCGCCACCTCTGACGCCAACGAAAAGGGCGAGGATAGCGGCAGCTGGTGGGGATCGAACTCGGACTGGGAGCTGGAATGGGACGGCTGGCTGCTGCGCTGGCGCAAGGGCAAGCACGGCGGCCGGAAGCCGACGCCGCGGCCCGCGCCGCCAAGGGAGTTTGCGTACGAGGTCGAGTATTCGACGTTTGAGGACAAGATTTATCGGTTGGGGGATCTGACGGTGAATTCCATGGTGGGGTTGGCGGTGAGGATGGGCAGGCCGGCGGGGGGGAAGGGGGTGGTTGATACATCAACTACTGGGGGTGGTGGGGAGTGGGAAGAAGGGGAGGATGAGGTTTGTGATAATGAAGACGATGATTATGAGGGTGATGAGGATGATGAGGATGATGAGGATGATGACGATAGTAGTGATGACGATGGGGAGGTGGAAACTGAGAAAAAGAAGAAGAAAGGGAAGAAAGGCAAGGGGAAGAAGGGCAAGAAGAGGAAGCAGAACAAGACGTGGTTGCACTTTTTGAGGCACGCGTTTGTTGGGACTCTGGAGAAGGATGATCTCGAGAATTTTTCTTGAATTGGTTAAGGCGGGGGGGGGCACTTTTAGGCTTTTGCATTGCGCTGGTTATATGGTTATAGGAGCGGTGGATATTGGATATTGGTTAGGCATTCCTGGCGTTCTGTGTTGGCTTTTGGATACCTTAGACTCGCTTGCTGGCAATAGAGCGGTCATTGTGGCATTCTTCTTAGTCCACTTCTGGGGGAGTGTGTTGTAGTATCGGGAGCAGAGCCACTCAAATTCCTATAAATGGTTGTTATCAACCAAAAGATTTTGAACCTCATACTTGGTAGACCAGAACGATTAACAGCCCAACTGTTCGAGCCCGTGTAAGTCGCGCCCCACACTGGCCCGGGCACTGTCTCTTGCAAGCGGCACAACACCAATATGCACAGTGCGCCAGAACCGCCCCTTGACGGGCCGGATCCCTTATCTTATCAGCGCTTCTCATTTCCCACTCCTTAACCGGGACGCGATGGGAAGGAGCTTGTTCCTCTCATCTCCAACGCCTTCAACGCCCCCCATAAACAAATGGCATCAATGCCATCCCCATCCACCGCCTGATGTTCCCCTCCCTCAACCTCCGACTCTGCCTCCGCCTCCCCACCCGCCGCCGCCTCCGCCGCCGTCGAATGGCCACCCTCCTCCTCCCGCTCCTCCTCCTCCTCCTCCTCCTCCTCCTCCTCTTCCTCCCCCTCTACCTAATCTACAAACCCCCCTCCCCGCTCATCCGCCACCTCTCCCACCGCTGGACCGACGTGCTCTTCCGCATCTGGCTGCCGCCCACGAAGCCCCTCGTCGCCCTCACCATCGACGACGCCCCCTCCGACCACACCCCCGCCATCCTCGCCGCGCTCGCCGCCGCCGGCGCCCGCGCCACCTTCTTCGTCATCGGCTCCCAGGTCGCCGGCCGCGAGCAAGTCCTGCGCGACATCCTGCGCGGTGGGCACGAGCTCGCCAACCACGGCATGCACGACGAGCCCGCCGCCCGCCTGGGAACCGCCGAGCTCGAGGACCAGCTCGTGCGCGTCCAGGCGCTGATCGACGCCGCATATGTTGCCGAGGGCAGGGAGCCGCCGCCTGCGGGCAGGAGGCGGTACTATCGGCCCGGGTCGGGGTTTTTCAGTGAAAGGATACGGGGGGTGGCAAGGCGGCTGGGGTATCGGGTTGTGCTAGGGAGTATCTACCCGCATGACGCGCAGATTGGGTGGCCGGGGGTGAATGCGCGGCATGTGTTGAGCATGCTGCACGCCGGGGGGATTATTATCTGCCATGATCGGAGGTCGTGGACGGAGCCGATGCTGAGGACGGTGTTACCGGAGACGAAGAGGCGCGGGTATCAGGCAGTGACGCTGACGGAGTTGTTGAAGGAGGTTACGGGGTGAAAGGGGGTTTTGAGGGAGAGGATTATGACTACAACATTCCAGGCTGGGGGCTTCCGAACCACGTTTCGGCCGTACGCTCCGTGTTCCGCCCGGTAGAACGCCAGGAGGGGAAGGCGAGCGCGAGTGAGCAGGGACAAAGGCAACCCTCCGAAAATAAAGGGGTGAAACGACCGTTCGCCAAGCACTCCTAGTGTGGGCGAAGAAACTCGATACTGGGCCCACGTGAAACGCCATACAAAGCACGCCGTGGCTGGGACGCAGGACGGTGGAAGGAATCGTGGGTAGGTCGGGCCATGGAGAAAGAATAATACGGCCGTAGCCGGACGCGCGGTCAACAAGTTCACGCCAAGTCCGGCATGGCAACAGCGACTAGCGAAACAAGACAGACATAACCTATATGCTGGAAATCTATCCCCAAGTCCGTCTACAACGCAAAGAAATGGCCTGCCATCGACCCCTTCTATCCATCATTACGCATTATCTCTTTTCTAGATGATCACCCACCCGCCTTTATACTCGCACAGACTAACCACCACCCCCTTCATCGTTTCATACATCGGCCCTTCATCCGACGGTTAACCCCCCAACGGCCGTCTGTTTCCCCGAAACTCCTTAACATCTCACAAGATCGGGCTTTTCAGCGTCAGCTTGTCCGAGTAACAGAAGTCGGAAAGCAGCGCATGAAGGATGGACCACCCCACCATGTCTGGAACAAGATGGCCGGCGAGGAAACAGACGGAAAAGACTCACGGCGGAGCAAAGCAGCCGCTGAACGAGCCGACGGGTGTGCCGTAGCGCGCCGTGAAGTAAGTGCAATACTCCGCGGCCAAGTCTGGCGTCTGTGCGGGGTCGGCGGCGAGACGCGCGCGGATGCCGTTGATGAGCTGGTGGGGGCCGGCGCAGAGGAGAGCTAGGCGGGCTGGCTCGGCGAGGTGGCAGAAGACTGCTTCGAGGGAGTCGAGGGAGAATGAGGGGCGGGATAGCAGCCGGGAGGCGAAGCTCCGGCCGGAGTGGTCGAGCTGCGTGAAGTCGAACCCGCTGCGAGCGAGGCGCTTGGTGATGTGGGCGAGTTCGCCGGGGTTGAGGGGTGTTGGGTCGAGGACGTGGAGGAAGGTCTCGCCGCGGTGGTTGGCGGCATTGGGATGTGACGCTAGCATCATCATGCGGAAGAGCACCGGCCCCGGCGCCCCCCATCGCGCGGCGACATGGAGCGCTGTGTTACCGAGCCCGTCGCGGCTGTTCACCTCGGCCGCGGTGCAGGCGAATGTCTCGGCCGGGCTTCCATGCATCAAAACGGCGTTGATGCGCTGGTGTATGCACCAGGACGTCCTGCCGCAACAGAACCTGACCAGTTCTTGATTCTCCAGTGTATGAGGACTGCCTCCCGGGTTGTACGACTCCCTCGCCAGGCTTGTCCACTCAGATGACGCAAACGCCACTTCATCAAGCCCAGCAACCACGGCCATATCCCCAGACCAAGCAAAACTCTCCGCCGTCGACACCCCAGAGGAAGGCCGTTCCTCCCAGTCACCCTGCGCCTCCGAGCCGAGCGCCTCAACCCTCGACGAAACCGACCGCGCACTCCGCCGCGACGACCCGCTCGACGAACGGGACAGGCTCGACCGGATCGACAGCCCGCCCAGCAAGCTAGCCACGTCAGCCAGGAACGACGAGGACCGGCTCGGGCACCGCTCGCGGAGGAACTCGGCCCTCTCGCAGCGCACGTCCTCACAGGTCGACCACGGATTTCGGAAGATGGCAGGTGACACCACCGCCTCAGCGGCAGCGGGGCCCGCCTCTTCACTGCTAGCCAGCGAAGTGCGCCGCGGCTCCCCCGTGTCCAAGGACCCGCGACTCGGGTTCGACGCCGTGTCCGGCTTTTGGCTCAGAGGCGAGCAGGGCGAGTCGAAGTCGTCTGGCTCCCCGCTGGCGTTTCTCGCCCGTGCCGCCACGTCGGCCTCCGGGCGCCCGCCGCCGCCGCCGCCGCCGCCGGGGCGCGCTTTCAGGAGGATGGCACACTCCTTGGCGATGCCGCGCTGCTGCGGTGGATCTGTTTGGAGCTGGCCGCACCGGGCGGCCCGGAGGAAGGCCAGGCGCTCGCCCATGGTGGTCCTGTTCTTGGGCCGCTTTTGGCGGTAGGACTTGGACAGCATGTCGTTGAGGAGGCATTGTGTGTGGCGTGGTCTATTGCGCGGAGGTTAGTATGGCATGGTGAGGGCAGTCGGGGTTTCTGTGGTGTCTGTCTTCTTACTTGGGCTGGAAGGGGCCCTCGGCCAGGAGACCGAGTATGTTCTTCAGGGACAGCTCGGCCTCGGGCGTGCAGAGGTACAGCCGGAGCAGGCGCCGCTTGCGGGACCGGGTCCAGTCGATGGCCGGCCTGCCGCGCCTCCGGGGCGGTGCCGCCGCGGGGGCGACGCTCGGCTTCTGGACTTTCCCCTCCTTGACTCGGCACATTTGGAATCGGACGGATGGTGCATTCTAGCTGAGCCAGCAGGGCTGACTGAAACAAAATCAAGTCGCGAGCTGAGGCTGACGGAGGGCCACATTATATCGGTCCCGTCGGCCTCGGGCTCGCATCGTGGGAGGGTTGTTTGTTGAGTGAGTCGTTCCCGACTCGGCCTGCATATTCCACGTGTTCGAGCCCAAGCCCTTCCCGCTGATCTGATGCAAGGAAGACGGTTTCGTTCGGAAACAACGTCTGTAAATATCAAGCCCATGCAGACTGTGGCAATCAAAGGAGTCTCATCTATAAAGGGAGTTTGCCGATGCCTTTGGACCCCATGTCATGAAACCACCCTCAAAGCCGTCCACTTCAATGGACCTTCCTCATGCGTCCAAGATTCGAGTAACCGAATGACGGGAATGACTGCAAAAGCTTAACTTGGCTTGGTGCCGGGAAGCCCGAGTTATTCTTAACCCGAAGCCGTTTGCTCTTCTGCGGCAGCCCCTGAAGCCGGGATGGACCACTCAGGAACGCAGGTGGCCCCAGATCGGGCGCCACTGATTGTAAAACATGGAGATCGGCAGTTTTCCTCGTGGGCAAGCCACACAGGCCGATGCAGGCAGAGAGAGGAGGTTCATTCTTTCGATTTGGTCGCACAGAACACATTACGGGGTCCGGCTTGCCCCTTGCATAGCATGGCAGCCTGGTCCAGAGGATACGCGGATGGACCTCATGGAGACAAGGAGAAGCTGCAACAAAGACCCCGAGGAAAGCCGAGAGCGCGCGACATTCCCCTCTCTCCATCTCGAAGTGGCACTAGTGGGGAGCGCCCTGTGAATGACGAATTGCTTGACATGCGGAGCGATGGAGCCCGCCCCGCGCCGATATCGACCCGGGTTAAAGCGCAAGAGATGTTTGGTGGCAGCTGGGCCCCTACTTATTATGTCTTGTTGTCCTACTGTAAAATTGCAGGTGTGGCGCGTTAATAAATATATTTCCTGGCTTTGTCGAACATAGACGCAGAAACCATGGTCTCCAACGGAAATACCGAGAAGAAGGTTGAGGGTGCCGGCCCGAACCAGCTCGCTTCGGCTTTCGGCAGGGAGTTGTCACTGGCCTCCCGTTCTGTCCATGCCGATGACTACACCAACACGCATACGGCCGTGGCGCCGCCGATGCACGTCTCGACAACTTTCCGATACCCGAGGAATCCTGACGAGCTGGTGGCTTGGTCGGAAGTCGACGTGAGTGAGCCTTGCACCTCTTCACGACATGGGGCTAACAGCGCGTAGCCTAATAATTCGGATGACTTTTACATCTACTCCCGTGAGAAGTCGCCCAACACCACTCGGTATGAGGCGATCCTCACCTCGATCTTGGGAGGGCCGGTCGTGTCATATGCCTCGGGGCTAGCGGCTTTCCACGCCATGGTCGTCTTCCTCAACCCGAAGCGCGTTGCCATCGGCGGGGGCTACCACGGCTGCCACGGCATCCTGAAGATCATGAACAAGCTCAACGGTCTCGAACAACTCGAACTCGAGGACGAAAACGACCTGGCCCAACTGCAAAAGGGAGACATCATCCACGTCGAGACGCCCCTGAACCCGACGGGCGAGGCGCGGGACCTGGCCTACTACCGCAAGAAGGCGGACGAACTGGGCTGCTACCTGACAGTCGACGCAACCTTTGCGCCGCCGCCGCTGCAGGAGCCGTTCAAGTACGGTGCCGACATCGTCATGCACAGCGGGACCAAGTATTTCGGCGGCCACAGCGACATGCTGAGCGGGGTGCTAGCCATCCACCCCGACCGGGCAGGCGGCAAAGACGGAAAGCCAGGCTGGCTAACAGAGCTGCGAGAGGAGCGGCTTCATCTCGGCGGCGTCATGGGCAGCTTCGAGGGCTGGCTTGGTACACGCAGCCTGCGGACGCTGGAGCTGCGGGTGAAGCGGCAGAGCGAGACGACGCGGCACCTGGTCGACTGGCTCGCGTCGCAAAAGAAGGCGGGCGGGAACGTGGTGGCGGATCTCGTGTACAAGATCCAGCATTCGTCGCAGCAGCCCGAGGCCTCGGACCCGGATTCTTGGCTGTGCAAACAGATGCCCAACGGCCACGGGCCCGTGTTCTCGCTGTGGCTGCAGTCGGAGGAACAGGCCAAGCGGCTGCCGAGCAAGCTGTTCCTGTTCCACCACGCAACCAGCCTTGGCGGGATCGAGAGTCTGGTCGAGTGGCGGGCCATGAGTGACACGACGGTTGACAGGAGGTTGGTGCGGGTCAGTATTGGTGTTGAGGGCTGGGAAGACCTGAGGGATGATTTGCTACAGGGGTTCCAGGCGCTTCACAAGGAGCTGAACAAGTCAGTCTAAGCCGTGGCTGACCAGGGTAACTATCGGGAACGACGCGTTTCGGAGAAGTGAGCGATGACTTGCATTAGGTACTGTGTTAGCGTAGACAGCATTAGAATCGACTTGCCTAGACAATTGATTCCATCCGCCGGCACCATCGCCCGTCAGAGGGGCCCGGAAATTCTGACTCCGTTTTCCCCGTTATTTGGCGACCACGGACTTGTTTGTCTTCTTCACTGCAGTTAGGCGACGTCCGGTCCGAAGGTCGGGATCTGCATGTATATCCAACATCGAGTACAAGCGCCGCAAAGGGAAGAGATGGAGGAGATCTCGTAGATCGGTAATGTAGTTGCCGACGAGGCAAGCGCGATAGCCGCCGGTCGCGTTAAAGAATGTTCTGGCCACAATTCCGGTTCAAACATTGGCTTCGGGACCGAGCGCGGGTCCGTTTAGGCAGACTTCCCAAAATGGAAGGCATGATGCCGTGTAAGTCAGCCACCAACACCATTGCCCTCTCAGGAAACCGCGCTCGTGATAGCTTTTCTGACCGAGACGCGAGTGAGTCAAGAAATCGGAGTCTAGTGTTTCATAGTATCTCCACAAACCGAGGCTTTCCCGAACGACGTCGTAAAGCCACAAAATCGTCGTAACTTTATCCTCATTATTGCTTCCTATCATTAGTCGTGTCATATGCATTATTCGGTCCATTTCAGAACCACCCCTCCAAGACGCCTATTGCTCCCTCTTGCCTCGTCCCCGCAAAGAGCTACCCCCTTAGGCGGCATACGCAAGTGCCTTCCCGGCAAAACATCATCAAGTATGCCACCGCCACACCCATCACCGGGCCTCCCGAATGATTGCAGCCGTCTGCCCCTCAGATGATTGCGCCCAACCCCCCCAACCCGAACTCTAAATATACCGCCCCCTCAACAAAGAAACAATGCACCCCCTCCCCCCTCCCCCAATGCTCATACCTCCACCCCTTGCGCCTGCATCTGCGTCCCCCCAACCCTCTCAACCGGCATCACCCCCAACTCCGCGCCCAACCCACCGCTCTGATCCCTCTTCCGCCCCCCCAGCGTCGGCAAGAACCGCGACATAGCCGTGCCCGCCCCACTCCCACTCCCACTCCCGCTCCCACCCTCCTCCACCGACACAACACCACTATCCGACCCAAACTTGGCAAAGAACCCCCTCTTCCTCACCTGCTGCACATGCTGATGCCCCGGCCTGGACGTATCCCCCTCCCCACCCTCCCCCAGCCCCACATCCTCGAACCGGCCCTCCTCCTCGCCCGTCTCGCTCTCCTCGGGCGTGGGCGGCTGCTCCCAACGGCGCTGGTACTGGTCGCCCATCGAGGAGCGCGGGTGGTAGTGGTAGCGCGGCGAGAAGGGGCGCAGACTCGAGTCCAGCGATTGGCGCGCGTCGGCGGCGGCGGCGATGACGACGGGGCTCTTGGCGCTGATGTCCTGTACGTGGGTGAGTGGTGGTGATTAGTGTTGTTTGTTTTAAGGGGGGGGGGGGGGGGGGTGAAAAGGGAAGGGGAGAGGTAGGGAGGGGGGGAGGGAGTCCTTACAAAGGAACGCCGGTATGAGTCGAAGGACTCGCGTGAGATGGAAAAGTGCTCGATCTCGCCGTTGCTGGTGCTGCTGCCGCCGACGGCGAGGCTGCCGCTTTTGTTGTCGGTCGAGGTGCGTGCGAGGTAGCGCCGTGGCCAGGAGGCTTCTCGTTCGATTGGGGATGGCTGAGAGGCGGGGTGGTTAGCGCCTGGAGGGGATGATAATGCGCGCGGGTCATGGGGCGGGGGGGCGCAACTTACTGGTAGATAAACGCCACTGTCGTCGACCACTGTGAAGTCCACTGTTAGTCCCATGATGCTCAAACCCGGCAAGCGCCCGAGGGTGGCTTCTCTAGCGGACAGGGGTGTCCGAGTGCCACGGCTGGGATGTTTCCGGCGGGGTCCGGAGCGGTCTCGTGGACATACCACTCATCTTGTACTCGCCCGTGTCCTGGCTCGGCCTGCTGCTGCGGATGCTGAACGCCGACGACGCCTTGGACCCGACCGTGTCTACCCTTTCAAACCCGGGGTGCGCGGCGTCAGCGGAGGTGGTGGGCCCCGAGGCAGAGCCCGGTCGGGAGCTCTCGTCTTGAGCGGTGGCGGGGCCGGGCCGGCGGGCGAACGGGTTGCGAATTGGCATTGTGGTTGTATGTAATCCGAATTGTGAGATAGGGGTGGGTTGATCGATCGAGACAGGAAGTGGATGGTGTCAAAGGACCACCGAGTAGTTAGGGGTGGAAAGCGGTAATATCAATGGCTAGAAGCACCAACGCAGGAATATGAGAAAAGTGAAAAGCGAACTCGGCTTTCAAAGCATGCAGGAATGTCTGTCAATTCAATGAACCGGGCTCCCCAAGCTTGTCAGCAACCCGCAGCAGGAAAGTGGCACCGAAAGGCTCTGGTTGGTCCGGCAGGATCCAGGGCCGGTTGACAGGAACTGCAGGCGGTGCCCAGCGGGCTCACTAGGTCCATCGCTGCTTGGTTCCCCCCGGCAATTCGGCTCCCGGAATCCCGGGACAGGTAATGGATGAGATGGATGCGACGAACCCCCCAGGACCATGGTTGACCCCACTACCTTCGAAGGCATTGCGTTTACACAATGCCATGAGCAGCTATTCAACAATCAACCCCCCGATTGAAAATCTCATTGAGAGCCGTCCTTGCGCTCGCCGTTGGCACCGCGTGACCATGAAGCCGAGCTAACAGCGAGGCGCCATCTGTTCGCCCCCTCAGTGCGCCCCAAGTGCAGGCAGTGCCACGTTCTGATGCAACGACGCCCAACTCTGCCTCTCACATGGAGATTGGTTCACCTTGGCATCCATATCGGTGAGTTGAGTCTCAAAGTCGATCAGGGCATTCGCCACGCCGATCAAGATCGAGTTGCGGGCCCACTCAATCTGTGTGATCTTCGGGGGCAGGTGAACCGGAGGCTATGTTACCTCGAGGATGGGCTCGATGGGGTACGGGCCCGCAAGTGAGCGGCCCGAAAGTGACGCAAAGTCAACTTCCTGCGAGGCACAGCGTGGGACTAAACCGGTTGTTGAGCCTAGCCGATTGAAAGCCTCGATCCTATTGCAACAGAACACCAATTCCAAGGTGCCCACGTATGTTGAGCAAGAAGATATGGGGCCAGCCGTGATCGTCAACAAGTTGTTCATGTCCCAGCATGTCCCAGCAGAAACCTAATCCGAGTCGCTCTCCTCACTGCTCGAAAACCCATTGAACTCTTCCTCGGACTCGTCCAACACACCAGCCCCACCCTCGCCGTTCTCGTCCTCGCTTGGGTCCTCATCTTGCTCCTCGATCTCGAATGTGCCGCTGACATCCCAACGGTCGCCCTTGGCGCTGGCGCTGACATACTTGACAAAGCGCAGAGTCCCGCTGTCGCGGAGCACGATGGACATTTTATTCCATGCCGCCGCCTGGAAGAAGAGAATGTTGTCGTCGTCGGCGCTGCTCTTGTAAATGGCCGCGTCTTCGTTACCGTCGTCGTCGCCGGCCATGTACACCTCGTGGCCGCCAACCTCTTCTTCTTCGTCTTCATCCATATCCACGTCTTGGTCGACTGCTTTGCCCTTCCCCTTGGTCTTGGCCTTGTCGTCGGCGTTGCCTTTGCCCTTGCCCTTGCCGTTCGCAGCGGCCTTCTTGCCGTTCTTGTTGCTGCTCTCCTCGGGCTCAGACGAGGCTTCCGAGTCAGCATCGTCATCCTCGACGTCGCCCCAACCCTCCGTAGGGGTCAGCCCAATGTTCACCTCCAACCTCGGTTTCCCGTCGTGCCCGGTCGCAAGTGTGTAGTCCTTGCCGTGGCGGAACCGCCGAGCTAGAAGATCGTGGCTTTCTATGCGAGAGCGTGTCGCCATTTGCAGCCAGAGGCGGAATTGCTTAGACGGCAGCAGAACTTCAAGCAGCTCTTTCAGGGGCGAGGGTTCCAGTTTCTTCTGGCCAGGCTGCAGGTAGAGATACCGGTGCTTGTGTGGCGGGCGGGCAACCTTCCAAGCACCCTTCTCGATCTCCTTGCTGTCCTCTGGTGGTGTCTTTGCCTCTTGTGATTCGACATACTTGCGCAGCTTTTCCGAAAACTTGGGATGCAGTACGTCTGGTAACGTGATACTGAACTCCTCCTCGAAGTGGTCCGCGATGCGCTCGACCGTGTCGGGCGCCAGGTAGGTAGGGGCAATGTATTTGAGCAAGAACTCGAGATCTGCCGCGTCCAGGGGGAATTCGTCGTCGTCGTTTTCATCATCTTCGCCCTCGACTTCTACCGGCTTGGCTTGGGGCTGGTCATGTTGATCAGGGTTGCCTTGGAGCTGCATTAGGCCACTCTTTTGGGCGGCCTTTTCCTCAGCTCCCTCGACATATCCGTCCTCCCCAGGTTGGGGGATGTGGAACCACCCGCTAATAGCCATGCGAATGCGCCCGCCATTTTTGTCCAGCTCCTCCTTGGACGCGGCGTGGTACACCTCCTCGACGTCGTGAAATGATTCGCCCGGCTGCACCGCGAAGAAAGAAAGCTGGTTCCATGCTGGCGGAATGACTTTGGCGACGTCAGGCAGCGGCGTCTTGGCCACCTCACCGTCCTTGCCCTTGCGATCCACCACAGGGAAAAGTCGCAGTGCGCCACCCCATTCGGGCTGCCATAGCGTATCCGGGTCGGTCAGGTAGAGGATGTAGCTGACTTTGCGAGAGCCGATGACATCGTCGTGGCACAACAAGTAGCAGCCGGGGGTATAGACGTTGATGGCCATGTCGGTCTTGCGCCCACTTAGGGGTCCGGAGTTGGTGATGTGAGAAACATAGTCGCGAAAGGTTTGCGAGTAGAGAGCGTCGCGCAAGGCAAGGAGCGAGGGCAGTTTCGCCAGCGCTTCGTTATCGAGACCGTCCAGATTCGCAAGATCGCCACTCTGGTGGATCTTGTAGATGTCGGTTTCCTTGGGGGTAAAGTGAACGTTGGTCTTGATCTCGGAGCGGACATTGCGCAGGAGCTTGTCGTCGACCAGACCGTTGATCACGCCGTGTTTATAGGGGCTTGACGACGCATACTGCGAGGTATTCTTGTCTAGAACACCTTTGTCGAAGAGGCCCTTCCGAAATCGAGCTTTGGCGTCTTCGTCGCTGAGAGCTATCGTGGGTAAGCATGCGCCCGGACGATGGACGAGGGGCAGACAGAAATACTGTTCTTGGATCGCTTCTTGGTTGGCTTCTTGCCGTCGGCGGGGCCAGACGCTTTTCTCTTCATGGTGAATGTCGAATTGAGTTGTTCACGGAAAACCCCGAGGATTGTTGCGACTCATGGAACAGAGGAGGAAGGAGCTCTCGAGAAAATGGGCCGATATCGAGATCAAATACTGCGGTGTCCCATGGCAGAAAACCATTGTGGGGCCAAATCTTTTTCTCCCCACGATTCCCCCCACCATTTCCATTACCCCTGTCCTACCTCTCTCTCCCATCAACTCTCCACAGAAACTGACCGCATGATTGCTCTCAATTCGCTGTTCAGACGGCAAGTCGAGCGAAGCGCCATGGTCATTGTCGCATGACGGCTGAAGCGCCTATCCGGCGGTATCTTTTAGCGGCGTCCACTGCTGAGCGAGCGGCAATAGGCGCTGCAAATGCAACTCCTGCGTCTTGCGGCGCGGCTGGCTTATCATTCAGCTTATCATTCATGCCATATGCCCTCCATCGCTCGACCTGGGCGCTACCTGCTAACTGAGATCGAGTTCCCGGGTCTCCAGCTGGGTGGTTCCTGGCTCCTGTTGGCTCTGATCTTGTTAAGCATTGGCGGCGGTTTGGAGATCGCTGAAACATTGGGCGCAGGACCTCACTGATAAAAAACGGGGGGGAGCGGCTGTGTGGAACTGCCGGGCGAGAAAGGCAAGATGCAATCGTCGCATTGCGATACCTAGCCCAACTCTTCTCCCCAGGCTCGAGCCAGGACAATAGGTCGTTCAGGGGTCAAATCTCACCGACGAGGTTTGGTTTAGGTTACTGCCAAAATCTTACGAGTTTGGAGCTCCCGCCCTTTCAATGACAGACTGCCTTAAGTCCGGAGTGCCGCGTGGGTCCTGCCCCGCGCTGGCAACCGGTTTACATATGCCGGGGATAATAGGTAAGGTAAACTTTGTCCCTCTCTTTCATACGTTGATAATTCAAAGACTTGGGGGTTATAAAGATCTTAGCACCACTTTGCCCTTCTTCAATCATCGCTCCTCTCTCTCGTCTTACTTCGCGGTATATCCTACCGAACGCCCTACTGCCAACGCACTACCTAGGTACTTAACGTAACCACACAGCAACACAATGGCTGCCGCTCTGGACGTGAACGAAGTGAGGGGAAGTTTTCCCGGATTAGCTGGAGGGAATGTGTATTTCGACAATGCCGGTGGCTCTCAAACCTTGGGGGCGGTAGCTGAACGGTAGGACGTGTTCTCCGTATTTGCAAGAGGATGATGATGTTGATGCGTGTCTCAGTATCCGAGACTACCTCGTGAACACCAACGTTCAGCTCGGGGCCAGTTACGCCACTTCAAAGGAGGCCACAAAACGCTATTATGAGGGTTATACTGCCGCCGCGGAGTACATTGGTGCCTCGGCCGAGGAAGTAGGTGTGTAGTCCCCCCCCTGAGTGTGTTGCAGAGCGTGGTCTCACAAAGCCCCAGCACTCGGCCCATCCACCACCCAACTATTCTACAACGTTTCATACGCCTTGAACTTCGAAGAAGGCGACGAGATCATCGTCTCCATCATCGACCACGAGGCAAACATCGCACCATGGGTCCTCCTCGCCGAGCGCCAGAAGCTCATCCTCAAGTGGTGGCACCCCAACAACACCACCCCCGACGCCAAAACCAACCCCAAACTCCTCGCCTCCGACCTCCCCGCCCTCCTGACCCCCAAAACCCGCCTCGTAACCTGCACACACGCAAGCAACATCCTCGGCACGATCCACGACATCGGCGCCATCAGCCGCACGGTACACACCCACAGCCCCAACGCCCTCGTGTGCGTCGACGCCGTGGCCTACGCGCCCCACCGGCAGATCGACGTCCGCGCCCTCGGCGCCGACCTCTACGCCTTCTCCTGGTACAAGGTCTACGGCCCGCACCTGGCCATGCTGTACGCCAGCCCGCGCGCGCTCGCCGCGCTGCGCTCCCTGGGCCACTTCTTTAAATCGCACCGCTCCCTCGAGGATAAGCTGGGCCTCGCCGCCGCCGGATACGAGCTCGTGCACGCGCTGCCCGCGGTCGCGGCGTACCTGGATGGGCGCTGGGATGCGATCGCGGCGCATGAGTGTCGGCTGCAGCAGACGCTGCTCGACTGGCTGGATGCGCGCGGGGAGGAGGTGACTGTCTATGGTGAGCGTGGCGCTGGGGGTGGGGGTGGTGGTGATGCTGATGTGCGCGTGCCGACGGTGAGTTTTACGGTGCGCGGGTGGGGATCGAGGGCGCTGGTGGAGCGGGTTGAGGCTGAGAGTAAGGGGGTGGTTGGCTTCCGGTGGGGTGGGTTCTACTCGCAGAGGTTGGTGGGCGAGGTGTTGGGGTTGGGGAAGGAAGGGGTGGTCAGGGTTAGTATGGTGCATTATAACACTGGTGAGTTTCCATTCCTTTTGGTTTGTTTTGGGGAAGGGGTGCTGATGACAGTACAGTGGACGAGGTGAAGACGTTGATTGCGTTGTTGGAGAAGGTGCTGGATGAAAACAGGTGAGCGTGAATACATGTTGAAGTGTGTATAGCTGTACTGACAATACCATAGTCCTCAGACGAAACTGTAAGGGGCTTGGATGCAGGAAGAACTGTAGTATTGGTATTGAACGTATATACTATCGAGACTATATAAGTCGTGTTGCACGCGGATGCCACCTCGACTTTAAACGGCATGCGATGGGATTTCTGCCGGTCATGGTCTCCGGGAAGTATGCGGGTCCGAGTTCGGGAGGTTGAGCTTTACTCTATTTCTCTGCCGGTGGTTGTTAGTTTTCAACGCTCAACATTTGAAACAGCACTACCTATAACACCCAGGATACACAATGGTTTGCCTTGAACATGTATTTAGTCGCACCGCTGCACCAGGTATCTCTATCAACAACCAAATCCCGCACCATTCAACATGCAATATATATATCCCCCATTTATAACTTCCCAGCCCTCTTGTCGACGGCCTCCCGCAGCAGGGCAATGACGCCGGCGGGGTCCTTGGCCCCGAACACGGCGCTCCCCGCAACAATAACATTCGCTCCCGCATCCGCCGCTTGGTCGATGGTGCCCGGCCCCAACCCACCGTCCACCTCGATGTTCAGCTCTGGGTACCGCTCCCGTAGCGCCTGCACCTTGGGCAGCTCCGAGGCCATGAACTTCTGCCCGCCAAACCCGGGCTCGACGGTCATCACTAGCACCATCTGTAACACCACCATCAGCATTCAACCCCCATCAAGTTCAATTCCCAGGGGTAGGCAGCCAAGCTAAGGGGGAGAGGGAGAGGGGGGGGTCTCTTACATCGGGCCTCTCGGCCTGGTCGGGGCTGTCCAGCACCTCGTACAGCACGTCGGCCTTGGTGGCGGGCTTGATGGCGATGCCGGCCAGCATGCCCTGCTCGTGGATGTAGCGGATCAGCTCGCGCGGCGACGTCTTAAGCTCCGAGTGGGCCTCGGGGCTCTCGGCGGCCGTCGAGTTCACCGCGGCCTCGTAGTGGAAGCAGTACAGGTCGCAGCCGGCGGTCTTGAACTCCTTGACCCATTTCTTGGGCTGTGCAACGCAGATGGTGTTAGGTAGAGTGTCTTGGCTAACTGGTTGAGCGGGTGGTTACCTCGGCGATCATCATGTGGCAGTCAAAGGTGCCCTTGCCGTGGCCCTCGGTCGGCTTATCGACGTGAGAGCGGATCTTGGCGACGACGGGCGGGCCGAAGGTGAGGTTTGGGACGAAGTGGCCGTCCCTGAGTATCTAGTTAGTATAGTGACCTAGTTTGTGAATGGGCTCTCCCGCCCGTTGACGTACATGATGTCGACATGGAGCCAGTCGGCGCCCTGCTCAATCGTCCTCGAGCAATCAGCACCGAGGTTGGCAAAGTCTGCCGACAGGATTGACGGGGCGATGATTGCTTTAGGGGCCATTTTTACTACGATGATGAGAAGTTTCCCTAGAAGTGAAGGCTCTATAAGTAGTAGATGCCTAAGCTGTAGATGGGACGAAGTTGAATTTGGAATCCGGTTCCGACTCGGAGCTCACCCAACCTCGATTGGAGCTTGGGACATTTGGCGGGGGCGGGGCATGACGGCAGGGCCCAGGGTCCGATTAGATAGCGCTGCGGGCTGGGGATCCATGTGGGTCTGGTCGGCCCTGACATCACTCAACCCTTCTGAAGGCCTGAAGCAGTTCCCCCAACAAATGGATCGTGAGATTCATTCATCAACTAAACACCAAACAACCTAGAATATCTCCGCTCATCGAGACAGAATCTCATCTCATGCACCTCCCCATCATGCCAGCAGGGTGAACAATAAAAAAATATGGCATCCATCCTGTCGTATGTGCCACTGGTCAACCGACTAGTCACTCCTCGCGATGACCGCCAGACCGTCAACCTCCCACCCGTGGAAGTACATAGTGTCGAGGCGAACCCGGACAAGAGACCACGCACCCTCAAACATCTCCTAAAGGCAAACCATGTCAACCATTCCATCCTCTACCACAACCTCCAGTTCGACAACCACTTGCCCCATATCCTATGCTCAGCCTACCATCTCGGCGCCGAGTCACACCATCTCTACCATATATACGATGAGGAATCCAAGAGTCTAGAGCCATGGAAGGACTCGCCTGCTCCGATGGCCGAGGACGACTGGCGGGACTACTTGGGTGACAAGCGGTACCAGCGAGCCTTCGTGGATTTCTTTGAGGATGTCTTGGCCATGAACCATGCCTACGACTGGAAGGCAGTAATCAAAGAGTACATGTTGAAGGGCGATGAGCCTCTAGTCAACTGTCTCATCGGTGGTCGTATGCTACACCCTACCCGCTCTTACTTACCCCTTTCCTCTCAAAAAAGCCACCCACCCATCCCACTAACATCCCTCACAGTCGGCCACCCCCTCATCCACCTTGGCTACGCCTATGAATTCGATAGCCGCGAAATAGCTATGGAAGCCCTCGGCCTCGCCGCAACGCAGTACAACTTCCTGCACAAATACAGCGATGACCCCTCGTACACCCGCCCACCACCCTTCTCCTCCACCTCCCCCCTTGAACTCATCAACAAGCTCGCCTCGGACACCCGCTTCGACGACCTCTTCAAAGAACCAGGCTACGCCAACATCGAACCCCTCTTCCAACAACACGAATCCCTCATCCTCGAATACTGGAACGCCTGGGACGTATCCTCCTCCACCACCACCACCGACCTAACCACCCTCTTCCGCGAATCCCAGGAAGCCGCCGTAGCCCTGCTAGTCGCCACCGTCCGCCCGGGGACGCACGCCTACAACTTCTTCGTCGTGCACGTGCTGACCACCAGCCACGCCGTGCGCATCCTGCTGCCGCTGCTGCCCGCCAAGTTCCACGTCTCCATAGTCCGCCAGTGGTGGCTGCTCGCCCTGGCCGTCTACATCGCCGTGCTGCGGCCCAAAATCGACCCGGACTACGTGCCTGGGGATCTGAAGGGGAGGAACTGGAAGTATGTCGAGCATAGGGCGCTTACCTCGGAGTGGGCGACGGATGCGCATTTTGTTAAGGGTAAGTTTTGCGATGGGCCTACTATCTCCCCTGGGCGGGCATTTTGGGGCTGGTTATGGCAGTGGTGGGGATTGTATTTGTGTTCTTTTGCTAACTTGTGATAGCCGCTCGGGCAATGAAGGAGGCTGCGAGGACTTGGGGGGATGTGCATGAACGGTATCTTGCTGCGGCGGTTAGGTTTGTGGATGACTTTGAGGGATGGGTACATTGAGGGCTTGAGTGCGTTGAGGGAAATCTGGTGAGGGTATGGCAGATTGGATCGGGCCCTAATCCTGTTTGCTCGTTGCGCTCGACGTCCTTTTGTTGGAACGCCATACGATGTCCTCTACGGTCCCCTGTGGTATGGGGGCTCAGCAGATTGCATAGAACGAATATCGAATGGGTCAGCGGAGATATTTGAACGACACACGCCCTCACACCTCATCAATGAGGTTACTTCAGAGTTCACAGGTGCCGACGTCAACGTCTCGGATGAACTATGGGTCGACCCCTGGTGAAGCTGACCACCCCCGAATGCAACTTTGACGTCTGTGGCGAAAGTCTCGCAGCGTTTTCCTGTTCGGTCGAAACCAGAGCCTTGTCTATTCACCCCGCACAATAATTGTTGTCCAACCGCTCGAAAGCCTCGCCGTGTCCCTCGTACAAGCTTCGGAGATTCAGCCGCAGCGCGCCCAGTCAACACGGTATGGTAGCGAATAACGTGGTCACCGGAATGCTTATGGCGATGATCGTTTGCCCAATCTGGCGGTTTGGGAGGGGTATAAAGGGTTCAAAGAGTTGCAGCAGTCCGACCACCGCGGATGTACGTATGGAAGCAAGGAACTCGTGTTAAGAAATTCAAGATGCTGCCCGTCTTCGCCTTTACGCTGCTCTTAGCACTTGTCCGGGGCACGCTCTGTAACCCAGCCGACGGCTTGGTCGATCTCGGGTATGCAAAGCATGTCCCGACGTACGTCAACACCACCGCCTCGGGCCAGCGCGTCGCCGTTTACAAGAACATCCGCTTCGCCAAAGCCCCGACCGGCGAGCTGCGCTTCCGCGCCCCAGATACAAAGCTTCCCCACGTAGATGGGATTCAAGATGGCAAGGCCCCGTGGCCTGGGCCGTCTTGCATCTCCTCGGCGCCTTCGTCCGTCCCATTTCCTGGCCTTAACGGTACGACCTGGGGCAGTGAAGACTGTTTGTTCCTAGATGTCTACGTGCCCGAGGGTGTACGGCCGGGAGACGATGTGCCTGTGTTGCATAACTTCCACGGCAGCGCGTACGCGTTTGGGAACAAGGAGATCTTCTTCTACCCACTAGGTCTATTCGATCTAGCCCACAAGCAAAACGGGACCAAGTTTATTGCTGTGGCCAACAACTACAGGTCGGTAGTCTCACTCGGATATCACAAGAGAAGAAACTAACGTATTTGTCCGTACAGGATGGGCGTTTCTGGCTTCACCTGGGCTGACGGCGAGGACCTCGACGGCAACGTCGGCATGCTGGACTGCCTCGCCGCCGCCGAGTGGACGTCCCAGTACATCCACAAGTTCGGTGGCGACAAGAAGCGCGTCACCGCCCTCGGGCAAAGCTCCGGCGCTGGTATCCTCTACTACTTGAGCGTCCTCGACGGTGGTCAGGGGCGGCCACTACCCTTCCAGCAAATCTTCATCTCCTCCCCGGACGCAGTGCAACGCCGCAACGTCACGGCCCGCCAGCGGCAGCTCTTCGACTTAGTCCTCGACGCCGCCAACTGCACCAGCCTCGCATGCTTGCGGTCAGCCCCCGAGGCGGCCATGCTGCAAGTCAACGACGCGCTCATCAACCACATGCCCAGCACGGGCGGCGGCGGCACGCTGGGCCCCGTGCTCGGCTTCGGACCCGCACCGGACGGGCACCGCATCCCCGACATACCGGTGGCGCTGCTCCAGCAGGGCCGGACGCACCACAAGTCACTCTCCCGCCTCGTCCTCGGCAACATGGCCGACGAGGGCGAGACGACGTCGTCGGACGAGGGCATGCCGGGCGCCTTCGCCGAGGTGGCGCGCCGCCAGCTGACCACCGCCGACGACGACGCCATCCAGGCGCTGCTGGACCTGTACTACACGCCCGGCTTCGAGCGCGAGCTGGCCTGGGACTGGACGACCGACTCCGTCTTTGCCTGCAACAACTACGCGCTGGCGGCCGCCCTGCCCCAGAAGGCGCTGCGCTACGTCATGACGACGCCGCCGGCCGTCCACGGCCAGGATTTCCTCCGTGAGTTCCCAGCACCCAACCCTCCTCCCCCTCCCCCCAAACACCAGCCCTCCGCATGCGGACGCGACTAACGACTAGCCCGGGGTGCAGACTATTTCTATGTCGACCAGGAGACGACACCGGTCGACGACCCGGCGCTGGCGCTCGAGTTCCAGGCGAAGCTGTTGGCGTTTTCTGCGCGGGGAGGACGTGGACTGGCCGGTGTATGGCGCCGACCAGCGCCTCTTCAACATCACGGACTCGTTCGAGGCGACGACCTTGCCGGATAGGTGTCGGGAGCGCTGCGAGCTGGTGCATCGGCTTGTGCTCGATCCGGCGAATGGTGCGTAAGAGGGGGGGGGGGGTGTTTGTCGGGGTCGGAGTAGGGGGCTGCTTTGGTTCTATTAGCTTGTGTCTTTACTTCGGTCTCCTGTAACTAGTGATGGTAGGAGGAGGGCATACGATCGGGGCTGAAACTGCAGAGTCCTCGTAACCAAGGGCGAAGTCAGTCCAATTTCTCTTCTCGAAAGGCGTTTTGCTTCTTCCAAAAGAATGATCCAGTTGAGCTTCTAGGGAATGTTACACGTTGCTCGAGATACGTATACGAAACTACTAGAGAATTGGCCAATTCTGAACGGTGTATACTCGTATGTGGAATCTGCCAGCAGCTCCGTGGATTCAGGGGCTGCTCGTCTTGCCCACCCGTAAAAGGGGCTACAGATCTCCCGCCCAGTGCACCTCCTCTGCATGAACAGATCCTCCTCGATAGCAACTCCATGCTAAGACGAACAAACACCAGCCAAAGCACAACCCATACCCCCCGAGCAATCTCCGCACAGTAGCTGCCGCGGAGCGCACGTCATACCAACAAGCAATCCGCCGGGCGCAATGCCTCTGGCCATCGAGGTCGGCGACCACCACGATCCTTCGCCCCGACGAGCCAAATTCGATCTCGGCCAGGGGGGGGCGAGCAGATTAGAACACACACCCGGCAACTATGCGGGCAATTCAAGCGGTCCGAGCGGACAGAGAAGCCCGGCCTCCCTACACAGTACAAACATCTCCCATCAACAACTGGCGGTGATTGTGGTGGTGGTGGTGGGATACTCCAGGCAACCTGTACCACAACAACACAGCCCCCTGGGGCAAGGTTCGCAACCCCCCCCACAACAATCCTCAGGCCGCGCCCCCCTGTGATTGATTCTCCCGGTCGTTTATCGCCTAGGATTCTAGCTTTATTCCACTCTCTTTGCGATGGTGTGATGTTATGCTGTTGGCATGTACCAGGCCGGTTATGCAACTATTGTGTATTGGAGTCCTTTCGCTGAGCCAAGCGTGGCTGGATAGTTAGGGGGTTGTTTCTGATTTGGCACTCCTGCAGGACAGCGTGCGAGACGAGGCCGTGACCTGCGCCTACCTGGCTGCCTGTCTAGGTTTCGTGATACCATCAGCTAGAGAGGATGGTTTGGGTTGGTGGATACAGTCCTGAAGTGGTAAAGGGAAGTAGAGCTCATCGTAGAGAGAGTGAAGTCCTACCTGGGGGATGGCTTCTGTGGCGGAGTGTTGGGAGTCTTATCTTGGCCTTTGGCACAGGACATGGAGCCGTGGCCTACCTAGACTGGCCTTGTTGCTGTGGTCGTGTTTGGGGCTCCCCTTTCTCACCAGACCAGACAGTCAGCATCCGCTGATATGTAACGGGGCCCCGGTTTGTGTGCGCCTCCCCGTGAGGGCCCAGGATTCAGGAACAGGTCTTGGGTGAAGCCGTTGACCCTTGTCTCCGGGGAATGGGACTGCTAACTCCGTCGCCTCTGGTCGAAGCCCAACTTGATGAAATTGATTCGGCCTGGGGCCAGAGCACGGTGCTGGTCAGGTGGAGTTCGACGCCGCGAAGTTCCTATCGGGACATCTCGCGAATCTGTAAACGGAAACCAAGATGTGACGGGATACGCTCGCCGGGAAGAGCCAGCCCCTGCCGTACCGCATCCTGCTCCCTACCCGAGGGACACACAGTCTGGCGTAGCCGTGGTTGAGGAAAGTGAAATAACGGAAATAGCGGAAACGAAGCCGTCACCGCCGCGGAGGAGGATCCATCGCGAGCAGGCCAGGCCCTTCCTCGCCAAGTCCATCTCAAACTGAGGGACGCCCAGCTTCCTCTTTCCTCAAGATATTGGTCGAGTGCTGCTAGTAATTCCGAAAATAGGAGGCCAGCATCGACCGATGTTGGCGCCATGCCGGTTTTGTGCCCGCCATGGGAGTTGATGAGAGGATCTATAACAAGACATCGGATGATGGATCAGTCCCAACGTTTCACGATCACAAACGCTCAGCAGGATCACCAAGCTCCAGGACCGCCATACCGTGGAAGGGCCCTTCGCGACAGAACCCCGTTTCTGTAATCTGCATCAGGCAGGAGGGAGGCGATTTCCTGACCTCTCCTGAAGCACAACGCGAAGCCGCAGTCTAAATTAAAGTTTTTTTTTTGACATGCAATTACCCACGCGCGCAGGGGAAATCCAATCGGCGCGCTGTCTCCGTGGGGGAGTGCTGCAGAGGGTCGGGGGTACCCGAATCCTTCGAGTCAAGGGAAGGATTCCGGAAACACATGCAGGGGGCACGGGAGGGGGGGAGGAGCAAGTGAACTCTCGAGACGGACCACAATCGCCACAGGTTGTGATCACACACAGCCACGGACGACGGCACAGCTCCCGGCTTCCGTCGGGCACGAGTCCTGTGTCAGGGAAAGGGGGAGAGAGTGTGGGGAGGGGGCGTTGTTGATTCTCCGGCTGTGTGAGCCCTCTCCTCCATTCCTTTCCTCCCCTACCTGCCCCCTTGGCGGCTCTCGACGGTCTAGCTCGCGAGGGATCAGGGCCGCGTCAACCTCTCTCTTCGGCCTAGTGTACACAATAGTTGGACGGTTTGGTGTAGAGGATCGCGAAGGGAAGTTTGCCCTGCTCAACTGCCATTGTCACACTGGTCTTAACCCAGCTCAAATTGTCGAGTCTCCCCGACCCCGGCGGAACTCAAGTGCAAACGTCATTAGTCGCCGAGGTCGCCGTCCATACATTTATCCTGTTGCATGAGAGCCTCCCGCGAAAGCCGTCTCGCCACGCTTTTACATCAAATCGTCACGACTTTCCTTGGCGTGATCCAGGACAAATATGTAGGTCTATGCACCCCTGAAGGATCCGGAAATGCACACGACTCTCCCGCAAGTTTGGTACCGAACCTGAACAAGACCTGGGGGCATGCTCCTCTTGCGCTGAAGCGAGGAGGAGCGCGGCGTGGGGAATATTCTGGAAAGGGAACCAGCTAGTGTCCTCTGTCTCGTGTACCAAGTGTTCCGTACTGCGCTTGCACTGCGTATGTAATAGGGGGTTGTCTCGCAAAGCGGCAAGGCAAGACGAGGCTGACTACTCGGCTAAAAGGGGCAACTTGGACCGCTGTTAGCGTATGGTTTGCGCGGATATCCGTCCAGACGGGTCGAGTTTGCGCTGGGTTGGGATGGTGGACGGGATACATTGAACTCACGCAACGAACAAGAGTGAGCGAGAATCTGCACAGAACCTGAGAGCATTTGCCGAGAGTTCGACTCGCTGACCCTAGAAGACGAGCGACCTGTGACACAACAGCAATCCGGTCTCGGTTGATGGTTCGCGGTTTCGTCTCGAGGGGCGGTCTCGAGGGGCGGTCTCGAGGGCCGCTTTACCGTGGACGGTCCTTACGCCTCGGATCACACAGACCACCGACAGGATCCGGAGTTTAGCTTGATGATTGATCTCTGTTTCCCTCGAAAGGGATAAAGCATGTCGTTTCGCTATCGCCGTAGCGAGAGACGGCCAAACTGTGACTTGCCGTACCCCAGTTTGTCCAAGATTCAACACGAGCGCGGGCTGACGAGAGCACAGTCAGCGGGGGCGGGGCGCCGGGGGGGACCAAGGCGACCCCTTCTCCGTTCCGTAAGGCTGAGCCCCGGATTCCTGCCCGCATCCGATCTCCCGGTTTTGCATTGCTAGCGGCCGAGGCGAAACACTTGCCGTGGGCGAGTGGGCTGTGTCTTGATTTCGGTCTCCCCATCCAGGGTTCAGAAGCCTCGCGCTGGGCAGGAGTGGGAAAAGCATGTAACATGACACAGGCGAAACTGGTTAAATAAAAGATGGTGGCGTGCTGACCAAACCGCAACGTGACAATGTGGCTTGCGCGGGCAGTTCACTCTCCCTTTTCACAGAGGCTTGTTTAAGTGGTGGCTTTCCCCTCAGTGCTCACACAGCAAAAGTAATTTCAGGGCATGACAGTTTGGGATAGGGTGTAAGTTGCGATCCCGAGCCCTCCGGGCCGGGGAAGGCCACGGCCGCAGCCGGCTTTGGGCCTCAGACTTGGCGACCTCGGATTCAACGGTAGCGATGCAGTAACTGAGAGGATGGTTGAGGGGGTTACGAATACCGCATTGCATATTGCAAACAGAGATCTGGGGGATGGATCATGCCCCCCTTCGTGATATGGCGCGGTTGGGGGGTTCCCGAGGGGTTTCCATTTTCGAATCATTTGTCAATACGAATACATAGTTAGATTTCTATGTTTGCCGTTCTCCATTTGGGTTGTCGCAGGCAGGGGCGTGGCTTGTTAGTTGCATGCCACGGAGGCGGCGAACGCCGCCGGCGCTGGAACAGCTTTAGAAACTGCGTTTGACACGTTGGTTGCGCGCGGCGTGCCGACATCCCGCAGTAGGGGTCTGTCTGTCATCTGGATGTGTCTCGATCGGAGACGGCCTTGGCAATTTCCCGTCCCGTCCCAATGTGAAGGAGAAACATGAGTGGAGGTTGTACGAAAACGATGCATGTGGCTGCCAAGCCCCCGTGAGCTGGAGCGGTTGGTTGGCATCGACGAACCAACTGCTCGTTGAGTCGTTGCAGCATCGAGCTTGTCGGATCATCTGGCAATCGGATTGGGCCGTGAGCTCCGACGAGGGCCCGAAAGCGCACGAATGGGGGATCATCGACAAGACATTGGGGCTCCCGGAGACCTAGAACTTGCCAAACACTCCAAACTCCAGAATGTTGACGGGTTCGTGGGAGTGAGAAGGTGTCATCGCAAGGCCCTTGCTTCTGCTTCTGCTGCTGCTGCTGCTGCTGCTGCTGCTGCCCACCTGCCCTACAGGGCTGTAGGATTGTTGTGAATAAGCTTCTGACGTCGGCAGGGCAGATCAGCGAACGGTCAGGCCAACGAAGCCCGGCTACATATCGAACTGGCTGCACGGTGCTCGCCCGATCCCCAAAGTGCTTGCAGTAGAGACGGACGGGAGGAAGCCCTCGCAGGAGCTGAACAGTCTCACGGTGAAGGGAAATGTGTGTTCGCCTTGCCGATCGAGGAGCGGCTTGGAGCGGTGCAACCCGCCTTGGAGATCGTGTAACTGCAGAGGCTGCAGATGATGGCTCAGTTGATGATATTCAGCCTTGGGTTTCGTCCCATTGGCGAGGCGAAACGAAGATGCCGTCATGCTCTGGCCGTTGTGTGCCACGGATCTTCCAAGAGAACTGCTGCGTTACCGTTGCAGTCGGTGCGGGGTGTTCGCCCCGCACCCACTCCATACCCACATACCCTACTGTGTATGCAAGCACTCTGCAGATGGATGTAACTCGGGCAAGGACTGTTCGTGGGCAGCGCGGAGAGTCGGTGAAGCTAACAGGCGCAGCGGCGGTAGTGAGCAAATAACATCTCACCAGTGTAAAATTATTAGTGTACGTAACTAGTACACGTATCCTCGCCCCCGGGCATCCGAGTCCCGCTTGTCGTCTAATATGAGTGGATGCGCTGGAGTCGCGGAGGAGGGGGAAGTGTCATCATGCTGGACTGGTTGGGCGAGTTGTTGATTCTCAAAGTGGACTTGTGTTTGTCAGTTGATGCACCCTTAATGCGACCGTGCGGCGCCGACAGTGCGGGGAGGGAAAAAAGACAGTTCTGCCACGATTATTCTGTGCCATCGGACCGAAGGACTAGCCGATCATTAGCGTGTCACGCGTGTGCAATGCACGCACTGATCTGACGAGAGAGCTAGTGAGCGCTTGGTTGTGAGAAGAAGACGTCAGCGACTACCAGCGAGTTACCATCCTCGAATTACCACGACGGAGCGCAAGGGGGGAAGGGAGGGGGGAAGAGGGGGGTCGGTTGCGGGTGAATATTCCATGGGCCCCATGACGAACCGGACACGGGTTTTCAATTGCCCAAATGTTGCCGGTGCTGAAAAAGTACATAGTAGTCGGGAGACAGGCGGGGGGAGGCGCCAGCGCAGAAGCAAAGTTAGCAAACCGCACTTGTCAGGTAACGAGTTACCTAACTTGGAACTGAGACACGAAATGCAAAAAAATAGATAATTATCTCGGTGGAAATTTTTGATAGTTCCGCTGGGCTCATTTATTAAAGACCCAGCTGTGGTGTTTTGCGCCAGTTCAAAACCTGCGCGGGGGGAGTTTGCGGCCGAGAACTGGGTGTGGCGTCCGGGCCCGAGATCAGTTCGGCACCGGGGAAGCACCAAATTCGATCTCCGCAAGAGACCCGCCGTTTCCCAGGCGAGCAATCGCAGGTGTGATCGGATCCAATCGGAAGAATTACAGTCCCACGCCATGCCCATCCTGGATGGCCCCAATTGGCCCCCACAGCACGCTTACCTTGGCGGCGGGATTTTCGGAACTCACGATCCCTGCTTGCCGTTTTTGCACCTTCCCAGACAAGTTTGTGGGCGTGAACGATGCGTGGCTCGAGCGTCGAAGTCGTGATGGGCACGATGGGGTCGGGTGTGGTGTGCTCGCAAGCTCCACCGCTGTTCCGAGCAGTCACCTCGCCGATGATCGTTCGTTGGTCTTGGGGAGCATCGTCGAACCTGCTGCCGCTGATACGCGCGCTTGATTCGACGGTCAGCACTGTCAAGACTAGCGCCATGCGTCAATATGCGCGTTTGGCGTCGAGGTGGTGCGTGATCCAGCTGCGAAGGGTCTCAAATCGGGACCGTCGCGACTATCATTGGGCTACTTAGCCGCCGGAATGCAGCCATCTTCTAGTGTATGTAGTGCAAGAGACGCCAGCGTGCGCCCGTCTCTCATCCCCACAGGCGCCATGCAGGAGGCGGCGAAAGGGTGGGTGAGAAGTGACCAAGGTTCAGGGTGAGAGACAAAAAAGAATGTCGGGACGAGGGGGTGAGCGATGGGAGAAGTTCGGAGCAGGTGCGGGGCCGAGCGAGTTGTCCTGTCTAGGACTCTCCTGAATATCGAGCTCCTGTTGTTGAGTGTTCGGCATCAGCGTTCTGTATCATCCAGCACAGCCATCGAATCGACGGCGTAGGGTCAATTTCTGAGACACATTTACCCAACGCCGCGCCGCCATGATCCCAAGTTTTGGGTTCTCACGAGCAATCCCATGCCGCGATGGAGTCCGATTCCTCAGATCTGCTTCCAACATGGGGTGAGGGTCCAGCAATCCAGCGAGATTGCCATCAGGCAGCAGAATAAAAGGCCGCTAAACCCAAAGTGCTGTGGCGCCCCTGACCCCAGCCCTGTCCCAAGGTGGGCTGAGGCTCTCAACTGGGCCGACCCTCACGTTATCCAAGACCATGGTTCAGGCCACACCCTTTCGAGCCAGATTCCATCGACGCCCCCCGGTTTGTGCCCCAGAATCCGGTACGTACCTAGGTACTTTACCCGGCCCAAAAGTGGCTCCAGGCGTGGCCGGCAATCGATGTTCTGGCGAGAAGTTTGTTGATGGGCCTTTTCTTGTGACCCAAAGACGCCCCCCGCGAAGTTGTGGCTTTTCGTCTCTCGTAAGGCGACGAGCTTTCTTTGAAAACGCTAGCGCGGATGTCCTGTATCCGGGAGCACGGTTGGGGGGCCGTGGTGCAACGTCGGGGTCCCATGGCGATGGTCAGTGGCTTGCTGTTCAGCGATGAACGGCGGGGTCCTTGTGCTTGGCCCGCTGCGTATCCCGCCGACCATTGGAAACGGGTCTCGCAAAGATGCACATACCGGGATAGCGCTTTTTCGTGCGAATGATAAGAAACCATCCGTGCGCGTATTACCCAATCAGTTTCTCTTTGCATCGGACTTGCCTTGCTGCCCAGGAGCCCAGCAAGCCTTGACTCTCCATCGAACTTGAACGATTCGGGAGCGTCACATTGGGTTTGAAACATGATTTTGTCAGTTATGCAGTTAGCGGGCCTCGAATTATCTCCATGGTTAAGCACTTAAGCAGGCTCGACGCAGGGAAAGGAGGGCCGGTAGCTCAACCGCACGGAAGTCGGCACGACCTGAGTCGCCCACTGGCACACAGCACACTCGCAACTTCAATGGGAAGTTTCCTCAAACTTGGTCAACTCAACGTTCTCCTTCCCTTCGGCCAGCCGTCCTGACTTGCCCTTGTTAGCATGAGCCCATCTCGATTTCGTCGCATTGGGCTCGCTTTCAAACGAACCTAGATGGCCGTTTCCCACATCCACGAGGGCTGCGGTACGGTACCCACGTGCTCGAGGTGGCCCCCATCATGCACACACATCGAACCCGGTCCCGGGAGGAGCAATAAACGGCGATGACAAGCGCCGGCGCTACGGGAGGCATGTCAGACGGAACTCGTCCGGTCATTGGCAGGTTGGGTTCTTTTTTTCGGGGTGCCCTGTGGGACTCAGCACTGAATAATACATACAATGGCTCCATCAGAATCTCAAATACTTCCATGTTAGGCAGGAGAAACGTTTGTTTTCGCTCTGCCTGTACTGGTGGAAACGACCGTGGGGATCTGCAACCAGCCAGGGGTCCCGGACCGAGCTCCGTCGCCAATACATACATATATGTAACTACACAATACGCCAGAGTCGATTGGCTATGTATATAGGGAGAAGTTATCGTGTGTCGTGCGCGACGGCTTGTTTCGAAGCGGCTTCTCCGACATGACAATGCGTTGGTTCGATTAACCAGGAACGGAGCGCCATGTCGCAGGCGCTTTCACTTAAGGGGGCAATCTCCGAGTCAAGTGATGGTGGTTGCGAAAAAGTGCCGCGCGGGGACAGACTCTGGCACACGCTGTGCCGGACCCTGGCAGACGTCTCGGGCTTCCAGAACAAGCAAAGAAAACGCTGACGACGCAACGACACAACACCAAGGGCCCAGCGTCGCAAGGGCTCGCATCTTGGCACTCGCTCAATTTGGCCATCAAGGTAACCCAGGATCCCGTCACTCAGGTCGTTTTCGTGCGTGTCCGGGGCGTCGTGCTAGGATTCAGTTTGGCGACATCGCTTGGGCTTCTCAATCACACAACGCGCCAAAAGCCCCCCTGAAAAAAGCCTTGCGAAATGTGGTGGCCTAGCTGCGCCTACCTGCCCACCCGGCAAAGAGACCGGGAGAGACGCGCGCGCCTCATTTGTCAGGTCTGGCAATCGCCCAACCGCTGGCAGTTTGGCACCCAACAGGCAAGCTTGCCTTACCGCGTTGGTCTGTGCGTTTCTTCCTCAGGCATTGATTTGCGGGGGTCTCCATGATAAGATAACGACCGAACACGAATGAATATCTGCAGCGAGTGAGGTCCATGGAGTTAAGCGGGCAAGAGTAACCCGACCCGACAACAGGGTTTCGCATCCTTCAACCGCGTCAATCTGGCGGCTTCATCTCTCCACAACCCGTCACCTCGATTGTTTGCCTTCCAGGTCAAGTCCCTCTCCCGCAATTTCTTGTCCATACTCTTTCCCGTTTTTGGTGCAAAACTCACCATTTTTCCGCGCAGCATACGAGACGATGCAATCTCTCCGTAAAGGTTGAGTCGCCAGTAACATCACCTGACTTGCATTTAGACGGACGGTCATCGTAAAGTCACCTCTTGTGTTCACAACCTGACAGTTTCCGAGCATTCTTGTCGATTGCCCGCTCCCCCCCCCCAAACCTGTTGAGTGACCCCGCTGTCGTCTGATCCTGCCCCGTTATTCGATTTGCCCCTCAAGAGCTCGCACTCGTCGGTTTAGTTACCCCTGCTCCAGAAGTCCGTCCTGCAGGTTTTCCGCGCAGTCGGGAGAGGGTACCATCTTGGGGAAGCAGCAAAGAAGCAATGGGGTGAACAAACGCCAGCCGCGCAGGGCGAGCAAACAGCCGCGATGAGTCGGTTGGTGCTGCTGACAGGCCAGTTTTGCGCGTCTATCCGGGAACGTTCATCATGGCTTGCGGCAGACCTTCGGAAGCGTGAGCCGCGCTCTGCGTGGCGTGCAACACGGGGGTGCATGGGTTGTTGAAGTGGCACCCAAAGGCTCCTTACCGCTTCTGCCACTCGCCTGTTCCGGGCGTCCCTGTTCGGCCACGGCACATTTGACTTCACAGTTCCCAAAGCACGTCGAGCGGCGCAGCTGTCCACAGTCCACAGGCGAGCGTGAGAAATGCTGGAGCCTAAGAGCAGCCACGGTCGTTTCGCCCCCGCCGCTCCGCCGGCCTCGCTCATGTTCCTCCTGTTCTGGGAAACATCCAATCAACCAACACGGTGTTGCTTCACGAGAAAAGTAACAACCTGAGAGTCGGGGGAGACGCCCCTGTCGGTACGTAGGACTCATAACGATGTACTTCGTACACACCACTGCTTCTGTTGCGCGACTCGCGCCCGGTGCCTCGATCGATATTCAAGAGCAACAAGCTGCCATCTGCGGAGTAACGCTATTTCTCCATGGCCATTGTTAATTCTCCCCGGTAAGGCCGTTGACCGGGCCCAAACCATTCATGGGGGTGCTCTGTTGGCAAATGGACAGGGAGGGGGCGTGGGATTCCCCCTGGTGGTGGCCATGACACCCCCCTCCCCCCGTTGCAATGCCCAGTCCAACACCCTGGTCGGTACCATCCTTGTCGCGGGCCTTGCTCCTCTGTTGTCCACTTACATGCATGTTCCTTGCCGGCCATTCACACTCTAAATCCCCCCCAGCTAACGGTGCTCTTGCCCTGACCAGGCCCCTCCGGCACCACCACGGCACTGTGGGGATGTTCTGCCCTGCCTCTTCTCAAACTTATAAGCTTAGCACGTCCGGATCTTCTCCACGAACTTTGAGGCTGAGGTGCATTTGACATTCAAGCTACCCCAAAGATAGATCTACGGCGTTGTGAAATCTTGTTACCTAGTCGCCGCCTCAACTCGACCCATTACCTTCCCTTCACTTCATATAAGCCGTCGCGCGCCTTCGTCAACGACATCACCGGCATAACTTACCAGTCAACGTATGTACCTGTTCGTTTAAGTCTTCCCAGTCCGTCATCACACCCACGCAAGACCCCCAAGGAAGAAGAAGATGGACCCGACCTACTCAAGCCGAGGCTTCGACGACACTTACTCACACACGCCCAGGTCGAGAGCCGGTAGTGGAGTATCCACGACAGAAGGGCTGTTACAGAACTTGCATCTCGCCGAGTCGACATCTTTCGAGGCGGGGTCTTATACCACAAGCAGGCCTTCGTCCTCCAGGGGGTTAGCCTCACCCGCATACTTAAGTCCGAGCCTGTCCCACTCGCCGGGCTACCTGCCCACTCCCCTCACTCAACACCAAACGCCCTTCCCGCCTTTGTCATCCGAAGCCGTGGTCTCGGACGCCGAGTGGTTCGAATCGGAGCAATCACGAGCCCAAGGCGCACCGCTCCTCAGGTTACAACCTGCACACGACCAGATCGGGGCGTCAGCATCATCGCCTCCGCTACCCTCCATTGAGACAGAAGCTATGAGGTACGGCTCACGCTCCCCGGCCACCGGACTCTACCCTCCTCCCCCCCACCCCTTTCTCTCGGCGCCTGCTGACCACCGGAACAGTACCGTCGCCGTTTCGTACGACCCGACGTTTACCATGGGCGCACGATCATCATTTACCTGGCCAGGTACGCCACCACTCTCCCTCTTCCCTTGGTACAGGTCCAATGCTTACTAGCGGCAGTGATGGAATCTAACAGCGGGCTCATGCCCCCCCATGACCTCGGCCCCTACGGTTCAGACGCCAGCCTCACCCCGCCAAGTGGATCACGATCAGTCACAGCAAGCCCACCCAGAACGACGCTCACCGCAGAGCAGCGAGAATTAAAACGGCAACGGGACCAAGCACGGCACAACTCCAAGATGCAAGTCCGCGGCCGGAGGACGGACAGCGGTTCTTCAGTCTACTCGCCACCCGTATCCTTATCCGACATGACAACTAGCGCTTCCAGCATGCCCGTGTACACGACCGCGCCATCGCAAATCTCCCTACTCGCCGAGCCGTCAGCACCGCATTACTTGCCCCCGTTTTCGCCACCGCTGCAGGACCAGAGCCAGGCGGCCATGTTCACGAACTCGTACCCTCCGCAATCTTACATGCCCGACTACTCGTACCCGACATCGACGACCCCAAGTCTGCCGTCCCACTATGGGTATGTCTCGGCCCGTTCGGCCCTCGAGGAATCCAAATGCTAACCTCAACTGAGCAGTAGGCCACTCGTGCAAGACCCAAGCCTCGGGATGTACCCAGTGCCCCCCATCATCCCGCCAGGGCCCCAGGACGCAAGCGGGCAAGTCAGAGTGGTGCACAGCCGGCCAAAGCCGCAGTGCTGGGAGCACGGCTGCAACGGGCGACAATTCTCGACCTTCAGCAACCTCCTCAGGCACCAAAGGGAAAAGTCGGGACAGGCGGCGAAGGCGACATGTCCGAACTGCGGAGCCGAATTCACACGGACGACGGCCAGGAACGGGCACCTACTCCACGACAAGTGCAAAAAGAAGGGATCCAGCTAAAGTGGTCGGCTATGGGACTCAACGCTACGATTACGATGATCCAACATCTTTCTTCCTTCGACTCGAGAGGCGACTCCGACGACCCACTCCTGCGACAGCTTTCCTCTCTTCTTCTTTGTCTCGGACAATGTACAAATTTTTGGCATGGGTATCCTTTTTTTTTTTTCCTAAGCCGCAAGGCTGTCTTTCGTTTTTGGGGAAGTTGTATTTACTTTGCTTGGGGCTCTGTTCCTAGACTTGGGGAGGTGGATCAAACATCGGGTTTTACATCATGGAAGGAATGGGAAATACCAGGCACATATTGGGCGAAAATTGCCGTTCGTTTTATTTCCTTCGCTTATACCATAGCGTCACGACCGGGCATCGGGGAACAGGCTGGGATAAAGTCTTGCTATTTGCTAGTATATTATCTATTGACGCCTCAAAGGCGAGACGAGAAGTTTCAACTCACATCGCGATCCTCTTGCTCCAGTGTGCAGTACCTAGTTAGGTACTTACCAAACAAATTAAACTGAATGTGAATTTTGAACGCTCCCCGGTCAGAATTTCCCCAGGTTCCCATTGCAACACCTAAGCTTTGCTCCTTCCAAGCAGGCTCCGAAAGATTCGCATGCGGAAGGAACAAGTTTGCGTCCCCTTCCGCTTCCTCCCATGTCTTAACCCCACACGGATCTCGATTTCCCGGAAGCCATTCCTTCCTTCCTGCTCTGATAACCTCTGGTGGCAAAACACTATCAGTGGGCAGGAAGTACCGAGCTCGAAATCAGATTGCTCTTATTCATTGAGGATCGTGATGTTCATAGCCTCGGTGAACCATCCGAGACTCTGACCTCGGGCTTCATGGTACACCCTGGGACCGACTGTCCTGACTCGCAATGGAAATCCTCCCACATGGCGGCAGATGGCCAATCTCGAGAAAATGGGTCAATCCTACCGGCAAACAGGCCAAGTGACTAATAGACCCAGGACAACACGAGCAAACCGGCCCAATCGTTGACCTCCATCCACCGCCATCTGGGCCTGAGCATGTCAGTCGAACACAGCACTGCAGTCACTGATGGCCATCCACGTCACAGACACCACACACACGGCAGATGCATTGCGTCTGCAAAGTGTCCGAGGTTCAGGTGAATGAAGCCCTGCTTCTCGGGCCACCATTGGAGCATCCGGGCCCATACAGAGCCTGCGTCTAGGACTCTGGCGCTTATGGCGCAGGTCCGGCCAACGAGGGCAGCCTTCACAAATTACACGCATCAACAACTCCCACACACAGTCCCCCACCTTCCGTCAGTGAGCCCAGCGCGCCTTCTGTGGGCTCGGCAGAGACTCCCCGAGGGGCACTGCCCTGGCATCAACGTGAATGAATCGTTGCAAGGCGCTCCTGAGACACGCGCCCTGCTATCACGAGGTATCTACCTCCAATCCTACGCATCGCTCTCGTCCTCGGTGGGTGTGGGGTGACCCTACCGGAAAACTCCGCCACCGAACATAGAGGCTCACTCGGTACCTCTTCTCGTTGTGTGCTTCCACGCCCACGGAGTGAACATCAACACACAGCCTGCCGGCAACCGACCGGAAGCTCACAAATCGCCCGATCTAGCCAGCATGGTACCGCCATCACACCGCGGCGTGAGAGCTACCTAGGTTGTGAAGCCCAAAACATGCAACACCCGCCCATCCCGGAACCGACGACGTCACTCCCGCCCCATGCTCTCCGACGGTCTCGAACCTCCCTCCTCACCGACTAGTTATTTTGAGCGAGGTGGCAGAGTGCAACCAATTCCCGTGGAAGGATACACCTGGACGTCCGTGGCGATCCGGGACCGCGAGGACAGCATAGCCGGGACCCTGTCATGGTCGAATGCGGTTAATCTTTGACAACACGAAAGTTGACAACGCCTTACCAAGTGAGGCTCATGGAGGAGCCGCACGGTTGGGGTATGTCGCATTCACCAATGACGATGGAGAGAATGCTGTTGACTGAAATCCGCCATCCAGTTGCCGGAAGATTAAGTTTCAAACCATGCGCTTCAATTTCGCTGCTTCAAGCTTTCCCAGTGTTGGCCGTGCGGGCGACACAGCCTCGCTGGAAATAGCAAAGTCTTGGCTTGGACCCTGGGAGAGATGGGCCCACATGTTGCTCCCTTCTACAGAAAACCCGCCACCCAACACGATGCCCTGGGCGGGGTTCCACTGTTTAGGTGTAGCACATGTCAACCCAACCCCCTTGGACGCCAGACGGGAACCAGCAACTAGCCGAACCCAAGTTGCTGGGTGCTGGGCCGCGTCGGCGAATTCGACGCGCTCATGGTTCTTCAAAACACGGCGCCGGGGTTTGCAAGCTTTCGGCCGGCTGGAACGTTCAATCACAGCTGATGATGATTAGATCAGCAAATCACGCTATCAGAAAGCACTTCGGCATTCCGCCCAATACGGCCGCCACGGGCAGTGAGGGCATGACCGGATTGTAGTAAAGATGTAAACGTCACAAACAGGCCCCAGTTTCGTCAACTCGAGTGGCATCTGCAAAAAGGAGCCGGCCCGCGAGCAGTCCTCCGGCCTCTTCAAGACGCTCGGGGATCGCCCGGAGAGCATCCCGCCGGGCCGCAGCGGCTTGCCCCCAGTCCTGATTGCCGATGCCGCTTGCCTCGCCCGGCGTTCTCGAACGACAAGTCCACGAAGTACGAAGTACACAATAACGATTGCGTGCAAGTAAGTATAGGGGCAGAATTCGACCTGGACCCGTGTGGAAAACAAAACTCGGGTTGCTACATGCACCCTGTTATATCGCCGCGTTCACGTCACTTGCTCGCGACGGTTTCTTGGCCGAACTCCTCAGTAGAAGGGTAACTCTGAACGGTGAGACAGGTGTTCAGCCGTTTTTCTAAGGCGGACCTTGCGGTTGGCCCATGGACTCGAGCTGGAACCACCCCTCTAGGCGACTCAGTCAATTACAACTCCCACGGGCTCGGATCGATGCACCCATGCAAGGGGTCGATTCTTTTGGTGCACGGCCCAGCAGCAAAATGAACGAGCGTGGGGCCGGTTGATCGCCGACCAAACATGAGCTTCTGATTGGGAAGGGAACGAGGTCTGCACGGTTCTCAGCTTTCTTCGTTAGCGGCCAGGCGCCCGAAATGCAAGACCGCGTGTTCACAAGCGGCGTTGGCGACGGGGAACGTGAGCGAAACCCAACGCTGCTGCAGATGCGGCGTCACGCTGGCCCACAGCTTGGCATCTGTCAAACGATGCTTTTGGGAAGGAATGGCGCGGAGTGTCGGCAACAGACCCCAGTATGACCTGGGGGACGCGTTGTGCGTTGCTGGTGCGATCTGGTCATGTTGTTTCTTTGAGGGTTTGTTCACTCACTGCCGGGTTTTTGACGAAAAAGGGCGGCATTGTAGCGTCGTGGTGTTGCAGGACGGGTGTCTTGATAATTTGGATAGTATGCAAGTTATCCGTCCCCATGCCGGACGTTATCGGCAGGACTTCCGTTTCGGAGCCGGCATGACTTACCGGCCCGGCCTCCTCGGGCGGCACAAAGTGGACGTCATGCACGGTGCAAACACCCCTGGCATGGCCGAACCGACACGGCATGGAGGCCGGGACGGGTGGGGAAAGTCGGCAGCTGTGATAGCAGGCAGCAACAATTGTCCCCGGTCGCGCCTGCGCAGCCACACGCCGTCTGTACCCGAAACGGGACGACAACAGAAGCTCACCGCAACAGCACGAGCGAGACATTCAGATGCACAGCCTCGATTCGCGCGCTCCTCCACTGCGACAACGCGGGGTGAGGCGGCGGCGGGCATGTCATGTCATGGTACGAATACCATGCCCGGTTGACGGAGGGGGGGAAGTGGGGGGTGCACTCTTGAAACACGACACGGCAGAGCGGCCACTCGAAACAAGGGCTCTTGACGAGCGGGAAGGAAGCGAGTCTTCTGGAAGGTCCGTGCCGCAGGCGAGCATCAACCCCTCAATCAAGAGAGAGAGACCGGCCAAGCAATGATTGGTGAGAGACCTCACGGGCTCGCTTGACGGCGGCGTATTGGAAGAAGCTCATCTCATACCGCCATGCATGGGTTGGTTGCTCTCGCTCATGCCGAAACTGTGCCGCAACTTGAACACCACCCATGTGGGTTTCCCTTCTGTGCCTTACGGGACGGTTTCTAGATTTGCGCAAAGCTAGCGAACTATGTCCTGCGGACGTCCTAACAGGGAGGGGAGACGAATCCCAAGCGAGGGTTGTTGTTGGATCATCGGGTTGTCGGGGATCTCTCTGTGTCCGAAAGACCAATCTGGGCGATTCTCAACTGAAACAGACAAGGAAATCCAAGAGACCTTTTTTAAGACATGTGGTTGGCGCGGCAGCTCTCTCTTCCACGCGTCCTCTGGTTGAATCCACCACTGACAGGAAACTCTCGTTAACTGGACCGGGATGACACGGACGCTATCAATCACGTATCCATGATCTTAATGGTCGAATTACCCCACCAGTCAGGAAAGGGTTGGGGGTCAGTCGTTGTGGAGGGGAGGTATTCGCGCATGCTCGCTGTGTCAGTTTCTGGAACTCCCCACGGAAGCGCCGCTGTGCTAGTAACTAACTAGTCTACGAAGAATGTCTCTCACATTCCAAAGAGTGTCGTTCTCGTCAAACACCGAGGATCGGCCGTTTTTAGCGGCATGGCGATCGATTATTCAAAAGCAAGGGTTCGGAAGCCACCGGTTTACTGCATTCGGTAAGGCTGGGGTACCGTCCGCTCGCGACCGTCCGGGGATGTCCGGGGCTTGCCGTTCGCCGGGACCGGGGTGGTTGGAGTGCTCTGGAACTTTAGCGGAAATGAGGCCGGGAATAACAAGACACATATTCAAATATGTACCTCTTAAAAAAGTGAAAGAGAGAACCTTGCGAGATGGTGGACTGTGTAGTGAGCCTGTTCTTGGTTGCGGGGTTTGGGCGGCGCTTCAAAGTTCCGGTCGAGCCATGTGGTGACTGCGTGTCGTTGGGGGCCGGAAATAGGGTTATGGGCGCACCTCACGGGTTGACTAACCGTGGTCGGCTCGTTAACTACCTAACGGTTCATTCAATTCGAATAAGAGGGGTGAGTCAATTATGTAATTAAACAGATACCAGGTATTCTTGCCGAAACGCATGGGTTGCGGAAGGATTTACGCTCATTTCCACGCGCCGCTAGCGCGCGTTACCGCGGCTAGGTGGATGCGTTTGTTCGATTCACAATTTCTTGGCACTTTGCAACCACCACCACTTCAACTCAACAAGCGCGAATCGAATGGGTTTCGAATGCAGGGTGTCACCCACTGACAACCCACTGACAACCCTCCCACGACTGCTTGAAGGGTTTGAGTTGGAGGGCTGGCCGCTCCCATTGGCCGCTTCCACGTGCATCTTCGATCCTGCGGGCGCCTAACCGCGTACCCATTGCAACGGAAGGCACATCTCAGTGGGATGGATGTTACCCGGCCGCAGCTTCCTTCCATCGACCATTGACGCACGCCGCCTTGACAGAGTTGACCTACAGAAGGTGCCATCGAACAACCTCCCCTCCCCCTCCCACCTCCCCTCCCATTCCCCCATTGAGACATCGGAGTTGATGAAATTGCGGACACCCGGAACTCCAAGGGTCCAGTGAATTCAGCTTCGCTTCCAACTCACTGCAACAGCGTGACGACCACGTCACGTCACATCAGAGGATCCGGGAGAAGCGCGTGCCCCTCAGCACTCTACCAGACAAATCGCCAGCCACCCTGGTCCCCCAGTGTTTTTTTCTTTCTTTGCCGACGCGATCCTCCCGCCTTTGGTGTCACGTACCCCTGCCGCTTCTTCCAATTCAAGCTTCGAGACTTCAGTTCCTGGAAAGGAGGGGGTCCTATTCCGCAAGGCCAGGGCCAGGGCCACGCCACAACCGACCAGCCGACCAAACAAACGAATAACACAAACAAGCGAGCCGAAGCGACGGCACACCACCACACCACCACGTGCCCTCTGTATTCGTGGTTACCTGGAGCCGTATTCGGGACACTGATCGGGGCCGCCATCTGGGCCGCCGCTCCAGCCGCCCGCCCTTGACGCTGGGTTTGCATCTTGCAAGATTTGCCGGGTCGGGGCCTGTGCGACCCAGACCACTCAGTGTCCGACAGCCTCACAATCACGGGCCTGGCTGCCAGATCTGCCTGGCTTGATTTGTTGGCCTGCGAAGTGCCGGGTGAGGAAGTGGCTGTTTACAGGCTGTCCCTGGCAGCACTGGGTATCGATCTAGTTGTTCAGCTCAGGCGGTTCGTAACCATCACGGCAGCAGGCGGTAGCCTTGCTTTCCTCAGCACGCGCTTAGCGCAGCTCAAAGAAGCGGCCGTTGGGAATTAGAGACTGAGTAGGGAGTCCTTCGGGGTAACACAACATGCCGGCCGCTGTGGCATCCCAATGGCAGGACCGCCAACGGCGGGTGTTCCAGTCCGTCTTCCAAACCGACGTTGCCCAGCCCACACCTCAGTCGAATCCGAGCACCCTCCTCCCAAGCCCCGAACTGCCATTCGGCGTACCCACAACGTCCTTGCTCGGCCAACAACAGCAAGATGCACTGCAGAGCCATGGACACCCCCCAGCTGACCACCATTCCCTCCGGCGAGGGTCCCCTGAGCCGCCCCTCCAGACGACACCCGCACAGCCACTATTCCCCCCTACGGCAGCAACAAACGATCAGGCAACCTATGATCGTGCTTGGCACGTTGTAACCGCCCACATCGCCCTCCCTTCGTCCGCCACCGCCGACGATTCGTTCGGTATGCCCACCACCACTTCCACCCTTGCCGCCGAGCCGCAGCAGCAGCAGCCATGGCCCAGCAGCAGGAGACGGGGTGGTCGCGGGCGGGACGCTACTGCTCCTGCCTCCTCCTCGTCAGGCCCAGTCTCGGGCCCAGCCCCTGGCGGTGACTTCCACGAGGCGTTTGCCGTCCTCGCCAACGCCCACTCCCTGCTGCCCCACGCCGCCCGCACCGGCGACATCCTAGCTTGGCACGTCCGCCAGGTGCGCGCCCACTTTGCCCACCACGTGACCCCCCTTTTGGCCGGGTGCGTTGATGATGGTGGTGGTGGCGACGGTGGTGATGGTGATGAGTCGGGGGGTGATGGTGATGGCAGTGGGGGGAAGATGAAGGAGGTGGATGACCAGGGCCGTCGTCGCCGGAGAGCGGTGGGGGTGAAGGGGAACGGGAAGGGGAAGGGAGATTACTACGAGAGACACATGGTGATTGTCATGAGCAGTATCCGGACGCTCGAGGGCGCGCTACGACTCTACTTTTATGGCCTCCATCAGCTGCTATCGGGGTTTGCTCGTCTTGCTGATGTTGCCCCTGAGGCGGCGAGGGATGCTGAGCTCCTGAATGCCCGCTTCCGCCGGGATTTGCATGCTCTTGTGGGCGGCTCCGTGCCTGCTGGGCTGATACGCTCCGTAAAAGCGGTCTTGGTGCGCCTTGCGGGCACTATTCTTGGTATCCCTTCTCCCGTTGAGGTTGGAGGAGGGCGGGCAGCGAGGCCGGCGCCGCCGGGGTCGGACGATCTGAAAGTACAGGCCGCGAGGGAGCGGCTGGCCGAGCTGGTTCAGCAGCTGCAGAATGTAGGGCTGGCTGGCGAGCGGTTCCAGGTCTTGTTCGCTGAGGTCATGGACACCATGATGTCCAACTTTGTCATCGGGGCTTATGCCGGCGTGTGGTCGGCACCAGATACCCGCTCATTCTCGGCTACGATGGACTCGGTTTCACGTGGGGCGCCATTGTCTACGGCATCGCCGTGTATCATGTCGTTGAACGACTGGGTGGAGAACCATTTTGCGCGACTGAGCTTCGAGGTGCTGGCTTGCATATCTGGCAACCCTCAAGGGCCACTGCCGGTCTCGCTAGCCGATCTCAAGATGTACCAGTCTCTCGCCCTCGGCCGCCTGGCGGCCCTGCGTATTCAGGAACTATTTGACATCGTCCTCGCATGGCCGGCGTCCCGTCCGGCGCTCGAAGACCTACGGGCGACCATCACCACCGCCGCTCGCCGGAAGCAGCTCACCAATAGCTTCTCGCGTGCGCTGCAGACCCGCCTACTACACCCAGGCTGTAGCACGCTCGAGATCTTGCAGACGTACATCTCTATCATCCGCACGCTGCACGCTCTCGACCCCAGCAAGGTGCTCCTCAGCCGTGTCGAGCCGGGTCTGCGGCTGTATCTCTGCCAGCGAGAGGATGCGGTCCGCGTCGTTGTCGCAGGACTCCTCGCCAGCCCCGATGAGATGCGCGCTGCGAGGAAGGTTAAGGAGGTATGGAGGCAGCAACGCGATGAGGCTAGTCAGGCTACGAGCCGTAGAAGAGACCACAACAACCCTTTCGCCACTCCCGGCATGCCAGGACCCTCCTCACCCGGAACCCCTCAGCCCAGAGCAGCGCACCGTGGCTTCGCCGCCAGAACCGACACTACCCCATCCCACACACCAGTACCAACTACCCCCTCTCGCCCTACTCTTCCCGACAAGCCAGCCGAACGCCCCTCCCTCCCCAAAAAGCTAGTCGAACTCGCCCTTCTTCTCACCAATGACCCCTCCCAAGCACAAACCCGCCGCGGTGCTGCTACCGCCCCTTCCTCAGACGACGCAGACCTCGACTGGGCCGATCCCTCCTGGTTACCTGACCCCATCGACGCGGGTGCGCACTACAAGCGCCCGCGGCGCAGCGAGGACGTCATCGGCACGCTCATCTCGGCCCTGGGCAGCGAGGACGCCTTCATCAAGGAATTTGCCGCCGTGCTCGCCGAGCGGCTGCTGCTGCCGCCGTCGTCGTCGGGCGACAACCCGGCGCAGCAGCGGTTCGAGCAGGAGTTGAGGGTGCTGGAGCTGTTGAAGCGAAGGTTTGGCGAGGCCAGCTTGCAGGCCTGTGACGTGATGATTCGGGATGTGGTGGATTCGAGGAGGGTTGATGCTGGCATCTCGAAGCGGAGGGAGAGGATGGGGAGGGAGAGTGCGGAGGGCATGGAGGGTGCTGAGGCGATGGAGATGGGGACGAGGGATGGCATAGACTATCACGCGAGGATTTTGAGTAGGCTGTTCTGGCCGGGCTTGGAGAGGGAGCATTTCCTGCTCCCTGCCGTCGTGGTCCAGCAGCAGGAACGGTATGAGGCCGGGTATGAGGGGCTCAAGTCGCGGCGGAAGCTGACCTGGCTTAATCAGCTGGGCCAGGCGAGGGTCGAGATTGAGCTGGGTGATCGCACGGTCACGGTGGATTGCAACCCTGTCGAGGCGACTGTCGTCTATGCTTTCCAGGAGGGCGGTGATGATGGTGGTGGCGGCGCGGTGCAGAAGTCGGTCGAGGAGCTGTATGAGCAGCTGCAGATGGACGAGGACCTCATCACGACCGCGCTGCAGTTCTGGGCCGGTAAGGGCGTCCTCCGCCGGGTGCCCGGCGCCGCCAGCAGCAACACCTACGTCGTCGCGGAGACGCTCAGCGGACCCGCCACCGGCGCTGCCGCGCCCGACGACACCGCAACTGACCAGCCCATGGAGGAGGAAGAGGAATCCGCCACGGCGGCAGCAGCGGGGGCGGCGAAGCAGGGCATGTCGGCCAAGGAGCGCGAGCGCCGCGACATGTACTGGCGCTACATCCAGGGCATGCTGACCAACGCCAGCGCCAGCATGCCGCTCGCCCAGATGGCTATGATGATGAAGATGCTGATTGCTGACGGGTTCCCCTGGAGCAATGAGGAGTTGCAGGATTTCTTGGGGGAGAAGGTTGCCGGGGGGGAGATGGAGGTTGTGGGGGGGAAGTACAGGCTTGTTAGGAAGTGAGTCTGGTCTTTCTGGTCTGGAGATGGGGTGATGGTCGATGCTGGGGGTCGGGTGGCTAGGGGGTGGTTAGGGGATGCCGTGTTTGCGGGATGGTGATTGGTGGTGTCAGTAGCATTGGGGGTGAAGCTGGAAGGCAAAAGAACAATTGGCATTCGTGCAGTTTCTACTGTGGTATTCCTCTACGGTTCAATGCAAAGGTGTTCAAGAGTCGGGACGTCAACAACCCCCTTTACATTGACGCCTGCTTTTGAGTTTACATCTATGATTGTAGGTCATTTTGTGGCACAAGAATCTGATGGTACCGGGCTCCCGGTTAAATGTCATTTCCTCTCCCTGGAAAGAAGTCATGATTTGTCTCTCGGACAGAGAGGATCCAATAATTCAGAGATCAGGCCGCGCCGGTTGGATCAATAACCCCCCAGTCTCGGTGGTCGACCAGGAGGCACCCCTCGGGTGCAGGGAATATCAATCTCAAGGACAGCAGGCTCAGAACCTAAACCTCTTCTCTTCTTTATGCTTCAATCAATTCTTCTGACCCATCATGACGGTAACCAGAATAGGGCTTCACCATCAACCCATTTCCAGGCCATGCTGGGTTCATTACCACTTCTCTCGGATCCCAAGTCCTCGGCGGTCTCGTCGACGTCATCTCCATTTGTTTATCACTCTCACGGACCTCTTGTCGTTAAGTCTTCCCTCCGCGATCAGATAATCAGATAACATGATGGCGGGGCGGCCGTTCACTGAGAATGGATTGGCTGGATGCAATGACACAGTTCCAGGCCAACTTGGGTCACAAAGGTTATGGCCATGATCGATCTCGTCATGACTAGGATTAATTGGGGGGGGAAACTCTCACGGAAAACCAGAGAGCCTTCACTGGGTTTAATACTTCCCCGCTGAAGAAGGACCAGAGAAGGGAAACGAGCGTTTAAAGAAAAGGCTTGGTACTAGAAAACCGGTATAGTGATGGGTGTACTGGGTAGTTTCTATCTAACTGGGTCGTGGTAAGGTAGTGGAGCGCGTGAGTCGTAACGGTCGGCCCAGCCGGGTAGACAAGACATGTGACGTTGCCTGTGGGTGCTTGTTCTATTTTTTTTTTGGTCTTTTCCGATACCACGGTGGGACTAGACAGTACACGCACAGCAGTGAATGGGTGACGTCGGGTTGACATAACTGCTTGCGCACTGAGAAGAGAGGGGGTGATATCCGAGGACGGAACTATCTGCTGAATGCTGACCAAGTGTTTCTTGTAATCTCGGACACCGTTTGGGTCAACGTCAGTCGTTGTGATCGCAGTTATTAAGAGGTGACCATCTGGCCTATCGTGAATGTCTGTTTTTTATTCCCTATCCGGCCACTTACTGTGTAAAGTTTTGTCCTCTGTTTATACGGTCAGTCTTTCTAGCCTCTTGTACATAGTTACTTGTAGTTGGAATTCAGCAACCGGGTGACTATGCGTCAGGCTTTGGGCTATGGTTAGGTGATTCAATTAACCCGCGTTTGGCGCCGTGGCGATGGCAGCCCAGAAACCGCAAAACGAGCCGAGGCAATTACAGTCAGAGAGTTTACGGGGCGAAGACTGTCATTGGGTTCCCTGATTAGGCGAAATAGTCCGGGAGAAGCATCAGCAATTCTGGCCACAAGACCAGAGCATCTTACCGGTCGGTTATATGCATTACTCAGGCTTCTCGGTCCCGACCAGATCGGCGATGTTAAGTCCTCAATTGGGAGATGATTTGATCTCCTCTTTCTTTCAACCCCTGTCTGCACTTCGGGCCCGGCTCCGGTCGGTGGTGGTGGGTCGCCGATAGACCCCACTTATTCCCGGCGAATGGGCGCCGAAGACGGCAAGTTGGCCGGATCCGTTGGTCCGTGTCCGCAAGCCTGTTGGATCGAGGTAAACTATGTTATGTGCAGCGCCTGAAACCCAACAAAAAATGTTGGTCTATTATTATCCGACGACGGTACCATTTTTTGGGCGCTTGGAATGAGGCACGCAAAAGGCCCCCGACAGCAAACCGTGGTCCGGTTTGTGACGCGACATGGGGCGCACTTGCGTCATGCCGCTTCTTGCGGGTCAATTTCGTCAAGTTGGTGAATGATGGATGCCGGGAGAAACGGCCGGGCTGCAACCATCCTGGAGTGCGAGATCCCTGGCCCGTTTTCTTGCTGAGCACATCGTCTTATGCAAACCGAGACGCAACCGGAGCGAGACCCTGGGGCGCGCGGCTGTCGGCCCGTTTTTGTTGGCGGGGATGTGCAACTTGCTGCGGGGTGCGGTGAGCAGGAGAGGCGACGGACGGTGGCGAAGACAGCAGGGTGCGCGAGGATGGGGAGGCCAGGCTGCGAGTTCTTCTGGGCCACAAGGGACGCTACGGTGCGATATATAACTTTTCCCGAGACTATTTGCAGGCCCGTGATGGCCGGCAGGCGGTAGTGCGACGTCGGTAACCGTTCAAGGACCGAATAGGACAGCGTGGGCTTTTTTGTTTCGCGCTCGGCAATCATGGTGACCTTGCGCTGGGGTCCGAACCCTGCGAGTCAGCCGCCAGCTGTGGTCCATCATCGGCGTCCGTGATTGCGCCCGGCCAGAGTGTGCCATCCAGCCTGCTGTACTCACCAAAATTTGAGTGGTGAGGGTGGGTTCGTTGTTGGTGAGGGGTTGAGGAACGAGCAGGGACAAGCTCACTTTTAGTAAGACACTTGGCTCCAGCAGGACGATCTGTCTGAAATTGGCCTTGGTTGCAGCGTTGGCTCTACGCGGCGTCGGGCAGGCGGCCGAACTAACTAGCGAGCAGGCGGACAGTAACTTCCCTTTGATTTTTGACCGGTCATGATCAAGTCAGAACGAGGTTGCGCTCTGGTCATTTGGCTCGGCAATGGCACTATGGCCCGAATAATGCCTGTTCGTCTGGCCACCGAGAAATTCCCTTGGTCCAGTTGTTCTAGGCCAGTTAAAAGCAGAGAGAGGGGTCACGTCGGGCGAGCATCAAACAAATCAGCGCAGCACAGCGCACCATCGACGGCTCGGGCATCCGTAGCCATGGTTTGGGGATCTAGTCCTCCCCTACAGCAGCGGAAAGAGACCCGGTTTTGGTTTCCTTTCCGGCCGACTCACTTTACCTCTATTTCTGCCTTGTTCGAGCAGAGCCTCAAATGCACTTTGTAAAACGTTGTTGTCGTCATCACCGAAACCGTTTCGAGAAGAGAGCGCATCGCCGGTTGGGGGAAGGCGATCAGCGCAAGGATGTTGAGTGCTTTGAGCGAATCAGAGTCTTTTTTGACGATGTGTGAGCCAATAGGAGCCAGTCTTTGAACAAGGATCTTCCCATGTTCCGTGTAAGCCATGGCTGACATCGAGGGCAGCTTCAGAGGCTGAAAGGGTTGGGGGCCTTCGTTTTGTCAAAGCAAAGGTGTAAAATGTCGTGATATAACCTCGATGTTACCGGATTAGGCCGGAGTCTAGCGGCGTTTGATCCGATCGTTGGTTTATCAAACGGACTCTGGTAGGCTGAAAGGAAGAAAGTGTTCCCGATCTCGGCAAGGCGGATGGATGGCGAGTATTCGTATTTTGGTCACGTTCGGTTTGGGTTGGGTTGGAAAAGGTTGATCAGCATCGAATAAGACCGACGGCAAGGCCCCGCAGGGTTCGGCGTATTCGTGTGTCCATGAAGACACGTCGGTGTAATCCGCTTGCCGAATTTTGCTGATGACTCGGAGGAGGAGAGGGGAACGGGAAGACCGGGAGAGGAGAGGAGGCGAAGATACGTAACTCTCTCTTTGGTAGTCCGAGTCGAGGTTTGCTAGCGATAAGAGAGACGTCGGGTGGTTGGGGATTTGAATACCTTACTCCATTTCGGGCAGTTCTTTCCAGGTTTCGAGTGCGTTTTTCCTCGGAAAAATTGGTTTGAGCCGTGGCGACCCCAAAGGGAGCTGAGTACCTATGGAACCTGAAGTTGCCTCAGGCTCTCCATCTTAAAGGGCCGCGGGGGTGCTGCAGGCAAGAGCGTGCAACGGGAGGATTTGTGTGAGGAAGCCGCATTTGCCGGGCGCGGTCTTTACACAAGGATTTCGATAGGCGTACTTCCATCGTACATACTTACTGTACTAATTGTCTTACTTTTTATTTCACTCGCCCTCGTTCAAACATCGACAACCTCGGGCGAAGAATCAGCGGAACACCCGGAAGATGCACACAAAACGGCTCAAAAGTCCGACGCCTGCCGGGTTGTGGCGCCATTCCAATTTATTGCTCGATTCCTCAACTTGTCAAGCCCCTTGTCTTTTCAGTGTCAGCAGCCCACATTCGTCGCTTGTGTCCCACGCTGTTCCAGGGAGCCAGGCCGACAACTGGCGCATAACAGGTTACGGAATACCGGCTCCAACAAAACACAGCATGATGACGGCCGGGTTTTGGGTTGATGCGCCGCAGACACGGGGGGGGAACCCGTGGGCGTCGGAAGCAGGCATTCCTTAACTACTCCTAGCCTATATACGGCGCTTGGCCGTCCATTCCAGACGTCGCAGCCACGGAACCGCCGTGCCTGGGGCGCCACCTCACAGCAGCAGCACCCATTACCATTCTCGTCCGGGTTGCTCTCAGACACAAAGGCGCAAAAATGCCTACCCGCTGCATCCCGGCGCCGCTGGAGTCCCCCCTTCCCGACCAACGCACGGCGAGCATCCAATCCGACAGGATGCAGCCTTGACCAAGATTTGCAGGTTGGCAAGTGGCACGTTCCGAACTGCAACCATGTAAGTCGCTGTGAAGCGAAGCCCAAGCAACCTGATGCAGCGGAGCAGGACTGGTCAGAAGACGGTGAGGTGCAAACGCCCAAAGACGTCGGGCAACGGCACTTAATCTGAGGGGCCCCAACATCTGCCCGCCATTTTCGTTTGATTGTGGTCCCGCAACGCAGGGAGACCCAGCTCATGTCGCTTGGGCATGATAATTGATGGCTGAGATGACGGGGAAGCGGAGTGAGCGATCGGGTAAGAATGGATGGTTGGGGTTTTGCTACAATACGGTAATTACCAGCTCTCACCAGGCCTGGGCCCCCCGCCTCCCCCACCATCAATCACATCACGTTGGCGTCGGTCGGCTGAGACGGGAACAGCTGCCAGCGTCTCGAGGGCGTCTGGCAGGGGGGGGGGCCTCGGCGTTGGAGTGCCAGTGAGTGCGCTTTGTTACCTTCCATGGATGACCTTACACAGTACACGCGGACGGTACGGGGCTGTTGCATTCCGTTGCCTCCTGTGGCCGCTTTTGTCCTGACTGGCCTCGGGTCCCAAGCCTGTTTTCGTAAGATACATTCACACATTACAGAAAGCGCCATGTTACATATCCTGGCCAGTGACGCCGTCTTTGAACTCTCACACATCCATCCCATCCCACAAGCCGCAGTGCTGCAACTCGCTCGTTGCATTCCCCACAGACGCCGCAGCCCACGGCCCAACAAAGTAACCCCCGGCAAGCGATGCGAGACCTGCGAGGATCCCTCTAGCTGTATTTATGGAGCGGTCCAAGTATTAACATTAGTGGCTGCACTCTTGGGCTGTTCTGTGGCCCAAAGTGAGCTGGCCCTTCCGGGGAACCTTGGTGACTTGTGACGACTCGGTTGACCTGACTGTGAACGGGGCCTGACTCTGAGGTGCCTCGCTTTGCTCCGCCCTGGCCCCCCCCTCACCCCCATGCTTTTCCGGCTCCTTGATGATACAAAACCGACGCCATCCCCAGCCCGCCGTCTCGCTCCTCCTTCCCCTCCTTTTCGCTCACTGACCCTTCTGCTCTCTCCAACACACCACATCGTTGTCCTCGCCAAGCAACGTCCCCCTGCAGCACGCCCCGCCCCACGACTGGGCCTATCTTATCGGCCGTCATTACCACGGTCCCCACGCCCGTCCGATCGAAGCCCACGGTGGGCGGAAGAACGCCGAGTGAAGCCGGCTGCGAGGGCCACAAGAACGGCCCGGGTTGAATGAAGAGGCAACGATCTTGCTCATTCGGCCTTATTACCAGCGTTATTTGAGCCGGTGGCACGGGCTGCTTCAGCTCTTCTGGCGGCAGATCGGGACACTGTCCACCTCGTCGGCTGAGAGAGCGGATGCAACGGTTGCCACCCTTGCCCCGACGCCAAACCTCGCCCCTCGGCAATACGAGCGATTTCACGCTGTAATCGACCGACCGCCGATTTGAGGGTTTGTCGAGCCAGCCCGCGTCGTTGCGTTTGGGCTGTGAAAGAGAGTACTACTGTCTTTCACCAACAAAAAAACCACCGGCTAGGGAAGGGATTAGCCAGGACATCGACTCTTTCGATCGGGACAATCCACCTTATCCATTCGAGACCACAGGAAGAAGAAGGCACGAGCAAATAAGTTTTGGGGTAACAGGAAAGCGTGGAAGCAGCAGCAGCAGCAGCAACAGCAACAGCCACAGAGAGGCCGCAGCTCTGGCCTCCCTTCGCTGTGTGCATCTTCGGGAACCACTACAGGACGAGAGGAGAGGAGCCGAGGACGGCAGCAGGTCACCACCACCCAGGTTTCTGCAGGGAGCCGCGGTGAATTGCTGCAAGAGGGGCTGAACATCCGTTTGCCGGGAATTTTGGGTGTTGGGTGTTAATCGGTGTATTCACTGCTAGTGATTTCCGAGTGGGTGTGTGCTTGATCGGTGAATCCAACACGAGGAAGAGGGGCTTTTCAGACGACCGAGTGGAAGAAGAAAAGAGATCGGATCCCTTGAGGGAACAATCGGGAAGTTTCCCATCCAGGCAGGCACCATGGCCGCCCTAGACCAGATGGACTTTTTAATGCACCAGCCCGACACGGCAGGCTCGACTCCAGGGTCAAACTTCCACGGGCTGCCGCAGCATCAGGGATGCCCGTACTTCCGAAATCAGCAACAACACCACGGGTCAAGCCTTCCTCCTCCACACTTTGACCCGGGATTCCACCCTATGGCGCATCAGCTGCCGCACTTATCGCAGCTGTCACACACGGGGCACCCCTCCTCTGGTGGCCCGGGCTCTCAGAACCGACCTGGGGCGTTTCCCTCAGCAGTGCCGGGCGGAAACCACGGGCAGCAGCAGCACCAACAGCAGCCGCACCAGCAGCACCAGCAGCAAACCCATCCCCAAACACAACCTCAGTCCCAACCTCCATCTCAACCACAACAGCAACTCCCACCTATTCAGCCACCTACACTCCCGTATCCGCAACCCTATTCACACCCGCATTCCTCACATCACTCCTCCCACTACGATCCAGTGCATGCGGCCAACGCTGCCTGGTTCCAGAATCAAAATCAGGGAAATCCGTGGCTGGTTCATACCTTCCACCCGCCCGGGCATTCGCACTCAAACTCGAACTCGAACTCGAACTCGAACTCGCACCACGCGAACCACCACACACACCACGCCCAACATAGCCACCACACGCCAACCACGCAATTCCCGCATTCTCGCCCGTCAGCCACTGATTCACATTTTGGCAGTCCGGGGAGCGGGCCTAGCGTTGTGCCACCTCTCCATCAGTTTCCTTCCCATTACGAACCCTATCCACCACCCTTCCACTACCCGGGATACCAACGCCCTGCAACCCACCAGCGCTCCTCGATATCCCTCCCCACCCCTCCGCAACTCTCCAACGATCAGGCGAACAGGCAGGACCACGCGGACGAAAACCACCCGAGTCAGCACAGCCAAACCCCAGATTCCCACTCTCCGCCCGTCGCTATGAGTGCCGATCGAGGTGCGCCTCCTCCAGACAGGCGCGGCTTCACCCTGCCGGCTCTGAACCCGAACTCAACTCAGCCATCATCCGGCTCGCAACCAAATCCCCAGGCCGCATCGAGCTCCCGAGAGCCGAGCCCGCCTGACGCGGCCACTCCAGCTGAACTCCCTGCTCTTATCCGTCACCACAATAGCTTGACGTCATCCAACCGCGAGACTCCGGACACCCAAGCTGCCGCCACCCCAACTCCCCAGCTCCCTCTGCCGTCCGACTATCCAACGATGGACTACAACAACCGCGGTGAGGGCCACATGCGGAGCACTCACTCGAGCCTTGCTCCCGGCCGCGGCCAGTCCGCAATACCCCCGAATCCCAGTTTAGCCTCCATTACCGCCCGCCGCCGGCAGGCCATTGCACGCCGAATGCGGCCCACGGATCACGATAGCGACGAGGATCTCGGTTCTTCGGCGGACGAGGAAGAGCAGATGTTGCGCTACATGGACGAGTTCGGTGGCAACCAGGCCCATTTCCGCTCTCTCGTGGCCGAGGACCACATCCGCGCCACCCAACTCCTGCGGGGCCAGTTGTCCAACAAACGAGTGGCATCTAGAAAGGCCCTCTCCTCGCTGCAGAGCGTGAACCTGGATAGCCTTTCCCCGACGGAGCGAAGTAAGCCGCCCTTGCCCCACCCGCGTAAGCTACCTTTAGACGTTTAGTGCTAACCTATCTCCGCAGCATGCGTCATCTGCTACAATGATTTCGGTCAAACCAGTCCAGAAGGCGTCATTGAAGCACCCCTGCGTTTACCGAAGTGCCAGCATGTTTTCGGCGACCACTGCATCAAGAAATGGTTCGAAGAGGCGGATAGCTGCCCCTATTGCCGCGATAAGGTACCTTCGGAGCTTGCGCCTGTCCCCGGCGCCCGGGCGTTTCATAACCTGATTCGCATGCGCAACCATATTCCACAGGGAAACGCGTCTTCGGCGGCGGCAGCAGCAGCAGCGTAAGTGATTTTAGATTTCCCGCTGGTACTTGGACAGACCCAGTTAACACCGCCTAGTGACGAATCGATTTTCCGCATCTTGACACAACACGAGCACCAAGACCCAGCCGTTATGGACGCCGCCATGGACTTCACAAGGGCCCGTGTCCGGGCTCGGCAGGAGGGGGCAGGCTCGGACAACATTGCCCCTCGGCCCTCGCAACGGAGGTCCCCCCCTTCAGAGGCCGAGAACCGGAGGAGAACGCGGGTTCGGCATAGTAGCTTTCATCCATCTCACCCGTCCGGCATGTTCATTGGCGGCCCGCTTAGGACATCGGCGTCTGGATACCAGAGCTCGACTCGTGAACGTGTAATGGCCCCCAGCAATTCACCTTGGCTTGGTTTGCAAACAGAAGACCCGAATTGGTTGCTGACACGGTACATTGGGAGACAGTCGTCGATGCCGGGTGGCCAGCGCATGTTCTACAACCCCGTCGACCCGGGGCATCCATCCAACGCCGCTCCTCAGCCCGACCAGACTATGCCGAGTTTGACCCCGAGTTCCCCCAACATCCCGACAGGCAACGCAGCGCACTTGCATATGCTCTCGGGAAATAACCATGGGTACTACCCAAACATGGCCTTTGGTAACGCCCTGCCGCCCTCGTTCTCGCATCAACTCCCGCCACTCAGCACGCCGAACTTCGAAAATGCGGCGGGCAGCAGCAACGGGGCTCCCAGCACCGGCGGTGCGGAGAGCCAGATGCAGTAGCACGGCAACTGGAGCTTACCGCGAGGGTTTGCGCGGGCGCAAAGGGTGGCGTCGCCATTGCCCAGACCTCGGGATCGGGTGTGGGCCCCGGTAGCGCGATGGGTTCAGCAAGCGCATATGTGGAATCGTGGAGGTGGCAACAACCCGTTACAGCAACACCACCGACCCCCGGCCCCGAGAACCCCTGGCGGGGATTCCTCCACATCGCAAACCCCAGGGATGAGATTGGACAGCAGCGTGGAACAGGAGTAGGACGAACTCTCCGCAGCGCTATCCTCGACTGTGTTCCGAACCCCGAGTCCCTCGCAAGCCTCGAGTATGCCGCAACAACCACCCTCGATATTCTTCCGTCGAACGCAAAGCGGGAACCGGGTGGTGTGGGACGGAGAAAACTTCATACGCCGGCGCGGCAGCCATAACGACACGCCGGAGCCTTCCGAGGACGGGAATACAAAAATACCCGACCCGGAGGGCCCTTTCCATTCATAATAATACACACCACTCTGCTCGTCTGGTCGAGCCGCAACAAGACGGTTGGCCATGGGGCAACAGTTTGGTCACTGCCCTTCCACTGCTTTCTTCGTTTTCTTTCTCTCCTTTTTTCGCTAGTTTTCCTTTTTTATGCCTCTCCGTTCACGACATGAATGCATGGTACCGCATCTCACTATAGAGCGTTTGTTTTCGTTGATTAGGGGGGAACTTTGCCCCTTTTGCGCTTGGGATTTGGTGGGTGGTTTGATTCGGGCGGTTACCCAAGAATGGCATGGATGGGCTACGAAGCGGAGTCGGCGTTTTGACACGGCGTTTTCTTTTTGCGGCCTGGAGGGGTTTATTCGGTTCGGTTCGGACAGACAGGGAGAAGATCGAGTGCTGGGCTTGCTTGGGCCTAGGTGGATGTATCTGGTGGTGGGATTTCTCGATTCGCCTCTCGTTCTTTGCCCGCTCTCACACCTGAGCTGCCTGCGTGGCTCGAAAATGGGGGCGAGTTTCACGCACAGCGAGGGAGGCGCGGACATAGCGGAGAAAAGTAACGGGGGTGGAAATAACACCAGCGATTGTTCTGGGTTGGGAGCGCTTTCGGTATCTTTCGAGACGGGCGGAACTTTTTACGTTTCCTGAACACACCCCACTAAACTTCGATTCGATGGAGGATCGTTCGGTGTGTCATGGTTCTGATATGGCGTGAATGGATGGGTGGATGGGGAGATGGATGGGATCCGGGATGGGGCACACAATGGACGGGGGAGACGGGGAACAGGAACAAGAACACACCGCTCAGCATAACTACATGGATCTATCTGGCTCTTGATTTTCGCTTTGAGTTTCGCAGCGAATGGGCACCGCGCCGTGCCTTTTTATCTAGTTAGGTAGTTTATCATGAGCGGGGAATACATATCAAGTCGCATTGATGGGTGTCTTGTTTGTTTACTGGGTGCTGTGGAGAGGTTAAGTAAATAACTACATATTCAGCATCATTCTCTAGAAGCGTCGAGGGATAACTGGATGGGTTTTGAGGGTACGTCTGGGTAGGAATGTATAGCATCATCACATATATGCGTGCTTGCTTGTCTTGCGATGCCGGCCACTCCTCGTGCGTACTTGGTAGGTCTAATCTAGCGCGATATATGCTCTACCGTGCTCTAGTATGCTCTCTCTCCCACACATGCAATGCCCGCCGCCCTTGCCTCCACCACACCACAGACAACCAAGAGGAAAGGGAGGAACTGAAAACCAAACCATGATAAACAAACATACGGAAATAAACCAAGACTCAAAAAAAAAACAAATCACAGCTTCGATTCCCTCCCCTCCCCACCACCACCACCGCTCCCATCACTCTCACTACCACCTCCATGCCCCCCCTGCCCACCACCCCCACCGTTATGCCCACCACCACCCCCATGACCTCCGCCCCCACCGCTAGCCGATCGCGCGCTCTGCACCAGCTCCCACGCAAACTCGGCCAGCGGCGCCCGCGCGTCGCCGTACCGCCGCGCCTGCTCGCTGCTCGCCTGCCGCCCGGCCTGCCGCGCCGCGATGCCCTGGCAGATGGCGGCCAGGCGGAAGATGTTGAACGCCTGCGCCCACTGCAGCTCGCGGCGCTTGTCCGGGTTCTCCGACCCGCCACCGCCACCGCTGGTGTGGCTGCCATGGTGGTGGTGGTGGTGGTGGCTGCTGCTGTGGAGGCTGAGTTCGAGGGAGGAGGTGGGCGGCGGGTTGCTGGGGGAGGGGGCGGCGGCCACGCTGAAGTAGAGGGTCGTGATCTCGTCCGGGTCGGGCAGGCCGCGCGTGGCGCGCGGGAGGAAGCCCGGGTGGACGTTCACGGAGCGGCGCGGGTCGAGGCGGGCGGTGAAGTAGGGGGTGAGCAGGTTGGAGATGTCGGAGAGGGGGTGGCCGATTGTGGACATCTCCCAGCTGGAAAAGGGGGGGAGGGGTTAGCGATGTGTTAGTTTGGGTTTGGGGGAGGGGGTTGGTTGTGAGGGGGTGGGGCAGGGGATGTATGTAGGAGGGCGTAGACGTACTCGAGAATGCCGATCACGCGGGGCTCTGTCTTGTGGAAGACGAGGTTGTCGATCTTGAAGTCGCCGTGGATGAGGGTGCCGCGGTCGGCGGGCTGCTGGCGCTCGTCGGAGAAGAAGGCCATCAGGTCGGCGAAGTGGGGGAGCGGGCCGACGGTCTCGCGGGTCTCGACATCGCGGACGGCGGCCTGGGCGTCGCACACAGAGCGCCAGGTAGCGATTTGGCGATTGTAGAAGCCCGAGGGCTTGCCGAAAGTCTCGAGGCCGATGGAGCGCGGGTCGATGCGGTGCAGCTTGGCCAAGGTGCGAACGGCGTCGGCCCAAATGGCGCGGCGGTTCTCGGGCAGGACACTGGGGATTACCGGGTCCTCAAATATGCGGCCGTCGAGGAATTCCATAATGTAGAAGGGCGTTCCGATGACAGAGGTGTCCTCGCACAAGCAGTACGCCCTAGGCACGGGTACGTCGGTATTCTCGAGGGCGTGGATGATGCGGTACTCGCGCTCGACCTTGTGTGCCGTCTTGGACAGCAGCCGTCCTGGCGGCTTCTTGCGGAGAACATAGCGGCGGCTGTCGGCGGCGGTCAATTGGTAGGTCGGGTTGGATTGGCCAAAGCCGAACTGTCGCGGTAGTGTTAGTTCAGATGGGTTGATGAGGGGCGAGGAGATTGAAATGCGGGTAGTTTATGGTGGTGTTACCTACCTGCTTGACGTCCAAGGGCACCTCAATCTGGGGAACATTCTTGGAAATCCATCTCTCCAGCGCCCCAGTGTCAATGGGTTGGCGCACACGTCCAGCCATGGTATTGACTAAATATTAATCCAATACCGAGTCGGATTATGTGTTTCGTGGGAATGAAACAGTGAATCCTCCACGATGTTGATGTGGTGATGTTTTGTCGGCCAACCTCCCGCAACAGCAGCAGCAGCAACAACAGCAACAGCAGCAACCCCGGCCTAGGTAGGATAGTTCGGGTCGGAATGAAACTGTCCAGGCCCCAGGATCCCCGCCACCGCTACTTGGTTAGGCGTGTTCCACTCACTGCAACCAATTAAACCGACCGTCCTGGCGCCAAATGACAGCACCAAAACAGCTCTCGCAAAACAACAAGTGCGTGGTTCATGCTTCCCGATCCGAGGCCGAGGTAGGGCGGCCGAGCTGTGCTTGGAGCATACCGAGCCGAGGTTGCATGGATCTGGCCTGAACCGGCCGCGCTGCGGTCGCGTGCCTCACTTTCCCCAGCTTCCGACCCCGCACAGCATAACTCAGGCGAACGCTTTGCATTTGGAGACTCATTTGGTGGCTCGGGAATGCATTTCCATCGATGAACTTTGAAGATGACATAATTCCGTAACTACGAATGATTTTTTGCGTGCCTGGATACTCAGTAAGGAAACAAAAGAATTGGAAAAAGAACGGCAAAAATAAGAATCGAATCTGGGATACCCAGAGAGTTGTTTCCAAAGATTGGGGAATGGAGTATTTTAGGCCAACTCACGGTCACATCCGGTAAAAGGCAGGAAATGAGTTCGGTCTGAGCGGGCCTACTCCAACGGTCGGAGCCAGAACTTGCCCTTATAAAGCCCCTCCCGATTGCGGATTTCCGCGCTTCTCATTGGGCCGTTCTTATCGTTATCGGCTCCATACCAAAGCCGAGGATAGCCATGCTAGCCGTCAGGGTGCACATCAGGAAAACATCACTTGTGTCGTGTGACTATACAACTTGTCGCCTTCGTGGACTAACGGGGGATCATTCCTAGAAGCCAATGCACCGGGAGCGGATTGTAGAGCCAGGTCTTGATATCATCGCATGAAATTACCATCCCGCACGCCCAACCCAACACCCCAAAAACACGACGCCATGCCAACGCCATTTTCCAGAGCGAGCTGTCTAAGCTAAAGCCATCTATGAGGAGTTCCCCCTCTAATCATCCTCGATATCATCATCACTGATCACCAAGCTCTGCATCGGCAGACTTGGCTCCTCCTCCATCTCAGGTTTCCCCCTTGCTGTCTTGCCGCCCAAAATCGCGCCCAGACCCCGTTTCTTCCTCGGCGAGCCCTCGTCCGTAGGCTTATCCGTCGCCCACGACTCGGCCGCACCCGAACCGTTGCCGTTCTCGTCGTCCGCGGCATCATCCTCCTCTTCCTCGCCTGCGCCGAGCGGGCCGATACCCTGGAAGGAGACAATCTTTTCGAGATCCCTAATCTTCATTGTCCCAAAGGAGCACCGCTTGCGGCGGGCGATGTGCGCCATGTACGGCATCCGCTCGAGGAGCAGTTCCTGGCGCGCCGCACTCCCCAGCGATAGCAGCGGCGGTGAGGTTGTGGTGTGAGTCTGTCCATCGGGCTTACTCGTCTGACGCGCCGGAGAGGCCAGCGCTTGGGTGCCAGGGAACCCGTTGGCGCCGCCGCCCTTGCGAAACGCAGACGATCCGTCCTTGACGAACCCCGGCGCCTGGGTCGACGGCGCTCCACCGTCCTCGCCCTTGAGCATCTTGGTCGCCCACAGATCGGCCATGCCTTCCAGTTCTTCCTTGGTCCGCCATAGTTTTAGATATGTCGGGTAAAACATCTTGTATGCATCCCCACCTCGACCGGTAGGGTGCGACTGCCGTTTCACGGGCGACGGCAGCGAGAACAGCAGCCCGCGCACGGCAACCTGGAACGCCATCTCGTCCTGTCGCAGGATGTGGCTGCCCGAGTCCTTGCCCATATATCCACCTCCAAAACCCTTGCCGCCGAAGAAGACATCCCACGATGGGTAGAGCAGATCGCTCTCCGATAGATAGTCAAGGCAGCCATTGATGTAGTCGAGCGACGAGTTGGGGTCGAGTGGGCTGCTCTGCTCGCACGAGAGCGCATAGTTCTCATGGAGCGCCGAGATGAAGGTGTGAGTATCGGTACCGATTTCGTCGATGAGCGTGTCGACCGTAACCTCGGACCGTTTAGGTCGCGCGAGGTGCGACATGTAGTCCGGCAGCGTTTCAGCCGCGGCTTCGGCGGAACCTAGCGGAAAGTCACCTCCTCTTTTGTTGTAGACCACTTTACCCACGGCGTGGAAGATCCCGAGTGTCGCCTCCCGTTGCGAGACTAGCTCGAGGCTGTCCTGCTCACCTTGGGTGAGGGCCGGGACGCCCTTGGCCCCACGTTTCGGTTTGGTGAAGGCGATTTTGGAGCCCCATTCCGCTTCGTCGTCCCCTTTGACGCAGAGAAATTCGAGAGATGAAATTGCGTTTCGAATGTCACCTATCTCCCCGAGGCGTTGGAGGACAAGTGGCCCCGGTGTGCGCCGCCTCCCCGATTTTCGAGCTTCCTTCTGTACCACCAATTCCAAGGCCTTTGTCAGAAAGGTCGCCGCAACCGGGTTGAACTCGATAACACCGGTTCCCGGGTGTTTCAAGATCTCCGGACCAAGTAGCCGATGGGCGGTGAAACTGTCCGCCGAGGCCGATGTCGTCGTGAGTAGCGTCTCCGATATGACCATTACGATGGGCGTAATAGGCTCCGAGCTAGGGCTGAATCCAAACCCGCCCAATGCCGGCGTGTTAGCCGCTAGGAACTGCAAGATGGCGTTCCTGAAACCCGTCAGCCCGCTCGACGAGCGCATAAATGTGTTGGGAAACTCCTCCACAAGTATCAGCCTCCTCTCCGCCCCTTGATTCACCCCATTGCTACTAGCGCTTCGAGGTTGAGGCGGTGGCATTGGAGGCGGCGTGGCGCCATCAGACTCGATATCCAACTGCCCAAACTTCCCCCCTCTTCCCAGAAACTCCTCGAATTGGGCGGCGGCCGACTGGTATCCATGTCCAGCAAGCCCAAACGAATTCGCCGGATTCCTCCACTCCAGCACCTCACACCGCATATCCCTCGCCAATAAACGCAGCGTCGTCGTCTTTCCCGACCCAGCAGCGCCCTTCAGCACCAACAGTCGCTGCCTCATACGCCCGGCGAATACCTCGTCCAGCCACCTCTTCACGTCCTGCACTTTCCGCTTGTGCACCGCCAGTTCGTCGAGGCTGATCGGTGCAAACCGTTCCGACCAAGGGCGTGCGTCGTCGTCGTTGCCCGGCGTCTTCGGTGCACTTAACCGTGGCGGGCGTAGAAACCGCTGCCCTCCAGCACCCTGCGAACCACGCTGTGACGCCCCAATCCCATTACCATTGCCAATTCCATTCCCATTCCTATTCCCAACCCCGTTCCCATCCCCATTCCCCACCCCATTACCAACCCCAGAGGTAGCAGCAGCAGCAGCATTCGCACCCCCCGCGGTCCCAAACCTCTTCTGCGCGGCCCTCGCCCTCCCGACCAGACTCGACGCAGCCGCCGACGCCGACGACACCATCAGCGGCACGTCATCATCGTCATCCTCCTCGACAGCACCACCATTCCCCTCCGAAATCGGATCACTAACAATATCATCCAACCGCCCGCTGCTCAGATGCAGGCTATTACCACTCCCACTCCCACTCCCACCCCCATTCCCAACCCCATTAAATGAACCCGACGACGCCACCGACCCCTGACTCCGCCTCGCCTGCTGCGAAAACAGCGTCAGCAGATCCGCCGACCGGCCCTCCTTCTTTTTCTTATTGGCCCCGCCATCCCCCTCTTCTTCTTCTGCTGCCGCCGCGGCCGCCGCCTTCCGTTTGCGCTGCGCGCCCGCACGTGTGCGTGACTTGAGGGGGCTGGCGCTCGGGCTGCGGGTCGCTGCTAGCCGCGCGGATGGCGACGGTGGTGCTGCTGCTGCGGTGGTGCGCTTACGGAGCGGGCTCGGGGAGGGGGGCGCTGTGGTGGTTGCGAGGTTGAGATTGGGATTGAGGTTGGGTTTCGGTTTGGTGGGGGATGGGGAGTTCTTGTTCGGGGAGGAGAAGAGGAAGCGTTTTAGGGTGTTTCTGTTTTGGTCGTCGTCGGACTCGTCGTCGTCGACGATGGCGCGCTTGCGTCGCTTTGCGGGCGGCGCCATTGCGGGTGTTTTTGGGCCGGACCGGGGTGTTGCATTGGTCGGGTCACATTGGAAGGCGCACGGGTTTGGATGGTGTTGTGTGTGCGTCTCAATGGAATCGATTCGGGGAGGGTGGTGTTATTGTGGTCGAGCCGTCTGTTGTTGATGGCGAGCCAATCGAGCCAATGCATGGTCCAGGCGACCAGGCAGCCAGGAGGGGAGCTGAAAGTGCCTGCAGTTTGACAGTTTCAGCTGCGATAAAACCGGGGTCCAAGGGACTCTTGGCATAAAATGGTCCAACCCTAACCCCGGTATTGATTATCCTCCCGATGACTTACACGTCCCTTCATGTTACATTAGGAGATTGGTTAGAATCGAGGGAGAGAGGTGAGGGAGGGGTGAGGCTATTATTATAAAGGCTTGAATAGAGCATAATCACACCCATTACAATCCAAAATCTCATAATCCATACGCCAACAAATCTGTCACTTAACCCCCTACCCCTTTCAAAGACAACAATGATTTGGTTAGCACGAATATACAATTCAATCGCTACCTGTGTATTCAACCCCATGGTTTATACCGTATAGGACCCAATCAGTCTCGATAACCCCTAAACCTACAGCGCTTCTCAAGACCCAGCCCAGCAAGAACGTCAAGACCCCTCACAACTTCCCCGACATCACCCTGAAGATATCAACCTCATCACAAGGAAAACCAACCCTCCTCAACTCAAAGTTAACCCTCTCACTCCCCGGCTCAACAAACCCATCATCTTCGTCCCCACTCCCGTAACCATCCCCTCCTTCCTCCTCCTCCTCCTCATTCTCCTCATCCTCCTCATCCTCATCCTCCTCGCCACTAGCCTCCTCGTACCCCTCATGGACCCCTACCTCCACCTCCTGTTCATAAGCCGCCTCCCAACCATCATCCACGCCCAACACCACCCCGCTCTCACTATCGCTCTTAGCAAGCTCTTCCGGCCGCAGCGAACCTCCCCCATATTCATCATCCTCCTCCTCCGAATCAGAACTCTCCAGCGAGTCCGCCACCGACGCCCACACGTCACTCGTCCACTCAGTCGCTTCATCCGCGCTGCTTCCCGGAATCGACGAGGGAGGGCCCTCCAAGATCTCGAAACAGCTCGCGTCCACGGCCACGTAGCGCAGCGGGATCTCCGGGCGGAGCGAGACGACGTCGACGATCTGGGTGGCGAGTTCCAACTCGGAGAGGCGGCCGATGTTGGTCGCTGGGTAGGCTCTCACTTTGTGGATGTGGAGGGCGCGTAGCTGGGGGATGTGGGGGAGGCGGCGGAGGAAGATGTGCTGTTTGATTTGCCCGCTGGCGTTAGTTTGGCTTTGTTTTATGGTTACAGGGTGGGGGAGGGGGCATGGTCCTGGGGGAAAACGCGGGGTGAGGCTTACCCAGTCCCGGTACTTCAGCGTGACGGACAGTTCGCGCAGATTCTTCATGCGGCCGCTGGTGAGATACAGTGCCATGTTGGTAGGAAGAGCCCAATCAATGCGATGGGCTTGGAGAAACAGCTTGCGCAGGCTCGCATGGTGTGGCTTGATGGCCCCCCCGAAAATCTTATCCAGGGATAACACAAGGTTGTTGACATTTCCCGGCCTATACCGTAGAAATAGGCCTTCGAGCGAGTTTGGCGCGAGGGTCCTTTCGATGAAATTGATCAGGGACGGGGTTGCGGTGTCGGTGTGGATGACCTTGAGCGCGAGGTGATACTGCCGCCCGACATCGACAAATGGCTTTGGACCAGACGAGAAGCCGAATGTTGTGCCCACTTGAGTCGGCCGGAAGTGCTTCCGCAATATCTTCCACAGGTTGTCGAGCCTGCCGCAGCTGAGCAGGGTGAGGCTCGTCAACACCGACCAGTCGAAGGCATATCTGCAGACGTGAACGGATAGAGGGACTCGCTCCAGTTCTAACTTTTGAACCTTCAGTTTTCCCTTCAAAAGGTTGTACTCTGGGATGTCATAGACTTTCCCTACCAATACCCCAAGGACGCCTCCTAGTCGCCTAACTCGAATGGTACTTTCACCCGGCCACCGTACCCAGTGGTCGATTTGTTCAAGACCAGGTCCGTCCTAGGGATACACAAAGGCCATATTGAGCGCTTTGCTTGAAATTCCAACGCTGAGTTCTTGAAGTGTGTCCTTGGAGCGCCCGATGAGCACCGCCATCTCGTCTAGATAGCCAATCTCATCAATGTCCAAAACGGCCAGGCTCTTGAGGGGCGGAAGCACACTGAATGTGGGATACCCGCAGCCGTATTCAGAGTACCGAACCGGCGCTGGGGGAGGCGGGTGGTAGTGGTTGGGGGGCAGCATAAGGCCAACGAGTGTGAGGCGGGTTCCATTTGGAACGACCGTCATGCTGTCTGCACCAGCGTAGGGGTCCGGAAACCTACGGCCATAGTTTCGTTTGGCGTTATCGTGCCAGCGGACCTTTACGCGGCTCAGCTTGCACTCCTTCCCGGGTTGGTGAGCCAACGAGGCCAGGGCTTCGAAGACACTGGTAAGGACGCCCGTAGGCATGTCCCAGCAGAAGCTCTCAAGGTTTTCCATGTTGCGAATGGCGCTAGCGACCAGAGTACCGAGCATCTGGCCACCGTTGACGTACACCAGGTATTCCCTGAGCAACTGCTCCCGAGCGTTCTTTATGTTGAACGTTTTTATGTACTGGCCGTAGTTGCGGTTTGGGAACCGGGGCAACTGGCGGTTGTTCCGGCGGTGGCTCTCGCTCACAGAACGGACGAAGCTGCTCCCCATACAGATTGTCGACAAGCCGCATATGAGACTATAGATGCCCCTGCGCCCGGGAACGGCGGACATGCTTTCGAGCCACGCAATGTCGAAATGCGAGTAGATGTATGGAACGACGAAGTTGTAGAGGGCCGAGTTGGTCAAAACAAGGGCCGTCAAATCGTTCAATTTCATGTTCTAAACCCGACAGCATCGATTAGTATCTGGGGGGTGCCAAAGTAGAGTATTTCACATGCCTTGATAATCAGTTCTAGAATGTCAACGGGGAGATCCAAGAGAGTCAGAGGGCGTTTGCGGTGACACGTCGCCCACAATTGCTGGGTGGCAACCGGATTTGTCTCCTCCTGGGCCGAATCCGCAACAGTAGCCGGCGAATCCATCATGGGGACCATCTCTCGCTCAGCTCACACAAGAGTGACACGGGGAAAGGGCCTAACGAGCGGGACAGGAGGCGCTGCTAAGAAATAGAGCTTGGAAGAGTGGTATACGCTGTGAGTTGCGCATAATCGGGCGGTAATGGGTTGCAATACTAAGATAACTAATGTGGGTGACGTCAAAGCCTAGGGGTGTTTGTACTTTGGGGATGGTGCTATCGCCCGGCGGCATGTGTTTGCTAACTCTGTGAAGGCTATGGAGCGGGAGCTCGAGGAAACAGCACTGGAAGCATGTCGAGGGTGGCCTGGGGTTTCACCCGCAACTTTGAAGGGGTTAACCGGAAATAGAAAGATAAATACAATTTGAGCAGTGGCACTTATTAGTTTCCCTGCTTTGGTGATACTGTAAAGAGGCCGCGACTTCCCTTGAAACTGCCCGAGAACTGTTGTTGCCGTTCTCGGGGCTTGATGGGGGCAAGCAGGCGACCATTCCACTGCAAAACAACACAACCAAATTAAACACCTGAAGAGTTGGGCCCGGATGTCTAATAAAGGGTGAACGTTAGTTTTAATTTACTTCTTCAACTAGGACTCGTTTTTCCAACACCAGGTGCTCAGAGTTTGAGAACGAGACCAATATTCCGTACCGAACTCCCTCCGAGTGGGGGGTATCGTCACACGATCAAACGACAACCAACCCCAAGAGCCGTTGCCCAAAGTATTCTGTCTAAACTAATTCTTTCCTAAATAGGTAGGACCACCTGCACCTAGTGTAGGGCCGTCTTTTAGCATGCAGACCCCGCCTTCATGACCCGGCCGGCCGGCCCCACGCTTTCTTTTTCCCACTGCATCCTAGATCATTCCTATCTTGGTTCTCCCATCTTGGGTTCCTCCGCAAAACGGTGGGGGATCACCGGGTTTTGGTTTCAGGAAACCACGGTTTATGATGTGAAAAACAAGGCCAACTGTTTGGCCGAGATATCAACCCACCGTCGCGATCTGATGGAGCGGAAGACCTCGCCGTGCTTTGCCTCGGTGTTCGCCCACGAGTTCGTTTCGTCGACAAACAACCCCACCATTTCCCGGATGTCTGCTCCTCCCCGCCGTTGCATCGGTCCTCCTGCCGGGCAGCAAACGACAACAAGTGGGAGGCCGAAGTCCCTGCGCGCATATAGCGCCTAGAGGCTATTTCGTCGTCTTTCATATAATCCTTGCTCGGCGTTGTGGTCTTCCCTGCCCTTTTCTACCCCGCTCAAACAGTCCCTGAGAATTTCGTGGTTCATTTTCGTGTGTTTCTGCACAGCTTCATCCCCCTGTTGGATCCCCAGTAACTCACGACCCTGAGGCTTGGCACGGCTGAGCTCCCGTTTTGCTGCCGGCCTTGTCGCGTCGTCATCTCTGCCCAACCGCATGCCCCCCAACCACCACTACTTGACAGTTGACACGCTGTTGTTTGGGCGCAAACGGACAAACCACGTTGCCCAAAGCTAGGGGTGAGTCTTGCTCCCGGTGGCCCTCCACAATCTTTTTTGCAAAGGTGTCATGCATGTCATTGCCAGGTTTTCGGGCTGCCTGCTTCCTGATCGGCTGCTTAAAATGGCCGCGTTCCCGCCCCCCCCGTGATCCAACGCTGACCCCGACACCGTCACCTGCAGCCAACTTGGAACGCTAAACGCGACATTTTGTACCGCATAGTTCCCAGGCTTCGCACACAGTCACAACAGTCGCAGCAGTTGCAACAAGGTCGCAATACAAACCAGCCATTATTTCCTCCTCCGCCGTGCCACATACCATCCTCTCAAGTTCAAAACAACGCTTGCGCAAACGACCCAACTCGATATCCCGACCGACTTAGTACCCCGGAGCTACCATGGCATCCTTTGTCGAGGGACTATGGCAGTCCATCTTCACGCCGGGCCCGACGCCCACGCTGCTCGTAGCGACAAACGTCACCTTCGCGGCCCTGCAGGTCGTGCTCGCCGGCATGCTCTACGCAACCTACAGCATCCACTTCGTCATCCTCTCGGTGCTGTGCGGCGGTCTCTGGGCCTCCATCAACTGGTTCGCAAACGAGCTCAAGGCGCACCAGCAAGAGGAGGAGGAGAAGAAGCGGCGCACCCAAGCGGCCCGCTCACCACCACCGCGCGCGGCGCCGTCGCCGGACGACAGCGAGACGGAAGTCGAGGCCGCGACCTCCACGGCTAGCCTCCGTAGGGTTCCAACGATAGCGGCGGCGGCGGCGGCGCCTGCTGCGGAGGCCGCGGCGGTCAGTACCGAGGTGGAGCCGGCCGAGACGCACGGGGAGCTGAAGCACAGGGTTGCGGAGGAGCTGCCGAGCCCGAGCCAGGGGCTGAAGAGTGGTGTCAGCACCGAGGACGAGTGGGAGAAGGTTTCGGAGAACGAGAAGGATAAATAGATAAACTGGTTGGATGTGGCTGGTGGGGGTTCTATGCTGGCTGTCGTGTGGATAGGAGGCCGTAGGACACGGGCAGTTTTGGCCGGGCTCTGTCCTGTTCTAGAGATGTAAATACAGCACGTCGAAACCACAGAGGAAGCTCCAGAGCTCAAATACAATCAACCAACAGCAAGCTTGGGCGCGGTGGTTCAACCTATACCGTGAAACCCTTACCAAGTTCCAGTGATAAGTCGTTGGGTTCCTGTACTCACTTTTGGCAGCTATGCAAGTCTGCGATCACAACCCCTCCCAAATCAAGAGTGCATAGGTGGCGGGGTTCGGCAGTCCCGTCCAGACTCGACCATTTTGAATGAACGCTTAAGTGGGTGCACGTGATCTGAAATTTCAGGCTTGGCATCCAACTCTCGCTGGAGCTCCAGCCTTGAACTGCGACACCGTTCCGGGCTGCGATACCGACGGTTACGAATAAACATCAACAAGACCGATCCCGACAAAACCCACAACCACGGATTCACATTTGGAGCAGGCTATCTGTCTCCCTGAAATCCGTCAAGATGAAGCTAGTCAGGTAAGCCATCATCCCACACTATATTATTATCTTCTGCCCAGTATCCCCGAGACCCAGCACGCGCCTCAACACGCCGTGACGAACTCCGGAAGAAAGGCCCAACAACAGCCGATCACGAGCTCTCCCCATTCCAAACCCCCACCGATTCAAGCCACCACCCCTCCCAAAAAAAGAGCCCAACTAACCACCCCCCCACCACATAGGTTCCTCATGAAATGCGCCAACGAGACGGTGACCATCGAGCTCAAGAACGGCACCATCGTGCACGGCACCATCGCGTCGGTGTCGCCGCAGATGAACACGGCCCTGCGCAACGTCAAGATGACGCCCCGCGGCCAGGACGCCATCCCGCTCGAGACCCTCAACGTCCGCGGCAGCACCATCCGCTACTTCATCCTGCCCGACTCCCTCCCGCTCGACACCCTGCTCATCGACGACGCCCCCAAGCCCAAGAACAAGGCCCGCAAGGAGGCCGACCGCGGTACCGCGCGCGGTGGGCGTGGTGGTGGGCGCGGCCGTGGGATGGGGAGGGGGAGGGGGCGCGGCCGCGGGAGGGGGTTCTAAGCTGGTTTCGCTAGGGCTTGAGGTCGGAGGGAAAACTCAAGAGGTTGTGTGGCGCCTGATGGTGGCATGGGTGTCCGCTTTATCTATCGAGGTGATTAGGTGCCGGGCCGGCATTTGGATGGCAAGACGGAGTCGAGGAACTACCAGTGGGCGGAAAATATATCTACACTCCGATCGGGGATGGGTGTCCTGCCGTACGCCTGGCTCGGAAGGGTGGGGAGGCTAGTTGGGCAGCACCGATCCGGTTTGGTTGAGGCGGAGCTGTCTGTCTTGCTGGCCGCCGCGGGTTTAGGGGCGGCTCTTAAATCGTATGGCGTTCTAGGACGGACTGAAAAATGCCATGGGGTTCTTGCTTGGTCTGGCATCTCGCGGACGTGTATGTAGCAAGCTGTGGGCTGTCTTACTCAACGAGAGGAGGAACAGCAAATAATACCCATCAAACACCACCACATCTCCTGGTGACCCTTTTATCTACTCCCGCCATATCCTCACAATCTGCAGCTTCTCCCACCCCGCCTGCTTCCCGCTCGTCCCAACAGTCTCCGCCTTCCACGCCCCGCCCTCCAACCCCCTAATCCGCTCCTTAACCTCCTCGGGCTTATTCTGCGCGCACAGCAGCAGATACGCAACCCCCCGGCCCGACAGCACCCCCGGCAGCGCCTCGATCAGCCGGTCCGTGATCTCCATGCCGTCCCGACCGCCGGCGTACGACAGCGCCAGCAGCCGCGAATCCTCCTCGTATGCCGCCTGCCCTCCTCCGTCGCCTCCCCCTTGATACATCGACGGCAGCTCCGGCGTCGGCACATACGGCGGGTTGAACACCAACACATCCACGCTGCCCGCCCGCACCGCCCCGGCGAGATCCCCCTGCGCCGTGCCCAGGTGGTAGCCCGCTCCAGTCCCGTTCCCAGTCCCGTTCCCAGTCCCGTTCCCACTCCCACTCCCACTCCCACTCCCACTCCCACTCCCACTCCCACTCCCACTCCCACTCCCACTCCCACTCCCATCCCCAACCCCACCCTCCCCCGCCGCTCCCACTCCCACTCCTACTACCGGCGACGACAGCGGCAGCGCATCGTCCCGCACAGCACGCACGACCGTCTCGCGCGCGGCGGCGCACGCAAAGCGGTTGACGTCGATGCCTAGCGTGAGGACGTCGCGGCGCGCGAAGAGGGCGTGGGCGTGGGCGGTGACGAAGGCCAGCACGACGCCGGAGCCGGGACCGATTTCGAGGATTAGCGGGGTTGGTGAGCTTGTCGGGGGTGGGTTTAAGGGGGGGGTGGTGGTAGGGGGGGAAGAGGTTGAAGGGGGGATGGTGGCGGGAAAGCGGGTGGCGAGAAAGGCGGTTTCGGAGGCGGAGGAGAGCGTGTCGAGGAGGAGGAAGGAGTCCTCGGCTGGCTCGTAGACGCGGGCGTAGGGAACGTGGGAGGTGGAGGGGGTGGGCAGCATTTTGGCGTTGTATTTTGATTGGGATTGTTTTTCGTTCGTTGGCCGTCTGTCCTGATCAGGGGCTAGCTAGTGCGGCTTAGGCTTGGTGGTGATGGCTTCACTTTGACGGATTTGGTTGATGGAGGGGGGCTATTGTGAGTGAGGGATTCTTACAGACGCAGAAAATCGAGTGAGTGGGGCCACGTGATGAAAGCGGATGATGGAAGATGAAGTCTCCTTTTATACTTACACCTACAATTTTACAGACCTAGAAAATCCAAGATGATATGAATGAAGGCCATTGAGCCGGTTTGTATGGGAGAGGAGCCTGAGATAAGTATTAACCAGTTCGCAAAGCTCCCCATCCGCATCTCTAAGCACGAACTCAGATTACCACCCCTTATACACCTCATCCCACAAGTTTGGAACCACAAATTGTAATTAAACTTCCCAGATACAATCATAGCGATGATATATCCTTCTCCGACCCATCCCTTACCCGGTGAGCACCAAGCCGAAGATTCTCCCCCCAACTCATCGGTCACCGTATCCCCCTATCCCCCAAACCTTCCCTCTACCCTTCTCCCCTCCACCCATATCCCCTCCATCCCTTTCCCCTTTTCTTCCATACGCCTCCCTACCCACCCTTTCCAACCCCGTCACATAACACAACAAGCAACATCACACCCCGGATCCGCCGCGTCCGGCCCCAGCCCCCAGCGAAACCCATACCGCACCTTCGTAACCACCCGGACCACATTCCGGTCGTAGACATTCCCCAGGTCACTACAACCCTCCCCATACACCCACCAACCGTCAGCCCCGTCTGTTTACACCAACCCCCCCATCACCAAACAACAACTCAAAGGGTAGTGCAGTCAGTGGTGGAAGAGGAACGTACCACTTGGGACACGGCTCCCCCTGCGCAACCAACCTCGGGGGGAGCGGCCGCGCCTTGCCGTCGGTAAACTTCGGGCAGGCGTCGAAGCCCATGCCGGGGTAGCAGGGCTGGGTGACGGTGGCCCAGCGGTGGCCACAGTGGAAGTCGCGGTAGTGGGTGATGAGGCACATTTTGGGTTTGGTTTTGTCTGGTGGTTCTTAAGTGGTGGTGCCTTGTATTGGTTGGGTTGAGGTCTTCTCTGGTGGGAATTGAGCTGGATTTGGTTAATGGAAATGGTGTGAGGCAGTGTTAAGTTGTCTCCGCGGGAAGGCACGAGCTGGGAATGTAAAAAGTGCTCGAGTTGGAGGAACACTGTCTGTTGAGTCTGTTGAATTGTGGTATTTGGGGACAACGAGTCAAGTACCCTTATCACCATGATCCGAACTCATCACTGTGGTCACCCGGGGGGCATCTGAAAGCCAAAAAACCACCTTCTTTATTCCTCGTATCACTAGGCTCAAAAAACACACGACCGCCGCCGCTGCGAAACGCCTCGCAATGCACCCCCACCTTCTATCCCCCCCATCACTCACCCACTCACTCACTTACACTCACTCACTCCTCCTCCGCCTCCCGATTCAACTCCGCCAGCGACAACGACCTCCTCCTCCCCATCTCCCTTACCCCCACCGGGCCCCCAGCAGCAACCCCATCCCCCACCCCCTCCCCATCCCCCTCCCCATCATCAGTCTCCGTCTCCACCGCCTCCTCACTCGGACTCGCACTCCCCACCCCACTCGACGACGCCACCATCCCCCCAACCAACCTCTCCAACAACCCCTCAATCCTCTCCACCCCCTCCTCCAACGCCTCCAGCCGCGACGTGATATCACTGACCTCATCACTCTCGCTCAACACCCCCTGCAGCTCGGCACGCAGACCCGGGAACGGCGCAATACTGTCCCTGCGCCCAACCAGCCGCGGCCCGCCCTGCCCCGGTGGCGGCACCGCCTCCACCGCCCGTCCCCGTCCACCAAGTCCCGCCGGCTTGAGCAGCATGTCCGGCGATGGCTGCGGCGTGGCATGGTGGCTATCACCCCCACTACCACCACCACCACCCGCACCCGCACCAGCACCGGCAGACCGGGCGGAAGCGAACTGGCGGCGGATGAGGTGGCGGGTCATGTCGTCGTCGGCAGCAATATCGGCGAGGACGTGGTCGGGCAGGGGCACGTCGAAGACGGTGGAGATGTCGCCGTGGGCGGTGATGCGCCAACGGTCCCAGAAGCGGCGGCGGATCTTGAGGGCCGGGTAGCCGCCGCGGGCGATGGTCGGGGCGGGGGATAAGGTGGGGAGGAGGTTGCTAGGGGTTGGCGTGAGGGAGCGGCGCTCGGCGAGGGCGATGAGCAGCAGGATGGGCAGGTTGATGAGGCGGACGGAGAGGACGTGGATCTTGTGGAACCAGCGCGGGGAGACGCAGAATTTGAGGGGGACGAGGAAGAGGATGGCGAGGATGTTGAAGGGCGGCGGGTAGGCGAAGATGGCGTCGCCTTTGACGCCCTCGAGGGTCATGACGGCGCGGCGGAACTGGATCTCGGCGGGGGCGTTGTTGACGATGTGGCCGAAGGTGGTGGAGAGCATGGAGACCAGGATGGTGAGGAAGAGCGTGTTGCCGAGGAAGGCAAAGGTCACCATGAGGGCGGGGCCTAGGATTTGGTGGAAGTCGGTCTGCGCGTGTTAGTTGATAGGAAGTTGAGTGTATATTTTATTACACAGACTTACCGAGCGTTGAATACCGGATCCATCCAGGCCGAACCAGATGTAGATCATCCACTTGCTGATGGTCCTGTTGTATATTAGCAAAGCAAACATCACATCGAATGCGTGGAGTACCTACCCAGCGCCAAAATGTCCATTCCCCAGCCAGACCAGCGATAGCAGAAAGCCGAGGAAGCACCAGATGGCCAGAGCCGACAGCAGGGCAAAGTCGGACATCATAGACCTGAGCGACAGGAACACCAGGTTGTCCGAGAGCAGATTAAACGCCAGGCGGGGAATCAGCACCGGGGCACCCATGGCCAGCACGTCGAGGGCCTGCTGCCCGGCTTCAGCCGTCCCCGTCCCCCAGCCGTAGACGCGGATGACCAGGTAGATCCAGTAGATGACGGCGAAGGTGACGTCGAGAAAGGACCAGAGGTTCTGGGCGTAGACATCCCTGAATTGCACGTTAGCCAGCATATTAATTGTCATTCAAGTTGGGCAGACACCTACCATCCGTGGCCCAAGAGCGTCGCAAACTGGTCCAGCACCCATCCGAGGGCGTAAAAGGTAAAACACATCTCGAGGGTGGTGATGCGCGTGCCGTCCCGCTCGCTCATGAAGGCGAGGTACAGCGCCAGCAGCACCACAAAGTGCATCATCTCGAGGAGATTCCTCGTCCGCGGCACCACCAGGCGGTAGTGGTTGAGCAGCGGCGCCTCTCGGGGGTTGTACAGCGAGATGGGCCGCTGCTTGTACCGGTCGGGTATGATGTCCATGTAGGTTGAGGGGGTGTAAATCACCCGCCCCTCGTAGATGGCGTCGACACTGTCATATCCCTCCGCATCAGCACCCACACGATTTGCCTTTATCCCACCGGCAGTGGAAGGCAAAAAAAGGAACTCACATCTTCTGGCAACTGGTACTCGCCAAGAACACGCGACTCTCACTCAAGATGGCCACCTCCAGCGCGGGCAGGGTCCGGTGGCGGGCGTTCGAGGCACCAGCGCCCGCCTCGGCACGAACCGACTCGGGGGCGTTCTGAAACGGCTCAAACCCAGCAATCAAGATATGGGCTAGAACGAGCAGGTTGCGGGGCCCCTCGTTGTCCTCGTTGAAGCGGCGCAGGATGCGGGTGGCGATGAGCTCGCACAGCATGGCGCGGGTGAAGTTGACGTTCTGGCGGTTGGACAGGTGGGCCTGCTCGCTCAGGAAGCGGGCGCGGTTGACCAGCAGCGCGTACACGATGGAGATGTCGTCCTGCTCGTACAGCTTGTCGACCAGCGGGCGGATCACCGACACGTTGAGCCGCACGTCGCGCAGCTGGTCCAGCGACAGGTAGTCCTCCACCACCGAGATGATGTCGCGCCGGATCCGGTGGATCGTCGTGTACACGGGGAGGCCGCGCACGTGCGGCGAGTTGCCGCCGGGGCTGGTGCCATCGTTGCCGTTGTTGCCGCCGCCGCCGCCGCCGCCGGGGGTGGTGCCGTAGCTCTGGCAGGAGAAGACGTCGCCGTCGAGGTTGTGCGAGAAGGCGGCACGCTGTGGGAGGAGGGGCCGCCGTTCCGAGGGCTCTTGGATGCGGATGGCTTGGTGGCGGAAGCCGGTGGTGGCTGTTGGCGTGGTTGATGTTGATGTTGATGTTACACCACCGCGGCCGGAGCCGGTAACAGGTGCGGGCGCGGGTGGGTGTGCGGGTGTGGTTGCAGATGCGGAAGTAGGAGTACTGATGTTATTAGTACTTCTGCTGGGGACGGAAACGGGCCCTTGGTTGGCCGGTCCGTCACCCATGTCCTTTCCTCCGCGGTTGGATATGTCGATGGTTTTTGTGATGCGGGCAATTGACGGTGGCCTTCTTGACTGTGATGAACCCCCCCCTAAGGTGTTTGTATGCGCGCGCGATGCGATGCGAGTCTTTGTGTTGCTCAATTCAGGTTGTGGCGTGACTGACTACGGGAGTTTGATGATGGGAATATCATCAATCTTCTACCTTGTAAATAGAATTTACTTCTTCACTCCTTCGAATGGTTAGTTAGCGTCATGATATCATCTTGTGTTTCGGGTTGAAGCACTGGGATAGGCTGTCATTGATGTTGGAGATCCCTGCGACACACGAGATAACATGAGACGGGAGCGTGGGGAGCAAGGAGCTAAAAGGGAGCTCGCTGCGCCCCACTCCTCCCGCAAAGAACAACGCCTTCCTTAATAGCCCAAGATTCCTTTCAGAGTTCTCGGTGAGAATGGCATGTGAAGGAAGCTACGTTTATTACCTATTTAGGTTGGTGTTATTTGTGACTGCCGTCGTTAACATGCGAATACAAAACCCACGTGTTGACTTCGGTAAGCCAGATATGGTTATCACGGGCTCGAGAGAGGGAGGCCTCCATTTGATATCATGGCTCCAAACCTGACGCCACAGGTACCTCGGTCGGCGAGTGGAGTGTGCATGAGGGAGGGGTAGGTTGAAAGCGGGTTGCTTGGGGATTAGGTATTCATCTAGCTTCTGCTTCGAACTTGCGCCAGGGCCTCTCCATGCAGCAGCAGCCCAGAGTCCTGCATACGAGTTCATGCCTTTTCCATACTTCCACTTTCCTCACATCCTGCAATTTGGTTCGTTGGCTGGCTGCTGACCAGGGCCATGGTCTCGCCACACAAACCAGAGTAAGTAAAACCAGGAAGCTGGAGCATAGACAAGTTAAAGCGAGACTAAGGGGTTATATTGGCACAGAGATGTGTATAGACACTGGTACAAAGGGAATCTCGCGTCTCAACTCTATCCGAGTAGCCGTCTATTGAGTCTTGGAGGAGACGATCCCTGCATCATTACGTTAGCCATACTACCCCCTCGCACGTAATTCGGGAAACCTACTCTCAACATCCGCCACGCTCTGCTGCAGAATTTGCTGCAGCACCTTGGGGCTCTCCAACTCCTTCTGCACCTTGGCGATGATGCTCTGGGCGAGCTCCTTCTGCTGGCGCTGCTTGACCTGGCTCTCGTAACGCACCCACGAGTCCAGCACGTTCTTGGCCTCGGCAGCCAGCGCCGTGCGCTGCTCGAGCTCGTAGGCCTCGGCCTCCAACTTGGCGGTTTCCTAGCAAGACAGTCAGCGGCGAGGGGGCGGAAAGCCGGATCCCTACAAAACAAAAGGTGGCTCACCTTGGACACCTGGAACAGGGTCTTGGTCACGTCAATGACGCCCGACATCTGCTGGACGTCCTCGATGCGCGTCTTGACGGCCTGGGTGTGGTCGGCGCGGGCGGCGTTGAGGATGTTCTTGATCTTCTCGTTCTGGCCCTCGGCCCACTCGCGGTACATGGGGCCTCCGAACTTGATGAGGGCGGTCCAGACGCTGAGCAGGCAGACGGCGACGACGGTCTCCTCGTTCATGACGTAGTACTCGTTGCTGAGCGCGTAGATGGAGGCACCGGCGGCCGACGACAGAATGGCCGTCTTGGAGAGCAGGCTGTTGCCGGGCATGGCGTCGAGGATCGACTGGGCCTTGGTCTTGGGGTCGGTCGTCGGCACATTCGAGGTATGGCGAGCCGTGACGAGGGACGAGACGGCGGGGAGAGCGCGCGGAGCCACGCTCGGTCGCAGGCGGGCGGCCCCTTCACAACGTAGCAGCAGTCAGCTTCCGGTATGGAACACTCAATTGGGCGCGCGCGGTTGGGCGATGTACTCACCGACAGCACTTCTCGCCAAGCGGGACGCCATTGTGAAAAGGGTGGGATATCGATTGCGGGACGGCTTGACGTCGTTGTCGGAGCTTGCTGCTGCTGCCAAGTGCGAATTGAGGTTTTAACGGAATGCCTTGACCCGGCTCTTTGCCGTCGAAGGGTCACGTGGCACGGCAGCTGATCTGGCGAGAGCAGTGAGCTCCAGTGCGGGTGCTGCTCCAGAACTCGGCGCTTGGCATCCATCAATTTTCACCCGAATTGGATCTCCATACCCCCACTTAATTTTTGCTGGACTCGAGTTGCGAAACGGAATCCAGACACGGAAAAGTGAAGATCGAAGGACGACACAACGCAATCGCGAACGGAAATAAATCTCGATTCAAGTCAACATGCCGGCTGCTGTTGAGGGTACCGCAGCCAAAACTGCGGGCAAGCGGAAGCGCCAGGAGAATGGGGATTCGACCAAAAAGAGGAGGAAATCTGGCGACGGCGACGGCGACGACCTCCAAACCACGATCGAGAAGCTCGAAACCGAAATACAAGAGTCAAAGAAGCATTACAACAACATTGCGACCCTTATTGAACTCGCGCAGAAAGGCAGCCAAGACTCGAAAGCTGCCCTGAGTGCCTCTGAGGCATTGTGTCGCATCTTCATCCGGCTTCTGGCCGCGGGCAACCTCGTTAAGCGGAAGGATGTGTCGGAAAAAGATGCCACCGTAACTGGTTGGCTGCGGGATCGCCTGGCCGACTATAGGGGCGCCCTTTTGGCCATGTTCCGGAGCAAGAAGCTGGCATCAAACGCCCTGATGCTGGCCATGGCGCTTTTGAAAGCGGAAGCCCAACATCTCGGCGACCGGATGGAACCAGTGTTTCCCCGGTATTTCTTCTCGGATATTGTCGCCAGCCTCCTCGAATCTCCTGTTGAGCAGCTGCTGGAGGAATTCTCGGAGAAGTTCGTTGATGAATACCACGATATCCGCTTCTACACCTTCGAGGCCATCAAGTATGTTACCTTGCCTTTACCGGGTTTTAACACCAGGCTGACAAGGAACAGGACGTACCTCACAGAGAGAGAGCACGGCGTCGACGAAGATCTCCGGAACACCGTGTTCGAAATGCTGATCAGCATGGAGGATGTGCCCGAGTCGAACGACGATTTGGAGGAGTTCTACATTGAGCCGCCCCAAAAGAAGAAGCACCCGTTGCGCTCTTTGTCGCAACACAAGAAACAGGCTCAAGAGGCATGGTTGGCGCTCATGCACCTTGGCCTGAGCAAAGAGCAAAGGAAGAAGGTCCTAGAAGCCATGGCCACGTCAATCGCCCCGTGGTTCACTCAACCCGAGCTGCTCATGGATTTCCTGACCGATTGCTACAACTCTGGCGGCTCCATCTCACTCCTCGCTCTGTCAGGTGTCTTTTACCTGATACAGGAGCGCAATCTCGACTACCCGGAGTTCTTCACCAAGCTCTACTCGTTACTCGACGCCGATATCCTCCACTCCAAGCACCGCTCGCGCTTCTTACGCTTGCTTGACACCTTCCTCGGGTCCTCCCATCTACCCGCAGTGATGGTGGCCAGTTTCATCAAGCGGTTAGCTCGTCTCGCGCTAAATGCGCCACCGAGTGCTATTGTGATTATCGTGCCATGGTTCTATAACCTCTTCAAGAAGCACCCTCTCACTACCTTCATGATGCACCGTGTACCTCGGAGCAAGGAAGAGAAGGATCTGCTGGAGACTGAAGGCTTGGATGACCCCTTTCTACCGGAGGAGAAAGACCCGATGGAGACACGCGCCATCGACAGCTGTCTGTGGGAGATCGTCCAGTTGCAATCTCACTACCACCCCAACGTTGCTACAATCGCCAAAATCATATCGGAGCAATTCACCAAGCAGGCGTATAGTCTCGAAGACTTCTTGGACCACTCTTATGGCAGTGTAAGTGTTTCGCAACTGGGAAGCGGATGGCATAAGCTAACAGACGGCGGCATAGCTCCTCGAGGCTGAAATAAGCAAGGAAGTCAAGAAGCCACCGGTCGTCGAGTACATGATCCCAAAGAGAATCTTCACCAAAGCTGATGAGGCTGCAGCGGAGCCGGACAGCTTGCTCGTCGGCCTGTGGGATTTTGGCTCGTCATAGGACTTTTTCCATCTTCTCTATCAGGTCTCGTCGGATGAAGCCAAGGAGTCTCCTCATGCTTCTCTCCGGCACCTCGTAATTTCATGCAACCCTCGAAGGCACATCGTTGAGCACGTGCTGCCGTTGCACAACATGTCTCGAGGAACCGGGCATGCACCCGGACATCCAGTGCATGTCCGTTTGAGATCAGAGGGTTGAGAACAGTGTTCCGGCCCGCCGACACGAACCCGGCGGCCCCTTCCGACGGTACACGCTGCCCGTTGCCGCATTGAAACATGGATGGCGCGGCCCCTAGGCACGGCAAGCTTTGAAGTTACTCATGGCTGTCACAAGTGGGGGGTATCGTGCTCCTCGGGTGAAGCACCCGGTGACACAGATGAGCTTCCGCACCTCTACCGGGTGACCGCTCACGCCTCACTTTTTATGGAAGGCAGATTCGGTGGAACGGTGGCACGGGGTGTTCGAGAACCCCTCTCCTGTGCACCTCGGGGCCGTAGCACGGCGCCTGACCGGGACGGACAGCCCACTTAGCCATAATGTCGGGTGGTTTCACGACAGTCCCCGCAGATCTAGGGTTGAGGTTACCCCTAATCTATACCGGTTAGCCACCGTGACCATCAAAGGCGATATGTCATTCCACGATACTGCTCCCCTGAGTTTAGGCCGCGCAACCAAAGAATACATGTGTTACGGCGCTGCGCCCTAGTGCTCCGTTTCTGCTTCACTATCAAATTCCTCATCGTTGACTTGTACCTTGCCTTCAGGTCTCAGCCGGAAGCGCTGAGTCTAGCTCGGATGCACCCCGAAGCGCCAGGATCCTGCTTGCATGTGCATGGCGTTGCTGACCCGGCCAATCGAGCAGAGCCTCACAACGTCCGGGTGAGGATTTGGTGTTTACCAACAGTCACCATCATAACCAACTGCTGCTGTGGCTGCATGCGTCCTCTTTCTGGAGGGTGTCTGGGAAAGCAGCTGTGCTCATCCGCAAGCAAGCCTCATCATCGCCATCGCCATCCGACCACACCCCCTCGGGTACGGTCGACATCTCCCCGAATCAGTACGCGTAATGGCTCATCAACACAACAAGCACCAGTCCCGTCCTCTCCAGATCCGAACCAGCGTCAATCCCAAATTGCTGCGCCCTCATCCATCCCGCAGCGATTCTCACCCCGTACTCCCCGTGCTAACTAGCCCCCCACTTGTCTGCCCATCCTCTCTCACCCTCACCACAAATCCCCAAAATGAGAGACACTTCCACAGAAGCCCCGACCATTCGCATCGCACCTCCCACCTCCCTGCCCCCCTCAGCCTCACTTACCAAACCCTCACCCCGCCTCACTTCACCTGACGCGTCCCCGACAATCATCCCACTCACCCCCAGCCCAACCCAGCACGAATAGAAAGCGAGCAACCCCTCCGGGAGCAAAAAACACCCCCTCCCCCGCGGCCCCCAGATCCAGCCAGCCAGGTACTTCGTACATACATCCAGGCATACCAAGTCCACATCCAGACCGACACCGACCCGACCGGCAGGCAGGCAGGCAGGCAGACTCGAACGAAAAAAGTGACAGGATCATCGGGCATCAAACCCCATCAATCTCAATCCCCCCCCCCATTCCCATTCCCAACTCGTCGACAACCAAAGTAGCGGTCAAGCGGTCAAGCAGGTCTCCCACAGTAGATAATTTAAAAAGAACCCCACCCGCGGGCGTTTCACCCAGAGAGAGCCGCAACGCAAGGGAGTTTAAGGCAAGGCAATGGCAAGGGAGAGAGAGGCAAGGACAAGGCCCGTGAAACGCTGCACGATTGATTTGATCGATGGATGGAGAGCATGGATGGGACCCCCCCAGGCCTTCCACGCGGGCAGACGGCACAGTGCCACCGTAAGGCGCAGCCCGTCCATAACCTTCCACCAGCTTTGATTATGGTTCGATTGCAACGGACCGGCGGCATGGAAGGGGCGCAGGGAGGTTGGTGTTGCTGCTATTCTGTGGCTCGGTTTGCTATCACGGGTATTTCTCATCATTGTCCGCAGATGACCGAGCAAAGTAGAAAAATGGTAGAGCCGAGGATGGTAGGTTGGGTAGTTATTGGATTGTAGGCATGTATACAGATGGACGTACGACGATAGGCAATGACCGGCAGGTCTCACAGATACACCCCCCGCCCCCGCCGCTCGCCCACAGCCCACGAGGAGGGACAAAAGGGGGAAACCGGAAACCCACCGCCCCTTTCACCGACTTCCTTTCGGGGTCCAACCTACCCCCACTCCGGCTCCACCCCGCATCCGTCCAGTAGATCCCGTTCGAACTCCGGTGCCCGTATCGGCCTTCTTGGCCCGGCCGGACCGCGGTGGGCTCCCGTATCGTCGAGGGCGGGTTGGTTCAGCTCAGCTCAGCAAGCTGAGCGCGCAGGAATTTGCACAGACCAGCGGTGAGGAACCCGCCCGCCTGCCTGCCTGCCTGCTCGGCGACCAACCCACGCCCGCCCGCATCCGTGCCGCCGCGCCTCCCGTCCGAAGTCGCCCCCCGTTCCCATCCCGCTTCGCCCGGAGCTCCCGTGGTAGGTCGGTCGGGAGGGGTCGCGCGTTCACTTGTCTCACTGGTTACGTCGATGGAGACATATACCCCACGATCAAGACCGACGATCTGACTCATCCAGCCGCTTGCCTCCCCACCCACATCCCCGAAAGCCCCCGGAAGAGGTCATCAATCCGATCCCGCCGGTACAGATTCGGTAATAGCGTCGACCTCGCGCAGCTTGTTGATCCGGTCTGGGTAGGGTGTGCAAACTCAAATCCAAATCCACCCCGGCCGAGGCAAGGACAAGGACAAGGGATCGGTGAAGGAAGGGAAGGGAAAGAGGAGAAAAAAGTCAAAAAAGTTAGGAGCAAGATCCACATGGGCTCAAACCGATCCTCGGGATTGCTTGGCCCCAGGGGTGTAAAACGCCGCCGGTTGCCCGGGTCGGTGCTGCGGTTCCGAAACTTCTTCACCGCTACTCCCCGATCCACGGCGCGCGAGATATCAACAACATGGGTTGGGGTTTCGAGATTTCCGAATCGCCAAAAAAGTGGTTACCTGGGTCAAAACGGAGAGGGAATTGATCGAAACGGGCGGTGACTGGACGAGCAATCGGGAGAAATCTAAGTATATCGCATCGTATTGCCATAGCCCGGGTCATCGTCTTGTTGTTGATGTCTCGCGGGCGACTGCGCCCTCTTGATCCTGACGCCACCACCATGCCTGGCCGATCATCGTTCACTCAAAACAAACAAATGACGGACAATCGCATGATGACCAGCCGTTTACCGATCATATGGGAAGCGGAAAGGCAAGACCGCGGCTTTCACCGCGTCAGCGGCGACGGCCAAAACGCCCCTCATGCTGTGCTGCACTCCACTGCGCTGCACTGCATGTCCCACGTTGGATGACTGCAGCTTGTGCCGCCAAGGAGGGCGGATATGGTCTTGCGCGCGGCCCCATAACCTCGTTCGAGCTGCATGTTTTTGTCTGCAGGCTGCAGGAATCGCGAGACCAACGACCCAGACTTCCGGATCGAGGCGCCAAACCCAGTCTCGTGAGCCTGTTCTGGCCCAGCCGAGCAAAAATCGTCGGGGAGACCGCGTCATGGACTCCTGTTTGCGGTTCACCGCCTGGGATAATTTTCCGATGGCCTGGCTTGGTCCGAAAAACTTGCCGTCTTCTTCATGAGCATGATCGCGATTTCGCGGCAGACACTGGTGGAGCTTCGTAGGGCTAGGCCATGATCTTTCTCACCGCTCAGCAACTCATCTGCTTGGTGTTGCAACCTCGGGATCTTGGGAGCGTGCTTCAACGAGTCGGATGGACCTGTCGGAAGTTGGATTTCGGGAAGTTCCTACCATTATGGTATCCCTGTGAAACAATGAGTTCTTGAAAGTGGACATGCTTAACCCCAAGTCGAGGAACACCGGGAGAGCAGTTGGTCCTGAAATCGCAACCATGAGAATGAGTCAGTCGTGCTTCAGTCGTGAGCGGGCTGCGGGACGTTTGCCGGACCGCCTGACACGGCGTCTTGCCCCAGAAATAGGTAACGAATAGGAATATTTCCCAGCGGGTCCCTGGCGAAGGCACCAGCTTTGCACTCGCCATCCTGCAGCGAGCATGTGGGCATGCTGAAGGAATCTCTAGACGAAACCGTATTGGCAGAACCGTGCCGTTGGGCAGGAAACTGACACTTGGTTCGACCCTGGTTGCGCCCCTCGAGATCGAATTCGACTCGATCCTGGGCTACAAAGTTGGGCCTTGATTGACTGGGGCGTCAAGCATCCGGTATTGCATGCATGCAGACGACATCTGACGGGCCGGGCGTGGAAGAGGGACCAGAGGACGTTTCGAAGCTCGAGACTGGAACCAACAAATACTGCATCCGCAGACAGGCCAGGACACAGGTCGATCGGTGCACATGCAGTCGTTTAAGATTCTCGGCAAAAACAGTTTCCCAGAGCGCCGGAACCGCGGCTTCACGCGTGGGTGAGTCACTCTGATTCGGGGGAGCTCAGGGATATCGAGACGGTTAGCTGGAGCATGGCGGATGGGCTGTCTCGGGGTAGTGATTGGCGGGAGCTCGCACTCCCAGATCTCTGGAACGGTTTCGCAGTCAGCCCAGTCTGGCACTTTTCTCTGTGTAGCGTTGCTCGTCGTGGATCAGAGCACCAAGGCATCTTTCCCTCAGACGAAACATGTCCATCGTCATGCCGAACTCATTCGGAATGCCGGCCATGGGATGAGGATCGTTTCGGATCACGTCTCTTCTTCAGGCCTAGTAGGTTGAACGTCCATGGCGGCTAGGGCGGGAGTCGCTGGCCCGGGGATTCCCCAAGCGTGCCCTGGCCGAGCTGATCGGGAGAGCTCGTGCTTTCAGGGTCACATCTCCAGTAAAGTGAGGTGAATTGTCGCCGGCACCATTGGGCGTGAGGCTCGCCGGCAGAGGAAGTCGTCCACAGCTGACCACCGACAGGCAGGCGAAACTAGGAGTGGGGCGTGCAGAGCCCCTGGCGACTACTGGAGTCGTTGTGTTTGGGACCGGCTCGCGATCCGGACAGGACGCGTTCCCTTCGCGTGTCGGAGACCAGAAACACACCGACTTCTCTGTGTTGGGTATGGATGAAGGGACGCGGGGCTTTGTTTGGGTCGACATGGCGCGGGCCTCGAATATGCGGCCAGGCGCACACCGGGTCTGGGCAGGCGCCGCGAGTGGCCAGCCGCCGTGTTAGCAGCTGCAAGCGCTCCGTTCTCCGTCCAGTGGGCTTGCCGACGAACGAAAGAGAGCGAGAGTTGAGGGACAGAAGTGGAGTTGCTGAACCGTGAACGCGCTGCACCCAGCCACCGCATTTTTTGAATTGGGCGAACGTTTTTCTGTTTTCTGTCAGACTGTTGGCTCAAACGGGTTGGAAGCGCGGCGGTCGAAAATAGGAAAGCCGCGATGGATTCAAAACAATGGAATCCAGGGATGCACGAGACAGAAAGAGACAGAGATGAGAGGCTGTGGTTTCAGGCAGGAGCCGTGGGAACCTGCAAAAAAAGAGTTTGACGCTGTGTTGCGGCGTGGGTGCTTGTTGGAGCTGGGGGTGCTGGGGAAGGCAGGAGGACCGCCTCACTTTCGCTCAGTCAGATGACGGCCTTCTCGAACACCTGCTTAGGAAGGCACGGCAGCGGGAAAGCACGCATGCAGTTCTGTGGTGTAGCTTTATCACGTGACCTAGCCGTTTTGCAATGGAAGGTGGTGCGACCGTTCGAGTTAGGGTGTGGGGAACATAGCTTGGAAGCTTTGGGCAATTGAGCTCGTCACTGTCTGAATTTGTCTGAAATTCTTCCCCCGTTCCCACTTCACCGTCACATCCACTCCTCACGACGCAACGTTGAGAATGATTGGAACGCGGATGGAAGCATGGCTTTGCCGCAAGGACCCCCGGGTCTTCCGTTCCGCCCGATAGTCCAATCTCGAAACAGAACGTGCAGTTCCAGGTTTGCCGTTGTTGCCGTTACCGTTCGTCGTTGCGTTGATGCCGTTGTCTGCCGTTGTTGGTGATGTGTTTTTACGTTTACGGTGATGACGAGAACCCGTTCGCAGCCCCGATCAAGTTAGGTACCTCCTATGGATGAATGTCTAGCATCGCATCATCAACAGGCAGCTCGCCATTCGTCCCGCCCAAGTGTGCATTGTTCTGCCCCGCGCACCTCGGTTTTCGGCCCTCAACACCATCACCACGCCATCGAGAGGTCATGGGCCCCCACGGTATCAGGACCCGTATTCACTAAAACAAAACAAGCAATTCCATTGTACTTCCCGTATTTCAGCGCCTCGGGGTCTCTCAAGTCCGCTCATCACAACAACATCACCCCACTCACCGCAGCTGCTGCGCAATGGGATGGTCGCTGTGTCGGATAGTGGCTGAATCGAGGTTGGCGTTCATGGTTTCCTTGATGGTTCGCCGGGAAACCGAAACGGGGGATCCTCCTCACGGGGGTCGAGTCCGCTGCTGCTCGCTGCTCACGAGGCTCGATCAAACCCTAGCAAGCTCGCCGCCTGGGTGTGGGAGCAGCTGTGAGAGCTGCGAGTCCCGCGGCAGGCGACTGGCTCGGGGCGTGCCTTTGGGTAGCGATGCCCCCCCAAGAGCCAAGGTCCATTTCTGCCCAACCTTGCCGGACGGTCATCCACAACCACTCCTTCTGTCAGCCCAATCATGAGGGCAGGAGGGCAGCAACATTCAGCAGCCCTCGTCCTGTGCTCGCCGTTCGTCGCACTCACCCCCTGCCCGGTACCCAGCGATCTTGTTCCTCCCCCAAACGCGGGCTCAAGCCTCTGTGGGCTCTGCCCGCCGCCATTCGGCTCTTCGGCGACGCCCCCCGTCCATGCATCCTCCCGGGTTGGGCCACTCCGCAACGGCAGCTAAACTTCACACCCAGACCCGGCGGACGATCACTGATTCGATCTCGGATGCTACCGTCTTTGCGCGTCCAAGGCCTCTCGCTCTTTGGCAAGTCGACCAGCGTGACAAGCCGCGGCAACACCATGGAGATTCCTATTGGGAATCACGGTGGCCCGATCGCCATCTATGGAGTCTGGGCCGACCGTGTTTGGTGCTACCGTTCACGTACCGGGTCAGTCACGGGAGGTCTCTCTTCGAAACGGAGAAAGTGAGCAGGCCGCGCAAGACGTTGTGCTCCGTTGCGAGAACGATTTCCCATGGCAGCATGGATCTGAGGCCCAATCCCAGCGTGCGCCTCGTCTTTTCTCTCCACAGCAGGGGGTGCCCACTGCCGTATCCTCTGCTTGTCCGACGGCTCTGTCTCTTTTCTCCTCGGATGGCCAGAAAAGTACTCTGAGACCCTCCCCTGGTCTCTCAGATCGGATGTCTCTGGTTGCACCCCCCATGCCAAGCCACCCCTCCGCTCCGAAAGAGTCTGGCGATCCACAAGTTCCCGCGCAGACCAGTCCTCCGCAACATCCACTCGAGGTACCACTGGCCGCAGCCCCAAGTGCCCCCCTCCCTCGCGATTGGGCAACCGTCGGATGCTCCCTGGGTCTTGCAGAGTCGGCCTGACCTTGGTCAGAGTACAAAACATAGAAAGAGGACCATCCATCATCCCGTCTGCCCCCCAATCCATCCACAATCAGAGAGTCATTGACAGAAGCAGCAGCATTGAGACTGCTTGGCCGAAGAAGAGTTCTTTCTCTTTTCAACACACGAGGTGCTTCACGTTTTGCCGTTGAAGCTCACCCTTTACGACCCTTTACGACCCCTCTCTCACCTCCGGTCTCACCACCCACCACCAGTCACCCCCCCCCACCAATTCCGGGTTCTGGTCTGAATACCTACCCCTCTCCTTCCAGAAGACGACCACTTGTGCGACTTCCCACCACAAAAGATTGTAGGTGACATATCCCCTTCGCTGTCCTGTTAAAAACCCTGCCCCTGCCTCCCGCACTCCCCCCCGCGCCGCCCTCCTCTCCCCCTCCCCCACCAGCCTCTCTCATCAACCCACTTTTCACCCTTCAAGTCATCGACGGTTCTACACTCAGTGAGTGTTGGAATTTCACCGCCATCAACACACCAGGGGGATCCAACACCCCGGGTTCAGCTCGGAAGGGTAGGCACTCATTTTTTGAGGCTTTTTGGTGGCGTTTTGTGCCCTCCCACAACTCCCACGGCTTCCGGCGCTCATCCCCTGCACTTTACCTTAAACCCCCCGGCCATTCCCAAAATAAAAGCCCTCACCGCTTCGTTCACAGACTCCCAACCACTAACACACATAACAGGATCTGCCCGCACATTTTCCCGCCCTCTAACGGGAAATCAGCCATTTCACACCCACCCACTCACACACACACATAAGCCATCATGGTTTCCGCATTTCAAATGCAGTCCTTTTACAGGGCCCCTTTGACTGTCGACACCACACACGCTCAGAAGTTCTTCGAGGAGGAGGACGCCAGCATACTCGACGAGAACATCCTTGACCACAGCGGGCTCGACTCGGGCTTGGAGATGTCGCCACCCATGGTGGAGAGCAGGAGGGATTCGTTTGGCGTCACCCCGTCCATCTTCTCACCAAAGACGGAGGATTGGCAGTCGGTCGAGATGCAGTCGGTCCCATCGAACAACCCCTTCTTCGAGCAACAGAGCAACAACCCGTTCCTGCGGATGGACCAGAGCCAGCAAGCTGCCTACCAGAGCCACGCCACCTGGCCCATGACCAGCTCCGGCTCCGCGACTCCCCAGCTCCAGGCCTTCGACGGTCTCCCGGTTGAGTACGACTCTAGCAACCTCGCCATGTTCCACAGGCCCGCCAACATGCAGACTCCCACTCCCTTCGCCGCTCCTGCCAACCCGGTCGCCATGTTCCAGCAGCTCGGGCATGCCGCTCCCCAGTCGATCCCCACCTCTCCCCAGAAGGATGCGTGGATGACCCAGGATCTCAAGTCGCAAGGCATGAAGAGGCCCCGCCCCGCCAGCCCCCTGATCCGGTCCCATAACGACCTGCGGAGGGGCGACGGCATCCGCAAGAAGAATGCCCGCTTCGACATCCCCGCCGAGCGCAACCTCAGCAACATCGACCACCTGATCTCGCAGTCCACCGACGAGCAGGAGATCAAGGAGCTCAAGCAACAGAAGCGCCTCCTCCGCAACAGGCAAGCTGCGTAAGTCCGCTCTCTCGCATGATTTGATTCAACTAGGAGAGCCCGACGCTAACAAATGACCAGGCTCGACTCGAGACAGCGCAAGAAGCAGCACACTGAGCGGCTCGAGGATGAGAAGAAGCACTTCACCGAGCTCATCGGGGGCTTGGAAGACACCATCGCCAAGATGGAGAGGGACATGCAGAAGCTCTCCATGGACAAGCAGAACTACGAGTCGTACATTCACGAGCTCGAGCAGAAGCAAGAGGACATGATCAGCAGGCACACTATCGAGACGGGCGAGCTGCGCAAGAAGATCAGCGTGCTGACCAACGAAGTGCACTCCATGGGCCGTGCCGCCACCACCGCACCGGGTTTCCCCGGCGCTTTTGCCGAGATGGATGGCATCACCATGGACTGCTCCTGGGACAACATGCCTATGTTTGGCGACTTTCCCATGGAGCAGAGCACTCCCGAGGTCAAGCAGGAGATGCAGATTGTGCCGGCGGCCAAGAAGCCCGAGGTGTCCCTGCCGTCGACCGACTCGGAGAAGCCGGCCCAGCAAGGCGGGCTCCTTTTCATGCTCTTCCTTGTCGGCGCTTTCGTGCTCTCGAGCCGGTCGTCGACCCCCAGCATCCCGCGCGTTTCCGAGGACGTCCGGGCCGCGTCCGCGACCCTCCTCGAGAACGTGCTCAAGGATGCCGGCGTGTCGCAGGTCGCCTCGGGCCTCCAGGCCCTGGCCCCGCAGCCCTCGGGCACCACCTGGGCCCAGGCATCGCAGCCGTCTCTGTCCATGGCCGCGCCGATGGTCGACAACGTCGCCCCGTCGGTGCTGGGCGAGATGGCCGATACCCTGACGCAGCCCACCGAGCAACAGACCAACGAGCAGATCTTCTCGCTATCGGCTGCGCAATATAATGACCTGACCTCGCAAGATTTCCTCCAGGCTGCTACGCCGGCCGAAAGGTCGACGAGCCAAGGGAGACGCAATCTTGCCGAGGCCCTGTCCACCATGCGCAGCTCGACCAAGCAGTCGTCTGCCGCCGAGGTCTACACTCGGTCGCTGCTCTGGGACCAGATCCCGGGCGACGTCGTCCGGACCTTTGCCAGGATGGTCGCGGAGAGTAACAACGCCGCGGCCGGCTCTGCCGAAGACCGGGCCTAATGCCTTTTGACGAACTTTACGACTTTTATGACCAAAAACCACGCACTACCACGATCATGATCCGTGAGCGAGCATGAATCCCCCCGACGACACGAAACAGCATGAACAGGAGGAGGCATGCAACAGCACTCGAGCGACTTTTTCCGGCTTTTTGTTTTTTCCTCTGCAGATTGTTTTATTTCCTTCTTGGACAACAACGTACACTTGATCCGCTCCCGCGACCAACACACAGACATCGGCAGCTCACGCACCGGAAGTTTGTTGCTTCTTGCGGCCCCCTGTACCAACACACAGGAGAGCCGTTCGCCGTTTTTCATCCGAGTTTGATTTTTTCCCTGTTTTTTCCTCTGGGTCTTTTGAAATTTAGCAAGCGAGCATTGGCTTTTTGTTTTGATCTTGGTCTTTTTACTCTGGCGGCGCCTTTCTTAACTCTAATCTCTCTGTGTTATTTCCGGTTTATCTCTCTCTCCTACTCTTTGGCGCTGGGCATGGGAAATGGGATAGGGTTCTGGGCGAAGCCTGGCTGCGATTTCGGCGGGTTGGGAGGGCGAGCGACGGCGAAATTTGGCGGTTATGGGATTTTGCGCTGTTTTTTTGGAAGAACGCTTTGGATGGGCGACGGCGACGGACCACACAACCGTCGCATCGCCATTTTCTCCTCTCCTCTGTACTGCGTTGAGAGGCCTAGCCAGAGTCTCGTCTCGCTCGGGAGCGGAGAAATCTCTCGCCGACACATAGACAGACGCCGGCCACGCCTCATCAGCCTAGGCATTGGGACTTGGAAAGGGATTTTAAAACATCGTCAATGCAGTCTGCGATACCTCGCGGGGAGGAAGAGCCCGGCTTGGAAGACCAGCTGCGACACACCCACACGTCTGACGACAACCCCTTTCCTTTGTGGAACAACTTCAACAACACCATCACATTCGTTCACAACAACAAAACAATTCGATTCGAGGGGGGCTGCCGACATCAAACGGACATCAGCCCCCATTCTGGAGGATACCTCGCGGGAAGGGATGGACGAGCTGCGATATCGCCAACAGAGGTGCGATCTTCGGAGACGGACAGCCCGCACCGGGAGGGATTCCGACAAATTCACACTGCACCATCGCCGGTCACACATTGGGCTGAGCAACAGGAGGCATTTTTCAACAAACAACAACAACAAAACAACACCACAACCCCCATACGGGGCTGGGGTGAAGGGGAACTCGAAACCCCGGCAGGGGGGCTTGGAACAGCCTCTATTCCTGCTCACGACAATCATTACAGACGGACTTTTTTCATTTCTATTCTTTCCCGTCGAAAGATCTTTGTAGCTAGGCAGCACCAGAACCAGGTGAAAAAATTGGAAACTTTGTTAGTGGGAGCAGCTTCTGTCTCGAACTTTGCGCCGTGAATCTTGTGACTGTTGTGACTGTTGTGACTCTTGTGACTTCTCGCTGCATGCTGTACTCGGCATGTCTGTGATGAAACTGATTGCGATAGCTACCTTGAGAGAACGCATTCCTCCCACCCCACACAGCGGCTACTGCACCTCGGGAGCAGCCATCAACAAGTCCTCGCAGAGTAAGCACTTGCACCGACTGGGAAGTAAGACAGGTCGCTCACCCGCCTGGTGACGTATCGCCCCTCACTCTGTCTCCTTTTTGGCCCCCTCCATCCCCTCCCCCCGCAATAGATCACCGAAGGAATAAAACTCTGTCTGTGTGCGTGTGTGTGAGTGTGCTAGGGCGGTGCATGACGACCCAACCGGCCTTGCAATGGAGGGGAGGCTGATGAGTTGGCCCGCCAGATTGGGTGAACAGCCCTGCGTTCCGGGGAGGTACGGCAGTTGTGTCATTGGAAGAAGGGCGGGGGGGGATAATACTACCTGGGGGTAATGGGTGCCGGTTCCGTGTTGCGGGTGACCGGGCTGGAGGCCTGTTCTTACCGTGGTTTTCTGGTCTCCCCCGTGCTGTTTCGACCCGGTTTGTTACAGGATATTGGTATGGACCATGGTATAGTACACGCATCGGTAGGGAGGTAGGGGAGAGGTTCATTTCGATGGGAAAAGTGCGCGGCTGCGCAAGAGCAGTCTTCGAAATGCAGGCTCGCCGCCATCGAGCACATCATACCTCCCCCATCCGGCACATGTCCTGCATGCCAACTCACCGCTCACGGGGGCAGGACCGTCACCACCACCACTCCCACCACTGCCCACCACACCCTCCATCTCACCTTTGCACCGCAACAGCTCCGAAGTATGGTGTGTAGCCTGAAACTCGTCCAAACCCGGTATCTTGGATCCGAGCCCCGAGTGATCTCTACATACATAGTAACTCGCCCTTCCCATGCCCTCCCGTTCCCATTCCCTGCTTGTTGTGACTTGACTGTCCAGTGAGAGCGGCCATGTTACCACAATAGGCAATCGATATGAATGACACACACACACACATACACACACACGCACAAACATTGCAAGCGATCTCAGAATCCGGGGCACGGTGACACAGCAGGAAACAGACTGGACACGGGACTGACTCGCCAATTTACCCGGCCTGGGTGAGGCGCGGATAAGGTCGGCCGGGAACTGCAGTTTTGGAATGGAACGTGCATGATGCAGGGCGATTGGGCATCGAAATGTGCAGGTTGGGTTGGGGTTGTTGGAGAAGGGAGCTGAGGGTTCAGGGGGGCGGCTCAGGGGGGGCGGAGGGACGGGGGTTGCGGTGCAGGTTTGGCGTTGGATCTCACCGGATCTTAGCAATAAACTACCTAGGGTATTAACGTTAGCGTTGTGATGCGTTGTGTGTTGTGTTGTGTTGAGTCCTTCGTCTGCAGATGACTGCTCGCCTCTCCTTTTCTGGTAGACTAATACTGCGTCGTCACCCAATGAATGATACAGCCCTCGACCAAGGAACCCCGCGAACACTGCAACCTCTCCCGGTCTCTTGAAACAGGAGCCTTACGAATAAAAAGCACTGAAAGCGCAGAGCCGTATGCAGGTGCGGCTGTGGCATGCCATGTAGTGCAACCTGATCGGCGGGAGATCAAGATATATGGTTGCCTTGAATCGCAACAGAGTGAATTGTCCAGTCATTTTTGAGATGATAGAGCTTTGTTCATGCAATGTGAGAGTATGTATACCGCTGGTTTCATCTTTCTACCATGAATTGAGGTTGCTTTTGATCAAGTCCACAGCAACCAATCCCCGTTGGGCTGTAAGAGAACTGAGTGCTTGAGTGGCCAAGGAGAGGTCCGAGTTGTGTCTCACATAACCAACAGGTACGGCAGTTCACGAATCCAATAACTGTTTAGAAGAAACTCAATCGAACTCTTCGAAGTAAACCAGTTGGCCAGTTGGGCTTTTGAATTGGTTCTGTCGTAATCTCTCCTTCTTGTCGAGTCAACTCAGGGGTAACTAACGAACTGCACCAATCCAATGACTATGGGGTTGGTCACGAGCACAGCATGAGAGACACCAATCAACAACGGCACGGCTTCATAGCGTTATTAGCGTGTGATTTTCAGATATCTCAGGTGTGCCGGGTGTTCACCTAGCTTACCGTCGTCGGGTTCCAGCAACAAGTGCCCAACCTCCTGCCCTGACTCAACCCACAGATTCTCCCCGAAATCAAGGGTTAAGGCCATGTTTAGTTCCACAACACAGCCGAGAGCCGGCAGAATGGATTCCCAAGGCACTCTTACATGGTAGACACATTAGGGCAAGTTCTTGGTGGAAAACGAGGCGAGTGACCGCTCCACAGCCCTCCGTTTTCACCAACTTCCAGGGTCCAAAACGGAGCCCCTTTCACAACCACCAAAGATACATCCGCTCAACACAGCTATACTTCCGCAACAACGAGACCCCTAACCTGCAACGCCCTGCAATGCAAATGCAATGCACTACCACTAAAACACACACCAAAGCGGACCGTTGCCGAACCCTCCTCTCACATCCCCCCATCGTGGCCCAATCGCAACTCCTCACGCCCTTCTCCAGGGGAGCAACCACACTCCCCCGACATCCCCAAGACACCCTAAGCAAGCCGCGGAACACCCGCGGGTAGCTCGAAAAGCCAAAGCAGCCAAGGGCCAGCTGGTCCCTACCACCGGGACGGCGGCCAACCAAAGGGACGGGGCCCCCAAAATAAAGATCTGAGACATAACAACGACAACACCGACTGACGACAACAACACCAGCTACGTCAAACGTCAACAGCGGAGAGACGGGGGGGCATCGCGAAATCTCACATGGCATGGCATGGCGTAGGATGATGGCATGGGTACAGACCCCATCCCGGCCCCATCCCGCATCGCCGAACCGCCGACGACGAATCTTTTCGCGTCGCCGCTAAGGCAGGGAGCAGTAAACAAAAAAGTGCACAAATACGACGCTGAACGCTTAAGGTGAGATGTGACGGGCCGCCGGGGGGCCAGAGTGGCGATGGCTGCCCGAGCAAAGGGCAAGCAAGCGTAGACCAAAACACCAAAACATCACAAAAATCAAAATAAACAAAACCCTTCCGGTCAGGCCCGCAGACCAGGGAAGGATACCCGATGCGACGTTAGTGATAAGCTTCGGGGAGTGGGAAGACGAAGACGACGGGAGTGAGATTCGGGCACAGAGGCATGCGATGCCCATGCGATGCGATGCGATACTGGCTGGCTGGCTGGCCCCCGTGGTACGGAGCAGCCAAGTACCGTCCGGCGCCGGGCCGGTCGGGAGCAAGACGCCACGGACGTGGTACCACGGCCCTTGGCACCACTGACGGGGTGGGATAGGCGACACCAAGGCCCCGGGAGTCTGGGTGTCTGGACGGCAGAGGGCATGGCGGCGGCGAAAAAACGAATATCCAGTAGCCATTCCGCATTCGCCGTCTTTGTTTGTCTTCCCCCGAGAGCTCGTCATGACCATAAACACAACAACAACAGCGTGGTAAACAATGACCCCTATCCGATAAACCTCGACTCCAAAACAAACCCCATCTCGATTTCGCCATCGAGTCTCCAGACAAACATGCCCGCCATCCCCGAGTATCCGAGAAAGTCGTCAGCGGCGACGTCACCATCATCCAACCGGCCACACCGAGCCTCCGGCCCCGTCCAACGGGCCGTGGCATGTGACTGGCAAAGACGACCGGGAGGCAGATCCTACTTCTTGCTATACCCCGGATCGTACTTGTCCTTCCATATCCTATCACCGAGGTCAGCGAACCGTCATGATCAGCCTCTCTCAAGTCCGAAGACAACCACAACAACGAACGGGGAGCGGGCGGGATGAGACACAACAAGAAACCCTCCTCGGGGGGGGGCGGGGAACACCAACGGTTGGTTCGTCACACGGGGATTGCCGTAAACAGCGAGCATCTCCCGCGAGTGAACCCAATCGGGACGGCAAAGGGGGGCTTCGGATCAAGCCTGTGCCCGGAGTGGGCAGCCGAATCACGAGGCCGGCCCAAAGCGGCCAAGCTAGGCCGCAGCGGCGGGCCGCACCCCCCCCCTCTTAGTTCGTCCGTCTGAGTGGACGGCAAGGAGGGGGGTCGAAAGAGCAAGACCCAAAACCAAAACAGAAGGGGAAAAAACAGGGCGAGCGAGAAAACGTGGCCGCTCGGCCTATCGCCTTTCGCGATTTGCGTTTCATGCAAGGCAGGAGAGTGGGGGATGTGGGCAGGCCGGCCGCAGACGGCAAGTCATCGCACAAGCAGAGAGAGAACATGCTGCGCGGCTGCCGCTGTTGTCCGACACTGGCCCGCAGGGTTTGTGTTCCCGCCAGGGAGAGAAAAACAGAGGACGGAAGTGGCTTACCAAGAATTCCCCAGGATCTTGTTACCATTCTTCTCTGCCAGACGGTAGTACTTGGCCGCCGCGAACTGTTTGTTGTGTCGTGTGTCAGCCAACCACCCAGATCATGATGACTGAAAAAAGGGGTTTCAGGGCCGTGATTCGTTGCGAGGAAAGAGCCCCGTTGGTGCCCAACGTTCCGGATATAGCCGCGCCGAGCGGCTGGTCCGGGAACGAGCCCTCGACGGCAACGGCAACGAGTGCGCCGGTGGTGACAGCTCATAGGCTCTTGCCGGGTCTTTTTCGAGTCTGGTGGTTGAGTGGGCAGCTGGGACAGACTGACCTTGTCTTTCTTCGTGCCGAAACCTTCAAAATAGCACCATGCTATCTCGTTCATGGCGTCTATAGTGCATGGTGGTCAGCTTTCAGCACGAGTGGCGAGGGGCGAAAGCATAGCCGGGTGGCATACCGGTGTCTCCCAAGTTCGCCGCTGTCTCGTAATACTGCGAGTCTCTGTCAGTGATGAGCTCCGCAACCCCTTGAAGGTGCATAGCCGTCGCCCCTTCACCAACGAAGGGGAACCCACCTGCTTCGCAGCAATTGGGTCCTTGGGGATCCCCCACCCGTGGCGGAAGCAATTGGCCAATTCAAAGATGGCCAAAACGAGCTCCCCCTTGGCGGCGCCGCCCTTTTTGAGTCCAGCCTGTAGAGCGAGCTGTTCGACGTCGGCGGCATTGGACGCTGCCGCGGAGAGGTAGGTTACGGCTTTGGCTGAGTCCTGGCTGCAGCCCCATCCGTGCCTGAACCGCTCATTAGTTTGTGACAAATATCATTATTGGACAATTCCATCATCGCAGTAGCCAACGAGATGCCCATAAGGCGCGTTCCCGTGAGAAGAGCCCTCGCATCATTCGCGACGGGGACACATGATGCCCATATGCCGGGACGAACTCAAGAAACGCGTGGACATACCTCAGTGCAAGACCGTACAAGACCTGGCTCAGGGGGTTGTTGGCCCCCTTAGGATCCGCCAGCCGGCCAAACAACGCCGTGGACTGCTCGAGATCCCCCTCCTCATGCAACCTAATGGCCTCTTGTATATCTTCGTCGATAGCCTTGGACGAGACTGCCTTTCCCTGCGAGTCGGAGGAGTCCCCGGTCGACCCATCGCCCAGTCGCAACTGCGGGATGATGGGTGCCGCAGAGCCGTGCACGGGGCTGCCAGGCCGGCTGCGGTGCTTCTCGTTCTCGCGGGCCAGAATGGTGGCGCGCTTCTCCCACTGCGACTCGGTGCCATCCTTGTCGTCGGTGCCACCTTCGGGTACGACAATATCGGGGAGGTTCTGTGGCACGTTCTCGGAGCTGGACGGGCTGCGACTCAGGTGCAAGCGCTGCGACAGACGCCTCCCGGAGCCCTGGTTGCTTGCTGCGGAACCGCTCCGGCTCCGGCTGCTGCGGAAGACATCGAGGCTACGGCGCTGCCTGGAGGGGTCGTCGGACTTGGGATCGGCGGATAGGAACTGGCCCTGTTCTCGTTGGGGACCGGCACTCGGGGGGTAGATGAGTTCGGCGTTGTGGGTGTCGGTGCGGATGAAGGTGAATTCGGGGCTCGCGGGATTGGTAGCGTTCGTCGGTTTGGTGTTAGCCTCGTCGTCCGAGTCGTGTTTCTTCCTGAACTTGTCGCGGAGGCCCATGATGTCGGTAATCTGGTAATTGGCGGGGTTAAAGCGCGAATAGAATAACAATGATACGTCTGCAGATATATATTCAAAAAAGAAAGGGGTAGATCGCTATATGTGCTGCTTCGGAGTGTTTGTTTCGGGAGACGCCATTTCGGGGCTCAGACTTCTCAGCTCGTCGGCGACGCGCCTCGGGATTGCATGTGTCGCTCAACTGGGTTCGGTCCGGAGCGGGGCAGTGCCCGGGGCCTTGTTGGCGGGGTTGGGCGTTCCTCCATTGTCCGTGAATCCTACTGGGGTTATCCTTTGAACGGCGAGGTTGTCTACCAACAAACTTGGTGCAATTATTATTTTCGTTTTATGATCGGGGAGAAAAGGCACAGCTTGGAACCGAATACCAAGATCTAACTAAACTGGCAGTTACGACCATGATCGGATACTCGGCAGGGGCATTGGACTTGGGGCGCGCTAGGGTGGGGAATTGTCACTCCAAAATCACAATATTCATGCAACAAAATCACGAAAGCCCGGTTAGCTCAGCTGGTTAGAGCGTCGTACTAATACCGGGAAACCCGTATAAGGTATGCGAAGGTCAACAGTTCAATCCTGTTACTGGGCATTCATCTTTTGGCAATTTGTCAATCGTTCATCCGATGTGGTGGGTTCCATCATTATTACTTCCACTTTCTCCTTTTCTTCTTCTTCTTCTTTTTTTTCACCGATATTATTCAAGTCATGCGATTTCAACAGACTTGAACTACGAAGTACTTCGAACCTCTTCATATGCAGGAAATAGTTCGGATGAGGAAGACAGGCAGGGAAGCACCCAACCGAGCCGATTCGACGCAGAAAGCCTCCGGCCTTGGGAGGATGAACAATGCTTGATGATTTTCGTCAGGGGGTGACACGCGAGTGGGTGGCTCACATGCGATGAAATTGACCCCCAAACTTAGTTAAGCACGGACTCGAGAATACGGAACCGAATCGCGATCTTCAAGCCTACTCGACACTTTTCACAAGGCATCGCGTCCGAAATTCAGTTACAAACTCAACCGCCAGACATTAAATCACCAAGGCCGGACACGATGCCCACAAAAAGGAAAACACTGTTGGAACGCGCCAAGGCGAAAGAGCTGAGGCAGGCAAAGCGCATCGAACGCTCCTACACCCGCGAACGAAAGATCGAGGTGCTGATGTATCTTCTTAACCACCGAGTTCCAGATGTCCGCGCCCGCAGGTTCCCCCGTCGCCGCATCGGCCAGCCACACGAGGGAGAGTCAAGTCAGCAACTGATAGTTCAGGAGGATCACGGCGACCATATCTGGTACCGCGCCCCAACCTATTCCGAGGCCTCGGAGTTTTGGAATATTCCCACGCCGACCATCCAGGGATGGTGGGATGCGCGCAAGAAGCTTCTCGAAGGGACCGGCGTTGAACTGCCCGAGCTGGCAACGACGGGCGCCTCTCCGGTGCTGAACGACGGAACGACCCAACCGACATCCGGAGCTACGGACCGGGCTCAGGGAACAGTCCCGGGAGAAAATGTGGGGGGACAGTCCGGCCGAGCTCCGGCCGAGAACGGGGCGGCACCGACCATGTCCGGTCCCGTACCACCTCCGAACCCTCGCCAGAATGGAGCCCCTTCAGCGAACGGGACATCCCTGCCCGATGGCGACGGGATATTGGCACCCAATACAAGCGAGGCGCGAACTTCTGCTGCCCAACCGGCACCGACCGGGTCCGAGCAGCACCCGGCCGCCCCCGCCGCCCAACGGCCGTCGGCGAACGTGGCACGACCGGCTCCACGGTCGGCTGCACTGGGGTCCGCTCCTGAAAAGACCATCCCCCGAAAACGCAAAAAACAAACTGCACCTACCCCTCCTCCACCACCCCTCGTGCTACCCGCTGCGTTCAACCCAGCAAACTATATCGTTGTTTACGTTGGGCCGCCGCCGGGCCCGATGCCCGGCCAACATTGCCTACACCCCGGGGCCATACTACCTGTGGTATACTCCGGTCAGACCTTGGATGTACCGCCAATGAGTTTCGTCTCAGTGTTCCCCAGTCATCCCCCGGGTCCCGGGTCGCAACCGCCGCCGCCACCCCCGAATGCAACATACGTTGGAGGGAATGTTTACCTCGACCCACCACCACCCGTTCCTCCTCCCGGCCAGCATATTCCACACGGGCCACCGGGGCCCCATCCACCTCCGTACCAAGGCCAACCGGTAATGCCACATGGCCCGCACCCACCCCCGAATCCCGGCCAGCCCCCGGGATCTCGCGGAGCGCACCCTCCACACGAACAGTCAGGCCACCCACCACCACCACCACCACCATCACAACAACAACAACAAAAACAACAACAGAGCGCGCTGTCACGACCTCAGGGCGCTCGCCCTAGCGATTCTCGCACAGAGCGACCACAACCACCAGCAGGTCATCCCGGCCCTCCCACGAAACACATCCCACCCCTACAAGGCCCCTACATGGGGCCTACCGGCTATCTCACACCTTACGCTCGACCAAACTTGGTCCCTAGCCCACCTGTGCCGACAAACCCTCCGCCTAATGTTATGATCGAAACCGGCCGCCCGCAGGCGCCAGCTGTGCAAACATCACCAGCGCCTGCAGTACGGGGCCCACAGCCAACACCCACAGCAAACGCGGCGCCGTCCCAAACGACTACGGCACCCGGACCACCGCCACCAGCAGCCCACAGACAGCCTCCACCCGCGCCACATGGCTCGCAGGCCGTCCAAATCGAACCCTCTGCATCGGCGACGCCGAACCAACCACCGGGCGTAGCACGGGCTGAAAATCACGTCCTAAATACCGCGCCCGAAAGCGCGCCTGCCGCGCCGGGCGCGAGCGCGACATCGCCGGCACAGGCACAGCAACAACAGCAACAACAGCAACAACAACAACATCAACATCAACAACATCAGGAGCCGGAGGGTGGGCGTACAGACGCATCGGCGCCCGAAGACCAGGGCCTCGCACCGTCATCGCCCAACATGGACATCGACACCGACGACGTGCCCAGCGGCGAAGAAGCAGCAGACGGCGCCGGGGGTAGTAGTGGCACCGATGATGGCGAGCGCGATTCGCTCTTTGAGTCGGCGACGTCGACGCCTGCGCTTTGAGCCTTTTTCTGATATGTGACGGTGGAACGTGACTGCTGCCCGAGGGGGACTGCCTGATTTTGTGCATGCGTAGAAAGGGCAGAGGGAAGTATAGGTAGTTTTTAATGTTTGAAAAGCTGTGATTTATTAGGGTTGTTTGTTTTAGAGTAAGTGGCGTTTGCAAAAGATACCATAGGGTTACGGGTAGTTAAGTTAGAGGGGTGTTGTTTACTTCAACCTCGGGTTATACGCCAATAATATACTGAGCTAATTAGGACATGAATGGTTGACTAAGTCATCAGGGGTTTGTTTACATATCGAACAGATCATAGAAATACTGCCCCGTTCTTGAGATATCGCAGCGTCAACACAGAAAATTCGAATCAATTCACCCTTTTCTGGCCCCTCACCCCCTAAACACCAACAGAAGAATATATCACCAACAAACATCCAAGCCCATCCATCCATAGGTACTCATCCTACACAACCCCCTCTCAACTACGAAACTACTCAACTACGAAACATCCACAAACCCCCTCTTCCTCCCCCCACCCTCCTCCTTCCCCGCCTCCTCCCAATTCTCATCCACATACTCTTTCACATCCCGCTCGCGCATCTGCATGCCGACCACGCGCAGCGCGGCAATGTTATACCCCATCTCGTCCTTCTGGCGGCGCAGGGCGCGGCGCAGGTGGGCGCGCAGGGCCTCGAGCGTGGCGCGCATGGTGCGGCTGGCGACGACCTGGCGGTGGTGGGTCTTGAGCATGAAGAAGAGGATGCGGCAGGTGAGGGGCACGTTCATCTCGCGCGCCGCGAAGAGGTCGAGGAAGGTGAAGAGGGACGGGACGGCGGCGAAGGGGAGCACGAGCAGCGCGTCGTGCAGGGCTGATGCCTTGATGCGCTGGAGCGTGTTGAGGACGTAGGTCTCGGCGGTGATGTTGCCGAGCGCGATGAAGATGGGGTTGCGCTGCGGTGGCGCCATGGCTGGGTTGGTTTGGCGTGCCTCGCGCCACTCGCGCAGGGTGTTGAGGTCGGCCATGCCCAGTTCGAGTGCCTCGGCGATGCGCTCGCCGGCCATGAGCGTCTCGACGGTTTGTTTGGAGGCCGCAGCGACTTCGCGGTCTTGGTCCTGCTCGTCAGGGTCTTGTTCGAGGGAAGTGGTGAGGGTGGATTCGTAGAGCTCTTCGAGCTCTTTCTCGCGTTCTTCTTCGAGGAAGATTTGTTCGTCGGTTTCTTCCCATACGCGGATACTCTTGTCGTGACTGGCCGAGATGAGGGTGTTGCCGACGTGGCTGACCGCCAGGGCCCAAATCTCGCCGTGGTGGCCGTCAATGCGCTGGATCTGCTCGAACTTGTCGGCGTCCCAGTACTTGATGGTGCGATCCTTGCTGGCGCTGAAGAAGTGGTGGCCGTTGCCGTCCGAGTTGTGGGGGATGAAGGCGACCTGCAGGATACTGTCTTGGTGGCCGAAGAGGGCTTTGTGGCAGTCACCAAAATCGAGGCCCCAGATCCGGATGTTCTTGTCGGCCGAGCTGGTCACGATAAGCTTGCTATCGTACGATATGTCCATACTGAGCACGGGTAGCTTATGGCCGTAGAGGTTAAGGTAGAGCTTCAGGCTGTCGACGAAGAAGACCTTGACGGTGCTGTCGAGTAGAGCGACGGCTATTAGTTTTGCGTCGGGCGAGAACCGCAAGCTGAGAATGTCGTCGGATACCTTTAATATCCTTGACTGAATGAGTTTCAGCTTTGGTGTTGTCCTGGTCGTGCCCAGTACTTGCTCCTGGACGATCTTGAAGTCCCAGAACTTGGCTGTCTTATCCGCTCCACCGGACACCACCGATTTGCCATCCGGGTGGACTTGTAGTGACCAGATGGCGTGACCGTCATGCGCGTCGACCGTCTCCAGCAATGCTGCAGAGGCGACATCGTACAGTTGGAGATCCCCCTCCTTGGTACCCACAACCACCACCTTGTCTCCTGGGAGGAAGGCGCAGCAAAGCGCGTAACCGCACTCAAACGTCCGGATGCAGGCTTGGGTCTTGATATTCCAGATCTTCAGGGAGCCATTTGCGGCCGAAGCCAGCATCTTGTCGTCGGAGCTGATGGATAGGGAGCGGATATCTGTGCGGTGCCCTGGGAGTTCAACACCCAACGCCTTGTTGTAATCCGGGACATCGCCCTTTGACTTCAGCTTGTCTCTCCCGACGATCGTGTACAACTCGAGCAGGTTATTTGTCGACCCAACAAGCAGTTGCAGATCCTTCTTCCCCTGGTTGGCAACCCAGTCGACTGACCTCACCTTACCCGTTGTCCTGACAATGACATGCTGCACCACCATGTCGGAAATATCAGCCTCGGTGATGTCGTCGGCCTTATCCTCGGCATCGTCCATTTCCTGATCCCCGTCCGTTTTCTTGTCTTTGGCCAGCTTCTCTCTCCTCCTCTTCTTCTTCCTCGCCAGGCTTTTCTTGATCTCAGCTTCATTCCGCATCCTCCAAATCTCGACCGATTTTTCAACCCCGTGTACCGCGAAATAGTCTCGCCGAGGGTGGAAGATGACCTCAACGGCCCTCTCCTTGCTGTTTCGGTGTAATGTCCCCTTCTCTCGAAGAAAGTTGATGGATTGTGAGAGATCGACCTTTTGCGCAGACGACGCCAGAGCAGTCGCATCCAGTGCCCATACTGTCATCTCGCCGTCGTTGCCGGCCGTAACGCATACGTTGAAGTCAGGGGTCACACCCAACGCCCAGCACTCGCCGTTTGTTTGCGCAACGTGTGTCTCGATGCAATGGCGCGAGGTGAGATCCCAGAGTTTGATGAGCGCATCCTTCCCGGTCGTCAAGAGGAAACCCTCAGCCGCCTCGTTGTCTATTGCCATCAGGGCCTGCTCCTCCTCGCCCTCGCCCTGCAATACCGGGTCTGGTTCGACGAAGTGCAACCCCGTGACCTGGTCCTTGTGTCCACGCAACTTGTATTGCCCAACCTCAGCGACGAGATCCCAGACGATAACATCGGTGTCCTTGGCGCCGCTGGCGAGGCGCACGCCCGTCTTGTCGAAGGCGAGAATGGTGATGGCCGACTTGTGCCCGTTGAAGCTCACCACCGAAGTGGCAATCTTGCTGTCCCAAATGCGGATGCTGCCATCTTCGTAGCCGACCGCGAAAACATCCGGATCGGTCCTGCTCTGGGCGATGGCCGTCACCTTGGCCCTGCAGTTCTCCTCCCGCCAGCGGCTTAGCAGCTCGCCCTTCTTGATGTCCCATACGAGGACCTCCTCATTGGCGGCGACTATTGCCTGGCCGGCACCAGCGCCCGCCTTGCCCCTAGATGACCAAACGAGGTTCGAGTTGGTGGATGCGACGACGCCGAACGATTTCGAGGGCTCGAATTTGCTAGAGAAGTTAGGAAAATGCGAATGAATATGGGGGCTAAATATATGGGTTATATCTCGGGGTATGGTTGACAACTTACAGGTAGGATTTAACCATGTTGGCGACCGGGCAATGCCAACTTCCAATCCGACTGCAAACCCGTGTCAGTCGCTCTCAATGGGTCCTGCCGTCGCGAACTCAGTGGGATGTTCTTCAACTTTTTTTGGCAGCGATAAGATAAGGTGAGGTTCACGGCTCGAGCGGCCACCTGCAGGAAGCGCACGAGCCACAACTGCCCCAAAGTTATGTGGCTCACATTGGAATGCGGGGCAAGTTCCAGCTTCAGGGGACCAGGGGGGCTTTGGCAGCCTTCCCGCCACAACGTCAGCTCCCAGTTGATGGCGGCCCCACCACAGCTTGCGCCGACAACCACGACTCGATTTCTACCAGACGACAACTTACGAGCGCGCCATTGAACCAAGCGTCTGTTCAAGATGTTGCTGCTCGACTACCAGAATGTGCTGATACAATCGGTGTTCACGGAGCGCTTCTCCGGGTGAGTTGTGGTGCCCTCTCCAGCATGCGCCAGTGAACGAACGACGCTGACCCTCCTCCTCTTGCCCAACCACCAGAGCAGCGCCCGTGTCCATCGATCAGACCGTCTCCGATTTCGATGGCGTCACCTTCCACATCTCGACCCCCGAGTCGAAAACCAAGATCATGGTATCAATCCAGATCCGCTGCTTCCCAGACTTGCTCCGCTACGGCGCCGAGGAGGTCCTCAACCGCGAGTACGGGTCCTACGTTGTCCCGCCAGAACCAGGCTTCGACTTCTCCATATTGATCGACCTGGAGAATCTGCCCGCTGAGCAGGGTTGGTACCATCGCCATCATACACACCGCACGCGCTGATAGTGGTCGCAGAGGCACGAGACGAGCTGATCAAGAGCATCTCCTTGCTTAAACGCAACGCCATGGCCGCCCCGTTCGAGCAGGCTTACCAGGAACACTATCACCTCAAGCAGGAAGCCGCCAAGTTTACCTCCGAGGAAGCGCCCCAAGGCGTGCGTGAGGGCGGCGAGGTCAAGGCGATCCACTACCGCGAGGAGGAGGCCATCTATGTCAAGGCCAGCCACGACCGTGTCACGGTCATCTTCAGCACAATTTTTAGAGAGGAGACCGACCGCGTTTTTGGCAAGGTCTTTATTCAGGAATTTGTCGACGCCCGCCGCCGCGCCATTCAAAACGCACCCCAGGTGCTGTTCCGCAACGACCCCCCGCTCGAGCTACAGGGAGTGCCCGGCGTGAAGAACACCGGCACCGGCGAGATTGGCTACGTAACATTTGGTATGCACATGTGCCAGATAAAAGTGAGCTCGTTTCTAACAGTGTCAAGTTCTCTTCCCCCGCCATCTCACGCCCCAGCGGATGCCCGATGTCATCTCGCATATCCAAACCTTCCGTGACTATTTCCACTACCACATCAAGGCCTCCAAGGTATGTAAGATCCTAGACCGTGCTTTGACATAGCTAACTTGCCTAGGCATACATCCACTCCCGCATGAGACGGCGGACGGCAGACTTCCTCCAGGGTGAGACGCCTGTGTCCTTCGACTACTACTCAGAACTAACCGTGTCCCAGTTCTCCGCAGAGCCAGGCCAGACAGCGAAGAAAAGGAGCGCAAGACAGCAAGCGGGAGGACCTTCAAGGCGGGGAGCTAAACAAACTCCAGCACATATAGACGGACGACGAATGATGATAGCCTGCGCCATTACAACAAAAATACTCATAACTACGTGCTACTCGTCGCCAATCTGTTGTTTTGCTTCTATAAAAACCGCTTGATTAAACCCGACGTCACTTCTCCGAGTATTAACACCCCAGCATTACTTAAGTAAACACCTAATAGCACCACGGCCTCGCCTTATACCGCTCATTCTCCTCCGGCCGCCCCTCCACCGGCACCTCCACCTCCCCCGGATTGATATACCACGACGGATCCCCACTCGTCTGCGTCACACTATTCCCATTCCCAAGCCACCCCAACCCATTCCCACCCCCCACCCCATCATCACCATCACCCCCAACACTCTCATAAACCCAATCCTCCCACCTCGGCGCCCTCAACGCCTCCAACGCATGCAGCGTCGACCCCGGCCACAACCCCACCACCTTCCCCCCCCTCCGATACCAACTCCGACACCCATCCACATACACCGTCCTCGCAAAATACCCGTCCACATACCCCATAAACCCCCGCACCGCCCCGGCCGCAGGCTCCATGCTCACATAATCCTCCCGCTGCAATTTCCGCACCGCGCGCACTGCATACGCGACAGATGCCTCCAGCATGGTCGTCAGGCTGCCGCTGCCGATGGCTGAGTTGGGGCCGAAGAGCATGAAGAGGTTGGGGAAGCCGTCTACGGCGAGGGAGAGGTAGGTTTCGGGGCGGGCGTGCCAGCGCGTGGAGAGGGGGAGGTGGCTGCGGCCGTGGATGGGGAAGGGCGGGGAGGTGGAGGGCGTGAAGCCCGTGGCGCAGATTAGGGTGTCGAAGAGGTGGGTTGTGGTTGTATTGGTGGCGGTGGGGGGTGTGGTAGTGGTGTTAGTAGTGGTGGTGGTGGGAGTGGGATTAGTGGTGGTTATGCCGGAGTGGGTGATTTCGGTGATGGTGTTGCTGACTACGTTGACGTTGGGTTCGAGCAGGGCTTCGAGGAAGCCCTTTCCTGGTGTTAGGCGTCGGCAGCCTGGCGCGAAGGACGGAATCAGTAGGGAGAGGAGGTCAGGGCGGGTTTGCAGCTTGGCGTGCATTGCTTGGTGGAAGGCTGCCTGGCATTCTTGCTGCATGGCTGTACCGCGGATGGTGCTGTCGTGGATGAGGTTGCCGCTGGTTTCGAAGACCTTGCGGAGCTTGAAGAGGGCGTCGGGGTCGGCGGCGAACTTGTGGCGCTGCTCGGGGGAGACTGGGCAATGTTGGTTATGGTGTAGAGGTTAAGAGAGGACTGGTTGACGGCTTACATGTTGTGTCGGAGGGATCCAGGCCTAGCTCAGTCATGGCATCGTCTCCAAAGGCAGACGAGATCCAGGTTGGTGACCGCATGAAGCAGGTCAGCTGGGTGCCCTCGACCTTTTGCAGGTTAGGGATAATCTGGATGGCGCTTGAGCCGTTGCCGATAATTCCGATCCGCTTGTTGCGGAGGTCATAGCTATCATTCTTTAGTTGGGTGCCCCGTTTAACCCAGTGACATAAAAGCCTACCTCGTATCCCAGTCCCCTGAATGCATGACCTTACCCTGGAACTTGTCGAGCCCGGGGATGTCCGGCCATGATATGTTGCTAAGCTGCCCTCGAGCAGTTATGAGGACATCCGCTACGTCCTCAAAAGTCTCTCCGGTACCGATATTGATAACTTTGATCTTCCTGTTTCCCGTCAGCTCAGTAAATCTAGACTTGGGGGGCTAAATTCACCATTTCTTCTCAACATCATCCCACTCGCAGTGCTCGACCTGGTGGCGCGTCTTGATGAACCTCGTTGCGCCAAATCTCTCTGCCACGTCTTGGAGATATTGTTGGATCTCGGCCCCGGGGGCATATAAATTACTCCAGTTTGGATTGGGAGCGAAGGAGTATTGGTATGAGTGGGCTTCAGGAATTGGTTAGCTGTTTGACATGTCAACCCTTGAGCAGACGACTTACATGGGATGTCACAGGCAACTCCTTGCAGTGAAGGTTAGCATCTATCAAGCCATCCTCGATCACAAATACGGCTCATACCAGGATATTTGTTCAGCCACCTGCAATTATTAGACGCAGTCTTTACAAAAAGGGGCGCACGTACCAAACTCCGCCAACGGCCTCATTCTTCTCATAGACCACCAACTCAACATTCCTCAGCCTCTCGGGGATTCTGATAGCAGCGAGGATACCCGAAAAGCCGGCCCCAATTACGACCACCCTAAATGGCCTGAGATTCTCGATGGGGGCGTCCTTGATGGTGAACCCCTCGTCCAGGTCCTCGTCGTAGCCGTTCACGGTTGGGATTTCGCCCATGATGTATTGCTAGTTTGATCTGACTCGTTGCGTATTGTCGTTCCACCGTACTATTCTATTAAGTCTTGGATTGTAAAATAGTTTGACTCCCACGAAGCAAGTGAGGCTTGGGAACCGTTCAAGTCCCAGTCAGACCACGTTACGACCGAGGTTAAAGCACATATATATCGAACGTTCTAGCCCACATCTTACACCATCCATTTATACCCTTCATATCGACCCATGGTTTCGTGTCATACAAGCCCATACTCCAATGCCGGGTCAAATACCCGACACAATAACCGCCGAGTAACCTCAACCTAGATGCCGACTGGGAGAGCAGCGGGGAATCACCAGGGCCCCATCCACCGTCTCATCATCGTATTGTGTAAGAGCTGACACACAGCGCTAGAGTGGCTCCCCCTCCCAACCCCGAGCGCTAACTGGTCCCGGACCAATCCCTTCCTCCTCGGGCGAGCAGCTGGCGAGTCTCGACGAGGAGGTCGTCTTGCGATTAGTTCGCATCACCCCCATCTGAGTCGTGGCTGTGGAGTCTAGTGTGAGGAACTTCCCCGGATCTTGGCTACCCCCTTCCCCCGCAACTGCCGATCCGCCCGCAGGACGACGAGGTCGGCAAAGCACACCCGTTCGAGACAGTGGAGGCGACATCCTACCTATCGGTCCATTGCATTGGAGAGAGGATCCAGGTTTCATGAATTATATTGTATTCAAGCCTCATACGGAGGGGGCTATGTATAATGTTTCATCTATAATCCACAGGACTGCTCGACACACCATGAGCCCGCCGGTACGGGCCGTTCTTTCTGCCACCATCTTGGTTTTCTTCTTCTTTTCTTTTCCCGGGAGGACCGGACGCAAATGGGTATCATAATAATGATGTGCGCCAGACAATGCAGCGAATGGACGATAAGGGCGGGGGCGCAGGCAAAAAAACAGCATCATAGCTCGATGAAGTCCTTTTGCTCTGCGAAATCAAGGCCACCGTTTTCGTCTTGGCCAATGAACTCGTCCACCTCATCCGAGTCGACATCGTCCTCGTCGATCGACTCGCCGTCATCATCGCTGGAAAGATCTGCCATCTCTTCATCTCCGTTTCCTGCGCTGGACAGATCCCGCCCGCCCGCCGCTTTCCGGAGGACGCTTGCCCTCTCCCGATGCGGCAGCTTACACCCCTTAATCTTACAAACACCCGTGTTGCTGAAGTCGGGGCACTCGAAGACGTGGCGATCAGGGCAGTTGGCGGCCTTCTGACAATAGCCGTAGAAGCCGAAATCCCTGCACACTGGAGCAGCTGGTGACACTTTTACGTGGGTATACTTGCAGTCAGCCTTGGTGCAACTATCGCGGGCAAAGTGCAGGCAGGCCGGCGTGCGCTCGGGAATGAGGTCATGTGAGAGATCACAGTTGTCGCCGCTCGGGCATTCGCCCTGCTGCAAGAAATCCTTGCAAATCGCGACCCTGTGCGGGTCATGGACGTAGCGGCAGCGGGGGCCGTGGGTGCAGGCACCTGTCTCTCGGTTAGCGATCCTCCGGTGACTTACCGAGGCCCGGTCGGGGTGGTGTTGCTTGGGGCGTCGGTCGAGAAAAATGGAGTTACCCGTCATAGAAAACTGTTTGCAAGGCACGTTGACCTTTTTGACAGCGCCAGATTGCCTGCCAGAAAATCCTGGGGTCAGTTGTCCGGCCCCGAGGTTCCAGGGGACATACCGCTGCGCCTTCACAATGCCGTGGCGGTACAGGTTGCCGTTCTTGCTTCGATAGAACTTGACACCTCCCACGAGTGCCATCTTGGGGGTCGCCTTTGCCGAGTTGTTATCGCCTGCGCCAATGTGAGCATCCTGAGGAGTTGCCGTGTACGGTGGCGACGCACCGGGAGCCTTGACGAGCTTGCTGCCGTTCTTGACCACGTGGAACCGGACGCCCTGGACGGTGATCTCGTAGTTGCCGGTGGCCTGCTGGTTAGCTCCCACAAACCCCCCGCTGTTTACCATACGATTGATATGATTTGTCAGCTTAGCACGCTCTTGCCTGTCTCTGAGAGCAAGCTTCTGGCGACGGGTCTGCTCAATGGCAGCGGCTCGCGCTTGCGCGTCCTTGGTGTAGACGTTTGTGTTGATCAGTTGCAGGTGGCGGTCGTTCTTCGTCACCCACGACGAGGTGGATGCATCCGATGTAGTTCCCGATTCGGCATCTCCCGACTGGTTCTGCTGGGTCCCGCCATTCAAAACCAGGCTTCTGTTGCGGTAAACGGGCATCCGAACGCTGGAATGGCCGCCACGATGAGGGAACCCGCCGCGGCGCCACCCAGTCGAATAACCAGCGTCTTGAAACGCGTCAGTCCGAACGCGGTCACCATACGGTCGGCCGGTCGACATACTATGATGCGTTCGAACATGGCGAGCGGGCCCGACGCCGGCCTGTTGATTCCTGTGCCGATTGATTTGACCAGCCAAACGGCCGATTCTCTCCATCATTTCTCGATCCTCTATCGACGACATCGTGATAGATTGATGGATATCTACGCTTGTCGATATCCGAAGTGTTGTGGATTGTGACGATGCCGAGTTTGCAAATCGTGCGATGTTTGTTACGAAGGTGCGAGAAATGACCAGCGGTGTTGTGGCGGGGCATTCGAACAAAGAAGTGCGGGTGGCGTTCAGAATGCACGCACGTGCCCAGTGCCGGCTGCGCTTTGACGCAGATGCTTGGCGCTTGGCCGAAGCACCAATCAACAGTCATTGCGCCTGGGGCGTTTGCTCTCTGACCTCACAGGCTGAAGCTCAGCCTTTCAACGTGCAGGCTACAGGTTGCAGCATTCACTGATTCCCGAACCTTACTTTATTCTTGAACCACGTCCTCTTTCTCTTTACCAGCAACAACGGTAATAACCGCCGACTCTGACGAACCCGTTAAATCGCCACTACTATACTCGACAAATTGAAGATGGCCGAGCCCCAGATCAAACCCGACCCCGATGCGGGCTCGCCTTTCATGGACGAGGTTGACGAGACCCCAGACCTGGAATTCTTCGACAAGCTACCCGACGCAAATTCGTACAACCGCATGTATCTTACACGCCTGCCGGGTTATGTCTGGGAGGCTTGGTCGAAACTTAGCGATGATGACGAGATCGAGATTGGAACAATCCGCCAATTCACGGACGAGAATGGCAAAGAAGTCAGCATGCTTCCGGTTGGAAACCCCCGTTGTACGACGACTAACCCTTGCCTCTAGAAATTGCAGATGCGCCTCAAACCGGAAATGGCCGCCCATAAAGAAGTGCCCAAAGAGTACGACATGGACGTTTCGAACCACGATGTCAACAACACCTTCGTCTTCACCGAGCAGGACCTGCCGAGCTACGCTGCTAAGAACAAAGAGCGGGCCGCAGCCCTGGCCCAGGGCATACCTGCGCACCTCCTGCGGAAGCAACAAAGACAAACAGAGCAAGCTGCCGACCGGGGTAGAAAAGGCGCACCTTATTCCCGTAGACCTATTCCAAGTCGGTGCTTCCATGCCCTCGCCGGATCAACGCATCGTTGCTAACCGAAAACGCAGAGAAAACCAGGATTGCGGGAAGAATTAAGCATGAGGTGGTCTGCACGCCGGTACGAAACGCCGAGGCCGACAGGTTTTTGTCCATCCGCGCAGAGGCCGCGCAGAAGCCACAGAAGAAGGTGACGATGCTCCACGGCATTCCACCTTCTGGGGATACCACCAACCCCCATGAATGGGACGACTTCCTCGTATGTGGCCCCGACCCTTTTCTAACCGGCCGCCTCGCTGACACATGGTACAGAAAACGCGCGAGAAGCCGACCAAGGCCAAGAAGATGGAGAACAAGGCGACCCGCTGGCCCGAGAACCAGCTCTTGGATGCGATCGCCAGGTGTTTCTCGGAGCACAAATACTGGTCCATCAAGGCCTTCCGCGGCAAGATTCCGCAGCCCGAGGCCTACCTGCGCGAGACTCTCGAGAAGGTGGCGGTTCTCCACCGTTCTGGCACTTTTGCCAACCACTGGTCGCTCAAACCCGAGTACCAGGGCATCCTAGCCTCGTTACCTAAACCGGCGGATGATGCGGCTGTGCCAAAGGCGGATGCGCCGTCGGATGATGAGGATGACGATGACATCAAAATGGAGGATGTCTTGTAATGTCTCGGGGCTTGAGCTCCGGTTGGGTTCGGTGCGGCGTTATCGGGAGGGGATCTACTTGGTTTGCTTTTACAGAAGGTCTCAGGGCCATTGATGATACCCTTGAACAGAAAATAAAGCGAGACATGTGACGTGGATAGTGTGATGCTGCTGGGTTGCCGCCGACGGGCATCCAACTACCAGCACCAGAAAGCCACCGCCAGCTGTCTGTCTCAGTGAATTGTGGGGTCCGAACCGTTCCCAACGAGCCAGCCTAACATTTAAATAACCAAGGTAGGTAGTTTATCCAAACAATCGTGCAATCCACCTATTTCCTTACCTTCCACCAACACCAACATACCCTCCTCCAAGTCCATTCCCACACCCAGCAAACACCCTTCATTACCTAAGCAAACCGCCACAAGATCACCACCAACCACACCACCACCACCACCACCAAAAGCAAATCAACCCCACCACCCACCATGCCCCCCAACAACAACAACCTCCTCCTCCTCCTCGACTTCGACACCACCATAACCCAATCCGACACCCTCGCCTCCCTCGTCACCCTCTCCATCGCCGCCCTCCCAGCCACCACCCCAGCCCAAAAAACCGCCCTCACCAACCTCTGGTCCGAGATCGTGCGCGACTACCTCGCCGCCCACGCCGCCCACCGCGCCGCCTACCGTCCCCCCGCCGAGGAGCGCACCACCCTAGCTGAGGAGCTGGATTTTCTGGAGAGTGTGGCCGGGGTGGAGCGGGCGTCGGTTGCGAGGGTGGGGAAGGCGGGGTTCTTTCGGGGGTTGGATGAGGGGGTGTTGGAGGGGGTTGGGAGGAGGGCGGTTGCGTTGGGGAGGGGGGAGGGTGGTGATGAAAATGGGGATGGGGATGGGGATGGGGATGGGGAGGTGGAGGTGGGGGTGAGGGTGAGGAAGGGGTTTGGGGAGTTGTTGGAGAGGTATGGTGATGGTGGAAAGGGGTGGGATGCGGCGGTGGTGAGTGTGAATTGGTCGGGGGCGTTTATCAAGGGGGCTGTGGAGGCTGGGAGTGGAGGGAGGGGGATAAAGAGAGTGGTTTCGAATGAGATTGGGTTTCCTGACGGGATGGTTGAGGGGCCGCCGGAGTTGGGCAAGAAGCCGCTCACCACAGCGGGGGATAAGTTGCGGGCGATGGAGTCGTTGAAGACGGGGCTCGCGGAAGAAAGGGTGGTGTATTTTGGGGATTCCGCGACGGATTTGGCGTGCTTGGTGGGAGCGGACTTGGGGGTGATCATGGCGGACGATGGGGAAACTAAGCTGTTGAAGTTATTGGCGAGGATAGGGTTCGAGGTGCCGCATGTGCAAGAGGCTAGGGAAGGTGATAAGTTGGTTTGGGGAAGAGACTTCGAGGAGGTCCTTCGGAGCGGTGTTTTGGAGAGGATATGACCGACCGCTGACTCCTTTACTACCTATTTCACCTATACACCAGGAAACAAGATGGTGTGAGATACTTCTTCCGGCTGTCTTACAACCACATCAACCCAATTCCCCGTTTATCAACCTACATAATACGATACACTTCCTGATGCTACCATTGCCTCGTTCTCATATTCGCTTCTGTGGGTTATCCGCAAAATCTAGCGGGGTGAAGGTTATTGTCGAGCTTCCCGATTCATAGCGCCGAAACAAAGGCAATTCCCTAGGTACCTCATCACAACTACGAGGCGGCACCACAATAGATAAAGAAGCACTTTGGTTTGTTCCCTAGTGCGTAGACGCACAGAACAATGGGTCTCGGTGAGCAACAAGATCTATGTCATAGCCGAACAACCGTACCCTTCTTGGTAGGTATATAACACAGGCCTCAGCTGCTCCAGTTGAGCAACTGCTCACTGCCTGCCGTGACACTTGCCGCCACTTACAATCTTTGACCACCACCATGTGCTTCCATCGCCGCCTCATTTATGACTGCGTCCACCACGTCTGGGCGGGCATGACTCAACCCTGCGAGGTCGAGGAGGCATTCAACCGCGGACGAGTTAATATCGGCTGCAGCCAGCGGTGGTCGCACGCCTACGACACGAGACGCACCCAATTAAAGTGTCCCAAGTGCGCCGAGAAGGAAAAGGGATGTGTTACTCGGATAGGCGCCGCCAGAGACCAAATAAAGGCACTCAAGGAGCTGCTCAAGGCAATTAAAGGTGACACGAAGATCAAGGACGAGGAGTGGCTCAACATGGACTCCGTATTAAAGAAAAGCAAGCCAGATACCATGGACGGAGTAGAAACCTCTTCAATGGATGAAACTAACGATAGCTCCGACGATGAGTTTCGGAACATGGAAGAGGTAAGAGTAGACCCCAAACACTGGGCCATGAAGTTGCCCTTGATCATTGCTGCGCAGAAGGTGTAGGCTGGTGGGAGGCTGGTGCGGTGCTGCGTCAGCGCAAGTATACTCAAATTATTCGTTAGAAGGTTTAAATTATAAGTAGTAGGCTCAAAGTGTCAAGTCGTTCAAATAAAAAATTGTTGGAAACTTTTATGTATCTTCACCTGCTAATGTTGTGAACAGGGAAAAGGCAATGTTCGTCGGCGGCAAGTCGATATCGATAAATAACCCCAACCCTGAAGTGCATGGAGGGGCATGAGGGGGTTGGTCAATCCACAAAGCCGTCTCCGGAATCCACACACAATTGCCGGCTGCAACCGACGACCGACCCTGACCGCCCAAGCCAGCCCCCGTGATCGAACCACCATGCCATAATCCCTTTCGCCGAGCGTTTTGAATGACGACGGTCATTCAGAACCCGACCCCACGACTACAATCAAGCTGCAGATGACGGGTAACGACCAACCGAGGGCCTGGATGCCGTTCGGAACAAAGAAAAACGACTCCTGGACCGACGCCGTCCGACACCATCTCAGCATCCCCCAAAACTGGATCCTTCCGGTAGCCGCCGTGGCCCTCACACTAGGGACCCGGACCTTCTACCAATCCTACCTGCGCCGCCTCCCCGACATCGGTCATATCACGCCCAATTTCTTCCGCCGCCGCAGCCTGTTCGGCAAGGTCACAAGCGTTGGAGACGGCGATGGCTTCCACCTGTTCCACACCCCAGGCGGACGGCTAGCCGGCTGGGGCTGGCTTCGGCGCGTGCCGACGGACAGAAAACAACTCAAAGGCCAAACAGTGAGGCTCACCCACCACCCGCAACCAACACCCCTCCACCTCCACCCCCCACTCACCTAACAACCCCTCCCCCCACTTTCACAGATCTCGATCCGCATCGCGGGCGTCGACGCGCCCGAGGGGTCGCACTTCGGGCGGCCGGCGCAGCCGTACGCGGCCGAGGCGCTCTCCTTCCTCGACAGCTACCTGCTGGGGCGGCGGGTGCGGGTGCACCTGCACCGGCGCGACCAGTACGAGCGGGTGGTGGCGACGGCCTACGTGCGGCGCGCGCCCTTCTTCGTCCCGCGCCGCGACGTCGGGCTCGAGATGCTCCACCGCGGGCTCGCGGTTACCTACGAGGGTAAGACGGGCGCCGAGTTTGGTGGGGCCGAGATGGAGGCGCGCTATCGCGAGGCGGAGGCGGCGGCGAAGAAGAAGGGGGTCGGGTTGTGGGGGGTGGTCGGGGGGAAGAAGAGGAGGGAGTTGGAGAGCCCGATGGAGTATAAGAAGAGGATGAAGGCGCTGGAGGGGCAGAAGGGGGCTGCGGTGGGGAAGGCGTGAATGGATTGTGGGGATGGTTTATGATACCCATGAGAATGAGCTAGGAAAGGGTTGGATGGTGATATCATGGCGGCTTTTGTGAACTTGATTTGAGCATAAACGGAAGCGGCTCGTACATAGAAACCAACGGGCATTGCTCAGGAAACAACATGCGCGGGGTATGCACCCTTCCTCGTGGGCGTGCTGCATCTTAAAAGGCGACCCCTGCATATAGGACGGGATTCCATGGTGCGGACGATCCGGCTACCGGGCGTGCTTGGATATCTGGGCATCATATTTGGCATGACGCGCGCGGGCATGTTCAGCACCCGGTATCAGGGCTGGTCTACGGCGGTTGGTGTGTGATCTTCACAGATCTGGTCGCGGTGAGGGGTACTCGCAGCCAGAAAGGCGGAAACATCTGCCCCGCCTACCTCTGATTATCCCCAGTTCTGCCTCTAGGTCATGCCTTAGTTCCAGGTAGCCGCATGTTTGGTTGATGAGAACGAGGAAGGAAAGAAAACAAGCGCAAGCAAAACGAATATAAACCAACTGTTTTCCGCTCTCGACTCTGATCGTCGGCATTTTCCTTTTACATATTTTTTTCGTCTCTTTCCATTGTTATTTTCCTCTCAGGTTGTCTTAACACCCTCTGTCCCATCTTTTCCATTGAGTCCTCATCTTAGCCCATCACGGTTTCAAGGTTTTGGTGTTGAAGTTCAGTGCCTCAGACAGGCGCCAGTGCAACCGCTGCGGAGACTCCCACGTTGTCAATGGGATGCAAGGGGTTCGAATTCCCCTGCCGAGATGCATATCACCCAATGGCAACCCGTCCCGAACTGCGCCATGAGCGGCCCCTGAATTCAACAAGCGGTGGGCCAGAACGGGCAGCTCCTCCCCTCTCTCTCGCGCTGTTTGTTTCCAACGAACCTTTGATCGTTTTCTCTCTTTGAAGCTTTTGGGGACAGCGACTGACGGACGGGGTCTACCACACTCCTTTTTGACCAACTCTGCCAATTGGTGACACTCTTTTCGCGCTTGCAAACTGCTCCCGGGATTTTGAAGCTGGCTCTGAGCTCCCGTCCCCCACACTCTTTTTCCTCGTGCGTTTATCTACAAAGTCGTCGTCCACGGTGCTCCTCGACCACGAAACAGTGTGTGCCCCTGATCCCCTTTTCCAGACCATCACGACAAGACCTCTGACCCCGACTCCCAGAACCTGGAATCGCATCCGACTGCAGCCAAGCCGCTCGCGTTACCTGCTAGTACCCGTTTCCGCGAAACACTCATTTTTCGAATCACCACAACCAGTGCATTCATTTCGCCTCCAGCCACCGCAAGCTCAGGTTTCGCATCTCACGACGCACTGTCTCAGGTTGTACACCACAACGACCTGCATTCGAGAGAGATTCAACAAGAGCGGTTGTGGCGGATCTTGATTGGCAATTTGAGAGTTGGTGATTCTGGCCGACCACAGCAACGGTTTCCCCACCAAGATCCATATCTGCAGCCTATCGATCCGAATTATCAGACGCCGAGTCAGGTTGGGAGGAAACCAAAGTGCAAACTTGCATCACCTCGAAACATTTTGCGGTGTTCCCCGTTTGAGTTGTGAACGCGAGGTACGTGCACCCCTCCGTCTGATTTTTTGGTTTCCCGCTTTTGGTTCCTGCGTGGGCATTGGCCGGGCGGCCACAGTGGACCGGCCGGGAGCCGTCATTATTACGCTGCAGAAGCAAATATCAATATCGAGCCGTCCCGGTCGGCCCTGGTTCTGACCTGTTTATGGGTTGCGTCGACCGGCCACCGATTTCTTGATGAGAATGCTGCGACGGTATGTTCGATGCTGACAGCGAGTGGCAGGATACCTCACTACGTCGGTATTTGACGTTGCGTGTCTCAGTTGCCAGGTACGAACCGACCGTTTCCTGCACTCACACTTCCATCCCATGTTTCTGGAACTTTTGCCTAGCCCGTTGTGGAAGAGCCGAACCCAGCTGACCAATTAGCGACCTCGCTGCATGGTTTCCAGGGTCGAGTCGACTCCGCTCAATCTCCGTTGCCATTTGTTAGCAGGATTGTACACGAGTGCGACTCCTGGCCGCGAAAACAGGCCTCTGGAGGCCCAACTCACGATTCATCGAGTCGGAGATTCGACCAAGTCATTCTCGACACCTTCGACGCTCGTTGTTTCTCGCCGCCGCCGACCGCGATATTATCGACTCCCGAACCAGACTCTGTCTGTAACCACATTCATTCAATTGTTACAGCCGACAGACCGTGTTCGTCATTAAACTACCTCGCGTTTCGGCCGAGCGATTTCGTGGACCAGCTCGTGCTTCGTGCGACGAGCTTCATTTACGGTAGCACGAAATCCCCCGCCACTCTAAAACGCCATTCTCGACGATACCCCGAGCTCGAGTTGCTATGGAATCCCGGTGTTGACAGCTTGGAACCGACAATATTTAATTGAGCAACTTGATTGCTCGTCGGTCCAAGCGAGGTGACTGTTCTCAGATCTCGACCAAGACGCGATGCGGTTACCCTTTGGGCGGCGCCGTGCCGCTCGCCACGATTTTCTTTCACCGATTCCACTCATCCTCTCATTATCTACCTTCGCGGCATCGCCAGCAGCCGCCATCTCGTTCACCCCCGTTCCCGCCCCGAACCTCGACCTCTCCCAGCTCGGCCGGGTTGTCCTAGCAGGAGATTTCTCAGGCATATCCTTGTACCAGTTCGAGGAACAGAACCAGCGCCCACCCAGGAACAATGGCAGCGAGCAGCTCCTCACGCGCATGCCGAACGGCCTCTTCGCGTCGATCGTCAATACCGACGCGACAATCCGCACCATGTGCACATTCAACACCGACAATGGGACCGTCGTTGTATTAGGTGGAAATTTTACCAGCATCAGGGGCCCCGACTCCGATGCGAAAGCCATGCAGTCGACTGCGATCGCCTTGTTCGACCCAGCCACTGCTGTCGTGACACCTCTGCCAGGTCTGTCCGGCCAGGTTAATGCCCTGCTCTGTGATCAGGACAAGAACACAGTCTATCTGGGAGGAAGCTTCGTTGGTGCCAACTCGACCAATGCGCTGGCGTGGGAGGGAGGGCGAGACTGGGTCAATCTGCCATTTGCTGGGTTTAATGGTCCTGTAACGTCCATCGCGAAAACGGCCAACGGGAACATCCTTTTCGGCGGCAGTTTCACAGGGCTCGGGAACGCGAGCACTCCGAGCACTCCCGATGGCCAGATCATCAACCTCTCGACAGCGAGCATCACCGGTGGCTCCTCGAGCACAACACCAGGGTTCAGCGACCCCAAGAACGTTATCTGCCAGACAAGCGGCGAAGATGGAGCGGGAAATACGTGGTTGCTGCAGGACAACGCCCCGGGCTTCTGGGATGCCAAATTTGGACACGGCTTTGAACCCACCAAGCTGCGCCTATACAACACACACCAGGACGGTAGAGGAACCAAGACTTGGCGATTCACGGCCATGCCCATCAACGGCATCATGAACTTCACCTACATCGATCCGGTGACGCGCCAGAATGCGAGCTGCACGAGCGAATGCCCGCTGAGCGACGACAAATCCATCAAGTTCCAGGACTTCCACTTCGTCAATGTGATCGGTATGAACGAGTTCCGCCTCGACATCTCGGCTTTCTACGGCAGCGGCGGGGGTTTGAATGGGATCGAGCTGTTCGCGGACGACATCTTGTCGTATGCCGTTAGCGATTTTAACGAACCCTCCTGCGCTGGGCTCGATTTCCCGTCAACAGCTACCTCGACCGGCCCGTGGACTGTCACACCCTCCCACTCAAGCACTGCGGAGTACCTAACCGCCCAACTTACTGCCCCGATCACCAACACCTCGGCGTCGGTGGTATTTACCCCTGATATCAGGGAGTCCGGCCACTACTCGGTCAACCTGTATACCCCCGGCTGTCTCCAGGACAACACTTGCACCACGCGCGGCCAGGTCAGGCTCACCGGGCAGATGACAGCCGACGCCACCAAGAGCACTCCCATCGACGTCGATCTTTACCAAACTAATAACTTCGACAAGTACGACCAGGTCTACTTTGGCTTCATTGACGCCAGCTCAGACGGGTTCCGCCCCCGGGTAACCATGACCCCCCTACCGGGCCAGTCCCTGACTCAAATGACATTCGTCGCCCAACGCATTGGCTTCACCTTGATTAACAGCACAGGTGGCCTGAACGGGCTCTACGAATATCCACTCGAGTCGACTGTTAACCCCAGCGACTTCATGAAGTCCGCCTTCAACCGCCTAGGAGCCAACTTCTCTACCGGCTCTGCCGTCAACGCTCTGGCTACGTCGCGCGATGCCACTTATATTGCAGGGAACTTCACCTCCGGCAACATGCGCAACATCATCGCCACGAAGGGCGATAATGCGGACGTCCAGTCTCTCGATGACGGGCTTAACGGCGAGGTCAAGTCGATGTTCCTCAACGGGACCAACCTGTATGTTGGCGGCGCTTTCTCCAGCACTTCGGACAACTCGACCAAGGACTTGAACAACGTTGCCGTCTACGACACTTCGAAGAAAAACTGGAAACCCCTCGGCGCCGGCGTGAGCGGCAGAGTCGTGCGCGTGGTTGGGATGACTATGAACATTACCAGCTCGACTCCCGAGGTTGTGGTCAGCGTGAATGGAGACTTCGACCAGCTGCTGGCGTTTGGCGGCAACCCGGCCGTCAAGGTGGATGGGTTTGGTGTTTGGGTGCCTTCGCAAGGGAACTGGCTGCAGAACCTGGACTTGCCGGTTGAGTCGGTGACGGGTGTCCTGTCTGCCTCGATCCTCAACGCGACTGGCCCGTCGCTCTACGCTGGCTCGCTTTCCTCTTCTAGCCTGGGAGCTAACGGCGCAGCGATCCTTGGCGACGAAAGTCTGGGACGGCTTCCCGTGGACATTCAACCTTCCGATTCGTCATCAGGCGGTCTGGCCAAGCGCGATGGTACCTCGGCTGGGGGCGATATCGATGGTGTGGTTACTGGCGTCTTCGACACCAACAATGGCAGGAATCTCACCATTTTGGGCGGCCATTTCACTGCGAAGGACACTGACGGCAAGACTATCAGCAACCTGCTCGTCATGGACGGTTCTGATAACGACCGAGTTACTGGCCTTGGAGGCCAGATCTCACCCAACTCCACCTTCATGGCTATGGTTGTGGAAGGCGACATCCTCTTTGCCGGAGGTAAAGTAGCCGGGACCGTCAATGACGACACCGTCAACGGCCTAATCACCTACAACCTTGCCAGCAAGTCGTTCAATACCCAGCCTCCTTCGCTCTCTGGCGGCAACGGCACGGTCTCCTCCATGGTCGTGCGCTCGACCACCAAGGATGTCTACGTTGGAGGCTCCTTCACCTCGGCCGGCTCTCTCGGCTGCCCTGGCGTGTGCTTTTTCAGCACCTCCGCCTCGCAATGGAACCAGGCTGGGCGCAATCTTGGTGGGGACGTCAGCTCCCTGATGTGGGCTACTGACAACATCCTGCTAGCCGGCGGCAGCCTCACCGTCAACGACACGACCTCCACCTTCCTCGCCCGCTACGACGCCGACACCCAAGACTGGGACGTCTACCCCGGCGCCGACCAGCTCCCAGGCCCAGTGAGCGTCCTCACCGCCGGCGCGAGCGACGGCGGCCAAATCTGGGCCGCGGGTACCTCCCAAGACGGCTCCCCCTACCTCATGAAATCCGACGGCTCCACCTGGCAACGGGCAGGAGAGTCGGCCCTCCAGCCAGGCACCGACATCCGCGGCCTACAGGTCTTCTCCCTCACCTCCTCCCACGACTCCTCCACCCTCCTCAACCAAGACGAAGCCCTCCTCCTCACCGGCACCATCCAACTCGCCAACTTCGGCCCCGCCTCCGCCGTCCTCTACAACGGCGGCGACGACTTCACCCCCTTCGCCCTCACCACGTCATCCTCCAGCGGCAGCAGTAGCAGCAGCGGTAGCATCGCGCGCGTCTTCTCGGAGCGCAACAGCTACTTCGAAAAGGGCGGCGGCCACATGCCACTCGGCTTCGTCGTCCTCATCGGCCTCGCCATCGCCCTCGGCCTCATGCTGCTCATCGTCGCCGGCGGCATCCTGCTCGACCGCCTCCGCAAGCGCCGCGAGGGCTACGTCCCCGCCCCGACGTCCATGTTTGATCGTGGCGGCGGCATTGCGCGCATCCCGCCGCATGAGCTGCTGGGGGGGTTGGGGAGGAGGGGGGCGCCGCAGGTTTAGTTAGTGGCGTGGCCTTGATGGAGTGAGGGAAGGGGGTTAATAGCATGGAGATCTGGCTGGGCTGGGTTTGGGATGGGAGTCGGGTTTGCGTTTTTTCGGGGTGGGGATTGCGGCGCGGGCTGGCGTTTTTTATAAACCTGGGTTTCTTTGTCGTTTTGGGTGGGCGGTTAAAATGGTCTTATACCACGGTTCCTTGCCTGCTTTCTGTTCTGCTGCTGCTTTTTTGCTGTTGTTTGCTGGGTTCTGTTGCTGCATGTTGGGCGTTTGGCATACCATACATACAGCGGTTGGTGAGAGGGAAGGAGAGACGCGGGGGGGTGGGCGTGTGAGCCACTTGAAGTAGCGCTTGTTGTGGTCGTCGTCGCTAGGGCTGCTAGATGAATGAGGCGTGGATGGATGGATGGACGGGTGGGACTGGCTGGACAGGATGGGATGGGATGGGATATCAGAGAGCGGTGGTGTGCTGTTGTGTCTTTGGCACGCACGCGTCCCGTATCTGTGTCCTATGTTGTCGCTGTCCCGTTGCTTTTTTCTTTTCTTTTCTTACCTACCTCCCCCCTTCTTCGTTTGAGGACGGAGGGGGTTGAGCGGTCTTCTTTGTGAGGATGTCATCTTATTAATGTTTAGATATTTTACATGCTGCGTCATGCTCTGCCGTGCCCCGTTGCTTGCGTTGCTTGCTCTTGCTGTGGTGCTCGCCCTCGTTGTGATGCTTGCTCTTGTTGCGTTGCTTTGCCTTACGCTGTGTGGTATTACTGCTTGATGCTCCGTCTTCCGTTCGGTGCCTTGCCCGGCGGTTTGGGTTTGGGATGTTAGTTGCTGCTGCGGCCATCTAAGATTATTCGTGAGAGACAAGGTATCTAGGTTTGGTGTTGGTAAGAGGAGCATTGTTCCAGGCGTATCAGTGACAACCACCACCTTCGTAATTGTTGCGTCTTGCTCTTTGACGTGGTCAGCACCATGCCTTGCCACGCTTAAAGGTCCCGTTGGGTGGACTGTCTTTTAAAGGGTTCACGTGGCTTCGAGGAGCTTTGTGCCACCACTATGATGTTGTTACTCTCTTGGTGTAGTGCTGTCGAGGGGCAGCCTCAATGTTGTGGTTGAAGTAACGAACATTGACGGCAATCCTTCTGGTCTGTTTGCATTGCCGTTTATTGTATTTGCTGACTTGGGCCTGTCTGATATCACTTGATATACTGATACACATACGTACACTTAACATGGTCCTTTACGCGTTGGTTCTTGTTTTATCTATAACTATCAACTAAGGATGGACATTCTCCTCGACCCTCGGTGGGAATTCCATATCGAGTTCTAACTACGTTTGACCAATGTCTTGACCTACTATGCCACGAGAACATTGAGGATAGGAGGGAGTGTATCTTGAACGGCTCGTCAAGGTGGGCACAGTCAGTCAACGGTAATGGCCATGGCGACGATGCTTCGTACGAGCAAGTTGCGAGTACAAGACAGAAAGCAAGCTCTTCGTCGCCCGTGATACGTTTGACGTCACCTCCATTGACTGCTGAAGGGTTAATGCATGCCTCTGAAACCAAGGGACGTCAAACACCGGTTTGGAGATCAGCTTATCAGGGTGATATTCGCATACCTTCCTCTTTCAACTGACCATACCACCACAGTCTGTACACAAGGCCAGGATAATAATACCACCCCCGTGCGGGAATGGGCATGGTGATGATATTCCTTTGTATGTGGCAAGGAGGTCGTGAAGCATTGCTAGCCATGAGTCCTAATACTGGACCAGCATCTTTGCCGTGCCATATTCGTGGGGGATATTTTAATGGCAATCAGTTACTGGCATGTCAAAGCCATATATGATGTGGTACTCCTTCCAACAAGCCCAGGAGGAGCTGCTGGCAGACTTGGGCAACCATCTGCACCTGCGCAGAAGGCAACATGGGCCCTCATCCTCCCTGGTGTAGGAGCTGGGGTGGGAGAGGTAATCAGACAGGGCACTCGGGAGAGCCCTGGCCCGGAGACACCGTGTCTGACAAGCTGAAGCGATGGTCTACAAGGAGCTCCAGCGGTCGGGGCTTCCCATCATCGGCTCTCATGTCCTGTCTCAAGACCACTCGCATGTGACAACTAGAGTCAATCCAACCCTGTGCTGGGTGGAGGCGCTTTGGCTCACGATGGGCCGTTGTCACTCGAGACCGAGGGGGAGTGAGGCTATGCTCTGCCGCTCCTATCCACCGAGCCTCCCGCGCAGAGCCCGAAATTACTGATGGAACCAACACAAGACTGTGAGGGCAGTCATCGAGATGTTGTGGATATCAAAGCTCAAAGTCAATGACCTGATGGCGGACCCGTTGCCCGTTCGGGGACCCTCATCTGGATAAACTACCGAAGCCCTGCATTCTGAACAGGCTACATGCCTGGAGCAGCAAAGCCAAGTTCTGTGATGCGCTTCTCTTGCCCCTTTCATTTCACTCCGGGCTGGCCAACCCAGCAAGTACCGAGCTCAGCCCCCGCATTCCTCCTCAACGTCACAGTCCAAGCAACAACAGTCACTCCATCACTCCACCACCCGAGGGCAGCTCTGGCCCCCCTTTGAGCACTTTCAAACTCCCCAACTCCATGCTAGCTTAACGCTTGTTTGTTGTCGAAATGGATCCCTTCTACATGGGAAACCCTAGAAGGGGTTGCCATCCAATGGATGGATCCATAGCATCGAGCCCATTCGCCCGGCCGGAGAGGAGCTGCTTCGGCGCCCCAGCATGGCATCGCGAGTCAGCGAGAAGCCGGCAACATGTCACATCCACGTCCATTACGTCTTCGACGCCAAACCCACAAGCAGCAGCAGGACTGGAATGAAAGCCGCCCCCTCTTCCACGCCAGCCCCCCCAATCGTCAACAACTGGCACGCCGGAGGGGCCACCCATCCGGCCACTCCCGTCTCACCCGCCATGCCTCCCCCCCCCCCACGAAAAGCGAGCAAACCAAACAAACCGAGCCAGCGAGACATCCAGCTCAGCAGCAACCGCCCTTAGCGGCACGGCTCAAGCAACCCAACCAATGAACCCACCGCGCTGGAATCCAATCCAGGGGAACTTGGAACAGAACCGGCCCCGAAGTGGGAAGCGAGGAGAAAGAGGAGCAACGACACGACTCCCCTCCGCCGCCGAGGTACGTGCCGCCAGCCCGCACGGCACGGTCGACATAAGACAAGACAAGACAAGAACAAGAACGAGAACCAGGAAAAAAACTTCCACCCCCGTTCCAGCCCAATGGGCCGGTGCTCGGTGACCCGGTTAGTTGACCAAACTACACGTCACGGCGGTGGGTGGTGATCAATCAGATATGGCCAAAGTAAAACACACATGGAAGAAAAAAAGGGGCTGTGGAGGGGCTGCCGAGGAAGAACGCGACGTCCTTTGCTGCTGCTAGCCCCAGATCTCGATGCTTGTGAAGGATCATCATCATCACCCCATCACCCAGCCGCACGGCGCATTTTTTGCGCGGTAGTTGGGGAAAAAGGGCGTGAGACCGGGAAGGGATCCGGTCTCCATTGCGTGTGCGTCTGTGTGTGTGGCTCTGTGTGTGTGCTGTATGTATGTTTGTATGTGTGTGTGTGTGTGTGTGTGTGTCGAACCCGCCGAGAGACAACTTGGCGTTGATCACGTCCCGTGAACCACTGCCCCGGATACCACCACCGCCTCTCCTGTGTCCCCCTTTTTTTTCTGCTGACCGGTTGCGGGCCCGTTGGCCGGCGCTGAAAAACCGCGCCGACACTGTGAGCACACCCCCCGGGCCCGGCAGCAGGGTGTTCTGTCAGATATCTTCAAAAGCGGGGGCCCGACGGGCTCCCTTTTCCGCACCGTTGTCGAGATTGGCCTGCCCGCCACACGGCAAGGGTGGGTGGTAGGCCAGGCAGGGCCTGTTCTCCTTGTGCCCCGGCGGGAATTGGGCCCCGGTACGAGTAGCAGCGCGCGGGTGAGGATGTGAGGACGGCGGGTTTACCCTCCGAGCCGTCCGCCTGCGGACCGCAAGAGAGGTGTGCGGAGAGGAAGAGCGTGGTGTGCGTGTGCGTGACTGCTGCGCGTGGCCTCGCGGCCGTCACACTGCCGGTAGCTGACGCTTGTCTTTCCCACTCTCCTGCAGAAAAAAGGATGGATCCCTTTTCGACTGGAATGAGCACAAGCTCTCACTCAGTCGGGCTCGGTTACCCCATCCATCATCCGCCCATCCACACCCCATCCGCACGGAAGGAGCCGGTTTAGCTTTCGCTAGCAAAGCCGTGATCAACTTGGCACCGCTGCTCCTCCTGCGAGATGGCGTAGCGTTGAGGATCCCATCGACGATCGTCAGTTGATGGTGGGTCGGGGGGGCAGAGACGAGACTGCCCATCTGCCCATCACCCGCCGGCCCATTTCCCATAGCCATGGCACGCCACGCCGCGAGTGGGACTGGGAATTCCCCGATCGCCCCTTCGCATCAAGCCATTGGAATCAACCGCACCCCGTCCGACCACCGCACACATGGGAGGAGGAGAAGGAGGCACGGGAGGAGGAACCCCAGCGGGGGCGCGCAGCAAAAACCCCCCATCAACCGAGAGAGCATGCTTGCGCTTGCGCCGCCCAGGCTCCACAACATGCCTCCCACGTATGTGCTGGCTGGTCCCTGTTTCCTGTCACCACACCATCCCGTCGGGCTTGGGGTGGCTCCCCCAAGCCCCTGGTCTGTGTTTGGTGGTGACGACGACGACAAAGCGTGCCTGTCTGAGAGGGTATGCATATCCAATCCGCATGAGATGCGGAGGAGCGGGAGTGAGTGGGAAGGTGAACGATTGTGTGTGACGGTGTCACAGTGATGGCCGCAGGGTTCGGTTCATCAGCGGGACCGGCGGGGATGGGGGGAGGGCCCGCGAGTGAGGGAGAGCAGCGCCCGCAGCCTGGGGGAGGTTACAGCGGCGCCGGTACTTGCTTTCACTCCTGCCATACTCGGCGGCCGACTAGACTCTGAGAAGGTAGGCGGTATCAAGCACCCGCGCACATCCCGGCATGGCGGGTCTGGGCCGGTCGCAGTGTCTCACAATCGTACGGCGGCCGCGCGGGTTGGGCGTTGCTTGCTTTGCTTGCTGATGGTGCTGGTGCTGCCGGTGCTGCTTCTTCAGCGCAACCCTCGCACCTCGTACCACGCATCCGCACGTCCCGGCGAGCGAAGGGAACGTGCAAAGTGAAGAGTCAACGCCCGGTTTGTCCCACTCACCGCTAGTCCCCCGCTCTGGCGGGACGCCCCCCCCGAAGCAGAGCGTGATGGGGTTGTGAGTGAAGGGCCTCATGGTTGGCCCGGGGGTCGAGGGTGCACTTAATGACCTTCCTTTCTCGTCATGCCGGGCAGGAAAGCAGCCTCGCCAGCCAGGGCGGTTGGTGCGAGGCGAAGGGGGGTGAATGAGACAGCGTGACCAGTGGGCCACGACGACTGGAGAGCTGGCCCCACGATATGTCTCGGGGGATCTCGTAGGGCAGAGGGAGAGTGCTCGGCACTGGTCCGTTTACCAGCAAGGGCGAAGGGAAAGGAATGCGATGCTTGTGGCCCGGATCTCGCAGGCAGTCGCGGGACCCATCCCGGCCCCGTGGCGTCCCCCCCTGGGGGGTAGTGGGTGTCTCTGCTCTGCGGATCGCCCTCCCCTGCGTAGCGCACCACAACCCCAGCTAGCGGGGCGTCGATCACTATCCCAAAGACGCAAACGTCAGCAAAATTTTGTCGGGACAAGTTGCTTTGCTATCGCGACTCTGCGCAGCTCGCAGCTCGCAGCTCTCACCTCGTGTGTGTATTGTGTGTGCGTGTATTATGTGTCTGTGTAGCCTCGGTTGCATAATCCGCACATGCTGGCTGAACCCAGCCGGAGAAAACGGGCGCATAGTTAATACCCAAACTCCTACGGACGGGTCGTCAACCGGCGTCGTGCATGACCGAGTGGAGGTGAGTTACGGGACCTTCCGTTGGTGAAACCCCGGACACAGTATAATATGTACGTCCATTATGGATATTACAGACAAGGAGGATGAGGCTCTGGGGTTCCGGTAATTTGCCGTTCGCCAAGTGGCCGGCCCAGGCTCGCCACCGGGAGAAAATGAGAAGTGAGGTTCTTGATAGCGTGGGTGCGTGGGATACTCGTTTACTGGGGTCCCTGCGAGTGAACAGATGCAGGTTTCCGCGACGGAAGAGGGTCGAGAACCGGGGACTGCATGCGTCATCACCACCACAAACCGGCAGACTTGTGGCGAGAAAAGGTAATCTGCCGGTGGAGATGGAGATGGTAACATCGGTCAACAATGCTGGAGCATTGCTCTGGCCAGAGGACCCGCCCCCACACACAGCATGAAACACACAGACGTCAAGATGATGCGCCAAACAACCGGTTCCATGGTTGACATCAACTTGACGGCAGGGTAAGAGGCAAATGCCCAAGGGTGAAAATTGATTGATGGGAAAGGAAGTAAAAGGGGGTATGCTCGAGCTTGTGGTGCAATGGTCGAGACAGTTCGTTAGTTGACTGGTCCAACTCTTTCGAGCCTTTGTTTTGTTGGTGCCAAACCTTTGACCAGGGGGGAGGGGGTCTCCAGTTCAAGGGCAGACGACATCCTACCGTGTCGCCAGCTCTTGCATGCAGTAACTAGTTAAAATGCGCGATCTCTCAAGCGCTGTTGGCGCGATTAAGCAAACGCAGTGGCTTGGCAAGGACCCGTATCGACGGAAGCGACGCGGGAAACCTTGAGAGAGATCAGCTCCTTTGCAGCAGCTCGCATCGCTTAACTAGTGACATGAGTCGGAAAGAATGCGTGTCTCTCTCGACTCGCCCCGGCTTTGAGCTATCAAACGGGCCGTGTCTGAGCGCCAGGCACCGTTTGTGATCAGCGTGTTGGCTCAGGTCCGGCGTGAGTCGGTCTGCCTCCTCGAACCCACCCGACTCCTTGCACATGCGTGTAGCTGAACCCGCTTGCATTCTTTTTCCTGCGGCGGAGAAAAGGGGTGGGGCGGCCGCGCATGGGGTGAATGGGAATCGGCGACATGGCTGCTGCGAATCCAGGTACGGTATCGTGGTGTTGCTAGCGAGTGACTGGAATGGGGTGAAAGCGCGCGAGATCGAAGTGGAGGTACGGCACAGAGGAGCAGGGCACAAGCGAAGCCATCTCGCTGCACGACAGATCTTGACAGATGCGCGGCGCGTCGATCATGATGCGAGGATGCTCTCCCGGGGTTGCTTCCAGTGCCGGTCTTGGCTGCTCGGAAGAGGAAAGGTGTGCATCCGAATCGAGAAGGCTGGTGCTGTGTGCTGGTCGGTTCAGGGGTCAATCGCTGGCCTGTCGTCCGGTTGTGGCATCCCGAGACGGAGGACACCCTGATGGCCGGGTCCAAAAGGGGCCGGCGCTTTCCATGTTGATTGTCTGGCCGCCCTCTCTCTCCTGTGGTATGGTGCCAGACACCAAGTCACTCGACGGCGGCCTGTTAGATTGGGCTGTGGTCGCATCGCTTCCTCCGCTCGCCGATGGAGTGACCAAGCTTCTCTGGCTGAGCCGTCCTGCAAGATTCCCAAAATGAGCGGGCATGCAAGGCCCCATTGGATGGTGGCCGTGATCCTGACTACGGGCAGGAGTTTTCAGTTGAAGGGCCGAATTCGCAGCGGCTGGATGCAGCATGGCGTTCTCCCATGGCGCGAGAACGGCTGGGAGGGCTTGGGCCCGCTGAACAGAGCTCGGCGTTGATCTTCCGGTTCGCGGAGCCAGCGCCATCCCGTGCCCTTCCTCTGCCCAAGACCTGAGCTAGCGTGCGGCTGCCGGGGGTGTCCATCCCGGAGCCGCAGCTTGGCTTCGGGGAGGTCCCCACCACCGCTGGGCAGCGTTGGAATTGCAATCCAAGCTGGCGGGTTTGGAGACGAGATAATTGCAATGTAACCTGGGTATATGAGGTCCTCGTATCAGTCAGAAAATGATATGAAGGTTACCCTTTTCGGATCTCGATGCTCATGTACATATGTACTTGGTGTACTTGGTACAGAGATGCTTGCCGTGCGCCCTTGTTGCTGTGGCCGTCTAACGGTCGCTGATCCTCTTGCGCCATCAACGGATGGTGATTTCGCGGAGGCGTGCTGAAGGGATTCTCAACTTCAAGACTACGATGAACACCTGATTTGCAATGTCCTGATATGATGGCGCTTATCGCGCTCGTTCCCCGGGCCAGAACAAGACGGATCACAGGCTGTCAAATGGTATGAGCTCGAACCTCACCATGTTGCTCCTGCGTCAAGGCACAAGAAGGTGGAAAACAGGAACATACTCACGTTAGTCTCTGCTTGCCCTCGCTCATGATGCAATTGCATCCATTTTGGCTGTGTGATTGCATTCCGGCGAGAACGCCCCACGGCTCTTCCTCGCTCAAATTTTACTGGGCTCAGCCTCAAGGTGAGCCGGCCAGGGCGTGACCGTTGGGGCCCCGAGCGGCCTCTAAATGAACCATGCCGCTGTGTATTGAGAGACACCCTGCGAGATCAGTGTTCCTCGCGAGCGACGAAAAAGCAGAGCGAAAGCAACGAAGGTGCGCAAGGGGGAAAAGCCTGAAAAGGGGCGCAGTAACCCCGGATAAGACACCATCGGAAACGGCAGCTATGTCTTTGAATTCGCATGATTTAAGCCCTGCTGAAAGCATTCAAACTCAAGAAACCCGCCGAGTTAATGGGAAGAACGACGTTGCTTGGTGCGCTGATTCTGTCAACTTACCAGAGAAACACTGTCCGCTTAATGTCACTCCCACTTCTCCCCCTTTCAGGACCGCCCCTGTCGATTCTGTAACGCACCCTTGCATGTCGATCATGAACCGTGCATTCTTCCAGCAGTGAAATGTCGAGCTTTGAGCTCCACCCATGGTCCTGATAATCTCCCTCCCCTGGCTTGTCGAGATGAGCTTGCTCTGCGTGCGCTGTGGGAGCAAGGTTTGTGCCCCAAGATCTCGATAACCAGCCGAAGCCGCAGGACCCCGAGATTCGGAAAACCGAGCCACGGCACGTGAGAAAGATGGACCGGGATCTAGAATCTACGCTCGTCATCACCAGGTGCCGACGGCGATCGAGAAACGGTTCCTGATCCGCACCGGGTGCCTGACAATCCCTCTTCAATTGAAGCGGACTGTAAGGTAACTGGTCAAGAACTTCACTGTCAAACGTGCTTCGGGTGACTCGTCGGGTCAGGTCAGTGCTCTTCTCTCGACAGCGGGCTTCATTCAGAGGCAAGTTCCGAGACAGCTTCATCCACCTGCGGGATTCGGTCTGGTCGCGAAGTTGGTGGAAATGGCCGCGAAATTGCATGCTGCTTCTTTGTGTCACTGGACTCTGGGAGTGAGTTTTCCAGGATGTCGACCAGCGCAATGTCGGGCTTCTGGCAGTCAGCCACATCGCCGACCTGCAAGGGCCCCCCTGTCAAAGTTATGTTTCGTACCACCTGTTGCGGTTTAGCTCCAGCGATCGTTTTTGCGGGATGAACGGAACATTCCAACTCTAATCATCAATATCATTCTCACCACCACGAGAACAGACTTGTTTGCTCGAAGGAATCAACACTTCGGAACCGAGGGCCGCCACTGGTATCTGAGTTATCGGAAATGGAAAGAAAAAAAGGAAGAAAAAAAAGACAGCGAAGCCTGATCACCAACAAGACAACAGACAAGAGGGGATTGCGCCTCGCAAGCTCGCAATATTGAACCGCGCCAACCCGCGGACGGTAGCGCCCGGGAGAATGGGTTGCGTTGTATCCGTATCGATGGTCCCAAGGCGAACGACCATGTTTCGTCGTCGCTGAACTCCTCATGGGTAGCATGGCATGTGCATGGGTGTGGGAGATGTCCAACTTCCTCTCTTTCTCTTTTCGACGTGACTTTGCGGGATTGGCGGGATTCCTGAGGGATACGGCCCGCTCGGTCTGCCGTCATTGGCCCTTGGGTGCCGTTGGCTTGCAGGGGACGCTGCGGGTCAGGCTGCCGTACCCTTGCTTTTGGTGGCATTGAAGGCGGAATGCGTTTTCTTCTTGCTGCATAATCCCGGAGGCGCCGCGGTCGCCGGTCGCGCAGCGCTCCGTGACCAGACCGTCTCCCGATGCCGGGCAGCAACGTGATAACTTGTCAGAGCGAGGCCAAGTGCATGACAATACTGTGGTGGTGAGCCATCCACCAAAGTTGAGATCGCCCGTCAGTTAATCTCGATGCTTTTCGGTCGTTCGAGGCCTTGCCTGGGAACCCGGGGAAAAAAGAAATGCGTCGAGAGAAAGACTGCAAAGCACAGTCGAGAGCGGAGCACGCAGCAGGATTCGGCGGGGTTGGAAGTGACATCGCGACTTGCGCGCTGCTGCGAGCGAGTAAAGTCAAAGCAGCCGAGTCTGCATTCCGCACTTGAGAGGGGTCGACACAAGTACCTGTAGAATCGCGGAATACTAATATTTTTCTTACCCACAATCTCACACACGTGGTGCGTGATTGGGACTGACTCTCATCCAAAGCTGGACGGGTTTGAGTTGATTTGCGGTTGTTGACTCGTCACTGTGTACTTCGTAGATTTTCGTGATTCGAGCAGCGGTGAAAGCCCGTTGTGGACGGGGCTTGGCGACCGCCAAAAGGACGCGCAACGGACTCCGTTCCGCGACGAACTTCGTTCAACATGAACTCCCCTGTCCGGAGCTTCCCGTTTCACAACCCGGCAACGGCGGGGGACAACCCCGGGGGCTCGGTCGATGTGTCGGTCTCCGTGTCTGTTGATGAATATTTGAGTTGCGTCATATTTGTCGGAGGGGGAGGGCACCACTATCACAAAACCAGGCCAGGTCCTGGTAATGGTTGGACAAGAATCGAGAAAGACGTCACTTTCCCCCAACCAGCAAGAAACTTCAACAGAGGAGTGAGGTACCGACCGAAGGTAGCCCCGCTCGGCTCTGTCGAAAAGAGGGCCTGATGAAAGCTGGCCCACCATCCTGGTGTGTTCCTTCCGGCCTTGAACACTGCGCTGTTTTTCTCTGTTTCCATTCCTCTGCAGCTATAAAAAACTGATCCTAAACTACCAGTGTGATGAGAGCATGCGGTGATGAAATAAGCTAGCAAGTCCAATCAAAGCACACACCGCAGTAGCAGTTACAGAGTTACACAGTTTACAAGCATTCCACCCTGACTGTCAAAACCCATCATGGCAACTGTGACAGCGTCGCAGTTTTGAAAGACGCCGCGCAGGGGTCAGTTACTCCCGGAGGCGACGTGCCCTAGTCATTGGCCCAAACAGTACGTACGCCTTTCCTTTTGAGGTTAGACACTGTCGGCAGAGCGATGCCCTGGCTGCACCCAGATGATTTGCTTGCTTTGCTCTTGGCTCCTGCCAATTCGGGCCCAGTTCAGTGCCAGGCATGCAATTCCGACAGAATTCGATCCCCGCTACTTTCCCGTGCCTCGCAGGCACGCTGCTGCCAGAACGACAACCCCCGTTCTTGCTTACCCGACCCGACGCAACAAAGCAAAAACCACGGCTCCAAAACTTGGTCTTGCTGCCCTTCAGCCGCCTCCGTTACGCAATGGGTAGTCCCGGGGCCCTTCACGGTAGTCGAAAGCATCAAACCCCTGGCATCATGGCCTCCGCCGAATTCGACCGAGAAATTACGACCTGAGCAAGCCATGTCGAGACCCTGCATGACACGACAACGCCAGCCCGGCACTGAGCTGAGTGCATTGGGTTGCCGCGGACATACAAAATGCGAATATTTCGGAAGCAATTCCGTAGATGTGTTGATTGTGTATGCGCCACCGACTCTTGTCACTCTTCCCCTGGGGACGGACGGGATACTCTCCATCAACCCGGTAACGGCCTGGAAAGCAGCCTCGCAAGCATGAGCAAAGGAGCCATGCACAGTACACGCCCCGACTTGAACAAATCTCTGGTCAACCCTCGAGTACACAGTGTAATATCTCCCGGCCCCGCCGGACTGTGTTGGAGCCACTGCCTCCGGCAGAAAGACCCTGCCCGAGTTCCACCACATACCCCCCTCCCCGGTCGCGGCGGGGACGACCCCCCCAGCTTTTGCCTCTGGAGCCCTGCCAGACGTCCAGGGTCTTGCTCAACGCTCGCTGGTGGGCGAGGCAGGCGGGCTTGCGTTGTGCAGGCACCCACACACACACCGGCTCTTGTCTGGCTGGCACGCTGGCCACTGACCGCTGACTTCATTGTTTCCTTGACGGGGTGAGGGCGATGGCCCCCCTCGTTAAAGCTTGCCAGTGGTCTCTCCGGTCCTCCTTTTCATCCCGACACCTCTCCTTCGCCCGAAAAAAGGTGACAGCAAAGCAGTAGCATAAAACTTCTTTACATTGTTACCAAGCACAAGCGGAATACCTTCTCTCAAGCCAGCGTTGTGCAGCTTCACACAGGACTTCTCGCCAGCCGCCACACATCCCGCACTTACACTCGCCCCAAATTTGACCGTCAATTCCCCCGGATCGTCCTGGACAAGGCCTGTTTCGGCCTGAACCCCAAGCCCTGCTCTCCCCAGTCGGGCTAGTCAGGCGCTGTTTGATCTCTCAGCAACGCCTCTCCAGCTCTCCAGGTACCAGACCCCACGACTCTGGTCTGGGCTTCCCGGCATCAAGCATCACCGGATCTCGAGCGAGTCCCACATCCCATCGGGCTTCGCTGATCCTCAAGAGGGAGGGCGTGCCACCCGCTGCGTTCACACCTTCCCACCCGGCTGTAAGCCCTGCTCCGCGCCGTTCACACAGTCCCACTCATCCCAATTGGCAGGCCCGCCCTGGCAGCACCCCCCTTGGGAAGGGATATTTCAACCGTCGATCGCTCTGCCGGACACTCGTCAGAGGTTGCCTTGAAACCACATCCATCCCCACTCCCAGTCCCGCAGGCCAAAGTGGGCAATAAGGTTCAGACGACACTGGCTTGGTTGGTGAACCACATTGGGCCCTAGCGCAGACTGCTCCATGCCCGCGCATGCCATCCCCGTCTCAATTCTGTCGCACCCTCAAAGACACATAAGGGCGCTGATCCGTCCTTCTCGACTCTCGGCTGCCACACTTTGATCAGCATCGCTACTCTGGGTGATCTCACTTCCAAGTTGGGCCGGAAGAGAGACAGCTTGTCGACCTCACTATTCGAAATCTCACCATGACCATGACCATGACCGATGACCACAGTCGGCGCCGCTTCGGTCCATTGAACTTCCACCACATGCCTTCCTACTCGAGCCAACCTCATTTCTCGGATCCTTGGTCCTCGTCGTCGCCGACGGGACCAGCACCCCAAGGCGGGAGCCAACAACACCCCCTTTACGCCGGCAACCAGGACAGCAGCGCTGCTGGCCTCCCTCACCTCAACCTCAGCACCCTTCCCAGACAACCACCCAACTCGCAGCACCCTCAACATCCCCAGCACGGACAGCACGCCGCCACGACAGGAAGCAGTACCTCGATGGCGCCCTACGGTTCTCTCCCAGTCACGGCCGCCTCGGGGGCCAGCGCCCCGATCTCGGGCGTCTACAGGCAACACGAGATGCTGTCGATGCCACAAGATGCCTTCAGCTTAAACCGACTACAGCAGCCGACCACGTCGGCCGCGTACGACGCGTCGGCATACACGAGCTCGGCCTCGCCGGTGAACGCATCGTACGCACCTGCGTCGGCGTCGCCGTACGAGCAGCTCGGCTACGCCCCAGCACAGATGAGGGGGACCTTTGCTCTTGGGCACGAAGACAGCTCGAGGAGATACTCGCAACAACAGTCAGTAGCCTCCAGCCCTGCGAATCTGCGCGCCCCAGCCCACGGCGGGGCAGGCGCAGGCGCCCCGGGATGCGCATTATCTGACCGTGATGACAGAGCCCTGCAGCCGGATGACCGGAGGAGCTTCCAGGATGCGCTGGAGGCGAGCCATGGGATGCTCTCCATGAGCCAGGACACGCCCCGGAATATCTACGACGTGCGCAACAGGGCGCGCGGTTCGGCGGACTCGTACGGGTTCCCCTCGACACACTCCTCGACCTCTAGCATGTCGTCGGCCGGGTTCAGTGGTTATTACGGAGGCTCTGTTGATGGGTCGGTTAGCGATTATTCCGCGGCGGGGTCCGACATCGAATCGTTGTCGGGACGGACACTCCCCAGGCCCCAAGGTCTCATGTCCAGCCAGCCGCCCGCACCTCAGTCCATGATGGGTTCATTCAGCTCCAGGGTGTCGTCCAGCGCGCAGAAGAAGCACAAGTGCAAAGTCTGCGATAAGCGATTTACGAGGCCCAGCTCGCTGCAAACACACATGTACAGCCACACGGGAGAGAAACGTAAGCACCTCATCTAGTTGGCGACATATTTAGTCAAAGATACTAACTCTATCCTTCCCAGCGTTTGGTTGCGAAGTCGATGGCTGTGGCCGCCGGTTTTCGGTAGTATCAAACCTCCGCCGGCATAAGAAGGTCCATAAGAGAGGCGGCGAGACCCCCTCGGACACGGGCTCAGAGACACACGAGTCCCCGTAAAGTTACCTACCTTGGTTCCAACACAGCCTCGCAGCACGGACCGCTTTCACCTTTGCACGACATCCTCGATAGACTTCACATACAACCTTTTTAATTCCGATTCGACCGCTGCGTGCGCGAAACCGACACCCACGACACCACTGGCCCTGCCAACGGGCCGTCGGGACCATCCTCTCCTTCAACGTCACTTGATAATATCGCCTTTTAATCATCTTCTCTTGAGGTCTCATGATCGGGCGGAAGGGCATCTCCCAGCGCGGCGACAGGGGAGGAGATGCCTTGGGTGGATACCCTCATGGATCGGCGTTTGGGGATCATGCTTCCTGGGTTGTTGTCCACAGACGGGCAGCAAACATTTCCTTGGCTTGGATTGACAGGGCGCGCCCTCACATTCTGTACTCTCTCTCGCTGCATGTTACATTATTTCGCTTTGTGTCGGCCACCAAAACGGCTCTGGGGAGTTTCTGGTTTGGGAAAGGGGGGCAATGTGGAAAGGTGGGCCTGGGGAAAGGGGGAAGGGGGAGGAGTGAAATGGGACATTTCCTACGGCAAACCGCAACGTATACGAATTGTTGCCCTGGATGATCGGGTAGATACAGGGGATTCGGCGATGACGAGGAGTTGGGAAGTGTACACGAATGCACACAGCTAGATATATCTACCTAACAACCTACTCTATCGCAGGTACACCAACCTGCCTAGACTTAGGTCACTTAATCATGTACAGTTAGTACAATCTTGGCTCACATGCGCTCTCCATTTTTTTCTTCTCTTCTTTTTTTTCATGGTGACAGCAACGAAGGCATGTGAATGAAACCAGACGCTGAGAGGATGGAATTCCTGCAACGCTTTCCATCTTCACGTTCCAGCTACTAGGAGGTTGGGTTGTCAATAGCTGCCTAGAATTCCAATTTTCTCAAGACCATCGCTCTTTCCCTCCCTGCGGCATCTTGCAGTTTAAGGAAGCCACCACCAACAACGGGACAGCCCATAATCGAATCGCCCCCCCTTCTGCCTTCCGCAACTGAATTCTTTGGGATGACACCTTGGCCTTTCCTGATTTCCATCTTTCCCATCACAAACCCCATGACAACACTCAGCTGTCGGCAAATCATCAACTCTCATCGCACACATGACGCTTCCGGGACCCAAGTACCATATCCACACCTCATCTAGTACTGTTTCAAGACAATTACCTTCCCAATCGCAATCTCGACCGTCCGAGCAGACAATGCAGGGCCATGCCAAACCGAGCATGACTGCAGCACCCCGCATGGGGGAGACTCCCGCGCAAAGTACTATGCAAGCATGCAAGCATGGGTCCGCATCAACTGCAACTCGAGGCTGGGAGGGCAATGGCCGCCTTCAAATGGCCCGTTCCCCGCCGGAGCCGCGTTGGTCGGTTCCTCCATCGTGCGTAGATCGGCACCAACTGCTTCTTTCGTCTCTGTGCCCACCCTCCTTACCAGAGTTGCACTAACCGCCTGGAGTCCCAGGTTGCGATATCGTGGGGACAAGGGGCGTCTGTTCTAGCCGCGGCACTTACATCCAACCGCCAGCTCGGCTCCGTGGCTGGTGGGGTCTCTCAGACGAGATGGCATGACACTGACAGACAGGAAGGACACAAAGCAAGCGGTTGACAAGCATTCTCGCCAGTGAGACACACGTTCCAGCTAGCTTCACTTCCCACGCTGAGCAAGGTCGAACGACTTGCACGCTCTAACCTCTATTCGGTCGAAATCGCGGACCAGAAGCAGCTGTCTGGGCGAAAAAGACAGGGATACGAGTGAGGGCAGAACATGCATCCTGCGGGTGCAGAAGAGGCAGCAACATTTGGCGACGACTCGTTCGCTCGGTTCAGTTACGCCCCGGACTTCCCGCCCCGCCAAAGGGGCTTCACCCGGCTGGAACGCCCTGTGAAGGGGACCCAAGTGGGTGGGGGCCCTTCGGAAGGTGTTGCGGGAGGCAAGATGACCGGAAGGGGAAGAGGATCTTCAGTCCCCTTGCTGTCTTCCTGACCGCGGCTTACCCGAGAGGAATCGTGAATTGCCCCCTCTCGAGTATCAAGACAGCCCCATCCGACCAAACAGATGGAGAAGAGCGGTGGCGGAGTTGATGACGGGGGCGACAGCGAAATCTTCATTGACGAAACAGGCTTCGGATACCTGCTTGTGGAGCAAACTTGAGGCGGCTTTTCGACGAGAAAGGCATGTACCTTTCCCAGGACCTTGGCTGCCCGTTGTTTCATGTGCGCAAATCAGTGCGTCTGGCACAAGGCGAAGCCGCTGCGACAGCTCAGATCATTACTCGTCGGGGCACTGCCCGATGAACAAGCACTAGCGGGGCGGCAAAGGCGTGAACGCTCTTCTGGAACCTGCTGATCGACTGCAGAATCTCGGCTCCGGTACTCCAAGGCCGGGGGACGACGCGGAGCCGGTGGATGCCGTTGAAGACTGTGGGGGTCTCACATGTGAACAACACGGAGCCGCGCTGCAACGAGCCACCACCGCTCGTCAACCTCATTTATAACCGGTCGCAAGACCCGCACGGCCGCCTAGGTGGCAACCTCCAGTGGACGGCTCCAGATATTGCACGATATTGGCGGCCGCGAGTCTTTCCTCCTGACCCAACATGCGGCCGTGTTTGGAGCGGAAAGCAATCGACTAGGAAGAGGGTTCCTCTCGAGACGGGTCATGCTATCCAAAAGCCGGCTTTGACTAAGGAGCAGAGAGAAGAGAGGATATGGAGTGCGGTGTGACGGAGCCAGCCACATGAGGCATTCTTATTCGACGCCGGTGACGCACTCGGATGCTGACACCACGCCGCGACACGGCCAAACTCTGCTCTCGAGGGACCAACCGAGGCCAACCTACAAGACACCGAAACGGACTCCATTCGGCAGATAGGGCCATTTCGGTCCTAAGACCGAAGCTCGCAACAAGTCGACCGGACCCATCCCGGAAGCTACATCAAGAGCAAGAGTGGACAGCGTGGTCCTGTCTAGCCCGAGGTGGAGCCAACACGGCGGAATGTGAAGATGGAGAGAAGCGGAGTGTGTTTGCGTGAACTACTGAACGGCCAAGGCCATGCCGGCGTGACCAACTTTGATGTTTTCCTACGTCACAGTGCACCCCAGCTAGACATCGAGGTTGGCTGCAGGCTATTGAAGTCCCGCCCGATGACGTCGACGGGTAAGAAACTACGGCAATGGCGCTAATTAGACCTCAAAGGCCATTTTGCTCGATTTGAAAGGTCTGGCAACTTTCCGCCTCGCGACATTACGAAGCCCCGCGGCCTGGTGGTATTCTAATCCCTCATTCCAGGCGAGATCTTGGAGGGTGGATGTCCTGCAGTCAAGATGGCGACAGCGCTCCACAAATTCCATAGTCCAATCAACGCCCACGGAAAACGAGAGCTTGCGACGAAGGATCGTCAGGGTCCTTTTGCCTGTCCACAGCCTGGAGGGGGCTCTGGGGCTTTCGCGGGGAAGCGTCTCGGTGGAAAATTCGCATCTCGCAGCGGCAACAGCTCGATACAGCAGAGACAGCGACCATTCAGCGGCCATTCAGCGGCCAGGGCAATCGACCTATGGCTTGCGGAATAACGTTTCAGCTTCCTCAGCTCGACGTCAAGACACAACAAGCCGAGCCTAACGAAGGGAGCCGGCTTGTGATTACGTCTTTGTCAAGGCTGCCACTCCGCTCGTTAGACAGCGGGATGTTTTGCCAGATTCACCCCATCCTCCGATATCCAATATCCAATCGCCATCATCCGCCCCAACCTCGAGAGATTGGGCTACCTAGTCGAGTTGCAGCCCGATGAAGGTTCGCCGACCTCAAAACCCCGCAGTCGGCTCCCACCCAACCACAGCGAAGCAGCAGAGATCTCGATGCGCCTTCGGGCAACATCATGGCAATCGGCTGGGGGGACACCATGACCTCGAGGGGGTGTTCCTGGTGCTGTCCACGACGTCACGTCCATTGTGAATGGCGGTTGTGCATCGTAAGGCATCGTAAGGTGGCCTTCCGTGATCGAGGACGGCGAGGACAAGCTCCTTCACCAGGCCAGTTACCCTCGTGAACTGGGTTCTGACCTGTTCGTGATCTCGCGCGTCGTCGAGATACACTCCACTAGCGCCGAAACGGGGTGACGTCATGGGTTGGCCTGGGCTTGCTTCCCATGCCCGGCCACCCCCAACCCGCCAAGGCGGTTGACCTTAGACTGTGTAAGTCAACCGGGGACCATTGCCCGCGCGAGAAACACGACTTGCGGCGATAGTATCACGGTCAAAACAGCCTGCGGGTAGGAATGGCAGAGTGAGTCATGTGTGTATAGTGTGTGAATCTCGATACGACTCGCTCTGCGGCCATCAAAGAAGGGCAATAACCAAGGTCTCAGCAATCCATTTCGCTCTTGCTCCTGTAGGGCGGAGATGGCTTGTCGGCTAGCAAGGCTCGGTAACTACCCCTGGACAGCCCACCACATCACACTCTCTACGCGGCGTCCACTTGAGCCTCGCGATAACTCTCTGTTTCCTCTCCTTCGATTCACAACTGGGGAAAAGGACCGAGGAAAGACCGCCAGCCGTAGTCGCATCGACGGGTTACCACGCGCTGCTTTCCCTAGGGATTTAGCCATGTTGGAATGTGGGCAAAATTTGCCAAATATCAGACGGACTTTTTGGACATTTCCCACAGGCGAACGGGAACCCCGAAGGAAAGAGTGCGACTGGCCATGCGTGCGACACACAAAGAGGGTTCCATCCATCAGCACCGTTACGTTGAGCCCCACACACGAACCGAGACCACTGAGGCGCAGCACCCGGGAATGCAGAATCTGAAACAAGCCATGATCTCATCGGACTGGGGGGTTTCTGTGCGTGAGCATGGTCCAATTTGCGAACAGGTGCGGGATACAAGGACAGGGGCGGGCGGGAATTTGAGGTTCAATTTGTGGTTTCTGGGGTGCCTTCCTTCCAGCAGCCGAACCGAAAGGTGCCATCCACCACGATGGGGGTGCGCCATGAGGGTTGTTGGTGGTGGAAGAGGGTTTTGGGTGGTGCTAGGTGGACTGGGTGATTATTTTTTATTTTATTTCTTGGGCTCTGCTGCACCTGTGCTGCACCGTCCCTGGCTCCGGACCCGCCCCGGCCGTGTTCGGGTCGGGCATAAGCTGGCTTGACTGGATACCCCGACACCGTCCGTGACGGCAATTCGCAGAATGCCATCTTCTCCGGCCAGACTGCGGTCATGGCCTCCTTGTCAAGGACCCTGGATTCGGCGTGGAAGTCCCTTTGCGATGTCTGTGATTGCTCAAATTTTCTCATTTTACCTCGCAGACACAGCAACTCATGTCACAGTCCATGTCCGGGTCAGAGTGACATCCCATTGCGTTTCCTGTCGTTACTGGCTCCGCTCAAAACCGACCCTGTTCGGTATTTAACCATGTCAAGGTTTTTCGACCTTTTGCCCAGATCGTTCTGTGCCTGCGTTCCCCACCACTGCTCCATTCCTCCTCCTCACCTCGAAGTCCCATCCGGCAGCTTCACCGAGATCCCCATCCGTTCTTGCGCACGAGACCGGCCATGTCATAATGGGGTGAGGAGGAGGAGGAGCCCGGACGGGGACTGGAGGGAAGGGGACGGACTCACCTTCCTAATCCTGCCATGGTGTGTGAGTGCGCGTTTCTGTGTGTGGACGTACTCGCACAAGTACAGTACATACTACATACAAACATGATCAGACAATCCCATCCCATCCCATCCCATCCCTACCGGCGCCCGGCCTGTCTGGGTCACACAAAGAAAGCCACCAGCAGCCCAGAGGTCAGAGAGAGCGCGAGAGAGAGAGCCCCTTTTCCCACCTGCACCTCCCATTCGAGGGGCCTGGACCCCCATTTGCCGGGCTGGTTCGGGTCCTGGGGTCGGTAGGCCGGGTCCTCTCTGTACTCTGTGTGTGTGTGTGTGAGTGGATGTGGATGACACTAGTCGTGGTGCCTGTGCCGTAACCAGAACCAGACAAGTGTGCATGCAGTGGTGTCTGCACTCTCACACACACTCACACGCGAGCGAGAGAGCGAACTTGCGCGCTCCATTCCGCTACAGTAGTTGGTTAGTTTACCCACCATACGGATACACCGCTTGTTTTTTTGTTTTTTTTCTTCCGAGTGTAGGGCGGGGGGCCAGGGCGACCAGGGGGGGCGTGTGTGCGCGGTGTGGGTGGTGGTCATGGTGTGGTGTGTGGGGGTTTTTTTCCGGTTCGGGATGGCTCTTGTCCTGTCTTGTCGTCCCGGGAGCGAGATTGATGAGAAGTGAGATGGGGCATCAATCTGCCGGGCGTGGATACCGGGGTTTGTTTTTTCCGCTTTGTTGTTGTTGTTACTGTTGTCGGCTCTGGCTTGTTCGAGAGCCGGATGGATGTGTAAGTATACTGCTGCTGCTACCTTGCTTGTCCGTACTGTGTTGGATGGAGAGTGGACCTCACCACGCTTCGCGATGGGGGATTTGAGATTTGAACCGATCCGGTGCGGTGATCCGATCCTGGGAGAGACTCCCCCTTCTCAAACGGGACGAGGGTCGGTTGGGGGTGACAGGGCGGCGTGTCCGAAGCCGGCGGGATCTTTGCGTGTGAAAGGGAGAGCAGCCAACCGCATCCCATCCCTACACGTGGTTCGGTCACCCCATGTGCCACTGTCACCCTCGCTGTCACTCCTCCCGGGGTGGTCGAAAAGGGGTTGCGGCCGGGAGAGGAGGGAGTTAGCGTCTCATCCGGGACCACGCCGAGGGCTGTGCTTCGGGACGGGGTCTGGAAGGGGCAAAAACAGCCAGCACGGGCCGGACAGCGTTTATCCTCCCCCCGGTTAGTCCGGGGATATGCCGGTTCAATATGGCGTGCAGTGTGCAGTACCGTTCTGTTTCACGTTCTGGACCTGCTGGGTGTGGAAGGTGAGGACGGGAGAGAGCGTAAGAGGGTCGCAGCTGGGCTCTTGCTGACTTCAGGGGTACGACTCCGTTGGAAATTGTTGACCGTGTCGGCGTCGACTTCGTCATGGGAAGATGCGACACCATAACGTTACCATGCCACCTTTCTTTCGTCAGCCCGGGCTGGAGTCGTTGTGTAACGGTTCCTTCTTACACACAGGTGGTCCTGGGTTAGTCCCTGGTTGGTTGTGGCCCGGCTGTCGTTGTCGTGGAATGCGGTAGTGGTTAAAGACACGGTGGGGGGATATACCAGATGCGTCGTGTTTCTGCATGACCATTCGAGGCGAGAAGCGTTTGGTGTCACCTTGCGCAAGGTTCGGATATCGTTTAGCGGCCAGGGGTTGAAGTTGAGCGCGGTCTGTCACCGGGACTGCGAGTACCGAGCAGGCCCAAGTTGGGTTGGATCTCGATCGAATGCGGGAAGGGAAAAATCCCCTACAAGGAACAGCGTTGACTGCAATCTGTCTCCCTGTCCTTGACGGGACGAGTGTCTCCAACGCCCCAATCCCGTCCCCAGTCGAAGTCTTGACGGTTGAACATACCCCTGAGAGGCTCGGAAACCTCGCCATTGTTGGTGATGAGGCCCGGGTCGACTCCGCGGTACGACGAAGGCTGGGCAACGTGTCCTTGATGCTGCACAAGCCTTGCAGAACTGCCCGGCGTCGTACGGTGGGTGTGTGACGACTATTCTCCGACTGCAGTGCAACAAGGCACAGCTCTGACCGCGTGGTTGCGTAACTCGAGGAGTGGTTATTGTTAGCTTGTTTACGCGGCTCTGACACTGGAGTGTCCGAATGGTGTTTGTCTGATAACTACTGTCCTGCGCGAATGAGAGATGGTGACCGGTAGAGGATCATGCTTATTGGCAGTTTAGGGGCACTCTGACCTCGGCCGGTTGGGTTCAGCTGGGGAATGGAACTGTACCTGTACGATATGCCCTCCGAAACCCGTGACTCCAGAGGTCAGATCTAGAGTTACCCAAAGTACATTGGTGTCTATTCGTTACATGTCAAGCATGACGTCCAACGTCGATGATGGCGGTATGTTCATCTTTGACGTTAAACATGCGGAGTGGAAAGGACAACCAGAGAACCGACAGGCAAAGGGACATTACCGAGGGTCACATAACCCGAATACTCATTCCCAGTTCTATGCATATCGTAACCTGGCTTGAGTATTTGGGTCAGCGACACCAACTTGCCATTCTTCCACCAACATTACGCCCAGCTAGAACATCTACACCTAAGGCACAACCGAGTGACTGTACAGCAGAGGTGGATGAAGCAAACCAAAATATTAAGACTCCTAAACTATGCAATACACCATACAGCTCAAACGACAACATGTTGTAGACCATCCGAGCAGCCACCTATCCAACACCATACATGACTCGCACACCAAGCCGTGGACAGGTGACACACCCCAATGGAAAAGAGAAACCATCTGATATTGCTGTCTGCCTGCCTGCCCTACCCTACCGAAGCCAGCCCAAACAAAAGCCACTCGCTTTCAAAAAAGATTATTAAAGAACCACCGCCAACTCCCCGCGATCAATGCCCTCCTCGACCAAGTTCGGATAATACGGCACCATAGCATCGGCGCCCCACACATACGCATCATTATACAGGCGCCAGTAGGGGGTGCGGACCTTCCTGGCCGGGTGGAAGAGCCCGGCCCAGACGTAGTTGAGCACGAGGCCCGGGCCGACGGCCATGCGGACGGCCTCGATGGCCTCGACGATGCGGTCGATGACGTGGGGGCTGGTCTCGAACAGGTTGGGGTAGAGCAGGTTGAGCAGGTGGACCATGGCGTCCTCGCAGCCGAGGCCGACGACGCCGAGGGCGATGTGCTTGACCACGCTGGCGGCCGTCTGCCGATGGACCTGGTCGCGGTCGATGAGCGCGTCCTCGAGCAAGGGGGTGACGGCGTAGACGTAGTCCTTGGCCATCTCGCCGATGTACTCGAACAGGAAGGAGAGCGACTTGAGCACGCCGTTTTGCACGTTCAGCTCCGGCACGCGGTACTCGTTCATCAGGGCGGGCAGGACGGTGAAGGGCGCGCACGTCTCGGCGACGATGCCGATGGCGACGGCAGTGTTGACGCGGGACTGGCGCTCCTGCACGCGCAGGTTGTTGAGCAGGGTGGCGAGCACATCCTGAGGGCCGATGGCCTTGGCGATGAAACCGAACGTGTTGTTGGCCGCGCGGCGGATGCCCTTCTTGTGAGCCTTCAGCATGTCGAGCAGCTCGAAGCAGATTCGCATCCACTCGCGCGCGTTGACGCTCTCTGGGCCGCGGTCGGCGATACGCCCGACCAGGTCGATAGTATTTTCCTGGACTTTTTCGTGGCGGTTGCGGAGAATAGGGGTGAGGCGCGGGAGGAGGTCTTTGATGGGCGGCTGCATCTGGCTGATGCCGACGACGGTGACAATAGAGCGGAGAGCGCCGAGGATGGAACCAAGCACTTCTGGGTACTCTTCACCGAGATACTCGTAGAGGACGATGCCTAGCTTGCCCATGAGGGCATCCTCGCCACACTGCTTCATGACCATAGCAATGCGTGAGACGAGGTCGGCTGCTTGTTGGCGGACGGTAGCTGATTTGTTGTTAAGTCGCCAGAGGATTGTGCTGACAATTTGAGGGAGGTATGGCTTGCAGCGTGTGCCGAGGGCGTTGACCACCGAGCCGAAGCCGTTGAGCATGACGATATCCTCGACGCTCTGCTCCTGGAACGCATGGAGGATACCGTCGATGAGCCGCTCCTCCAAGCGCTCACCAATGTCAGCCGCGCCGAGAGAAGCCACTACTTTCTCGACCGTCTCGACCGTCATCTTGCGGTATGCTTCGCTCTCGTCCTTCAGGTTGGCGACGACCCTTTCGAGGATCTCGCTGACGCCGACCTTCTGGCCGATGTCAACTGTGGTCTCGACCACTTGCCTGTAGTTGCGCTTGTCGAGAGCCATGCGCCGCACCCAGAAGCTCTTGAAGAACTCGTCCAGGACGTGCTCCTTCAGGTAACCCGCCGTGACTCCATCGGTGGCGGCGCACTGCGAGACGACCTTCAACACGACCTTCTTCATCTCTTCGTCGGGAGATGCGAACTCGCGGAGGAGGATCTCCATGATTTGGCTGGTGTAGTAGTTTGCGTAATCCTCGTCCATCAAGGGAATGATGTAACCAACCGCCTTCAAGAAACCCGCCAGACCCTTGCCTCGCTGCTTCCGGGCACCAGTCCATAGGGGGTTGAGGATGTCGTCGAAACTCTCAATACCGTACGGGTTCGACGCCTCGGCCAGAGCAGCGATGGCCAAACTGGTCACGGTCCGCACCTTGGTTTGTTCATCGTTCAAGTTGGGGCCGATGCAGTCGACGAGCTGTTTTAGGTGGGGCAGAACTGCGCAGCCCATCAAGATGGGTATTTGCTGCACGATCTTGACACCGGTATGGCGTGCCTGCCACGACTTTTTGCTGCGACAGACGGCCCTGAGGAAGGGGAGGAGGGCGGGGATACCTAGAGCAGAGGCGACGACGGCGAATGCTCGGGCGGTGGTGTTCCTGACGTATTCGTCTGTGTGGTCGATATCCGGACGCATGACGCTAATCATGGTCGCGAGACCCGCCGCTTTGGCGAGGTTGGAGATAATCTCACGACCCTCGACCCGAGCATAGTAGTCTTGGTCGATGAGCAGCGGCTCAATAACGACTAGGATCTTGTGCACGTATGGCCGGACCATGTCGTCCAGCTTGTAGAGGATGCGGTCGATGACCTTGACGAGAAGATGACGCTCCTGGTCCTCGAGCGTCTTCTCCATGAGCAGGGGAAGGATCTGGTTGAACAACGGCCCGGCGCCAAAGTTTCGTGCGTTATCTGTGAGTTGTCTGAGCGCAGTCTTCCTCATCGGAGGAGTGCCATTCTTGACCTTCAACAGAAGACGCATGATCTTCCTCTCCTTGAGCTCGTCGACGCTGAGATCATCCTCGTTTGATCCGTCCGTCAGTTTCCCAAAGTAGGTCATGTCTTCGGGCTTGAAGAACTGTAGATCGCCGACGCCGGGGATCTCCTTGGGCATCTGCTGACCTGTGACGCGCCCGCTGCTGGGATCCTGCATCATGAACCCCGTTGCCGGTGTTGGTGCCGAGACCAGCTTGTGTGCGGGAGCCCGTACTGGTGCATAGCCGGGCGGAGGCTCAAGAACTTTGTAACCCTCCTCGGGGCCGGGAAGCATCGCGTCAAGCTCTTCGTCGCTGAGGGGCATGTATCGACTCGACGCATCTGTGCCAAAAGCGGTGGGCAACACCGCCCCTTGGGTAGGGTGCATCGGGGTAGCTAGGCCAACGTTGCCGATGGGCGTGGCAGACGGAGCCTGGTCCCACCTGGACCTCTTCTTCGACTCAGCCCCTGGTTCGGCTCCGATGGCTGGGACAGAAGGCGTTTGGTCCCAGCGCGATCTCTTCTTGGGCTCGGCTGGAGCAGGAGCGGCCTCCTCCGTTGTCTCGGCCGAGGCAACGTCCCACCTCTTCTTGCGCTTGCGGCCGGCCGCGGCGTCGGCGGATGCTGCACCTTCATTCTCCTTATCCGCAGAGTCTTTCAGCATTGGCTGGTGCTCTCCTACCGGCCCATCCTTCATCTTTTGCTCGATAGCTTGGCGAACGCGCTCCTCCTCCCGCTCAATATCACGGCGCTCCATGATAGAGCGGTAGGTCTCGCCTTCCTGGGCTGCACCTTCCTGCCGGTTGGCAGCAAAGGGATCGGCGCGTGTCGGGTCCAAGCCGCGGTCAAAGCGGCGTTTCTGATAGTCGGTCTCGCGGTCGGTGATGCGGTTGCTGCGCTCACCGCGGCCAGCAAGGACGTCGTCCTCCTCAACGCCATTGCCGCGCGCAAACTCGTCAATCTGGGAGCGGGTGGCAGTGTACTGGCCGACTAGGCGACGCGAGCTGTCGGCATCGGCCATCTCCTCGTCATCGCCATCGGCGCCGGGTAGAGAGCTGTGGTAACCGGCAAACTTATCGGCGCCATTCTCGCGTTCGTAGAGATCCGTGTCCCAGGCTTCGCTCAGCTTGGCCTTGGTAGAGGTGTCAGCGCGTTGGTTGGCGGGGTCGAAGGTCCGAGAACCTTTCTTCGCGGCGGCAACGGCATTACGCTCAGCCTGGAGCTTCCGGATCTGCTCAAAGTCCGCGTCCGACATGGTGCTGCTGCCCGCTCGGCGCTGCGTTCATCCCATTCGTTGGAGATTATGATTTATGCTTTGTTGGGGGTTGGCGGGTTGCCGATGCGATATCGATATATTGGATGCGGAATGTGTCGTGTGATGGGCGCCACAGTCGCGTGGGTTGTCGCTGATGGCGGCTCGTGATGGATGATGGCTGTATCGAGGGAGATAGGGAGGGAAAGAGGATGAAATTGCTGATGTTGAAGCTCGGAAAGCTGAAGGGGCGTGCGCGCGATGGAGCACTCGCCGTTGCCGTGTGTTGAAATTTCGGCGGCAAGTTTGGCGAGGCTGCCACGCTAAACGGCTTGGCACAGCGAAGATCCATGGCATTAGGTAAGCCACCGGGGCCTGAACAACCTCAACTTGCACTTACTGGCAGCCCTTTGTTCTTGCTCAAACTGAATTTGACACCGGATGACTCAAAAGTTAATTTGATTAAACTTTCGATTTTACTAGGCAGAAACTCAGCGACCGAGAAGAGAACAAACTGCTGTATTGGAAGGAAAGTCGCAACACACAAAATCAACAAAAAATGGCATCGGACGACTGTGCTCTGTATGCAGAGCTCCTCGTCAACATCCGCCAGATTTCCCTGGCCGTGTCGCTCTCTTCGCCATGCGATGCTTCAACCCATGTCGCCGTTCTTGCTGACTGCAGAACAATCGAACTCAAGCACCGCGACAGCACACATCTTCTGACGCTCCCAGCAAAGACAGCTCTCGGCGGCACCTTGCTCCCTGTCCAAGACAAGCAAAAAGGGAGCACATCTCTCTCCTGGCGGCTCGCTCTCGATGCTTCGTCTCTCCCGCCATCACATCAATTGGACGAGATGGTTTGGTCGGCGACAGATCTGGACCCCAAATCCGGGGTGGCTTGCCGACAGTGCGCCACTGATGTTGTTTGTTCTGGCTCCGTTAAGGCCTGGAAAGATCTCCCCAGCGAGAACTGGGCCGAGATGATGGAATTCTGGCATTGTCATAAGCCTGACCATCATCACCCTAACCCAAGCGAGGAAACTGGAAAGGCCGGTGAAGAGAGCCTCGCTGCGAGGGGCTACGGCGCCTCCTCAGCCATCTCCGCCCAGGAGGGTGTCGGCTTTGTGGACTTGACGACGCTTCTCTTCGAAGAAAAGGATTGTCAAAATGTGACGGTAAGTTTGGCATTGTTGGGTGCTTCGTGCGCCCTGCCTCTCGTTTCCTATTATGAGCTGCTCGAAGGAGTCTTCGCTTTGGGCATCAAGAAGGTAGCCAAGCCGGCTCACAAGGCCTCGATGGAGTGGATACCGATACAAATGCCCCAAATTAAGTTCACGGCACATCTTCCTGTTTACGCAGGCTACCGGTTGGGCGAACCTCCCTTAGGGGATGGATCGCTACCTCTGGTGGACGGCCTACCCTCCGCACTTCGCCAGATCATTCTTAAGTTGAGACTGCTCTGGGATTAATGGAGGGACATGCATATATGGCGCGCCTTAGCAACTCCCAGTCAGTCAGTCAGTGGCTGACGGTTTCTTCGTTTATAGTTCTCTCTGTCTGGCTTTGACCAAGGTATGACAGAGAGACAGGGCCTTTCGTTGGCCAATGATACAACAAACTATACCCCTAACCTGAACGTCTTCTGCTCTTCCTGTCGTGCGCATCTGGGATTTTTCAACTTCCGAACCTCCGCAGTTACTCTGCTCAAGTGGCGGATATCCTGCAAATCCGCCTCAGCCGCCGCCCCGGCCATCCCAGAATGCCTCGCAGCCACTCTCATTTCCACCATATCTCGATCCGGGTCCTCCAAGTCTCTAATTACCCCCCTAAACGGAACCGCACAAGAAAGCCATGCCGAGGGCAGTCCAGGAAATGCAATCCACATTTGGGTACTCAATAGCAGTATCGTGTACTCCTCAAGTGGTATCCCGCAACGCACGCCAGCCATCAAACTCCTCTACCGGCCACTGCCCCGTGAGGAAGCCGACAGGATGCTGGAGACCGTCACCTGTGACTCTCTAGAGGTAAATCTACCAGTACAGGCGCTGGGCGAGGTTATTCGGCATTTGGATGACAGCAACGCGTTGTTGCCGCCGACGGAGCGCGTGTTCAAGGAGTGGAAGGTGGGGTTGCTTACGAGATGGGAGCAGAAAGTGTGAATGTCATAAGTACAACACAAACAATACAAGGATTTGCGGCTTTCTTGCCAATGAAGACGTCTTCTTGCTTGGTTATTCAGGTAGATACGCCTTTTCGATATCCTCTCTACCGCTCTAGTCCGGCGCTGCCTTACCACCTTGCCAAAAACAAAAACACTCCCCTCCAGAGGAGCAACATCCCATCAAGAGTACAATCGCCCGCCTGCCCACCACGCCGCCGGCCGTGTTCGCCAGCCCCCCGGGGTCCCCGTTTGATACGTCCTCCAACACTAGTATTACATTCAGACTTAGCTTGTGTCGTTGAAGGCCAAGTCTCTTTATGTCGGAGGTCTCAGAAGGAAAACCGGCTCCCATTGGGGGACTTATTGGAACAACCTACGAGATGATATACCCTGCCACCTGCAACCCTCCCCTTTCCAGGCCGCACTGTGTCAAGGTGGGGCCTGGAGATGTGCCGGATGGTAGTGTCTATATGTGGGATATTCACATGGCCAACTTAGGGCCCTTGGCCCTTAGGGAGTCTGCTCGTCATTGTCTCCGAAAGTGGTTAGGGTTATTAATTGGCGCTGCTATCCAAAAAGCGCACCTCTGTTTACTGTGTACATGGTGATTACGTTTCATGTGCCTACCTCGGAACGGTGGACCTTAGTCTCTTGCTCATCCTCCGCGTCTCGACCGCGACCCCTGAGCCTTTGACGGAGTTGTTGTCGCCAGACTCCTTCGCCACCGCACCAACTTTCCTCTTCCGGCCCGGCTTCACCCCCGCATCCTCCACCTTGACCACAGCCATGCCATCACGAGACAATGAATCCGAACTCTCACCCGCCGCGGCCCCAACAACCACCCGCTTCTTCTTCTTCTCCTCCTCCTCCCCGGCATCACCTCCCCCAGCCTTTCCCGCCCCAGACCGCCCCGCCCCAGCCTGTCCCGCAAAGGCCTTCAGGTTCGCCGTGAACAGCACGCTCTGCGCCCAGCCGGCGTGGGCGCCCCAGATGCCGCGGAAGTGGTCGCCCACGGCGTCGTGCATGGCCTTGGTGAACGTTTTGCCGCCACCCTTGCCGCCGCTATTCTTCCCGAAGTTGTAGTCGCGCTGCGCGATCTGCCACACGTGCGTGTCGACGGGTACCGCCTCCCACCACCCCAGCCCCATCAAGCAGACGCAGTCCGATACCTTAGGGCCGACGCCCGGGAGCGTGAGGAGGGCTTCGTGCGCGGCGCGGTAGGTTGGTTGTTGTTGTTGTTCTGCTGTTGTTGGTGGTGTTACTGGGGGCTTGGTGTTCGAAGTTCGTTCTGGCTTGATGTCGTCTTTTGGCGTGTCATCGGGTTCGAGCTTGATGGTGGCGGTGGTGGTGGCCTCCCCGACGGCCGGACAGGCGGGGTTCCGGAGCTGGAGAAGCCAGTTTGCAGGTTTTTCAGAGGATACTAAGCGAGCTGTTTCGGCGATGTACCTCGCGCGATAGCCGAAACCGAGCTGGCGGAGGTGGGCTTCGACTTGGTCACCGGCCAAGGCCTCCGGGCCCGGGAAGTCGTGGAATGGTTCGCCTTCAATGGTCCCAACGTAGGGGCCATAATGGATGCAGAGCTTTTGCACCATTTGGCTGATGCGAGAGATGTTGTTGTTGCTGCTGCAGATGAAGGCGACAAGAGCCTCCCAAGCGTCCTGGTTAAGGATGCGGATACCCGTGAAGGCGGGTGCGCGGCGGGCAAAGTTGGCGTCGGAAGCAGCCCATTGCTTGTAGAGTGAGGCTACTGAAAGTGAAAGAGCAAAGTAGCTGTGCAAGATTGATTCCGTATCATCCGCTTCGGTCTTGTTACCGCTGGCTATTATGGGCGATGGGGACCCCGCAGGCACAGAGGTTGGAGACGTCAAAAAGTTACCGGTTGTCTTGGGCCATGATACTCGGTAGTGCAAATGTGACGAGTCCTGCTTCAGCGAGACGAGTCGACCTCGAAGCACACAGTGCCTAGGTAGTCTATGTCAGGAGAGAAACCCCAGAGTGATGAAGCATGTATTCTCACCATTCTTCGTTGATTTTCTGCCACCGAAACGATTCTACAACACAATGTCAACGGACTTCTCGCAAAGGGTGGTGATTAAAACGAAACGAAAAACATACGTCCACAGCGGAGAGTGGTCTCGATGCAAAGCTCGGTTAGACTCAGGGGCAGCTTTCGCCAGTCCGCCGCCTTCATTCCCATTGGATGTTGAGAAATACGGAGAATAACAATGGAGGTTCGTTGGACTCGAGGTCAGATTCAAGAGATTATGATTAAATACTCGTATTTGCAAATAAGTAAGTACCCTTCACAGTACGTATTGAGCGGGGGATCCATATATTTGAAAAGATCCGGAGGTGGTGATGCTTGCAAGTACGAGTAATTTGAAGGTAAAAGTGCATGGTGAGACCGGTTTGGGAAGTTCAATGAACTGCAGCGGGCCGAGCTGAGGAAAGAGAACTCCACTGTCCTAGCCCGAAACAGATTGCTTGGCGTGGCCAAGCACCCGCATTGTCGCCCCAAAAAAGTTCCAGCCTCGCGATCAACTTGAACGCCCTCAGATCACGTTCCTGCGAGCTCTCTCCATGCTTGCGACCCTAAAGATCGCATCAAAAATTGTCAACCAACCGCAGCAGTTACAATGAATGTGGATAGTTACGGCTCCAGGGGTAGGCTCGGCTCCTCCTATCAATGCCAGAATTAATGCTAACTGACGCGACATAGATGGTGGCCGACACGGCTCGTCTCGCGACTATCCTGTAAGTACCTACGCCTGCATCACCATCTGTGACACAGCCAAAGCTAACATGACTTTGCGTTAGCCCTCGCGGAGAGATCGCGACGATAGACGCGATCGAGGCGATACGCGAGACAGAGGCAGCGGACGCAGACGCTCCCGTTCACCCGATTACCGCAGCGGCCGATCCCGTCGCGAAGATGGCGATGTAGATGCTTACTCCTCGAGCCGAAACCACCGCGACCGTGAGCGTGAGGACCGCTACTCCGGCCGGGACCGTCCTCGGGGAGGCGATCGGGGCGAGAGGGAATGGGATCGTGATCGGGGCGCCAGGGGCCGGAGGGACGATGACGACCGGCGCGAGCGTCGTCCGGAGCGGGACTTGATCGATGACCGCCGCGGACCAGGGCCTAGGCGTGACCGAGACCACGACAGAGAGCGGGAACGGCGGCGCAGCGTGTCGCCTCCCCCCAAGCAGCGCGAACCGACTCCTGATCTCACCGATGTGGTCCCGATTCTCGAGCGGAGGAGGCGCTTGACACAGTGGGATATCAAGCCACCCGGGTACGACAATGTCACGGCCGAGCAAGCCAAGCTTTCCGGCATGTTCCCTCTTCCCGGCGCGCCGCGCCAGCAGGCGATGGATCCAACCAAGCTCCAGGCGTTCATGAACCAACCCGGCGGTGCCGTCAACAACGCCGCCCTCAAACCCTCGAACTCCCGCCAGAGCAAGCGCCTGATCATCTCGAATCTGCCCGCATCGGCCACCGATGAGAGCCTAACCAACTTCTTCAACCTCCAGCTCAACGGCCTGAACGTCATCGAGACCGCAGACCCTTGCCTGCAAGCGCAAATCGCGACCGACCGGGCGTTCGCCATGGTCGAGTTCAGGAACAACACGGATGCGACGGTGGCGCTGGCGTTGGACGGCATATCAATGGAGGCGGACGATGCGCACGCGGCGAATGGCGATGGCGCGGCGCCTCAGGGACTGCATATCCGCAGGCCGAAGGATTACATCGTGCCTGCAGTCGTCGAGGACCCGAACTATGACCCGGATTCCGACAGGCCCTCGACTGTGGTGGTCGACAGTCCAAACAAGATCAGCGTAACCAACCTGCCGCTGTATTTGACCGAGGATCAGGTTATGGAGCTGCTCGTCAGCTTCGGCAAGTTAAAGTCGTTCGTCTTGGCGAAGGACAACGGCACGCAAGAGTCACGGGTACGCTTCCCTTGTCCGTTTGAAACGTGTACACTACCGACTAACAATTCCAGGGTATCGCATTCCTCGAGTACACCGACCCAGGCGTCACCAGCGTTGCCATACAAGGCCTGCACAACATGATGCTCGGCGAGCGCGCGCTCAAGGTGCAGAAGGCCAGCATCGGAATCACCCAGGTCTCCGGAGAGATGGGTGTCAATGCCATGTCCATGCTTGCTGGCACAACATCGACCGACGCGGGAGCCGGCAGAGTGCTCCAGTTGCTGAACATGGTGACGCCGGACGAGCTGATGGACAACGATGACTACGAAGGTATTTGATTGTCCACATCCACTAGACTACCTAACCGGTGGACGCTTTGCTGACAATTTCCCAGAAATCCGTGACGATGTCCAGGAGGAGTGCGAAAAGTTCGGCAAGATCCTGACCATCAAGATCCCCAGACCGGCCGGCGGTAGCAGGCAGTCGGCTGGCGTTGGCAAGATCTTTATCAAGTTCGAGACGCCCGAAGCCGCGACGAAGGCACTACAGGCGCTAGCCGGCAGGAAGTTTGCTGATCGAACTGTCGTGACAACCTATTTCCCTGAGGTACGATCAATTCTTCACCTGGTGATTTACACAGCTAACCCCGGCATAGGAGAACTTTGATGTGAATGCTTGGTAATGGGTGAAAGCGAGCGATGGGGATTTTGATGGCTAGGTACCTATCTATCTATGCGGGTTAGCCGGGATGCGAAGCGCTGAACATCACAAAAACGCAATGTTCTCTCGGGCCCTCGGTTTCGGGGGTTATTATTCTTTTGAAACGGGTGGCATTAAGTAACGTGTACAATTATCAATGACGAGGGAGTCGGTTCTACGGGGAGCTACACCGGGGTTACCTCGATCCAAGTATTGCACAGTGACGGCTTGGGACGTTGGGCAAGTCAAAGCTGGTTGTATTCATTGAAGTTTGCTATATAACGACACACAAAAAAACCTACGGATTAGCCATTGACGGGTCACCGAAGTTGGAACTATGAGCAAGTTAGCTCTGCCCATGACAATCTTATGCTTCGAAAACGAAGGGTATGATGCCAAGGAAATCAGAAGTCCGTTTAATTCATTGGGTCCCGAAGGACCCTAACATAAGAGGTACCAGAAAATAGTAAAAAAGGTTGAGATCATCAGGGAGGAATGGCTTGGAGGAAGAAGAGAGATGTCGGCTGCTTACCTGCTGAGACTGCCGATAATCACTTGTTACCGCATGTTGGCGGTTGGCCATGTAAAAGCAAGAAGCTCAAACCGCACAGAGCGCGCTCAAGCGCGACAAACCATCACTCTGTGGTTGTCTTTCGATGTGGGAAAGGCAGGAGAGGTTCGCTTGCAGAAAAATTTACCACTTTAACTTCGCAGCCGGCCCCACCTAGCAGAAAACCTTGGCAAATATTTGGGTCACGGGTATGCTCACGTGCCAGATCTGCCTTTGCAGCCAATCACAGTGCCGGCCCTAGCCAATTTCTCCGCCCACAGAATCACGAACTTCACTCGGAAATTTCACTCGCATCGATTTCTCGGCCAGCCAGCGACCAACTCGACAACCCCCCCGACCGCCGTCTCCGGATACCTCACCACACACAACCACACCGTCACCATGGGTCGTCTTCACAGCAACGGCAAGGGCATTTCGTCCTCGGCCATCCCCTACTCGCGCACCGCCCCCGCCTGGCTCAAGACCACCCCCGAGCAGGTCGTCGACCAGATCTGCAAGCTCGCCAAGAAGGGCGCGACCCCCTCGCAGATCGGTGTCGTCCTCCGTGACTCCCACGGCGTTGCCCAGGTCAAGATCGTGACCGGTATGTTTGGGATCCCTTTCTGGGGGAGGGAATATGGGAGTGGGAAATGGCGGTGCTAACTGTGCTGCGATAGGTAACAAGATCCTCCGGATCCTGAAGAGCAACGGTATGGATTGAGCCCGCTCCTTTGAATATGGGAAAAGAAAGAGATGGTACCAAAACACCACATGCGACGATGCCCTGCGCGCGTACGAGCCCATGCTGTGGAACCCCGCATGATCGACCGAGCTGGATGACACGCGCAGGCGTGGGAAGGGAAAGGAATATGGACAAGAGATGGACTATGCCTCTGTTTGGTCATCAGGCTGACAGAGTGATCGTGTGTACAGGTCTTGCTCCCGATATCCCGGAGGACCTTTACATGCTTATCAAGAAGGTATGAGACTTGGGTGCCGCTCTTTCCTTGGAGAGTGTGGCATCTCCCTGCCCCCTTCGGCATAAAGCGATTGCTAACCGACCCAGGCTGTTGCCGTCCGCAAGCACCTTGAGCGCAACCGCAAGGACCGCGACTCCAAGTTCCGCCTCATTCTGATCGAGTCGCGTATCCACCGTCTTGCGCGCTACTACAAGACCGTCGGTGTCCTGCCCCCCACCTGGAAGTACGAGTCGTCGACCGCCAGCACCATGGTCGCCTAAGCGAAGCGCTGCGAAGGGTACGTCGTGTCGAGACGGGGTTCGCTGGGTGGCGGAAGCGTGGGGAGGATCTGGTTCTTTGCAGCTTTTGGCCCGCCGCTGTGTAGCCGTCCGCAGGTTTGGTCCGGGTCATTGGAGTTGGGGAATGGAAAGGAAACTTGCATTCTAGATTACTGCAATGGGCGCAGGATAGTGCTGTCTCCCGGGCACGAAAAGCATGGGATGACGAGCGACGAGTGAGGAAACAAATGCAATGCATTGCTCCTCCTCCCAACTGTGGTATGATTTGCGTAAAGTGATATTCGAGCCCCAGCAACGTCCGATATCCATTTGAACTCCTTGCCGAACCACTCCCGACTCTTTTTTTCGCAAATCACCGCCCCGTCCGTCGCCAGTGCCACTTAAGCGGCGCGTGTCTTCTTTCCCCGTCCCATCCTACACCGGACGACCGGTCCTTTCGCCTCAGGTAGCCCTGGTGGTATTGTCGGCCTCACGAGCTTTCCTCCTTCACCTCCGCCTCCTTGCTCCTCTGTACCAGAGACTGTCGGTCCTCCACCTCAGGCTGGCCCTTCACCTCGATCTGGTCCTTCACCCCAGGTAGCCCCGGTTGGTCCTGTCCGCCCTACGAACTCCCATCCTTGCCCTCCAACTCCTTGCTCCTCTGCAGCAGAAACTCTCCCAGCACGCGCAGCGGATCCTTTGGCCTGTCATGACACATACCTGTTAGCATCCAATTCCAATTCCAATTCCAATTCTCGGCAGCCTTCCCTCTCCCCAACCCAACCCAACCCAGAAATGAAGAGGCCCCCGGGGGATGACGAGCTTGAAACCCGCCATGGTGACCAAATAAATAAACCACTTACTGATCCCGCGCCACGATCTTCATCCCCTCCAACAACACCCCCGTGACATGGCTGTTGAGGTACTGGCGCACCGGCGCGCCGTGCGCCGCCGCTTCGGCCGGCATTGCGAAGCCTGCTGGTGTCGCGCCGCTGGCGTCTGTCGGATGTTGCGAGGCGGCGCGCGATGTGGGCTGGTGTTGGTTTTGTGCTTGAGGCGGTTGTTGTTGTGGTGGCTGTCCTGGCGTGGGGACGGGGGTTGGGATCCGCGCTGTTGTTGTTGCTGTTGTTGTTGAGAGGGGGGAGGGTGCGGCTGGGGGCGTGGTCTGCTGCTGGGGGGGTTGCTGTGGTGGGGGTGAATTCGAGGTTAGTTTAGGGAGGTACCAAGGTGGGAAGAAGGAACCTTTCGGACTGTGGTTCAAAGTGCTTTGTGTGGAGAGCAGCCGTGGGATTGTATGCAGGTCACTGGCAGGTCAAAGGAGGGAGGGACTTACTGCTGCCGGGGCAGGGGCGTCTGTCATGGAGATGTCGGTCGCGTTTTGGGCGGGGATGCCATTGACTGTTTCCGGGTGGGAATTTGGGTTTTCCGTGCCCGGGATCTGTTGTGGAGCTGTCTGTTCAGACATTTTCTTGGTGTAAAATGATGATTGGAAGTGTCTGAACCTGGCGTGTCGAGCACAAATTCACGTTGCGACTGGACATGGAAGCTTCGACGAGTTTAAGATGCCCCATAAAGCCCCACTGCTGCAGGACACGGAGTCACGGGATGTCGCGTCCAAAGAAAGAAGGAGCCCCCCCCCCCCCCCCCCCCCCCGTCGCGCTTGCTTCTCAGCCCTTTTCTGCCTGGAGAGGTCAAATCCAATTTCAAGTTCTCGCTCCTTCTCCTCATCATGGTCTCACACACATTTGTGTCGATTCTATCACGGAAATGGATCGGTTCATCCAAAGATCCAAACCCAACAAAATCTTGGTGCAACCAGCAACTAGACCTCTTATACCCGAGTTAGAGCAGAGACCATATGAGCCTCCGAGGAAAAGGGCCCGACTCGCTGAGGTGAAGAGCAGCGATGATGAGGATGGAGACTCGTCTCCGGCCATTTCGAATGGAGAAGAGGAAGACTTGTTGGCCTTCAGGGGACATACCTCAGGCGAGAGTCCACCCGCCTCTGAGGTCGATCAGAGCGATTCGGCCGGGCCAAAGCACGAAACAGCCTTCGAAAGCTCACTTCCTACTGTCGCCATCGACAATGAGGCTATCGAAGAGTATGAGACCATGCAGGCATCTCAGGCTTCTCAGGACAAGACGGAGGAGAATGCTTCTTCTGGGACGGATACCCGACAATGGATTCGAGGAAAGAGCTCCATCTATGTCGACGCGTTTAATCTTGCCCTAGACACCGTTCTCGAGGACGAGTCACATTTGTTTGATGTCGGAGAGAAGTGTGTGTTTGAGCAGTGGCGAGGCTTGAGCTACGAGGCTCAGTATCTGTGAGCATTCCCGTCATTTGTCATGACCACTCTCTGACAGGTTCAGGTACGTACGTCTGTTTTTGCGCAAAACCGCTTTCTGGCACCGTGTTGAGCGCTTGGGCTACCACAATGATATCTCAAATATGCCAATGGCCGTTGCTAGTCTGCTTGAGTCCCGGCCGTTGCTGGCTGATACCAATCCTCGACTGAATGACAACGTTGGAGGCTCGCATTGCTGGAAGTCGAATGGCGCTTTTTGCTTTGCCGATGAATCCAACTCGTGCATCAAGACCATTGAGGAGGCTGCTTCTCTGCTGAGCCTTGACGAACTCAAAGCGCTTGCCAAGGAGGCTAAAGTCCAGGGCAAGAACAAGTCCGACCTCACCAAGGCTTTCTGCCGCGCGAGCGCCCAGCAGTCGGGTCTAATGGCTGTAGGCCTCCGCTGGTCCAGTACGGACGAGTCAACAGCCTCCGGTGGCAGCCCAGGAAACCAAGACTCGAATCGAAACACTCACTTCCTGAACAAAATCCTTGCCATTACTGGACCTCTCATCAGGCTGTCAGAGCCCGTTTTCAAGTTGTTTGAACGTGTTCACTTGGTCTTTTACCGCTCAACAGAGTGGACTGAGAAGTCGCTCACAACCATCATCCTAGCCAAGATGGCCCGACGAAACTACCCCGACTACATTGTGTGCCGATCAACCAACATATTCCCGTCCCGGCGGCACCTTCTCGAGTTCGAAGTCTCCATGAGAACCGAGTTTGAAGTCGACAGCATCCTAGAGTTCAACGGCCCACCTGGAGAGGAAGGCTTCCGCAAAATTCTCGACGTCTTCGAAACCATCGCGCCTCGTTGGAGAGAGCTGATCAACGAAGAGAACGACAAAGAAAACCATGTGTACGAGTTTGGTGAGGGTGGCTACCTTCGCCGATTCAACGCAGGGCATGCTTTCACGCGCATTGCGCACAAGGCGGCCCATGTTCTCGGCCGTCTACACAACTACAAGGAGGAGCATCAACTGCTCACCGAGCTCCTCAACCAACGCCTATTCCATCCCGCACGCCGCGGCTTCTGGTACCAGCGCAGGGCATTGCTCGAAGAACGGTATATGTGGGAGGCAGACCCTGATCCTGTGTCGACTGACCCTGAGGTCCGGAAGAAACACTGGCAGCGAATCGCAGTTACTACCTGCGAAACCGCTCTCGAGGACCGCGATTGCCACCTGATTTACCATTATGACTTACAGAAGCGCCTCATCAAGCTAGAGAAGAGGTTACGGGTCCCTCGCCGCCTCCAACATGACTTCGGGCACGTAAAGTTGCGTGAACCGGAAGAGCACACCGTGCAAGGCACTCAGGTGGTTCGAGACGAGCCAGATGTCAAAGGGAAGGCAGGCCGCGGAACGAGCACCAAGACGATATGGCTTGACGAACTAGGCGACCCGGGCGAGGACGGCAAACCCCTCCGCGTCAGTGTTGAGGACATGTGCCTGTCACATTATCGTAGCCAGGGATGGAAGGGGTATCACAGCGAGGGGGGCATTCTACGAACGCTGTTTGCCTATCTGTTTTACGATGTCCTTTTCGTTTACATACCGAACGTCTTCCAGACGCCTTTCCAGACTTGTCCACTCGATCTCCACACCGATGCCTTCTACCCGGCTCGGACGAGCCAAATCAACCATAGACTTGTCGAGATCGCCAACGGAGAGGCCGAGCGGATACTACGAGATGTTCATGAGCGAGAACACGAGCGCCGCACCTGCGTCGTGGGGCTAAATTGGGACTTCGAGGTTGACGACTTGGCCGATTTAGTGGCCTGTTTCGACGGAGGGGCGCTTGCTACCGTGTGCAAGGTTATGGCGCAAGAGTACAGGGCTCGGGGAGGCGGCGTACCGGACCTCATCCTGTGGCGGACGGGCGGAGACGATGGCGAGGGCGGTTATCGAAAAGGGGAGGTTATGTTTGCCGAAGTCAAGAGCGCCAACGACCGGCTCAGCGACACTCAGCGCCTGTGGATCAATGTCCTCACCGGGGCGGGAGTCCGCGTTTCCCTGTGCAATGCGATAGCTCGAGATGTGCGAGCGAGCTGATCGAGGCACCAACCTCCTCGGTGTCGCCGGGCGAATGGTTGACTCTTCCCGCCAACGAACAGGCTGAAAATAGCAACCTCATCTCCGAGCCTCAGGCCATGTGTGACCAAAGCCTTTTCCTGCCTCGGCCCGGGATAGCCTCAAGGACATCGAGGCATCCTTGCGCTCGACGGCCCGCGCACAAGCGACGGACCTCACCAGGGGTTTTCGACCAGCGACTCGCACGTGGGGAGGCAGGAGGAAATGAAACAAATCCAAATATAGAGCCGTCCCAGCAAAAGGCGTTTCAAAATGTTCCGCAAGCCTTCGAAACGTGGACGTCTGCGTTCCACCCGCAATGTCACTACTGAGAAAGGGGGCAAAAAGGAACCCCCCAGCTGACGTTTCAGGTTGGATGCAGTTTCGAGATCCCTTCTCACACTCGGACCCCAGACTCGAAGGGCAGGTCGTTCGATATTGCCCCGGGAGGCCCTCAAGGGGCAAAATACCTGACGCTTCAGTTCCTCGCCAATCTTAGAGCCGGACGTCGAACTTGTTTACGATGACCTTCTGCACGCCGACATATTGCTCAGCACCAATCAGATGCGCTGGTTCAGCGTCGTCTTGCACGGAATGTGACGAATGAAACATAGCCGTCGCTGCAATGCAAGTAGTCACACATTAACCTCCTCCGCTACCCAAAACTGAAAGATACGCCCGGATGGACCTTGTCTCTCGGGCGAGACGCCACAATTCAGCAGGCAAATGCAGTGCTTGCAGGCGGGCACCGAGCAAGAAACGTGATGGACCAGGCCTCCCATCACCAACCCTTTGAGCCGCAGGAGAAGCGTGCGTCTGCTCGCGGTGGGCGAGCCGCTCACTCAGCACCTGAAGAGACTTCAGTGAAGCGTTTCCGTCTCACCAGAACACCTGGCATCCACTATTCGTACTTCTCAACAATTGTTCCCTAACAAAAACAAAAGCCCACCTCACACCTGCCATCTTGCTTTCAATGAATGGGCAAATTATGCCCTGTCTCCCCCATGCCATGCCACCTCGATTTTCCACTTCTCCCCTCCAAAAAAACGGGCGCTTAACAGCACCTTCTACCCAGCCAATCAGCTCGCCATATCCGCACCTGGCACACCCCTCCTGCAACTGCAAGTGACGACACACACCACAACAGCGTTCCCCTCGGAAACGACACGCGCGATTCGCGAACTGGGGAGCCGAAGTGGAGCACCAGCACCCCTCCCGGGTGGTGTGGGCGCTTAGCAGGGCGAGGGCCCGGCCAGTGAGAGGGCGCCGGGTGGGGGCCGGCTTGAGCTTGACCATGCGGGCGGGATTGCGCTTGGCTCGTTTGGGCATGGGCGGGTTTGGGAAGGTTTCTTGCCGCTTTAACGAATCTCGGACTGTTCAAGGTCTGCGCAGCGAGGCTGGCTGGAGGGAGAGAGAGAGAGGGAGAAGGGGAGAGAAGTCGGTGTGTTTTTGGCAAGGGGGGTGCCTGAGCTCTCAGATGGAGATTGAGTGAATGTGTCCTCATATCGAACAAACTGACCGTGAGAAAAGTTCATTCGGTACTTACACCAAATAGTTACGGTTGGGTTGGCACTTACACACCTCCCTCCAACGCCCCCCTCCACCATGCATGCACTGTGGCAGCCGTCGGGGGCCAGATCGATATTCGATCCAACAGCAAGATCATCTGATCGGTCAGCAAGCAAACAAACATCGAGGATGCCTCACAGACCATATCAGCAGTTTAGTTTAGTTTAGCACCGACCTTACCAAAACAAAAGTCACAAGAGCTCCCTGTCAACGTAACCCTGGAGACCTGTCACCGCCCATCAACCGGCCAGGGAGGGGAGCTCCCGCATGCATCGACAGGCCGCCGCTCATGCGACCACCCCCTCGCGATGAAGACAGAACAAAAACAAACGCACGAGGTAACTGGCCCGCTTGGATGGCCGCGTAGAGTCTGCAGAGTAGAGCACATAAACACAAATAAACAAACAAGCGGCCACCTGACAGGCTGCAAACCTGCTGCGGTTGGGTATATGCAGTAGGAAAGCAAACGTGCCCGTCCCCAGGCAATCAACCATCACAATCACCGCAAAGGAAACGAGATGTTGGTTGTAGGTTCAAGGTATCCAATTCCTCACGAACTACACAAATATGGGCAGGCAAATCCCTCACTATTCACATGTAACCGCTGTAATACCGCCGCCAGCCCCATGCCACTATGTAACTTGCCCCCTAACTTGGCCCCCATGCTTGGGGGCCATATCCGACTCGTAAACCTCCATCCTCCAAATCGCCATGTCCATCCATGGTCTGGTCCAATATCCCAAAAAAGACGCCGTCCTGCAACGCCGCGCCCCACCGTGGTCACCCCAATGTAAACCCATCCATCCATCCATCCATCCATCCATCCATCCATCCATACGTTCGGCGCAAAACTGCGTGGGCTAACCCCCTCTTTTCGCCGACCCCGTCTGTCCCATCCCTTGGCGCCTGTGAAAAGCCATGTCCCTTCCTCTGTCGCGAACCCCGTGGGTATGTGATGTGGGTAGTGTGATGCGATGCATCGTTGTTTAAACAAAAGAAAAGTGATGTCGCAGCAGCCGAGCCGGCTGGTGTGTTGCTGTGTTGTTGTTTATGTGGCGGTAGCCAGTACCGCACGTAGTAGGTATTATGTACGCAGTTCCATATCCTCATATCCGAATCCCTTTCCCCGCTCGCCGGCTTCATGACTTGACGGCCGTGTCGGCGTCGATCTTCCTCCTCTTGCCCTTGGGCGCGGGCGCCATCCTGGGCGTGTAGGTAACTGTGCGCGTGACAACCTCCCGGATGTGTCGTACGCTGGACCTCGACTCCCGCTTGCTGTGTCCTGGTGTTCCGGGCGTGCCAGCAGTGGCCTGGAGACCGGGTGTCTCCGGCTCCGCGGGGCGTTTTGAGCCTGGGGTCTCGGCGAATCGCCTCGACTTGAGGGCGGCTTCCCAGTCAAAGGCCGACCTCACAGATGCGGCACTGAGCGGCGACCTTGGCGAGTAGATGCCGGCTGTGGTAACGGCGGGTGAGGCGGGCAGCTTCATACTGGGGAATACTGTCGGTCCGGCGGGTGGTGCGGACATCGGGCAGTTAGGGCCACCACGGGGTGTGACGGGCTTCTTCGTATCTATTGGCGCGGGCCTGGAGCCCTTCGTCTTCTCCTTCTCCTTCTCCCCGTCGCACTCGCAGCTCAGTTCAGACCGGGCCGTTGACGGCGCGCTCTCGATCTGGTCGCCCTTCTCCTTCTCGGAATCCTCCGTCTCGGTAGAGGAGTTGCTTGCGTTGCTCTCGTTGCTGTCGTTGCTACGTGCGCTGCTCGTGCTGCTAGTGGTGCTTACTGTGCTTGTTCGGTTCAACACCGACTTCCCTGTTTGGGGTGGCGAAGCAAGGCACGGCGAGACCAGGGACATGCCCTTGAGGAAGTCCAGATAGGCGACAGGGGGGGTAATGGGCGTCTTGAGGAGGTCATGCTCCAGTTTGATTGTCGCGCTGAAGGGGCCGGCAGAGGGAAGCCCCGCGGAGGGCAGCCCGGAGGAAGGGATGGGGTCCCGAAACGCCGATGTCCGCGAGATAGCGGATAGGGGTGTGCCAGCGGAGACGGCCGACGGCAACGATACGGCAGACCGGAGCTCCGAGGCGGATGGCGGGATGTGGGGGAAGTTTGCGGTGAGGGGTGTCGACACCCTCAGGGTAGGTCTCGTCGACATGTTGGCGGGTGGTATGGTGGTGGAAAGAAAGGTCGGTGTGTGCGTTCCAAGTATGGTGCGGCTGTCGAACTGGCAGTCGACTCACCTCGGGGGAGGGTGAGAGAAGAGCCGGCAGTTAGGCGGAGGAAGAAGGCGCAAGGTGCGGGAGGGTGGGTAACCAATGATTATATGAAGGGATGGGTCGACAACGGAGGGAGGTCCAGGCTCCAAACAGAAGGATCGAGCGCTGATTCCCCGCGTGGGCTAGTTTCGGACGGGGGGTTCCTGGCGCGCAGTATCCCTGTATCTCTGAATCCCAGAACACTGGGTTGGCACACCGGGGTCTGCTGCGTGGCTTGGGATAGCTCAACAGCAGGTGGGCGTCGTTTGGTTTGCTGAATCGGCCCGCGTTGAGACCAAGTGGGGGCAAACGACAAGTGAAGATCGGCTGAGCTGGAGGGAAGAGGGAGAGTATTAGCTACTCGTGCCTAAAAAAAAAGTGTGTTTGCGCTGAGTGGCCGGTTTGACGCTCGACACGCCACGAGAAGGAGATCAAAAGCAGAAGACAGGCGGAAGAAGCAATCGGGTTGCGGGCAGGGGTAGAGAGACAGCACACCTCGTTGGAGGGGGGCGGCGTTAAAGCAGCGGCAAATCAAGAGGGCGGCCGCGGTGGGGCAGGCTTGACAAGCGAGCAGCGACCACTCGACAGGGATCTCTCCGGCGGCAGTGAGAGGGTGAAAGGGTGAAAGAGTGTGCTTGAGATGTGACTCGGGTTGCAGCTGGCTTTGCCCGTCTTGATGCCCGTGCTCTTCAACTTGTTCCTCCGCAGTTCCTCTTGGGAAAAGCGCTCGTCGTGAAGGAATGGGCGGGAACGGGGCCCTTGAATGGGGGATGGAAACGGGAGATGAGATAATAAAAAAGCATGCACTTACGGAGTACTGCCTGTTCAACTGAGCGCCTAACAGGGTTCAATATGTCGAGCCGCCGAGGCAGACTGGTCGTGATGTCCGAGTCGGGGATTTGCCCTCTTAAGTCTGAACTGGGACCAAAGCCGTCAGCGGGCGCTTCACGGGGTAATTTGCTGGTTTGCGAAGAGGAGGGAGCCCAGGCACAAAGTGCAAACCTTCAAAAAAAGCTCTCGTGCTCGCCGAGAGGAGAGGGTATGCTCCGATTTGCGGATCAGAAAAGAGGCGCCGGGCCCAGTACAAACTGTGGAAGATGCTTGGTGCTTGCCACGAGCCACCAAGGCCGCGCGGATCGTGATGGCGTCGGTATCTCAACCGCTGGGACGGGGCTCTTGTGCCTGATTGGTGATGGGCGCGGGACTCTCAGCAGGGATGGGCGCTAAGGTGATATTATTAGCATCGCGTCTTTTGATTGGTCAGGTCTTTGCCGCTCACCAGGTACCACAACGACAGCTGACAGTGTCTCGACTGTCTTGATCTCGGTGTTGACGAAATGTGATATCGCAGTCGAGAATAGAAACGGTCAAGGCGAAAGAAGAGTCGTGATGTGAAGATGGGGTGTTGATAGGACAGCAGGAGATGGGTGAAGCAGTTCTGATAGGTCTGCAGAGTGAAAGAAGAAGGGGGCACGTCCGGCGCTCTGGGATTAAGGTGAAAGTATGCCCACGGAACCAGCCTGTGGATGGAAAGAAAGCGTCGGTTCAAGTTGAGGGTGGGAGGGTGACTTTGGGTTGGCGAAGAAGATGGGTTCTTGAGCTGAAGTTCGACTCGGACAACCTGGAAACTTCGGTCTCTTAATATTGTGCCCCATGTGGTGGGTGAATGGCGCATATATGCAGAACCACTCGGTGTGTAAGTCTTAACCGCCTTTCCCTTCTGCAGCTCATCTGCCGCTGGGCGGGTAACCCATTGCATGGCTTCCACGCTGACCATGTCAACTGGCTAGACCACCCCCGAGCCGCCCTTCCGGATGCTTCGACGGAGCGCGCGCCACGAAGTTGCATCTGTAGCTACCCAAAGCCAAGGGCCCCATCAGTTCGCTTGCGCGAGGGAACTCAGTGGCTGCCCGTCGGCGAATACTCGATACGCAGGCGCGCTTATTTCAGGCCGCATCTTCCAAGACCTCATACCGAACCGCGACCAACACCCTCCCCGCGGCTGTTGACGCGCTTGCAAGAGCTAGTTCGGCGTTGGGGGCTTCGGTTGGCTGGCGCTCCCACACCGTCGGGCTCGGTACGTATCTTGCCGCCCCCGACCAGTCAACCATTGGCTCACCATCGGCAACCCCCCAAACCATCTTGGTCCTGGGAATATAACATGGACAGAGCGCGCGCCTGTTCCTCCGGTAACACTGCTTCCGTCCATCGGATCGAGAGGAGCGGCCTGCTCTGCGGCCTGCCGTGGCTCTGTCCACCCCGACTCAACGTGCCACTTTCGCCGCATCGCCCACGAGGGCGGTTTCCCACCTGCCTTCCGTGGTTGGTTCCGGGGTTCAAGGGCTCCTGTGGGTGAGGGATCGTGGCTGTCGATAAACCGATCCTTCGCATGTTCATGTTCCTGTCGAACCCAAAGGCCTGCAAACCATCGGCGAGGCGGACGTGAGGTCCGCCGGAGGCTGATATCTCAGAATGGAACTTTTCGGCGGCAAGGTTGCGGGTCAACGGACCATTGGCCTGACAGGTGGTGCGATAGCCGCTATAGAAACCAGAGCGGCGCCATCTGTCACGCAAACAACGTGGGTAGCCGCGTGGGTTACTTGGGTCCTCCCTGCCGCTTTCCTAGCCCTTGTCGCCTGCACGCTCACCATGTCGACGAGTGGATGCTTCCTCCGCTGTCCGTCTCTGCTTGCACCATACCTGGTTTGGCGCTTCGATACTCTTTTCGTCATGGCCAAGAATGCCGACGCAGAGTTTTATTGCCCAGGATACCTCGATTACAGCCTGTCGATTAGGAGGAGCGACTCGATTACTCGGCGTCTATGCCTCGTACGTGCAGGTTCGTCGACTCCTCTTTGCCGGTCGACAGACCTTGAAGTTCCAACCGACACCTTGGTCTCAACTCCAGCTGCAGTCCTGGTCCCGGAAAAGGACGAGACCGTTGCTCCTTCAGTTACCGCCGGGCGTCTAAGGATCAAATGAAGAGAGATATTGCTCTCTCCGCGGCTACCTTCCACGCATTCCCTGTTCGAACCAACTGCTCACCGTCAGTAAACGCTATTCAAGCCGCTTATGGATCCTTCGCTGCAAGGCAGACAGCCCACTTGGGCACAGCAACTGGACCGAGAGTGAGTTTGTTTCTGTTTCCGCGGGAAGCAGGTGGACATGCCTCAGAAACCGCATGAACTTGCTTCGACACTTCCCGTTTGGTGTTGACGCCGCACAGCCCGTGTCATGACGAGTTGCGTGTATGGTCGGGGCTGGTATGGTCGCGAGACACAGTGCCCCCTACTGGTGGACCTGCAGTGATCACGATCCTTGACAATCAATAGGGTGATCCTGCGACTCCTTGGTCCTCTGTCGGTGGTGGTTGGGCGGCGGTCGATGGATTATCATTGGAAATCGTCGGCAAACGCAACATTCCAACCAGGAAAAACATGGCCAGAGAGACATTCGAGACTCGATCCATGGCGGTTCTGGGACTCTGGCCCGTCTTGCCCGCAGAGGTATTCGCCGAAACGCTTCGCCGCTCCCCGTCCTCCTCGTGCCGCTTTCGCACCCCGGAGGCCACTGCATCCTTCTGTCTCTATTTCCCACACAGAATGTGTCAGAGTCAAATCGACCAAAAGGGTTTCCACCTGGGCGTTTTGACGTTGAAGTATACCTTGGCGTTGGCATGGAGGGACTGGAGAACTTACTAGCTAGCCACGCAGCCGAGAAGTCCTGGGCTCCTGATTATCGGCACGCCCGTGGGATTGCGATCTATCATAGGGCTGACGAGGCGAGCGAGCGGCCAGAGGCTCGAGACGACCCTACACAGGTTCACGTGTCGCGTTTGCGCCAGTGCGTGGCCAAGGAGAAGACGGTACCTAGCCGTCAGTCAGCTCGACTCAGATCGTTACCCAGTGTCTAGCATGCAAAAGAGCCTCTGCTTTTGCTTACCTTCCTAAGTATCCCGTTTCGGTGCATCCTAACGTCCCAGTGGTATTGTTGGTGGTGCGTGGTGGAATTGGAGCGAAAGGAACGGAACCGAGAGAGTCCCAGGATAGGTAGGTAGATGTGGTACTGCACCAGTTTTGACTCGTGTTCCGAGGGAGAATACAAAGTGGGAAGGAGCCGGGTAACATCTTGGGCAGGTAGCACCTTGGCCGCCCGGGCGAGGACTTGTGGTGGATTGGGCCAGGAAGGAGCGAGCCGCTGCGCTGGCGTTCAACTAATGCAGTGAACGGGTTGAGACCCACGATGTTAGCAAAAATATTTGGTATAATTATTGCACTATAAGCAAATTTGCCATCTTTACTCTCAAATACCCACGTCATCTCACCATCATCTCCAGTCGTCGTCGTTCATGTGAGCTGCGTAGCTAAAACATTCAGCAAAATAGCACCTGTCGACATGTGTAAGCTCAGCTTTGGACTCTGACCTAAACAGCAAATTGTATCATCCCAACAACAATAATTCCAACTTACCTCTAACCAAGGTAGGTCGGGAATCCCCCCCCCCCCCCCCCCCCCCCCCTCCCAACCACTTCTTGCCTCATGTTTTCTCCGGTTAGGAGAAGTCAACTCCCTTCGCTGGGATCCTCGATATCGACGTTCACTATTCTTTCCGCGGACTTATCCAGACATGGTGTTTACCTGTCGTCACGTCACTAAAGCGCGTGTCCATCATTGTCTTGACATGTGATGACGATAGTTACCGAGTGGCATGGGGTTCTCAGTGCCGTCTTGTCACGGCGATCACCAGAAAATTCCATGTCATAACCCCTACATGGCTCTGCCATCGCAACAAACCTTAGCCCAAAACCGACGCATTGTGATATCAAAAGTTCCAGGGCAAGACCATTGAACCGGTCGCCTCTTGGTATTTCCACAGCTGACGATATCAAGTAGCTTGACCGGGTTGATCGCGTCGCTGACGGATACTGGTGATTTCCACGGCATCAGCCCACAAGACGGGGCCACGAAGACAAGGCTTGCTTATTGGAACCATGAAATTGCCCATTGCTACGCGTTGTTTCCGAGTGTTGTCGAGCGTCACCCCGGCCCGTCATCTCAGGGGCTTCGTGAAGCCCATCACAATGAAGGCGGAAGGAACCACTGAATCCAGAAGGAACCGCGCCGACCCAGTCAACCATATCGACGGTTGCTGAAAGAGGCTCACCTTCCATGTTTAGCTTTAGTGTGTGCTCAACGACGCCGCAGGCACAAGTTGATATGATATGACGACTTCACCCCCGTGAGGCTGAACTTAAACGCGCCATAGGTGTCACACAAAAGGCAATAATCCCTGATTTTCTTTCTGCTGTTTCCGGTACTTTTCGGCATTAATCTATCGACGCCCATTCTCGTACCGATCGGTTGATCCTTCGCTAGGTTGCGCCCGCTAGCATAGTTCACACCCATTCAATGTTCACAAAGGGGCTTCGAGGCATAACAAGACGGGAGATCAATGACGTAAAGTGTAGGCAATTACGGGGAGACAACTTCGGCATACTTGCTGTTGCCACTCCCTGCTTTATTTCTCGTAATTAATTTGCTCAGCGAGACCGGATAGCTGGGAGACGCCCCGGCCCTCTTACATCCATACCCACTGATAGTAATACCAATGAGGTGACGGCCATAGGTTCCTACCAGCGGTTTGTGGAACAGTCTACTATTCCCCACAGTTCTTGCTGAAACAATATCATCGAGATACCGAGCATGAGTTCCCAGATATATCTCTAAGCCGGAGCTAGGGGAGCTTTGTTTACTTTCGACACGCCCTCGAAAGGGGCTTCGCCGCACACCATGTTGAAGACATCCCAAAAGCTGAATCGAGGTCACTCCGAAGGAACGCGTCAATAGTCATGCCACTTGATCAAGCCCCCCCCCAGGGGAACGTTTCGCTAATTATCACCACAGCGATCAACCCAGTGATGGGGCGGATATCCAACCGAGGTGCCGAGACAACGGCACACTAGTGGCCGCGTCGACGAATGCTAAAGGTCATTGCAGCCTCATTCAGGACTGAACTTTTCTCACGGCACCCCCAATCACCGCCAGCTCAGCGCGGCGCGGCTGGCTCGGAAAGGCTGGAGACACCCTCAACTTGCTTATCCTGACATTTCCCCACCAGCCGACGACATAACTCCCCAACCAGCCAAGCCCCCCGGGGCTGCTGGACTCAAACACGGAGCAACCGCCCACTCCGGCAACAGAGCAACGCCGACAGCCAGCCCGTTATGGCAAGCGCCGACCCATGCGGCAGACCACCGAGACATGAACCTTCCCATGCCAAGCAAGTGCAAGATGCGGAGAAGAACACGTGCGAGAGACGACAGTGACAGGGGGGGGCATGGCATGGGGAGAGGATGCGACAATCTCGCCGTCGAATGGCAGCGCGGAACGCCATGTTCACGATCTCATTCGCCCGGAGGACCAAGATTCACGAGGAACAGGGACAGGGGGGAGCTCGTTGCCCAAATTGGCAAGGCGAGAGAGAGACATCACCTCATGGGATGAACCGGGGGGGGGGGGGGGGGGGGGGGGAGAGGGCGCGTTGTTTTAACATTTCATCGGGATGGAAGAAGCAAGCAAGCATGGGCTCCGAGGAGGTTTGCAGAGAGAGAGAGAGATCGACGGCTAGCGAGGCGGGAATCACTCCGGTGACAGAGATCAGGTGTGCCGACCTCCCGTCGCCGACACGGAACTCACGACATATCTGCGGGTGCGCTGGACAACGGCGGTGATAGGCTCTCTTCCGGGGGGGCAACGGACGCTGGAGGTTGAAACAGAGCCACAGCTTCCTTGCGCGGCCGCAGAATCCGGGGTAAAAGCGCAGCGTCTCGGCCAATGGTGGAGGTGAGTGCCGACGGGAAGAGCCTCGCGCCCGAGGTCCGCGCCGGTGGAGCAGAGCCCTGTGACAGGGCGTGACGGTGATGCTCATTGGCGAGGGGCGCTGAAAAAGGTCACTTGTCCCCGGCTGCCCAGCAAAAGACAAGACCTGCGGTTCCGCGCTTTGCGACCGAACTTGGCCTTTTTTTCCCTTGTCCTTGCGCCGGCCGATCCCGCTCTTGCGCGGGGCCACTTCGGTGGGCGATTGACAAAACTTCCAAGTCACAAAGCGGCTGTCGAGGCTGGCGGCCTGGCGGCATGCTCGCTTTGGGCGGTTGCTGCTGAACCCAGAAGGAGCGAGCGAGATGAGGAGCGATGATCGGTGTCAGCGGAACCGCATTGAAAGCAATCTTAGGCCGCCCTTCGAATGCTGCGCCGGTACTTGTTGTGCCGAGTTGCGCGCCTGGGGAGATGAAGGTGGTGATGTGATGGAGGATGGTTGCGACATTGCAATGACCAGGATTCGCGACACGCGGTTGCGCTCGAAGCAGCCGGCTGTGTACTGTGTACGGGAACTTTGCGATGGGAGAAATGCAGGATGGGCATACTGTGTAAGAGCTGATGTGATACGAAGCGGGTTAGGGTTATCCGTGAAACGATGGACGATTCGCCAAAAACAAGAGCCAGTGAGTTTGCAGCAAAGCCGAAAGCAATCATTTGCTGCTGCATTTTGAGCCATTCAAAGAGCTCGAACGATGGGATTTTTCGGGCGTTCCCATCCACTCATCCGTCGGCTTAACTTGAATGCACCGCCGCTGTTCCCGCCACGCACTTGTCCCTGGCTGCGGGGAAGTGGCGCAAGTTCATCCCAAATACCTGCCGGGGTCGTCGGCAGACAGAATTGACAACTCATCCTGCGTCGCTCTGGATGACACATTGTGTCGTCACCTGATCGGGATCGAGAATTCATGCAGAGGGGGCACCGTGCGTCACTCTTCGCGTCACGGCCCCTTCGTGTTTGCGATATACACCTCGACCATGTCCCGTTTAATTTGTGAGTGTGCACAGAGAAAATCGAGCACGTTCCTTCGTTCTTCGTCCACTCATGGTCCCGCTCGGGTCAGCCCTTCCGGCAATGGGAACCATTGCCGAACTTCGGCGCCAGTGCGTGCACGGGTGCCCACTCACTCTGTCCCCCCACCACTTACTTGGGCGGTGTTGAATATGAATCGGACGTGTTGGGCTTGGGAAGAGAGATCGGAATATTGGGGGTTGAGGCTGTCTTGAGCTGCAAGACGGCTCCCCTGCTCGTTCTGGAAGCCCGATGTTCGCAGACCGCTCTGCGAGCTCATTGGGCCCATGAGGTCGCGACGGCGATTGAGACGGATGGCTGGGTCGGGTCGGGGCCCACACCGACTTTTCTGGCCTCGATGAGCCCGAGCGTTTTTCCTGCAACCTCAATGCGCTGGCCCGCATCTCAACTTGGCACCGCTCCCTGCTTGCCCGGTCCCCTGGTCCGGCACCCGGCTGCGACCAAACTCGAAGACCACCTATCCGGCTGTTTGCCGGCCGATTACAGTGCGTGGCGAGTCGGTATTCTCAAATTGGCCTAACCTTGGGCGCCGCTTGATGCCTTTCAGGGCCGGAGGCAAACTGGGCCCTTCCCATTATGGACTGCGTCCAAAGGCCTCAACACTAATTCAGTGGGTCGCAAGTGCCGGCGAGAGCCACGCATGCGGGTATTGTGATGAGGGACCACGAGGGAGGGTTGATCTCAAACTGCCAGATTTGCAAGGACTGAGAACGCCTTCTCTTACGTCCACAGCCCGGGAGGTTGCTTGGGCTAAATTTAGGCTCGACCTCGACAGCTACACGGCAGCCGGAACGAGGAGTCGTCAGCGGCTGTGGTGAGGCGAGTTTGAGTGAGAGACTGCTCTGCCGATCGTCGGTGAAGCCGACATTCTGCTTGTCCCAGACACGGCGGAGCCGGCGAGGCTCTGTCCCGTCCTCGCTACACTACTTCGCCGTGGTAGGATTACGGTTGCATTGTGGTCTGGAGGAACTGCCGCGACTTTGTAATCGGGGACGGGTGTGTCTCGACTCTCGAGGTATTAACAATCTTATGCGAGTAGATTTGGGCGAGGGGAGGTGCCCTCGGTGCCGTTCGTTGTGTTGCCCGCCGAGAGCTTGAGTTTGGTTGTTGGGGAAGGACTGCAGTTGAATCGTGGTGGGTTCCGTTCCGCGGGACTCCTCCAGATCCCGGTCTCCTCTTCATCCCGGTGCCCGATCTTGTCTCGCTTGTCAGCCCGACGGCCATCATGGTCACGTCATCAGCAAATGAATGCAGGACAACGGGAATGCTGTCAACAGTTTGACAGCGGAGGTATTGAACTAGCCTTTTCGTCGCTGTCAACGTCAACATTGACGTTTCGGGCCCTCTTCTCTGAAGGCCGCGTTTCGGGTTGGGATGAAGGTTTCTTTTTTGGCTGACAGCTGTCAGGCGTCAGACGCGTGGGGTTGTGAGGCAGGCACGCGTCGCACCTGCCAAAGTTGACCGCTCCGTGGCACATCCTCGCCATGGGCACTTTCCTGCAGCGACACCCCCGAAATCTCCTCGGACCCTTACCCCTCCCCTCATCAACCCCGCCAGCCACCTGCAACTTGGAAGCTGCAAAATCCTCTGCGATAGCCCCACTTGCTAGCTGATTCATCCAACCAAATCCGCTTGTTAAAGCAGTCTGACCGCGCCCTCAAATCATCGTTCGGCCTTCCCTCGTCTCTCCTCCTTTCCCTCGCACAACCAATCAAGCACCCAATCGCCTCTCCACCGACGCGCTGCCGACGAGGGCGAAGGCTGTCCAAACAACCCCAAATTTTTTCATCAAATCAACGGCCGCCTCCAATTGCAGCAGCAGCAGCAATTGCAGTCCAATTAGGACAGCCAAACCACCCAAAGAGTTGTCGCGCGACGTCATTCGAGTCGCTTGTCACTTGATCCGCTCCGAACCCAAGCAGCGGTTTGAGTTTCGAGCAGCCAGTGCCCGGACCAGCGACAGCCAGTTTGACCGTCGCCGAAGCCAGGGTTCAAACAGCCCAAAGACATCCTTGGCGCATTCGCCAGCATCGGAGGCGCAGGCAGGCAGTCAACACCTACCAGGTATGTTCGTGTTGCGAACCCGCAGTCTCTCATTTTCAGACGGCTTGTCCCGCAGTCGAATCCTGGGGTCTTGTGCTGTGCTGGGACCCTGGCCTGCATTCATTCCGCCGCCTCGGCCATGATGCAATGCGCAGCAGCCCTGGCCCCAAGACCGCTTGCGAGGTTTGGTGAGGCGGTCGATCGCGGGACATCAGAGCCAGACTTTTTAAGACAAGAAACAAAGCCCACTCACACTTACTCACACTCTGCCACAGGCGCCATTTGTTCGGCAAGATTTCCCTCTGGGTATCCACTTCAGGGCTGCCGAAACAACTTGAGCTTTCATTTCCAGCCAGTCAACGGCCGAGCGCAAAAGGGCAGCAAATCAGCACCCGTCCCAAGCGACATAAGGAAGAGGAAAACACCATCAAACGGGAGGCCTATCACCGCCCTCAGCCTCGACATCGGCCTCACCATTGGCCCCGTCCCAGTCCCGTGATAGTTTCTGCCTGCGGACTGCAATCAACACCATCTCGCCGGCGTTCAATCATCGGCGCCGTTGCTGATTTCTAGGCGCAACCGCAGGATTAACGCGCGGTGCCCCTGTCTAACAGCGGTCCGTCGACTGTCGTGTAAGTACCCTCCTTGACCTTTTACCATTGCACGTTTCTGCACCTTTTCTGGGCTCTTGTCCTTGCATAGCCTACCCGCCAGCGACGCGTTGGTCTTGCCGCGGCTGCATCCTTTCGCCGGACCAATCTCCTGGCGCGGATGTGCGAGGTCTTTTATTTTCTCTCTACCCGGCGATACTCGATCGCGTTCGGGTTTCGTCGCCTTCTTTCCTCTCATATCGTTCGTGTGGGTGCACTAACACAAACGGCCCTAGCACTCGCGAAGTATCTTGTTTGGTAGAATCGATTTGGACACCAGAGTCAACGGATCAAAACCCCAAGGATCGAGAGATCTTGAGACGGTACGCTGCTTCTTTCTTTTTCTTCTTGCTTACTCCTGCACTTGTCTCACACCAGCCTCGAACCCCTCACCTCACATCCGGGAACATTCAATTCCCAGTTCCCCAGACACAGAACTCCCCCACACCGTCCGACGTCTTGGACCTCCCCACTCCCACACGTTTTGGTGCAACCCATTGCACCTTTTCCTTCTGTTCTCGGCCTGCATTGCATTCTCGCCGCAGTTTTGGAAACGGCGGCAAGAGGCCGCATGCACTGGAGACCCCGCAGCGCCAAACGACAGCCCCTTGGGACCAACGACTTCGCTGGCGCCTGGCTCGACGAAGTCAAGATGCGCATTTCCAGCGCATCCAACGCCGTCCCGCTGTCTAGCCTCAGGCTGCCTTTGGCCCTCTGTCATCCGTCTTGTAGTGATGCTGCCCCAACTAGGCATGGGCCGGATGAGCTGGTTGACATGGTGGGCCTGCCTCGTGCATATCCCGTCATGCATGCCAGCGCATCAAACCGGCCCTGGCCCAAGGCGCCAAAACAGACGCTCCACCACTCAGGGCCTTCCCCCTTCTTCCCATCCGAGCTCCTTCGCTCATATACCTTACTTGACAACCCTGTGCTAACACAGATGGGTTCATAGACCTGGGAGATCGAAAGTTGGACCAACCGCCGAGCTCGCAGTCAATCGCCCATTGGGTCTTATCTTACTGACAAACATTGCGCCTGCACAACCGTTTGTGCGCCTTCGCCTTCCGCAACCCGACGTCGGCACGACTCGGGGATTTTTCAGGCTCGTCGTCCACGACAGAGTCGAGCTGCTTTCGTACGGTCCCGTCCGCCCTCACGTGGCTGCGTTTGTCCACGCCATCTCCCGAGAGGCCTTGGACCGAGCCACCCAGGTTTCGCCTCGCAACGACATCAGCCTGCATATGCTGCGGTGCGACCAATTGCGCAGCCCCGCTCCCATCCCATCGAGTGCCAACGCATCACTCCAATAGATTGGGTGCACACATCCAGCCCAATCCACAGGTACAAAGTGACTTGAGCTTGTCAGTGTGCCTTGGTCTCCCGATAGATCAAGGGCCTTTAAGCTTTATCAGCCGTCGCGAAGTCTTTGGATCAACCAGAGTGGTACTCTCAGTGTCGCGTCTCCATCATCGAATCCTTATCAGATCTACCTGCAGTCGGCTCCGCAATAGTCGACCCATACCCACGCCTATCACATCCGCAGCAGGGCCGTTGTCCCGAATCTAATTCGACGTTTCGTCGGCAACTCTCCGAGGATGATGGAATACGCACAATACCAGCAACAACCGCAAAGCGCACATTCACAACCGCACATTCAGACGGGGTATCCCACCTCCGCAGGCGGCAACAGCATTACTTCCCCATCGACTCAACACCTCTCCCAAACATCACCGATTCTCCCGTCGCAGCAACATCAGCCCTCGCCAACACAGCCGCACAGCATGTATCAGCCAGGATATGGGGTGGCCCAACAAAACATGCACTATGGCCTACAAGGGATGCAGGCTGCTGCCATGGCTGCCACCGCCGCCGCCGCCGGGTCATCGTATCCGTACATGCCTGGGGATCCTAGCCTGCAGCAGTCGCCGAGGATGTCAGGTGTTGGCGCCAAGAAGGATGCCAGGGCAGGGCCACGTTCGCCGCAGCAGATGGCCAACATCCCTCAACAGCGGAGGCTTAGCCAAGTCGCCAGCCCCGGCGTCCCGAACGCGCCCACGATGCTGAACCACGGCGGGCCCCGCACGGCGGTTCCCCCTCCCATGTCGGCTGCGCAGCAGATGCCGCCGCCGCAGTCCCCCGAGATGGCGTCTGGAGCTGTCGAGGAGTCGCCCCTTTACGTCAACGCCAAGCAATTCCACCGGATCCTCAAGCGACGGGTGGCCCGGCAGAGATTAGAGGAGGCGCTTCGGCTCACTAGCAAAGGCCGCAAGCCCTACCTGCACGAGTCGAGGCACAACCATGCCATGCGCCGGCCTCGCGGGCCCGGTGGGCGCTTCCTAACAGCCGAAGAGGTTGCGCAGATGGAGAGGGAGAAGACGGGTGGCGGACCCGGTGAGAAGACGGAGGAGTCGCCGGTGAGCACCAAGACTGCGACGGGTGGCACGAAGCGCAAGTCGGAAGGCGGCGCGAGCGGGCCGTCGAAGAAGACAAAGCGGGCGATATCGACTCCCGAGGACGACGAAGACGAAGACGAATGATGACGGAGGCGGCGAGGATGGAAGAAGAGAGATGCGGCCGAGGTGTATGCCCCTTTTATATGTCCCAAGACATGTCATGAAGTTACGACAAACCCCCCTTACTCTTTGTTTATCTAAACCGGGATCGCGCGCGCGCAAAGCGGAATGAGTTTGGCGAGGAGTCAGTGGGCCGAGCGAGACGGCGTGTTTCGAGTGTTTCTTTTTTTTTTTCCCTTTCAGATTGGGCAACGCTTGCTCGGGCATTTTCTGTGCATCAACACGGCAGCTCTCGGGAGCGACCACTCGTTTTCGGTTTCGATCGTGTTTTGGTTTCTTGTTCTGGTTGGCGAAGCGGCTCGGGCATCTCGTATTTTCCCTCTCCCGGATATCACGATACACTTGGCCTCACAGCATAAGCGACACAGAGCATAGCATGGCGGTCCCCATTTGGCAGGCTGGATTTCTTGGTTGGGGGTTTCCTGGGTTGGGACGGCGGGTTGGGCGGGGGAGGGAGCACTCCTTTGCAGCGGTTTTGGGAAGGAAGATAGTGCATCACGCGATTACGACGGATACCCCCCAACATACCCCCTGATTGTGGATGCTTTTACTTTACTTTCTCACCCTCGATGCTATTATTTATTATTTTCTTTTTCCTTTTTTGCCAGCGAGGATAATCTCTTGTGCTTTTAGTTGCGAGATGGATGGGCGTGGTCCGGTCACCAACTGGCAACAGAATGGAACCCGCGATGGGACTGAAACTAGGAGAGGAAAGACGAAAAAAAGAGGAAACCCAACAACAACAAGATAGTGACGAAAAAAGCACAGCAAAATTCTGGACGGGTGCAGCGCTGGAAACAGAATGCGGCAGGTCGTCTGGGCGCTTCGGTATCGCCTTTGTTCGGTTACGCTTCTTCCCTTCCATTCGGAGGTGGTTTGGGGTTGTCACTGATCAGCGGGGAATCGGATGCAGCGAGAGGGAAGGGGTCAGTCCGAGCAGAGCAGAGCAATGCAGTCGGGATATCATGGGCAAGGAAATGGCAGGTGGGGAGGCGCCAAAGGGGGACGGGGAAAAAGTGCTCACAACCATGTTTTGAAACCCCGGGTCCAGCGACCGGGGAAGCGCTGTGGGTGTTAGACTCTGTACTTGGTATGGCTAATCCGTCGCCGGATACATGGAAATTGAACTGGATATTCTTATTTGCGCTTTGAGTGGTCGCATCCCCGACCTCCCTCGCTTGGCTTCCGTCCGATTGGAGTGAAATCAGATCGGAGGATGGGTGCTCTGACAGGTGGAACCGGATCGAGCCAGATCAGACTACTGCGAGCGGGCCGCTCGATGACGCGCCCGGGGGTGGGTTGGCTGCCGATTTGATGAGGCCGGGCGAGATCTCGGGACGGGGCGGTCGGGGGTTTTTGGCCCAAGTTGATTGCACGAACAGACGAACGGCTCGAATGGCTTCTCAGTCAACCCGAACCCTGAGAAAGGGAACCCAAAATAAAGTAGTGCCTTAAAAGTGAGGCTGTTGATATTGAGACCAAAACCAATGTGGGTCCTTCCACCAACGACCCCAACCCAGTCAGGCTCGGCAGCTGCACCCACTGAATTGAACGTCAACACTGCACTGCACTGCCCTGTCACCTATCTGCAGCAGGCGGCGCAACACTCAAAATGTTGTTCTTCAGGTGAGTCCATCTCGTTATTTACCGAAACAAGCCGTATTATCATCTCGCCTCGGGATATTCCGCCGTCTTCCCTTGGTACCAGCTTCTCTTTCTGCGACTCACGAGCGAGGGTGACGGTGACTGGGAATGAGCGGGCATCGTCGACCAGGGAAGGCGTGATATGGATAGGGATGGGTTCTAACATGTACATTCACCACACCGCAGCTTCTTCAAAACCCTCATCGACCACGAGGTCACGGTCGAGCTCAAGAATGATATCCAGATCCGCGGCGTCCTCAAGAGCGTCGATCAGTACCTCAACATCAAGCTCGACAACATCCAGGTTCTGGAGGAAATCAAGTACCCGCACATGGTGAGTCTGTGCCACACTACCAGGGGTTTGAGAATGGTGATGAGTGATGGTGGCGGCGATGGGAAAAAGGGGGGGGGGGGTAATAGATGGGATCGCTGCTGACGTCGGGATGATGTACCAGAGCGCTGTTAAGAACGTCTTCATCCGCGGCTCAGTGGTCCGGTATGTGCACCTGCCCGCGAACGCAGTGGATGTGCCGTTGCTGGAGGACGCCACAAGGAGAGGTACGTTTTACGCTTGGCCTATGAGCATTAAAGGGCCATCCACGTTTCGTTTGATTTTGTTACTGGAGACTAATGTCGTGCAGAGGCGGCGAACCAGGCTGGGAAGGGGAAATGAATGAGGTATGGGAGAAGGGGGCGTTGGTTACCTGATGTTCCGGGCGTGGTGGCTGGGAGGAGCTTTGCTTGTTTCAGCACCGAACAGAGCCTGGTGCGGATCACTCTGGGAGGGGTTGTCCGTTGGGGAAGCCAGTGCTGGAGAGCAACGGCAAGAGATGGGTGCCGATCCACGCTCAGCGCCAAAAGAAAGGGGAGGTTTTGGCTGCTGGTATGAGAGCAGGTCACACCCTTCCTCGGGGAAGGAAGGGCCAATGGGAAGGGAAGCGCCGTTGGTGCTCAGATAGGAAATACCCTCAGATATCAGAGTTGGCTGAAACTATCTTGAACTGCTTTTTGATGTTTCTCGGGGAGGTATGCGCACATCTCTCGATTTCACCTGACTCGCCACCAACGTCCCACAAGACCACGCTCACCTCCCAACCCCATACACAGTGGTGTGTGGTATGTAGTAAATAACCCCTTCCGTCTCGCACTCCCGCCCCCACCTAGGCCATTAGCATAACAAACCTCCAAACCAAACACCCAAACCCAGACAGACCCCACCCCACAAAATTCCCTCATCTCCAACCTACATAGTGCCTTATAAAACCCCAGTGGACACCACAACACGCACACAAACCCCACAGGGGGAGCTTGGCTCAGTTGGAAGAGCGCAGGTCTCATATTGAGTTATGATCCCGTCCTTAGACGGGGGCTATCCTGAGGTCGTGAGTTCGAGCCTCACAGTTCTCAGTTCTTAGTTAGTTAATGTGGATGTGGAGGGTTGTTTGCTTTTTGTTTTGGCTTGCTTTTGAAGGAGGGGTGGTGGTGGGTTGGATTTTCTTTTTGTTTTGTGGGGACGGGGGGACGGGTTGTGTTAGTGTTCTGTGCTTTTGCGGTCTAATTTTGGTGAAGTCGACTGTTGTTGGGTGTTGTGAGGTTCTGGACGAAGGGATGGATAGAAAAGGGTATTTGTTTACATCTTGATTAGCCGTATACCTATGGTGTCTAAACAATTGGTGTTCCCGACAGCACTAGCATACATGACAGACGAGCCGCTCCCTTTTACGCCGTCCACAACTTCACCTACCAATAAGCCCCCCCACCGCGCCCATCCTTCCCCTCCCACAACGCCCCCTTCCCACCCTCACCTCCCTTCCCACCCTCACCCCCCTCCCCCCCATCCAAAACCCTAACCAACCCCCCCCTCCGCCTCTCCCCCACCCACCTTTCAATCCACCCCCTCATGCGCCTCCGACTCGCCTCGCTCCCGACATTGACCGTCGGCACGACGCGCTCGACGCGCAGGGCCATGACGAACAGCGCCAGCTCGCGGAAGCTGCTGTGCTCGCTGTAGGGCGCGCCGAAGCACAGCGCCTCGGCGGTGCCGCCGCGCTGCGGGACCAGGTCGCGCGCCGCGAAGCGGGTCCGCCAACCGGGCCCGTGCAGGAGTTGCGCGGTGGGCAGGGAGCCCGGGGGGAGGTTGGCGTTTATGCTGGTGGTGGTGGTGGTGGTGCTGCTGCTGGTGGTGGAGGAGGGGGGTGGGGGTCGGTAGTTCCAGCCGGATGGGCGGAAGCCGATGATGCGGCCGAACTCGCCGCGCGCTTTGTAGCCCTCGAGATACTCGGCTAGCGTCTCGGCGCGGAGCTCCATGAGCATCTGCATGTGGACTTGGGCTTCGGTTGGGTTGGAGGTGAGGAGCGAGGTGAGCTCTGGGTCGTCGAGCTGCTTGCACATGCGGATCTTGGCGGGCGTGGCGAAGATCTTTGTTTGAAGGGCCTGCGCGATGGCGACGCAGATGCGTTCTTTGCCGATGCTGTAGGTGCCGCAGACTACAAGGAGGCGGTTGGGGTTGTGGCGGCGGCCGTTGAGGGCCGCAAAGGCGTTGTTTGGTGGGGGAGGGGAAGGCTTGGTGGATGTGGAGGAGGTGGCAGTGAAGAACTTGCTGACATCTTTATTGTTGGCAGAGGCGCCGCCTCGTTGCCGACGCAGGAGGGTTTCCCACTCGCGGTCGTCGTTGGCGAGGAGGCTTTTGTTGAGGAGGGAGCAGAGCTCGGCGCAGGCGTTTATCACGTCGTTTTGCGGGGGGAAGGAGTAGCGCGGGTTAAGGTATGTGGTGTCGAGATAGCACACGTCTATCTTCTGCTGCTTTGTCCGACCGGATATGGCATCAACCGTCTCGGGCCGCAGCTTCGGGTGTTCGATATGTGCAGGGCATGCCCGGAAATCTCCACAATGGAGGACTCGTTGCGTTCTTCCACCAGTTGTTTTCTCGAAGAGGAAGAGTGAACTCCCAGGGCAGTGGTTTGCCGGAATCATGGTGACCGTGACTCCGTTGGTGTCCGGGACCGGCACTGTCTCCTCAAACTCTAATTCAACGACGTACTTGGCCGCCGTCTTGAGCTGCGACTTGACAAGCGACCCGGTGACTTTGCTGCAGTAGATCGGGCCATGCGTCCAGTTGGCGGTTAAGCCAATGTAATGATCGCTGTGGAAGTGGCTCAGGAAATACGCTTGGCAGCCTTCCACGGCGCCATAACGAAAAGCATCCACGCAGATAGAAAAGCCAGGCATGATCTTGTAAAACGGGCAAGTCCGCTTGTACGCGGGCATTCCCCTAGCAGCAGTCTCCGCCGCGGCAGCCGTCGACCAAGCAGCATCCTCGGCGTGACTGGACATGAGCTTCGTAAACGCCGAGTTTGACGGCATCTCCCTAGTCTCGGCCCCCAGGCTAATAGGATTCGCTTGCCCCGGCCGCGCAACAGCAGCTTTAGCAAACCGCTTACCCACGGTCGCACCCTCCGTCTCGACAATTTCCCCGGTCGGCTTCGGCAAGGGGGTTGGGTTACCGTCCAGACAGGAATTGACATGCGCAGTCGCCTGATCTGGCGTCGCGCCCGCGAGACTGCCGTTGCAGACTGGACAGGACTCCGTCATCGTCCCGTCGTCAGTGAAATCGTTCACTTCGTATTCTTCACCTCCCTCCTCCGCTTCTAGCCGTGCCTGCTCTTCCATGTATCGCATCGCCCGAAGTTCTTCGCCGGTGAACTCCTCGTCCGCGAATGGGTCGGCATCGCCGTGATCTGGATCGCCATTCTCCGCTTCGCCGGCCTGGTCATCGTCATCCCCTAGATCCGCGCCCGAGGTCTGCTGCCTCAAAAGTGGTGGCATCCTGGAAATGGTCGTCTCGTTGGTAAGCTTCGCCGGTCCAGTGTCTCGGTCTCCCCCATTGGAATCATCAAACACAGGCTGTGGCGATCTCACCCTTGGTATCGCCGAAACCGGCTCGTTCTCCTTGTCGTCGTCGTCACCGTCCGCTTCGTCGGAAGAATCGTCCAGGAACGGATTGCCCGCCTTCCTTTTCGGCGCGACCGTCGGGCCCGATTTCGAGTTCGCTATTGGGCGCGTTCCCTTGACGTATGCTGGCGATTCCGTTCGGGACCCTCCCTCCGAGGCAGGACTCAACCGCCGCCTCTTGACAGGCGCCTTGACCTCATTGTACCTCACATCGTCGTCCCCCTTACCGTCCACTTCGCAATCCGCATGAGACGGGTTCGCCTCGTATAGATCATCACCCCCATTTTCCTCCTCTTTTACTTCCTCCGTCTCCTGCACCTCCTTTTGCACCCTCTCCTCTACTACCCCCTCCTCTCCTCCACCGATAAAAAGCCCCTCTTCCTGCGCCGGCGCCTTCTTAAAGAAGCTCAGAATACTCTGATTGGGCTTCGATTTCGCTTTCAACTTCGCCGCCTTTGTCGCAGAAGGTAATGACAACGGCCCTGTGCTTCTTGAAGAAGCAGGCTTTTGTGGAGTTTTTAGTCGGGTTTGGGAGAGCTTTGATTTCGCGGACGGCGCCATTTTCTCGACGTTTGTGACCTCGTTCGCTGGATCGTTTGCACAGGGGGAAACTGGTGGGGTGGATGGCAGAGGTGGGTGTTGCGACAGGCACAAAAGCGTTTCAAGAGCTTGGAAGTGGGCATGTCGAAATGGGAAACGCGGTTTGGACGGAAAAGGTGGGGGTTTGAGACGCCACTGGGCTTCGCGCTGTCACGTGCACTTAATTACATTCACTCAAGAAAGGGGTTCAGTCGGTAGTTAACGGCAAAGGCACCATGATGATGCTAAAAGCGACATAGACAATATGGTAGGAGTGATTCAAGGTTCCATTTGATTGAACCCCGGCTGATGGCGTCTAAGATGTACAGGCTAACTAACCCATCGACCGGCTCGCAGTCTATTTCGCTTTTGTTTCCACCCAGCCAAATAGATCCCATCAACAATACCTTAGTTTTCCGGAGTTTAGCCCGCCGCATCGACCGCCACCTCGGGCTCCGGCCCCTCGTCGTCATCATCCATCCCGTCGGTGGGGACCTCGTACAGGCGCAGGATGTTCTTGTTGGGGTCCTTGACGAGCACGTACTTGCCCTCCTCGCGCTGCAGGCACATGTCGGCGATGGTGCGCACGATACCCCAGCCGTTGGACAGCTGCAGGTTCATCTGGTTCGCAAAGTCCTTGGGCTTCCAGCCGATGCAGCCGAGAATCACGTGCTTGTCGTTCACCTTGGGCGTCACACGGGAGACGAAGCTAGACTTTGTTAGTAGGCTATCATTTCATGATTTGTTGCGGAATGAACTCACCCAAGCTTCATGACATCGGCCTTGGCCAGGATACTCTGCACGGTCCAGCGCGCCAGCTTGCAGCTGTTGTTCTTCATCTCGGTGGCAACAACGGCACCGCGTTGCGACACCAGCTTGGTGCGCCAGTCGAGCGCGCCTCCGCTGCCCTGGGCCTTGCTGTCGAACTCGTTGAGCGCGTGGACCGTGACGAACTGGTCCTCGCCGCTGGTCGGGTTCTTCTGGACGGCGTCCAGCTCCGTGCGGACAACCAGGTACGTGGGGCTCTCCTCGCTGGTAGAAAGGTCGAACCGCCTGTACTTGTAGGCCTTGGAAGCGGGCGGCTCCGTCTCCTCGGAGGCGCTGTAGAAGGGGTTCTCGTTCGCCATGTCGACCTTTTGGTTCGAGCTCTCGAGCACAACCTGGTTGACGAAGTTGTGGTTGATGTAAGTAGCCTCCTCGGCGAGCGCGCCAGGCTGGTTGATGACATCCTTAGAGCCCTCGGACGCCTCGAGAGGCGCGTCAGCAGCGTTCTCGTTGACGGTGACCATGTCGAGCGCGGCGTTGTCGCGCTTGTCGAGGAACACCTTGTTGCCCTGACGGACGATGACGATGTCCCAGGGGTACATGGACCGCGGGGCGCACATGAGCATGGACAGGATGCTGTCGGTGGCGAAGATGGTGGCCTCGTCCTTCTCGGCGAGCTCCTGGATGATGGGATCCGACGAGGTCGTCACGTTGTACACGGCGCGGTCCATAACAGCCAGCTTGCGCTCGGCGCTCTTGACGGGCGGCTTGTCGTACGACCGGTCGTAGTAGTATAGGAAGCCGTAGCTATCAACATCCTCACCCTCGTCGGTGTCCAGGTTGAGCTTGCTGAGGCGGTTGTAGTCGATCTCCTCAATGAGCTTCCAGTCGGCCCTGATATTGACCGAGGCGTCGCGGTTGCGCTGCGGCTTATCGTAATCCTTCCAGCCAAAGCGACGCCCGCGAGCGCCGCCACCCCGCCCGCCACGGTCGCTATAGCCGCCGCCGCCGTATTGCTGGCCGCCGCGCCCGCCGCGCTGGAACTGCTGGCGACCACCGCCCCTGGTGTCCTGGCCGCCGCGGCCGCGCTGGCCCCGACCGCGGGTGAAGATGGCGCCCCGCCCGAAGCGGGTCTTGCCGGTGTCGCGAACGTTCGAGACGACGGAGAAAGAGGCCTCGTCCTCGGCCACGGGGGGCGCAAAGAGAGAGGCAGAGCCGGCACCGTAGACTTGCTGGTCTGGGAAAACAATAACCGTTAGCTCGGCATCACAAAACTAAGATAACCCCTCCTTGCGATAACGCACCACGGTAATTCCTGTTGTATTGTTGCCTGCCACGGCCGTCCCTGCCATCCTTGGCGTCGGTCCAGTCGGCCATGCGGCCTAGCTTGTCGCTCTTGGAGAAGGGGGCGTAGGGGACGCCATTGAGGGTGGTCTCGGTGGTGATGGTGGGCCCCCATGCGGCGTCGGAATCGGGCAGCGAATTGATCAAGTCGACGAGGGGCGACGTGCCCGCCGTATATTCCGCCATGGTTGGTATCTCTGTCGGCCGGTGAAAAATTGGACGGAGACGTGTGATATGGAGGGCGGTGGTTCAGAATGGATGCCTCTTGCCGCGGGATCGACAAGGGTGTTGATACGGTAGTCTGTGGTGTTGCGGGACGGGACAAAGTTTCCCAGGTTCCTTTTATTTTCGAGGTCGAAATTCTCTTTGGTGGGGTTGTGTGGTGTGGGGCAGTTTCCGTCACAGGCTCAGGTCCCCTCGTTTTAGAAGGCACAGTGCGGATAGTGACACGCTGACCATTAACTATTGGATAGCTTGAACCAATTGCCATGACCACTTCGGTCGTATAAAAGACAGACAAGACGAGATAGAAAGACAAACAAACCCCCCAACCAGCCCATAAATAGGTACCATCCCATACCCAAGAAGCAGACCAAAAAAAAAAAAAAAAAAAAAAAAAAAAAAAAAGACCAACCCTCCCAAATCAATAACCCCCAAAATCCGGCCTCATCGAAAACACATTCTCCAGCGCATCCCTAACCTCAAACTCCTCCATGACGGCGCCAAACCCATAGCACCTGACCTTCCCGCCCAGCTCCTCAGCCAGGCGCGCAAAGTCCTCCGGGCGCAGCTCGGCCAGGCGCGGGTGCGCCAGCACCATGCCCCAGGCCATGACGGGCGTGATCTCGCCGTCGAGGTTCAGCCGCTTGCTGAGGTCGAGCAGGGTGGTCAGGTCGCCCTTGTTGAGCGTCCACGTGCCCGTTGGCCCGGTGTTTTCGTTTCCCGGGGTGGGGTGGTTGTGGTTATGGGTGTGGGCCTGGGCTTGGGGTTGGGCCTGGCCGAAGGGGATGTCGGGCGAGAGCTCCGAGAAGGGCTCCGGCGGGCAGGACGCCATGAGGGCATGGCCGCACGGCTCGCGGATGCCGGCTGTGGCGGCCCGCTCGAGCATCCAGGGCAGGTGGTTCATGCAGGGGTTTTCGAGGCTATGGTGGGGGGTTGGGTTAGCTTCTTTGGTTTCTTTCTGTCGAAGTCACGGTCTGGGTGGAGGAGATTCCCGTTTGCTACTTACGTCAACACAAAGTCGACACCGGCCTGCTCGTAATCTATGTTAGGGAGCTGGTTCGGCTGGCTCCCGGTCCCCGCCGGGGTGCCCAGACTCCCTTGCCCGGAGAGTTGGTGACGGTGGTGGCTGTGGTTGTGGGGGTAGGTCGCGCTATTCGGCGATATCCCCCCGCCCCGACCACCACTACCTACCGAAAGAGGTGGCGGCGTGAAGGCGCTCGTATTGCTAGATCCCGGGACGTAGCTGGCCCCCATGCTCGCGCTCGGCGAGTAGCCGACGCTCGGGTTGCTTGCCGAGTCGTCTAGCACGCTGCCGCTGGGCAGTGATCCGCCAATGCCATTCTGGGCCAGCAGGGCTTTGAGCTGCCGGTTCTCGTCTGCGAGGCGCGCCTTATCGTGCGAGATGTGGCTGAAGATCTCCTTCAGCCGCAGCACCTCGTCCTCGAGGGCTTTGATGTAGAGCTCTTTGCGCTCGCGGTGGGTTCTGCCGGGGGTTAGCTGAAAGCCTAAAATGGTGTCTAATTGCTAGCCGAGTTCTATTCACCTCTGAGCTTGCCGATTGAGCTCCTGCCGCCTCGTTAGGGCCGGCTTGCTATCTGGTTTTGGACCTCGACGTTTTTGTGGTTGCCCGTCCCTTGTTGTCCTCTTCTCATTTACAGATTTGAGGAAATCAAGGTTCAGCGTCGACAAGGGAGTTTTGTCCTGGCCGGTGGGCCCGCCACCAAAACCTCGCTGAGAAGGCTGGCTCGGCGAGAGGGATGCCATGGCTGTCCAGTCGTAGAGCGACGGGACAGATGGCCTCCTCTGCGTAGGGGATGAGAAGCTAGTTGGCGAAGGGTAAGCCGCAGTGGCTACAGGGCCCATGTTAGCGGTCATCCTGACAATACGTAGGTATCTCGAGACTCGAAGGTAACGTTGTGAATGTGTAGCGAGCGGGTTGTGAAAATCATGGGTCCATGAGTCCATGGCAAGCCCAAGACAAGCGGGGCCCATCTCCTTTTAACAGCCTCCATTGATTCGGAAGGGGATGCGCGCGGCCGTCGTACAGACTTACTCCGGACATACCTCATGTACCTAATGATTTTCCCTGGGATGTCCTTTGATGCAAATGCGGTAATGGTGTTGAAGGCGGACAAATGTGAACGGATGGGGTGGTTGCAGCAAGAACTCGACGAGGTGTCAGCTCATGCTCGTTAGGGGAGTGACGGGCTTGGCGCGGGACAGGGCGTGGCTCGAGCATAAAAGTCGGGTGAACCGGCGGTTGGGAAGTTATGAAACCGTTGCGGATTGAGCCGTGTCTGAAGATTCTCCTTGTGTGTGTAATTGTTGCAAGACGGGAGTCGAGGAGGGGCCAATATTTGAGTTACCAACTGGCCGAGTAGAAATCGATAACTTTTAGAATCTCAAAGGGAGTGGAGACGACGGGTAGGTCAGGTATGGATGTTATATTTAGGTAGAGGGAGTCCATCACTACCCCGCCGAGCTTGGGTGGTGATGGGGTGCTTTGGCGGTGTCCACTGACCCGGGGCCCCGGATGTTTCGCAGACTGGCACTGCGCGTCAAGCTTTGCGTATATGTATGGTTAATTGTGACAAGGCGAGGAGAAGGCAGAAAATAAGGTTCCGCGTCAAAGAGCTTAAGTACAAGCCTCTACTAGTCTGACAGCCATGCAGGGGCTGAGCCACTAAATGGGTGTTGTCTGGGGCGCGCAGCCCACTCGCGGAACCCAGGTTTGGGAAAAAGGATTGGATGCACGAGCCACGATGGTTCCTTTTATCTCTTCAGGGGCTCCCAGGTCAGTGTCAACCTGGAAGTCACCAACCACTCACCACCAAATCTCACCACAACTCCATATCCACAAATGTGAGACCAACTTTACTGCATTCAATGTATTTCTTCCTGAACTATTAAGATGTTCTATGAACCTGTCATTAGTTACCTAGGTAGTTACTCTCCCCTCACTTCCACCGGCTGCTCGGCATGGGCGCCGTTCGGTTTCGCTGGTGCTTACTCAGACGCCGCATCGTTAATAAAAGCAACGGGAGCAATTTTAAGAACAAAATCCCAATCATCTTCGAGATCCTCCCTGCGGATGAGTGATCGGCATGTATGAAGGATCGAGTTACCTCCTTCCCTCTTCTATTCGCCCTATCCGTGCCCGGTTTCATTACACCAAATAATTAGTCCCTACATTGTCAGTGCCGCCGGGCTTGTTGAGGCGGGATCCGGGGCATCTCGACTGAACAACACCAGTGACACGTGCTTTTGAGGAATGGCCAGTACCAAGGAAATTGACGACTTGAGTGGAAACAGATGAGATGTTTGAGGTGAGAGCCTGCAAGCCCGAGAGGACGATGCCAAGGGGAATGTGAGGATTATGCATCCAATACCTATGGGCCCCTCATTGCGGGGTTGAGAGGTCCTGGGGATTTCAACGCGCGCCATGCACGTCTGCTATTTATTGTTAGCGACTTTGGGCATCAGTTCAAGTCCTTGGTAGGTACCTAGGTATTCATCCTCGAGGGCTAGGTAATACCATGCCTCCTCGGAACACAGAACACAGAAATAATGAGTGAGAAGACAACCGAAGCCGACCGGCCGCAACCAACGCCGGTGCTCACCAACGACAAATGGGTCGCTGCTTTGGGGACTCTGAGCGAGGAGGATCGTGAGAGATTCACTTTCGCCAAAACGGGACAACGAAGTGCTCGAGACGTTCTGGCCGACGTCCTGGAAGCGACGAGACGAAAAAAGAATGAGTGCATAAAAAAGCGATGGAGAGTCGTCGTCCGAGGTCGCTCGATAATACTACGAGACGTGCTCGAGAAGATATCGGTTTGGGTCAGCAAAGTCGTAGTAAGTACGCATCACCTTTGTCCCCTGCCATAAGTTCCATTGATCCTGCTGCCACCCGACTCGGAATCCTTGCTAATTCCTCTCCTAGAAATTCGGCGATATTGCTATCCAATATGACCCTGGCCAAGCGGCCCTCCCCTGGACGGCAATTCGCCTGATCCTGCAGGCGACTGTGAACGACGTCGAGGTCTTCGGATGGATTCTCGATTCTATCGAAAACATCACCAATCTGCTTGCAACCTGCGCGATTTTCGAGTTGCGATACCTATCAAATCCTAATTCCAAGAGGTATACTGCTTCCTACCTAGTAATTCCCTTTGCTGAGGGACCACCAGTCCTTAGGTACTCATCATCGTTTCTAGTCTCGATACATCGGATCAGATCAACAATGCGCTGATATCTCTGTACGCAAATATCCTACTGTATTTGTCCGAAGTCATTCGCTACTACGCCCAGGGCTCCGCACTTCGCTTTGTAAAGAGCGTAGTATCGCCCGTTGCTATATTCGAAGCCAAATATGCGCCTATACGGTCGGCACGAGCCGAGACGTGGTTACTTGCTCAACTCGCGGAGGCGGAAAAGTCGGAGCGGACCCAGGCCAGCCTCGACAGGATCGAGAGTTGCCAGGACTCTACAGCTACGGCCCTGTTTGAGACTCTTGGGGATGCCTTGCGAGAACTCCAACAACCTATCTCCCGCGCCAGCATTCAGCTCGCTGAAATTCAAGACGGCCTAGAGCGCGAAACACGCACCCGTATCCTCAGGAGCATCTCGTCGATCCCTTATAGCATGCATCAAAAACACGCCAAGAAGGGCCGCTTAGAGGGCTCTGGTCAATGGCTGCTCCGGAAGCCCGAGTACAAGTCCTGGCGCCAGTCCAGTACCTCTTCCGTCCTCTTGCTCCACGGCATACCGGGAAGTGGAAAGACCAAGCTCACGTCTTTGGTGATTGACGAGCTACGCGGCCACGACAACATCGCCTACTTTTACTGTATGCGAAACCCCGCAGAACCGCAGAGGGGCAGAGGCGATCAGATATTAGCCAGTCTAGTTCGTCAACTGGCCGGCGTGTCCTCGGACCAGCCCATCCTAGCCCCGGTGGTTACGCAGTATGAAGATGCGGTTTCCGGCCTCTGCGATTTTGAGGATCAAGTTTGGACCGCCGACGAGTGTGGAAGAGTTCTCTTGGAGCTGATGGAGGAGTACCCGGCAGCCACCATAGTCCTCGACGCCTTGGACGAAGTCAACCAGGAGGACCGGCAGGAACTGCTGGATATTCTCAGTTGGCTGTTGGAAAAGTCCCCTAATCTCCTCAAGATGTTTATTTCGAGTCGAGACAACTATGATATTGCCCTCCACTTTGAGAGCTCTCCAAAAATATACATCGACGCCGATGACAACGCTGGTGATATCTCGTCCTTTATGTAAGTGATTATGCCTCTGCTAATGTGTCCTTGTCATGGGGCTAACAGATGTTCGACAGCGACGACCGGTTAAACTCAGCCAGGCTGCTTCATAACCGGCTACCCAAGGATCTCGAGGCCGAAATCCGCGAGACGCTGCTCAGGGGCGCCAGAGGCATGTAAGTTTCCTAACCATACATCCATATAGGTACCTCAACGCTACCAGTTTGTCTAACCCCCTTACCTAGGTTCCGATGGGTAGATCTCCAAATCCAATCCCTTCGCCCACTCAAACTCGCTGCCGACATCGAAGCCCGCCTCGGCGTATTGCCACCCACCCTAGAGGGGTCGTACTGGGAAATCTACCAAGCCATCCACGAATCCGGCGATCACGCCGCCGCCCTCGCAGATATCACTTTCCGATGGTTAATATTCGCGCAGGATACCGTGACCGCTGAGGTGTTTGCCTGTATCGCGTCCTCTACGATGCAGCAACTAAAAACGACGACGGCGGTGGCAGCAGGCGTTGGTGCTGCCGAAGTCATTGACGTCTGCTCCAACCTCGTCACATCGAGGAACGGCTCGTTCGAGTTTGCCCATTTGTCTGTGCGAGAATTCTTTGAGGGCGTCTACAAGCGCGGCGTCGATCGATTCCTGCCCATCAATGGCAACAGCTGCATCGCGACCGCTTGTCTCCGGCATCTACACACCCACATCAAGACCCTGGGGCCCCAGCTCATGAAACAAGACGAGGAGCACGATGACGTGCAATTCGTCACGCTTTACGATGCAACCGAGCCGGATGGCAATACCAACACCACCGTGACTACCATCACAAAGGACGAGACAAACCCCGCCGAGGCCCCGCAGCCCCAACCTCAACCGCCGCCACCGCCGCTGCCGCCCCCGCTGCAGATCAGCAAGCCTCGACCACCGCCGGACAGCGCTTCCACAGCCCTCTCTCGCGAGATCAAGGCCGTCCGCTACGCCGCCCGGTTCTGGGTGCACCACGCCTGCGAGAGCGGGGAGATGCGAACCAGAGACCCGCTGGCGGCGGCGATCAGGGAGTTTTTGGGTAAGGGGGCGGTTGGCGTCAGCTTTCGGGTCGGGGGTGAGTTCGAGGTGTGGTGTCGGGTTGTGCAAGACATATTGAAGCGGGAGAAATATGAAGCGGGCCGTGATGAGAAGCAGTTCAATCTGCTGAAGGACGCGACGGAGGAGCCGGCGAACCCCTTCTGGCTGGCCTGCCTGTACGGGTGGCATGACCTGGTCGACTTTCTCATCGAGTGCAAATACGAGCATGTCGACGAGCCGCGACGCCTCGACAGCCTGGACAACCGGGAGAAGTATTCCTTTTCGGGGTCCAAGGTCTCCCCCCTGATCTATGCCATCCTGGATCGCAGGCTCGTCCTGATCTCCAAGATGTGGTCGTATTCCGAGGCGTCGCTGCTCAAGGCCTCCCTGCTCCAGCCCAAAGACAAGCCCAAATTCAAGCCGTTGGTGAAGGCGGCCGGGCAGGGCGACGCGGAGCTTGTGGCTCTGCTGCTGAGGATGGAGCACGGCGGGTTGGATGTCGAGGGCGAAGCCTTCGCTACGGCGGCGAGCAACAACCACTGCGAGACGATGGAGATGCTTCTCGCTCACGAGCCCCGGGCCCTGTCCGGGGCCGGCAACCATGCTCTGCGGGAAGCCTGCGTGGCGGGCCACACGGACGCCGTCACGTTTCTCCTAGACCGGAACGTCCCGCTTATGAATGTCGGTTTGCACCTCTGCCGCGCGGTGTTTATGGGGCATCACGAGGTGCTGAAGATCCTGCTGGAGAGAAATCTCGGACGTGACAGCGTCTCCAAGGCACTGATCATAGCCGTGTCCCACGACGACCAAGCCTCTACCGACCTGCTCCTCCGGTACGGCGCCGAGAAGGAACCGCACGCGGTCACGCGGGAGGCCAAGCTCGGCAACCGTGGCACGGCCGTCCGGCTCATCGAGGCCGGGTACGACATCCGCGGCCGGTACCTGGAGAAGCAGCGGACGGCGCTGCACTATGCTGCCGAGGGGGGATACGAGGACGTTGTCCGTGCGCTCTTATCCGCCGGCGCCCCGGTCAACGTGCGCGACGGGAACCAGAAGACGCCGCTCCATCTTGCGGCGGAGCGAGGGCGTGCTGCGTGCGTCGGGCTCTTGCTCGGCCACGGGGCAGAGGTCCTCGCTAAAGATGCCGGGGGGAGGATTCCACTTGATCTCGCCCAGGAGAGAAACCACAAAGCGACGGAAACGCTTATTAGGGCTGGGATGATGAAGTTGATGGGGGACTTGATAGAAAAGCAGTAGTAGGGGATGATTAGAAGCCTTGGATAGCCTTTTTGCCGGCTACATACCAGCCAGTGTGTCTTGGGGTAGTAGGTAATTCTACTAATGTGGGTTGAATGAGGACGTGTTCTCCAAGTACAGCGCCCTCGGTCCCTAGAACCACAGTGGCATGCAGCATATCAAACACTCTGGAGATAGGGGTGGGGAATTGCAAATCGGGCTATCCCCCAAGCATGTGCTTGAATTCAGCCTCCGGTATTCCCATAAGCATTCCCCAACGATCCGGAAATCAAGGCGATAATTGTACTGTAGAAAGCGTACGCCCTGCCGCACGTGGCAAAAGCCGGTAGGTGACTACCGACTTCTACTTGGCTCTAACAAGGACGGGTGGCGTACCCTAACTAGGAGATAGCAACTCTGGGCTTTTGTAAGAGAGTTGTGATGATGCCGTAGACAAGGCAAGTCAGTCGGAGCCTGAGTGGCAGTATGGGCAGGTCAAGCTCTTCGGAGAGAGGGCGCAGCGCATCCAGCCCATGTCGAACGCATACTTGGCCGGGCATCGGCTTGTTGCCTCGCCCGGACGTTAAGCACAAAAGACAGAACAAGTCGGGCGTTGTGCCGGTGCCCTTTGGTCGAGCTATTCACGTCACCGAGAGTATTCCCCGACTGGATTTGAACGGAGGGTGACTGAGGAGGCGGCGGCTTGGGTGAAGGAAGGCAAAGTTGGGGTAAGTTTGGGGAGGAAGACGAAACCCTGTGTGTGTGTGTGTGTGGGTGTGGGTATTCCCTCTCCTCCTGTAAAGTACTGCCTGCTGCCCTTCTCCGTGTGAGTGAATATACAGAGCAACGTCATCTGTGAAGCTCCGCACTCAGTCAGTGAGCTCTTCTCTCGTTGAAGGGCCACAGGACCTCCGTCGTCCGAGCCACCCCATCAGAATTGCACAGCGCACTTGACCGAAGATCGCAGCAGCGTGCCGATCAGCTCATCCAGAAGCACGAGGGAGGATGATCCGCCGTTTGATCGAGGCGTGGTTTCGAAACCGCTGGGCCTATCGGGGACAAACTTGTCGCCCGGCATGGTCCACTCACCCATAACCCGGCCATTGCGTAACGCCTTTTCTATTTGTCAATGCCTCGAGCTGAGCTTCGCGGGCGTATGCATAGAGACTAAGAAAGCATGATCCCCTCTCACCGTCATCGAGTCCCTCCGCCGTGGTCGAGTGACACAGCAGGACGGGGGCTTCTATTTTGCCTGACCCGTTTCCACGAAGCCCCCCGTTCTATTTCCGACTTGGTTTCGAAGTTGCTGAGTCGGGTAGAAGGCTTGGGTAAATGCAGCGAGGGTGTGGAACATGAGACAGCTCGCAACGTCGCGAGATTTGTTGACGAACTCTTGAGGATGCCGGCAACGCCACACTTGGGTCGATGAAGAGGACCTTCCAAATTGGAGTCAATGAGTTGTCTCCCAAGGCAATGAGTCCTCCGGGGTTACGGTTACATGGATTGACGCAGGAAGCCACACAGGCGATCGAGATCGGCTCATTCTCTGGGGCGGCCACCCCATGGGCAACCATGAGCAACAAAAGCCGAACTCCAAGTGCACATGTCAACCAACCTCGACTGTAAAAATAGAAAAAAAGAATTACCTGGAAGCCCAAATAGACTGTATTTACGCTACTTACTTTTTTCATCGGTTTGTATTCTTTTCCTTGTTGTCCTTTCGTTGTTTCTTTTGCTTGATTTCTTACTTCCAGGTTTCCTTTTAAGAGTTGGGCTTTTTTTGGTCAGGGGAGGCGGCTTCTTCGTCGTTTACGCATCGCGTGGTGAGTGGTCCCAGAACTCATCGCGGTGAAACGCTGGCCCACATAAGGGTAGTCGAATCGGAGCGGCCACTCTTGACCGATCGCGTCCCGGCAATGGGCCCCCGGCAATGGCGGGGAGCCGTGAGAGACGCGCCACCGTGGCCGTCAAATGTGCTAGTGTGCCTTACCGGAGGAGGAGTTGTTCTGGAAAGCTCAACCAGTCGCGTGACAACGCTAAAGTTTGAGGAGGGACCGGTGTGTCGGCATTGGGACTACACTCAGCTTGTTTGCATTCATTGTAGTGAGACGTAAACATGTCATCTTACCAGTTCTAACATGGTTTGAAGAGACAGACAAACATTTGTTACTAGAAAAGCATAGCTTGGTTGGTGCCTCAAGCGAGTGCTTGATGTGACTTCCGCCCTGTTGCCAAATCGTAGGAACTCCCTGTTCAAGGTGAAGCGGCCTGTTGACGCTGTACCCCTCCCAGAATGCTTTCCATAAACAGCTTGAGAGAGAAAGAGGCAGAGAGGGAGCCAGAGAGAAGCATGTGGATGTGGCACGTCTCACATGCATGTCGTCGGGAAACATGCCGTAATGAGCCAAGCTTCGAGTTGTGGTGTTGGGTTGTGGGAGGTTGTGACCCTCTTTCAACAAACGAGCTAGGCCACCCATGGTTAGCAGACTAGCCGGTGATGATGACGGTATGTAGAGAGGGAGCCTTCTTGGCGACGCCGTGGAATGTTGGTTGTCAACCCGGTGTGCCGGTGTATCGGGGTAGACGGGGCATGGGATCGTTGTGCTTGCGACACTGGTGGATTGTGGTAGCGATGGGTCGAGAACCCGGACAAGATCAAGAACCTGGATGAAGCCGTTGGAAGACCCCTCACCATGCCTGCGTGCGTCGCATGTGGCCCCGAGAAGCACCTACCCCCGCGTCTCAATGGTGGCAAATCCGGGGGCAATGAGCCGAAGAGTAGCCTCATGCGAGTTGAGAGACTAAGGAGTTTGCCGCGCAGCATTACCTGTACCCCCGAGGGCCACATACCTGCAGCTAGCGCGCATGCAATCCCACCTAGCGCATGCAGCTTGTGAGCCCGGGAATACTCATGAAGTGCTGTGGAGGGCGATGGCCGCAGCGTCCACTACCCCGGCCTCCGATGCACCCCTCCTCCTTACTTGGCGAGGTCTCGGTAGGCGTGTCCAGAGCTCTGATCGTTCGGTTGTGAACAGCCGTAGCTTCGAGGCGCTGGTCAGAGCAGCTAGACTAAAACATGGCCTATAACTGCTGGGAGAACGGGATGCCAGCGCCGGTTTTGAAGTTCAAGCATGGAGCTTGACATTGCCGTGGGCGGTTTGGATAGGATTGTGGACGGGCACTACGGGCGAGCGTGTGTGGACAGCAGGGATGAACCGTCGGTCGGTGTCCGTTGTGCGTCCTGTGAGGATCTAGGCTTTGCGTTATCATCGCCTCCAGGGCTGCAGCATCGATCGCTGATCCTAGGAATGAGGTCACTTCATGGGCTGTGAAATCGATGCGAGTCAGTATATGAAGGATTGACATGGGACAATGTAGATAGAGGGGGAAATCAGCTGTTTGGGCAACGATGGAGGGCTCGAGAGGGTCCTTCGTCGCCTGCAGTTATTGGAGAACATCAGCCGTCTCGGGGCTCTCAGTGGCTTGAGAAGACGGCGTTGGAGAAAGCCAATCGACCAGAGGCGGCCTAGACCGTGGCGCCCTGCGGGTTCAAGTCGGCTGTGTCATCGGGCATCTCGTGCGACCCGGGGTCATGCAGGAGGAGAATGCCACCCAGCGAATGGCTTGATAGGCCTGCTTATTCTGGGCGCTGCCGTTGAAGATGGGGAGAGGTCACGCTGAATTGACGATCAACGCGTTACCCGAGTCACAACGAGCCCAGAGCGAGTGTCGGTGAAAATAGAAATCAAGGGAGAAAGAAGAGCCGAGCGGGCACCCTCAATGAACGCAGGACTAGATGTATGTATTCTGTACGAAGTGCCACGGTAACGAACGATTTCGTACCTGAAGTGGTCACCTGTGTGGTCAGAGTTATTGATTGTCAACAGAGCAGAAGCTCACTGTGCAGACCGCTGCAGGGTTACTGTGGCCGGGTAGGGGTGTCGGAAGGTTGTGGTCGTCCCATCTCGATGATACCTCGTCAGGTGGCCCCGAATCTTCCGGAATGGTGATTGATCGCAAATCCAAGGGCACGCAGCTGTTTCTGTTGCCTGAGGTGCTGTGAGGTTGCTTTGCTTTCCATGCTTGGCTTGGCCCGCGAGACCCAGCGGGAAAAAGCAAACCTGGCTCGAGCCTGGAAGAAATGTTTTGTGGGCCCGGCTCGCCCAAGCTCCCAAGGTCTCGCGACCTTGGTTCCGTGGCTCCCGTCAGCACGTTCTGGGTAACACTACCAGGCACGTCCTTGGACCCATATTTAATGAATTGCTTATTGGTTTAACCGTCTGTTCCCCGCTTCCAACGGCACCCCACGCCGCGCGCCGAGCAGCACGAGCACGACCGATTCGAAAAGAAAGCGAGAGAGGGTCACAGAGTGACTCGGCTCTGGGCACTCAGGTTGTTCTTGAATTCACGTTGGGTAGTTCCGTGTCGGCTCTCGTTTCCCTCGCGACGTTTGGACGGAAATGCGGCCGAGTTCAGTTGCGACCACGACCTCCGAGTGTTCCCTCCCAAATTCATCTCGCAAACAAAACAACAAATTCCCACAACAAACCTGGGAATTCCCGATAATTTCTTCGTCTTCTTCTTTCAAGCCACTGGCTGTCTTCCGCTCCTTGCTTTGCTAACTAGTGGCGTTGGTTGGGCATCACCCTCGCCCACTTTCCCGCTTCTCTCCCTGCGAGGAAGCTCGGAGCCGAACAAAGAAACCCCACTTTAACTTTGGCCTCTGAATCAACAAAAGCCACCCGACCAAGTCGACGACGGCGACACCACCCATCCCGAGGGATTTCCTCGTCCTGATGCTGGTGACGCCTTCCAGTGCCTGCCATCCTAGCGCCCTCTCGGAATTGTCGTACCCAGACAAGCCGCAGCCGCGCCGCTGTCTCGCCTTGCTCTGAGCACGCCCCCAAAGCCCGCACCAAAGCCCACCACCGTCAGACACCGGGTTCTTGACAACGAACAACGCTCTCTACGGGCCATACGAGGACTTTCGTTGCCATTGACGCACGTGTTGTGACCGGGCAACACCCTTCGATCGCGAAATCACGACCTCTTCTTCGGACTACAGCGGGGCTTACCACGTCAACCGCACCGCATTATGTCTCGAGCTTGCGCTGTGCTATAGCTTCTGGCAGCTTGGCCAGAAACCTCCTGGCTGGTCCCCCATTGGGCCTCCAGACCACCGACTTTCCTTCCTCGCCGCGAGACGACGACCCCCCCCATCAACCCGGTGCGCCCGCCGCGCCAAGAGAGCCGTGATAAGGGCCTGACAGATCTGGCTCCGTACAGATGCTATCGAGACAAGAATTGGTCTCTGGAACAGTCAACACATCATCACAATGGAGGAGGTGACCTCTAATACGCCAAGCAGGCTTGCTCCCCCGGCCGTGGCCTCCCTCAGGGCCGCCCCAATGGAGCGGTCGCTCAGCGAGGACATCCGGGAGGAGAGGGAGGAGCTCCGCGAGGCCGCTGAGCAGACTCTGAACGTCATTTTGGATCTCAACATTGACGGGACAATCCGTTGGGTTAGCCCTTCTTGGGTTGACGTTATCGGAACCCAGCCGGACCCGGTCCTGGGGACCCCTATTGCCGATCTCATCGTCAGCGATAATTCCAATATCTTTTCGGAAGTCGTCGAGAGCATGACCCAGGATGACAGGCGGAGCCAGTTCATCCGTTTCGCCGTCAAGCTGGGCCCGCTGTCCAAGCTCATTCCCCTGGACATGCTCAAAGAACGCGAGGAGACCGCCGAGCCCGTTGTCATCGACCTGGAGGCCCAAGGCATCATGGTCTACACCGGGCCTTCGGGCGGGGAGAGTCATGTGAGTTTGTTTTGCCACGGATTCGCCTCCGTACTAGTACTGATGCTAGGCTTTAGACCATGTGGATGATCCGACAATGGGCTGCACCACGGGAGATCAAGATCGACCTGCCAAATGTCATTGTTGATTCGTTGGGATCCGGCGCCGAGGTGCTCGCAAGCTACCTTACCCAACTCGCCGAGTCGAATCTGGAAGACCCTGAGACACATCCCCCGCCTCTGCCCGTTCTCTGCCGGATATGCGAACGTCAGATCTCGCCGTGGTGGTTCGAGAAGCACACCGACCTGTGCCTGCAAGAGCATCGCGCTGAAATGGATGTCCAGATGGCCCAGGAAGGTCTGACGGAACACCGCCATGCGATCGTCAAGGTGCTCGACGCCCTCGAGGCAAGACATAGCCGCTCGTTGGTGGGAGGAGACCAGACAAAACTGCCCGTCGCCGAGTACAAGAGCCTGGCAATTGGGCCCCCGAACTCATCCAACTCTTCGCCGGGCAACTCGTCTCCCGTACCGGGTGCCGCCCCTGGCAGGTCACGCGAACGCTCTTCTGGCTTCGGGCACGCGAGGGCTCGGTCTTTTGCCATTCGCAGACCTCAGGCTAGGATCGTCGAATTGCTGCTGGATCTCTGCGACACCGCCATCGAAATCAGCACCCCCGCCATCAAGGAGTCGTCGCAGGCTCCCGGCGAGTTCCGCACGCAGTCACCGCAGTCCGAAAGCCGGATTACGCAGGTGATGCAATGGGAAACACCTGGCACGAACACGCTGGAGCAGGAACAAGGGCTTGCGTTGCTGTGTGCTGACACGGAAAGGTTCGCTAAAGAAAAGGTCGAGGCCATCTTCCGTCACCGCAGGATTCTCGAGTACTCGGAGCGGATCCGGATCGAGTTTGCCTACATGGTCCAGGACTGCATAGACGCGGCCATGCGCAAAGCTGCCAAGATTGCTTCCGGCCGTCTCAGCGACTCGGCCGACGAGGAGGATGGGGACGGGGACGCTAACGCTACGCCTGCAACTGAAGAAGGCATTTTCGCCGGGTCTTTCGATGCGCCTTCAACCTTGGCATTGGCACTCCAGAACGCTGATATCAGTGACGACCCCGACAGGCGCCGGTTGTCGGCGTTGAATTCGCCGAGATCGAGTAGCCCCAAGGAGTGTCCAACCCCCCGGTCCAATCTCGGCCCTCACGGGAGCCTGACAGGTGCTACACAGTCCCGCCGGGAATCTATGATCTTCGAGAGTGATGCCGGGGATAGCGACGGCAGCCTGAGGTCTTCCTCGGTCGCTTCAAGAGCTCCGCAGCGGACGGATTCTCCAATGTCCGAGTTTGGCGACCTCCGCCGGCAGGCGAGCTCCCGACAACACCACCGCAGGAGTTTGATTCTCCCAGGTGCCGTGTCGCCACGGAGACAAGAGTCGCCCTCGAGGGGGGCCCAGCCCCCGTCATCACCTCTCCGGATCCACAAGCCTCGAAACTTGCCGTTCCCTTCGGACGCTCTGATGTCCCCTGAAGCGTCGCCGATGCTGCCGAGCAGCGAATTCACATCGCCCAGCATCTCGCACACTTATCACCATCATCGGAGGCAGTCATCAGCTGCGGTTTCTTCGGTTCCTGGGGAAGTGGCAGTGAAGCCCCCGCCTTCTCCCCGGCTGAGCGCCGTTGTCGGCGGCCCGCAGGCTAAAGCGGTCCCGCCCTCGATCAAAGACTTCGAGATCATCAAGCCCATTAGCAAAGGTGCGTTTGGCAGTGTCTACCTGTCAAAGAAGAAGTCTACGGGCGAGTACTTTGCCATCAAGGTGCTGAAGAAAGCCGACATGGTTGCCAAGAACCAGGTCACCAACGTCAAGGCCGAACGCGCCATCATGATGTGGCAAGGAGAGAGCGACTTTGTTGCAAAGCTATATTGGACCTTCTCGAGCAAGGACTATCTCTACTTGGTCATGGAATACCTCAACGGCGGTGACTGCGCCTCGCTGATCAAGGTATTGGGCGGTCTTCCCGAGGACTGGGCCAAAAAGTACCTTGGAGAGGTCGTGCTAGGCGTCGAGCATCTGCACAGCCGGGGCATTGTTCACCGCGACCTCAAGCCGGACAACCTACTGATCGACCAAAAGGGGCACTTGAAGCTGACTGACTTCGGTCTCTCACGCATGGGGTTGATCGGAAGGCAGAAGCGGGCCCTGAATTGCGGGACTGATGCTGCGCCCGACCTGCTGAAGCAGGGCCCGTTTGCCCGATCTACCTCGATGGCATCGTCTCGATCCACCTCGTTAGACCTCCACGGCCGAAGCCAGTCTCCAGGTTCCACGCCGCAAATGACGCCGAGCGACCATCCCGCAGGCTTACCCCAGCCGTCGTATTTTAGCTTGGGGCCATTCTCACATGAGCCGCGTCGCGTCTCGACCCATCGCAGCGATAGCGGGGGCAGCGAGAGCTTGCCGCAGATGCTCGGGAACTTATCCTTGAATGACCCTCACGTGAACAACTCGCAGGTTATTCTGTCTCCTGCTGAGGGTAGTGAGGCCGACGCTTCTGGCTCACCGGACCTTGCCTCGCTTTCCCACTCGACTACGCATAATAGCACCGAGTCCAACAAGGGAACGCCCCCGCAACCACCCATGCCGCCTCCGAACTGGGCCCTGTTCGACCCCGAAGATACCAACCGTCGATTCGTGGGCACGCCGGATTACCTGGCCCCCGAGACGATTAGGGGCGAACCGCAAGACGAGACGAGCGATTGGTGGTCCGTCGGGTGCATCATGTACGAGTTCCTTTACGGTATCCCTCCGTTCAATGCCGCCGAGGCGGACAAGGTCTTTGAAAACATTCTGGCCCGCAGAGTTCTCTGGCCGGATGAAAGCGAGGATGAGGTTTCGCCGGAAGCCAAGGATCTTATCAACAAGCTGCTCTGCATGGATACGCAGCAACGGCTCGGGTCCAACCGTGATGAGAAGTTCCAGAGCGGCGGCGAGGAGATTCGTAACCACCCGTGGTTTGCTGAGGTGAACTGGGCGTCGCTCCTTCAAGACGAGGCCCAGTTTGTCCCGCAACTCGAGAACCCCGAGGATACCGAGTATTTCGATGCCCGTGGCGCCACCCTGCAAGCCTTCACCGAGGAGATCGAGGACCAGCACTCGCCGCCTGCTACCGCGCCTGCCGCCGATTACCACGATCGCCCACATGACGCCCTTTCTCGCGTTAGAGCTCAGGTCAACTCGATGAAGCGTGGCCTCATGCCGCTCCACATCCCGCCGCATGTTCGAGACCAGAAGAGCAGGCGGTTGAGTGAGCCGGCCGCGGCTGACGACTTTGGCAACTTCTCGTTCAAGAACCTACCCGTACTAGAAAAGGCAAACAAGGACGTGATCCAGAAACTTCGGGCCGAGGCCATGGCGGCCCAGAGCAAACCAATCAGTCCTGGCGCCCTAGGAAGCCTCACATCTCCGGGACCGGTCCTCGAAGGCAGCCCGGTTATCACGAATCCGGTTCAGAGGACGCTCTCGAATGCCAAAGCATCCCACAGGCCACAGTCGCCGTCTGGTGTCAGCCAGGCCCACTCCTCTCCCAACCGCGCCTCGCAACCGTCGTCCCCTTTGTTGGTCTCGTTCGTTGCCGGTCCGGGAACAGAGGGCCGACGGAAGGCATCGAGCAATTCTTCAAGCTTGTCCCAGCCCTCCGGGAACTCATTGCAACCTGGAAATTTCTTCGAGGTGGCCCGCGTCCCGCCGAGTTTACAGAAAGCTGCCACCACAATTGCGGCCACCGCATCGCCAAGCAAAGGCCGAGGAAGCGCACCAGCTCAGTTACCACTCTCGCCTCAGAAGTCGGTTCCGAACCATGTCATGTCCACCCCACGGCATAGCAGTAGCTCGTCCGGCGGGCGTTCCCGCTCACTTACTGTTGGCTCCCAGGAGGGGAGCCCCGTGACCACAGACATGTTGGCAGCCCACCACAGGAACCGTCGAAGCCAGGTGTTCGACATGTCACCGTCGTCTTCGGACAACGAGGGTGATAAGGCGAACGCGCTTCTCAGAGTCCAACGGCGGCGCCAAAGCTCGAGGCGCATGTCGTACATTGCAGCCGGCGACGGTCCCGTTTTCCGCCCCCTGGACGTCCTTATCTGCGACGACCATCCCGTATCTCGGATGGTGATGGAAAAGCTACTTGAGAAGTTGCGATGCCGGACCATCTCCGCTGCTACGGGCAGCGAAGCCATCCGATACGCCATGAGCGATATCAAGTTTGACATCATGTTCCTCGAGTTTCGGCTCCCGCAACTCTCGGGGTCCGACGTCGCCCGGATGATTCGCGACACCAAGCACGCCAACACGCACACTCCCATGGTCGCTATCACGTCTTACTTGAAGGAGCTGCCTGCGCCCCAATACTTTGACTCGCTCGTTGAGAAGCCTATCAGCTCGTCGAAGCTGACCGAAGTGCTGAGTACACTTTGCCATTGGAAAGCTCCGACGCCCGGTCAAACTAGCTCGCTGTCCTTGGCGGTGCCACACCCGATCCCATCCGGTCTGCGCCAAGAGAGCCTGCGGCTCGAAGACAGCCCGACATCAGCCTCGTCGGGCTACCTGATTCGATCGAGCGGCAGCTTCCGCGAGGATTCTATCAGCTCCAGTCTCTTTGGAGATTCGGAGTCGGTGGCAACCGACGATATCCCGGTTCTCATTAGCAGGAAGGCTACGGGCGAATGGGACGACGGGGGACTCGGCATATCGGGGCCGGACGAGATTCTCTTGGCTTCCAACAACCCACCACTATCCCCTATTCAGCCACGCCACACCACGCCGCAGTCCGCGCCTGCGCTGATTGAGCACACGCCAGCGCGCACTAAAGGCCCTGCGCCACAACGCTCGCTCGAAAAGCTCAAGGCGAAGCGCGAGTCGATTGAGAAGCGCCGGTACGAGGGCAGCGTTGACTCGGCGGACGATGAAGATGATGAGCTCGGCCAGACAAGTAGTGGCAGCGGTAGCGGGAGCGGGAGCGGCAGCGGCAGCACAAGCGGCAGCAACCCCGGCTCACCCTCGGGCCAGCAGTACCGCAGCAAGTCGGGCCTGCCGTCGTCCAAGCTCGGCATCGAGATGATGCGCGCCAACAGCCACGACAGCATGGTGACCGGGCCGGAAAGCGCGGGCATAGTGGACTCGGGCACGCAGGTGGCTACGCCGAGCCAGGAGGTGCAGCGGCTAGAATTCCCCCTACAGGAAGCTGCGAATGCCGGCCTAAGCACGCCGGCATACAGCAACCCCTTCGCCCCGGCGCACCCAGCCATGTGCACTCCACCCGGTCTCGGGGCAGCCACAGGGGGGTTCGTCGGCGGATCTGACATCGACGTCGAGGAGACGCCCCGCCCGATCTCGGCCCTGGACCGCCGGGACGTGTTCGAGGACGAGGATCCTACCCCTCGGCGCCCGCCGGTCAGGACGGCAGATCGCGACGACTCCATGTCGCCGTTTCCGGGCGGCATCTAAAACCGCACCCAGGACGTGGGCCTGGGTAGCAAGGTGGCTGGCTGGTTTTGCGAGGCTGGCCTGCCATGCTTACAACAACATGAACTATTTTCGTTCCTTCCATTTGTTTCTTTCTCAAACAGCGCGGCGTTCCCGGGGGTTGGAGGGGTCAGGGGGGGTAGGGATAAGCGCAGGCCGACACACGAGATTGCAACACACCAGAACCACTGGCAGTGCGCTGCCTTTTCTCCTTTTCTTTTCTATCTCTTTTGTCCTATTTTCTTTTCCCTTTGTTTGAGACAGCGAGGGCCGGTGTCTGGGTGTTTTACGGAGCTTGGGAGCGAACCTTTTTAGGGGGAGGGGGTTGCACTGGGCTGGGGCTGGGCAGACATAGCAAGGCGCAAGGCAGGACATGGCATGGCATGGCATAGCATCATCAAGCAAGGGCGTCAAGCGTGTGATTGGGTTGTTGTTGTTGTTGTTGTTGTTGTTGTTGTTGTTGTTGTTGTTGTTGTTGTTGTTGTTGTTGCGGGGGCGGGAAATGGGTTTGTCGCTTTGGAGAGAGAGCGAGAAGGCGGGTTTTCGCTGTGGTTTGGCCGGTTGGCTTGGCTTGGGCTTGACTTGATTGCTTGGGTTGCTTTGCGATTTGGGGGCTTCGTTCGTTTGCGTTGCCGTTCTGCTCTGCTCTGCTAGCTATGTCCTTGGGCTGAGTTGGCTGGGGGTGGGGGAGGGTTCTTACGCGCCCGAGACGAACGGGGACGGGGACCCTAAACAAACCACCACGCCACTCTCTTTGCTTTTGTGTCGCTTTTGCGTCTGGTTTTCCTTTTTCGATTCGTTGTTTCATCACTACGGGTTGCGACTGGATTTGCCGGCCTGTGGGTGTGGTTTCTTCGGTGTATTTTTTGCTTGGCATGTTTGAGCTGGGCTGGGTGGCCTGGCGCATGGGGAGAGAGGTACCTTCTGATATGAGGGAGGGAAGGAAAAGGAAGAGAGTCTGGATGAAAATGGAAAGGAAAACAAAACAGTCGGCTGAACCAAAGAGGAAGTCAGAGTCGGTTAGTGGTTGGTACAACACCAGGTTGATATCGGACTGGTTCGGGCGTTGCGCGGTACCAGATGGATGGGATCTGAGGGGCTAGCTGCTTAGGTATCACCGGTACTTTACTCGGAGGGCGGGCTGGAATATACATATCAGATTGGATTGTGCTGTGCCGTTGAGTGACTGTTAAGGAGGCGGGCGTGACTGTGGCCGGCTTAGGGTCCTCCCCTGATATGTTCGTGAGTCTTTGGCAAATCTTCAACACGACGGTAACCGGTGCCTTTTTTCTCAAAGAAAAGATGAGCCTCGAGTAGGGTCCTCTATACAAATCCCCCTAAACGTTACATGTTCCATGTTCCCCATTTTCAATAGTTTCTGGGCTGTCGAGGCGGTAATGGCGCGAGTGATACTGGTTTCTATTTTTGAACCACGACCCTGTCAAAAGTGTCGCCCTGACAAGCAAACCCAGTGTAAGTTCCCCCGGGTTGCTTGAGTTGACCCCAGGTAACAAACAAGTAATATATCGGCAAACGCCGTTTCTTGAAACACGGCAAGTCTACGGGCCGCCGGCTTGCTCTTGGCCGTGGATATGCCACCCATGATGATCCCGCACCATTCTATCCCCTACCAACCCCAGTGATACTATCTAGTGGCCGGCACCCCCCGGTGCTCCCGAGACGGTATGAGGGGGGATGTGAGGAGGGGGGCGTTGCAGAATACCCCGCAAACTGTAACATCGACAAACCTTAGCATCTCTGATACCCCCGTGTGGGGATTGTTTGTTTGTTTTAGCGCCTATTTTTGGTAACCGGCAGGGCGTCAGAATTGGCTTCCATGCTGGAATGGGTCAAGTTGAAGAAAGAAAGCCTATTTTGCTTTCGTGTTCCATCTACCGTTTGGAAAGCGAGGTCTGAATGGAGGGGTTGATCGAGACTTGATATGTCTTACCCCGCGGGAGAGGCCTTCCTTTTTACGTGTACCCGAATCCCGGTAGCACAGATGCAACTCCAATCCGTGCTAGGTACGCTAGAGGGGGGAATTCAGAGCTGTGTGATGGACTCACTTGTCACTCGTGGTTCACTCGCCGACGTCGGATGGGCCGGGAATGTGAGTTGAAGGACCCCGTCGGTCGTTGGGTTTCTCGTCCGATTAGGAAAGAAGGCACACGACCTCGTTTCGACGTCGTCGAGACCCTGGACGGATTCGTCCAATGAGGTGGATTGAGGGTGACACGCCAAGCAAGCCAAGCCTCGCCACACAACGAGCCTCCCGTTGCAGAATTGACGAGCGTCGTCTCCGAGTCCAGTTCAGTTGGTTGAAGATGGGATGGATCTGGTGGTCTGGCAACGATGACAAGGCAGCTGAGGGAAAAAATTGAAATCTTGGTAGTCAATATCAAAAGGCCGGGCCAGCTGAGGCCAGCCATCATCAATCCTGTTATTCCCGCTGTTTTTACGAGTGATATCAACAAACCACAACTCGCCGAGCGAGGTGCGTTCGGGAACTGCGGGGTGGGGGTCAGTGTGTGTGTGAGCAGCAGTTTTTGCTGCCAAGCTTGGCTCGATGCGACAGGTTTTGAGGTCTCCCCAGAGTCCCAGACCCTATCAAGGCAACACGTGGGTGGGTCCCAACTCCTGGTTGGTCTGATGCGGGACAGGAACCGAGATCTGCGCCATTGCCGTTTGGGCTGGTTCGGTTTCTGCAGATACAGGGGTCCTGGCCCGGGGGCAATTCTGCCATGTCGGTTCAGCACCATTGATCAACGCAACGTGGGCGGCTTGCTTGGCTGTTGTTCGTCGCGGGCTTTGGGAGGTTGAAGGCCAAGAGAGCTTGGTATGCTTGGCTGGCTAGATAAGCATTTCTTCAATTGCTTGTTTCTGCTTGGAGATCTGGGGAACGGCTTGGCATCGTGAAATATCGTTGATGGCGTTGACTTTGAACATCGGGATGGACTGGGCTGCTGCGGCGGCCGTGGTTGCGGGTCTTCGCGTCTTCTCTGCAATTGGGCCTCGAATTGGCGAGCGGGGAGGCAGGCGGTGAAGCGTGGGGTTGCGGAGAACTCGGGGGTTCCACTCTCTACGGATACCAGGCGAATTTCCAGCTTGTTTCCGACTTTTGTGTCTCACAGTCGGCAAGACGGCAGAGTGCAATGTGCCGCGTGTCCATGTACGAAGCACCTCGACCCGTTTGGATCTCGAGTTGCGAAGGTGGGGTTGGTTGCACGGGCGGGGTGAAACGCTCTTCGGTCAGGAACTTGGGGGTGGCTTGAGAGCCGGTAAGCGTTTCGAGTTGGCCCGGAGTTGGTACCTATGTACGCAATGCAATTGTTTACTGGCGTGGGAGGCAATGGCACGCGACCTCCTTCCGAATGGGGGTTGCGTGGCGGTATTCGTAGGTACTCTTGACCGAATTGCACCTCGGGACGGGCTTGAGCGGCAAGATGCAAAAAAGGCACTCGGACTTTGCTAGATAAGGCAAGTTGGTGGAGTTGGTGGCCCTGGCAATGCCTGCGATATTCGCCCATCTCAAAGTGTCGTTTTTGCACGTCACCCACGGGGGGCCATACGGTAAAGATGCCCCCCCTATCCATTGGCCCCTCCCCATCATGGATGGCATGTCGTGCTTGTGATTTCCAGTCTTTATAAGGAAACCCAACTGCCCTTTTTCTTCCCTTTCCCTTCCCGTTCGCTTCAAGTTTCCATACACAGCACCACTGGCTGTCACACTCTCTTCTCAGATCAAAAAGCTTTCCCTCACACCTCTTCCCTTCCTCCACCGTCTCGGAGGAAGCACCTTTCAGACACCACCTTTCCGAGGGTTGAGATCCTTTGACAGCCTCGGAGATGGCCGACCTCATTCGGCACCACGACCGTCACGATCCCAGCATCGGCGAGATTCCCGTTCCCCATGGCCCAGCAACGGGGAACGAACACGACCACTACCCGGCTGGCGGAGCCACGGACCATGAGCGCTCCATCTTCGCCCACTTGACCCATCCGGACGACTGCTACACCCCCGATGGGACCTACTGGGCCGACCTCCCGCTCCGGAAACGCGTGGCCTTCGTCAACAAGGTCCAGAATGAGGAGGCCAAGAGGGAGCTCGCCGCCATTGGCAGCATGCTCAAGGCCGACCCCCTCAGCCCCGTCTCCTGGTACTTCCGGAATGCCGTTCTCCCCGGTGCCGGCCTCGGCCTCGAGGGCTATGTACTCTTCAGCATTGGCAACCTCGAGCCGCTCTTCCGTTCCGCCTGGCCCACCTGCTGGGGGAAGAACCCGACCGAGTGCAGCGCCAACTGGATCGCCTCGGTCACTTACCTCGAGGTGATCGGCATCATGGTTGGCCAGATGGCCGTCGGTGTGATCGGAGACTGGATCGGCCGCCGCTGGGGTCTCATCCAGGACGCAGCCATCATGTTTGTCGGCTTGCTTATGATCACGGCGAGCTGGGGGCTGAATCTGAACGGCTGGGTTATTTGCTACGCCTGGTCCTTGTTCTTCTACGGCAAGTTGATCTTAGCAAAAGTCCCTACCTCTTCCCGTGCTAACACGTCCTAGGCTTTGGTGTCGGCGGCGAATATCCCATCACCGCGACATCCTCCATGGAGAACGCCGTCTCGGCTGGTAAACTCTCGACCCGCGAGGATCGCCTTCACCGCGGCCGCAAGGTCACCATGGCTTTCCTGATGCAGGGTTGGGGCCAGCTCATCAACCAGGCCATGCTGATTGTCCTGCTCTTGATCTTCCACCATGGCGACGGCAACCCCCCCTACGGCACCACGACTGTCCAGTGGATCTGGCGATTGTCCTTCGCCATCCCCGCCGTAGGAACCCTCTGGCTCGTCTACTACCGCTCGTACAAGATGCCCCACGCCAGCCGCGAGCTCGCGGCGGCCAAGAAAAAGAGCAACGTCACGGGCTACGATGTCGAGTCACTGAGCCTGGCGTGCACCTTCTTCGGAGGGCGCCTGCTCGCCACGGCCGGCACGTGGTTCTGCAACGACGTCTTCTTCTACGGCAACAAGCTCTTCCAGGCCCAGTTCATCGCCGTCATCAGCAACAACCCGGACTCGGTCATGACGGGCTGGATCTGGAACCTGTACAACGTCATCGTCTCGCTCGTCGGCTACTACCTCGCCTCCATCCTCATCGACAACAAGTTCTACGGCCGCAAGATGATGCAGCAAGTCGGCTTCCTCATGTGCTTCATCATGTTCGTCGTCCCCGCCTTCAACTACGAATACTACACCTCCCCGGCCGGCATCAAGGCCTTCCAAGCCATGTACTTCCTCTCCAGCTTCTTCAACCAGTTCGGCCCCAACAGCGTCACCTTCCTCGTCGCGGGCGAGGTCTTCCCGACCCCGATCCGCGCCTCCGCCCACGGCTTCAGCGCCTGCGTCGGCAAAGCCGGCGCGCTCCTCGCCTCCGTCCTCTACAACTACATCGACACCCAAACCAAATTCTACGTCGTCCCCTGGTTCGGCCTCGCCGGCATGCTGCTGACCTGGCTCTTCCTGCCCGACACGACCGGGCTCGACCTCAAAGAGCAGGAGCGCCGGTGGGCCTACATCCGCGCGGGCCGCGACGCCGACTACCACGGCATCGCCATCCACCCGAAGCACCTCTCGCTGTGGGAGCGCATGCGAGGGGTGGGGCGGCACTACGACCCGGAGCGGGACATCAAGCAGCGCATCGAGGACATGCGCGAGGAGTGGGCGGGCAAGGAGCGGCTGCGGCGGCAGCGGGAGGCTGGCGGGGAGGCGGCTGGGCTTGAGGCGGAGGAGGTGGAGGATGAGGAGTGGACGGAGCGGGTGAATGAGTATTTTAAGAAGACGACCGATGAGAGGCTAGTGACGGGCGAGGCGAAGGAGAAGGGGATTGCCGGGGGGTCGCAGTCGCAGATGCAGGCGAGTGAGAAATCGGCGTCGGTTGCGTCGGCGTCGAGTTGAGGTGGCTACCTACCTAGACTTTCGAATTTCTTTCGCATTGTTGGTTTGTTTAAAGTCATGAGCATGAAGCATTGGGCGTTTTGGAAAGGAAAACTTTAAAAAGTAGGCTGCTTGTTTGGCTGGGGTTATGAAGATATATTTCTGCTGCATCTTTTAGAACTAGAACGGTCATTGAGCGCCAGATTCTATAGCGAAGTCTACCAACTTTTGTCCTTGTTTGTGGTTGCTTAGGTACCTACTTAGCTAGTCCGACTCGTGTTCGACGTAGGGTGAGAGCCTAGTTCAAGAGTAATAGTAATAGGAATTAGATCTCCAAACTATGTTTATTGAGACCCTGAGTAGGTAGGTACCTAGGTATTAGTACTAGGTATAAATAAACATGCAGACGTGGGTAACAATATCACTCGATTTACTGCCTACCCTCATACGCCATCAACATTGGCGCATGACACCATCACGGAAAAGAGAACAACTCAAATCCAATCTTCATGCCAGCAGGGCATATTTATTTATTTATTTAACACTACCAAGCAGCTCTACCCCCCGACGCACCACCCTGCCAACCCCCGAACTCCGCCTCCAACCAAGCCAACAACGCACACCCTTCCATTACACAAACCACCAACAACTTATACATCCCACCCCCTCCCCCTTTAACAAGTCAACAAAACACCCACAACCCCCCCCCCCCCCCCCCTCCTTCTCACACACACCCTACTCCGCCAGCCCATAAAGCGCCCTCACCACCTCCCAATGCCACACGGTCCCATGATCCACCCCCTTCAAATCCCGCAACCAATCCAGATACAGCCCCACCGTCTCCCGCGCATCCCCCTCAAACCGCTTCCCACACAGCGTGCTGCGTATCCGGCTCAGCGTCGGCACCGTCGTGCTCAGATGCAGCAGCACCAGAATCCCAAAGAAATTCTGCGTGAAGAAGAACGAGCACGGCACCAGCCGCTTGTTGCGACACGTCGGCGACATGGCGACGGGCCACTTCAAGGCGGCCTTGAGGCACTCGGCCACGCCGCACGCGTCGGCGTGGGACATGGCGTCCGGGTGGTGCAGGGCTTTGTACACGAAGGGCCGGTGGATTAGGTACTTGGTGTAGTAGTAGCGTGAGCGCAGGAGGGCGACTTGCACGTCGAGCACGTAGGGGTAGCGGGGTGGCGGGGCGTCGAGGTCCGTGGTGAACATGAGCGGGGCGGCGGCGGCCATGGGGGAGGGTTGTTGGGGTTGGTGTTGTTGGGGTTGGCTGGTGGTGGGTATGGAGGGGGAGATGGGGGTCGTGGCGGGGGTGAAGAGGGAGGCGCCCGTGGTGTTGTAGAGGTCGACGGTGGCGTTGGGGAAGACGCCCGGCGCGTCGTCGTGCCAGCGGAGATGCACGGGGAGCATGCCGCGCCATTGCTCGAGTTGCATCGCGAGCTGGTAGATCGTGATTTGGTTGACACTCGGGTAGGTTGGCGCGGGGCTGAAAGGGGCTGACATGTGGCCGAGTGTTGACGATCCTGCATGGCCTAAAAGGTGTATGATTAGGAAATGATTTGGAAAGGTTTGCCGGCGGGAGGCGGGGGAACTCGCCATGATTCAGGGCACTGTGAAAGTCGACTAGAAGCCGGCGTAGGACAATTTGAGAGGCAAAATGCTCCTGGAAGTGCGACTCCTGGTTGCTCAGATGGTCCTCTTCCATGTATGGCCCGCTAAAGTCAGGCAGCCCAACGATGGACTCCATCCTCTCCAACCCAGTAAGCGGAAAGCCGAGTTCAAGGTTTAAGCCACTGAAACCAATGTGTTAGCAGAGCATACCAGTACTTCTTGGGTGTATGAAACCATACGTCTCCATGACCGAGCAGTGCCAGAATGATCGGCGTGTCAAATCTGCTTGTGCTGAGGATAAGGCGCTCGGATGGCTGGGAAATGTTAGCTTTAGCTGGAGGATTGCTTCGGCAAGCAGGAGCTACCTCGTGATGAGGGCTTGACAAGCCATCGACGCGGAAGTGGTCACCCTCCAAAAGTCCTAATATCGGTCAGCGAATTCCAAGACGGGCCTTTAGCGCAGGGGTACAAACCAGTGGGTAGAAGCAAGAGCCATAGTAGATACTACGTAGAGTTAGCGAGGCGTGTAGGGGAAATCTCTCAAGGCGGGAAATGGGGCTACCTAGCAAGCTCAAATATCTGGACGTTTTCAAGGCTGCATGCGGTGAGATTGAAGCCCATCCGCCGCCGCGCCTCGTTAAATAGGTCCAACCCCGGCGGCCGGTCTTTGGTGCCCCCTTTTATGCCGCTGGCACGGCCATTATACACATGAATCGGTGGACCTTCGTAACCCGCAAGGGCAACCTCGCCCAAAGCGAAGACAAGAAACGCGGTGGTCGATGTCATGCTATCGTCGAATCCCCTATTGAAGAATGTGGGCAATGTTTCGGACATAAAGGAGTGTCGGTTGAGGACCGGACAGAGGAGATTGAAGCTGTCAAAGTACGCCTTGCTCAGCCTCTGCATGGTTTCCCAATTTAAGTCTGAGATGGTTATAGAACCCTGGGCCGTGACTGATTCGTGCATACTGGCGCCAGAGCCTCGACCGGCTGGCTTGGAGGGGTCTGTAGGTAGACCATCGATGGAGGACCGCCGAAGAGCGACCATGCTTGCTGGGCCCTCTCTCTCCAAGACAGACAAGTCGATATTCGGCAGCTTTGGCTGTATTAACATAAAAAGCTGTTGTATGGCTGGCCACTTGAGCATCTGATGGACAGACGAGACGTATTGGTAATGATGCTCTCCTCGAGACGCGGCGTTCGAGAGGTTGGGAAAATAAAAAGGGGGATCCGTGGGGCCGGGCGGGCCTAGAGGGCCCTGGGCGGTTGGGAGCGGCGACGGCAGCGAAGTTGGCATTGAGAAGCCTGATGTCGAGGGCGTTGTGGCGGGGCGTTGGGCCAAGGTGTCAAGCTTGACCTCCAGGCCTTTGATTCGATCAAGAATTTCGACCATCGTCTTGTCCTTCCTGCAAGTCGTCAGTCCGGGAGCACGGGCGTGACGTTCGGCTGGGTACATACTTGGTCGGCTGGGGTTCTCGGTAGTTACACTCGAGGCGGAACTTCTGGCAGGTGCCGCACTTCGGCCGCTGTTCGTCGCATTTTTGTTTACGGCTCCGACAGGTATCGCAGGCCTAGGAAGGAGGGAGGGGGTGTTAGACCCTGGTGGGAAGAGGGGGGGAAGCTGGCTGGCTCGGGTTAAACTTCACTGACCTGCGCTGCTATAGCGCCGCGCTCCTTTCTAAGGCTCGCGCCGAAAGCACTCCCCCCTCCGGGACTGACGTTCGGTATGTCGTGATAACTTTCGGAGGGTTGGGTACCCGGGGTGACGGGAATGTCGTCCATCTTCTTCTTCGACGGCCGCCTGGCAGCCGTCGATGCGGTTTTCAGGTTCTTGAGAGAAAGCCCACGGGGCTTGTCGACTGAGGGGTGTCTTCTATCTCTTGTTCCTGCCACGCGTGCGCGTGCTGCGGTGGGAGGGGCTAAAGAAAGGGATGGCACGGGGTATTCCACTTGCGCGGTATCATGGCCCCTATTCGGCCAAGACATAACAGATTAGGTAGATAGATTCATGGACCATCCCCCAAAACCCACCATCACCTGGGATGCCTTGGGGATGGATTTGGGAGAGATAGGCTCGGGTGGTCTAGGCCGGCGGCCAAGGATTGGGAGTTGGAGGGTGAGCGAAGGCTGGTGAAGGTCGGATGAATGGATGGATGGTAGTATCGGGATGAAACTAAACTGGAATTTAAACCAAGTGCCCAGATCTTGCCTCTCGGAGTCCAGACTGCCACTCCAGAATTCCAGAATTCCAGAATTTGACAAAAAGTGCGAAGTACGCAGGAAAGTGCGTTGGTGGTCGGGCAAGGGTTCCGAAATTAAATTATTAAACTGAATAGGTGGCTCGGTCTAGATGCGGTTACAATTGGGCGGTACAGAAGAAGCAACCACCGATGAGCCCACGCAATCAGGAAGGCACAGGTGTCGGCCTCCATCGCGTCGAGGCCTTGGAATTTAGGAAGTGGTAGAGGGCTACGTCATCAAAGCAGGGCAGGGAGAAATGCCAAGCCGAGTTTCGAAGGAGTGGAGGCGAGCAGTTCAGCGCCTCCTCAGCGCCCGCAGCGCCGCCGCCCCCATCTGTGATGGAATAACTGAATGACTTCCTCGTCTTCAATTGGTCAACAGCCTGGCACGGGTTTGGCCACCCCATTGCCATCGATCGCGGGGCTGTATGTATGAGGCTTCTGATGGAACCTTTTTCAGCTCCCAATTGAACCGACACATCATCATCTTTATTGGAGCATCGGTGCCCGCCTGATTCAGGTGTTCAGCCTCCTTCTTTGCGGGTGTGCGGCTCCCCAGCCCAAGCAACCTTGGAAACATGGTAGCGACGATCATTACCGGAAATGGCAAGCATTTCAAGCCCCGATGCTACGCAGACTTCTCAAATAATAGCCGTCATCGATAAGCTACGGCAGGAACCCGTCATTCGCAACATCAATCTAGGCTAATGAATTGGCGACCGGGGAAACAGAGAAATCTCAAATCATCACGACAACAGTTTTGGCCTCCAGCTTTCTGGTAGTTGGGCAAGCCGGGCCACGTCATTTGCATGGCCCTCGACACCTCCGGTCCCCGACGTCATCCACCGTAGGTAGTTTCTTGATGGTCGAAAGGCTACTGTGTAGTTCACAAACAAACAAACTCGCCTCATATTGCCCGTCATACCGACGAACCACCAGGCCATTGGCAAGTGCAAAATATGTCGTGGACATATAAATACTTGACCTGGGATCTTTAAGTTCAGTTCGAGACCCCGCACAGCCGGCCTGGGCAAACCGTGACAGGGAGAAGCAGTTTCCCCCCATCTTCTAGAAGCTTTCTCTTTGTTTCTTCTCGTCTTCAAGGCCGAGACAGGCTGACAGGCTGAAACGGCTACCCAATGGCAGCCCAAGACTCGTAGGGCTGAGTTTTGTGGGGGAATCGGACGAGGTTTATTTAAGTGGGGTAGTTTGCGGCCCGTGCCGAATGTTGCATCGCACTGTCAGTAATGTGGAGCCCTTCAGAGCTGAGGAAGGAGCATGGGCTTTATCTCGACCACCTTCTCCCATACATCCCATTTTAACAAGTCTGGCATTTGTTGTTATGCAGGTGCTAAGGAAGGAGCATAAATGGTAGAGACACCAGAAACCATGGCTACACGCATTGACTCAAGTGTAATGCTCGTTCCGCTCCCTTTGCATGCCAGGTATATGCCCGGACAAGACGGAATAATAATCAAACTACTTTGCCATTGACTGCTACCGAGTAAGGATCATTTAAGTGCAAGACTTGGGTACGTATCCGTGGACTCGGCTACTAAATAGGTACCTAGGTTTCTAGTTACCTAGATAAGGTCCTTACTGCTTGGGCATTAGAGAGGTGCCTGGGTTAAGCATTCGAGCCCTCGATAAGTAGTCGCAGAATAATGCCACTAGTCACCCGTAATAATTTAGTCAAATAATAGTGGCAAACCCAATATGTGACTGTGTTCTGACGCATACGGTAAATCAGAGGCCGAGCTCCCTTACGCAAGCCGCTTTCGTTATTACCATTCCGCGTCTTATTACATCATCGTCACGTCTCATCACACGTTCAGACCTCGGACAAAACCTGACGAATACCAGCGTGTGGCCGAAAGGCTTTGACCTAAAGGGATTTAGACGCGTAGAGTGGCGACATGAACATGGGAGTCACTCAGAGGGTCCGAGCATCCCGCCCAGGGCTATATATTCCAAGTCCCTCCAGCTCCGAGGTCGTTTTTCTCTAGACGCAAACATATCAAATATTACAATATGGTTTCCTCTAGTGCCATTCCTGCTGCCACAACCCTCGCAATCCTCTACGCCGCCGACAGCGCTGCCACCCCGCGAGCTCACTACACCGCGTACATTGCCATCCTCGCCGACGCCGGTCTTTGCGCCACACACGGCCTCCCTGTGGCCGCCGCCGTCCACCCTGCGTCTGTGCGTCCTCCCGCGCACGCACAGCGTAGCACCGCCTCTTGCCGCCGCCACCGGGGCCGCAAGCGTCACTCCCACCGCAAGCCCGATAAACCTCCGGCCCCACCCCCTCAAGAAGAACCCCGAGCCCCCCAAGAAGAACCTCGAGCCCCCCAAGAAGAACCCCGACCCCCCCGGGAACAACCCCGAGCCCCTCAAGAAGAAGCCCGGGTCCCCCAAGAAGAACCCGAAGCCCCCCAAGAACAACCCCGAGCCCCGCCTCGGCCTCTTAAATGTCGTGATGTATTCATAAAAGCCTTTTGGTTCTAGGAGCGCCAACTATGTCCGCGTCCCGAGGCAACGCTCCACATAATGGCAGTTCGAACTGTTTGACGAATCGCCCTTTGGTTCGTGATACTTAGTCTAAGGTCAACTGTTCATGTTTCGTATATGTTAGACTTACACAAACGCAGTGCCTCTTCACACACTAAGCAACCTCAAAACGGGAAACATCATATCACCAACCCCAACACCCGCAAGAGCTCACCCCTCCTCTTCATCACCCGGCTCAGCAAACCGCACACGAACCCTCTTCTTCTTCGGAACACCACCACCATCCGACACCGGCGTGCCCACCTCCAACAGAGTACCACCCCCACCCGGAGGAGACCTCCTCTTCCTCTCCCCCTCCGACACGGACACCGCCACCCCATCCCCCCTCCCACCCTCCAACACCAACCCCCCCACCCCAACCAAATCCTGATCGGGGTGACTCAACCCCCCACCCGCCGCCGTCCCAAAAACCTTCAACGGCCTCTCCAACCGCGCCATCTCCCCCCCTCCATCATCCCCCATCCCCAAAATCCTCGCATTCAAAACCCACTCATAGATCGGCCGATCATCCAGAATCGAGCGACAGCGCGCGACCTCGGCGCGGGACATTTCGCCGCGGCGGCGCACGACGACCTCCTCGACGCTGCCGCGCAGGACGAGGGTTTCGACAGCGACGGGCCGGCGCTGGCTGATGCGCCGGGCGCGGCCGATGGCTTGGGCTTCGACTTGTGGGTTGAGCACGGGACTGAGGAAGTAGATGCGCGAGGCGGATTGCATGTCCAGGCCGAAGGCGGCTTGGGTCATGTCCATGAGGAGGACGCTATGTGATGGGGAGGGGGTTAGTTTTGGGTGGGTTTTGGGGATGGGGGGACGGGGGGTAGGAAAGGGAGAGGGAGTAGAAGGTGGGGAATAGGGGACGGGAGGGGACGGTAATGCGAGGGGGGGAGGAGACTTGGCCTTACCGGAACTTTGGATTGTGGTTGAAGGTTGTGGCGTACTGCGCCCTCCGCCCCGGGGTCAGGCCTTTGGCGTAAATCAGGTGCTGGATTTGAAGCTGGAGGTGCCGGGTTAGCAAACCTAAGGCTGGTAACGGGAAATATGGGAACCCACTATCTCAAGAACGCCGGCAAGATAGTATGCCACATTGTCGTTCTCGTAGAAAATGATAATCTGTTCCGATGCCTGGTACTTTACGACCTGGTCGATCAAGTAGGAAAGCTTTGCGGAAGCCGTCGAGACGAGTTGGGTCTGGGCGAGCGGCGCGGCGATGCCTGTCCCATGGTCTTCGAGGCCCGAAGTGACGTGTGTTTCCGTTCCCGGCAATCCCTTGGCCAAAATGGAAGAGCGCCGTTTACTTGAAGAGTTGCTATCTTGGCCGAGCGGTGTGTTTCCAGCAAGCGTCCTCGATGGACTCTCTTCAGCCCCCGGGCCTTGCTCCTCGATTCCCTTTAATCGTTCCTCCCAGCCGCGCGCGGCGAATCGTCCGGTTTCGAACATAAATTGCAATGATGCTGGGGCATCAATCAAGGGGTGGAGAAATCTTTGGAGGGCAGCTACCATGCGCGAGTCTGTGCATACGGGGTCTCCCTCTTGCAGATCAAGAGACCACTCTCGGCCTGCGTTCCAGGGGAAGTTTTGGACGTACAGTGGGACTTCGCGGAATAAATTGGCACATCGCTTGATGTTGTTCTCCACAGCCAGCCGTCCGAGATTAATGGCATCGCGCAAGAGAGACTCGTCTTCGGCGCTGATTTGAACCTTGCCTTCTTCCAGGAAAGTTTCGGCAGTCGCTATAGCTTTCTGGATCTGGTCAGGCGAGAAGAACGAGCCCCCAAAGAAACTCGCCTGTCTAAGGTTGTACACGAGTTCGAGTAGCGACTTCCGCTGTCGTGGATGAAAAAAGTAATCTCGGTCTGTTCTCTGTGACTGGACGGCGTTGAAAATGATCATCATGGAAAATAAGTTGAGCGCCAATCGATCTTGGAAGCAGCCGTCGAGGTAGACGACCTTCTCATCAACGGATGGCAGTAAATTGCCGAGGTCAGACAGGCGATTTCGGATGATTAGCGACGCCAATGTTGCCTTCAGACAGTCAGCACGACCGGTACTCTGAGCTGAGCGCGGTTGCATAACATAGACGGTCCAGTCCGCTGGCAGATCTCCTCCCTCGATCAACGTATTTGCCCAGGGCTGCATGCGCACGTAAAACATTGCGATTGAACCAATGCGCTTCAGGTCATCCTTCTCCAAGTTCAGGGAAGTCTCCGCCCGCCGTCCGCCGTCTGAGTGCGGACTGGGCGTGTCGTTGACCCCGAATAGCCCCTTGGATGGCGTTCCAGTAACGATCCACTTGGCCGAAATCTGCAGATGGTCGATGAGCAGATGTAGATTGCTCTTCCTCCCCAATGTTGAGTTGCCAAGTCTGTGGCCCTCGTCAACGATACACCGCTTGAAGTGGATTGATGTTAGAGGGCTCTTGAGGGTCTTGGCGCCATCCGGGTCGACGCCGACATCATCTAACAACTTCTCAAAGGAAGTTGATGAGAATAAGATAATGTCATATTCAACGAGCTCCTCGACTGGCGGTAATAGCAGCTGTTTCTTATCGACAATCAAGACTTCCAAACCGGACGTGTGCTTGGCGATTTCTTCTTTCCACTGCTGCACCAGGTTTGGAGGCACAATCACAAGGGAAGTGTGGCTCAGATGCACCTTCATCGATGGGGATGGGACCGTGTTTCGCCTTCCTCGATAAAGGGTCCGGGTTGTTCGGGGGAGGTGATAAAATGCGGGGTTCCGTCGAATTGCGTCGACACAGTGAGGGTAGTCGATCCCATCTGGTTCGAGGGCACCGAATACCGTTCTCCAGGGGACCGAATGGCGAGTAATGCAAGACGCGGCCATATCAGCAAGGCTCCCAACCTTACGGCGGACGATAGGCTCATCGGTCCACAAATGGTCGGGCGCGGCGGAGGGGATATGCCTGGTCGCCAGGATGAGGGAGAGGCAAATGAGAGTCTTTCCTGCGCCCATTTCTTCGGCAAGGATACCACCACAAGGCCCGTCGTAGTGTCTGGGTTCACGCAGACCGGTGCCGGTAATTGGGTCGTAGTACCAAGGCCTCCCCAGCTGATCGACGACCTTCATCAGACGCGGATCCAGCACCTTCTGCCTCTGGGACTCCCTCTGAAGCATCAAGGCTGCAGACCGGCGTTGGTATGCATAGAGGGTGGTCAAAAGGCCCGGCACTTTGCTGTTTATCAGCGTGTATGCGGCATCCCGGGCGTCATAGTCGGGAATAGCCTCCGGGTCCGGCTGAGGAGACGGTATGCTGTTGAACATCTGTAGCAAAGATTGGCCCTCGCCGCCTTGCGATTCGGTTGTTGTCTCCGGATCTCCAAATCTTGGCGGGCTCTGAGACGGGTTTCCCATCAATTGTCCTTCCCAGGTACTTTTTGAGAAGTCCAACTGTGCTAGGAGGCTCAGCCTCGCCTTCAGCAGAGACGGACTCCGACGGGGTATGGTGCGGTTTCCAACATCATCTGGCAGAAGGTAGACGCGAATAATGATATGTCCGGTCGAAGTAGTGACGCTCATGTGAATCCAGCGGTTTCGCAGCAAGTCGGCGAAGGGTAAAAGACATCTGGAGGATATGAGCTGATGCTGGATTTCCATCTCTAGAAACCTGGAGCATGGATCCCGGCCGAAATGGCCATCTTCACTTTCGATTCCATTTTCCACTGGATTTCCAAATCGGCCAAAGTGATACCATTGCCCTGGTTCAATGAGCGACCAAATCCCGTCATCGGACAGTCGCGAGTCGGCCTTGTCCAGAGCCAGGCACCCCGCCGCAATGTAGGACTCTAACTCCATTGGCGGTATTATTTTCAGTTATGGATGGGAAAACTGAAGCGAAAAGGGTTGCCGCCTTCCACGCTGTGAAGCCCGGGCATTGTCGAGTCGGATGAAAACTGCAATGTTAGGTACTCGTGTGTAAAATCCGAGTGTTGCCTGGAGTTGAGTTAACATGCTGAAGCCAGCGCCAAGCCATAACGTTCAAACTGTGTGTGGGTCTGGGGTGCATAAACATCGATCCCTGATTGGTGGTGCTCGGTTGAGGCAAACGGGGATTGGCTCTGTTGAGAGGAAGGGACGAACTCGAAGCCCCAAGGCTTCCTTCCCATCGTTGTGAGGAACTTCCATTGGGGTCTCATCATGAAGTTGGCTGGCTCAGAGTCTCAAGAACTCAAGTTGCCGTGTACTAAAACTCAGTTACCTACCTAGGTCGGTGGTTAGGCATTTAGCTGTGCTCTTATCTACTTCCGTCGAAACCCACCAGGAACGCCTTATACCTAACGACATGAGTCCAAGCACTGCCCGCATGTTTCGTCTTTTTTCTTTCGTGGATTCATCCTCGCGAGCTTCAATGGGCGCCTTCGTATAACTTCGTCAATCCTTTTGTCACATGAATGCAACATACCTGGTTGTCACTGTGAGCTTTTGAGGGAGCCCGAGACCAAAAGAGTAACGAGGTACCTACAGTGGCAATGAGTCTAGCACACTGTGAGCCCTCATTTCCCCGGGTGTCCGGCCACTGGTCCTTCCCAAAACAAAACATTCCAATCCAACCAACAGGCTTTCACGAGGAACTTAAACTTGAAAACTCAACACAAATCAACACCAATGGCATCGCGCTGGCGCAAATCCGATACAAGCCCCAAAAAGACGCGCGGAGGCGCAGACGAATAACGCCCGAATCGGCGAAACGCGTTCGGGCGAAATCGTATCGACTTTCAGCACAGACAACTCGCACAACATTCAGACCCAGGAACGCGGGAATCCTGCACGCCCCTCCTGCCCGTACCCGGCGCGACATGGTTCGACGTTGTTCGGGCTCCCGGGCACCAGAGGCGGCAGCCCCCCGTCTCTCCCGTCACGACCGCAACTGGAATCTGTCTTCCAGGAAGGCCGCCCTGAATACTCCCCAACAGGGGTTGACACTCATCGCTCGCCCCAACCACGGCGTCCACTTGCGCGGTGGTATGTACACAGGCTAAGCCACGCTGGGCAGGTGACCAGCCCTCCGAATCTTCATGTCCCGCTAACGGTACGGATAGAGCCGGCGCCAGACTCGGCTCGGAACCCACGGCCGATGATGAGCTCGCGGGGCCGTTTCTTCTTCGGCATGCTCCGTTAGTTTGTGGATGGCGCGGGGCCTCGACCCCCCCAGCTCGAGCCAGACAGTCCTCCCCCGGGGAGAGAATTCGGACATGGCAGCAACTCTCCTTGCATTCCCTTTGGCTTCCTACGCCACCTTTACAAAGAATGCACCAGCGCAAATACGAAGGGACGGGCCCCCCTAGATGCTCATCCCAAGTTTTTTGAGAGACGCCAGCACGCCAACATTGGACCGGATCGGCTTGCGGACCCTCGAAACGGACGGCCCCACGCACTCGTACGCCAAGCCCGCCCCAGGGCCCGGACCGGCAGCGCGGGGTCCGTGACGTCGACTGCGCCTTTCCCAATTCGGACAGGAGTGCTTGTCTCAATGATCGACCTGCTCTCTCAGGCACCGAGGGTCAATGCTTCCGACTTGGCTATGCGGTCTTCCATTTCTGCGACCGCTACCGTCTTGTCAAGCGGGGGGTGGAAACGGAATCTGTCATTAAACCCCTTTTGATAGCCGTTGGCGGGCCCTGCGCGCATTGAGAGCTATGACAAAGAGCAGGGCTCCTCTATTCAGGCACTCACTCCTCTCGACGCGGTCCGACTTCGCCTCATCTCGATCGCTTGGGGAACCAGAGGATTGTCAACAATGGATTTAGCTACAGGCCGAAATCCCTCACTACCCGTGTGGGGGAAGGGACTCAATTTCGTCAACTTCAACGGCATGGGCTGCGTCCAGACGGCTGCCAACCAGATCGGTTACCATCACCGGAAACAAAGCCTGCGTGTCCGCGTGTGCAGATGCCTGGTACCCATCCGATTCATCCAGATCGACCTCAAATCCCCTGTCCAATGGTACATCCCGGACAGAGGAACAAGCGCCCTTCGCTAATCTCTCTGCACCAGCTTCGGACGGTCTCCGGGCCACGTCCGTGCTCGAGCCTGGGTCCCAGACAGGACCTTGCTTGCTCCCCGCGGCTAGTCCCATTTTCAGCCCATGATACCCACGCCCCGGTCCGCCGGCGAGTCGCGCATCAACCCTCACAGTTCAATCAGCCCGATAGCCGTTTATGCTTGCTATCCCGTGCGGCAACGAAGCGGATATCCGGGCTGTGTTGGTGGTCAATCATCCTCAGCGCGTCTGCTGCCCTCCCTGAGCGTCGCAACCGGCGTGGTCCTGTCTTCCCCCGACCCTAGCTGCCCATTTTTACCCTGCCTATCCTGTCCGGAAAGCGGCCGCGAGTGGGTGTGAATGGGTCAGCCTCTGCGTCGCCAACCTCGGGGGGTGGGAAGCCGGGCCTCGCTTTTGCCAGGAGGGAAAACCGGTGTGAAACCAGAGCACACAATTTTGTTTGAGCCCTGTTAGTCGCCACAGGAACGAAACAAACGCCGACTCTCCCCTTAGCTCCAAGGGCTTTGCGGACACATCCCAGTTCTCTCCGCGGCGGGATAATTCCTGGTCTCTCCGAACGGGATCGCCATTATCGCGCAAATCCCCTACCAGGTGTTGATTTCAGAGCGCAGCACCCTGCACGACACCCACTAGTCATTGCCGTTTCGAGATGACGTGCAGATGTTTTTCATGCACCCCATGGGAAACGAGCCTACGAACTATGAGTCCAGCCGAGAACAACGTCCGTTTCTACGACGTACGCTCACGGCGTGTGTCGAGCGCCCGGCTTATATCTACGCCCTATCCAGAAGCGGCGACCAGCAGCCGGCCAAGATCCTGAGGCCAGCTCCACAGCGTTAACGCAAACCCTGTGGCTGCCGTTCTGTCATCATGAGGGGAAAGGGAGGGAGGAGCAGGGCGTGAGGGGAACGTGGGCGTCGGCGCTAGGCTATAGTCTGGTCCCGCTATACTCCCTCCTGCTCATGCCCTTAGCTCTTCCTAGGCCGAGCTGGCTGCTGCCGCCGGGACCCGGTCTACCGTGGGGGGTCGGATAGCACTGCCAGCTCATCATGGTGCCATCACTGATGCGTCTGATCCATGTTGTTGGTCCATCCGTCCCTTCTCGGGTCGGCCCCGCTGGCCGAGGGGCGGAGCGGAAGCCCTTCACACCCTCCCCCTTTCCTGCATGCCTTCGTACCGCTTCCCACCCCATGGCGGCGTTGAACCACGCCACTGTGAGTTTTGGTTGCTCGCGCATGGACCGATAAGTCAACCGTTTCCGTGATGGCACAGATTGGTCAATGATTACGCCGTGTTGGCAGTTTCTGACTGGACTGCCGCCGAGCCGCTGACCACAGAGGAGGCCAGACACAATCTACGGCGATATTAGACCCGGCCAACTGACGAGCCTTGCCAACAAACGAGGCCTCAACCTGCGGTCAGACGTTATGTCGCCTGCGGATTGACGTCTCCGAGATGACGAGCAAGACTAAGACCACCTCGCCCCCACCAATCAACCACATCCCACCCATGGGGAAACCTGATCATGGGGCACTCAAGTGAGTGTCTACTTGGGCCCCCCTAGCCCGGATTGCGGGCTTACGACATGCAATAAGTGGCCCAGCCTCCAGGACTCGGACCTCTCAACAGAGAGACGTGCATGGCGGGTGTGGACCTTCGTTGCCACACTCGGGACGGGGGGCTCACTTGCCTCCTGGACAGTCCACACACCCTATTCCCTAATGAAGCACCGATCTTTGCCCTTGGGAGTATGAGAAGCATGCTCACTCGGCTCTCGTTCCGGTGACTAAGGCCGAGATCTCGTCGAATCAAGGGGTTCGTTAGAACCATGATGAGTCCCTAGCCAGCCGCCTTCACCATGACAACGGCCCCGAGCCACCACACTCCTGCCGTGACTCGCACCTGTAAACGCGCGCCACCGACCAGCCAGCGGACGGCAGCTGCGGAAGTATGTCGGGATCTCACAGGATTGACATTTCCCCGTCACACTTCGCCGGTATTCCATGCAGCCTTGGCCCAGGCCCTAATGCACGTCGACGCGTCTGGAAGCGTGGGCGACAGGATGACGCCTTGACAGAGGAGGCAGGTACCCGAGACACTGACGAGAGCAGAGCGAGCCAAGAGGGTCTGGCAGTGAGGTGAATGGGTGGGCGGCAGCACACCGACCAACCCCATCCCCTGAGCGTAAGACGGACTCGATCATGTCGTAATGGACGGCTATCAACGGTGTTCTTCAGGGACACACACAACAGGCAGGGAGATGGATCGAGATGACTTGTTTCTTCTCCTATGGCCAACGCATACACACACACACACACATTCCCAGCCTACCGAGCACTGCTCCAATCCAACCACCACGTGCCCCCCTCCCCTTCTGTGCCTCCATTAGACGAGGTGACGACTCATCTCCTTCCCATCAAGGCCGGTGTCGGGATGTGCCCCATACCACCCGCCCGCCCCCCCAGCTAAGCAAAACCCTGAGCCGTCTTTCAACCTCCGTCCCGCATCCTGCCGTCTGTCCCGGGACTACATACATACATACAGACATACATACATACGTAGACACATGCAAGTCATCCCCATCCAACGTATCATTCCGGCCCGTTCCGGTTGGGTAAGGAGAAAGAAGACAAGGAAAAGAGAGGATAGTCTGCCCGGTGTTTCCGTGGTATTATCCGTTTTCGCTGCTCTGCGCTGGTAATGACTGCTAGATGCTTGGTGGTTGGTGGGGTGGTGGGAAAACGCCGCCTGATGTTGTCGGATGTTTCGGGGGAAAAACATGGAACAAAGAAAAAAAAAATGCGAAGATGGGAAATCGGCCGTTAATTTTTCGCTTCGTGACTTCATTACAATGGTGTAAGTGCTTTCCGGAAATCGGTTCAGGGGTGGTTTGGTTGATGGAGATCGGAAGAAGTGGAAGATGGTGTGTGTGATGGTTGGTGGTTTGCCGTTTCCGCGTCTGTTGGGAATGACCGATTCGATCCAGCTGATTCCAGTTTGGGGGTGGGTTGACTGGTGGTTGTTTCAGTCTCTCTCCGTCCGCACCCTCCATTCGTGACCCTGACGTCCGTTGTGTTTGGCCAGGATCCCCCCCCCCGCCCTGAGCAGGGCGAGGTTGTAAAGGAGGAGAGAGTCAGTCCGGTTGGTCGTACAGCAGGCCGGCGGCCAACTTCCTGGTTTCACCCCACACACCGCGCGAAAGAGTCCTTGGGGTCGGCTCCTTCAGCCGCCATGGCATATGGGGCACTCTCCCGGGAGCATGATGTAGCGCTCATGCGGGCCATTGGGGCAAGAGCGCTTGCGGCTGCCGTCGACCGAGGTGCGGAAGAAGTGGGCGCCCGGGTCGACACACGAGGTGTAGATGTAGTAGTTCTTGGTGAAGTCGCACATGGTGAGTGACTAGAGGATAGATAGACTATCCAATGTGTGAAGTAGACGGGATAGTAAGTAGTATTGGTTGCAAAGGTGTCTGTGCTTGTGTATTAGTCTTTGAAGACGGAGGATGATGATGGTGAGTCCAGAAGGGGGGACCTACAGAGATAGATATAAATGAAGACGTTGGAGCAGGGCCGGGTGGGCGGTTGGCAAGGCGGGATCCTCCTGGGATACAACGACGGGATGTCGGGGGAGACCGATGAGCTGATGTTGATGATGGGATGGTTGATGCTGCCGAGGGGCAAGGGAGGATCCGGCAAGCCGCACTGACTTATATAAACAACAAGACCAAGCGGAAGGGGTATATCAGAGAATGGGGTCACTGGATATGGATCCACCCGGATGGAGACAGTCGGAGTAAAAGCAAGATGGCGAAGCGTGGATCAAGGAGAAACTAAAAAGATCCCCAATGCGCAATAAGATAGACCCCTGCCGTGAACATCGGGTCTGTTTGTTGTGGCGGCCGGACCGGAAACGAGAAACGGGACGGGGAGGTCAATATCAGAGCTGTCAGATGACGCGAGCTGTGATAGGGCGCCAACGGCGAGCTGGTCGCAATGTAGAGGGGTGCGCGGACAAAGAGGTATGGTCAAGGAGCTTTGGGTTGCGGGGCGAAGGGTATCTTTGTCATTTACGCGCTTGAACTAGGCCCATGAGCGACCGTCATCTTTGGGAAGGTGAGTGACGTGTCGGCGGACAGTGAGCAGGGGAGGACGAAGTCGCGATACAAGAGAAGGCTGACGGGGTGAGAAACGTCAACGGAGGAGACGAGGGGGGTGGGTTGGGAAAGTAGAGGGCGGTTATTCGAGCAAATATAGCACACGCCTTGGCTGGGGTTGTCATAAAAAAAGGGAACGAGAGACGCGCAGTGTCTGAGAACTACAAATGTCGCCATGATGAGGGAGGAGTCGCGGACACATCATTCCGGCCAAGGACAAGTTGAGTACCAAAGAGACCGTGGTCGACACCGAGCCAGGGCATGCCGCACTGGCCTTGATCCTGGATCGCCGGATGGATGAGGTGGGGCGCAAAGAAAAGCACTTTCTCGGCTGTAAGCTCTGTGCCTGGACGGTGTGTGTGCGAATACTCTCTTTTTTCTCCCACGTAGCCCGGCCCCAGCAAAAAAGCCAGGGAGAAGAAATGGGAGAGCCCGCCGACGGGTTGGGCGGTATGTGCAGCCCCGTCTGGCCGGTACGGATAGCTCCCGCAGACGGGCTCTTGTTTGGCGAGCGAGCCCACGCCCAACAGGTCCAACAAGCACCACCGATTTGAGTTCAAAAACCGTTATCACAGTCGTTAAAGCTACTTGCGGGCACCTTGACGGTCGAGTTTCTGGCACGCCCCCATCCGACCTTCCTCGCAGCATGCACCCCTCTCCAAACAACGTGTGCATGCTGCGAGGTAAATCTGCCCCTCGCCTCATCGGTGCGACCTTGCATTGGCGAGTCCAACGGTCCTCCCCCCCGCCTGGACCCTCGCGCGAATGTTGGAACCCCTGGAGCAAGGGGGGAGGTGGTGGGGTGGTGGGGTGGTGGGGTGACGTGCCAGGGAAGAAGAAAGACGCGCGCAAGCCACGGAGGCCCGGAGGTGAGGTGAGGGTCAGGGCAGCGCCGAAGGAAAAGCCTCGGTTTGGGATGGCAATTCTAGCCATGCCCTCACCGGTCTGGAGTGCTTGGTCTTGCTGCTGAAAATCATAGCCGGAGCCCCGGCGGACTTGTTGCAAAAGGGCATGCTTCTCGTAGCGAAGGGGAGCAGGCAACAAGAGTCAGGGGGGGTAGCAAGGAGCTTGGGCTTCCGATTGACGAATGATGGGTGGTGTCAAGCAACGTCCCCTGGAGCACACCTTGGTCTGCGCACTGACGCTGATGAAATTCGTCGCAGACGGGAGTGGGAAACGTGAAAATCTCAGGCCCCGTAATCGTGCCGCCGTAAGCGATGATCCGGTACTTGGTGGCATTGCTCGCATTAAGGTGGCCCTCTCTCGGGTCTTGCGAAGTTCAAGTGATTCTTGGTACCCGGCGTTGATGTGATAATAGCTCCCGGTTGTTATAGGGTCGGAGAGCCAGCTGACAGCTTTCCAGTGGGGATGCCGATCCTCAACCGCCGTTTCCGTGGTGCGCTGCACGAATGGGTTCCAAGAATTATCAGTCGACCCTCACTTCAGACTCGACGATATCGTGCTCGATCAATGGCCGGTAGGGTGACAATTCTCACAGCCACGGATGCCAGCATACTAAGCGCGTTGAAGGCTCAACGAAAATCCGGCGGCCGATGGCACGGAGCTGCTGGAAACCCGGACAACGGGCTCAACGAGTTTTGAGCTCCAACCCAACCCGAGGCCGCGAGGGCATCCGACAGGACTCCACCCTTCAAACTGAGATTAATCGGGACGACCACTCTTGGTCATTTTTTTTCTCTTGCCCGGTCGAGATTTGGAATGCCATAAAATCGAATTGGGTCTCCCAAGCCCCAAGCCGAGGACTCAGCTCCGATATTGGCAGCCAAGATTTGACGCGAGGTCCAAGCACAAGGGACCTGGCGCGATGCATTCATGCAGCCGTGCCACAGCTTCTCAGGAAGCAAGATCCGAATCTGGGACGCCCTTGATGAAACGATTGGCTGGCGGGTGGGTCGACAGTTCGGCGGCCCCTGCCAGGGACGAGATGTATATGTGTACATATGTACATCCATACGAAACGAGCCCTCGGCACCACAACTGGACTGGGGCGCTTCTACCCGTCACGGCGAGGGATCAATCAGGCTAATCCATCCACGATTGTGTGCATCGAGTCCGCGCCATGAGGCTCTCTCGCCCGGAAACCTAATTGCGCACGGGCTCTTGTTCAGGGCTTGCTCGGGGACGTGCGCAGGCGCCTCGATATGAAGTCGAGCACACTGCAAGAAGACGATAACGGCCGGCTTCGGTCGTGCTGCTGCTAATTCGGAGCGAAGGCTGGTTCCAGACTCCGGGGCGGCCTTGGCCTCCCGTCAAAAGCAACGGCCGGGACTGAAGGTGTGACAGTCTTCGTAACTCCTGGGGATCTCCCACAGCACCTCGATAGCTTTGTCATTCGCGGAAATGCTGAGCATGGGGTCCGGACTTCCCAAACGGGAGATGCGATCGGCAGGTCAAGGTGAAAAGAGGATTCCCACGCGGCGAATCCTCCACGACCCTCCCGATGTCGAAACACGGGTCCCCACTCATACCGGAGCGTGAAGTCGGCTTGCGGAGAAAGGCCCGGTGCTCAGGACTTTTTGTCAGCATGATAGACAATCTGACCGCGGCCCCCCCTTCGCGCTCGTTGGTATCCTAAATGGGGGGCGCTGAATCCCGCGCAAGCTCTTGCGCACGGAGGATTGGAAATGCCGGCGCTGCCTGTCTATATCGTGGAGATTATTAACCACGATACTGGATGGAAGGGCGCCAATATATGGATTCTTGCAACAGTCAACCTCGCAGGCGCGTGCTATTTTGAGCCCTTCGTCTCCATCCTCACTTTTGCCGATAAACAGAGCGGTTAACGGGCAGGCGCTGTGTTGTCATATGACCCCCACGGCACCGGGCCGGCGAGGTCCACGAAGGGACTCAGAAATCGATGCGCTGACATGACGATTTGGTTGGGAGTCGAGTCGGCGTCCCGATATGTGCCGCCGTGCCGATCAGCCTCCTGCACAATGCAGCCCTCACATGCTGCAGAACAGAGCCGCGATGCACCAGCCCGTGCGTGTTCGTCATGTCCTCGGCCGAGTGCAACACTCACTGGCATTTGCTTGGGACCTGGACGCTCATCATTGGACGTCGCCTGCCGTACCAGGCTTGGGTCGTCACGGTGCCCCGGTCCATGGCCCGCAACCCCCGGTCCCGTATGCCGGGCGCGGGCATGACAGCTCGAGTTGGACGGCTTCCGGGGTGCGACAAGCGGCTGGGGGTCCCCCGCGCTGGCCCTGGAGGAACAAGTCAAGCACGTCAAGGTCGGCCATAGGCTGAGATACAACGTCGCAGCGCATGCAGACGCAGCATCGAGCCAGTTGAAGCCCCCAACATGCGACGTCGATCGTCGCGGTTGCGTGCTTGCTGCGCGACTTGTGTGGAGTAATTGCAACAGGAGGAAACGGGGGATGGGGAAAGAGAAGGAGGTGAAGCTGCAAATGGAAGCGACCCTCGTTTTGGGACGAAGATTCGGGCCCCATCGGGGGTCTGTGGAGCCCCCCACAGGCCCCTTCCGGGACGGAAGCACCGAGACAGGCTGGAGTCTGCAGGAGCAGGAAAGAATGAAACAAGGTCGCGTCCGAAAACAGCAGGAAAAGGCCTCGGATTTCGAAAGTGGCACCATCGTCATGGGAGGGAAGGAACGGCCCGTCCTGCGCACAATACCTGCCTGCCTGAGGTTTCGAGGAAGCTCTCCCGCATAAACCAAACCATCCATACAAAACACCCCCGCGCTTCTTGGCCGAGCAGACTTCACAGCTTGGGTGTTTTAAACCAACAAGGGTCAGCAAACCGTTCCTCTCTCCCACCCTCCCACCTCCTCTCGTCGTTGAGCCTCTCGCCCATTTCTGATGCTTCGTCCGGATGGCTTTTGATGAGGCCTTATCCATGTCACCGCCATTCTCAACTGTTTCCGTCGGCCCACCCGTCCCCAATTTCTCTCAGGTTTTTTTCTTTCTTTTCAGACTAGGCGTCGGTCAGAAACACCGAGAGTCCGAGTTGTCCGTTTCCAACAAAGATAATTAGACTCGTAGCCCCACTGACTCCACATGTCAACGGCTGGGGTTCGGACTCTGCCAGAAACAACGGCCTCGAAGCATGGTTTGATGTTTGTGCCCGCCGGCGGTATTCCCGAGGGTTCCCGGGCCACGTTATTTCGGCTCTCGGCCACCTCAAACCAGGTCGGCCACCAGACGCATGACAGAAGCTACATAAAGATCTGTCAATGTTCACTAACATGTTTGGGTCTCATCGCCCCGGTGCAACCAACGTGAACCGGGTTCCGAGTCTCAGCGTTCCGCCACTCCATTCCGCCGTGATGCTCTGTCCCCGAAGCCGCAAAGCGAGAAACTCGACACTATCTGACCGTTGTTCCCACGCAAGGGTTGAACCTCCAATGATACGTTGCGGGGGCTGCTTTCGTCCCTTCGGCGATCCGGCAGCGGACCCCTGTCCTGTTCCCTGAACGGCCAAGAGACATCGCCAAGAAACAAGCTTCTCGCCCGTCATCACAGTTTCATCCAGTTAAATGGACTCGAACCGTCATCTCTCAACGTGACGGCAGTGCCCTCCCCACCCAGTTCCGCCGCTAGCCCAGGGCCTCCGGGCTTGGATGACGGATTGGGAGCGCGGAGGATGACGGCGATGCCCAAGCACAGAGTCAATTGTTGCCCCCCACTCCAACCAACGACATGGACCAAGGGTGCGATCTTCCGCTACGGTTTCGTCTCAGGGATAAGACCTATCCACCACCATCACGATCCCATGACCCTTGAGATAATGCTCCTGACGGAGCAATTAATCATGCTCGGGGAACTTTCAGGGCGAAAATACGGGCCGATCTTGATTAGCGGTCGCTGACCATGCCGGGCATGTCGTGAACTGATGATCAGACTTTTAGGCAACTTTTGAAATTCGGGGGGGGGGGGGGGGGGGGGGGGGGTTGGGGGGGGGGGTTATCAGAGGTATTCAGCTGAGAGTATATGGGGACCTGTACTTTGAAATGTATATGGGCATCAAGTCAACCTTCTGTGAGCTAGGCAGTACTGGGTGAGCTCTCAGCTGTGACCCAACTGATAATAATAACTTCACATGCCAGTGAACACTTCCAGTAGGACTTTGTATCCGTTACAAGGTGTTATGACGGGTCTTCTCGTTAAGTTAGCTACCTACACGTTAATTCCTCCATAACCCCATTCTTGTTCTTTCGAGTAATCGAATAATCAGTAGGACTCTGAGTAGATTAAATGCGCCTTAACTTACATGCCACAAATGCCCCAAGTCCGAGATGGCAGTCAACGCGGAGTTCCATCCCCGTTTGAACGAGCGTCTGACCTCAACCACAGGTTTCAGCCCAAGACCCGTGAGATGCGAGGACTGGGCGTGTTTTGAAAAGAAACAGAAACCGCCGGTCTTAAAGAGAGAAACATGATAAGCACGGCTAGGTAGCGTTCAAGTTGACTGATACATCCGCTTCTCCGGCGGAGAAGACACAGGCCTGATACGTATATTTATACATTTGAATGAATCGTGTGAGCTCGGCCAACCTAGCAGTGCAACTACATTCATCCAACGACAATAGTGAAACCAATTCAGTACCTCGCCATATTGGAAGTCATAATGGTATGTAATACGGCACCAGATTAGATAGATGGCACCACTTACAGCTCCAAATTCTAGGCCTTGACGACCGCGACAGTCCTAACATTTGAAAGAGAAAAGGACTAAGGAGTACCTGCGGTGGCAGTGGTCAGCGTATTACAGCGTTAAACTTGCCATCATGGAATCCGTGTTGCGTTCAGACAGACTGCACTGCACTAGCCGCTACACCGTGACTGGTTGGTAATCACATTTACCAGCATAGGTGCTGATTTGAGCTACGAGATATGGACGGCATTATACCTCAGCCGTTTATGGACAGCGTGTTGCGGTAAATAGTCATGTTGTGTTTCTTGAGCATAACGGAAGAAGATGGAGCCTTGCCCAGTTTCAAACGGTTGTGACGGCTAACTCGGGGAATCAATATGAGTGACACTGAGAGGATAGTTTTGACATCGGCTAAGAGATCGCGTCGTACTTGGGAGAATAGCATAGTTACCGTTGGTTTCTCGAGCCCACAGCTCCGACAAGACAGCCCCATAGAGATCTGAAAAGAGCTCCAGGGCGGAGGGTATGGATGAAAGACAGTAGGGTGGTTGCTCTGCTAATAGATCGTAGCCGGTGAATGTACGGAGTCTCTATTCTTGTCGCTGTTAAAGGGCTGCCTTAGGCTAGTACTAACAGGCATCGGTGAAACGATCTTGTATCTTGTGTCCTCCTGTTATCGGGATGGCTTCTGTTAAGGTACTGAGTAGGTGTTGCCATGACCAGCGTAGCTTTTGGATATGAGTGTTACCGTTTCAACCTGTTTCCACCGGGACCTTTTCATATCTTACCCCTGATCGTCTCTGCAATATTTTGACGCCGCCTGCACACAAGAAGCGGATACTGGCCCAGTTGTCCTGCATCTTCTCCTCACCCGCTGGGCCCCGTAACACTCTCTCCTGTTCTCCCGACGCAATGAAGATCTATGGTTTCAGCTTCTCAATAGGTGGCAAGCCACGAATTGTGTACGACGTTACACAGTGATTGACGGCGTTCTTCGGCAACGACGCTTGCACGGCATATGGAAATTTGGACCCTGTAATAGGTAGCCAGAAACTGATTGGAGTACTACAGGTAGCTATGGCGATGTAAGTCCTTGAGTAGTCGAGTTATTCCGCATCTAGACAACCCTCTATGTTTCATCATTGAGATTCTTTTAAACATCGTCCCTGGGTACTCGAATCATGAGAGATATTGCTAGTGTTGTTGCATCAAACCCTACACGGCAGGGCCCAAATACCCTATTGCACTCTCTAGGTTGCCCTTTTCTCTCATACATGGCTCGGGACTACCACTAGCCTGATCTGAGTACCTATGTAAGTAACAGCTTAGTGTGTCGGTGGAGAACCCGCATTGAACAAAGTGGGAGAATACGTATAGATGCAGCTTCTCTAGCGTTTCTTCGTACGAGAGGCATCATCTCTCCTAGGGAACCAAATTTGCTGAGTTGCTTTGACTACCAGATAGAGACTGGAGAGTTAGCGGGTGTCAATATGTCTTTGGTCTGGAGTTTACCTCGGTTTGGAAGCCTGGGGATGGTATAGTCATATGATATTAGGCACCAGACAGCTCTCTATCAATGCAAAGGAAGACTCAAGATCATGGACTGATCGGTGTGATATAGGACTTGGGGGGCGACGAGATCCATGATATATCCACGGATCAAAATTGGCACGGCTTACAGCTTGTTTTTCTTTCGGTCTTCAGCACTCGTCGTGTAGCTAGAAGGAATTCCCCGTATTTAAATTGTTTCCCGTCGTGACCGACATCCACAATCTCCGGGCAGCCACGCTCTTACCTGGCAACAGCAACACAACGGGTAGCGAGGCGAGGTGCCTATTCATACCTAATAACAACAGCCATAACCAAGGTACAATAGTAGCATTACATCGCTCGCTGCCACTATCCGGTCCGGAATGCAATTACCCCAACTAGGATTTACCTCTATCATCCTATACTCTGATATGATGCAATCAAGGGGGAAATGTTCAAGTTGGTTTGAGCAATGGTAGGTCATCAAGTTTGACATGCAATTGCGGCAATAAAACTGCCAAAAAACACAAGTAACGTTCGCAAGACGGCGTGCATTAGCGTTTCCATTCGGCAAGGCTAAACTGTTGGATACGAGACGCCGAGAAACGGGCTGTTCGTTTCGAGAGCAAGCGCCTCGGGCGAGCACCAGGAAGTGTGAGACCTGCCTTTTTAAATTTTCAGCTCTGCGGGCATCATGCCCCGCCATTTGGACCCCCGCGCAGCATATTCGAGGGGGGTTCTCGCGTGGCTTGTTGGCCCGATTGGAGGGCGTTCTTCGACGCGAGACACCAAACGGCATCACAGTGTTGATCGCCGCCGCCTCGGTGGAGCATTGGACAACACAGCTGTCGGCTCGCCAGCCAAACATGATGTCTCGCTTTCGCGGCCCGGCGATGCAGGCCTGCGGGACAGACGGGATGGCGTGGCAAGCCGAAGTTTTCGCTCTCGATGGCAATTGGGGAGGTGACACTTAAGCCTGCCATTGCCCAGCTCCTTTTCATGCGTATTCTCCCCTCCCCTCTCGGGGTTTGCGATCGAGATCGTGTTGGATGGTTGCTGCGTCCTGAGAGCGGGGTGACCACTGGCACTGACCGGTACCGACGGGACCTTCCATGCCGTCGCGCATGACAATTCAACGTTGTATTCCAATCAGCAGGCTCAACGACGAGCGCGCAATTGAGTCTCGACACGGCCGGCGCAGGAGCGTGTAACCGACCCAAATACCTACCCCCCTCCTCGCAGCATTATCGACTTCCTGATATCGAGACGTGGTTGGTGAAGGCGAGAATTGGCCGAGCCGGGTCAGAATCCAAGAAACAAAGCCGCCCGGAGAGAGGCAAGCGGTGGGGTTGTTGGCGCCCGGGTCTCAAAAAGCAGGCTTGGCCCGGCTGATGGATTGTTTTGCAACTTTTTTGCACATTCGCATCCACCCGAGCCACCCAGCAGCAACTCTCAACTCGACCAAAACTTGATATCGAAGCGGGGCACGGCGCAATCACCAAGACATCGATCGGAGGATGGACGGCTGAGGTTCCGCTCTCCGGCCTGTCAATAACCTGCGGCCGACCGCATTGTGGCGCCCACCGGAATCCGCTGGGGAAAAGAAAGGCTTCGTCCGCCGACTCGGTTCAGCTCCCATCAATTTCGAATGAAGCCGGCGGTGACCAACCACAGGCGTCATGGCGAATCAGACAAGCAGTTCCCCTCCGCCGCCGCAAAAGTCATCCCCCTGGCCATGGAGCAGTCGGAAAAGACGGAATAGTGAGAGCTCACTCTCGTCGTTACGAGAGTTCGTGACCGGGAGGAGGAACTCGCTTTCGGCAACCGATGTGACGCAAGTCAACCTTCTTCGGAAGAAGGCACCGGAGCCCTCGGTCGCCAAAGCACGCCCAGCCGCTCCTCCAGAAGCCAAGAAGAAGGTTGACGAGAAGAAGGTCGCTGCCGTTGCTCCTGCTGTCGCGGGTTCTTCGGATGGCCCTCAGGAAAATAGGAAATCTCGGTCGCGGTGAGTCCCCTTTTCTCTCGCCATTTTCGATGTCCAATCGTCCTGTCGATTTCCCTTACTCCATACATCGGCTCGAGTTCACCCGTTGTCGTATCGCCATTTGTCGAGTTGGAGATGGCTGATGGGTGGGTGGAACGTTGGCGACCTTTTCCACTGGACACCAAGCCCCACCCCCTGCCCGATCCCCGGTGTTCAGGGGTGTCATTGCTGCATTTGGCTCTGGAAATTCTCCATGTGGGAGCCCCTTTTCCCCACGACATGTCCAAGATCAACAAGCAGATCGGGCTTCCAAGCAACGCCATGCTTGTTAACCGGCCGGCTTGCTGCCGGCGACGACCCTGAGGAAGGGCTCTTCAAGGAAGACAAACGTTTGCCGAGCAGAGACCCATCAGCTCCCCCCATCGGTAGGCAGGCCAGACGAGTGCTTCATTTCCACCCTTCTGTTCGTGGCGCCATCTCCGTACCACTCCCAGCAGCCCATCCAAAGCGGTTAGGAAGCACCCCCCTTGGCCAACCGAACCTTCAAGCAAGCGCGCAGGCGCCACGGTGCATCGCGTTCCTGCATTGTGCGTGAAATATTTCCCCTTTGAGATGCAGCACATGCAGAAGGCGGCTTGACTCGACACCAAAGAGCCTTGCAAGGCTGCAGGCTGTACCCCAACCGGCCGCCGAGTCAAACTCCGGCCAGACAGAGAAGAGCAACCAGCGCGATCTTCTTGCAACGTTCATTAAGTGTCTGCCGCCGCGACTTGCGGCTGAGATCTGCATGTCATTTTAAAAAAGCCCGACTTGCCCCCCCCCCGTCGCCCCATCACTCAGAGAGCTTGGCTTCTCCTATTTCTTTTTTTGTTCAAGACCAAGAGGAGGAACCACGCTCGTTGCTAACCTGGAAGTTGAATATCCGCCTTGCACAGCCCTCCGCCAGCATTCTTCAACAAGGTCAAGCACCGGCATACCTTCTCCGCCTCGGCAGTCCTTCGGTGGTACACTATTAATAACGACGATGACGAGCTGTTAAAGCCGCCCCCAGCGCGTTCTCGAAATCCTTCTTCTGCCGGCCCGTCCCCGGGTCTCAAACCAACTGCTGCGCCTCCCACCCTCCGCCCACCACGGTCCCGCTTCGACGGCCCATTGGCCATGTACCCCACGGAGCAAGAATTCGTGCTCCGGACGCAGCGGGCGAGCACTCGGATGCAGCAAATGACGGGCTCGCAGCCGGGGCCTACCGGACCCGAAACGGGGCACGCCCCGATGATCCACATGCCGACGGCCCACCCGGACGGCCCGTTACCGGGGCCGGAGCGCCCCGGCGGGTACAACACACCCCGGCGCCTCTCCAACGGCAGCACCAGCTCCGTCACCAGCAGCGTCGTGTCCGGCCACGACAGCAGCTTCGACGGCCGCGTGCGCGCCGCCTCCGTAACCAGCAGCCAGACGAGCGTCGACTCCTACAGCCCCCGGGGCTCCGGCGGCGGGCCCGTGACGTGGCAGACCCAGAACGGCGGCGCCGCGGGCCAGAACTACCCCTGGCAGCGGCCCGCGCCCATCAAGCAGCGGCGGAAGGCACAGCCCGGGGAGCTCTTCGCGGCGCTGCCGGGCGAGGTGCTGGAGCTGATCCTGGGCGAGCTGCGCAAGCTGCACCTGGAGCCGGGGAGCAGCAGCTGCGCGACGTGCTGGATGCGCGACTGCTGCGCGGTCGCCGTCAGCGCCCGCAAGTTTGTCAAGTACGCCCGCGAGGCGTTGTACCAGCACGTCCACCTGGTGGGACACGAGGGGCCGGCTATGAAGAAGCGGACCAAGACGACGTACGGGTCGAGGCTGGTGCTGCTGCGCCGGACGCTGAGGGCGAACGCGCATATCGCGGTAATCGTGCGTTCGCTGAAGCCGCCGGCGCGGCCGCTTTCGGTTGGGGCCATCGCGTACAACGATCTGGTCGCGTCGGTGGTGATGGCGTGTCCGAACCTGGAACGGCTGGTCGGGTATTATCCGACATATGACCACTCCTTCCAGAGGGTGTTCCAGGCGTTATCGACCCGGACGAAGTTGAAGGATATGAACTGGATCCTGGAGCCCTCGGTGCAGCAACGCCAGCTGAGGACGCGGTCGCCTGCGCACAACGATCGGTGGGGTCCAGCAGATCTACAGCCGCAGGAGTCGCAGCTGTATATGGGGTTCCACGCAAACTGGAGGCAACTAACCACGCTTGTTGTTCACTGCCAGCCAGGGGCAGCGTTGAGTCCTGCCAACTTGCTGGAATGTACGATTCGGTCGCTGCCGTCGTTGCAGAACCTGTACCTCTCACACCTACCACCCACGACATTCAACGATACCCACCTTCTCGCGCTCCCACCCCTCAAAACGCTATCTCTGAGCTACTGTACCGGCGTGACAACAGCAGGCCTCTCCTCACTCGCAACACGACGAACCAGCGCCTCGATCCAAACCCTCACCCTACTCCACATGAACGTCGAGTCACTTCCAGCCATCGCCCGCATCTTCTCCTACCTCACCGCCCTCCAAACCTTCACCATCGTCCAGACCTTCGCCCCCGAAATGCCGCCCGACGAATTCATCATGCTCTTCCCCTACCTCGCCTCCCAATCCATCCGCAAACTCCACTGGGACATCCCCTACCTCCCCGACACCAGCACCCCCGCCGACGGCATCCTCTCGCGCAGCATATCCGCGGGAGGGTTCCCCGCCCTCCGATCCCTGTGCACCCCCAACGACCCAGAAGGCCTCTTCCAATCCCTCTGCATGCCCCGCGAGCGCATCGACCACCCCGCAGACCGCTACCAAAACCCCACCACCACCACCACCACCACCACCACCACTCCCACCGGCGGCCGCGGCAGCGCCCTCCCCTGGAGCCACACGCGCAACAACTCCAGCTTCAGCTCGACCCGCACCGGCGGCAGCACCAGCAACAACGGCGGAGGCATCATCAACTTCCGCCCCGGCAGCAGCAACGGCACCAAACCCAACCTCAACACCAACACCCCCCCCGAAAGCCCCATGTTCCCACCCGCGGACGCCCTCATCCCCCGCGCCAACAGCAACCTGGTGCGCGCGCGCCTCGCCGCCCAGACACGCCTGGAAGCGGCGCGCCGGGTGCCGCGCTACGCGGTGCGCGTGGCCGACGAGCGCGGGGTGGTCGTGGAGTCGTTCGCCGTGGGCGCCTTTCTGGGGCGCGTCGAGTCCCGCGTGCGGTATGTATTGGCGGCGGATGTGGGGTGTGGTGCGTCGGATGAGGGGGGCGGGGTGGTGGCGGTGGAGGATTTGGTTAGGGAGGATGGGGGGGAGATGGTTGGTTTGTTATCTGGTGATGGGGATGGGGGGGATGGTGGGAAAGGGGGGAAGAAGTCGAGGAGGAGGGGCGGTGGGGGTGGGGTGGATCGGGATGGGGAGAGTGATGTGGAGGGGGCGGGTGGCGGGAATAAGGGGAGGAGGGAGGGGTGTGTGGGCAGGTGGAATACGTTTAGTGGCGTGGTGGTGGACAAGAAGGATAAGGAGCGCTGGGGGCATCAGGAGAGGGGGCGGTGGAGAGCGCTGGTGCTCACGTAAGGGGGGGATATGATGTTATGACCTTGGATATTGGATATAGTGGGTGAGGGTGTATTGTAATACTGTAATTGTTCGTATATTATCTTAATGACGACGGCATGAATCTTGGAGGGCATCACTCAGACATCCAAGGGGGCAGCTTGGTTTACAAAGTACTTGTAACTCCTGAATTCGAGATTGAGGGTTAGGGTAACATATCCTCGGCCGCCGGCTTTATCGGGGAATTCGCGGTGGAGACCGATCGAGACCGACGTCATTTTCTTTGCTTGCCTCTGCAGCTTCTATTTTCTTCCCGCAACACTTTGAATCAGCACTGACACCGTCGTCTGAACTCTACAACCACACATATCGTATACTTACTAGCATCGAACAACCCCGCAGTTCCAGAACGATCCGAGCGCCGCTCTTTATAACACCGCGGCTTCCTGCACAAAATGAGAGCATCTCTGTTCTCCGGCTCCGGCGGCCGCGCTGCCACTTACCTCTGCGCCGCCTGTCGTCGGGAGGCGAGAGCGACATTATCATCCCGGAGCATGGTAGCACCGAGAGCCGCGCAACGAACCCTCCAAACCGCGGCGACACCACCCGTCCAGAGGACAACCGCCCAACGCTGGTCCATCCCAACACAAGCCCGCTACAGCTCAACCTCAGCCTCTTCAAAGACAGAAACCACCTCCTCAACCCCACCATCCAGCATCCCGACGTACTACGCCCTCTTCCCCGAGACCCTCCCCGACGGCCCGCCGCCCACAGGCAAATTCCCCATCGACCTCCGCGCCCTGCGCACCGAGTTCCTCCGCCTACAAGCCGCCTCCCACCCCGACTTCCACCACTCGGCCTCCCAAACCCCGTCCTCCACCTCCCCCCAAACCACAGGAAACAACACCAAATCCGCCGCCCGCCTCCACGCCGAAGCCACATCCGCCCAGATCAACGCCGCCTACAAAACCCTCTCCTCGCCGCTCCTCCGCGCGCAGTACCTCCTGCGCGAGCAGCACGGCGTGGACCTCGAGGGCGACGAGGCCGGCGCGCAGGCGGCGCCGGACCCGGAGCTCCTGATGACGGTGCTGGAGGCGCGCGAGGTGATCGAGGAGGCCGACAGCGAGGCGGATCTGGAGGAGGTGCGGCTCGCCAACGAGGCGCGCATCGACGAGTGCGAGGCGCGGCTGGGGGAGGCGCTGGAGAAGGGGGACGTGGCGGCCGCGAAGGAGGAGGCGGTGCGGTTGCGGTATTGGGTTAATATTAGGGAGGGGGTTAGGGGGTGGGAGAGGGGGAAGCCGGTTGTTTTGCAGCATTGAGGGGGTGTTGGGACAGAGGAAAGAGATGGTGGAGGGAGGAGGGGAGGATTAATCGGTTGGGCTTTGATTGTTTTTCACTGCGCCGGGCGGATATTTTAGATGGCTGGTAGTGTGTTAGCGTATTTGAGGGGAAAATACCCAACTCTGACAATGTATTTATTCAGTCGTGTGCCGGTTCGTGTTGTTAGCGCTGGGATGGAACCGAAGAGAGACATGTCTGTGGTTTTGTCGGTAAGGTGGAATAGAGAAGAATGGAAAATGAAAAGGACCAAGAATGGTTCCAGGGTATTTGTTCCATTGATGTAGTTCGCTTCCAACATCGTACGATTCTTACATTGGCACACCTATCTGGGCACCGTAGGATCGCAACGCCGGGCCCGGGGCCAACAATGGTCCTGTAGAATCTATCGGCAAACCCAACGCATGTTTCGTTCAATTTGGAAGCTGCAAGGCCGGCCATTGCATTGAACGTACCCCTTTTCCCTCCACGAACCCGAGGTGTAAGCAGTACATGACCAAAACCACTCCCGCCACTCCCGCTATCCACCCCCAAACCATCTCACACATTACACATTACTCCTTGAAGAGCCGCCCACACAAGGCAGCAATAGCAGCAGCCGCAGAAGTCCCATTATTCCCTCCATCCATCACAAAGGTTCCATTCCCACCACCACCACCACCACCACGACGCAACACCGCCATCTGCACCGGCACCACGCCCCCAAACGGCCCCGTCTCGTTCCCATTCGCAATCTTGACCAAACACACCCCCGTCATGCTGGCCACGACACCAGTGCACGTCGTGTTGGCGGGAATGGCAAACACAAACTCAAACCCCTGATTGACCTTATCCGGCACACCCCTCCTCCACACGCCCACCGCACCCACCACGCGCGCCCACAGCGACCGCCGCTTCACAGCCACCTTCGGCAGGACCGGCTTGCGCGACGACGAGACAAACTCGCCCCCGGCCTCCGCCTCCGCCGCCGTGTTGCCCTCAGCCCCCTCCTCCCCACTACCATTGCCCCCACCGCCGCTGCCAGGGATCTGCTCCACCACGGGGAGCCGGACGCCCGCGGAGAACTTGCCCGTGGCGGTCGGGTCGAGCACGGCGTGGATGGGCCCGGCGCCGGCGGTGGTGATGACGAAGAAGGTGCCGGAGAGGTTGCCGCCGGGGGTGATCTGGGGGAGGGTGGTTCCCGATAGGTGCATGGCGTGGACTAGCATGGCGATGGTGTTGGGCCCCGAGGCGGCGGTGCGGCCGAGGCCGTCTGTGAAGAGGTCGGCGTCGTCGAAGACGGTGGTGTCGGATTCGGTGTTTTTGTTGTTATTGTTGTTGTTGTCGTTTGTTGGGGCAGATGGGAGGCCGGTTGGGTAGGAGGGGGGTTTGTGAGGCTGGGATGGGGAGGGTGCGGGGAGGCGGACCCGGAGGTTGGGGCTGGCGTTGGGGACGACGCCGCCGAGGATTCCGAGGGCCGTGCCGTTGCCGCCTGCGTTGCCTGTCACGACGATGACTTTGCCGTGGGCGGACACGAGGGTCACGAGAGTGAGGGCGAGGATGAAGATGTTGTAGAGCATATTGGCAGATGGATCTTGGGGGTTAAGATTGTAAGAAAAGAACTGACGGTCCAGCGTCAGAGAAGGAAAGGGAGGAACGAATCAATCGTTTTCCGGAGAAATAAACAACTGAAGGAAATGTGAGTTGGCACTGGGGAACGAGCCGGCACTGGTTATGGAAGTTGGATCCCATTTATACAAGAAGGCAGGCATCAGATATCGTGAGACCACGCCATCGCCGTTCACGATGTGCCTTCAACACGGTATACTCTGTATGCAATACATAATTGAGACTGTGCTCTTCGCAGGAGTCCAAACACTAGTGGTGTCGCGATTAGCCCTCGAGACCCGCGCTGGCAGCCTCGACGACAAGCCATGAGACCAGTCCGTGATGTTCGCCAAGGCTACCGACAGGTCGGGACCAATGGAGCCAGAGCCGAAGGAGTCAACACCTAAGCGGTGTATCTCAAAGGCAGGGGAGTGGTCCCTGGAACGCCGGCCCTTTTGGCGGCCGCCAGACCCCAGGGTCGCGTGTGGGCTCACACCAACGGTCAAATAGGAAGCGAGCTAGAACAGTATGCTGCAGAACCCGGGAACATGGGCGAGCGTCAGAGCCACTGCGCCAGGAGGAAATATAAATGGATCACCGGCTCCTGGTTCAAGTTTAGGAAGAGAACTGGGCGCACAACGTCAGTAAAAACTCAGGTACGCTAGTTGTGGAGGGAACCAGGAGCCCAAGACATGATCAAGAACTGCGAGACGAGTAAATCGACAAAAGCCGTTGGTACCAGAATATCTGCATTGTAGAGAAGGAACTGTTTTGTTTTCCTTGCGAGTCTCGCAACTGGTCGAAGCCAACAACCAACAAGCGCTCATGCGCGCGCTTAAGGGGACTTCATGCGGAAGCGTCGAGTGGACGCCACGTGTATCAAGTGGTCGGGGTGGATGAACTACAAGTCCACTCGGTTTCGTCTCGGCGTGAACGCACCGCGGACAGTGTGAGGATTGTAAGCGCTGTAGCAATGCGATGTTGACGACGAAACCTAAAATATTCGAGTCGGAGAGTGAAGATGGAAGCCATGTGAGTCCGATGAGTCCCTTCCTCTTTCGGTCGATCAAAAGAAGTCTTGGCGGGCTAAGGCTTCTCCACAACCCCGCCATACCCCACCGACAAGTTGCTGCCTCCAACGCCGGAGCGAAACCCCCCATCTCCAACTCAGCCTTACACAGCTCCCGTAGGCCTAGGTACCAACGGACAATTCCGTGCTTCTTGTCGCCTGCTTTTCGCTACCAATTCTTGAGCAACACGAAAGCTTAGCTCTCGATTCCGGGGAGTAACACACTCCTGGCCGCCGCAAGCTCGCGATGGCGACGCCCACGATAGCGGCAGCTTTGGAGGAAGCTGGCAAGGCCCCGGACGCTGCACAGTACTCGGCCATCCTCGAAAGCATCAAGTCGGTCTCCAACCCAGACAATGTGGCCGCCGACCTAACAGCCTTCATCGACGCCGTCCTCGCCGGTAACCTCGGCGTGGTCAATACGCGCACCCTCGTCACCGACTTCATCGCCGCCCTCCGCGCCCTCGCGAACCACGACCTCTGGATCCAAGTCGGCCACCACGCGGTGCGGGCCATCCCCAACGCGACCCTCTCCTCCTCCCTGATCGAGCAGTCGGCAGCACTGCGCGAGCTCGTGGCAACGGCGCACGAGGCGCACGAGGACTTCGTGGACGCGGCGAAGCTGCTGGCGGCGATCGACCTGGACAGCTCGCAGCGGCGGGTCGGGGACGCGGAGAAGGCGGCGATCTGGGTGCGGATCGTGCGCAACTACCTCGAGGTCGACGACAGCACGACGGCCGAGACGTACCTCAACAAGCTCAAGAACGTCATGCACGACGTCGCCGACCCGGAGCTGAACCTGCACTTCCGCCTCTCGGCGGCGCGCATCCAGGACTCCAACCGCCAGTTCCTCCAGGCCGCCAAGAGCTACCACGACATCAGCTTCTCGCCCGCCATCGCCGAGGACGAGCGCCTGCACACCCTGGCCATGGCCATCAAGTGCGGGATTCTGGCCCCCGCGGGCCCGCTGCGCAGCCGCGCGCTCGGCCAGCTGTACAAAGATGACCGGTCGACCGGCCTGGAGGAGCACGGCATCCTCGAGAAGATGTTCTTCGACCGGCTGCTGACCACGGCCGAGGTGGACAAGTTCGCGCAGGACCTCGCCCCGCACCAGCTCGCCAAGACGTCGGACGGGTCGACAGTGCTGGCCAAAGCGGTGGTGGAGCACAACTTGTTGAGTGCGAGTCGGCTGTATAGCAATATCGGGTTTGATGAGCTGGGCTTGTTGCTCGGGCTGGACGGGAAAAGGGCGGAGGATACTACGGCCAAGATGATCCAGCAGGGGCGGTTGGCCGGTTCGATCGACCAGATCGACAGGATTATATGGTTTGAGGGCGGGGACGCGTCGGGGGAGAAGGGCAGCGGGCGGGCGGAGGCGCCGGTGGGCAAGGAGATGCGGCGCTGGGATGCCAACGTGCAGGCGCTGGCTGAGGATGTGGAGCGGTTGACGGACGCGCTGCAGGCCGAGTTTCCAGAGTTCGTGGCGGCTCAGATCGCGGTATGAAGGTATCGCCCGTCGGGGAAAGTACAGTTAGGCAGGGGTGGATAGATCCCCGTTATTCGGCTGTGAAGTGCTGTAGGCCTAAAACAGCCGGTCTGAAGAAATAAACATAATCACGACTAACGAATAATCCAATAACTCCTGGTAGAACTTAATCTTATCCGTATCCCTCTCTTGCGCGGTGCCTCGGTATCCCTTGTAGTCCCAAAACGCCAGCCCGACCCAGAAACATCCCTGTATCCCAACCATACTCCGTCATTGTCATCATATACCGTCTAATCTAGATCGACCCGGCGCACCACCACATACCCTTGGTTGAGAGCCGAGGGATCGCCGACCTCCTCCTCGAACTTCTTGTCGTCGCCTTTAAAGAGACGTCTTCGCTTTTGCGGCCGTTGCGGGCTGTTCACCTTCTCCTTCGCCAGGAGGCTGACGAGGGCGATGCCGACCTTGTTGCCGATCATGTCGTAGCCGTCGGGGGTGAAGTGGAGATGATCGTCCCAGTACTTCTTGCGGTCGGACTCGGACATAGCATAGTAGGGCACCGTTGCGTGGAGGTCGTAGACGTGGCTGTCCGGGTTTCGGTTAGTGGATCTAGGTTGGAAGGAATCAAGGGATGGGTAAGGAACCGGGGGGAAGGATGTAAACTCACAAGCCCTCCCGCTTGTAACCCTTGATAAGGTCATTCAGCGTGTTGCGCTGGGCGTCGATCCGTTGCCTTGCCTTTGGTGACGTGATACCCGCCTCGGGGACGGTAAGGGCGAGGACTTTGCACTTGTGTGACAGTGGGACCTCCCAGACTTCTTTTAGGGACTCGAAGATTTCCTCCGGGGGAAAGCCCATGCCAATGTCACTGTTGTGGTTGGGTTAACGCCGTGTTCCTGCGCGTGTAACGAGGGCCGGGACGGAGCCTACTTTGTCCCCCCCAGCACGATAGCCCAGTCGTATGGTTTCCCATCACCCTCCTCATCATCTTTCCTCTTCTTCGGCGGGGCGACTGGAGCACACCACAACATTAGCTGATTTGAACCATAGTAGCAACCTCAGCGCAGCCCAAAACATTCACCCACATTGCGCATTCATCCGCGTCTGGAAGGCGGACTTGACCGTTGCCCCGGACAACCCATCCTCGGCCGTGACGACCTTGAGGTCGGGGTACGCCATGGACACCATGTGCTCCAGCATCTCATTGTACGGGTGGTGGATCGCGCCCCAGGCCGAGTAGCCCGCCGTGAGCGAGTCGCCGAAGCAGAGGATTCGGAGCTTCGGGCGGGACGTCATCTTGAGCTTGGCGAGCAGGGCGCCCATGCGTCCTCGAGCGGAGATGGTGGAGCGGGGGTTGTCGAAGAAGGGCGGTCTTCGGGATGCGCTCTTGGTTGGTGGAGGGGCGGGGAGGGCGAACGGCGCCCGGAAGGGAGATGGGTTTAATCAGGGAGGTCGTTGCCTGGCATAGATAGTTGAGTCCGAAAGAGTCACGGGTGAGATGGATTGTCTCGACGTGCACGGGGCTGAGGCAGCTGGCGTCCACTGAAGGCGGTTGGATGGCGGGGGTGGGGCGTCAGCCCGGCAAGGCCTCAAGGCGGCCCCGCACTCACCGCTGGTGTGGGGTTGGCATGGGGATGTGATTTGGGGTCAGGGGAGCGGCGATGAGAGGAAAAGAAGTGACTGTTCCCTGGCCAAAATTGACGATTATGTATTCGAAGATATAGACTACCTTAGTACTGTTGAACCAAGACCGCCAGGGCCAAACCTCATGTGATTTTTGTGCCAAATGAAATAACTCGCCCGACTAATTGCGTGAGTGGTGATCGGAGGAGCTCGGCTCCAATTCAGGCACCGACGGCCGAGAAAGAGGAACACCAAGCAGCAGACCGGCTACATCCTATAATAGTTTGAAGACGAAAACGAGCTTGGAGTAACCATCTTAAAGAAGCTTTGAGCTGGTTGTCGACCGGATTATTCGCGAAACCAAAGTCTGCTTCCGTTGCCAAGGTTCGGTCGGATGAGCGCGCAGCGAACTGCCGTTCTCGGCGGCCGATTTTCCCTCCAATCCGCCGAGGCGGAACGGCCACCGCTCCCTGGGGCCGGCCGGAACCGCCGCTCTACAGGGAAGACCAAGCCTAAAAGAAGCGGTTTCAGGGGAGCATTGCCCAATCAACAGGGCCCCAAAGGAATTGATGACAGTGGACAGTTGACGACGCTGGCTCCGACTCCGCAAGTTGTTGTTCGGCGCAGCAATATAATGTCTTTCGACACCCCCCGAGCCCGCGGTTCGCATTGCGCTTTGCCGTTGCTTTTTGGATAGAATTGGATAGAATTAGGTGTCGGAGTTTGTGATCGCGAAGATGGCAAAGGTCTTTAGCGCAGAGGAAGGCAAGCCCCCGCATAATCCACCGCCCACAAACAGATTGCGTTGCACACACCGACTTACTAACACTGCTCCCGCTTGTTCAGTCGCAAAACACACCTCCCCAGAAAGCTGCTGGGTGGTCATCCACGGCAATGTCTACGACGTGACCGATTTCCTCCCCGAGCACCCCGGCGGGTCGCGCATCATCCTGCAGCTCGCCGGCCGCGATGCCACGGCCGAGTACGACCCGATCCACCCGCCGGGCACCCTCGAAGAGAACCTCAAACCCGAGGCTCGGCTGGGCGTGGTAGACGCGGAGAGCCTCCAAAAACTACAGCGGCAGGCCGCGCAGGGCAAGCCGCAAGAGGACGGGCCGAAAGCGCCTCCCCCGCCCCTCGACAGCCTCCTCAACCTCGACGACATCGAAGCGGCCGCGACCGCCCAAGTCTCCAAGAAGTGCTGGGCGTACTACTACTCGGCCTCGGACGACCTGCACTCCAAAGCGCTCAACAACCACGCCTACCGCTCCATCCTACTCCGCCCGCGCGTCTTCGTCGACGTAACCCGCGCCAACACCACCACCACCCTGCTCGGCCATCCCGTCTCCACGCCCCTCTACGTCTCCCCCGCCGCCATGGCCCGCCTGGCGCACCCGGACGGCGAAGCCGGCATCGCGCGGGGGATCTCGCGCTTCGGCGCCATGCAGCTGGTGTCGCACAACGCGTCGATGACGCCCGAGCAGATCGTGGCCGACGCCCCCGCCGGCCAGCTGTTCGGCTGGCAGCTGTACGTGCAGACCAACCGCGCCAAGAGCGAGGCCATGCTGGCGCGCATCGCCCGCATGCCCGACCGCTACCGGTGCGTGGTGCTGACGCTGGACGCGCCCGTGCCGAGCAAGCGCGAGCATGACGAGCGCGCCGCGGTGGAGGCGCGGTTGTTGGTGGAGGCGGCTTCGCCGCCTCCTGCGGAGGAGGGGGCGGTGGTGAAGCCGGATGCGAATGCGGGCGTGGGGAAGAAGTTGTTCTTTGGGACGGCGGCGGATTTGACGTGGGAGACGACGCTGCCGTGGCTGGCGCAGCATACCACGCTGCCGATCGTGCTGAAGGGGATTCAGACGCATGAGGATGCGTTCCTGGCGGCGCGGTATGCGCGGAAGAATCCTGGGACGGTTAAGGCGATCATCCTGTCGAACCACGGCGGCCGCTCGTTGGATACCTCGCCGCCGGCGGTGCACACGCTGTTGGAGATCAGGAAATACTGCCCCGAGGTGTTTGATACGATAGAGGTTTGGGTGGATGGGGGTGTCAGGCGCGGGACCGACATCGTCAAGGCGCTATGCTTGGGCGCGAAGGCGGTAGGTGTCGGGAGAGCGGCGCTTTGGGGGCTAGGTGCTGGTGGCTGGAAGGGTGTCGATCGGACGTTTGAGAGTGAGTTTCTTTTACCCCTGGCCTGACTTCTTTCTTTTTTTCATTTTCTTTTTACAATTGCTGACATTTCGCTTGTCCAGTTCTACAAGGTGAGATCGAGACATGTATGAAGATGATGGGGGCCAAGGACCTGTCGGAGCTTGGGCCACGGTTTGTGAGTGTTCATCCAATCATTGCTAGCTGCGCTCCCCGAAGCTAACAGCTCAACCCCAGATCAACACACGTGCGGTAGAGCGAGATATTTTCGACGGCGATGCTGGCCTGGACCGTTCAGGGCTCTGGACGTCCTCCCGCGCCAAGCTCTGATCCTCTCTGACTGTGCCTGCCAAGATTGCGGGGAAGGGTGATCTTTTGTGTTTCGAGATCTTTCGCAAGCCTCGGCGGCGCCATCTTTGACATGTGGACGCGGTGGGCCGGTCATTGCGGGGGAGCTGGGGCCCCAGACGATCTCGGTTTCGTTCCAAGATGCGGAATTTGGCCGTCTCTAAGATGTATTCGTACATGCATACCTTGGTTGCAGGGAGCGGGGAATGTTGAGGGTTGTTTTGGTCATCAAGCGATGCTGCAGTTTTAGATATTTTAGATCTGTGCCACAGTCGTATGGCGATATGGAAGAGTTTGTCGCGGACATGTGATGTGTTTCCCCGAGGCAATGAGGACCAAGTCTCACAGATGCTGCGAGGCACACCATCGTACGAATATCCGCCTCGTTGGCTCTGTACAGAGTAGGGCTGGCTTCGGGATTCGACCCTTTTAAGTTCTGACATCGGGACCAATGGCCATCCGAAAGGCGCAGCACACCACCGATCTGGGGTGTGTGGGTGTGAGACCTGTGCATATGCGGACATGTGGCGAGGTGTTCTTGATCATTTTGGAAGGCCGAACAGGCGTCAGTGCCGCCCGACTGAGCAAGGCAATTTTGCCCCGTCTGATGGGCTTCAGATGACCCGGCTTCGGTGTAATGTTACTAGGCAGTTCATGTTGAATGAGCGCCAACGCTAGGCGATACGAATACGTTGAGCACCGGCATTGTTTGGCGCAACGGTTGCAGTATTCCCGAACACCATTCACCCTTGAAACGGGGTGTTGACTGCTGCAGACGATATTTCGGCTCGGGTTTACTTACCGTGGGTTGCGTGCCACTGGAGTCGCCCCTTTTTGATAAACCCTCATGAAAGGCTTTCGCTTCATGGCGGAACGCTCTCGAAACACCAGCTCTTTGACCCCCGATTGGTTCGTCGGCTTGATTTGGAGTCATGGCCGTGGCCAGTGAGGACAGCTGAAACGAGCAAACGAAGCCATTTGCGTTTCGTGGCTTTTCTCATCAGCTCCCGCAGCCGGCCATTCAGCAGCAAGAATGCGATTTTCGCGATGATCTGGCGGATTTGAGGAAGTTGACTGTGCCTGTGTGCCTTGCTGTTCCTGGATTTCCCTGCCGTTCTGACTCGTCGAGCACGGTTGATGCATGAAACCCAGATCCAAGTCGGCTCAAATTTCCGAAAGGCTCCATCTGCCCTGAACAGCATCCCCGCGCCGAATCATATCTTGTCGCGAGGTTTTCTTTCGAGCCTTCAGTGGAGTAGAGTGTTAATCTGCAAAAAGAAGAGTCGGCAAATGGCGGGCTATTTCCGCCACCACGACGGTCAATCAATATTGTGTCGAGTCGTCCGAACTCTTGCCAACAGGAACGGCCCGTTTCCCATGTTGAGACGCTAGGTTCGGGCTTGATAGTGTTGGTCGCATGAGGTCGGCTTTTGCACATGCAAAAAACTGAATCTCTCCTCGGGATCGAATCCCATCTGACGAAATAGCTGGATGGTGACTGGGTGAGCCTCGCCTTGGCTTGCAGTGAGCACACCGAATCTGCGATAGTGCCAATCCTCTGACGTCTTTCTTGGGCGTTCCGCAGACGGCAGAACGAGAGAGACTTTCATGTGTTTGTCTCGACCTGAGAAAGATGCCGAGGAGCTGGCCTGAATCGACAGGGGACCCCTGGCGCCACCCCCGGGGCAGAGCGGGGCACCACACATCCCGAAATGATTTCCTTCTCGCCCTCTTCTTCGGGCAGTCACGCCCGGTCTGCCGGTGAAACACCAACGGTTGCACAGAACCTTCGAACCTTTGCTTTTGGGGCTTCAAGTTTATCAATGCGACGAGTCTAACTGTTTCTCAACTGGAAATATCATGACTCGGCTCCCCAATGTCGACACGTCGGTAAAGATACCTACCGAGTTAGCTCGGGGGCCGCAAACGCGATGGCGCCGCCTGCGCAACACTTGCAGATCGAGGTACCACAGACAAAGCATCGTACCCAAAAACCGGTTTGGACTTTTTCGAGTCGTGTTCCCATGGCCTGGGGCGGGAACTTCTGACGCCAACAACGCACCTGCAACTAGTCTACATCCGGCATTGCCCACGATGTTCAGCATGTGCTCTGGAGGGTTCCCCGCGGTGTCGACAGACATCATCCCCACTTCCTCCCCCAAGCGGCGATGTCAAAACGAGGATTATTCTCTCGGCGTCTGGGGACCTGCGAGTGTCAATCTGATGCGGAGCATTCCCCGCAATACCATCGCTTGGCTCGGGCCCATCCCCGGTGAAGCCAAGAGTTCCCCGAGGCCGCCAAGTATTCTCTGGGCTGATGGCTTGTGATCGTTCATGGTCTCCTCGAGATTCATCGGAAACGGGAAACGGGGAAGAGACAACAATTCTGGGACTGTTGCGGTGGGCAGGGTCTATCTACAATCTGCAAGTGGATTCGACAATTTCCGACCTGTTTGAAAACATATTCCGCGGAGGGTTAGGGTTTCACGGCTGCCGGTTCCTCTCCCCTGGCGGAGATGCAATTCGGTCGACCTGCTAAATAGGGGCAAGCGGCCGGCGCTGTGAGGCCCGGATTGGGCCGGCCAATAGCTGGGGTAAGTGGGCTCAGCGGGTTTTCCGCCCTCGTGCGCGACTGCTCGTTTGTTCGACTCCTTGGTGGTGGCAACAAGGTTGCTCCTTTCTTTCATCTCTCACGCGGAACCGATGATCGAGACCCCCATGTCTGCATCGCCCACGCCTTCCCACCTTCCATGGAACCCCTGCTAGCCGATGGCTCGAAGGTTCCCAGGGAGGGAGCTCCAAGCGGCCATTCCCCTGCCACATTGGACCCTGCTCCCTCCCGATTCTCAACCACTAGTTCGTCCCTGGAAATTCTATCTTTATAAGTGCGCGACCCTGTTCCTGCTGCTCGCGTTGACTCTCTGCTTTTGTCTCATGCCGATCCTCTCCCTCGCCCGTCTTCTCGACGACACTTGCCTTGCTCGGTCCTTGCTTCTCGACTGAGAGAACCGGTATCACCACACCAGATTTCCCAGCCTTCCTCCAAGCGCCGCCACGATGAGCGACGTCGATAAGTCCGGCGTTGCCCAGACGGAGAACGTTTCGGGCAAGCCCCGGAGGCGCGGCTGCTTGGGCCACTGCGCCAAGTTTTGGTGGGCGTATTTGATCCTCGTCGTGGTCATCGTTGTCGTTGTTGTGCCTGTGGTGTAAGTGGCAGATCTCATGCCATTGCCGGGCCGGCCATGAGCCACCTACTAACCATACCTTTAGCCTCCTGGTCGCCGTTCCCAAGATTGCTCAGCAGAAGCTTGATGATGCCGAACTCATCCTGGACGGCATTTCCGTGTACAACACGCAGGGCCAGAACATGACCATGTCGATCAACAGCACCATCAAGACCGACGGTTCCGTCCACGCCGACATCGAAGGCTTTGTGGGCGACATGTACCTCGAGGACCACAAGCCCCACACTCCGTTCGCCAGGGTCAACTTCCCCGCGACCACCGCCGATGCTTTCCAGACGGTCAACGTTACCCAATTCCTCCCCATTCACGATGTCGAGGCGTTGACCATCTTCAACACTTGGCTGCTTGCCAACCGGACCCTGCGTGTGACGGTCCAGGGCGACACCAACGTCCGCGTGAGGGGCATCGCGCGAAACTACCCTGTCACCTTCAAGAAGACCGTGACCACGCCTGGTACGCAACACTTGTCGATTGGTGACTCCTAGTTGAGTTATTGTACTGACATAAACCCACCTAGGTCTCCGCATGCTGGAGGGAACCGTTGTCAATCCGGAATGGATCGGTATAGAGTCGGATGAGAATGGCAACAACTTCAGGGCCACCACCATCATCCCCAACCACTCGCGTGTGTCTTTTGAACTGGTGAGCCCCCCAAAACAGGAATCTAATCCCCACGCCCGGCCGGCTGCTGACAACATCCAGGGCAACACCACGTTCCACAACTACCTCTTGGGCAAGGAGGTCGGCACAGTCTTCATCGACGGCCTCACGCTCCGCCCGGGCCTGAACGAGTACCCGATGCGCGCCACCATCAAGAACGACGCGGTCATCGAGGTGCTCGGCCAGAAGCCGTACTGCGAGGAGGGGGGCGTCCTCCCCTTCCAGATCCGCGGCAAGACGGTCGTTAATAACGGCCAGGCGCTGCCCTACTTTGCCGACGCCCTCGCCTCTGCCAACCAGACCATCGACATCCCTATTGGGGCGGCGGTGAACAAGTCGCTGGGCATCGTCATCCCGTGCGGTGGCCTCGGCGGTGGTGGCGAGAAGCGCAAGAGGTCGAGCCTTTTGTTTTAAAGCGCGCCTGTGTTTGTTCTTATTCTGGCCATTCTTAATATTGGGTTTTTGCGTGCGCAGTCGGCGGATATTATTCTACTATGATGATGACGGGAGATACCATGAGCTAAAGGGTCTATGTTATGGGAAGCATATGGCGCGAGTTTCTGCGTCCCGGCTGCCTGGGGCAGTGGGCGCTGAGATGTTCGGGCTGCCAGGGACGAGCAGGCAGGCATGTAGTTATTATGCACACGCGGGCCACGGCATTGTACCGGGCCCCAGCGAGGCAATGTTATGCCGGAGATCTGATGAATGCTGGCCCGCTGTCTGTGCGCGAGTTCAAGTGCCGGCTTGGCGATGCCGTGAAACGCCAAGCTGTGATGATTCGTACCGTGGTGGCCAACGTGGCTACGGCCGATGGTTGGGGCATGAAACGAAACATGGACGACGGCGGACGAAGAAGCAAGTTAATAACTTTGAAGGGGATTGTTCTTCTACGGTAACTACCCAGTAAAATGGAGAGTAGTGTGCATATCAGACCATCTCAACTCATCCCTTCATAATCGGGTATCACACCAATTTATCGCAGTCTATCTAGTACATAACCTTGCATCCCATAACCCAACATGTCCTCTACTTCTTTTAGTGATAACGGCACTTATCAATGTTCACCCATCACATATCCCACCTCCCCTTTTTCCTTCCCGACGCTCCTCCAACCCCGGGCGTCCCAGACCTGCTGCCCCCAGCCGACCCAGTCCCCCCACCCCCTACCGCAGCAGTAGCAATAGCACCACCAGCTGAAGCAGCAACAAACTCAACCGCCTCCCCACGCCCGCGCTCTCTCTCCTTCGTCCCCCTCTCCTGCGCCTTCCTCAACGGCCCACGGTACGCCCACGCCGGAAAACACGCCGGATCCCAGACCTCCGCACTCAACACGGTCGCATACTGCTCCACGCCCCTCCCACCAGAACCAGCACCAACACCACCCTCCACCCCATCACCACCACCATCACCACCACCCTCAGCGTCAGCACCACCACCAAACTCCGTCCCCACCCCCACAAACCCCAACAGCCGATCCGCCACAGCCGGGTTCGCCATCCCCGCCGACCGCGCCAGCCGCTCGTTGAAGTGCACCCCCCGCGTGCGCTTGAGGCGCAGGAACGTGTCAAACTTGGCCGTGAGCGCGTCCAGGCCCGGGGGTGGAGAGCCGGGGGGCGAGGGGGGGATGTCCATGTTTGGCACGGCGGGGAGGGTCAGGTTGTGCAGGAGGGTGCGGGTGCGGGTGTGCGGGGACCGGGGGGGTTCGGTGTTTTGGTCTTGGTTTTGGGGGGTGGGGTCTTGGGAGAGGAAGGCGAGGTCGATTTCTTCGGAGGGGTCTTGGTCGTTGGTGTTTGTTGTTGGCGGTGGTGGGCGGGAGGGGCCGAAGGTTGGGCCTAGTACTGGGCCGAGGGCTGGGCCTGGGGCTGGTGGTTGAGGGGGGGTGGGTGTTGATGAATTGGTGGTGGTGGTGGGTTTTGGTTCTGTGAGGCGGTTAGTGAGACCGACACAGGTTGTGGTGGCAGGATGGGAGCATACTGGGTGCAGTTTGGATATCTGAAGTTGGTGGTATGACTGCCGGTTTCGGAGGTTGCTAGGTGAGATGTTAACATGGATGCTACGACGAGTGCACCAGCTGATGTTGGAGTGGGAGTGAAGTTCTTACTGCATCAACTTGAGGTTGGACCTCCTCATCCTCGTCGCTACTGTCGTATGAAACGAGACCCATGGTTTATACAGGCTTGAGGATATGTTCAGAAATAGACGCGCCCTGGCTTATTTTATGGGAACTGATGGGAAAGTCGAATTGTTTTCTTTTGAGTTGATCAAGAAGGGTGTCACGTGGGAAGCTTGGCGTTGGGCCTGGATGATGTGGTGCAGCCGAGCCCAGTGCCTCAGGCAGCGGGGCCAGCCTTGGCACTCAGCCAGCCAGGCGGGAAGGCAGCACTGGGACGCGAAGCTACAGGAGCTCCAGCCTCACCCCAACTGCACTGCAAGCTTCCAGGTTCCCTCTAACCCGCCCAACCCAACCATCACCAGCAACGAAACGACGACCTAGTCCCGCGGCGAATCGAGAAACCCGATCGTGCGATTAGTTCCGTCGACCTCTGAATTTACATCGCCCGTTGATTTTACCAGTCACCCCGCAGCCATGGACCACCGCCCGCAAGCTTGGGGTCGTGTATGTTCCCCCCATTATTACCCCCCGCATGCGACCACTCGAGCCATGCTAACCTAGCACAGCCCAGAGACGACGTCTACGGTGCCTATGATGCGTCGTACCTCCACAACAACGGCCCCAAGACGGCGACCCAAGCGCCCATCGTAACTGGTACCTCAGTCATCGCCATCAAGTTCAAGGACGGCGTCGTCATGGCGGCCGACAACCTGGGTACGTCCCCTCCTCCCCCCAGCTCTTCCCACCCTCCACCCACCCCACCTCAACCACCCAAACTAACACCGACCCCCCCGCAACCAAACAGCCTCCTACGGCTCCCTCGCCCGCTTCACCGACGTCAAGCGTCTGCGGACCTTCCTCTCGACCTCAGTCGTCGGCTTCGGCGGCGACGTCTCCGACATGCAATTCCTCGACCGGCACCTCAACGAACTCGCCATCGACGAGGCCTACGAGCACGACATCGTCAGCAGCGACGCCGCCTCCGCCGCCGACCAACCCTCCACCGCAGCCACCGGCCAGCTCAACGCGGGCAACCTGCACAAGTACCTGTCCAAGCTGATGTACCGGCGGCGCAGCGACTTCGACCCGCTGTGGAACCAGGTGCTGGTGGCCGGGTTCGACGCGCAGGCCAAGCCCTTCCTGGCGTCGGTGGACCTGCGCGGCACGACCTACACGTCCCCCTCGCTGGCGACCGGGTTCGGGGCGATGCTGGCGCAGCCCATCATGCGGCGGTTCGCGGCGACGGAGGAGGACGCGGCGCGGCTGACGCGCGAGGAGGCGGTCAACGTCGTCAAGGAGTGCATGAAGGTTCTCTTTTACCGCGACGCCCGCTCGCTGGACCGGTACAGCATTGCTGTTGTGACCAAGGACGGTGTTGAGCTGAGCGAGGACGAGCAGCTGGAGAAGCAGAGCTGGGCGTTTGCGGAGCGGATTCGCGGGTACGGCACGCAGGTTGTGTAGAGAAGAGGTAGATTGGTGGGCGCAGGTTAGGCAGATGGTGGTATGAAAGACACGATGCTAGATCTGCTCTAAGTTTGCGGCAGTGTTTATATGTTCTGCTCGTAGACATAGCGGAGTTCACAGGTGACATGGCTGGGGTGAACAAGACCAACATCTCTGCCACACCAAAACCACGGCACATCATTTGTAATTGTCCATAACCAGTGTATTGCTGCGTTAAATGGCTCGTCCGCCATGATATCTCCTCGCTATCACTATCGCTAACCTGCATCACAAGCCAACCGATCCTGAGTTGCTGGACCCAACCCTTCGCGGCGCCATGGGTGGACCCACGGTTGTACCCCAAATCCCTTACGTCGACTCCTAGCCAGCGGGTGGACTGTAAGTTAGGCAATATTACTAGTACATAACAATTGGGCTTACTGTCCAAGATGGACAACCGACAGGGCTCCTCCATATCTCTGAACCGCTCCGCAGCTCTCCAACAGCACCGCCATCAACCGCTTCACTCGACAGTCACCGACTTGGCGAGGTTACGGGGGAAGTCGACGTTGAGGCCCTCCATGACAGCAAGCCAGTAGGCGATCAGCTGCAGGGGGATGACGTTCAGGATACCCTGCAGGACGTCGACCGTCTTGGGGATCTCGATCTTCTCGGCCTGGCTGGCTGTGAACTCATCGTCATCCGGGTTGCAAATCACAATAGGCTTTCCACCACGGGCGACAACTGTGGGGCACAGGATTAGCTGATATTCGACGGTCTGGGGAGGGGCGGGGCGTAGACAAACCTTGTTGGTAGGCGTTCAGGCTCTTCTTGAAGATCTCATCGCGGGTCAGGATCATGATGATGGGCAGGTTCTCGTCCACCAGGGCGAGGACGCCGTGCTTGAGCTCACCGCTCATGACGGCCTCGCAGTGCAGGTAGCTGATTTCCTTGATCTTGAGGGCACCCTCCAGCGCTGTGCTGAACTGGCTGCCGCGACCGAGGAGCAACAGGCTCTTCTGGTTCTGGAACGTCTTGGCGCAGAGCTGTTTGATCTTCTGATCTTGCTGCAAGATCGACTTGATCTGGTCGCTGATCTTGCTAAGACCCTCCATGATCTCCTCGCGCCGCTTCGTCTTGGACGCCCGGTCCTCGCTAAGCGACAGGGCGAACATGACCATGGCGATGAACTGGGAAGTGTAGGCCTTGGTCGAGGCAACACCGATTTCGGGACCCGCGTTGACGTGGACACCGCAGTGGGTGAGAAGGGAGATGCTGGACCCGACCACGTTCACTATACCGACGGTCAGGGCTCCGCGCTCCAGGCAGTACCTCAGCGCCATCAGGGAGTCGGCCGTCTCGCCGGACTGCGACACGAACACGCATGTGTCGTCCCTGAACACGGGCGCTTGGCGATCGAGGAAGTCGGACGCGAGTTCGACAGCGATCGGGATCTCGGCGAGCTCCTCGAAAATACCACGCACGGCCATGCAGCTGTGGTACGAGGTACCGCAGGCGATGAAGATGATGCGGCGGCACCGGCGGATCGTGCTGATGTAGTTGCGGAGGCCACCAAGCGTCACTGTCCTGTTGGCAATGTCAAGACGACCACGCATGGTGTTGATGACGGACTCGGGTTGCTCGAAAATCTCCTTCTGCATGAAGTGGTCGAACTTGCCCTTCATGATCTCCTGGAGCTCGAGCTCGAGCGTCTGGATGGTACGCACATTGCTGCTCCCGTCGGCCTTCTTGAGACGGTGAATGTTGAGCGAGCCCTCGTGGATGTGCGCAATGTCGTCGTCTTCGAGGTACATGACCTTCTTGGTGTGCTCGACGATGGCCGAGGGGTCCGAGGACAGGAAGAACTCGGTGGGCATGGGGAGACCGTCGTCCGTCATGAAGGCGCGCGACTGCGAGCGGTGCAGGAGCGACTTGTCGGCGGCACCGAGGAGGTTGGGGGACAGGAGGCCACCAGAGCCCGCCGACTTCTTCAGCGCCACATTCTGGGCCGCTGTCTCGGCGGGCAGCGGGTTGCTCTCGTCGGCGTACTCAACATCAACAAAGTCGACCTTCATGCGCTTCTGGGTCTTGACACCGATGACCAGCGGGGAACCCTTGCGAGCGGCGATCACCTCATGGGGGTAGTGCACGCTCTTGATCAGAAGACCGTAGGCGCCCTCGAGCTCGCTGATGACAGCCTTGGCCAGGTCCGTGAATCCTATGCTCGGGTGCTGGTCGTGGATGTACTTGGTGAGCTTGGCGATGCACTCGGTGTCGGTCTCCGTCTCGAACCTGAAGCCCTTGCTCTCGAGCAGTGTCTTCAGCTCCTTGTAGTTGGTGATGATGCCATTGTGGACGATGGAGAACTCCCAGTTGGGATCGGACCTGGCAGACGATATGTTAGCGGCGTTTCGAAAGGATGTTGCCCCATTAGCCCAGCTCGGCTGGGTTCACGTACCTGTGGGGGTGGCAGTTGATGCGCGACGGCGGGCCGTGAGTAGCCCACCGCGTGTGGGCAATGCCGCAGTGTGAATCGAAGACCTTGGTGAGGTCGAGCTCGCTCTCGTCGGTGAGCTGCTTGAGCTTGGCGACCTTGCCTACCTCCTTGAAGGCAAACACCTCCTTCTTCTTGTCGCCATCGATCGCAAAACCGGCAGAGTCGTAGCCGCGGTACTCGAGACGGGAGAGACCTAAATTAAACGAAAGGATGTACGTCAGCCGCCTGATCTTCTGAAGCGAGTTCTGCACTGCGTCCCTGTTTTGCGCAGATGAAAATGGCGGGGCAGAGATCGGTTCCTGCAGCGCCAGGGGTTGTGCTCGGCGGCAGTGTTTACGTACCGTTGATGAGTGTGTCGACGATGAACTTGCGGTCCTTTTCCACCAGGTAGTTGATATAACCGAAAATGCCACTACAAGAGACACCAACTCGTCAGCGAACTCTTTTTCCTTGCCTTCCCATCTCGCTCGATCCCCCACCCTTTTGTTGGGGCAGCAACCAGGGCGAAGGCGGGGTTGGGTTTGGGGTGTTTCGTACCACATCTTGACGAACCAACCGACGACTAACGGCAAGAAATAGAAAAAGGTTGCAAGTGCGCGCGCGGGATACTGGGGGTATCACAAAAACTAGCGTAGCAAAGCCCAACGATCTGGACAACAACGCGGTTATGGACGACAGTTGCGAAGAGCGGGTGGATGGGCAGGAATCAGTTGCTGCGGTCGTCGGGGAGCTTGACTTTATGGACGATTCTGGCGGGGGAGGAATGCTGCAGGCGCAGGCGCATGGTGGATCCACTGGCGGCCAGATGAGACAGGGGTCAAGCCCAAGGAACAAAAGTCGCCATTGCCCTGACAGGGGTCTTCCAACCCAAAGACAAGCACCACCTCACCTTCTCTTCGGAAACGAGAGCAAACCCGATTGCTGTTTTTCCCAGGCCCGTGGTGTTCATTTGTTTTCTGTTTTCTTCCAAGTCATGATCGGCGCAAAGAACCTGCAGATGCAACTTCACACCCCACCTAATTGTCTTCTCTTTGGCTCCTCTTTGGTCAAATGTGGCTCTGACAAGAGGTGACCACCGCCGCAGAGGACCCACGAGTTTGTTTGGGTTGTTTGTGTTGGTTATGTTTCGGGTGCAACCCCTCCTTCTCCCATCCTCCAACTTTGTCACAGTTGAAAACAACATCACAACCCAGCCATTCGGACGCTTGTTTACGCATGCTTCGCAGTCTTTCAAGACATGCATAGGATGATCTCGCCGCCGTGTCTCACTCTCTACCTTGGCCAAAATGGTCCTCATTCCATTGCGCCGGCTGCGTCTCAGGACAATGCTAGGAACGTCCAAGATCTGGAGAGCCAGAGAGCTGTTCATCTGGCATTCCGCCTTATCGACGCATGTCGACGCGAGCAGGAGTCAATCGGGCAAGGAAGCTATGCAACCACTTTCTTCTCCCGACGATTTGATCGGGGGGGCTCCGTTTTTGCACCAGTCATGGCGGATTCCACGCTTCCCATTGGCAGCAATTCGGCACTTCTGCTGCCCCGAACGACATTGCATCGCGGAGGCGGGCGATCAACGTGTCTAGATTCTGGCCATTGTGGGATGGCCCGGTGCCCGCTTGTCCTTCCCGTGCCAAGCTGCCTGTCGTGTATCTCAAATGCCCTCACCGCCATCCGGCCATCTCGCGTCTCTGATGAGCGATGCCCCGCGCTGATGAATCCGGAAGATGCTCACAACCATTGACAGGCCAGTCTTGGCAGGCGGAGCCAGGGTCTCTGGGCAACGGCGGTGGGGAGCCGAGGGAGCTTCGTATCGAGGTGGACCGAACACAACGCGCCCTTTGGTCTACTGCTGTGTATTCACCGATAGTGAGGTAATCAGGTTCGAACAACAGCTGCTTGGATTTCCGGTTTGCTTGCTGCATCGCCCCGTTGTCCCACCAGCAACCCTTTTCTATCAGGACTACAAGCAAGGATCTCGATAACTCGACTCTTGCCCCTGACTTACACAGGCACACAGGCAGAGCAGTCCAACCCGCCCGCCCATGACGTCTTCGCCAAGTCGTCGCGCCGCACTTAACTGTGTGCTTGTGTAGTCCGTAACAAGACAGGCGAGACCTCGGGCCGCTGGCTGGACGCAGCGTCCAAGCGGCCGTCGAAAGGAGATCCCTCTTCTCGTTCCCGATGCCGTTCCTGATTTTCCGAGGCTTGGGCAGCGAGTTGTTGGAGCCCACTTTTTGCGGCTGTGAAGCAACCAAAAGGAAAAAGGGGCCGCCTTGCCCTTGGCAGCTCCAGCTATTCTTAGTAACCCGCGCGGCACCCCACGAGGGCCAAATGCCGAGAACGACGCTGAACACGAGCCAGAGATTGAGAACGTTGCCAAGTTTGATGTTGGAACGAGCTATCAGACGGTTTCGACACCGCCATCCAATAGCTCGCCAATTAATAGATTATCAACACATCACAATTCCAACTTGCCGCAATCCTGTCAGCAACCACGCCCTTCCCGAGAGCCCGAAGCGGCTCTCCGGTAGCTGGGAAAGGTATCAATGTTCGAGTCCGAGTGCTCGGATGCGGGTGAGCCTCACCGTGTACTCCCAGCCTTATATGGGTTCCCTCCCGCCCGGGCCGGCGGGACACCGTCGCATAGCCTCACGATATTCCTGCAACCCAAGGGACGAAGTATGGTATGGGCAATGGTAGACTGGACACCTGTGTGAGATTCTGTCGGCCTCGCCAATCCGCTGAGGCACAGACCATATCCGACAACCAAGACTCATTTCGCTCGGAGGTGCATCGGATCGGATATTGTTACAATATTACACGCTGATCAGATGTATCCATAGGGACGTCTACACATCCCACGTGTGGCGCCGCCCATGCATGGAGGATTGGATTGCCTACGATCCTGGGCGTCCGTTCGTCTCCAGCACAACCCCTTACAGCTTCTGATATTCAAGCTTGCCCTCCAACTTCTTCGCCTCGACCAGCTTGCGTACCGCCTTGTTGAAGTCGTCCTGGTTGATAGCGTCCCTGTCGTCCTTGATGGCGAACAAGCCCCTAAAAGATAAACGTTTAGCAAAGCCGTTTCGTCTGTTGTGCCTGGAAATTGTCCACTCACGCTTCGGTCACCACGTTCCGCAAATCCGCACCGTTCAGCCCGTCGCTCATCTTGACCACACTCTCAAAGTCGATCTCGCCATCCTTGGACACGCCAGAGGCGTGAATCTTGAGGATCTCCAACCGGCCGACCTCGTTGGGCAGCGGGATCTCGATCTTGCGGTCGAGGCGGCCGGCGCGCAGCAGCGCCGGGTCGAGGGTGTCGGGCCGGTTGGTGGCCATGATGATCTTGGTCTTGCCCAGGTAGTCGAAGCCGTCGAGCTGGTTGAGCAGCTCCATGAGGGTGCGCTGGATCTCGCGGTCCGCGCTCGTGCCCTCGCTGAACCGCCGCCCGCCGATGGCGTCGATCTCGTCCATGAAGATGATGCACGGCTCGTGCTCCTTGGCGTAGCCGAACATTTCGCGGATCAGGCGCGCGGACTCGCCGATGTACTTGTCGACGATGGCTGAGGAGACGACTGGTTGGGGGGGTTCGTGTTAGCGACTTGGTTAAGGGGGGTTGGCGGGGAAGTAAGGTGGGGTAAACAAACGCACCCTTCAAGAAGTTGGTCTCGAGACTGCTCGCCACTGCCCTCGCGAGCAGCGTCTTTCCGGTACCGGGGGGGCCGTAGAGGAGCACACCCTTGGGCGGCTTGATGCCAACACGCAGGAACAACTCCGGGTTCTTGAGCGGCAGCTCGATCACTTCCCTGAGCTCGCGGATCTGGTCGTTGAGCCCACCAATACCGGCGAAGCTGACCTGGCCGGGGTCCTCGAGCGACATGTTGTAGACAAGCGGATCGACCTCGCGAGGGAGCATACGCATGATAGTGAGTGTCGTCATGTCGAGCGCCACACGTGTCCCCTGCTTCATCTTCGCCCTGTCCACCTTGGACCGGCACCCGACAACATAACGTGGCCCGGAGGAAGCCTTGACGATGACTATAGCGTGGTGGGAATAGAAGTTAGCATTCGCGCCGGCAAAAGTGGTTGTTCTCGACGACCGGGGGCAACGCACATCGCTCTTCATCCAGCTGCTTTAGCACCTCGCCGATAATTTGACCAACGCTTTGTAACGCCTTGATGTTGTCTTCTGTTTGGTCGAACTCTTGTTGCAAGCCTTTGATATCCAGCCGAAGGTTCTTGAGCTTAGTTTCCCATTCCCGCGACTCGATCAACTTCTTCTTGAATGAGGCGAGGGCTTGCTCGCGGTCCGAGTCTGACGCCATGGCTGGTGGCTGTGGTCCGTCGTTGGCTGTGGTGTTGATGCGATCGAGTGCGGCGTGATTCTGGTATCCTGCAGGGATATGAAATCGGTGTACGTCGGCGGGGCTTGTGGTGGATGAAGTCGGTCGTCGGAAGTGTTCGTCGTGGTGGTTGGTTGGGTTGCGGCTGGCCCCGGTTGCGCTCCAAGGCGATTTGGAGCTTACCCAAGCTTCTGTTGCCTTGCCAGAGTGGGTCTGTTTGCACCCGCTTGGCGCCGGCTGCTCGTGCCTCGAATTTGGGGCCGGCGGTGTCAAAAGTGGGCCCTGCTTCTCTGCGCTGCACTCGGTAACACTCACGACTGAACCATCCACCCAAGAACAAAATGAAAAGATGCTTCAAAACATTGTCAATAAATTTCTCTAGATTGAACCCTTATCCATTTGGTGAAGTACAACACAACAGAGTCCCGAAATGACATCAGAAGCACGGACAGGGGAACCGGCTTCTCAGGAACTCCGACTCTCATTGCTCGACTGAACTAGGTCGACACCAACATATCCGAATACTTAGACCCTGTATATAACGGCAGGAACGCATAACCGCGGGTTTGGATATTCCTTAGAATCCCTCTGCACCAATCCAGTTCTTCCTTGCCCCGGTCACCCCCTGCCTCGAAGGTCTCGTACGCCGTGTAAAAGGGCAGAGGCACGGATGTCGGACCAAAGAGCTTCATCCGGTCCTGCATCAAATACTCGATGCTTTGGCAGATCATGACTGACAGTCGTTTGGCTTCCTCAAAGCACGTCGATGTGTCGGGTATATGGCTAGAGTCGTGGGGTGCGCAGGACATCCGCAGCTGGTCAATGTTCCTTAGGCAAATGACCCTAAACGCCCAAAAGTGGGTGAGGGCACTCGCCACGGTGATGTTCTGGAACCAGATGCTCGATCCTTTAGCGTCTTCTGATGGCTGAAACCAGAACAGAGGGGAGGATTCCGGCGCCGAAGAGCGGAAACCATCCGCCCAAGCGTCCAGTCGGGCTAATACGGCCTCGAAAGCTGGCAAGGCCTCCTCAGCAGCGCCGTCACCTCCGATATCCATTCGTTCGAGGATGGATGGGATGGCGACTGCCTCGGTCATGAGCGCCTGTACGGGAGAAGGATCCGTTTCGCGAAATGGTATGGATTTCCATTCCTCCTTTGCAAGGAACGACGCCTTCCGTGAGGAGAATGCAAGCACCACCTATAACTCGATAGTCAGCCGGATCCGATACGAGACTCTCACAGCAAGAACCGAAATCTTACCAGCGCGGGTCTTGCCCCTACAAAGAGCCTATGCGGAATACCAGACACATAAACCTCGGGTCGAGCCAGCTGCATCAAGCCCGCGAGGCCCTGGAGATGGGCGGTCCAACTCCCCAAAGAGGTCGCATGGAAGAGCTCCGCCAGGAGCAGGCACAGTACCGCTGCCGCAGTAGAAACTGGAAAATTGCTGTACGAAGACCGGAGCGCACCATTGACCGAGACAAGGGCATGGTTGTATGCTTCGAGGCCCTCCGATATCGTGAATCTCTGCTTTGGGCCTCTGCTCAAGATGGATGCCGCAAACGCCCTTATTGCTGAGGCTAACACCTTATCCGTGTTGTTACCGACAAGCTCTGGAAGCACTTCTACCCACGATCCGCAGATCCGGGGAGCTGGTTCAACGCTGCTGCTGGGTGAGAAGGTATCGCCCTCAGGCACGTAGTTATTGATGATGGCTAGGATCAAGTCATTGAGTGAAGGTTCCGCTTGAAGAGCCACGGGCTTCAACCTCCGGGCGTGTGAGACCTCCTTTCGCTGAGTCTGAAGCCTGCCTCTGACCCGTCGCGATACAGCGCCTCGAACTTCGCCCTTGGGGCCATTAACAGCGGCGTGGGGGACAAAGAGCCAGTCAGCCGGATATCCCGGGCACTTCCGGCCGCGAAAGACGCACTGCGAGCATGCCGGCTCCTTCCCATCACACTGGTTTAAGTTAGTCGGTGAATTAACTGAGAACCTAGACATGGGAACTTGAAGGGACAGAGGTGTACTTACACTGATTTTGCCAGTCCGGCAGGCTTGGCATGTTGTTCTCTGCTTCACCTTCATGGCTTAACTGCGATATAAGTACCGGCTTCTATACCTTTCCACGGTTATAGTGAGCCTTCTCCTGATTTCTATCAGCACTTGGCGGCTTTTGTTTCCGTAACGGGAACGACAACGATGTTTTAAAGAGTCAAGAAGTCTTGTCCCCGCCCCTGTGTAACGACTCAAGATGGCTGCGCTAACCTAATTTAGATACAAAACCCGCCAAGCATGGCGGCAAACAGGGGCTGGATCATGGAGGGGGCAACTTACAAGTCTCCGAGCGGGGATCATGTTGCTCTCATGGCTTCGATATCTGTGTTTTCTGACGTGATCTCGACATGGCTTACAAACAGAAGAGGAGTTTGTGTACGCGGGGTGGTTGAAAGTGATGGGTATATAGGTCGTTAACCTCTCTACTCCTGTGCTTTGTTCGTTCTCTCACACCAACTGACTCAATATCCCCTTTTCCACCCGGTCTGTTGTCAAGTTCTCAGCCAAACTCATTCGTTACGTCACCATGGCTTCCAACGTCAAGTTCAACGCGCCCCTGGCCGTCACCCACATCGGAACAGCCACAGCCATTATCCACGTTGACGGCATCAACCTCCTGACGGACCCCGTCTTCTCGCCCGCCGGCACCGAGTGGGACTTGGGTGTTGCGGTGCTCAAGATCTCCGACACCCCCGCGAAGGGCTTGGCCGATCTCCCACATATCGATGCAGTACTCCTCAGCCATGAGGATCACCCCGACAACCTGGATGAGCCGGGGCGCGCGACCCTTGACGGGAGGCATGTGTTCACCACTCCTGACGGTGCGAAGAAGCTGGCGCCGAGGCCCGGTGTGAGGGCTATCCAGCCTTGGTAAGTATTGTTCACTCATTCTTCCGACCAAGAGGCAGAGACAGTGGTTGACATCACCACAGGGAAACCCTCCCCCTGGATATCGGCGGCAAGCGCTTCGAGATCATTGGCACGCCCTGCGAGCACCTTCCCGGCGGCGAGGTCACTGGCTTCATCGTCTCGGCCCCGTCTTTTGGCACCACCGATGGCAAGCCCAATGTCATCTACTTTTCGGGTGACACCATCTATCTGCCTGAGCTGGCCAAGATGAAGGAGCGCTTCCGTAAGCCCCCCACTGCTCCTTACCTTCTCGGAGATCGTGATTCGCTAACCCCTTCAAGATATCTCGGTCGCCCTGCTCAACATCGGCAAGGCGACTGTCGCGCTGCCCACCGGCTCGCTGGCGATTACCATGGACGGCGCGGACGCTGCGAAGCTGTTCAAGGAACTTGAGGCCGACGTGCTCATTCCGATGCACTTTGAGTCGTGGGGGCACTTTGCTGAAAAGAAAGAGGAGCTCGCGGCGTCGCTCGAGAAGGAGGGGGTGATGGATAAGGTGCTGTGGCTGGAGCCTGGAGTGGAGACGAAGCTTGCTTAGGACCGTGAGGGATAAGTCATGAGCGTGTTGAGAAGAGTGTGATTGTAGTATCTACCAGCGACTCCTTTCGCTCTATCTTTGCCCCCGAATAACCCTACAGTTTAATGGTACAATGTCATCCAACCAACCCCAACTCCGTTGCAGGTAGTTCGTCCCAACCCAAGCCATCTGACGCTCATCTTACACGGTCCCCCCTCCCGCCTTTCACTCCCCATTCACAACCACTTCCATTTCCTTCGGCACATCCCCCTCAACGCTCGGCATCGCCTTCTCCCTCGTAACCTCCACCCCCAAACCCTCCGTTTCCGCCCCAACCCCCGTAAAAGGGCACGCCCCCCCATGCCCCTGCCCAGGGCGAGAAGAAGCGGGAGCAGACCCCTCCTGCTCCTCCTCCCCCACCGCCACCGCCTCCTCCGGCACCAACACCCGCCGCCCCCTCAAAAACCCCTCCCTCTCCCTCACCACATCCGCATAATCCACCCCATCCGTAAACTCCTCCCCGTCAACAACATACCACTTCGCAAACAGGTCGTTCTGGATCCAGATGACCTTGCCGAGGGCCTTGACGACAGCAATCTTGCGCGCCAGCGGCAGGCGTGGGTGCGACAGGATGGCCTCGCTGAGGATGTCCTGGATGACGGCCAGCGCGGCGCCGATGTGCACGTACTCGATGTGCAGCGGGTGGGCGCGGCCGAGGCCGGTGTGCATCATCCTGGGCGGGCGGCGGGGTGGTAAGCGTGTGAGGGGGTTCGTTGTTGGGAAGGGATGGGGCGCGGGGGTGGGGGGGGATGAGGTGTGGCTTACCCGACTTTGTCGAGGTATTCCCAGAACTCCATCTGCGTCGGGTCGGAGCAGAGCTTCTTGAGATACGCCCGCAGGAAGGACTTGCGGTGGAGGATCTGGGGGCTTGTCTCGTCCGGGTCTGAGTCCATGGGTCCCTCGAAGGCGGTGCTTCGTGTCTGGAAGGCGCGGGCTGTGATGTCGTACTGAAGGAGCTTGCGGTAGACGATGTTTACGACGGCGGGGATTAGGGCCTGAATGTACTTGGAGCCTGACCGGAGAGCTTCGATGTCGTCTGTGGGAGGCGTTAATGGGTGAGGTGACTCGATGATAGAGGGAAGGGGGCTCACTGGGGCCAAAGTCAAGGAAGGAGTGAAGATAGCAAATACGCGCTTCGAGGCTGGTGTACAGCGACTTGCGGTCGATATGCTGCATCGGCTGGGTTCTTGCCGCCGACATTTTCGGTGGTGCTTGTGGGTTCAATGGTAGAAGTCGGCCTGAGGGAAGACGCATATATACAGAGACACTCTTGAATTTTTCCTATTGAATGGAGAAGAGAGAGAAAACCATAAGCTTTTGAGGTCCTTTTAAATATCTGCTTGTCGGGATTTGAAACCGTGTTGGTGGTACGAGAATGACGCCTGGACTTGGTGGTCTGATCACAGGAAATATCGAACGATTAGTACCTACCTACCTAGGCACCTACCCATCTTGTAACCTTTCCAGTATGCCACGCACCTAAATCAGGAGCAAGCACTTCCACTAAGTCTCTTGTCGTAGGAGCAGAAGGAAGAATATTGATTCATTATACGCTACCTACACAAATTGAATTGCAAGAATACCTGTCGTCCAGAATCATGCTGTAAGACGACTGTAGTCTCGTACAGGGCCGTAGCAATCGTTTTGACATCGCGGGGAAGGTGCAAAACACACTTCCCGTCCATTAGTACCCCCAGAGTCTCATCAATAAGCAGAGCATAATCTAGACGCCTGTAACCGGAAAAGACAGGATTCGGGGGGATTCTAATCAACCCACGATTCGTCTTCAGATATTGGTTGTCTTCTGAGAAACTCAGCTGCGAAATTGCGTTGAAGTTCCGGGCCATCCCCTGAAGAACGCCCGTTGGTAGATCCCAGAGCTGGACCAGATTCTCGGACCTAGCTGACGCAAGCAGCTTGCCATCGGGCGAGAAGGCGAGCAGCTGGACTTGGTTGTCCCCCCCCTCGAGCGTCTGCCGGCATATGCCCGTCGGTACATCCCAGAGCCGAATTGTACAATCGACCGAACCTGACGCAAGTGTCTTGCCATCTGACGAAAAGGCAACTACCTGGACTCGATTGCTGTGCCCCTCGAGCGTCTGCCAGCATATACCCGTCGGTACATCCCAGAGCCGAATTGTACAATCGACCGAACCTGACGCAAGTGTCTTGCCATCTGGCGCGAAGGCAACTACCTGAACCTGGTCGCTATGACCCGTAAGCGTCTGCCGGCATATACCTGTTGTTACATCGCAGAGCTGGAGTATACAATCCTCCGAAGTCCATGCGAGTAGCTTGCTATTCGGAGAGAAGGCGACTATCGTGACCGAGTCGCTATGCCCCTCAAGCGTGTACCGGTGTACGCCCGTTGCTACATCCCAAAGCCGGACTGTATGATCGACCGAACCGGACGCAAGCATCTTGCCGTCCGGCGCGAAGGCGACAACCTGAACACTATCGCGATGCCCCTCGAGCATCTGCCGGCATTTACCCGTCGCTACATCCCAGAGCCGGAGTGTATAATCCGGGGTTTCTGAAGCTGTCGCGAGGGTCTTGCCGTCCGGCGAGAAAGCGACGACCCGGACCGGGCCGCTATGGCCCTCGAACGGTTCCGTGTCTGCGTGCCAGTAGTCTTCAATGCCCACAATCGTTTCGATAAACGGCAGCCTTTCTTTCCATTGCGTGCATTTGACGTCGCTCATCGCTGGACTAAACACGAGGGCCATGCCATATATCTGTAGGGGAATGCTCTGCAAAGTTGCCCAATGACTCTCGACGAATCTCACCGCATCTTTCAGAAATCTAGAAAGTCGAGAACTCGCATCCGATTGCTTGAGACGGTTAGCGAAGGATATAGCGAAAACCATCTAGAACATACCTGGGCGATATCCCGGAGATTCAGGAGCGATCGAAACCCGGATGGGAGTTTCCCTACAAGAGAGATACCCTCAAGCCAGTGCAGGAACCGCTCCGTTAGAAACTGAAACACTATGTTATCATCCAACAGCTCTGTTTTGTGCTCGACACTGTCACTGTCCAGGAGATGGTCGGCCCAGAAGAGACAGGAGTATCGTATCGGGGCTAGCGGGTCTGGCTGAGGGGGGTTTTATATTATGTGATCGAACTTTGAAGTCGAGGTTGTAGATGTTCCGCTTCAGGGTCGAGGACATTGCCGTGATCGAACGCCTGCCGATGTTGGCGTGCCCTTGGGCAACACCGCCTGGCTGAAGTTTGGACGAGTAGTTCTCGGAGAGATAGTCTTTGGCCGACTGATGGATCAGATAGACTGTCTCGCCCTTGACCGTGAGAAACGAGCCGCAATCTTCAACAACCGTCCGAGGCATATCGGACGGACAACCAGCGAGTACAGCAAGCTCGGAGAGGGTGAGAGGGCGGAGTGCAAGAACGACAGCTGCCAGGGCGTCCTTGCAATATTGCGGGTATCCCGCTTCGGCAGCAATCGTGTCCATGATGCGGTCATACAGATTCGACAGGCCAGAAGGGAACTTCTTGACAGTCGGCAAAGCGTCCTTTCCATTCAACAACAGCTTGCCACGCCGATTTGTCTTCCCAAGCTCTTTGAAGAAGAACCATACCCAAAGGAAGGTATTCTCGGCCCGCTTAGGAACCTCAACTGACAATGCGTCCAAAACCTGTTCGGTGTATCCGGGTTGACCGCGGAAGGCGGAGAGCTTGTAGTCGATGTATGCGTTGACGGGCTTTTCCAGCTTTTGAGTGTCTAGCTCGACCAAGGCACCAGCGGTGCCCGGAGTCTGGAGTTCAACGATTGGGCGACTCGAGACCAGCCACTTCACCTTTTTAGTGATAGCCAGGGAATCCGAAATTAGCCCGATGAGGGCCGGTAAGCCCTCTTCGCACTCATCCAGAGCATCGACAATGAAGTACACGGGTGACAGATTGGGGTCCTTCAGCATACTCTTGAACACACCGGATAGGGCAATAAATGCACTGTCGCCTTGAAAAGCGGAAGGGCCTGCGTTCTTGTACTTGGATCGTAGGTACGAGATAAGATGCGGTTGCTGAACAAGCAGCAGCCAGATCAGAGATCTCAGGGTGGCCATTGCGCTGTTCAGAGTTTGCTCTGTGCCCTGACAGAAAAAGTGTGAGATGGAGGGGGCAAGTTTGGCAGATTGACTCGAGAGATGGAGGATGATGCCCATCAAGAGCATCGTCTTCCCTGTTCCGGCATGACCCTTAACCCATAACAGCCGACACGACGATGGGGCACAGCCATCCTGGTTCCAATTCGTGAATGCTGCGTAGGCCTCCGTGTCGAGGATCCATTTGTAGGCCTCATGCAACAAGACATCCTTCTTTTGCTCAATCTTCTCCATATCGTCTTGCGGGTCTACCACGAAGAGCTGTTGGAGGCATTTTGTGTCCTCGCCATCCCTCCGCATTTCCTTTTGCAAGGCGATGAAGTCTCGAATGTCTTGACTGATGGTTTCCAGGAGATTCTCCATTCGTTTGGCACGGTCGTTGAGTTCACGCCGGAGGGTCCCCGCTATGATTTTGTCGAGCTGGCCCCAGTCGTCAAGAAGGTATTTTTCCGCGTCTTGAACAGCATTCAAGTAGCCGTCCCAGTCGTCCCAATTCGCAAGAGCGCGGAGAAAGACAAGGCCCTGGTGTCGGTAGTAGGAGCAGACGCTTCTCATCTGGTACAGGAGGAGAGCCTTGTAGAGCTCGATGACTCTCGTTTCCAGCTGGGGCGGGATCGATTCGAGGGACTGGTCGATGTGATCCTTCTTCAAGAGATGTTCGGACAGGGCGCAATACCAATCCATCCGGGAGACAACGTGCACGATGCCGGCAAGGTTGGACCTAGTCGCTTTCGCAGGATTCTGGAGGATCTAGACGGATATTAGTGGATGGAGCTTGGCCTTATAAAGGGGGTTGACTTGCCTGCAATCCGACACATACGCCAGCCCAGGGTAGTGCAGCCTGCGGGATATTCTGGATGGCTGCATCAATGATCGGCTTGACTGTGAGAATAAACTGGGCCACGTCGCCCGCTGTCTCGGTAACCCTCGCCGGCGTAGCAATCTTCGCCTGGCCTTTCTCCACCAGATCCCTCATGTGCATCTGTCGCTGGGTCGTGTCTTTAAGTTCGGCCGACAGATCGGTGGCAGGATCGACGCCCGACACTTTCATCAAGGTCCTAACATAGGAGTTGACCAGCTCTGTGGTTTCTGCGTCTTCCTCAAGGCTGTCGTACGCGGCATTCCAGAGAGTCTGGGACACGGAAAGGGCAGGGGAGGATTGCCCTTCGGGTTCGGGTACCAATGTCTCTCTGGCGGGTAGCTCGTCAGGCAGGGCTAGATATGGAACGTGCAATGCCGTGGCTGACGCTTCAGCCTCTTTGGTTTCCCCCGTGATGGCTCGCACCGCCGTCGTATTGGGGTGGGAAGGATCGAGATCGGTACACGAATTTGCAGCATCATTATACGGCGCTTGCGTGTTGGGACAGGCCGATTCTGGGGATTCGTATGACTTTCGAGATTGCCGACTCGGGAGCTCCGTCTCAACGTAATTACCGGTAGTAGATGATGTGCGGGACGGGGCAGGCGACACTGCACGACGCACGCGCGCCCACCCGTCCTGAAGCGATTTTTTGAACCGTTTTCCGCGCATAGCTTGGCCGAAAATGCCGGGGAAAGGAGGAGATGGTGAAGGGGTAATCAGCGGGCTGCGTGGTTGTGCAGAAGCTGAGTGCTGTGGCCGGCTGATTGGCAGCTACTCGTTGGGCATCCATGAGGGTAACCAACCAACGCTCGCGAAGAGAAAGTGCATTCCACCAGACCCAAGCCACAACTTTACTTTGGGGAGTCCTACTTACGACAACGTGAAGGCGACGGTGGCGCTTAAAGTATGAGAGCCAGCTCAGTTGTGTACATACTACATATTGTCTGAGGTTTGCGTGCGTATGTGGGCAGCGAACAGGATTCTACCTATGCTAGTCGAGAGCGTCTGCAGACGCGACCACGAGATTGAAGTGAGGACGAGAACGGCGGTGCTCGACGTTAGGAAAGTAGAGGCTTGCTGGGGGCTGTGGTGTGTTGTGGTATGCTGTCAGCTTTCCGTTGATGCTCGCACATCTCGCACAACTTGGGATCTGGACTAAATTCTAGGAAGACAATCGCCGAAATAGGGAAAGCTTTGGCCGAGATAGGGGCTCTCCTCTTTTACAACCCCCTGAAGTTGCTCTGGTTGTAATATACGGGCACCACTAATTCACACTTGTACACACACATGCCATGCAGCGCTGTTGCAGTCGGACAACATGTCCCGTCCAACAAATAGAATTACCACCTAGGTATTTACACCACCCAAGGAAAGAGAAAGGCACTCTAAGTGGAGGCCAGCGCGGCATCTTCTCCCTCCCCGCCAAGGAGACGGATATCCTCAATCTGTCCGCGACTAAAGTCCTTGATGTCGGCAAATACGTCCTCAATGGGCGTCACCAAGCTATATCCGGCCTCACATTGGTGGGGTCGCTCTCCAGTAAAAAGCAGCCCCATGACCCTTCCGAACGTGTCGAACACGACGGCACCAGAATCTCCGCGATTGCTAAATCTGATCGTGGGATCTAGCTGTGTGGGCGCAAATACGAACTCGGTGGACATGTGATCCTTCTTGCTCCGGCCGACCATGTACTTCTCCTCGGCGATAGTGCAATTCGTCTTGACCGATGACAACTCACCCGCGGTGCATCTCGTAGACGCTCCCATCTTGTATCCAGACACCTTGTCTCGAACGACGGTAACGTCTTTGACGCAATCATGAATGGAGATGCCCTGGGGTTCCAGAACAAAACCGTCCGTGTTCAGAGGCATCTGGTGCTCTAGGTAACCTTTCGATCGCCACTCCTGGATGCTTGGAAGACCGTTGCCTCCCACTCGGCTGTCATCAAATGGCCGGATTAAGGCCCAATCCAGTCGACCATTGGTCTTGGTACGCCGCAAATAGCCCGAAGCGAAGAACGGCTTGCCGAAATACTGATGGTCGTTGTTAAAGAAGTCGAGCACCTCTTTCAGCTCTGCTTCTGCTACTTTAGCGGGGAGATGAGACTCGTTGAGTCTTTTGATACGCTCTTGCTTGGTGGTGATATTGATGTTGTGTTTGGTGCGTGGGGGATGCTCCACCATCTCGATGGTCGGCATATCCCTCGGCATAAATCCCTTGATGTCCGCCGTCCAGCAGTTTGAGTCCTTGACGGGCTTGCTCATGCATCCGCGGTCCACCTCTTCCGAGTGACCTGGAATCTGTGTCCGGGCAACACCAATCGTGTAGCCCTCAAGGCAGGCCCTGAGGACGTGGTAGCAAGTGAGGCCCATTGTATTCCAGCCCTTGCCCTTGACTTTGATCTGGACCCAACAGCCAAGAGTGCCAATCATGGGACTGCTGAGCTTGTTGTCGTTGCGGGTGATGTAGTAGCCGGCGCTGATGTCGGACCCGGCCTTGACTTGCTTGCTGTATAGGCCCAGAAGATCATAGTTGAAGTCATTCCTTCTAGTCAGCAGCTCACCGGCCGTGAGTTCCGATGGCACCAAAGGAAAGTCGGTATAGTACCCCACCAGGTTATGTTCCATGTGAACCTTGAGGTCCATCTTGAACGTGTCTGCGTATTCCTGCATGGTACCCAATGCCGGGACCCAACTCGACGCTGGTGAGTCGTAGTCGACACTGACGTAGATTGTTTTTGGGTTCTGGCTGCCCTCAATGTCAAAACCAAGTCTGAAGAGAGAAATGGCCGTCATGTGGCCGGCCGTCGAATCGAAGCTCTCTAGAATGTCAAGGATCCCGTTCTGGATGCGCGGCCAAGCATCGATCAGTTGACGGAACCCCTGCTCCTTTGGATGGATGACGGTGAGGTACTTGGGTAAGACTAAGGCTTTCGACACCATCTCCACACAGACGTCTATAGAGCCTGCTAAAGGCGCATCCGCGATACGTTGATCTAAGAAACAGTCAGGTCCGCTTGCTTCACATCCGCTAGGTGGGAAGAGAGAGACAAAAACACATACCGATGTATCGCTTCAGCCTATCCACAACCGGCTCCAAAATGTGTCTCAACTCCGCAGTCCACTCGACATCCACGATGATGAGGACAGTTGGTTGAATGTCGTGCGGATCGTCGCGAAACATGCGTGCCACGAGGTCCACCTGGACAGCCGACTTAGCGACCCCCGCCTTAGTTTGTGACATCAACTCCCACGCCTTCTGCTCAAAGTCGGCTCCAAACTGCCGCTTGACTCGGTCCGAGTCACGATCCGACGCGCTGGGGAAGGTGACTAAAGGCAGCGGACGGGGCGGTGCCACAATTCGATCGCTGAGGTTCGAGATGCCCGATTGTCCGAAGAAACTCGACGCTTCCGTGCGACGACATCGTCGCTCCTGGTGAGCCATCTCGAAACTGTGATGCGCGCCCGACGGGATTGTCCGAATCTGCTAGTTTCCGAAAAAAGAAGAAAAAGAAAAGGAAAAGGAAAACAAACACGAAAGGAAAGCAAGCAATCAAGCAAGAAGAACAAATAAAAAGAAGCTAAGAAAAAGAAATGAAATAAAAAGGAAAGAGGGTAAAACACAAGTAAACCCAGTAAATCCACTTTCCTTAGGCTTCGGGATCATGGCTTTCGTTTTGTTTTTACAGCCGAGGACTCGAAGTTTCCATTGTCGACATCTGCACTTGGAGTTCGGCTTTTTTTTGTCTATGAGGTGCTTGACTCCTGGTGTCCAGGTAATTGAGAAGACATGGATCCGCCCGAAGGAAAAGAATGCGGGGTATCCTCGTCTGAAATTGTAGGCAGCAGCACGTCATGGTTCTATGGAGTATTACGCAGGTAGGTAAACAGCTTGGAGCCGGCCATGTCAGTGCAGCCCATTAGGCTATCTGCTGGCAAAGGCGAATGCTCGAGTGTTTCTTCAGAGCTATCAATATCCCTGTTGTACTGGTGCTCGGAACTTCCACCAGCAGCACATGTTTGTCTTTTATTCGTCGACTATAGGGTGTTATTGAAATAGTTCAATTAACGCCTTCGACAACGGCAATCATTACTTTCGCCGTAAAGGAACGCTAGGTTCACTTAGTCCTCTCATCTTTATATCGGCACACGCCCGCTCACCATCGACCAAATCTCGTTATGGCACTCACTGTTTCTGAACACCTTCCCAACAAGCTCGTCTTGGTGACCGATGGTGCGCAACCGACCCAGTTCAATGGCAAATCATCAAGCAACTTCTCGAGTGCGGTGCCCGGGTTCGGACGACGGTAACATCCGGGCAGCCAGCATGTTGGCCCGACAAGTTGTCCACGCAATTCATCCGCCTCGGCGCCTTCGAACGCGTCGAAATCAGCTCCCAGTGCTCCAACCAGTCGGTTTACCGAAAGACAGTCAAGGACGTACACGCCGTCGTCCACGCGGCAACCCTTCCCGGACCCAACAAGCCGCCAACGGAGCCCCGGAACCTCACAGACCAAGCCGTCATCTCCATGCTGGAGTCCGCAGCGCACGAGGTATCAGTCGGGGCATTCGTTTACACGAGCTCGCTCACGGCGATGGTGCCGTTTGTCAATGAGGGGGACACGTTCGTGGCCGAAGACATGTGTAACAATGGCGGCCGCGCTCCTTTGGAGATGGGGGGCGCTGGTCCCACGCAAGCTCGTAAGTTTGGCTTCCACAGCTCAGTGGTTTTCACTTGGGTGCATGTTGAAGGAGGTGCCAGATCGGCACGTCGATGTCGGGGACGCGGCCCTGCTGCAACTTGCAGATATTTTCGACGAGAGGATCTCCAACGAGCGTGTCCTGGCGCGGGGATGTTACCGGGACCGGGACGACATGATGCGGGACCAAGCGATCACGAAGGCCAGCAAGACGCTAGGCGAGGAGTTCGACTTTGAGAAGGCGAGGGGGGAGGCGTGCCAACAACGTTACCCATCATCTTCGACGAGTGGACTCCGTTTGGGCGGATTTATACCAGTTCTGCCAAGGTCCTGGGCATTTTCGCTGACAAGAGGTGGAAGGGATATGGACGCTGGAAAGAATTCGGGAAGACAATTCGCGAGAGTCTGGTCCGTTTCGACGCCAACTAGGGGCGGCGAAAGGGCAGTATCCCGGTCGGAATTGTCGAGTCCCCAACCAGAAAAGTCCAAGTCGGCTATATGCGAACCCACGAGATCCAAAGTAACGGAGCCGAGACCGACGGGGGTCGGCCCGCCTTGGTGTATTGATAGGTATCAAGTCAGGTGGTGATCGCCGCGAGGCATTTTGATGGGGTGCACATGTCGCTCAAGACTAAGAGTGTTTACTAAGAGAACGAGCAAATGCGGCCGTCGTTGGGGCGGATTCGGCAAGGCACGACAGGAATCAACCCATCAAGTCCTTGTATGTGTACCCCAGGCGAGACAGAGGCTGTTCGTGACTTCGCGTGACTCGGCGAGGGTTGCCGTCTTGGAATTTTAAGCGGATAATTAAGGTAGGTGTTGGTTTAGCGGTTGTGGTCACGAGGTAATAGAAAACCAGAAGCGTGGGGAGATAGTTTCTTTTTCAAAATTTGCCAACATTGATTGTCTTGGTGTTAGTCAACGAGTGTTCATCCCATCCTCGTTCCTTTATGTCGCTCATTGTTCTGCCGCCCACGCTTTTCCCTCACTCCCACCGCTTGGCAGACTCCCCAGATAAGAGCACTGCCTGCTTGTCTGGGACTATTTGGGGAGCCATGCAGTCTCGTGACACCCCGCCGAACCCGCTGACCTGCCTGCCCCTTGGTCCATTTTCCCAGGTGCTCGGGTTCAACAGACCTTGTGAGCTTGTGGAGAGGGCGGAGACTTGTGAGCCACTGAGCCGGAGTGAGCCCAGACTCCCCGAGGTCCATCTCTCCCTGGTCCAATGACGTCGCAGGAGTTGTAAGAAAATCCGAAATCCAACCAATCAGCTGACGGCGATAACATGTCTTCCCCCGCGGCAAGGGGGAATGCAGGATCCATGCCCACCGAGACTCGTTCTTATCTCGGGACACCATCCAAGGTGGCTTGGTGAAGGAGCGGTCGGGCACAGCACCATTCACCGCAAGACCATTCCGGCCGCTTGCGTGGCGGCGGCTTTTTTCTCGTCTGGCGGCATGGGCGTCTGGTGTTCGTCCCAACAGCGGGAAAGATAAGCCCTGTATTCGTTTATCATGCCATGCCTGCACCGCGGGAGGAGCGCGCATGCCAACGCCCGTGTTATCGGTTGCATCTTTTTAAGACGCACGATTCCCGCATCCGGAGGGGTTGGAATTTGGAATGTTGTAAAACCCGTTGACTCGCCTCTTTCCCTACCTTAATCCTTAGAACTATCGCTCATCCTAAGTTTGCTATCACCGTTGGAGACGGAGTTGAATCGAAATCATGGTACGGCACCCGCCCCCCAGACGCGCCAGACCCAACGGGGCCCGTCATCCCATGTTTAGCAAGATGGTGGTGACGATAGCGACTGACGGACCTCCAACAGGCAACCTCCCCGCTCCACGTATCCCAAGCCGGGACTGTGAGAAACCACTCTACCAAACAAGAGAAACAGTAACGGTTGGCTCATACGAACCATGGAGCAGCTTCAGAAATACTTCTCCCTCGATCAGAAGGGCACCATCATTGCCGAGTACATATGGTGAGTTAGCTCTCGATGCCAGGGGCGGGGAAGACACGCAAAGCAGGGACTGTGCGTGGCATTAGCACGATGCCGTACAACAAAGGCATTTTCTAAAACTAATCCATCTTCCAGGATCGACGCCGAGGGCGGCACCCGTTCCAAGTCGAGGGTACGCAAAGCCCACCCCCATCACACCCCGAACCCACACCCGCCTCCCAACCCCAACTAACCCAGCCTCCCCCAAAACCTCCAGACCCTCCCCGACAAGCCCTACCAGCCCGAAGAGCTGCCCATCTGGAACTTCGACGGCTCCTCGACGGGGCAGGCGCCCGGCGACAACTCGGACGTGTACCTGCGGCCGGTGGCCGTGTACCCGGACCCGCTGCGGCTGGGCAACAACATCCTGGTGCTGGCCGAGTGCTGGGACGCCGACGGCACCCCGAACAAGTACAACCACCGCCACGAGACGGCCAAGCTGATGGCGGCGCACGCCGCGCACGAGCCCTGGTTCGGGCTGGAGCAGGAGTACACGCTGTTGGATATGAATGGGTGGCCGTTTGGTTGGTGCGTATTTTCTGACTGGTGGTGATGTTGGTGGTGGTGGTTGTGGTGATGATGATGAACATGGCTGATCGGGTGTGTCTGGTGGATGGTTAGGCCCCAGAACGGGTTCCCGGCTCCTCAGGGCCCGTATTACTGCGGTGTCGGCGCCGGCAAGGTCGTGCAGCGCGATATTGTCGAGGCGCACTACCGCGCGTGTCTGTACGCTGGGATCAAGGTCTCGGGGACCAATGCTGAGGTTGGTCGCTCCGGAAGGATGTTGGTCGAGCGGGATGGTTGCTAACTGGTCTCCTTAGGTGATGCGTATGTTGTTGATCCGCTAGCCACCCGGGTATTTGACTCTGGAATGTACTGACGTCCTGTAGCCGCCCAGTGGGAGTTCCAAGTCGGCCCATGTGTCGGCATCGAGAGTAAGCTACGCCCCTTTCACCACACCCTCCTGACGACATCCTCCTAACTTATCTAGTGGGCGATCAACTCTGGCTCGCCCGCTTCCTGCTTCACCGCATCGCTGAGGACTTCGGCGTCAAGGTCTCGCTGCACCCGAAGCCGATCCCCGGCGACTGGAACGGCGCGGGGCTGCACAGCAACTTCTCGACGAATTCGATGCGCGAGGAAGGCGGCATGGCGCACATCGAGGCCGCCATCGAGAAGCTCGGCACCCGCCACACGGAGCACATCGCCGTGTACGGCGACGACAACGAGAAGCGCCTGACCGGCCGCCACGAGACGGGGTCCATCGACCAGTTCACCTACGGCGTGGCTAACCGCGGCGCCTCCATCCGCATCCCCCGCGAGTGCGCTGCTAAGGGGTACGGCTACTTTGAGGACCGCCGCCCTGCGTCGAATGCCTGCCCGTATCAGATCACGGGGATTATCATGGAGACGTAAGTACTGATCCGAGGATTGGGGGTGGATTTGGCTGACCGTCGGTAGGATCTTTGGGCCCGTCTGAGAGTAATGGGTAAATGGGTACGGAGTTAAAGAGGTAAATCGGGATTGCGTTGGCTGTGAGCAGCCGTTTGGGTTCATGGAAAGGGAGTGTTTGGTTCTGACACCGAGCGGCTTGTCAGGGGTGGGATATTGGCAGAGGAGAGCGGAAGGTAGTAGCCCACTAACCTGTATCAATGCCAGAAACCATTAGCCGGAAGCGGCCTTGAACAGTAGACGGTGTGAACGGGGGTGTTGTGCTGTACCCTATCTGGGCCGTCTTGTTACCGGAGCCAAACTTGCCTCGACGACAGAATTAGGCCTAGACTAGGTAGTCACAGCGGTACTTTCTTCGGCTCCATGCACGGCATAACGTTAGATTTTCCTCTGCTCATTCACCGTTCGGGACGCCACCTCCTCGAGTCCATTTTCTTCCATAGGCGAACGTGACTATCTTAGCTCGTCTCGATATACATCTCTCGGCAGACATGTCTCGCGGTTCAAGATTACCACGCGTTCGAATCAGTGGTTGCCGGGATGGCGTTGGTGAGATTAGCTTGCTTGCTGGCGAGAATTAATCACGAAGATGACGATACACCCTTCTCCTCCCGTGTGGTATAAACCCCCGTCGAAACAGCATGATATCCCAACCTGCCCACCTTCAACGCCAGCTCACTCCCCCACCACCCCCCCCTCGCCACCCTCTCAACCGCCTTCTCAAACGTATACTTCGGCCTCCACCCCAACTCCCGCACCGCCCGTCCCGAATCATACACCCGATCCACCCTCCCCAGAAACGACCACCCCTTCCGCTCAAAAACCTCCGCCACCCCGGGCACCACCCGCCGAAACACCCCCTCCGCATCCCCATCCAACCCCCTCAGCGTCTCCTCATCCCGCCCAAACGGCGTCGGCGCGCTAACGATATACTTCCCCCACCCCACCCCGCCTGCTTCCCCCGCGGCAGCGGCCGCCCCCTTCCTCATCGCACACACGCACGCGCCCACCACATCCGCGATATCCACCCGCCGGTACGCCAGCTCCAGCACCTTCAGGTTGTCCCCCCCGCCGGCGACCGCTTCGCGCCGCGCACCGTCGTCGTCCTCTTCGGGGAAGAAGCGGCTTGTCCGCAAGATGAGAATGGGGAGGTTGGTTTGCCGGTGGATGAGCTGGCAGATGTCTTCAGCGGCGGTCTTGGTGGCGCCGTAGATGTTCTTGGGGAGGGGCGTGACGGATTCGGTGATCCAGGCTGCGGGGGAGCCGCGGGATGGGGAGAGGGCGGCGCCGAAGGTGGAGGTGGTGGAGATGAAGATGAAGGATTTTACGGTTGATCCTGCTCCTGCTCCTGCTCCTGCTCCTGCTCCTACTCCTGCTGCGGGGGTGGTGGTGGCGGCTTCGAGGAGGGCGAGGGTGCCGGCGATGTTGGTCTGGATGAAGTCGTTTTTGGTGTGGGAGTCGATGTGCGGTTTGTGCAGCGTTGCGGCGTGGATGACGTGGGCGGGCTGGTGGGTGGTGAAGATGGTGGTGAGGAAGGCGGTGTCGGTGATGGAACCCGTGTGCGTGGTCGTTGGGCCGGCGTTGAGGTCGATGCCGATCGGGCTGTAGCCGAGGTCGGGCAGGGCGAGCATCAGGGCTTTGCCGAGGTGGCCGGCTGAGCCGGTGACGAGGACGGTTGGTTTGGACATGGCGGTGGGTTACTTAGACACGAATGTTGTTAAGGGTTGCATTGGTATGAGGGTGGATGGGAGTCTCCTTTTATAATCAGGGATAAGTTGTGAGTCATGCCGACACGAAACATGGAGTGGTGCATGCATGTGGGGATGTTGGAGTAAACATCGCAGCTCCGGCCGAGGGACAGGAAACCGTGAATAATACAATTCCCCCCTAGAAGAGGTTTATTGTGCACATCCACAAGCCGCGACTTCTATGAGCTTGTTAAGCTGATGTTAGGGACGCTCGGTTGTAACGCCAATGCAAAGGATCATAATTACCGACATGAACGGCCCTCTTGTGGGCCGCCAGGAATGGCCGGACGGCTATTCTCGAGCTGATCCTTGAGCCTTTGTAGCGGTGCTGACTCTGATGCAGAGAACTTCCATATATTTCCCCGCTGCTTTTCTTGGATTGTTTTAATTATAGCCCGCTGCCAGGTTCATGACATCAGAACGAGAAGGGAATTCTGACCAAGACGCAAGCTAGCCCCACAGTCCACCTCGTCTTATCTCAGCATATTAGCCCCGAGGCGCATTCGACCACCCGGTCAGACCTAACTGAGATACCTCTCAGGTTGACGCGTCGACACCCTCACCTTCATCATGCGCAATCATGGCCCTCGCGATCCTTCGGCCCTCTTCACGGTCATCCTCGTCGTAGATGCTCAGGCCATAGGAGGCGAGGAACTTAAATTCGCCGTCCCAGTGGCGCTTGAGCCACTCCTTCTCTTTGGCTGTGTAGCCCGGCGACGGCATCGTGGATGTTTTGTTTTGTGAATATCTAGTCGTCGTCGTCTTTACGCAGTATAATGGGAAGCGGTGCGGGGTTGCTCTGAGACCGACCGGGAGTTAGTGGGTAAGTAGGTGGGGAGGTACTTTCAAGTGCCCTTGAAAGACCATGTTGATGGTTGCAACTGACCGTTATCCGCCCAGCCGCAATGATTCCAGTCGGGGAGGTAGCGGTTGACTGCCGTGTGTACCAAACTGTTGTTCGTGGCAGGAGAGAAGGGGGAGCCACGGGAGCTGACAGCTGTGCGGAAGATGGTGGGGCCGTTACCTCATATGCGAGGATACCCAATGAGGATGGTTTTCGGCCGTGGAAGGTGCGTACCTAGGTAGGTATGCATCAACGGAATAATCACAGGTACTTCCTGGTTGCCCAGTTCCTCGAATCCGTCTTGAGTCCCCTCGCGGTTTGTCAAGAAGTGTTGGCATCGTGCTTGATCATGTACCTAATCCCTTGTAACTATTGGTTAAACAAGGTAGTCGGATGCATGTTGAATCTACTCAACCGAACGAGCTTCACGCTTGTCATTGTCTTCCCTAGAATAAACATCACGAGTTTGACAACCTGGATTAGACGGCGGACAGGAACCCTGCCGGAATCCCTGATCTTCCCCTGGTGGTTCCTGATAAATAACAACACCCGCTCGTATCGAACCATGCAGTCACGAGTCACGACCTGGTCATAGAATAACACAACAAGCGCTATTAAGAAGCGGGGGGTTGGTATTGTCTATCATCCCCCGTATTAGCGTGTCCAGACGTTGAATTCAAGTGTTCACGCTTACGATGTCGACAGAACAGTGCATCAGGTACTTTCTTATATGGGCAAAGCCAAATCTTCTCGCAGATATCTGGATTGTTGATCAGTAAGAACACCCATTACGTGGTACCTTTAGGTCGAGACTTATCTACATCCTCCAGAATCACACTTACGGGCTCGGCATGCCTCCGCACCATCCCATATCACTGTTCCATGGCATTGTTGACCCGCCGGCCCGGTTGCTGTGCAAGTGTCTATTCTCATGTCAGTACTCGTCCCGCTGTTAGAGTGATTGTGCAGGCTCCGTATGGCGAGAAGACTGGATCATCTCCTTCCTTAGGTACCTAGCTACTTACGTTTTTGACAGCAAATGCTTGGCTGAACCGGAGGGTCGTTGCATTCGTGATGCGCACAAGTCGTCATATTACCAGGAAGTTCTCCGAAAGGCGTACGGGCGACGGCTTGACGTGTCCGCAAATGTGGCAGATATTGTTGAAAGCACTGGCAACAGTTGCGGCCAACGGAACTAAGCGGGGGGCTGAGCAGACCTTGCCTGGCACCTCCCCCCCCCCCTCCCCCCCAATCTGGACAAAAAATACAGGGCTCCAAGTGTCGATGGTGACCAATCGTCGACTGTGGGAACAAAACAAAACCTACCCGGAAACCTAAAGAAGGTGTCATCTCTCCGTTTACTTTTATTTCACTTGATTCTTTTTATTCTATGTATTTTACTCGATTTCCTTTCTTGATTTCTTGCTTTCCCTTCGACTTGGCTTTCTTTTGGCCAGACAGGACCCTGCTTTCCCGAGGACAAACAGCCCACACCAATCATTGCGCACGCCTTGCACACGTCCCTTTCAGCTCCCCCCGGGCACAGACAAACCGCAAACACTGCCGTAGGTGCTTCCATAGGAGTGATGGCAACGCACAGACCGCGAGTTCGACTTCAGATGGTGACCATTACATTATTATACATAGCATACGGTGATGACAGATGACCCCGGATGTCGCCACAATGCTCTAGCACAATCCCCTTCGGTTGGGTTAGGATAGGGCTAGGGTAGGGCTACTGTCTGCTGTCTTCATTGTTCTCACACCTCGGAACATACCATAATCTTGCCGCTACCACAATTTTAGTCGGCCCTTCACTCTTTTTATTCTGTTGTGACGAAAGCGGCTAACCAGTCACCTACTGTCACTTTCTCTCCTATTGTTGAATTTCTCCCAAGTCCCAAGATGACGGTCGACATCTTCACCGAGTTCCGGTCCGAGGACATCACGGATGCCATGTTGGACGATGCAGCCCGCCTCTTCAGCGAGCAGTACGGAATTTGGGGCGTCCACCCTCCCAACCGCAAGAGCGGAAAGCCAGGTATCACTTCCCCAGCTTTCTGCTCTCCTGGGTTGCTAACATCAGAACCAGGGACTCGTATCAGGATGAGTGCCTCGCAGCTTCGGAGCCAGTGTTTGCCAGAGGGCGCCCGCTGCTCCTACGTAAGCGCCACCGTCGATGGCACCCTCGCTGGCCATGCATTCGCCTGCCGCTGGGATTACAAGAACATGCAGGTGTGCTGGGTCACCCAGCTCGTCGTCCATCGCGACCACAGACAACGCCGCCTCGCGACCCGCATTATCGAGAAGGTCCGCAAGACCGAGGACGAGATCTTTGGCATCATTAGCGCACATCCGGCCGCGTGCATGGCCATGTCTAAGGCTTGCGCGGGTAAGTGAATGGACATGCAAATAGTAACCGTGGCGGTATCGCCGAGTCGCACCCTTCTGATGCCACTGTTAGACACCTCTTTCCCACACTTCCGCCACCCGTCTGCTCCAGAACAAGTAGCGATTATGACCGCATCTCCGATCGCCCATATCAGGGAAGCAGAGCTGCGCGGCAAGCTTTTCGTGCCCGCCGACGTACACACTGGCCTTCATTCCGGTGTCGATTCCAACTTTTTCGTCGACCACGAGGAGCCGTTCGCCGCCCTTGCGTGGCTAGAATGGGAACGTCTGTGGCCGCTTGGCGCCTTGCCCGACGGCCACGAGTATTTACTAGTCTTCACGTGCAGGTCGTCACGCCTTGAACGCGCCAAGTTTCTACTCGAACCGCGCCTCAAGATGCCCAGTTTCACCTAGACGTGTACCACTATTAAGGGGTGGGTTAGACGGCTTTGGCGGCTCGGAAACGGTACCAGGCCTTACCGATCATGTTCATGATTCTGCGCCTTGGTGTTGACGAAACGCAACGGGTCAGGGATCTAGGGACCTGATCGGCGTTCCAAGAACCTGCCAGTGATGCAAGGAAGTTTCCAGATAACGTGTAGCATTCTTTATGCACGCATCATCCTTCTGAGCCTAAAGTTGGTTTCTTTTGCTTCTATACGTCATGACTCCGGGCGCCGGGCCGGATGTGGGCCAGGATCGGCATCCCCGTCCGCCCCGGGATGCAACCCCTCAACGCCGTGAAAGAGACGGGAGAGAGTGACAATCCGTGAGAGTAAAAGAAAGGAAAGGAGATATCTGGGTATCACAAAAGCTCCAAGAGTGATAAAAAATCAATTTTTATATTTTCTAGAGACGATTCTCGAGCCACAACACGGTCCCGCGTTTTAGAAGACCGGAGTAGACTCGGGGTCGAATACCCCTTTCTCCCCGCCGAGACGGCTGGCCGTCGAGATCACAATTGGCCCCGCGATTCCTTGGATGACGTGAGGATCATCCCCCACTGAGCGTCAACGACGACGCATTCGGAGCACTTCCTCCTCTGACACCAGTCGTATACAGGTTTCTGGAAGAACACCATCAGTGAAACTGGTTGTATAAAGCCGGCACTCGAACCCGAGCCAGTTTGTTCCCCCGGACATTGTCACATTGTTCTCTTTCGACCGACCTCTGCTGTTCCCCGCAGCCCGTGTTAATTTATATCAAATGAACACCGCGGCCAGAGCCCTGCGTCTCGCAACGCGACAGCGCTTGGGCACTCGCATCCCTCAAACAACCACCAACTTAAACCCCCTCGCTAGATTCGCAGCCACGAGAACCATGCACACCCCGCGCAAAGAACAACAAGTGTGGCCCACGGACACCACAAGCCCGGAGCCACGTTCACACCCAAACGTAGGCAACAAACCCGCGATAGACGAAAACGTTGGCAAGAAGGGGTTCGCCGACTTTAACGTAGCAGGCAAAGTGTTTGTCGTGACCGGTGGTGCTCAGGGGCTGGGTCTAACCATGGCCGAGGCGCTGGTCGAGGCAGGCGGCAAAGGTAAGCCAACGGCCAATTACACACACCTACAACCACTAAGCTAAAACACACCCCAGTCTACGCCCTCGACCGCGCGCCCGAGCCCGACGAGCAATGGGCGGAGGCCATCGCGCGGGTGGTCCCCTCCCAGGGCGGCTCGCTGCACTACCGGCAACAAAACGTCGCCGACACGACCCGCCTGGACGAGCTGATCGGCGCGATCGCGGCCGAGAACGGGCGGTTGGACGGCGCGGTGGCGGCGGCGGGCGTGCAGCAGGTGACCGAGGCGCTCGACTACACGCCCGACGACGTCGCGCGCATGCTGGACGTCAACTACACGGGCGTGTTCATGACGGCGCAGTCCGCCGCGCGGCAGATGTTTCGGTACAAGACGCGGGGGAGTATTTGTTTGGTGGCGAGCATGTCGGGCATGGTGGCGAATAAGGGGCTGTTGAGCCCCGTGTATAACTCGAGTAAGGCGGCGGTTATTCAGTTGGCGCGGAATTTGGCGATGGAGTGGAGTCCGGTGAGGGAGGATGGGGCCGGGGGGATTCGGGTGAATTGTATTAGTCCGGGGCATATCTTGACGCCGATGGTGTTGAAGAACTTTGAGGAGGTGCCTGGGCTGAGGGAGACGTGGGAGGGGGAGAACATGATGGGGAGGCTGGCCGAGACGACCGAGTTCAAGGGGGCCGTGTTGTTCTTGTTGAGCGGCGCGAGCAGCTTTATGACGGGGAGTAATCTCGTTATTGATGGGGGTCACACTGCATGGTAATGGCCGTCTGGGCAAGGGCCACAACGTGGCAAAGGGGTTCTTTTGTTTAATGTAGGGGATCACGGAGAGCGAGCATTCATGTTAGTTTAGGTCTCAGAGCATCTAATTCGACTATTGTTTTATATATATTTACTGGGAATGAATTTTACCCGACCACGGGGGCTATTAAAACAAGCCTTCGACAAACTTCATGGCACTATGAAAGGGAAGACTTGACGCCCCCCATCTGCCCTTTGGCCGCGTTCAATAGCTATCATGCTCAGAAAAGTCAAAAGCAGCCAGGTGCATTTCCCCAACAACCCTCGCCATCCTCGCCTGCTTCAACTCGTTCTCCATGTCAGCCATCCAGACCGCGTCGGCGCACTCGCATTTGGAGCCGTGGAGCAAAGCGTGCCAATGTTTTGCTTTGTTTTCAAGGGGCGTTAGCGTGCTGCGGATCTTGCCACCAGCTATTTTCAGAGCTTTACCGACATATGATCTGACTTCCTGCCAGTTAATATCTGCCGGAGCGGCGGTATCGGATCTCAACAGGTGACCCAGACCAATTTTCTCAAACATCTCAGGGTCGTGTTCCCCCGGCTGCCAAGTGGCCTCCGGCGCGACCTCTGGGGTGGATGGAGGTGATTCTGTGTCGACCGCCGTGGTAGAACGGTTGGCGTCCCCTCCCGGGAAAGAGAAGGCCGGTTGCGGTGAGGGATCATCACTCGCAGATGATACGTCTAATGCCATGTTCAGCACTGAACGCCTTTTCGTGACCGACAGGTCTTCTTTCCCGTCCGGGTTATGCACACTTCCGTTCGGCCTGTGGTGCGTTACCGGCCCGCCCTCGGCCCAGTACCCGTCCACCGTCACAAGCATCCACGGTCCATGAATCTGTTGTTTCATTCTGATTGACATGTCCATGACGGTCGGATTCAGTGCATTCTCGATATTCGCCGTCACAACAACCAAAGCGTTCTCGCGCTCCACCTTGAGGGCTATGTTGCGTGACTCAGCGATGAAATCCATGTACCGTCCTGATCCTGTCTCGTCTTCCTCACCTCCTTTGCCGTACTTCTCCTCCAGGCTTTGCGCCCATCTGATAAGAGGCCTTAGGTCTGGCGGTGTTTCCTTGTCGCCGGTACTCTTCCATAGAAAGACTACCTTAGATATGCCATCACAGAGCTTACGCAATGCTTTCCGGCCCGGATGGCCGTGCCCGAAGTGGTCGCCCTGTGCGATGAGAATGGAGTAGAAGTTATCATATAACTGGTTCAAGTCGTACACCGGTTCAGGGCTATGGGTTGACCTTTCGGCGACATCCCAAGTATCCGGTGCGTCGTGAGCGAAACGGGCGCTGCCGAAGTCGCCCACGTAAAAGTCAGGCAGGATAGTATCCCGCCGCCAGTTGATCCAGATGTTACCTGCGTGAGCGTCGCGGTGGTAGAGTGGGTCGGGGCCAGCCGTGTACATCCAGTGAAATGTGCTGAGGACCTGCCGAATCATACGCGCAAAGATTGACGTCGGTATGCATTGGGTATCGATTGCCGGTCTCTCCCACCGCCTTTTGAGGCTACCCCCGTTACAGAGCTTCCAATACGAGACGGAGTGGTACATGGACCGGCCTACTAGGTCTTGGTGCTTGGATTCGATGTACTCATGCCCGTAACAATCAACAATGTAGCATGGGAAGCCCACCTCAGGGGCCTTGAAGGTCTTCCTAATGGCGTCCACTATCCGAATCTCGTTCGGCTTCTTCAATTGCCTCCGCGTTTCGCCCACGTTGGAACGACCCAAGCGAAGTCTACGCTGGTGAGCTACCTTGCGTACCAGGTTCATGTCCGTTTTGACATCCTTGACCAGCTGGGCCACAGACTCTGCCCCATACCCAATGTTGCGGATGAAGAGGAACCGCCGGCCGTCGGTCTCGAACATGTACATGTACTCTTTCTCGCCTCCTGCGTCGTCACCTTCGGCTGGCCCCGTCATGATATCGGTACCGGTGAGTCCCGGGTGACGACGCGGGTGCTTGCTTCAATGTTCGCTTTCTGGTATTGTGTGTAAGGGGCATGGTTCGTTTTTCCGCTTCGGGCGTTCTGATAGGTGTCTCGCGATTTAAATGTTTAAATTAGAATGTAAAGTCAGAGACTGGAGTATTGTTCGTCTTCTTAGTACTGTGGCCCTAGTAAGACATGGAACATTCTGCACTATTCTCAAAGCAAGTCAAAGGACAATCACGTTCGGGAGGTCCAAGGCATCAAAGAGGGCCATAACTGTAGTGGAAAAACCAGTCAATGCCCACTATGCACAATGAGGCAAAAGGTCTACAGCTGGTTCCTTACTGCAGTGCGCCGGGCCAAGGAGCAGTTTTTCAATCCCCTCAAAAACATCCCGAGCCCAGTTGATGTTGCCATGGCGGCGTCTCACTGGTGGGAATCATTGTTGTAATTAACTGTCCTCGAGCCCACACCTGCTTAGTGATTAGTCCTCACCTACAAGTACAAGTAGTGGAAGGCATGAGGCGATGGCTTTGAAGTTATCGATTTCCCTATGTAAAGAGGCCCGGCGCGCCAAGTTGTTGTCCCAGACAACCCCAACACACCAGCAGCCAAAAGCATGTACAACCGAAGAATTCTAGGTCTCTCTATCCCGCCGACCCTTGCAAAGGGCGGAAACTAGCTGTCTCACAGCCGGCCCCGGAAACGTCTCAGCCGGCAGGGACGCACAGGGCGTCGTCGTCGAAGACGCCGCACTTCAGGCCAGCACAGCAGTCGGCGTCCACTCGGCAGGAGGTCAAAATTGAGTGACAGGCCTTTTTGCCGCGTTAGCCTTGTCCTTCGCATACCTATTAAAGGATTAATGATCTCATAGCGTCACTTACTGCCTTTCCAGAGAAGTCCACGACCGCAAACTGTGCCTGAGCCTGGCGTCTCGGGAGGGCCATGCTGGCGACCAGGCCGAGCAGGAAGAACAGAACGAAGTGAATCGAGGACCTCATGTTGCCGAGCTCAAAATGAACGAGGACCTGCCAGATTCGAAAACAAGCACAACTTCTCCAGCCTGGGAGAAGAGAAAGGAAGAAAAGGGGAGCCGAAAAGCGTAAAAGAGGCAAAGTAACGGCGTATGCCAGTGCCAACGGCTCTCGGGGGCTTTTACTGTGTAAGAATGCCACCTCTCAACTGCCTGCCTGCCCCTCTGAAACGGATTGCCAAGGGCCGTGTTTGCCAGTCAAACGTCAGCGGTGGGACTGGCATGGAGAAGTTCGTCTGAAGGATGCTGAAATCTGAAACAGCGTGGAGCTGTGGGGATGCACTAACGCGAGACCACCCGTTAGTCCCGCAAATCATGTTAGTGATTTTACAAGTGTACAAACGAATGCATTGAGGGGAACCGTTTCAGGTTAAATAGCACGCCCACAAAGGCGCAAGCGTGTGCATGGCGCTCCCATCGGTCTGACCCGGTTCGAGAGGCGCGGGAGGGATCGGCTGGATCATCCGATCGTCGCTTTTCTTAGATCCAATCGTCAGGGTGTTGGCCTGTTGTTGGATGGCAACAGAGGAATGGCGGATGTTGGCTGGACTTCATTCGCTCCACTCAAGGCCAACTGCTTACTCTGCGGTGTGAATGTGGCGGGATGGGCACTGCAAAGGTGTGATGAGCGGAAGGTCAACCAGAGGACCGGGCCGAGGAGAAGTTTCGGAAGCCGCCGAACAGGCCCTGGCCTCGGCCACTGACAATTTCAACTTTCAAGGTCGGTGGTGCGGACCATACATAATCTGTACCTACCTCGGTACCTATCTATCTACATTGCTAACGACCAAGGCATCCCATTGTAAATGACTTGGGTTGTCTTCGGATTGAAACTTCTACCTCTTGTCGGCCAAGAAATACCAATCTACCTTCCACATTAACTGACTATAGTATTGACAGTACCAGATAAGTACCGATGATTCACACTTTCCACCGAGCCCAACTGTAATTCTTATCATTATGCACATTGCCCAACCCTTGCCCCTTCTCAAACGGCAGGAAACCAAACTTGGCGGCCTATCCATGAGATCCACGATTCTTTAGGAGGACCTTTTCCTATGGGATCGTGTGGATCAGGTGTGTGTTTTGCTCTTTTCATCCATCCTTGCGTTCGGTGTTCCTCTTCGCAACGCTGCATAGTGATGAGGACAGACTGCGCAAGCTGTGGTGGAAAGACGCCGTTTATGTCATCCATCGTCAACCGATCGGCGTGCTTGATATCGGCGCCGGCCCGCAGCAACATTTCGACAATGGCGGCGATGGGATCAAGCTGCCAGGTGGGCATATCGCTGCTGGACGGTGCTCTGACTTCTTGGCTAAACCAAGACCACACGGTACGCGTCCCTTTGTATTTCGCATTCGGATTCGCGCCGCCCGAGAATAGCGCCCGGAGAAACCTGAGCTGACCGCTTCGAAGCTTTGGTGACATCTCAAGGTTCCGAATTATGACCTCGAACAGAGGTCCCCAAATGACATCACCGCGCTCTTCCGTGAGGTTGATGTTGTTGGTATGCATGAGCAAAAGTTCAAGCATCTCCACCTCTTCCCCCATGTCCAATGTAATTTTCTCTGGATGAAGACCGCGCTCTAAGACAAAATGATGCTTTCCGTAAAGATAGCCAGCCCAGATTCCATCGTCCACCCGAGAACCAGTCTCAAGGAGCGTCCTTGCAACGGCGATACTGTCTGCTACGTCGCCATTGATCTTCTTCTTGCGGGGTTGCAGGGCCAGCCGCAGAATTGCGACCCGGTTCTGGAACCCGATCGAGCGAATGCCGGTGTGGTGTTTCACGTAGTGGGAAAGACCGTTGCGCAGTACCAAGTCCATCATCCGTACCGACTTCTCGCCCACCATGCTCAACTCCGGCACAATGCGGCCCAGCCTGGTGATAAAGTCGACAGCAGCTTCAGGAGACTCCTTCTCGGCTTTTCCGCCGTAGAACATTGCCTCCTCGACGAGGCTATTGGAGCACAGCGTCAAGTCCGCGCCCATAGATATGAATTCGATAAGCTCAACGTGCGCGCCGAGCACAACAGTGTCGACTGGATAACCCCCCAGGATCTCGTCTAGGAACTGGCCCATCTCCGCGGTCAACAGAAAGTCCCTAACCGTACGGTGAAGAAACGTGACTTTGGCGTCCGAGTGGCCCAGACTTGCAGTCTTCGTTTGGTGGCTCGAGATATGCGACTCTAGTAGCCCCTTGCTGCGTGCATTTAGCCTCCTCCGGGCCAGTGACAGTCGCTTGGTAATCTCCGCGTCCGATTTGTCCAAGCTAGTTTCCAGAATCGAAGGTTGTTCCAAAGCGCTAAGTAGACTGCGCTCGAAATGATCGTCGAGAAATGAATAGAGCAGTAGAGTGGGCACGCCGGGAGCTTCGAGGGCGGCGCGGAAGTACAAAGCCATTTGGGTGTGGTAGATAGCCGGAATGGAGGTTAATATGTGCCTGAAAAACGGACCAAGCTCACTGGGGAGCTCTCTCGTTCTCTTCTGGACTACAGAAAATGGCCGTTAGCTCAGGTTGTCTCCTTTCAAGCCTGACAAGTCAGGGGCAGGTTGGGATGTCTCGGGCGTGAGTGACACTTCCCGAGACGCCCGGGGTGGCCGTAAATTACAAAGGAAGGGCTCAATAATGGTGATTTGCTACTCACGCAATATGATGGAATCTCCGTTTGTCAAGCCTTCTTGCACCGACCGGACGACAAGTGACACCCATAAAAACACGCCCTGGGCTCTCTCGGTAATCTCGGAAGTTAGGTCCTGGTAACGAGGATCCCTAGCAGTTTCGGTTTTCCAGTGTATGTTCTCCTCCAGGGTGGATGAAATGTACCGTTCGATGTCGCGTCGCGTGAGTTCGTGGACGTATAGCTTTTTCTGGGCGTCCAGACCAAGCGAGTCCTCAAAGACATTCCAAGGCCGACTGGAAACACAGAGCTTGAAGTTCTGACCATCCGCCAAAGTATTGACAACCTTGAGAAGGTCTAGATGGTTGCCGCTGTATTCATCTAGGCCATCGACGAAGAGACAGAAGCGTATCGGTACTGCCTGTGTCGATCCTAGCCGAGCAAGCGCGTCAATCATCTCTGGGACCGTCCACGGTTGCAGCACGTCACCGCTTCCAGGGCCGCGGTATCGTTGGGTTTGAGGCCCGTTCTTCAATGCCTCCCAACGCTCCGGCGCCCCTATCGGGATAAGCTCAGGATTCCGTGCGAAGATGTCAAACAGAAGTGACCGCAGCAGGCCTTCAATGGACTTTTGCATTCGCGTCCCGGCGTTCCAGAAGTAGCACGCTGCTATAACACACGTGTTTGGATACGCCCATCGGCGGAGGGCGGTTTGGACTTCGTGGCTGTTTACCATGTACTTCATCAAGGTTGACTTCCCGGATCCGGGCTTTCCAGATACCCAGTAGATACGCTCACCAGTGCGGAGCCACTCCAGTATGGTGGGTTTAGGGCGCTCCAAGCCGTGGCCTTGCTCCGCCGAATCCGGGGGGGCAGGTTTAGAGTGGTTCAAGCGACGACTCTCACCCGCCGAGTCCGAGACGAATAGCCACTTAAAGGTTTCCTTGTGGGCTTCGGGGATAGACTCATGGCGCATACTCAACGTTTCGTAGAAGAGGGTCTCAACGAGTGCGTGTTCGGCCCCCCAATGCCTCTTGGACGCCGCCAGAATTTGGTCCAACTGCCTGGATATTGTGGCGAAGGAGATCGAATTGTCCTTCGTGCCAACAATAAGCTTATCGGTCGCTGTCTTGACCTGGTCCACCAAATCGGTCACACCCTGCAGCTGCCGCGGATGATCATGGACGAGATGCGAGGTCGTGCTCTTGAGCTCTTCGAGATGGCGAAGCACACTGGATTGCTTTCGGGTCGTGACAGCGTGAAGACTGAGCAGCAGGTCTTTGCGATTCTCATTGACCGTTTTCTGGAGACTTGTGATGCGAGGCTGGCTGGCCCAGTTCTTGAGCGACAGCCGGATGCTGGCGGCTCGGCCCCAAGACGATTTCGAACTTCCGGCTTTCATGTTGTTGAGCTCTTTGTGCAGGTTATCGGCGGCCTCCTTGCATCGCAGAGCGACTCGTGCGAGCGTAATCTCTTCCTCCATGGGACGCCTTTCGGGAGGGAGAGCACCGAGTTCGGCCGGCGACAGGGGTGGGACCAACCCGCTCGTCAGCTTTTCGAGGAACAGGCATGTTTTTTCGACGCCCTCGAGCTCCTTGGTGTTGCCGGTCGCCGAGTTGTGAATTTCGTTCGCTTCGAGAGCAATTTCGCGTGCGAACTGGAGGAACTGCAGGATGTTGCTGGCCAAGCCGACCGCGGCAAAAGCCTCCATGTCGCGAGATGGTGTGCGCGCACCGGTTTGCGCGTCGGTTTGCGCGATGCTGTTGAATGGGGAAAGGTTAAGTGCGAAGAGGGCAAGCATGGAGTTCGAGGCTCCCCCGCAGAATCATCATTGGCATCCCACTGGACGCCCCCGCCAACACTGCCCAATGCATGCTAAGCCACACATTAGGGGCTCTGCTTGCTTTGGGAGATGCGACACGTGGACTGCACCAGTTGGAACGAGATGGTTGGGCAAAATAAACCACCGACACAATAGTGAGATTTGGCCACTGGAACTGCTGGGTGGGCACGGATGTGCGTATAGAGGACGGAGTCAGAATGGCTTTTTCTTTTCCCAGAGGGTGCCTGAGCCAAGTCATAGGTACGAAAAAGGAAACCCGTAAGCCCGGATTCGTCTCGCAGAACATGTATTCGTAGGTACACAACCCCGTCTATTTCTAATATTAACAAAAGATCAAAAGGTATCAAGTGCTCGGAAATCACAAAACAAAGGGAACTACCCCTCACCCAAGTGACCCAACCAAGGCCATCAGACAACCTGTTGCCCTGGCTTCCCGCCCAACACATGGTGGTACCCATTCTCTTCCCAGAACGGCTCGCCACGGCGGTCCTTCTCGCACATAGCCACGATGCCGAACGGGTCCACGACGGTCATGACCAAATTCCGCTTATCCGCCCAGCCGGGCCCATCCAGCTCCGTCTCGCCGTCCTGCGCGAGATAGCGCTTGTAGCTCTGCGGCAGGTAGAAGCGCGGGTGACGCGCATTCCACATCAGCACGTTAACCAGCATGGGCGCAGCCTCGAACACCCAAAAGAACCACTCATAACGAATGATCGGACTCAGACTGCGCCAGGCCTCCTCCCCCGGGCCACCGGCACCCGCACCGGCCACCACCATGGGCGCGGCAAAGTGCTCCACGGCGCGGTAAATCGTGCGAGCCAGGATGAGCAGCATGCTGGCGTAGAGCGAGTAGAGCACGGCGCGGACGCGCGGGTGGGCGACGCCGGCGCGCGCGCACCGCGCGTGGAAGAGCCCCGCCAGCGTGTAGAAGAGCACGATGACGGCCAGCTGCAGCGCGAGGGAGGCGCGTAGTAGGTTGTGGCCCAGCTCGTAGTTCTTCCCCTCCGGCGTCCGGCTGGTGGCGAGGTAGGCGACTCCGAGCGCGTTGAGGATTTCTACTACGGCTGAGAGCGCGCCGAGGGTTGTGAGCACCCGCCCCGGGTGGATGGGCGAGAAGTAGGGGACGTAGTAGAGCGTGCGGCCGAGGATGTGGTAGTTGGCGAGTTCGAGAATGGGGCTGGTGGGGCGGGTTAGTGTTGGTGGTGAGTGTTTGGGAGGAGTGCGGTGGTGGGTGGGCCAGAGACGACTCACGGTGACATGTAGATGAGGAGGGTGCTTGCGAGGTAGACATTGACGTTGCCATAACTGAAGGCGCCGACTTCACGGAGGATAAAGCCGGCGGTGAAGAGGACACAGCAGAACGGTAGGTAGGCGGTTACTCGAAAAGATTTGTAGTGACTGTCGAAGGGTTAGATCGGCTGTCGAAGGTTCGCGAAAGGGGCTCCGCGAAAGGGGCTCCCCTCTGTTCTCCATCCGTACGTACAAGCACTGCCAGAGATGCAATATCCCTGAAACACCAAACAGGACAGCGAAAGGAATAGGGGCGATATTAGTCGGGGCGTAGAACCACACGCTCCCGAGAACTGGACCCATTGTTAGGAATAGGTCGACGACCACATGCTGTGAGATAAGGGGGATTTACCCGGTGCGCCATCCGCCATGTTGGCTGTAACCCGAGACGGTAACACGCAGGCAACGGTCGTCGTGTCGAGGAATAGGATTCACCTTATTCGTACAAGTAGAATATTACAGACAACGGATAGGATATGTTGAGAGAAAGAGAATGGCGCTGGAATCGACTGGAGAGCCGAGTTTGATGGTTACAAATCAAAGCCAAGGGAACCGTTACCTATCAGTTATATATCACGAGTCTGTCATGATATGAATCATCTGATCTCACCCGATCTGCCTTGCAAGTCGCTGATATCTCCCCTAATCCAGTTAGAGAGCTGTGCCATGGGGCTGCTGCAAGGTGCTTCCCCTGCACTGGGCCCCTGCACTGACTGGGATTGAAGCCACCCAGCAATGCCAACATGCGGGCGGCGCCTGCGTGGAAGCGTGGCAATGGATCGGGAATCCCGCTGCGCGCTGATCGTCGGCGCTGTCCTCTCAGAGGGTGAAACCCGAGTCGTCCCCACAAATTCAAGCTGCAACCTGGAATCATTCATTCTGACTCATCCACATCCGAGGGGGAGGATCGACCTGCACAGTTACTTCCTAATCGGGACAATAGGGTGGCCAAGAGATTTTTGACTTTGCGGGAAGGATCCGCCGACCACAGCCCCAGGGCTGGATTGATTCCAGGACAATTTGACCCACCCTTGACGCGCCTGGGCGACCCTCCCCCACGCGCTCGTGCAAGGCAAAAGTCCTAAGTTTGGATCCATTCTTATGAAGACGGGCCGCCGTCGTGGGAGGTTTCGACTGGGAGACTCGGTTACCAACTGAGTACAGAATAGGAAAATAGTCGGCATGTCTGAACGCACCACACCCGATCCGTTGGCCCCCGAACCAACGGCCGCAGCCACTACCGACCGTACCGAACGCCAACAGTGCTGGGAATGTCGTCGCCGGCGTCTGGTTTGTGACGGCACCCAGCCCGTCTGCATGAAATGTCGTGCCGCCCGCATCGTGTGCCCCGGGTATGCAGACAAGAAACCGTTGACTTGGCTCGCCCCGGGCCAGGTCATGTCACGTACCCGGAGGAAGAAGAGCCCGAATTCAAAAGCCACAAAGGGGGGGAAAGTGCCGCCCCCACGCAAGGCTTGCAACGGAGCCAAACGGAAACCCGAAAGCAAGTCTCCGTCGATGGCCAGTGACTCTGGTGAAGACTCACGGAGCGACGATCAGGGGGATATGGTCGAGTTTGGACGACCTGTCGAGCTCCGGGGCGAGGTCTGTGATATCTTCGAGGCCATGATGTATTGTATGCACAACCCGTCCCCAATTTACCTAGCTCGACGCTCATTAGTTCCTTTTCGCGCTAGACAATGGCCACATCTACCCGCAGCTGGAAAAGTATCAACTCGCCCCGAGTGGCTTCTTGTTCCCGATATTGTTAGTGCGGGATCTCCCCCCATCCATCGTCCACACTCTGGTATCTGTGGTTGTGGGCCACCGCATTACCCAGGTGGTGGAGGACCCCACCACAAGCCAGGTCGTCAAACCGATGTGGACGCGCCTCTACCGCCACCGTGACATTGCCGTGCGCGAAATCACCAGGCTAGTCGCAAACGAAGCATCGCGGAAGGAGATGACCACATTGGTTGCTGTCTACACCCTTCTCTTTGCCATGGTAGGTCATCAGAAATCGTCCAGCCGAAGAACCACTCGTCTCTGATATCCTGCAGCTGCAACAGTCCTTCACCCCCGGTTGGCGGACCCACGTCGACGCATACATGAGTTTACTCCACCTCCATGGCTCGTTCCAGGATGTACTTCGTGACCACCCCTTTATGGAACTCAGCATGATGGCGCTATTCATGTACGTCGGCCCGTCCCTAACCTTATTGTCTCCCACTTACCCCTAACCCCTCCCACAGCGTTGGCATTTTTGCCAACACCACCAGCCCCAACAACAACCAATTCCAAGTCGCCAGCACGCCCGAAACCCTCCGCATCGCCGAAGCCTACTACACCGAGAGCTACTACCCCTCCATCAACTGCCCGCCCACCCTCTTCTCCAACATCATCCTCATCAACGACCTCCGCTCCCACCTGCCGTCCCCCGAAACGACTCGCTCCGCCAAGCTCATCCTCGCCCGCATCGAGGACTTCTCCCCGACGGCCTTCAGCGCGGACAAGGAGGCGTTCGAAGAAGAGTGGCAGCTCCTCGGCAGCATGTTCCGCGCGACGACGGCCCTGTACGCCATCCTGTCGCTGCAGTCGACGGGCGCCCTGCCGCGCTCGTCGCCCGAGCTGGGCCTGGCGCGCGCCCGCCACGCCCGCCAGCTGTTCGCGCTGCTGGAGCAGGCCCAGGAGGTGCCGCGCGTCAGGAAGCGCATGGTCTGGGCGCTGGTGGTCGCGGGCGTCGAGGCGGCGCGCGCGGGCGGCGGCGTGCAGAAGTGGATCGGCGAGCGCCTCGACGAGATGAGTCGTGACCATGGCGCTGCGGGCCCGCGGGTGGCGAGGGACACGCTGGAGAAGTTCTGGGCTGCTGGGGGTGGGACGTGGGATGAGTGCTTTACGGAGCCGTGTTGTTTTCTGATGTAGCATGTGGGATGAGAAGACGAGGTGGGATTTACACATGGGGAGGGTATAAACGGGTGGAGGTCGGTTTTTTAGAGGGCATATGCGTTGGAGTTTTGGTCCTGGCGATAAATCTCCACTTGGTTGGCCTTGGATATGCGGGTATGAACATGTCTCATGGCTGTCAGCCGGCCTGGACAGCACTTCTTCTCTCAGCTACTTACTTAAATACCACTACTACTTTCTCGCAACCTGCTACCTAATTCTGCCGTACTAATGTTGGGTCACCAGTCACCAGTCACCACTGCACTAACGTCAAGTAATCCACACCCAAGTGACGTTGCCCTAGGTAGGCAGTCACGGTTCGCACAACCCCTATGATACAACACAAGCCGACAGCACCGACCCGGAGGGAGGATATTCCTTCCCGCCTTTCTCAACCCTGGGCTCGCACGTACACCACTCCTCCCGAGGCACGCCGTCCATAACCTTGGGCACGTGCTGCCCGCAGCCAAACCATGTGGCCTTTCCTAGAAGGGGATGGCGTCAGGGAGTTATCAGGCGAAACACGGCGTCATAGAAGGAAGTAATGTGGGAATCGACGTCATGGCGGTGCAAGCTAGGATTGTCGGGAGGATTTGGAGCGGGACATACTGCAGGTGCCGCACGTCGTTTTGTGGCACATGATTGCTTGTTCTCGTATTCAGTTTCAGACCTGCTTGTGGGCTGTGGGTTGGGGTTGGTTGCCTGGTTGTTGGGAGGGAAGAACCGTGCATATGTGAAGACGGAGGATTTGACCTGATCTGGAAAGGTTGCTGTTAGGGCTGAGGGGTGAGGACCGTGAGGTTGGCTCGTTGGGTTGAGTTGGATGGAGTGCAACACCTCAGCTGGGTGGTTTGATTGGCCCAAGTGGCGGCAAAGTGACGCAACCTTGCTGGTGTGGCTTGAAGGGGCTTGGATCCTTCGACTGTCCTGGGATTGCGAAACTTGGAATCGTGTTTGCTGTTTTCGGAAGTAGTTCCCATAGAGGCTTAACTAAGCGGAGGAGATGGAAGATGTATGTGCCGAAGGATGATACTCTTATGAGGAGACAACTCGCAACCGTTAGTGTAACGCGGCCATTTGTCGAGATCTCCATAGCTAGTGTGTAGGTGTAAGAGAATATACTATATGGATATTGTTTAAAGGAGTTTGTAAAATAGCTTGTCTCCAAGTATCACCGCGCGTCAAGACTAGGTACCTAGGTAATTACCTACCTGTTGCTAAGATTACCTCCCCTTTCCCTATCCTTCATTTCTCTCTACGTTCTTATCTTTGAGCTAGGGTAACGTAGAAGGGCCTATCACCAGCGTTTCTCAACTCGGACACACGGTCTTGCACTATTGTATCATCTGCAGAAGATACATAATTATATTCCCAGTTGCTTGATAAGGCTCCAGGCGGGCGCCTTTAAGTTTAGTGTCATTGCCATCTCAATATGGCGGGCTACATGTGTATCAACGCCCCAATGATATGGAATCTTTATGTACATTTCCCATAACAGCGTACCTCACCTACAAACAATCCCGTATCCTCAGCACCCACCACCCAGCAACCCTTTGCCTTTCCCCTCTCCCTTCATCAACCCTTACCCTTGCCCTTACCCTGGCCCTAACCTCAACCCCAACCCAACTTTCACGGTTCACGTTCACTCATATTCACCCATTCACCCACCCACTCACTGCCCTCCCTCCCAACCGCCCATCCACCTCCGCATCAACACCTCCCCCCCCTCCATCACACTCGCCCCGACCCTCGGCACCCTCAACACGCCCCCCTCCACCAGCTCCTGCGCCAGCCTTGCCAGCAACCCGTCACACCCACGCGCCGCCAGCACGCTGACCGCCACCGGCAGCCGCTCCTCCTGCCCCGTCACAGTGCTCATCACCCCGACCTCGCCCAGCGGGAACACGAAATCGGGCACGCCGGCAAAGGAGCTGATGTGCGGGGCGGCGAAGCCGATGGGCACGACGGGGGGGCCCTCGTAGAGGTTGCGTGGCAGGGAGAGGCCGGTGCTGGCGGGGTAGAGGAGGAGGGGGGAGGCGGTGTTGCAGGTTTGGGTGGTGGTGGTGTTGTTGTTGTTGTTGTTGTTGTTGTTGTTGTTGTTGTTGTTGTTGTTGTTGTTGTTGTTGTTGTTGGGGGTGGAGGGGAGGAGGTGGGTGGTCAGCCAGGTGGCGAAGAGGGTTTGGGCGGCCAGGGCGGTGGTGAGGGCGCTGGGGGGGAGGGCGTCGCCGTAGGCCCAGCGGATGAGGGGGGTGGGGTTTATGAAGGGGAGGCGGTTGGCGTGCGCGGCTAGGGGTGGGGGTTAGTGCCTGCTTGGTGGGTGGTTTTGGAAGGGGTTAAGGGGGAGCTTACCGGCGTAGTCGCAGTAGAAGGGGTCGCGGAGGAGGGCGGTTTGCTCTTTGGTGATGATGGTGGCGTACGTGGTGTTGAGGAGCTCGCTGAGAGTTGCGTTGCCTACGCTGGCGGGCCGAGTGCCGGCCCATTTGATTTCGGGGTCCAGTGGGCTGGCAGTCCCGCTTACGAACTTGGCGAGCGCGTCGGCAAAGTCCTGGAGGAGCTTCACGGCTGGGTCGGAGCTGGGGTCGGGTGGGAAGCCGAGGGTATAGATTTGCTTGGGGTACTGGGGCTTTTCGCGGGCGAAGGAGGTGTACTTCTTGCCGTACATGGCTGCATTGGCCGCATCCCAGATGTACGGGTCACGCACTATGAAGCCGGGAGTGTCCAAGGTTGGCGCAAGGGGCATGACGTGGTCGAGTGAGACTAGGCCGTGGGAAGGACGGTTGCCGAATAGCCCCTGAATGCCGGCTGGCCCGCGGATGCTGCCGCCTGTATCGCTACCGATGGCAATGTCGAGCCACTCGTACGAAGAAATAGACGCACCCGCCCCGGAGGAAGACGAGCCCGCGTCCTCGTAGCCATCGCCGCGCGGGTTGAAGGGAGCGTGGTAGTCGACCCAGTCGGCTGTCGCAAACTCTCCGTTGGCAAACTGAGAAGTCTTCTGAAGGCCGACAATTTGCGCCCCCGCATCGATGAGCCTTTGGACGGCTGGCCCGGTGACATTGCTTGGCGGGTAGAGGTTGTACCAGGCTCTGTTACCGTTGGACCCTTTCACACCGGCAAGCCTGTATATATCCTTGACCCCGAGACGGACTCCGGCCAGTGGCTTCTCGGCCGTTTTCGTGAAATACAACCGGGACGGGACGCCGACGGAGAGGGTAGATGAGCCTGGTATTTTGGCCGACATAGGCTGGAACCCGCCGTCGGGGGTTGGGATCAGGGGCTCGGTAAACGCCCCCGCGAAATCCTCGTACAGGCGGTAGATCGGGTACAGCGAACCGGTGGCGGCCTCGAGGAAGTAGGGCCCGGACGGGATATTGGAGTCCTCGAAGTCAATCACGGTGGACGAAAGCCCGGGCAAGATTTGTCTCTTCGTCACTGTCACATCCCTAGCCCCCTTTCCACCCCCAGCGCCGGCCAAGAAGATGGCCTCGGAGAAGGCTGGTTGATAAACATCGTCGATAGTGGTCCAGTTCCCCAAGAGGTTTGGGAGATTTGAACTAGATACGCGGTCTTGGACGACAGTCACCGGTATGAATCCAATCACCTGAGTGACTTTGGAAAGCGAGCCCGTGGGAACATTGACTTTGCCTGTTGAGAAGGGCGAAACAAAGTAATAGACATCGTTGAGTATCACGGAGAAGCCGGTGGATGCGAGCTGAGCCGATGTGGTTGTGAGGGCGACGAGGAGAAACAGGATCAACAGACCCAGCGACCGAACTGATGCTGTCTCGACCGATCCGGCCATGGCGAGTTGGGGTATTAAAATGGCAGCACCACATTTCACAACCCAAAACTTCAAAATCATGGCAGCTTTGGTGTATTTATTTACTACGACAGCTCGAGGATCCTAACCCCGGCCCGTCAACTCGCTCCACGAACCCCTCACGTCATCCCCTTCTCCTGCCTTTCTCGTCAATAAGACGCCGTTGCTATTCGTATGTATCTTGATACCCCTGAATCAAATCTCACGTCGCTTACGACGATCATCGGGCATGCGCGGTCCGCGTTGTGGCGTCAGATTGGGTGACAATGCTTGATTTCGGTCTCGGGACGCCAGATTTCAGTACGGCATGATTGGGTTAAGGGAGCTTGGAACAAGTGTGACTTGAATTGAACCCCGAGCATCCCCGGGGGGAACGGATTTGAGGCAGGAGAATCATTTGAGTGGGAGGGTTATTTCCGCCTCTTGTGAAGGAGCTGCCAGGGGTGGTGTGGTACCAGGGGGTGGTGCTGCTAACAGAAGACGATGGCATCTCCGCCTTTGAATCTTAGTGGCGGGATTAAATGGACTTTGGGCGGCCCCCAACGCACGCTTCATGCCATCTCAACCGGCGGTGTGCTTGGCCCTCCAAGGAAGTGTGGAGGATTCGGCGCCGCCAGAACGGGATAGGCGAGAAGGAATAAAGCATGAATTGTAAATTCCCGATAAAATATTCAGGACCTTCAAAAACCTCCTTCCTGGTTCGGTCCCGGGGGGATAGGGGTTGCTCGAGGGAGTCGGAATCAACCGAGCTGCGGCGATGACCACCCGCCTCTTGACAACACCATATTGTTGAAGGCACTAATAGAACACCATCCGCATGGCAGTAAGCCTTTGGGAAGTGGCTGGACGGGGGAATGTGGATGTGACGCTATCACCGACTTTGCTGGCACCAGGTTCACCCCTTCCCCACCGGGCCACGGCCCGGAAGACTCGGGACAAGCAAGGACGTATCCACGAATCCCCGCATTGTCCCGCAGGGCCTTTCAACCGGTCCTATGTGCCATCTGGCGGATTTTCATGACATGCCGGAGTGATATGAGCTCGTAAAAACCACGGTGCTCGGTGTGTCTCATAGAAATGCTGGATCATCTGGGTGAGAGGCCTGGTGTTGGTGCTGCGGCCGCCGTCACGCTCGTCATCCTTCTCATTGCGTACTTAGCGCGCCTCAACCAACTCCTCCTCCGCACACCGGATGAGATCAAGAAGTTGGCATCGACGAGATGGAAAAGGGAGTTGCTGCGCGAGACATATCGGAGACTTGAACAACACCCGATAGAGACTCAGGATTATGTTAGCCGCATCCCTCCGAAGCTCGAGAGGCGGTACATCGTCACCGGAGGCTCTGGTGAGTCCGTTTTGCCCGCTATGGAACACAAATCCGACTTCGGCTAGTCCAACCCCGCCACTTCTGACAAGCTACCAGGCCTCGTGGGAGGTTACATTATCCTCCAGCTCCTCGAGCGCGGCCAGCCGCCGGAGAGCATCCGCATCGTTGACTTCAGGGCGCCCAACCGGGCTGATATGCTCCAGGGTCCGGCGACTCGCATCGACTTTGTCCAGACCGATGTATCCTCGGCCGACGCAACCGACGGGGCATTCAACAAAGAGTGGCATCCCTCCGTTTCCCACTTGCCCCTAACCGTCTTCCACACGGCTGCCGTGATCGTGCCCTCAGACCGGTCCAAACTGGTATCGGGTTTCTGCGAGGCCGTCAATGTCCGGGGCACGCAGAACGTCCTGGATGCCGCGCGGCGGGCGGGAGCCGACGTGTTGGTGTCGACCACGTCGGCGAGCATCAGCATCCGCCCGGTGGAACTTTGGGTCCCGCCCTGGAAGTTGCACTCAAAGACGTCGCCGCGCGATTACTGGCAGGTACTGGATGAAAAGGACTTCTTCGAGCCGCTGCGCAGCCATGGGGAGTTCTACGCAAACTATCCCGCGTCCAAGGCGGCGGCCGAGCGGATCGTTTGTGCGGCCAACTCCAAGGGGCTGAGGACGGGGTGCATAAGGCCTGCGAACGGGGTGTATGGGAACCCGACAGACAACACCGTTGGCGGAGCACTGGCCAAGGCTGTCTTGCCTACGTAAACAAATCCCTTTTTATCCAGTGTAGACGACGAGGAAGTCACTGACTGACCACATCACCAGATGGACCTCGCACATCGTGCAGAGCTTCGCGCATGGGGCCAACGTGGCGATCGCGCACCTGGACTTCGAGGCCATTCTCGCCGCTCCCGCGTCGGCCTCAGCGCCACAGGCTGGACGTCCGTTTGTGATCACGGACCCTAATCCTCCCACCCGCTACCAGGACCTCTACTTCCTCGTGCAGACCCTCGCCATCACGCGCTTCCGGACCGTTGCTCTCCAGCCGATCATGATGGTCCTGCTGTCATACCCCATCGAATGGTACACCCTCGCGCTGGCGCGGTTTCCCTTCCTGCGGAAAGCACTACCCGAGCTCACGGGCGAGGTGAAGCACCTTCAGCCCGGCATCTTCAGCATCTGCACCCACCTAGTGGCGTCAAACGAGGTGGCGAGCCGGCCTGTCAGCAGTGGCGGGCTAGGGTACACGGGCGTGATGTCGACGCTGGAGGGAATGACGCAGGAGGTGGTAGAGTGGAACCGCGACCATGAGGGGGCCGTCCTCGGGGAGCGGAAGGTGTACCAGACCAGCGTCTCGCTCGCCGACGAGATCGCCAGGGCAGCGGCGAAGATCGAGTCGGTCGCGAGGTGAGGCCGGCCGTCGGCGCGAAACAAAAAAGCTCCTTACGAGTAATTATCAGGGTATCAAACATTAAAAGACAATTAAACACCCCCCTTCACCCACAGCAAACCGTCGGCTCCTCCACCCCGGCCGCGGTATTCCCCCCCTTGACCGAACCATTCTCCATCCCCCCGATCACCACCGTCCTCGTCATCCAGTCGCACAAGAACTTGCCCAGCAGCGCACCGATCAAGATACAGATAATGATGTACCCGTTGTAGTACATAGCCAACAACATGACAATATACGCCAGCCCAAACGTCGCGGCATGAATCAGCGCCCTGATAAACTGCTGCAGCGGCGACGCGCGGAACGTCACGGTACGCGGGGCCTGCGTCTCCCCATCACCACCATCCCCGCCGTTCCTCCCCGCAGCGGGGCACGAAGACGAACTGGCACTGCCATCGGCACCGGTACCGGCGGCGGGCACGTTGGCGATGAGCGCGACGCGCGCGGCGAAATCGCGCTGGATGTGCTCGTCGTACTCCTTGCCCAGGCGCCGCAGCCCCTCGAGCACGACCACCATGAGGATCACCCCCAGGCAGGTCGCCGCGAAGGCGCCGTGGCTGGCGATTTGCCAGGACGAGGTGAGGAAACACGCGTCGATGGTGTACCAGTTCCAGAGCATCTGTTGTGGTCTCGGTTAGAGAGGGGGGAGGTTCAATCCGGGGCCGCCGGCGGGAATAAGCCGGGGATGGATTGTCAGTGTTCACGTACGGAAATCTTGCAGGCCGGGCCGGCGCCGCCGTCGCCGCCATGGTCGCCGTGGTTCATTTTGGGGGGGATTGGAGGGTGTTTCTCTGGCTCTCGGCGCGGCTTGGGGTGGTATTCTCGGGGCCAGGCGCGCCGGCTTGGTGTGGAGTGCGCTTTTGCGGAGGGAGAGAGTGCGACTCTTCCGAAGGAGCGGTTGGCACGGCAGGAGGGTAATATGGGGATGCCGGTAGGTGATGGGAGGTGCAGATTAAGCTGCAGAAACCGTTGGACGAGGGGAGGTCGGCAGGTGCTTTTCGGGGTGGTTTTTCGGGGGATTTGTCAAAAGAGAGGGGCGGGTTGTTGGGTTTATTTACGAGGTCGAATGAACGACTTCGCAACCAGGCTGGAAATTGGAGATTGGTGAACCGTGATGCAGACGGGACAATCTCGAGAGGGGGCCGGATCCGGGAGATCACCGAGTCGGCGCTGCTGCCTTTTAAAAACCCTCCATCCCGCGTCGAGTCCGTGGCACGGCGCACCCTGACGGTTCTGTTTCACGACTTGCTGGCTCAAAGTGGCGTAACTAACTTGCGCAACCCCCGGTAATTGTCTTGACTGGGCGAGCGAGTTCGAGCAGAAATGGGGGTCGTCTCTTCCGTATGTGTTCTCAAGCAGAACTGCCAAGATGGCGCAACGCCGCAAGCACCCCCCGTGTGACCAGGGGGGAGGCCCGAGGATCAACGCGGAGGTTACCATTGGACCGCTCTGGGAAGGTAACCCGGGTCCAGCCCATCGGGTTCCACCCTGCTGATGCAAGAAACGTGCTCAAAGATGCTCAATAAAACCGGGGAAAGGATGCTAAAGGATACTTTGGTAATGAGGGCGAAACATGACTGTGGAAGAACAAGAACGACCAAGGAATCGGATGGGGAGAAAAGCTGGATTTGAGAAGGTTTGGCATGAGGAACTAAGCTCCGTAATTGGACCGTTTATTCTCGATTAATCTGCTCAGGGACGCAGGTCCACCACCGCCAAACGCTCGGCAGATTCCAGAAGATGCGTGTTCGGAGTGTACCTCCCGAGTTTTCGGGAAGAGGAACCGACCGCATGGCATGAGCCTCATGGAGATAAGAACAACCTGTCCCTGTTGCTATATGCTCTAGTCGAGACATGCAACCGTTACGATTACTCTCTTTCGAGTCGAGAACCGTCGATCCCCTTGTCTAGTCTCGATCTGGCCGGGCACTTGAGCCTATCATCTACTGTGTCCATCGATGTAGATGAGCGGCCTGTACTCTCCCAACCACTAAGTCGTCCTACCTCGGAGGGCCTGGGGATATCAACCCCCCATCCACCAACCAAGACCAACAGAGAGACCGCAGACAACACACGACAGACAACCGCAACCATGGCGCTCACGCAACGGCATATCCAGAACCTCTCGGAGGCGGCCGCGCTTGAGCCACACTGGGGCTACGCGGACCGCGCCGTGCCGTGCACCAACGACCCGGGCTCCTGCGCCTACCTGGACGTGGTCTACGGGGCCCACGACCTTGGCATGATCTACACGGGCATCTTCTGGCTCACCGTCGGCGGCATCCTCCTAGTATGGGCGATCGGCCGCCGCCTGTTCCCAGCGCGCGAACCGCACGACGACCTCCTCGCACAGCTATCCAGCGCCCAAAAAGAGAAATCCAAACAACCGGCCGCCGCAGAGGCCGACGAAACCACAACAACAACAACAACAACCACCACCCCCCAACCCAAACCCACCGCCCTCACCCGCCTCGGCCGCGCCCTCGCCTCCACCACGCGGCACCACCTCCTCCCGACCACCCCCCTCCGCATCCTCTTCGGCGCAACCACCCGCCTGCAACTCCTCATCCTCGCCATCCTAATCGGCTACCTCACCATCTGGACCTTCATCGGCATGACCTACGCGACCTGGGTCACCCCCATCAAGGGCCAGCCGGCCCACGTCGTCAACACGCGAACCACCATCGGGCCCTGGGCCGACCGCATCGGCGTGCTGGCCTACGCGCTCACCCCGCTGTCGATCCTGCTGGCGTCCCGCGAGTCGGTGCTGAGTCTGCTGACCGGGGTGCCGTATACGAGTTTTATGTTCTTGCATCGGTGGACGGGGTATATCATTCTGATTCAGTCACTGTTGCATACGCTGGGGTGGGTGCTGGTCGAGGCGTGGCTGTATCAGCCGCAGCCGATGGTGTGGAACATGTGGATCGCGCAGGAGTATGCGATCTGGGGGGTGGTGGCGCTGGTGTTGCTGGTGTTGTTGTGGGGGCTGTCGCTGCAGGTGGTGGTGCGGAGCGTGACGGGGTATGAGTTTTTTAGGAAGGCGCACTATGTGCTGGCGATGGTGTATATTGGGGCGTTGATCGGGCATTGGCAGCAGTTGCAGTGCTTCCTTGTGCCGGGGTTGGTGCTGTGGGGGTTGGATCGGGGGGCGAGGTTGGTGAGGATGGGGATGTTGCATTATGGGTACTGGGCCGAGGAGGGGAAGTGGGGGTTCAGGGCGGTCGAGGGCCAGGCGAAGTTGTGGAGGGATGAGGAGTTGGGGGATGTGGTGAGGTTGGACTTTGACCATGTGCAGAAGCCGTGGAGCATCGGGCAGCACTTCTTCCTGTGCTTCACCGAGGGGAGCATCTTCCAGAGCCACCCGTTCACGCCGCTGTCGCTGCCGATGGCGGACGCCGCCGGGAAGGTGAAGCATTCCTACATCTTCCGGGCCAAGGGCGGCGAGACGAAGAAGATCGCCGAGGTGCTGGTGAAGAAGGCTGCGGCGGAGAAGGCACTGGCCACGTCAGTGATCATGCAGGGGCCGTACGGCGAGCACATCGCCGAGGGCCTGACGCAGGACGTCAACGTGCTCTGCATCACCGGCGGTACGGGCATCACCTACGTCCTCCCGATCCTGCTGCGCTTGGTCCGAGAGAAGCCGGCGCCGGGACGGAAGTTGGAGCTGGTCTGGGCTGTCAAGAGGAGGCAAGACCTGGAATGGGTCGAGCCCGAGATGGAGGAGCTGCGCAGGCTGGGTGCTGCCCACGGCCTGCGGATCCGGACCTTTGTCACGTCCGAGCCGCTCACCACCGTGACGTCTAAGGAGGTCAAGGTCACCGATGACAAGGGACGGACGGAGTCGGACGACGATATCGAATCGATCCAGGGGACACAGTCAACACGGAGTGGGAGCGAACACAGGCCCGATGTTGCCGCCACGGTGAGCGACTTCGTTGGTGGCGTGGCGCATGGCCAGACCCGTGTCTTCGGGAGCGGGCCGGTGGGCATGGTCGTCGAGATGAGAGCGGCCGTCGCCAAGTGCAACTCCGGCGGCAAGGTCTGGAAGGGAGAGGAGCGGTTTGACGTGCGTCTTGTTTGTGATGATCGGTTAGAATGGTAGATACCCCTTGTTGATTAAATTTCTGTTTAGTGGTTTAAATGAGTCCCAATGCCAGTGATGCTGTTGAGATACTGCCAGCTCATGCTTATCCTGACCACACATATCCCAACCCATCAAAGATCTTCCCCATCGAACGAATCTGCTACTCGGTTAGTATCCACTCACGCACGACAGCATTTCCCTCCCCTACAATGTTCTTTCCTCCACTCCTTCACCCACGCCTTCACAAACTCGACCTCGGCGTCCTGGGCATCCGCCACCGGCTTCGGCGGCAACCCCGGCCTTGTCTCGTTAGGAAACAGGCCGTTCTCATCCCAGTGATGCACACCGTCCTCGATCAAGATGAACGGCTCGCTGACGGTGCTCTCCCGCTCCGGCAGCCCGATCCGGTGGGGCGAGGCATACCGCCACGGATCGCGCTCGCCGTCGACGTGGGCCAGGCGCGGGTAGCTGATGCTGACGCCGCCGTGCTTGTTGATGCGCTCGATCTGGGGCGGGGTGGTGATGTTGAAGGCCTCGCGGCAGATGACGGAGACGAAAGGGATGTCGATGAGGCGCGAGATGAGCGGGAGCTGGTCGGCCGGCACGCCGGAGCCCGTTTGGAAGTAACCCCATCTGCAAACTCGTTAGGAGGAGGCTGGGATGAGTACCTAGGGTTTCGGGACACTAAAGCTTACTCGAAACAGTATTGGTACGCCCAGAGCCGCCAGTTCTGTTTGAGGTCGTCCTGCTCGTAGTAGGTCGAGTTGTAGCTGGTGAAGCACGCGTCCTGGGATGTCTTGTTGGACCGGACGCAGTTCTGGATCGCCGTGGTGTCGACATAGCCGATGTAGTTCAGGAGCTGAGTGGTCAAGGTGTCCGCCTCGTCGCCATAGCCACCCACTTCAATAAGTTCCCGGGCCTCGGGCTCGAGGCCGGTAAGCTCCGGGTAGAGGTTTGTTGTGGCGGTCATGTTATTGCAGTAGTAGCCAAACCCGGTGTCGTTCACTGCGGGGTCCCAGTTAAGGCCCTGTAGGCCGGAGATGCCCCAAGAGATAGTGAAGGCGAAATCATCGTCACGGGTGACGTTGCCCAGGCCGAAGGCGGTCTTCAGACGCTGCACGTACTCGCTATCGGACTTTCCGAGGAGGATGTTGTCGACCACGTGCGTCAACTTTTGCGTGGCAAGAACGCAGTCATGGGGGGCGTAGATGCGTGCTGCTTCGTAGTACTGCCAGTAGTCGTAGATGGCCTCCGGTACGCCGGACGAGGAGATGGCACCCCAATAGACATCTGGGTACAACTTCCGCAGAAAGGCGACAAATGCACCTGCGTACGAACCCCCATAAGCGATGTAAGGGTTCTTCGCCGAGGTCAAGTCCAGATCTTCCAAGCCCTCGAACACGACGTGCTCGGCAAAGTAAGCCATGTCGGCCAACGCCTGGTCGGTCGTCAGGAAGCGGAGGCTCTCGGTGCTGAAGTCGGGGGTGGGGAAGCTCTCTCCGTAGTAGCGGTGCTCCAGGATCACGCCGAGCCCATGGGTAGCCTGAGCCAGCTTCGCGACGATGCCCTTTTGGAGAAAGGGAAGCCGGCCGGCGCCGTCGGTTTCGCCGCCCTGTAGAACGATGACGGGGCCGCCTTTCTTGTAGTGACTGGCGTCGAACCAGTAGCGGAGGGGAAAGGTCTCGTCCGAGTGCGGCTCATAGAGGGTGTCATTGTGAAAATGATCGACCGGTACATCCAAGGTGCGAACCGGGTACAGGTCCTGAAGGTCCCTCTTCAGGAGAGCAGACCCTTCTTCCGCATCCCGTCGGTCCAACTGCGCGAGGTCAGAAAGTAATACTCGGAGCTAGCGATGTGAATAATATCCTACCTGCTCCCCCGAATCCCGGAGTGCCGAGGAGGCCCGGATGCCTCCATCAATCCCAGCGACAAGTTGGGCGAGGCACGCAGCGCCGACCACAATTGCACGAAGCATTGCCATTCTGACCACAATCCCGGCGGTGACGATGCCAATTGGGGATGAGACAAAAACAAAAAGGAGCACTCACCTTGGTGGCCTCACAACGCGCGATGCGACCCCTTTTGAGCTTTGCCGACCCTCTGCTGTATGTACGGTTCCAATCCCGATTCCCGGGTTTCCCAATCCTCGGAGATGTATTGTCCTGCGAAAGCGGAAGGTAACGAATGGAGCGCGGGGAAGTTGGACTTTTGCAACTTCCTATTCCAGCCTCTTTTGAGCGGCGCGATCAGCGTGCCGCTCATGGTCCAAACATTGGTGATTGCCGGGGTGCCGGCCGAGCCGGGGGTGTCCAGTTGCCGAAGCGCCAAGCCAGCAAGGGCCTTGTGGGTCGGGACGAGCGACCGCTGGTCAAAGTGTTTCCTTTTTCAAGATGTTTGTTGAGGGTGGGAGTAGCTGAGGTACCTCCTTGTAGGCACTTGCTTGTAGGTAGATACGAACTAGGTAGGTAGCTAGGTAATAAAGGGCAAGCTAGGTAGTTTTACGGAGTAGTTGGGGTTATTTGTCAGGTATAGACAAACTACACATTAATTAATTACTAAATAGGTACCATTGAGGCACGGGCTAATTATCTCAAGGCTTCGGCAACAGTTCAAGTTGAATTTCAGGGACATGACACGGCATTTCTAGGGGGAGACATTAGGTGGTATATTATCTCAGGGCCACCTTCGATACAAGTCTCGGGTAGCTTGTACGATAGTAAAAAACCATCTACTACACTCTGCAGCCTGTATGATCCACATTGACAACGCTTTCCAGTCCAGCTCTCTAAGAACAGGAAACCGTTTGTAAGAAAGTTCAGGACTGGCACCACAAGTTAAAAGCACCGCGCCAACCACAACCATGACCGTTCTCAAACTGGCAGCGGAACCAGCATGTTCGGTCACCCAAATCTTGGTCCTAGTCCTGACTGTCAGTTTTCGGGATTAAAATTGGGGGACACGGTGGCATGATGACTGACCTCGAAGCATAGCCCAGCCCGACTCTGGTGAAGGAGCTTAATGGGATATAATCACCCGGTTGTATGGGGCTCGTCATCGTTCCTCCCGTTGAGCTTTGATGTGTCTTGCTCTAAATGTTAGGGTTTGGTGTGGCGAAACTGGAAATTGTTGTGGTTGGAGACTCGTGGATTGCAGTGATGCTTTGCTCGCTTGACCCTGTTGCGCACCTATCTGGCAGCGTGAAGTTCAAAATGGCTGTGGTTGAGCATCAAGCGTTCAACGAAATGGGAGGCGATGTTTGATGGAGTGAGTGTGAACACAGCTTGTTGCCCTTTCAGAATGCTCGAGAGGTGCAGGGGTGACAGTTGTCGGAGCAACGTTCCACCGGCATCGCTTCTCGCGAATAAAAGCGTCTAAAACCTGCCATCATGCCGAATGAGCAGAAGTTCTTTATAAGTTTGACTGATCGGATGAAATTTGGGCGAGCAGTTGGTATGTAGGTTCCGGAAGGGGGTGGCTGCTTAGGTCGGCTACTTCGTGGAATTAGTAACAAACGAAGAAAAGTACATGCCGAGGTGCCCAGGTACTATTAAAGGGGGATATTGTCGTGTGGATGTTTGGACTGTTCAGTTCCTACCTCAGGTATCTACCTCCCTACGTCCATCTCCCCATCCTCCACCATCCCCTGACCAAACTGCACATACGTGGCAAGTCCGTTCGGGTCAGCGTGTGTAGAGGTATCAAACCGCTCGACGCCCTCGCCCCGGCCTGTTACGGGAACACTCCAGCGTCCCAACTTCCAGTCCTTCCCCTCCCCGGAAGCCGCAGCCAACGCCACACGCAAAAGATGCAGCTTCCCATCCGCCTGTCTCGCATCCGCCGCAGACCAGGAGGCCGGCCGCCGTCCCCTAAACCGCGCTCCAACGAGGTCAACGACACGCTCAAGCAACAAATCCACCACCACCAGCACCACACACACACAAACCACCACCAGGACACCAACCAAACTAAAGTTCTGCACCTCCCCAACCGCCCTCACCAGCTGGTTCCCACACTGCTCCCGCTGCTCGCGCGAAAGGGGCAGCATCCCCAACCTCCGTCCCGCGCCCTCCAACAACGGACTCCCCCCCTTAACCGCAAACTCCACCACCTCCGCCTGCAACCTCGCCAGGTTCATCTGGAACCACCCCTCCACCTCAGCGCGCCACTGGTCCGCCGGCAGAGCAGGCGAGACATTCCCCACCGCCAAACGCTGCGCGCGCAGCGCATCAGCACCCCCGAGCGCCGACACGGCGGTGAACGTGTTGATCTCGGCCAGGCTGACCAGCAGGCGCGCCGCGGTGGCGGTCTGGACCGCGGTGTATTGGAGCGGGGCGTGCTGGGTCAGGTGGGTGGTGGTGAGCTGGAGGATGCCGGCGGGCGGGGTGCAGATGTGGGAGGACGGGTTGCAGAGCCGGTACTGGTCTGCGCAGATCAGGGGGGAGAGGTAGCGGTCGGCGAAGGTGTAGAGGTGGTTATCGAGGGTGAAGTTGTAGGTGCCGTTGGCGGAGAACCAGGGGTCGTGCACGGGGGCCGTGTAGCGCATGTCGTTGGGGGTGAGGAGGAGGATGCTCACGTCGGCGTCGGGGCGGGTGAGGGCGGGGATGGGGAGCCAATTGGAGAGGGGGGAGGGGGGTGCGTCGGAGGCGAAGGCGCGAAAGGAACTGTGATGCGGTGGTTAGCATGGGTGGGTTTAAGCACACGGAAGGCTAGGATATGGCGTACTGTAATGTGTACCCCAGACCGGTATTGTTTGCCAGAGCTACATTGTACCGGTGGGTGATGTTCCCAATGCCCTCGAGGACAGCTCCGAGCGGATACTCGATGAAACTGCCTTGGGAATCGGCGGTCCTCTGCGCGAGGTCGGCAACGTCCACCGGCGAGCAAGTCGTTTGAAGTTGGAGGCTGACCCGGTCCTCGAACCTCGCATTGATGCCTAGCATTTCGTGCGAGTCCAAGTAGCCCGAGGTAATGGAAAATGCCTTGTCGACACCGGGGACGCAGCGCTCGCTCGCTGGGATAGGGCAACGAGCCGACGTGTCCACTTCGTAGGGAAGCGTGGGCTGGACGAATGTCGATAGTACCGACGAGGTTGTGCTATTCGTGTAAAAGCTGGCGGCATGGGTGCGGGCGCGAGCAGCAACGTCCCGACTCTTGGCTGTGAAGAGGCTGGCAGTCTCCGCGTCAATGGTGGAAGAAAAGTCCCAGAACCCGCATTCGTGTGCTTCTGCTCTCGCGATAGTAGGGCCATAAGCCTTATTGGCTACCCTCGAGGTGAACAGCGCGGCGACAGTGAAGCACGCCGACACCACAAGCGCCGGTATTGCGACCGAGAGCGTCCGCCAAATGAGCTTCTGTGGCCGTCTCGGCGACCATGCCTGATGGATTTGGAAAGCCTCCCATAGGGTACGAGCGGCACCGGCAGAGTTCCGCAAGCTGACACGGTACTGGAGGTCCAAGGCGCTGACAGGTCCTGCTTTCGCTTTGCGGTGGTGTAGAATAAACGCGACGATGCTCCAGCAGCTGGCCCCTGCGATGGTGACAAGGAAGGTCAGACCCGACAAGAGGATATTGCCCGAGTCCACGGACAGAGTCAGTGTCGGTGCCAGAGCGGCGGGCTTAGAATGATCCCACCACAGGCCATGAGCGATGGAAACCATTGCTCTGCGCACCAAGGCACCTACGAAGTAGATAGGGGTAAATAACAAAACAAAATTGTGGTCGAAGTTGCACAACAGTCAACAGGGAAGGACTCTCTTATTTATACATCTTGACCGGATACCCCCCAGAGAAAAAGGCACCTCACGCAGCTGTCCCAGAGCTGAGCGCATGGGGCCTTCAGGTGGCGCGGCTAAGCTGAGAATTGTTGGTCGTGGCTCTCCAAATATTGAACTATCTCCCTTGGCAAGACGCCATTGAACTGATCGGGCCAAACATCACAGCGTCACCGATGATGGTGAGAAAAGCCCATCCATATATGGCTAGGTACCTCAGGTACATGTAGCTTTCCCTCCTGGATACTTCCAACCGATCCCCGAACCCAAATAATACCTATCAACCCCTCCAAACATGGGTGTTGTTGCATTGAATGAGGCTTGTGCGGCGGAATATTCTATTCCATTGAACTCCTTCTCTTCTTGCTTGTGGGCTTGACAAGAATTGATAATTAGGTATCTAAATTTGAAGGGTGAGGGGAAAAGTGTAACCCCCCCCCCCGGTGTCATCGCTCTTTTGTAGTCGATTTATTTCTTATTACATGGGGGCGTAACTGCGACTAAAGTGTCTAAGGGCTCCATGTTAACCCATCCATGGACGCTTCTCACAACCTCTATACCCCCATGTAACCCCAGGCAAGTAACCCAACACCACACGTCAGTCACCACCTTCACAGTCGCGCTCTCACATTATCCGAGCCAGGCCCCTCCGTCGGCGCGGGTCCCTCATTCGAACTCGCCGTAGCCGCCTCAACCTCTGCCTCGGGCCCGCTTCCCTCGCAAATAACCGTTCCATCGTCAAGCACCCATCTCGGATACCGAATGACAAAAGGCTTAATCCACCCGTCGGCTTCCATTTTAGCCAGGATTGCCTGGGCCGTCGCTATTTGTTCAGGGGTGGGTCCATAACCACCCTCACGACGCGCCTCGTGAGTATCGTCGCTGGGGTGGCTGGGCTCGGCTGCTGGGGGCTCCGGTGCCTGATGCTCTGAGGCTTTGTTGGCAGTTGCACAGGTTAGACGGGTGATATCTGGTGGGGACGGGCGGGGATGACCAAGCTTACCGGGAGTGTTTTCCGAGTGAGAAGATGACATGGTGGTTGTGTGCGGTGAGATAATTACTTGGAACCTAGTTCGGTTGGGGTCCTTGGTGGTCGGAGAGAATGGAGATCAAGAACGGCGAGAGAGACGGAACTTAGACTTCAAGATGAAGGGGACTGCCCGGGTTAATGAGGAAACGCCTGCCAGCATAATCACAAATGGACACGCAGGACGGAATTAGGCAACCAAGGGGCTGCTCTGCGCTTGAGTGGTTGAAGGCTTCCGGCCTTCCTTGGCACGCATCTTTCTCTTGATAGGTATCATATTGATCCCAAGATGGCCCCCAACGCCGCCTCCTTCTCTGGAAGTGGGTCGGCGCCCTCTTTGGGAACCTCCTTGCGATTCGACAATCTTTGAGAGTGCTGAAGACAAATACCCGGAGACGTCATCCTGCCGGCTCCCGGCGAATTCCCCTCCCCACTTCCCCGGTTCATCCCCATCACTGTACCGAGCATACATGATACATCAACACGCCCCGGAAGGAAACGCAACCAACCCCCTTGTACAGTTTTCCCGAACGTCAGCGTGGCATCTTCATCGCACTTCAACCCCTCCCAGGCGTAACCCTTAAACGTCTTCCATTCCCGGGGAAGCGATTCGCTCTTCGAGCAGCCCCCTGTCCCCTCTCGTCCGCCTTCGATATCTGCCCGTCCATTGACGTGGGAGGGAGCTCGTTGCGACACAGGGCAACCTGGTACGCGACGAGCTTGTATATGAGCCACATCAGGGTGCAGAGGGCCATGGTTGCGAGCGTGGCGTAGACTGTGTTGCGTCCGAGGACGGTTAGATAGGTACTAGAGCTGGTATGTGGGTGGGCGGGCTGGGGTAGGGAGAGGCACCGAAAACGGCTGCTAGCGGACTTCTCCTCCAGATGCCGGGCAGGTCTTCGATCTCGAGGGCAAGCAGGCTCGAGACGAACGACAGGGGTGCCTGCAGTGTGCGGTTTTCGCTATCAGCATCTGCATCTGGGGAAAGGGGACGACGGGATCATGACTCACAAACAGGACCGTGATGGTGGTGAAGATGAAGAGCATTGTGCTCTGCGACTTCCCGGACAACACATTCTCTATCGCTGCTTCGCGGTGCCGGAGGTCGAGGAGGGTGGTTAGCTGCCGTAGTCAGCTCCAGTTTTGAGTGTCAAATTGCAAAGGGATGAACGCACCATGGACCGTACCCGCACCGCGTCGGCCTCCAGCAGAGAGAACGACTCGAGAAGCGGCCTGATGGCTGCCAGGGTATACAGCTCTTCCCTCTTCCGCCTCTTCTCCACCCGCTCGTCTTGGGCCTCTAGCACCTCCCGCTGTTCACTGGGATCCTCGTCATCTCGGGGGAGATACCTGAGTTGGCTCAGGTTACCCCAGATGGCGGTCGAGAGCGTCTTGGCGGCGCCGGCCTGGCTCGTCTGGATTCGCCGGATCATTCCGATCTCGCCGATGATGTCGTCCATCTCCACTAGCAGTTTGGTCGCGTGTCCCGTGGTGCGGTAGAAGACGGTCGCGTCCAGGCTCAGCGAGCCGAGGCCCTTTTGCAGCTGGTTGTAACAATCAATGACCTTGAGGTACTTGACCCGTGTTAGCGAGCAATCAGCTTCTTCTATTTCCTGGGCAGGCAAGGTGCTAATTAGCTAGGTAGGCTAACTTACCAGGCTTCCAATTGAGTCTGCGAAGGCTGTAGTGTACGATATTTGTGTATCGTCTTGGTTCGGCGTCGCCCGGAGTCTTCTCTCCGTCCGCGGCAGCTTCCACTTGAAGAAGGTAGAGGCCTCGAAATCCATACAAGACCGGATTAGGTGCTCTGCAATGTGAATCATGTTGATATCCAAGCGTTGGGTGTCACTACTGTTGGATATTTCGTTGGGCAGGTGCATGTGCAACTTGGCCTCGCTGGTTTGGTCCCACCGCTCGGGGTACAGCGTCAAGATCGTATCTAGGTAAACAGCGTCAGGATATCGATATCACGCGAGTGAATGTCCTGCTGGTTTAATACACCTTCGTCGAGTTTGAAAAGCCAGAAGTACGGAACGACAGCAAATTCATCTGGTCCCAATCCAGCAATGGTACCTTGACTGCCCTGCTTGTACTTAACATCCTTCAGCATTGTCAAGTATTTGGTGAAGACCTGGTCACGGTCCAGGGCCTCGAGCCTTGCCGGGTCGACACTGGTTCCGTGATAAGACTGGTCCAACGTCCGGGGAACTGTTTGATCGTGGTACATGCATAGCTGCAGCATCCTCGTGATGTGGTCCCTTTCCAGGGTCGGAAGCCACATGGAGGCATCGAGATCCAAGAGGTCTTGTTTTGGCACACTAGAGACTTTCGACTCTGTCTCGGTCTTTTGGATTTTCCTAGACAGTTCGACATACTCTTTTCGATCAATGTCGATCACGGGGAACTGGGAAAGGCAAGAAATCAGACTCGAGGGTACCCACTCCTACAAACCAGGGGTAGACTTACCACAACCGCAACTGCCTCCCTATCACCCACGTACCGCCGGGTTTGTGTCTCTCGCTTCAGGAACTTAGCATCAGGATTTGGTACTGGGGGTGGTCTAGGACATGGCCGGTAAAGTACCTACCTTGAAGTAATACTCCCTGGGCTGTCCTTGTATGTCCACCTCCTTGAAAACATTGTGGATGAACTTGCACACCCTCTGTGCTTCGGGGTCTGGTTTCCCGCTGTCATGGTAGATGCTCTTTACCAAATCCTTGTTATGGACATTTCGGCGTTAGTTGGTGCTCGGATCCGAACCCGTGCCAAAGGATACTAAGATACTACCCCTGCAACTTACGTGAGCCCATATTTGCTATTCGTGTTGTTAGCATCAATAGACATGTTGCTAGGTCTGAATTCCAGAAGGGGCATGATTGGATTGAAACGGCACATACGCTGGCGGCTGGTAAATGGAACCACTTCTTCTTCTTCCGTCGTCTTTCAACGTCTTCTGCGTGGTCGCTGTAAATCAAGTTCCAGACGCTCTTCCTTTCCCATTTCAGGTCGCCCTCAGGTTCCCAAAAACTCCCTTCTAAGCACTCCGCAAGGTTCCGGTTCATCCTGCCTTCCGCTGACGGCATCGAAGGCGGTTGTGTTGCGCTGCGGCGGAGACCAGTAGCTGACACCGCAAAGGAACCCCCAAGCTTGTGGCTAGCGGGACGTCTTGGGTTGTCAAATAGATGAGTCATATCCCGACGTTGTTGTTCATGGTCGTGGTGTTGTGCGTAATGCCGCGCCAGATGGCCTTGACGGTCTGCCACCTCTGTGTTGGCCCCGGCGTAGAGTAGCAACTCGATACAAGGGACTCTGCCGCCGATGGCTGCGAGGTGCAGAGCAGTCCACCCTTGGTTGTCTTGGAGGTCGACCTCGAGGCGTGGATGCTCTAGAAGCAGCCGTAGCTTGGTGGCCAACCCTTCCTTCACCACGATATGGATGAAGCTTTGGCCGAACTCACCGTACGGGGCATTGACATCGACGTCAGTTCCTAGAGCCTTTACCAAGCGGATGTCTTCATTCCTGGTGTCGTCTAAGCAGTTGTATAGTTGGTGTTCGAGCTCTTTGCGTCTCTCGTTCTCCTCACCGGCCTGGTCCAGAAACCCTTCGACCCACTGGCCCTTAGAGTTCTGCGTGAAACCCTCAGTCGCATTTGAGCCTTGCTGGTGTCCCCCACCCAAAACCATGCCACGCTCCGGGTCTTCCGACGCCATTGTGGGGAGCCGGAATTCTTGTTTAGCCTCGGTAACTAGAGTGCTCATTGGTAATGAGTCGATGGAAGGGTCAGGGTGGATATTGGCAGTTTCATATAATATATCCGTTGAGCGGACGGGGAAACGTTCTGTGGAAAAGCGGAAGGGGAGGGCTTTGAACCGGAGCCCTGCCCCTAGAAGGTAAAGGAGGCAGCCGGACCCCCCTACTTGTCGTTTCCCCCCTCCCCCCCCCCCTTTTCGTTATTTTACCCCACTCATAACTGTCACGGATAGGTATGGTCGCATGCAGACGACCCGGCGGGGCACGCTCGCAGTACCTCGAGCCAATCAATAAGAAGGGACGTTATCCCACAAGGACGGGATCGAGAGCCTCGCGCTCTATCTAGGAGTGACCACTGCAGCGTGCCGGGGGCTCGGCGCATGGCCGAACTAGGGAGTCAGGGGCTTCACCATGATACCACCAATATCACGATCAAGCCAACGAGGGGCGCGGGCCGCCCCATAACCCGTTAGTTGGGGCACTAATCGAAGGGAGCTCTATATGACTCCTCGAGAGCTACAGGGAGGGAGAACGGGAGCATGATAATGGACTAATGACAAGGAGCTCCCCGGTCTCTAGAGGGAGCCCGGCTCCATAAGGCTCTATAAGAGCTTTAGAGAGCTAACTTATAAATAGACAGTATATAGTTACTTATTCTAGCGAGTTCTTCCGCCTTGCGCACCCTTGAGTGAAATTGGAGGGGTTGTTCTGATGGCAGTTGACTTTTAGAGATGCCGGATGTTGGGATATGTAAATGGTCAAAATTCAGAGCACTAAATTCATATTTCGCAGTGTAAAAGCTGATTACACTAGATGCTGAAATGGGTGCAGAGGCCACAAGATATGGAGGGCAAGGGAGTCCCTGTAACCGTTCCTCTGTATATAGACAGAGGGCATCCCCCCTCCTCTGGACTCTGAATAATGCAAGCAATCTTACGTATAACCGTCTTTCTCAGCAGGTTATGAGCCCGGAGCTTCTACAGCGTTAAGTTAACAACCCCTAACCCTATTGAACGCTAATATAACTATAGCTAGTTTATCGGGAGATCAACGGACCGATATTTCGACAAACGTATCGTCGAAATTGAAACCTCCACCCATACACAACCAACTACACAACAACAAACTACAACGAAAACGACTAATTTCCCAATACGAAAATGGCTAACAACGATCGATAGGGCTATCAACAGAGCTTATCCCAGAGCCCTATATCTAGCAGCGCTAGCGAACTCAGCCCAACCCCCAGCCCATCAGCTACAGGTGCTATACGTAGCGGAAGGCCAGTTACTGCGCTACTTAGGGCCCGAACCCTCGACTAAGCCCAGTTTCTACAGCTTATTGGAATAATTCGGGAACTGTAGGCCGGGAACCTGGACCGAGACCTGTAGTCTGAAGCCGACGACAATTCGTTCCGGCCATCGGAAGCCGGGAACATACTATCCGAGACCTCTACCGGTACTACAGGCCTACTGTCGTTATCTCCTGTAAGCGAACAGGAGCTGTTTGGGCTTGAAATCCAGACACTACCACCAGTAACGATAGTAACAATAGCCCTAATATACAGTAGACCTAGCAACAACGACGTTAACGAACCCGAGGAAACGATTACAGCGAAGCCCGCCATAGAACCAACCGAAGCCCCGATTACAGTTACAGCTAAGCCACTAAAGCCCCTGTAGTTCAACCCGACCAGTATCTACAACGCCCCGAAACTTACTAGCCGAACCGACTATAAGGTGTAGCTTAAAAGCATCGAGATGATCATCGACATTACGGGCGGCTACAACCTCCTGTCCATATACGATACGGAAGATAAGGTACCCGGTAAACTTCTAGAAGACTAGAAGGCTAAATAGCGATAGTACCTCCGGATTATCAACGCTATACTGGAACCCTCTGCCGAGAGGGTGCTAGAATAAGAGGAAACAGTGTTTACAACCTTCCAGTAGGTTAAGAAGGAGTACCTAGATAAAGGACTGGGCATACTATAGGTAATCCAGGAGGAATAGAACATACTACCTTCTATAACCTTCAACGATATATAGCTCTTCGGCTAGAAGATCCGGGAACTATAGGAGGGCTTTGTACGTATCGGAGCCGAATATAGGCTCCTAGAAAGCCAGCTAGTTCTACAGCTGTTAGATTCCCTAGACTAGCGGTTCGATCTATAGAAGTCTACCTTCTGGTCCGATGCTCGGAAGCGTTTCCTTACCTTCGATGATACTCTATAGGCCGCTAAGGCCGAAGATCGGTGCCTGTAGGTGTGGGATCGGGGGTCCGGGAACACTGGTATAGCCCTATTCACCGGCCGGAAGTAGGGGCTAACAACAACCCCGCTCGCCGACCGGGTTACAATTGCGATCAAATAATATACCTACTACAGTAAGAGGTGGTATATAAAGGAGGACTATTGGGAGCTATACCCAGAGCTTAGGAAGCCCCTAAAGCAGCGATAGCGGTAGGGAAGAACCAGCCTACTACCTATAAACAACAATAGTACCCTCTTAACAACCCAGACTACCCAGACCACCCCCAACCCGGACAATAACGGTCTCTAGTACATCTCCTTCTAATATCTACACCCTACAGGCATTATAGATCATCGACTCCAGGTGCGGCCAGTATATCACAGCCTTAAAAGAAGCCTTTATAGACTTTAGACTATACTATAGGGAGGTAAAGGGCATTAAGAGTATAACTATTAAAGTACTAGGCATCGGTATAGTTAAAAAACATTATATTATCGATAGAATAGAGTCGGTAGCTATATTTAATAAAGTCCTCTTTACCCCTAACCTCGGCGTTAACTTGATTTCCGTAACCCAGCTCCTCGATTTAGAGGCTAGTATAACAATCGACCGCTACTACCTTCGTATCTATAAGGGAGGCGTTCAGCTATAAGCCGTCCGGTACAGTAACCTCTTCACCCTATAGACTACCGATATACTAGTCCAGGCGCTAGTCTCTTACTCAATTACCTTAAAGATACGTCTCTGGTACAAACGGATAGACTACCTCAGCCTAAAGAACCTAGCGCACCTAAAAGATATCATCGACGGTATAGAGGAAGCGAAGGAATACTATACTTACATACCCTATATTTATAGAAGGATACAGGAACGCCTATACCGGAGGGAGCTACAGAAGGGTACTGTCACGAGAGGTGGTTGCCTGTGATGGCACTGTGGCTCAATCGGGGTTAGCGCGCATAGCGCCTCGCCCTACTTCCCCACGAAACGATCGCTAGCGATCCCACCACCTCTCTTTTTCTCTTTGTCTCAGTTTCGATATTATTGTCACGAATATGCCAACAGGCGGAACCGCGGGGCGCGGGACGCCCCGGGCCAGTCATGGAATAAGCCAATCGGAAGGCAGGAACAGGATCGATGGTGATCAGTGAGCTCAGTTGCCAAGCCAGGACTGAGCACACTGAGCACCAGGCAAGGTCACCAATCAGGACGATTGTAACTCAGAAGTGATCAGTGAGCTCAGTTGTCGAACCCGGACTGAGCACACTGAGCACCCAAGAATTAGATAGGTATATAGTCACTCGTTCTGGAGAGCTCTGGGAGTTCTCCAGTTAGCAATCACAACTACAGTTCGCTACAAGCTCGAGAGCCTACTGTTGAGACAAATCTTTGTTGTGCACCCTTTGGCTGCACCGAACCTAAGCACCCTTGAGAGAATACCTTCGACCGATACTGAACCCTAACAGGACGGGTCCAGAGACAGGTTCGTCACACGTTGCTAACTCCCTTTGATCTGTTACAGTTCAGGTCCGAAGGTAAAACGACACCATGGCCGATCCAGCCAGACCTACGCCCGACTCCGACGACGAGGAGATCGACAACAACGACCTCAAGCAAGAGCTCGACGGAGTCAAGGCCCTAATCGAGGGCATCGCCAAACAACTCGACACGGCCGCAAACGCCACCAAGGTCGAGACCGCATTCGCAGAACTGTCGGCCAAGGTCAACAATCTGAAGACCAAGGACGCCTCGCCCAGAAGAAGACAGGACCACCTCAGAGTCGCTAAACCACCCAAGTTCGACGGCACCAAACGAGAGGAACTACAGGGTTTCTTGACGCAACTGCGGTCCTACTTCAGGTTCAACCAGTTCGACGACGACGCCGACAAAGTCCTTTTCGCAGCAACTTATCTGGAAGGTAGGGCCCTCGAGTGGTTCGAGCCCACCCAACGGGACTACCTGGAGAAGATCGAAGATGAGCGTCAGGCGGAGACCATCACCATTTTCGAGTCCTTCGTCAACTTCGAGGACGCCATCACGAAGGTTTTCGGAGTGTACGACAAGCGCTCCCAGGCCGAAAGCAGGCTCAACAAATTGCGACAACTCAAGTCTGCTGCTGTCTACGCATCGGAGTTTCGCCAGCAAGCTTTCCGGGTCCAGTGGGGAGACGACGCGCTGAAGCGACGCTTCTACGATGGACTCAAGGACGATGTCAAGGATGAGTTGATCAAGGAGGAACGAGACACCCTGACACTCGATGCCTACATGGCCCGGGCCATCGCAATCGACAATCGCCAGTACGAGAGACGACAGGAAAGGACCGGCAAGAAAGAAGTGCCCTATCAAAAGGCAAACGACAAAAAGAAGCGTCAACATCAGAGCACTGCTCATGGTACGCACGCAGGTCCCATGGACATCGGCGCTGCCCAATGGGCAGGAAAGAAGGATGGTGCCAAGGACAAATCAGGCATCACTTGCTACAATTGCGGCAGGAAGGGTCACTTCAAACGTGACTGCCGCAGCAAGAAAGAGTGGAGGCCAGTTCCAGGGAAGGAAGCCGCCACCATCGACCAGGGCACGGTCGGAAAAAGAACCCGATTTCTGGAGGTCGCAGCCGCCAGCTACACGCAGGACGACCTCGAAATTAACATTGACCGAGTCATCGAGCAAGACAATGAACTCACCGACTCGGATCAAGGAGACTTGATGAGCAGCAACCACCAGGAGGGAAACGACACCGCCCACCATGCTTTCATCGAAACGGATGACGAGGGAGAACTGGCTCCCCCGCGGTACATCCAACAAGTCGCTGAGGACTGGGGCATCACCCTGGTTCAGCGAGAGGACGGGCAGTGGCGAACCCACGAGGGTGAAGGAGGAGTCAGCCCGAACCTCATTT